AACACCCTAACACCCTAACACCCTAACACCCTAACACCCTAACACCCTAACACCCTAACACCCTAACACCCTAACACCCTAACCCTACACCCTAACACCCTAACACCCTAACACCCTAACACCCCTAACACCCTAACACCCTAACACCCTAACACCCTAACACCCTAACACCCTAACACCCTAACACCCTACACCCTAACGACCCTAAACACCCTAACACCCTAACTACCCTAACACCCTAACACCCTAACACCCTAACACCCTAACACCCTAACACCCTAACACCCTAACACCCTAACACCCTAACACCCTAACACCCTAACACCCTAACACCCTAACACCCTAACACCCTAACACCCTAACACCCTAACACCCTAACACCCTAACACCCTAACACCCTAACACCCTAACACCCTAACACCCTAACACCCTAACACCCTAACACCCTAACACCCTAACACCCTAACACCCTAACACCCTAACACCCTAACACCCTAACACCCTAACACCCTAACACCCTAACACCCTAACACCCTAACACCCTAACACCCTAACACCCTAACACCCTAACACCCTAACACCCTAACACCCTAACACCCTAACACCCTAACACCCTAAACACCCTAACACCCTAACACCCTAACACCCTAACACCCTAACACCCTAACACCCTAACACCCTAACACCCTAACACCCTAACACCCTAACACCCTAACACCCTAACACCCTAACACCCTAACACCCTAACACCCTAACACCCTAACACCCTAACACCCTAACACCCTAACACCCTAACACCCTAACACCCTAACACCCTAACACCCTAACACCCTAACACCCTAACACCCTAACACCCTAACACCCTAACACCCTAACACCCTAACACCCTAACACCCTAACACCCTAACACCCTAACACCCTAACACCCTAACACCCTAACACCCTAACACCCTAACACCCTAACACCCTAACACCCTAACACCCTAACACCCTAACACCCTAACACCCTAACACCCTAACACCCTAACACCCTAACACCCTAACACCCTAACACCCTAACACCCTAACACCCTAACACCCTAACACCCTAACACCCTAACACCCTAACACCCTAACACCCTAACACCCTAACACCCTAACACCCTAACACCCTAACACCCTAACACCCTAACACCCTAACACCCTAACACCCTAACACCCTAACACCCTAACACCCTAACACCCTAACACCCTAACACCCTAACACCCTAACACCCTAACACCCTAACACCCTAACACCCTAACACCCTAACACCCTAACACCCTAACACCCTAACACCCTAACACCCTAACACCCTAACACCCTAACACCCTAACACCCTAACACCCTAACACCCTAACACCCTAACACCCTAACACCCTAACACCCTAACACCCTAACACCCTAACACCCTAACACCCTAACACCCTAACACCCTAACACCCTAACACCCTAACACCCTAACACCCTAACACCCTAACACCCTAACACCCTAACACCCTAACACCCTAACACCCTAACACCCTAACACCCTAACACCCTAACACCCTAACACCCTAACACCCTAACACCCTAACACCCTAACACCCTAACACCCTAACACCCTAACACCCTAACACCCTAACACCCTAACACCCTAACACCCTAACACCCTAACACCCTAACACCCTAACACCCTAACACCCTAACACCCTAACACCCTAACACCCTAACACCCTAACACCCTAACACCCTAACACCCTAACACCCTAACACCCTAACACCCTAACACCCTAACACCCTAACACCCTAACACCCTAACACCCTAACACCCTAACACCCTAACACCCTAACACCCTAACACCCTAACACCCTAACACCCTAACACCCTAACACCCTAACACCCTAACACCCTAACACCCTAACACCCTAACACCCTAACACCCTAACACCCTAACACCCTAACACCCTAACACCCTAACACCCTAACACCCTAACACCCTAACACCCTAACACCCTAACACCCTAACACCCTAACACCCTAACACCCTAACACCCTAACACCCTAACACCCTAACACCCTAACACCCTAACACCCTAACACCCTAACACCCTAACACCCTAACACCCTAACACCCTAACACCCTAACACCCTAACACCCTAACACCCTAACACCCTAACACCCTAACACCCTAACACCCTAACACCCTAACACCCTAACACCCTAACACCCTAACACCCTAACACCCTAACACCCTAACACCCTAACACCCTAACACCCTAACACCCTAACACCCTAACACCCTAACACCCTAACACCCTAACACCCTAACACCCTAACACCCTAACACCCTAACACCCTAACACCCTAACACCCTAACACCCTAACACCCTAACACCCTAACACCCTAACACCCTAACACCCTAACACCCTAACACCCTAACACCCTAACACCCTAACACCCTAACACCCTAACACCCTAACACCCTAACACCCTAACACCCTAACACCCTAACACCCTAACACCCTAACACCCTAACACCCTAACACCCTAACACCCTAACACCCTAACACCCTAACACCCTAACACCCTAACACCCTAACACCCTAACACCCTAACACCCTAACACCCTAACACCCTAACACCCTAACACCCTAACACCCTAACACCCTAACACCCTAACACCCTAACACCCTAACACCCTAACACCCTAACACCCTAACACCCTAACACCCTAACACCCTAACACCCTAACACCCTAACACCCTAACACCCTAACACCCTAACACCCTAACACCCTAACACCCTAACACCCTAACACCCTAACACCCTAACACCCTAACACCCTAACACCCTAACACCCTAACACCCTAACACCCTAACACCCTAACACCCTAACACCCTAACACCCTAACACCCTAACACCCTAACACCCTAACACCCTAACACCCTAACACCCTAACACCCTAACACCCTAACACCCTAACACCCTAACACCCTAACACCCTAACACCCTAACACCCTAACACCCTAACACCCTAACACCCTAACACCCTAACACCCTAACACCCTAACACCCTAACACCCTAACACCCTAACACCCTAACACCCTAACACCCTAACACCCTAACACCCTAACACCCTAACACCCTAACACCCTAACACCCTAACACCCTAACACCCTAACACCCTAACACCCTAACACCCTAACACCCTAACACCCTAACACCCTAACACCCTAACACCCTAACACCCTAACACCCTAACACCCTAACACCCTAACACCCTAACACCCTAACACCCTAACACCCTAACACCCTAACACCCTAACACCCTAACACCCTAACACCCTAACACCCTAACACCCTAACACCCTAACACCCTAACACCCTAACACCCTAACACCCTAACACCCTAACACCCTAACACCCTAACACCCTAACACCCTAACACCCTAACACCCTAACACCCTAACACCCTAACACCCTAACACCCTAACACCCTATATTCTTTATTTGTAAATATGAATAATAAAAAGCGAAATATTATTGACATAAGTTTAAAAATCGAAAAATTAAAGTCTGAAACTAGACCTTTTCAAATTCTAATGAAAACCATTTGAACTATCTTCATTCCGTATGAATATCAATTACATAATTAAATTTGACTAAATTTCTTGATTTTTCTTATAATTTATCCATTTTAATTATAAATATTAGCAATATGAATAAATAAATTTCATACTTTTTAACCCTTAAATCAATTTTTTCATTTTCGAACAATAATTCTCCATCCATCCGTCTATATCTACTCAAGCTAAAGCTTCAGCTATTAGTGATTTAACTATCTCTGCTGCAAAAATCTCCACTTCATCTGTCAAATCTCCCACTGTTTCTGCTTCGGAGATCTCTGCTTCATCTGTGACATCTTCCACTCTTCCTGCTTCAAATATTTCTACTTCAAGCATCAATTCTTCAACTCTGTTAGCTTCAAGTATTTATAATTTGAGTGTCATTGCTTCATCTGTCACATCTTCAACTCTTACTGCTTCAACTATTTCTACTTCATCTCTCACGTCTTCAACTTTTACTTCTTCAACTATTCTACTTCATCTGTCAAACTATTTCTACTTATCTGTCAAATTTTTAGCTATTAATGCTTCATCTTTTTCAGCCTTAAGTATAATCTCTTCAACTATCATTGCTTCAAAAGTCTCTGCTTCAGTCATCATTGATTCAAAAATCACAGCATCTGCTATATCTGCTTTTTATATCAAATCTTCAGCTATATCTGCTTTAGCTGTCAGCGCATCATCTATTACATCTTCAACGATCAATGCATCAAGTATTTTTGCGGCTATCAGTGATTCAATTGTTAATATTACAAAAATTTCTACTCCAAAAATCACTGATACAAACAACAATAATTAATATTAAGAACTAAAAATTAAATTTTTGCAATCTAGAATTTGGCTCTCAATATTAATAATTCTTACACACAATTTTTCAAATTATATTGCTCGCTAGTAGAATTTAATAATTACTTCATCAATCATATTCCAATATTAAGACTATAGCATATCATGTCTTTTAATTTGTATGAGAATGGACCGTAATCGATTTGCTCAGGCTTTAAAGGAGGGATAGCTATTTCCTTCATCTTGAAGTTTCAATTGAGAGAGTTGGGTTTTATAAAAATTAGCAAATGCTAAGCTTTTTCAAAAAAATCCATTTCTTCATAAAAAATTTCAATATGATCTTTTTAATTGTCATGCTTCTCTTCAATGCTTATGGCCTCATCACTTGCAACCCAAATACTTGCATTCCTAAAGCAGTAATTTTTATGTAGCGAGGCGATGGAATTTGCGACTTAAGCTGCATGACATCCTATTGTGGCTTTGATTCTGGATCAAGCTGGAGCTTTGGTGATTCCTTTCAAAAATCTGATTGCTACTCATCCTGTAAAGATATAGCATCGTCGATATGCCTTGATGTTTTGGGCAACGGAGTCTGTGATCAATATTGCAGCATCCCTGAGTGTGGCTATGATCTTGGAGATTGCAGCTACTGTGGCAATGAGTGTAAATTGCATTTAGGTCTAGAAAATCAACTAAATGGAAGTTGTAACCCAGCATGTGATGTTCCTTCTTGCTATTACGCAGAAAACGTATGCCGAGAATGCTCTGTAGGGTGCAACTCAACAATCTGAGGAGATGGAAATTGCAATAGCGAATGCAAAAATGCTCAGTGCAATTATGATAACGGAGACTGCTTAAGTCTTACTTGTGCTGAAAATTGCTTTATTTGGATGATAGGAAACTCAGAATGCGACCAAGCTTGTAACAATGAAAAATGCGAATATGACAAAAACGACTGCGGATGCACGCCAGAATGCCCAAACAGGATATGAGGAGACGGGGTATGCAATGAAGAATGCAATAATTTAGACTGTGGGTTTGATAAAGGAGACTGTGGGCACTGCTCAAGTGGATGCAGCATCGCTAAACTTTCAAACCAAAAGTGTGATCCTGAATGCAATACTGCCAATTGTGAGTGAGACTATGGAATTTGTGGATGCTCCAAGTTTTGCGCAGTCGAGGACTATGGGAAGTGCAGTCCTGGGTGCTTAGTAGGGGAATGCAATTATGATCAAATGAGCTCAGATTCTGAAAAACGGTGCAAAAACCAGGAATTGATCTGGTTTACTGTTTACCAGCAGATAATTAGAAATGATACCAGCTCTATTGTAAGTTTTGATGATTGCTGAGCAGCGTCTAGCTATAAATGTAATCTCACTATGGCTCTAGACAAAAATGAATGCCATCCAGAATGCTTTATACCTGTTTGCAACTATGGTCTTTGCCACACAAACTCATTATCAGATTGTAAAAGCAATCTCCCTGTCGAAGCCCACAATATCTGCAATTCTTGCACTTTCTCCTCCGAAATCTCAAACTCTTCTTGCAATGGATGCTTAAATAGTTCACCATCAAGCAATAATTTAAATTTATTTGGATTGTCTTTTTGCTATTCAAATCCAGAAATAAAAACATTTCCTCATTACGATGTGGTATACTTGTCCTCTCAGCATTCCTCTGGTTTGTCTGGAAATGGGACAATTAATAATCCATTTTTGAATCTAGAAATGTATTTTTTGACTTCAATGAGTTGTGAGCCAAAGATATTAGGGCTGATAAATGACGGAACTTATATATGGTCTCAACCATGGTCCTATCCATTTTGCAATGTCATCATGTTTTCATTGGATGAGAGTAAGGTAACTATAAGAACCTATGGATGATATACTACTGGAATGGAGCTTGAACAAAATGTTACATTCGAAAATATTATTTTCAATGGTGCAGGATTTAATTATGACTTCTGCACTGGCTTTGAATATTGCGAATATGTTTGATACAGCATTTTTAATGAGAGCGATGGCTACTATTATAGCGACAGAGGGGACCGAGTTTCTAAGTATCGATCACAGTATAGAGAAGACTTTCCTGATTTTATAGGAAATTCTATGTTTATATGTTCAAGTTGTATTCTTACTTTTAGGAATGTAGAAATAAAGAACTGAAGATTCTATGTGTCAGCTATTATTAAAGGAAATGGAAATCTGAGATTGATTAATGTTAATTTTGACAATATATGAGTAAATAAAGAAGCAACTGCAGTAATTTCGCTGACTACGTCAAGCTCAAACAGCAACCCCACTTTTACCTATATTGGAGGACGTGTTTCAAGACTAAATAATGGGTATGAATTTGGAGATCCTTGAGACTTTCGTGGATTTTTGCATATATCTGGCCCTTCTTCAGTTCGTGTAGAAAACGTAGATTTTATGTATAATTTAGCCTACAGGAAGCCTCAAAGCACTTTTTCAGAAGCTTCACTAATATATCTTGAATCGCCTGCTACTTTTAAATTGTCTAACTGCACTTTTATGTATAATTATTATGAAACTGGCTTAATTCAGATTTATATGTCTGTATCAGCTAGCCAGTTTAAAGTCAATGCATCTGACTACATAAATTACTTTGAATTAGATCATATTATATTTGAAGGCTTAACATTTAAATCGAATTTCGCAGATTCCAGCTTCATTTATATCCACTATTTAAATAATCTTTTGAATTTTGCACTTCAAGACACAACGTTTGAACTGAATGGAGCTCTTGAAGGTCCTTTAATTAATTTAGATAATTCTATAGTGCTGGAAGAGTACAAAATATGAACGACAAAAGAAATCACAACTCAGGCTGGGAGGATTTTCAACGCAACAATTGCGCCAAGATGATGCAAGTTCAAAAATCTGAATTTCACAAAAAATTACGCTCAAGGGATGTTTAAAGCAGAATATATGGCAAATTTTTTAATCAGTAATGCCATTTTTGATGCTAACTGGTCTTCAGATGATAGCGAAAATATAAACACTTTGGTTCTTGATTACTTCGTGAAAAGCGATCACTTATATATCAGGAAAGTAAAGGAATCTCCAGAGTCAATTGACTGCAAATGGCTGGCTTCAATTTCGAATTCATACAGTTTGGATATTTCATTTATTACAATAACTAACAATATATGTAGAACCTCTTCACCAACCTTTAGTATTTTTGAGTCAGATACCAAGGAAATCACTTCAATCAATTGTGACTCAAACTACGGAGAGGGAGCTGCCCCAATCTGTTTGCTGCTTACAGGGGCTTTTGAGAGAAATTTAACAAAATCAACATTTTCCAACAACCAAAATGCTTATTTTTCAGGAAATGGAGCCATTCAAATAAAAGACAGCCAAAGCATGTCCATCATTAATTGCACCTTCTTCAACAATACTGGCAACATTGGAGCTGCAGCTAGCTTTACAGGCATGAACTTATTAATTGATTCGTCAACATTTGACTTGAATTCTTCTCCAAGTGGCTACGGAGCATCAATCTATGCTTTGTTTTCAGAAAGCTCAGATCAGAAATTGTTTAAGGTCTCTTCAAGTGCTTTTTCAAATGGATCTGGGCTGAATGGAGGCGCCATCTATATGGCACAAGTTTTGTCCCAAAATTCTATTGAATTAATAATATCTGATTCGCTATTTACTGGAAATGCCGCTTCTTATGGCTCTTCGATTTATTTAGATAGATCAATTTCACTTGATAGCTCTTCAAATGTAATTGATTGCCTGTTCCTTGCTAGCCAAATCGGGGTCTCTGGCTCTATATCTTTATACAACTCTGGGACCTTAAAATTTAAGGGCTGTAAATTTTCCAAAAATGTAGGCCCAAAAGGGGTGGTATTTTACGTAAATTTCAGAAGTTCTCTGAATTCAAAGCTTATTGTCGAGTCCTGCACATTTGAAAGTAACCGAGGAGATTCAATTGTCTTTTCTGGCAACCCAAGCAGTTCAATACAAATTGTGACTCAATTTTGCACTTTTGAATATAATACTGGAAGCGTGTTTTATATAATTTTTAACTCACTGGCCGATACAGGTTCGATTTTTCGCCATAACTCTGCTGATTCTTCTTGCATTCACTTTCAAAACTCTGCGAGTCTTGAATTAGCCTCAACTTTGTTTTTAAATAATACAAGCAGTTCAATGGGAGGAGCAATATCTCTCAGATCAAAATCTTCTCTTAATTGCAGCTTTTGTACTTTTACAGAAAATTTAGCCCAAAATGGCTTTGGAGGTGCTTTGTATGCAGAGGAGGACTCTTTCTTGAATATTTCAAATTCAATTTTTTCGAAAAATGTCGGCGGAAATGATGGAGATGCCATTTATATATTTAATGCCAAAAACTTAACAATTAGTTCAAGTGAATTTTTTGATCATCTTTCCAAAGGAAGTGTCATTTACTTGATGAGCTCAGACTTAGAAATTTCATCTTCTCGTATATATAAAAACAAATCTCCTGGTATTAAACTCAGTATGTCAACTATCAAAATAGAGAATTCTGAGATTACTGACCAGGTATGCACTTTGGGCTGCTCAGTTTCTGCAACTTTGGAAAGTCAGGTGTATATTATAAATTCTCAATTGCGTCATAGTAATTCAACTAAAGGAGGAGGAGCTATATATTCAAGTCAGAGTGATATTTACCTTCAATCTTCTTCATTTAGCCAGCTCATTTCTGACTCTGGAGCCTCCATCTATGCAACGTACGAAAGCAATTTAGAAATTAAAGACTGTCAGTTTCTAGACATAAGCTCCTCTTTAGATGGGATCATCTATGCATATCAAGCCACAATCTTAATAGAAAATTCCCATTTTAATCGCTTTACAGGTTCTGGCCTATATGGGAGCCTGCTAGCAAGCCTAGAAATAAAAGACTCCATTTTCACAGGAGGAAATGGGACTCTGGGAGCATCTATTTACTGCTTAAATTGCGAGTCAATTAACCTTGAAGATTGCTCCTTTACTGAGAATTATGCAGAGTCTTTAGGTGGGGCATTATACATAACAACAGACAATGGAAATGCGAAAAAAAGCAGTTGCGAAATAAGCAACTGCTTATTTGAACGTAATATTGGAGGAGCAGGAGGGGCTATCTATGCAAAGGATATCGCTTTACTGATTACTTCATCTCAATTTGCGAGCAATAAAGCTGATTTTTTAGGCTTAGAAACGAAAAACTATGGGCAGGCTGGAGGTGTTTATATGAGCTGTTCAAATGCAAATTATTGCGATTTTAAATTAAAATCTTGCAACTTTACCAAAAATTCAGCCAGTCTTAATGGAGGCGGCATATACTTTGACAATGAAGAGCCTGGCTTAAAGAATAACATCTTCAAAGACAATTCTGCAATCTATGGGAATGATGTGGCTTCATACCCAGTCAAACTGATGGTAGTCAATGAGGATGGAACACTAGCTGAAAATTTCAATGGAAGGGCTTTAAGTCAAATTCCCATCTCAACCTTTAATTTAACAGACGTGGCCTCAGGCCAAAAAAGTTCTAAACCTCTACTTATTGCTTTGGTAGATACTTTCGACCAAATTGTAAGTTCTGATCATGTGAGCACCGGAGAAATAAGACCAATCTCTTCAGCTATAGTTGACGGAACTATAAGAGTAACTGCAGTGAACGGGATTTTCAACTTTTCGTCATATACAATTTCAGCAGAGCCAGAAACAGATGTTCAAATTAAAGTGTTTTCGCCAAATATCGATATTTCGAAAGCACTAATCTCAGGCAGCTCATCAAGTCAGTCTTTATACATCAACGCTAAAATGAGAAGCTGCAGGACTGGCGAAGTTAAGAATGGGAAACTATGCAAAGTTTGTCCTGAGGGCTATTACAGCTTGGGGACAAACTTAACCTCATGCTTGGCTTGTCCTGATGTAGCTGTGTGCTATGGGAGCTATAGAATGTCTCCAAAGCCTGGATATTGAAGAGATAACCCATACACAGATCAGTTCTGGAAATGCCCCAATCCTTCTGCTTGCCTTGGATCCCCTGATGCAGATAATGTCTCCTATACTGGGGTTTGCAGTAAAGGCTACAAAGGAAACAAATGCCAATCCTGCCAAGAAAATTATTCTAGATCATTAAGCAGCAAGTGCAAAGAATGCCCGTCCTTAGCATTAAATATCTTCATAATAATTGCCATTTTTTGCTTGTTCATCATTGTAGCGTTCTTGCTAGTGAGATCCATCATCAAATCAGCTTTAAAACCCGCAGCTCTAGTGCCAGTATACCTGAAAATCTTTTTGAATTACATACAGTTGGTAAATATTGCTTCCACTTTTGACTTGAGCTGGCCCTCAGAAGTGATATAATGTATTGGTAATATTTTACTTTGCTTATTTATGGTAAATTGATTTTAAAATGTCAAAAAAAATTTGACATGCCATTATATATAAAACTGAGTCTATGGTATGTTAAAATTTTTTTTTGGCATTTTAAAATCAATTTACCATAAATAAGCAAAATGAAATTTATGCAAGGGATTATAGAACTATTTTACGTCCAAAATGGAGTAGACTATGTTTATCAGCAGATCTATTCCTTTGAGTGTCTTTTGAAAGAAGATCACGGAAGCGATAGCTACTTCAAGACGTTGGTAATTATCGCAGCATTTCCAGCAATTGCTTTTTTCATAGCCTTCATTATATGAATTTTGATTAAAGCCATTCAACAATCATATAAAAACTTTTGAGATGATTTTATATCGACCTGCATCATTATTTTGTTCCTCATATACCCAACAGTTGTAAAAAAATTGCTTGGGTCTCTTAACTGCACAGAAATCAACTCTGGAGAATTTTGGCTTAAGGAAGATCTTGACATACGATGCTGGGAGGAAAGGCATATCTTTTATATTTTAGCTGTTACCATCCCTGCTTTAATTGTATGGGGAATTTTTTTCCCTGTAATATGTCTAATAAGTATTGTTAGACAGAGAAAAATGCTGGAGAATGTCAATGTCAGGCTAAGATATGGGTTTCTCTTTACTCCCCCCCCCTCCGTGAGCGAACAAAACCATTAGAAAAATCGCCATTTTTTGACCAAAAACCCACCCTCCGTGAGTGAACAAAAATTTTTTTAATAGAAAAAATTTTAATGGAAAAAAATTTGATATATAAGTGATAATTAGTATAATGAAATCTAGAGCTAATTCTGTTTAATTTTAAACAAATTGCGTTTTAAAACATAAATTTTGCAAATTAAATTAATATTTGCTTCCCAATTTTTGCAAATTAGGATTTTTTTAAATTTCGAAAAAAATATTTTTTATAAAATTTTTATATATAAATGTTTTTTAAAAAAAAAAATTAACCCCCCTCCGTGAGCGAACAAAATTTTTTTGTTCGCTCACGGAGGGGGGGGGGGGAGTTAGTGGATTTAAGCCAAAGCAATATTTTTGGGAGTTTATTATTTTATATAGCAAGCTTCTCTTGGTTTGCTGCTCAGTTTTTATGACGGTTATAAATATAAAAATTCAGGCACTCATTGCTGCAGCCTTATTGTCATTATTTTGGCATCTCCAATTTGGAAACAAGCCTTATATTGAAGATAACTTAAATAATACAGAGCTAGTCGCAAAAACAGTATGCGTAATCACAATTTACAGTGGCTTATTTTATTTGACTGGCTCTTTGGGGAATACTGCGAAAATCATTTTATTTATTTTTATATTTATCACAAATATATACTTTGTGGCTTATTGATTCTTCAAGTTATTTAAATTTAGCATCCCAATTATAATTAAAAAGATAAAGAAGTTATTTAAAGGCACTAAGGTCGTGCCTATTTCAAATTCTGAAGTTCTTAGTCAGCCAGAAACTTTGAAAAATGCCACTAGAAATCAAAATTTTTCGATTTCTTCAATTGAAAGCTTGCAGCTTAAGACCATAGATGTTTATTTTGGAAGAGATCCTGAAAGCTTGCCAGAAAATTTTGATCAAGAAAAACCTTTTAAAAGCGCTTTGACTCCCGGCCAAAGCCATGAAGAACTTGGTGATTTCTAAAATAATGAATATATTATCGGTAACCCCAGGAGATATAAAGAATAATTAAACTAATCTACTTATAGTGATAATAAATGAGTAAAACAATTAAAAAAGAAAATAAGTACGGTATTTGCAAAACCCTAGAAGGAAGCACATTGCTAAGATGCTGAAATAAGCATAATTAAGCAATTAAATTATAAGAGCTTTTAATAATTTTAAATTTAACTTTAATGCTCTTTTTTATAAGCTTTATTCGAACAACTTTCTTTGTTATTATCCATAATTGTCATAGTAAAAATAGAATTGCGTCCTTAAACTAATTCTTTTATAAAATATTCAATGATGTTTTCCTAGACTATATCATGAATAGCAATCAGCAAATAGATTTTTCTCATTTAATTAAATCTTCATGTAGGCGCAGTGATGCCGCTGCCTAGTCTGAACTTAAAACTTTTGTTCCTATAAATTCCAAAAACATTAAGCGTTCCTGGCTCAAAGGGGAAAAAAAGCGAAATTATATCTTAAAGATAAACCGACCTAGCCATAGAAATGCTGAGATTAGCCTTAATTTCTTTCAGCTAGTTAATAAAATTAGTAAAATATATTTGTAAAAATTAATAGCTATGCTAAACGAATTCATAGTTCCTCTTATGGCTGCTCTTTGTATGGTTTCTGCTGCAAAACAGCTTTGCGATCAATTCTCATGCCCAGATTCCAGAGTAAAATTAAATTAGAAAGGTGACGGCAACTGCAATATTAATTGTATGAATGCTTTTTGTGGCTATGACTCTGCTCTCTTTGGTACAGAATTCCAAAAAAATAGCTCAGACTGCTATTCAGACTGCATTTCAATTGACGGATGCGACCCAAAAATTCTTGGCGATGGAATTTGCCATGATACTTGCAACACGCAAAGCTGTGGCTTTGACTGAGGAGACTGTGGAAATTGTGGGTTCTCCTGCTTCATTGACTTGCAAGTCGGAAATGAAAATAAAATTTGTGATCCAAACTGTGATTGTGCTTCCTACATATACATTAAAATGGCGACAGCGAACCCAGCCCTTTTTCTCAACATCTTAGTCTGCGTTCGCGGAAGGGAAATAGGCGTTCAGTGTGTCTATCCGGCTAGGTTTTTCATTGGCAAAGTGGAGCGCAACATCGAACTAGGTCGACCGCAGCTCATTCTGACATCAGGGTTTTTGCTTCAGGGAAATGGATTTCCAAGGTTTAAAAGGGGAAGCTCAGCAGCACCAAAGATGCATGCTGGTCCATCGGGCAACTCCCTAGCGTGAAGTTGGGTGTCAAGTCCAGAAATTTTGTTTTTCGAATTTTCGGAATGGGCAACCTCTGTTGCGTACTGCTGAGTGGTGTAACTTGTCCAACTACGGGTAGTGAGCGCACATCCTCGTCCTGATCGATTGGCGGTGAGCAGCCGGTTGAAGTATCAAGGTTAAGATAGACTGAGGAAATCTTGGGTATTACGACGGGCCTCTTAATAATATACTTAATGTTAATGATTGTGCTTCCTGCTACTATGGACTAGGAGCTTGTAAAGAGTGCTCTATAGGATGCACTGCCGAAATGATGGGTAATGGAGTTTGCGACATTGAATGCCAAAATTCCCAATGCAATTTTGACTTACTCCCCCTCCATGAGCGAACAAAACCATTGGGAGAATCCCTATTTTTTGGCCCAAAAACACCCTCCGTGAGAGAACAAAATTTTTTTTTAATATACAAATTTTTGATATATAAATGATTATTAGTATAATGAAAATGCTAGCTAAATCTATTTCATTTAAAACAGCTTGAGCGTTTTAAAACGTAAATTTTACAAATTAAATTAATTTTACTTCTCAATTACAATTTGGAATTTTGTTTAAAAAATTAGCCTCCCTCAGTGAGTGAACAATTTTTTTTTTCACTTACGGAGGGGAGTTAGGAGATTGCTTTAACACCACTTGTGCTTCAGGATGCTATCTATGAATGATAGGAAACTTGATTTGCGAAGAAGCTTGTCGCGTAGAAGAGTGCAGCTATGACGAGTATGATTGCGATTGCTCTCCAGGCTGCTTTGAACACATGCTCGGAGACGGAAAGTGTGATGAAGTTTGCAACAACTGGAATTGCACGCTTGATAGTCACGATTGTGGAGCCTGCGCCAGTGGGTGCTATCCAGAAATGCTGGGCAATACTAAATGTGATACAGAATGCAACAACTACGACTGCTATTATGATTACCAAGATTGCCAATGCGCTGAAGGCTGCACATACTTAGACTATGGAAAGTGTAAGCCAGAATGTTTGGTCGCTTCATGCAATTATGATAAAGTTCTCCAATTCCAAGATCTATGATGTACAAACATTTCTCTGGCAATCTTTTCTTCATACCAGCAGAATATTCGTAAAAATTATACATATGTCGCTCATTTGGAAGACTGCTACGCTGCATCAGAATACAAATGCACAATTGATAAAGCTTTTGATTTGATTAACTGCTACCCTGAGTGCGATATAATCGAGTGTAATTATGCAAATGGTAATTGCAACCATAATAATGCTCTAGATCTTGGGTGTGTTAGATTCTATGGGGATGGTGATTTAGGCCAGTGCTTTGCGTGCACGAACTCTTTTGTAGGAGGCTACGTTTTATTAAATGGAGTTTGTGTTAATTATGAAGAGCATTCTTCCAAATGTTCCTTCAAATTCCCAGATAGCTCTTTCGTTCAATGGGAATATCGAGATACTACAAGCATAAGCAATCCTTATATTTACTTCGTAACTGCAACTCCAAATGATCTATTATTCGTTGGCGATGGGACTTTTAATTGACCATTTCAGTACTTTTCATTTGCCTTGTCATCGAATAGTTATAACTACATTGTCATTTACCTTTTAGATGATGGACACTATTCTAAATTGCATTCAGGAAGTTATAAAGATGTCCGTTATTGTCACTCTAATCGCGACTACTTCATACCAAAATACTTGAAAATCGATTCTTGAACAGGCAAACCTGCTATTATTGAAAATTTGTGTTATCTATGAATAGAAATTAGCTATATATACATACAAAATCAACTTCTTGAGCTTTCAAATATTATTTTCGACGGGAGCTGCTCATTAGAAGGCTGTTCAGGACCATATTGCGATTACTGCCCCTTTATCATATATAAAGAAGGAATCAGTTTAAATGACAGAGGAGAAATAGTTAGCGATTTTATGCCCTCTAATTACTGTGAGGATGATCAAAGTTGGCCGTTCTTCCTTCTTATTGAAAATTCGAATGCTTTTTTAACAAATGTTAGCTTTGTCAATTTTAGAAGCGGCTTGAGGGGTATTATAAGTTACTTTGATAATTCAAATATCACATTGAAAAATGTTACTTTTGATAATATCATTCTTTCACATAGTGAGGAATCAGCTGTAATTGTATGCGGTATTAAATATATAACTTGCCCGAGGATGGTGCTATTTTGCGCCATCCTCGGGAAATCCAAAAATGGCCCCACACGGGAATTGAACCCACGTGTGGAGCCATTTTTGGTACGTGGAAGTCAAGATTCTCCACATTCCAAAAATGGCTCCACATGTGGGTTCAATTCCGGTGTGGGGCCTGTTTTTTGGATTGCCCGAGGATGGTGCAAAATAGCGCCATCCTCGGCAAGCTCTATATTTATTTTCTTATAGTGAATCTCCTTGCGGGAATTTTTCTTATAGTGAAGGGACTGTCTCGAGGATCGGCAATGGCTATGAACTTCTAGACCCCATAGATTTAAGAGGTTTTTTTTATATGGCTCGTGGAGGTTCTTTTTCAATGAAAAATATTGAATTTAGAAGTAATATAGTCCACCGAAAAGAATTCAATCTTGAAGTCGAAAGCGAACTTAGCACCGCATCATTGATCACTGGAAATTTTTCAAAAGCTGTTGAGATAGATTCATGCACCTTTATTTATAATTACTGCGAGCTTGGCTTGATAAGCATTATATCGAATTTCTCTTCTGATCCTGTTCAAATAGACTATAAATTAGAAGTTAAGCAATCTAAAATAAACCAAGTACTAATAAAAAACTCTCGTTTTGAGTCAAATTATGGAAAAAACGTTGGAATCTTACTACTAGAGTTTTGAAATCAAAACCAAAACGTTCTAATTGAAAACTGCACCTTTGATTCTAATGGAGTGGAGAATGGCGCATTAATAGACATCCAGGGTGACTACGTAGATGAAGAGTATTTGAACGACAAATATTTGGACTATAAAGTGCCGTCAAATGGGGCTATTATCCAAGTGAAGTACGTTGCCAAGTGGCTAAAAATCGATGATGTGAAGTTTAATGATAATTACTGTGGAAATTATGGTTTATTAAGCATTGAAAGTATGGGCAATATAAACATGAACAATACATTAATGCAATCAAATGGACTAATTTCAGATGGCAGTAAAAACATAAATTCAATTTTTTTGGATTTCTATATTTCGGATCCAAACCTCTACCTCAAGCTTCAAATGACAAACCCAGCAAGTTTAGACTGCAAGTTTCTATCCTCAATTTCTGATTCTATCAACCTTACAATATCGTCAACAAATGTCAAGAATAATCATTGTAAAAGCTCGACTCCTTCTATTATTGTTTCAAATACAGCAAATCCAGTCATCAATTCCTCTCATTTTAATAACAATTCTGGTCAAAGCAGCAATGGGGTTTGTTTATTTTTCACAAAAGTCAGCTCAATATTTATTTATGGATCAGAGTTCACAAGAAATACGAACAATCTTTTGAGTAGCCCAGGAGTGATTAATGTTGACAGCAATTGTTATCAGCTATCATTGATTAACTGCAGTTTTATTGAAAACAGCGCTGACTTAGGGAGTGCATTATATTTTTTAGGTCAGGTATTGTCAATTGAGTCTACTGCCTTCGATTCAAATATTTCTCCTTCACTTTCAAGAGGGGCTATCTATTACGCCTTAGCGAAATTTCAAACAGAATCCCATATAATTTCAATCTCGAACAGCAGATTTACCAAAAATATTGGCTCATTAGAAGGAGGAGCAATATACATTATATGAAAATTCTCTTCACAAAAGGTGCTGTCATTTTACATTCATGATTCAGAGTTTAGCTTTAACAAAGCTGAATATGGGTCAGCAATTTACATTGATAGCACTCTTGCCTTATCAGGTGACTCCCTAATAGAAGGCTGCATATTTCAAGAAAACAAGGCGCGGGCTTCAGGCGTAATTTCAGTTTTTTATATTTATGGGATTCTGCTATTTGATAAATGTGAATTTTTGAAGAATTCAGGAAACACAGGTGCGGTACTTGATATCACAATAGGAGAAAGCAGCATAAGTTCTATGTCCAAAGTCATTCTAAAGTCTTGCAGCTTTAGGCTAAACGAAGGAAATGCAATAATTTTAATGCAAGACTCTAACACTTTTTCGCTCCTGGAAACACTTTACTGTGAATTCATCAGCAATGTAGGGGTCACGTTTTCTCTTGATTACGACTCACTAAGTGATGTTGGCTCAACTATTAAGAACAGTTTCTCTGAATCTTCTGGAGCTGTTTTTGATCTTAGAAACCATGCGAAAATTCAATCTGAAGGCATTTTTATATCCAACTGCACAACGCTAAAGAATGGAGGAGTCGTCTCGATGAGTTCAGATTCCGAATTTATTTGCAGATCGTGCTCCTTTATTAAAAATAATGCTGGTCTGCTAGGAGGAGTTATATATGCTGCTTCTAATTCTTATTTTGTTATACAGGATTCAATTTTTAAGCAAAATTCTTGCTCAAGCCAAGGGGCAGTTTTTTATTTACTCCCCCGTGAGCTAACAAAAAAATCTTGTTCGCAACGTAGAGGGGTTGATTGATTTTTTTTAAAAATTTATATATAATTTTTTTCGAAAATTAAAAAAAACCTAATTCGCAAAATTGGAAATCAAATATTAATTTATTTATAAAATTTATATTTTAAAACGCAATTTGTTTAAAATTAAACATAATTAGCTATAGATTTCGCAATAATACTTATCACTTATATATCAAAATTTTTCTATTAAACAAATTTTTGTTCGCTCGCGGAGGGCGGGTTTTTGGTCAAAAAAATAGGGATTTTTCAAATGGTTTTGTCGCTTACGGAGGGGGAGTTAGTTAGTTTAGTAGCATCTTCTTCAGTCATCAGAAGGAGTGAAATTGAAGAAAACTATTCATTAGCTGGTGGAATCATTTCTTTGTTGTCTGCAAGAATAACTATTGATTCTACTACAATTTTCAATAATGCGCCGAATAAAGGTGGAGCAGAACTTTATCTAACTCCTTCTATCTGTGAGCGAACAAAACCATTGAAAATGCCTATTTTTTGTCCAGAAACCCATCCTCCATGAGTGAAAAAAAATTTTTTTTTAATAGACATATTTTTTAATATATAAGTGATAATTATTATAAGAAATCTCGAGCTCATTCTGTTTAATTTTAAACAAATTGCGTTTTTAAAAACATAATTTTACAAATTAAATTAATATTTGTTATCCAATTTTTTCGAAGTGGATTTTTTAAATTTCGAAAAAAAACCATTTTTTCTATAAAAATGTATTTTAAACCCCTCCGCGAGCGCGAACAAGTTTTTTTGTTAGCTCACGGAAGGGGGAGTAAGCAATTCGGTAGCTACAATAGCCAATACAACTTTTTCAGATCATTTTGGCAGTCAAGGGCACTTTATTAGCATAAACACCTATAGCCAAGCACTAATTCAGGATTCCTTTATCTTGAATGGAAAATCTGCCTCCTCTGGTATAGCAATATCTATTACTGGAGGAACAGCCATAATTTCTAACACAGCCTTTCTAAATCTGAGTTCAAGCGATGGAGGTATCATAAGCTTAGATGCAGGGAGTCTACTTAGACTCGACAATTGCTCACTCCCCCCCTCCGTGAGTGAACAAAAAAATTTTGTTCACTCACGGAGGGGGTTTAATTTTTTTTTTTAAAAAAATTTCTATATAAAATTTTATAAAAAATATGTTTTTTCGAAATTTAAAAAAATCCTAATTCGCAAAAATTGGGAAAGCAAATATTAATTTAATTTATAAAATTTATGTTTTTAAAAAGCAATTCGTTTTAAAATTAAACAGAATTAGCTCTAGATTTCATTATACTAATTATCATTTATATATCAAATTTTTTTTTTTCCATAGAAAATTTTTTCTATTAAAAAAAATTTAGTTCACTTACGGAGGGTGGGTTTTTGGGCAAAAAAATAGCGATTTTTCTAATGGTTTTGTTCACTCACGGAGGCGGGGGGGAGTCAGTATCTGCAGGTCCTTGCTCAGCTATTGATGCAACTAATTGCGATTTATTTGTACAAGACACTGCATTTCAGGATTATTCTGAAACTGCAATACGTGGCCGCGAATTAAATTCTTTGCAGATCTCAGATTCTGTATTTTCTGGAGGGCGTGGTCAAAATGGAGGGGCCATTTATTGTTTAAGATGCAAAGAAGTTGCTATTCAATCATGCTTATTTGAAAATCACACCTCTGAAAAAGGAGGAGCCGTTTATTTTGCCACTGATACTGATTTCTCTATTGATAACCAGCATTTTATATTGCAAAGCACATTTAAAAATAATACATCGAGTATAGGAGGAGCAGTATGAGCAGATAGCATAAATCTGGAGATTTATCGGTCAACCTTCGCTAATAATTCTGCTGTTTCTTTAGAACTTAATGCTACTGAGCAAGGTGTTACAGATGGAACTGGAGGTGCAGTCAACTTTAATTGTAAAAATTTGGGCGCCTGCTCTTTTAATGTATCTTTCTGCTCTTTTTACTGAAATAGAGCTACATATAATGGAGGTGCAATCAATTGAAACTATGCAAAATATATATTTAATGAAAATACATTTATAAGCAATTTTGCGGAATACGGGGATGATATGAGCTCTTTTCCTGTTGCTATGGAGTATGTAAATGAAAACAGCACAATTGAAGGTAATGCTGGCACCAGGGAGCTTACTGCCGGCTTGACTTTAAACAATATTGCCTCAGGCCAAGAAAATAAATTTCCAATAGCTTTTGCCTTACTCCCCCCCCCCCCCTCCGTGAGCGAACAAAACCATTAGAAAAATCACCATTTTTTGACCAAAAACCCACCCTCCGTGAGTGAACAAAAATTTTTTTAATAGAAAAAATTTTAATGGAAAAAAATTTTGATATATAAGTGATAATTAGTATAATGAAATCTAGAGCTAATTCTGTTTAATTTTAAACAAATTGCGTTTTAAAACATAAATTTTTGCAAATTAAATTAATATTTGCTTCCCAATTTTTGCAAATTAGGATTTTTTTTAAATTTCGAAAAAAATATTTTTTATAAAATTTATATATAAATTTTTTTTTAAAAAAAAAAAAATTAACCCCCCTCCGTGAGCGAACAAAATTTTTTTGTTCGCTCACGGAGGAGGGGGGGGGGGGAGTTAGTAGATCACTTAAATCAAGTTATCAAGACTGACAATATAAGCCAAGCTCAGCTACAAGTTGTAAACCCATCTTCCACTCTTATTTCTGGCTTAACAATTGTTTATGCAGTAAAGGGAGTATTCAATTTCACTGGCTACACAATCACCTCAGAGCCGGGGTCTTCGTCTCAAATTAGAGTTTACACTTCAGCAATCCAAGAAATAAAACTAGGCCCAAACAGCAGCATTGAGTACTCCCCTAGCTTCTTCATTGATGTCAATCTTAGGCTCTGCCAACTTGGAGAAGCCACTGTCAATGGGACCTGCTATTATTGTAAGAAGCCTTACTACAGTTTGAATCCGAACAACACTGCATGCTTACGTTGTCCTTCATCAGCCATTTGCTACGACAATTACACAATGGTTCCGAAGAAAGGATATTGAAGAAATAGCATGATGACGAGTAAATTCTGAAAGTGCCCATACTCAGAAGCTTGCCTGGGCTCTCCAGATATTCACAATTTGTCTTATACAGGAGTTTGCAAGGAGGGCTATAAAGGGAATATGTGTCAGTCTTGTAAAGATAATTACTCAAGACTATATAAGAATGAATGCATAAAATGCCCTGGGATCGCTAACAATGTATTTAGACTGCTTGGTTTCCTTGCTTTTATTATTGCTATTCTGATTATAATGATCAAAACTGCAAGAAATTCTGTGTACAGATCACAAGCTTTTACTTCAGTCTATATTAGGATATTCTGAAATTTCTTGCAGGTGCTGGTGATAATAACAACTTTCAATTTAAACTGGCCCAATGAAGTAATAGAGTTTTTTCATATAAATGATATTCTTGATTATGCTGGGCAGCTCTTATACTCTTTAGAATGCTTTTTGCAGCTCTCGGTATCTCGAGATGCTGTATACTTTAAAAGAATTGTTATCTCATCTGCAATGCCTTTTTGCCTCGGGATTTTCTGCTTTACTGGCTGATTTCTTTGAAAGATCAGGACTAAGAGATTTCATTATATCATGGACGACTTTATATCGACTGCTGTCGTCATGATATTCTTAATCCATCCGAGCTTGATGCATGACCTATTTAGCATTTATAGCTGCAAAGAAATAAATCCAGGAGAATTTTGGCTTAACGTGGAGCTTGATATAAGATGTTGAACTCCCGAGCATTCTTTTTATGCTTTTATCATAGCAATGCCAGCAATAGTAATATGAGGAATCGCAGTGCCTGCCTTATGCCTTATTAATTTAGTCAGAAATTGAGAGAAGCTTGACGAAGTGTGAATAAAGTTGCGCTATGGATTTCTTTTCAATGGCTATAAATCAAATTACTATTACTGAGAGTTTGTGCTCGTCTATTCAAAAATCATTTTAGTAGCTTTTTCTGTTTTTTTATCAAACGTATCAATAGCTGTTCAAGCTATTGCTGTAGCCATCTTATTATTTATATTTCTGCAAACCCAATACATAAACGAGCCATTTATTTTGCAGACTTTTAATAGAATGGAGTTTATATCAAAATGCATCTCACTACTTACTATATTTTCAGGTCTTTTCTTTTTAACAGGAGCTTTAAACTATGCTGGGAAAATTTTCCTTCTTGTGCTTTTGCTGCTATCAAACATAATCTTTTTTCTCTGATGTCTTTATAAATCCTCTCTTGAAGCTTTTAAAATTATAAAAATTTTAATTCTGGTCCTCAAACGAGGCAGAGTAGAGATAGGAATTGAGGAAAATTATGAGTCAAATATAGACTCTTCCAGCATAGAAAATTCTAAAATTCAAGATCAAAGCTATTATCTCGTGCCAAATCAAACCAGAATAGGTACTAATACAGAAAACTTCGGCAAATCTTTAAATGATCAGGATAGCGTTGATTGCGAAAAAGATCCATTTCCTTCAGAAGCAGGCAGTATGTAATTTGATTTTGAATTTAATTATAAATAATTAGTATAGAGTAAAGAAAAGTGGCTTGCTTATGTGAATACTCCTTCATTTTTATTTTCTTCTATTTTTTCAGTCAACGAGCACATAAATTCTAATAAAATTCATTTTTCGAGCCAAAACCTTTCATGCTCTTTAGCATCTAATGACATTAGTCTAACATCTAAGTCAATCATAAAAGCGGCGAACCCCGATATAAAATCTATTAATAACTCATTGAGCTGATATCTCCTTTAAAAAACTTTTGCATATTGAATTTAGGAAAAATTATCTGCATTCAAGCATTTTTTTAAATGCACTTTAGTTCCTAATGGCAATTTTATGGCAAAACAAATCATAAATCTATAATATACTCATAGACACGCTATGGGATAAACTTATAAATCTAATTTATTGCTATTGAATGCAAATGGACTTATAAATAATATTTTGATTAGTTTTAAATAGCAGTAGCCAACTTAGAGTTATTAGCACTAAGCTGATGATATGTAAATGGGCTTTAATACATAGTAAACAATAAAATAAACTCTAATTTTAGAGCTATATTGTGTAGTCGCTATATTGATATTGAAAAGTTGGATTAATTATCATGCTTTTCTATGGTGAGAACTTATAAATAAGAATTTAAGCTTGTGTGAGCATGATTATTATTTTATTAAATATCTATTTATATCGCTCTGGGAACCTTGTAGAAAGAAACAGTATGCAGTGAGAAATCTAAGCAATATATATACTTTTGGGCATGCAACGGGATAATTAATAATTCTAGTTTAACAAAATTTTAAAAGATTGCTTTTCTGCTTCTTTAAAGCTATTAACTTTTATAGAATTACAATTTATAAGCTTAGAATGGCAACACTGCAGCGGCTCATGGCAGAACTGAATGATTTGCAAGAAAAATCTCATAATAATAAAATGGTAGCAAGGAAGTAGCTTCTCCATTACCGCTTTCTCCTCTGCGATATTTATAATTAATACGTTGAAAATAACGATTATATGCTTTATGGAGTGATCTGTCATAAATCTTCTGGGTGCTATTCTGCTTTTACTTATTGTGAATCTGGAAGTTCCTGAATTGAGTATAGTTGATCAAAGGTATCACCTGTTGGTCTGCCTGATTTTAGCTATGTTTGCATGCTTTAGCCAACGTTTAATTGAATCAAGGAATGGAATTGAAGAGCTCTTAGAATCAGGTTAAGATGAACTAAGCAATTATTCTATAAAAATAAAAACTATTTAGAAAATAATAAATCTCAGTTTGTGGCTTTAAAATGGCTTATTATTTGTTCATCATTTGAAGCTCACAGGTCTATCTCCAGTCTCACTGATTTTTGTGCTTATAGGATATTTTCAAGATATCTGCTAATTTTTTTAGCATTATCCTTGATTTCTTTTAAAATTTGTTGATGGATATTTTTATAGATGTGAAGAGTTTGAGAAAGTGATTTGGACTAAATAAGTTTAGCCATTGTATTGTACAGAAAATTCGATTCTCTGAAGGAAATTTAAGATTTCCTCCATCTCCTCCTACCCTCCTCATCTCTCAAAAGAAAAGCATGCTGAGGCTGATTATAACTGGATTTTTACGAAAAATGCTCATAAATTAAAGGTAGTTTTGGGCTTTTCTATTCACAACTCTAAAACCCTATCATGATAATTATATTTTGAGATCTTAGCTAAAATATGTTTCATTTAAATTTGTATAGTTTTGAGAAAAGGAAACGATAATATAATAATGTGAAAGAATAGCCTTTTCTAGTATATTTTGCTTGTTTCATCTCTTTAAGAGTGAGCAAAATAGCTTTTCTTGGTACTTCATTTGTAAGGACTTGAGCTAATTAATCGGTTTAATTAATTTTATTAAAATCAGATTAAAACATAAACAAAGTCAAAATATTTATGAAATCCTATAATAGCAATATTATCACACCATATTATAAATTAATCTGTTTCAACTTACTATAAATTTGCTCTATCGTATTTATATCGAACTTCTTCTAGCTCTACTTATAGACAATTTTTTGTAAAAAATTAAGAATTTATTAGAAACTACTGATATCATCGACTTAGAAAGAATTAAAAATAGAGAAAAGCCTAGATTTAGAGAAAATTAAGGAAGTTCATTGAAACGGGTTGACAAATTGATAATAAACTTAATTTTTAATTTAATACTCGTTACAAATAAGGGATTAAAATTCTTATGAGCAGTCTCTTTGTGCTTCCGTAAGTTTTTTTTTTTCAGTTATAAGTTATTGAAAATTAAAAATAATATTAATATTAAAAAATAACAGTGAAAAAAGTTCAAAACTACAAAGTGAAGTTCTAAAAAACATAAAGGTCATTCTCGCCCAAAAAAAGGTAGAAAAAACATGACAGGAAAAAATATAGATTTCAGAAGCAAATATAGCAATGCTCTAATTTTCTACAGATAAATGCAAAAATAGTATAGCGTATATGCTAGAAAAAGTTAAAACGTCTAAATAATGCATAATTTCCTAAAACTTTAACATTTTTGCTGTTATAAAATTTTCTTCATGTTTCTTTTTATAATTTAAATAATTACATTTTTCCTAAATAAATAATTTCATAGAAAATAAGACTTTATTAGTTCTTTAATTTCCTCATCATAGTAGCTTTCTTTAATAATGTAATGCTTTATATCAAATATTCAATAGGCGTTGAATCTTTCCAATCTTAAAATTCCCATTCATAACAGTTGTGATCAACGAAAGTAAATCTTTACAAAATACTATTCTTTCAGATTAGGATTATTAAAAAGTCAAGTATTAGCCATATTGCTGACGCAGTCACCAAAGACCTCCTGCATGGGAGGTTCTATCGCTTTTCGACTCCAGCCCAGAGGGCCTATGCCGCTTCGGTACCTTCTTTCTCCTCCTTGCCTTGATGCTTCAGTCTTGAGATGGAAGGCAATTCATCTCCGAAGCTATAAATTTCCTATTGTGATTATTAGCAAAGAAAAGCATCAGCGAGTTTTCCCGAAGAATACTAAATCGCCCACTCAGTGAAAGACCAAAACAGTTATAAAAATTAATATTTTTGGGTAAAAAGCCATCCTCTATGAAGAACAAAAATATTTTTAATATAAAAATTTTTATGAAAAACTATTTTGATATCTAAGTGGTAATTATATAATGAGATCTGTTAGATTGAAGAGATTGCATTTTTTAAAGCATAAATTTGCAAATTAAATTAATTTTACTCTCAATTTCTGAGTTGGGGTATTTTAAATCTTGAAAACAAAATTAGTATAAAATTTATATATAATTTTTTTAAAAAAAAAATTAACCCCTCTTATGGGCAAGCAAAATGTTTTATTCGCTCACCGAAGGGTGGGAGATAAATCATAATTTCCAGTTTCTATAGCAATTAATGCAGCTTGCAAATTTAACGATTCGATTTCTTTTGTAATAAATATGAACAATAAGAGCTTAAAAGGGCTAGAAAACTTAAAAGATCCGTTAAGTTTGCTTAATTATCAAATGAACACTATTCCTAATGATCTCAACAGCATACTCAAAAAAACAGAAAACGCTTTAAACGTTATAGACTACTTAAAAAATACAAAAGCTGAGATTTTGAGTAGAGCAAACAACCCTGAATTAGAGAAAGATTTCAGAGCAACTTGTTCAGCATATCAGAGCAATTCCAGTATTTGTGATCCACCACTAATGCAAGCTTACCAAGATTATCTTAATGCCTATAGACAAAAAACATCCCTTTATACTCTTAAAATAGATTATGACGACATAACTAATTTGATTATTTATGACACTGAAACTGAAACTAAAGAAGCCAAAATCTTAGATACTCCAGAAAGCCTAGGCCCTAGTACTTGCATAACTCAGCTTTCAAATGGCAAGCTATTCTGTTTTGGTAATTGTCCAGCTTCTGGATTTGCAGCGATAATTGATGTAGATGGCAGAGTCGAATTGCTACCATCTGGAACTCCTTGTCATGACTCATCATACATCTATTTCAACAACAGCGTCTATTGTTTTGGAGGATTTAATGATAAATATTTAACTCTATCTAGTAGATTTGATTTGGATCAAAATCGATGAATTCAACTAGCTCCAATGCCAGATGCTGATAGCTGATTCAATAGTATAATATTTAATGGAAATATTTTGATTTCTGGAAGTTCGAATAGAAAACTTTTGCTATACTCAATTGATATTGACTCTTTCTCCTCATTTCCTTACGAATTTGCAGAATTGAAAAGAAAGATCCTGATAAATGCAGAGAAGCTTTATTTGATTGAATGCGGTCGTAATGGATCAATCTATGAAAGAGAAAGTGAATATGAAATGAATTGGAGACGAATAGCAAATTCAACAATTAATTATATCCCCGATCAAGTACAATACTCATATAATAAAGGGGGAATATATATTGGCTGCGTATCGTTTTCTTTTCTTTATATCTACAAGTTCGATTTGAATAAAAAATTAATGAGCGAGCAACTTTAAAATATTATTTTTATTAATAGAGATTGTTTTAATGTTTTTTATAGCTCTTTAATCTAACAGCTTGAAAGCTAAAAGCTTTTGCCAATATGATTTATTTTATAAAAATATATAAGGTTTGTAATTATGAGGGCTGAATAAATCTCAAGCTTTCTAGTCTTTTTCAAAATATTTTATAACTTGCTTATGAAATTAAAACCTTACTCCCCGCCCTTTAAATTGGAACTAAAAATTTTAATTTTTTTTTAAAAAAAATATCAATATAAAATTTTTTATAAAATATATAAAAATTTAAAAAAAAAAAAAATTTCCAAAACTTATCGAATTAGATTAATAAATTTGTTTAATAAAACGCTATTTACTCTTTATCCTTTAAAGTAAAGCAGATATAACTAAATTTTCATTATTAGTTAATACGCCACTATTAATTGGTATCAAAATTATTGACACAAAAATTATTATTTTTATTGATAAAAAAAGTTTAAAAAAAAAAAATTTTAGAAAATTTATCGATCAAAGTGCTAATTTTGTTTAAATAAGATGTTATTATATACTCTATTCTTTAAAATAAAGCAAGAAATAAGTAAATTTTTTAAATTTTATAAAGAATTCCTATTGAATTTATATCAAAACTATTTAAATAAAAAATATCATTTTTATCAAAAAAAACAAAAATTTTTTTTGAAAATTTTTAAAAAAAATAAAAAAATAATTTTTTTTTAGAATTTACAATCAAGGATAAAAAATTTATTTAAATAAGATGCTCTTTATACTTTTATCTTTAAAAAAGAGCAAGATATAACTAAATTTTTAATTTTAGTTAATAAGAAACATTTAATTTATATTAAAACTTTTTAGATAAAAATTATATATTAAATTTTTTATTATAAAATTAAATTTTGTTCCAATTTAAAGGGGGGTTAATTTACCAAAAAAAGTCGAAATTTTACCGATATTTTGTTCCAATTTAAAGGGGGGGGGGAGTTAGATAATTCTTCATTTACAATTGATCAAAATTCATTTATCTATTTAAAAGTGATTGTGAGCCATTAGCTAATGGTTTGCCAAAGTACTCTTGAAGAGAACTTATATATTATTAAATTCTATAGTCAGTAAATCTCTAGCTAAAGTTATTTATTTTATTAATTAAACAATTGATCCATTAATAGTTACCACATCTATCAGTAAATATATTGCTGTAAAGCACGCTTTTGGTATTGAAAATGCACCGATCAAGCAATTTAGTCTATTTATCATATAAGTAAATTTTGCGATATTTTAAGATTCTGATTCAGCTTTTACAACTACTAAACTGTGACGCGACCAATATAAGTATGCTCTTTAAAAAGAATTTTCGATAATTTTATTTTAATTGCTATGCAAATAGTAAGAATCCCTATCGTTGATAAATAAATTTTATTTAAAATTTTCCTTTTATTCAATAACTTGGCGGAAATTTTCAAAGCTAATAGTTGTCTCACTTTAGTTATTATAATTAGATAAGCCATATTAAAACTAAATGCGAAAATTAGCTATACATAATTCCCTTAAATAGCCCTATCAGTGGGTGAATTGCCCGCTGCAATTACAATTTGGTCCGACCAAAATTATTAGTTTTGGTCGGACTAAATTATTAGTTTTGGTCGGACTAAATTGTGTACTCAGTGGGCAATTCACCCATTGATAGGGCTATTAAAGGGAATTTTCTATATAAATATTGCGTTACGAATTAAATACTTTTTGATGTAAGAATAATTCAGACGTAAATAATTTTTTTATTCCAAATTACACAAATTAAAGCCTTACCCTTCCCGAATCCTCCTTTTCTGGACCACTCATGCTTTAGAGAATGCTTTCTGCAGATATTAAAATAATGCACAGATGTGTCACCACTTGAGTGTGCATGCCTTGGCAATAATCAATAATTTTTAATTGTCAATCACATTATAATTAAATGAATTGAATTATACTCTCCTTGCTATTAATTTGCTCAGTTCATGCAGGAACGATTACTTCAGCGGGTCAGCTAACATTCTCCCCATCCACAGTCCGTTCCTCAGCTACTTATTCGATGTACTTTTTCCTATCATCTGCTACACCTGTTGACGCAAAAGTGACAATCAATTTCCCATCTGATTTTGGGATATCAAGTAATTCTAACTATCCTTGCACTTTGAATAGAGGCGATAGCATTGATTGTTCATCGGCATCGTGCTCTGTCTCAAGCAATGTCCTGACAATAACTAATTTCTTTAGCAATTGGGCAGTTGATGCAGGCTCTGCAGATGCTTTTTCTGTGTCATTAAGTGGGATAACCAATCCGGTTTCAACAACTAAAACAAATGCAATTGTGATAACCACATATTACAGCGATGGAAGTATAATTGATCAATCAGGCTCTAGCGACAATTCCTGGATGGTTACAGCGACTGCGGCTTCTATGACTTCAGCTCAAATTACACCTACATCACAAGTAATAGGCGGATCAACTACCTGAACATTTACGTATACTCCTCAATTTTCCTCTCCACAAGGCTCCACCATTTCTATCACATTCCCTTATCAGAATTCTTATATTGGGGCATCAGGGTCATCGCTTAATTCTATAATAAGCACATCGACTCCAACTTGTGTGTCTGTAAGTAATATAGCATCATCTCTTTCCTGCAGCTGATCCAGCACAACAAATACACTCACAATTACCGGTGGCTTTTCATCAGCCTCAGCAACTGGGTCTGTTTCATTTACAGTCAATCCTTGCTTGAATCCTCCAAGTCCATCAGCATTGTCAGGATTTATATTTTATTTACTAAACTCAAGCGGGGGGATCTATGAGTATACAATATCCACTATTTCTGTGACTGTCACGACCCCCAATTCCATCTCAATTCTGGATTCATATCTTTCAGCATCCACAAAAACTATAAGCTCGAGCACAACGCTCTCAATCAGCTTCAGGCCGACTAACCCTTTTGCAAGTGGAGATATAGTAGAAATAACCTTTCCAAGCCAACTTTCTTTCAGCACCTCGAGTATGAATGTTATCGCAAGGCTAGGAATAGGAACTGCAATTGGGGTGACACTCTCCTGGACAAATTACGCTACTAATGTAATAAGGATAACAAACGGATATACAGCTTATACTAATTCCGTTCAAGTCCAGGTCAGCTGCAGCGCTGTCACTCTCCCGACTTCTACTCAGCCCACTGATCAATTCACTATAAGACACTTAACCTCAGGCGGCATTGCTGTTGACTCTGGAACAGGTGGAAGATTTACTGCGACTGCAGGGACAATGCTTCAGGATGGCAGTAATGCCTGGGTCACTGCCTCTGTTTATACTGTGGGGCAGTCATCAATTTACTATTTTGATTTTTTATTAGCCAACAGCTTACCGTCTGGCGCAACTTTATCAATCATCTTCCCTTCAAGTGTGTCTATTTCATCAGCAGCTTCCAGCTCTTGCGCTTATATTATTTCAGGTATGACCAGTGCTAACTGTGTGGTTGCGTCAAAAATGTTTAACGTTACTGATGGATTCCCAACTGGGGCATCTACTAAAGTAATAAAAATTGGCATAGGCGGAGTTACAAACCCGCAAACTACAGCTCCCTCAAGTTCTTTCACAATCTCTTCATATACAGACAATACATTTCAATATATGATTAATACCATCTCGTCTGGAGTCACAATAACTTGCCAAGCTGCATCTTTATCGTCAGTTACAGTCACCCCTTCATCTTTGATAACAGGAGATACCGCAACTTACACTTTCACAGCAGTGACAGCAACTCAGATTCCTTCAGGCGGCTCTATGATAATAACTTTTCCAACTGGTGTTTCAATAGCAAGTGCAAGCTTAACAAATGCTCAAAATTCCTGCTCAAAAATTTCAGGGTTTAATACCAACAGCTTTTCTTGCACTTGTACAGCAAGCAGCATTACAATTGTTAATGGCTTCCAGTCAGGAGTTTTCAGTGCAGGAGGAACTTTGAGCTTTTCAATGAGCTATATTACTAACCCGCCTTCAACTAAAAAAGCCCAATCATTTGCAGTGACCACTTATGACGCTTCCTCTTATGCTATAGACACTTTGAGTTCAGGGATTTATGTTGAGATGACGACTGCCAATACCTTACAAGCTACTATTACTCCTGCATCCTTGGTTAACGGAGCCTCAACAACATATACTATTTCAATCACAATAAAAAACCCAACAAATACAGGGGTCGTTGTAAACGTCATCCCCCCATCCCAAGTCACTTTCCCATCAAGCCCAGCCTGTGCTTCAGGAAGCAGTACCGTTACAAGCATCAATAGTTGCACAAAAAGTGGAGCTGGTGTTTTGGCTTCCTTGAAATTAACCACCGACCCTTCAACTAGTGGGACAGTGCTGATCTTTACGATAGCATCAGTTACAAACCCTCCTTCAACTGCAACGACATCCACATTTGAAGTTTACACCTTGACCAGTGATGGATATTCCATTGATAAGCAAGAATCAGGCATCACAATCCAGACAACTACTGCAGCAACTATCACAGATATAATTATCAGTGCAGGAGATTCGAAGATTACGTCTACAACATATTATACAATTAGCTATGCTCCTATCAACATTCATCCAACAGGCACTACTGTTACAGTTATTGTCCCTTCAGACTTCACTCTCAGCTCATCAACTTGTACTGCAGGCTCAAGTTTAAGCAACGACTTTCAATGTGTAGTGAGTGGAAATACTATCATCACAAGTGGCGGGTTTGCAACTGCAATTACTTCATCAAGCAGAGTTACATTCACAATAACAGGTATCATTAATCCAAATTCTCAGAAAACAACTTCGGCATGGTCAATAACATCAAAAGTAGGGAGCTACCTTATAGATGCCAGTAATTCAGTCACTTCTACTTTTACCTGTACTTTGCCTTGCACGGCTTGCCAGAGCTCACCAACCTACTGCACTGCTTGTGATACTACTTCTCTATATCCTTATCTTTACAGCAATACATGCAATTCAGCCTGCCAAAGCGGGTATTATGACGATATTACTACCCCAGCCAAATCTTGTGTAAACTGCGACAGTAACTGCAATACTTGCCAGGACTATTCAATTTACTGCCTTACCTGCAAAACCTCTAGCTCTTATCCTTACTTCTATAATCACACCTGCGTGGCTAATTGCCCTTCTGGCACTGCTCCAGACTCAGGGTCTTGTGTTGACTGTGTGTCCCCCTGCAAGCTCTGCAGTGCTACCAAAGACACTTGCACATCCTGCGTCACAAGCTATTATCTATATGGGACAACTTGCAAAAATGTATGCCCTGATGGATATGTCGGAGTTGGAAGTAGTTGTGATCCTTGCAGTGGATGTGCTACTTGCTCAGGAACTACAACAACTTGTACAAGCTGCGGAACAGGGCTCTTTCTTTATAAAGCGAACTCGACATGCTTGAGTTCTTGCCCATCATTGCTTTATGTACCTGGAAATGGGGTTTGTAATGCCTGCAACTCCAGTTGTGCAACTTGTTCTGGGACGGTTGATACATGCAAAAGCTGCTGAAGCGGATACAAGCTATATGGAAATACTTGTGTGACTTCATGCCCAGCAGACATCACTATCGATAACGGGAGCTCCTGTATTCCATGCAGCTCAAGCTGTGCTAAGTGCTCCTCTACTGATATAAATACTTGTACCGCATGTGCTAGTCCATACCCACTTCTGCAGGATGGAGCTTGCGTTGATGCTTGCTATGGAGGTTATATATTATCAGGAGGAACAAACTGCTTAAAATGTAATTCTGTCTGCTATTCTTGCTGAGGCACAACTGCTAACTGCACTTCATGCCCTACCAATACTTATCTTTATAATAACTGATGCTATAGTTCATGTCCTAACGGATATACCCCAACTTTGGGAGTTTGCGTACTCATAACCAACTCAGAAAACTGCGCACCCGGGTGTACTCCTGCGATGGTTGAAAATACAAGCTGCGAATCAGCTTGCAATGTTGCAGCCTGCTTATATGATAACGGGATGTGCAACCAAGGAACTACAACATGCCCTTCTGGGTCTTATTTGGATGTAAATACATGCAAATCATGCTCTTATCCTTGCAATTCTTGCACTGGGCCAGCGACATGCACTAATTGTGCGATCAGCAGCACAACAGGATCGACTTTGCTATATTATAATGGCTACTGCTATGACAATTGCCCGACTGGGACTCTCTCAAATGGACTGACTTGCTCCGATTGCAATATCAAATGCGCAAGCTGCCAAGGGACTAATAGTACCTGCTTGTCTTGCAATTCCGGACTATATCTTTACAATAATGACTGTCTTTCAAATTGCCCTGCAGATATAACAATCCTAGACAATTCGCAGTGCTTGGACTGCGATTCAAACTGCCTGTATTGCTCAGGAGCAATTAAAACTTGCACTAAGTGCTCGACTGGCAAAGTTTTGCAGGGGTCAGTTTGCATGCTGAATTGCTACTCAGGATGGACTGCAATCTCATCAAGTTGCGTGCAATGTTCGGGATGCAGCGAGTGTTCAGGCTCTGCAACTTCTTGCACAGCATGCGACTCGTCGCTCTACCTCTACAACTCTCAATGTGTTGGAAATTGCCCAGATGGGACTTATGCTTACGGAAATGTTTGTGAGACTTGTGATACTTCATGCGTTACCTGTGCTGCTGCTGGAAGTTGTTTGACCTGCAAATCAGATACTGTTAAGTATGGGAGTTTGTGCTTAACCTACTGCCCAAGCGGCTATGTAAATTCGTCAGGGACATGCACTCTTATAAACATCCCTGCAGATTGCGTTACTGGGTGCAATACAACTTTGCTGGCCAATACTGTGTGCGACGCTGCATGCTTTTATAAGGAATGCAACTATGATAATGGCTATTGCTTGAATAGTGGAGTATGTGCTGCAGGCAAGTTTTATAACGGCACTGATTGTGAGAGCTGCTCCTATCCCTGCCTCACTTGCAATTCAACATCAACTTGTGTGTCTTGTACGACCTCAAAAGTGAACACAGGAGTGACTATGCTTTACTATATGAATTATTGCTATGATACTTGTCCTCCTCGCACAATGCAGGTTGGGCTTATCTGTGAAGATTGTGCCAGCAGCTGCTTGTCTTGCTATGGGAGCACGAGCACCTGCATTTCGTGTGACACAGGAATGTACTTATATCAGGGAACGTGCGTGAATGACTGCCCAGCAGATATAACGATAAAAACGGGAACTGTTTGCAACTTATGCAGTCTAAATTGTGCGACCTGCTCAATTAATTATGACAATTGCACATCGTGCGCTACTGGAAAAGTGCTCCAGAATGGCAAATGCCAGGCCAGTTGCGACACTGGGTACACGGTAACTGATATCTATCCAACTACCTGTCAGGCATACAACACAAGTAAAATGGCGACGATACCGACCCGTCCTCTCCCGGAACTGTGGCGAGATTTGGGACCTTGCTGCGGCCTGAAGCCAATCCGCCCAGGGAAAGGTCTGGAATGGGTACTGGTAGTTTGTGTCCGGCTAGGTTTCCCTCCCAGTCCAGCAACGACGATCCTAGGGTCGTCCCGATAGGACACGGGGCAAAAAGGTTTTTCCTCTAGGGACCGCTAGTGCCAATTTGGAGGGCATGGTAGGAGCCGACAAGAGCTAACTCCCCCCCCCCCCTCCGTGAGCGAACAAAAAAATTTTGTTCGCTCACGGAGGGGGGTTAATTTTTTTTTTTTAAAAAAAATTTATATATAAATTTTATAAAAAATATTGTTTTCGAAATTTAAAAAAATCCTAATTTGCAAAAATTGGGAAGCAAATATTAATTTAATTTGCAAAATTTATGTTTTAAAACGCAATTTGTTTAAAATTAAACAGAATTAGCTCTAGATTTCATTATACTAATTATCACTTATATATCAAAATTTTTTTCCATTAAAATTTTTTTTCTATTAAAAAAATTTTTGTTCACTCAAAAAATGGCGATTTTTCTAATGGTTTTGTTCGCTCACGGAGGGGGGGGGGGGGGAGTAAGGAGTTAATCCTTAGCTCTAACCCTAGTCTGGCGACGTGAAGCACGGTGATCCAGTTCGCCTACTTCCGGGATAGCATGGCCAAGCCCCATGACCGGAAGGAGCTGAGTGGTAGCCTGTGGCACTTAGGTGCACACTGGGAGCAGGGCAAAGAAAGCAAGCGAGGCGTCCAAAAGGCGGAAGAAAAGGACTTCGGTCCTGGCCAGGAGCTACTCTATAAATTTAACTAAGGCTAAGACCTGTCAGGCATGCACTGGAGGATGCACAACGTGCAGCGTCCAAACTTACTATTGCACTTCATGTCCTGCGAACGAATACCTGCAAGGGACCTTCTGTGTTTCTTCATGCACTGCTGGAATCTATGTATTAGTAGGTAGTACTTGTCTCCCCTGCACTAGCCCGTGCGCGACCTGCCAAAACACTGTAACAGACTGTAAAACTTGCGTTTCTGGCTATTCTTTATATAGCAGCAGCTGCTGGAATCCGTGTCCAACTGGCTATGAATCTATTTCAGGAGTCTGCACTCAAGAGTGTGCTGAAGGCTGTACGCAAACTTTACTTAACAATGGTGTTTGCGACGCAGTCTGCAACACAGCGGCCTGTGTCAAAGACAATGGAAACTGCGTTCAAAATGTGACTTGTGTAAATGGGCAATACCAGTCAGGAAATACTTGTCTGAGCTGCGTTTATCCTTGCAATAACTGCCAATCAGCTTCTTTTTGTACTTCTTGTCAGATTAGCTCAACAACAAGTCTTCAACTGTATCTTTACCAGGGAACTTGCTATGACTCATGCCCAACAAAGACTTATCAGGACGGCTTGATTTGTTCTGATTGTCCCTCTAACTGTGACCATTGCTCAAGCTCAACTGTATGCGCAACCTGCTCTGGGGCTTATCTGGTATATAATGGAGGATGCGTCACAAATTGCCCAACCCAGTGGACAGCTACAACAGCCCAGCCAACTGTATGCAGTCAATGCTCAGCTTCTTGCAATGAATGCTCTGGTACAACTACTTATTGTACTTCTTGCAATTCTGGCTATACGCTAACGAGCTCAAATACTTGCATAAGCTCATGTGCTGGTGGGACTACACTAGTTGGATCAACATGTGAAACCTGCGTTTCTCCCTGTGTGAATTGTAATGGCGCAGTAACCAGCTGTACTTCATGCATATCTGGCTTAGTGCTGCAGGGGAGCTCTTGTGTGACATGCACTTCTCCTTGCAAAACCTGCTCTGCACTTCCAACATATTGCCTTGATTGCGTGGAGAGTTATTTTCTTTCAGGAACGACCTGCTTGCCTTGCAATGCGAATTGCAATACTTGCTCTGGCTATTCATATCAGTGCACATCTTGTGCAGATGGAAAGTTTCTTTCAGGAACGAGTTGCTTAACTTGTGATCCGACCTGCTCAACTTGCCTTGGGACCTCAACTACCTGCACAACTTGTAGTGCCACGAAATTCTTAGATTCAGGAAAATGCTACTCTTGCGATACCTCATGCTTGACCTGCGACACAACGTATAATCACTGCACATCTTGCAATTCTCATTACTACCTTACTTCAAGCTATACATGCCTAGTGTGCGATTCGAATTGCGATGGATGTTCTGGGTCGGCTGCATTTTGCACAAGTTGCGTGTCTCCAAATATTCTCCTCAACAACAAGTGCGGACCATGCAATTCCCCATGTGTCACCTGTGTGAATGATTTCAATGTGTGTGCTACTTGTGAAACTGGGAAAACTTTAATAAATGGAGTGTGTGATACCTGCAAAGCAGACTGTTTGACCTGCGTTACTGACTTCATGACCTGTGCCACCTGCCCAAGTGAGAAGTTTTTAGTAAGTGGGAGTTGTGTAGGATGCTCTTCAGAATGTGCAACCTGTCAAGGGTCCACCTCCTACTGCACTTCTTGCAATTCTCCGCTTGCACTTATAAATAACAGTTGCCAAGTTTGTGATTCAACTTGCTTGACCTGCAGTGGAACTACCAGTACTTGTACTTCTTGCCCCTCAGGGCTGAATTTGTTTGGGTCAGTGTGTCTTGCTTGTACATCTAACTGCAAAACCTGCTCTGGATCTCAATCTTTGTGCTCATCGTGTGATGATGGCTATTTCTTGTCAACCACCCAATGCATAAAGTGTGATGTTAACTGCTTGACTTGTTCAATATCAGCTTCAAACTGCTTAACTTGTGCCCCAGGATACAGCCTAATAGATGGGCTTTGCAAGCAAATATGCAGCGATGGTTACTACTTAAGTGGGCTGACTTGCTATGTCTGCAACACTAATTGCAAAACATGTGTTGGAACAGATACATCCTGTACTTCTTGCTACTCAGGGTTTATCTACAACAGCGCTTGTGTAACATCGTGCCCAATTGGAACCTATTACTCATCAGCCATATCTACATGCGATAGCTGCTACTCTCTCTGCAAAGAATGTCTTGGTTCAAGCACTCACTGCATTTCCTGCAATACAGGGTACTCATTAGCGACATCTAACAATACATGCAATTTGATCTGTGGGGCAGGAACTTACTATGATGGCTCTCAATGCAAGTCATGCTCGAATAATTGTGCGACTTGCTATGGATCTCCTACATACTGCACGAGCTGCTCCTACGCAAACCAAACGCTGACTTCTTCGGGATTTTGCCAAACTCCTTGTGGCATAGGGTATATTCAGCTGGTTGCGAATGGGAATTGTGAAAAGTGTGACTCTTCGTGCTATAATTGTACTGGTACAACGCTTTACTGTACTGCATGTGCAGATACCACCAAATATTTGTATCAGGGAGTTTGCTATACCACTTGTCCGTCTCCAACGACTGTAGTATCTGGAAATACGTGCGTTGACTGCACTTCCCCATGCTCAACTTGCCAAACAACGCCGATTTATTGTTTAAGCTGTGTGACTTCTTATTATTTATACCAAAATACTTGCCAAAAAAACTGTCCGACGAATTACACACCAGCAACTGTGAGTGGAACAGGGGTATGCTTGGCTCCTTGCGACCCAGGCTATGTGGCTCCATCTTCTGATGGTAATTGCGTTGCATGTGATACTATCTGCAAAACCTGCAGTGTGACAACAACTAACTGCACGGCTTGCACGGACAGCACTAAATATCTCTACAGCGGCCAGTGCTTAATAACTTGTCCATCTCTTATTACAGTCGCAATTGGAAGTGTCTGTAAGGACTGCACACTGCCTTGCCTCACCTGCTCGACAACAGTCACCAATTGCTTAAGCTGCATTGCTACCAACTATCTTTACCAGGGCACATGCTCGACATCTTGCCCAGACGGCTATACTAAGGGTACTCAAAATGGGTCTGGGGTCTGCTTGGAGCCTTGCACTACAGGATACATCAGAGAGACTCCAAATGGAAGTTGTGTTCAATGCAGTTCAGCCTGCTCAAGCTGCTATGGGACCATAACAAACTGCACTGCTTGTGCCGATAGCTCTAAGTATCTCTATGGAGGGTCATGCGTCTCAGCTTGTCCTACAAATACCACAGTCGCTGTCGGCGCCAAATGCGAGGCTTGCTCTTCGCCTTGTCTAACATGCAAATCGACTATCTACTCCTGTTTGAGTTGCTTATCAGGATATTATTTATACCAAAGCACTTGTGTACAAACCTGTCCTGCCGGCTATACAGCCAGCACTGTTTCAGGACTAGGAGTTTGCTTAGCCCCATGTTCGAGTGGATATGTAAGAAACCCAGATACTGGAAATTGTGACGCTTGTGATACAGAATGCAAAACTTGCTCTGGGACTTCGAGTTATTGCACAGCATGCTCTGACAGTGCAATGTATCTTTATAAAGGGACTTGTGTTGCTTCGTGCCCAGCAGATGTAACGATAACTCTTGGGAATACATGCGTGAGCTGCGATTCCACATGCCTCACTTGCAGCACATCAACAACATATTGCACATCATGTAACGGAAGCAAGTATGTCTACTCAGGAGCGTGCTATGACTCCTGCCCTAAAAATATAACTGTGGCAGAAGCCAAAACATGTGTGGTTTGCTCTTCACCTTGCCAGAATTGTACATCAACCAAAACTAATTGCATAAGCTGCATCAGCAACTATTATCTATATCAAAACACTTGTGTTCTGAACTGTCCTGTAGGGTATGAAGAGGAAGGATCATCATGTGTAGAATGTCCCAACTTGGACTGCACGAATGGCACAAGTTCTACTAATAGTTCAAGTTCTTCAACTTTTACAGGAGGTCCTGTACCTTTCCCATTCAGTGGAGTCGCAGTGATTTCAGGAGGTCTTCTAGTAGTTACTAAGCTTACAGCGTCCGGAGTCAGTTTGCTGAATTCAGTGATTTCAACGTGGTCAATAAGTGCAGCTGCTTCATGGATTTTCCTAGGAGCATTCATTTTCGCCAATGGCGGTGACTCTCCATCACGGCGTCTTCTCGCTATCGACCCTACCTCTGGCAGTCTTATGGTCTCAATCGTTCTACTCCTGATAATCGGTGCCTTAGCCTTCCACTATATCTGCAATTTTTCATTTATGGCACAATTCTTTGTAAAGCCATGCAGAAAAGACCCAGCTTAAGTTTAAGTTTAAGTTTAAATGAATTACTCTTGTATGCAGTCTCCTTGCTTAAGGTCCAACTTCATTAACAGCTCTGAACAACGGTAGGTGGACCAGCCTAACCGTCGAACCGTTAAAGTTAATAAGCCTATTAAGACTTCTCTAGTCAGTGCCAGACTCAGAACTGGCCTCTTCACTTTCTTTCGAAACTCTCAAGGCACGACCTCTATCACTAAGTTCGAAAATAGGACCCTACCTGCAGAGCAGGAGTTAGGACCTATCTCTAACTGACATTTTTAATATTGTAAGACCCCGCATTTAAATATTGGAGAAAAAAACACAAATGCTCATTTAGATCGATATCGAGTTGTGCCACTTTTATAACCTTCCATTCAATAAGGTTGCTATATAGCGGGATGTGCAACAGTTTGAGTTTCAAGGCAATGTTTGACAATAAAGGAAAAGTCTATAAGCCCCTCATCAAATTTGGCTATGTGAGTCTTTTGTGTACTTCAGTTCCATTAATTATTGCCCAAGGCTTACTTTTAGGACACTACAGCATTGGTGAGTGAATGTGGATGTTCTCGCTAGACTCCTTGATCGTCACAATCTTGCTTGCCATCCTAGTATTCTGGGACATCAAGAACATGGAAAAAGACTTACTCAGACATGAATGGGAAAAAGAACTAGGGGGTCCGCTTGACAAGTTAGAGGGCCAAAGCTTGGTAAACCCTAACAATTCAATTACAGAGCTTATGCAGATCTTTCCAGTTGACTTTTCTGGAATTCTTCCTCAAAAAATAACACCTATAAAAAAGAAGAAACTTAAGTATAAATCCAAGTCAACCCAGCCTTCACGAGCAAGTTCTCCAGTATCTGAAAGACTATACCACAGAAAAAATTCATATCCTCTGCTTGAAAAAGAAGGCGTAGAAGTGGATTTAGATTTCTTGAGAAAAGACACACTGCCAAAGATCTTGGATGAGCCCATTGATGAGTCAAATCTTTTGGATAAACTTACTGCCCATATCCTTGATCGAACCAATCACCACTCTTCGATCAAGGATGGGCTTGAAATTTTGAGAATTCTTATATTAAAAGCTTTTCCTGAAAGAATTATGCACTAGCCATAAGGGGTAGGAGAGTGGGTTCCATGCTTGATTTTATTAAAATTGTTCGATCAATGATTGGACTAATTGGCGAATTTAGAAAAAATATTTAATCGTATCGTCCGATCGAGGATGGGGATTTAGGGAAAATTCATTGCTGAATGCAAATGACCTCACAGTGCTTCCAGAAGAGGACACGAAAGGAGAGTTTGAAAAATCGACAAAGGAGTACAAAATCCCTGTTTATCGGCCTACAGATCAAAATTATGTGCCATTGAATTTCAACCCAAGGACTGAAGAATGGACCGAAGTCGTCGCTTATACAGAGCGCGATTCAGAGCCCGAAGAAACTGAGCCTAACCTTGAAGATCAAGAAATATTGATAGAAGAAGAGAAAGTCCCTGAAACTATGACTCCCCCTCCACCTCCTCCTGAATCCCCCTCAAAGTCTCCGAACCATTATGGCACAATTGAAGCCGAGCAAGAGCTTGACTTTGACAAAGCCTTCGCTGACTCCAATGACCCTGAAATTGTGAGCGTCCCTCACAAACCCACCGGAGGTAGAGTCCGAGTACGAAAAGACTTCAAAGGAGCCAGAATTGTTGACTTAGAAAACAAAGTCATTGACAGTGCCCCACCTATTGACCCATCCAAATATGATATTCCTAAAACCATTGTCGACGAAAACGACGTCAGATACGCCACATTGGTAACCCACTCTGGAGAAAAGGTCAGAGTGCATCGTAACTTTAGAGGCGCGAGAATTGTAGATTTGGAGAAAAAGGTCAATCACCCTCACGCATATTTGATTGGCCAGAGTGTGAAAAACGAAAGCGATTTCCAGTTTAACAACGCCTATCCTGACCCTGAAGACCCTGAAGTTGTAGTAGTCATGCACAATGAGACTGGAGAAGATGTAAAGGTCAGGAAGACTTTTCATGGAGCAGCTATGGTTGATGAGCATGGGAACTTGATTCCAAACCAGCCTTTGATTGATAGAAATGATTATGATATCGGAAAAACAATTGTTGATAAAGAAGATGTCCATATAGCTACTCTTTCCCATAAGAAAACAAATGCAAGAGTCAAAGTTCGCAGAGATTTCAGAGGAGCGAAAATTATTGACTTGGAGCGCAAGGCTGAGCTGCCAATTGGCAGACATAATATTTTCTCTAAAAATGAGCCTGAGCCTCTTTCTCCAAATGGAAGCGACCTGGACTTCAAAATTCTTGACCGAGGCTGGATGAGTCCTGCACACCCTGACGAAAGCTCTTTCGATTACAGCAGAAAACCTCCCCGTCCTCAGCGGACTCTCAACTTTGGAGGTCCTAGAGAAGAGAACTACGACAGGAAGAACCTTGACACCCTTGCAGAAATCATTCAGCAGGAAGAGAAAAAAGGCTCAAGAAGCGACCGAAAGCTATTTACTAATGACTATAAAAACCAAGTAGAAAGCGAAGGGGATGAGCCTTCCTTTGATTCCTTCGGAAACGAATTTATGATGCCAATTTCTCACAATTTAGACTTGGAGTACCCAATCCCTCCTGATTATGATTTCCAAACCCCAGGAATGCTTGAAATGAATGAGTCTGTATCATCAATTAATAGCAGAAACCCAAGGAAAAGGAGAAGATTTAAGAAAAAGCAGCAAGGCCCTGTTTCATCTCGCATGAGGCAGATGGAAGAAATCTATCTTCAAAGGCTGGAGCCTGGACCTCGAAGAGAGCCTAGGCCAGTGTTTAGAGAAGATATTGACGAGCCAGAATTTGAGCAGTGGGATAGGCCAGACTCTGGGATTGAGAGGGCTAGAGGAAGCGAACGGACTCTATCTTCAGCTGGTGATGAAATTGTGAGAGGTACTAGAAGAATTCAGTATCCTCAGAGGAGAGATCTTTAATATTCAATAAATTCTTATATAATCCATTAGTAGCATCATAAATAAACTATAATTTGTTCATTTAATAAAAACTCAGCTAAGCAGCCCTTATGATTACTTAGATTATTAAAGATTTCTTTAAAATCCAGTTATTACTTAGATTTCTATTCCATAAGACTCTCTAGAAATAAAATGATGACATTGACGGAAATTGGACTCCGAGGCTCACCTCCTATGGAGTTGGTAGGACCCATTGCTGATGAAGCTGAAGATACAGGTCTCATTCCTGTCCTAAGTAGGCCTTCAGTTGTGGGGAAGCCGTGCCGAAAAGGAAAGTTTTATTTCTCCCCCGAAGGTTTTCCCTGTCCCTGCCAGACGGGCTAGACAGGTTTTTCCTACCACATGGTCTTCCTTCATCGGGACCATCGGGGCACTCAGACAGAAGTGGCTCTGTCCAAGGTGAGCTGATCCTTTGGACAGGTGGTTTGACCAGAAATCAAGATGGCGTCTGGCCTGGGAGTATGGCCACATCAGAACCCGACCGGGTGTCGTCTTTCGAGCTGAGGTGTTGGGGTCAGTGGCTCAGCCGCTTAAGGCCTTACAAAATAGCTTAACTTAACTAACTTAAGACTCTCTAATTGTAATAAAAAGCATAGAGCACAGTCCACACACAGGCAGCAACTGGAAGAGCTCTAAGCTTGAGATAGCTTGGCCATGTTTCGCTCTTGAAATAAATATAATTCTTGACAATATTAGAGTTGTACCACTTGGCCATAGACCACATAGAAGCATAGAGGAGCACGCTGTAGGATCCAAGAACAATCAGGGAGTGTGCTTTCCCCTCTTCGATATTCCTCTCAACCTCGTGACTTAAATAAGTGGGCTCTGGTTCATAGCCTAATTGAGGTCTTTGCCAGATTGGAGTTGGAATTATCTGCCTGACCCGAATATTGCTGAAATCCTCTGGGAGGGTGGATTGGTAGCTCTTCACTTCATCCCTGGGCAAGTATTGAACATATGGCCATTCATACTTCAAAGGAATTTGAGACGACATTTTATAAATTAAATCCGGATCTCCAATTTGAATCCAGTCAGTGCTATTATTTAAAAAAAATCATGTTACTTTGCAATTTAACTTTGCAAAAGAATAATTTGGCTACGATTTTTGCAACCAAGTTAAAGAGATTCGAAATTTCTGTAGTTTACAATGAATATTAAGGCAAAATATTAAATGGATGAATTGCTAAATAGTGTTTCTTCAGTGCGAAGAGAATTTCAGCAGCGCCGAATTTCACGATCTCGAGGCGCAAACACTTCACAGTCTAATTTACCCCAGCCTTTGCTATCTCCCAAGCCACCAATGCCAAAGCAATCCCTAAACTTTTTACCTAAATATAAAAATGAGACCGAACGGAGCACTGAGTCCAGCCTTTTGCAACGCTCCACAAGCCAGTGCAGGCTGAGAACTGAAGAATCAGTAAGTCTAAAAATTAACCCTCAAGGAAACATGACCTCCCGTCTCAAAATCAATGACATCCAATCCGAGCTTGTAAGGATGAACTTAAGTCCTTTGCGAAGCCCAACTCGCTCTCGCATCAGAGACTATAAAATTGATGCCACCAAGCTGCTCTTCACAACAATAATAGGATACATGGCCCGCAACCTGCGGCTTTTGAAAGCAAGTACTGATAATATATCCCCTGAGCCTTCTAAGCGAAAGCCTGACCATCACAAAAGAAGCATTGGCTCAGTCGAGTTTGAAAATAGCAGCATGGTCTCGTTGAGAAGGAGCGAAAGAGAGTTCAGCGGACAAATAATAAGGAAAAAAGACGAATTGTGAACTAAAGTGATGAATGTAAATGGGAAGTTTGAAAATCAGCCAACCTCAATTTTGGTGTCTCCTGTGCATAACTTCAAAGGATTCCAGCAGTTTCCCAACACTGATCCAAGAGAAGAAAGAACACCAATTGTAGAGGTGATTTATGAAGAAAATAAACAAAAAATAAAAGACCAGAATCCAAGAGCGTACAATGGGAACCCAAATTTCATTATAGGGCTGAGGTCTTCTCAGTCTTGTGCAGAGCTAGACCATTTACAAATAACTTCAGTGTCAAAACTAAAAGAAAACTTTGGCAGAAATGTTTCAAATAAGCTTGTGAATTTATCAGTGGCGCTGATGCCTGCAATTAAAAAAGTGTATATGGACTCTCTATATTTTATAAAAGCCTATGTCGCCCAACAGCCACAATCCTTGTCAGAAGAAGAATTTGTATTAAATAACCCTCCAAAAAAGAGGTTTTTAGGAAGAGATACTTCTAGGTCGAAAAACATAAACATTATAGGGGACTTGCAGTCTCAAATTTTTAACATAAGATCGTCAAAGAACAAGATGAAAATGAATGCAAATGCAGAAAAATTCTTTAGTTTAATCACTCATTTCATTTACTCTTATCATAACAAAAATTTTCATCTCCTTTTTCAAAGCTTAAAAACAAAACCAAAAGATGTGGGAAATTTTATTGAAAAAGTCTTCTATATACTTGAAAGAAAATTAAGTGAAAATTTAGCTTCTGGGCTGGAAACTTTAAAATCTTATAATAAATCACTAAATGAAAACAAAAGAGTAATAAAAACGCTTTTGAAGAACATAGAAAAAGACATAAAATACAGATTAAGTGCTTGCTTTATGCATTGGAAAACTACAGCAAGCCAGATGGAGAGGGAGTCGATCTACGGGTCCTTGAAAACAATTACAATTTCACAAATCCTGATAGACCTGATAGGTAGGCAAGAAAAAGCTTTCTTCATGGCTCTTAAAATTGCAAACAAGAAGAAGAAAGATGGAGACCGTGAAAAGCTCAGACTGATCTATAAAGGATTTAGATACCTAATCCCATACTATAAAAATCTCAAACAAAAGGTATGAAACAGATGGCAGTACTATAATAAGGCACAGCATTTTAACAAGAATGCTGTTGGGCTCGCATTAAAGCGGCTGAGCAGAATTGTCATGAAAAACGAACTGAGGTGGTACGAGAAATTCATGTCCGACTGCAAAATGTTTATCTCCCTTAAAAAGCTGCTGCTTTCAAATGCCTGTAAAATATTCAAATCTAAATTTCGAACCCAGCTTGGAGTCTGGATCTATTCCTCTTCTACCTCAAAAAAACCCAGAAGAAGCTTCCAAAAGCCATCCTACAATAAAACAATCCCAGCCAAAAAGATTACAAGTTGAATCGAGAAACAAATAAAAATTCAAAAGAAAAGGTCTTTTGCGTTCTTTATTTCTTCACCTTCTTTAAATTATCCTTCAGCGCTGCCTTTATACAAATTCAAGCAGCTAAAACTTGCAATTGCGTCAATGATTTCGCATTTTGAGTCGCAAAATAGCTTTATGGCAAGAAAATGCCTGCTGAAATGGAAACTGAAAATAGTAAACGAGGCCAGAATCGGAAATTTTAAACAAGTTTATATGAGAGAAGTAAAACGTACTTTGGCGTCTAGCAACATCATGCAAGTTTTGAATGGGAAAATTAACCATCTCGTGAAATTATCTTTTACGAAGCTTAAAAATAATTAAAAGCTATTATAATTGTGAAGGGGCTTATAAAATAGGAATTTATAAAAATTTAAGGACTTTTAATAAGAAAAGAGCAGGATTCAGAAAGATTTTAAATAAGAATATTAGGGTCTTATTGCTTTTCTGAGCTTTTCAGTAGGTAATGTCCAAGCCATTCAATAGGATTCGCTGGTCTTTCTTTTGCTAGTTCTGACAGGCCTTGTAGGAGAACAGGGACCACAGTTTGGTCGAGGTATGATCTTATAGGCAGTGATTGTAAGCTTTGGTTTTGCTCGGGCTTTTTATCCATTTCTCTTGAAAATTATAAACTTTCATTTATGCTTTAAGAATGGCACTTAAATCCAGAAATCTGAATACTTCTAGCTGGCAATCTTATTTTAGAAAAGGCATAAATAAATTAACTCACTCCCCCCTCCGTGAGTGAACAAAACCATTAGAAAAATCGCTATTTTTCGCGCAAAAACACCGAGTGAACAAAAACTTTTTATGAAAAAAAATTTGATATATAAATAATAATTAGTATAATGAAATCTAGAGCTAATTCTGTCTAATTTTAACAAATTGCTTTTTAAAGCATAAAAATTTTATAAATAAATTAATATTTGCTTTCCAATTTTTGCGAATTAGGATTATTTAAATTTCGAAAAAAAAATTAAACCCCCTTCCGTGAGTGAAGTCAGATAATTAATTATTAGACATTCAATTTAAAATACATTACTGTTCGCTGTGTCTTTTGGCACTTCTTTTGTTTTCTGTCTTTTTACTAACCCTTTTCCTGATTTTTTAATTGAGTAATATTCATTCTTTCTATTATCACTTTTTGGGATTAAATAAGGAGTGTTAGATGGTAAAGCAGCACTTTTGAATTGCTCAAAAAATAGCTCTGCCCTCAACTGCCTCAGCTCAAGGTCACTCAGCTTGATTCTCTCTTCTATAAGACTTCTTTTTCCCAATCCTAAATCATAAGCACTCGCGAGATCTCTACTTCCAATCAATCCTAGCAGCTGCAATATCCAGACATCAGTATTTCGCAATTCCTCTACAATAGATGTGTATTTTATGGCTAGCATGAATAAAATGGTACTCGATTCGAGAGAAATTAGCTCGCTAATTTTGTCTCCCTCATACAGTTTCTTTGTGGGGTTCGGTTCTACAGCAACAGCGGTTGAGCTTCGAGCACATAGGACTAAGGCATTATCCAAATACATTCAAGAGGCTCACTCAGAGCACCCGAGAAAGGTGACTTTTAGGCGGAACACTCTCAGGAGAGGGAGGGCGATGCCGTTGCGCGGAGATATGCTAGCCAAGGTAGAGTGTTAATTTGGAATGATCTGACCTTTTGAATCAGAAATGCTCGTGTTTCACTATTTTGGCTTGGCGTTAGACACCTTAAACACTTTAATTAATCGATCGAATTTTGTGACTAGTGTTTGATAGTCATTTCGCTCTTGTGCGCTTTTATAGCTATTCACCTTTGCTAAATCGTTCATCTTTAGCTTACTTCCCCCCCTCCATAGTGAGCAAAAATATTGGAAAATCCCTATATTTTTAACCCATAAAAATCAGCAATTAAAATAATTTTTAACATATTAGTGATAATTATTATAAAGCTATTTTCACTAATTTTAAATACTGCATTCCAAAACATAAATTATTAAATTAATAAATTTTCTTTTCGAATATATAAAATATTTGCTTTCTTACTGATGGAGAAGTTAGCAGATTGGAGTTCTTTTTCCAGCTCTTCAATCCCGCTCTTGTAGTTGCCGATTTCAATTTTTTGCTCATCAATTTTCTTTTCACAGAATTTGAGAGCTTCATAGATTTTTTTCATCTTGAAATTCTGCTCTTCCAGTTTCAGCTGTTGAGCTTCTAATAAATTATTTAGGCTATTTATTGTGCTTTGGAAAGAAGTCTGCTCTGCTTGCAATTTCAGTTTCTCTGCAGTAAGTTGAGCAATAATTCTTCGGTTGGCTAAGGTCTCTTCTTCAGTATCACTGGACTTTGAAAAGGAAGTAATTTTCCATTCTACATAGGCTTCTTTATTTCACTGTCTTCTTTCCCTTGACAACCTTCCTGTTTGGTTTAATTTGTTTTCTTTGTCCACTGGTTTAGGAACTCCTGTTGATTTGCTTCTTTTGATTCGTGGCGAGATCATTTGATCAGACTTTAGCTCAATGTTTTGTTCGGTTTTATTTGCTAGATCGTAGCTTTCTTCTTTGGAAATTCTGTTTCTCACTGTGTATTTAAAAATCCTATCGTCGTCTTTCAGAAGAGACTTATGAGTAGGAGTGATTGATCTGATGTGATTCAGAGATTTATTCGGAGAGATATTCATTATAATTCTTGGCTCATAAATCCATTGATGCTTTTATTTTTTTGATTTAATATATCTGCATTTATATAGCATAAATGCTCATATACGGGAAGTAATTTAAGAGAAAATTTGAGCAAATAATCATATTTTTAATTATTTTCTCGATGAAATTTTAATATTAATTAGATTGGTTATTAATTAGACTGGATATTTTGAGCTAAAAGGTCTTGGATATTAGTTATAATTGAGTTCTTTCCTCAAAAATGCATTTCATGACGACATCCATATTTCTCCTAAAACCTGAATACTCTTTCTTCTAATAAAATGGGGATGCTCGACTCAGCCCTTCTGGGCATGTTCTTAACACAAATGATGTCAGCTGCAGCATTTTCCGTGATCGCACCTTATTATCCGTCTGTTGCAAGCGATAAAGGTCTCTCAGGTGAAACAATTGGCTTAGTATTCAGTTGCTATCCACTTGCAGCTTGGGTGACTTCTCCACTAATCGGAGTGATTGCTACAAGGTTCGGGAGAAAAAGAACATTTATAGCTGGAGCTTTACTGGTTGGCGTGGTGACAACAGCTTTCGCTTTACTTCCCTTATTTGGATACGGGATGTTCACATTTTTATCATTCTTACAAAGGCTGCTTCAAGGAGTTGGAGGAGCTGCTATTGGTGGCGCATCATTTGCAATTATTGCAAGTGGGTATAAAGAGCGTATGGAGCTCATGCTAGGAATTCAGCAATCCATGACTTCATTAGGAATGATGCTCGGACCTCTTATTGGGACGGGACTTTACTACATTGGAGGGTTTAGCTTTATGTTCATCGCCCTTGGATGCAATTTTTTAGCTTTTATTGTGTATGCCTGCTGGGTTCTGCCTCAAGATAAGCCTTATATGAAAGCAGACGCAGTTGTCAAAATACAACACCTTATGAAAAACTCTGGGGTTATGTCTGTTGGGATTATATTGATTATTGCGTTTATGAATTTAGCTGCCTTGGCTCCTGTGTTTACTGAGCACTTGACTACGAATTATGATGTCGAGAAAGCATCTGCTGGGTTCTTTTTTACGATTCCTTCACTTTCCTATGCATGCGTGGTTTTTATTATTGGAAGGATTCCACAAACCGTATCAAGAATTAAAATTATGATTTTAGGATTATATGTAATGCTGCTAGCCATGATTCTAGCTGGGCCTTGAATTATAATAGGGATCCCAAGAAGTTTAGCAATTGTAGTTATCGGGCTTATTTTGCTTGGAATTGGCCTGGCTTTGAGCATTCTTCCAGCTATGCCTATTATGGTCAAAAAAGCCCAAGAAGATATGCCTTATCACAACAGCGAGCATATTTCTGACGCTGTTACAGGGCTTACTTTATTTTGTCTTTACTCAGGACAGATTCTTGGCCCACCAATATCAGGGTTTTTCTCACTCCCCCCCTTTAAATTGATACAAAATATAGGTAAAATTCTATTTTTCTGGAAATTAATCCCCCTTTAAATTGGAGCAAAATTTAATTTTATATATAAAAATAATTTTTATGTAAAAAGTTTTGATATAAGCTAAATGTTTCTTCTTAACTAAAATTAAAAATTTAGTTTATCTTGCTCTTGTTTAAAGAAGAGAGTATCAAGAACTTATTTAAATAAATTTATTATCCTTTATTGCTAAATTTTTAAAAAAATTTAAAAAATTTTTCGATAAAAATAATATTTTTTATTTAAATAATTTTGATATAAATACGATGCGAATTCTATAAAAAAAAAAAAATTTTACTTATTTCTTGCTTTATTTTAAATAAATAGCATCTTATTTAAACAAAATTAGCACTTTGATCGATAAATTTTCTAAATTTTTATTTTAATTTTTTTTTATCAATAAAAATAATAATTTTTATGTAAATAGTTTTTGATACCAATTAATAGTGGCGTATTAAAAAATAATAAAAATTTAGTTATATCTTGCTTTTTTTTGAAGGATAAAGAGTAAATAGCATATTATTAAATAAATTGATTAATCTAATTCGATAAATTTTTGAAAATTTTTTTTTTATAAAAAAATTTTCTTAACTCCCTTTTAAATTGGAACAAAATTTTTTGTTCCAATTTAAAGGGGGGGAGTCAGACAAAATAGGTTTTGAGAATGCTTCTGTCTTAATTGGTTCGGTAAGTCTAATTTACGCTTTTATCTTTACCTTCACCTCAAAGAGCCTCAGACCAACAATAATGCAGACACTCGAGACGCCTTTATACCAAGAAATGGTTTCTGCTAAGAAGTCTGAGCTTGTCATCAATGAAGAGTTTTAATTATATAAATACCACAACATTTGCGTAATAATTTCCTAATCAGACTTAATATGATGGATATCTTGGCGACTGAAATTCAGTTTATATGTTCAGGACTTATCACTACTGATAACTTCTTGACAACACAATGCATTATATGAGGAATCCTCCTAGTTCTATACCACATATCAATGAAATTGATCATCTTTGCCAAACTGAAGAGTGAATTAATGCTTGCTAGTTTTGTATTTTTGTTTTTTTTGATCCCGTCGCTTTATCTTGCAACTTACGTGGGGTCGCCTTGGTGATTTTTATTTTACCTTAGCTTCTTAGTCGCACTGAGTGCTTTACAGTTTGCCCCGTATTATAATTTTGAGCACAAAGGGGCAGGAGGAATGATTCGGCTTTTTATACAGGGGCTAGCCTTAATCCAGCTTGATTCAATTGTGATATCTGGGGATCATTCTATTCAGCTAGAGCTTCTCATGATTTCTCCTCATCTTATATATCAATCTTGGAGAGTGGTCAAAGAGCTCACAACTTTCAATGAAGATAATAAAATGAAAATTATTACCACAGCGATTTTACTTGGAAAGCATGACAGTTTTAAGCTCTTCTTGACTATGCATATATTTGCTGCAGCTTATGTAGTGATAGACTCATTGTCTGATTCATTTTTTAGACTGATGCCTTTAGCTTTGATACCTTGGCTGGTCAATCTCTGCTACAAAGTAAGACTGCTGAGGACAAAAAATTTATCGTTCGAGATGTTTTCGTATGTGGTTTGCTACTATGCGCTAACTGTGATAGGAATCAAGCTAAGCAGGTACGATTTGGGACAAATAAATCAGTTTTTAAGCTCAAAAATATGGGGCTAGATGCTTTACAATTTATGTATAAATTAACAATTAACGGTTTCTACTAATAAATTATCCTTCAAAAAGGTGCATCCCGCTGATGTACGCCAAGAACTTTGCTTCTTCTACTAAAGGACACAAATAAAATAGCGATTTATCAGACCCGTATACATCCCGTACCCTAGAGTTTTTTGGGTCTAAGAGGGCCGGGGCCTGGAACTTGCGTCCTTTTTTTTTCGCCCTGGCCGGACCCCTACGATAGGGCTTTTTACTCTGTACCATCAGCAAGGAATCAAAGTCCATGTGGCAACTCCACACTTTTAGATGCGAATGGTATTGGGACCAGATTGAGGATTCAGGGTCATATCCTATCTGCCATCCCCAGATATATTATGTCGACTACTAGGAGTTGTCCAAGGGAATACCTGGGTGCGTCTCCCTGAGAGCTGGCTACGTCACCATTTTTTGGTGACGTCGGCAGAAAAGGGTGCGAGTGCAAACCGATGCTTAGACGAGGATTAAAGGCCGGGAAGGTGGAGAGGCAGAAATTAACCCCAAAGACCCATTCTAATTTAATTAATCTAATCTAGCTACTAAAAGATGAAGCAGAAATCTATTATTGGTATTCTTATACTCCCTTATTTTTTCTCTTCATTCTTCGAGGCTTAGATTATTTGCCTTTGCTATTATATCTATATTTATCTTCTGGATAAATTCTTCGATCTTTTCTATCATATCTTCGTCACTTCCAAATGCTCAAGAAGCTTCATTAAAATAAGTCACTTCATTTACGCTAAAATTATGCATTAATATGACGGAGGCGACCACCAACCTCTTGACGCAATTTCCTCAACACCTGCAGGCAATGCCTGAGGAATAGGTCGAGAAACAGGTGCGAAATCCTTAATGCATCATATAGAGGTCTTTCTCGTGACACAGAGTATGATACTTGGGACATAGGATGTTTCCTCCTGACATGGAGTTGGATAGAGCAGAGTCGGCTATTGTCCCTGAGATTGGGATCATCCCTATAGTAGGTGCTCAGCATGAAGCTGGGAGTTATTCCACAGGCTCCAGGTTATAGCGAATGGACGCCCCGGGGAGCAAGTCAAACATGAAGAAGCCTAGGGAAGTCAGTCATGCCAGCAAGCAGCTCCTCAAGAGCTGCTGAGCTTGCAAAGCTGGAACATCTCAGCCGACTTTGAACAACGCAGCAATTTAATTTAGTTTAATTTACGTTTAAAATTCCTTTTTTCAAGCATAAATTCAGGATTTTGCTTGAATTTCATATAGCTGTGTCTTCAAGTTTTATTAACCCCAGCTTATGTGGCATAATATTTCTTACGATCATGAGAAGCTCAGTCTTTAATAAACAGTCATTTTTAAGAATAGAACTGATAGCCATATTAACTCCTTGGACTGTTTCTTCTCTATATTGTTCATATGCTTCACATAAAATATAAATAAATTCGTCTAAGTCTAGTACATTTTTATTGATTTTCTTGGGATCTTTAATTGAGATTTTTTCAGTAGCGGCATAGACTTTTTGGAGGTTAACTCGAGATAAAATTGGTTCAAGTTTTTCTTTAATGCATTCGTCAGCTCTAGCTTTAGGATAAAAGGTAGGCTCCCCAGTATCATCATTTCCAGTAATAATACCTATTTGTTTATTTAGCATGAAATAATAAGCTTCAAGGCAAAATATTACTGTTTCCTTTGAGTATTCTTTTAAACCTTCTTGAATTCCACTTCCAAGGCATCTTATTAGCAGTTTCGCCCTTGCCAAATGCTTGTGTACTAAAGAGCTTGCTAGGATTTCTTTTACTTTTCTCTCAGTAATTTGTTTCATACTAAACTTAAACAGCAGCTCTTCGTAAATGTACTCTAAAAGATCAAAACCTTCGTTACCGACCATCTTTGAAGCTCCGTTAAAAATCGTAAAAATAGTCCTTAAAAGCACTTTTTTGGCCATATTCGCGAATTTTTTTATTTTTTCGAAATCTTTTATGATGAATTTTTTGAAAATTTGGGTGCTCTCGCTTGCCCTTCGAACACTGACTGTCCTTACTTCGCGTTTCCCTACCTGAAATTCGGCGAACCTGGTTTCTTTTTTCCTGCTTGGCTTTCTTTGTGACCTAGCACGAGACTCAAGTATTTCGTTTGTTGCTGGCAGAGAAAATTCATCACCTAAGTGCTGGGTAGAAAAAGTTGGCCTCGGCAGATTATCATCAGGGACACTGCTCAGCTGAGTTTTGCTATCGCAATAAAGATCAAGGTTCTTTTGCTTTAGGCAAGCCTCAAAGCCAGCTTTGTACCCTTCTTTTCATACTTCTTGGTCCACGCCTTCTGGAGCTTCTTTGCAGATTAAGTTGCTATAGTTGAGGCCTTGAAAGAAATCGAGCCTGTCTAGAGTCCCAGAAATCTCTTTTTCAGCAATCGGGGAATCTTCTCCTATGTTTTTTATATTCATTTCTTCAGCGTATGCGACGTGCTCTTCGCTTGGTATACTATTTTCTTCATCTTCTTCCCCGTTTGACGTTATTGAGTTTTCCTGTTCTATTTCAACAATTTCGTCTCCATACTCATCAGGAATTTCTTCCCACTGGACTGATTGATCAATAAATAATCGTTCCTCCCAGTTTTCTCCATCTTGAACGTTTCCCTCATTACTTTGTTCTTTTTCATCATGGACAGAAGTATGATTTTCTTGGCTGCTTTTAATACTATTGCTTTCTAAATTATTAGCTTGTGCAGTTTCTATATCATGGATAGAGTTTTCTCCACTTGAGTTTAAATCAAAACTTGAATTATTGCTCATCGAGTTGATAATTGATGGATGGTCGAGCTCTCCAATTATTTGAATCTTTGGAATATCTTTATCAAAATTTTCATGTACTTTATTTTCAATTTCGTTTTGTATTTGTTCAGGATCTTTATCAATATCATCAGTTTCTGTTGCTTTTTCTTTTGTTTCCTTATTCTTTACAAGTTCTATATCCGTTTGGGTGTAGTGAACAGATGTCCTTTTAACATCTTCTGAAAGAATTCTATTAATAAAAACTCGCTCATGCATAGAGTCTTGGCTTGATAATAATTTTCTCTTCGACGACAGCATTTGTTCTTGCTTTCTGACAAGCTCATTCTTGAACCTCGAAATAAACCTGTTCAGCTGTGAAATTTCTTCTTCAAGACTGTTTTGTCGCTTTTGCAAATCGTCGTTTTCCTTTTTGCTTGCTTTTAACTTCACTTGCAATTTAGCTTTCCTTTTTGCTGCCTTATAATGCAAATCTGACAATTTTTTGGAAAATACTGATCTTTCAGTCTCTATTTGCTTTTTCAGCGTATTTGCTGAACTTTTCCATAGAAAACTGAGGACTTCAATGGTAGACTTTAGCAAAGACCCTCTTAAAGAGCAATAGACAGAAACTTGCCTGATGATTTCTTTCAAAGCAGCCATATAGACAGTTTCGATTATTTCTTCTTTTTCTTTTTCAATGCTTTCATTTTGACTAATTATACTATGAAGATTTGGAATATTCTTTTCCTGCATATAATCGAGCCATCTTTTCAAATTCTCAATATCTTGTTTCCCTGTTGGTTTCCCAAGTGATGGAGGTGATTTTTCTAACTCCCCCCCTTTAAATTGGAACAAAATATCGGTAAAATTTCGACTTTTTTGGTAAATTAACCCCCCTTTAAATTGGAACAAAATTTAATTTTTATAATAAAAAATTATATATAATTTTTATCTAAAAAGTTTTTGATATAAGTTAAATGTTTCTTCTTAACTAAAATTAAAAATTTATTTATATCTTTGCTCTTTTTTAAAGAAAAAAGTATAAAGAGCATCTTATTTTAAATAAATTATTATCCTTAATTGGTAAATTTTAAAAAAAATTAATTTTTTTTTTTTTAAAAATTTTCAAAAACATTTTGGTTTTTTTTTGATAAAAATGATATTTTTTATTTGGATAGTTTTGATATAAATTCAATAGGAATTCTTTATAAAATTTCAAAATTTACTTATTTCTTGCTTTATTTTAAAGAATAGAGTATAAATAGCATCTTATTTAAACAAAATTAGCACTTTGATCGATAAATTTTCCAAAATTTTGTTTTTTTTAATTTTTTTTATCAATAAAAATAATAAATTTTTGTGTAAATAATTTTGATACCAATTAATAGTGGCGTATTAACTAATAATGAAAATTTAGTTATATCTTGCTTTGTTTTAAAGGATAAAGAGTAAATAGCGTTTTATTAAACAAATTTATTGATCTAATTCAATAAGTTTTTGAAATGTTTTTTTTTTTAAATTTTTATATTTTTTTATAAAAAATTTTATATTGATATTTTTTAAAAAAAAAAATTAACCCCTCTTTAAATTGGAACAAAATTTTTAGTTCCAATTTAAAGGGGGGGGGGGGAGTAAGCTTTTTGCCAGCTTTGCCGACGTAGAATCATTGCATTTGTTTTCTTGAAAGGCAAATCCGTACAAAGGTGAATTGCTAATGTAGCATTTTAATTTATCTAGACTAGTAGGCAAAATTGTTTCTGCCTGGATTGGCTCAAGAAAGCTCAGTTTTTGCTCTTGCCCTCTTTCAGTGCTCGGAGGCTTATAGCTATCATGAATATGTGAAATATCTTTTGTGAACCTTTTAGTGACAAAAAGCTCGACCTCTTTATATCGATCAGAAGACATGAGATTGTGGATTCTATTCGTGACTTCTGGAGAGGCCGGCTGCGACTTATTCTTGAATTTAAGGGTAGGGATGCCAAGCTTGATAGACAGTGGGATGTGTTCATTGGACTCAGTTCTACTTTTGGAGTGCCTGCTGTTTATAAGTCTTGCAGTTTGATATTTTATATCCGGTATTTTTTCTAGCATATATAAAAATATGAGTTAATTCGCTGCCGCATTTAATTAATAATTCAAAACAATTAGACCCTTCTTATTCACCCAATCTCGAAGCATTCAAATTCATTTGTTTTATTAAAATGAAACCATCACTGTCTCAAACTAATGATTACAATTTCAAAATAATCATAGTAGGAGATTCAGGAGTGGGCAAAAGCAGCCTAATAAGAAGATACATGAAAAAAGAATTTTCAGAAAAGACAGCTACCACAATCGGTGTGTGAAACTATACAAAAATTGTGGAAATTGAGAACAAGAATATCATGCTCAACATATGAGACACAGCAGGACAAGAAAAATTCAAGTGTCTGATCCCGACTTTTTTCAGAGGATCCCACGCTGCAATTCTAGTCTATGACATTACCAACCAGAAGTCATTTAACTCTATATTTTACTGGATTGATAAAATTCATGAGCATGCCACTTCTAACGTTGTATTTATGATGATTGGGAATAAATCTGACATGGAAACTGAACGGAAAGTTCCTCAGGAGCTAGGGCAAAGCAAAGCAAGGGACAATAAAATGCTCTTTTTGGAAACTTCCTGCCTGAATAGCACAAATGTGGAAAGAGCTTTTGAAGAAGTGACTAATCAGCTGCTTGTAGTTAATGGTAATCAAAGAATTGAAGAAGTTAAGACCAGCGAGCTGATCCCTTCTGCCAAAAAAATTTCAATAGTTCAACAGCCTCAAGAAGTTAAAAAGAGAAAGAGGAGGCGATGCTAATAAGTGTAAATAAAATCAAGGAATTGTTATTAATAACAAAATGGAAGAGAAAAACAATGGCATTTTTACACAAGGCGATTTAAAAGAAAAACGCAGAAAAGAGAGGATCCCTGATATCAGTTTTGACGTAGATGGCGATGGGTCAGTTAGTCCTCTTGATTATTTTATTGCTAAAAGATATGATAAAAATCAAGATGGGAAGCTTGATGCAAAAGAAAAGATTCTGGCTCAAGAGTTCATGAACAAGGACCTTAAGAATTTCCTGATAGGAGGCGAAACTCATGGAGCCCAAAGGCCTCTTCGGCTGCTGCAAGTCAAAGGAAAACCGATTTACGATAACGACTACACTGTCATAACAGATGCAAAAAAAAGTCCTGGAAGAACTAAAAGTGAGCTTGAAAAACTCAGAAAGCAAGAAAGAATTGACATCGCATCAAAATTCGCAGAGAAACACATTAAGTTCAAAAAACAAATTTTGGAGTTTGAGAGAAAAGAAAATCGCGAAAATTTGAGCTCAAGGAGAATAAAAATTTTAAAAACAGATACTCGTGAAAATGCTAGCAGGAGAGATCATAGGAAAAGGGACTTGAGCCTAGATTATTATCCCTGCCCAAAGTATCTTTCAAAATCTGAACTGGATTCGGTAAGAAGACAGCAGAATATTGATGATCTTGAAAGATCGTTCAATTATAAGCATAAAAGCTGAATTGATCAAATGCTGGAAAGGGAAAACTCAATGCAGATCAATGAAAAACAGATGAACAGCAAAAGCTTCAAAGAAATCATAGAAAAACAGAAAAAAGAAGACTTCGAGCATCACGCTCAGACTTTCGTTAATTACAAACTGGGAGTTCATGGAAAAGAATTGCCGAGTTTCAGTGAAAATTGTAAAGAGTATTGAGAATTTTCTCAAGGGTATACCCCCTCACCAACACACACCACTTTGTCCAAGCTGAAAATGGACCGAAAGTTTAGCTCTCGGAAATCTTCATGTGTTTCAGAGAATTCAATGTCTTTTCCTCAACGATTTCGCTCAGTAACACCTGAAATTCCATTAAAGCCCAATGAAATCTGGCCGATCCCTGAAAAGCCCCCTATCTCACCTGATGAGAAATCCCCAATCAAAAGACCGGTTTTTAAGGAAAAATTCAGTAATTCCTTTTTAAGCATGGTGATGCCAAATTCCATTATAATCACAAACCGCAATAAGCCAGACAGAAGTGCCTACATCCGAAACAGAGCAAAAAGCGAGCTGAGAAGCTTGGATAGCAAGATAATCCGATCCAAAGGATTTATCTAATTAATTTAAATCTAATAGCTGTATAATCTATTTACTGAATTATAAGTCTAACCAGAACAAAACAGCAGGCACCTTGCATAGTTCTTTCTGCACTTTCGGATCAACTTGTTTGAACCCTAAGCATCGGAGAGTTCTATAAATTTGGTTCCTATTGGGCAATTCTCTATACACCGCAATCACAATCTTGTCAGCACGTTCCCACTCAGCGAACCTGGAGAGGTTCTCAAACGTGGTAAGGTGCATGATTGGTAAAGCTTTTGTGTAAAGAAGCCGCCCAGACAGAAAGCACTCAGCGATGACCAGCCTTTTTTCCAGAGGTAGACGTATAGTCAGCTTATAGAAGCTGCACTCAGGATTAAGTGCGTCTACGAATCCTTGCTTGAATTCCTCAACGACTGGTTCAGGTAGTGGGTCGTGGTCTGGGACATCAAAAACATTCATGAGTTGTAAATTGAGAGAAGATACTTAGAGAATCGAAGTTCTGGCCGGAAGGTTCGTCACTATTTAGGGATGACTCGGTTGATTCGTCACTGCTCTCCATTGTGATAATGGATAATAAAAGATATAAACTAGCCTCTTAGAAAATGACTTTAAAAACAGAAATCAGAATACCTAAAAAATTAAAATAAAATGTTCTTAAGCAGGCCTTAATTTTAAATAGATTTAGCATCCTTATTGCTCGCCGCTTGGCAATAATTTCAAGATAAATGGAAAATTTTCTTTCCAACCCTCTGGGCTGCAAATCTAATAAATAAATGCGATTGTCTCAGGAGAAATTAATTATGGACAGCAATGAGGATGCTTAAGCTATATGTAAAAATCACAAAAATAATGAAATTATGTTATTCTTTAAACTCTATTCTAATAGCCAACAGTTTCAGGTAAGATGTCTGTTGTTGCTTTTTATTTTTGGGTATTTTCTAATTAAATCCCCAAAATTCACAGATTTTTTCTTTTTTGCATTCCCGGCGTAATCCTATATTTAAAAATTTTTCAAAAATTCAAAATAATTTCCTTTTCTCCTAAAATCCTTATTTTTCTCTCCTCTCATATAAAGACGCGCTTGATTAGTGGACTAATCCTAAAGATGGCAATAATTTATGGAATCTGTGAAGGATGAAGAATCATCAGATGAATAAAGAGGGTTTATCCCCTCTCTTATTTAAAGCACCCATTTCCTGCAACCAACATAAAGATGCAGACGAAGATTCTCTTCTGCTAAGCATAGAGCCATACTCTTACAAACAGTCAAAAGCCTTGACGTTCTGGATTTTCTCACTTTTATCTGGAGGTCTTTTATACCTCTTCGATTTTTGGTTTCTCCGCCTGCACCTTCACTTGCGCTATTCTAAAGCTCCAATCTCCCAAGCTTCACATTTGCTCATTAAAACCAAGTATTTCGTTGATCTGGTCAGAATCGAATACAAAAATTCGCAATCCTTGGGCAAAGTTTTGACGTTCAGCCACCACCACCTTTCGTATTACTACGACGGTGACCTTTTCCAGCCCATTTTCTTCGATTCCGCTTTACATTATAAGAGTTTGATAGACCGGTTTGGACAAGGCATTAGGAATCCTGAAGAAGTTCTAGAAAAAAAAGGAATTTTTGGACCATGCCAAATTAACGTCCCAGTCAAGCCTATTATGAAGCTGCTGGTAGAAGAGCTGCTTCATCCTTTTAACATTTTCCAGATTTGGAGCTGCGTTGTCTGGTACTGAGAAGACTACTGGTATTATGCCTCAGCCATCGTCGTGATTACTTTGATATCATTGGGCACCTCATTGGTACAGACCAGGAAAAGCATGGACTCTCTCCATAAATTAGCCCTCAGGGAAAGAAAAATTACTGTGATAAGGGACAATCTCAAGCAAGAGGTTTCGAATACAGAACTAGTACCTGGAGATCTGGTGGAAATTCCTGAAGGCGGAGAAATCCCTTGTGATATTGTGCTTATATCAGGTGGCTGCATTATGGAAGAAGGAATGCTGACGGGAGAGTCAGTCCCAGTCATGAAAGACGCACTTCCTTATTTAGCTGAGCCGGTCTATAGTATAGAGCATGATAAGAGGCATTCTTTATATGAAGGGACAAGAGTGATCCAGACTCGCAACTTTGGAGGCGCAGAAACACTAGGAATAGTGACAAGGACTGGATTTTTGACTATGAAAGGAAAACTGGTGAGGTCCATTTTATTCCCAAAGCCAAACAAGTTCAAGTTTTATCAAGACTCAATGAAATTCATTGCAGTCCTCATCATTTTTACCTTTATTGGCTTTTTCTTGTGTCTCCCGTTCCAAATAAGCCAAGAGGTCCCAACTGAAGAGCTGATTAAGCGATGCTTAGATTTAATTACAGTCACCATTCCTCCAGCATTGCCAGCAGCAATGACTGTTGGCACTGCATTCGCTATCACCCGCTTAAGAAAAGATAAAATCTACTGCACCTCTCCTCCACGTGTAAACGTCGCTGGCAAAATTGACACTTTTTGTTTCGATAAAACAGGGACTTTGACTGAAGACGGGATGAATTTGCTTGGTGTTCACCCCGCCTCCAGCAAGCAAATGGATAATTTTTCACCAAGCCCTAAAGAAATAGAAAACTCGCACAAAGAACTCATAGAATGCATGGCTTGCTGCCATTCATTGACAACAGTTAATGGTGAGCTCTTAGGAGACACCCAAGACCTGATGATATTTAACAGCACCAAGTGGTTCCTGAGCGAGAATGACCTCTATGACCCTGCCATAAAAGCTATAGTCAAGCCTAGCACCTCTGAAGAAATTTCAGATGTCTTTGATGAAGAAGGCAACGTGATGGGGATCATAAACCTCCCTTACGAAATCGGCATCCTTCACATCTTCCACTTTAGTTCCAAGCTGAAAAGGATGGGCGTGATAGTGAAGAATCTAAAAGATGATTCTTTTGCCTTTTTTATGAAGGGAGCTCCTGAAGTCGTGCTGGAAAAGTGCCATGAGTCAACCATCCCAAATAACCTTAAAGAAGTCCTGGCTGAATACACTAAAAAAGGGTATAGGGTTTTAGCTTGTGCTTCTAAGAAGATCCCATCTATAAAATATACAGAGCTGAGGTCGCTTAAATTAGAAGAAATTGAAAATGATATAGAATTTTTAGGGTTTTTGGTACTCCAAAATAAGCTGAAATCGCAAACTATCCCTTCGATTCGTGATTTGCACAATGCAAACATAAGGACAATCATGGCAACAGGGGATGCAGTCCTTACAGGGATATGTGTAGCAAGGGAGTGCGGAATTTTGGATGAAGATATCACGGTTTTTCTTGGAGAAATGAATAAGGGTGAAATTTGGTGGGAAAAATTCCAAGTCAGCAACTCTACAGAAATCGAAACCAAAAATGAAGCTCCATGAAAGTCACTGGGATTTGAAGCAAACTATGCCCTCGCCCTCACAGGCTCCGCATTTGCACATATAATAAAGCAAACCGAAAGTGAACGTAAAGAGGACATAATCTCCTTAAAAATCGTCATGGAAAAATGCAAAGTATACGCCAGGATGTCCCCAGAGCACAAAACACAACTTGTCGAGCACTTGCAAAGCATCGGATACCTTGTCGGCATGTGTGGGGATGGCGCCAACGACTGCGGAGCTTTAAAAGCAGCTGATATTGGCATTTCGCTGAGTGAAAGTGATAGTTCGATTGCTGCACCTTTTACAAGCCAAATCGCAAATATTTCATGTGTAAATACTGTTCTAAGGGAAGGGAGATGCGCGCTTACCACCTCTTTGCAGTGCTTTAAGTTTATGGCGCTTTACTCCATGATCCAGTTCATTACAGTCAGCATGCTCTATTGGTCAGGTAGTAATTTGAGTGATTCTCAGTATATGACTGTGGATTTGCTTACAGTGCTGCCTCTTGCTATTTGCATGAGCTACACAAAAAGTTACCCGAAATTAAGCAAAAGGCAGCCAACAGCTTCTTTAATATCAGTTCCAGTCCTCACTTCAGTGATCGGACAAGCTGTCATTGCAGGAGCTACACAGATATAGAAATTGCCCGAGGATGGCGCTATATTGCGCCATCCTCGGGCAATTGGAGACACGGCTCCACACGGGAATTGTGTTCCACGTGTTGAGCCATTTTTTCCACGTGGGAAAATGTGGATTCCACACGTGGAAAAATGGCTCCACACGTGGAATACGGTTCCCGTGTGGAGCCAATTTTCGCTTGCCCTAGGATGGCGCCATATAGCGCCATCCTAGGGCAAATCCTATAACTGCCTTTTTGATATCCCGAGAAATGCCTTTTTGGGAGTCAATTGATTATAAGCCTGGCACCTCAGTTCTTGACTATGAGTACTCTTATGAGAACTCGGTGCTCTTTTTGGTCTCCTGGTTTGAGTATCAGTTTGTGTCACTTGCCTTTTCGATAGGGAAGCCTTGGAAGAAGTCTATGTGGACTAATTTCTGGCTGAGCTCCACCACTGTGATTTTGTCGGCTTGGACACTTTATGAGATTTTGATTCCTGCTGACTGGGCTCGGCATCTTGTGAATGTAAGAGATATTTAGATTAAAGCTTTCCCATTTTACTTTAGAATAGCCCTGCTTTCTATTTGTCTGGCATATGGATTGATTGTATTGTCGTTTGAAAAATTCATAGTGCCGTGGATTGATATAGTGAATAGAAAGCGCGCGAATAAAAAGAAATATGATGCTAAAGTTAAAGATCTTTCTCAGTAATAATTTTGTAAAAATCATAATAAGATATGTGCCATGAGTCAGTTTAATAAAAGCGATCTTTGATTTATAAATTTATTGTAAGAGCAAAAGTGGAAAGCAAAGAAGAACAATAGAGTAATTTATACTAGATAAGTTAGAAACCTAATAGAACAAATTCAGACGCTACTTTCAACAGAACCCTATACATTTGTTTCTGAAATGAGAGAGTACAATTAGAGAGGGTTAAACGGGGATTATTTCAGCCACTATCTAGTCGAGCTTCAGTTTCACGCTCATGTGGCGTTAAGCACTAAAGCCATCTAACGCCATTTTTCCTTCCGGACCACCAAAAATGGTGGCGTCGTCAGTCTATCGAGAGACTCTCTTGAGCCTACTTGGACCATAAATTGCAGTACAGGACTCTTTTAGCACTTGGTAGTGCTCAGGGTATGAAGGGCTCGTCCGATGTCTCGTTTGGAATTACCTCTGCCATTTACAGGCAGCATAATGCTCCTCTAGAAGTGTCCGATTGGTGTTGCGCCATCGGCCCTCTTGTCTGTGGGTGGAGGAATGGCCAGTCAGCTCAAGTCTGCACCCCCATCCCGAAAAAATTGCCACCTACGACCTGATAGCCTTCCAGCTGTTTAATTTTTAGCATACCCCTAAATTTTGAGTTTTTTGTTTTCTGTAATGAAGATCCTAAAAATAATCGTAATTGAAGATGTGGAGTGTAGGAACGCTTATCATTGCATAAAAGAAAATCATGAGCTATAGCCCTGGGCAGCTTATTGCTTGGTTGAGGCTAATCATTGGAACTTACTCGTGAAGTTGGTTTGACAATTTTTTGTTCTGAACCAAATCACGCATTGGGCTTTATTTGGCAGTCCAGGGTGAGCAATGAATTTTCCTGAGCTATATAGATTGGTCATTTAATCTTCAAATGATTTCGCATCATGCATTAATTTCTTAATTCAAGGTTAATTATTCTCAAAATCCAAAAATTTTGAAAAAAATCACAAAACCAATTATTAAAAATATTTTCTGATATGTTTAAGGGTTCAGATAGTCTTATAAAGTGATTTTCCAAGCTTGATATATTTTATGGCTATACTAAGCTTTTAAGTTATTTTTGTAGATAGACTTACTACCAAATAATATATCATAAGTTTTGCAAGAGAGGTGCTCTATATAAACCTAATAATTTTCAATTCATACAGAGAAATTTAAATTGGCTGTTTCTTTTACTCTCTATTAATTTTGCCAATACATGTCTAGACATTTTTTCACTCCCCTGAAGTAAAATTTCCAACTTTTTGGTGAATTAATTTAAACTAGAACGATTTTTTTTTTAATTGGTAAATTTTATAGATGTGATACTAATTTTTATAAATGGCTTTAATCGAATTTAAAAAAGAAAGAAGAATACTATTAAAAAATTCGGGCATTTAGTCGATTAATTTTTTTAAAAATTTATAAAATTTGATAAAATAAAGAAGTTTATTCAAAAGAAAAAATTGACTCCTTTTTAATTTGAGCAAACTTTTGGGTTCTATTTAAAGGGGGATTTAGGTAGAATTCCCAGTTTATAAAGCTATATGATTTTGCCAATAAACTTTCCTCAGAGCTCAATCAACTGTGGTCAAGAAGACGGTCAGAGCTTTTTGCCTATGGAGAACAACACAACTATATTTAATCTTGATACAAGCGAATCGCCAATAGTCATCCCTCAAATCCAGCCCAAACGCAGGCTGCAAGAAAAAATGATCAGTTTCCTAGAATCAAATTCTTTACTAGCATTTATGACAATAATAACAATATATGCTCTTTTCGGTGACGATATTCGACTCGCTGCATTTTCTAAAGACGAAGACGATATCTTTTTTTCACTCGCTACAGTCTGTTTTGCTCTTTTCTCGATCGAACTGATTTTAAGCTGCCTTTATAAGCCAGACTACATTTTTTCTATGTATTTTTTGCTTGATCTGCTTTCGACGCTATCTTTAATTACTGATATTGGGTGGATTTATGAAAGCATGATTGGAGTCGATTCAAATTCTTCAAAAAATGCATCAAATATACAAAATGCGTCAAAAATTTCACGGGCTGGGACGAGAACGACGAAATATGTAAGAATTATAAGGCTGGTGAGGCTACTAAGAGTTGTAAAGCTGTATAAAAATGCGAATGTAGCAATAACGAAAACAGGAACAGAAGAGATAGAAGCAGCTGTGATACCAAAAGAGTCACAGGTTGGAAAAAGATTTACTCCTCACTTTAATCGAGTAGCTCAAATATGAGGAAATATGAGGATTAATTTTTATTTTAAATAAAATTGATTTAACAAATGAATCTGCAAATATATGATTTATCTAATTTATAAAATTTATGAAAGAATGGAATGACACTAAAAGTTAACAAATTAGCTAGAAATATCATTATTACTTACTTACTCTCCCCTTTGTGGGCGAACAAAAAAATCTTGTCCGCTCACGGAGGGTTTTTTTTTTTTTAAAAAAATCCTAATTCGCAAAAATTGGAAGGCAAATATTAATTTAATTTGTAAAATTTATGTTTAAAACGCATTTTTTTAAAATTAAACAGAATTAGCTAGAGATTTCATGATACTAGTTATCACTTATATATCAAAATTTTATTATTTAAACAATTTTTGTTATTTCACGGAAAGGTGAGTTTTTGGGCAAAAAATAGCGATTTCTCTAATGGTTTTGCTCGCTTACGGAGGGGGGTTAGCGTTAAATTTGGAGTCTATCGGCCACGTCGCTCTTCTGTACTTTAGCAAATAAAAATCATGACTGGGCCAACCAAGCTTCAGACTCAGCCTGACTTAGCTACGTTTAGCTCTCGGGCATACCAACTTGAGCTCAGATACCCTAAAAGTCTATGTCTTCATTGTCTGGAGCTAATATCACAATTTCAGAACATTTATTACCTTTTGGATAGCCTTTAGCGCCATGAATCGCTTTAATGCTCCATCGTTACGATGATAAATTTTCTGGGTTAAGCCAATTTGCATAATCAAATATGAAAGAAAAGAATTTTTGGTTGGGAAATCAGAAAATATAAATATGCCAGATCTTGATTGTCATATCTCTTTATATAATTATAGCCAAGCCTCGTTTTGGCTCAGGCTATACCAATATCTTCTGACATCACCCGGAGAGTCGACAAACCAACATTTGTCGCTAAACCCAACTCAGTGGCAAATCCACCTGTCACTGGAGATTTGTCATCCAGGGAGTTGTCTGGATTGCATCCGAGGCTTCGGCATAGCCCGAGCAAAAATGAGGCAAAGGCTGTATTATTTATATAGAAAATATTTCATATAAAGATTTTTTTGCAGACGCTTAAAGAGGCTAACTGCCTAAAATAAGGATTTTCCAATGATATTACTCTTTCTTAAAGGGGGAGGTAGCGATTTGACTATAAAACGAGTCATTATTATAGTGCTATTAATGCTTTTTATCCTCCCATTTTTCGATACAGATTTTTACGACTCAGACCCCACAAGCTGGAACTTCGGCCTCGACGAAGTCATTGCTTTTGAAGGCAGACGTGGCTTTTGAGGCGTTGTTGAAGAGTACTGAAATTACCACGTAAATGACACTCGTCCTATCATATATTTATATTTAGAATTTTCCAACGGTACAAATTACACGCGAGAAGGAGATGCTGATTATACCAATCTCAGGTACAACGAGTTCGAGACTTCAGGTAACGACAGCTCCTTTTCTGTTTTTGACATCAGAGCTGACACCAGGCTTGCTGCTATCTTAAACATTTGCCAAACCATCTTTATTTGCTTTGTTTTCACAGTCGCTGTGTTTTATTTTACAAAAGACACCACAAATCTTGTGATTGCTCCAATTGAAAAAATGGTCCAAAGAGTCACAGAAATCGCAAAAAACCCAATATCTGCTTATAAAAAGAAAGATATTGATAAAGGCAAAAAGAAAAAATTCTGCTTTTGTTTTTCGTTAGGGACAGGAGAAAATGGAAAATATGAAGCTGCATTATTAGAAGACACCATGAATAAAATAGGTGCATTGCTGGCCTTAGGATTTGGAGAAGCTGGGGCTTCTATAATATCTTCAAATATGGAAACTGGAGACTTGCAGTTCAAAAAAGGAAGCAGAATTGTGGCAATTTTTGGGTTCTGTGATATCAGAAATTTCATTGATACCACAGAAGTCTTATATCATTAAAATGGTGGCACGTGCCAGCCTGCCCTCTTGGCGTAGCAGTCCAGGCCTTATTACTCCGGTGAATTGGGGCGGACACCTTGCTGAGAATCAAATGCAGGCTTAAGAGATGTTTATTCGGTTTACTTTGGCTGCTTTCCTGTGGTTAGAAATGGAGTGCTCAACAAAGTATTTTGGATCCGAGGACACATTGGCATTTCTCTACCGAAAATCTGGGGTTTCGGCTCAGGCCACACGGGAGTAATCTTTTTCCTTTAGCTGTCGAATGAAGGCACTTCGGCATCCGAGAGACTCCAGGAAGCTGATCCTTGGAATTAAGCTACTCTAATCACCCCAGCAGGGCCACATAAATCCATAAGCACTCACTTGAGGCAAGGAGGAGACAGAAGGTACTAGAAGGGCACTTGCGAGAGGGATATAACCTCTGGGCTGGAGTCAAAAAGTGGTTGAACCTCCCCATAGGGAGGTCTTTGATGACTGCTTCGCCAATATAGCTAGCGCCTGACTTTTAATAATCCTAATCCTAACAGCAGAAGTCTTACAAGAAAAGGCCATGATATTTGTTAATGAAATAGCAAAAATTGTGCATAGGACAATTGATGTATATCAGGGAGCTGCTAATAAAAATATTGGCGACTCTTTTCTCATTGTATGAAAATTCAAGCCAAAAGATTTTTCTATCAGCAGCAATAATATAATCCGAAGAAATTCTTCATCTAGAAAGGCTGAATATTTGCCAGATTTAGCCCTTTTGGCATTTTTAAAAATTCTTGCAAAAATAAATAAAGATTCGTCAATTTTGAAGTACCGACAAAGTGAAGGTTTAAACAAAAAAATGAAAAACTTTGAGGTCAAAATGGGGTTTGGGCTGAATTTCGGTTGGGCAATTGAAGGGGCGATAGGCAGCAAGTTCAAAATTGATGCAAGCTATCTGTCTCCCCATGTAAACCTTGCGTCAAGACTTGAAGCTGCCACAAAACAATATGGAGTTCCATTAATATTAAGTGGCGCCTTATATGACTTATTTTCCCCTGCAGTAAAAGCTTTTTGCCGCCACATCGATACGGTGACTATAAAAGGAAGCAATACACCCATAAGAATTTATACTAGCGACTGCGATTTCTCTGAGCTATCCCCTTCAAGATCAAAGCCAAAAACCAAAGAAAATTCAAATTTGAAGCGAAAAGCGTTAAAAAAGAAGCTGGAAGATAGGTCTTGGAATCCTATTGATAGCTTTTCTGAGTCAAGATCAGTAACAATAATGAGGAGAAGCTTCAAAAAAGAATTTTTCGAGACTTTTGAATCTGGCTTCACACTTTACCTTGCTAAGGATTGAAGATCTGCATATGGGAAATTCGAAAAGTGCTTGAAAATGAAGCCAAAGGATGGCCCGTCTCTAAGACTGCTAGAATTTATCAGTGGAAATGGTTTTCAGCCTTCTCCGAGTTGGGAAGGTTACAGAGCCCTAAATGATAAATAATATATAAAAATGTATTTTGAAATTAAAATATATACCATTCCAGGCCATTTTCTCTTATAAAATAGTTAATCTTATTAATAATCCATACAATTCACCCAGCATATTCAACATGGAAAGTAATCTCAAACGCTCATTTAGCTCCAAACTTTCCCAGAAAAGCAAAAGATGCAAATACTGCAACACAAAGGCGAAGCATTGCTGCAAAATCTGTGAAAACAAGGCATGCAACTTCCATTGCTATAAGCGGTTTTTGGATGGCAAGCAATGATATATATGTGACCACTGTCATTATTATGACGTAAAAGAAGTCATTGAAAAGCAAAATGAAGACGACATGACGTCTTCTCTTGTAGCACTCAGAGGCTTAATAGTAGATAATGCAAGGCTTGAAGATGAAATTGAAGAAAATAATATAAAAGCTAATAGGATTTTGGAAAAATTGTCAGCGAGCGAAGCGAGCTACAAAGAAAGCTCTGAAAGCAAAAGTCACATGTTGAGCATTGAAAAGGTGAATAATGAACAGCTAAGTGAGACTTATTTCGCTTACCAAAGCGCTTTGCGAGAAAAGAAGCGAGGAAATGAGACGTTAAAAGAGAAGCTCCAAAAGAAGATGATAGAGATCAACCAGATAAAAATGGAAGTTGACCAGCTCAAAGGCCAAGAAAGCCAATTTACCAATCACATTTCAAGCTTGGCTGAGCAGTCCCAATCTTGCATTTATAGTGATAAGCTTGAAGAAATTCTGTGCCAAAAATGCCAAATAAGAGTATTCGGCAGATCTTTTCTTATACAGGAGCCTAAAAAGCCCTCACCTTCATGCAACTGCATGATAGCATAGCTTGCTCTTTATATATACATTTTAACATTAAGACAATTATCAGTTAAATTAATAAATGACAGACAAAGAGCTGAGGATCGCAAAAATCACAAAAAACCACCACAAATCTATATCAAAACGAAAAGAAATCCTGGAAACCTATAAAAAAATTCTATCAGATTTAGAGCACACTCTTCATAACGAGCTAGCATTAAATCGGCAGCATGGGACTTCTATAAGTTTGCAAGAAAACAGTGAAAAAACCCGAGAAGAATTAAGAGACCAAATAATTAGGCATCATTTCGAAATGCTAAAGCTGCAGATCAAGGAGAAAGAAGCTCAGAAAAAAGAAGAAAAATTGGAGATGTCGCCTAAAAGACATAGGAAACATGAGGAGAAAAGAGAAAAATCAAATGAAAAATCGAAGCAAAAAAATACAGAAAATGAGCGGAAGCAAGAAGAAGGGAAAAAAGAAGAGGATAAAAAGGAAGAAGAAAAGACATTAGAAGAAGCAAAGGATAATTCTATAGAAAATACCAAAGCGGAGGGCGATGCAAAGAATGATGGGCTTAGTGAGCAAGAGCTTGATCTGATAAAGCAGGATGAACATCTGATGGATGTAATTAAAAGGTATGAAAAGACTTTTGGAAGGATCAAAGATCTCGATAGAGATTCTCTTAGGTCTTCCAAGAAATCGAGTGATTACTCCAGCGTAATTTCGTATGAGTCAAGGCCTCGCTCCAAATCTTCGTACTCTAATGTTTCAACCCAAAGTCAGAAAGATGCACTTGAACGTCTTGAAAAGCTTCGTTTAGAAGAAGAAAAAATAAAAAAAGAAAAAGAAGACCTTCTTCAGTTTCTTGAGACCAGATCCAACCGTTCCCAAGCATCTTCTCGAATGACAACTGTATCATCGTTATTCCAATCACGCCCACAATCATCAATTGAAATCCCTCAAAGAAGACCAATCACCCAGGCTTCAATTCTTCAAAAGCCAACACCAAAGTCTGCACAGCCCACCCCAGTGAAAGACCCAGTTAGATCCCTTGTTATAAAAGATCCTGTAAGCGAGCTTATAAAAAATCTTTAATAATTATAATGATAATTTTCTTATTGATTTTTACAGCTTTTAGCTATGAAATTAAGATAGCTGGAAAAACAGCTGCGTGCCTAATAAAGACTTTGCCAAGGGGATCAGTATATGCAGGAGAATGCGGAACAAAGCTATGGAGGCCTGACTTGAAGTATTTATCAGTTCAAGTTATTAATACACGTAGCCAATATACATATACAAGTGTGCATACAAACTCTGCGAAATTTAAAATAAACACTGATGAAGCTGGGCCTTACTCAATTTGTGTCACAAATACAGCAGACTGGGAGTTTGACATAGTTTTCAAATTGACACAAGAATCTTCGAATAATGGTCCTGGCCTATACTAATTGACCAAGAATAGCCCACTATGGAGCCATTCTTGGTCTGCCAGAAAAAATTTTGACAAAAAGATCCTAATCTGCCATTACCACTGAGTTTTGGTGTTTCCAAATTTTTTTGACAAGCCAAATGCATCATCGCAAAAGAACAATTTTTTTTATTGCATTTGGCTTGCCCAAAAAATTTGGAAACACCAAAACTCAGTGGTAATGGCAGATTAGGATCTTTTTGTCAAAATTTTTTTCTGGCAGACCAAGAATGGCTCCATAGTGGGCTATTCTTGGTCAATTAGTATAGTTGGTTATGAACTTCCCATAAACGCTACAGAATTTCGTATGATTAATCAGCCTAATGGGAATTTTCAAATACACAATGAACTCAAAGATATTTATGACAAGGTAAGAGAAGAAAGAGAAAAAGCCAACATAAAGGAAAAGGACTATACCGAAATCCTTTGGTCAGTCCTTATCTTTGGGCTGCTTGGGGTCATTGTTTGCTCTTATCTTACAAAAGATGTGGTGGTAGAGGAAAAAAAATCAATTTAATAATTCTTAATCGTATACAGCAAACTAATTTGCATTATTTTGCCTCGTCTTTTCTTTTATTTCATTAATAAAATTCCATTCAAAATCCAAGTTTCCTTTTTCTTCTTCGATCAGGATCTTTATACAGTCAAAAATTAAAACGGTGACTTCTGTGTCTTTGCAGATGTCAGCAAAAACGCTTAGGACGATTCCGTGGAAATCTTTTGCGTAGGGGACTCTTTTCTTGCCCCAAAACGCTAGTTTTATTAGTGACAACGCATTTTTACGAGCTTCTTTGACATAAAGCATCCTAATCAAGCTCATTGTGTGATAAGAGCCGTTATCTGAGTGCAAAAGATTTCTTATGGTTTTCCATGATTTTTTATAATGAAAGCATGTGCATAACGCCTGCATCGCTTTTTCGCTCCATATTCTTGCCCCAATCATGACGATATGGGAAATAAAATGCAGAGCAGTTGTTTTATATTCGTCCTAAGTTGCCATTACTTTGCAATCAAGCAAGCAGATTTCGGAAATTCTGTCAATAAAGCAATTGATTTCTGAAGCTTCAATTAAATGGGTGCTGAATATTTTTTACTTATTAGTAATGATATCGAGCAGCAATAACACAAATTTCCGTTTCGTCATATACTGTTGGGTCCATTCAATAAAAAGTGCTGCCAGTTCTTCACTTTTGTCAATTTTAACCACTTTTACTAAATCGTGGAACAGCTAAGTAGCTTTTACATTAATTTTTTCAGAAAATCTGAGCCCAGGGTTTCTGAGTAGCGCAATTATTACTTCTTCATCACTATCTAATGAAAATTTATAATGACGCATAGGTACAGATGCTGGTGACTTTTCATCCGCTATATTTCGCTCATATACAATTTCTTGTGAATCTTCTATTGGAGACACGTCCTTGTACTTTTCAGCCAAGTATTTAAACATTTTTGGACTTGTATTGGATCGTTTTCTTGCCCTGAAGAAAAACATTTTTAAAATTGTATAAGCAAAAGCCCATAAAATTAATGAAGAATTAGGTTATCTCTTCTGAGCTATTATATCTTCATATAGTTTGGCATTTCTTTTAAGAATTTCCTCAAGAGGTCCTAGCATTCTCTTAAATGAATGTCTGTCTAGTGATACACATCTTAAGCGAGAAGTCGCTATTACATTTGCAGCTCTAGGTTCATTTCTTATTAGTGCAAGTTCTCCAAAATAGTCTCCAGGCCCATACTGTTTTACTTCTTCAGGAGCCCTTCCTTTTACAATAGTTTTTGTCGCGACAGCTGAGCCTTCTTCAATTATATAGAACACATCCCCGGCTTCTCCTTCTCTAATAACATGCTCTCCTTCCTCATAATTCACACTAATAAAAGCATCAGCAAGCTGAGACCTTTCATAAGGATCCATCGACTCCAAAATTTCTACCCTCGACAAAAATGCTTCATAGCGTTCTCTTTTCCTTATTGCTGAGCCTTTTACAATATGATTAAAACACTCTCTGTCAAGCGACCATAAAACACAGTCATTTACAGCTAAAATTGTAGCAGCGCGTGGGGCGTTATAAAGTAAAGCAAGCTCCCCAAAGGCTTCTCCAGGAAAATAGTCTTTTAAATATTTATTCTCTCCGTGGATATTTTTATAGCATTTTAGGGTGCCAGAATCAACGACATAAAGCTCATTTCCGTCGTCTCCTTGACGAATTACAGTGTCATTGTTTTGGAAAACACGCTCGTCCATGGCGTTGACGACAATTTCTTTTTCTTTTTCGTCCAAGGCACTAAACATAAAAGAATGACTGAGCCTTTCAAAAATCCTGGATTTTTGCTCACTCTCCCCCCCCCCCTCCGTGAGCGAACAAAACCATTAGAAAAATCGCCATTTTTTGACCAAAAACCCACCCTCCGTGAGTGAACAAAAATTTTTTTAATAGAAAAAAATTTTAATGGAAAAAAATTTTGATATATAAGTGATAATTAGTATAATGAAATCTAGAGCTAATTCTGATTAATTTTAAACAAATTGCGTTTTAAAACATAAATTTTGCAAATTAAATTAATATTTGCTTCCCAATTTTTGCAAATTAGGATTTTTTTAAATTTCGAAAAAAATATTTTTTTATAAAATTTATATATAAATTTTTTTTAAAAAAAAAAAATTAACCCCCCTCCGTGAGCGAACAAAATTTTTTTGTTCGCTCACGGAGGGGGGGGGGGAGTCAGGCGTTTTTTCTATGATTCTTGGGACGAAATCTTCTTTTTTGTTCCAGCTGCCGTACACTTCGGCTGAAACTGCAGCTCTGTGCGATTTTCTTCGGCTTTTTTCTGCTAAATCTTCTTCAATGGCTTCTCCTTCAGAAATTTCACTTTCTTCGCCTTCTGACCCGACGTTTTGGGCTGATTTTAATCTTGCAACTTCTTGTCTGAGGATTCTAAGCTCTTCTTTTTCAGAAGGCTGATCTTGCATTCCTAAGCGACTCTGGAGTCATTTAACCATAAAAAGGACTGGATCTTCAGGCTTTGCTTCAATTAAAGAAGCAACGATATCTTGAAGCAAAGGGTTTAGAGTCCGCTGAATGTAATCTTTATGAGCACTCATATTTATTATTGAATTTTTAAATATTTTAAAGTTTTGAGCAAAATCCTTGAAATTAAGAAGTCATTGGGGATCAATTTTACAAAAAATTTGCATCTTCAGCTATTGTAACAAAAATCAGGATATTGAGAAACATGATATTAAGAATTATGGGAGATAAATTGTAGGTGATGGAAAGTTAACGTTATTATATATTTATTGTCAAAGCATTTATTGATTTTTTTACTTTAGTTCCCCCTCTCCTTTTTAAAATTGGAACAAAAAATTCTGTTTCAATTTATAGGCTAATTAATTTTTTATTTTCTATAAAATTTTTTATAGAATTTAAATTAATTTATAAAGAATTATCGTCCATCGGCCTTTTTGTTGATCAGTAAATTTGATTTATGGGCTGCAACCAGCTTGCTATTCAGCTGGGAAATAGTAGACTGATTACAGCCAGTAAACTAGTTTAATGGCATACAAATAGGCCGAATGGGGTATAACTCAAAATTTAATTTATCTATTGTGAGACTACTTAAATAATATTATAATTGCATTTTAACCGTTTATAAATAAAATGGCATTCGGTTCAAGAGAAATTGGCTCTGCCAATTTTCTCTCCCTCATGGAATTTTATTTATGGGGGTGGGTTTTTCTCTCGAGAACTTCTGCACAGCAATAGTCGTTTAACTTTGGGGATAACCAAAGGCACGACTCCTCAGTGCACTCAAGATTTCGGAGTTTTACCTCTCAGCACGTCCCCACGGGAGGATGACCCTTAGGTGGAACACGCGCAGGAGCTGAGTCTGGACGAGCGACGGCAACGCGCCGGGTGAGATGTGCGGCGATTTATCTGGCGACTAGCCTCATAGAAGGCTTGGGTGTGGGCTGACCACATATTCCAAGATGGTTTGGTGACGTCACTAGTTGTCGCTTTGACCCCTTTTTCATTGAGGGGTGTGGGCACTAGACACCTTAAAGACTATGTAACTAAGTAAGTAAGTAAGTAAGTAAGTAAGTAAGTAAGTAAGTAAGTAAGTAAGTAAGTAGTAAGTAAGTAAGCATTTTACCCGTTTAATTTAGCAAAACTAGCTTTTTTACCTATAAAATTTTACTAGTGAAAAATTGTTCCAATTTAAAGAGTGCTAGAGTGCCCTTGCACTTACAATTACTTAATTATAAAAAAGCTCCCTTTCAGGATCCGAAGATCCTTATTACCTCCCATAACGCTCCACTATGCTTCGCCGACAATCATCTAACGACCTTCATAGTCTTACTCCTACAATACATGGGACTGCGCATGCTCCATGTTAGTCGAAAAGTTTGGGTTTCTATGCAGTGCGCCAAGGGTATGGCTTCTAGAAAATTAGAGAAAAAATTCTGGCCATCTGTGGGAAAGATGAAAATTCGTAGTCCAGGACGCATTGTCAGGTATCTCGCTGAGGAACGCGCTCCCGATTGACCAGCAGGAATCTCACTTCACTGGTATTGTTTGGACACCCCTTTCCAGCTCCGGGCTCCATTTTCTTCGAGTTTAAACCTCGATCTGGATATGCACCTGCAATCAGCCGCCCGGATATTGCGCTCCACAAAGCCAACTAAAACCTAGCCGAATTCACATATCGAACGCCAAGCTCCCTCCCTCAAGGTTCCTGGACCTCCCCAGCTACATTCATGGCATTTTTATATACGGACTAGAGCACCCCAAAAAATGGAAATTTACCTATATTTTGTTTCAATTTAAACAGGAAGGGGAGATTAAGATATTTTTCGCAAATAATCCAGTTTTTTTTGGCGATTTCCGTGCGATATATAAATGGATTTACTTAAAAAACTAAGCACAATATCAGAGGCTGACTCCGGGCAAGAGCACTAAATTAACTTAATTAAGATTATATGAGAATTTCCTGTGATACCTCCTAGTTATTTTACCCCACTCTTGATTTGCTTTATGCTGTCTGCCTTTCGGCTATATCTCCTCCGAAATGTAGGGATCCACACTTCTCAGAGTATAGTGGGACAGGCCACCATACCCTGTATCAAGTATGCATTGACTTTCAGAAAATTCGAAAAATAAATATTCTGATTGGGTTGCCGATTAATCTATTATCGCACTCGATTGCCCAGTTTACAAAATATGCTTTGCTGGGCATATTTTTCTAACTTCACGATCCACCAAACTAAGTAAAACTTGGCCAGATACACAATGCCGGGTGCTTTTATCCCTTCCACAACATCGCCAGATCACTTCGGCTACAGATTTCGGTTTTTCCATGCCTTTTTAATGTATGTCGGGAGATCACAGTCCTGGATTATCTCCACAAGGGTCTCAATTAACTGTAAAGAGCCGTAAAACTGTCGAAAATTTTCTATCTCTAATATCCGAAGAAGAGCAAGAAATCGATCCACCTTCACCTCATGAAGGCAAAATTACTACGACTTCTATAAATAAAATTTCTATCGAGCGACTCTCAGAGCCAAACCAAATTATAAAGATAATTAAAATCGAGGAAGAAAGTATGGAGCCTTTGGTTAACTCGAAAATAATTCATAACAACAACTGCTCCTGTACATGTTCTGTATTTTAATTACTATTCAAGCAATTTTTAACTTATTTATTCAGCTTTTAACATATAGCCAGATTATGCAGAGTTAATTAGGCAAGTAAGTCATTTTTACTCTGAACTAATGGCCTTGCGGACCTTTTATCTGCTGCCCTTTATCAGGCACCAAGAAGATTTCCATTAGATGGGTTTGATTATTTGCCTAGCCCTAAACATATGGCGCGTTGTGGCCACTTTTCTACCTAAATGTATCCATCTTGATAATGTCAAGCAATCAAATTATCTTCCCTAAATTTAAAAAACCCACCCATTATATTGAAATAATGCGAAAACATAAATGCTTCAGATAGAACATAATATTTCTTATAAATATGGGATACGGACCGTCAGGTGTGTATATCCTTGATATGAAAGGAAAAACCATCATCCACCGTGCATATCGTCGCGATGCACCTGCTTCTACAACAGTAAGCGACAGATTCACCCGGTTAGTTCTGGAAGCTGAAGAAGAAAACATCAAGCCAGTTTTCCTTCACAATGACATCAACTACATGTGGATCCGCTACAACAATTTATTCATCGTCGGTACCAGTGCCTTAAATGCAAATGCTATGATGGTCTTTGCATTCCTCTATAAGCTGGCTGAAGTCCTAACTCACTATTTCCGAGAGCTTGAAGAAGAAAGCATAAAGGACAACTTTGTAGTGACTTATGAGTTATTAGATGAAATGATTGATAATGGGTACCCACAAACAACTGAATATAAAGTCCTCAGAGAATATATAAAAAGCGAGTCGCATAGGCTGCAGCAGGAAGAAGAACAGCAAGCAGTTGTCCCTATTTCTGTTTCGAATGCAGTATCATGGAGAAGTGAAGGAATCAAATATAAGAAGAACGAAGTTTTTCTTGATGTGATTGAAAGATTGAACTTATTGGTCGCTTCGAATGGAAATGTGCTGAGATCAGAAATATTAGGGGTGCTAAAAATGAGGACTTTGCTGTCGGGGATGCCAGAACTAAAATTGGGGCTTAATGATAAACTGTTGTTTGAAGCGACAGGGAGACAGACAAGAGGAAAAGCTATTGAATTAGAAGATATTAAGTTTCATCAATGTGTAAGGTTAGCAAGGTTCGAAAATGATAGGACAATCAGCTTCATCCCTCCAGATGGAGAATTTGAACTGATGTCATATAGGCTAAACACTCATGTAAAACCATTAATTTGGGTTGAAAGCAGAGTTGAGCATTTAAGCAGCTCAAAGCTAGAACTTGTGGTAAAAGCTAAAAGTCAGTTTAAGACAAGATCAATTGCAAATAATGTCCAAATTTTGATTCCAGTTCCAAATGATGCAGCATCACCTAATTTCAAAACTACAATTGGACTTGTGAAATACGATCCTACTCAAGATTCAATTGTCTGGACACTAAAACAATTCCAAGGACAAAAAGAATATATGCTAAGGGCTTCATTCACTTTGCCAAGTGTCGCTAGTGAAGACCGAAACAGATTCCAAAAAATTCCAATAAGACTTATTTTTGAAATTCCTTATTTCACTGGATAGAAATAAAATGGTAACGTTGACAAAATTGGTCTCTGGGGCGCTCCCTATGGAGGAGAATGGGCCCATACTGAAGCAGCTGAAAACAGGGCCTCTGCCACTTTTTTAAGTAGGCATTCAGGGATGGGGATGCTTCGCCTAAGAGAGGAAAGTGTGTCTCTCCCGAAGGTTTCCTGTCCCTGCCTGATGGGCGAGACAGGTTTTACCTCTCACATAGTCTTCGCCTATCGAGATTATTGGGGCAATCGATTGTGGTGGCTCTAGCCTAGGGAGCTAATCCTTAGACTAGGTGAGTCTCGCCAGAAAATTCAAGAAAGCGAAATTTTGGTTGTGCCTCACACTAGTGTATAAGCATCCAGTGCACGCGCCACTATACCTGCATTCAAGGTAGTTCAGCTAATGGAAATCCCACTAATGGCTGCATAAATTTAATATCAATCTATTCACTGTATCAGGAATCCAAGTCAGATACTTAAAAATCATAGAAAAATCAGGCTACCAAGCATTGCCATGGGTAAGGTATATAACCCAAAATGGAGATTATCAAATAAGGATGCTTTAAGCCATAATATTACCATTCTTTAAGATATAAAAATTGGTACTTCATAAAATGATTAATTTGATTACCTATTAATTTATTTCAAGTATTTCTTTATTTATTAAGCCAATTAACCCCAAAGATTTAACTTACTGTGAAGCTGAGCATCATGCGGACAATGGCACCGAAGTTTTGGCCAGCAATGATGTATTGCTTGTTCTTGAATGCGTTGGTCATTTGGTCGAGATCTGTAGAGATTGCTGATTTGTGGGTGAAATATCTGACCATAATCTCACTGAAAGTTTGTGGGTCTGAAAGGGCCTCAATCTTTTCGATCAAAATAGGGAGTTTGCAGGAGTTGGAAACTGTTTCGAATTGAGTGTTGAATAGGGTTAGAACAGCTGGAACGTCGTTGCAGGCTGTAAAATTGAAAAATGCGCACTTGACGACCATTTGGGAGACTGCTTCAAAAGCAGGGTGAAGTTTGGCAGTGTTGTTGTAGCAGGCTGAGAGTGGGGTGAGTTTGCTTTGAAGTCCTTGTGCAACTCCCAAGGTGAAGTTTCCAACGGCTTTAAATGGGTTCACTAGGGTTGTGTCTGCAGCAAGTCCAGATTCTGCTGGGTTTTCGAAGCTCTGAGCACCGAATGCGAACAGAACAATTAAGACAACAAATTTCATTTATTATTAGTTGAATAAAATATGAATCTAAAATCGAGGGTTAGGGAGACTTAGGCAGGGGAAGATATTTATTAAAATAACATTGATAAATTAGCTTAAATTAAATTATAGGAGCCAATTCATGGTGGCTAATTTTTATATTGGGATTCTATTATGCAAGGAAAGGATGGATATATTTGCTAAGTAATTGAGGAGGAATAGCTGAGATAGCTTAAGGCTATATAATAATAACTTGGAAATATCATAGCAAAGTGCTAACCTAATAAAAATAAATCATAAAGGCCAAACAGAAATTTAAATTTAAGAAGCTAAATAAAAGAAATATAATAATAAATTAAGATTATTATATATTTGTTAATATTGGCTGTTTTAAGAGAGCTTTAATTTAAAAATGGTTACAACAGAAAGGAATAATAGATTATTCCTTTAAAAAATTTCGTTAAAATTCATTACTCATTTATCGCTTTATCGTTTATATTACTTAAATATTTATTCTCATCCTTTACACATATAAATGGCAATAAATAAAAATAACGACAAATTGCTACTAATTGAACCCTGCTTCAAGCTCAACAGCCAGTCAAGAGAACGAACAATTCTTAGTCAAGTTTCAAGCACTCCAAGCTTAGGATTGCAAATAAATTCTTCGCTTTCTTCTCTTCATCAAAAACCCCAAAAATTAAAACCAAAAAAGTACAAGGAAAACCAAGTCAACGTAGTTCTCCCTGAAATACACTGCTATGAAACCTTTATTCCTCATTCCCCTCTTGGCTTATGAGCAAAATTATCCTAGGTTATAAACATTTGAAATAAAAAATATAATTTAATTTATGAATCTATAGATTTTTTTTGATGAATAGCCCATCAATAGCTGACTGACAACTGAATTCACAATTGGTCCGATCAACATTATTTGGTCTAACCAAATTGAATTTACATAAATAATTTTTTTGACAAATAGTGTTGAATAGATTAGATTGTAAATTTAGTAGTCGATCACTTACTAACAGGGTTGCTTATCAGAAATCGATATTTTTTAAAAGTGAGAGATGTTTAAAACTTAATATAATTAACTGGGATCTCATTATTACAAATATTAATAATATCTAATTATTAGTAAAAATTCTTTATAAAATAATTTCTCTTAACAATCTGGTCTTACTCGCTAAAGAACAAAAAGAGTCAGCAAGATATCCAGACAACGCGCGACAGTATAAATTATTCTAAAAACAGTGAAAACTCCAAAGAATTTGATGTAATAAAAACAGACAGAAGTAAACAGCAAAGCTTATTGTCAGGCTTTGAGTACCCAATTTATCTATATAATGATGCCTACCAGCCAACTCCCCGAAGTAGAAGCAAAAACTGGCATCCTTTGCAGAGCCAATTAGAAAGTCATAGAAAAAAATTCAGATTGAGAAAGCTTACAAGTGATAAAAATATTCATAAAAAGCACCCGAATGAAGATAGAAGCTTCAGCCCATTTAATTTTAATGATTTACAACCAAAACACTCTAACTCATTTCTTTCAGTATCTAAGTCTCAAGCTATTCAAACTATCATCAACAAGAAAAAATTAATTAAACATGCACATCCTGATATTTTGACAAGCAGAAGAAAAGCAAGTGCTTCTCCATTCATAATTAGGTCTGCTACTAAGTCTTAAGCGGTAAAATGAAATATAAGAATATTTATCAAACACAGTTATTTACTAATTAGATGTATTTTAACCCCATGGATCTTCATCATTTCTGAAATTCAACTTAAGTTGAACTTTCGCGTTTGGGCAGCGCTTCATGTGATTGTACAGTTCACAGTTGGGAATATGGTGTGCTGGGTTGTAAGGGCAAATCTTGAACATTTGACTCATGTGTTTTCGATCTGGGCACTTTGTGTAATGCCAAAGCAATCTCGCAGGGTTTACCAAGTGATCTGGGTTATAAGAGCAAGCTATTTTTGGTTCTAAGCTATTAATCATTATAGAATTTTACTAAAGATACCATTTTTTAGTTATAGAGCACTGAATTAAGCAAGAGCACTAGGCCGCAGCTAAACAATGGAAGCACTAAATTGTCGATTAGGAGAGTATAGGTTTCATACAGCGAAATTATCCCTAAAGCTCCTATTAAAATCAAATTTAATTCAAATCCTATCAGTTTTGCAAAAATGATCATAGATATCCAACCCGCCAAAGTCCCAATATAAGTCTTTTTGCGTTTTGGCCACTTTTTCTTTCCGAATTTTACTCCGAATAGAGAAGCCATCGAATCCCCAATCCCTAGACTGATCAGTCCTGAGCACATAACCAATAAATTTTTATTTGAAAAATTTCCTATAATAATTGGCACTCCACACCCAAACAATAAATAAACATGGGTAACAATAACTTCTCCAAGATCTCTTGTGTCAATAAAGCTATTCAAAAACTCATTTAAAAACCCAAAAATTTTTATATGTCGCAAAGTCTCCACCATCAAAAACCCTCAAAATGCCATTAAAAATGCCACTGATGTAAGTATAGGGTCTTGAAAAATTCCAGGGAGCAAAATCTGCAAAATCAAGAAATGGAATAATTTTCGAATGACCATAGGATGCAACTTAAAATTCGCTTTGCAAAAATAGACAGCGATAACGCCGAGAATAGTTGTGATGGCTCATGTTGTTATCATACTGTAATGCAAAAGGATAAAAGCTATAAGTTTCAAATCGAAAATTAAATACAATCCTTGAGAAATAGCCAAAAATGAGATAATAATATACGGAAATTGATTTTCCGAATTCAAGGTAAGAAATAGCAAGAAAAATCCAAGTGAAGTGACCATTTGTGAAGGGATAGATAATTCATATGGAAGATTGCCTTGAAAATAAAGCATATAAAAAGATGCAAAAATTAAGCCGAGAATGTTTGCCTCTACAGTTTTAAAAGATTTTTTCAATAGACTGAGTCCATAAGCAATGCCAAACCAAATTAAAAGAAATCCTAATTCAGTCATTGCATTTGTAAACAGATATTTACCAAGTAAAGCGCTTAAAAGTGACAAATATTTGAATCTTCCTCTTCCAAAATCTATTAAAAAATATAGAAGTATATAGCAAATCGTTATTTTGAAACTCTTCATGATTCCAAACTCATTCATCGCCACAATTAGACTTCCTTCTACTAGAAGATCCATTTTATCGAGAGGTATATTTTAGCTATTTTAAATATTCATTTTAGGCAGCTGCGTGATCGTTTCTATCAAACTTAATTCTTATTATTCATAAGCTTATTGGAGTCATTGACTTATATCGAAGTAAGATAACTATAATAAATAAACTAGTGTTTTTTCTTTTTACTCCCCCTTCCTCCATGAGAGAGCAAATCATTAATTTTTAGCCAAAAAAACCATCCTCAATGAACAAAAAAAAATTCAAAATCTTTATGAAGAATATGAGTGATAAACTATAATGAGATATCTAGTGATTTATGCAGAATTTTAAACAGGTTGCATTTTAAAGCATAAATTTTACAAATTAAAATTAATTTTCTCTTTCCAATTTAAGTGAACATTTTTAAATCCGAACAATAAAATTTTATATATAACGATGACCCCCCCCCTCAATCTTCATGTCTATTACAACAAAAATTTTTCGAAAAAAATCTTCATGCCAACTCAACCCAATATTTTTATAAAAAAAATTAATGCATTTTTCTCTTGGTGAGTTTCTCAAAAAACCATAAAACAGCGCTGCTGTAGGCGTGTCAATGACCTTCTCATCGAGATTTGGACGGCTATTGTCATCGCTCGCCATTTTATTTAACTTATCTAGCTAAAAAGTACGGAAAAATTTAAGATGCGCATCGAAAATTTGTTGCAAGAGGATTAGGATTATTACAGATAGGCGCTAGCCATATTGGTGACGCAGTCACCAAAGACCTCCCGTACGGAAGGTTCTACCGCTTTTCGACTCCAGCCCAGAGGGTCTATCCCTCTTACGAGTGCCCTTCCGGTACCTTCTGCTCCTCCTTACCTTGTGGCTTCAGTCTTGAGTGGGCGGCTTATGGATTTCGGCGGCCCTGCTACGGGTGATTGGAGTAGCTTGATTCCAAGGATCAGCTCCTTGGAGTCTATCGGGTGTCAAAGTGCCTTCCTTCGACAGTTACAGGAAAAAGACTGTTCCCCTGTGGCCCTGGGCCAAAACCCCCAGTTTCTCGGTAGAGGAATGCCCATGGGTCCTTGGATCCAAAGGACTTTGTTGAGCACCTCCATTTTCAACCACAGGAAAGCAGCCAAAACCTACCCGGATACACACTTCTTGAGCCTGCGTCTGATTCTCGGCTTGGAGTCCGTTCCAGTTCGCCGTAGCCATAAGGTCTGGACTGCTGCGCCAAGAGAGCAGGTTGACACGCACCGCCATTTTAAATGTATATAATTTATTGCAAGAGACATGAAAATTATTATTTTTTTATATAAAATTTTATATTAAAAAATTGCATTTTTGTTGCAATAGACATGAAGATTGAGGGGCTCATCGTTAAAAATTAATTAGCCCTCTTCATGAGCACACAAAAAATATTTTTTTTGCTTCCGGAGGGAGAATGAGTTAGGAATTTCTTCTTCCTCATCTTCATCTTCTATTACCACTTTCTTCGACCTCTTTGCAGGAACTTCAATTTTACTAGTGGCATCTGTTGCTGGATTATACATTCCAGTCTGTGCAGGTCTTTGGTAAGCTGCTGGCTTTTTGCCTGATAGCATGCTAGGTGTCAAATTGTTTTCCAAAAATTTCACTCTTTTATCAAGTGCTTCTTTATGCTGCAGACCAATTGTTGCAGTTTCTTGATCTCCAAGTGCATCCATTCTAATGCAAAGTGCGCATTTAGCAGCCAGTGATCTGCTAATTTTTCCCTTAGTCTTTGGCGTAGCCTGTCCTACAATACTTGCATGATAAAGCAGACCGTATTTTGGAGTATCATGTTTTGTCCTTATTGCTCTGAATAGTGCTTTTTCAGCTCCCAAAATTTGTATCGTTGAAGCTGGATGTTTAGCTAAATTTACCAAACTTCCTGCGTGTGCAATTAATCTTGCCCCTACAAGTTCTCCTACAAGGACAGTCAGATTTGGAGCAATTGCATTCATTCTGTTCTTTAAATATTCGCTTAAATTGGTTCTATATTCGCTCAAACTGATGACTTGGTCACAGAGTGCTTTCATATTTTCCATATCATCTTTGGTGATTTCAGTCCCCATGCTTAATTCAGCAGCTTCTTTGATTTCTTCGACCATATCTTCATCAGTCACAATTTCGCTTAAATTGGTTTTTGAAGTATTTTGCCTTTCTTTTATTGCATTTACGCATTTCGCGTATATCACGTTGTCAGTCACGATTCTTGCTAATTCAGGGAAATGCCAGGAATACCATTCTTTTAGCCTCATAGCATAGTTATTGAGTTCTTTATCAATATCGTCTAATAAATTGACAGCTTGGACGACCATAGTGTCCACTTTATCAATTGAGAATTTTAGTGTATGCCTGCACAAGGAGTGGGCCAGACCCAATGACATTGCTTTTTGCTCTTGGGCAGAAAGACCTGCGATAAGTCCTTCTATCTGTGTTCGGATTCCTCGAATTAATTCGAGATATTTTGAGCTGTAAAGACATTTGATTCCTAGTTTGTCTTCTATGGCTGAGCGGAGCTTTTTATCAAGGACAATCAGCTCGTCAGAAATTTCTTGTTCTACGATGTTTTTTCGTAAAAATCTAGTCAAGGTTTTGGAAAGCTCATGATTAGTTAGAGCAGCTGCAGCTTGTAGGGCGGATTTAGAGTCCTTGAATTTGTCGAATGCTTTGAGTTTGACTATTTTGCTTGCACTGTCGAGGGTTTTGAATTCTTCAGCTAGATTTTCGACCTGCTTGAGCTTTTTGTCTTTGAGGACTTTGAAGAGAGCGAATCCACCAGAAGTCTCAAAAAGAACCAGCATATTTGTTATGGAATAATAAAATGCCTTATATTAATGATATTGCGCATAATACTTTATTTCTAAATTGAGATTATGAAGAAAATTACAATTAGAACTAAATATCTTTATAAATGTAAAGCTAATGGAATTATTTATGGTTTATTTTAATGCAGTGCCATGCATTGTTTAAAAGGCCTCTATAATTCAGAATAGGTGCTGTATCACGTGGCTGAGAGTTTCCTGAAGAATCTACAGCTTTAACACAAACTTCATTTTGAAGCTCTGATACTGGGATTTTAGTTTCCCACAGAGCCCAAGACCAATGCTTTTTATGATAAGCCAGATCTTTTGACAGCTCTGCCTCATGCCATGTTTCTCCTTTATCAGTGGTTATATCTACTCTTGCAATTTCATGTCCTCCTCCACTATAGGCATACCCCTTAAACGTTACTTTCCCTTCCACACTTTCTACAGTTGCTCCATCTAAAGGATCACAGATTGCTGACTGAACATTCATTTCATAAAGCGGTGGCCTCTTCTCAAAATCTACATTATCTGGGGTATCATTAACTCCAAACACTTTATAGTCTCTTTTGTGCCATATTAGATTGCTTTCATCGTCATTTAATGATATCCTTTTCACCCATTTTATGTTTCTAACTCCTACATATCCGGGGACAATAAGTCTGACTGGAAAGCCATGGTCTAATGGGAGCGGCTCTCCGTTCATTTCTAAAGCCAAAATCACATCTCCATGCTCGTCCATTATTTTTGACATAGGAATATTGGTCCCAAATGGGCCGTTTGGGTCAGAATCATATGCTTCTATATGTGCATGCTGGTACTCATGTTTTGGGTTGGCATATTTTATTAGGTCTCTTAGTCTTACACCTTTCCATTCAGCACTTCCAATGGCTCCAGCGTTCCACATGACTCCTCGAACGTTTCCATACTTAGCCATATCAGCTCTTCTATTTCCAGCACATTGTATGCATGATTTGATTGTCACGTGTTCAAATTTTGATTTTAAATCGTCTAGAGAAAATTCAAAGCATTTATCAGCATAAAGGACTAGCTCCAAGCGGTACGTTTTTGGATCTATATGGGGAACTGGCAAATGGTTTCTTATAAAAAATAGATCGTTTGGGGTGGTTTTGTTATTAACCAACAAATCATTAGGGGTTTCTGCGTTAAATGGCTTGACGCCATGAGTAACCATTTCTGGGTTTCTTTGAGGATCGTCTTTATAAGGGTCATCTAGAGCAAGGACTTGAGCATTCTTTAAGTTCCCGATACGCATAGATTCAAGCATCTGATAGACTTGTGGCTTGTGGTGAGCTCTATATAAATTCCAAAAGGGCTCAATTGAACCTCCAGAACCAAGTAATATTTTTTCGCCTCCAGGATGGTGCTCAATGAAATTTGTTACATCATAGACTCCTTCTTTAAAAGTGACCCACACAGATTTTTCAGGATTTTTGTGTCTGGAAATATCATCTAGAGTAAAGTCTGGTAGATCCGATCTTCTCATACCAGCTCTGAATTCTTCAGAATCAGCGTATTTGTATTGGCTATATGTAAGGATCCCAATTGAAGAGCAAGCTAATATTTTTAACATAGCTTTAAGTAATATAAATTATTAATAGAAATTTAAGATTTCATATTTAGAATTCTCAAAATAATGATTGGTTGGATCTAAATGGCATATTATATAGATGATAGTTTTATATTTGAATAAACATTATTTCTTACACCCTTGAGTGAGTGAAAAAAAAAACTATTGGGAAAATTCAAATTTTGGCCAAAATGCCTTTCTTAAAAAATAACCCCTGCTAGCGAATAAAATTATTGGTGAGTTTAAAGTTTTTTTCGCATGCCATTTTATTGTAAATTATTTTGTATGCTTTAATCTTCCGAAAACGCCATTTTATTGCAATACCCTAGTCAAAGCGTTCTATAAGAATAATATTAACTTATGGGAGGGGAAATATTAATATATTATAGTTTTTGAGATGTATTATATAAAAATTTAGCAAGACTCCATTATTATAATCCAGCTTTAGCTTCCTCTTGGGTATTTGCAAAAGATTCTAAATATTTCTTATTTGCCATCCTCACATAGTCAAGTGCGTTATCTTCATACTCCAATTTTCTTTTTGGCTTTGGGTTTGCCTCCCACATTTTGTTTTCCATTTCAGCTTCCATTCTTAGCAGCTCTTCATCTTCTTCTGTCTTATAATATTTTTCGTTAACCTGCGCTTTTAAAACTTCATTATTTTTTACAGGTTTAGCTGGAGCAGGCCTTTGTAAAAATTCTCGAACCCCTGGCAAGTCTTTTGCAGCACCATAGTACAAATATCCTTCAGAGCCTGGAATTTCTTGTCCTTGGCTGTCAACTTGTCGGTAAACAACTTTTTTATAATCAGGACCTCCTAGCTGCCTAATTCTGTCTTCCCATAGTGATTTTTCTCTTGCTAATCTGTTAATTTCATCATTTAGAGCCCTTATTTTATGCTCTCCTAGATGAGCATTTTGTATATCTGTAATAAAAATCGCGATTTCTTGCATTACTTGATATCGCCAATTTTGGCATTCCATTAAGCTAGCTACATCTAGAGGATTTGTCGGGCGGCGTACTAAGGTGCCTAAAGCCATTTCACGCTTCATGTTAACCCATCTGTTGAGCATTGCTTGCACCTTTTCTTCACCTTGAGGAGGCTTTTTCTCAGACATAGAAATTATTAAATAAATCTAAAAGTTAAGCTTAAAATGGCTATTTATCTCTTGATTGGTAGGAATTTTTAAATCCTCGCAAGGATTTCTAGTATCTAATACATTTTTCAATTTTGATGCCTAAATAAAAATTACTATTTCATTTATTACATCGTTTTCTAAACTTACAGACTCTGTAATCCAATTGTCTAAATCAGCATAAGCTTCTTCGATTTTTTCGGTATATTTTTGGATGCTATTAGTTGCCCATTTTTCTATCAGCCTGCATCTGAATATAAATATTTCATTATTTCTTTCGATTTCAGCTAGGTCAGAAACTATTGATTTCTTAATCCCCTGAATCATGAGCAAATCATTAGATAAATTTCTATTTTTGGCTTCCTTGGTTAGCGAAATCTTTTGGTGCAAACTATATATTTTAATTTTATTAATGATTACATAACGAAATCTAAAGGAATTCTAATAAATTTTGCTTATTTCAGGCATTAACAAATTTGAATTTTTACGAAAAATCAAAAATTAACCTGGCTAGCGAGCAAATTTTTGTCCGTGTTAGCAGTTTCTATTAAAAGATTCAAAGCAGGAAAACTTTCACCTGCTTGAACCTCAAGATTCCAATTAATTTTTAAAATTGGTGTTGAATATTCAGAAAATTCAGTTTCGGTCGTAAGTGCTTTAAATAAATGAATCAGGTTCAATATCGAATAATATTTATTGATTTCAACCTGCAGTAATTGCCTAGCAAGCTTGATGATCCCAGTTAATTCTTTATTTAGGGGAGATTCATTCATAATTTCTTCTCTATGAGAAATTGCATCTATTTTCCTTTGATCTGTAATATCCCATAGCAAATCGATCAGTTCTCCTATTTCAGCATAAGTTTGACTTAACTCGGAAGAGCTAAACACTGTTTTCGTGACAACAATCCCGTTTAATCCATTTAAGAAATTTTTTACAATGTTTTCTTTATCATCATTTCTTTCTAAAAATTCTCTAAACTCATTTCCCATTTCTTGCAAATGTGTCAAATATCTTTCTCAGTGCATATCCACTAATTTCAATGAAAACCCGATTTCTTTTAAATATTGAAATTTCATTGTCTCCCATTTATCAGCTATAAGTTTTGCACTATCATTGCTTAAAAGTAATGTTTGCCCATTAAAAACAATAGTGCTATCTTCTTCTTTGTTTATAGGCTGAGATTTAATTACAGATATATCAGCCAATCTTTTTTTAATAATTTCAGTAACAGCCTCAATAGGCTGATCTGCATCAAAAAATAGTAGAGTTTCCCATCTGTCCCCAAATTCACTGAAACATCGATATAGCTCTTCTTTTCTTTCATTAAAATCTTGTATTTCCTTTTTTAATTCTTCTTCTGTAGGCTTATCAATTGGTTTGCATTTATTTAGAATATTGTCAGGTGGTGGACGATATGTTAGATTATAAACATTTCCACTATTGTCTACTCTTCTATCAACACATCTTCTAATTAAAGTATTTTTTTCTACATCAAGCCAAATTACTAAATCAAAAACGGTTCTAAACGGTTTTGGAGGAGGATACTCTTTTGGAGAAGGAAATGCAATAATTTGTGCTTCGCGTTTTTTAATAGATGATACAGACTCTGGAAGTTCTGAAGGATGAATAAACCCCCCTAGTTCTTTTTCAATATCAATTGCTTCTTCAGCTGAGCTTGGATAGCTTAAAATAGCAAAGCCTTGACACTTGACTTCTTCTTTTTTTCCAGGCTTTTTAACTTCTTCCTCTAATTTTGGTTCATCACCAAACACTCCTCTGAGCCTTCCTCTTAATAACTTTGATCTTCCATTTGCTGTTTCTGTACTATTTTCTAATGCTGCCTGTATAAAAATTTCTGGCTCTTCTTCAGCTAGTTTTCGTCTTTTAGGATCCTCAGGCTCTGATTTTCTTTGGACCACTTTTGCAGCATCATCTATAATCTTTTGCATTTCAAATATTTTAAGCCCAAACAATTCCTGTAGTTTTTTGGATTGAGTTTTTTTACCTGAAAAAGGTGGGCCAATTATGCAGATTTTGTAGGGAAGATAATGAGGCCCAGGAGGAAATGGAGGCAATGGATCTGGAGGATAAGCAGCGTCCATTACAACTTCAATAATATCGCCAAGGTATTCATCATTTGGCACATTTTCAGCTTCCCATATGCCTTCTGCATTTAAATAGTCATTTAATTCTTTTTTTTCAATTTGTACAGAAGTCTTGGGTTCTCCAAATTCATCAGTTTCTTCTGCAACTTCAGAAATATTAGCTTGGTCTATTAGAGAGTTAGATTCTTCAGCCCATGGCGGAAGTCCTTCTTTGAATTTTTCCATTCATCCATTTCATATTTTTTCAGGTATTTTTGGGTTTTCTTTCAAATAATTCGCAGACTCTTCTGCTAAATCTAAAATTAAATTCATGACTGGGCCGCATTCTTTTTGGTGCTTTTCCCTGCTAGCTTTCATTCCTTCAATGATTTTTCTTTTAATTTCTAGCTTTTTCTCAGGAAGCTCTTTGAGAATCTTTGCATTCATTTCTTCAATTTCTAATTGCCGCTGAGCTTCAATTGGTCCTCATTTTTGCATACTTTTTTCCATAATTTCTTTGATATTTTTCTCTGCTTCTTGGGTATCTTTGATAAACTTTGAAAATTTTTTTACTTTTTTGATTCCAAATCCAAGAATGTTATAAATTGGTTTTGCTAACTCCCCCTCCGTGAGTGAACAAAACATTAGAAAAATCGCTATTTTTTGCCCAAAAGCCCACCCTCCGTAAGTGAACAAAAATTTTTTTTTAATAGAAAAATTTTTATGGAAAAAAAATTTTGATATATAAGTGATAATTAGCATAATGAAACCTAGTGCTAATTCTGTTTAATTTTTAAACAAATTGCTTTTTAAAAGATAAATTTATAAATTCAATTAATATTTGCTTTCCAATTCTCACGAATTAGGATTTTTTTAAATTTCGAAAAAAATATTTTTTAGAAACGTTATATATAAAAATTTTTTTTAAAAAGAAAAAAAATTAACCCCCCTCCATGAGTGAACAAAATTTTTTTGTTCACTCACGGAGGGGTGGGGGGAGTAAGCCTTCAACAATTGCTTTTATATGGTTTCTATAAATATCAATTTTTTTAGTTCTTAGCTGCTCGACATGGATTTTTCTTTGCCTTATTTCTTTCTCTTTTGCAGCCTGAACATTTTTGCTTTTATTTTCCTTAATTTTTGCCATAGTTACAGCAGCTTCAGTTTGCAAATTTTGTTTCTGTTTTTTCCTTTCAGGCTCATCGCTGACATGATCAATCCCTAATCTTGTCATATTTCTTTCGAATTCATCAATACTGTTTTCAGCATCCAAAGCATTCCCATCAATATATTTGACCTGAGTAGTTTTGAAGTCTTGTGCTAATTTTGTTTTCAATTCAAATTCCTTTTGTTTTCTCGAAGCTAAATTAGACTGATTTTTCTTTCACTCTTTTTTCCCTTCTTCTTCCCATTGCTGCATAAACAATTTATTTTCTTTTATCGCATCTAAATGAGCTTTTCTTGCCTCTCCTTGTAATTTTTTAATAACTTCTTCCGTCTTTTGGTGGTCTTCGTAGGCCTGTTTAGATTGTTTTATTCTTTCTTCTTCAAACTTTTGCAGTCGTTGAGCCATCCTTTCCGTTTTTGAAATTAATTTAATAGAAACTGCTGATTTAGGTTTTGCAGCTAGTAGAGCGCGAGGATCTAGAGTATGAAGAGCTTTAAATAAGTTGCTAAGCACCTTTTTAGAATATCCAAATTCCTTGTTTATAAGCCTTTGTGGATCGAATTTTAATCTTAGCCTTTCAAAGGACAGCTGGACTTTTGCTAAATTGCTTGAAGCAAATTTTGGTTTGTTGATAAATTGGCCAAAATCTTCTTGGCGATCATATCTGTATAAAATTTGGCCTAGCAAATAGCCATTAGAGAAGTCTTCTTCATAATTTGAGATGGAAAATCCTAAATCTGCAAGTCAATTTTCCATTTTTATTAATTTATCAAATTAGAAGGGAAGCAGATAGCTTTACAATCTAGAAAATATTAAAATAACGATTCATAATTATTTGTATAGAGAAATAAAATATTCATGATATATTCATTATGAAATGAAAAATTATTTTTAAAAGTTAAATCACTAAAATAAATGGGCATCTATATAAAAAAATATTGGAAAATAAGAGAATTTAATTGCGCTTTAAGAATCCTTAATGATTTATTTTAAATTTGCCATTTGACTGCTATAAATTAGGGAAAATTTATAAAGTGATTTTTAGCTGGCAAATTAATAAGCATAATTTCAAATTTTTTTGTCTTAATGAGCCAACTCTATTAAAAGAGCTTATATATATGCTTCCTTGATAGCAGAGAAAAAGTTGGAAGCTTTTATTATAATTTAGCGAATAAAGTATAATTATAAGTAGACTTTTCTAAGAAAAGGAAAATTGTAATTATTCACAAAAATTAATTAATCATTTAATGAGCTTCCAAAACTATAAATAATTATGTAAGTCAGTTTGATAAAAATTAATTCACATGCATCAGTTATGAATGCTTTCAACACAATTAATTATGCAGCTAATGGATTAATTGTTCAACAATCCATTCATCTAAAATAAAGAATTTACAAATTGCATATCAATTTTTAACTTAAAATTAAATTTGAGAAACGAAAAAATTGAGATTTTAGTACAAAAAATCCACAAGCAGTATTATGAATACTCAAAATTAACCTAATAATAATTTAATTTAAATTAGGCATAAGTTTCTAACAAAATGAGCCATTCGAATAAAATTTATTTAAAACGGCTTAAAAATTCAAAGGTAATAAATATGGATGGATAAGCCTAAATTCGCTTTGAATTTCAATGAGATTTGGCATTTTTTATGATAGTTCATTGATGATCAATGAATCCAATTTATGTTGCTTAATTTATTATATACAATGCGTGATTAACTTAATTAGAATGCTAATTTACATTGTAAGTTACAAAATAGCTTGTAAAGTTTGATTAGCTTCAAAAAGAAATTTGAGTTTTAAATCAATGCTATTTCTGGAAAGATCTAGATATTTCAAGGAGAAAAAGTTCTTATCCACCTCAGTGAGCAAACAAAACCATTGGAAATGGCCTATTTTTTGGGTAATTGCCCGACCTCCGTGAGCGAACAAAAAAATCAGTTTAATACAATTTGCTTGTTTTAAAAAAATATTTTGATATATAAATGGTAATTATTTTAATGAAATGTCTAGATAATTCTGTTGAATTTTAAATAGCTCTCCCATTTAAAACATTACAAATTAATTTTTAGCATTTCAATTTTCGCATATTGGAATTTTTTATATTTCGAAAAAAAAAATTATTATAAAATTTTTATATATAAATTTTTAAAACAAAATTAAACCCAGAACGAAAAAAATTTTTTTCTACCACGATACTGTTAGCGATATATTTTGCTCCGATGTCAGAAATCATATTTTCACAAGCATCAAGAGCCTTGAGGTTAGGAAGATAGCACCAAATTTTACCCAAAGTAAAAATTCCTTCATCTTCAATCAAATTTTGCTTTAAACTTAAAACCTCTAAACCTTCTAATTTTGCCAAATTTTCACATAAATACTTCATACCATAGGATTTTATATTATTTCTGTCCAGGTACAGCTCTTTAAGTTTCTTTAAATGCTTAAATGGATTTAATTGTTGAATCCCATCAGCAGAAAACCTGTTCCCCTCGACTCCCAAAACCTCAAGATTAATCATTTGTGCAATAGAATGGGATAGTCTTTTAACATGAACATTCATTATTTCAATGTTACTTAGCTTGAGAATTTTTATATGTGTAAAATAAGATGTTATCATCTCAAAGTGATAAACACCATCTAAACCAAATGAAACAAAATTTAAATTAATTTCGTCCATATCAATTTCTTCGTGAACAAAAATTGCTTCAAAAATACTTTTAAAAGATGATGGCATTTTTGAATTGCTTGCATAGTAAGATAATAAAAGTTTTGAATTTGGCTTAATAGGCGAGTCTAAATATTGATTTTCATCTGCTGTTGATACAGAAAGAGCCGAAACTTTTGGCTTGATCACTCTTGTTTTTGATTTATGTTGTTGGCAACAGCCCATTTATATTATTAATTTCAAAATCTCCAATATAAGATATCTGAATTTTAAGGAAAAATTAATGAAGCCAAAGACTCAATTAAGTAAAGGAGCTAGTTATATGGAATTTTTAAATTTTTTTTCTCAAATTAAGGCCTAAAATTTACCTTAATTAATGATGCTGAGAGATCTGAAACGGATGTTTCTTTAAGAGCTTAAAGAAGCAGCTCTTCTTTACTATCAGAATTATCCATAGCTTAGGGCTTGAAAGATTATTATTTTATTTGGTAATTCACAGTTGCCATGAAACAATTAAAAATGGGAAGCACATCACAAGATTTGAAAAATCATCAGAAATTGCTTGCAAGATCTAATTATTCGGGTGGCTATGTATGCATTATAAGAAATCAATTGTTAAATATTAGAAAATACATACTCCAAGTTATTTAGCGTTTTGTTTCATATAAACTGGGTTATTGGGTTAAATTTTTTAAAAATTAACATCAGAATGACAATTTTTTAGATTTGTTTCTGGCGTTTTGCTGCTTTATTTTATTTGACTAATGCTATATAATATTGAGATCCAAGCTCCTACATAAAATACCAATGTTTTAATATTTTGATTTATTAGTTACCCCTTTAAACTGTATAAATTTTAATTTGTTCCTTATTAAATTAATTTTTTTTTTTTAAATTTTAAAGAATCTCTATTTTATTAGATTATTGAGTTTTGAAGCCTATGTTGATGACTAAATCACTTCTTATGGTTGATTCCGCAGCTTTCTGTCGTCTCAAAGCTCTGAAAACAACTTCATTATGTGCATCTTCCCTTATATATATAAAAATTTGCATGATATGAAAATCGTTCGATCAAGGATGGGGGTTAATTTCCCCAATTTTTAGGAATTTTTACAGTCAATCGTTCGATCAAGGATTGGGGAGGGGGTTAAAGAAAAATTCCTTTTAAAAAGCCAAATTTTAAAATTGACAAATATGAGATACAAGATGAAATTTTAAATTGAATTTAGACTTTTTAGATTTTCTTATAATTTTAAATTAATATTTTTCTTTTAAAAGTCATAGTCTTTAAAGATTTATAAAGGGATACGCGGTATACATATTTTCTGGAAAATTTCTATCAGAATTCCATTTTGAATTTCTAAAATAAACATAATTGACATAATGATTATCATTAAGATTGAAATAATTATTTCAGTGTTAAATGCTTTTAATAAATCATAAACATTTCGAAATCCAATACTTTATTAGTTTGTATTCCTATCACTGCTTACTTTTAGTTTAAATTTATTTTATATCTTCACCTAATTTAAATAAAATCTTTAAAATTAATTTAATAGAATATATTAGTTAAAATTACTATAGCAATAAAAAGATATTAACTAATTAATCACAAATTGCTTATATATATAATATACAATTATTCCGTAAATAAGGATTGCAAATATACTATATCTTCAGCCATTTTTGAATTATATTCCTTACCTCCATATACAAAAGAATCAAAAGGAACTGACTTATCTGTTTCTCATTCTTTGATTTTTTCTCTTGTTTTTTGATTTATTTTATATATTCTTAAAATTTTACGTTTTCTTTCGTTTATATCAGTACTTTCACTTATATTTTTAATAAGATTTTCTCGATAATGTACTTCTTTTAATAGCGTGGCTGTTAGATTTCTCGCATCATATAACTCTAGCAATTTTATTAAAAGCTTTCTAGCTGTAATACAATTGGGTGGATTAAACATAGCTTGAAATTGCTCTACATCCTTTTTAGTGCCTAAAAGCTCGATTAAAAGTAATTCTAGAGTCCTAAGCCCTTTAAAATGTAGTAATGCACATTCATCGAGGTCTCCAGGAATGTTGTTTAATATAAGTTTAATTTCATCTTCAGACATCCTTTCATCGTTAGGTACTGTGTTGTTGCTTAATTGAAAATTTAATAAAGATTTCTTTCAATCATCAGTCAGCTTAATATCGGTGTTATCTAAAAAGCTTTCAACTTCTAAGGGTGATGATTCTGTAATAGCTAAAACTTCTGGAGAAGCACTTTGAGATCTCCTAGTATTCCCTGTAAATTTTTCTTGGAATTTTCTAACTCACCTCGAGTAAATCAAAAAATTTGTTCGCTCACTGAGAATTTTTTTTTTAAATTATAATGATCAGAATATTTTTTGTTCACTCGTGGAGGTTGGGCTTTTGCCCAAAAAATAGGAATTTTTCAATGGCTTTGCTCGCTCAAGGAGGGGAGGAAGCTTTTTTTTGTGTTCGTCTTTGGGCTTATAGCTTTGCTTCGAACAATTGCTAAATTTTCTGATTCTTGGTGTCTTTGAATTTTTCGCAGAAAATGATCCTATTTTTTCGGATTTTGGTGTTTTATTATGTTCAGTTTTTAATGGAATTAAATCCAGCAGCATTTTCGGCTTTGTCTTGAACTCTGTGATTACTTTATTCCATACTTCTGGTTTATTTATGTATCTGATTTCGTTCATAATCAGTTCAGCTTCTCCTGCTTGACATCATGAATCTGCAGCTCTTGGCCTTAAGCATAGAGAAATATTTCTCTTATTTCTTGAGTTTCTTCATATATTTCTTAGCTGATTTTTTTCTTCATAACTCTGAGGATTCTAAATTCGATCTTACAAATATTTTTTTCAATTTGCTTTTTGGCGAGTATTTATACATGATTCTTATGGAATTTTTAAAGGTTTGGTTGTTGAAATCGTTAGAAATTTCGGTGTTATCTTGAATTGTTGATATGCTGTCATTCGTTCTTTCTGTTTTTAATATTTTTACGGGTCTATTATGCGGGGTGAGTTTTTCAACTGTGTTTTCTTTCATAGGCATTTCTTCAAAAATTGGCTTATTACGAGCTCTTCGTTTTGAAGCTGAAAGTTTCGGAGATTGACTGTGAAAATCATTTCTTGAGAGAGTAGAGTCTAAATATTCTGAAGGATATAAAGAATTCACAATAGATTGAAAATTTACTTGCTCAGAAGATTGCATTGATTGAGTAAATTTCTGATTCATTGCGATTCAAAATTATATGAATTATTTAATATATATTTCATAGGGCTATAATTGTTGAATTTTGTGAACTAGTATTTTACTATATTAATTCTTATAAATTATAGCAAAAATTAGACTATAAACATTGATTATCTAGTTAATTCCTCTTCTTCTGTAGTTTCTTCTCCATTATCGGGGTTTTCGTCCCTAAAAATAGTGTCAATCATTTCATCTAATGTCTGCACAGTGCTTGACACAGTCGCTTCATCTTCACTGTTCTCGACTTCAAAACTGCTATTTTTATTTACATACAAAAGATCACCATTCGGACTTTTTCTTATAGTTTCGAATTCTTCGGTTATTTTTTCTATAATTTCTTCTCTATTGATCTTAATTTCGTACCCAAGTTTGGCTAGTTCTTTATCTTCTTTTTCTTTATAGTCCTTAATTTCATTTTCAAGGGCATTTTTTTCATATTCCAAAGCTCGCAATTGGTCCATCATTGAGTTTGTTAGCTCTTGCTCTGAGAGATTTTGGCTTCGTTTGAATTCGATAGAAATTTTTAGATCTCTTTCAGCTTTTCTAAGGTCTATTAAAAGTCCTTTATTCCTTGCAAACAATGCAGGAAGGATTGCAATATCATTACTTGATTTTGCTGTGAAGATTGCATCGATATTTTGCTTAAAGCGATTAATGCAATTCAAAACCTTATTGTGTAACTTTCTAGTGCTATCGTCCATATTATTATATGTACCAGAATTTGCGCCATATTAGTTTTGGGAGTTCTCAAGCTAGAAGGAAGCTCATTGCCTCATCAGAATTTCAAATCATATGCCATTTTAAGATATAGATACTTGCCATGGGTCTTTGATACTATATTTTGTAGCAAGTGCTTTACTTCAAGCATGAAATAAATTTTATTGTTTACTTCGCCAGTCCGTGAAAGAACAAATCTCTATTTTTTGGGTAAACCCAACCTCAGAGAGTGGATAAAAAATTTTTTTAATAGGAAATTTTTTATTAAAAAATATTTTGATATATAGTGATAATTAGTATGATTAATTTTAATTGGGATATTTTTTAATTTTCGATAAAAAATATTACTATAAAATTTCTATATAAATTTTAAAAAAAATTAACCCTCCACGAGAAACAAAATTTTTGTGATTTCACAGAGGGTGCAGTTATAAGCTTGGGAGAAAAATGTAAAATTTTATAACTATAGAATATTGCTTCAGAGATCAAACGATATGAACCTTAAATCAAAAATTATCTCAACTCAAATAAAAAAAAACGAATTATAAAGATGGGTCGCTTTATCAGATTCCCCATTTTTATATAAGAATAATATCAATTTTTTATATTTTCTAAATATCTTATCATTTTTATGATAAAATTAAGAACTCACATTATAATAAGTAGAATAATCATATGCAATCCCATTGAAATTTTGCTTACAAAGATTTCCAAGTTCAAGGGTTCTGCTAAAGCATTGCTCGCCACCAATAAAATCTATAATACCTACTGCTGTCAAAGTCACAGCATTATTTATGATAATGCGTCCCATTATTACCATATCCAAACCAAATAAGTAAGGTACGTTATATCTTTGGCAATTTTCTATTAGTTCATTGACCAGTTCATCCAATCCACCTTCTCCAGGAACTTTTTCAATATTTGGAGCAATTATAACTAATTTTGCCTTATTTTTCATGACACTTCTATTGCACTCCTTCAGCCCTTTTACTATTTTTTTTTTAACTCTCGCATTTTTTTCTTTCTTTTTATTATAAAAAGCTATTAATGTAGATAGCAGTTCTTCTAAACGATTGTCAAGCTCATGAGTTAAAATTTGGTTAACATATTCACGACAGAAAAAATTTTTTGGCCTACGGGATTCGTCTTTTCCTTCTTCTTTGCGGTTTTCTTTAATTATTGATTTTAGCTTGGAAGGCTTTTTAGGGACAACTTTATAGCAGCCAGAGTGAAGATCTTTTTTGGGAATTCGAGCAGTAACTGCCTGGCCATCAACAATAATTCTAGCTTTTACCATTGGGTTTGAAGGTGCAGCAGATATTGGTAGATATTTGTCTTTGAGATTTTTATTAGCGACTTTTGGAGGATCAGATAATATAATGTGTTCCAGAACGATTTCTGATAGCTGGAATCCAGTTTTTTTAGCTGTTTTGTCAGCTTTTCTTTCTTTCAGCTCTTGCAAAGCTTCTTGTTTGGCGTTTTTGGGCTTTTGGATATTTAAAGGAGTGCTAGGCGAGAATGGGATAAATTCAGGTGCATCTAAATTAAATCCGTAGGACATTTATTTAAAATTATAATTATTTTCAATTGCATTAAGCAGCTTTACTAAAAATACAAAGCCACTTCTTGCTCCTGCATTTTATAATCGCTATTCTCTTCATCATCGTCAATTTCTTTATCCTCTCTTCTTTGAAAGCTTAAATCTTGAATGGGTAAAAATCCATTCGAATTCTTCAAATATTCAGCTACCAAATTATTATTTCTCTCATAAAGTTCTGAACTGGGTGGTAGGATTATTTTCCCCTCGTCTATCGAATTTTCAAGCTTTTTAGCTCATTTATCTATATAATCTGGATCAATATTGCAAGTATTTGCGGCCATATCTTTACTATTTGTTTTGTAGTAATAATACAATGAATTTCGGATAGTATCTCTTGGGATTTCTCCTTCAGATTGTATAGCATCTTCATCACTCAGTTCTTTTCCTTCACTTGCATCATTGATTCAATGCTGAAGCCTATAAAATGGCATTCCTAATTCATTAGCCAAATTTTGTTTTGAGGCACCTTCAGATATTTTGTTTACTATAATTTGTTTAGATTCAGCAGATTTTAAAAGATCATAAGGAGATAATTCTCCTAGTAAGTTCATGACCCTTTTTTTGGGGCATTTCATTTTTTTGCTAATATCTTTAATAGAAAGTCCTTGGCTTTGTAGTTTTTCACATTCAGCTTTCATTTCAGACATTTTTATTTGTATTTCTTCTGGAGCTTGCTTTCAATTACCAATACCATGTACACGATCTGGGCTGAGGTTAAACAGTTTTGCAATAAGAAGAGGGTTAACGTTTTTGGAGTATAAATCTCGAACTTTGGATTTTATTTGGTCCATATGTGCACACAGTTGTTGATCTGAATTTTTTGCTTTTTTTGCTATTGGAATGCAAGGAGGAGACTCTTTCTGGCGCTTTATTGGGAGTGAAAATTCAGGTTTTTTGTGATCTAAGGGTTGAAATTTAATAGTTTTTGAGGACTTTTTTTCTGTAAGAGGAAGCAAATGATTTTGGAAAAAGTTATACATTTCTTCATCAAAAGTTTGGATAAAGGCTTGGAACCGAGTTTGAGCAATTCTTTGTATACCCATAAATTTTTTGAAGATCTCAATAATATCACTAGATTCTTCAGACATGAATTTTATATCCCCCTAATTTTTTATTAAATATTTTTATAACTTTTTAATTTAAATAATAATTCAAAGGTTGATTTTTATTTATCTTTCCTTCACAAAAATATTTTATAAAAATATTAAATAAATAGAACAAGATTATTTAATAAAATGGAAGAGCTTCTACAATAATTTCATTTCTTTAATGAAATGCCTTTTGCTAATAGGCAAGATTTTAAAATTTGAATCGCATTTGATTATGAGGAAAGAAATTTAGACTAAACAGACGCCAGGGCTCTTTAGACTTATAAAATTTTAAAATAGATTAGCTTTGAAAGATTACAGATCTATATGAGGAAGCTTTGATGACAATATTTTAAGTTGCTCTTGCAATTCCCTTATTTTTTCATCCTTTTTATTTATTGTAGCCCAAACTCTTTCTTCTATCACTTCAAATTCTTCAGCTTCTTTTTGAGTAATTTCTGCGATTCGAGCTTCGTAATATTCTTTTAATATTTTTATTTGCTCTTTCAGCATGTTATTTTCATCAATAATAGTTTTATTTTTGTTGCTTTCATTTGATTTCAGCTCCTCTAATCTATTATGTTGGTTAGCAAGCAAAACTATGAGAAAATCAAAATTAAACCCTTTGTTAGAGATCAATTTTAGTTTTAATATATATATATTATTTCGATAAAATATTTCTATATATAATTTAATGACTATTATAATGTGCTCCACCTTCAATTATATTTATTTTTAACTGATTATTAAAATATTTATTTTATAGATTATTAAATTTTTTCATTAAATATTGCACTCATCATTAGTGGATACATTGCATAAATCTGAATTTATTTAACTCCCCCCCATCCTTGATCGAACTACTCGCCATCGTTCGATCAAGGATGGGTTAAAAAATTTTTTTGGGAAAAAAAATTTTATATATAAAAAAAATATATATATATATATTTTTTTTATTTACTTTTAAATAAGAGGGTTAAGAGTATTTAATAATTATTTTTACAGCAAAAAATTGAATTAATTTCATAAAAATACCAATTTTTTATATTTTAATTTATTAGTAACCCCTTTAAACTGTATAAATTTTAATTTGTTCCTTATTAAATTAATTTTTTTTTTTAAAAATTTTAAAGAATCTGTATTTTATTAGATTATTGAGTTTTTAAGCCCAGGTTGATGACTAAATCACTTCGAATGGTTGATTCCGAAGCTTTCTGTCGTCTCAAAGTCTCTGAAAAACAACTTCATTATGTACATCTTCCCAAGCTTTTGATAACTATTATATTTTTATATATATAAAAATTTGCATGATATGAAATCGTTCGATCAAGGATGGGGGTTAACTTTCCCCAATTTTTAGGAATTTTTACAGTCAATCGTTCGATCAAGGATGGGGGGAGTAAGTTGAAAAAAAATTTAAAAAAATCAACCCTCTGGTAAGAGCAAAAATATTTTGTTTGCTAACTAAGGTTGGGAAGTAAGCTTCTTTTAATGTTTTCAATTTCAATCATCAAATTTTTATTGTTTTCTTCAAATTTGCTTTTTTCGTAATTTAGCTTATTAATTTCCACTTCTTGCTCTTTTGCCCTTTTGGTGATATTTACAAACTCAATTGAGTCTTTATAGCCACCCTGTCTATTGATTTTCATTTCTAACTCTAAAATTTTTAGGTTTCTGTCTTCAACTATATATTTTTTCCTATGGATTGTATAAAAATTATATAAGGTTAGGTATTTTTTTTATTAATTATAACTCGGTATATCTTTTCTTTGGCATCTTTTTCCAATTTTAATTGGGCTTGCAAGTCTTTTAGCTCATTAGATAATTTTTCAATTGCAATTTCATACTCCTCAATTTTCTTTTTTTCTTTTATAGATAAATCTTGACTCTTTGAGCTTTCTTGGAATTGCAATTTTTCATTTTCATATATAGTTCTCAGCTGGTTTATCTTAACTCTATATAGATTTTCTTGCTCCTCCAGCAGAATATTCGCATTCCTTTGAGCCTCTTGAAACTTTGCCATCCATTCTTGATCATTTAAATTAACCTTTTCTTGAAAATGGATTTCTATTTCTTTTTTCTCCTCTTGCAATTTTTCTTTCTCTTTCCTTAACTCATCATTAAAATGTGATAAAATTTTGTTTTTTTCCAAATTTATTTTTTCATTTTGTAGATTTTGGACTTCTTTAAGTTTTTCTTGGTATTCTAACTCTAACTTTGCTTTAGTTTTTTGCATATTTTCATGGTGCTCTTCTTTTAGTTCTTTTATATTTTTTATATGCTCTTCTTCACAGCTTTTGATTGCAGAGTTTATGATCTCTTTTGATTTTTCATTAATCCACTTTTCTTCGTTATTTTTTAATAATTCCTCTTTCTCAAGCATTTCAGATTGAAATTTTTCAGTAATTTCTTTTATAGTGTTAGAATGGATTTCTTCCATTTCTTTAACTTTTAGATTCAGCTCGTTGAGCTGCTTAATCCTTTGCTCTTTTTCTTTTAACAACTCTTCCATAAACAAAACATTTTTATCTGTGATTTCCTCATATTTAATTTTCTCTTGGTCTATCAATTGATTTTCAATTTCTTTTTCTTTTAGCTGTGTCTTCTGCGTTTGTATAATTTCTTTCAAGGACTCGATAGTTTTATTGGCTTCTTCGAGTTCAATTTTGTAGTTAACAAATACAAGATAGCTTTGAGAGTCTGATCTGCTGGTTTTAGCTAAAGCTACGTTATTAAGAATTGTTGTACTATTTTCAGATTCATCTAAAAATTGAAGGAGCTTTTCAGCTCTATTTTCTTTGAATTTTGATTTAAAAGACATATCAAAAATATTTTGATTTTCTTTGTTTTCCAGATTTTCTTTTGGCTTTTCAATGCTGTTGATAGTCTCTAAATATTCTTGTGAAAATCTAGCTGTAGCTAACCCTAATGGGCTACTGCGCTCATCTATAGAAACTTCTTCATTGATTTCTAATTCTGATATGAAACTTTGAATAAGCTCAGGATTTATATTGGTTGCAACTTGCTCATAAGGAGTTAAAAGTATTTCTGTTACGAATTCTGATTTATCCAAGTTCTCCCTTATCTTTCTCCATCACCTTTGGATCACAATTGCTGACTCACTTTTAATTTGAATCACTGATTTGGCGTTTTTCTGCGTTTTTGCCTGCCCACATCTCTTTTTAGACCTGAGTTTAAGCGAAGTCCACAGCACTTGCGTAGATGCCCTATTCATAATTTCAAAAAAATTACGTTAAAATATTTAATTTACAATAAATCGCTTGGAGTTAATCTTTTTCTTAAAAAGCTTGGAACATAGCGTGAAGAAGAGCTGGAGCTTGTCAAAGTATTGCTTTTTGGGGATGATAAAGGTTTTAATGTCTTTGACTTTTCAGGGTCTAAACTAGGAGGCTTTTTGCTTCTCGAAGAAGTTGCTCTTTCTTGCCTTCGAGTTTTTGACTGTGAAGAAGGTAGTAAAGTAACGCTTTGAGTCAGAGTCGTTTTTGCTCTTTGAGGAACTTCAACTTTAGCTATCGAAATTTCAGTGTTCATTATGCTGTGATAAGGAGCATCTACGCTTCTTTCATACATTGATTTAAGTTCTTGTAGCTCCAAATCTCTGGCTTTAATCTGCTTTTCGTAGGCTATTTTTAATTCTTTGATTTCGATTTCTTTTTTTTCAAGTTGCTTTACTATTCTAATCCGTTAAATTTTGTATTTTCTATTTTATGATGATATTATATAAGCATTTAATGCGATTATCATAGATTTTCGTTTATTTGTCTCAAATCTTGTGAAGGGCTGCTTATTTTATTTTCCATCAACTTCTTTGTAGCTTCTTTGAACTTTTGTTCATAAGTATTCTTCAAATGATTTGATTGCTCCAAGCTTATTTGCATCTGAAATAATGATTCCTGAAGATTTTTGTTGCTATTTTCCAATGATCTTGCCATAACTTTCGTTTCTGGGTCTTTTATTTTATCTTGCAGCTGTTTGATTTGAGAAACAGCTGAGCCATATGCTTCTTTGATTTTCCTTATTTCCTCATCTTTGACTTCAATTATTGTGTTAAGCTCAGTTATCGTAACTTCTAAATTAGAAATTTGAGCTAATAGCTTTTTGTGGGCTTCTTTAAAAGAGTCTTTCTCTTGTTTTAGAGCTCGGAGTTCTATAAGTTCTTTAATTAAGCTTTGACTATCCATTTAAGTTATTTATTAAGTGTTTATAATAGGCTTATCTACTAACTTCGAACCATTTGATTTTAGCATTTTCAATGATATGCCAAAGCAAAAGACAAAAATAAACCAAAAGGCGAAATTCCCTGCACTGTGATTTGCAGTCCATATTGAAAACCATATAGCAGCCATCAAAATCAGCATAAATTTGAGCAAAGTCATATACTTCCATTTCATTTTTTCCTTTGCTTTTTTCGGTGTAATTTTGCCGAGGAAAGAATCCCATGCATTTTGATTGGCGCCATCAAGGAAATTGTTTATCACAAACCTTTGCTTACTTAACTTACTTAATTATCTGGTGTTTAAGGTGTCTAGTGCCGCAGCCCAAAAGGGCCTATGGCAAAACTGATGACGTAGGCGAGCCATCTTGGTACGGGTCAGCCCCGTCCAAGCCTTCTATCAACTCCTGCTTCACCGGCCTTGCTGCACGTCTCACCCGGCGCGTTGCCGTCGCCCTTGTCGCTCGACTCAGCTCCTGCGCGTGTTCCGCCTAAGGGTCATCCTCCCGTGGGGATGTGCTGAGAGGTAAAAGCCCGAGATCTTGAGTGGACTGAGGAGTGGTTCCTTTGGTTATCCCCAAAGTTAAACCGCTATTGCTGTCCCAGAAGTTCGCGAGTGAAAACCTAACCCTAATAATAAAATTCCATGAGGGAGAGAAAATTAGCAAAGCTAATTTCTCTCGAACCGAATGCCATTTTATTATTCCACAAACCTTTGCAAACTGTATTTCCCATCATCTAAAGCTCCTTTAATTGTTCTTTTTCCTGTTCGAGTAAAATCTGTCTTTTGAGCTGGAGTTCCTGAATAAAGAATGCTTAGCCTATCAGCGTTTTGCACCCAGCATTCTCTGAAGCATTTTTCTAGTTCTTCTGGAAAAGGCTGAAAAGCTTGCCCAGTTGCTTTATCTCCTATACCTAGCCCATTAAGTTGGCTATGCAATGAATTTCTAGCAAAAACGCTTTGCACCACATTTGTTCTATCCAAGCAATCCATGCAATTTGTTCTGAAAATTCCACTTTGTTTTCTATACACTTGCGAATGGATCATATAATCATTTTCTCCAGTAGAGACTTGGCAGTAGCCATAACTTTCTATTTTTTTGGCAACTGAATGCAAAAGCCTAGCTATGTTTTCCCATTTCATTTTTTTGCACTCTCCATGGAAATCAAACCATTCATAATTGAGCTTTTCATTTGAATGGACATGATAAAGATCAGTGAAAGCTGTGCCGATCGCATTTTGGCTCCCTTTTTTGTCTATTAAATTGACAAGGGTGACACCACCATACTTTTCCATCAATTCGGTCAGATGTAGGCCTGAACTCTCTTCATTCTGCTGAACTGAGCCATTAATTTTTGGTTTTGGAGTCCAAGCTAGGTTAGGTTTTTGTGACCAAAGCATAGGAATTGAACCTCTTGTTTGTACATAAGAGCATATAACAAAATCCCTATCTTTTCATAAACCAATAATTTGTTCAGTCTCGACAAAATTCACTGCATTCCCAGCTGAGTCTAATCCTCTAGTGTTAAATCTTGTCCCATTTCTTCTATGGTCTCTTCTAGAAATCAAAGCATAGTCTAATGAATTTCCTTTATAGTTTACTGTCTCCACTCTAGCAAAGCCATTCATTACTGGCAATATCAATTCATGCACACCAGCTTGTATGAAATCTTGGCACATTGAGTAATTCCAAAAAAATCGCTTTTCAGCACGTTCCCAAGGCGATAGACTTTTTTCGTGCTCAGAAAAGTTGGAGATTTTCTGAATAGTGTCGGTTATATCATAATTATAAGAGAAATAGAATGAGTTTGTATGAATAACACTATGTAGCATCTTCATAAATGCTTTATCTTCTTTGCATTCAGGCAGGTCATCCATTGACAAACGATATGGTATGAAGTCGATTTCTTTGATTTGATAAATAAAGCAGTCCTTAATTCTTCCTACTGTCTGCACTTGGGATATTGCTATGAGGTACTTTGAAGCTGAAAAATGTGAAATTCCAAGAAAGCCATAGCATTCAATTGGAGTCGTATGAGGAAGAGTCTGCTTTGGTTCGACCGTGATAGACCCTGAGGCACGGTTTATAATCACAGTAGAATCTGAAGCTGAACTTTGAAGCGCTAAAAAGTTGGACGTCGAGATTACTAAAAAGTTCGGCTTTTGCATATTTATGCCAGTTTAAGTCATCAATTTAAATCAGCTCATATACAAAAAATCCCAAAGTCTAATTATTATGAGCAAGCTTTCTTTCTTAATTAATTTTAAAAAAGCTTACCATGATCTCTAGAAACATATTGTAAGAATACAGATATTGTCTTGAGACCCACCATTGATTGCTCTTTCCATCAATCTATTTCCTATTTCCATGCTATTTCTCCCTTTTAGTCCTTCTAGCTCTCTTTCATTAACCACATCCCACAGCCCATCTGAAGCAAGCACTAAAAACTGCTCGTTTGGTGTAATAACCCTTCTTGACACGTAAGGTTCGCTTGAAACCCCACTTGTTTTTAGATGATGATCTCCTAATGCCCTAGTCATTAATTTTATAACAAAGCCTTCTGCAGGCCATTTTCAACCCACTACCTGCATCTATATCGCTCCATCGCTTGCTTGCCAGCCCGTATACGCCCTTCCATAGTGTTGCTCCTCACGGAACAGAGCCTGCACTCGCGGAGTTACCTTGCCGCGCATTAGCAGGGCTGTCTTTGGAAAATTCGAAACGAATACGTCCGTCAGATTGTCAACCGAAATGGAAGTCTGAACGCAACGCCCTGCTATCGCGCTAGTGAATTGTCCAATTAGCTGAGAGTTCTAATCCCTGGCCCTGCCTAGCATACCTTCAAACTCCGATGAATCGTCTTTCGACAAGGCGAAAGCCTATCTAGATGTGAGCATGCGGTTTTGAAAACCCAAAATTGCACTCCAACAAACAAGAAAAGCCTGGCCAAGACACATTTCCGAACGCTATCCTCTCTTCCTATATGTCCCAAGCTTCCTCCGGCTGCAGATTTTAAGAGGGTAGGCCATTTTAAATTATCCCAATTCCCTAGTCACTGCTAACTGTCCAGCAACTCTTCCTCTAATTAAATATCCTCCACTTGACACAATCCTATCTATTTCACTTGCGTCTGTTCCTTTGTGATCATAACTAAGCTGTTCAAATCCTGAAGATTTTACAAGAACGGCCTTGGAGTCTCCCACATTTGCGACATAAAGAACGCGTTGGTGACTTTCTTTTCTGATTAATGCTATTGTTGCTGTAGATCCTGAGGTGGCAGCACCAGCAAGTCTAAGCTGATCATCAACTTTTTTAAAGCACCGGCTGAAAGCCATTGAGACGTCATCTGAAAACTCATGAAGTGCTTTTCTCAATTCTTCATGAAGTCGGTTTTTGCAGTAATCAACGGCTTCAGAGCCTCCATGGCCATCATATATTGCAAAAAATCCTTGATTTGGGTCACCTAAATAGGAATCTATTATTTTATGACCATCTTCCATATAGGGCCGATAGCGATGATTTGACTCTTCTTTGCAAGAGTAATTTTGCACACTGTTGCCGCGAGGAGAATATTCATCTCCTGGGTTTGTTGGCTGATAGGAAGCTCCTGGAGATCTGTAGGTTGATGAATAAGTTGTCATCATAAGGTTAAAAATGAAATATGAGTAAATAAAAATTAGTTAATTTTTTAACATCCTGATTGAGTTTATACGATATTTTCTTATATGATCTTATAGGAAATTCAATAGTATGATTAAGAATTAAATCATTTAAACATTTTAGTATTTAATCATCTATTACAAACTATGATTGATATGATGAAGCATTTCTAAAATATTTTAATTTTACTAAGCACCAGATAGTTCGGATTCTAAAAATAAATTTATAATTAAGCTATTTCCTACTATTAAATATAGTATAAGAAATATTATACGCACAAATACGATCTGATTTTTAATTTCATCTGTGTCTTTTGTCATTAAGACTGCAGTGCTATATGCCGAAATTAATAATTGCTGATAAAATTAGGAAAAATAAGAATAAAATGGAACACTACCCGTTCGTTTGCTCCCTTATTTGTCTGATTTAGAGATATTGCGATACAACAAGCCAATTACGTTGGAGTCTATTTTTGTGTCCGCTGAGTTTTATGGATTTTTGATTATTAGGTTATCCCAGATAAGACCCTTTCATTTAGAATCCAATTTTCCCTCCACAGAAGTTGCTGATAAATCAACCATTCAATTAGATTTCTTATCAGATGGCGCAAAGACCATACCCACTCTAATATCAGCAAGAAAAAGTGTCTTATAAAAAGAGATGCCCAGTCCTACCGGCGGTAGGTAGCCCAACAATGCATACAGAGATAAATAATCCTTTGCATGTTTACAGAAATTTTTATATAATCATAGCTAAGATTAATATTTATTATCATGAAAGTATTTTCAATAGGATGCCATTGCAAATTGAGTTGCTATCAACCTGATATCTGACATAAAAAGCTTTAAATTTATTATTGAATTTTTATAAAAATTTATTCTGATTGAAATATTGATAATAGCTTACCAATTTAATCTAAAAGTTTCAAAAAAATCTATTTCAAGTCTATTCATCAGATGCATGATCTTTTAATAAGTTTTATTCCATAGTTTAGAATTTAATTTCTTGATCTTAGCTACTGTGTTGATTAACGGATAGTAAGTTTTCCTAATGTTAGTTATAAAAAATAATGTGGAGAGGGATTAGACTCTTATCAGCACCTTTTAGAGCAAACTACATGCTGAAGCCATTCCCAGCAGCCTTTTCTATTCGCGCATTTAGCGCAAGCCAGTCTTCAGTTGAAGTGGCAATAATTGATAGGCTTAAAGAAACTGAAGGGATAAAGATTGATAAATTGTCACCGAAATCGTCATTCAAAGAAATTGGACTTGATTCTCTTGCACAAATTGAGTTATTTTCCTATTTAGAAGAAAAATTTGATGTGACACTGAATGACGATGATACTGAGGGAGTAAAAGGAGTAAATGATTTGGTCAGGATAATTTTGGGAAAGTTTAAGTAAATTTAGATTATTATTATTTAAAGCTTTTGAATCAGAGATTCATGTAGTAAATAGATTTTTTATTGAAGCTAGAACTTGATAAGGATATTAAAAATTTATTGTTTTGCAAAAGATCTAAAAGTTATCTCGCCATTGTCCTTTACTGCCCCTAATTTTCTAATAATGAATCTTAGAAGATTTAGCATTTATATATTGGTTTAAGGATTTAAAATCACCTAGCTTTTGCCAAGATTACTATCTACCAACTTTGATTTTAATTTCCTTTCTTCTTTTTTAAATAAACCATCGTTTGCTTCTACTTTAATTTTAACTTTAAATGTCGTTTTGACTCTTCATTTTATTTTTATGACTAAATTTCTATGCTCATTTTAAACTAATTGACTTTTATACCTTAATATAAAATTAATTATAAGTTTAAGCCTAGGAAAGACTATAAATTTTCATAATTTTTGAAAACTTCTTTTTTCTTTAAAGCCAAATAAGAATTCACACTTCAATTTGCTATAAATAATTAAGAGCAGAGATTTTTTAATCAGTTTTTTTTTACTTTTCAACCTTTTTTCCTTCAGAGCTATTTTTCATTTTGGAAGAGTAGCGTTTCAGAATCTTTAAACTGAAAAATAATTATTCTTATAAGATTAAAAAATGAAATCTATATTAAATAAAGCTTAATTAATTTTCAGTATAAGCCTTACAATTTTGCAAATAAAAATAGCTTTATTTTATTCAACATTTAAATACAGGTAAAGACTAATTATTGAAATTCAATATTAAAGGACTTTATATTATACCATACTCTTATACTTCGGTTTTTCCAATCGACATTGTTACAGAATCTATTGCTTGATCAATATCTCTCATAATTAAGCTGCCAATCCGCTTATGGCCTTTTCTTTCGTTTTTGAACTTTTCCTCTTGCGTATGCTCATGGTTTTTATCAATCATCGCAAAACTAACTTCCACAGAGTGCAGCTTAATTATATCGCTGACAAATTCTTTATTGGAGTTTTTGCTTTTTTTCTTTTCGATTACGGGAGCAACAATTCTGGAAGGAATGGATTTTATGATGAAGACCCTCTGGTTCCGTCTATTATTGACCTTGCTGTTGTTGCAGCCCATAATATATTTTTATTACCATTTGTATTTTATAGCAAAATTTCAAAATTTCCCATTATTTTATGAATCTTATTTATTAAAGATATCTTACTTCAAGCTTTTATTTAATGAGCTATTTTTACTCAATAACTTCAGAAGCTGCCATAAATTTCATAAATGGCGAAATCAAGTCAGTTTATTTACTTTCACTATATATGCTGATTTATAGTTGCGCACTTTCTATTAGAATAAATTTATATTTCTTAGCTTTTGATAAGTTTAAAATTCGTTTTGTAATTTTTCAAATCGCATGCTGTCAATAAAAATAATTTAAACGCCTTTAAAGCATCTTGAACTTGAAGAAGTTTAATAATATATCGAGCATAAAAATATTTTGCAGATTGGAGTTAATGAAACGCACATAAAAAATATAAATTTTCTGATTTAATTCAATATTATGACTACTGTTTTGTCCCCTCACTCATGAAAGCTCAAATTTCCAATGGAAACAAAAATTAATCGGGCAGAAATATTTTCCAAATGAAAATGATAACAAAAATTTGGTAAAATTTGTTGAGCATTAAGGGTTAAAATAGTTCAATAAGCGCATTTGCGCTAACATAGGAGTTTAGTTTACTTAATAATAGCTTTCTTTAATTTCTAATTGACATAGATTAAATTTTTGCAATTACGAAAAAATACTTTTTTTCAACTATCTCAAAATTATGTTAGAGTTTTATATCAATTCAGCTTAATGTTTGGTATAAATAATCCTTGGCCATTATATAATTCTTATGTATAGAACAAACACAAAGACCCCGCTAGCAAATCCTGCTCCACAAGATTCTTTGAATCATAAAAAATCATCCAGTACAGAGAGTCCCTATGACGAAGATAGCTCTCCAGACCCACCACTCCTTAAGACTAAATCAAATATCGATAAGAGTCTCCGCTCTTTGCTCCCTCCAATAAGTCCTAAAAATTACCGTAAAGCCACAACTTTGCAAATCGAAGTTCCTCAACGTACAGTAAAACAGCCCACCAAGTCTTATCCTTCATCTGCTACTGAAAATAATAAAATAACCAGAAGCAAGATTACAATGATCGACGACTTTGGTCTGTTGAATCATGAAGATTTAGATTCTGACGCACAAACCTATCATCCTTATACCACTAGGAGGAGAAGTGTCGTTATTTCTGATTTTTGAGGCAAAAAAACTACTCAGGCTGTATTGCAGTCTCCTGAGCTGAAAGACGCAGTTAGGTATATGAAGCACAAAAGATTTGTTGACGACCTAACGCTAAGATCAACGATAGCAAGCAATTCTTCTCCCAGACATATGGATGAAAATATAAATTTAAAACTTATGGCATATAATGCCAAAGGGTCGTCAACGCCAACCCTCTCACCTTTTTCAGTTAAAACACCTGAATTCGTAATTAAAAATGAGCAAGATATGAAAAGGTCAAAAGAGCTGAAAATGTTGAATGAAATCATGAAAGATTGCGATGAGCTGCATACTGATATACAGAGCTTATCGGAAAATAGAAGGAAAAGCTTCCCTATTATTCCCCATAAGCTAACAGCTGGAGAGAAAAAGAGAATCAAGTACAATAAAAAGCTATTAATGTAGCATGTAAATATCTAAATAATCCTTAAAGTTTATGACTATAAGTGGGTGATCTGCTAAAATTTATAAGTTTTGAAACACCATTCTTTATAAACTACTAAATTTTTTAGCATAAATATGGAGCTTAAGTTAACATTTTATATGTAGCTTCATAGATAACAAAAAATATAGCCTGTGTTGGGACGATCTTAATTAGAGTAATTCCTAGTCCTCTGTAGAAGCCAAGCAAGCCTTGAGTTTTCCAGACTTCACCAATGCAGTGCTTGAGACCTTCATAAACCATATAAGCTTTATTAAATTTTCCAATTTCTTTTGATTTTTTAAGTATTGTTTCTGTGTACTGTTCTTGCTGTAGCCGAATTTTTATTAGGGTAACTGGGAAAAATATCGTTGATGCTCCGAGCTTGCTTAGCCCTCCTGCCATCGAAGTTCTCCAAAAATCACTTTCTGTATGCAGATTCTCTTTGAAAAACTCATAGAGATACATTGTCAAAGCTCCATTCAAGCTTAAAATGTTGCCTATTAAATACCCTCTCCAAAATCCTCTGATTCCATCTACTTTTCATGTCTTAATTCCAGCCTCAATTGTATCCTTAAACCAAGTTTCACTATTTCTCAATAAAATTGCACGGGTTTTCATTACCATCAGAGGATTTATAATAAAATTTGAAATAAAAGCACTTTCAGCAGCCACAGTAAACTTGTAAAGTTCTGGGTTGTTCGTCCTGAATGATGCTGGCTGGAACTTTTTCATTGTCTCATAGATGTAAAAGTAAACCGCCCAAGCTATACTAATTGATAGCTGAAAATGACATCCGCGATATAGTGACCTCAAGCCTTCATTATGAATCGTTTTAAAAACTTCGATAGAGTTTTTGTAGAAAGGAATAAAATTTTTATTTCTGCCATCTGAAACAATCATATGGAGCTTAATCTTTTCTAGAGGAAATAATAGAATATGAACACTTCCTGCACAAAATCCAGCAATACTTGACTTACTTGATGATCTCTGCTGCATTTTTATTGTCACTTCCTTATTAGAAAATGAACAAAAAGCTTATTTTGAATGCTAGTCTAACTAAATTAATCATTAAATTAAGAAATTTCACATTTTTCAATTTCAATATCGAATTTTATAAGAAAAATCTGCATAAAATAGCAAACCAGCTGATCCTAAACCGAGGATTGACGATATTTAAAAAAATCTAAATGACTGAATATTATTTAGTCTCTCTCTCCTTCCCCACTTGTCCATAGGGTGATATTATCTCTAAGTAACTGCAGGATTAAAGTTGAATCTTTATAGCTTTCCTCAGAAATATTATCCAATTCTGGCACAGCTTCGTCAAATGCAGCCTTTGCCATATCGCATGCCTTCTCTTTCTCTTGTTTAATTTCATAATAAAAGACTGAAAAATTAAGAGCAAGTCCTAACCTCGTAGGGTGAGTTGGAGGCAATTCGTTTTTGGCGATTTCAAAAGCTTGCAAATATGCCTCCTCAGCTTTGCTTCCTGAGGCGTTTTTGGCAGGTCCCTGAGCGAACTCTGACATATAGCGGTAGTAGTCTCCTTTCATTTTGGCGTAGAAGACTCTGGCTTCAGAGTTGGCGGCTCTTGGAATAAGATCAGTATCAATGACGTTTAAGACGTCGTCGCAGTGTCTCCTCAATTCTGCTTCCACATCAGCTCTATATTGGTCAGCAGCTGCCTTGTGGGCTGCGTTTCCTCTACGTTCTTCTTTTTGCTCGATTGAGTTCAGGACTCTCCATGAAGTTCTACGGGCGCCAACCACGTTCTTGTAGGCCACTGAAAGAATGTTTCTCTCTTCTACGGACAAGTCTTGGCCGGTCTTTTTTACGAAGGCTTTAACATAGCCAACCATCTCTTCATAGCGCTCAGACTGCTCTGCTAGACGCGCAAGGTAGATGAGTTCATCTCTTTCAAGGGCTTCTGGTCTGTCAATATTCATTATGAAATTTATTCGCTTAGAGATATATGAAAGATTGATAAACGGATTAAAACTTAAATTGAGGATTATATACAAAATAAATTCTAAGAGAACGCGGCTATAATTTTTCAGATTTTCTATACACCATTTATATAAGGCTTTCGCCTTATTTTTGTAAAGGAAATTAATAGGAAACATGTTTAAATCTAATTTGGATTATAATTAAGAATCTCACAAGTAATAGTATATTAAATATACTCAAAGGGTTGAGATTTGTAGATCCATTAATTTGAGTATAAATAATTCTTAATAATTATTTCGAAAATAATCAGACATTTGCAATTTGATTTTATTGCATATGCTTAAATAAAAATCATTGATAGATTCTTATTATTCAAATAAAATGTCTTAGTATTTGGAACTCAAAATTTATTAAAGCCGAGAAAATAATGCAATATCAAATTACAATTAAAAATATTTCATCAATAGTTTCACTTGAATAAATTTCAAATTTTCCGCCAAGGTTCGATTTAATGATAACTGCGAGATATTTCTCTAGAAATATGTGTAAAATTACCCTAATGCTACCATTGCACCAAAACTCTTAATACCAGATACATTCGCTATCCATTAATTTTTCTTAATTTAACAAAAACCTCTCTTTCATATTTTTAATCTCCCGATGTTGTCAAAAGCCACTCCTCTTATGAAAAGAAGCGTGAGTTCTATCATCAATGGATCCTGGAATCTTACACCTGATCAGCAAGCAATTCAAGAAGCTGCCTTAAAATTCAGCAAAAGTGAAATATCACCATATGCAAATGAGTGGGATGAGAAAGGCTATACCTAATTAAAATAAATAGAAGCATTCCTACTGGCAAGATTATGCTAGTTTATAATAATAAATAATACCGTAGCAGCTAATTATTATAGTCTATTGCACAAATTTCTAATTGTGAGAGGCAAATTCTCTATATGCCAAAAAGATTTCCACATGCGAATCCTACCATTTGGAGATTTGCTTCAAATGTCTTGCAAGATCTTAAATTTATCTAACAGATGAAAGATGCTTTAATTCATTATAATTCAATATACTTTCCCAGAGACGTCATCAAAAAGTCAGCTGATCTTGGATTTGGAGGTCTCTATTGTAAACCCGACTTTGGAGGGATTGGCTGCAATAGGCTAGAAGCTTCGTTAGTATTTGAAGCGCTCGCAACTGGATGTGTTGGGACTACAGCATATATGACAGTTCATAATATGTGTGCATGGGTTCTCGATACTTTTGGAAGCATAGAACAAAGGAAAAGATGACTTCCTGAGCTGTTTAGATATGAAAGGTTTGCTAGTTATTGTTTGACAGAGCCACAAAGTGGCTCGGATGCTGCATCATTAAAAACTGTTGCCAAACTTGAAGGGAATTATTTTATTATCAATGGGAGCAAGATGTTTATTACTGGTGGTGACGCAAGTGATTTATATTTGGTTATGTGTAGAACTGGACCTAAAGAAATTTCCGTGGCGCTTCTTTTGGCCGTAATTTTTACTCAGCAGGCCTTCCTCAGCGCTATTTTTCGCAACTTTTTCCTATCAGATATTCGCTTGAAAAAACTAGAAAAAAGCTTTCGACCAAATAGCGCTAAAAAATGCCCGCAAGAGAAAAAGTCTCTGAGGAATGGTATTACGCCAAAATTTCTTGCATTGCTGTAGAGTCACCAACCCAGGGTCTCAGTTTTGGTAGGAGAGAAGCTAAGCTGGGCTGAAATTCTCATCCGACTCAGCTTGTGTCTTTTGACAATGTCAAAGTTCCGAAAGAAAACTTAATAGGTGGGCAAGGGACTGGCTTTAAAATTGCTATGCAAGCTTTGGATGGAGGAAGGATCAACATTTCAAGCTGTGCCTTAGGCGGTGCCTGATTTGCATTAGCACAGGCGCAGAATTACATGCAAGAAAGAATGCAATTTGGGAAGAGACTGGTTGATCATCAATATTTACGATTCAAAATGGCTGAAGCACTAACAAAGCTAACGGGATCGAGAATTATGGTAAGGCATGCAGCTGATATGCTAGATCAGCATAATCCAGCAAAAATTACCATGGGATCAATGGCGAAGCTGTTTTCGACTGATAATTGTTTTGATGTTGCCAATATGGCACTGCAAATGCACGGAGGATATGGAGTGATGAGAAGCTATGGAGTCGAAAGAGCCTTCAGAGATCTGAGGATATTACAGATTGTAGAAGGAACTAATGAAATAATGAGACTGGTTATTGCCAGAGAAATGTTCAAGGACCAAGACGTCCAAGGCTAAAAAGATACATATAATCATTTTATAGCTGATTAAGATTTAGCATTCTTATTATTGTTTATCAAATATTTATTAAATATGAAATAGCACGCAAGATTTCGAAAGTAGGGATTCTGCTGGTGTTTTAGGCGATCGTTTAAATTTTATTCGATTTCCGATACTCTTTCTTGGATTTTTTCTAAAACTGTCAGTTTCCTCTAAGAGTTTGTCATCAGTTTTAATTTTTGACCCTTTTGTTGAGCTTGAGTTTTGAGAACCCTCTTTTTTTTCTGGTATGCATTTCTGAAACCTCATTGCTAGTCTTTCATTTCTCTCTGCAAATGAATTTTTTCAGTTATGAGTTTCATCAAGCAAATCTTTCAATTTAGTATTTTTATTTTTTGACTCTTTGAATGAATGTGTAAGTTTTTTTAGAATTTCTTCTTGCCTTCCAACAATATTTTTTAATTCACTGACTTCTTCATTAATTTTTTTTGTGACCTCTCCTTTATTTTCTTCATTTTCTTTCGAGCTCTCTGCTTTATTATCGTAATCTAATTTCATTTGCGAACTGAGCATGTTTAGAATTTATAAATGAAATTAATTATACCTCTACTTGTTTTTGAAGCCTTGAGTGCCTGCGTAGATTATCCATCAAGTGATCCACCATTATACTGTGATTCTGTAGTCACCTGGCCTGTATCAGATACAATAGCTAATAACGTATTTGAGCAAAACAGATATGCAATGGAACTCTATCGAAATCTAAAACAAAGATATCTCGATCTATCGACAAAAGACCCAACTTTGGACTGCCTTGCAGTAGCCTACCAATTCTACTGCTCTCATGCGTTTCCATACTGTACAGATACAGAACCTACCCGTGGCGTATGTCATTTTCTATGCGCAATATGAAAGGATAGATGTCCAAAGGAGCCACATGCGTTTTTCTGTAGTAATAATGAGACTTCTCATTGCTCAAACGCAGTCTCACTTATGTCATCCCTGCTTTTAATTTATTTGTCTTTTATTTAACAGTTTTTTACTTTAAAATTGTAAATTATGATTGTTTACAAAAAAATATTTTAAATCATGGGTGCATAAATTATTAATGTCAGCACAAGAAATCCAAGCAGGCGTGCAGTTCAAATTGCTCATCATTGGAGATTCTGGTGTTGGAAAATCATGTTTTTTATTGCAATTTACTGAAGGGGTTTTTAAAGAGGATCATACTGTAACTATTGGAGTCGAATATGGAGCTAAAAATATAACAATCAGCAATACACTGGTAAAGCTTCAAATCTGGGACACAGCTGGACAAGAAGATTATAGGTCAATAACCAGAACTTTCTATAGAAATGCCCATGGGATTATTCTTATGTATGACTTAACTAATTTGCAGACTTTTGAAAATCTTGACACATGATTGAACGAAGCCAAACAAAACGCAGGTGATGATGTTATGATATTTTTAGTAGGAAATGTGTTAGATTTAGCAGATGAGGAAAGAGAAGTCGACACAGATATTGCTGAAAAATGAGCAGAAGAAAATAAGGCAGCATGTCTTTTCCTCTGGACATTTTCTCTTGAAAGCATTTTCTTGGAAAACTTTTTCCATCACTAAAATTAACTGTTTTAGCTAAAAATGTTTGATGAGGAAAACTTTCGACGAAAAATCATGATCAAAAGAAATCTGTTACTAAAATAAGTTAGATGGATTCCTAGAAGGGTCTGCAAAAACTGCTGCAAATGTAACAGAGTAAGAATCATTTAGGGTTTTTACGAAATTTGGAGAAATTCTATTTAAAAAATACCAAAATCAAACAACTGTTACAGAAACTCGGCCTCCTGATCTTGTCATAATAAAACCAACAGACACTAAGAAAAAGAAAGGATGCTGCTAATTGTTAAATAAAAGCATTCATTAATAAGCATGCTGTATTTATATTAAAGTTTAATTTCATTTTTTTCCAAGCAAATTTTCTTTAATCTTCAGCATGTGCTCGTGATATTCAACATTTTCCAAAAATTCTCTTTCATGCTCTTCAGCTTTATCCTCAGTTTCATCATTGCTCCATTCATCGTTGTCTTCTATATCTGTGTTGCTTTCAGAGCTGGGCATTCTTATTCCTTCTAAGTCAGGGCTTTCCCCTCTCTTTAGTTTTTCGTTGTTATCTACTTCTTTTTGTTTTTGTACTAACTTATCCTTGATCAAACGATTCACTGTAAAAATTTCTAAAAATTGGGAAATTAACCCCCATCCTTGATCGAACGATTTTCATATCATGCAAATTTTTGTATATATAAAAATATATTAGTTATCAAAAGCCTTGGAAGATGTGCCTAATGAAGTTGTTGTCAAGCTACGGAATCAACCATCCGAAGTGCTTTAGTCATCAATCTAGGCTTAAAAACTCAATAATCTAAAAAATAGAGATTTCTTTAAAATTTATAATTTTATTTTAATAAGGAACAAATTAAAATTTATACAGTTTAAAGGGGTAGCCAAAAATCAAAATATTAAAAATTGGTATTTTTATGAAATTAATTCAATTTTTTGCTGTAAAAATAATTATTAAATACTCTTAACCCTCTTATTTAAAATATATAAAAAAATATATTATTTTTTTTTTTATATATAAAATTTTTTTCCTAATTTAACCCCCATCCTTGATCGAACGATGGTGAGCCGTTCGATCAAGGAGGGGAGGAGTAAGCTGGTTTCCCAATATTCTTTTTCAGTCATTCTATAGTTGTTATCTGGCGGCATTTTTAGCCAAGGATGATCTAAGGCTTGTTGTGCTGTGCATCTTTTTTCAGGCTCGTAAATGAGCATTGGCAATAGGAAATCAGTGAGCATGTGAGCTTCATGCTGCTGAATGCGATATTTTTCCATTAATACAGCTTTTAATGGTCACAGTTTCAGCTGGGAAACTCTTCGAAGTTTTCCACGATGGTCAAAGAATTTTTTGGAATTTGCTCCAGAAAGTGCAAATGGTTTTGAGAAGAATCCTAAGGTTTCCACCATCTGCGCAAGATGATCGTCTTCTTTATCAAAGTCAGGCCCTGTGCGAGGATCAAAAAGGAAGTCTCCAGTTATCAATTCAAAGAGCATGCAAGCAAAGCTCCATACATCAGCTGTATAGTTATAGGAAATTCCTAAAATCACTTCAGGGCTTCGGTATTGTCGGGTTTGAATTTCTGTTGAAAAATGCTTATGGATTCAGCAAGCATTGCCAAGGTCTGCAATTTTTACTTTGATGAATTCATTAACTACAGGAGTTTGCTTGAAATCTGTGGAGCTGTCTTCAAGTAGGCTTAATTCGCTCTCATCTTTGCTGTCATTGATTTCTTCTTTTGTGTTTTCTACGTGAAGGAGATCGTTTTGGATTTGATTTAGTTCTTCTTCATGTGCATTGATTTCTTCTGAATTATTTGGCTTTTCTATGGCATCACTTGGCTCTTCAATTTCAATATCAAATTTGGCGAGTGGCTTTATTTCTTTGTTTTCAATTTTTTCACCATTTTCAAATGTAAATTCTTCAAACTTCGGGACTTCGTGGCTTGTTCCATTATTTTCACTTTTTATGTTTTCCTCCTGATTTTCTTCTTTTTTACCTTTTTTCTTCTTATTTCTCTTTCTTTTCTTTTTCGGCACTGCTGGTGTGTCTTCATTATTTTTTTCAATCTGCTGATTTTTTAGCTGCTTTTCCTTTTCTTTTTTCCTCTGCCTATATTTTTTCCTCTTTTCCTTCTTCCTTTCTAGTTTTTCATCTTTTTCTTCTTCTTTGATCTCTCTAATTTCTTTTACCATTTCTGTTATTGGAGTTTCTGGAGGTCTCGGAGTTGGCCCTTGGCAATCAATTTTATTCTTCAAAATCCCAAATTTGATTATTTCATTTATCTGTGCTTTGGTCAGTTGCAAAAGAACATTTTCAGGCTTCAAATCTGTATGAATAATCCCACATATCCTATGCAAATAGTCCAAGGCAATTAATACTTGCTTGCTAATAACCCTACAAATAGGAATAGGGATTCCTTTATAGTTGTAGAAATAAAAAATGGTGATGTTGATGAAAATTTGACTCTGGGGGGTACTCCCTGTGGAGCAGGTAGGACCCATCCTGATAAAGCTGAAATAGTACCTCTGTCTCTTTTGAAGTAGAGCCTCAGATTTCGGGAAGCCTTACTATCCCTGCAAGATGAAGTGAGTTTTAATAAATTACACTGTGCTTTTTCAATCCCCTCCAAAAAACTTTCAAAAGTGATTTTTTGGTATGAATACTTTTGAATTTTTCCCAAACAGTGGGTAATGGTGTTTAAAAAGCAGCAAAAACAGATTAATAGCTCTTTATGCAGTAATACTCCAATAGTTACATTAAAAATCTCGACTTAGCTCTGATTTTTTAAATTAAGAACGAGTCAATTGTGGAAAAATAGTATGTGAGAAAAAATAAAAATTGCATAGAAAATCGTCAATAATATATTGATGGCTCTCCGTGAGCGAACTAAATATTTTTGTTCGCTAAAGGAGGGGGGAGTTAGATTATGGGCTTGGCAGATTTTTACCTATAAGATGGCTTTTTCAATCGTTACCATTGGGGAACTATTCAGTCAGTAGCTCTACACTATGCAGTTAATCCTTTGGACAGGTGGTTCAGATCGGAAATCCATAAGGAGAGCCTCCTATTTTCCTCATTTACGCTCTAAAGTTTATGGAATTTGCTTTGAAGTAAGACAAGGCAAGTAGCTAGTGGTTAATTCTACGGCCTTATAATCTTTTAATCTTTAATCTCTATAGTTGTAAACTTTAATGATTTCTAATAAATTCACACCAAGTATCTCAAAAACCATGCAAATATGTTTCCCATTGGGTCCTGCATGCATAAAGCTATTTAATAACTGAACCACAAAGCAATGATCCCTAATTCCATCTTCAGAAATCGCATTTTGGTACTCAGAAGTTCCTTCATAGTAGTGTTTCAGCGATGCAAGCCACAATGGATCATTATAGCTTGTACTGATTTTAAGCAAGATATCGATTTCATCATATGCAGCTTCAGTATAATGAGATGCACTCTTTTGCACTTTTAAGGCAACAAATGTGTTATATTTGAGATCCTTGCAGAGCCATACTGTAGAAAAATGACCCCAGCCAACTTTTTGAACAATTTCGTAGCGATTTAAAAAAATATCACCAAGCATGATTGGATGATAACCTCCTGGGCGGTAATCTTGGCTAGGCTCTTCTTCGTCGTCATAGACAACAGAGCTTGATTCATCTCTGATTTCTCCGCTCTCAGATAAAGAAGATTCTGCCATTTAATTTTTGATGCACATATGTGAAGGTAATTGATAGGTTGCAAGATGAATTCATTTTTATCTATTGCAATTTCCTATGGATGGCGCTGTTTTAGCCTTGATTTTCCCACTGGAAAAATTTTTTGGTTCGACCAGTACCATATGGTTTGGTCAAACCAATAAGTTTTCCCAGTGGGAAAATCAAGGCCAAACAGCGCCATCCATGAGAAAACACTATATATTTCCTTTGCATATATGCATTACTCATCTAGATTTATATAATAGCTATTATATTATTTTTACAATATTTAAATGATGCTTCCTATCAGCTATAAATTAGGCTGCTATCTTATCAATAGTATTTCCAAATTTTCTTCATAATGGCTTAATTGATAAATTCATAATGTCGTTAGATTCTAATATAAAAATTCAGTTAAAATGTCGTTTGAAGTCAACGATCAAGCACTCGAAGACGTCGATCATAACACTTTTTGCGAAGCAAAACAAATGAGAAAGCGAGCTGAAGAAGATGCCAAGCTCCTTGCCAACCGTATCGCTTTATTAAAAGCAGAAGAAGCTAAAGCTGTTAAAAAGCTTGAAGAAACTCGTCAGCAAGCCAACAAAATACTTGAATCACGAGCCAAACTCCAAGAAGAACAATCCAAAAAGGAAGAAGAGCGCAAAGCCAAAGAGGAAGAAGAAAGGATCAGGGCACTTGAAAAGCGAAACCAAAAGAACCTTGAAAGACAGTTAAAAGACTTCAAAACAATGTCGCTCAAAAACCGCGTTCAAAATGAAGTAAAAGCGCTAAAACAACGAAAACAAGAAAATTTAGAAAATATAGAAAACCAAAAGCAGGAAGAAAGAGCCTATAAAATGTCAATAAAACAAAAGGTCATTGAAATGAAAAAAGAAGCTGAAGAGAAAAAAAGGAGAAAAGAAGAAGAAAGAAGAGAGCAGATGAAAATGGAGCTAGCCAAGAAGATTGAAGAAGAAAATGAAATCAGGAAGTTTAGAGAAGATGAAATCAAAAGAATGGAGCAGGAAGAGCTCGAACTCATTCAGAGGCTGCAAAACACTCAGCAAATGCAAAGAAGCGCATATGATGAACTGGAATGTGCACTGACTGGAAGATAGAAACATATATAAATAATTCTTATTAAATCTAAATCATTCTTTTAAAATGGGATGCATGCAAGATACAACTGTCAAAGGAGCTGATATAAGCCAACCCAGCCAAGGCCTGGAGTTTGACTTTGAATTAAACAAGTCGAAGCCGAGCTCAAAAAATGCCCTTATGGCTGGCATTAACGAAAACGTTGTGGAAGAAGAAGTGGTCATTGATGATAGGGCATTGTTTGCTGAAGACCTTGAAGTAATAACCTTTAAAACTGAGAGAAATGATATAGCGCCTCTGCAAAGAGAAGAAATTCTTGAAAAAGCGCTGCAGATCAGCCAACATTCTGTCAATAAGATTATTGCAAGACAACGTGAAGAAAAAGGACAGCAAAGACTGAAAATTGATAAAGACGCTTTGGTTTCTGGCTTTGCAAAACGTATAGCAGCAGCTGAATAAAATTTAATTTAAGTTACTGATCTCTATTTATATATCCCAATCCACAGTTTATATGTTTTCTCTTCAGTTGAGACCGTTTACTACTCTGTCCATTTGCTGTGGAAGTTTAAAGATTCTTTTTCTAGATTTGCAAAATTCTTTTTGCAAGCTAATTTAGCTAAAGATAAATTTTTAAAATTGAATATATGACAAAGGAGATCAAGCACGCTAAATCTCCATTAAAAATGACGGCTTATAAATTAAAGCTCAGAAAATTAAATAATAAATCAGTTTTAGACACAATTTGTAATTGCGTTAAGTAGTAGGCTTAGATTTTTAATTGCAAATCCGCCGAAAAAATTATAACTCAAAGTATGTTATTTTTGGTTTAAAGAAATTATAAATCATTATTTTGTTCTTCAGGTGGCTGAGCTTCTTCAATTTTAGCTCTTTTAACTGGCTTATCAGCTTTTTTTGTCACAATGTTCAGCTTTTCTGTAAGGAATCTTAATAAGGCTTACCTTTTCTCTCTTAATAAACAATTAACAGCTTTCATCGCAATTTCTAACTGGGAAGACAGTTTTAAGTGATCCTTCATTGACCATTACCACTTGTGCAGCTTTAAATTTACTTTTTAAAGCCTTATATTTTTCCCTGTAGCTCTCTTCTTCCATACTTAATAATTATAAAATAAATATTTGTCAAAACTTTCAATAAATCAAGCTCTTATAGCTACAAAAAGTTTGATTTTATAATTATTATTCCACTCTTTATTTGCATAATAATTATTTTCGATTCAAATTTAAATTCTACTCTAAAGCGTTTTCTCACTATTCTTAATTTATCTCTTGCATCAAACTAAACCATAATAACTCTTAAAAATTCTAGAATAATAATAAAATTCCATTAAAAATATAAGAGAAAAATTATCCTTTGATTATAATAATAAAAATGCTGCGTGCATTGAATAGATTTAAAGGAGCATCTCCATATACATAAAAATGGCGACAGTGTGTGCCACCCGACCTCTCAACCCTATTTGGTCAGCACCTGCAGGCAACTTCCCAGTGTTGGCGATTTAGGTGGAAAGAGGTTGGTAACCCTTTGTGTATATCGGGCTAGGTTTTACTCGGGCCCTACTAAGCTAATCCGTGGGACTCGGGCTTTTACCTCTAGAGCAATCATTGGAAAGGACAAGACCGGCGACAGTCCCGAGATGAAGCTAATTCCCTCGAACAGGACTCAAGAGGTGGCATTTGTCTAACAATAAATTGGGAGTTTCGACCCAGGTGGTTAGCCCTTAGGCTCCAGGAGCCATGGAAGTCAAGACTGGTCAGTGTGATTCCTTGTTTGCGGCAACAAGGAGGGTCTCCACCGGGGCACCGCGGGTGTGATGAGTGTGTAGGGTGGAAATTCCCGGCCCTGCTAGGCGAACGGCGTTAATTAACATTAACATTAAAGGAGCACTTCCGAAACGATATTTTTCAGAAGATTTCATCATCGATGAAATCGAAGAACCTGCAAATAAATCATCACAAACTTCAGACCTAGTTAGGCTCCTGCCCATCACCAAGCATCCAATTTTCCCAAAACACTATGTCCGATTCCGTCTATCTCCTGAAAACTTCAAGTTCATGGTTGCTGATTCACACTCAAACATGGTAGGTGCATTTGTATTGAAGCCTAAAGAAGATGCAAAAGAATTGGAAACCCAATTGTCTTTAAAGTAATTTCTAGATAGTTCGATTTTACCTCTGAAAGCAATTGACAATGTCTACTCTGTAGGAGCTCTCTGCACAACGAGTTTCAATAAGTTTGATAGAACTATCACTCTAAAACCAACTAACAGGACCAAGCTCATAGAAGTTGTTGAGCCATCTACCCCAGAAATCCCATTCCCATTAGTCAGGCTCCAACATTATGACGAAACTCCACAAGAGACAAGAACAGAAGAAGACCAAACTATACTAAAACTGCTTGGAGCACAACTTGATGAGCTTAGAAGCCTTCTGAGTCCTCAAGAATTAACTACATTGGAATTATTTGCCCAGAGGTTTAATATGAGATATGACGATGACTTCTTGAACTACGTAGGAATAATTCTATCTTATATGTGCGATACTGCAAAAGTCCAGAAGATTTTTGAGCCAGAGTCGTTTTCGATGAGGCTAAAACTGACTTATGAGCTCATTCAGGAGCATGTGCAGATGAGAAATTCAATGAGAAAGCTGCAAGACGAAGCACAAGCCAAAATGCAAAAAGCAAGTGAAGAGCACATGTATAAGGAAATTTTAAGCCTGATTAAAAACAAACTCATAATAATAAAATGGCTCAGTGCGAATTAGTTCTCTCCGAGAACTATTCCTTCCTTCGCTTTTATTATTATGGGGTTCAGTTTTCCACGTGGACCTTTATCCACAACACCAATATGGAATACCGCATAGGGTATTTCTTTGGTCCAGGATATTAGGAGACATATGGTTTTTCTGCTTGACACACCCGTGGAGGGTGACCCTTAGGCTGAACACGCGCAGGAGTTGAGTTCGGGCGAGGTAACGCGACCAGTGCGGACCTTCTAGCCTGACGGGTGAAGTCTTCTGGAATGCCTACATAGGGAGGGATCGCTGCTGACGTCATAAGTTGAGAGTTAAAAGGATGGGCTTATGCATGCCTAAATCATCCTGCGGAAGAGGGAAGACACTTAAAAACACCTAAGTAAATAAGTAAGTAAGATTAAAAACAAACTCGGATATGATAAGGATGAAAAGGAAACTTTGAAAATCAAGTATAGCAAGAATTTAGAAGGGAAAGCTGTTCCTGAGCATATTCAAAAAATAATTGATGAAGAAATGGGAAGAATGATGATGACTGACAAGAATTCTTCTGAATTCCACGTCATCAGAACTTATTTAGACTGGCTCACATGCTTGCCTTATGGAGTGCAAACTGAGGAAACTATTGATCTTAAGCGAGCAAAAGAAATCTTAGATAGAGATCACTATGGTATGAAAGACGTTAAAGAAAGAATTCTCGAATTTATCGCAGTTAGCAAACTTAAAGGAAGCTCCACAGGCAAAATTTTATGCTTTGTCGGACCTCCTGGCGTAGGTAAAACATCAATTGCAAAATCCATTGCAGAAGCCTTAAATAGAAAATACCATAGAATCTCTCTTGGTGGCTTAGATGATGTTGCTGAACTTAAAGGACATAGGCGAACTTATATTGGAGCTCAGCCAGGGAAACTTATAACTGCTTTAAAGCAAGCAGGCTCTGAGAACCCTGTAATCCTAATTGATGAGGTCGACAAAGTTGGTAAGCGAAACTATCAAGGCAGTCCTGAAAATGCTTTACTAGAAATTTTGGACCCTCAATCCCCCCTTCGTGAGCAAACTAAAAAATCTTGCTTGAACACAGGTTAATTTTTTTATATAAATTTTATAGTAATATTTTCGGAATTTAGGGAAAATCCTAACTCTCAAAAATTGCAAAGGAAAACTATAACTTTTATGCTAAAATATTTTTGATAAAATTTTGTGCTCGCTCACAATGAGTTTTTTTTTCAAAAAAGGGAATTTTTCAATGGTTTTGCTTGCCCACTGAGGGGGAGTCAGCAGAACTTTTCCTTCAACGACCATTATTTAGACACCACAGTAGATCTCAGTAAAGTCCTATTCTTATGCACTGCAAACTTCCCAGACGACATTAATCCAGTCCTTTTAGATAGAATGGACGTCATAAATGTCCAAGGTTACACAGCAGAAGAAAAAATGAACATTTTAAATAAGCACCTTCTTCCAGAAATCATCAATAAATGCTCTCTATCTGACAAAGCTGAAAAATACGAAATCACAGACCCAGCAAAAGAAATACTCATAAGGGATTACTGCAGAGAAGCAGGAGTCAGAAGTTTACAAAAAATTATCACAAGGATTCTAGAAAAAATTACAAAGAAAATCGTAGAAGGAGAGCCTGAAAAAATTGTGGTGACTCCTGAAAATTTAATTACTTATGCAGGAAGACCTGAACACGCACATTCAAAAATTTACGACAGAACTCCTAGTGGGGTTGTTATGGGACTTGCATATACATCAATGGGAGGGTCAACCTTGTATATCGAAGTAGCAAAATCTAAATTTACTGGAGAAGAGACCGAAGGAAAAGTTCAGATTACAGGAAATTTGAAGCAAGTCATGAGCGAAAGTGTGCATATTGCTTATACGTTTGCGAAGAAGTTGGCATCAGCTAAAGGGAATAGCTTCCTTGATAAGAACAGTATACATATACATGTGCCTGAAGGAGCTACACCTAAAGATGGGCCATCAGCTGGTATTACGATTACTACAGCTTTGCTTTCTCTGGCATTTGATAAGCCAGTTATTCCTGACTTAGCAATGACAGGAGAAATTTCGTTGACTGGAAAAGTACTACCTATAGGAGGATTATGCATTAAAATAGCGACATGTGCCAACCTGCCCTCTTGGAGCTACAGACTTATGGCTACGGCCAATTGGGACGGGCTCCGAGCCGAGAGAATCAAGTGCATGCTCAAGAAGTGTGTATGGGTAGGTTTTGACTGTTTTGCTGTGGTTGGAAATGAAGGTGCTCAACAACACTTTGGATCTGAGGATCCATGGGGCATTTCTCTACCGAGAAACTGGTGATTCCAGCCCAGGCCACAGGGAGTAGCCTTTTTCCTGTAGCTGTCGAAGGAAGGCACTTCGACACCGACAGACTCCAAGGATCCATGGAATCAAGCTACTCCACTCGCCTGTAGCAGGGCTTCAGAAATCCATAAGCACTCAAGACTGAAGCCGCAAGCAGGAGACAGAAGGTACGGAAGTGGGGGAAAGACCCTCTGGGCTAGAATCGAAAAATAGATGAACCTTCCGTACGGGAGGTCTTTGGTGACTATGCCACCAATATGACTAACGCCTGAATTTAATAGCCTAACCTATAGGAGGATTGAAAGAAAAAATTGTAGCTGCAAAGCGTGATGGAGTTAAAAGAGTGATTATTCCAAAACAGAACAAGCATCATTGGGATGAACTAACTGATATTTTGAAAGAAGGAATTGAAGTTAGCTTTGTGGAAGATTATTCAGAAGTTTTTAAGATAGCATTTGATAACTCACTTTAATAATAAAAAAATTTTATTTTTAAGTATGATTTTAAGGTATTTTAAGGGATATAAATTGATTAACAATCAGATAGTGATATTAACAAATCCTTAATAAACTAATATGCGCTAATTCTCAAATTAGAATATTATTCCCTCTTAATATTAAGAAATAGCATTAAACGTCTTATTAAACCATCTCATGAATTGCCCAGGATCATTTGGATTTTTTCTTAAAACATCCAAAATTTTCTTACTCACCTCTTCAGAAATTTTACATTAAATTCTATAATAAATACTTTTAAAAACATTCCTAACTCGCAAAAAGAAAAAAAATAGTTATATCTACTCCGAGATATACTCTATAGAGCAGGTCGGACCCGTCCCGATAAAGCTGAAAATAGTACCTCTATCACTTTTTTGAGTAGGTGAAGGTTTTTACTGTCCCTGATAGATAGGGCTTATGCCTGATATGCAGGCTATTGGTCCATCCGCTTATGGACTTATACACTTAACTTAACTTAATTCGCAAAAATTGAAAGGAAAAAATTAATTTAATTGTGCAATTTATGTTTTAGAATGCATTTCGTTTAAAAATCAATTAGCTCGAGATTTCATTGCTCATTTACAGAAGGTTTTTTTTTGTTGAATTTTTCCGTAAGTTTGCTCGGTCACGGAGAGGGAGCTATGAAAAGCATTAAAATTGGTAAACCTAAAAGGATTTTTCGTATTACTTTCTTCATCTTCTTCACAAGCCAAAACACATCTTCTTGCCTCTTCATTGAACATTCTTTCATCTTGTGTGTATATATACAAAGCTTGTGAGTTTAAAACATATTTAGACATAGTCCATGTATCTTTGAAGTAAAATATTTTTTTATTCTAAATATATTATATTTACCGCTATTTCTTGTTTTTAAAGCTATAATTTTAAAAAAATCGTTACGAATACTTATAAAATAGAGACTATATTTATTTATACGGACATAATATATCCCAGTATACAAAATATAAAATCTTTTCCAGGTCTTCATAGAGGAAATTGAGGCCCTAATGCTAGCTCTCCAGTCTCTGGATGGATTAAGGGGTGAAATACATAAGTATGAAAAAATACTGAAGGTCGAATTGTTGGGTAGTTTTCAGGAATTTCTATTTTGAATCTGAATACTCCACCTTTATAAAGCCCTTGCCGTATGAAAATAACACCCTGCCAAATTTTTATATTGTTAAGCTGTGGAAGAACGTAGACTCCTACTGGCGCGTAATGTTTTAAGCTTCGGTATTCTATAAGAAGCTGATATTCTTTTAATTTGTCTTGATTATATTTATAAGCATTGAGGATAGCTGATGGATGATTCGAAGTATCAAGCTTGATAGCCATCTTTGATTAATTTATAAACTTAAATTTTTCATAGCATATCAATTTAAATTTTGTTTAGCCAAATGCACCTTAGTTTATATTTAGCTCAATAATACCGAGAAGTTTTTAATTATCTCTGCATAGCAGGTTAAATCTCTATATAATTTCAAGCTATATATGCAAAATGAATAAACTATTTATTATAACTATACGTTTATATAAGCCTAATTTAATCTAATAATTCTATATGATGAATTTCCTATTTCTAACTACCATAAACAAAACTATTATTTAATTATTTACTATATCTATATATCATCAAGTTTTTCTGTCACAAAAGATCCTCTTCTCGGATCCCTCACTTCAATTTCAGGAATTGAAGTAATTTTCAACATATTGCTATTTTCCAAATTTTCCAGATTTTTCGCTGGCGTGAACGTATCTGGAATTTTGCCATGCTCTTTTGGATCGAGGTTAAACTTGCTTTGATTTAGTTCAATAACTACACAAGAAATATCATCAATCATCACGTCTTCTTCCTCCACAATTGTATGCCACCTTATTCTTGCTTCTTCACACAGCAGCTGTGCAATGCAAGCATTTTCAGGACTGACGACTCTTTGGTCTGTGTGTGTGTCAACTCCTTTTATACATTTTTCTCTATAAAACTCTACAAAGTGGGCGACGTCGTCATTTTCGAGCACATCTCATATCCCATCAGAAGCAGCTACTATAAAATAGTCCAGTTCTCCGAACAGCTCATATTTTGTGCAGACTGGGGTCGATATAACGCCTACACGCTGTCCTCGGAGGTCTCCTATAGATCTGCTCATAGCAAGGCCAGGACCATTGGAGTTCATTTCTCATATTCGATAAGGACCGATTTTGTTCCCATATTCGTCTACAAGCTGTTGTACTCTTCCGCCGCATTTTGAAATCCTGGCTCATTCTTCAGGATCGTCAGGCTTTTGGTCTCTTGTAAGCTGAACTGCTTGCAAAAGGGGTGAAACGAAGCTTCGACGCCTTTCTTTGACTTCTTCAAGCATTTTTCTTTCTTCTCCGATTATCGCAGGCGGTGCAGGAAGGATTGCAGGCGGGTGAGAAGTTCCAACTATTGCTCGGGAATCCCCTACGCTTGCACAGTATAGGTTGTTATTATGGAAATACACCAAAACTGCAGTACTAATTATTGATTACCATCCAGAGTTCTGGGCGTTAACTCCATGAGCTGGGTCTCTTATTTCATGATCACATTGTTTTGTAAGCTCTAATAGAAGCTGGGTTGGAGATTTAGAATAATCATTCTTATGAGTTTCATAAAAATCTTCCACTGTCTGTGAACAAATGTCCACAACTCTTTCTCCTTCAGCGCCATGTCCATCAAAAAGAGCAATTATAAAGCTATTTTCGTCGTTTAAAAATAAACAAAAATCTTGACACTTTTTATTGATTTCGCCATGAGGGTCAAGTCCAGGAATTACGCAGGCTGAGGCTCAGTATGAGTTCAAGCCTACTTCAAGTTTATGTGAGGATACAAGAATGGGTTCTGTATAATTAAATTTCAAAGTATTCGTCCCCAGGATTTGACCTTTTGCGTTTCTTTGTTTGACATTCAGCACTGCACTTCGGCGGTATTCTCTTGTGAGGAAACCGTTAGTTGGGTCTCTGGTGATTAAATTTACTTTGCTATTTGTTGTGATGTTACAGCAGCCCATGATTTTTTTATGATACAAATAAAGAAATTAAAAGATTCTATTAACTAAAACGAATAAATTATTTGTCATAAAAATTATCTATAAAATATCTCATATCTTTCATCAACTTTCATGTCTAAATAAATCCATGATGAAATTTCTCTTAAAATCCCCTTTGGAAGGCTGCTGATTCGATTTTTTGAGAATTTGATTACGAAAATAAAATTCTTGCGTTCTTCCCAGCATTGATGTCTATTGAAGACTTGGAGAATGCATGGAGGAACTTTTATAAAATCATCCTTAATTCGATTAAGGATCAAATTGATGTCAGCATTATACTTGATCAATAGTTCAGCCATTTTGTCACTTTGTCGAAAAATAGCTTGCATTAAAGGATAATCTTGATTCTTTATGTTTGGGTCGGCTCCTAGTTCAAGAAGTTTTTCAGCTGCCTGAAATCTTTTATAGTAAGAAGCTCGTATTAATGGAGAATCATCGTTTTTCCCAGTTTTTTCTATGCTAAAACCTTTATTTACAAGGTAATCAATGATGTCTGGCTGATTGTAATATGCTGCATATATCATTGGAGTTAGTCCTTGCCTTGATTGATAATTGTCATCAATTTTTTTAGTTTCTAATATTTCATTGAGCAGCTCCCGATTTCCTGCTTTAATGTAGCTAATCATTTGGTTTTCTTCTTGCTGTGTAAGTTTTTCTTTAGAAAAATACTTCTTAAATCTGACTAGGAAATCCATTTTTATTAATATAAAAGAAACTTGCTTTATTGCCGATAAATGCGATTAAATTGTTTTTAAAGGTTAAAATTGAATTCTAAGAAGCTATAAATATAAATCAATATCAGAAGTCATCCTATTTAGCATATCGCTGATATATGAATCTTTTATCAAGATTTAGTTATTAGCTTTTGTTTTGCATCTCTTTTACCATCTTTTTCTGCTCTTTTAGATATTTATCTATATCTATAAGAGCTTCTTTTTCTGAAATAGACGCATATGACTCTTCTCCAGTACATATATGATTTACCATTCTTTCTCCTTCTTCTGGATCAAAAGCTTGGCTTGCCTTCCCTAAGTTTTTCATATCTTCTTCATAATTTGGGTTATATTTTTTAATAAATGCAGGATGTGTCAGTAAATAAGACTGTGCCAGCGAAAATCCAGCACTTACACCCCAATAGCAAAAAACACCCTAATTTAATGAATACAGCTGGCCAATGAACAGCCACTGGCAATGTTAAAATTGTTGAGATTTGGATTAACCCTCTAATCCTATTTATAATCCAATCTTTTGTCTGAGGGGTGATTCCTCTCTAAATAATCTTTACTTGTAAATTTAAATAAGTTAGCGTCAATGAAACAAAAGGCAAAATCATATACGGGTCAGGCTCATTTAAATTCTGAAACCACAGCGCGCCTCCAGTTTCCAGGCTTTTATTATTTACACAAAGCATTCTTACAGACCATATGTACGTTAAAAAATGAGGAACTTGCAAAAAACCATATAGTCCAGCCCTTACAACCTTGACTCCATGATGTCTAAAATGATTTTTACTTGTTGATCTGGTTAGAGGATTTGAGGAATGTGAAAAACTTTTTGATTTTATTCATTTTCGCGTCATTTGTCAGCTCATAATTGAAGCGGTGATCTGGCCAAGCCCTGGCTAGAGGGCTCATTGACTTCATTTGTAAAAATAAGAAAGGAATCATTGAAGAGCGGACCAAGAGAGTTAGAATACCTATAGAAATCCACCATGGGCACCCTGTAAATAGCTGGATATTTTCAATAATATGTTGCGTTGCCTCAATAACTGGCCTGTAAAACTCTAAAAACGGAGGTAGCCTTGAAATCGCCTCAGCACTTGTAGGAATGAAATTGGGGAGATCTGAAAATCGTCTTCTTGCAAGTGTTCTTATCATTTTATTTTTAGAATTAATTAAGCTTTTACTTTTCATATTAAATTTGTTTTGATATGTAGATATTTCTTGTCTATTTCTAAAAAGTTTCTTCTCTCCTGATAAATCTGTCAATCTATGCTAAGGCTTGTATTTTTACTCCATCAGCTTGATCTATTTTTGCATCAATTTTGCTCTAAGTAAGCTAAAAACGTTTTCAGTAGAAACATATGGTAAAAAGTTTGCACGAACTGCTCTCTATGAATTGACTTTGGCTTGAAGTAATCTTCCTCCTTTGAGAAGTCATCTATATCTGAAAAATATAATAATCATCCAAATATCGGATATCTTCGTCAAATAAGCATTAATATTTAAATCTCGCTCTATGGTGGCTTTATCTAAATATATTTTCTATTTTTTTATTAATGCTAACTAAAATTTTTTTCTGACAAATTCTCATTAAAAGTAAGATATCGGGGGGATAATTTTAATAATTTTAATGGCATACTCAGAAAATGATAAATCGCTTATAGATTTTTATACATCAATGTTAACTCTTCATCAAGAAGCCCAAAACAGAGTTAATAGTGTTTTTGAGGGTCTTAAACATGAAGCAATGACTCTTCTGCACAAATCACTTTTTTCTCGGCCAAAATTGATGCATTTTGAAAATGAGGATTTAAAAGAAAGCATTAATCAAAGCACGAAAAATGTAGTAAAAGAAAGCAAGAAAGACAAAAAAGATTATAATGCAAATAAAGAATATGGATTAATAAAGAAAGAAAATGAAGAAAATGAGGAAAAAAGATGAAATAAAGAAAGTAAAGAATACGAAGAAATAAAAGAGTTTAAAGAAAATGAAGAATGTATAGTAAATAAAACCATTGAAGATGATAAAGCCACTATGGCGCCTAATTCGTTACCAGTAAAAAGGCTAAGAGAAGCCCCTGAAGAAGAGGTATATCATCAATTCTTAGATGAATACAAACCAAAAATTGCAGAACGCAAAGAAATGATTTGCAAGCTTTACTCTTCTAATGTCTCTCCAAAACTCATCGGAAGGCTCCTCAGCTTATCTGTAAACGCAATTCACATTATCGGAGACTGGAAACAAGTTTCCCTAAAAATTGCTCAAAGAAATCGAGAAACCCGTCAAAAACTAAAAAAATTATTATCAGACGGCCACCCATTCCAAGAAGTAGTTAAGCATTCTGGCTTAAACAACACAACAGCAAGCGTCATGCTAGATGATTACCCTATATGCATTGTAATTAAATCTCCAGAAGAAAAGAAAAATTTTATAGAAAAAGCAGTTAATAATTGTATTTCAAAGAAATTATTAGCAAGAGTCACCAGAATACAACCTTCCAAGATTTATACATGAGCGAACCATTTGAATAATGATGAAGATTTTAGTGATGAGGAATGCATTGAAGATAAAAGTGGAGAATATAGCAGGGAAACTATAAGAAAAACTATCTATGATTATTATCTTAATAATTCGATAGAAGGGGCTGCTGAAAGAAATGGGGTCTCAAATCTTGTGAAAATTGAAGAGTGGATTAGGAATTTAGAAAATCTTAAAAAGCATAGAAGAGATGAAAATGGCTTTGAATAAGGCGATATTGTTAATATTTTATTTAAGAAAAATAGTTAGATATAGATTTGCATCTTTATGCGAAGAGATTTTAATTATTAATCAATTAAAGTCGCGTTTATTTGGATTTAATTCGACTTTTTCATGCTCTATATCTTTATAAACATAAGTAGGCATTCCCCTTGCCTATTTTTTACATAATTTTTTTCTAATTTATAGCATAGGAACATTATCTGCCTTCTTAAATGATTATTTATGCGTTTAACGATAAGCTATACTAAAATTATGTATTTGCATTTTCCACTTGAATATTCTTTATATCCATCATAAAACTAATAAAAAGCATTCACTTACCCTTTTTCATAAAATAAATGAATTTACTTGATTGAATCAAACAAAAAATATCTTGAGTCCCTGATGCTGATACATATACATTAAAATAGTGATACGTGCCAATCTGCTCTCTTGACGCAACAGTCCAAACTTTATAGCCGCGGTAAACTCGGATTCCCAGTCAAGAAACAAGTGCACCTTAGGTAATGTCTATCAGGCAGGTTTTGGCTGCTTTCCTGTGGTTGGAAATGGAGGTACACAATAGTTTCATTTTATATCCAAAGACCCACAGGCATTGCTCTACCGAGAAACTTTAGATTTCAGCCCAGGCCATAGGGGAATAGTCTTTTATCTGTAGCTTTCAAAGGAGAGGACTTCGGTATTAAACAGATTCCAAGGAGCTGATCCATGGATCAAGCTACTTCAATAGCCCGCAATAGGGCAGCAGAAATCCATAAACTGCCCACTCATGACCAAAGCAGCAAGGCAACGATGAGCCAGAAGGTACTGAAAGCTACACCCATTTATGGGAAATAGACACTCTGTACTGGAGTCGAAAAACCAATGTGGGAGGTCTTTGGGACTGCGTCACCAATATGGCAAACACCTGACTTTAATAGCCTAATCTAACCCTGAGTCTGATCCAAACCAAATGCTTTTTTTGAAATTCTGCAAAGAGCTCTACACAACCCAAGAACTATAGCCTGAGTCTCCTTTTGGCTCGGACTATCCGAGGTCAATCGGTGTGGTCCTGCCAACATTTATTGGAGACTTATCATCTGGTAGTTAGTTTTACCAACAAATGCTATCAGAACCAACTCCCAATTGACATTAAGAATCTTCATAATAGCCAGAGCCAAAATAATGCTTGAGATATAGAACTCACAAAAGAAGAGAAAAAACAGTTCGATTCTTTAAGGGAAGAAGAACGAAAGGAGTACGAAAAGCGGAAATTCTGATTTTGGCCTCTTTTCGTCTCAGGAACCCTTTATCTCGACCAAGTGATCATTATGAAAATCACTAAAACAAACTCCCAACGCTTGTGGTGGGCATGTGTTTTCTGTATGCCACTGTCCGGAATTGCAAGCTTAGGTGTCAGCTTTTATAAAGAAAGCTTTCCTTCACACAATTACGCATTTGAACTTTGCGAAAAATACAAGATTTCAGTGAATGAGGACGAAAAGCGAAAATTTGAACAAACTGGAAGCTTTTAATTAAATAGATTGTTAGTAAAGTCTTAGGATTAAACATGTACGGCATAAATTGTGACTAAACAATTAAGATTTGGGAACTCCCCAGTAACTGAAATAAGCCCATCAGTCTTGGTGTCCCAAAAACAAGTAGAGCCTGACTGGAAGCCTGCGCCAGTTCTTTGCATTATCAAGCATGTAACTATATACTTAAAAGGCTTGTTCATCTTATTGAATTCTTTTAAGCACTGATCCATAATTTGCTGGCACCAAGAGTTTACGCGCTCAGGCTGAAAATAAAGGTCTTGGGTAATCACGTTCTCCATTGAGTTTTTGGCTATTGTGCCGAGTTCATCAATAAGGATTTCATCATCTTCTAATGACATTTTATGATTTATATGATGTTTGAATTATGATTAGGAAATTAAATAATAATTATGAAAAGCTCGAAGGATTTATTGAGAGAAATAAATTATGAGTTGACGCTACCTTCAAGCAGAGGTTCCCCGCCAAGAAGAGAGCAGGAATTTAGAAAATCTACAAGTCAGCAAAATATGATGTCAAATTCGCAAGGAATGAGAAAATCAATAAGCCCATTCAGAAGAAACAATGAAGTTCAGGAAGCATCAAGGAGCGAGATAATTGCTGACCAACTTATTCAAAAGATTGCATTGGGAAAAGAAAAATTTTCTCAGAGCTGCAAGGGGTTATTGAGCCAAATTAACCAGATTTTAGATGAAGATAGAAGCTATATTCATGTTGAAGAATAAAAATTAATAAATTATTTGGAAAGAAAAGTAATTTTATAATTGTTTAGTAAGCAATGCTGCTATTAAATTTAAGTCTATAATTACAGAAATTTTTTCGGCTCAAAGAATTGATGCAATCCTAACATAAAATCTATAGTAGTTAGCCTACCTAAAAAAATTCGGTTTTGGGGTATCTTGGGCAAGAAAAGAATTCATTAGCAATAAAAATTGATAAGGGCTTCTCTTTGATCTTGAGATGAAAGTTTCTGATATTCGAATTCTGACAAGTGGCGCTACTAAAATTGAAATATAATTAAAAGAAGATCATTCTTTTATAATTAAGCAAATTTGAAAATACATTTTGAAAGTCTTCCTTAGGTATTATAAACTCCTGCTAAAGGTATCCAAAATCCATTAGTTTCTAACTTTAAAGATTTAAAGAATTGAAAATATGAAGTGTCACTGACGTCGAAAGATAAGCACTATTAAAAATAAATGGAAATATCTGACGAAAAAAGCAAAAATTCTTCGGCTACTTTATCCCTGGAGCCTTCCAAAAACAAATGATCGCATAAGCCTCAGTTAATAATATGCCAAAATTGCGATTACAAAGGTTTTAGCAAGTGCGAGTACGATAGTGGTTTCATTGCCTGACTGGTATGCGGGACATGCATTTTAGTAGGCTGTGTCTTTGGATGCTGTATGTGTCCTTTTTGTATTGCTGGTCTTAAAATATGCACCCACATATGTCCCCATTGTAATAAAGTTGTGGGAGCTCATTATCCTGGCAAAGTGTAGTGATTAATGCTCTTTTTGAAATTATATTAATTAACAAGATTGATTAATAACATTTATTTTGAAACCTAGAGTAATGATGATGCAACAAGAAAAATCATAAATATAAGAGCATATTCAATTGCTTTAAAAACAAATTTTTGGCGTTCATTCAATTGTTTAAATAGTTTAGCGGCATCTAATTTAAGCACTTAAAATAATAAGATAGTTACTGTATAAGTTTATTAGCTCCCCCTCAGTGAGCGAACAAAAAATCTTGTTGCTCACAAAGAGGGGTAAAATTTTTTTTTTTTTAAAAAATTTATATAGAAATTTTATAGAATTTTTTTTTTTCGAATTTAAAAAAAAATCCTAAATCGCAAAAATTGGAAAGCAAATATTAATTTAATTTGTAAAATTTATGTTTTAAAACGCAATTTGTTTAAATTTAACACAATTAGCTCTAGATTTCATTATACTAATTATCACTTATATATCAATTTTTTTCCATAAAAAATTTTTGTTCGCTCACGGAGGGTGGGTTTTGGGCAAAAATTAGGGATTTTTTCTTATGGTTTTGTTCGCTAACGGAGGGGGAGGAGTAAGGAATTTATATGAAATTTGCCTATAATAGAACTAATTTAAAAATAAAATAATTTTCTTTTTAAGACAATCCAAATATATAATTATTTTCAATACAATATATAAAATTTGACTCATGCATAATAAAATTAAACTTGTATTCAAATGGAAGACTTAATAGAAAATCTATATAGTCGCCACTCTTTAGATAAAATTTTTGCACTCAAGGAAATACAAAAACTTGTTGAAAAAAATCAAATTTCATCTGTGCCGAACCCTACAAAATTATTTAAAGCACTTGAAATCTGCTTGGATCTTTCAATGTCAACTGATATTCAAAAGCATGCACTCAATATAGTAAACTCTATCATAAATGTAAAACTTATCTAGGACTTTGGGCCAGATCTTGAAATTCATTTTAACCAGCTAATTCCAAAATTTTTAAGTCTTTTGCATTATCAAGAAAATAAAGAAGATGCATTTTTGGCTTTAAAATCGTATATCAATCTAAGCTACAATATTGAGTATGTGATTGGTATACTAATAAAAGAAGAACTTCAAAGTGGCTCCTGGAGTATAAGAAAAGAAGCATTAAGAAATTGGCTCTTTCGAACGATAGAAGATACGGTGTTTCCCTAAAATCCGGATATATTATTTCAGTAAGTTTATAGTTTCTATATATCATAGTTATTCGGATTCATTGTTTCCTGCAAATACTAAAAATCAAAATTAAATTTACTATTAAATCAAACGGTAGAAAAAAATTTTCCTGCTCATTTATACACAAGAGAGGCGTATTCATTAAATTACAGAATATATAGTCATGAAATAACGAACCTGTTCTTATACTACGAGAAATATTCAGTCATTTCATGAGAATATAAGTCATGAAAATCTTTAAAATAAGAGAATAAGGAGTCTAACAGTAAAAAATGATGAATGCTTATATTATTAGTTTAAATAAGTCAACGTGATATTAATATCAGATCCATTTGTTTCTTTAAAAACGAAAAAGTTTCGTTTTTTAAGGAAACAACGGTTTGATAGATATGAAAAGATAATTATGAAAACTGTATTCCTATGCGCATTTTGATGTCAAATATTCTTACAGAAACATATAACAATACGCGCACAAGACTATCAAAAAACCGGAGCAAATGCAAGCAATCTTTGCAGATCAATTTTCTGATTTTATAGACATATAAATAAGAACCTTTTACAAACTGAAAATACAAATCTGTATTTTCATTAAAATTACGAATTAGTTCATTCCCTAAAATTTCCGGGAATTGGAGCTCCTTAAAAAAAAAACTTTTTTTTATGCTAAATTTTTTGAACCCATTTTTCATATTTCACAGTATTAATTGAAGAATTAAGAGAAATTACTAATATTTAGTATTTCTATTAAAGAGAGAACCCTTTCCAGCTTTCTATTGCAATCTAGTAGCCACTGAAAGTAGAATACCACTCAATAGGCTCAGAGTTTTACCTATCAGCATATCTCCACGGGAAGATAACCTTTAGGCGGAAAACACTCAGGAGCTGATTTAGGGCGAGCGACGGCAACGCGCCGGGTGGGAGGTGCAAGCGACTGGAGACTAACGTTGATAGAAGGCTTGCCGGTTAGCTGACCACGCGATTCCAAGATGGCTCCGTGACGTCACTAGTTTAGCTAAAATTCCTTTAGGGCTGCGGCGCTAGACACCTTAAACACCTAATAATTAAGCAATAAGTAAGTAAGTAAGATATTTTGTATGTTTGCGCCATTATATTTTATAATGGCGCGAAAATTATTAAATAATTTGCACATAAAGTCTGCAACACCATTTAATACAGTATTTTTAAATTTTTGATATGTGGAGTGCAATATGGCTTATTAAACCTGAGGATTTTATAGTAAAATTTATAGTATTATATTTATATATAATGCTAACTATAATATTATTGTAGAACGTATTTTTGGCAGGACTTCTACAATAATGTTTGCGTTAATTTTAATAGATATATAAGATATTAATTTATTCATAACTACTCAAGCAAGATAATTGCTATCTAAGAAGCAGATACAGTGAAATATGAAAAATGGGTTCAAAAATTTAGCATAAAAAAAAGTTTTTTTTTTAAGGAGCTCCAATTCCCGGAAATTTTAGGGAATGAACTAATTCGTAATTTAATGAAAATACAGATTTGTATTTTTCAGTTTGTAAAAGGTTCTTATTTTATATGTCTATAAAATCAGAAAATTGATCTGCAAAGATTGCTTGCATTTGCTCCGGTTTTTTGATAGTCTTGTGCGCGTATTGTTATATGTTTCTGTAAGAATATTTGACATCAAAATGCGCATAGGAATGCAGTTTTCATAATTATCTTTTCATATCTATCAAACCGTTGTTTCCTTAAAAAACGAAACTTTTTCGTTTTTAAAGAAACAAATGGATCTGATATTAATATCACGTTGACTTATTTAAACTAATAATATAAGCATTCATCATTTTTTACTATTAGACTCCTTATTCTCTTATTTTAAAGATTTTCATGACTTATATTCTCATGAAATGACTGAATATTTCTCGTAGTATAAGAACAGGTTCGTTATTTCATGACCTATAATTCTGTAATTTAATGAATACGCCTCTCTTGTGTATAAATGAGCAGGAAATTTTTTTTTCTACCGTTTGATTTAATAGTAAATTTAATTTTGATTTTTAGTATTTGCAGGAAACAATGAATCCGAATAACTATGATATATAGAAACTATAAACTTACTGAAATAATATATCCGGATTTTAGGGAAACACCGTATCTTCTATCGTTCGAAAGAGCCAAGAAATTTAGTTGTTTTGATGGACCTTGAAACAGATATATGGAGCAACCCTAATTTAATAGCAAAAATCATTGAAGCTGTTGTGAGGCTGTATGAAGATCCATTCCAAGATGTATCTGATGAAGCTTTAAGCACGTCTAAAGAACTGCTGGAAAAAATCACCTGCCTTGAAAAAGCTCTAAAGAGGCTTAGCCCATATATCAGGAAATCTTTTGAAAAGCATATAGGAAATATTCCAGGAATTCCTAAAAACAATCCAAATCTAGTTTTTGGATTTATACCAAAAGATTTAATGTCAAAATTTTCAATTGATGAAAACTGAAGAGTTAAGGTTTCTGCTGTAGAAGAGCTCGAATCTCTAGTCTCATCAATTTCGATTTCTGATGATATTTTACATCACTTTTCTGATTTTTTGGTGTTTTTAAGCCAGCTTTTAAAAGAAAGCAATTTTAAAGTCGTGATTTCAGCACTTAGCATTGTGGAAATGCTATGTAAAAAATCAATAATTTGTACAAAAGAACACATAGATGTTATTGTCCCATTATGCATAGAAAAGCTTGGAGATAACAAAATCGCAATAAGACAAATGGCATCTAAAATAATGGCTTGTTTATTGGAAAAAGTGAGGAGCTTTGATGTTTTTCCTCATTTAATCAAAGATTTACACAATAGAAACTGGCATATAAGAGATGAGTTTAAGCTAAATTATTTAAAGGCAGCTTTAGCCATATTGATGACGCAGCCACCAAAGATCTCCCATACGGGAGGTTCTCTACCGCTCAAACTACTCCAATCGCCTGTAGCAGGGCCGCAGAAATCCATAAGCCGCCCACGTCAAGACTGAATCCGCAAAGCAAGGATTAGACAGAAGGTGCTGGAAGCGGCACCCATTTTCGGGGGATAGACCCTCCAGGCTGGAGTTGAAAACTCTAAGAATCAGCTCCTTGGAGTCTGTCGGGTGCCGAAGTGCTCCCCTCGATAGCTACAGGAAAAAGACTGCTCCACTGTAGTAGAGGAATGCCCATGGATCCTTGGATCCAAAGGATGTTGTCGGACACCTCCATTTCCAACCACAGGAAGGCATCCAAAACTACCCGAATACACATTACCTGAAGCTGCACTTGTTTCTCGACTATAAGTCCGTCCCAGTTCACCATGGCAATAAGTTCTGGACCGTTTGCACCAAGCAGGCTGACACGTTTCGCCATTTTAATGTATATTATAAGAGAAGAGGTAGTAACAGTTATAATATTAGCAATGCTGCGCATGGTAAATTATGATTATTTGCAACTAATCCCTTATTTAACTAAACTTTTAGATGACGATAAAACTAAAGTCAGGCACGTTTCTACTGAATCTTTAGCTGTATTGTCAAGCATCTGTGGCGAGCAAGCAGTTATACGAGCTTTAGAGCCAATAATTGACAATATGGCATTAAAATCATTGATAGAAAGATTTCGATATCCAGTACTTCCTCACTTAGAAGAAAACGCTGTAGTTTTTCCTCGAATAGTTCCATCAAGTGCTCCCATCATCAGCTCTCCTTATATTACCTCGTCTCCTTTTCCAAATCCACAAGACACAAAGGATTTTAAAATCTATAACAATATCATGAACACTGAAGAAATTTCTCCACTCCTCCCGCCTATGGAAACCAGTGAAAAAGTAGCTATAAATGACTCAAAAAAAAGAAACTCAAGGAACAGCCAAAGCAGCTTATTTTCTATGAAAATTGAAAGCAGGCCAGGGTTTCTAAAGCCACCTACTATCCCTGTCAATATGAATACTCGTGCAGCTGGGATGCAATTTTCAAATAATCAGAGCAAGTATAAAACTAAGGAGTCACAAAATTTGATGAATTTTCTTGCACCGACTGAATCTTATTTTATTAAGTCTGCATCTTTTAATGTATCCTACTCGGGTTGCCTCCTACTAACACTGTCACTGATCTGGGGTTTCCATATTCTCACCAGGAAGGACTTTTGAGGGAGTCTCAAAAGGAGTCACTGGAAAGACGTCAACGCCAAAATTCCGGCTACGGCAGGTCGCCCTGGCCTCGTACTACCATACTCAACTTAACTATGTTCCAGCTAAAGGTAAAACCTCCTTAGGTTGATCGAGCAGAAAAGCACTATGTCTTCCACTTCCCTACCAGAAGTCCACTCATTGTCGGGCTCTCCTAGTAAAGATGAGATAGGATTCGCTGTGAAAACTGAACCTCATAATCAAAATATTACTAAAAGAAGCAATTAGCGGAGCTAATTAAGCACCGACTGAATCGCCAACAAAGAAATCAAATAAATCTTTTCAGGATCCTCCAGTATTATCAACACAAACTGATGAATCCGAACAACAAGTTTATTTATCTGAACATGAGCTAGAGCCACTAGCAGACCCAGGAAATGCTATAAGTATTTGTATGAATACCGCTGATGACTGGGCAGCTCAATTTGACACGATTAATTTATTAAGAAGACTTACAAAGCATCATGGAGAAGTATTAGGAGCATCAGGCATGCTTCATCATCTAATAATCCAAGCTACAAACTGGGCTTATTCTTTAAGGTCTTCCTTATGCAAAAACTCCTTAATCTTATTTGGCGAGATGTGTGAAAAAATTCCAATGTTCATCGAAACTGAGCTAAAAACTATCGTTTCCTGCTTAATGAGAAAATCATCTGACTCCAATAGTTTCATCTCCGACCAAGCAACCGACTCATTAATTTCCATGGCCAAATACTGTAACGTCTCTAAAGCTTTATCAGCCGTCATAAATTTTGCATCTACCTCAAAAGCGACTTTGGTAAAATCAAGAGCATCACTCTGCTTTCAAAAAATTTTCGAAAGAAGTAAAGAAAATGTGTCGAAAATAAAAGAGCTTGACAGGGCAATTCAGCTACTGGCCACTTATATCTATGATGCTTCATCTAGTGTGCGAGCAGCTGCTAAAGATGCACTGCAAGCTCTTGGAAGTGAATTGGATCGGCTTTTAATGAGATGCTTAAGTGAAGAGGATTACAGAAAAGCTAAAGAGCAATTAGAGAAAAAAAGGGGAAGAACTCCAAGAAGGATTTTGAGAAGTGCTGAGCCTGGGTATTTGCAAGAATCAAGAACACCATCACAAACAAGATCATTTAGAGTTAGAAACAGCCCAGCTAGAGACAAAGGAAATAGTGCAACACCTGAGCCAAGCCATATAGAGAAGTACGCGAAGTTTGGATCGTCAAGGATTATTCGATAATGAAAGCTCAAATTATATTTTCTTAAATAATGGATTTTAATTATATTGTATATGATGAAAATAAGCAAACTGCTTATTTCAATTGCAGTTATATTAAAACACAATGCATTTTTCTCTTCCTGCAGAAGATGGCTGAATATCAGTGAAATCAAGTTCCCCTGACATGTCGTTTTTCTTTTTATCAACTTCTTTTATAGCATCAAGCATCTGGATAGTGGCATAGGATCTTCGAGTGACTGTCTTTTTTATGTTGTAATTTAAAGGCGCGTTTAAAGATGTCCTTAATGCTGGCTTTGGAGGTGAGTTTTTTGAATCAGTTGATCTATCGATTACTGTTTTCGTTCTTTTTTTGTCCCTTGAAGTTTCATTTTTTACAAAGTTTTTCATGTCTTTGTATTTTTTTATTTCTTCTTCAGCCAGTTTTGCTCGTTTTAAAGTTCTGGCGAGCTTTCTTTCTAATGAATTTTTTTCAATAACTAGTTCAGACTTCTCTTTAGTTAGCTGATTGTTATTTGTTGAGACTAGCTCTAATTGCTTTCCTAGAGTAATAGAGATTTCTCTTAAACAAATAAGTTCTTTTTTTAAGCTGGATTCAAGCTTTTTGTAATTTTCTTTAGATTGATCAAGATCGTATTCGAGCTTGATAATTTTTTCTGATTTTTGCTGAAGTTCGTCTATCAATTCTTGCTTATCGCCATTCCATTTTTCTTTATGTACTTCTATTTCTGATTCCATACTTGCTTTAACTTGCAACAAGTTTTCAAATTCATTGATTTTCATTAAAAGATCTTTATTTTTCGCCATTTCTTCTTCTAGCTGCAGATATTACGCCTTCATGATGGCGAAGGCCGCAGTCCAACAGAAAAAGAAAAAGTTCCAGAATTCGGGGTCACTTAACAAAATGGTGGCCCCGAAGGGCACTGGGTCGGATGGGGTGTGGTTTCCGGGGTGGGAGCAGGTTTGGGCTGACTGGGCCTCTCCTCGACCCACAGGCGAAAGACCGATGGCGCAATACAAGCAGGCACTTCTGGAGGAGCATTATGCTGCCTGTAAATGGCGGAGTAGGCTTCGGACATTCCCCTCATACCCTAACTCCCCCCCCCCTCCGTGAGTGAACAAAAAATTTTGTTCACTCACGGAGGGGGTTAATTTTTTTTTTTTAAAAAAATTTATATATAAATTTTTTATAAAAAATATTTTTTTTCGAATTTAAAAAAATCCTAATTCGCAAAAATTGGAAAGCAAATATTAATTTAATTTATAAAATTTATGTTTTTAAAAAGCAATTCGTTCAAAATTAAACAGAATTAGCTCTAGATTTCATTGTACTAATTATCATTTTATATATCAATTTTTTTTCCATAAAAAATTTTTGTTCACTCACGGAGGGGGGAGTAAGCACTACCAGGGGCTAAGAGAGTCCTTTGCTGAAGTTTTTGGTTCAAGCAGGCTCTCGGGTGAGTCTCCCGAAGATGTCGATGTCGTCATTTTTGACGACTTCGACAGAAAAAGGGCGTTAGGTGGCTTTGGTGACTAGCGCCACATTGAGCGTGAAGCTGGAGCTCGACTGGATCAGGGACTGAAATAAACCCCGCTTTTACCCTCCCTAATTAATCTCTCTCTTCTAGCTGCTCTTTTAAAGCAGATTTTGAAATATTTTCATCATTAATTGGCAGTACATCAAGCTCGGACTTTAATTGAATGATTTCTATATCTTTATCACAAAAAGATTGTTCTAATTCAAATCTTTTGTCATACACATTTTTCATTTCATTTTTCAGATCTTCTATTTCTTCCATTAACAGTTCTATCTGTTCATCTTTTTCCCTTATAATTTCTTCATTTAAAGCATTTTTATCAGCAGCTTCATTAGTTCTCTGCAGTAAAAAGCTATAATTCCCTCTGATTTCTGATATTTCTTTTTCATTTTCAATAAGAAATGCATTTAGTTTCATGTTTTTTTCGACTTCTTTAGTGAGCCTTTCCCTTGTATCTTCAAGTTCTACTACGATATCGTCTAGAGCTGAAACTTTTGAGATTTCGACGTCACTTTCTTCTTTTATGTCTTCTTTTGAGTTTGACTTGGTTTCCATTTCTTCATAATTCAAAGGCTTTCCTATTTTCTGCTCAAGCATTTCTATTTTTTTGTCTTTCATATGGATCTCTTCTTTTGCTTTTGCTAGCATAAGTTTGAGTTCTGAGACAGTATATTCTTTGTTTACTTTTGCTTTATTTTTAATAGACTTTGCTCGAATTCCAAAGCGTAATGTACTGACTGTCTCTGCTTCATTATAAGCAGAAGGGGAGCATGTAATGATTAATGAAGTTTTTGAGTTGCCACCTAAGGAGTCTTGAAGAACTCTTGTTAGCTTAGAATCTCTGTAAGGAACATGAGAGCTTTTTCCATCAGTTAAAGCATTGATCACTTGTCCAAGCGCAGTTAAACTTTTATTAATATTTTTTGCTTCTTCTAGCCTTTTGCCTTCAGCTCCAGTCTTACCAACTTTTTCACTTCCAGCTAAGTCAACAAGATATAATTTTCCTGTTTTAGTTGAACAATCTAAAGAGTTGGTTTGAGACAGAGTGACGCAGAATATAGAATGAGATCGAGAAGAGCCTGCGTTCATATGTGTGTATCCAACTTCTCTATTGCCTGTTCCTATATTCATAAGTTCATAGACTTCGTCTTCATTTGAGACGTATCGCTCTGTTAAGTCTTCGATATAAACCCCTCTTATTTTGTCTTCATGGATCTTTAAGTTATTTTTCGTAGGCTCAAGAAGATCTTTGATTTTTTCCATATAGATCTCACAATAGCCTACTTTAACTGAAAATTCTAAATGAGGATCAGAATTCAAGATCTTCATGAAGGCATCACCAATCATTCTAGGAATAATGCCCATTAGGTCTTTATCATTTAAAACTCCAGTCATTGTAAATGTCTTTCCTGAAGAGGTTTGCCCATAAGCAAACACAGTCCCATTAAATCCTTGCATAACTGCATCTACAATTGGCCGAGCAGCGATATGATAAATTTTGGCTTGTGGAGTTGAGGGAGGGAATACATAATCGTAGGAAAATCTCAAGGGCTCCCCTTCAGATTTTATAGCAACTGTTTTGTTATCAGAGTCGAAATTCACACAAACTGATTCTTCTATTTGTTTTTCTTTTTCGTTCAGTGGTCGAAATCGACATAGCATTAACATTAGCATTAAGTTAGATTATAGGAAAGCTCTGGTAGCACCTGGTGTTGCCCATCTCTATTTTGCATAGTTGGTCCACCTGCAGCCTTCCCATCAGAGGGTTAAGTTCTCTTTACTGAGGCTTGCGACTAACGGAGAGCAAAGTAGGCTGGCCACCATGCTGTACGCAGATGAGACTTCCTGCACAAAATACCAAAGAATGGAAATTCCGGCCAAAAGCAAAGCTTGCAGCACAGAGCGTAACTCCTGGCTTCATTTAGGGAGTTGCCGGTAAAAAGCTTTGATGGGCTTCCCCTTTCCAACTCCAAGTCCCACTTTCCTTCTAACTCCCCCCCCCCCCTCCGTGAGCGAACAAAAAATTTTGTTCACTCACGGAGGGGGGGTTAATTTTTTTTTTTAAAAACAATTTATATATAAATTTTATAAAAAATATTTTTTTCGAAATTTAAAAAAAATCCTAATTTGCAAAAATTGGGAAGCAAATACTAATTTAATTTGCAAAATTTATGTTTTAAAACGCAATTTATTTAAAATTAAACAGAATTAGCTCTAGATTTCATTATACTAATTATCACTTATATAGCAAAATTTTTTTCTATTAAAAATTTTTTCTATTAAAAATATTTTTGTTCACTCACGGAGGGTGGGTTTTTGGTCAAAAAAATGGCGATTTTTCTAATGGTTTTGTTCGCTCACGGAGGGGGGGGGGGGTAAGTAAGTAAAATCCAGCTCCCGAAAGTTGACTTAGATTAGTCCTAAATGTATTAGGATTAGTTACCTAATATGGCTCCATTTCTGGGATGAAAACCTTACCGGATATAATTAAAATATGTTCTCGAAGCTCCATGACCGAAAAGCTATATCCATGCTGAGACATCATATTTTAATTATTCAAATTCGACATACCACCCGAATATTTCCTGAAGATTCATCAGATGAATCCATTTTTGTTAGAATAAAATCAACATTAATGATTTAATAAATATGCAAAACAATTTTGGATGTCTCATAATTGGAGGAGGAAGCGCTGGAGTAGCATCAGCAATTAGGGCAGCTAAGTATGGGGTTAAGGTTGCTTTAATAGAATCGGGCAAAATTGCAGGAACTTGCGTCAATTCTGGATGTGTGCCGAAAAAAGTTATGTGGAACGCAGCTCTAACTCTTGAGATTTTAAAGTCATCGTCTGGGTATGGGATTGATGCTAATTATAGTTTGAATTGGAAAACACTAAAAGAAAATCGTGAAAATTACGTTGAGAGATTGCATGAAATTTACCTACTCCCCCCCCTCCGTGAGTGAACAAAAAAATTTTGTTCACTCACGGAGGGAGGTTAATTTTTTTTTTTAAAAAAATTTATATATAAATTTTTATAAAAAATATTTTTTTTTTCGAAATTTAAAAAAATCCTAATTCGCAAAAATTGGAAAGCAAATATTAATTTAATTTATAAAAATTTATGTTTTAAAAAGCAATTCGTTTAAAATTAAACAGAATTAGCTCTAGATTTCATTATACTAATTATCATTTATATATCAAAATTTTTTTCCATAAAAAATTTTTTTTGTATTAAAAAAATTTTGTTCACTCACGGAGGGTGGGTTTTTGGGCAAAAAATAGCGATTTTTCTAATGGTTTTGTTCACTGACGGGGGGGGAGTTAAATAAATTGAAATTTCATGGAGTAGAAGTCATTAATGGAGTAGCTTCTTTTACAGGCCCGAACACCATTGTTGTCAACGGAGAAATGGAATTGACTGCTCCTAATATATTTATCACTAGTGGTAGCAAGCCATTGCTGCTAAATATCCCAGGAAAAGAATTTTTGTGTACTAGTGATGACTTCTTTCTATTGGATGATAAAGTCAATAAAGCCCTCATAGTTGGCAATGGCTACATTGCAGGAGAAATATAGGGTTTTCCCTATATGACCTGGTAAGGATCGTGTTTTCTCCATGGAATCCCTCTGTTGGTCAAACCAACTCAGTGCGTTGGCTTGGCCAATTCACTGGTTGGTTCAACCAGCAGAGGGATTCCATGGAGAACCCACGGCCCTTATCGGGCTATATAGGGAAAACACCTATATCAGGCTTGCTTAGCACTCTAGGCACTGATACAACAGTAGCTGCCAGAGAGCCAAGATTTTTAGAAACTTTTGATATAGATACTGCTAATATTCTTGAAGAGCACTACAGACAATCTGGAATAAACATTTTTACTCAAACAGAAGTTGTAGAAATTAAGAAAACCTCTGATGGTTTTGAAGCCATTTTTAATGATGGGAGAAGATTCACCTATGATTTGATCATTTCTGCTATAGGGAGAATTGGGAACGTAGAGAAGTTAAATTTGCAAGTAACATCAGTAGAATTGGACCAAATAGGGAATATTAAGGTTGATGAATGGGAAGCTACAAATGCTCCTGGAATTTATGCATTTGGAGATGTCATTGGGAAAAAGAACCAAACACCTGTAGCTGTTGCTGCAGGCAGAAAGCTTGCTGATAGACTATTTGGGAATAAGCCAGATGCTAAATTAGATTATAACTTAATTCCAACAATGATGTTTTCTATGCTACCAGTTGGAACTATAGGATTAACTGAAAAAGCTGCAAGAGAAAAATATGGTGATGCGATAAAAATTTATAAATCAAAATTTACAAATATGTTTTTCCAAGTAGGAAATTACAAGGAGCCTACCCTTTTTAAAATGATAGTGTATGGACCAGAAGAAAAAATCATTGGCTTGCATGCTGTTGGAAGAGGAGTTGACGAAATGATTCAAGGATTTGCTGTGGCTATTAAAATGGGGGTAAATATACATAAAAATGGCATTATTGGAAAATCCCTCCTGACCCTTTTCTTCAACACCAGAGGAAAACGGCCTGGGTGTGAAGGCAGAAGAGTTTGGAAATCCTTTTTATTAGGCTATACAACCTTAACCTGAGCATAAGCAGCAAGAAAAACTTGCTGTTTGTAGCGAGGATAAGGATACATAGGTTTTTCTCAGGCCCCCAAGGGAGCTATTCTTGGGACTTTAAGTTTTTACTCTGAGGCTATCTTTGGAAAGGCAGCCCCGAGCATATAATAAATCCTCTAGCAGGGCTCAATAGATGACATCTTCCTCATAATAAGCGGAAGTTTCGACCCAGGTGATGGGACTATAGGCTCAAGGAGTCATGAAAGTCAAGATTGGCAGTGCGAATCCCTGCCTGCGGAGGAAGGGGTGTCGGCCAGGGCCCCTTGGAGCTGATGAGCATATATGGGTGTAAATCCCTCTCCCTGTCGAGAACGAAAAGCTTAATCTAATTTTAACCTAAAATGGGAGCAAGAAAGCAAGATTTTGACGATACTGTTGCAATCCACCCAACAGCAAGCGAAGAGTTTGTTTTACTATCATAGTTACTATTTAATCTATTTATTTAGGCTAAATACTGCTGAAAGCTAGTTAATAAATAGTGATATTTATACTTAAACTCATTACTTATTATTTATTTTTCAAAAATTGAAAAGATAATCCAGCTTAATTTTATTAATTTGAATATTTGTGGTAATATTCAATTTCTTTCCTTAGATCTTTTTGGACTTGTACATCAGGCTTAGGCTGTTGATTTAGCACTTCTAGTTGTTTCTCGAGAGCTTCTAACAACAAGCTTAACAGTTCTTTTTTTGATTTTTTAAAATAAAAATTAAAGCATGGACAAATTTCAGCAGGTCTCAAGTCATGGACTTTTCCCAACTCCCAACATAAAAATTTTCTTCGCTTATGGAGGATGGTTAAATTTTTTTTTTAAGAAATTTAGATAGATTTTTTTTTTCCAGAAATTTAAAAAAATTCTATTAAAAATTGAGAATAAAAACTAATTTAATTTTCAAAATTTATGTTTTAGGATGCAAGCTGTCCAAATTAAAAAGAATTTAGCAAGAGATTTATTATAACAATTTCACTTATATATCAAAATTTTTTTCATAAAAAAAACTTTGTTTAAAAATAAGGAATGTTTTATTCGCTCGCCGAGTGGGAAAGTAAGTGATTCATAAATAGTCCTTGAAAGCCAGGCACTTCTTTGACCTTTTCTAAGCCATCAACTTCAATAGGCTCCACACTTCAGTTTTCTTTATTTACAAGCCTCAAATTATTTTGTTTTAGAGCAAGGCTATAATCATAACCAGCTGGAGGCCAATCTTCAGCAATATATCACCATCTCGCCAATATCTTTGTAACAATTTCAGCTTTTTCTCTCTCTTCTCTTGTAGTGAATTCTTTAAACTGTATATATTTTTTCGAATTATCAGGACTTTTATTTTTCTTTTTTCTCTCAACAATTTCTTCATATTTCTTTGATTTGTGTTTATCATGGTTTTTTGATGATTTTCTGTCATGCTTGTCATGTTTTTTGTGCTTTTTTTCTCTGTTTTCTAGCTTGTCTTTCTTTGGAGCATTAGGAATTAGTCCACGAGCCCTTTTTTCTTCTAACGCCTGTTTGCCAACTAAAATCTTTTTTGGCTCTTTGTTTTCTTCATTTAAATCTAAATCTTCTTGAATAAATTCGTTGGATTCTGCCAAACTGCTGGTATCTGATGCACTTTCTTCACTGCTACTTGAAGATTTACGTTTATGGATTTTCCGCGCTCCACCTTCTTCGTCGGTAGAATGAGCCGACTCAGATGAGCTTACAGGTGGTCCATATCTATCATATTCGACTTTGTCAGTAATAAAATCATCCAAAGATGAGTCATCTTCAAAAACTGGTTTTGTCTCAGAGGATATAAGCGGCTTTGGATTATTGTCTTTAGATAAGGAAGCTCCGGATTTTTTAGGTATAAAATCTTCAATGAAGGAAGGAGAGCTAGGCTTGTTAGGTTTTAGCTTCTTTAATCTTTTCCGATGTTTGGATTCTTCCATTGAAAATAATATAGTTAAATTAGAATGTTGGGAGATAGATGCATTTTTGGATTTTTTAAGTTAGGAAAACGTATTAGTTGCTATGTTTAAGAAAAAATAAATGATAAAAATTATCTAATAAACCTTTGCATAATTGATAGTTTTACTAAATAGATATTTATATAATAATTAAACGATATTGAGAAGAAAAGTCTAAAAATGAAATGGGATTTTAAGCCTATTAGTTCATTTAGAATAATCAATAGTTTTATCTTCTCAGAAATAAGAGAATTACTTATTGCTAGGATTTAGCTTTTTAAGTATATATATTATTAAAGGAACTATTTCTTAAAGAAAAAATTCTGTGTACCATTATGCTCTGATCCTTAAGCTAAATCTCCAAAATAAATAGAATTATAATCTATTTTAATAATGAAGAAATATGGCTTTATTAATTAAAATTAAATAATATGCGCAAAAATCTTTGGCACTATAAATTAATTAAATTAATTTAAAAGAATTATCGATTTTGGTGTGCGTTTTTCACATTAAAGCATAGAATATTACTATCTAAAAATGAAAATAAAATAATTAAAAAACTGGCTATGCTTACAATAATTTTTGGTGCACTTGGCATAGCTGCTTCTGTGTATTTAAACTTATCTCCTATCCCATCTCTAAAGCGTGCTTATAAAACTAAAGACATAAAAGAAATTTCTCAAGCTTATCTCACAATAGCTTCATTAAATTTTGCATTATGAACTTTATATGGAATTAAGGCCGACTTAATTGAAGTTTTCATTGGAAATTTAATCTGTTTTTGTCTTTCCACAATATGAATATGCACTTATCATGGAATCAAAGGAGATTGGATAATATATATTCCAATATATATAATATCCATGTCAAGTTTATTGGTAGTCTTATATATCTTCTGCCCAAAATTAATTTTAGGCTTACTTGGGATTGGAGCTACAGTGTTAATGTATGGCGCGCCAATAGAACGAATTATTCCAGCACTGAAATATAAGGACTATTCTTATATTGATGTCTGAATTTTAACAGCTTTGATTTTTAATGCAGCTTCTTGGATTATTTATGGGGTTATTGTTGATGATTGACTTATTTTAGCTCCTAATATAGCTGGGCTAATTTTTACGATTTTTCAATTAATTCTTTATCTTTGGGCAAGGAGCTTAATTTCTTGTGGCTTATTTACAATGATTAGCAAAAAGCTGAACTATAAAAGCCTTGAAGATGGCGAAAACGAAAATGATAATATAGTCCCTGAAATATTTTAGATCATATTGGCCATCCATATTAATTTCAAAAACTAACTTGTACTTGTCAGCTTTTTTGAAAAGTAAAAATGAAAATGGCAATTATCCCGCTTATAGTTTTAAGGTGCCTAATCAGACTAATATTGTATAATGCAAGTACCTGTTCCATATTTTTTCTAGTCGGAATTCTGCTGGGGTATAGAAATCTATTAAGGTGCATGAGCTATAATTAAATTTATCCTCAATCAATGCATCTCATAATATTTCAAAGCATTGCAAAGTTGGATTGAAATAGATTTAATTAATTTTAATTAATTCACTCTCCCCTACAATAATAAAATTATTATTTATATATTTCTCGATAATTGCAACATTTTATCTCATTATAAAATTTAATCGGCAATAAATTCTGTCATTATAATGATTTTTTCAGATTATTTAATTTCCAAATGAATACTCATTTTCGGAGGTTCTATTAAATATTTGTCTTTTCTTCTTCACCATTTCATTACTAATGCGTGCGCTCTGATTAGCGTTCGGAATTCTGAGACTTAATGCAACTTTCTCAAAAGAAGCAATGTGTGGCAGATTTTTGGAACTGTTTACTTGGAGTTGTTTTGATATCATGCTCTTGGCTGCAAAACACACCTTTTTTACTGACTTTTCAAGGAGAGGCACAGATTTTATATTATTTGGGCTTTTAATAGGTGGTAGAAATACTATATTTGGATCTCATAGAGATTTTGAGCTCCCTTCTATTTTAAACTGAAAGTTTAAGCAGGCTTCTGGGAGTTTGAGTTTTAGAGGACAAACAGGCAAAAGTCTTGGGGAATGCTTAATGTCACGGTGGTGGATTAATAATTTTTGGTTTTTATCTAAGTTGTCTATTGAAGGCTGAGATTTAGGGGATAGTGCTGGTAAAACTGGCTGAGATCTTGTGCTTTCAAAATCTGTTTTAATGGAGTTTTTCATTAATTACAATCGAAAATTTCAGTTATTTATTAAAATTGCTCCTATAAGTTAAATCTTCATTGCGATTTTTGTAAGGAATATTAACTTTTCTGATTTTCTACCCAAATATATCTGTTAGAATTTATATTTTACTTACTATTAGATAAATTTGACATTATTTAATTTCATCTTAAAACATTATTCATATATGGCGTCAGAATTTGCATAAAAATCATATTAAGTTTAATTATGATATTTTAGGATCTTATTTATTATTCTGCTATAATAAATGACCAAGAGAACTCAGGAACTATATCTCCAGGTTTGCTCAATGTTCGTAAAGCATAAGAAAATTCAATTTTTCCATAAGGATTATTCCATTGAACTCCAACCCCACACGACCCTCTAATCTGATTTTTTGCGAGTTCTTTATCACGAATTGTCTTAATTACTTCTGGATATAACACATTTCCATATAAGAAAGGAATAAACTTTCCAATTCTTCCAAATGCAGGCGTATTATAATATAATAACTTCGCCTCAAGATTAAGAGTCGATGAGCTTCCTAATGGATTTTCTTTCAAAAAATCAAATCCTTTTACAAACTTAGTTTTATATCTATCATTAACCTGTGCTTTTCATTCAAAAAGTGACCCAAATAATAAAGACGTTTGAAGTGAAAGATTTGGGGTAATTTGGAAGTACTTAAAAAAATTACAGTCAAAGCGATAAAATTTTGTAAATTCTCCAAATGCAACCTCATTTATACACTTACAAAATGATCCAGTATGAGGCTCATCTTTTTTATCTCTGCTATCAGAAAGGTAAGTATAAGCTAGATAATTTTTAGGTGTAACAGGCAGTTCTGTGTTCATGATATCAGAAGATGAAGGCTCAAGTGCAAAATAATTGGTCCTTATGCATCTTCCTGCTTCAAATGTATTTTTCCCATCTACTGACTTCAAAGCGAAGCTTCCCCCATAAATATTTTCTGTCACATTTCTATCAATAACTTCGTTATGTTTTTTAACTGAATATATCCCTTCCCATTTCCCAGGATAATAAAGTTTATCGTGATGGATGAATTCGGCTTCAAAAGTTGAAGTGTTTGGCTTGTAGCCTAAACAGAATTTTGTTAAGTCAGCTTTGCCTCTTATGTTTTTAAGGACAGCAGAGATAACCCCTTTGCCACCTTCTGTATTGGGCAATAAATTTAAATCCATACCCCACCAAGGAGAGTCTTTTAATGAAAAAGTAACTAAGGCTGAGTCTGTGATAGGACCTGGAAGGACAAGAATGTCACAGCTTCTATAGACACCGAGAGCTTTAAGCCTTTCTGTAGTTATTTTGATGTTTTGATTGAGCTCAGAGACTGTGCTTGATCTTGAAATTTGCTGCGCATAATTTTTAAGTAGAACTTTTTCAGTGGAAGTTCCATGGAATTCTACTTCGACGCCTACGATAGGGTTTTCCTTGAAGTCTTCTAGACTTGTAGGCTTGTCCATTTACCTTTATTAATTTCTTAATGTTAAAAATAGAATATTTTTGTTCATTATATAAGATATGTACATTTGTCCTTTTATATTAAAATAAATTAAGCACATTTAGGGTTTTACAAAAATATTTTTTATTGATTAACTCCTTGCAGTATTATATGATCCACACTCAGGGCACTTCATGCCTAAAAAATGGAATTTTACAGTTGATCTCCTACATAGATTTTACTTTAAACAGTCATTACACAAGATGGAAAACTCCAAATCTGTATACTCTTCAGGCATTTCATTCTGTGCAATTTCTTCATCCAATTCTTGATAAACCATTGACATATCAACTACAGTTTTAAGACATAAAGGACAATTATAGCATTTATTCTTAATCATTTCTTTCAAGCACTTTCTATGAATGAAATGACCACACTTCATAGAAATCGTCTGTTCTCTGCTTGTAAACATATCTTCTTGACAAACTGCGCAATTTGCTTTCAACATTCCAGGCCTGCAGGTATGAGCATCTATTAAGGCGATTCCAAGGCAAGCTTCACAAGTATCACAATGGAAATAATTTTCTTTTGGCCCAACTCTACATATTCCGCATTTTTCACAGTGATAAATCTGCTTACTTAAATTACTATTCTATTTAGAATGATTTGAAATTTTAAAGAATTTTAATTACAAAGGCATATAGGCTGTTTAAATAAGCATATCATATAAGTGGCAAATTGAACAAAAATAAGCTCCCATGCAGATTCCACAATTTTGACAAGATTGCTCGAGTGTTTGGATATAAGAGCAATGCCGACAGCGAACTCGAATTGTATCGGATCTAGCCATTCGATGAGCCTTCTTAATGTCTTTCTCGTCCTCAAACTTTACTTTATCATGACAAAATTTGCAGGGGAAAAATTCTTGGCAGCAAGCAGCAAGGTAATCACATTCTCTGTCATAATGAGTGCACGGATCCATTATTTTATTTAAGTATTTCTCTTTATTTTTGAACTAAAAATGGTTGGTTTTAGACTTTATATCATTTAAAATCTCTTATTTTTTATAATAAATCATATTCCGCCAAAATTGATATTTAGAAAATATACAAAAAAGGCATACAAGGAAAGAGATTTGAGCTGTTAGCAAAAATAATAAAATATAATTTTCATTCCAGCAATAAAGTCAGATTTTTATTATTAAATCTATCAAAATGTATTGAATCTTTCAGCATTGAAATTTCCAATAAAAATTATTCATAATTTTGAAGACGTACTATTGGCTTTTATATAATAAATACTTACTACCTCCTCTGTGAGAATTAATTTATTTTTTTAAAATTTATATAGAAAATTTTTTTTCTTCAAAATTGTAAATTCTTTTAAAAGAATTAAACTATCCATGAACAAGGAAAAACAATCTGCTCACAAAGGGAGGGAGCTAGTAAAATATCAAAAGACTGTTACAAACGGACTCTAGGAAAATCAGTATAAAGATTCAAATTTAAAAATTTAAATGGCAAATAATTCTAAGTTTTCAAAGAGAATAATGATATTTTGGATAAAATTCATAGGTTGGAATATATTGAAAAGGCATGAACGATGCGAAATGGAGTCTATTAAATATGAAATTTGATTTGGAATTTATTAAAAGAAGTATTGAGGAAATGAACATAAATAAAATATATAATTAATAGTAATTAGTAGTGATTAAATATTAAATTAATTTGCATAAGGTAAAGCTAAAAGATAGAATAAACTGGAATATTTAAATTCTTAATTTCTGACACTCGACATAATATTTAAGGACCTATCAGAATATTTTCACCAGTTCACCAAATCCATTATTCTATAATTAGCTTAATATTTAACTTGTTTACAGTATGCAACACTTATAATAATTACTTCTATTGGTCATTTGCACCGATACCTACTTATTGCATAACTCTTGCAATTCATACTTCCAGGTAGGTAACATTTCTCAATCACATTCAAATCATTCTGATGATCTGGATGTGCTTAAAAGAGATTGACCACTTAAAGAATATCTTCTACTGTTGTATATAATATTTCACTATTTAAAACTTCATCAAAAATATTATTATAATTATTCCCCAACTTCTCGCCAATGATCTGTCAAATTATTTTCGTAAATTTTATATCAATACAATTCCAGCAAAATGATACCCTTATTTACCTAAATACTAGCTGCTGCTAATCATGCAGAAATCACAAAAAATCCCAATAAAAAGTTCTGACCAAAAATGGTTATGCATGATCTTTCCAATTCCTCTCCTTCATCAAACCATATTTTTCTTTGCTTATAATTTTTATAATCTCCTTCACTTTACTTATCTTTACTTAATTTCTGCCATTGAAACCTCAAATTTAAGAATAAAAATCCCGATTACAAATGTCTGGAATAGGATTCGTAGGAGAGCCTATAATAGTTGATAGTGGGAACGTTGAGTACAGCAAAGATGAGATCATTTCTCGTTACGAGTACCGTGAAGCCAGAGTTGTTGGTAACCGTGTGACTCCTCTGAACGAGAACCTTATTTTTAAAACTCAAAGACACGTTCCTAAGACAGGCGTCCTCCTGGTCGGATGGGGTGGCAACAATGGCACGACTTTGACAGCAGGAATACTAGCGAACAAGCTCAAAACGACATGGATGACTAAAGAAGGCGAACATCATTCAAATTTCCTAGGTAGCATCTGCCGTTCAGTTACCATGAGGGTAGGTATTGACCACAATCTGCAGCCTGTCTACGCCCCTCTCTTCAACGTAATCCCTATACTTGACCCTGTAGACTTAGAGATCTGGGGATGGGACATTTCTAGCATGAACATTGCAGACGCCATGAATAGAGCCAAAGTTTTGGACTACGACCTTCAAAGAAAGCTTTATCCTGAACTCAAAGATATGGTACCTTGGCCATCTGTGTACTCTGAAGACTTTATAGCTGCAAATCAGTGCGATAGGGCAGATAACATCATTCGTGGAAACAAGCAAGAACAATTAGACTTAACTTAACTTAACTTAAATTAGAGGGAGGCGTCTGCCATATTGGTTTCGCAGTCACCAAGGACCTTCCCATACGGGTGGTTCATCCGCTTTGCGCCGTCTTCAGCTTCGCCTTGATTATGATTTGCCGGGCAAGTGTTCGGCTCTAACACTGCCTTTCTTCTACTTCAGCGCCTGATGCCATGGCACTTCTGAAGTGTGGGTCCTGCTTCGTACGTCTCCTCCTTCCCTTGTCGGGTTCAGTGTTGAGTAGGCGGACTATGGACTTCTGCGGCTGCTGCATGGTCACGAGGTTGGCTATCCAAAAATCCAAAAAAATGGAATTTCTGGCCGATCTCTCGGCAAAAAGGAAAAGTCTAGATCCCGGGATGTAACGTCCGGCTTCACGCTAGGCAGTTGCCCGATTGGTCTGGGTATTACCTACAGACTTAGCTGGGCTTGCCCTTTCCAAATCTAAACCCTCCTTTCCCTCGAGGTAAAACCCCAACCCTGGAATCGGACTAGGGCTAGGGCTCTGTGCATTACCAGAATTGCTTACCTAGCATTGCCGTCCATTTTTAGATTGGTAAAACTTTGTCGGATATAATTAAAATATGTGCTCGGAAGCTGCGTGGCCGGAGGCCATGCTAGGTGGAGACGCCATATTTTAATTATCAAGAACAATTAGACACTTTGAGACAAAACATCAGGGACTTCAAACAGCAAAGAGGCATTGAAAAGGTTATTGTATTATGGACAGCTAACACCGAGAGATATGCAGAAATTAGAGCAGGCCTTAATGATACCGCCGATAACCTTTTGGGATCAATTGAAGCCAATGAAGCAGAAATTGCACCATCGACACTCTTTGCAGTGGCTAGTATTTTGGAAGGGTGCACTTATATTAACGGATCACCACAAAATACTTTTATACCTGGCGTGATTGAACTTGCAGAAAGACACCAAATACTTATAGCTGGGGATGATTTCAAAACTGGCCAAACTAAGATTAAGATAAGCCGTTCGCACTTGCAGGGCTGGGTATTTCCACCCATACACGCTCATCGCTCCCGAGGAGCCCCGGCGTACACCCTCCTTGTTACCGCAAACAAGGGATTCGCACAACCAGTCTTGACTTCCATGGCTTCTGGAGCCTAAGGGCCAACCACCTGGGTCGAAACTCCCAGTTTCTCGTTGGACAAATGCCATCTCTTGAGTCCTGCTCGAGGAAGTTAGCCTCCCCTCGGGACTGTCGCCGATCTTGTCCTTTCCAATGGTTGTTCTGGAGGTAAAAGCCCGAGTCCCACGGATTAGCTCCATAGGGCCCGAGTAAAACCTAGCCCGACATACACAAAGGGTTTCCGGCTTCTTTCCACCTAATTCGCCAACACTGGGCCTTTGCCTGCTGCTGTTGAGGAAATAGGGTCGAGAGGTCTGGTGGCACGTCATCGCCATTTTTATATATATGGCCAAACTAAGATAAAGACTGTGCTCTCAGACTTTTTAATCAATTCTGGGCTCAAGCTATGCTCAATTGTCAGCTACAATCACTTAGGCAATAACGATGGGAAAAATCTCAGCGCCCCTAAGACATTCAGATCTAAAGAAATTTCCAAAAGTGGAGTCATCGACGACGTCATTTGCGCCAATAGACTTATTTACGGAGAAAATGAGCATCCAGACCACTGCGTTGTAATCAAATATGTCCCTTACGTAGGAGATAGTAAAAGAGCTATGGACGAGTATACAAGTGAAATTTTCATGGGAGGAAGAAACACAATAGTCCTGCATAACACTTGTGAAGACTCGCTTCTGGCTGCCCCGATTATTATGGATCTTATTCTTCTCGCTGAACTCTGCACAAGAATACAAATAAAAAGAGTAGAAGATGAAGAATTTTCAAGGATGCACCCAATTTTGAGCATTTTAAGCTTCTTGTTGAAGTCTCCTCAAGTGCCTGAAGGATCTCCTGTTGTGCACTCTTTGTTTAATCAGAGATACTCGATCACCAACTTTATTAGAGCACTTGTTGGACTTCCTCCAGAAACTTTCATGCTACTTGAACACAAGATTCCTTCTTTGCAAAACCATGCATCATAAGATAAGCTTTCTTTAAAAAATATTGAAAATAAAATTATTAGCAATTATAAAATTAATATCCAAAAGTTATCTTTTATTTAGTTTAATGAAGACTACAGCGATTTGTAAGCTAATATAAATTGCTTGAGAGCAGTGATCATAGCCATACAATATAATAAAGTCATATTTAAATAATCAAAATAGAAATTAATTGATGATATTATTATCTTTTACAAGTTTTAATTCATTAAATAGGCTAGAGAAGATCAAGATGCTGAACGGTTCTTAATACTATAAATGAACTCAAATTATAAAGTAAAAAGTATTCCTTGCAATTTCTAAATTTTGTTTACTATTTGTCCTTTTATTTATTTTCTTTTTAAGACTCTTTTAATAGATATAGTTCATTTTCTTTTTAAATTTGTTTTTGGGAATTTTATGCTGAGTTTCTTTAATAAGGAACTCTTCTCAATGCATAAGCTTCAGTCCATAGTAATTTGATAAAAAGTCTGCTATGAAAAAATGTCTATTTCCCTTTAATTTTTATAGCTAAAAAGATTGCCATATTATTTCGGTTATGTTCAAAAACACATTTCAGTCTGGCTTCTTATCAATTCTCTATAGCATTGGAAGCAAGCCATTGCAGATTTGGGACAAGAGTGTAAGAAACGGCCATATAAAGCGTATTACAGACTCCGATATTCAAAGTTCAGTGCTAGAAATAATGGGCACAAACGTAAGCACAACATTTATCACATGTCCAGCAGATCCGAATCAAACCTTAGGTATAAAACTACCTTTCTTAGTCATGATCATTAAGAATCTCAAAAAGTACTTCACATTTGAAGTCCAAGTACTTGATGACAAAAGCATCCCTCTGCTGGTGGACTTTGCCTCTTCTTAAAAAGCTTTTTTCCCTTCTAGCATGGCTTTTTTCCCGTTGCATATCTGACTATGGGTTCCCTGCAGATGGCCAAGGCAGCATGACTGGTGCAGAATCCACTTATGCTGAAAAGGAGCAAGTGGTGAGTAAGTCTCGAACCTATTGACTCTAACGGCATTGGCCGTTCACGTGCCATCAGCAACAACCAGAGAGGAGGACTTTGGAACTGGAGGATGTGAACCGGACAGTGACTCTGGCCGTAGCTAAGCTGCCTTGCAACGGCATCGGATAAGCTCGATTAAATCAGATAGGTATACTGACCAGAATTCTGATCTGAAATTAAGTAACTATAACTATAAAGATGACAAAAACATCCGAAGACGATTCAGGGCATCCAACTATCAAAGCACCACACGAGTAAAGCCATTCATATGCACCATGCCAATGAGGCTTGACGAAGGATGGAACCAAATCCAATTCAACTTATCAGATTTCACAAGAAGAGCTTATGGGACGAACTATATAGAAACTTTAAGGGTGCAAATACATGCCAACTGCAGAATGAGAAGAATTTATTTCTCTGACAGACTCTACTCAGAAGAAGAACTGCCGCCAGAGTTCAAATTGTTTTTACCACTCCAGAAGCAAGCTTAAATATTTAATTGCTAATTTGACTAATCTTCGGCTTGATATGAGCGCTTTGACTTGGGATTGTGAGCGCGATAATAAATTTGAGGTTGAGCCTGTGTCTTTACGATATTTAACTTATAGAAGGGCTGAGATAAGGTATCTATTTTGCTAAATCATCCTTTTTGAATGAGAAACCTAAGAAATCGATAGAGATTGACCGCTTCTTCAGGCCAAATTGAATTATTAAGAGATTCATATGTTGAAGCCACTTAGCTTTGCTCTTGATATTGCACGTAGCAATGCTCTTTGATATTATCTATCTAAAAATATTGAGCATGCTCCTCCAGCTTCGCTTTCAGTTGATTTACTGTAAACAGTCTCTTTACAAAGTTTATAACAAGAACGCAGTTCGAGGCATTTTCATATAAAAATAATTATTTGCCTTAAAATTTCAAAATTTTGTATTTAATTGCGTAACAAAAACCAGGTGAAGGCTCATTCTCTTATAAAATATGGTGTCAGTGGTTAGAGTGTCTAAGTTCAGACATGTCTTTGGTGAAGAATTACAAGAAAAATTTGAAGACTTAAGGCCAAGCACACTTTCTTCAGAAAGCACTCTAATCAAGTCCAATGGCACAAATATAGTATTTCCTTGGGAATCGGGTGGGGCTGGCGTTTTAGCTGTATTTGCGATGTCGGAGATAGGCCGAATTGCTCCAAGTCACCCTTTTATCAGAGGCCATGCCGGGAATATTTTGGACTATGAGTTTAATCCTTTCAATGACTTTCAGTTATTATCATTATTTATATTGAATAATTAATTTTTCTTGTAAAATTTATTATTGAGTACTATTTAACCTAAAAAGGATAAGTTGCGGCGATGATGCAACGTTAAAGTTATGGGATATCCCAGAAGGAGGACTAACTGCCGATATCACAGTCCCCAGAGTTTCGTTATCAGGCCACGGAAAAAAAGTTAGCCTTCTAAATTTCCATCCTTCAGCTGCATTTTTGTGTGCAAGTGCATCATTTGATAAAACAATCAAAGTGTGGAATATTGAAAATGGGAGCCCAGCCCTTGAAATTTCAAATATTAATGAAATTATCCTTTCCCTACAGTGGAGTCCTATAGGCAGATCGATAGGTTATACAACAAGAGATAAGTATGCAAAGGTCTCTGACCCAAGAATTGGAAGAAATGTAATAGAAGTTCTAGCTCATGAAGGCTCAAAACCAAGTAAACTAATTTCAATAAATAAACCTTCTATAAATTTTCTATCAAAAATCTGCAAATTCATAATAAAATGATATAAAATGGGTTGGATTGATGAAGACACCATCGTAACCTGTGGCTTCTCCAAGATGAATGACAGGCAGCTTTCAGTCTGGGATTTGAGGAATTCCCAAAAAATCAAGACCATAAACATTGACCAAGGATCAGGAGTCTTGTACCCATTTTACGACTCTGACACCAAAATCCTCTTTGTCGCTGGTAAAGGTGACGGAAATATCCGCTATTACGAAATTGTAGGAGACGACCAATATATGTATTATGTTGAAGCTTTTAGGTCAAATATCCCTTGCAGAGGGATCAGTTTTATTCCAAAGCGAAAAGTTGACGCAGATTCCTGCGAAATTATGAAGGCTGTCAAGTTGACTAATAACACTGTAGATTTAGTAAGCTTTAAAGTACCTAGGCGTGTAGAATCGTTCCAAGACGATATTTATCCGGACTGCATCTCTGGAGAGCCTGCAATGAGCTCATCTGAATGGCTTAGCGGGACTGATAGAGAGCCTAGGAGAGCTCCAATTAAACAAATTGACAGTTCACCTGCAAGGGTTGAATTGCATGTCCAGCCCCACTCGCCTGCACCTGTGCAACATGGCCAGAAGAGCGTTAAGGATTATGAAAAAGAGCTAAATGAAGCTAAAGCGACGATTAAAATGCAGCAACAAAGGATTGCTGAGTTAGAGGCTCAGTTGGAGTCAAAAACTAAGTTAGAATAAATAGGCGTTATAATCACGAAGAGATCATTAATTTTTTCTATCTAAATTAAGAAATGCCACGTTACTGGCAAATAAAATGTCCCAGTATGAATTTTTTAAGAGACATATCATTGTGAATTACCATGGCAAGTTCATTTAAATGCTAAGGCCAATTTCCTATAGAAATTAATTTATAATCAAAAATTTTTGCATTAAAAATGCCTAGAGAGCGATAAATTCGAACTATAAAATGTCAATCCTTAATAGTCAAATCTTTTATCCTTCGAAATAGATAAAAATAGATAATTATTTAAAAATTTCGAAGTTTCATGGCGTAATTATACATTCATTTAGAAATGAAAATAACTCCTGTCGATTCTACCATAGATGTGTCCAGAAACCAAAACCGGAACGAAAGTTTGAAATCCTTTATAGGAAAAAGCCCAGCTCGTAGAGGATATAAATTCAGGTCACCAGAAAGCACTGAAAACCCAGAAGAGGACTACTCAAATTTCCAATCCTATATTGCTGAAGAGCTCAATGATGGAATTACTGAAAACTTGCCAAAAGGAGCTCCAAATCTGATCCGCATAAGCCGACCATTTAGGATGAGGTGGGATTTAGTTATGATTATCATAGCTTTATACAATGCAATTTCAGCTCCTTTTGTAATTGCCTTTTATCGGCATGTTGATGAGTGGTTTTTTGCCTTGAATATTTTGCTAGATATTTTTTATTATGTTGACATAGGTGTCAATTTCTTTACAACTTATATAGCTCATACCCCTATATAGATTTCTTTATCGAGCGAAATGTAATGGCCTCTTGAGCGAGCAAAACAGACTCTCTCTTAAAGAGATGAGCTCAATCTCTATATCAGGAAGTGTTAAAATTAAAAAGTGCCATGTCAAAAAATGGTGACAAGTGTGAAAAAAGTTGACAAGTAAACGCGCCGATTTTAAAAATGGCTTTATTATTAATTTTAAATTTAAGATACCCAATTAGACTAAGAGCATATAATCAAGGGTCTCCAAGAGTTATTGCTTCAGTTGAGACATCTCTTAAAATCTCCAATAATTTTTGGACTTATACTCAATTCAAGATGGCGTCCAGTATGGATAAACTGACTTGAGATAGTAATAATTAAAATATGGCGTCTTCGTCTGGGGCATGGCCTCCCGGCCATGCAGCCTCGACTCATATTTTAATTATATCCGGCAAGGTTTTACCATTTCAGAGATGGACAGCAATGCTAGGTAAGCAATTCTGGTAGCTTTCAGAGCCTAGCCCTAGTCTATTCTCAGGGGTGGATTTTTCCTCGTGGGGAAGGAAGGTGCAGGGTTGGAAAGGGGAAGCCCAGCAAAGTCCTCTGGACCATTCGGGCAACTCCCTAGCGTGAAACTGGGCGTTACGTCCCAGGCTTTGCATTTTTCCTTTTTTTTGCCGATAGCCGACCAGAAAAATCCATTTTTTGGGTTTTTCGGAAAAGCAACCCATGTACAAGCAAGTAGCTCATCCATGAGCCGTCGAAGACGTGGACATTTGCCCTGGAAGCACCCTGGTGATCGAAGCAAGTTTGTCTCCAGCAGACTGGTGGGCCCGATGCGACGAAAGGCGAGTGATAAACCTGGAGTTGTAACCCCGTAGTGGACGTTAAGCGATATAAATTCTAATGTAATGTAAATGACTTGAGATAGTAACTATAGAAAAATTTAAAAGTGCGGCTCCAACCCATCAAAGGTTTCTAAGAGTTATTTCTTCAGTTGAGACATCTCTCAAAATCTCTAATAATTTTTGAACTTATGCTTGATACGAGATGGCGTCAAGTATGGAGAAGCAGAGAACGGCATCTAGTTTTATTGATACAATTTATAGATAGCATTTATTATTTATTATTATTATTATTATTATTATTATTATTATTATTATTATTATTATCATTATCATTTAATTTAAAGACCTTTTAAAAATTGGCGCGTTTACTTGTCAACTTTTTTACAATTGCCACCATTTTTTGACATGTCACTTTTAACGCTTCCTGAGCCTATCTCTTTGAGAAAGTCTGTTTTGCTCGTTCAAGAGGCCAATACATTTTGCTCGATAAAGAAATCTATAAAGGGGTATGAGCTATATAAACTCCACAGATGATGAAATATTCAGCCACAAAAAAATAATTTTCCACTACTTGACACGAGACTTTGCCTTAGACTTGATTTCTGCATTGCCAGTCGCAGAATTTATATTTCTTTCAAATGACAAGGCAGATGAAAATAAAAAACTTTGACTACTGCTAAACATGATTAAGGCAAAAACAGTCATCTCTAGATTAAACCGTATTATCAGATTTGCAAGAACAAAAGATTACGTAAAAGTGCTTATGAGACTTTGTGAGCTGACATTATATGTGTTTTTGTGGGTTCATTTGACTACTTGCCTATGGTTTTATACTTATTTACCAAGAATAACCCACTAAGGAGGATTTTTTGGTTGCCGGAAAATAGCTGGGTTGCCTAATTCGTTGGCATGCCATATTTTATGACTAACCAAATTTAAGAATGGAAACCAAAAAATGCTCCTTAGCGGGCTATTCTTGACAAACAGATATATGTAATTAGAGACAATGAAGACTGAATACCTACTACAGACTTCTTGACTGGAGTAACTGAGCTTTATCAATCAGACGTCGTGAAACAATACGCAACTGTATTTTATAACGCTGTTTGGCTTCTAGTCGGAAATGATGCAGTTCCTAGAACTCAAGGCGAAGCTTGCCTTGCCTCATTTTTGATAATAATCGGAAGTATAGCCACTGCAGTTATTTTTGGAGAAATGGTTGTCCTCATGTCAAGCCTCAGCCGAAAGCAAGATCAATATCAAGAAATTATTGATGGTGCTGCTACTACAATGAGAGGCATGAAGCTGCCAGACCGTCTGCAAAGCAAGATTTTAGACTATATTGCTCTTACGCATACATCTTCAAGCTCACAAGAAGAATACGAGACCTTTAAAAAGTTTATTTCACCATCTTTACAACAAGAAGTTTCTGCTTGTATATATGATCCAATTATTTCGAAAAATGTGGTACTGCAGAATGAAGAAAGGATGTTCTATATGCTGGTAAGGAAGCTTAGCAATAGATTTACAAAGCCGGAAGATGAAATTATCATTGAAGGAGCTGAGCCTGATAACATGTATTTTTTGGTCAATGGTGAGGTAGAAGTTTTTGTGACTGATAAAAATCTGAAGAAAAACTCTGTGTGCTTCTTAAGTCCTGGAGCGCAGTTTGGCGAGCTTGGATTGATATATTAGATTAGATTAATTTGAAATGATTTTAAGTCCTTACTTCACTGATCGCTCCTTTTTACAGTGATGTGCTGAGGGTTGCAGAGTGCTGCCGTCTTTAGCAGCCCGAACCAATTACCAAGGATCTAAAGGACATTGTTGACTGCCACCTTTTCAAACCACAAAACGTCACCTGTTTTGACACAAACTCTAGAATGTTCACAGACCTAATCACTCCCCTTGATATGAGTACTTTCGACTTGAGAGGCTCCCTCACTGGCGCCAGCTAGCTGTCTAATTTACCTCCCCTCTTTCCCAAAGAAAAAACCAAAAGCATTCGCCATTTGGGGCAAATCACCAAAGCAACTTGAACGGGTAAGTAGTCATTCTCCATAAGGGACTCTCATGAGCTGGGTGCTTCTATAAAAAAGAGATTCAAATAATGATTGCTATATAATATTCACAGAACAGCTTCAGTAATCAGCTATGGGTACTGTACAATAGCTGAGCTTAGTAAAAAGAATTTTCAATCATTGGTTTTATCATTTCCAATGTTGAAAAACAAGATGATTCGAGCTGCTGAAGTTTATGATGATCCATGGAAAAGATTTTTATTAGACTCTCTTTCCCAAGCTGAGTATTTTGAAGCTCTCCCAAGACAAGTTTTCAGAGAATTTCCATATAGAATGGAAATCATGAAGCTTGAAAAGGGAGGATATTTGTTTAAACCTGGGGAAATACCAAAATGTATATACTTAGTAGCGCTTGGGGAACTAGAAATTTCAGTAACCATAAATGAGAAACATCTGCATCTCCTCAAAGCTCATGAGCATTTCCCAAACATAGAAAACGAACCAAGGATTCCAAGAAACCAAAGAACCTTAGAAGACTATAAAGATTATTCTTTTGATATTTTCAAAGCTGATTCTTTAAAGAAAAAAGCAGAAATCGTCCCTATTATGGACCAAAAAGGTATAGTAGGATCTATCAGACTTGATGAAGAAGTTCCAGAAAAAACCTCTATGATAGGAGATTACCCACAAGAAATAATTTTAGGAAATATCTCACAAGGCGCTCTTATTTCTTCTACATTTATATATGCAAAAATGCCTTATTTATTCCAATGCAAAGCATTAAATACAGTAACAGTCTATGCATTAAAATTAGAGACTATTAAGGAGCTCGCAAAAAACCATCCTGCTTTTGAAAATGAAATGAAAGAAATTAAAAGTGAAATTAAAGGGAAAAAATATCCTAATATTTTAGACATCATCCAGCCTGAAACTTCAAGTGAAAGAATTAAGAAACTATGGGTTTCTGCCATTTTAAGGGTGATTGCGCAGCTTCGACAAGAACGTAGAGGAGGGGTTGGCTTGCTTCTTCAAATTACTTCAAAACTTAAAGCTATCATTGCGTGTGAAGAAGCTGGAAATTTCGATCTTGCTGAAAAAGTAGCAAGAGGGGATATCCCTCCACATTATATATTAGAAGATGGGACTTTGGACCCAGCAGCTATTAATTCGAATATAAACTCATCACTGCCTGTAAATCATCCTATGATGATGACCTTAAAAGCTATGCTAGATTCTATTACTCAGCCTGGTGGGAATATTGTTAGACAATATAACGCTCTTGATAAAAAAATTTTACAGCACTCCAAAATTATTCAGAGTTATGGAAAAAGCCTTGAAGAGGTAAAAGATACGCTGAGAAAAATCATTAATAAGCTAAAAGGGAATATAGATGAGCCTGAACCAGAAAAGATAAAAGACCAGCTGCCTAAGCTTGGAAATGTTGAAGAAGCAAAAAGAAAAGAAATGATGAAACTGGATATACAAAAGGTATATACCTCAGAAGAAGAGAGGCTGCAGAGGAGGGAAGCTAAAAAACTAGCGAAAATACAAAGGAAGAATGATAGAGCTAGTATAAATGAAGCAGTTATAAAGCCTAGATCGCAAATTGATGAGGTTGATAGACCCAAAGATTTAATATCTTCTTTTAAAGAGAGCAAAGAATAAGTCTATTTAGTTTTCAAAATTGTATTAATTTGTTTAAGTAATACAATTCTAATATTTTTTAAAAATTTATAATGATTTTTCAATAATTTCCGGTAAATTACTATACCAATCCACAAATAAGAGCATAATTCGAAAATTTTCACTATTAATTTATTTAACAACAAATAATCATTATAATTTTTTATTATTTATGCACCTAGTCCATACTCACTTCTTCTATTTTTATTTCTATTTCTTTCCAGTCTCACCCAAGACTCCTCATCTGCTCTATATAAATAGAAAACTAGGAATATGAAAATCACAAAGCAAGTGAACATCATAGACATAGATATGACTCGGCTTTTATCAATCCTAAACTTGTAGCCTTCTTTCTTCTTTCCCATTATTTCATCATTGTACCGCTTTAAAACAGATGGAGAAATCGGCTCAATTGGAAGTAATGGGAATTCTTCTATTGGTTTGAGTCTGAGAAACTTATTTGGATTAATAGTTTCAATGCAGCCTGGAGCTGACAAATTGGCAATATAATATTTTCTAATCTCCATCATTTCTTGCTCTACATGAATTCTAGCAGGCACAATTTCCCCTCTGGACTCAATTGCAAGACTTCTTAGATCTTTATCATTTCCATAGAGATCTATGGCAAAATTCCCATAGTGCTCTTGGAATTTTTGAAGAAAATCATTATAAGAGTCCTCAGCTACAAATTTGACTGCGTTTTCTAGCTTTTCTGCTGGCGTTGTTAAGTTCTTTTTTACTGCATCCTGGATCTTTTCAATAATGTGTATCATTGGCTCAATTTTTCCTTCTTTATAAGCTTCTTGCTGATGGGTTATAAGTGCTTTCCTTTCTATATCGATTCTTTTGATTACTCTTTCATCTTTTTGAGTGATTATGGGTAGGTATGATTTATCCAGTGTTGCAAATGAACGGTGCAATGCCTTCAAGCCTCTTTGAAAGCACATATTAATTTTTACAATATTTAATTTACGGATTAATAATTATCACCTTTATCATATATGAATTTTCTTATCGATTAAATGGCTTAAACAAAAAATCATAGAGTATTTAAGCTTTAAATTTGATTTTTAAATTTATTTTAATTTTAAAGGATTTTAAGCTTTGTTTTCAATCTTAATGATAATTTTATAATTATACTTAATTCATAAACCAGCGCTAATCGATGAGCTGCATTATGAAATTTAATTTAAATGGAAAATTGTCGCAAAAGATGCTCAAGTGCCGGAACTAATTTAACCAGAGACTACCCAAAGCCTAAAAAAATCCCCAAAAATAAGCGCACAAACAATATCGCTCAGCTTAAAAATATGATAGAGCAAGTAAATTTTATTTAGTATGATTTAAAAGTCAAAATCCTTGAAAAAAATCGAAGAACTTATGAAAAATCTCAGCGGTCTTCAAGTGTAAAAAGCGCTTCTCAAGGAGTTATAGCTAAATTAGATAAGGCTACAAGCCCTGATATAATGGACAAAGTTACCCTTAATACTCTTCCAAGCCCAAGTTTCCATACAGAGACCAAAAAAATAATCTCTCAAATTAAATACTCAGGATCTTCCAGCTCATCTGAGCATAGTTTTGCTTGCACCCTAGAGTCAAAAGATTTATCAGAAAGCTTCGAAACTTTTGGAAAATTGGGGAAAGAAACTTTTGAATCTTCTTATGCAAAAGATGAAGAAGACACAAGAATTAAGCAAGCTATTCAGCGTTGCAGCCCTGAAAAACATTATAAAAAGCCTAGCACTGATACATGCTGAAATTCCAGGCTACTGCAAAACTCAAAACTTACTGAAATCTTGCAGGAGTCATATCAAATTCCTTATGAAGCCTCTTCTATAAAAGAGATACAAAATTGGTCATTAATTTCTGATAAAGAAAATGTAATTGTTGACTCTGCTGTACCAAGTAAAGAAATTGAGTATCTTAAGCAGGAAAATTTTATATTATTTGCCTATAAATATTATGCTATCGTAATTTTATCTATCTATTTATAAGCTTTTCAAGATATTCATATAAAGCAGGCATAAAATACAAAAAAATGCTAGATTCCTTGCAATCATCTTTTAAAGAATCATTAGAAACCCAGAAATCGCAATATGAAAAAGAAATTTCCTCTCTCAAAGAAGCAATTATTTCCCTCGAAAACCAGCTTAAAACTAAAGAAGAAATGTCTGTTGACCAAATTAAAGTAGACTTTGAGCTAGAAAAAGAAAAAGAAATCGAGAAACTCATAGAAAGTTATGAAAATGAAAAAGAAGAGCTCCAAGAAAAATTCCAAAAACACCTAGAACTTGAGCTGTTGAACCAAAAAGAAAATTTAACAGCAGAATTCAGAGAAAACATAGAAAACGCTCGAGCTTTTATGTTACAAGACCACGAAAAAGAGTACACAAATCTAAGAGAGCAGCTCATGTACAGACTTCAAGCCAATGAATCTAGAGTAAAGCAAAAAATAATAAAAGAAATCGAAAAAAAATACAAGCAAGAAGCCATTGAAAAAGAACAAGAGCATGAGTTGAAAATAAAAACGTCCTCAGCTGCTATTAAGTCAGAATTTGAAAGGAAAATTAAGGTTTTAAAAGAAGAAAACATGGCGCTAAGAAAAGATGTGGAGTCACTTGAGAGCCAGATTGAAGAAAACAGATCAAGGGAACAGTTTAAGTATGGAGTTGGGAACTCTGAAACTTCATCTGCTGGGCATACGATGGATTCTGATAAGATTTATTATGATTTGCTAGAAATTAACCAAAAGCTGAAAAATGAAAATACTAGTCTTCATAATACGATGCATAATAATCACTTGCTATGTGGAAAGTGCAAGGCGTTTGTGAAAGTTAATGGAGATTTTACGAGCAAGCTGACAAGGCTGAGATCTTATCTTGATTCTTAATGTAAAAAATTTAAAATATGAGTGTGATACTAATTATCTATATGTTTTGTTTAATTATTATTGAAATGAATCTTTTACAATTTTTACTGCAATTCTTTCCTGATTCACCATCGGAGATGCTATATTAATTAGACAATAAGTCACCTGCCCTGGCGATTTTAATAAATTTTGTATGTTCACACAAATCGTTCCACCCTCCCTAAAAGTTTGAAGTGCCATGCTTGAACTTGTTAAAATGATATGTGGTGGATTATCAAGCTGAAATTTCGAATAATGGGCATATTCTACTGGTAGATCTGATGGATATACAGGCAAATAGCTGAGCTGGTGAAGGATTTGGTGGCTTGCTACTTCAATTTTATTGATCATTGACCTAGATTTGTAGGTAGATGATGATATAACTTCTTTTCATAAATCGTATGGCACAATTCCAATAGTAACATCTTTAATTTTTAATGTGCATGGGTTTGAGGCGCTCATGCCATCATAAGGTGGCTGAGGTAACGGGTAAAAATGAGTCATTTCTCTAATACTTGGAACAATAATGACTTCTTTAAAACGTGAATTTATGTAATTTGATAAAGCATTGAAAAGATCTTCATAGGTACCATTTTCAACATTCAAAAATTGGCTATTAATTTGCTGACATTTAATTATTCTGTGCTCTGCATCTACTAGAGGGCCAATAAGTATTAAACTGTTTACATTATTAGCAATAGTATCTATAAACCGCTGGAGTGGAAGATATTCTAAATTATCAGGGTCCGTAAAAGGTCCGGCAGCAACCGCAACAATGACAGGAGGCTCATTATAGGCCCACTCTGATGATTTTCTATCTATCCATTCAAGGTTGATTTCAGTTCCAATTTGCTCAGCAGAAAACACAAAAGAATCGCAAGTCCCTTTTGCAATAATAATTTGTCCATTAAACAGTACATACTCAGGAAGTGCTTTCAAATCCAAAGCTACTGAACTTGATATATCTTCCAAATAAATATCATTTTTTTCATCCCTATCATCAATACAAACCCTTCCAACCACAGAAATTGTTTCTTGTCCAGACATCTGAGTCAGCCTTTGGAATTCCTCAATTCCAAATGAGTCTTTATATCGTCTCGTCATTTTTTCCAGCTGATTTTCAAGCTCTTGAGTCGCCATTGCAGATGGCTCTCCAAAATAATACCCATTCCAAGTATTTAAAACTTTTGGCATAATTTTCGCTGTATTTGGTGCTTCAAAAATAAAATTAAAATTATCAGGCACATATTGATATGCTACATTTCGGGTTGCAAGTGTAGCCTTGTTTGCAGACAGTGCAACAGCTGGCTTTTTTTTGTTTCCCTCGTATTTTTTCAATATTTTTTGCAGTTCAGCTGTAATTGAAGAATTCACAACTTGCGCTTTTTTATTCATAAAAATCGCTTCAAGTTCATCATTAATTTGTTGCCTGCTTGCATTGGTCATCCTCACAATTTCTTCATATCGTTCCCTATCCTCTTCACTAGCAAAATTTATTCCCGCCATATTATTATAATTGCCTCCAAATTATCATTATTTTCCTAATTAATTGATATGTTGCAGCACACCTTGCCTTATAAGTCCAGCCGCTTCACTTCTCCTTAATAAATGCACCGTATTTTTTTCTAATGACACCTGTCCAGTCTCTGGCAGCACGATATCTCCTACATCTTCAGTTGCCCGAACTTCAACAAAAACGTCTTTTGGTGGCTGCAAGTCACCAGTCAAATCTAAAGATTTGCTGACTTTACGAGAATAGTCTTGCAGTAAGGCTGAGTACTGCTTGAAATAGTCCATTTCATCTTTGTTAAGCTGATTTGAAAAGTGGGGAGGGATGTTTGGGCCGGTTTCTAAGCGAAGGCACTCGAGTTTAGTAAGGCGGTAGTTTAGATAAGCAAGAACACAGCGTTTATTTCGATTAACCAGGCTAGATTTTATTAGAGCAGAATCGGTGTTTCGGTCCTCTAGATCTGAGACGGCTTTTTCGTATAATGAAGCCATATCTTGGGAAATCTCTGAAATAAGGGCTACGTTGTAAGGAGGAAGCCATTTCGACGTTTTGAGTTCGCGCACTAGTTTTTTGCTTTTTTCTGCGTGCATTTTATTATTTGTATTTTATATCTTTTTTAATAAAATATCATTTTAAGCTAATTTTTAACAAAAATATTTTGGCTCATTAAACGGAATTATTCGACTGTTAAAAAAAGCTAAAATGTTTAATTAAGTCTTTTTCAATTGCATAATCTTTACCTCTGTCTTAATTCTCTGCTTTCTTTCAGTCTTCAATCTTTCCTCTAACTCCCTAATATACTTTTCAGCAGCTAAGTCAGAAGTACCAACTTTAGCCTGTACATCCTTCAACTCTTTTTCCAAATTTTCCAGTCTTGGGCTTTCTTCTTGAATTTTATCAATCCTCCTTGACCTGATTTTATTTGGTGAGCTTGAGTGATGTCTGATCTTTTCAGGAGATCCTGAAATTTCTTTTCTTATCCTTATTACTGATTTTTGAGGACTAAAGCTTGAAGTTCGGCTCAAAGAGTCATCAGCTAAGGCATGGCTGATATGCTTGGTGCCACCATAGGTGTATCCAAGGTTATACCTGAATGTTTTATAATTAACTGGTTTTGCATGCTGATCAGCATTTGGAAAGAGAGGTCTGCAAAGGCTTTGGGTTGAGTCTATTGTTGAATAGGGCCCAAAAGTTTTATAAAATTGAGATGTTCTTGATTGTTCTTGTTTGACTCTTTGTTGCCAAGCAAGATGCTCAGAGTGATAGCTTAGTGACATTTATAGCGTTATAATGGAGAAATTAATGGTTTATGTAGAGATAATTATTATTTAGTTGTGAAAGTAATTAAATGTAAGGCTTTTCTTAAAGATTGTAAAAGGATCTAAATTTTGGTGGATTGAAGTGATAAAAATTTTCCTATAATGTTTTTTGCTGAATTTAGCTTAAATAAGACAATAGAGTGTCTTAAATATCAAAAAATTTTTTTGCTCTCCAATATTATCATTTTCTTAATAACTCCATTTTGGCTTATTTAAATGATATTTTTCTTTTAAAAGTAACACTCTTAAGTTTTTTGAACTTGATATTTAAAATTTCATGTGAATTATTATTAATTTTATTAAATACATTACACAAACTTTATTGTCCCTAAAAATAAAAAATATTGATAGCTACTATGTATAAAATTCTTAATTTCATAATCTTTAAACATAACTATTCCTATAAGTTAAAGATTTAACTTTAAAGAGTATATCCTTGCTGTTTAAGAACTTCATCTGCCTTCATCTCATCTTCATATGGGATGCGCATAGCATAATCTCCGCGTGCAATTAAAGCATTCTTTCTTGATCTTGCTATAAGTGGCTGATAATGACGTCTGTATCCCCACATCTTCAAGTCTTCTCTAGCTTTTTTCTCATCTGGTCTAACTCTGTCTAAAAATGCCAAAGTGCGTTGTGCACTGCTGCGATTGTACCAGTAAACACTGTAAAAGCACAAAAATAGCAAGAAGAAGTTGTATCCTCTAGTCTTTCTAATCATCCATGAGTGATGCTTCTTATAAAGAGTATGCCAATAAACCATTTTATTGATTATCCTTTAACTCAATATTTTCGAAGGACCTTAAAGAAAATTATATTGAAAAATCATTATTTCAATAATATTTACGAAGCTTTAAATAATTAGCAATAAAGTTATGCAAAATGCAAAATTTATTTTATTAGCTTTTACTACTGCAAATAATACACTTCAAATACCTCATCACATTGGCAAAAGCACGCACACGAGTCTGTAGGATCCAAATTTTCTTGTGTAAAGTTATCCAAGGGGTTGCTGATCTGTTCTCTTGACATTTCAGTTAACAATTTAATTGGCCTATTCGGTAAAAAATATTTCTGAATTTGATGTATTTTTTGTAGCCCAAACCATTGCAGTCCCTTCCTCAGTTGCTGCAGCTCTTCTTCATTTAGCGGCTTTTTTTGTTCTTCTAATAATTTCATAATCCTTTCCTGAGCTTCATTTTTTGGTGGGTATTTTTTTGACTTTAAATTTTTAATCCTATTTTTTATTTGAGCAGGAGTTTTATTCGGTAATCAATTTTCTTGTATCAAAAATAATGAGCTGGTTTTAGTTAACCCTTGGAGTAATAGCATATCATCTAAAACGTTAAAACCTTGTTTTGCCTTTCTTGGAGATGGAATATTGTCAAGCGGCAAAAGCCATCTAGATATAAAAGGAGGAGAAAAAATTTCCAATGCATCTTTTATTTCTTTTCGGGACATTCTTACCCTCATTAAATCTTCAAAAGGAAAACAAGTTTTGATAACATCTACTAAAGGGACATACAGCAATGAGATTTGGCGGGGGACGGAAATTTTGGCTCTGCCGTTTATATCTAAGGAGGTCTTTATTTCGTCCCAGGGCTCTAGGTTTTCTGAATTTGAGAGGTTACTCAGCAATATAGGCTGCTTAAGTAACCTCTAGTTTTAAAGAAAACCCTTTGGCAAGCTAAAGCGGCCCTGAGCTATATCAAAAATGAAATATCATATAAATTCGAGTTTGATTCACATCTCTTAAGCACATCTCTAGCTCCCCCTACCTGAACGAGCAAAATTCCCCATTTTTAAGTAAAGCCCCCAGTTTAATAACGAGCTTAAAATATAAATGATAATTATTATAACGAAATCTCTAGTCAGCACTGTTAATTTTTAAGCAACTTGCGTTTTGCAATATAAATTTTGCAAAATAAGTTAATCTTTGCTTTCCAATTTTTAAAATTTACTATAAAATTTAAAAAAAAATTGTTTGCTGGTAGAGGAGTAAGTATTCTCACCCCGTCTTCTTTCATTCTAATATCATCCGCAAGCAAAATGTTTTGTATCAGTAATTGGATAAAAATTTCAATTTGTGAAAGCAGCATCATCCTCTGCTCTCTCGTAAAGCACACCACATTATCCATAACTCTTTGGTTATAAACTGGCATCACAGGCCTATAGACTGTACAAGTAGGCTTTGAAATATGCTGAGATTCCATCACGAGATCTACAAGCTCAGCTTTTGGAATTCTTGCATGGTAATTGTCTTCAATTACTTCGTCAACTGCAAAAAAATCCTCATCGTCGCTAGGCAAATCTTCTTCATTATTAGTCGCAGATATAAAATTTTTGTAATACTCGTCTTCGTCCATGATAAAAAATTATTTATAAATTATCGATTAGATTTTCGACTAACTTCCCTCTTAGTTAGCATTAGAAAAGCCAATTGGCAATTAGACCATCTTCGTTAGTAAGCAAAAATATTTTTTATATATAAAAAATATTAAAATTATAATGATACGAATTAATTATTATTATGCCTTGAACAATCTTTGATTTGTGCAAGGAGTATATAATTAAATTTTAAATAATAATAATAATAATAATATCTTCTAAAATATGAATTAAATTAGATTTTTCTTAAAATTTGAATTTTAAAACCGTTAGAAAATATTTTTTATATATAATTTTAATATAAAAAAATTACCCCTTTGGATAGAGAACAGAAAAATTTTGCTCACTAGCAAAGGGCGGGGTGAGAATAGGAAGCTCGCCTTCAGTGTTTGATAAATCAAACTGAGGGGTATGGATTATTAAATCATTTGCTGGAACAGAAGAAGGTCGCCATTTGCGAAAAGATGTAGAAGTTTTGCAGCGAATATTTCTGTTTTCCTCAAGAAAACTTGTCATGCTGAATTCATTGGAATTTGTTTCCCAGATCCCTTCAATAATTTTTTTCTGGATATCAATGAGCTCTTTTCGGTTGAATTGGCTGCCTCCATACAAGACTAGAGAGGGGGTGTAGGCTAAGCAAGCCATTTTAAAAGCATTCATAACAATTGATGACTGCCCAGCACATGATTGGCATTGTTTATCTATTGAAACAACTGGTCTTGCATTAGCTGCTCTGCTTTGAGTTCGACTTCCGGGTCTTTGTTTAGTGTCTTTATATGCTAGTAAGGAGATTGAATCTCTATCAATTTCATCTTGACTTTGCAAAGATATACAAATTTTTGAATATTCTACAAGTAGCTCCACAACTTTTCTTAGACTTTCATATTTTTCTTCGTTCTTAGGGTTTTGGTATGAAAGTCCAGCAATTTTTGTATTTAATGCCTTAATATCTGACGCTATATCAGAATTTTCTCTTTTCCTTTGGTTTAAAATAGTCATATACTCACTCATGTTTTGCTCCATTATCAGTTCTACTTCTTTTATCCTCTGGCTAGTATCTTCCATTATTTCTTTTTCTTTCTGCGAAATCTCATAAAGCCTCAGCTTGAGCTGTGTATCAACTTCTTCAGTTTTCATCTTTGTATAGCTTTGGTACACTTTTAGCGTGTTTCTTCCTACTTAGCTAGGGGATTTAGCTCACCACCTTCAAGTGACGAGTCAATTTCTAAGGTTAGGACGTGCTAAAAGCGTGCCCACACTATATCTAGAATATTCTCTTTTAGTAACAAAATTTCATCTTTTATGCTTAAAATATCTTCCTCATGCAAACTTTTTAATTCAAAAATCATTTGCTTTACCTCTTCTATATAAGGTGAAAAATCAATTTGCTGCTGCATAAAAAAGGGTTCATTGGGCTCTGAAGTGTTGTCAGTGTCTGAACGATGAGAATTTAAGGTTTCTTGAGGCTGAGGCATAAAGGAATCAAATCTTTCATGAGTGGTTAAAGTGACTGGCTCCTCAGTCTCATTTAGCTTTGAGACTGATGATATTATTGGCATGTTTTCTATACCTCTAAAACTTTGTCGAGGAGATAAAGGTCTCATATGAATTATACTTTCTTTTGAGGATAAATGCTCAGGTTTATCGTTTTCGCTTTCTTCATGCTGTGACCCTGAATTTTCCTCTTCTTCATAAGTTCGTTTAGATGGTACATATAAGCGGTGGGTTCCTCGACGAGAAGCATTTACTGATGGAGAAAGAGAGGACTTGCTACTTGATATGGAAGATGCTGATATCAGTGTATGCTTTATTTGTTTAGGCTCTGGAGGGGGCGGTGGAAGTGGAGTATCTAAAATTTGTTGGGAACGGTTTTTCATATCAGCAACAATTTCCCGTGAGTGTGAATTATAAATGGAAAATCATTATTTTTTAGAAAAAAGCCTAGTAAATATATAATAGTTTTTTATAAAAATTATTTTGATATATGAGTGTAATTATTATTATACTGAAATTCTTAGATAAACTATTAAATTTGAAACAAAAATGAATTAAATTAACTTTTACTTTCTAATTTTTGTTGAAAATAAATTTATAAAAAAATTAACTCCGGGAGCAGTCAAAAAGTTTTATCTTATTATGAACAGGGAATTAAATCTGGGTTTAGTAAATTTTCATCCCAGCCTCCAAGCATGTCGTTTTCTACTTTAGCAATATTTCTTCTGAGCTTTGGGTCTTGAAGAGTCTCATATAAAGCATACATAACGAAAAGTTGATTCTTTATTTTGTATTCATTACTTAGATAATCATATATCTTTTTATTCATGCTTTGAATTTCTCCGCCCTGCAAATAAATGCTGCTTTTTAATTTATCAATCGACTCATTTACTATTTTTTGCAAGTTTTTCAGTGTTTTCTTATGCTTTTTTAAATCTTTTTGACTTTCATCCGCTATTTTATCTCCTCTTTTCGCAATAAAATCCACTTCAGCTAGATCTTTTAGCACATGCTCCAATTTTTTTTCAATTTGAAAATTATTTCTTTCTACCTTTCCAGTCCTTATATTTAATTCTTCAATTTTCGCTAAATAATCATCTTGAAACAGTCCTAATTTTTCTTCAGTAATATTTTTATTGGAATTCACAGTATGTGAAAGCTTATAAATATCGCTTCTAAGCTGCTCTTTTTGATGATCTAAAACGTCTATTTTCTCCTCACAGTAAATAATTTTTTTTGAAAGAAGATCTAACTGTTGCTTAAACTCTTCTTTATCTTTTGTAAATCGAGATTCCATTACTCTCATACTGGCTTCATATTCCATTGTACGCTTTGAGTAGTCATCTGTAGCTTCTAATTTTTTGTTTGTGGCAAAAAGATGATTTTCAAGAGATTGGATTTTCTTAAGGAGTTCTTCATCTTTAAGAGAGAGTTTTTCAATTCCTTCTTTATTTTCTTGGGATCTTCTGATAGTGGGCTCTACAAGCTCTTTGACGATTTTTCGTAGACGGTTTTCAAGACCGAGAAAATCTGGCTCTTCCATTAGGTGATTTTTAAATAGAATTTATGAATTAACCATTTTTTAGAAGGATCTTATAGTAGTAAGGTTAGTATACAGCATTACAAAAAAATAACCTAATTACAATTTCATTTAGTGCTATATTATAATATCTTATAAATTTACTCAAATTTTATATTTTACTTCATATAATAGATTTAATAATAATTTTAAAATATGCTAAATCGATCAATTTCAAATAATTTATCCTTTACTATAAAAACAAGCCAGCCCTATTTGTTTCATTTTCCCACTGCTTTTACTTATAGCCCTTATATCAGGCACGCTATTTAGATATGATGCTTTTGCTGCAGATTTTTTGACTGCGTAAACGCGTTCTTGTTCTTTTTCAGGTTCTTTCTCCTCTACTTGACTCTCTTTATCAATTTCAACGACTTCCTCTTTTTTAATTTTGTGTCCATGCTCATCATTTTCCCCTAAATTGCATCTCTTAACAGGCAATATTTCTTCAATAGTATCAGTTTCTATGGTATCTTGCATCATTATATCATCTAAATCATCAATTTCCATCATATCACGAATTTTACTAAATGTCACTTTTTTGGGTTCATTTTTAACTCCTACCGTAATATTTTCTTCAAATTCTTCCATAACTACTTCTTCCACTTCTTTTTTTACCTCAATTTCTGGCACTTTTGGCTTAGGAACAGGCTTAAACTGCAGCTTGTGCTGTGCATGCAATTCCCTTATATTTTGTTTCAAGTATGGAATAACAGAAAATTCATTAAAAAATAGTCCGCCACTCCCATTCATATGTGAAATTATTTTTTTCCTTTCTATAGCTTCACTGGAAAACAAATTTTCTAATTCTTCAGTAATTCTTTGTAAGGCATAAATTTTTGGTTTTACACCCATCATAGACTCATATTGGGTCACATTTAAGTCTGAGCAGATAATTGAGACTTTATTGGAGTAAATCGTATAAATTATTCTGTAATTTTGAGTACCTAGTTCAGCTAAAACTTTAAGAATCAGGTTTTCTAGATTAATATGAGGGATTTGTAGAGACTGGGACAGAGAAAAAAGGGAGATAGTTGGGTGAGAAATAATGTAATTTTTGACTAAGGGAATATATGAGTCTTCCATTATGCTGATTTTATCATAATCAAAAATCCCCCTCGGTATTTTTCCTTATAGATTTTCCCTATTTTATTCCATTTAAATATTTATAGTAATAATTAATATTAATATGAGCATTTTAAAGATATTGATTATTTGCAGTATATAAACAATTTATAAAAGAGTATTAGGTTAGAGCATTCTAAGAACTAAGTTGTTTATCTTCTTTTCTCTGTTTCCCCAATCTCCTCCTTGAATATAGGAAGTCCTTTTATGGCTGAATCCACCTTTAGGTGAGGATAATTTGAATCTCCAGAGCAAGTTATTGACTTCTTTAAAGTGTGGCCCACAAGTAGCTAGTTCAGTGACTACATCTTCAGCACAGACAATCTTGAATTTCCCAAGTTCCTTTTCAATCTGAGCATTATCATAAAGAGGAATTCTGTTTTTATTAAGCTTCAAGTAGCCTCTCTTGTAAACAAGCTTCTGAATGGTTTCTCTAGATGGGTATCCGTATGTAATCCAAGGCTCAACAAGTTTAAGCATATTCTTGGTAGCTTTGTTGTTTTTAATCAAAACTGCACTGTGAAGCTGAATAAGTCTAAAAAGCTTGAGAATTGATCTGACCTTTGGTGGACATCTGTTGATACCTTTGATTCTAATAGCGAGGATCACTTTTGGCTCAGGCTCGACCCAGAAATCTCTGTTCTCGTTGGCTGTTTGTTGGTTGTCTTGGTTGAGGACTTGAGATGCAACATAATCTTTAAGATGCTTTTCAGATCTTTCAAGGGCTTCTTGGGCTGCGGCTACACGATATTGCTCTGCCTGAACTTTAGCTTCAGTTCTTGCAGCTTCGTTAGCGGCAATTCTGCTTCTAAGCTTTTGTAGTGATTCAGGCACCTTCTTACTCCCCCTCTGTGAGCGGCTAAACCATTGGAAAAATCCATATTTTTAGGCAAAAACACTCTCTGTGAGCGAACAAAAATTTTAATATAAAAATGTTTTATGAAAAAATATTTTGATATATAAGTGATAATTAGTATAATGAAACCTCTAGCTAATTCTATTTAATATTAAATAGCTTATTTTAAATATAAATTTTGCAAATTAAATCAATTTTGCTTGAATTGGGATTTTTTAAACTTCGCAAAGCATTAATGTGAGCGAAAGTAATATTTTTCGCTTATGGAGGGGGAGCTAGCCTCTTTCTTGACCATAAATATGGATTATTACTGTGACCTTGGGCTAGAAAGAAAGAGAGCTGGTTATGCTAGGCTAAAATTCTTCGATTTGGAGATTTTCAAATTGGCGTGATTCAAGATTTATATATAAATTGATAGAAATCATTGAAGGGATAAAAACAGCATAAATCAAGGGACTGGATAGCGACAGCATATTGCCACTTCCTTTATTCTTACAAAATATTTAGGCGTAGGTTAACAATTTATCAAAACTAATCATTAAGAGGAAATTCTGCAGATTTATTCTTTAAGGGGCTTGGCTTGAAAATGTTAATAGCAAAGCAATCTCTCAATACACATCAGAAAGTGAAGATTTACTAGGAATTTCAGAAAATATAGCTAAAACGCTTCAAGTTTTACTAAAACGAAACAAGCTCATAATTATTGATATAATCGAAATATGAAGCAAATAATTAAGATTAAATTAAGTGTCTCTATATTTTATAAAAATTAAACTCTCTATATAAATACTCCCCTGCGAGCAAAACGATTGAAAAATTTCTAAAATTTTATAATAAAATATTTTATTTTAAGATAAATTATTATAAAATTTCTACTTGATTCTGTTGAAGTTTAAACTAATATAAATTTTACAAATTAAATTAATTTTTCTTAAAATTTTAAAATAAAAAATATATCTATAATTTAAAAGCAAATTAAACCCCTTCATGAGCAACCAAAATTTTTTGCTATCTCAAGAATGGGAGAATTAGCAAAGTTTATTAAATTTATTTAAGATAAATTATCAAGTAATTTATTTTAATAAAAATATTTATACTTCAATTCATGCGAGCAATAATTTTATATAAAAGTCATAGCCACTGCGCCAAGAGAGGTAGTTTAAACCAACGGCATTGCTAAACTCCCCGTGAAGGGAATATGCAAAATCCACATCGAAGTATCTCTTTAGCATTAGGCCACCCTTTTTTCAATTACAAGGTTAAATATGGAATCTATTTTTTAGTATTTCACTTATGGGATATAAAATTATTTTTTGTTAAAATTAATAAAATAAGTATTCAATGATTTAGAGATTTTCAAATTGATTTGACTCAAGATTTATATATAAATTGATAGAAATCATTGAAGAGATAAAAACAGCATAAATCAAGGAACTAGAGAGCGACAGGATATTGTCACTTCCCTTATCCTTACAAATTATTTAGGCGTAGGCTAACAATTTATGAAAACTAATCATTAAGAGGAAATTCTGCAGATTTATTCTTTAAGGGGTTCGGCTTGTAAATTTTACTAGCAAAGCAATCTCTTAATACATATCAGAAGGGGAGATCTATTAGGATTTTCAGAATATATAACTAAAACAAAACAAACTCATAATTATTGATATAATCGAATATGAAGCAAATAGTTAAGATTAAATTAAGTGCCTCTTTTTTTTATAAAAATTAAACTTTCTATATAAAACTCAGTAAATTTTAATAAATTTATTTAAGATAGGTTATCAAGAGATTTATTTTAATTAAAATATTTATATTTCAATTCACGCGAGCAACAATTTTATAAAAAAACTAATGGCCACTGCGCCGAGAGAGGTAGTTTAAACCAACGGCATTGGTGAAAATTCCCCCGTGAAGGGAAATTAGCAAATGCATATTGAAGTATCTCTTTGGCATTAGACCACCCTTTATTCACTCTCAAGGTTAAATATGGAATCTATTTTTTAGCATTTCACTTATGGGATATAAAATTATTTTCTTTTAAAATTAAAAATAAGTTATTGACGAGGAAAAAATTTGATAAATTGATATATAATTAGATTCAAAATAATGCCTTTATAAATTCAGCTGATGCTGCGGATTCTTTTATAATAATTGTTGAAGTAAATTCCACATGATGCAAGATACTAATCCGCGCTGATATAAAAATTTATTCCTCAGAAAGATTAAACAGATTATAATTACCTGGTAGCATTTACCCAAAATCTAGCAGCATCTTAACTATTTTTATAATTACAATTATCTTTTTCCATTGAAAATCACTAAGCCAAAAAATTTTAATTCACATCTAATTTCTCCTATATCCATTATCAAACTGCATTATTAACTCTGTCTGTTAATCATTAATTACTAAGCTTTTATAAATAAGATATTAATAAAGTCATGGACTTTGACCCATCTGAAATTCACAATTATCTCGACTCTCTTTTCAAGTCAAGAATCGTCATAATTGATGGTGCGATGGGGACAATGATTCAGAAACACAAGCTTAAAGAAGCAGACTATCGTGGAGCCCAATTTATAGATCATCCTCAAGACCTAATGAACAACAATGACATTCTGAGCATAACCCAACCTTCAATAATCGCCAATATTCACCGTCAATATCTAGACTCAGGTGCTGATATAATCGAAACAAACACATTTAATGGGACATCTGTTGCCCAACAAGATTTCGGGACCCAAAATTACGTCAAAGAAATCAACCTCGCCGCAGCAAGACTCGCACGTGAAGTCGTCGATGAATTTTCATCAAAAAACCCTTCACATAGAAGATTTGTCGCTGGAGCCGTCGGCCCGACCTCAAAAACAGCATCCTTAAGCCGAAATGTGGATGATCCTTCACAGCGTGACGTAACATTTGATGACCTTGTTGAGTCTTATTTCGAACAAATTCAAGCTTTAGTAGAAGGTGGAGTACACATAATTTTGGTAGAAACAATTTTTGACACTTTAAACGCAAAAGCCGCATTATTTGCATATGAAAAATACTTTACTAGTAAGCCAAAATTGCCGTTAATGATATCAGGGACTATAAGTGATATGAGTGGCAGAACCCTTTCAGGGCAAACCGTAGAAGCCTTTCTTATTAGTGTGATGCATTCCAAGCCTTTGTGCATTGGGCTGAACTGTGCATTAGGCGCTACCAAAATGAAAGCATTTTTAGAAAACTTGTCAAGAATAGCTCCATTTTATGTCCACGCCTATCCTAATGCAGGGCTTCCTAATGAAATGGGAGAGTATGACGAGACTGCTGATCAATTTGCTTCAAATGCAATGACATTTATCACTGATAAACTTGTCAATATGATCGGCGGTTGTTGTGGTACAACTCCTGAGTATATTCATGCTTTGAAAACTGCTATTGAAAGTTCAGGCGTCCATCCACGTGAAATCCCGAAGCCATCAGGTAAATTAATGCTTTCTGGGCTTAAAGAATTTATTTTAACAGAAAATATCCCTTTTGTAAACATAGGAGAAAGATGCAATATTTCTGGGTCGCTGAGGTTTAAAAAGCTGCTAGTCACAGAAAATAACTTCGCTGGAGCTTTAAATGTTGCCAGAGATCAAGTAACAAATGGAGCACAAGTTCTTGATATAAATGTGGACGAAGGTATGATAGACAGTGTGGAAGTTATGAGCAAGTTCTTAAAAATGCTTACAAGCGACCCTGATATCGCTTCTGTGCCACTTATGATAGATTCTTCGAATTTTAAGGTGATTGAAGCAGGACTAAAAGTCTGCCAAGGCAAATGTATTGTAAATTCCATATCTTTGAAAAATGGAGAATCAGAGTTTTTAGAACAGGCTGGAGTTTTAAGAAAATATGGAGCTGCTGTTGTAGTTATGGCGTTTGATGAAACAGGCCAAGCGACAGAAATTGAGCATAAAGTCAGAATCTGTGAGAGAGCTCATGAATTGTTAACAAAAACCCTTGATTTCCCTCCTGAAGATATCATTTTCGACCTGAACATCCTCACAATTGCTACAGGTATGGATGAGCACAACCCATATGCAAGAAATTTTATCGAGGCTACCAAAGCTATCAGACAAAGGTTCCCTCAATGCCACGTGAGTGGCGGCCTAAGCAACCTTTCTTTCAGTTTCCGAGCTTTAGCCCAGTTCCGTGAGCAAATGCATGCAGTTTTTCTCTATCATGCAATTCATGCCGGAATGGACATGGGGATTATAAATGCCGGAGCTTTGCCTATATATGAAGATATTCCTGCAGATTTACGTAAAATATTTGAGGAGATCATTTTTAATGAGTCTGAGGATGGAAAACACGTCGAAAGGGTTATTGAGTATGCAGAAAATTTGAAGAAAAACAAGACAAAACAGACCACAGAGAAAAAAGAAGCTGAATGGAGATCATTGCCTTTACCTGAAAGGCTGAGATATTCATTGGTAAACGGTCTGTCAGAATTCATTGAAAAAGATCTACAAGAAGCATTAGGAGAATACCCAGGACCACTCAATATTATAGAAGGTCCTCTAATGGACGGAATGTCTGTTGTAGGTGATTTATTTGGAGCTGGAAAAATGTTTTTGCCTCAAGTTATCAAGTCAGCCAGAGTTATGAAGCAAGGAATTGCACATCTTGAGCCATTAATGCTTCGAGGTGAAAGCCAAAAAAAGAGCGGTGTTATTCTTATGGCGACTGTAAAAGGGGATGTCCATGATATAGGAAAAAATATTGTAGGTGTTGTATTAAGATGCAACAATTATGAAGTCATTGATTTAGGCGTCCAAGTTTCATGGGAAACTATAAAAGAAACCTTAAAAACTCACCATATCGACGTCATCGGATTGTCAGGGCTTATAACTCCTTCTCTAGAACATATGGTAAACTATGCAAAGCATATGGAATCTGGCGGCATGACCATTCCTTTATTGATAGGAGGTGCAACTACTTCTAAAATCCACACAGCTGTAAAAATTTCCCCTAATTATTCCCACCCAGCTGTTCACGTTTTAGATGCTTCTAGATCAGTTGGAGTAATCTCAGCCCTATTGGATCCCAATTTAAAGAGAAGTTTCTACTCAGAAATCAAAGAAGAATATGACGAAATCCGTAAGGACTATTACGCAACTCAAAAGGAAAAAAAATTTAGATCATTAAAAGAAGCAAAATCTAATAAATTTGAAATAAATTGGGCTAAATACACCCCAGTGCAGCCTAGAGTTGAAGGGGTGACTGTGATTGATGATCAAGATTTAAATGAATTAATAGAATATATTGACTGGGGTCCTTTCTTTTCTGTGTGGCAAATAAGAGGAAGATACCCAAATAGGTCATTTCCAAGGATTTTTAATGATGCCAAGGTAGGAGAACAAGCTAAGCAGCTTTATGAAGATGCTCAAAAAATGCTGCAAGAAATAATCAAAGGGAAATTATTACTCGCTAAAGGAGTTTATGGGATTTTCAAAGCAAAAGCTGTAGGAGATGATATAGAGGTCTATAAAGGTGGCGAAACTTTTAAGTTTTTCACCTTAAGACAGCAAGAAATTTTGGCTGCAGATGGGCCGAATCAAGCTTTAAGCGACTTTGTATCGCCAATTGAAGACTATTTTGGAGCTTTTGCAGTGACAGCAGGGCTGAACTGTGACGAAATCTCTCAAAAATACGAAGCAGAAATGGACGACTATAAGAGCATCATGATCAAAGCCCTCGCTGACCGTCTTGTTGAAGCCTTTGCAGAAATGCTGCATAAAAAGGTAAGAAATGAGTATTGGGGTTATTCTTCTTCAGAAAATTTGTCAACAGAAGAATTGATTCATGAAGAATACCAAGGGATAAGGCCAGCTCCAGGGTACCCAGCCCAGCCAGACCATTCAGAAAAGTTAACTCTATGGAGACTGCTTGATGTGGAGACCAATACCAGCATAAAACTGACAGAATCTTTGGCTATGCATCCAGCTGCTTCTGTATGTGGTCTTTATATTTCTCACCCACAAGCTAGATACTTTGGAGTCGGACAGATATGTGAGGACCAAATACAAGATTATGCCTCAAGAAAAGGAGTCTCAGTAGAAGAAATCAAGCAATGGCTTTAAGATTAGGATTCTTTTATTAATTACTTGAGTAACTCAAGCAAACTTGTTGGATTTGCTGTAGTTTGCTAATAAAATCATTCAGTTCTGTAAATGTGAACTCTAATACGCACTTTTGTTCATCATTATTTTCATCTTTTGTGCTAAGCTCTAGCTGCAGCAGAGGGATGCCAAGATTGGCTTTATTTGATGTGCTCATAACTAAGCTGATATTCCAATCAAAATTGTCAACTTTGCAGGAGCTCAAGACATTAGAGACCATGTAGCTTTGAATGTCAGCTCTTCTGAGGAGAAAAGCTTCAGTCACCCCTCGAGCTTGTTCTTGGTTTAAGCGGTATTCAGATTGAAGCTTGTTTTCTATTTGAGAGGCATCTGGGGAATCTGACATGAGACTTCGTAAAAGAGGCTTGAGCTGATAAAATAAAGAAAGACCTGAGTTGTTGTAGCCTGTTATAAAATCAACTGGATAGTTGCATAAATAATCAACAGAGTCATGAACCCCTTTTACAAGATCTTGCAGAGAATAAGTTTCCATCTTTATGATTTTATTACCAATTTTAAGACTTGTTTCTGTTATTTAGGGTATCTTCGTAGAGATAATGAGGATTCTTTTTTGTATTTTATCTGCATAATAACAATTTGAAAGTTAGATATATATAACTTCTCACTCCCCCTTTAATTTTTAGCAAAAAATCTAGTTCCAATTTAATGGGGTTATTTTTTTATTATTTTTCTAAAGATTTAACTCAAGAGATCAATCTATTCGGCATGAAAACTAATTAAATAATATTTGGCTTTGCTTTTTATAAAAATTAGTATTTTTTTTAACCAAAAAATCCAATTTTTGCAATTTAAACAGGGATTTAAGTACCCAAAAATATTTTGTTTCAATTCGAGCGGGGAAGTCAGAAGAAATTTTATGTAGAATGCAAGAAATATATTAAAATCACTTACTTAAAAAAATTACCAATTGGCTATCCCACTACTGGCTTCTTATCTAAAGGACAAGAAGGCTTAGTTTTAAGCCATCTGTCAATGCACGATTTATGAAAAAAATGCTTACAAGGCAGCTCTCTTACAATTTCATCTTTTTCAAGTTCTTGCAGACAAACAGCACACTCTTTCTTAATTCTTTTAAATTGAAGCAATTCAGGGGAGGAATTGTCAAGCTGATATAAAAATCCAGGCCACTTTTCTTCTGGAAGAGAGTTTAATTGTTCTGAGGTTATCCCATTATTATTCTCTCTTCACTGATCTTGCTGGAGAATTCGTATATAAATATTGATTGCGGGTGCAGGTCCAATGATTGTGGACTGGATTTCGCTGAAGTACATTTGATCGAAAATTGGTTGAAGCTTTTTAATATAGTGAGACATTTGACCCAAAAAAATTTAAATTTTCGACCAAATCTGCTTCGATAAAAATGCATGGTCATTTAGCATGGAACCATTGATTGCTTCTTCTATGCCAGAATTTCTATTTTCTCCGTATATAAAGACTTGGCCTGTGCTTAGTGAAATTAGTGCATCTGCTAAAGTTCTTCTATTAGTCATTTAATATTATGTTTCAAGTCCTTATTTATTTGTATTGTAAATATCAAATCATTTAATAAAACTAAAATTCGGCTCTTTTTATATCTTGGCTCATCTATAATGATGCTAAACGGATGATGCTGCATTTATTTCTATATTCTATATTTACTTTTAATTTAAAAACAAATTTTAAAAATAAAGAAATAAATATATAATAATGGAATTTGCCATTAAGATCTCAATTCTATGTTCAATAATTATTAAAATTACCTCTAATTTAAAATAATATTAATTATGGCAAATAGTCATTATTAAAAAAGCTGCTAATTATATTTAAAATAGCTTTAGTTGCATTAATAAATGTTATGCTGGCGCAGTTTCATATTTGCAGCTGACAGATCATTTTCTAACTGCGAGTTTAAATTTGCAAGTTCAGTAATTTGCTCTTCAAGTGAAGCTATTAAACTCTCATGATATACTTTCACTATAGGTCCTGAGTTTCTCAATTGAAACTTATAATCCTCAATCTCTTTCTGGCATTTTTTCAACTCCATGTCCAATTGTTTAGAATTATCTTCTTTTTCATTGCGTACAACACTTTTCGACATTATTCTATAAGTTGCCTTTAAATCTTCTATTTGCTTCTCAAGGCGTACCTTTTCCCCCTACATATCTATTACTTCAATTACCGATTTCTCATTATTTAATTTCCATATAGCATCAGAGTGCTGAGCTTCAATAAATTTTTTTTGGGCATTTAAATTATTTACATGTGCTGTATATTTTTCATTATCTTCAAGTCGCGCTTTCTGAATAACAATTACTTCAAGTCTTGAAATATAATCTTTTAAATCTATGATCTCTTTATTTAATTGTGATCATTGATTTTCATACTCTAGTTTTAGGGAGATAAAGTCCTCCTTATATTTGGATAATTGGCTATTTAAGAGCTCGAGCTGATTTTTATAATTAAAATTTTCATTCTGCAAATTCTGATTGTATTTCTTAATAATTATTACTTCGGATTTTATTTTTTCTTGGTTTATATCATCAATTTGTTCTTTGAGATTTAAAATTTCTTCCTTGAGCTTGCGATTTTCTTCCTCCAGTTCAATGCATTTATTTTGAGGTGTTTTGTCGAAGTTTTCTGGAGTCATTCTTGATTTAGGTAAAGAATTATTAAATCTTTGATTTTCAGAAATAGATCCACCAATAATTGAACTTATTTTATTATCAGTTGGTGTCAGCTTAGTTTCCTGACTGAGAAATCTCATTTCTTGAGGTGTTCCAGAATTTATATATGGCTGCCCTAGTAATGCTGTTTCGTATGAAGTTAAAGATGTTGAATCTGTTTTATCAGGATTAATATGCTCATACTGTCTTTCTTGAATATCATAATTATAATTAGTTCTCTGGTAAACATTAGGGTTTCTATCATAAATACTTTCCTTATTAGCAGTCTCAATATTCATATTAACAGTGAAGGCCTCAGGTTTGTTTGATTTTAACTCTTCTCTTCTATTTTCTCTTGGATTGCTTATAGTTTTCATGTTAGTTCCTTTTTCAGCGTTCCTATTTATATCATTGACTTTTTTACTATCAGTTCATTGATTATTGCTTTGAGATTGATTAATGTAGTTTGTAGAAGCTTCTTTTCTTTTCGGCTCATCCTTTTTATTTTTTGTTTCTTCATGCGCCGGAAGCGCTGATAAAGGCCTTGAATTTTTCTTATCGGAATTAGATTTTATCGAAGAATGACTAAAAGTATAAGGTGTTGAATTAGGATTTTCTTTTGGAATAGGGTGAAAGGTTTTTATATAATTTTTTGGAATAGCAGTGTGGCCTGGGAGTTTAATGCTTGATGGAGGTCTATTGTCAGTTGCATACCTAGTGTCGGATTTTGTTAATGAGGCATCTCTCAGAGCTCTACTCATTATTATTTTAAAATAATTATAGAAATATAAGCTAAACTTGTTTTCAAGCTTATCATATCTAGAATTAGGTCACATATTCCTTTGAAGGCATTTGTTCAATTAATTATAATCCATTCAACTTTTAAATAAAACGTTCTACCAAATTTGATTTTAAATATTTACTAAATGTATGGATCATTTACCAAAAATGCTCCTGATGATTCAAAGCAGTGGCTGCATTTGCTGTTAAAAAACAACCAAAGAAGAGCAATTTTAAAAGAAAAATATAAAGCAATTGCAATTGATATTGAAAGTCAATCTATGCCTTTATTTCAATCGTCAAAATCTGTGCATCTTCAAGAAAAAATAACTCAAGATTCAGAACGGATAGAAAAAGACAATAAAAATCAAATTTTAAACCAAAGAAATGACCCATATGTAAGATTGGAAATGAGGATTAGAGAACTTGAACAAAAGTACCAAAATCAGCTATACAGGAGTAAAACGTATAGAGAAAATGTAAACCAGGAAGACCGGCTAAAAGATGATTTTAATAGTTCAAGAAAGGTCATGGAACTTGAAGATAGACTACTTTTTGCGACTGAAAAATATATAAAACGAAATATGCTTTTTGATTCAAATTCATAATTATCATATAGTTTTAGATGAAATTATGCATTGGCTAATTTAATATAGATAGTTATTTAGCATAATCAATATAATGAACTTATTGATAGGCTAGATTTAGCTAGTTAGTGATAGTAAAGTGTTTTAAGTCCCCTTTTTGTTAGCTGCGCGTTCTGCTATGGTTCGTTGCAGAGTGATAGAGCTCACTTGGATTGAGCCATGCTAAACCCCCTGCTTCTCGGTAGAGGGGTAGAGGTAAAGGTCGTAATCCATTCAAGGTTTTGATGACAGCCTCCATTTCACCCACGACTTCACCCAAGTTTACAGCAACCTTACGCCCTTCCAACGCTAGATCGTCCTTTAATCAGAATATTTCAACTGGAAAGATCCCCATTTTTGTTTTCTCTTTTCTGGCCATTACGAGAAAGAAATCCACAGCTTTTACAATTCAGAGCAAGTCAGAGTTAGCTTAAACAGGTTTGTCGTCCTTCCACATTTCGGCACCCAATGGTCTAGGCGCTGCTGGTAAAGAGCTGAATTTAAATGTTCAAGTAGCTAGGACCAAAAACTACGGCTTCTATCTAGCATCTTTCGCATCGAGGCTACTGACGATAGAAGGCAATAAACATTAAAAAAATGCACGGTATAATAAGGATTCCTGCCATGTAGGTACAGGTTGCTCGTCTTTGACCATTTTATGTATCTAAAAGTCTAGATTTAACTGAAAAAATGTTATCACGAGAAACCCTTTCACCGATTTACTCACATATTTCAGATCGAAATCCATTAGAATCCTCACAGGGTACCTTCAAAAATTTACGAAAAAGTCTCAAATTAAAGCGCCCCAAGACTGTAAAATCTGCAGCCTCTCTTCACAAGCCAAAACCCAGCACAACCTCCTCCAAAATTTTGAAAAAAGGTAAGAAAAAATTAAATTAATGTTAATGATTAATAGACTTATAGGGAATTTCTGTAAAAGGAGTATCAAAATCTATACAAAAACAGGCGACAAAGGAAGAAGCAGCCTCTATACAGGTGAAAGAAGAAGCAAAGATAATCAAATTTTTCATGCCCTTGGGAATACTGATGAGCTAAATGCACATATTGGAATGGTAAAAATCATATAGGCTGCTACTGCATGCAATAATCAATCTGATATATTGGCGATGCTCACATCAATCCAAAGCCGCTTGCTAGATTTAGGTGGATGCATTGCTACCCCAAAAACATCTGAAAATCAAGAAAAAGTCAATAAAATGCAATTTAACCCAAATCATACCCAACAATTGGAACAGTGAATTGATGGGTTGCAAGAAAATTTGCCACAGCTAAAGTGCTTTATTTTGCCATCAGGAGGAGAAGCAAGCTCTAGGCTTCATGTTGCAAGGGCTGTTTGCAGAAGAGCGGAACGTAGCTTAGTTCCCCTACTGGAATCTGGAGAACTTGATGAAAATGCGTATATGTTTATGAACAGATTAAGTGATTTTTTATTTGTCTTAGCTAGAACTGCAGCACATAGAGAAGGAATTGAAGAGATTAAGTATAAAAAAGAGCCTTAAAACCTTTTGGGAATTATTTTGTTTTTGTATTTTCTCTAATAATGAATCTCAATTACTTCTAAATTCAGCAATATATTGCAAAATCTTAATAGCCAATCGCCTTATAGAGCATAATTTTATTGCTAAATAATTATCTTGTAATGTGAATTTACATAGATTTATTCATATATTTAAAACTCAACTTCAAATAATTGAATTATGGAAGAATACAAAAAATATTATGACCTACCTCTTGCAATTTGACCAAGATCGCGAACACCTTCAATAACTTCAGAATCATGCAGAAAACCAGTATTAGATCCGGTTGATTGCTGAAACCTCTCCAAAGGAGAAGGGAGGAAAATCCCAGGAGTAATAAAACAAATAAGAGCAAAACAATTTAGAATAAAACGAAGAGAAGATTTTCCTAAAAATTCTCGTCCTGCTGAGCCTAGCCCTTTTGAACATGATAAACAAATAATTCGTGTCCAAGAGCAGCTAAAAAATATTGAAAAAATAAGTAGTCAGCCAATTTCTCATAAAAAATACCCACTGCTGCTGGATGAAAATCGGCCTTTATTAATTGATGCACACAATAACTATATATCTCAAACCAAAAAGCCAAGAAAACCAGAAAGTAGGCCTTTAGCAATTATCACTAATAATGATTTAAATTCAGAAAGATTACTACAAAAGCAGCCAATCACTCCAAGTTTTCAGCCAAAAAAGACTGAAATGGTTTTTGAAAGCACAGGAGGTAGTGATGACTTTTTTACTGAAGAAGCTCAAACAGTCCCAACTGAAATGTCTTTTTCTGAGCAATACCCAGAAAAGGATTACAATTTCCCAAATTCAAACTTAGACACCATTAGCAACAAAAAATATTTAAATATGCCACTTATAATAGGCACAAAATCGTTAACAGAGTCTGGCAAAAAGATAAATTTAGAGGACGCTTATCAAATTTTCCCTAAAATTGATAGTAAAATACCTAGGGAAATAAAAAGAATAAGGGCTAGACAGTTTAAAAATCATAGAAAAGATGATGATTGCAAAACTTGCAGATCTTGCACACCAAGTATGGATACAAATTTTATTGAATTAGACCCACAAATTGTAAAAATACAAGAACAGCTGAAAAACATTGAAAAAATTAATAGTGAAAACTCAAGGAGTAATAAGAAAATTGCAATTAGTAATGGTGATAAGTCATTGTTTAATAATACATGCTATGATTGAAAAGCTAAAAGGCTTCAGTTTTTAAAAAAAGGGAAATCTTCAAGCTATAACGAAGATCGGCCTTTGGCCATTGATACAAATAATGATTTAAAATCGCAAGGAAAGCAGCCAATCACTCCAAGTTTTCAATCGAAAACCAAAGATATAAAATTCGAAAGCACAGGGGGAAGTGATACTTTTTTAGCAGAAGACGCAAACCCTGCGGAGCTTTCTTTTTCAGAAGAAAAACCAAGAATCAGCCGGATTTTCCATCCAAAATTTGCTTAATTTTATAATATTTAATCAGTGCTTATTTTAGTGCTCATTTCTGGCATAAGTCTAACATGAGTATAAATGCCTTTATATTTTATTAAAATATTCTGAATCACCAATGGAGCTTCAGCCACTAAATAAGAATATTTCTGAATCTAAGGCAGCCTATTATCCTTTGCGAGACAAAAAAAGATCATGATTTTCAAGTCTTCTATTTTTATGAATCCATCCTTTGTTAAGAATCGCTCATTCTACAAAACTAGAACAAGAGCATACTTTTGAACTGCCTGAGCCTGAAAAAGCAGAAAGCGAGACACTTTCTGAATATTTAAAGAATCACAAATTATTTTCAGCTCTTCTCAGGTCTCATTGGAAAAAATTGCTGCTGGTGATTATTTTAGGGAATATTTCAGCAATGCTAGATTATGCGGCGCCAATATATATACAGTTGCTTATTTCTTATTTAAGCTCTGATGATAAGCCATTGTCGACAGGAATCATTTTGGCAGGAAGCTATTCAATTATTACTTTATCTCAACAAATTATAAATGGGCAAACTGCTTGACACTCGAGAATCCTAGAAATTCGGGTCAAAAATTCACTAGCTAGTGTAATTTATAATAAAGTTACAATTACAGCTACAGTAGAAGAAGGGCAAGGAGTTAACCTTTTGCAAGTTGATGCTAAAAATATAGTAGAACTTTTTGCGTATAGCGGCTGGGTTGTAGCTATGCCTTTTCAAATAGGATTTGCTATATTTTTAATCCTAAATCAAGTGTCTACTGCTGTTTTTGCTGGAATAGGAGCAATTGTATTGGCCTTATCTTTGAATTATTTTATTGCAATAAAATGTAAAAATTTTCAAGAAAAATACATGAAAATTCGAGATGAGAGAATTGAAAATTCTAAAAATTTATTTGGAGAAATAAAAATGATAAAAGCTTATTCATGGGAAGAATATTTTAAAAATAGGGTAAATATTGTCAGGAAAAATGAAATTTCCACACTTAGAATTTTGAATTTCTTTTACGCTACAAATATTTTTTTACTGTGGACAATCCCAAGTCTAACTGCTGTTATTGTTTTTGTATTCTATACTCAAGTATTAGGAGAGCATTTAAATAGCGAAAAAACTTTTGTGACATTGACAGCTTTATTACTACTTCAAGAGCCTTTTAGGTCTTTACCCCAAGCTGTAACCAAAGTTTTTCAATGCTACGTAAGCTCCAAAAGAATCCAAAAATTGCTTGATGCACCTGTTGTAGAGAAACTGAAGAAAAACGACGTTATTGTGATGGAAAAAGCCACTTTCGCTTATGGAGACAAAGAGATTCTGCATGATATTGACTTAACTATAAACAAAGGGGAGTTATTAGCAATTATAGGAGAAGTTGGGAGTGGGAAATCGTCTATACTTAATGCAATTATGGGTGAAATTAAAATAAAATCAGGAAAAATCGCTGTTGATGACAATATTGCATATGCACCGTCATTGGATTCATGAGTTATGAATGGCACGTTAAAGAACAATATCTTGTTCGGAAAAGAGTTTGACGAAAGCAAGTATTGGAAGGTAATCGAAGCCTGCTGCTTAATGCAAGATATCAATATCCTTCCAGCCCGTGATTTTACAGAAATCGGAGAAAAAGGCATTAATCTTTCTGGAGGACAAAAGGCTCGAGTATGCTTAGCAAGAGCTGTCTATGCTGATAGGGATATTTATTTACTAGATGATCCTTTGAGTTCTGTAGACTCGCATGTAGCTCATCATATATTTAAACATTGCATGCTAGGATTGCTTGCAAATAAAACAAGGATTTTAGTGACCCATCGAATGAATATTTTGCACAAATGTGATAGGGTGATAATCATGGAGGCAGGAAAAATTAAAAAAATTACGAGCTCAGAAAGTATTTCAATTGATACAGAAATTATTGAAGAAAGCACAAAAACAGTTGAAGCTCCTACTGGAGAAGGGAAACTCATTGAAGATGAAGACAGAGAGGTAGGGAAGGTTAGCATGGAGGTCTATAAGGACTATTTAAAATGTGCAGGGGCCTATTATTGAATTTGTATAGCTATAGTTGCCATGATTATTTATACCGGCGTAAGAATGGCTGGAGACATTTTTCTAAAAAACTGAAGCGAAAACCAAGACGAAACTTCAACTTGGATGCCGCTCTATTTCAGTTTCCGACTAGGCAGCTGTCTTTTTGTGTACATGCGTACCACAAGTTTAAATGTAATGATGCAAATCAATACCGGCAAAAAAATCCACGAAAATCTGCTAAACTCCCTTATAAAAGCTCCAATTAATTTATTTTATGATATTACCCCATTAGGAAGAATTCTAAACCGGCTTAGTAAAGATCTAGGCATAATTGAAGAAGATTTAGGCTTTACTATCGGGACACTTTTATCCCATACCTGCTCGATTTCTGCTTCATTTATAATGGTTTTTATTTATTTTCCATGACTTGCAGTGCTTTTACCATTTTCTATATACCCAGCTTTAAAACTCAAAGAATATTATATAACTACATCAAGGGAGCTTACTAGATTAGAAGCAATTTCTCGATCTCCGATTTTAAATAACTACACTGAGACTATTTCAGGTGCAAAATTTATAAGAGTTCACAATAAAATCCCTTATTTTATTAATAAAAATAATGGGATTTTAAACATGAACGCCAGAATGAACTATTCTTTGGGAGGCTGCAGTGCATGGCTTGATTTATATTTAGGTTTCCTCAGCTCAGCTTTTCTATGTGTTTTATTTGCCCTTGTAGTGGTTTATAGATATGATGTTTCAGTTGGTGTTGTAGGGCTTTCCCTGGCTTATATTGTATCGCTCCCTAGAGATGTTAGCCTATGGGTACTGACGTTTGCTATATTAGAAAATCAGATGGTCTCTGTTGAAAGGACAAGGCATTTTATGAAACTTGACCCTGAGCAGCCATTAAAACTTGACACTGACAAAAATTTGCAAAATTGGCCAATTTCTCCATCAATAAAGTTTAGAGATGCAAAAATGAGATATAGACCAAATACTGATCTTGTATTAAAAGGAGTCAGTTTTATAGTTGAGCCTGGACAAAGGATAGGGCTAGTAGGAAGGACAGGCTGTGGGAAATCTTCATTGTTTTTGTGCTTGTTGAGAATAGTCGAGCTAGAGTCTGGAGCTATCTTGATCGATGAAGTAAATATAGCTCATATAGGGCTTTCTGCTTTGAGAGGAGCAATTACCTTGATAGCTCAAGATCCATTGGTTTTTGAAGGGACACTTAAAGATAACTTGGATCCGGGGAATTTAAAATCTCAAGCTCAAATAGAAAAAGCTCTAAATGAAGTAAAACTATCGAGATTTTCTACTGACCATGCAGTTAAAGCAAAAGGGTCAAATTTATCAATTGGGGAAAGACAGTTATTAAGCCTTGGTAGAGCTATGCTTGCTGATACAAAAATTATTTTATTTGATGAAGCAACTGCTGGAATTGATCCTGAAACAGATTCCCAGATACAAGAATTGATAAAGGATAAATTTCCTGGAAAAACACTTTTGGCGATTGCTCATAGGATTGGAACGATTATGGATAGCGACATTGTGGTAGTAATGGATAGAGGAGAAGTAAAAGAAATAGGAAATCCTAAATTACCCCCCTCCGTGAGCGAACAAAAAAATTTGATATATAAGTGATCATTAGTATAATGAATCTCTAGCTAATTCTGCTTAATTTTAAACAAGTTGCATTTTAAAACATAAATTTTACGAATTTCGAAAAAAAAAATATACTATAAAGTTTTTATATATATAAATTTTTTAAAAACAAAATTAACCCGTCCGTGAGTGAGCAAAATATTTTTGTTCGCTCACGGAGGGGAGTAAAGAACTTGTAGAAAGTGATTCTCTGTTTAAAAATTTAGCTCAGAATATTCATTAGTTACGCATGGGCAATTGGTATAAATTTAAGGTAATCTTAATTATTGATTTAATTCCTAATATTAAATGAACTTATTTTTATCAAAGCATTTCCTGATGCTAAGAAATGTTCAATTAAATATATAAAAACTATCATATTCACAGTTATTTGTTTCTAATTAATTACCAGATTTTTCAAATTTTCTTTATTTTAACTGATGAAATTATATATTTTAGTCCATCCATTTTTGAAATTCAGACTGATAATCAATGTCATTTTTTAAAAGATTTTGCTACTGTTGCTACAGAACAGAAGAAATCGAGATAAATGAAGAATCTAGAATCCTCCCAAAAAACAAAGCGTAATGAAGTATACAGTGACAACTCTGGAATACAAAAATTTGAATCGCCTTATACAATTTTCACTTAATCTCGTCCATGGGCAAAAAACCATTTAAAAAATTCTATTTTTTATAAAAAAATCACCCTCCTTAGCGAGTAAAAATTTTTAGGAAAAAAAAATATTTTGATCTATAAGTGATAATTAGTATAATCAAATCTCTAGCTAATTCTGTTGAATTCTAAATAGCTTGCATTGTAAACATAAATTTAAATTTTAAATTAATTTTGCTTTCCATTATTTTGAGAATTTTTTTAAATTTCGAAAAAATTTATTATTTAAAATAATAATTAACCCCTCTCCATGATCGAACAAAAATTTTTTTGTTCGCTCCGGAGGGGGAGTTATGGCATTACTCCGCCTAATTTGCATCTGTTTAAGCTGCCTTTGGATTGGTGTAGAGTTGGGATCTTAAAAATTTCATGTGGGGCAGAGCATTTGCTGATGCTGAGCCAAGAATATCAGCTCTTCTCAGCAGGAAATAACATATATGGACAGTGTGCAAGAGATCCTGAAAAAACTACGACTTATAAAGAAGATAACAGATCATCCCAAGAGACAGAATCATCAAAATATATCAGACTGAAGCCCTTAGTTTTAAGAAATTCAAAAGTGATAGATATAGCAACTGGCTCTTACCATTCATTAGTCCTTGTTAAAGATTTAGAAGACAGAGTACCAGGAACCATCTATACAGTCATGGCTTTTGGTCATGAAACAGGCTGTGGGTTTTCTGATAAAAAGCATAACCATGTCCCAACAGAAATTTTTTCCCGCACCAAATTTAAAGAAAATCCTAAAAATGTTTATGCGGGTCAAATGCGTTCAGCCATTCTTTTAGGTATCTAATAATCAGAAAGTGGGAAAGTACTAATGGTTGGCGAATGATTTAATGGCTCAAAACAGCGGGAGCTTAAAGAAATTCCACTGCATTTAGAAGAAAATGATCAATTAAAAAAAATTGCAATTGGGAAAATGCATGCGATTTTTCTGACAAAAAATGGAAAAACTTATTCAATAGGTGATAACACATATGGAGAAATAGGTTTTTCAAGGGATACCTATAATAAGCAATTACCTGCATTAATACCATTTTTTCGTGACATTAATGCTATAGATATCGCGGCTGGAGCTAGACATTCTCTTGTACTTGAAGAAACTGGAAAACTTTTTGCGTTTGGTGACAACAGTGAAGAACAGTGTGGACTTGATACAAATCGGGCCTATGAGCCTATGGAAGTTGAAACTAAAGGAATTTTAGGCAAAAAAAGTGTGGTGACGAGGTTTATTTTTTGTGGGGATGCTCATTCAGCAGTCGTTACAAGCGAAGGGGATTTATTTGCGTGAGGCGATAACACTGCAGGAAGACTAGGGATTAAAGGAGGTTTATCGATTTATAGGCCTAGACTAGTTGACGATTTAATAGGAAGAAATATATGTGACGTAGCTCTGGGCGGATTTTTTAGTATATTTTTGGTGGGGCCAAAAACTGGGTCAATTTTGTCAAAAGAAGAAAATATTTTGAAAACGAGGATTTTTGGGACTTTGATATCACATAATAATTTATAATTATAATTTAAGAATTTGAAATATTTTGGATTGATGAAATAGAATATTCTATAGAAAATTGTAGTAATATCTGATAATAAAAATAAATGAAATATATGGAAGAGAATAAATCAAGTATAAACAAAAATTAAACTGAGTGTCTTCTTTGATGATATCTCTCTTGCGCTATTGAAGTTGCTGTAATAAAAGGCTTCCCGAGGGAACTGATAAAATTTTTATTTGTGGAGCGGATAATTTCGTTGCCTTTATTTTTTTCTTGTGAAAGTTTACTATTTTGGGTAGGAGCTTTGGTTATGATTTCAAAGAAATCAGCAACTCCCTCAACCATTGAAAGTTCTTCATTTAACCTCATAGTTTTCCAATAATACATTCCAATTATTGCCATTAAATCTACAAAATCCCCAAACTCGATCACAAAATCATGATCACTAATTATTTCTGGATCAATCAGCCATATCTCATCATTATTTACCAGAATTGATGAGTAAAAGCTGAAAGCCGTATATCTATCTAACATAAATTTATCACGAATTGGCTTTTGAAATGGTATCTCATTTATAGTGATTTAAAGCTAAATTTTATTCTATCTATTTTCTTCCATTTATGACGAATAACCATTAGAAGTGTTTTAATCATTATCAATGGTTTAAAAGTGTATGCCTTATTTTGTTATCCCCATATCTTAACGAATCCCTCTGTTGCAATTTAATATTTTTATTTTCAGGCTTTCTTACCAAAGATGAAGGAAAATATATAGCTGATTCTGCTGGAGCTTTATAATGAACTCTATTAAATTTTCCTTTGAGTGGGCTATTTTTAGGACTTTCTTCATCAAAAATAAATTCGTCTTCATTGTCATTGATTTCTTTATTCATAGATTGGGAGCAATCTAGAATCCCTATTTGATCTAATAAATTATAGATCCTTGTCAGCTCAATTTTATCATCAGATCTATTGGAATGCTGCAGTGATCCGACTGTATGTGACTTAAATAAAGAATACAGCTTTGCGGAATACTCACGAGTGGTGTCCATGATGTGGACATCTTGTATAAGCTTACTATAAAATAAGCCTTGGGTCATTCTTGTGCTTGGTTTTAAGTCTCTTCTATAGAAAATTTCAAACTTCTGATATAATTTAATATTGGAAAGCTTCGAGTACCTCGGATGAGCTGAAACTAACCTCACAAGTGCCTCGATAAAATTAGGAAGCTGCAAATGATAAATATCCTTAAATGAATAAGACTTTATCAAATGATGAAGCCATGGCTTGCTTGCTTCATTAGCTTTGTTTTTATTGTTAGAAAATGCTACAAAGAAAACCTTCGCACCATCCAACATTTCAAAGTCTTTTCCTATCAGCATACAATCCTTAAGCAGCCTAATAAAGGTTGCAAATTTCATACTTAAAGCGTCTTTTAAGACACTCATAGACTCCATGTTATAGCTTATGAATATTTTCCTAAATGTTCTTTTATGTTTAAATAGTATTTTGTATAGTAAAAGTCTGTCTGTAACTTCTTCATCTAAAGTGAATTTTAAATTTTCATCAACTTCATCGCTTGTTTTGAAGTAAGATAAAGCTGCAATTCGGTCTTGAGTGCAACTGCATTTTAAAATATCGTCGATGTTAAGCCGACAATCAGCTGACTCAGGCATTTTTCATTGGATATATTCGATTTTATCGTATTTTGCTCTGGTATTTGTCATATGATATTGAGGTAAATCTCTTGTTTGAGTGACTAGAAAAGGGTCTAATGTAATAAGCCTTAAATTGCAATTTAATTTTAGCTCAGTTTCAACCTCTTCTTTTGAGCCCATATCATAAGTAGGGGTTTGCAGAGTTTTATAAATACTAAACCTCTGCTGACTCGGGATACTTGAAACAGAAGATTTCCTGGATGTAGCCAAAGGCTTCAAATTTGTGCTTTTTCTACCTCCAGAAGGTGATAATGTAATTATTCTTCTTTTTAATCTAAAAACCAAAGATTCCAAGGTTTGGTTTATTTCTTTAGTATTCCCTTCAATAGACAATTTATATACATCATCATTATTTTCTTTTTTTATATGTCTCGGAAAAATACATTCAGCACCACTTGTAATCTCTAGCCCAAATCGAAAGTTTTTAAACGCATCAAGCATGTATTTATAATGTTTCCTTTCCATTTCATGAACATTTAAATCTTCAACAAGCTGCCTTCCTACCTGTATACATTTATTATTATCAGTTAATGAAGATTGTGATGCTTTTGTTGACAATAAATCAGGAGATAAAGGAGTATCGACATCAACTGAAAACTTCCGAACTGCTTTAAATTCCAATGACTCGATAAGGTCTTCCACATCATTTAGATCAGAAATTTGGGTCTTATTTTCTTGTTTGAGAGAAGATAATGCTTTTTGCATGTCACTGAATAAATTATCTATTGGATACTCAATATCAAGATTTTGTAATGATTTTGAAGTGTTGCGAGATAAAAGATTTAAGCTGTCTATTGGAGAGCTTATTTGAGGGACTTTTAAAGAAACCATTGTGTCGCTGCGAAGTATCAAGCTTTTAGTTTGAGCTAAAGTGTCATCGTCATTTGTAGTGGATTCGAGCTTTTTAAGTAAATCTTTGATATTCTATGTAATGGTTACATTCATTTTTTGGTGAATTGGGCTATGTTTCATAGTAGTAGGTGTTGAATAAGAATCAATTTTTAGAGGAGGGAGAATAGGACTTGCGATAGCTCGGTTACGTTTTAAATTCTGTCTATTTATCCTTGACATTTAATTTACCATGAGTTTACTATTTCTTGCAAAAATATGTAAAGTTGAAACTGCTTGTGCTAGTAAAATGACTAAAATTTATAAATACCAACAGCAGGAAATTTTTTAATGAAATTAGCATAGAAATTATGATAAGTTTTGCAATTAATTTAGGTTCTAACTTATAAAGGATGCAGAGAGTAGTTCTTCGTTTGAGAAATCATCATCAAAGGTAATAAGTTCACTTCCTCTTCTCTTATGGTATCTTAAATCGCTATCTTTTGCGTTTCCAAATGCATATAAAACAAAATATTGTTTTCCTTTTTCTAAAGGAAGATCGCAAATATCGCCGGTATTTAAATATCTTTTCCACTGCAAAACGTGGTGGTTTCCTTCAATATATTTTTCAAGGTCTAAAACGTTGTCTTGGCATTCTTCTTCTGTGTCTCGGCTTGGATACCCATTTTCCACTCCAAACCTATCCTCATAAATGCTTTCTCCAAGGATAAATGACACCAAATCAGCTCCAGCCATGCCTCTGCCGTTTTCAATGCTCTTAATGCCAGTACCAACCCATCCCCATGTTCCAGTAGCTTTGGCAGTAGGGATGTAATATTTAAATATGACTGATTCATCTTCATCGTTAAATGTCCATTTCAAAATTAGATCTTCGTTCAGAAAAACTTCACCTCCAAAGCAGATGCCTAGATACGCTGCAATTACAATTAACGTTAACGACATTTTTAACTATTTAAATAAAATGAAAAGATTGAAATCTTTTGTACTGCAACAAAGATGGAATCCAATGTTTTTATAGTTAATAAGTTCATGAGCATTTTATTTATATATAAAATTTTACATTGAGTTTTAGGTTGGGAAATTTTATACTTCATATAATGAATTAAAATATCAATTTATTTTATAAATGTTGTTGAAACTTAGAAAGCTTATACAAAATTAGCACGTAAATGAGAATTCTTTTTGATTTTTACAAAATTTGACCCCTTTTACTTGGGCTTAATTTCAAATTTAGTTTTCCTATTTTCTTTTATAAATGGAGAAAAGAGTAAAGAATATTGCTATAGTTGTTGGGATTTTATTCTTACTTATATTTATGTTCCCAGAAAAAGCTTTTTATATCACAGTATTCCTCAGTGGTATTATCTGTACTCTCATATTTGAACTCGTTATATTTTACTTTTATATAACAAAAGAATCTGACATTCCTGAGCCTTCAGTAGTTTCATTATATACCCCTCGGCCTCTCCCTAAGACAATACCCTTAGAAGAGGCAATAGAAAATGCAAGGAAAAACTCTGGAAATTCATTATATGTAGCTCAAGCTCCTTTAGAAAGGAGAATGTCAGCATTACCTTGTGTTTGTAATAGCCCAGAGTTCGCTATGCTATGCAGTGGTGGAGAAGCTACTATTTCTGAGCTTATCCAATATATAAAAGATCTTTTACAAACTGAAAAGACATATGGGCAAGCCATCGTCAAATTGACTGAAATTTCTTTTCTTGACAAAATTAAGAAGAAAAAATCAATTGAAATTTTCGGAAAATTAAAAGAAGCATTAAATAAAATCGGGAAATCGCATTTAGACGAAGCTCAATACTTAAACGAGGGGCTTTTAGAAAACCTAGGCTTCATAGAAAAAGACATAAAAAATAAGCATAAAGAGCTAGAAAACAAATTAAAAACCTCAAGCGCTGCCTTTGAAAGCACTGTTCAAAGCATCCAAAAGCTTCAAACTAAATTAATTAGCGCACAATCAATATATCAGAAAGCTAACAATGATTATCAAGAAGCAAAAAAAGATTTAGTCCCTTTTGACACTTTAATGAAAAAAGAAATGAAACTGAAACTGACCAAAAATGAGGTCAGCACTTTGCAAAACACTATAAAACAGCTTAAAGAGAACATGGAGGAGGAATCAAAAATATACTTGCCTAAAGCACAAGAAATATTGGAAAATCTAAGACATGTAAAGCTCCAAAGGGCAGAACAATATAGATCTAATATACAAAGCTGACTTGGGAGCCTTGAAAACTGTATGAGAATCTGCATGAATTTAGCCCAAGCTTTGCAGCAGCCAGGAGATGATCCCGAGCAAGGGGAAACACTCCCCACTTTGGAAGAAACTAAGAAAAATCAAGGATCATTTATTGATAAATTAACAGAAAAAGTTTTACCAAATCTCGATAAATCGAAAAAACTCAGTATTAAAGGAATATGAAATAAAACAATAAACAAAAAAGTTGACACTGTCCAAGAAGAATTCGAGAGATTAGAAAATAAATCCAAAAAGATCAAGAAAAAAATTAACGAAATTGATATGTTTATTAAACATTTAAGTGATGCAGAAATGAGCTACTCAAATGAATTAATGAGGATTGTGCAGAGCTGGCATGAATTAGAAGATTTAGGATTAGGAGAAAGATGAAGAGAAGTCACAAAAGGTATCGAACAGACCATTGAAACTATAGAAAAGTTTGCAGCTGAAATAGATACAGCAAGATTAGAGTTAAAAAATTTTGAAAAAATTATCACAGAATATAATGACTCTCTTATTATAGCAAAAGGATATCCAGAACTAATAGAATCAAGCCAGCTAAAGCTTAAAGAGCTATATGAAAATAGAGACAAGTTCATAGAATCTTGCAAAAATAAAATAGTTGCAGCTTTATCATTAAAATGCCATACATAAAAATGGTGACAACAGACCACCCGACCTCTCGACCCTATTTCTTCAACACCAGCAGGCAACGGCCCAGTGGTGGAGATTTAGGTGGAAAGGGGTCGGTAATCCTTTATGTATGTTCGGGCTGGGTTTTCTTCGAGCCCGAGGAGCTAATCCTCGGACTTGGAGTTTTTCCTCCAGGACAACCATTGGAAAGGGCAAGGTCGGCCAATGTTTGAAGGCAATATGACCTTCAGACCCTGAAGACGGTATTTGCCCAACGAGAAACTGGGAGAGTTTCGACCCAGGTGGTTGGCCCTTAGACTCCAGAAGCCATGGAAGTCAAGACTGGTTGTGCGAATCCCTTGTTTGAGGCAACAAGGAGGGTGTCCGCCGAGGCTCCCCGTGAGCGATGAGCGTGTAGGGGTGCGAATCCCCGGCCCTGCAAGGCAAACGTCGAATTTTAATTAATTAATCATTAAAATGCCAAGAATGTTTAAAATTTATATCATCAATAACGCAATTTATGAATGAATGTGATAATGTCGACATATCAGGAGAATTTTCTAGCAGAGCCAAAATCCATAGATACCAATGCCCATTCTATATTTATGAAGTCGAAAACTCAGAAAATCCTTTAGAAGCTTTTCCAGAAACTGTAAAAATTGGCGATCCTGAATCTGCGTTTTGGTTCAATGACTTATTAACTACTTATTTATTTGAATGGGCTGAGTCCTCAAAATTCCAAGCATGAATTTGTAGGAGATTAAAAAGGGTTTATAATAAAGGAAGACCCCAATACATGGGTGAAATTCAAGTCAAAGGTGTAGAACTAAGTGGCCAAGCCCCAGAGGTCAAAGATTTTACTCCATTAGCAAAGGAAAATGATCTTGATTTTTTTTATGAGTTTGACTTGTGGTTTAGAGGGGAAGTCAGAATCAATCTAGAATTTGAAGTACAGTGGAGTTTGGCGACGGTAACTGTAAATGTTAAAGCAATTTTTAGGTCTTTATATGGAAGAATGATACTATTTTATACACCTTCTGATAGAGGAAAAAGTTGGTATTCTTTTGTAGCTGAGCCTGCTTATCAGATCGCTATTGAGCCTGTTTTAGGAAAAATGAATAAGGTTGCTTTGAGTAAATTCCCACAATTAAACACTTTTCTTGTATCAATATTATCAAAAAAAATCAGAAAATTTGTGTGGCCTAATAAAAGATCAGTTAAAATTCCTAAAGGGAAAAAATTACCTAAAAATAAAACAAATAATTAAGAAAAGCCATAATATTATAATGCTTGCCAAAATAATAAACTCATTCAATCTTATCTTGTTTGCATAGACGCTTCATCAAATTAAAATTTATTTAAAATATTGTAAAATGAGAAGCCCGTAGCTTTTAAAACTGCCAGAAATATTGGCGTATTAAGCCAACTTATATATCTAAAAATATGCTAATCTTTTATTAAGCTTTATTTGCTCTGTTATTCTTATTAAAGCACTCAAACTCAAAAGGCTTATTGAAAAAATGAGTAAAATGGTCGGTTGTCTATATAAAAATTACCTGAAGCACACATCCACATAAATAGCAAAAATATTTTCGTCCCTTGCATTCTGGAGAGTGGCAAGTCATAAAATTACACCCTTGGATTTTTTCTGACATTGCCCCACAGTGTGGACACTTCATGAGTCCATTATTCCTAGCGAATTCTTCCATCAATTGATTTTCTTTATTCTGAATCTGTTCTTTTTCATATTCTTCGCAGGTTTTTCCTATATGAGGATTTTTATAGCAGAGTGGGCAACAGGTTGTTTTGCATGCGGGGCATGTGAATTCTTCCATACCTTTAAAAATTTCTGCTCTGAATTCACAATCAGGCCCTTGGCATTGGTAATCAATGTTACCATCTAAATTGTCTGGTTTTCAGTTTCTCAGCAAAAATTTTTCTAAAATATTAAAAGTTTTTTTACTAATACTTCCTTTGATTATTCCATAATCAATAGGAATTCCACACTGAAAACACTTTAAATCCTCTGGGGCTATTTTTCCTTCCATTATATATGTTGTTAAGTACATTTCCATGCAACTTCTACAGTATCTATGATCGCACATTAAAGTAATGAACTCAGTTATTTTTTTCTGAGATTGGCATATGTCACATGGATAAAATGGGGCTTTGGCATCTTCTTCATTTTCTAACATTTTTTTAAATTTCTTTTTACCTCCAAAGGCTTTTTCAATCGAAGGACGCCCAATTTTTTCCCCACATATAGGGCATAAAACTTCATCCCATCGCGATATGTCATTATTTGAATAGAGATAAAAATGATTTTTGAAACATTCGTCAGAGCAAATTATATGTTCATTATCTTTGTCACATGGCAAAATGTGGCATTTGCTGATGTCTTTTTTTCTAATGACATTATTGCAAACTTTGCAGATCCTTGAATGAACTCCTACTAGCGTGGCTTCAAGTTTCATATCAGATTTGCTTAAATAGAAAGATAATCCATCTAAGCATGCTCTAATTGCAGGCAGATGGTCTGGGTTTTTATAGTTATTCATCCAATTTTCAAGGTTTTTCACCATTTGGGTTAGGTCTACTTCCATTTATTATTATAGAATCATAATTATTCAGACAATCAAAATTTCTTGATATTAATTTTTATGCAGCTCGATAATAAGAATGCTTCTTTACGCTTTGTAAGGCATTTTTGATGAAAACAAATGCTTATTTATGGCTCAAAATATTAAATTTTTAAAAATCATGCTTATTTGATTGTTTTGCTTCAGGATTCTCTAATAGATAGACTATCTTTTGCATTAATTTTATAAAGTGCTTCTAAAGGTTGCAATTCGATTTCAAATCTTTAATTTTAATATCTTTAAATTCAATTAAATTTCTTGTTCGTTTTTGTATCTTTTCATCATTTAAATTCACTTCTAGCATCTTTCAAATTCATTTTTAAGCATTTTATTAGCTTGTGATTCATCAGTTTTTATAAATTCTTTTACGTTTTCTAGTTTATTCTTTGAAGATTTCGTTTGAAAAAAAGAGATTAAATAATGCTTGCAGGACAATTAAAACTCCATCATGCTTTATCCATTTAAAGAGACTTGAAAATTAGTATTGTGATCAATTTTAATTTTTGATCAAAACAGTGTTGAAAGATAATTTCGGGTTTTTAATCCAATTTCTAGTGAATTTATTTTATATTAAAATTCTTTAGCTGCGAGATGAATTTTGCATATATTAGCATAAATAAATATTTACATATTATGGCTTAAAAGCTGCTAATGCTATATTCCGAGGTGAGTGGATTTTGTCAAATATCTGGATTATTTCTGTCTCAGCTCCATGTTCTCTTAGGTATAGAGCTCTGTCTAAAATTATAATATTTTCTATAGGTCCACTAAGTATGCTTCGAAGTGATCATATAATTGCAGATTCCTTTTCTTTACTCCTAAACCTTTCTTCATAAATAGCATTTACGTCGACATTTTCATAAGGATTTTGCAAGCCCATAGCATTGAAGGCTTTGCTTATATAATCTCCAAAGTTATTAAAAGACTTTATCCTCGAGCCTACGCTGAAAATGTTTTCATACTGAGGATAAGACTCTGTCAATAGAATTTGGAAAGCTGATCTATAAGAAAATCTTTTGAAAGTTGCTTCAGGATTTTCTATATGAGCTCTGCAAGCTTCGCTCATAGCTAAAACTCTAGGGATTCTTCCTAAGAAAAATTGTGGGTATTTTTCTTTAATGTATCTACTTAAAGGAAATCCAGCTGCTTCTTCTTCGGCAAATAAAGTTTCATCAAGACTATTCCCTTGAAATGAATGCCCAATTTTAGCTAAATACTCATCTGCAGACTGCTTTGCTTCAGGAGATATATACTCTGTCAAATGGTTATAACAGCATCCTACATTTACCAAAGCTTTTATTTGAGGGTCACCAAGAAAGAGTTTTATGCAGCTCGCAGCTAAATCTCCGCAGGTATGAAGCCCAATAAGCACACATGGCTCATTTGTATAAGCAGAAATATTATCAGCTGTCACAAATAGCGAAATATTTTCAAATTCCCCATCAGTTTTTAACCTCTGGCATATTAATTTCCCTCGTCTTTCTGATTCGTGGGAATTATGCTCTTTAGCTTCAATTGCAGTTACTTTAAGTTTAGCTTTTGTGACTAAAAAGTGAGATAAATAGCCTTGCCCTGCGCCTATATCAATAGCTTTTTTCAAGCCAAGTTGTTCAGCTTTTCCACTTATGTAATGAGCTAGCCTAGGAACTTCATGCATTTTTTTAGGGTTCATGCCATATTTCTCTATTACGGAAACGTCAAATGACTGTGTATAGAGTGGATAATGAGGACTTAAATTTACTGCTGAGCTTATATATACTATAGCGCTTTCCCGAGGATGGCGCGGAATGGCGCCATCTCGGGAAAGCCAGGAAGGCATCCACACGGGAACTGGGAGTTCCACGTGTGGATGCCATTTTGACATGTGGAAGTTTGGATCCCACATGTCAAAAATGGCATCCACACGTGGAACTCCCAGTTCCCGTGTGGATGCTTAGTTGACTTTCCCGAGGATGGCGCCATTCCGCGCCATCCTCGGGAAAGCGCTATATATTAAAATTATGATATAAATTAAATATAATAAAAAATTAATTTCATTTTAGATTTAGGACGCTGCAAGGTAAATTAGCATTGTATAGTTATAAAGTCCTGCCAATTGGATTTGATTGAGAATGCTTGATATTTCAATAAGCTGAGAATAAGAAAATTGGTGGAGATACTCAATCCATTCTTGAGGAACCCTTGAAAAATAGTCAGTTACAAAAGCTGCGGTCACATGGGATTCCAGAAGGTCACGATTTTCTATCAAAAAAGGAATGATTTGGTCAATTTGTGCTGTGTATTCGTCCATTTTTCAGATATCATTGGAATAAGGAATAAGAGACTGGAAGCTGGATGGGGAGAAAAGGAAGGATTTTAGGTTGAGAATGGCTGAACGCATTTTTTATTGGTAAAATTCACGCTCATTATGAAATAGAAGGTAAGAATAGAGAGAATTAAAAATATTTAGTATAAATAGCAAGAGAAAGGAAAGGTTTCAGCCCGTTTAGCTCAGTCGGTAGAGCGCCAGCCTCTTAAGCTGGTGGTCGGGGGTTCGAGCCCCCCAGTGGGCGTTTTTTATATCTTTTTGGCTTTTGGCAAGAAATCACTGAAATTATGCTAAATTAAAGTTTTATATAAGATTTATGCTTTTAATTATTATTGGGTAAGTACTTATGTAAAAAATAAGCGAATTTTTATGAATTCTCCATTTATGTAAACACGCTTACTTAAAAATGCAAAAAAATTATCAATTATTGATACTGGTAATTATTGAAAAACATAGTAGCATCACCAAATGGGAGCCGAAACGGTGCTAGTGTGTACATAATAGCTTCCTGCATCAAAGGGTGAATCGTCCTTGGGATTTTTTGCTGTTTTGTGTCTATATTTTCATCGTTGTCATCATTTGTTTCCTTTTCTTCACTTTTTACGACTACCTCCCCTAGCTCTGTAAGTCAGCAAATTTTTTCTACGTTACTAAATCCCTCCCTTTAAATTGGAACAATAACCTGCACTTTTTTTTTACTTTAACTCATTTTTAATTGGAAGAAAATTTGTTTTTGTATAGGAAAAAATTTTAACGATAAAATTACTAATTTTTATAAAATTAATTTTGACTTAATATAATAGACAAAATGCAAGTAGAATGTTATGTAAATAGTTTTCACACTGATCGATTTAATTTTTTTATATCATTATTCATTAAATAAATTAAATTTCAAATTATTGCGCTCAATTTTTTTTTTAAAATAAATTATAGATGAAAATACAATTTTTATAAAATTAATTTTGACATAAAAAGCAATTAGATGCTATTTAATTTTGTATAAAAATAAATTAAAATTAAAAATGAAAATTCTAATTTTTATAAAATAGTTTTGACCTAATTTAAAAGATAAATGCAAGTAGAATGTTATTAAGCAAGTTTTCACACTGGATAAATTAATATTTTATTTGATTCTTCATAAAAATAAATTAAAATCAAGCTATTGTGCCCAATTTATATTTTTTAAGAAAAATTTTAGAGATAAATCTATTTTTTGTTCCAATCAATTAAAGGAGGGGGAGTAAGAAGGATTATTTTTTTTCAAGTTTCAAAATATTCTCCTTCACAATATTTTAATTTTATAATAAGTTATAGCGCATACCCCTAAAGATCTTTAAGGACAATGACTTTTAAAAAAAAAATTAATTAAGATTCTAAGAAAACCTAAAAATTTCATCTTTATCTCTATTCTCAGTTTAAATTTGACTTTCAGAATATTTTAAAATGCTAAAAGTAATTTTTTTTAAGGACATTTTTCTCAGAAATCAATAAGGAGTCTATAATATATCAAGATTCTTGCTCTGTAAAGGAGAAGTTAATTTTCACAGAATGGGATTTCCTAATCATTTTATGTTCTCACAGAGGGAGAGGGGAGCAAGCTCTCTTTAAAATGTTTCCTAGATGGGATACCAACTCCAGACTTAAAGTGATTCTGGATCTTAAGCATATGGCACAATAAAGGAAATTTTTTATCCAAAATGACTATATGCATCCCTATATTAGATATGTATTAAAATGGCATGGCGAGCATCACCCTTTTATGACCTCACTCGATTGGCTATTTGCGCGAATCGGGTACCTTATAAGAGAAGATAGCATTTGGGATCTATATCTGGCCAGATTTTTTCTGGCGTTGTAGAGCGCAAGTTCAGGGTAGCCAATGGCATTCTCGCTTCAATACCTGCTTTTTACTCTGCTGGGAGAGAAAAACTTAGAGTTGGTAAGGGAGAGCCAAGCAGTGCCAGAAGTTGTCTCTTTGCCAATCGGGAACATCTCCTAGCTTAATGCCAGGCGTTGCATCCTGGGCTTAAGTCATCAGGTGGCCAGTTGATGTGTGGCTTGGTGATCCAGCATCTCAGCTAGTACAGTGAGAAACAACACAGTGGAAGGCCATTTCCGGCAAGCAAGCGGTGAAGCGACATTGAGGAGAATAGTGGCCTACGAGCCTACAGGGAACCTACCTATAAGTAATTAAGCAAGTAAAAAATCCTATAGCAGACTGAAGCTAACCTTCCAGTAGCTACTAAGTATTGAACTTTTGGCTTATGTTTTGGCAACGCAGTCACAAAGTTCATTTTCTTCCACTTGAATCTCTTTTTAAGTCCTTTTACTCTTGGGAAACCAAGATCACGGAGAGTGTTTTCTTTAAGAAAATACATAAGTCCATGAGCTGGAGTTGTGTAGATGAAGGTAGGATGGTCTGTGAGTATTTGGAAACTGAACTTCTCTGAGTAGTCCTGGTAGTTGCGGATTATAATTTCATATTCAGAACCATTGAGCCAACGCTCCTTCCAAGGAAATTCAGTGATCATTTATATTTTTATAATAGAGCCATTTTGCTAAAGCCAAATAAATGTATATTAATATGAAATTTAAATAGAGAATTAAATGGCATGTTTGTGAAAAAAGCAACAATGTCGAAGTTTTGGACTAATTGGGATAGCTCAAATCTTTATATAAACAACTGATTTATGATTAGAAATAAATTTAGATAAGATCGCTTTAGATTTACTGAGCTTTTTAGCTTAAGTTTATAAATATGGACAAACTCCAGCCAGCTTCTGACCCTCAAACCCAAGTCATCATAGAGCGAGCAAAAAAGCAAAATAAACAAGTTTATATCAAAAAAGGAAATATTTGGTTTAAAGTTAATAATAAATAAAAATAATTTTACAAAAATCTTTCCTCATAATAAATTTATGCAGTGTGCACAAACTTTGCAAGGAATTTGGGAATCCACTCTGCACTCTTTAGGAGAGTGAGAGCAGCAAATGATGAAAGGGAAGCTTATCCTTGAAATGCAAGCCCAGGGCTTAGAAGAAGTCTTAGAAAAACTTGTAGCTTTAACTTAGAGTGACATTATTATAAAATTGAAGTGGTTTTTATACACAGTCGAGACACAAATTTTTATTCGAGATGAAGCGAGGAGCTGAGTAATTATGATTGAGCTTAAGAAAATAATTGAGATGATGAGTCAAGAATGAGATCTTAAAGTGAGTTTATCACAGCAAGCAACTGGGCTGTTAGAGAAAAGGAAGATGGTTGCATATACATGGGTTACCGAGCCATATATGGATGAAAGCTATTTAGCGGCGCTACCTAAGAAATTCTTTTAGGATTATATACTACAGCTCTGTATAAAGGAATGCAATGACTATTTCTCCTTTTAAAGTTAATTCAATTCAATTTAAGTATATCATAATATATAGAAAAATATATGAAGAGAGTTAACTATAATCTATTTATTATAAAAAGTGCAAAACTTATTAAATAATATAGTGAACTTTTCATTTCAGAAATAATTGAGAATTAGAATAAATTTATAGATATTGAGGATTTTGATAGACTGGGGCATTTGGATACCCAACTGGCTGTACCACTGGATAGCTCGGCGGTACCATTCTTGGGATATTTTGATATCCATTTTGAGCAAATTGCCCAAAAATTACAGGCTGAGGCTGAGGATAAGATTAAGATTAAGATTACGCTGGGTATTTAAGGTCCCTACTACGTCCGAGGTCGCATGCCACGGTTTCCCGTGTGGTGGCAGAGCGTTCACCAAGCCCGGGCCGAAACCCCCGGTTTCTCGGTAGAGGTATTGTCAAGGGCCGTCTCATACCGGCTTTGCTGACCACCTCCATTTCCAACTTGGATCGTCGCCTAAGTTTACGCCAACTCCGCTTCGTCGTCCGCCAGATCTGCCCATTGAAGGGCACCTTTTCAACTGGAGAGACCCCCGTTTTGGTGTCTAACTCGCCTCCCCTCTTCTCCGGTCATCCCGAGAAAGAACTCAACAGCTTTCACCATTCGGGGCGAGCCACTAAAGCAGCTTAGGCAGGTAATTCACCCTGCCTCATTTCGGGGGCACTCACTGGGCTGAGCGCTGCTGGCAAAAAGAAGTCACGAATAACTGCCCATGGGTCTGGTCGCAAAAACAGCGGTTCTCGCGCTTAGGCCTCTCGCTTCGAGGTCCCGGACGTTGTTGGGCTAATTCCTGGCTCCAAAAACCATGCCCGGATATACATGGGTAACCACCACTGAGAGGGTGGGTCGGTCGCCATACGCCATTTTATGTATATTGAGGCTGAGGATAAACAACTTGTGGCTGCCCTGCCACAATCAATGGATCATTAAGTGTCTGATTTGCTTCTTCCATTGCGCTTTGCAGTTTCTTTGCATGATTATAAGCAAACTGTGCCAGTGTAAAAGTTCCAGCCACAATTACAAAAATAATCCCTGATAGTATCATTAATGCTTCAGCTAAGTCTTCGTTATCCTCACAGTCATCATTTCTATAGCAATCTAGCCCTCCAAACCACACCCATGATGCAATGAAACCTAATCCAGTTCCAATCATAAGGAGACTACAAATAATTCTTGTTGAATTTAGCATAGCCACATAAGTTGACACTGTAGAAATAGGCTCCATGTCAAATTACCGTGGATTTTTGGTAGTGTACATTTAATCGAAATCCATTTGGTCGAAAATTTTTGATAGTTCGGACATTTGGCAAAAATTAACAGTTTTTTTCGGTCAAATGTCTCACTATCAAAAATTTTCGATCATTTTTCGGCCAAAAATTTTTCGGTGAAATGGACACTATCAAAAAGGCAAATTCATTTGCCTGCACCCGTAGAAATACTACTGTTTCAATTAGAAGCACACCAGCCATATTGCCCTATCAGAGCATAAGGGAAGAAAATCACGATATACCAAAACCAAGAACTCCATGTTCCAAATACAAAAAACAGGATAAAAGGTACTATAAAAAAGCAATGGAATACAATTGAGTCACAACGCACATTTCCTTTATGCTTTTCTACTTCATTTCGGCAGTGGCTACTATTGTATATTGGTATCATTTTTATTACTACCTGACGATAACTAATTAAAGTTACTGGGTAAATAACGATTTATGGATTTTTAAATATATATTATAGTTTATTGCCATGCGCTGCTAGCTCTTTTTTTTAGCACTAAATAATCCTCCATCAGCCTTCTCACCCATTTCCAAATCTGCTTTGAGTTAGGCTCAATATAAAAAGTCCCAGGAGGCGAGCACTCTTTGATAAGTTTTGAAAGTCTTTGAATTAATTTTTTGTGATTTTTGTATTCTTTTAATTCTCTGATTATTGTAAGAATTTGTGCTGCATTTTCAGGCTTTTGGTTGCCAAGAGCAGCTTTTAGGTTGCTGATGCCCTTTTTGACTCAGTCAGAGATTTCTGATTCTAAATCGCGTTTTTTCTTGAGAACACTGCGAACTTCTTCTTCTAGCCTCTGGGCGTCTTCTTTACGGAGAATAGCAGCTCTATCAAGTTCGCTACGGAGGCCTTTGATTTCTTCTTCTCTTGCATCTCTAACAGCGCTTAGCCTTGACACTTCTCTTTGTAGGTCTAATACAATGGATTTAGAAGTAATAGTTTGCTTTTCATTGCTTTCTAATTGAAATCTTAAATTTTCATTTTCATTTATCAAATTTGCCCTTTCTTTTACCAATCCATTTATTTTTCTTTCAGCCTCTTCTAGTCTTTGAATTTTTTGGTCATCATTTCTTTCAATTTGATTTTTTTCAAACTCCAATCTTTTTATCTGCTGATCTTTAACATTCATTTGTATTGCAATTTCCTGTGTATGGCGCTGTTTTATCCTTGATTTTCCCACTGGAAAATTTTTTGGTTCGACCAGTACATATGGTTTAGTCAAACCAAAAAATTTTCCCAGTGGGAAAATCAAAGCCAAAATAGCGCCATCCCTGGGAAAATCCCATACTTGAAAATTGCTTGATTGTTCCTGCAGCCTCATATTTTTTATCTCACAAGCTTCTAATCTTGCTTGCAAATCATCAATTTTTTTGATTTGGTAGCCTGCGTCGCTTTCTTTTTCATTTCTTATTAAATTCATTTTGGTTCGATATTCATCCACTTCTCTTTGCAGCCTAGAATTTTTCTGTGTAAGTTCATCAATAATCCTATCTTTTTCAATAACTTTTCCTTCAAGCTTTATTGAATTTTCTTTTTCCATTTCAAGTAAAATTGAATTTTCCCAACTATCATCTTTTTTTGAAGTAAAGCCATGGTATTCATTTGTTTTAAAACTGCTTTTAAAGCTTGGTGAGCCTTGTCTTAGCTCTTCAAAGCTTTTGGTCATATTTTCATGATTTCTATTAAAAGCTGCTGGGGATCTTATTAAAGGCCTTTCTTCCCTTGAATAGTCTAAGCTTTTTTCTTCTACAGGGGCTAGGCTGCTTCTAACGTCCACACGATGGCTATCTTCTTCAAATCTTTCTTCAAGAAAACGGTCAAGTGACCTTTCTGTATTAAATGATGAAGCAGAGTCAATGCGATTGAACAAAGACGGACGAAATGAGCTTTCAAAGCCAAACTCTTGGCCTGAAGGAGATAGTTCACTAATAGCTTTTCTAATGCTTGATACTTTGTCTTCGATTTGGTATCTATCTGGGCTACTTTCCATTTGAATTAAATTTGAAATAGGAAATTAATAATTCATGATTAATTAATTAGAAAGTCTTTGATTTTATGTATGATTATTAATGAGATAAGATTTGAATTCACTATAAATTTTAATTAAATTTAATATTTAGCTGATTTTCTTGGCTTTTCAATTTCTAGTGCAATATCTTTTGTGGTCAGATCTTTAATTCTTGGTATTTTCACTTTTAAGTTGTAATTCGGCACCTCTTCTCCTGACCCTTTAATTTTTCCATCCACAAAATGCCCATCATAAACAGTCCCATCTTCTCTTCTCAATATTCCCCTCCCATGGACTTTATCTTCAAAAAATTCTCCTTCATAGGTAGCTCCATCTCTCATTTGGAGAAACCCTTTCCCATGCCTCATTGCGTATTTTACCTGACCGCTATAAATTTCGTTTTTATCATCTTCATATCCAAGACCATTAGGTGTATCTAAGAACCAGTCACCAATATAAGTCTGGCCGTCATACTTAGTTAGAACTCCAAAGCCACATTTTACGTTATTAACCCAATATCCTTCATAAATATCTCCTTCTTTAGTAACGACTCTGCCTAAGCCATTTCTCTTATTATTTTTCCAAAATCCTTCATAGACTTGATTATAAAAAATTTCAATTCCTCTCCCACATCTTTGATTTCTGCTGGTCCACTCACCATAATAATAAATCCCAGGCCCTATTTCTTTCCATTCACAAAATTCTGGGAGTACTTTTGGATACCTAAAATCAGGATCCTGGAAGCTAAATGGGGCTAGAGAGTTCCTTACTGACAATAGCAATTCAAAATCTTTGCGTTCTTCATGAGGGAAATGGACTGATTTAAGTTTTATTATTCTTTCATCAGTTTCCTTTTCAAAACTTTCATCAATTTCTTCATTTTTCACATCGCTTTTTGCTGTTACTGAACTTTTTTCTGTTTGGAAGTCAGACTCTTCATCTTTTTGGACCAAGACATTTTCTTCAAGTGATGAAAATTTCATATCTGAAGGAGATTTTGGTAGCATAAAATTATTTAGATTAGTAGAATTGCTGGGGAGAGGAGTATCAGGAAGCGAAATATCGTGAACAGGCTGAGGCGTTTCATCCAAACTAGGCTCATGCATAGGTGCAATTCATTTAGTTGAAGACTCGTCAGCTGAAATATTAACTTCAGAATCATTTAAAGGTAGAGGAGCTTGTGACTGAAATGATGATTTGATTGAAACACTTTGAGAAGGGGATTCTTCAATTTTTGGCTGCCCAAACTCTATATCAGAATCAATGTTTTCAGTTTCTAATTTTTGTGATGATGCAACTGAAGAATTTAAACTTTGTCTGCCGCTTGAATTTTGGCTTTGCTCGACTTCGCTGGAATCTTCGTGAGATCTTGCAGAATCAAGACCATACTCTTCATATTTGCTGGGCTGGCTTGAATGATGGCTTTGTTCTTCTTCATCTGAGCTTTGATTAGATTTGCCTGAGTTTTGGCTTTTTTCTTCTTCATTTGAACTCTTATTAGATTTGCTAGAATTTTGGGAGCTTTTATTAGATTTGTTTGAGCTTTGGCTTTTTACCGAACTTTTTTCTTCTGAGTTTGAGCTTTTATTGGACTTTTTTGGAGCTTCACTTATTCTAGAGCTTTGGTTGGAGACTCTTGAAGATTCAATTTCTTCAGAAGTATCGCTACCAGGTAATGAAATTATATCTGATTCTTCGAGTTCTTTGTGTCTTATTTTTCCAAGCGCAAAACTATCTTCAACTGCCACTTGGAGACTCTGAATGTCTTCATTAGAATTTTTCTCTTCCTCGTTTTCTAAGTTTTTGTGCTTTCTTTTTTTCTTCTTGCTGGTCTTTGGTTCATCTCCACTTTGATGGGAAATTTCTATTTCGCCTGGAGTTGTAAATTCATTTTCTTCTTGTTTTTTCTTTTTATTCTTTTTCTTTTCTGTTATTTCTACATCAGATATTTCTAAAGGCTTTTCTGTTATTCCGGCATCGGATAACTCTAAAGGCTTTTCTGTTATAATTCCTTCACTAAACTCTTCACTTTCTTCAGTAATTTTTTTCTTATTTCTGTGCTTTTTTGTTTTTATTTTTTTTTCATCAGATTTCTCTAAATTTTGGTTTCCATATTCAATGGCTATCTCTTCTTCTTTCTCTATCACCTCAAACTCTTGTTTATCTTGTATCCCAATCTCATCAATACTTTGAGATATTTCTACCACTTCTTCGCTTTCTATTCTTTCTGACCCCTCTTCTTCAATACTTACTTTATTTTTCTTTTTCTTTTTATCTTCCTTTATACTTGCCTCCTCAAAAGGATTTTCTTTTTCTTCTTCCGAACTAGATTTAATGTGTTTTTTATGTTTTCTCTTAACAATCTTTTCTTCTTCTGAAACCCTAAAGTTCCAATCACTTCCACTTTCTCCTTTTTTGCTTATTTTAGGATCATCTTCTTCTTTTTCACTCATCAAAAATGAGGACACTTCTTGTTTTTTCATCCTGAAACTTAAATCTTCTGCTAATAATGGGTTTTCTAGCGGAATTTTAAAAGCGGTTTGAGACTCTTCAAGTTCTTGATTAGAATTTAAGCCAGAAATATCTGAAGATTTTTGATCAATTTGGCTTTTTATAAGCTCGTCTTCATATGCATCTTTTGTGTTGGGATCGTACTCTTTATAGTAACTTGTTTTAAGTTCTTCAAAATTAAAAGATACAGAGTCATCAGTTAATTCTTTGGCTTGTGCAAGCTTATTTTTTGGTATATCCATATTAGGCTTGAAAGAAGCTCTACTTATAACTCCTTCTGATTTCGGGCTCATAAAGTTTTCTTCATCAGTCATTTTGCTGACTTTTGCCAAAATTTCTTCAACTGATGATGCTAATGCATTTGATGGCGGGCTTCTAGCTGCCTCAGAGCTTCTTTCAGACTCTGACCCAAAAACTCCTTCTGCGTATTGTTTTTTCTTAATAGAAGACTCAGTTCTTTTAAGCTGACTTTTTCTCCACCTGCCTTTAAATTCATTTCCATTCTCATCAACATAAGCACCATCTCCATGCATCATATTAGATTTTCATTCTCCCTGGTATTTTCTCCCATCATTTCAAACCATAACCCCATATCCTTGCCTTACATCGTCTACAAAATCTCCATTATAGTTAAATTCTGTGTTTTTAAAAGTCCCTTCACCATTAAGCATATCATTATGCCAATTTCCTTCAAAAATTCCATCAGAAGTGATCAATTTTCCTGGTCCTTCACGCTTATCGTTTTTAAAATTGCCTTTATAAACGCATTCATTTGCATATGTAAATTCTCCATATCCATGCTTTAAGCCTTTTTTGAATTCTCCAATATATTTTCCTTCATCAGAAATTTTGATACCTCTGCCATTAGGTGTGTTACTTTCAAGTTCCCCATCGTATACAAATTCATTCGAAATTATTTTTCCATGGCCAATTATTGTATCGTTTATCCATCTTCCTTCATAAACAGTTCCGTCTGTATCAATTAGTCTTCCAAAGCCATTGGGCTGATGCATTCTGAAGTTTCCTTCATAGACGCTGCCGTTTTCTTTAAGTAAAGCTCCGAAGCCATGAAAAGTATAGGCTTTTGTCATATTTCCTGAGTAAATCCCAACCTTAGTTTTGACATTTTCATACCAGCTTAAGTCTTCATTGATTTTTTCTGGAAATGGCAGTGGTTCTAGCTTTTTATATCTTTTTATTGTCGCTTTATATACTTTAGATTGATTTTTTTCAAATAATGACAAAACTAAATTTTTTGGAGGAGTTTTTAGGCTTTTTGGTGGACCGACTATGGAGCCTCGGGAACTTGATTCAAACGATATCTGTGGAGTTGATTTTTGAGACATATTAAAAACGATTATTATATATTCATAAAGAAATTTATACCAGAACTCTTATTTTCAAAGCTTAAATTCATAACTTTGGAAAGCTGCAATAGCAATTGAAAAGTAATATATATTTTGTTGAGATTTATTTTTAAATCTTATACAAAAAAAACTTGCCCACATTATCACCTATTCGGTGTAATTCTAAAATGGACGATAAGCTCAACTCATCATTTGTAAATGCAGCGAATGCATTAAGCGCTCTCTTCAAAGAAAGCCAAAACCAAGTAGAAGAGTCATACCAAAGAGGTAAAGCTGACTTCTACCAAGAAGTTCTTAAGTGGATGCTTGATTCTCATAATGGTGACATCCGATATGTTACAGTTGAAAACTTAATGGAATTTGTTAATAATTGTTTATCACAGCCAAGATCTATTTCTCAAGAAATTCCTATTGAATATCCTTTGAAAAAATTCAAACCTTCAAGAAATTAAATATTACTCTACCATACCATTGGAGATTTCTGGATTAATCAGTAATTTTATTTTATTTGAGGTCTATTAGTGGTTTAAATTTTGTGTTTAGTATAAAGCAGCGGAATAGGGTTAGAATGAAAATTAGCTATATAATCACCATTGGCTTATAAGATAATAAATTAGGATAATTAGTAAAATCTTCCTAAAAACTTGAAATAGACTTATAAAATTCTGAAGTTCTAATTTTATTCTTTTATTCGGTCATAGCCCTTAATCTTTTTGCTTTATAATCTTCATATAGTCTAAAATGGATGACCAAGTAGAAGTTCACTTCCAAACTGATTTAGGTGAAGATTGGCAAGTTTCTGAAAGCTACTGGATAAATACCAGCAGTGGAAAAACTGAGCTTCAAGATATAATTCTTCAGCACCTTAACAAGCAAGCGAATTTGATGCTTCTTCTTAATGGAGACATCATCACGAATTCTTTAGAAGAGTAATTCCTATATAGGCATATGAGGACTCAAGGACTCTCTACAGAGCAAAAAATCGAAATTTGGTTTTCTATCGAGATTCCACCACCTTCTTCTCTAGGAGAAATACAGCATGATGACTGGATTTCATGTGTCCAGCTGACAAGCCAAGGGTGCTTTGTGTCAGACTATGGAGGATTTCTGGCACTTTATAATGAAAACCAAGAAGAAATCATAAAAAATCAGATTTTTAGCCACCCTATAAAATCGATAGATTTCAATGAAAATTCTAATTTGCTGATCGCAAGCTCTAAAACTGGCGACATAAAAATCTACAATTTCCAAGAAAATTCATTAGAAGAGTCAGCATTTTCGCATATAAAGCACATAGAAAAAGTCACATCTAATCCTTCAGGCTCCATGTGGGCTGTTGGAACCTATTCAGGAGAAATAAACCTTGCCAAAATTAACGAAGAAACCGCAAATATACGAGATGGAACTAAGAAGCAAAGACTTGACAAGTTTAACATTGAAATAAACCAGTTAAATTTGCCACATACAGACTGTATAACTGGGCTTAAGTGGCCGTCTCTTGATTTGTTATTAACAAGCTCTACTGATCATTCAATTATGGCTGTCGATTTAGAGACCCAATCTGTAATTTCAAGCATTTTGGCTCCAAGGTCTATTCAAGCATTCAATGTTTTTGAGAATAACATTGCAGCTGGTTTTGAAAATGGGCTAACACAACTCTATGACTATAGAAATTCACAAGTAAATGCTATTTAGAAAATTGCTTTATTGGAAGGGAAATCTTGGGTAAGAGCTATTTCAATGAAAGACTTGTATATTGCTGTTGGGCATGAAAACGGAAATTTAAGGTTTTTCGATAGAAGAAGTGTGAAGAGTCCATTGCACACAATAGAAGCTCACCAAGGAAAAGTATTGACAACAGATTGGCTGAATAGTATTATTTCTAGTGGAGGGTCAGATTCAATAGTAAAATATCACACATTTAGTTAGATTTTTATAATGAAAATAACTCTTTTCGCTTCAATAATTATTATGCCAATATTATTTAAATTTTTCTAATTAGACATCCAAATCAGCTTGGAATTTTTAATCTACTGCTGACTCTTATATAATTATAATCATTACTCCCCCCCCCCCTCCGTGAGCGAACAAAAAAATTTTTGTTCGCTCACGGAGGGGGGTTAATTTTTATTTTTAAAAAAAATTATATATAAATTTTTTAATTGTAAAATAATATTTTTTTATAAGTTGAAAATTATTTTAAAAATATTATGGGGGGAGAGTAAGGGAATTTCCCAAAAAAAAAAGAATACCATTTGATTAAAGGTAAAACACAGCTTAATTTTTCAATAATTTAATAATCAATAAACCTATTAGTAATAAATATATGCATTCAGTTAAAATATTTTTTATATATTTTCTTATTTAATATAATAAGCAAATTCTCTATAAATCATAATAAAAATGTACAAAGGGAAAAGAAAGTACATTGAAATTTGGCAGAAAGTTGAAATTGCTGAATTTTAAATTCAACACCAAAATGAGATGAGCATGAGAGATGTTGCTGCAAAGTTTCATGTCAACTCCTTTAGCTCGATTTTCGAATGGGTGAATAAGCTTGATGAGTTGAAGAAATCAGTAAAATCTGATAAAAAATTAAAATTAGAAAGCTTCACTCAATTTCCAGAGCTAGAGAAAGAACTAGTTCATTGGTTTACTGCAATCCGTGAGCAAGGTATTCAGGTTCTCAGATCAACGATTGAGGAGAAAGCAAAAAGTTTGGCGGCAGAAATGGGATTGGCGCGATTCGGCTGTGGAGATAAATGGTGGCAAGGATTTAGGACCAGAAATAATTTATCTTTCAGAAAAATCAATGCCTCAAGCATTAAGCCAATCGAAAAAGAGGCAGAACTTGTCAGGCAATACCTAGATGATTTAGCGTCATTGCTTCCTCAATTCGTTCCATCTAACATTTACAATTTCGATGAAACGAGATTTGATTGAGATGTAAAAAGCAAGTTCACTTATGATTTCAAGGGAACTCAACGAATTCTAGGCGTTCAATCAGCTAAAATGAACCATTTTTATCACTGTTATGCTTATGATTAGAGCTGATGGAGAAAAAAATGCCTGCTTTGCTCATTTTTCAAGAGAAAATGGCCAGATCCCGAACCTTGTAAGAGAAAGACTGAATATTCCAGAAAATGTCATCATAAAATCAAATAAATCTGGCTACATTTCTGACCAGATTCTTAATGACTACCTCAGAACAATATTGAGACGAGAAAACCAACTGCTGATTTATGATCAGGCTGGAAGTCATAAAACTATCATGATTTCTAATGCAATTTCAGATTTAGATGCAACCAAAATTGTGATCCCTGGAGGGTGCACAAAGTATTTGCAACCACTTGACGCACTGGTAATTGCAAATTTCAAATCAAAAACAACAGATTTCAGAATCAAATTCCAAACAGAGCAGATTGAAAGAAGATCGAAAAGAACTGGAAACCTCAAAGCTCTTGATCGCCAGCAACTGATAAACATTGCTTCAAAGGCGTGAGATGCTGTAAGCCCTCAACTTGTCAGAAAATCATTTGAGTTGACGGGTTCTTATGGCGTTAATCATCCAAAGATTTTCAGCCATCAAGTTAATATGAAGAAGTTAATTATCTAATCGATTTCTTCTATTCATTTTTTTGTCTTAAATTTAAAATTGTTAAATTCAACCTTTTCACTTATGGTATTCTTTTTTTTAACCCTTTGAATAATATATCAAACAAACTTAATAATTATTTTTCAATATTATCCTCTTTATTTCTATTAAATATAGATATAATAAACTATATATAAAATTATATGTAAAAAAAATTTTTTGTTCGCTCACGGAGGGGGGGGGGGGAGTTAGTTATTCCTAAACACTTCTGATACTATTACAAAAAAAATTATTATAAAATTGGCTTTTATTTTAGTATCATCAAAATGTCAAATCTATATAAAATTTATATAAAATGGACATATTTAATTAAGTAGTTAAGGATAATTAATCTTCGTCTCTTAGCAATGCTTTCTGACCGTTCAAATTATAATAAATGCCTAAAATTGGTGAGAAGCGAGACCGAGAAGAAGATCTCAGCTCCTCTGAAGAGGAAGAGCAAGAATTAGGGTTTCAAGATGCTTACGAACAAGACGGATTTGTTGTTCCCGATGACCAAGTTGAAGAAGAGCCAGAAAGCCCTGAAGGCTCCTCAAACGAAGGAAAAATCAAAAAAAAGCCGAAAAAGGTCCGCTCCAGGCTTAAAAAGAAAGACAACGAAGACATTGAGCTCATTGAAAGCAACTTAGGAGTATCCTCAGCGCCAATTCACGCAAGGACTGCTGACGAGCTCGAGGACAAGCTTTTCAGCAAAAAAGCTTTTAAAATTGAGCCAGAAGTAGAAGAAGAAGAGGAAGAAGAGCTGAGTGAGCCCTACAGAAGACAGAAAATGAGCGAGGGAGAAAGCGAAAATTCAGAAAGCTCAGAAGAAAGCAATGCTCAAGAGCTAGAAGAAAGGCCTAGAAAAAATTACAATATGGACCAAATTCATGTAGCAGCTAATATTTTTGGTGTCGATCCTGAGCTTATTCCTCAACTTTCTGAAACCCGCTCTGAAGTATTTGAACCTGCAGAATGCAAAGAAAGATTCGCTACAAAAGAGGATGAAAATGTCAGGGACACAGACATCCCTGAAAGGCTGCAATATAGGCTTGCCAGAAGAGAAGTCACTGATGAGGCTGAGCTGAATTTAGAAACTGAATGGCTTTTACAAAAATATTTGGTGACGAAGCCTGGAATTCCTGAAGACTCCTTGCGATTGAAAATTTCATTATTTATAAATTTCTTTCGCATCGAGAAATATGAAGTCCCATTCATAGCAAAATACAGAATGCACAAACTTCACCCTGAAATTGAAAATAAAAGCGACTTATGGAATCTTTATAACTGGGATGGGGAATGGGGATTTATTTATTCAAATAAGCAGCATCTGAATGAAATTTTAAATGAAGCCGCTTATAACGCTGTAAAGCTAGATGAAGGCGAAGAAATCCCTAAAGGTAGCAAAATTTTATATACAATTACCAAGCCTGGAGAAATTCCTGAGCAAGTAAAATTTTTGCTGGAATATACTTCGCCAAATGACTATAGAATTGAAATAGAAGACTTAAAGAGATTCATCAACGTTTATGTGTATGAGTACAATGAAATTATGAATAAAAATAAGCAGCTAATTATGGATGCAAGAAAAAATAGGCTGCCTCAGTTTATAGAGAAAGCTAGCATTACTCCTTTGCAGTTGGCAGAAAATTTGCATAATAAAGAAATCATACACAAATCGACTATGATCCACCTTACCCCTCAAGATATCGCTTTTGATTTGCTATGTGATGCTTATCCTGAAGAAATAAAAGTAATGGAAGGCTCCTCATTTTTGCTGGCTAAAGAAATTTCGAGTCTCCCTTGGGTTAGACAAGCCATATTTGAAGAATATATTAAAGTCACCAAAGTCATCACTTTTCCTACCCAAAAAGGAAACACTGTTATTGATATTTTCCATCAGCTTTATCATGTAAAACACTTAGAAAAAGGAAAAGCTATTAATGAAATCAGCCCTGAACTGTGGGCTGACATATGAAAAGCTGAACAAGCTGGACTGATTCATGTTCAATTCCGGCAGCCTTGAAAATCAGCTGATACTGATGGCATTATTTCATATGCAAGTGCTTTTTATTTATCAGAAGCTGAAGAAAGCAATGATACAGAAAAACAATGAAACGATTTTCGCATGCAAGTACTGCAAAAAGCTATAAGCGAAATATATGATGGTTTCGAAAAAGACTTGAGGGTTGAGCTGACTATAAAATCAGAAGAATTCATCATTAAACAATGCCAAAATGCATATTCTGAAATTATTAATAGAGGGCCTTACAAGTCAGATGATAATGACAGATCATTGCCAAAGGTATTTGCAATTACTACTGATCCAAATGTCGAAATGTTTGGGCAAAGTTCTTTAGTTGTTTTGGATTCTAATGGAGAAGTAATCGAAGCTCACAATTTCATGACACTTACCATTAGAAATTCTCCTGACTTCGACCGAGGCCGCTTTGAAGAGAAAAAAACTCGTCAATTTTCTCTATCAGAAAATGATAAAGCTATCTATGAAAGAGAAAAAAAGACTATAGAAAGGCTATTGCTCGATCATAACCCTCATTTTATCATTATAGGTGCAAACTGTCTCCACAGCACAAAAATCAGAAAAAATATCAATGGGTTTGCAAATCGCTTAACAAGAGGCCAGTACAAAAAAAATAACTTTGACTATAAAATCGACGAAAAAAAGCTTTTGCAGTCTCCTCCCCAAATTTTCATGTCTGATATTGCTGTAGCCAAGCTATTCGCATCCTCACAGAGAGGAAAAAGGATGTTCCCAGACTATGATTATTTTATAAAGCAAGCTATATCTTTAGGCAGATATTTCCAATTCCCTCTGATTGAAACTTTAGGCTTATGAAGCGATGTTAACGAGCAATTGACAACATTGCTTAGCTTGCACCCACATCAAAAATTAATCCACAGCAAGAGACTTGAACAAGCTTTAGAAATAACCGCAACAGATGTTGCTGCTGATTATGGAGCTGATTTAAATGAAATGATCCAGCATCCTCATTTAAGGTATCCTCTACAGTTTATACCTGGACTTGGACCAATCAAGGCTCACTATTTGATAGACAATATTTATAAAAAACTTCATGGAAGATTAACCATGAGAGTCACACTCATGACCAAAAAGATTTTGTCACCCAAAGTCTATGAAAACTGTGCAGGCTTTATCTGCATCCCTATCAGTGAAAATGAAACTGATCCCCTAGACTCCACAAGAATCCACCCAGAATTTTACGATTTATCTAAAAAGGTCGCAGAGTCAGCTTTAGAAGTAAAAAGTGAAAAAAATGATGAAACAGTGATATACAGAATTATCGAAAAACCGAAGCTAATGGATGACTTGGACTTGCAGTCTTATGCAAAAGAATATTCAGAAAGAAGCCAAGGCAAAGAAAACATAATTGAAGTCTTAGAATTTATAGTTGCTGAGCTAAGAAATCCATTCAAACAGCCAAATAGAAAATTCGAGCCACCTACCTATGAGCAGCTTATGTACTGGTGCTCAGGAGAAACAAAGCAAACTTTATCAGAAGGCAGCATTGTCCAAGTTACTGTCATGGACGCTGATGAAAACAAAGGACTTATCAATGCAAAACTTGAAAGCGGTATCCTTGGAATAATTGACCGAAAAAACATCATTGACAATGAAAACCCTAACGCCATTGATTTTTCTCAATTTAAGCGAGGGATGAATCTGACTGCTTGTGTTCTCAAAAGCAGGGAAAAAATAGACATGAAAGATATGGAGGAAATTGTGTTTAAGGTAGAATTAAGCTTAAGAGAAGGAGATTTCCAAAGATATAGAGAAGGAATTAAAAGGAATTTAGATGAAGCTTTTGTTATAAAGAAAGAAGAATGGAATGAAAGAGCTGAGCTAAATGAAGATCAGTATAGAAAAGGACAAAAATATGTCCCAAGGGTGGTGAATCATCCGAAATTCAAAAATATTGGGTATAAGACTGCTTGTGAAATTTTGCAACATATAGGGGATTATGTTTTCAGGCCAAGTAGCAGAGGGTTAGATCATTTGACGTGCACGTGGAAGTTTTATGATATGGTGTTTGCACATTTGGATATTGTAGAAGAAGGAAAACCGGCAACTAATATGCTTGGGACAAGATTCAAAATTGGGGATGAAGTGTATGAATCTTTACAAGAAATAATTGACAGATATGTGGTCCCTTGTGATAAGCTTACCAAAGAAGCAATTAGTCATAACAAATTCAGAGACTCTCTAAGTGATGGAATAATTAATATGGTGGTGGCAGTTTAATATGTCCATAACGCCTATGCTCACCTTTGTTTCTGAGTGGCACCTCTCCTCAAGGTGGTCAGCAGGAGTATCAAGCTAAAATTTACCTCCATAGTACCTGATGGTTCACTAATGGAGGAGTCTCCCTAGCCTGTCGAGACTCTTAAAGTGACAGTGCAAACTCTTCTTGAGAGAAAACCATTGTTCCAAATAGCAGCTGAATTTCAGGCCAGCAAGCAGGTTGGTGAGAAATGCTGAGTCATCAAATCCGAAAGCTTAAAACTCTTAATTTATTTAAGTGCTGGAATCAAATTCTTAGAAACACAGCTACGTAACGAAAAACGGTCAAGTCCTACTGCAATTCCTTACTGTTTTACCATCTCCCCAAGTTATCCACAATTCTTGATCCTTATTTACATCCCTAAAGATAAAATTATAGGTTTATTATCTTATCTCATATTTTCCACAATTTTCACCATTTTATAAGCAAAATATGTGTAAACCTCCTCATCCAAAATCATCACTGAGTACATCAAAGTGAAGCCAAAAGGCTTGTTTTTCCATGACTCCTACCACCCCAGTATCACTTTTCTCATTTCTTGGTTTAAGCGGCATTACCAATCTTCCAGCTATCAAAGCCAATTAAAACGTTCTAAACCTCCAGAAATCGACAGTAGAAACCACTTAGCAGTTCCTGGTAAAGCTGAGCGCCCAATGACTCCAATTCACCGTATGGATAATGACTATATGCCAAGCACTCCTAAAAGAACTCCAGAATATGAAAAAAGTGACTGGAAATCCCAACCAGAAATTATCAAAGATGAGCCTGATAGAAGAGAAAAAAGATTTGAAAGAGGCAGGGACAGAGGTGGAAGAAGAGGGAAAGGCGAAAGGAGAGAACAGAGAACTTGCCATAAATGTGGAGGAGAAGGACATATTGCGAGAGATTGTCCCAAAACAAGTGGGGAAAAGTGCTTTAACTGTGGAGGCGAAGGGCATTTTGCAAGAGATTGCCCAGAACAGAAGATGAAAAGGGATGAAGAAACTGCAGGAGGACACCCAGAATGGGAAGATCAATGGGGAGCAGAGGAAACTGCAATGGATATAGAAAAGCCGAGGAAAGTACAAGAAGAAACTGATCCATGGGGGTAATTAAAATATTTATTTTGAATCAAATTTAAATATTTAATGTCTTTGACGGCCTTGTGCATATGAATCTCTTAATTGGTGTAGCTGTTAGTTCACGCATAGCATCTATCTCATCGTTATCAAAATCAGCAGACTTAAAAATATTGTTTCTCTTAGCTGAAAAATTAGGAACATTGCAAACACAAGTAAGCTCGTTAATGTCTTTGCAGGTATCATTAATTTCTTCTTTTATAGGAATATCAGAAACAGTGTGCCTGTGATAAATTTTTGGTGAATGAGAATTTGAGTTTATCTCATAGAGATGCCAAGGAGAAATACTTTTAGTGGGACTGTCAATCTTTTGTTTTTTTGATTTTTCTTTTCTTATATGGTAGAATGCACGTTCTGCCTTTAAAGAAGATAGCCTTATAGGAGTGAAATTTCTGACTGTGGTTATACTGCGATAGAAGGTCTTGGGTGTGGATGATAATTCATCATTATAATATTTTTGCTTATTCATTTTATCGTGGTGGAGCATTTATGCTAATTGAGAAATAATACTAAACTACTTTTTCCCGTCATAGATTTAATGAAATTTCGGATTAAAAGATCTTTTACTTGCTTCTTTAAATAAATTATTTGCATACATAATTAATGATTGATTATTTATATTGGAAATATATTAAATTTTATAGGTAGATAGCTGATTAGGTATTTAAAGTTAATACATTTATATAATGATTGCAAGAAATTATGATTATAATTAGTTATAAAATTATTGCAAACCTGAGAAATAAGTCAGCTTACCTCCAAATTTTTATTTTTGATAGTCATTATGCTAGATTTTTTATCCTTTAAAGTTTTAGACTTATTGAAATATAAAAAAATTAGAAAATAGCGTATGCATTGAATTTATAATCTATTGGTTGAATTTTAAAAATTCATGTATTAAATTTGTTTTTTGATGAGTGGTTACATGAATTAAGTGTCTCTTCAAGGGATAGTCTTCTAAATATCTGAAGAAATTATTCATGTCATTTTGATAATTAAAATTTATTACAGAAATTAATGAAACCAAAGTATTAGATGTTTTATCGAAATTCATTCTTATTATATTAAATAAGTATTTACTATATTGCATCATCTGTATCTCATCCATTGTGTTGAAATATTTTTGAATATATGAAAACAAAACTAAATAGAAAATCACTATTTTGAGAGCCATTATCCTTATTTACTTCTATTAGCCTGTGGTAAAAATAAATATGTTGCATCATATAAAATTATAAAAAGTCGAAATTCTACGATAGACAAAGCCATGCATATATTATGCTTAATTTTTTGCAATTATTTTTCACATCCATATTTCTGTTCAAATTAATCATTCATTACATTCAGTATTTAATAACATAATATGAGACAAGGAAATCCAGTATTTGTCCCTGAGATCACAGGCTATGATCAATATAGTGTTCTAACAATTTATATTCTTTATTCAATTACAAAGATCATTACTATATTGACAATTAAAGACACTTACCAGTCTAAGTGTGTTTTGGACCTAGGCGTCTATTTAGTCCTATACTCAACAATCGAGCTGTTTGATGTTTTTTTATTATGCGCGCTCTTTATACGAAAATATTTTCACTTGGAGCACCCTCCTAAAATGCTCGTATTCTCTATACAATTAAGCACAGAGACGTAAGATTTATTTAGATTTCGAATTATGATATTAGTGGTAGCAACTATTGATTTAATAAAAGAAATTGAATGCCTTCATGGTGCTATCGAAATTCTTGTCGCTGCTTTAGTATGCAGCGAAATTTTGAAAATTCTGTTATTAATCAAGCCAGCCCATAACTTTTTAAATACAGTTATTTCAGCCGCTTCTTATGAGTATTTTGACGACATCACTTTTGTACCGCATGTAAATTTGGAGCCATACTTGAAGCTAGAAGTTAGTGACGGGTTTTGTGCAATTTGTCTTAGTAGTCAAAAAACCGACGAAAAATGAGTAGGGTTACCATGCAAGCATGATTTTCATCACATTTGTATGAAAACGTGAGTAACATATAAAAATAGCTGTCCAGTTTGCAGAAGTCTAGTAGCCTAACATATATAGTTTAATGAAAATTTTCAAATAATAGTCAAATAATAAAATAAATAAATCCATAAAAATTATACATAAAAATTTCACCAAGGTAATATACAATTATTTAGTATTGCAAGCATATCCAAGCAAAACAACAAGTATGTTTAGTTGCTAATAAACACTTAATCAAAAAACTAAAATTATATTAGATAATTTTGCCATAAAATTTACTATTTACTATATTCTATTTTATTATCAGAATAAGCTAAAAACATTATATTGGCATATTTTCAAACAAATAAGCTCCAATCTTCCAAGAAAGTGAAATAGATGAATGATCTCATAATTTAACTTAATAAATAAATCTGTGGAATGCAGAAATGTAATAAAAAATAATTTTGATCAGCTGCTGACGACTTGACTATGAAAGATGTTTGTTATGAAACGGTTTCATACTTAGCAAATTTTTGATTCAATCTATATTTGAGTAATACATTATAAAATTTTTTATTCAAATCATTTTCAGAATTAAAAAAATATCGAAAAAATTTAAGTTTCGGAAGAATGCCTAAAAATCATTCTTAATTAAATTTTTGATTATATGAATTAAAATTCATTGTGTAAATATTTACAGAGTTTATAAAAACTCTTTTGGAGGTTCAAACCTCCTTGAAATCAGCAGAGCAGCTCCTTTCAGCATTTTTAAGCCAACGTGTCAGGATGCTGCAATCCGCTTAATTCATTAGAAGAGCAATTACTTCAAGCTATTCGTGGCCTAGGCATAGATGCTTATGGATTGAGATTTAAAATAAGATTGATGATAAATTATAAGTGAAAATTTGGAAATTTTTAAGGAAAAAGATTTGTTTTAGAAGGGGTGCTAATGCTAAATAATAGTAATAGTTAAACTCATTCTTAAAAATTTATAGATAAACAAATTTTTCAGGATTTGGCAACCATATTCCTTAAGCTTTGGGATTGCCAATTTTTAGTGATAAACTAAATTTTACTGTTTTCTGCCTTAGGTATTTCTCAATCTAATTTCTAATTTAAAATAATTAACAGAATCTTGGAAATAAAAATTTCTTTCCAAAATCAAAATTTCATTTAGATTAGAATGAGAAAATTCTTCAATAATCCTTTCATTAAGCGCACACTCAATCACGATTTTTATTTCTATTTGAATTTTTGCTTTTTGTGTGAAAACGAAGAAATAAAATTAAGCTAAAAATTTTAAAGCCATCCTATTATAAAATTAAATAGATAAAAAGCAAGGTAATTCGCTAAAATGATAAACAACTATCGGTGATCTCGATCAGTACTATAGACTGGTTTATAGCCCGATCGAACTCCTTAATTAAAAATAACTCTGTAATTTTCTAATAAACACAATTTTATTAATTTTTTGCTTGCCCTAATAGAACATTTTTTTTTCAGTAATCATCTGTAATAAAAAACATAATATGATACAAGCAAACCAAGCGATAAACCAAGAAATCTCAGGCTACAACAAATATAGCGTCCTAATTATATATATTATCTACTCAATTGCAAAAATTACTACTATTCTTCAAATGCAGGGCAGCTATAGCTCTAGATGCGTGCTTGACCTAAGTGCATACTTAGTTTTATATACTACAACTGAAATTTTTGATACATTCTTATTTTGCATGCTCTTAGTACTGAAATTCTTTCGCTTAGAGCAACCACCAAAAATTTTCGTATTATCAATTCAACTAGGAATGGAAACTTTCCGAATTGTTATTTTACTAGTAGCATCAGTTGTTCTCATAGAAGAAATAGATTGCCTTCAAACCCCAGTAGAAATCCTTGGGATAGTTTTAGTTCTTAGCGAAATTTTGAAAATTTTATTTCTTATTAAGCCCTGCCGAAACTTTTGGAAGGAAATTATGTCCGTGACTTCTTATGAATATTTCGATGAAATAGCAAAACATCCTCATGTAAATTTGGAGCCATATCTTAAGTCAAATGTTAACGATAAGTTTTGTGCAATTTGTTTAGATGATACAAAGACAGAAGAGAAAAGAGTGGTTTTGGCATGCAATCACAGCTTTCATTTCGTTTGTATAAATACCTGGACGACTTATAAAAGCAGTTGCCCAGTTTGTAGAGCTTCAATAATCTAACCGTAAAATAATGTACATTGAAAAATTAAACAATTTTTTTGAATAATTACTAAAAAAGAAACATAAATACATAGAATTCTTCTTGAGTTTTACTTTTACTGCTTTCCAATATAAATATGATAGCAAGCAATTATTAATTAGCTTTATTAGAGAGAATTTTATATTCAAATACTCCTTTTACTACCATATGAATTGATAGATTAATGAGAAAAAAAAACTTATAATAACAGGAAATAAAAAAGAAAAGAAATGCTTACAAAATTCTATATCATAGTTTATTTAGCAAAAAAAAGGAAACCAGAAGGAAATATATGTATAGAGATGCTAAATATGTAATGCATATTTCTAATTTCATTTAAATTATGGTTTATATATTTCAATAATGATGAATTGCAAAAAAGTTTTTCCTTTATGGAATTATGAATCAGTAATTTATTAAAATTTATCAAACAATCTTGAATACATCATTCGAAGTTTTCTTTATTGATATTTATCATCTTTACAATGTTATAATGACTTCAATAAATTTACTGCTTTAAACTTATAAGCCATATACTTAGTAAATGTAAAGTATTAATAATAAAGTCTATCGAACTTAGATTTTTTATTCTTCTCTGTAGTGTCCTCCACTCTTGCCATTTCCCAATTTATCCTTTCATTTGTAGACAGCAAACTGGTTAATCCAAATTCTCTTTCTTTTTCAGATCTTGATTTTTGTATAGACAACTTGCCTTCAAGCATCCTATCCTCAGAATATTTTTCATCAAAACTAAATTGTGTCAGCCCAAGCGTTCCCATTATTTTCCCATAAATATTAAAATAATTTGTAATGCAAAATACAATTAATAGCAAAGGAAATCATATGGCAAAATCATTTCCTAATACTGGGACTAAATCAATAACTTTCATAACCTTGAAAAATTCGCAGTTTTTTTCTTTTATAAATAAAAAAAAATTATACGCTAAAGGGGTTGTCAGCCTTGCTAAGATGCAGGCACTTCATACAAGATTGCTTGGGTCTGTATGATTATTTGGGTAAAGCCCATATGATCCTGATAGCCTTAGATTGAATAAGGCATAATAAGAGCATAAAATTATATAAAGAAGTGGGATGAGGACTAAGATTTGTATGGAATAAGCACCTTGTGCTTTCTGTATTAATAATGGGAAAAGTCCTATTGGATTCTGAATGAATAAAGTGGATTCTCCTAATACAATAAGAATGCTCATGATTCCAAATAAAATACCTAGTAATCGGCAGAAAATTGGCTTAACTCTGGTCAGCCAAATTCATCCAATAAGTTCTTGGGTCCTGACACATTTCCCAGTCCTTTGTGGGAGAATAGCAGAAATTATTTTTCTTTGTGTACTGTTATAAGATTGTGCTATATCTTCTAATAATATAGCTTCTTCTATTAACTGATTATATCTAAATTTTGTTCTTTCTAGCTCAGAGATAGTTTTTTTAAGATCCTGATGAAGCTCAGCCAATCTTTGTTCAGATAAATTTCCAAGTTTATTCATGCTATCTCTTGATATATGAATTCTATTTCCCTTACTATTTCCCATCCTTGATCGAACAGTAACTATAGGCTCGATTAGGAAAAATATAAATTTTTAGATCAAAATTTTTTTCCATATAAAATATTTATGAGTTAACCACAAGTGATAAAGAATGAATATATTAGCGATCATGCTATAATCATATTAGAATTGTTTACGGTGTAATTATGTTGTCTCTACAATTCATTATTATATTAAAAAAAGATAGTTATAGTGTTAATTTTTCTAAATTTCGGAAACCAAAATGATTTTTGTTCGATCAAGGATGAGTAGAGATAATATTTTCGACAGATTCTTGTGGACATCTTAAAAAAATGATTTCAAGATATTGCTTTAAAGGAGAAAATTCAGAAATTTGATGAGAAGCAGCATTAATAAGCTTGATAATTTCATCAAGTTGATGGTTTACTTCTGTTATGCACTCTTCAAAAGTGGTTGCTTTAACATATAAACTTTTAAGATATTCTTCCGTATTTCCTGAATTTCAAAAGGACCTTGGTACTGCTATCAATCCGTAGCCTAGTAGCACAATTATTAAAAACAGCCCCCAGCAGTTACTCAAAATTATCATAAAAACAGGCAGAGTTTTTCTATATAAAATTTACACTGTAAGACGCCCTTCAATAAGTAAAAAAATAACTAGAGCTAGCCCAAATGCCCCTGCAAAAATCATGCTTCTAGCTTGACGGTATAAAGTTGCTCGCATTCTACTAATAAAAGAAAAATTCCCAGAGATCTCGTATTCCTGAATAAGTGGAAGAATAAACCTATTATAAATGCTACCAGCAAAGAGCAAAAACAGTTCAATATACTGAAAGTCACACAGATCTCATTAAATCTGCTTCCTGCTGAGAATCATATTCACTGTTTGTTTTACCCTAGCTAGAACATACTAAATAGATATCATAAGGAATTAACGCAACAATAGCGAATCCTAAAAAATAGCCGATAAATGAGAAAAAATACACATAAAAAGCTGTGGATTTAGATGCGTATGTGTATATTATAAACCAGCTCAAAAAGCAAGCTAAAAGTAAAAGTCCCCAGGTCAAAAAGTTGATCATATTTATTCACTTTATATGATTTAATATAAACGCCAACAAAATTCTTATAGAATTATATTTTATGTCCAGGCGATCGGATATGTAACAGTTTTCCCTAATAGCCCTTCATCAGTATCAGTCCCAAAACTTGGATTTTCATATCCTTGGCTTATGAAATTTTTTGTACTTGAGGAAGTAGCGACTGTCAGCCCAAGCTCATTAGCGATTTCATAAGGAGTTTTCCCAGCCTATATAATTAATACAAAATTTTTTAATGAATCTATTGATCCCGCATCAATCAATTCTTGATAAATTTCATAATTTCCGCGTAGAGCTGCCAAATGAAGGGGAGTTTCTCCATGAATATCTTGCAATGATGTGTCAGCTCCCATACGGATTAATGCTGAGGCTGTTTCATTTTTTCTGAGCCAAACGGCAAGATGAAGGTAACTTCAAGAATTCTGAATTTTTCTTACAAACTCGATTCTTTCATTAAGATCGGTTAAGGAAAAAGGATAGCTGTGGTCATTTTGTAGGATTGCTTCGAGGTTATGCAGCTTCTATATATTTTTTACCGTTTTTGGGTATTGCTTTTTACAAAGTGAGCATAGTATTCCCATTTATTCTCTTGCTCTAATATCGTATAAACAATTTTTAAAATAGGCGGATACTTATTAAATTTGCATTAAATAGACATTTTAATAATTGATAAAGATTAAAGATACATTTTCTTAAATTTTTATTTTAAAAATTCTGAAATTGCTAAATATATTTCTAAAATATTTTATTAATTAAGCACATAGTTACACTTTATGTTTTAAATAATTTCTTGTTGATATTTTTATAAAACTGATACATAAACATATTTAAATTATTTCTTTAGAAACACCGCAATTCTAAAATCCTTAAAGCCAATAAATGTTTTCTTTTTACATTACTATTAGTCTAACACTTCATTCCTTCCATTTTTTGGATTTAGCATTTGTAACAGTTATCCCATTAAATAAAAAGTATAACGTTCACTCTTTAAATTGCTATAACTTAGCCGCTCTCTTTTCCACCATTTTATATGTTACATCATCAATAAAAAAATTGATAAGTCCTTTGTCAAGTCTTTTTTCAGAGTCAGTTTATGCTGGCTGAGCGTTTATCTAGTTAATTTAATCATATCTATTATAAATAATTGTTATCTCTCAACATAGAGAATGTTATAATAGAGCTTCAATTTTTTGAAAAAGGATTTAAGTTATTTCTACTAGTTCATATGATCTTCTTTAATGTGCGCTCCTGCCTTGTCCATAAATGATGCAAGTCACACTTGCCCATTTGTCAATTCTTGTGATGGCTCAGGAGGGAATTTAATAGCGACTTTATTGTGGAGTAGAGACCAAGCCGGCGGGCATTGGTGCTTGGCAGCGATTTTACCCACAATATCGACAAAGTCCCAAGCTTCTTTGGAATTATTAAAGTGAAAAGTTTTTCTTAATTCGGAAGAGTCGTTCGATACATGCCAGGAAGGAAGAAACGATTTAATTTCCTTAAGCTGGCTGATAGTGACTTGGGACGTAAATTTTCTTAGCATTTTTATTATTATCACCATTTCATATTGTTGAGTCTAATAACGAATATTTTCTAAGCATTTTATTAGACTGAAGTAATTATTCCGAGCGTTTCTTATAAAAAATATTAAAAATCAGCAAACAAAATTCCATCCCTAAAGGAACTTTATCGAAATTTTATTTTTGTATTCGACGATTTTTTATTGATCCGAACTCAACAATAAAATTTCTGCAAAAGAATTCGGTCTTTTAAATGATGAGTTTGCTGTAATTGAGAATGTTTTAATAGTTGATAAAGCTCATAACTCAAAAATTATTATCTCGCCATTTGACTTTACATAATAGCATTACATTAAATTTAATTGCTTAAATCCTAGCCATCTCTGATCCGCCTCTAGATATGGGCACAACTCATAACGAGAATTTTTCTATCCCTGATTGTTCGTGAAGTCTGTCAACTGAACCATTCCGTTTAGTTTTGTGAAGCCATTTGATAATCTAAAAAACCGGGAAGCATTAGCGCCTTTGTGACTTTCAAGAAGGGAAATAGGCTAAGCACAATACCTGAAAGAATGCGAAGTAAAATTAATGCAATTGCTTCCCATTTAAAAATACATAAAATATAAAAATAAAATTTAGGTGTGTAAATTCAAAGTTTTTTATGGTTTCCATGATGGCAAGCTGCATTATAATTTTATTGATAATATTTAATTTATGAATAAGAGATAAATAAGTGAATTTTTAAGTTAGCTGCCTTGATAATCTGCTTTTTAATTAAATATGAAAAGAGGGGGAAATTATTTGTCATGATACTATAAGTCAAAAGAACGAGTAGTATGTTATTTTACTAATGAATGCTAAAGATTTATAAATATTAAATTAAATCGATTAAAAAAAATACAGATAAATAGTTATTTTGGCAATAAAACTTAAAAATTCAATTATAGATAAAGATCAGATTAAATAATACTTAAGTATTTTACATTTTACCTCAGCATCCTAGACATCAGCTTGCTATCCATCAAGCTCTGCTTTCTATAAAGTTGCATGAAATCCTTCGTTGAAGATGCATTTAAATCGCTCACTAACTCTAAACTAAACTTTCTTGTCCTTATTTTATCTTCCCAATAAGTCAAATTGCTATGGACTTGCACAAGAACATTTTTATTAATTTCCTCGTTATCCAAAAATCCACATCATATATCAAACGATGGAACACAGATAAACCGTAAAAATCCAGACTGATTTTTCGCAATATCACTGTTACTTCTATCACAATAAGCAGATACCTGCTGGCCTCTTTCTTTTTCTAACCCTCTCCCATTTAATATTCCCCTTTTTTATTGCTGTTAAATAGAAAAGATTTTTTTATTAAATGAGGGGAGTAAGTCTCCTTGCCTATAAAACTCTTCACAAATAAGATTTGTCCATTTTTCATGCAATTCAATATTCTTTGCACTGTGACCTATGTCAGCACATTTTAAAGCCATGCATAGGATTATGACTTTATCGTCAAAGTTATCGAATGATAAATCACATAGACACTGAGCTCTCATTTTGAATCTTCCAAAGCACTCAAAATGCTTTGACATGTCAGTATCTAAAATCATTTTAATAATTAATTTTCTCGCTTTAAACCAATCTTCAGTTTTTAATCCTCCAAAAATATTGCAATCCTCATTGCTCATAATTCTAAAGATTTTGGCAATATGCATGTTTTCAAGGACACTATCATCATTATAGCTCAGTGACAATTCATGTTTATTGTTTATCAAAAATCTGTTTGATAAAGCAGGATGCCCCACATCATGTCCAGCTGCAGCTATAATAGAAGCCATAGTATCAAGAGGTGTTATATTTTTTATAATATCACTTTGCATATAGAAATAAAATAGCGAATGCAGTACATCTGCTGCATGGCAAGCATTGTGGTAAGGATTTTGGAAGTAATTCTAAATATTTCTTACAGTTTCCAAAGTCTTGAAAAATCTTATTTCAGTTTCCTCTAAAATGCTGAAGGTTTCTGCTAATCCTCATAGTTGGAAAAAATATTTACAGATTGTCGATAAGCTTTCGTTTGTCACTTGAAATAAAAATCATACGTCAAAATTCCAATTCACTCCAAGGCCAGACAACAATTGATGGCCTGGAAAACTTTCCAGTTTTACTTGTTGTTTCACTAAATTTACTTTGAGAAAAGAGCTTCCTATATTGCTAGGATCAGCTGTAATCATAAACTGCTGCTTGAGATAATCTTTGTCTTCCTGATCAAATTCAACATTTTTAGCGAACTTCGGGTCTTTTAAAAATGTATTGTGAGCAATTTGCCGCTTAAGTTTTTCAACTTCATTTATAGCACTTTTAAGGGTATTTTTTACATCTTTGAACATAATCACTGATTTTGCTGATTTTATTTGCTCAAGTACTTTGTCACATGATGAGTACATTAATTCGATTTCTGTATTTACATAAGCTTGGCCTGATTTTGTGCTATCAATTAACGCTGAGACTGTATCAAGTTTTTCTTCTTCTTTTAGTTTTCTTCAAAATAAAATTTTAGCTCGATATTCAGTCTGATAGGTTTCTATCGATTTTATTGATAAGAAAATAAAAATTACCAGCATTTCACTAAGATTTGTAAAAATTGACAAAGATGAAACCGTCAAGAAAAGAGATAATAGTAAGACCACACAAAATAGTGAAAGCAAACTGAAATACCGAAAAGTGTCAAAGAAAAGATCTTTTAAAAAAATCATAAAGCATACCAAAATCATCATTTGTGACTGGTGATTTTTAGAATAATCGTTACCTGTAATTTGAGATAAAACTCTTTCATCTGAAATAATAAAAAAAGTGATGCAGAGAAGGCCAAATATGAAAAATATCATTTGATTGTGATGGAGAACCCAAGTTGATTTTCATAAGAAATAAAGGATCAAAATGCTGATGCAAGCCATAAAAATCAAAAAAATTAGCCGAAAAATCAAATGATCATAGGTTTGTTCCCCTTCGTTATAGAGTAAGCATAAAGTAGTTATAGTAATGATAAAGTAGCCGATTAGAAATATAGAGAGTTTTATCCTTAATAGCCGATGAGGACAGATGATTCCCGTGGAATCACCGAGTTGGCCTAACCAACCTAGTGCATTGGTCGGACCAACTCACTTGTTGGTTGGACCAACTCGATGACTCCACCGGGAATCATCCATCCTCTCGGGCTATTAAGGGTAAAACCTTATATATAAAAATATGTTAAAGTTCCTTTAAGCTCATTTGAAGGTGCATTTTTCGCTGTTTTGCTGCAAAATAAAGTCTGGTTGTATTTGAAGTTCATTTCCTTGTCATGATACGTTAGTATTTCTGTATTAAGAGGAACGAATATATTTTCTTGTTCTTCATGATCCAAAATACTGTAAATAGAAGGCTTAATTTGGTATTGGATTGGTGGATCTGATTTTTCATAGTTGATTGATTTGCAATTCATTGCTACAAAATATTTTAAAAGAATAATAAACATTTAAATTCAGTGCCTATACAATTTTGCGGATGTTAATTAAGCAAGAATTTTATAAATGGAGATTTTAGATAAGATTTAGCATATCCTGCACTATATGGAAAAAATTGATTAACGTTTATAAATAAAGACGTTAGTATCTTTAATAAATTATTATGGTTTATTTATTGATGATTTAATAGCTTTATTATGAAAATTCTGCTTTAAAATAGAAATTATTTAAAATTTTGGTTAAAAATATTATAATTCTTGATAAGTCTCAATCTCAAAATCACTTTCTGAACTATAATCTGAATCATTTTGTGAATTTTCGATGCTTTTTTCTGCTAATGCTGCTATATCTTTGACTTCATTTTTAGTCAAATCCTCAATGCTGGATGAAGATTTTTCGCTTCTAATTGGCTCAATATCAGGCTCAAAATTATGAGATTTGTTTCTTACAAGTTTTTGCTCTTCCACGAATTTAAGTGTATCTTTATTATCAATCACTGGGTCTTCAATTATTTCTTCCTGATATCCTGGGTTTGCATTTTCTATTGAAACTAATGAGTTATTTTCTTTATTGGCAGGACTCTCTGATTGTTTGGGTGGATCTTCAATGAAGCTTTCCTGCCTAATTTCTAAGCTTTCTCCGTCAGAGCTTGATGAATAAGTCAAGCTTTGTTTATTTACTAGAGTTTGAGGGTCAGAGATTGGAAGTCCTTCAACTGATTTTAAAGGAGTTTTAAATCCATTTTGGCTCTCATATTCTGATTCGTATTCACTAAATATTGTAGCTGATCCTCTCATTGCTTGTCCTGGGCTTATTTGATGGCCTAGCTCTGAATCTTCTGATTTTTTCTCTAATTTTTCTTCTTTACTAACTAACTCCCCCCCCCCCTCCGTGAGCGAACAAAAAAATTTTGTTCGCTCACGGAGGGGGGGGTTAATTTTTTTTTTTAAAAAAAATTTATATATAAATTTTATAAAAAATATTTTTTTCGAAATTTAAAAAAATCCTAATTTGCAAAAATTGGGAAGCAAATATATAATTTAATTTGCAAAATTTATGTTTTAAAACGCAATTTGTTTAAAATTAAACAGAATTAGCTCTAGATTTCATTATACTAATTATCACTTATATATCAAAATTTTTTTCCATTAAAATTTTTTCTATTAAAAAAATTTTTGTTCACTCACGGAGGGTGGGTTTTTGGTCAAAAAATGGCGATTTTTTCTAATGGTTTGTTCGCTCACGGAGGGGGGGGGGGGACTAAGCTGAAACTTGGCTTATATTGGTTTTCTTCTAGTACAACGAAATCCTGAACAACTTTAATTTCTCTATCAGACTCTTCTGTCCTAATTATACTTTTTTCTTTTGGAAGGATACTTGCGAAGTTATGGGGTTCTCCTCCAATAGAGCTTCCTGAAGTAATGTCTTTAGCTAACTGGAAAGGATTATCTAGCCCATAATCTTCATTATACATTGAAGAGCTTAAAGATGAAGTTTCTAATGGCTTTTCTTTTGCTTCTCCTTTGGTAAATTCAGAGTCAATTATATCTTTAATTGCATTTGTATCCAAATTACTTAAAATTGTGTTACTTCCCAACAAATTTTCTATGCTATTCGTATTTTCTGTGGCAATTACTTTATTATTTATCATTTCAGAGTTTGGCTTTGATGCAACAAAATAACCATCATCAAATGGCTTAATTTCTGAATTTTTTTTGCTTTTTATTTTTTCTTCCTCAAATTTATGTGGAAATGAGCCACTTTTTTGGTTTATTTCTAAATTATTTACAATGTCACTATCAACATCTGAAACATCAGAGTCATTATAATTTTCTTCATCAATTGGCCCTTGATTTATTTTTATTCCAGATGGTGATTGGCTCATGAACTGTGGCTCTTTTTTATAATTTTCGAATTTTTTTGCTGAAATATTTGTTTTTATTTCACTTGGTTTTTCGTCAAATGGAGAAGCTTCGCTGAGCTCTCTAGAAGAATTATTCAAATTTCTGTCAGGGGAGTCTTCAGTATACTCATAATTTACTTCGGAATCCAGTAGAGAAATTTTCCTTACTAAATCAGGGGAGCTTTCTGAGCTGAATTTTTCAATTTGGAAGCCAAACTGAAAGAGAAATTCTTCAAGTTCTTTAATTTGTATATAAGAAGTTGAGGCATCTTGGTCATATTGAAGAGACTCTAATAGCATAATGATATGGTCTTTCTGGATATCTGTGATGCCTAGCATTTCGAGACCATCTACAAAGTTATCAGGTGAAATTAGCCCGATTTCATTAGGATTAAAAACTTCAGCTGGATGCTTTTTCAATTGTACCAGGCCTCTGGCTATTTTTTCTAGATAAAATTTGACGAGTTTTGAACGCTCTATTTCTTGTGGATCTTCTTCACCATTCCCGTAAGCTTCAATGAAGTTGTAATAAGGTGCATTGTCAAGCTCATTATTATGAGAGTAAAAAAGAACTGCTATATTTGTTTTAAATAAAACTGGTGAACATAAAGTTAATAGATAGCTTCTTTTTTTTATAGAATAATGTATAGCGTCTGCACGCTTTCTGACTCCCTTCGTCTCGATGTCTCTTGAGATAATCGGGGGTTGGCTTTGCCAACTTTTGTTGGTGAAACCATCTTTCAATTGACAAATCCTATCGATACTGCAAATTTGTCAATTGAAGGGTTGGTTTCAGCAGCAAAAGTTGGCAAAGCCAATCCCCGATTGTTCGGTAGAAGGGATTCAGAAACTGTGCAGACACTATACTGGATCCTATTATAAACAATTTTAGCTTTTGTGGCCTGGATTATACTTCCAAGTATCATCTGAAAAAGTAATCTTTGATTTTTTAACTGCTTCTTTAAACTCAGATAGTTTAATCGTCCCTATGCTGTCATTGTCATAAATCTTGCAAGCATTTAAAAGAGCTTCACTGTGCTTTGACAAAACTGAAGCAAGCTGTGCATCAAATTTATTTTCATCTTCTTGAGAGAAAATTGACCAATTTTCTAAAGATTTCAGTAACTTTTTTTCGATATTTCTCATGGAGCTTTTTAAAGTTGAAAACTCGCTTTCTGAAAATGATTGAAAGATTTCTGGTTCTACTAAATACTGGCATAGAAGATCTAAATCTGGAATTCCAGAGAGTGAGATTGAAGAATTGTTTAAGATTTTCAGTAAATCAGATTTAGAGAAAGCTATATTTCTATCAGTGATTTTTCCAAATAAATTTAGCACCGCTTCTTCTTTACTCTCCCTCCGTAACGAAAAAAAATTTTGTTCTCTTATAGGATTAATTTGTTTTACAAATTGAGATAATAAATTTATAGTAAATTTTTTTAGAAATTTAAAAAATCCCAATTCGCAAAAGTTGGAAAGCAAATATTAAGTTAATTTGTAAAATTTATGTTTTTAAATGCAAGCTTTTAAAATTAAACAGAATCAGCTAGGGACTTTATTATATTAATTATCACTTATATCTTAAAAAATTTTTCATAAATCTTTTATATTAAAAAATTTGGTTATGTGGGTTTTTAGGCAAAAAATAGGGATTTTTCCAATGGTTTTGCTCGCTCACGAGGGGGGAGTTAGGAATTCTGTTGAGCTGCATGCGAAGAGAAATATGCTGTAATTGATCAGAAATCTGATCAATCTTTACTGCAGAAATTTTTGTTTCTTTTATTGGGCTTTTTGGTTTTGGAGCTTCAATGGTCTCGCTAATATCCAAAACTGGCGTCTTTTCGCTACTTAGTTTTTTCAGCACTTTTTCTTCTTTCTCGCTGTCTGATTCTGAGCCAGAATTCGAGCTTGAGTCGCATCTTCAATATTTCCTATACTTATCAATGATATCGACAACTGATAAAATGCCTTCTTTTTTGTTAAGTGCACTTTTTATATGCTTTGATTTAAGTTCGATTTTATGCTTCTTTAATCCTTTGACAAACTCTGCAAAACTTAAATAGCCATCATGGTCTTTATCAAGCTGAGAGATAAAATTAGCGATTGAGATTTTTTCTTTATGGATGTAATTATAAATTTTCAAAAATAATTTTGGAATTTTTACATCGTTTTTACTAAAAGCTTTCTCAGATTTTTCAGCTTTAATTTTATCCACCTCAACTTTAAGTTCTGCTAATTCTCTCTTAGCTTTTTCAAGTTCACTAGAAACAGTTTTTAGCTCATGAGCTGCTTTTTGATAGTCATTATTTATATTTTGGTTTTCTTCATTAAGTTTTTGGTTCGCACTCTCGAGTTTTTGATTCGCGTTTTCAAGCTTTTTTTTCTCTTTTTTTAATTTTCTATTTTCTTCAGTTTTCTCATTTAATTTTTCTAATTTTTTATCCATTTCTCTAATTAAATCATTTTTTTCTTTTTCTTCTGCTTCCAGTATCATTTTTAATTTTTGAATTTCTAACTTTCAGTTCGAATTTTTATGTTCTTTAGGATTTTCTTTTTCTACATCTTCAATTTTTCCTTTAAGTTTTGATATAGCTTCTTTATTTTTTTCAACAACACTTTTCAGCTCCTGATTTTCCTTTGTTAAATTTTCTATAATAAAAGCTTGCTGATAATAATTTTCATCTAGCAATTTCGGCTGGTCTCTTTCAGCAAGTGCTTCTTCTAGATTGTGCTTTAGTCGTGTGCATTCATCAATATAGGCTTTAATTTCTACCTCAAGCTCTTCCACCTTAGTAGCTTTAACATTTCTTCTTATGATGCTAATTTCTTGCTCTTTTTTAAGTATTTCATTTTTCGGCTCCATGTCAAATGACAGTGGATTTTTGACAGTGTACATTCATCAAAATACATTTAGTCAAAAATATTTAAATAGTGTTGCATTTGGTTAGAAATTAACGTTTTTTTTTTCGGTCAAATGTCTCACTATCAATAAATTTTAACCAATTTTCGGCCAAAAATAATTCGGCGAAATGGACACTATCAAAAAGGCAATGTCATTGGACCTGCACCTCATTTTTCAGCTCTTTGTTGGTATTTTTTAATTTAACTATGATAAAGCTTTGCTTCATTTCGGGGGATGGGTAATCGGACTGTTTTTTGATTTCTTGAATTGACTCGTCTTTTTTAGCGAGCTCTCTTTCTAGGTGATTTAGTTTGGTTTTCAGTCTAACAATGTCTTCATTTGATGTATTTAAACGTACTTTTAAAATCATATTTTCTTCGTATAATTTCTCTTTTTCTACAGGAACATTCCTTGACCTCAGTCGTGTGATTAGGTTGTCTTCTTCTCGCTTTGCAATAAATCTCGGCCGAACCACTACTGACCGTTTGCTTGAAGTCGGCCTTTTTGTGCTGGGCTTCGGACTATTACTAGACCTGACATCTTCATGCTTAGCACTTAACGGCCTGGCAAAATTTTGTTTGAGCGATCTCTTTTCAAAGACTTGAATCCGATCGTTTTTATGCTGCGAATCTTCACCTCGAAGAGGCGATTTGTGATCATATCTTCTGTTTAGAGTTTACAGTTGAGAAAAAGACATTTTTTGGGAAAATTGAATTGAATATACAAAATTATAGAGAAAGGGTTTTAAAAGAGAAAGTCTTATATATAATTGGTAAGGAAAATTAAATAAAAGTTGGCAAATATTTTTTTTGATTTAACTTATTACCAATATTAATCTATTAGATATGAGAAATACTCATATAAGCATATTCTAGTTCAATAAACTTTTTGCTAGATTCCAAAAGATTTAATAAATCATAGAAAAAAATTATTCAAAGTTCTACGATATATCTTTTATAATCATCATTTTTCTTTCTAATTCTTATTTTCCTCCATATATTTCCTCCCTTACAGTGCTTCATCAGCTGATTGTCGGTTACATCACAGTCAAAGATATCATTTCTATATTAATCCGTTCTATTTCTATGTAATAATAGCAACCCTTCAAATTATTCTCATTTTCCCAGCTACTTATATCATAGATAATAAATGCTTATTTTTATATTTTAGCTATTTTAAATAAACATTTATTTTAAATGATTATAATAATAAATTTAAGAAATGCAAAGCCATCATATTCGCGACTATCAAATTCTCAAAACAATAGGTATTTTTCAATTAGGAACTGGCACTTTTGCAAGGGTAGCTATTGCAAAACCAAAAAGCCAAAAACCAGGCACGTTTTATGCAATAAAGATGATTAATAAAGAAATCCTTGCCAAGTTGAAACAGGTGGAGCATGCGAAATGTGAAAAACGGGTCTTGATGTCTCTCGACAACCCTTTTATACTAAAAGTGTAAAAGATATGTAGGTATAGCTCATTTCAAGACAACGCGTGCTTATATTTAGTTATGGAATATGTTGCTGGAGGAGAGTTGTTTACAAGACTTAGATTATGGCATCATTTTCCTAATGATGTCGCTTTATTTTATGCTACTGAAATATTATTAGCAATTGAGTATACTTTACTATATTGATTTAAACAATTTTAGATTTATTTTTGTGTAATGCTATTAAGAAATTTATAAAGTATATATTCATTCAAATAATATTATTTATAGAGATTTAAAGCCAGAAAATCTCTTAATAGACCACACAGGACATATAAAAATTGCAGATTTCGGGTTTTGCAAACACATTGCTCAAGGTGAAAGAACTTTCACACTATGTGGAACCCCAGAGTATTTAGCACCAGAAATAATTAAATCAATTGGGCATGCAAAACCAGTTGATTGATGGGCTTTTGGAATTTTAATTTATGAAATGCTTGTAGGGCATCCACCCTTTTTTGATAATAATCCTTACAAAATTTACAAGAAAATCGTTAAGGGGGAATATGAGTTTCCGCCTGAAATTTCGAAGCCAGCGGCAAAATTAATAAGCAGATTGCTGATTTTAGAACAAGAAAACAGATTAGGAGCAGTTAGGGGAAGTGAAGAAATTAAAGCAGCAAAATGATTCAGAGGAGTTGACTGGGGAATGGTCTTTCGAAGAGAAATCAGGGCCCCTTGGGCGCCAAATTTAAGTGGACCTGGGGATACTTCTTCATTTGCTAATTATCCTGATGATGACACATTTTTTCATCCTGCAAGCGCTTCAGTTAACGAGCTATTCACTCCTCCTCTTAAAATATATAGAGGTTTCCTCTATATAGCGCTAAAAGCGCAGACATTTTTCCAGGAGCTTTCCAAGTTCGTCGGACCAAATCGCTTTTTGGTCCGACCAAGGCATTGATTTGGTGCAACCTACCGATAAATTCCGATCAGAATTTATCGGCCTTACAGCGCCAAACATAGGAAACTTCTATAACAAAATAGGTAAAATTTCTATTTTTTAGATAATTTAACCCCTTTAAATTGGAACATTTTTTTTCAATAGGAAAATTTTATAGGTGAAAATTCTAATTTTTAGTTTCTTATAAAGAAAATTTAAAATAAAGTATTTTAGTTTCAAAAAAAAATTAAATTGGAACAGGATTTTTTAGTTTAATTTAAAGGTGAAGTCAGAGATTTTTAATAAGTTTTAATGTCAAATTATTTTGAATTGCTAATGAAAACTTACAAAATTCTAATTATAAAGCTTGAATGATAATAATAATAATCGTTGCTATATACATTTTAAAACATAGAATAAAGACAAAGATTTAAAAATTTTTATTGGACCTTGGGCTTATTTGGGTGCAAGTACACAGGAGATGCTGGTGACCAGGGTTTTTTTTTCCTACTTGGAAAATATGAAGTTGGCTACAAGTATGGCCCGCATACTTATTTCCAAAAATGCACAAGGCACAATATTATATTAATATGGCTTAAATTGCAAATAAATAGAAAAAATGCTTTTTTATTAATTAATTGTTGTGATAAATCACAAATTGGCATTATCATAAGAAAATATAACTCAAACAATATTTATTTTTAGCAGAATATGATAAATAGTTAGAATTTTTATGTGCCACATTTTACGTTTAAAATTCACAGGGATTTATACATTCATAAAATCTATTAATCTGCAATTTGAAATCCCTACTAAATCGATAGTTTTTGTGCTTTGAATTCATTTAAAAGGTTTGAGCAATTAAATGTCGTTCCATTTTTACTGGAAGTTTTATCTGCAATTTAACTTAAGCGAAATAAAAAATTTTACCTTACTACCCCCCCCCCCCCTCCGTGAGCGAACAAAACCATTAGAAAAATCGCCATTTTTTTGACCAAAAACCCACCCTCCGTGAGTGAACAAAAATTTTTTTAATAGAAAAAATTTTAATGGAAAAAAAATTTTGATATATAAGTGATAATTAGTATAATGAAATCTAGAGCTAATTCTGTTTAATTTTAAACAAATTGCGTTTTAAAACATAAATTTTGCAAATTAAATTAATATTTGCTTCCCAATTTTTGCAAATTAGGATTTTTTTAAATTTCGAAAAAAATATTTTTTATAAAATTTATATATAAATTTTTTTTAAAAAACAAAAATTAACCCCCCTCCGTGAGCGAACAAAATTTTTTTGTTCGCTCACGGAGGGGGGGGGGGAGTTAGAAACCAAATAAGCACAAATTAAAAGTCTTTAATTGTCAAAATATATTGATTTGCAATATAAGGCATTCAGAGCAGATTATACTTTTATCCTTATTTTTTAGCTTTTTATAAAAGCACTAATTTGAGTATTGATAGCAGTTAAATTGTAAATCTCATTCATTTATTAATAGCACAGCTTTAATTTTAAATAAACTCTTTTTACAAGCCAATATAATATTTTTCTTTTTTTGCAATTGCTCAAAGACTTTTAGAAGTAGGTTTCCTATGCCTGTTTACGAATCAAGCTCCTAACTTGACTTGTCGTATCAAAGGTCCATGCAAAATACAAGAAAGCGCTTTTAATATTATGAAACTGTAAACCTGCATCTTAATCTTAGTCCATTTTTGAAAAATCCGGTTCATTTTTGCACTGGAAGGCACTAAGATAACTGCTCAAGAATTAATGAAACTAATAATAATATGATAAAACCTGTAAGGAGATCGAGCTCCTCATTCATTGTTGGCTTGCAGCAGCTAAAAGATGAGATGGAAAATAAAGAGCGAGCTGATAGGCTTGCAAGAGAAGATAGCATCAAAAAGGGCACCTTAACGAAAGATGATGGAAAAAAGAAAGGCAAAAAAGGAAAAGAAGACGATGCAATTAAAAACACTGACTCTCCCCTTTAAAATATTCATTAAAATGGCGATATGTATCAATCTCCCCTCTTGGCGTAACAGACTTATGGCTACGGCGAATTGAGACGGACTCCGAGTTGAGAATTAAGTGCAGGCTCAAAAAATGTGTATCGGGTAGGTTTTGGCTGCTTTCCTTTAGTTGGAATGGAGGTGATAGACAACGTCCTTTTAGATCCGAAGACCCATGAGCATTCCTCTGCCGAGAAAAAAGAGGTTCGGGCCCAGGCCACAAGGGAGTATTCTTTTTCCTGTAGCTGCCGAAGGAAGGCACTTCGATACTCTACAGACTCCAAGGAGCTGATCCTTGGAGCCAAGCTATTTCAATCGCCCGCAGCAGGGCTGCAGAAATCCATAAGCCACCAGCCCAAGACTGATGCTGCAAAGCAAAAAGGAGACTGGAAGTGGCACCCATTATTGGGGAGTCGTAAAGTAAATGAACCTCCCGTGAGGGAGGTCTTTGGTGGCTGCATCACCAATATGGCTAACGCCTGTCTTAATAACCTAACCTAACCTAACCATCCTTTAAAATGGAATTAAATAAGGTAAATTACCATTTTTTGAGTACTTTAACCCTGTTTAAATTGAAAAAAATTTTGTTCAAAGGAAAATTTTACAGGTAAAATACTAATTATTGTAATTTTTTTGATCTAGTTTAATGGAGAGATAAAGTAGAATATTATTTAAACATTTTCACACAGAATAAATTAATTTGATGAATTAATTCTTTATAAAATAACTAAAATCTAAACGAAAACCTTCAATTTATAAACTTTTAAAAAAAAAATCGCCCTCTTAATTAGAACAGAATTTTTTAGTGCTATTTAAATCAGGGGAGTGAGGCGTTTCGTGACATGGTTGAACATAAAATTTCATTACTCCCCCCCTTTAGATTGGAACAAAAATTTTTTGTTCCAATTTAAAGGGGTTAATTTTGTTTTAAAAAATATCAATATAAAATTTTTTATAAAAAAAAAAAATTTTCAAAAACTTATCGAATTAGATCAATAAATTTGTTTAATAAAATGCTATTTACTCCTATCCTTTAAAAAAAAGCAAGATATAACTAAATTTTCATTATTAGTTAATACGCCACTATTAATTGGTATCAAAACTATTTACATAAAAATTATTATTTTTATTGATAAAAAAAAATTAAAAAAACAATTTAGAAAATTTATCGATCAAAGTGCTAATTTTTGTTTAAATAAGATGCTATTTATACTCTATTCTTTAAAATAAAGCAAGAGATAAGTAAATTTTGAAACTTTATAAAGAATTCCTATTGAATTTATATCAAAACTATTTATATAAAAAATTTTTAACAAAAAAAAAATTAATTTTTTTTTAAAATTTAGCAATTTAGGATAATAAAATTTATTTAAATAAGATGCTCTTTATATTCTCTTCTTTAAACAAGAGCAAGATATAACTAAATTTTGAATTTTAGTTAAGAAGAAACATTTAACTTATATCAAAATTTTTTAGATAAAAATTATATATAATTTTTTATTATAAAATTAAATTTTGTTCCAATTTAAAGGGGGGTTAAAATACCAAAAAAGGGGAAATTTTACCAATATTTTGTTCCAATTTAAAGGAGGGGGAGTTAGAAGAATTGGCAAGAAATTTGGAAACTGATCTAGAACTAGGCTTATCAGAAGACAAAGCTCGCAACAAGATCAAAGTCTATGGTGAAAATAAGCTCACTGAAAAGAAAGGAATGCCTTGATGACTGCATTTTATTAAATGCTTGACAGGATTTTTCTCATTATTGCTATGGGCAGGCGCCATTTTATGCTTTATTGTTTATGGAATCAGTCAAGCTGACCCGTCCAATCTTTACCTTGCTATCGCACTTGTAGTTGTTGTTCTAGTAACTGGCATTTTTGGCTTTTACCAAGAAGCCAAGTCAGCTGCCATTATGGCAGGGTTTAAAAATATGATTCCTCCTAAGTGCTTGGCTATTAGAAATGGAACCCAACGAGAAATGGAAGCCTCCAAGCTTGTCCCTGGAGACATTGTATACGTAAAGCAAGGCAATAAAATCCCAGCTGATATAAGGATTTTGCATTCAAATAACATGAAAGTTGATAATTCCTCTTTGACTGGAGAAAGCGAGCCGCTGCAGAGGACTGAGAATTGCACAAACGAAAAAAATCCATTAGAAACTGAAAATTTGGCATTTTTCGGTACTATGTGCAGCTCTGGGGAAGGAAAAGGGATAGTTATCAGTACAGGCGATAAAACAGTTATGGGTAGAATTGCGAAGCTAGCATTTTCTACAAAAACTGAACAAACTACTCTCGGAAGAGAAATCGAATTCTTCGTAAAAGTCCTCAGCGCTATATCACTTTCTATGGGAGTCATTTTCTTTTTCTTAGGTTTCAGCTTTGGATACGACACTGTTACAAATATTATTAATGCGATTGGAGTTATCGTTGCTAACGTCCCCGAAGGACTTTTGGCTGAAGTCACTGTTGCGCTTGCTCTTACTGCAAAAAGAATGGCTGAAAGAAATGTTCTTGTAAAAAACCTTGAGTGCGTCGAAACTTTAGGCTCAGTATCTTGCATTTGTTCTGATAAAACAGGGACATTAACGGAAAACAAAATGAGAGTTGTAAGTGTGTGGTATGATGATTCAATAAGAGAGGTAAATAATTATGAAGATAAAAGCACCGTTTCTTCACTTGGATATAAAATTGATGACCAAAGCTTTTTGATGCTTCTCAGGTGTGCTGTTCTTAACAGCAAAGCTCAATTTTCTTCAGAACCACCTGAAGAGGAGCTTAGTGATAAGCAAGGAAACCCTCTTCCTGAAAGCGAAATTGAAAATATAAAGCAAAAGTTTAGAGAGGATCTTGTCAAAAAGTCAATACAGCTCTGGCCAACTTTTGGAGGAGATGCTTCGGAAATTGCACTTATAAAGTTTTTCCACCCTATACATGAATGAGGTAAAAAATGCACTTGCTTTTTAAATCCCCTCCCAAAACCTATAAAATGACTGCAATTCAAATTTTTTATGGTATGAAAAAAGTACTTTTTGAATTTTTTCCAAACAGGGATAAAAAAAAGGTTTTTAAAACAGTAAGCAGAGTAAAAAAGTACATATAAAAATAAACATTATATATATATGATAAGAAATAACAAGTAATATAGCTCATGCACCTTAATAGATCTCTATACCCCAGAAGAGCACTGACCAGAAAAAATATGGTACAGGGCACCTGTCTTATTCGGTATAAGTCTGATTAGGTACCTTAAAACCATAAACGGAGACTTGTCATTTTCGTTTTTTACTTTTCAAAAAAGCTGACAAGTACAAATTAATTTTGGAAATTAAAATGGATGGCCAATAATGATCTAAATAATTTCAGGGGCTATATGGCCTAAATGAATGTGAGAATGGCATTACATACAATTATAAATTTTGTCTTTTTCATAGACAAAAAAGGAGTGAAAAAGCACTAATAAAATTTCTAATTGTGCAAATTCTGTAGGAAAAGCATAAAGGAAAAAAATCAGAGGAAAAAACACCATCGATTTTTATATACAAATTATTTATCGATCTGCTTTTGCAGTTTTAAAGCATCGTTTCTTTTTTTCCCTTTTGGAGAAATTCAAAAAGTGCTTTTTCTACCAAGAATCATTTTTGAAATTATAGTCATTTTATAGGCTTTGGGAGGGAATTTAAAAGGTACAGTACACTTTTTTAACCTCACTCCCTATACAAAATGTAGCAGAAACTAGGCAAGCCTATCCGATACTGATAAGAGATGGGATTAAAGGTGAAATTCCATTTAACTCAGCTAACAAATATGCTGTAACTATTCATGAGCCGACTGATTGGAATCCAGATAATCATAAAAAAGACTGCATTTTATTCATGAAAGGAGCTCCTGAGCAGCTCTGGGAAAGATGCACCACTATTCTTAATAAAGGAGTTGCAACCCCAATCACAGAAGAAGTCAAATCCAGATTTGCAAAAGCGAACAAGCACTTTGGAAGCAGAGGACAAAGAGTTCTTGGATTTGCGTATCAGTGGCTGGATCATAAGGATTATCCAAGAAACTATGTTTTTGATCCAAATAAAGAAGATGGTCCAAATTTCCCACTCACTGGGCTTACATTTATTGGATTGACTGCACTTATGGATCCTCCAAGGAAAAAGGTAAAAGAAGCTGTCAACTCTGCCCATGAAGCAGGAATCAAAGTAATTATGGTCACTGGAGACCAGCCATTGACAGCTGCAGCTATTGCGAGGCAGGTTAACATCATTACTCAGCCAAAGACAGTCAATGACTTTGTAGAAGAAGGTGTGGACTGGGATAAAGCCATGGAATTGAGTGACGCTATAGTGATCCATGGCGACATGCTCACTAAAGCCCACGCAGAAGACGCTGAACTTCCATTCAGAGAGCAAAGAATTGCAAAATGGCTAAGCAAATCAGAAATTGTGTTTGCAAGGACTTCTCCTGCTCAGAAATATATGATTGTTGACGCTAACCAAAAACTTAAGCACATAGTTGCTGTAACTGGAGATGGTGTAAACGACAGCCCAGCCATTAAAAAGGCTGATATTGGAATTGCTATGGGGATTGTTGGCAGTGATGCAGCTAAAGATGCTGCTGATATGCTTCTGATTGACGATAACTTTGCATCTATAATCCAAGGGGTAGAGCAAGGGAGAGTCATTTTCGATAATCTTAAGCGAACAATTGCCTATGTCTTAGCTTCCAACCCACCTGAAATTGTACCTTTTTTGGCAGCTGTCATTTTCCAAATACCTTTACCTTTGACCACCATTTTAATGCTGGCGGTTTGTATAGGAACAGATGTGATTCCTGCAGTTTCTCTCGCATATGAAGAAGCTGAGCTTGATATTATGAAAAGAAAGCCTAGAAATGCAGAAACAGACCATTTAATGTCGCTTCAGCTTCTCTTCTTTGCATATATGCAATCTGGGATGATAATTGCAGTTGCTGGCATGATGGAATATTTAGTCATAATGTATGATTTTGGATTCAAGCCACAGGTTCTATGGTTTTGGTATATATCAACGTCTGGTACTAAACCTGGTAAGAATGATGTATATGATCCTGATATTCCATCAAAGGGAAATTCTCATATTGGCGATTCAGATTATGAAGGAACTGCAGTTAACTATTTAACGAATGAGGATGGAGTCTATGACTTAAGAATATGGTTTCACAATTATGGTCATGATAGCTGGTCTGACTGTAAGTATCCAGGCTGGACCTCACCTATCACCAATCATGAAATTTGCTATACAAGTGAAGCACTGCACTATGCCCAATGTGGATGGTTTATAGGACTTGTCTGTGCTCAATACGCAAACATTCAGATTGTAAGGACTAGACAGCATTAACATTAATTAAAGATTAAGGCTCTCTTCCTCATTTTAGGTCTCACACATGACGAGTTATGAACCTCCTTGAGTATGCCAGGATTTCCACCAGAGATAGCCCCCCTCCGGCTTTTGGAATAGTTTTTAATACTGTCTCGTAACTTGAAGTATGCAGGTTTGGGACTTGATAGCTGCTGCTGCTTGAATACTAAAGTTCTAGCTAGGGATAAACTCCCTAGCTAGTATCGGTACCAATTATGCCTTCGTTGTCGACACTAGTGGCCTGTAAGGGTAAAAAGCCTTTCTCAAATTTCCATCGGGAAGATACAAAGTCTTCATAACTGGACGAGGGAGGCAAAACCCAACTGGAACACAAATGCCCAGTAATCGTAGACTCAGCTTCCTGCTTGGTTTGGTTTCTGGCCATAGCAAGGTCCTCAAACTCGAAACAGGTCCTGGAGAGGACGGATGTAAGGACTAGAGAAAAAAGTATCATAGATAGAGGGTTTTCTAACTGGGTTTTAAATTGTGCGGTAGCTTTTGAAACTTTATTTGCCTTGCTAATTTGCTATGCGCCTGGACTAAATGAGGCACTAGGAGGAAGACCCTTATTAACATTGCATTATGGATTCCCTGCAGTGCCTGGATTTATTCTTCTCGTTTTATATGATGAAGCAAGAAAGTTTTTGATGAGAAAAGAAATGAAAAGACATAAAGGCACTGGAACTAAAGGCTGGATTGAAGATAATACCTATTATTAATAAACTTGAATTTTTAGTTATATGTAAATAATATTGACTCATTTCTTTAATTGTCTCTAATTTAATATCAATTGCCAAAGATGGAATATCAACCATTTATTCAGACCTAATCTATTAAATTTTTATGTCCCGGTCAATCAGAAGAACTAGCTCTTCATTTATCATTGGATTCCAGCAGATAAAAGACCAGCTAAAACTCAAAGAAGAAGCAGAAAAATACGTTAAAGCTGAAGAGGCTAAAAAGTACCCAGAAAAAGCAGTGCCTTCTGGCAAAGGTCGAGATAAGACAGAAGAAGCCATAAAGCACTCAGAAGAATTCCGGGCAATGACAGAGCATAAAATTACGTTAGATGAGCTTGCAAATAACCTTGAGACAGACTTTCAAAATGGTCTGACAGAAGAAAAAGCCCATCTAAAACTTGGTGTTTCTGGTGAAAACAAGCTTTCCGAGAAGCAAGGACTGCCTTGATATATAAGATTTCTTAAACAATTGACTGGATTTTTTTCATTGCTTCTGTGAGCTGGAGCCATTCTATGCTTCATTGCCTATGCAATTAGTGGATCTGACCCGTCAAATATATACTTAGGTCTTGCTTTAATAGTCACAGTACTAGCAACTGGGATATTTAGTTATTATCAAGAAGAAAAATCAGCTGCAATTATGGCAGGTTTTAAAAATATGATTCCTCCCAAATGTACTGTGATTAGAAACGGCACGAAAAAAGAAATAGAGTCTGCGAAGATTGTACCAGGAGATATTGTAGCTGTAAAGCAAGGTGGAAAAATACCAGGAGACATGAGAATTATTGAGTCAAATAATATGAAGGTCGATAACTCGACACTTACAGGAGAAAGTGAGCCTTTGTCTAGATCAGAAAAGTGTACAAATGAAAAAAATCCACTTGAAACTGAAAATTTAGCATTCTTCGGAACTATGTGCAGCTCTGGTGAAGGTAAAGGTGTCATCATTTTCACTGGAGATCGCACAGTTATGGGGAGAATTGCTGGGCTAGCTATAACAACAGAAGCAGAACAAACAACACTTAACAAAGAAATCACGAGATTTATAAAAATTATAAGCGTTGTTGCCATTATTTTAGGGGCTGTTTTCTTTGGGCTAGGATTTGCCCTTAAATATGCTGTAGTTGCCAATATTATTAATACAATAGGGATCATTGTCGCAAATGTCCCTGAAGGTCTGTTAGCAGAGGTCACGGTAGCCCTTTCGCTGACAGCCAAAAGAATGGCTGAAAAAAATGTCCTTGTTAAAAACCTTGAAGCTGTAGAAACCCTTGGAGCCACCACTTGTGTGTGCTCAGATAAAACAGGGACTTTAACAGAAAATAAAATGAGAGTTGTCAGCTTGTGATATGATAAAAAAATAAGGGATGTTGCTAACTATGAAGACAAAAATAAGGAGCTTGGGTATGATGTGGAGAATCAGACATTTATTATGATGATGAGATGCGCAATTCTTAATAGCAAAGCTCAATTTAATTTTGAAGTCCCTGATATTATGTTGATGGATAAAAAAGGAAATTTTTTCCCTAAAGAAGAGGCTCAGAAAATCAAGGATAAATATAAAAAAGATCTATTAGGAAAATCAGTAGAATTATGGCCAACAATAGGTGGAGATGCTTCAGAAATCGCTTTAATTAAATTTTTTAACCCCATTGAAAATATTTCCCAGTTACGAGAAAAATATCCAGTTCTAGTAAGGAGTGGAGTCAAAGCTGAAATTACTTTTAATTCAGCCAATAAATATGCAGTCACTCTACATGAGCCTACAGACTGAAACCCAAGCGAGCATAAAAAAGACTGCATTTTATTCATGAAAGGAGCTCCTGAGCAGCTGTGAGAAAGATGCAGCACAGTTTTTATAAATGGAAAGGCTCTTCCATTATCCGAAGAATGGAGAAAAGAGTTTGATACAGCCAACAAGGCTTTTGGAAGCAGAGGGCAACGAGTGCTAGGATTTGCATTTTTATGGCTAAAAGACTCAGAATATGCTAGTGATTTTGTGTTTGAACCTCATCAGGAAGGGGGGCCTAATTTCCCACTCAATGGACTAACTTTTATAGGATTGGCTGTACTAATGGACCCTCCAAGAAAAAAAGTAAAAGAAGCTGTCAACTCTGCCCATGAGGCTGGGATTAAAGTTATTATGGTCACTGGAGATCAGCCATTGACAGCTGCTGCTATTGCCAGGCAGGTCGGCATCATTACTCAGCCAAAGACAGTCAACGATCTTGTAGATGAAGGAATTGAATGAGATAAAGCGCTTGAATTAAGTGATGCTATTGTAATCCACGGAGACATGCTTACCAAAGCACACATTGAAGATTCTGGGCTGCCTTTTGGAGAGCAAAGAATCGCAAAATGGCTAAGCAAGAAAGAAATTGTGTTTGCCAGAACATCTCCTGCACAAAAATATATGATTGTAGACGCTAATCAACAGCTTAAGCATATAGTTGCAGTTACTGGAGATGGCGTAAATGACAGCCCAGCCATCAAAAAAGCTGACATTGGGATCGCGATGGGAATAGTTGGAAGTGATGTCGCCAAAGATGCAGCTGATATGCTCCTTATAGACGATAATTTCGCTTCAATAATCCAAGGTGTTGAGCAAGGGAGAGTAATTTTCGACAATCTTAAGCGAACAATTGCCTATGTCCTCGCTTCAAATATCCCAGAAATTCTTCCATTTCTTGCATTTGTGATATTTCAAATTCCGCTTCCTCTGACCACAATTTTAATGCTTGCAATTGACTTAGGAACTGACATGGTCCCTGCTGTAGCTCTTGCTTATGAAAAGCCTGAACTTGATGTTATGAAAAGAAAGCCTAGAAATGCAGAAAAAGATCATTTAATGACCTATCAGCTTTTATTCTTCGCATATACACAGACAGGCATGATAGAGGCTTGTGCAGGATTTATGGCTTATTTTACAACTTTATATCAGTTTGGGTTTAAGCCACAAACTTTGTGATATTTTGCGCTAGCAGATACAGGGACAAAACCAAGCAGCAGTGATATTTATGACCCGAATACTCAATATAAAGGGAATACACATATAGGGATATCAAAATATGAGGGAAAAAAAGTTGATTATATAACCAATAGTGATGGGAAATATGACTTAAGGATATGATTTTATAATTATTCAGAAAGTGATTGGGCTGAATGCCAGTATTCAGGACTGAAATCTCCTATCACAGACCATAAGATTTGCTACACGAGTGAGGCTGTGCACTACGCCCAATGTGCATTTTTTATTGGAATTGTATGTGTGCAGTGAGCAAATATTCATATTGTAAGAACTAAGGTAACGAGCTTAATTGATCAGGGGCTAGATAATTGATTTGTTAATGCAGGTATGGTTTTTGAAACTTTTATAGCACTATTAATATGCTACGTGCCTGGTTTAAACTCAGCATTGGGTGGAAGACCTTTGCCATCATTACTATGGGGCTTTCCTGCAGTGCCATTTTTTATATTACTGATACTTTATGATGAAACAAGAAAATTCCTGCTCAGACAAGAAAGAAAAAGACACCCTGGTCGAAAAGGATGGATAGAAAAGAACACCTTTTATTAAAAAATTAATAAATTCTCTATTAAATTAGAGAAATTTGTATATTTATCTAGCCTAAATTAGTACCAATATTTCAGTATTTATAATATAATGTCTGAAGAAGATGGATTCAGTGGAATCGATGAAAAGCTAAAAGATTTAACTTGGCACAAAATGACCCCTGAAGAGCTATCTTGGGGCCTTGAAACTGACTTAAATGAAGGCTTAACCCAAGAAAAAGCACTTAAAAAGCTAAAAATCTTTGGTGAAAATTGTCTATATGACAGAGATGACTCTTTTAAAAGAATTTTCAAGCACGTATTATCCCCTCTAACAATATTCATATACATAGCAGCAATTTTTTCTTACTTTGCTTATCGTAAAGGATATGTTAGCTATATACTCTACAGCGTTTTGCCTATAATCGCAATTATCATCTCTACCATCACCTTAGTAAGAAATGAGCAATCAAGGTCAGACCTAAAATCTGCTGACGTAAAAATTCCTCAAAAGTGTGCAGTTATAAGGAATGCAAGAGACATGGCAATATCAAGATACGAACTAGTTCCTGGAGATATTGTAAAATTTAGAAGTGGGGACACAATTCCTGCTGACTTAAGGATTTTGAGTGCAAATGATTTAAAAGTTGACATTGAATGCTTCACTGATTGTGAAACAATACTGCCAAGATCAGAAAAGTGCACAAGCCAGAATTTTTTGCAGTCTGAAAATATTGTGTATTTTGGATCTCTGTGTGCGATGGGGATGGGGAAAGGAGTTGTGGTAGGAACAGGAAAGAATACGCTACTGTTTAGACTGGTGCAGGTTTAATCTTAAATTAATAGTTAGTTATGAAGGTAAATTTGATTTATAAAAAGTGAGTTAAATATTAATTGTATGATTTGAATCAAGCTTTAAGTTGTAATTGGAATAGTATATCTTCTTAGTACTTCAATATATTGAACTTTGATTATTTTCATGCAGAAAATAGAGAATTCTTATTAGTGGAGAGGGTTTATTCCCAAAAACTGGAAATTATGCCAATATTTTGTTTAAATTAAGTGTAGAAGTGGTGAGAGAATAGCAAATTTTAAAAAAATCAATCTGTTCTTCAAAAATTGATAGCTCGTTTATTTTCTGACTATTAAAATGAGAGATCTGTTTTAGTTTCCAATTGAGGCACCTTTTCAATATGATTTTAATGCACTCACCAAGACCTGCAGCATCATATAATCTAGCTCATTCCCAAAACTATTGACACTGGCAGAGCTTTGGAGGCATTTTTATTAATAATTTTAATTTTCAAATATTCTAAAGCTATAAAACTTAAAGTTTTCTTTATTTGTCTTTTTATAAATCCATTGCATATTTTAAAATAAATGAGAACTTTCATGTGTAATTCCTTATTGCCAATGCCATAGATAAGTTAAATATTATGGTTCATAAAAGCAAATGACATCACATATATTAAACTTATAAAAATGGAAAGACTTCAGATATTGAATAGGCACTTAAGCCCTAAAGTAACATTCGAAGACTTTCCCAATGCTCGCATTCTTACCTTAAATAGACCAAAAAGCTTAAATTCTTTGGATTATGAAATGCTCCAAACAATCTCGCTATTAGTTGACCAAACACCAAATAAGCATTTTGTAATTCAAGGGAGCATTCCTAAGAGTTTTTCAGCAGGCGGAGATGTTGTGGCTACAATTGAAAACCCAAGAATGGTTCCAGAGTTTTATAGGACTGAGCTTTCTACCATATATCAAATCTATAAACAATCAACTGAAACTCTTGCGATTTTGCGTGGATTTGCTATTGGGGCAGGAAATGGCGTAGCAATGGCATGCAAATATCGAATTAGTACTGAAACAACCCGTTTTTCAATGCCAGAAAATTCAATTGGCCTAGTTCCTGACGTAGGAGCCTCATACTTTTTAACTCATCTTCCTAGCAAAGCATTAGGATTATACCTAATGCTAACTGGAAAAGTCTTAAGTGGCAACGATTTATACTGGACAGGTATCGCTACCCACTACGTTCCAGAAGCAAGCATCCCAAATTTTCTCAATGATATTAAGTCCTCCAACAGCCTTCTCGAAGTTTTGAACAAATATCACCAGCTGCCTACAAGAGAAGATTCTAATCTTATTAAAAATTTGCATGAGATTGAACAAGTCTTTGGAGATGTGAACACTCTCGAAGAAGTTTTAATGAAACTGAGCTCAAATCCTACGCCATTCAAAGAGCAAACTTTTGCAGCTATATGCAAATTATGCCCACTTTCAGTAAAAGTGGCATTCAAGTCGTTTAAACTTGGGCTTAGTAAGAATTTTAAAGAAGCTTTGGAGCATGATTATAATATAGAAGTGCAGCTCTGCTATAGGAGAAGTTATAATTATACAACAGCCATCACGAAAAAATTTGTAGAGAAAGTAAAGGAAGAAATCAAATGGTACCCAGAGCACATCAACCAAGTCACAGATGAAATGGTGGATACCATCATTCGAAACCCTGAAGGTCCGTTTTTGCATCTCCAATAAATATTTTAAAAAAGCATTTTATTATTTAAAAATGGATGTTATAGAAGACATTTCAAAATCTCTTGAAATTGTTGACACCCTATTGGAATTATTGCCGCCATTCCAAGCGCGACTCCTTTCCTCCTGTGTCCCATTATCGATATCTTCATTAAACTTGATTAAATCAAAATTAACTGCCCTAAAAGACCTTGAAGATTTTACCGAGCTGAATCTGATTTTTCTCAAAGGCCTTATCGAGAAGCTTCTGTTTTATTTAAACGAACTATTAAAAATGATCACAAACTGGGCTAAATCTTTTGAGGAAGAAGAAGACGAAGATTTATTAATTTTTACCTCAAAATTTGACTCATTTTCTGACATTTTAGACACAATACCTTATGTTTCTAAAAATGATCTCATTAGTCTTGAAAAAACTGACCCCAGATGGACTAAACTATCTCCTTACTCATCAATATTTTCTTATTCTAAACCTAAAAAAGTACTAAAACACTATAAAAACTTCATGGTCCAAGTAGCAGTAGCCAATGCTTTTATGGCAGTTGGCCTTGAAGAAAAAAGTTTGATAGAGAAGAAAATTATGGTAGGGATTGGTGCTATGTATTATTCAGTGTTTAAATCCCAGGCTGTCCGAAGAACTAAAATATTTATAGCAAACCCAAGAATTGACGTCGCACAAAATTTGTGAAATTTAGTTGACTCATGGATGGTCTCCCACCTAATGAACTTAATGATGCCAAGTGTAAAAATCAATAAAGTCATGTATATTCCACGCACAGTTTCCCATGTCCTAAGCCAAGAAAACTATTCTTTAAATGTGAATCAATGTTTTAAAGAAAATAGTGAAGAGGATTTGGTCATGACGAGATTTATATGTAGCTTTGATCCTGTCAGCAAAGAGAAAGTGGAAGGTATTTTTTGCTGTGCAGGGAGAAGAGATAAAACAGATAGGAAAAGCCATCATTATCAGTTGGTATTTCATATACATGGGGGCGGCTTTGTAAGCATGTCGTCAGCTTCTCATCAAGTTTATACAAGAAAATGAGCCAAACAGCTAGGAATACCTGTATTTTCTATAGACTATAGACTGGCGCCAAAGAACCCTTATCCAGATGCATTGGATGATGTGTGGCAGGCTTATAATTGGGTCATAAACAATGCTAAAGATCAATTAGGAATAAACCCAGCACAAATTATTCTGGCTGGTGACTCAGCAGGAGGAAATCTTGCACTTGCCCTAACATATAAATGCATTCTTTCAAACTTTCGAATCCCTGATGGACTTCTCTTAGGCTATCCTGCTTTAAATTTAAGCAAAAAACATTATACTCCTTCAATGCTTTTTTCTCTTGAGGATTTCTTAGTCCCCCACACCTTCCTCAAGCTAGTTAGGAGTTATTATACTGCAGATCCTTCCTTGGACCTAGAAAATGATATTTTTATATCACCAATTGCAGCTTCTCCAGACATCCTTCAGCATCTCCCGCCCATAAGAATTCTTGTCGGGCAAAATGATCCGTTCCATGATGATTGCTATAGATTTACCGAAAAATTGATTGATGCAGGAAGAGATGTGAAACTAAAAGAATACGAAGGAACGCCACATGGAGCTTTTAGCTTCTGCTTTGTAGGCGGAGTGAAAGAAAGCTATGATGTTTTACATCAGTCGATTGAATGACTCAGGGAATTATTTTTAATTAGAAAAGAGTAATTAAAGAGGATTTAAGCTTAATGTGTTAATATTATCTAACAAACGATTAAAGCATGCCTATAGTATGCTCAAACTCACTCCCCCTCCGTGAGCAAACAAAAATGTTGGAAAAAAATTACTTTTTTTTTGGTAATAAGCCGTTCTTCATTAGCGAAAAAATATTTTTTATTAAAAAATATTTTGATATGTATATGATAATCTTTATAATGAAATCTCTAACTAATTCTGTTGAATTTTAAAGCATCTAAATTTATAGCTTATTTTATATAAATTAAATTTATTTTTACTTTCCAATTGGTTTGAAATTATATATATATTTTTTTAAAAAATCAACAAAATATTTTTGTTCGATCATGGAGGAGGAGTCAGGATGAATTTTCCGGAAACAGATGTCACATCTTTCTTTGAGTGTCCTTGCTGATTGAGTTTCACTTTTTTTATGCTTTTTGGCAGATGCTGCATGAACTGGCGGCCTCTCTTTTTTAGCCTCGTTTTTCAAATCAGGAGTTTTATTTATTGAATCATCGGAGTTTTCAGTTAAAAATCTTTTTTCATTTTTGGTGATTGCAATTGTTTTGCATTTTTGCATTTTTTTTTCAGTCAACTTTAGCTTGCTTTCAATCTGCTCCACAATCCCTGCATTATGAGCGATTTGGTCTTCAATCACCTTTTTTAAATCAGAACTTGATTTTTTTTTCTCTTTTGAATGAACAACTGGATTAGCCCTTCTTTCCATGCTGCTCTTCCTTATTACATTTTCAATAGATTTATTATTGGCCTTGAGGTTTTCTTCTATATTTGAATATCTCTTATGGAGTCTTAAATTGTCTTCTCTTTTGGGTTCCTGCAATTTTTCTTCATCAAGCAAAATTCTGTTTTGGCGTTTGATATCTCCGAGTTCTTTATTAAGCTTTTTGAAGTAAGACTGGTATTCAGTTTGGAGTTTTGAAATATATTCTTTTGCTCCGTTCAATTCATTTTGAAGTCTTTCACATTCACTGTTGGATTTTATTTTATTTTTAAGCTCTTCAAGTGACTCTTGGGCTTGTTTTCGTAAATCTCTTTCTAGCTCAAGTGACCTGGTTAATCTCAAAATTTCTTGAGACTGGCTTTCTTTTTCTTTTAATGTAGCTTCATTCACTTGTGCTTCAAATGAAGTGTTTAGTGATTTTATTTTTTCTTTCAATTCTGATATGACTGCTTGGTTTTGTGATAATTCATTTTTCAATTTATTTATGATCCCATCCTTCTCATCAAATACAGACTTTAGTCTTTTTTCCCCATTTTCTATTTCTACCCTATATATTTCTCTCTCAGATAATATTTCTTTATTGAGAATCTCTATTTCATGAGTTAATTTTTCAATTTCTCCTGAAGACTTTGCTTCTTTAGTTTTAAGTTCCTTATACTGCAGTTCAATTTCTTGGCGCACATTTTCTTCTTGGCGAAGTTTTTCACTCAGAGAATTAATCTTTATAATGGCCTCTTCATCAGGCTTTGGGCTTTCTCCTTTTGTGCTGAGAACTTCCTGCTCCATTCCAATGTCGGAGATCTGCAAAAAGGATGATGATTTTTCTGAGCTTCGATGCTCTGGGACGATATCTGGACGCTTAAATAATCCTTTATGAGACAGGCATTCCCGAAGTCTTAGTTCTAGTGCTTGTTTCCTTTCTTTATTTTTTTGGGTGAGTTGAAGACTTTCTTTCATTTTAAGAGGTTATTGAGTATTATCAAATTTTTATTTCTCTCATACGCACTTTTGCTGGCTTAATTTTTAATTATTCCTCTAATAGAAAATTTTCTATTGAATCTATGAAGTTGCTGATTTAATAACAGAAATCTCATGAGATATCTTAAAATATTAAAATGGGTGATGAACTCATACGTATGGAAAGGGGAGAATTAAGATCAATTCAAAAGGAGTTTGAACTTGACAAATACCTCCTAAAAATAGAATCACTAATAAACGATCTATTTTGAGATAGATGATACAGACAACTAACTAAAGCTTTTTGGCACATCAGAGATTTCTCATACGAAGGTCTTCCAGTTGCCTTGCTTTCATGTGATATGGAAGCAAGAGGGCACGACAAACTAATTGAGTATATCACTTCTTTCAGTTCTAACTCTGAATGCAAAATACTCATATTCCAATCTTACTCAAAAACAACCAAAAAGAAAAATGCTTTAAAAGAAGTGACAAACTTAATAAATAGTGAGTTTAGCTACGCTGCGATTTATTCATTTTTTTTGATGAATAGTTTTAAATTTTATTATTAAAAGCTAGTTAAAACCACTTATTTATAGATTTATACATAGAAAGCTATGAAGAATGAGACGAGTCGCTTGTGTCCGATCTATTTGAAATAGTCCTAGAAAAGAAAAACACAAAACATATAGGATTCATAGTCGACATTTCAACTGACCCACGAGAGTTTGTTTCAAACCTCGATATGAATGTGTCACAATGCTTATTCATTGAAGAATACAGACTTGGCGCCTTTTCAGCAGTTTCAAAAGAAATACTTTATGAACTTATAAGCACCTATTACCTTCCACTTCCTGATAGAGAGCTTTTCACTCATTTGCTTTCTACACAAAACGAAGCCTATTTTATCAAAATGATCAAGCAAGCTTTACTGATCCTTCTAAAACAGCACCCTGAATTTAAAGACTCCTTAGAAGCCTTAATGTCAGATCCTGAAGACAGCATCATTCCTGAAATCCAAACTTTTATAGGGATCAAGAAGCACTGGCTTGATTTATTTCAAAAACTTTATCTGCTTTATAGCTGTAGTCCTATTGATTTTGGGATAAATAAAACAGATTTATTTATTGATATTTATTTGGCAGAAAAAATTGACTCAATTAAGTGTGAATATTTAAAAAAAATTAAAATTGATGATTTTCAAGATCTAAATATTTGGTCTGAGTATTTAGCAAATTTAGCTGCAAATGGAGTTATTTCTCAAGCAGAGCATACAATTATACTAGAAAGCTATGAAAAAACTCCAGAGATCAGTGGCAGAAGAGGCAGAAATGCAGCTGATGAGCCTAAATTAGCAAGATGGAGAGAAGCTCATGTTACTTCGACACTTCTGAAAAACACATTTAACCTTTTGAATTATCTTCCATCAGATATCGAGAAGCACATGCCAGATTTTTCGTCACAATTTATATTATCTATGCCTCGTGATATCGATACTAACATTATGAGGGAAAATATTGGAGAACTAAATGTTCCACAAAAAAATAACCTTTGCAGAGGAAACCCTCTAGGCCTCCATGATATGCAAATCCTTTTTTATTTGCTGAAGCCTTGTGAGATTGTGGTTGAATTAAATAATTTATTCAATGCATTTGTTACGCAAATCGCTGGAGAAAATGCAACACCGAAAAAAATATCGATTTTGCAGTAATTTCTAATTAGATCGAGATTTATTTTTGCATGTAATGAATTAAAGATGCTAGGGTTACTTAAATCTACGAAGAAGAAAAGCAAAGCAGGAATGATTTATTTAGAGAAAAACTTTTTTGCAAGATCAACATTATACAATTAACGAATAAAGTTTAAAATTTTAATGAATAAATTGACAGCTTAAGAAAATTAAAGATAAGATTATTTTATGAATAATTTAATTTATGCAGGCAGCAGCTTAAGAAAATTAAAGATAAGATTAGGATTTAACAAGCTATACTAATATTTTACTTATAGAGAAGCTCCCTGTAGGTTCGCAGATATTTTCTCACCTCTGCATAATGCTCCACTACTTGCTTGCTAGTCCGAGCAGGCCTTCTACTGTGTTGCTCCTCACATACGAGGGCTTACATTCGCTACCTGAGACTCAGATACACTGGCAGCCATGTCATGGCTCAATGGGTTGCCTTCTAGTATCACTCTAGGGATTTTTTTCGATTGATCTAATGGACATCCTCTGGCTTCTGGGCGTCCCCTTTCTAACTCCAGCTAGCAATCTCCCCGCAGGGTAAATCCTTGAACGTACGCGAACATGCAGTCGGATAGTCCGACATTGCACACTCACCAAGCCAAAGTTAAACCCAGCCAGATGCATATTCTCGAATGTTTTCCTCCCTTCTGCAAGGTTCTCAGCTTTCCCTACCGGCTACAGATTTTAAGAGGGCAGGTATGTTCGCTACGCAATTTTAATGTTTTTATATTAGTATTATAGCCCGAGCCAAAGGAGCCCCAGGCTATCACAGATCAAGGATAGAAGTTGATTTTTCAAATTTTCGGATGATTTTCAATAGAATTGAGGTGGTTAGCTTGCCATGATTTATTCATAAAATTACTAAATTAATTAATTAAAGCATAGATATCATTTACTAATATAGGCTAACTGAGTAAATATAAAAATATAAAAGAAGCTTCGAGTCTCTGCAAATTTTTTAGAACCATTAGTTCCGAGCCAAATATATTTGTTTTAAATTTAATGATTAGTAATACTTTAAATTTAAACTATGTTTCTTCAAGCATTTAAGACAATACAATTTAATAAAATTTTATCTTTTTCTTAAATAAAGATAATGATTAATAATTCTTATCTTTTAAACGCATTAAGCCTGATATTCTTCCATTTTTGGAGAATAACTAGAAATAAGACATAGCAAATAAAGCAATATTTCAGCACATCCGTTTTAATATTCAACTCACTCCCCCCACATCCGTGAGCGAACAAAAAAATCTTGTTCGCTCACAGAGGAGGGTTAATTATTTATTTTTAAAATTTATATATAAATTTTATAGAATGTTTTTTTTAAATTTAAAAAAAATCTCACTTCTTAAAAATTGGAAAGCAAAAATTAATTTAATTTGTAAAATTTATGTTTTAAAACGTAATTTGCTTAAAATTAAACAGAATTAGTTTGGGATTTCATGATACTAGTTATCACTTATATATAAAAATTTTTGTTCACTCAGGTGGGTGTTTGGGCATAAATAGGGATTTTTTTAATAGTTTTGTTCGCTTAATCAGGGGGAGTCAGAGATAAAATTTTATTTAAATTATCGCAGAATGATGTAGTTTGCCTTCATAATCTAATTTCATCATTGATTTTTCAATTTAATTTTATTTTTGTTGTGCTAGCAATAGACCACACGCTTTAAATAAATTCATATTAATTTCTCTCCGATTCTTCTTTCTCCATTCTTTATCGAATTACACTCCATCATTTATTAAGGGATTAAAAGAATTTTTCGCATAAATTTATTTATTTAAAATGTCTTTAGACATATAATATAATATTCATTAGCGATAAGAGAAAATATATAAAATATATTAGCAAATATTATATAAATGGCAATAGAATTGCTCAGAAGATTATTCTATAATTCCCTCTAGCATTCATTATTATCAAAGATAGTTAAATTTGAGGCAGAAGGGTTTCACTTTTAACCTTAGGATGAGGGTTAATTTTCTAAATTATGAAAAATTTTAATCAATCGTCTGATAAAGGATTGGATGAGTTAATAAAAAATTATTTTGACCTAAAATTTTGAGAACAATAGAACTTGCATATCTTGATGCCAAGCCTCATCAAAAACCTCTATGGATCACTGGGTTTCCTTCTCATTAAGCCTTAATCACATATTTGATGGACCCCATTGATAAATTTGTGAAAGTTGAGTTAAATTTAATAATAAAATGGTTGAAAAAGACACTATGATTTACAGAAACCTCGGAAACTCTGGACTCAAGGTTTCAGCTATTGGCTTTGGAAATTGGCTCACAGGCCACAACATGGAAATAGAAGAGGCCCAATTCCAATGCTTCCAAAAGTCAATTGATGCAGGAATCAATTTCTTCGACACTGCAGAAATTTACGGATCTGGAAATGCTGAAACAGTATTCGGAAACATCCTTAAGAGAGGTGACTGGGACCGTGAAAAGTTAGTCATATCAACCAAGTTTATTAGATGTGGAAACAAGGTCGGGTTGTCTCGCAAAAGGCTGGTTCAGGGCATGAGAAATTCTCTCAAAAGACTTCAACTAGACTATGTCGATGTCATGTTCTTGCACAGGTATGACCAAGAAGTCCCATTAGAAGAAACCATCAGAGCAGTCAATCACTTGATTGAAAAAGGAAAAGCTGACTATTGGGGAACTTCTGAGTTCACAGCTCAAGAAATCCAAGAGTGCCACAAGATCTGCGAGAAATACGGATTCATCGCCCCAGTTGCAGACCAATGCCAATATAACTTAATTGTAAGAGATAAGGTCGAAGTTGAGTTCGTCCCTCTCTATGAGAAATACGGAATGGGGACAACAATTTGGAGTCCTCTAATGGGAGGAATTTTGTCAGGAAAATACAACAACTTGGAGTTCCCTGAAGGAAGCAGACTGGCTGACCCTAGCTTGACCCCAATGATGAAGAAAATCTATGAGGGCTACTTTTTGCCTGAAAACAGAGAAAAGACTGGGAAAATGTTGAATGGTCTTGGAGCAATTGCTGCAGAGTTAGGATGTTCACAATCACAATTGGCACTGGCTTGGTGTGTGAAGAACAACGATGTAAGCACTGCAATTTTCGGAGCAACAAGACCTGCACAAGTTGAAGACAATGTTGGAGCAATTGATCTCTTATCAAGATTGACTCCTGAACTTTTGGCAAGGATTGAAGAGCTTTTTGGAACTAGACCAACCCCTCCTATCAACTGGAGAAACTGGACACCACTGCCTGCAAGAAGATAAATAATTCGTCCTTTGGTTTTAATGCTCTTAAATAGCTAATTCCTCTAATAAATCAAAAAATATAAATTATTGTATTATTTCACTAACTATTTCTATCAAGTTTTCGAACATCGGAAACTCTTTCAAGTATTGCTTCCACTTCAGAGCATGCAGGGCAATTTCTGCTGGGTACATTGCTTCATATTCAATTTCACCATTTGCAGCTTTTTCCACGATTCTTTGATACTCCTTTTCTGCCTTTTCTAGGTCCTTATCAACCCCAATTCCATACTCTAGCATATAAGCTTTGTTAAACTCTGCTTCAGGAATATTCATTGCTTTTTCATAAAATTTATAAGCCTCTTCATAGTTCGGCACAATATTTTGGCTTCCATAATAGCTTAAATCACCTAACCGATAAAATGCCCAGGGTGATTGATGCATTTGTGCAGCCTGAGTATAATAACTGGCTGCACAATAAGTTTTGTCATATTTACAGTGTAGAGGAACTAGATCCTTTTCCCACATATAGCCTAAGCTCAACTGGGCATTTTCAAATCCTAAAGCAGCTCCTAACATATATGTAAGATAAGCTCCTTCGATGTCTCCAGACTTATAAAAGGTATAAGCGCGAAGAATTATTTGAGCAAGTTCACCTTTTTCTCTGACTTTCTGGAATAGTTCTAAAGCAAGTTGGCAATTTCTTTGAACGCCCAGGCCTTTGAAATACATAACACCTAGATTGAATAAAGCAGGAGCATGCCCAAAGCTAGCAGCTGCTTGGAAATATTGCCCAGCAGTTATATAGTCTTTTTTGACTCCTTCTCCATTCATATAAAGCACTCCAATGCTATTCAAGCTATCTAAATTTCCTAGCTTCGCAGCGCTTTCGAAATATTCCAAGGCTTTTTTGATGTCTTTTTCAACCCCATTTCCAGTCAAATGCATCATTCCCAATGTATGCAGTGCCTGTGAAGATCCAAGAGAAATTGCTTTTTCCAGATATTCAATAGCTTTTTGTGTATCTTTTTTCACCTTATTTCCTTGAGAATAAACCATGCCTAGATTTTCTAAAGCTTGCACATTATTTTGTTCAGCAGCTTTTTCATAATAATGAATAGCCTGATCGATATTCCTTTCAATCCCAATTTGAGGATTTCCATATAGGAAATGGTTTCCTAAGGATGCATAGCCTTGATAATTGTTTGATTCATCATACCTTTTGTTAGCCAGCATCAAAGCTCTTTCTGTGTCTTTTCCAAATATATTTTGCTCTTCTTTGTCAAGTCTACCTATAGTTCTTTCTTCTATGTAATTTTTATCAATATAGGATAAAGTCTCACTGGCAACGGCTAGAGCGTAGTTTCCAATTTCTTCACATGAACCTCCACATCGGCGATCATTGAAAATTGGGGAGGAATAAAAAGGAAAGGTTATATTTTCTTTGAGAAATGAAGGGGCTGAAGTTTGTCGGGAATTTAAACATTGCTTGTGAGAAGCTGCTAGAGCTGCACGGACTAAGTGAGAGCCTCTTTCTAAACCCTTGAGGTAAAGGCTTGTGATTACATTGCGGATATCAACTGTCTCAGGGAGGTATTTATCAAAGTCTTCGACGAGTAAAGTTTGCTGAAGTAAAAAAGCTAGGAAAAAGGCTGAATCTGCACTGCCTTTTTGGTTTGCTTTTTTGAAGTATGAAATCGCCTTTTTTAAATCTCGCTTGAAGTACCCTGACTCGTTTAATATGGTAGGTGAAATGCATGCATTAAAATGGTTTTGCGAATCAACCACCCACTTAGTACTTGTAGCTGGGGTGACACAGGGACCTTGAGGAAATGAGGATGCGTTAGGTGATGTGTGTACGGCCAGATTTTACTTAGCTTGGTGGAGAGCAATATCAGATTAGCCTGACCGCAGGTCAAGGTTTACCTCATGGGAAGATGGGGCACGGTGTTGGAAAGAGAAGCCAAACACCAGTAAGGTTCCTCCTGGTCAATTGGGATATCTTCATAGCACTATACCAGGCGTTGCTTCCTGGGCTACGAATTTCCATTTTGGCCTAGCAGGCGATTGGAAAACTCGATTTTTCAGTTTTCTGGACGCTGAACTCGTTGACATTTGGCATGGTAACCCAGTGTCCCTGACTCACGATGCAAACCCTAGTCCGTGAGGAGCGACATAGTGAGAGGCTGTGCTCAGACTGGGCAACAAATGGTAGAGTGAAAGAAGGAGGTGAATTAGGCCCACGGCATACTTGCAAGATTTTCTATAATCTTAATTAAGTTAAGTTAATTAGGTGAGATGGCAGGGTTATCAGAAGATATAGGATACCCGAATAGTCATATTTCACCTAATTTTGTCATGGCATCAACATTATTGCTCTCAGCAGATTTCTCGAGAAGCTCAAGCACATAGGTCAAGTTGGTAGATTGAGAAGAATAATTCTCAAGGATGCCAGTAGCTGTTTCATAGAAGGTATCCGTGTATCCTACTGTTCGTGGAATTTCTATATTCCAGCTATAAGTGCCTAAAATTAAAGCTAACTCCCCCCAATGAGCTGCCAAAAAAATTTCGCTCACAAAGGGGGTTAATTTTTTTTTAAAAAAAATTTATTTATAAATTTTGTAGTAAAATTATCAAAAAAAGATTCCAATTTGTAAAATTAATTAATTTGGAAGACTTATTTTTTAAAATGCAGGCTGTTCAAAATCAAGCAGAGTTAGCTGGAGATTTTATTATAACAATTATCACTTATGTATCGAAGCTTTTTTGTTCAAAAAAAATTTACGGAGGGGCAAGTAAGCAAAAAAGAACACGCGTCATTTTTATATATTAATTAGAATATGATTTAATATGGAAAAAAATCCCAAAAAAAATTAATAAGACGGGATATAGTTTTTTATTTACAGCATATTAAATTCTTAAAAAAGATGATCTTTTACTTGAATCTGGAGATCTTACTTCCCCCCCCCTCCTTGAGCGAACAAAAAATTGAGTTCGATCAAAGGGGGGGTTAATTTTTGTTTTTGAAATTTAAAAAAAAATTCCAATTGAAAATGAAAGCTGTTAAAAATTAAGGAATCAGCAAGAGATCTCATTATATAATTATCACTTATATATGAAAATATTTGCTTCATAAAACATTTTTTTGTTCGCCCACGGAGGGTGGTTTTTACGATATTTTTCAATATTTTTTACTCGCTCACAAGTGGATGAGGATTTAGTGCTTTTATTGGGATAATATTTGAAATATTTTGCATTTTAACGAGTCTCTTTCTTTCTCATCTCAAAAATGGGATATAAAACCCAAAATATAGTATGATTGTAACAACAGCATAGATAGCAAGAGTAATGATAATATAGCCTAGTTGTGTCTGTATTTGAGCTTGCGATTCATCATCAGCTAAGGAAATTAGAGTTTCATATTCATTGCTCAAATCAATAGAAGTAAATACAAACTGAAATCATATTGAAAGCAGGTCTAACACACCTATATCTATAGAATAAGAAAGATAATAAGCATCAAAAGCCATCATGTCTCCAGCTGAATAAGCGCCATATGAAAGTATGGGATTTACTCATGGATGGCGCTATTTTGGCCTTGATTTTCCCACCTGGAAAATTTTTTGGTTTGACCAAACCATATGGTACTGGTCTAACCAAAAAATTTCCCAGTGGGAAAATCAAGGCCAAAATAGCGCCATCCACAGGAAATTGCAATACATTATTGCTCGAATTTATTTCTTCATAAAAATTTGATATATAATCAGAAGTTAAAAGTTTAACATAATCATGATCTCTCAGCTGCTTTTTCGAGTAATTTATTTGTGACATTATTTGCTTAAAGTTGATATTCGCATTTTTAAATGCGTAGTTTGATGGAAAATACATAACTAAAGATCTATTTATTAATCCTGCAGAAATTTCACTTGATCAGGCAGCCAATCCTTTATGCAGCAATTGCATATTGATCAATTCCCTTATAAGTTTTGGTCTCAAAGAGAGCAATTCTGTGCAGTTTTCATATAAATAAAGCAAATTGAATAAAAAGAAGAAAAAAGAAATTGCAAAATAGATTAGCACTTTTCAGCTGGATTTCCAGCGCTTTTTGAATTTTGCCTCCTTGCTCATTGAGCTAGTCGCTGAATTAGAATAAATACTCTCAATTTGCCCATGGATACTTGCAAGTCGATCTGAGCATGCTTGTCTTAAATCAAAGTAAAACTCGTATGCTTTTTGCTTGATATAGTTTCAGAAAATATTTTTCATCTTATCAATCGAAAAATAAAACGGAAGCATAGCAACAGTGCATACGCAAAGGACGCCAAATCCCAATCCTGACAGTAAATAAATTTTTGCTGCTAAATCATTTATATTTGATACTTCACAGTCAATCAGTTCATAAAGAGAGCTATTGCAATAGTGAAAAGCATTCCCAAAGCCATTTAGATAAAAAAATTTACCACTCTCGTCAATACTTTGTGAGGACTTAAAGTTTGCAATAAATTCATTTCCATGGTTAATAAACTCTTCCAAGGTATTCATAAGGTTCATCTTCTGCAGATAAATTCCATCATCAGTACTTCAAACATCGAGAAGAGACCCAATAAAAATTTCTTGGCTATTGCATGATCTCCAGTTTGCTAGATTTGATGAGAGTTTTAGATGCATATCTTTAAGAACGTCGAGCTGCAAAACGAATTCTGAAGTAAACCGATTTATTAAGTCCTAAGAGTATTTAATAATTATTTTTACAGCAAAAAATTGAATTAATTCCAATTTTTAATCTTTTGATTTTTTGGTCAGGAAAAAGTCCATAACTTACTTGAAGGCTTCTTGCAAAATAGTCTATAAACAAGAAAGTTTTACCTAATTTCCCCAAAGTCAGAGGAATGCTTAAATCGCTGGCGGAGTTCACTTCTGCTGCTGTGTAAATTAAAACGACCAGATTAGTCACAAGCACAGCCGTCATCTAAATAACGATTACAGAAATAATCAAAGTCCAATTGAAGATCTTAACAGATTTCGCAATTTTATCCATAATTCTCTTAAGTATCCTTTCATGGCTGAAGCTTGCAGAGCTGAGCGAATGTACAATTGATTTTTCATCTTCTCATTTATCAGTAGAGTTTTCTGAGATTTCGATAGTATCGCCTATGCTTGCTTGAGAGACGTCTTCTTGAGCCTTAATGCTGGTATATCGTCTTATTTTGGATTCTTGGATTGATCTGCTTCTCAAAGCTTCTATAGTTTCATCTGAAGTGAAAGAGATATTTACCCTCAAAGGGAGAGGAGAATCTAAATCCATTCTTTTGATTTTCCTTGATTCTTGGATTTCTTCAACTTCTCCATGCTTCCACGACTGTATTTCTATAGGATCATTTATTAATAGCACGTAGCTCAGGTGAGTTGACCCAATAATTCGATAGCAAGAAATTAAATAAGTGTCTTGGCCTTGATTTGTAAGCTTATAAGGTACAAAAGGAAGTAAAATAATCCTACGCAAATCAGGAAAAAGGTTGGTCAGCTTCATGCCTTTCAATTCCGCTATCTTTCTTCCAGTGAATTTTGTGAATTGCATAGAATATGCATAGATCTCTCCGCTGCTGTTAATCAATGCTATTTGATGAGTTGTAGGTCTTTCACGAAAAATGCATACCAGTGTGAGAGAGTGGGAAATTGAAGTAATTGAGACTCTTGCATTGCATTCAACGATATAATTATTAGGCATTTTTATATATATGCTAGTTGGGAGTTCTATTTCTGATCTATTTGACATATGCAAGAAGTCATACATTTGCTTGTTGAAATCTTTATCAAATGGTTCAGGAATATACGATGAAATATCACTTCCTATCAAATTGTCAACGGATTGTTTGAGTATTGCTGCAGCTCTAGAGTTCGCATAATGAATTTTACCTAGTGTTTGTTTATCCCAAGACACTAGAATCACGCCATTATTTTCATCAAAAAAGCTCAGCTTCTTATGGTCTTTTACTGAGCTTGTTAGAACTTTTTCCAATGAGGCTCTTTTATTGTTGAGAAATGACGATCTTTCAGTTTCAAATAAAATATTTTGCAAAAATGTGGAATATAAGACTAAGGCTTCCTTGCTGCGAGGGAAATTAGTGATCAGGTAGAAATACTCAGAATGAAGGAACTCTAAGTTGTTCGAGATCATGTGCAGCATACTGTCAAGTTTTTTTAGGTCTGGATCTAAAGAAACTAGTTCTCTTCAGAATTCTTTCAAAGCCATGCACATGTATTCATCTTCCTTTTTTGCTTTTTGGATTTTATATAAGTAATGCAAAAACTGCGCGTTGTCAGTTAAGCCATGATCTTCGAGAGATTTCTGACAGAGGTAAGATTGGTATGAAGATTCTAAATTAATATTAGACTCTTTTCCTTTGCCAAGCTTCACTTTTGCTAAGGACTCATCGACTAAATTAAAGATACAATAATTTGTTTCCCATATTGCAAGCAGCTTATTTTTGTAGAGTTTTGTGCCTAAATAGCACTTGGCAAAGATTTTTATAATTTTTTCTTTGTCTTCTATATCTTGCTTTATCAGTGTTGCTCTCAATATCATTTCGAGCTGATAAGCAGTTTCTAAAGATTGTAAACTCATTGAAACCTTTCTTCTGCGCTTTTCATATAAATCTCATGTCTCATGAATAATAAAGACACTTGATAAAGGAACAATAATTACTGATAATAAAACAATAGCCATTGCACTATCAATAATTCTTCCAAATAAGAACATAAATGATACCAAAAAAATAATCCAAAATTTTGTTGAGGCAACACAGTTGCTAAATGGTGAAAAATAAGGCAAGTAACGAATGACTTGGACAATCATATAGCTTGAATATATTAATGAGACTACTTGAAAATAAGTTGTGTGCTTAAAAGCAAAAGTCCCATATAAGATAGACATAACAAAGGTATATATAATAGTAATATACTCGATTTTGGAATGCGATCGAGATTCCAATACTTTAGAAGCTACTGAATGCCGAATATCTCCTGAAAATATAGATGTGCATATAATAAAGAAGAATGATAAGATGATCAATGGTACTGCCAAAACTGCTGCCACTACATGATGCTCAATATCTTTTAAAGATACTTTACTGTTGTACTCAGATATAAAATCTTCATTTGTCAATTTATATTTCAAAGCAAATGTAAGAATAATAATTGTTGGTATTAAAAATAAATTTGATCACAAATAAATACTGATTTTAAAAGCCCTAACTTTCCACAATAAAATTTGCTAATAGCGTCTTTATTTTTATTAAAATTTTAATAGAGATTAAAAATATTATGCCTTGGTCCTTTTGGGCACAAGCACACGGATCTTATTGATGGCCAGTTCCTTATTCCAGACTTGGGAATACGAAGCTGGTCATCAGTATGGCCGTGCACTTGTGTCCAAAAAAGGCTTTCAAAATAATTATTATCAGGAAGTAAGTATAATTTTTGGAACTCTAATACAAAAATATATCAAAATTATAAGCATTATAGCGACTAAGATATTTGCCAGAATTATTACAATTGAAATATAAGTGCAAGCATCCATTATATCTAAAGCAGCGCATGAAGTATCGAGCCTTAAATATCCAATGTATTTTCATATCTTCATATGACCTTTCCAATTATAAATCGATAAATCAGGCATTCAAAGTAAGCTTGTCAATTGAGCACAGGATAATTAAAATATGGCGTCTCCACCTAGCATGGCCTCCCGGCCATGCAGCTTCCGAGCACATATTTTAATTATATCCGGCAAGGTTTTACTAACCCAGAAATGGACAGCAATGCTAGGTAAGCAATTCTGGTACTGTACAGAGCCTAGCCCTCAGTCCAAATTCAGGATTAGGTTTTACCTCGAAGGAAAGGAGGGGGTTCAGGTTTGGAAAGGGCAAGCTCAGCTGAGTCTACAGGGAGCACCTAGACCAATCGGGCAAGTGCCTAGCGTGAAACTGGGAGTTACGCCCCAGGACTTGAATTTTTCCTTTTTTGCCGAGAGGTCACCAGAAATTCCATTTTTTGGGATTTTTGTGTGCCAACTTCGTTTACACAAGCAGCTTGCCGCAGAAGTCCATAGCCCGCCCACTCAACACTCAAGCCGCAAGGAGAGGAGTAGACGTCCAGGTGAAATCTCACTTCAGAATACCAGGCCCATCAGGAGCTGAAGAAGGAGAAAGGCAGTGCTCGAGCTGATTCTTGGGCCAGCGAACCATTGCCCCAATTCGAACAAGGTGGAACCGAAGACGGCGCAAAGCAGGTGAATCCCGCATTGGGATCCGTGGTGACTGCGTAATCAAAATGGCAGACGCCTTCTAATTTCTAAGTAAGTAAGTAAGTCAATTGAGCACAGAAAACTAGGTTTACTATGACCACCTTAAGTTTCTCGTAGATTGAGGTATTTTCTTTTGGCGTTTTTATAAAATAAACAATTCTAAAGAGCTCAAAAAAAGAATTGGCTATGTCAGTAAAAAAATTAGCCTCCAACGGTGGTTTTGTATTATTTAAAGAATCCTCATTTTCTTCATTCTCGTTCCTATGATTGTAAAAAGACATTTTGGATATATAATTAAGAAATAAAGAAAACTATTGATTTTCAATGAGACTTAAATTCAGGTATATCAATTTTAAAGTTTTTAAGAAATATAAAAATATTATATGGTGTGGAAGAGTTGATGGCAAATTAATTGGTTAATTAAGTCATAAATAAATTATCTAACTTTAAAAGAAAGAAAATTTTTGGTGAGCAATGGAAGATAAAGATTTGCTAAGCGTAAGATTTGTCCAGTAAATTATTTTAAATTATTATTTCGGGCTAGTTTTTTTTTGATTGTCATCTGAATCGACTCTTCAGAACTTTATCAAACGAATTTTTGCCCTCATAGGGTTCATGATCTCTTCTGGCTCGACTTTGGGGATACAATAAATATGTGAAAATAGCTTTTACCTCCAACTATTTGATATTAAAAGTAAAACGTTAATTTGCTATTCTTGGATACCATTTTAAGATAATTTTTTTGTAGTTGCCACAAGTAGCTAATCTTGAACGTAATAATAAGGGTAAAGAGAGCAAGTAAAAGAATTAATTAATTATATTGCATTGATATATAGCTTCGCTAATATATTATGACGCAATAATAATGGCATCATCGGAATTAGTTCTCTCCAAGAGCTTTCCATCCTTAGCGATTTTATTCATTTTTCCCAGTGACCCTATTCAGTAATATGGGGAAGGTACATCCAGAGGTTTGAATTGCGATACTTCGGTTTTAGGAGGCATTGGGTTTATCTGCCTGTCTCTTACAGATAAGGAGACTCATAGATGGATTGCACGCTAGAGACAGGCAACAGCAAGGGAAGAAAGTCTCCATGAAAATTCTCTGGCCCTAATGTGAGCCATTTGATGAAAACTTCATATCTTAGCCTGATGTAAATGGTTGATGAGAAGATTGCCATGATGTTACTAGTTTTGAGATTAAAGGCGGGCCCAGATATACCTAAAATCCTGCTAAAGAGAGGAATCGCTAAAAAACTAGAGTTAATATATTACACAGTTTCATAAAATATATCCTCTCTCTGCATATTTAGATTGAGATCACTCTGAGTGGCTTGAAATATTAATTTTCAATGCTTTGAATTCTAATTTCAGCTTATATTATGATCGTTTGAAATTTCTTAATTAGATATGCTAACTCCTCCTTGATGAACGACTAGATTTTTTTTTCTCGCCAACAAGACTAAATTAAATGCATATAAAAAAGGTTTTTCGAATATTAAAAAAATTCAAATTTTAAATATTTGAAATAAAAAATCTAAATTGTTTATTTTTACTATTAAAATTTAATATAATTAGTTGAAATTGATTTTTATAATCATTATTATATTTTAAAGTATAAAAGTTGTCCCCGCAAATACCAGGTTATAACTGAATAAAAATAATAAATAAATATTTTATAAAATTTTTTTTCTTACTAAGAAGGGATGCAATTTTACCAAACAGCGTGCTCACTTACCAAGGAGTTAGAGAACTAGTATATTATCTCATCATCAGATTTAAATTTATATATCATTAATAATAGCTCCAAATGATATTAAATTAACTTTTTTATATTTAATAGCCGTGTCTTATAAATTCAATTAAGTAATCGATATAAATTGTTAGTAATTAATATTGCAGAGATAAAATTATTATCATTTTTATTGAGCGTCTTCCAGTCATTGTCGGATAATTTTAGCATGCTTTATTATGAATTGAATATCATTTTTTATCAAGCCTTTAATTTTCATTATTTCTGTCTTACTTTCTCTTTCATTCTCTTTTATTTTGTTTTTCAAATTTCCTATTTCATCATCAATAACTTCGATTTCTTCTTGTGATATAATAAATTCCCTTCTCAGTAAATCAATTTCTTCTTGAACATTTTCACACTCTTTCCCTAATTTTATCGAATCTAATTGTTCAATATTTTTGGAATAATAAAATGGCATTCGGTTCGAGAGAAATTAGCTTTGCTAATTTTCTCTCCCTCATGGAATTTTATTATTAGGGTTAGGTTTTCACTCGCGAACTTCTGGACAGCAATAGCGGTTTAACTTTGGGGATCACCAAAGGAACCACTCCTCAGTCCACTCAAGATCTCGGGCTTTTACCTCTCAGCGCATCCCCACGGGAGGATGACCCTTAGGCGGAACACGCGCAGGAGCTGAGTCGAGCGACAAGGGCGACGGCAACGCGCCGGGTGAGACGTGCAGCAAGGCCGGTGAAGCAGGAGTTGATAGAAGGCTTGGACGGGGCTGACCCGTGCCAAAGATGGCTCGCCTACGTCATCAGTTTTGCCATAGGCCCTTTTGGACTGCGGCACTAGACACCTTAAACACCAGATAATTAAGTAAGTAAGTAAGTAAGTTCAATATTTTTGAGCTTTGCCAATTCTTCTTGCTTTTTTTGGAGCTCTTGATAAACAATTTCATTTTGTTCGGACAGAGTTTTATACTTATTTTCATATTCTAATTGGATTTTGTTTAAATTGCTGCAAACTAATTCATCAACTGCTGGCGACATTAATTTCCTTTCCAAGGCATACCAACTATTTTTAATTTTAGTTTCCAATTTTCTCTTTTTTTCTCCTTCATTTCCAAATTGTTTTAGCTCAAGGTCAAACGATTTTTCAGAGTTTTGCAATTCCGCTTCCCTTTGCTTTAAAATCACGTCATAATTGCTTTGGAACTCTCTTTCTAAGTCCTTAATTTTCGCCTCATATGCTAATCTTCTTTTGTTATAATTTCTTGAGCTTTCTTCTTGCAACTCAGTTCACTCTATTGCAAAATCCAATCTTAATTCATCGTTCAAAAATCGATCATAGTCTCGATAGCAAAAATCAGTAAAGAATTCATCAAAATCACCTAACTCCTCTCTCCAATGTGAGCGAACAAAAAAAATTTTGTTCGCTCATAAAGGGGGTTAATTTTTTTTCTTCAAAATTTAAAAAATTTGTAAAAAATTGAAATTAAAAATTAATTTAGTTTAAAATTTATATTTTAAAGGGATTTTTTTAAAATTAAACAGAATTAGCTAGAAATTTCATGAAACTAATCATCATTTATATATCAAAAAAAAAAATCGCTCACGGAGGGTGGATTTTACCAAAAAAATAGATTTTTCTAATGGATTTATTCGCTCACGGAGGAGGATAGTAAGTCCCTTATTTCCTCAGACTGTGACGTACATTTGAGTTGGTTTACAATCCAATTTAATAATGATAGCAAATGTGGCCACCAATTTACCCCGCCAGTGAACATCTGATGAGATATGGCATAGGGGTAGCCAAGCCATTTGAGAAAGTCAATTAAACCTCTCTCAGTTATTGATAAATAGCTTTCATCAGTTCTCGAACATATAAAGCGGGTGACTTGTCAAAATAATTTTAAGTCTGGGGTCAAAAGTAATTGCAATGATATTGGGAATGGAGATTCATTAAGGACAAGAAACTCTATTATATTTTTGCCACATAAATTTTGATACTCTTTGTCATTCACATACTTGTTGTCTTTGGCTTTAAAAGCATTTACGCTTGAAGCTCCCTGTTTGTTCAATTTATCCTGATTCAATTTTTATCCATTTTGCATATTTAGGTTATTTTTTCTATATTCCAGCAAATCAATAGTCAATACTGCTGAATAGGCTATGATTTTACTTTTATTAAAAAGTGATTGCCTTGGTGTTTGACATAAGAGAACTTTCCTTATGAAACTTTAAACTGACTCCATCTCTTATAAGCACCAATTTTTTTTTACTCAAAGTAGGCTTTTTTTTTCCAAATTTTTCCAGCTTGCAAAATCGAAATGCAATCGAATTTATAAAACATACTAGAACGCGATATGTTTAAACTTAACAGAATCACATTAAAGCAGCATTAAAATAGCATTATTTAAATTAAAAAACTTATGCTATCTCACTTGTGGTGGTTTCTCCAAAAATAGAATTTTTTTATATTTTTGCTTGTTCTCGATGCAGAGTATGTAAAATGGAGCTAATGGCGATCAAATCTCAGGATTCAATCATGACCCAAGAACAGAATGAGGAAGCAAATCTGACACGAATAGAAGAGCCCAGCAGTGATTACATTTCCAGCAGAGGAAGCTCGAAAAAGTACATTGGTCTATTTGCAATATGATTCATCCTTATCATCGTCGAATTAATTGGAGGAATTTATTCAAACTCCCTTTCAATCTATGCCTTTGCTGGAGCATTACTATTTAATTTCGTTGGGATTTGCCTCACCACAGTTCTATCTGGCACCGCTGAAAATGGAGACTCGTTATATATTACATATGGTTATCACAGGGTAGAGATAATTGGATCTCTTTTAAACGTTATCTTCATATGGATACTAGTTTTTATTCTCACTTACAAAGGAATATTCAGAATTTGAAGAGACGAAATCAATGAAATCCACAATTTCACATGGATCGCTGTGATAGGACTTTTAGGTAATGTCATCATAAAGCTGCTCCAAAAAAAAGCTATTACGTTTCGCCCAAGTACAAGTTTTGATTTATGGCAAGGTGTGCTCGTCATCTTCACTTCTGTGCTTATCTTTCTTGACACAAAACTTAGCAGTGCTGACCCTATCTGCGCAATTATCATAGGTATCATGCTTTTGTATCTCACAATCCCTATTACTAAGGAGTGCATTGAAATCTTGATGGAGAAAGTGCCAAGAGAAATAGATATTAATGAACTTTATGAGGAACTAAAAGAAGTAAGATTTATTTAGATCACAGATGTCCTAGATGTTCATGATCTTCACGTTTGGAGCTTAACTTTCGGGAAATTTGCGATGACCTGCCATTTGGCTACGTTTAACCCAGAGCGAGTTCTGGGGGAAGCTTCAAAGATCTGCACAGAGAAATTTGATATATTGCATTTAACTATTCAAATCGAGACACCTGATGATAATTCAAAGTGTTTAAATCTATCATCCAGCTAATAAATAAAATGTAATAGTGTCTATGATAAGGATTGAGTTAATTTAGTTATGGAATTATATATTGCATATGAATAATTACTATTTTAAAATTCAGAAGCTTTAACTTTAAAAAATGGTGAATCATTGACTTTACCATGAAGAATAAATTATTAGACTCGATAGGGACGAATTCGATATAGAAAATAGCATAAAAAATAAATGCAAATATAGCGATGCTCTGCTGCTAAAATTATTAAAGCATTTAGTTTTAAGGAAAAACTGCATTTTTAAAATAAAATACAGTCGCAACCTCTATCTTTGTCTTCTAAAGAATCTAACTTCAGTTTTGGAGGGATCGTTGAGATGAAATCTCCATCTTCATTTTCTCTGATACATAGCACTCTTAAAGTTTCTGTGTACAATTCTTCTATATCATTTTTTTCTTTTAGCTGCTCTTCACTTTCAATAAGATGTTGCTCGAGTATATCTTCTCTATCTGTATTTGAAACATTAAGCTTAAACTCAATTGTATACTCGAATTTTCGGTTTTCCCTTGAATGAATTTTATTAAAAAATGGTTTTTCAACAGCCTTCAAATAATGTATATCTTCAATAACGCTCCAAAAATCAAACTCTTCTTCACCTACCAGTTCAGTATCCTCAAAAACTTTTATATTCGCATGATTCTTTAAATCAGTTTTGCAAGATCATTCTTCTCCGATTGCTACTTTAATATTTTGATCATTAATAGTAATGAGAAGATTTTGCGATTCTCTTGCGTGCAATAATTTAAGATAAATTTCCGTTTCGCCAAATGATATTGTTTTAATTTTATTTAAAGTTTTGCGAATATCAATATTTTCTTGGAGAACAGAGGCTCGTCTTATTTTATAGTTTTCCTTTTCATCCTTTTGAACCATAATTATTGCTGTAGTTTTTTCTGAAAATCGTTTGGATTTTTTATTAGAATCAAAAAGTAATTGAAGTAAGAGGCTGGTAACTTTTTCATTGCGGGTTGATTTTAGAAATCAAGAGTTATTTGGAAGTAAGCCACCTGGATGCTTTCTATTGCAATTCTCCAAAAGAACATTGAAAAGCTGCATGTGCTCACTTCTCTTTGTCTCCTCCATAGTGTTTTAGATATTACTTTGGACATATTTACTTGGGTTTAATATTAAAACGGATTAGGGTTTATTTTTAGGTACTCTTCTTCATCTGGAGTTGATTGGCGCCCTAAAATTGGATTTCTATGAGGGTATCTTCCATATCTCACAATAAGATCTCTATGCATAATTTCAAATCTTGTAAACCCTTCCATTATTGGCTTAACATCTCCTCTTGCCTCTTCAACTAATCCATTCATGAGTCTAACTCCTCCTCATCCTTGATCGAACTGATCGCCATCATATTACTAAGCATAGCCCAGTACCCAGAGATTTATAGGGTCGAGAAATTTTGGATAATATTTTTAGTTACTTGAAAATTTTTATATGAAAATCCTTTGGAAGGGATTGGTTTTCCAAAGTTTTAGAAAATTTTCAATAGTTTACTCAATCAAAAATGGGAGTAAGCATTAAATCGTGATGTTCCAGAAGCTCCGAATGCTCTAATGGCATATACAAAAACGATCTCTGGATTGGCCATAGCTGCTTATCGAAGCCCTTATTGATAGCATCTAAAGTAATAGCTTGAGCTTTAAGATCACCTGCAAATGCAGCTGGTGTGCCTTTAAATATGCTTCGGGTTCATTGGTCAAGCAAAAGAATTAAGGCAAGAGTTCCTCTTGGAGTTTCTGTCCAATCATCATGACGCCCTTCTAAAGCATTTTCCAGCTCATTGCCAACAAGATTTCTCATTTGCTCTGCAACTTCTGGAGGTGTTCTCCACCAAAAACTTCCAGTTTCTTTGATGTAATCAGTTTCACTCGTAAAGCCCCTGAATCAGAAATTAAGAATTTCTTCGCTTAATGCCATAGTATTTGTAATACTCATCCTAATTATCAATTTTGAGAGCATATCAAGATATTTTAATACATAATTTAATATTAGCTTGGTTTAAGCTTAAACTAATTACAATTTTTTATCTAGCGAAGACTATTTTTCAGTATGGCTTAAGTTTTATTGGGCTTCAGATTTGCATTTAGCAATAATAGAGTTAAATTTAGTATAATCTAATCCCTTTTCTTATAGTTAGATCCCGCCAAAAAGAATATAGAATGAATATTCATGGTTTTATATTTCAAACTAATGACTGGTAAAAATACAATATATTACCTTTCTAAAAATCATTAAAGAAGAAATAAGCCAAAATATCTTGATTGTTCACAATTTTAACTACTTCTTAGTCTCTTATATTTCAAAATGGCAGATCCTTCTTACGCGCCAAATTACGACACCCCGGAAAAACTACCGCACAAGTCCTCCAGAGGTAAAAAAGGCGAAATCCAAGTGATTTACGGGCCAATGTTTTCAGGAAAATCAACAGAGCTCCTCAGACGTATCAGAAGATATCGAGTGAGAAATGACTCATGCATCCTGCTCAAGACCAAAGACAACCGATATGCCAATGACGAAGACAAAGTGGTGACGCATGATTTATTTAACTTCTTGGATGCTTTTTCTTGTGACTCTCTTTATGAATCAGACGTTGTCTCGGATACTCATGATGTCATCGGCATCGACGAGGGACAGTTCTTCCCAGACATAATTCCATTTGTAGAGGACATGGCAAATAGAGGCAAAATTGTAATTGTGGCTTGCTTGGACTCTGATTTCAGAAGGGAACCGTTTGGAACGATTTGTCAACTGATTGCGAAAGCTGAAAGAGTTACGAAATTATGTAGCATTTGCCATTATTGTAAAGGAGACGCAGCGTTCACTGCAAGATTGAGCAGTGAGCAAGCCGTTAAAGTGATTGGAGGAGCTGATAAATACAAGCCTGTTTGCAGGACATGCTTTTTTTCTCATGGGCATGTGGTATAATATAGGTAATGAAATTAATCAATTTATTTTCAAATTGCATTACAAATTCTTAAAAGTAAATTTATGCTTCTATTTTTTAACCTTATGCTCCAAAAAATACCAACAAAAATGCAGTAATTAATTATTTAATTATTCTGCCTTTTGTTAATATTTTTTGATAAAATAACTTTAAAAAAGTCTTATCTACTTAAATAAATATGCCGTAAGAAAGAGTCAGCAAATACCATATTCTTTTGTTATGAATAGAATAGAATGCTAATTAAGATTAATAGACAAAGTGGGAGCTACTCTATAATAATCTAAGTTAAGAAATTCCATAGCCTCGCAACACTATTCAATTGCGAAGAAAATAATTATGGAAGTTGGTCAAGTGATAAACAAGAAATATATCATAAGGAAGCATATTGGGAGCGGATCATTTGGAAAAGTGTTCAAAGGGAGAGACACATTAACTGGAAAAGCTGTAGCAATTAAGAGCGAAGACCTCCATTGTAGATTTCCAAAACTCATCCCAGAAGCAAACTTCCTAAATTCTTTGAAAAATGGAACTGGTATCCCTGCGCTCCACTTTCATGGCTCAAATGGCACTTGCAACTATCTGGTTATGGAACTTCTGGGCCGGTCTTTGGACAAAATTTTTAAATTCTGTCATGGAGTATTTAGTTTAAAAACTATGTTGATTTTGGCTCATCAAATGATTGAGAGAATTAAGTTTGTCCATAAGAAAGGAATTGTACATAGAGATATCAAGCCACAAAATTTTGCGATTGGTCTAAGAGAAAATAGTAACAAAGTCTATCTCATTGATTTTGGGCTTGCAAAGCGATTTATGGATGAGAAAACTCATAAGCATGTAGAGTATAAAGAAAACAGAGGGCTAGTAGGAACTCTTTGGTATATTTCTATTAATACACATTTGGGAATAGAGTACAGTAGAAGAGATGATTTAGAAAGTATTGGATATTTGCTTAGCTATTTCATGCAAGGCTACTTACCATGGCAAACTAATGATACTTTGTTAATGAGCGTGGATTGTTGCACAATTCTCGAAAAAAAGCAGACCACACGACTTGAAGAGCTTTACTACGGATATCCGAATGAGTTTGTTCGATTTATGATGCACATTAAAGGGCTGAGATTTGATGAAAAACCGAACTATAAATACTTAAAAGGGCTTATAGAGAATATTGCTTCAAGAGAAGGTATCAATTTGAATGATCGAATTGGCTGAGATGAAACCACAAGAAGTGCTACACCGAAGCCAGATGCTGAAAGAAAGGGTTTTAGAAAAAAAAAAGTTATCCATAGAGTAAGGTCTGCTCAGCTAGATAATGGCCGGGGCTCTCAAAACTCTAATGGTAAAAATTCTGAAAAGAATGAATCAACAAAATTAACCCCAGTGCTGCATGACTATAGAGGACCAATTTTTGAAAACAAAGAAATCATTATGCTTGAGCGAGTTAAGACTCTTGGAGCTGGTACAGAATTTGATAGTGCCTCAGATACCAACTCTCGCGAGATATTCGGACTTATAGAAAAAGATTGTGGCTCAGTAGAAAAGACAAGATCTTTTGAAAGAGATCCAGCATACAAAATCACACCTGTCTTGGAAGACTACAAAGGGCCTGCTTTTAAAGATAAACACACAATAATGATCAAGAGAAAAAAAGAATTTCCCAAAATATCTATTGATTTTGCTAGCAGCAATGAATCAAATGATAGCAATTCATAATTTCAACTGGCTTTATAAATAACTGATAAAAATACTTAATAAAAATTAAAACTATTTAATTATTATCGATGCTGCCAGGAGAAATTTTTGAAGAAGACTTGAAATTCAAGCTCTTGCCGCTTATCTTTGTCGTTGTATTTTTAAAAGTAAAAGCAAATTGAAATAAAGCACTTGTGTCGTGCCCTTTCGCTCTGTAGAGAAGACTTGGGTATTTTTTCCTCATTACTAAATATCCATAAGTTCCAATAATTATTCAGCCCGCAAACAAAGTTACTATCCAAGCTGGCGAGGAATCATCAACTACTGTATGTATTATAGCTAAAATCGAAATCCACAGCACAGCTACTAGAGTTATAAATTCCCATCAACTGTACCTCTGGTAATTATAAGGCTTATATTTGTGTATGAATAACGTATACAGCGCTATAACGACAATAAATAGAACTGCATGAGCTGTAGATTGAGCTCTCTTGATGGTCTTATTCATCACAATTAATGACACTTGGATCACTGTTTTTATCATCAAAAACAAAGGCAAGGTTTTGACATGCAATTGATTTTGAAATTCTTGCCAAAGAGGTCTGCAAAATACAGCCAAAGGCTCATAAGTTATCAAGGCAAGAATGGACAAAATAACATAAATGATATGAGTTTCTTTCCAGCAAAACTGATAGCAGTCCTTTGCAAGAAAGCTATCAGTAAAATTATTCCCAATTGCTTCATCGCAGACAAAAATATCTAGAAGCACTGATACAAAAGGAATAAAGCACAAATTTCCTAATAAAGGCATCAAGAAGTCTCCAAACTGATCCAAATATTTAAAAATAAGGAAATCATATCGCTCATTCAATTGAAATAAAATTGTCACACACAAGCATATCCACAGTAGGCAAAGCCCCAAAACAAAGTCACAAACTGCCCAGAAAACTCCATTTTGAAGCTTAATAATATTTGCTAAATTCAAGGAAATAGCATTTGAGAAATTGGAGAGTAGCTCGAAAATATTCGAGAAATCAGGCCCCATTGAAATGATTTGAAAGAACTCAATCCCAATTGTGACCCCAACAACAAAATCCTGGATTGAAATTTCTTGTTTTTCTTTCAAAGTTTCAATTTTTACATTCCACCAACGTCTCCAAATATAATATGTGATCACCGCTGTGATTAATGCAATAGCGAAGCATATACAAAACACAACAGCTCGGCCTTTTGTAAAAGTAACTACTTTAGAGCTAGGAAAAGGACAATCACTGTCTTCATTCCTTAAATCAGTAGGCTTGAATATTGAATTATCTCCATATATAAATGGTTGAGATATTGTTAATAATTTTGCGCTATATGGATTAAATAGTCCTATATGATAGATTGATAGAGTGCCATTGATAACTTGATTAGAGTCAATAGTAATAGTAGTAAACTCATTATCGTTGCTTCCATGAGCTATTGAAGTAACTCCCATACATCCTACAATTTTTATGCTTCTTATTGTCTCGTTTAACTTATATGGGTCTGTATAGTCCTGCCCTCTGTTTATCATGCTATCAAGGGCATTTGCTAAGAGATAAGTTGAGTCAAAAAAATTGCATTGATAATCACTAGGGATTGCCCCATATTTTGTCTTAAGCTTGGCATAAAGGCTTTTTCCGAATTCTCCAACTCAGACAGAGCCTTGAAAAGTCATCATTGGAACTCCAACTTCATATCTTTTATATAAATACTGGTCCGAGAATCCCATTTCAATCATAATGCCTCCTGATGAAGTAGCAAAAACTATGTCTCCTTTTCTTGCACCCAAGTCATAAAAATGCTCTAATATATAACCAAATGTTGTTCCTGAGTACAAAAATATTACAACCAACCTTGCATTGGAATTGTATATTCCTTTGATAACGTCAATATAGTCAGCTGATTGTTCTCTTGTCAACTCCGGCGGGATTGCTCTTGTTTCTTCAGGATTAAGAATATTTAATCCGTTTTGCTCTGCAACTTGCTTGAACCACTGATAGCAGCCGATTCCATAAGTTTCATTGCCATATAGTATAGCGAACGACCTTCATCCCAAACTTTTTATCAAAGGTGCAACATCGGTGGCTAGTAGCGCATCAGAAAGCTGCACCCTTGTATATCATGGATAAAGTTCAGTTGAATTTAATTTCGGAGCTGAGTTGCAAGAGCCAATAACTGGAAGAGTCACATTTAATTGGTTGAACGTCGCCATTGTTCCTATCACAACTGACGATGGAAAAGAGCCAACATGCCCTAATCCAAATTTATCTATATCTTTCTTGAAGCAGGAATAACCGTATATAGGATCATATGAAGTGGCTCCACAATCGAAAAAGAATAAACTCATTTGAAAATTCCGCAGAATGTCTAACTCTACTTGGTTTACCATTGAAACTACCATAGATGCGCCTCGGGCGTAAATTGGAACATTTAAATCTGGCACACCCCCAGGGTTTATTGTGCCAGCATTTATACTAATTGGTAAAATTGTTTTGGATGATATAGGTACGGTTGCTGAATTTCCTAAGAAAACGATTGGCTTTGTTATTGAGACATTTGTTGTATTTAAATTTCCTACTATAGTCCTCTTTCCATTATGAAAATTGACTAACCCCCCCTCTGTGAGTGAACAAAAGCATTTTGTTCACTCACGGAGGGTTTAAATTTTTTTTTTAAAACATTTATATAGCTAGGGAGATGACAAGCACGGGGCTTTTTTGGCTTGAAAGCAAGTCAAAAAAGCCCCGTGCTAGATATCCTCCCTAACTATATATAAATTTTATAGAAAAATTTTCTTTCTAAATTTTAAAAAAATCCTTATTCTCAAAAATTGGGAAACAAATATTAATTTAATATATAAAATTTATGTTTTAAAACGCAATTTGTTTAAAATTAAACAGAATTAGCTTGAAATTTCATTATACTAATTATCACTTATATATCAATTTTTTTCATAAAAAATTTTTTTCTATTAGAGAAATTTTAGTTCACTTACGGAGGGTGGGTTTTTTGGGCAAAAAATAGAAATTTTTCCAATGTTTTTGTTCACTCACGGAGGGGGAGTAAGGAAAGCTGAGATTTACAGAAATGTGAAACACATACTGAATCAAGGCTTTTCTTAAGTTGATAAGAGTTTTCGACTGAGGAGCTGTTAAGTAACGAAATAATGAAGTTGATAGAGTTCATCAAAAAATCTTCATTTGAGAACGAAAACTCTTGCCCAGCCTCCGTAATTGCCAAGCTTCCATCTACAATTGTCTGATAATAGCTTTCTTTTCCTAATAAAATTCCATTTCCTACTATCATAAGCTTACTGGAAATAAGTGCATTCTGCAAAATCATCGATTCATAAGAATCTGTAAACAGATAAAATAAGCTTTTTCCAGAAGATGCCACTAAATGAGCAATAATTTCGTCAATTTTTGAATTTGACTCAATAATTACACTTGAAAAATCTTCTGAAAGAGCAAATATGGAGTCTCGAAGAAATGAATTCTGGTTCGAATTAAAAATGAAACCTTCAGTCCAATTGAAAAATTTGAGTAGGGCACAGAGTGAGCTTTGGTAGTTTTCTCTTGAAGAGACAGCTGAATACGTCCATGATCCATATTGCTTTAAGGAGTCTTCTACTACAAAATGAGCAATACTGAGTTCTTCACATGCACTTGAAAGCTGAAAATGATCTAATGCATTTTCCGACAAATCAATCAGGATTTTGTTAGTTTCTGCCATGTGAAGAAAAGCTAGGGCTTCGTGCAAGTCAGATGTGGATAATTTGGTTATTAAATCAGGAGTTGAACTGCTTTCTCATAATTCAATAATCGAAGCTAACGGAGAGTACACCATTACTTCAAGTGCATATGACGAAATAGAAAGCTAGTTAGTTATTAAGATTTATAGAGAGAAGCTCGCTGCAATTATACAAGGACTATCTCCAGTCGTAATTTTCTCTTCGTCTGCTCGCCAGTTCGTATGCGACCTTTCAAAGGTTGCGTCTGCCGGATTAGTACGTGCGCTTGCACCCCTGTAGTTGAGTGAATCGCACCGCCGTACTTTATGTAACATTAAAAATTAAAAAGGGTTGAATTTTCTGGTCAACTCTTAGCCAAGATGAAAACCCGAAGCCCAGGGCGCAGCTCCTGGCTTCATGCTGGGGAATAGCCCCGATTGGTCCGAATGAACACCATTAACTATGCAGGGAAATCCCTTTCCAACTTTCGGACCCATCTCCCACTAGGCAAAAACTTGGCATTTGGATTAAAGCATGCAGTTGGCCAAACCGACATTGCGCTTCACCAACCAAGAAAATCTAGCCGAATACACATTCATGAATTCCATCCTCCCTTCCTCAAGGTCCCTGAGCACTCTGATAGGATTTAAAAGATTGGTTGGTTCTCGCAATTTTAATGTCTATGACTAAATAGGAAGCAATAAAACCAAAATAATTGAAAATCTTCCAAGGAAGAGTGAATACTCAATATTTACCATAAAATATAGGTATAGCTGTTATAAATAAAAAATTAAAACCTTTTTAAGTCCAAGAAACTAATTAACTCCAAAATTTGTTTTAGTTTTCTTTATTTTATAGAGTGCAGTTTATTGAATGACTTCAAAATAATACAATTAATAGTTTATGATCTGTATAACAATACTTCAGGTGAATAATATTGTGGTGTCGAATTTATAACTTGCCCTTATTAGTTCGCCATAAATTAGAAACAGAATTTAAATTTGAAGTCTCATTATTGACTTTATAACGATAAATATCAAAATATATTACTAGTTCCAAAAATTCGAGCTCTTATTGCTGCTCAAATATTTAAGCATTACTTAATCATAGAGTCAGAAACTCTCTTATTGCTTCTTTGGCCTAAAAAGAAAAATGTAAAATTTTGGCTTCATAAATTATTATTTTGATATATCATTATTTTTATAAGAATTTAGTTTAAAATATATCTAGCTAAGGAATCAATTCCTGGATGCTCAAATTATCTTAATTTTTCCCCGAACCTATAAGTGTTGTAAAAGAATTTGAGAAATGGCTATGACCTTATAAATATGGTCATGGGTAGAGACAACTATGAATATTGAACAAAAACAGTAAATGAAAAAATTTAACTCTTTTTACTGGGATTAATATTATAAATATTTTTAAGTCCTTCCTAAGAATTAGGAGCATAAGAATTTTGATATAATTTGAAAAATCCTGACTCTTATCCTCCGGTATCGAGATTTTTTTTAACTCAGTGGATTTTTGTGATAAAACATAGCTTTTCTTTATAAAGCTAATGCCGCAAATATTTAAATTTGGAACTTATTTATTTTATAAAATTATTAAAATTTAAAAAGAGGCAAGATATTTATTTATAGTAAATTTTACTTATATATAAATAAATAAAAATTTTTGCCAGCTCTAGGAAGTAGCTAATTAAGAGTTTCCCAATTCTTTGCTCCTCACAGAAAAATGGAGTAGGTGCTTACAATTAATTTATCTAAAATAAGGCTTAGACCTTAACATGCATAGATAATCATTATTATATATCTTTCATCTCATTTGCCAATTTTGTAATTATTAAACTTAAGCGGTTTTTGTGTTAAATAATAGCGATTAAGATGATATATTAAGTTTAGGCACACTTAATTTTCTAAAGCAGTAGACAGTTCGCAGTAATATATATAGCAAACTAGCTAATGATATCACATAAGTGGGATGAAAACTCAGCGCTGTGAGCACCCAAAGCTGCAACGCAATAAAAAATGCCTCAATTAAAATGATTCTGTAAAACGTCTTCAAAGGATCTTGGAAAAAATGTGAAAGAAAATACGTCTCGTTTTTCCCAGGTTCACAGCTGTTAAACATCCCAACTGCCTTTCAGTATTCGCCTTTATAAAACACAATTTGTCCTTTTGAGTAATTTTTGTCATGACTTCACTCTTCAGCTTGCCCTTCATACCTTGCCTGTGTCCAATCCCCTAATGAAATTGCATAAAAATTCAATTCAACGCTCCTTTTCCTCATTAATTCCACTAAATAAAGCAAAAAAGTGACGAATGTCAATGTTGACATCGCATTTAAATAAGCAGCTGTATAGACAATAAACCCATGAGAGGGCAAAAACTTATAACTCCCCCGCCCTCCGTAAGTGAACAAAATCATTAGAAAAGTCGCTATTTTTTGCCCAAAAACCCACCCTCTGTGAATGAACAAAAATTGCTTAATAGAAAAATTTTTTATGAAAAAAAAAAATTTATAAGTGATAATTAGTATAATGAAATCTTGAGCTAATTCTGTTTAATTTTAAACAAATTGTGTTTTAAAACATAAATTTTATAAATTAAATTAATATTTGCTTCCCAACTTTTGCGAATTAGGATTTTTTTAAATTTCGAAAACAAAAATTTCTTAATATTTATAAATAATTTTTTTTTAAAAAAATAAATTATTAACCCCCTCCGTGAGTGAAGTAAGGTAAATATCCAGCACAATACATTGCTTCTAGAGTATGTAGCAAAATTTGCTGTAGTGAGTAAAAGCAGTCGCTGCATCCTTCTGAGTATCTAGATTTTGCAGATCCTTGGGAAAAGTAAAGATAAGCTATAAAAGGGCACACTAAATTAAGCAGGAGGCTATAGGATAACTCAAAGAACAGCATTGCGATACTGTGAACTATAGTTACAGTGTAGCTAATTCCTATGAATGTCAGTCCTAAAAACTTCAAGCTCCGTTTTAGAGGATCACGGAGATAGAGGTACATATAAAGTGCCTGAATAAAGCGGCGAGATAGGAAAAAAGTATTGAAACTAAGCAAGGCAAAGTTGTAGTTGTAATAGGAGGTCCCATATAGAGCGATATTGATGTTCATCATATGAATGAAGATCATGATAGTGCATTCCAGCTCAAAATACAATTTTGAGTCCTTTTTTGCGTTTATTCCATCCAGAGTTGCTTTTAAAGCGTCTAAATTTATTGTCTTTCTTTCTTTAGATTTCATTAAAACTCTTTATTTAAGGAAACCATGATATCAGTAGAAATTTAAGTATGAAAATAAATTAATTAAAATTTAAATATACTAGGCAGAGCATAATAAATGGAACTTGTGACGATTATAATGGCTTCTAAGAAAAGCAAATAATCCGTTAACCGCTAATCCATGAATTCTATGCTTAATATAATAAGTTAACTAACTTCCCCCTCTTCCTTAGCAAACAAAATATTTGTTCGGTCATGGGGGGTTATATTTTTATTTTACAAAATTTATATATTTTTCAAATTTAAAAGATCCGGATTCGAAATAATTTTAAAATTAATTTGTAAAATTTATGTTTTAAATGCAAGCTATTTAAAATTAAATAGAATTAACTAGAAATTTCAGTATAATAATTATTACTTATATATCAAAATGATTTTCTTAACAAATTTTTTATATTAAAATACTTTTGTTCTTCCACGTAAGGTGGGTTTTTTGCCAGAATTAGGGATATTTCTAATTTTTTTGTTCGCTAGCTCAGGGAGTAAGAAAAGCATCTATATTAATAAGTATTGAGCTTAGACAAAACAGCATAAATCTTTTTAATCATGATTTTTGAATCCAATTAAAATATCTCGCGCAATAATATTAAATGTCAGCCACTGCTTGTAGAAAACCCTGCTGGGTGCTTACTATAATCTCTCTCTTGCTCGTCTTAGGACTTGAGCTAGCCTCCCTTGGAGTCGATAGATGGTTTGAACAAGGAGCTGACCCATTTGATTGGGAAGGCGGCCTACTGAAGCCAACGTCAGATTCTAATTACTACACTGACAACATGAGCTACTCAAACTTTTGGGACGATTGCAACGACGGCTCCAACCAGAGCAAACAAGGGCTGTCCCCAGGAGAATGCAAGATGATGAAACATCTTTGGGCTGGGGGCGTTATTTACATTCTTTTTGAAACTATTTCATTATTCTGCATATTGCATTACATTGCAGAGTGCTAAATATTTAAGGTCTCTACTCCTGCAGCCGGCATTCTATATATCTACGTTAGAAGCTGTGTGGTGGCCAAATTGAATTGGGTGGAATTCACCTACTGGTATCCTTTTTTTCAGGTCATCCCAAGAAAATATCAATTACTTTAGAAGCTTGAGCAGGTAGGTCGCCATGCTTCATTCCAGACCTAACCAGCTTGAGCACTGCTGAAAAAAGGATTTTCAAATAGCTGCCCATTGAACCAGACCACAAAACTGTGGATATGTGCTTAGGTCCTTCGCTTTGGAGCATCAGATGCTGCTAAGCCCCAAAACATGCCGGATATGCATGGGTAACTGTTCATGAAAAGACGAGTTGAATGCTACTTGCCATTTTATGTATATCATTATTCTGCATATGCTTGACCATTTGGTTCTTGCTAAGAGACCTCTGCAACAAAACTAAATTCACCTGGCTAGCTGTTCTCTTCGTTTGGTTTGGCCTTGCCTGGCATTTCTGGGCACTGGTAATATGGTCTGGGCTTGCAAAGATGTTCTGGAGCTATGCTTGCAACAGACTTGACTGGAACGACCACACTGAGCCAGCTAGAGTTTGTGGGAAAGAAGGCGCTGCCATTTCTTTAGCTTGCGTTCTTTGGTATTTTGTTGTCTGTCTATTTTTCAGCATCTTCTATAAACAAATAAACACGAATAAAATGGTAACTTGTCCGACTCACCCTTATCCCATATCCTCGGTATTTTTGGGTTTAAGAGGGTCAGCCTGTAACTTTGGTTTTTCTCCCTACCGGGTTCCATGGTAAGGTTTTGTACCCAGATCCTGAAGAATAGGGGGGAAATGCAGACCCAATATTTAGGGTGAGGAATCTGAATTCAGCGAAGACAGAGAGGAGAAATAAACCCGAAGACCTATTTTAACTTTAATCTAATCTATAAACAAATTAAAGGATCCGAAGAAGGAAAAACAGACAACGGAGTCACTGACCAAGGATATGATGCAGTCAAAAAAGATAGTGAACCTCGAGAAATTGTTGAAGAAGATGGTAAAAAGCATAAGAAGCACAAAAAGAAGGAAACTTCTCAAGAATAAATTATTTAAATAAGGATTAGGACCTTTCATGGCAACTTTCTCTTAAATTCAAATAAAATGGGAGAGTTTGTCAACATTGTTGTAAGGACTTTAGATTCTTCAGAAATAGCTTTACTCCCCCCCCCCCCTCCGTGAGCGAACAAAAAAATTTTGTTCGCTCACGGAGGGGGGTTAATTTTTTTTTTTAAAAAAAATTTATATATAAATTTTATAAAAAATATTTTTTTCGAAATTTAAAAAAATCCTAATTTGCAAAAATTGGGAAGCAAATATTATTTAATTTGCAAAATTTATGTTTTAAAACGCAATTTGTTTAAAATTAAACAGAATTAGCTCTAGATTTCATTATACTAATTATCACTTATATATCAAAATTTTTTTCCATTAAAATTTTTTCTATTAAAAAAATTTTTGTTCACTCACGGAGGGTGGGTTTTTGGTCAAAAAATGGCGATTTTTCTAATGGTTTTGTTCGCTCACGGAGGGGGGGGGGGGGAGTTAGCAATTTTTTCATCAGCAAAGATACATGAAATTAAATATTTCTTGAACTTGAGATCTGGAATCCCAGTTGAAAGACAAAGATTGCTGTATAAGGGTAAATTATTAAAAAATGAAGAATCACTTGAGGATGCTGGGATCGGCGATCTTGATCATTTGTTTCTGGTAGGAAATATTCAAAGGGAGCCTGATGCATACTTACTTAGTTACTTGGTATTTAAGGTGTCTAGTGCCAGCTCCCAATGTAATTAGGGACTAAGCCAACTTTTGACGTCGCTGAGCCATCTTGAATTCACGGTGGTCAGCCCATCGGTCAAGCCTTCTGCGAAGCTCAGCATTCAGTTCTCCGCACATCTCACCCGGCGCGTTGCTGTCGCTTGCCCTGAGTCAGCTCCTGCGCGTGTTCCGCCTAAGGGTCATCTTCCTGTGGATATATGCTGAGAGATAAAACTCTGACCTCTTGAATGCACTGAGGAGCTGTTCCTTTAGTTATCCCAAAAGTTAAAAACTATGCTGTGCAGAAGTCTAGAGAGAAAACCAACCCCATAAATAAAATTCCATGAGGGAGAGAAAAATTGGCGAAGCCAATTTCGTTGGAACCGAACGCCATTTTATTTATGAGCCCGATGCATACACTATGCTGGCACAGCTGTCACTTTTAAACGCATTAGAGTCTTACAGGAGAACAAGATCTCAAAGAATAGAGCTTACAAATGAGCAACTCAGAGAAGCACTGAGGCAGAATTCATACATAATTGAGGACGTTTTGACGAATTCTTTGTTTCATTCGTCATACAGAAATTTAAGAGTAGGTCAGTGAGTTGACGTTTTAGATACAGTTAATCAATGACTTGAAGCACAAGTGATCCAATTGAGAGCTTCAAGCTCACAGATAGAAGCCCTGATTCATTATAACGGCTGACCTGATGTATGAGACGAGTGGATCAGCATCGACTCTCCTAGAATCATGCCTTTTAGATCAAAAACAAACCAATCCCTTGGAATGGCTGTCCAATCTCCATTTCCAAGAAATTCACCAATTAACCCAAGATCAGGCACTGAAGAACTGTCGATAATTATGATGAAAGCCAGCTGCTACATTGCAAATGTAAAAGAAACTCTGCTCAAATATTCGCTGCTAAACCAAGCTTTGAAATCATTTGGAGAAATAGGAGGGTTGCTTGGGATGCCACACGCCTTTGAAAGGCATGAATCCCAGTTAAAATCTGAAGTTCAGCATATCCGCACCTTTTCAACGCCTGTTTTTGACAGAGTTGGAAGAATGATGACTGATCTCGGACAGGCGTTAGCAAGGAACGAAGACTTGAATGTGAATTTGATAAAGCTAGAAGAAAGAATATAATTGGTAATATAATTATTTATTTCAATTATTCATCAAAAGATATAAAGTACCTTTGGATTAAAGTCGCCCTAAATCTCTTCTTGTAAATTTTTGGGTGAGTTATCGTTGGCATCCCTGTCCCTACAACTTTTTTATATTTGCTTTCGACGGCTCTCTCGAATGTGTACTGTTCGAAGTAATCGATGATCCCAATTGCAACTTTTTTGAATTCAGGGTTAATTATGACCAGCAATGAATAGTCAACGATGTTTTGCTTTGATAAGAATAGTGTATCATTTCATATTGCTACGTCAAAATACTTCTTCATTTCTTGAGAAATGGTAATAGGTTTGCATCTGAAATCTTCTAAGTAGTTAAGGTCCATTTTTGTGCGCGTTTCACCTTGTTTTACGTATCTTCGCTTATTACTAGTCCCTTTTAAATCATAGGTTAAAGATTTTTCAGGCATACCATAGCCTAAGTTTTCAAAAAGCAATGCCCAAACCTTGGTGTTTTCTCCTATATGATGATTTTTGTGCTGGATTTTGAATGCTCCAACTGTTTTAACTAGCTTTGAAGGCATCAGGTGATAAAAATTTTTGCAGAGGTGCTGAAAATAATTTTGCGCGATTCCTGAAAACATCGAAAATTCATTTTTATCAATAATTTTCAGAATAAATCTACAGTCATGCGACAAACTAAAAGTGGCCTGGCTTTTTCCTAGCTGTCCATTAATTTTTTTTGAATTAGAAATGGACAATAAAAATTGTTCATCTGTTCCACATGCCACCATTCTAATAGAATGGAACTGCTTGCTCCCCTATCCTTATTGAGTAGCCTCCTATCGCTCAATTTAGATAGAGATTAAAAATTATTATTATATCAAGTATAAAATGTTTTGTGCACCAGAGATAAGAGATAGAGTATGCAATATATTAGAAAATATATTAAAAATCGAATTAGGATTGTTTAGAAGCGATTTTACTTTACTGGGAGGGTTGCTTCGTTCTTCTTCTCCATAAAGGTTAATTTTCCTCTGTTTTAATATTTTTTATGGAATCGTTAGATTAATGATAGGAGAATTAGCAAAATAAACTGTCACTTTAAAGCTCGTCTCATCCCCATAAATTCTTTTTAAATTTTCCTTGCCAGCAAACTCAGTTGGCTCTGCTCCTTCAAAATTCTGAAATGTTTTTTTAAAATGAAAATTCTCCCCACTTAATAGCAAGCTTTCTATATGCTCATTGATATTTTCATTTTGAGCCATAATTGGAGAAACCACTTCTTGGTAATACTGAGTTGAATTAAGGATATATGAAATTATTGATAGATGGTCTTGTTCATATACAGGTATGCATAAATTTTCGAGACTTGTAGGCAATGTTAAGTTCCCGCCTTGGAGGTAGTTTCATTGAGGAGTAATTAGAAGCTCATCGTTCGTTGATGTATAATCAGAAGGAAGATTTGAAAATTCTGCGTCTGATTCTTGCTCATCAAAAGTAAGGAATGAGGTCGAGTACATTTGATTTCTTATTTTGGTTCTTCTTGTATCCGAAGTTTTTGACATCACTGAGAGATTTGATTCTGGAGCCAAAATCAAGAGTTTTAGCCTCTGCTTCAAAGTCTCAAGGTTCATCTTGATTTTGCAGCATTTGATAAAAAGCGTTCTTCTATAGGTTTCTACTTGTAAGTGGTTTTGAAAGCTTGAAACGCTAAGATTAGAATGCTCATCTAGCTCATGAGCGATTTCTTCATCAAGCGATTTTATATCTGTTTTGAGCGCTTCCCAGCTTTCTTCATTAGGCAATTTTTCATCTTCTTCAGTCATCTCAAGTGTGAGTCTCACTAAAAGTTCTTTGATAATTCTAAATAATCCATCAAGCACAATTTGGCTTGAATCTCTGAAGTCTACAAATAGTTTTTCTTTTAAAGTCTTGTACAAGCTGTCATCTAGAGTATTATTAATGTTCATGACTTCATAAGTAAAGTTGTTCTCAAATTTCATTTGGACTTTTATTCCTTTCACATGGAAAACAAACCTTGACTCTTTGAAATATTCATGGCCGCATTTAGCTGAAATAAATATAGAGATTTCCCCTAGATAGCTCTTTAAGGGCGGCGGATTCTGAGCGGAATCTTTCAGTTGGTCTGAACAAACTCACTTGTTGGTTCCACCAATCAAAGGATTCAGCACAAAACCCCACAGCCCTTGCAGGACTATCTAGGGGAAATCCATATATACATCTTTTGGAGCAAAAAAGTTTAATAGGAATTTATTTGAAGAGTATTCCCAGATAGCCTTAGTTAACTGGATTGGGGGCTGATCAACTTCTTTACAATTGGTGCACTCTCTTACTAGTAAAATATCTTGAGATCCTGTCTTCTTAGACATGGACAGAGAAACTATAACCATCCCATTGTTTTTCAAATAGTTGAATTTGTGGCCACCTAGAACAGTTTTGCACTCATCATCAGCACATTGCCCTTTTCCACAGGATGCATAACTCAATAGAAAATTGCCAAGGGTGGTATCTTCTTTGCTGTAAAGCGGGATTTTCTGGGTGTTTGCTTTCACACAAATTTTATTTGCACAAGTAATGTAGCTTCTAAAATACGAGCTTAAAGCTACTGTATTTTCAAAAATGGCCAGGCATGGTTTTATCCTGAATAAGCTGAAAGTTCTTCTTTCTATAAGTGCATTTCTATACTCTATAATCAGTCTTCTTATTGACATAGCGACTTTCTTATTCTCAGCTTGGTCAGGTCCTGAAATTACAATATTCCCTGATAAAGTATTATTTGCTGTATCTTTTAAAATGGAAAAATTTGAAGATCCATAGCTTACTTCATCATATTCCAGGCACCTTCCAAGACTTTCTGTAGAAGTAGATGCGCAGTATATAGACCTAATAATGCAGCCTTCAGTTCCTCTCGCAATTCTCTCCAAAATTTTAGGCTTAACATTAGAAATCACTCCAATTCTGACGCACGAAAGCTCTTCAACCAGTTCTTGAGGGAAATTTCCTTCTGTGACAACTAAAGAAACATTCATGCTTTTTATTTTCCCCAAAAATATTTTCATTATTTCTGATTCTTCTTCAATTAAGTTTTCAATCCTTACAGACTTTCTCTCACCTATATGGATAGTAGCATTTCCTTCTAAAAGCAGAACAACAGGGTTTATCACTGGCATCTCAATAGAATCACAATAAGAAGTGCCTTGAAATACAACCCCATGAACAAATGTGCAGAATGATCTATCCTTGTATTCTATCTTTTTGATTCCAATATAAGAATTCAAATCCATGTTGTCGTTTCGAAATTGCGTTGAGGAGCACACCTTGTAAACAGCGTCTTTTGTAAGAGGATATACGATTTCAGCCCAGCTTTCGTTTACGTTGTGCTCTTTTAAAACTTCAAAAACCCTATTTTTCATGAATTTCTCGATTTCAAATAATTTTTCGTCCTCACTTTCGTATTGCAACTCTTCAAAGAGTTCTCTGACCTTGTATTCTCGGCTTATTTCTTCTGTGCTTCTGACTGATTCACCTCCATCAGAGAGTGCTCTTTTGAAGTGGTCTAGGTCTTCTGGTGGAATAAGGAGGTTAGGATTATAGAGATGCTTTGAGTCGTACATTGTATTATGATGATTTAGGAGAGGCTTCGATAAGTAGGAGTAGCATTTATTGCAAACTCGGTCTACTCATACACCACTTTCAGTTTGAAATTTATTTTTAGTGCAGGTTGAACAATATACACCACCGCAATATTTACAGTGGTGTCTTCGGGTAAAAGCTGAAAACGTTTTTTTGCAGTTTATACATTCTTTGACTAGCTCTTCTATTTAATAATAAGCAAAATTTACTTTAAATTTTATTTCCATATATTTATTTGAACATAAAAGGCTTTGGAATATTTTTTGGTGCTTTGATATAATTGCATTTTGCCCCTATTTTTCTATACGATATTTTTCTAAATCCAAAAATACATTTTTAATAAAAAGGTATGAATAGGGAAGTAAGGATTCTGGCATCCACATCTCACGGGAAATTGGGTCAAATGCCATGTTTCTGTTTTATAAAATAGATTGCAGGTAATTATTACTGGTAAGACTCCATAATATGTCTTCACGATCTTAGAGATATAATTTTAAGTGATAAAAATTAATTAAATAATTATTTTGATGAAAATAAACAACCGCACTTTTATTGTGGTCTTTATTAATAAATAAAGTCTATCTATTTTCCTCCTAATTTGATAATCTCTTAAAAAGATTTATCCTGAAAATATGAAAGATATTTCTTCCATCCGCTAAATTAGGCCATATTATGAGGAAGCAAACCTTAAAATCACTATTTTTTGCTATAAAATCATTCTAGTGAACAAGCAAAAAAATTTGCAAACAATATATAAATCGATTAAATCGAAAAATATAAATTTTTAAAAATTGCGAGAAAAATTAGAATTTAAAAATTTAAATCCATTATGCACCATCATAAAAATTTTGCTTTCTCACAGAGAAGAGTTAAGTAGATTTATTTGCAAATAAATAGGCGAATATACTCAATAATTATATCCTGATCCTCTCCATCATAATTTAGATAATGAAAATTTTAAGATATTAAATAAAAGCAAAAGAAGTTTCCGAATATAAAATTTCATTTTTAAAGCCTTAGAATTTCCAAATAAAGATATCATATGGAGGATTCATCAGAAATAACTCCAAACTCAAACTTTCTTTCTTCACTACAATGTCCTGAATGTTCTGATTATTTCACTGTTCCAATCTTTCAATGCGATAGTGGCCACTCACTCTGCAACAAATGCTCTCAAACATTATCTCAGTGCCCCATCTGTGATGATCAAATTGGAAGAAAATTACGAAATTACCACCTAGAACAGCAATTATAGCTCATCAATCTCTATAGATCTTCATCATGGAAAAAATAGCCGGTATAATTGATTTCATATCTTGCATGCTTTAGATCAGAACCCTTACTATTTTGGGAAATTTTCAGGCTATCAATAAAATCTCATGAATTTTAAACTAGCTTAATCTAGTTTAATTTAATTTTTTTTAAATAATTATAAAAATATTTCTAACAATTAGCATGAATATCAGCAAAAAAAAGCCAAAACGGCTTATTTCCCCACCTTACTCGAAAAGCGGGAATTTTGCGGAAAAACAGCATTGGCCTAATCTAGTGAACTAAAAATGATTAGTAAAAAATGTTTTTAAACCATTCTGAAATTAAACGAGCCAAACTTAAAAATATCTTTATTATAAAAATTTATTTTTAATTTAAGATACCCTTATAAGCTGGCACTGATGAGTATCCCCAATTTTCCCTATTTTCGAAAGAATTTCGGCTCAATCAAGTAAATTTAATTAAATTCAGTATGTAATTATTATAAAAGGATATTCTTTTTTTAAGACATTATAAATTTGTGTTTTATTAATTAATATAGTTTAATTTATATATATACCTAAAATGAAAAAAAGACTTGAACTGTACACTTTTTCGGTCAAGTATGGAAACAATCTTGTAGAAGTTTTAGTTATTGGAGATCAATTACTTGTAATGCTTAAGATTCCATCTTATTTTGGCACATACACTATTGCTCGATTTTCTTTGTCAAGCATTTGACTTTAGCGAATTTCAAAAAAAATGGCTTATGTATATTTGATACAAAAAAAGATTCGAAATATGCATTTTTCCGGTGAAGTGTAGACAAAATCTGATAAGGACTTAGTTTTTTGATATTGAGTACTTGCGATACTTAAGATTTCCAACTTGTTTTTTAATATATTTATATTGTTCGATTTTCTTTTTCAAATATTTGACTTTAGCGAATTTCAAAAAATGGCTTCTATATATGGATGCAAAAAACTGCGCACTTTTCCTGTGAAATGTGAAACAATCTGATTGGGTTTTAGTTGTTGGACATTGAGTGTTGCAATACTTAAGATTCCAGCTTGTTTTAATGTATGAACAATTATTTGAGATAGATCGACTGAGGCATTTATCTATAAATAGATTATAAGAGTATTAATAAAAAAATTATAGTGTCTTTAAAAATGATTACCCTTTTATAATGATTATTTATACTGAATTTAATTAAATTTACTTGATTGAACTGATAGGGAAAAGTAGAGATACTATCAGTGCCAGTCTATAAGGGTATCTTAAATTAAAAATAAATTTTTATATAATAGAAATATTTTTAAGTTCGTTTACTTTCAAAATGGCTTGCACTTGTTACTAGTCATTTTTAGTTCATCAGATGTAGGCCAATGCTATTTTGCCACATAATTGCCACTTTTTAAAAGGGCGAGAGAAGAACCATTTTAAACTGTAAATAACCTTGGCTTCATTTTCCAAGCCTTCATGCTCATTATTAAAAATGCTTTCTTAATTATTTAAAAACAATATTGAACTAGTTTAAAATAAGTGCTTTTATTATTTTATCTGAATGTTCCTCTAAAGATTGATGGGTCTGGTCTAAGACGTGCAAGATATGAAGCCAATTATAAAGGCTATTTCTTTGATGATATCGATCTATAAAGGCTCATGAGCTATATCCACAATAGATTATAAATGCCAATACCCAGGCTGCACAGAAATAATAAAACTGGCATCTCGAGTAAAGCATGAGGAAGAGTGCCCATTTGGACCTAACTTGCAATGTTTGCTGCAAAATTGTAAATGAGTTGGGACCTCAGGCAGACTCCTTTCCCATTTGAATGCCAAACACAAAATCCCTCATTATGATATTTTAGGAGATACTGCAGAATACTCATCAAGATTAAGATCAAGTTCTCCATCTGCTGGCTGTGTCAAATTATTACATACCTTTTATGTAGATGATTTGCAGCCTTGCACTATTTTGACTTACATTTTTATGGACGGCTCAAAAAATTTGCTTTATCCTCAGTTTCGAGCGATTTCAGGAAATCCCTCAAAGTTTACATTGACAATATGAAACTCAGACTCAGACGAAGTAGATGAATTAGTAATTATAGGGAAACCAAAGATAGTAAAGTACAGTCTTGAAGAAGAAAGAGAAAGAAAAATGTGTCTGGCGCTAGATCTTGACAGCATGGTCAACAAATTTGCATTTGAAGATAAAGTGGAAAAAGAGCATAAACTGCTGCATTATAGACTCACAGTTAAACTTGCTGAAAATAATAATTAGTTTGCCATTATTAAAATCTTATGATTAACTCGAACGCTTCCCAGGACTTAGAGACGATCTAATTGGGGTTGGTACTGTAGACCTAATATGAGGCTTTATCGGGCTTCCTTCATATCTCCCTGCTGCTGTGGTATGCTTGCCTTTTTTCTTATTCGTCTCGATTTTCTGTATATTTTCCATCTCTCTTCGTATGTTCTCGTATTTTTTCCCAATCAAGTCGAATTCTATGTTCCTTTGCTTGCTGAGTTCATCAAGACCTGTTTTTTGCCTCTTTTTTATGTTTTCGATTTCCTTCTGAAGCCTGTTTTCTAAAATAATCATTTGCTGCTCTATCTTAACCTGCCTTATTTCTAGATGCTTCATTTGTTCGTAGGACTTAAGCTCTTCGATTTGTTTGAGTAAGCCATTAGCTTCCATGTATTTTTGTGTTTGCACAGCCCTTTCTTTGCATTTAATCATATTTAATAATTGTGCACTTGGCTTATAAGCAGTTGGAGTTATTGACTCCAATCTTTCTCTTTCTTCTTTAGCCTGAATTTGATGCTTTTGAAGAGTTTTTTCTTCTTGATCTTTACATCTTTCAAGATAATCCTGAATGACTTTGTTCCAGTGGCTGTTAAACTCAGCAACTTCTGTTTGATAAGCCTGATCTACCATATCTCTTTCTTCATTCTGCTTACTCCTCCCTCAGTGAGCGAAAAAAAGCATTCGAAAAATCCCTTATTTTTTGCCCAAAAATCCACCCTCTGTGAGCGAACAAAAATTTTTTTAATAGAAAAATTTTTTATGGAAAAAAATTTTAATGTATAAGTGATAATTAGTATAATGAAATCTCGAGCTAATTTTATTTAATTTTAAATAAATTGCTTTTAAACATAAATTTTATAAATTAAATTAATATTTGCTTTCTAATTTTTTTAAATTTCGAGGAAAAAAAATTAACCCCCCTCCGTGATTGAAAAAGTTTTTTTGTTCACTCTCGGAGGGGGGGAGTTAGCTTTTAGCTCTGCTACTTGGTCTCTCTGGAGTTTTTGCTTTAACTCCACAATTTTTCGGGCTGTTATTTGAGCTTCCACATATCGCTCTTCAGCTTCAAAGCTTTTTTGTTCTTCTTTTAGTGAATTTATAAGTAAGGACAATTCGTTGTTACCTGGGGATCCTTGGGAGGGAGAATGAGAATGTGAGGGCTCCATTGAGAAAGCTTAACGAAAAATTAATTTAATTATTTGGTGAAATCTAAGAATATTTTTTAGTTTTAACTGATTACTGGTCTCTTTAGCCCAGTTTTGGAAATCGGCTGTTATAAGTTCCTCAAAATTTACCTCAATAACTGATACTTTAAAAGAAACAGTAATGGATTTTTACCTGCAGTTAATTGCTCTACAGAGTCATCAAAATTTGTTGATCCTTTTTAATTGATTCGTTGATGCTAAGATCAATAGTAAACTTGGCATAATTGGGCATCCTTTATTTTATTTTCTTATCAAAGTAAATGCTTTTCGATAAAGATGAAATTTGGGGTTTCCAGAATTAGATGCAATTTTTAGTTGTTTCCATATTTCATCTTTTTTAAACCAATATTTTGTTTTAATATCTTTGCTTTAGCATATATAAAAATTGCCTTTGAGTAGCGCGCTAAGCGCCCGAGACTTCCCGACGAAGTCTCAGGCGCCTAGCGCGCTACTCAAAGGCAATTTCTATAGCATTGGACAGTTGTAAAATTATGTCAGCTATTTTTTTAAGGTTTGATCAGAGATTTGAAGCTACTTTGATTAATTGGAAAATCCCATTTTTTCATCTGTTATTTGTTGAAAACTAAAGATAACTTAGGAAGCCATTAGTTCAGGATAATAAAGTAAAAGCATTATTTCAATTCCTAAATCTTGAGAATCCTTGCTAAAGTTTTTTATTATATTTTTTTATGTATTTTCTTCTCAATACATTACAAAAAAACTTCTTTAACTCTTTTAATCTTCCAGGGAATTGCCAGGAGTCATTATGGAATCTGAATTTATATAGGTTTTATCTCTGCGACTTGGTCTATATAAATTCTTTGCTTTAATTAAGTTCACAATTTTTAGGGGTATTATTTGAGTTTCCATTCTTCTTTTAGTGAATTTATTAGTAAGGACGATTCCTTGTTTCCTGGGGATCCTTGGGAGGAGAATGAGAATGCGAGCTCCATTGAGAAAACTTAACGAAAAATTAATTTAATTAATGGTGAAATCTATGATCATTTTTAGTTATAACTGATTATTGATTTCTTATAAATAAAATGGCATTCAGTTCGACAGAAATTAGCTCTGCTAATTTTCTCTCCCTCATGGAATTTTTTTTATGGGGTTTAATTTCTCTCGAGAACTTCTGCACAGCAACAGTGGTTTAACTTGGGGATAGCCAGAGGAACTGTTCCACAGTGCAACCAAGAGGCTGAGATTTACCTTTCAGCACATCCTAGTAGGGTGACCCTTAGGCGGAAAATCGCAGGAGCTAAGTTAGGGAAGGGCGACAGCATCGTGCAAGGTGAGAAGTACTGATGGGGTGGCAGGCGTCTATTTGGAATGATCCGATCTTTTGGATCTAAAATGTTCGTGATATCACCATTATGGCTCTGCCCGTTTAGTGGGAGCGTGGCATTAGATACTTTAAATGCTTTAATTAATTTAATAAAAATGTAATTATTATTGATTCTTAAGTCCAGTTTTGACCTTTTTAATTTGTTTTTTGATTCTAAAATCAATAATAATTTTACACAATTCTGACCTATTATTTTTTATCAAAGTCAATAGACTTTAATAAGGATGTAATTAAGGTGGTCCAAGAAGTTGATTCACATATAAGAAACTTCCTTATTTCATCAACTTTGAGCCAATACTTTGCATTAAAAATGTCGCTTTTGGGATACAGCTTGGACAATTTTATAAAATAATGGCGTCTGGCAGAATTTTCAATTTCTCAGCTGGTCCTTCTATGCTCCCAGTAGAAATCCTAGAGCAAGCTCAAGCCGATGTTATAAACTGGCATGGGACTGGAATGAGTGTCATGGAAATGTCTCACAGATCAAAACCTTTTGAATCCATCCACAAGAAATGCATTCAAGATCTTAGAGACCTTCTCAACATCCCTCCAAACTTCAAGGTCCTCTTAATGCAAGGAGGCGGATCAACCCAATTTGCTTGCGTCCCACTAAACCTTCTCAAAGATAAAGAGACTGCAAACTACCTCACTACTGGAGCTTGGTCCACAAAGGCCATTGAAGAAGCAAGAAAATATTGCAGAGCTCACGAAGTCGCAACTTCCAAGTCTATAAATCGATCCCTGATTTAGATCGGGCTTACTGGATTGGGGAAAAGTCAGATGTGGATTTGACGAGCCAACTTTTCTGGTAAAGTCAGATCCCCAGATGGCAATCTTCTTGCTATTTGATTTTTGTCATCTGGATTTGACTTTTTCAAAAAAATTAGTTAGTCAGCTCCCCATTTGAAGTCTCCCGCAGTCAAGCCCGATCCAAAGCAGCGATCGAGCTATACCAATTTCACAACCATCCCAGACCCTAGCACTTGGAACGTAGATCCAAACGGAGCTTACTTCCATTACTGTGCAAATGAGACAATTCACGGTGTCGAGTTTACTTTGACTCAAGAAATGCTGGACAGAATTGGCGAGGTTCCAATTGTAGCTGATATGTCTTCAAACTTTTTAAGTAAGCCAATTGACTTTTCTAATTCCACTCCTTTGAATTGGAAGAAAAAATCCTGTTAAAAAATAAAATAAATCTTAATAATAATATTTTTGTAAATATTTATAATTAAAATTAAATTGAATGCTATATTGCTGAATTTTAAAATTTTTATTTAAAAAATTATCCTATTCGAAGAGTCAACTATTTATATAACATTCTGCATGAAGTTCCTCATTAAATAGAGTCAAAGATAATTATATAAAAATTAGTATTTTCATCTATCAAATCTTAAATTGAAAATTAAAATTTTGCTCTAATTAGGGGCTAATTTACCCAAAAAGTGACGATTTTATCAATATTTTGTTTCAATTTAAAGGGGGAGTAAGCACGCTGTAGTATATGCAGGCGCCCAAAAGAATGCTGGCCCTGCAGGCGTCACTTTTGTGATTGCTCGTGAAGATATGTTAGGACATGCCAAGAATATCACCCCAACTATGTTGGACTGGAAAACCCAAGCTGATAACGATTCCATGTACAATACCCCACCATGCTATGCAATTTATATCTGTGGACTTTACTTTGATTACATGAAGAGACATGGAGGAATTGAAGCAGTTCAAGAACTTGATAGACAAAAAGCAGCAATTCTTTATGATTTGTTTGATAGCTCCAATGGATTCTATACAAATCCAGTCAATCCTCAGTATAGGTCAAAGATGAACGTACCTTTCTTAATCAAAGGAGGAAATGTGGATTTGGAAAAGAAGTTTTTGGCAGAAGCTGAAGCTGTTGGGCTATCAACATTGGCTGGTCATCGCTCAGTAGGAGGGCTAAGAGCTTCAATATATAATGGAATGCCATTAGAAGGTGTCAGAAGACTTGCAGACTTCATGACTGAATTTAAAACTATCTCCCTACATTAATAAGTAAATTCTTGCTTATTTCTCGGAGTTTTAGCACAAAATTTTGATAACTTGAGGTAAATATAAAAATTCTAATTTCTGGCATTTTATTTGGAAAAACCTTATGACCTCGGCGAACTAAGACGGACTCCGAGCTAAAAATCAAGTGTTGTATCACTAATATGGCTAGCACCTGACTTTAAATAATCCTATTCCTTATCTAGAAGCACTCAGTAATAACTATTTATATAAATTTACTTTTCGAAAATTTTGTGATAACCCCACGAATACGCAATAATTTACTTTTTATAACGGGAGTAAGCATGAGGCAGAATAATTAAATAGAGTTACATAAGAAATTGATAATTAAATTTGTTAGGCTCTTGCAATTTTCTCAAAGGAATTCGTTCTAGGCTTTTTGAGAAGTTTCGGAAGAATTTGAATGCATCGAGAATTGTTCCTTTTTTGCTGCAGAGCGTTTTTTGTGAATCTGGAGTGTTTGGGGGAGAGAATGCGTGGAATTGATGTGAAGTTAGCATAGATATGATGAAGAACTTTGAGAGATGATTTTAAGGGGATATTTTTTGAATTTTTTGGAGCCTGGAATTTTTTATTCAATTGTCCTAAAGGCATAGGATGTTTCTTTGCAAAGCTATCAATATTTGGTGTTTTAGGCGGAAAAGTGGCATTTATGTTTTCATTTGAGATTTGAAGTTCTTTTAGTTCAATCTGAGGATCCCATTTTTTCATCTCTTCTTTGCTGAAAACTACAGATAATTTGGTAGCTACTAGTTCAGGCCAATAAAGAAAGTACATTATTTCAGTTCCTAAATCTTGAGGATTCTTGCAAAAATTTTTAATCATGTTTTTTAGATTTTGTCCTTCCCAACACATTGCAAACGACTTCTCTTCACTTTCTTTTAGCCTTCTGGAAAATAAACCTTCCATCATTTTAGCTGTAAGATAAAGTAACTTAGAATCTCTGAGAATCAAGCCTTTGGACTGCAGTTTTCTTATGGTCTCCTCTATTTTGCCTTGCTTTACAGCTTCTGGAGTTAGCAAAATTAAGACCCTTTCCCAATCTGCTCGGTTGAGTGAATTAGGGGAAACGTCAGGAATCATTATGTTATCTGGATTTTATATATATTTACCATTTTATGTATTAGGGATAAATTCAAATTCAATTAACCTCAGTCTTAAAAATAAAAATGAATTTAATTCTGAAGTGGGGCATAAAATGATGTATTGCTACCAGTACAACTATTGCATTGATGATAACTACACAGAATACTTCCTATATTTTCTTTCAGCTGCATGCTTAAATCATTTTTTTTTGGAATATCATGCTAAGAGTCAAAACAACAGAAAATAATTTTAGAGCTATTATTTAATTTTGAAACTCTTTGAACACAGATAAAAATAACCAGTGAGGAGCCACCGTGCTCTTCGTGGCGGTGCCCTTATTTATAGAATGTAGTTTTTGCTTCAAAGAAGCTATCAAAGGGTTGGGTTAGCCTCGAAGCAAATCCTAACATTATTTCTGCAGATTAATGGATCTGGCTCAAAGCATTTTTTGCTTCATTTTGCCAGTAGCGCCCAGGCCTAGGTTGAATATTCAATAGAGCAGACGACTTGCATGCCTAGGCTTCTTGATGGCCTACCCCGAATAGCTTAATCTGGCATGTCTTTAGTCAAGGGAAAAAGTAGAAATATTCAATCACTCTCGAGGGCTAAAGTCTCTCCAGTTGATAAGGATCCTGATTAAGGAATGATCTTGTTTAAAGTAAATAGGGTTGAATATAATCTAATCTTGAAATTCTTAGATTAAGATTCCCTATTGATTTATATGATTTATACCTAAAATGTAGCCACATCCGACAAAAGCATATCCTATGGTTATAAAATAATGGCGTCTGGCAGAATTTTCAATTTCTCAGCTGGTCCTTCTATGCTCCCAGTAGAAATCCTAGAGCAAGCTCAAGCCGATATTATAAACTGGGATGGGACTGGAATGAGTGTCATGGAAATGTCTCACAGATCAAAACCTTTTGAATCCATCCACAAGAAATGCATTCAAGATCTTAGAGACCTTCTCAACATCCCTCCAAACTTCAAGGTCCTCTTAATGCAAGGAGGCGGATCAACCCAATTTGCTTGCGTCCCACTAAACCTTCTCAAAGATAAAGAGACTGCAAACTACCTCACTACTGGAGCTTGGTCCACAAAGGCCATTGAAGAAGCAAGAAAATATTGCAGAGCTCACGAAGTCGCAACTTCCAAGTCTACCAATTTCACAACCATCCCAGACCCCATAGCTTGAGCATCCTTATGGATCGCTTAAGCCCCTAGCTCTATTTGCCAAATGAGAGCTTGCTTATTTAACTTCAGCTAATAAGCTGCCTCTTATTTTGGAAATTCTTTAAGATTCGTAGATTACCAAATTTAGTGTTGACTTGTTAACTGGAGTTGAATAAGGAAGGTCTTAATTGGCAAATAGAGTTGGAGGCTTAAGCGATCTATAAGGATGCTCAAGCTATAGCACTTGGAACGTAGATCCAAACGGAGCTTACTTCCATTACTGTGCAAATGAGACAATTCACGGTGTCGAGTTTACTTTGACTCAAGAAATGCTGGACAGAATTGGCGAGGTTCCAATTGTAGCTGATATGTCTTCAAACTTTTTAAGCAAGCCAATTGACTTTTCTAAGCACGCTGTAGTATATGCAGGCGCCCAAAAGAATGCTGGCCCTGCAGGCGTCACTTTTGTGATTGCTCGTGAAGACATGCTAGGACATGCCAAGAATATCACCCCAACTATGTTGGACTGGAAAATCCAAGCTGATAATGATTCCATGTACAATACCCCACCTTGCTATGCAATTTATATCTGCGGACTTTACTTTGATTACATGAAGAGACATGGAGGAATTGAAGCTGTGCAAGAACTTGATAGACAAAAAGCAGCAATTCTTTATGATTTGTTTGATAGCTCCAATGGATTCTATACAAATCCAGTCAACCCTCAATATAGATCAAAGATGAACGTACCTTTCTTAATCAAAGGAGGAAATGTGGATTTGGAAAAGAAGTTTTTGGCAGAAGCTGAAGCTGTTGGGTTGTCAACATTGGCTGGTCATCGCTCAGTAGGAGGGTTAAGAGCTTCAATATATAATGGAATGCCATTAGAAGGTGTCAGAAGACTTGCAGACTTCATGACTGAATTTAAAACTAAGCACGAGGCAGAATAATTAAATAGAGTTACATAAGAAAATGATAAGTTATGTTTGTTTAGGCTCTAGCAATTTTCTTAAAGGACCCAGTTCAGGGCTTCCTGAAAAGTTTTGGAGGATTTCAGTAATCTTTAATTTTTCTTTTGATGTCAGGAATTTTAGGACTGATGCGATATTTTTGCATTTAGAAATTGCTTCAAGCAGTTTGGTGCTAAAAGAATCATCAATAAAATAATCATGAATGGTCTGTATAATTTGCATAAGAAAATCTGATTCAATTCCTCCCTTCATAAAGAGCTCATTTAAGTTGATGTTTGTTAAGTATTCTTTTAGTTTCTCTTTATTGTTAGAAAGCATAGCCCAGTTTCTTTGTAGCTCAGAAATAGTTTTCGGCAGTGGAATTGATTGTACAGGAATGCTTTCAGTCGCTTTCTTAGATAAATCTTGGATTTTTTCTATTGAGGCTTTTTCTTCTTCAATTTCAACGATTTTTTTTTGGGCTGGCTCTGTTAAATTTACATCTTTAACAGGAACTGAAGCTAGATCAAATTTAGCAAGCCGTGTTTTATTGGTCATTTCATTGATTATTTCTTCTATCTTCTTTTTGCGCCTTTTTTCTACCTTTAATAGCTCTTGGGCTATTATTGCATTTTTTGGTTCTATAGCACTAGCAGCATTCAGATCTTCAGTTGCTAGTTTGAATTTTCCAAGCATTTTCCTTGCTTTGCTTCTTCTCACTAATGATTTAGTATGTGATGTATTAACACTCAGAGCCTTATCAGCGTAATTTTCGCATTCATTGTATTTGTTCAGTCTTAAAAAGCATTCTGAGCAATTGGAAAACAAAATTACTTGCATTTCGTCGTTAGGACTCATGTCTAAACACTTTTGGTAGAGCTCGAGAGCTTTTGTGTAATCTTTTGTAGTGAAAGCAAGCGTAGCTTGATCTTTTGTTCGGTCTAAATCGCTGTTATTAGATCTTCCTCCTTTAATTACAACTTTAGACCTTGGCAAAGCTACTTTGGCTGGTGCAGATGGAAGAGTCGGTTGAAGCTCATCCAATTGTTTTAATTCTTCATCAGCATCAAATTTATCCCAGGCTTTGTAATATTCAAACATGTTAGTCTCATCTCTTTTATATTTGGAGGCTTCCTTTTTTGTTTTGGATTCTTCTTCTTGCTGCAATGAACTTCTTACTCTCCTCCATTAAGGAACAGAACCATTGGTAAAATCCCTATTTTTTGGGTGTGAGCAAACAAAAAATTATTTATAAAAATAAATTTTTTTGATATATAAGTAATAATTAATATAATGAATCTCGAACTAATTCTGTTGAATTTCTAACAGCTTACATTTTAAAAACATAAATTTTACAAATTAAATTAATATTTTCTTTAAATTATTTGAAAACAAATTTATATAAAATGCTTTAAAAAATAATAACCCCTCCGTAGCAACAAAAATTTCTTTGTTCGCTCACAAAAGGGGAGTTAATGGTTTATCGATTCTTGGTTCTGCTTTCTTTTCAGAGAGTGAGTTATCAAGCGCGTTTATTTCATTTTCCCATCTTTCTAGATCACTAATATAATCTTTGATTGATTGCGCATTGTTTCGAATTTGGTTTTGTATTCCTATAGCTTTATCTGCCATAGCCCACTTTTATTATATTTTTACGGTATTTTATTATCCTACAGTAAAGATTTTGAGGTATTTTCATTTCATCTTTTGTCAAATATAATTCGATTATAGATGCAATTTCAATATCTTGAGTTTAGATAAGAAAATTTGATTAAAAAAGCAATTTAAGAAAAAAATTAAAACTGAGGAAAGTCTATAAAAACAATACTTATGCAAGATTACTGCTGAATAATTCTTATTGATTTAGAACAAATTTAAAATTTCAGCTGAAGAATAAATATATATTAATTAATGCCAAATTTCTTGAAATTATTCACCTGAAAAGGGATGGATAATTCTTTTACTTCCAAAATATTCTAAATAAAATATGACTATTGAGCTAATCGTATCAGCAAAAGGCAAAAACGAAATTTTGTTAGAAAGAGCTCCTTCAACGTTAGAAGAGCTCAGAGAGAAATGCAGCTCCGTCTACAAAATCCGCGGAGAATCAATATCGTTCCAATATAAAATCCTAAAAGAGCGATATCCGATTCTCAACAATAAAACATACACAACTCTAATAAGTTCAAATCTTGGTACAGTAATAATTCGCGCTGCAATTTCTCGCGACTCAAAATCTACATGATCAACACTCGACTCAACCATAAGGGACAAACTATCTTCGGCTTCCTATTCAACAAACCCAACAAATAATCCAACAACTCCTCACAGCGATTTTTCTGCGAAATTTTCAGAAGATTACTTATCTATGATCCAGCTGGGAGAAAGCACAATTATCCAAAAAAGTTCAAACGACTTAAAAACTCGCCACCATACTTTTGAAAATGGTGAAATTTATATTGGAGAGTTTGGAACGCATTTTATGAGAAATGGGCAAGGCAGCCATAAATGGACAAATGGAGATTTTTATGAAGGGAATTGGAAAAATGATCGAAGGTCAGGGTATGGAAGGATGCTTTATATTGATAGTGGAGTTTATGAAGGCTATTGGAAACATGATAAAAAGCATGGGAAAGGAAAATTGACGACAAAAAATGGAAGCGTTCTTGAAGGAGTTTGGGTGTCTGATAAACTCCATGGGAAAGCAATAATAAATTGTCCATCAGGAGATCTATTTGAAGGGTTCTTTATAAATGGGAAGCCTGATGGATACGGAAAACTTATAACACAAAATGGCTTGTCATACTTGCCATATAACGATTCGGTTTTAATTTAATTTGATTGGATATTATCCGATAACTGAGAGCAAATTCTGGGGTGTTACCCCTTAATTTACTAGTTGTTAACAAAATCTGAGCAAACGCATCTAAGAATGCCAGCCTGATCGCAGTCTCTATCGTCCGAATACTTCATCAAACTTCTTCCAAATAAGTATCTTCCTCTTCCAGGTGCCTTTAAAGTGTTCCACGATGCGTTTTCAAGGTCTATATTATGCTGGAAGTATCCTTCATTTCCATTAAACTTAGTAAATCCCAATAATTGCTGCTTTGATAAGTCTTGATATGCATCTTCAAACCAATATCTCGCATCAATATCAATCATGGCATATTCAAGTGTCCTATAAGTCTCATAATCTTCATGTTCCTCTAAAACCTGGTCATATGGTATATTTGTTAAATTTATATACTCTTTTGGGGTATGCTTTAAGTAAGCAAAGCATGTATCAATTCTTCTATAAATCATAGTAACAATATAAGGACTTAAGTTCTTTTTCCATAATTTTCCTTTGAATTGGTAAGCAACTTCCATGAAATAAAGATTTTTCTTGCAGTCTCACACATCAGTGAAATCGTTCATTTCATGCAAAAAATTGGATTTTATTTCTCCTCCAAACTCAGGAAGTGTAGCGAGATGGCGGAAAGTTCAGTGAGTGTCATAGTGCCCGACTAGTTTTTGTTCGTTTGCAAGCAGGCTTTTTCTAAATTCTGGATATTTGTTGAGAAACCAAGTTGGGTAGATAAAAAATAGGACTGGGAGTTTTTGTTCAAAAGCTCCCATTTCAGTGGCCATGAAGTAAGGCCCCATGTGAGATCCATGATCTGAGGTGATGACTAAAATTGTGTTGTCGAGTTTTCCTGACCTCTTCATGTCAAGTATAAAATCTGACAAATCTGGATCTACAGTTAAAATCACTTCACCTGTACCTTCATGACCTTCTTGCAGCGGAATGTGGATTATTTTTCCATAGTTTTTATAATTCATCCAAAACTCATCAACATACTCAAAAATGTGCTTGTGGACGTATTTACCATTGATACATCTTCTTAGGATTGAAAATGGTCCTCCAAAATTACCAAATGTCTTTTCCATAGGATGGTATTCGAAATGGCAAAAAGGAAAAGATACCGCATGATCCATCCCACTAAAGGTTTTCTTTAAAAATACAGACATTCAGTCTTCACAAAATCCATTAATATACAATGCTACGTTGCCTTGGCCTCTCATAAAATCCCAATATGGCCTTCCACTTCTGTTTTGTCTTAATTGTGATCCAGTGTACATAGCACGAGTATTATATTCTGTATTAAAACCATTTGAAATGATCCTAAAAAATTGAAAGACCTCGTTTTCTCCAGTTTTATTCAAAGTCTCCAAAACATTTACTAAATTATTCATTTTCCTGAAAACTTGTGAACGAGATACAGTGTCCATCATAATGACTACCAAATTCATTGGCGGGACAGTTCTTTGTTTGTTTTCTTTGTCTAGCCTTTCAATAACTTCTTTTTTGGGAACATTTTGGATATAGAAGTCTTCTCGATCGCCACAAAAGACTTGGAATCATTCTGCCTTTATTCTCAAATTTTGTGATCTATGTTTGAATTACTTTCCAGGAACTTTGTAGCGTTTTTCCATAGCTTTGGTTCTATTATTCCAGCGCTCCATGCCAGTTTCTGTCAATACGAACATGTCTTGCCTCATAGATACGAAATCAGGCCTCTCAACGATAAGGGCTTCTGAGTCACAGTTAATTGAAAGAACCCCATTTTCTAAGCTTGAAAAGTGATCAACTTTTGGGCATTGGCTACTTCCAGCTAAATAGACTTTTACTAATTCCTCCTTTTGGTTAGCGAGGGAATATTTTTTTAATATAAACTATAATTTAGCCTATGTATGATGAACAAAGAAGCTTCACAAATTTTATCAATATTTATTTATGCTTAGAAAATGGAATTATTTGATACGGTTTCGATTAAATTTCTTGAAAAAGAGAATTACTCGATTTATTTGTAAGAAAATGCTTGCTAGCTAAGGGGAAGTAAAAAAATTAAGGGTTCGATGAGGAAGAATTCCAGGCCAAGGATAACCTGGAGGCTCTAAGTTGCAGTAGTCTTGCTCGACAATCAAAGATTTCCCTCCAAGCCCATAATACCAATTATATAAGGCCAGCTCAAGGCTAATGTATACGTAAGTAATAATAATTATAAAAGTAGCTCCTAAACTTATTCAAAACCTTCATAAGCCTTACTTTTTATCATTATTGATGAATTTTTTGATTTGTTTGCAAGTCTTATATATGATTAGCCCCAATATGATTGGAATCCATATAAGAAAACAGGCAAGTAAATTGTATTGTCCATGATGCTGCAGATCAGTTCCTAAATCATAACTCCCAACCCTTTTTAAGCGAGCAAACCATTTTTTAGTATAATTATTTATGATTATTAGAAGTATTTTAAATTTTCCTTTCAAATATTTAGAATTACAAAAAATATAATGCCTCCTCCATTGATAAGTCACTGAGCCGGGGAGTAAGTGAGTGTATAAAAAAGCTGAATTCCAATTAAGATATAGTTTACATATGTAATTGGGTCAGATAGTTGGCTATATATAAGTGAAATGGAGATAATTGTAAGTGCAATACTGGTAATCATCCAGCAAGCAAAGTATCCAGCATTATCTTTGAGGTATTCTACTTCTCCTCCTTCAAGTGTTACGAAGTAGCAATAACTTGAAATTATCTGAAGAAGTTGGCAAACAAAAGAATAGGTCAAAGTCTTTACTGGAAATGGTCTTAAAAATCTTATTAAGCTTAAAGACTTCTTTTTCCCCATATTAACTATTAATCACTCATATTTTTAACTTAGTGCTGCTTCATCCTATTTAATGACAGATCATCTATACTTGTATCTACTAATAAATTCAAAAGAGTTCTTTTAAATAATAATTCATAATAATGCTGCTTAAAAATACTATAATTCTAAGTCATAGCATAATGAGAGGAATTCATTAAATTATTTAATTTCATTGCAGATTTTCTTTAATTCCTGACCAAATTTAATTTATCTCTTAAATAGCTAATAAAAAGCCTGCTTATTCTCTCTTTTTCTATATGCGCCCTTTTTAAAATATTTTAAAATTAAAATAAGACGAGATTTCGATAAACGATTATTTAGAACTGATGTCTTGGTACCCAATGTTTATAAATTAAATCTGATTTGCCCGAGGAAGAACAAATAAAGTTGATAGCAGGACCAAGCCCAGAATAGCATTGCCCTGTTATGGTATTCAGCAGTCACAGGGATTGGCTGAAACTCATATATACTTGGGGGGTACCAAACATCACTTTGACGACAAGGTTTCTTTTTAGGAAACATCATTTTAAACGCTTTCCACTCCATAACGTGAGCTCTTGAAACATGTCTGTTTAGCCCTTTTTTATACTTGTAGGAGGATCCACACTTCCAGCAGCTGAACTTCTTTTCAGTAGAGTGAACTGCACTATGCCTCTCCAGATATTGCTTTTTCTTGAACTTGAAAGAACACTCACTGCATGCATAAGGACGCTCTTCGCCAAACTTTAACTTATTTTTCATATTATAAACAAGCTCGTTTATATGCGAAAATATGGACATTTAATTTGCTAAACTCTACAACCATTTTAAAGAAAAAGCCATATAAGTTTGGCTTAAAAAGGCTTTAACCGGGTCTTAAACACTAGGGAGACTAGTGATATTTAAAGATTTAAATTATTGCTGAGTATGGGTTTAGTTTTTCTCTCTTTTTCAGCTGATTTGCTATATACTCAATTATTGCATGCTAAAAAAGCTCGGATATTTTAAAATGTCACATTTTTATATCAGTTTTAATTATAAGGAATATTTCGAATTTGAAATTATCACTTATTTATACTTTTCAAGAATGAATGCAGTATGATATTTTGCTGCCATTAAAATTCTGTCACTTCAATGGTGCAAGAGACATTTATATTTATATTTTTAAATAATTTATAAGGCTGTTTGAAATTTCATCCATTAGCAAATGAAATTTATCAATTTTATAGTTTAAAGTTTTTAACCACAAATGATTGTAAAATGAACAATATTGAGTAAGACTATATACAAAATTAGAAGTTAATTTAATGCTGCATATGGCCCCTTCTAAAGTCAATATTCCTAATTAATTGTTTCTATATGCTAGGCATGAGATTATTAGTATGACAGCAAGAATTATTCTAAATACTGCTTATATAAGACTTTGGAAGTTTTATATGAAAAATAAAGTTTAATTCTTGGAACGAGCCAAATAGAAAGTCTATAAAATACTATTTATCTAATAATAAAGAATTATTTTTCTATCAATAAATGCAGAGAATGAATTTGATTGAAAATATATAATGCGCGGTTTTCTCAAAATAATTTATTACCTTCAATAATACCCTATAAATTAGCAGCTAAATTTTAAATTCTCTCAATTTTTGTATATAATCGATTTTATTTATTGTACTTGCCTATAAAATAAATTTCTTTTCATCCTTCAAGCTTGATTACTTTGGATTTTACCAATTTCCGAAACCTTTTTAGCTTAAAATAATCATAAATGGGATTGACAGAAGAACAAATAACACACTGCAAAAGCATTTTCAGTCAGTTTGATAAAGATGGTACAGGAAGGATCGACAGGTTTGAGCTTCGTGTTGTCCTGGAGCGTAACTTCTAATTAGAAATGGGACAAAAGCCAAGCGAAGAAGAGTTATTTGCAATGATTAACGAAGTTGACGATGGGAATACAGGGAAAATCGAATTTTATGAGTTTTTAAAAGTCTATGAGCAGCACCAAAATTCAGAAGTAAACAGAGATGAGCAAGATATGAGTAATTTTTATGTAGTTGACGCTTTTGTCGCAATGGGAGGGAATCCAGATACAACTGGCTCAATTGATACTGATAAGTTGATAAACGTTATAAGGCAGCAATTTGAAATGACTATAGATATTGAAAGACTTATAGAAGATATTGACGAAGACCAGAGTCATACGATAGAGTATGCGGAATTCAAAAGATTACTCACTCCCCTCCATGAGTAAAAAAAAAAAAATTTTCTCACAAGGGTCGTTGCATACTAATTTTTTTTTCTCGAAAATTTAAAAGAATCCAAATTAATTGTACAGTTTATGTTTAAAATATAAGTTATTCAGAATTAAACAGAATTAGCTAGATATTTCATTATACTAATTATCATTTATATATATCAAATATTAAATCGTTTAAAAAAATTATTTTGTTCGCTCATGGATGAGGGGGGTGGGCTTTTAGGGATTTTTCCAATGATTTTGTTCGCTCACACGAGAGGGAGTTAGCTAAAAATAATTAGCATATTTTAATATACAAGATAATATACTTATAAACTAAAACATTTTAGATCTTAAATAAATGAACCTAGGAAGCCAATCATGAATTGAATAATTATTCGCAATTTAATATCGTAGTATAATATAAGGACTATAATTTTTATTATGGCAGATTGAATTGAAAAGAACTGACAGGAGCTAACTCCTCATGAAAAAAATCAAGCCCTTGTAATGAACTGGAAAAGGGCCAAGAGAATGCTTTTAGGGTTATCAGGAGGGGGAACTTTGTGCGTATTATGGATTAAAGGAAATTTCATTGGGAGCCAGAATAAATACTCAAGGTATTTTCTATGGTCCATTCCAATCTTTATGGTCTATGGCTGTGACTATCCTTTTAGAGCTGAATACAATAAGCTCTGCGAAGCTATTAAGGAAAACCATCAAGATAAAATTGAGGACTAAAAGCTCTCTATGATAAATAATTTATGTTTATCATTCTACATACGGAATAATTCACTCAATAATTATTAATTTAGCTTTCTTCCTTAAACCAATGATATTGGATTTGTAAGGTATGTTTTAAAAATTTGCAACCATTTTGCTCCTACAGCTCCATCAACAATCCTATGATCGCAGTTCAAAGTGAACTTTGCCACCTCTCCAACTCTAAATAAAAATTACTCAGGAGCGCTTTCCCCTAGCACGACTCTTTTTTCAATCCCTCCAACACTTAAAAGTGCCGAAGTATTAGGGTTTTGCACTTCATTGACCCCTTGTTGGAAATTAATTTCAAAAGTATGATCACTTTTTGCTGGTTTTGCCAAATCTTGCTCTATTTCTGAAACTCTTTTCCTGTGAGCGTCTTTTACGATATAAGTTTGGAGCTTTCCATCAGCAGCACTTGAGATTTGAATGTCAACGTAATTGAAAATTCTTGAAAACTCTGAAAAAAATAGACCATTGGCTTCAGGGACTTCAGTGCAGGCTTGGGCTGCACATTTAATTATGAAGGATTTCAAAGAGACCTTTGGGCCGAGAATTTTTTGGATTTTATCAAGTCTGCATTCTACAGTAACTGAAAACCGAGGGGCTCTTACTGTACTTGGTGGTTGGATTGGTGCAGTTTTTGCAGTTTTTACCATAGTGACTGGCTTTTGTTCTTTTACTTCTTCTTTTGGTGGATGAGAGTCTATAAATGATAGAACATCACTTTTCAGTAAAAGCCCTTTAGGACCACTAGGCTTGATCTTGCTAGGGTCAAGATGGTTAGCTAATACTAAATTGTGTGCAGCAGGTGACATTCTTGCATCATGATGCTCTTCATCCTTTTTCTCAATTTTCACTTCTTCAGTCTTCTGTTTAGAGTCTTCACTTTTTGCTGAATAGCTTGCAAACTTGCCTATATCCGTTGCATTATCGACCAAAATAGCCACTGGATGACCAAGAGCTAGATTTGCACTTCCTTCAGCTTCTAAAATTTTAGCTAAATATACATCATCTTGAACTTCAAAGCCTAACGTTGCTTTATCTGTTTCTACTTCGAACATGATTTCTCCTGCTTTTACTTTTTCACCTTCCTTCTTTAGCCATTTCACGATTGTTCCTTGAGTCATTGTAGGAGATAATAAAGGCATACCTAATACTTGATGTTCAGGAAAAGAAGACGCAAACAATCTATGAGGGAAATGGCTGAACATAGGCTGAAGTTTTAAAGGAGGAGATAGAAAAGGTGTAGCTTTATATTTCAATGAATTGCAGAGAGCAAAAGAAATCCTCCTAAACATTTATATTTAGTTTTATTTTGATGAACGAAAATTCACAAGAATGGAAATTTAACAAGATTATGTGATATTGATAGAGTTTTAGATAGAAAGGAAAATAAAAAAGCTTAAATTAATTTGTATAGCTTGTGCATTTTAATAAATCACCATTTAACTTTTTGAAAAGTACAATGAAAAGATAAATCTCTATATGGTTTTAGAGATGCTCAATCAGACCTAGATTGTATAATGCAGGTGCCCTGGACCATAGTGCTTTTGGGTTGGTATATTGCTAAACCATAGCTATCTATTATGGTGCATAAACTATATTTAATAAAATTTGCATTTATAAATGCTTATATCAAATTTATATTAAAATGAAAGGTATTCTATCAAAGTTAAAAACCTTTGAATCTTTAGGAGTAATCCCAGAAATCTGCAATTCGCTTTCATCAGCACAAATAGAGGCTCCAACCACAATCCAAAAGCTTGCAATTCCTTCACTTCTCCAAAACACATTCCATCATTTGATCACAGCTCCTCTGAAGAAAGACCCTCTGGGCCGGAGAATGAACCTCCCTTGCAGGGGGTCTTTGGTGACTGTATTACCAATATGGCTAACGCCTAACTTTAATAACATAATATTTGATCACAGCTCAAACTGGGACTGGAAAGACTTTGACTTATCTCATCCCAATCTTCCAATTGCTTCACAGCCAAGAGGTTCAAGCTGGCAAAATCCTTACAAAGCCGAACTTCCCAAGAGCTTTGATTATTGTCCCAAATCGAGATCTTGTGGCTCAGTGCGCCGATATGATGTCAATTTTCAATTACGAAAGAAAATTAATTTCATGCAAAGTCAGCAGTGGGATCAGCATGAATATTGAAAAGGAAAGCTTATTAAACGGAGTTGATGTGGTAGTTGGAACTCCTGAAAGAGTTGAGCAGCACATTCTTGCTGGAAATTTAGATCTAAATGGTCTTACACAGCTAGTTGTTGACGAATGCGACACTCTTTTTGATATAGGATATCAAAGGCTGATAGAATTTTACACAAAATCAATGATAAAATCGAAAGGAAAAATTAATTTTTTTGCAGCAACTTTGCCAGATACACTAGTTGACAAAATGAATAATCTATTCTCAACTGGCCCAGAACAAGAAAAACCTGCATTAAAGAAAATTGTAGAGAAAGCCACCCATTATAACTTGTCACACATAAAGCATGATTTTATTCACTCTGAAGGAGGAGAAAAACAGATTTATTTGATGAAAATTATTAATGAAGCTTTAATGGATGGCCAGAAGAAATCGTTTATGATTTTCTGCAACTCAGTACCTTCGGCTGAAATGGTTGAAAGGTTATTGACAGAAAAAGGATTCAAAGCAGCCTCTCTGTCTGGAAAACATTCACTTCCGCCTGCCTATGGCGCATCGGGCCCACCGGCCTCTGGGTCGACCAGCTTTGCTACGCCAAGGTGCACCTAGTCGCAGGTGTTGCCGACTTCGACGGCTCACGACTGAGCTACTTCGCTTGAGGACATGGGTTGCCATTCCGAAAATCCATAAAAAATGGATTTTCTGGTAGGCTTTCGGCAAAAAAGGAAAAACACGAAGCCTGGGACGTAACGCCCAGTTTCACGCTAGGGAGTTGCCCGAATGGTCCTAACGGACTCTGCTGAGCTTCCCCTTTCAACTCACGTGCCTCCTTCCCCATGAGGAAAAAACATTCCTGAAATTAGACTTGGGCTAGGCTCTGAGCTCCACCAGAATTGCTTACCTAGCATTGCTGTCCTTCTCTGAAATGCAAAAACCTTGCCGGATATAATTAAAATATGAGTCGAGGCTGCATGGCGGGAGGCCATGCCCAGACGAAGACGCCATATTTTAATTATGTCTGGAAAACATTCACTTAAAAAGCAGGACAAAAAGTATCCAAGCGTTTAGAGATAAACAGATTGATTTTCTTGTATGCAATGATTTGGCATCACGAGGGCTTGATTTCCCACATTTGAATTATGTAATTAAATAAATTAATGCGTTTTGAAATCGGCATAGGATTTCTATCTATTAGCTTCCCCGCTCTATAGGGAGCGGTTGGCACTAATTGTATCGCATTAGGCTATGTCATACCTGAATTGACTCTGGGGCGTCCGTTCACTAAGGGCCTAAAGGATGGGGCATAACTTCTAGTTTCACGCTAGACACCTGCTGTTTTCAGGGTCCCCAATTCGAGTAAGCATCATACCTAATCTCGAGGATGATGGTCAACTGCGCCCTTACAGCTCCATTTAGGACAAAAAGATTCTAGCAAAATATCATAACCTGTGGCACAGGAAAACATCTACCCAAATGCATTAAGGGTGCAGATTCTGTATCTCGGATGGTTTCTCCGCCAGGCATTGCCTCTTAGTATTAAGAAATTACTCCAGGACGCCGGGCAGTCGCCTCCACCATATTAATATATATGAATTATGTAATTAATTATGAATTCCCTAGGGCTTTAAGTGACTATGTGCATAGAGCTGGAAGGTGTGGAAGATGTGGAAGAGATGGGACTGTAATTTCGTTTTATAGGAAGCAAGATAGGCCAAAGATAGAAGCAATGCAGGAGAGTTTTAAAAAGGGAACTCCACTGCATATAGAAGATTCTTTTTATACTGATGTGATAGAAAAGGTAAATGAAAGCAATAACACTTCAGAAGTTAATCAAGTAGAAAAATTGAAGACTATTTTAAGAAAAACCCAAAAATAAACAAAATTATTTTATATTGATTTCTTTATTAATTAGATATATTTGTTCATATAATCTGCGATGGATATACAATAAAGATAAAGCTTAATGAGGACATTTTACTCTATTGACCTGTGTCTTTTGATCAAACTTAATTTTACTTTTTTTTTGGCTATTTAGTTGAATACAAAGATCTTTTTTGTTAGATCAATTTAAACTGATTTTTGGGTGACTCTGAAATAGTAAAATAATATCAGAAGCTTCATAAATTTATTTTTATTTTAGTTAAAAATATTAACAAAAATTTTGTGATAAAGCTTCTTATGGTAATAAAGCCAAACAACTAGAAGATATCGATAGCAATATTTCTAGGTAAAAATCTAACTCCCCTACTCGTGAGCGAACAAAACCATTAGAAAAATCCCTATTTTTTGCAGAGAAAACCACCCTCCGTAAACAAACAAAAATTTTAATTTTGATATATAAATGATAAATATTAGAAGAAATCTCTAGCTAATAGCTTGCGTTTTAAAATGCAAATTTCGCAAATTAAATTAATTTTTGCTCTCAATTTTTACAAAATGGATTTTTTTTAAATTTTGAAAAAAATAATTAACTTCCTCCATAAGAGAACAAAAAAATTTTGTTTTCTCACTAAGGGGGAGTAAATAAAATAATTGAGGGGAAATAAAATTATTATTATTTATAGCTATAAAAAAATTTTGTATTAGAACTTAATCTCTTTTATAGCAAACAGAATAGCAAGCAGAAAAGTAAAAGCTTTAATTCTTTCTAAGCCAGCATAAAATATTTTAATTCTCTATCTATCCATTAAAAGAGCCCTACTTGCAAACAAAACTAAAGATGTTCTGGGCATCAACTCTTGCAAAAGGCAGCTCCGTAGTTTTAACTCCTGGGTCCAATGATTGGGATATGCTTCACTTATCACAAATAATCCTCAAATCAGGCTCTTCAGTTGAATCAACCAATGTGTTTGTATCATCTAAGGGACAAATACATCCACTGGCATGTCTTAAAAATGACCATGACTCTGAGTTCGTGGACTTGTACTTCAGTAAAAATGATAGCATAACTATCAGTTCTGAAGGTCCTGGAGAGGTCACACTTCTTGGTTATGCAGAAGCTGAAGAAGATGAAATTGAGGCTCAAGAATTCAGTGATACTGAAGAAGTCCCAAAGCTTGTACCTGGGAGCGAGTCAGAAAGCGATGAAGAAACAAACGAAGTCTTACCTGTAAAGAGACCTATTCAAGCTCAAAAACCTGGCCAGCCAGAGAATAAACCAAAACAAAAAGTCATACAAAAAGCAGCAGAAAGTGAAGAGTCATCAGGAGATGAAGAAGATTTAGAAGAAAATGAATCTGAGGACGAAGAAGAAAACCAAGAAAAGTTCGTGGAATTCGGAAATGAAAAATCAATGATAAAAACACATAAAAAAGATTTCAGAAAGGAAGGAAATAGGGATTTCAGAGGCAAAAGAAATTTTGAACCTAGAGGGAGATCAAATGATAATTTCAGAGGAGGAAGCAGCTTTAAAAAGAGAGATTTTGGAGGAGATAGAGACTCAGGAGATTTTCCAAGTAAAAGAGGCAGATTTAATAGCAATAGAGAAGGAGGCTTCAGAGGAAAATCCGATTTTGGATCAAGGAGAGGAGGAGATTTCAGAGGAGGTAGAGGTGGAAACTTCCGAGGTGGCAGAGGTGGAAACTTTCGAGGTGACAGAGGTGACAGAGGAGACAGAGGTGACAGAGGAGATAGAAGAGGAGGATTCAGAGGTGGAAGAGGAGACAGAAGGGGCGACAGAAGAGGAGGATTTAGAGGTGGTCGCGGTGGCGATTTTCGAAGACAAAGAAACTAATAACGCTAAACTACTCATTCAGTTTTATTAAGAATTTATATTATCTTTGACACTCCTCCTTGGATATCTTGGTGCTCTTTTGGGCAAATAAGGCGTGCATCTTGTTTCTGCCATCGTTTTAGATTTGAAATACTGTTTTGGTAATGCTACATCTTCAATAATATCTATTGAATTTTTTTGCGGTTTAATTTCTTCATTCGTTTCTTGAATTTGCTCCAAGCTTGTGCTCCCTTTATGCAAAACTTTTTCATAACTGGGGACTTTCGACAATCTTTTAGTCCGGAAAGGTGAGACTGGATAACTGTTTATCTTGTTTGGCGATGATGGGAATTTTTTTATTTTTAGAATTGAAGCTTCATCTGTATCTTCCATTTGTGTTTCACATGCTTCAGTGCATTGAGTACTTAATGTTAATGATGCAGAACGCTCGTGATCAGAGGCAGTAGGCTTCCCAGGTTTAGTTGAGTTGAAGATTTCAATTGCTGATTTTAACATTTCGTTAGTGGATTTTAGTTCATCTCTCTTTATTTCAAGATCTTCTAAACAATAACTGAGCTCGGATAGCATGTTCTCAAAGCGGCTAATATTTTCTTTAAGATCTTTTGGGGAAAAAGTGTTCAGGATTTCTCTGTACATTTATATTGTGGATTTATATCAAGCCATTTAAGATTGAATTAAAGTTCAGTATATAGAAAAATTAACGCAATTGTTTATATTGCCGTCTGATAAAAGTGTCGAAGCATAAGTATTAGCCAAAACGAAATTTAATAAAATTTTATATGAGTAAAGCCTCTTTAAGGTTTAAATTTTCAATGGGATGCTATTTATATTTTTATTAGTTTAACTATGCCTATTAAAGAAGGCTGAGTATTAGAAAATAATTTTATATTCTATATAAATATAAAGTGAGGTTAAGATTTTGAATGCAAAATGAAGATATAAACAATTTTTATAAAAGTTCGAAATATCCAACAGTGTTTTAAAGCTAAAGCATAATTATTCAATATAAGAATGAGCCCACAAAAAATAAAATTAAATTTAATAACTATCTTATGACGTAGGATTTTTCTATTTAAGTCTGATAAAATATCTCTTTTAAATTAGAAAATTTTCTAAATTATTAACTTATTCCCCCCCCCCTCCGTGAGTGAACAAAACCATTAGAAAAATGCCTATTTTTTGCCCAAAAAAAACCCACCTTCCGTGAGTGAACAAAATTTTTTTTAATAGAAAAATTTTTTTATGGAAAAAAAAATTTATATATAAATGATAATTAGTATAATGAAATTTAGAGCTAATTCTGTTTAATTTTAAACGAATTGCTTTTTTAAAGCATAAATTTTATAAATTAAATTAATATTTGCTTTCAAAATTTTGCGAATTAGGTTTTTTTAACAATTTTTTATAAAATTTATATATAAATTTTTTTAAAAAAAAAAAAAATTAACCCCCCTCCGTGAGTGAACAAATTTTTTTTGTTCACTCACGGAGGGGGGGGAGTTAGTTAATTCACACAATAATACAAAATTATGATCTTACCATGTTTTTCTTGTTATGATGATAGAAATTCTAGTAGAATAATAGCTAAGAATTTAAAATTTCCCAAATTTTATTAAAGTAGCTAAATTAGCTTAATTTATCTAAATCGCCCTTTAATTGGATTAAAACTTTCTGTTCCAATTAAAAAAATATACATTTAACCATATTTTTGGATTTTAATTATTTATTAATAGAATTAATTCAAAAAATTATTCGATTCGGAATCTAAATCATATTCTACACTTTTTCCATCAGATTAAGCCAAAAAAAATATATAAAATTAGAATTTTGACTATAAAATTTTCTTAAAGTAGAAACTTTTACCTATATTTTGTTCCAATTTAAAGAGGAAGTAAGTCTTCTTAAAATAAATAAAACTCTTAATTGAATAAAACTTAAAAACTGAACTTAACTTGAATCTTACTCCTGGCATCTTTGATCGAATCGATTGCCATAATTCTATAAATGATGAGGGAATAAAACAATTTTAGTAAAAAAATATATAATTTTTGCACCAGCCAAAATATATAGAGTATGAATGTATTTTAAATATCCCATAAAAATATTTAGAATTGCTATAACTATTATATAGCATAATTCTAAGATTCATTATTATTAAATTTAGGTGCTATATTTAAGGTGCATTAGGATGATTGAGTTTATAAAATCGTTTAACCAAAAATTGGGTCAATTTAAGGAAAATTTCATGGAATTGTCCAACTCAGAATGGAGTAGTTAAGGAATAATTTCTTAAATGGCTGTTGAACAAATAAAGAAAGTGATCATATCATTTTGTTTGCTTTTATCAGTGAGCTTGGTTATGAGTCAGCAATGTTTTCCTGTAGAATGCAAGCTAGATAACCAGCATTTTTCAAGCGACACCTGTGCATTTTGGGACGATGATGCCAAGACCTATTATTTGCAAGGATGCAGCTCTTCTTCATCTTGCTCAGGATTTAGCATCAGCAAAGGCATTAATTTTACTTGTACCGCAAACCCTACCACTAGTGTGTTGAAATGGCCAGGAGAAAAGTGCACGATAACAGATTCCACAAGTAATTGCAATACTCAATATGCTACTGGCGGGTGTGTAAGCGGAGTATGCCAAGGCCAAAAAGAGGGAGGAACTTGCTCAGTAAACGATGACTGCAACCCAGGACTATATTGCGACACAGCTCTAAGGTGCGTCTCACAGGTAGGGATTGGAGGTGAATGCCAAAATGATTATCAATGTGTAAACTCAGCAGGATGCAATAAAACCTCTACAGAAACATATGGAACCTGTGTAGCCTATTTTAACATCTCTTCTCATGATCCTATAGCTGAGTGCCCAGTAGGTGAATACACTAACTATTTATGCTCATCGTCTCTCTGTGATACTACAAATAATGGAGAGAATTATTGCTTGAGCTCAATAACTTCGAAATTTGGGAGTCTTCTTCCAGTCATTTGTCAAGAATCCTCAGAATGTGTCTCAAGCACTGATTCAAAAGACGGCGCATATTTGACAGGACAATGCATTTGCGGCTATAACAAATTAGGATACGGATTTTGCAATCAATACCCAGGAGACCCAGACTACGCTCATTTACTCTTAATGTGGAAGAAATGGCTGTGGTCATCAGCTGCGAATAACTGCAACACAAATAGAAGAAGATCAGCTGTTTGCATGGCAGATTGGTGGGATACGACTGACTACACAATGCTGCAGTATTTCAATTTGAAAGTAACTAATTGGCCTTATATTCAGATGAATGATAACTGCACTCAAAGTGTTCTGATGGCTCAATATTATCAAGCACAACAAGCGTATAATGCACTTCGTAACACAACAGATCCTGACGAGCATGGCGATAGCTCAAGTTTGATCTTAATAGGATCAGCGTTCATGCTATTAACATATGCTTAATTTCATAGCATTATTATAATAAGAATTTCTCCTAAGCCTTAACGTCTTCACTTTTGTGAAGTCACATTAAATTATTCCCACATGATAAATGATTTTAATCAAAAGAAAAATTCATAGATTTATATTGCTAGTTTTAATATAATTAACCACTCCTCAGTATAAAAATGGTCAAATTTAGAAGTTCTCATCAAGAAATGAAAAGGGTCAGTTTTACAGCAGAAATTGCACAATTTAATAAAACAAGCTGCAAACTCTGCAAATCAATTATAGAAAAAGGAGCATTAAGGATTAAAACTCACAGCTACAACTGTTGCAACTTTTTTCACCTCAACTGCTATACACCTTCTCTCAAGCAATACATATCTAAGTCAGATCTTTGCATAAAGCTTGACTCCCTTCATAAAAAAGTTCTTGACGATTGGCTTAATAATTGAAACCAAAATTATTTGCCTCTAGACAAGCCGTATCATGAACCGCCTAAACTTTTCAAGCTCATTAATTCTAAATCTTCAAAATTCAGAAGATCCTGAATTGAGATCTTCAAATATTCCACAATAAAAGACCTTGTTCGGAAGTTTTCACGTGTAAATAAAGAGTTTTATCATATAAGTTGAGACGAAGAGCTATGGCAGTTTTTCTGTATTAGGGATTTCAGCTGCATTGTACCAAAAGATACTTATCGAAACCAATATGTCACTATTTTGATGGAAATTTGCTTTGGCTGCAAAGCTGTGCCAAAGGCTGAACACTTTTATAGATGCCCATTAATAGGGAGACCATTATGTCCTTGCTGTAGATTTAATGACAAAAAATTTATAGCAGTCACAGGGCCATATATTGAGCGAGCATATAATATTGACCCAAAGGTTCTGGATTTGAAGTTTGGCCAAGGGTATGATAATAAAAAAATAACCTATAACTTTTTGGTTTGAGAAGCATTGGCAGTATATCGAGAAAAAAATAAAAATGATTTGCTTGATTTTATGAAAGATAATTGTGTGAGTGACAAATTAATTTGCATGGTAGAAAAGATAAGCACAAAAGAGATGGACTATACAGATATATTTGGGAGAATAGGAGCGAATTTTGATTCAAAGATTATAGATATATGATATCAGCAAATTTTTTCTTATATCAGAAATGGAGAAGGAGGGAGTGAATTCAAGCAAAGGCTTCTTAAAAATGAACCTTAGATGTGAGTGCATGCTAAGCTGTATAAATAAATTTTTAGTATTAAATATAAATGGATAAATTAGCAAAAGCCCAAAAATTTCTCTCACTATCAGCCCAGAAACCAATACCTGCATACTCTGAAAATACCCAATTGAAGCTTTTATCTATCTCTGATGTTGAAAATGAAAGAAAAGCTCTTGCAGGATGCGAATTAGATTTAGCAATAATCAGAGATAACTATATCAAATCTCAAGATTTGCCAAAATGGAAGCAAAAGATTCTTCTTCGCAGATTATTTATTACTTGTATAGGCGGATTGTGGGTGCTTGTTTACAGCTATGGAAAGATTGAGAGAATTATGGATTTCTTTGACTACAGCATCTATATACGTTAACTTCAATTTAATATAGTTAAATAATTTAATAATGCTTTATATGTGAGCTCCATTACATAAACCAATGCAGGGATGACTCAGCTCGTGATGCATTTCATAGTATTTCTTTGTGATAGACCTCGTTGCTTTATATGGAGTTGTTTTCGGCTTAAATGTACAATTTTTAGTCTCTAATTGTATCCTTGTTTCTCTGGCTTTGCTTATTTTTTCTTGCCTATTTTGAGTCATATCGTAGCATCTCTCATAAATGCTCCCTTCCCGAGAATGCCCAGGGCTGCTATTTATGGCAGGCTGAAATGTATATGGCTGAGGGCTTTGTTTCCTTTTTTTGCTGGTGTTTAATAGTTTACTTTTCTCGTCCTGAGATAAAATAGTCATCAAATTTTCCATTGCTACACAAAAATCATTGAAGCTCAAACCATCAGGGATTTCTGCTAACTCTTCAAGAAATGGGGACAAAATTTTGTAGAGATCAGGGTCAATTTTATCTTTGTCGACTAAATCGCTTCGAATTCTATCATTTTCAGAGGGATTCAATAATTTGAAAATTTCAATCCATCTGTGATGCTTTGTTTTTTGAATTAATTTTTGTGACCTATTGTTAGTCAAACTTCCTCTAGGGGTTTGATTTTCTAATTCTTCCCATAGTAAAAAGTATTTTCTTACTTATTCGTAGGGATTTTTAACATTATTTTTAAATAGTAAATTTAAATTTACTTATTATTTATTGGCAGTTTTTAAAAATGCAAATTGCGCATTTACCTCCAATAATAAGCAAATTTCAATCTATTTTACTCATTAAAAATTTTTTGCAAAAACTTCCACAAATAAGCAAGAAATGGTTTACTACAGGGGATGTAAGTCGAACTTTTGTTTGTAAAGTTTATTTTTTCCTGCGATATTTAATTTCCTAGGAGTTTCTGGCATTTTGCAAGTTTTTGGTGAGAAAAAGGGTCTCCCTGATACTGGATCTTTCATGTTTTCTTCTTCATATTTTTTAAGCTGCTCTATCTTAAAATCAACAGTTTTTCCAAACTGAATCAGCCTATCAGCAACTTCTCTGGCATGATCAATTGTAATTGGGTTTTCTTTTGGTTTACTCAAGCTACATAAGTCTTACTAGTACTCTTCCAGCTGCTTCTTTTTTATTTCCAAAATTTTAGCTTGATCATAAAGCTCTTCATGTTTTGGCTTAATATTTTTTTGCGATTTTGAGTTTATAAGCTTTTCGCTTCTGGAATTTACTTTTGGCTTAAATGTACAATCCTGATCTTCACTTCTCAATGAAGGTCTATGCTTTTTTGGCTCCTTAGAATTTGAAGAAACATTTAAGTTCGGTTTTGGAGAGTAATGGTGAATCACTGGGCGAAATGTCAGCTCTAGTGACTCTTTTGCCATCTCTTTTAATTTTTCTTGTTGCATAAGAGAAACTAGCTTGGATTTTTGGGCAATTCCTTTCTTGTAAAACAATAAGGAATAAAATGGTGATGTTGGCGCAAATTGGTCTCCGAGAGAGCAATCCCTATGTAAAGATTGGATCTATCCTGATGAGCTGAAAACAAAGACTCCTGCCCTTTTGAAATAGTCCTTCGGGTTCTGGGGTAGCCTTGCCGAAGAGGAAAATTTTGTTTCTCCCCGAAAGTTTTCCTGTCTCTGCAGATAGGCTAGACGTTTTTGCTTCTCATATAGTCTTTGTCTATCGGGATTAGCAGGGTACCCTGCAATGGACGCTCTAGCCCAGGGAGCTGATTCTCAAATTAGGCAAGTCTCGCCAGAAAATTCAAGGGGTGGAATTTGGTTGGGCCTTACACCATTTGCACTCTGGTGTATACACATTCCAACGTAGGTCACCTTTCCTTGAGTCAAAGTAGTCAAGCTAGTAGGGGTCCTGCTTATGGACGTATAATTTTAATCTCTAATCTTTCTTGTAAAGCTCTTCACCAATATTCCTTATACTCTGAGTGCTTGATTCAGGCTGCTGGATGCTTTTCTGAGGAGTCTTGGTTTCAGTTTCTTCTTCAATAAGTGACTCAATGCAATTCTCAATATGGGCAGCCAATTTTGTGCACTTGTCTAAGTTTAAATTATGTTTAACTGCAAATTCCCTGGCCAGTTGAATAGGCTCGTCATCAGCATGGACCACAATTTCATCTGAGGCGTTGCCAATGTTGACTGTTATTCTCAAAACTTCTTCAGCTTGCTCAGCTTGCTCAGGTAACTCAAGTGGATCTTCCATATGATTTATGTGAATATTAAATAGTTCATAAACATCGAATATATTAATTTGAAATTGATGAGACAGCTATAGATTTGATTATATAATTGATTAAAATAAAAATAATGGGTTGTGCGTCATCTCGAAGTCCTTTTGATAACAAAACTATGCAGAAGCTGATAAATGAGTATATTGAAGAAACAAAGCTAGACCAAGTTACTTGCAATTTTATTAACAAAACCATTGGAGAAATTATTTTTCAGGGAAAAATCTAGTGAGCGAGTAAAAATATTTTAAAAAGTGATAATTATTATAATGAAATCTCAAATAATTCATTAAATAAAAATAATTTGTACTCTAAAATATAAATTTAAATTTATTTATACTTTCACATTTTTGCAATTTGGGATTTTGAGTTTTTGAAAAAAAAATTATATAAAATTTTAAAATAAAAATACCTCATGCGATCTTTTTTACCCATTCACAGAGGAGAGTAAGAGACTTGATATTCAATGCAGGGGAGATTTGATTGATAGATCTTCATATGAGATGCTTGCAAAGAATTGGCACTTAAAAGCGAATTTTAGCTTATTTACTAAGACTAATTTTATATCGAAGTCTGATCTAAAGCTAAGTCTTTTAGTTTTTAGTAAAGATTCAGACGAATCAAAAGTAGCCCTCTTAAAAGAAATTGCAAGCACTAATAATCGATTAGCCATGAGGTATCCAGAATTAGCCTACCAGCTAGTGTATCAAAGGATTCCTGAAGAATTAGCAAGGATGAAAAAAATTTCTGAAGCAGAAAAAGTAGCCTATATTAACAAAAAAAGACTATCAGCTGGTACCAGTGCCTGTTTATTTTTCAGTAACTACATGGAAAATCCTGAAAATTTGAAGACTATAAATATTGATATAAATTAATGAAAATCAGTTGATTAATGATCGCTTAAAATGGCTGCTATTAATCAAAAAATAATATATTACATTATTAGTTTAAAATTATGGCAGTTTATTACTCCTGGTCCTGAAAAAGGCTTTCCTTAGGATAGGAACTTTCTTTCGCACAAAATTCCATTATTTTTTCCAATACGTTGCCCTTTAGTCTCTTATGCAAGTTATTCCATCGATTTTTCACAGCGTTTTCAGTTCTTCCGTTCATGGCTTTACTAATAAGACTTCATGAGTTCCCATATTTCGTATGGAGAGTAGCCAATTCCAAGTCTTCTTTAAGATCCCAGTCCCCCTCTATGTAGATTTTACTTTTAATGTTTGGGTCCAAGTGGTTGCACCATCTTTCTCTGCAATGCTTACCCTGCCGAAGTTCTTCTCCATTATGCAGAAAAAGGTTGATCTTTTTAGCAATGAGCGCCCATGATTTATTCTGATGCCTGACTACATGATCGTATAAGATTTCGTCTTCCTCTTTAGTTCACTGGGCATTTCGAACTCCACCTCGATTTAAGGATGAGTTTTGGCTCACCGTGGCGGGATGGGTGCAGGTCAAATGACTTTGCCATTTTGATAGGCTCCATTTCACCGAAAAATTTTTGGCCGAAAATTAATTGAAAAATTTTTGATAGTGTGGCATTTGACCGAAAAAAAAGTTAATATTAGGCCAAATGTCCGCGCTATCAAAAATTTTCAAATTGATTTCGATGAAATGTACACTGTCAAAATCCACGGTCATTTGACATGGAGCCTGGCGGAATATTTGATACTCGGATAATTCGCGGAAAAAACTGGAGAGAGCTCTCCAGTGATGGGGCTTTGAGAGTATGGAATCCACACTATCTGGTTATTGTCAGTAAATGCCGGCATCTCGCACTGATTCTGCATTGCTGCTTCATAGTTCTGATGAGCCATTTTTATTTCTTTTAATGACCACAAAATACTGCATAGTATAATTACTATTTAAATTCTTATAGAATTGCAGGTATTTGTGGTTATGCATTTAAAATGTTTGGTTAATTAATTTAGAGAATGCTCATGAATAGTGATAAAAAGGTTTACTATAAGAAAATAGGATGATGCTTGAAGTGCAGATGTTTCTGTCATTATAGCTGGGTTTTCTTCAAATTAATATTTCTTGGCTATTTATTATTGTATTATCTACCACAAGTAAGGGCTTAGAGAGAAATACTATTTTAGATTTTATTCTTTGAAATTATCGAGTATACTTTGCCCATCTATTAAGATATATGACGACATTTTGCATGAAGTTGAAGAATAGCAGAAATGATTGTTGTTAGAAATTTAGATTTCAGAATTACTGCTAGATGAATGATAGTGTATTCCTAAGTCCATTTGATAAAATTAAATATATCAGTTATAGAATAGAAATTACTGACTCCCTTTCTTTAAATTGGAACAAAATATAGGTAAAAATTTCCATTTTTTGGTAAATTACCCCCCTTTAAATTGGAACAAAATTCAATTTTTAAATAAAAAATTTTATAGATAAAAATCGCAATTTTTATGTAAAAAGTTTTGATATAAGTTAAAAGTTTCTTCTTAACTAAAATTAAAAATTTAGTTATAGGATTTGCCCCTAGGATGGCGCTATATGGCGCCATCCTAGGGCAAGCGAAAATTGGCTCCACACGGGAACCGTATTCCACGTGTGGAGAGCCATTTTTCCACGTGTGGAATCCACATTTTCCCACGTGGAAAAATGGCTCCACACGTGGAACACAATTCCCGTGTGGAGCCGTGTCTCCAATTGCCCGAGGATGGCGCAATATAGCGCCATCCTCGGGCAATTTCTATATATCTTGCTCTCATTTAAAGGAGAGAGTATAAAGAGCATCTTATTTACATAAATTTATTATCCTTAATCAAAAAAAATTTTTTCTTGTTTTAGATAAAGTAATATTATTATTAAATGACTTTGATATAAATTCAATGCGAATTCTTTACAAAATTTGAAAATTTACTTATTTCTTGCTTTATTTTAAAGAATAGAGTATAAATGACATCTTAATTAAACAAAATTAGGACTTTGATCGATAAATTTTCTAAAAAATTTTTTTTGAATTTTTTTTTTATCAATAAAAATAATAATTTTTATGTAAATAGTTTTGATGCCAATTAATAGTGGCGTATTAACTAATAATAAAAATTTAGTTATATATTGCTTTGCTTTAAAGGATAAAGAGTAAATAGCATTGAAATTTTTATATAAATTTATTTTTTATAAAAAAATTTTCTTAACACCCCTTTAAATTGGAACAAAAATTTTTGTTCCAATTTAAAGGGGGGAGTGAGGACTTTGTATCGCTTCAATAGTGAAATAACTTTCGATTAATAATTAATTTAAATTCTATTAATTTCAAACATTACATTTCTTTTGAAAATATACGTCTAAGAATAGCCGCTTGCTTTCACTTTGACTTCAATTGTCTCAATCTGCTTTTTTGTGTGTGATATATATGTTTCCAGCGTTGATATTTTATTATACAATTCCATTAATTTTTGCCTTTTTCCTTCTGCACTTAGCTCTTCACGCTTCTTTTCCGCTAAATTAATTCCTTCAACATTAGCCTCAAGCTCCTTAACTGGAGAAAGATTATTACTAATTTGATGAGGATCCATAAGAAACGACTCAATAATTTCCTCTTCATTTCAAGATGCACCCTTATATAGAATCGGCTCGTTTGACTCAAATATAGATTTTCCCCTGTTTTTATTTCCATCCATTTCTGTTTTCAACGGGGAATTTTTCCTTCTTTTTAAAGTTCCGTAAAATCGGTTTTTTATAGCAACAGGGACCCTACCTGGCAAGAAAGTGGCTATTTTTTTCCAATTTCCTCCGTACTTACTATATAACTCAAAAATCAAGCTGTCTTCTTCTTTTGATCAGTTTAATTTTTTCTCTAATAAATCTGCGTTTTTCTTGCTCTTTAGTAATGAAAATTGGACATTATTTTTGGCTAAATTTGAATTCAGGCTAAGGTTACTTTTAGAAAGATTTTCAATTTCATTCATTTCATATAATTCTGGTCTTTTCGGCATTTCTTCTGTCGATGAATGCGCTGGGGATTCATCAAATTCAGAGGAAGATATTGAACGGGGCTCTAATGAAAGAGATAAGTTCAGTGTTGCGTTGTTTGAGAGAGGAGCTGGAGTTTGGAAAGAAGTGTCTTCTAGACAAAGAGAGTTGATGATTGGGAAGTTGCTATCCCAATAATCAGAGGCATTTTCTAATGCAGGTAACCACTCCATCTTACACACTTAAAAAACTTTATTTCCATAAATTCGATGGTTGAATGCTTAATAATCAAGCAAATATATAAAAATTCTTAAAATCATATTTTTATTGCTGACAAAAATTTAAATGTAAATCGAGCATTTCGGTATTTATTTAGACAATATCATTAAATTTTCTTTAATTAAATATGGACAAACCCTTGCTTTAATTCTTTATTTGTTGAATTCATTTTAAGCCTAACATGCTTTATTATAAAAGTAATAGCATAGTCTTATCTTTGGAAATGCTTAAGTAATAGGGTTTTTTTTAAATTAAGCTTCTAACGAAACTCTAAAATCTCGTGGTTTTCTTCAATCATTTCTAATGATTCTATCACATCCCTATTCGTCATGATTCTTGCATAGATGTAAAGTGGCATTATAATCGCAGCCATAGTCAATGAAAAAAGTGGAGCACTATCAATCACTTGAGCAGCAGGAAAATATCGCTTTAAACTGAATCCAAGGGCAACTCCAAGTAAGCAAAATCCTCATTCTTTGTAATATTGATCTTTCCTTGTCTTATAAATAAGATCCTTTTCTTGCTCATTGTAAGGGGTCATTCTAAGCAATTGATCCGCTCTTTTATATTCTTCTCTCCAAGTATCCTGATAGCTTTGAGGGATTATGACGTTTCCCATGTGATTAGTTTATTATTATCTATATCTAGCTTAATAAGCCGACTAGCATTGTTTATTTTACCAAGTTAATATTAGTTCAGATATCTTATAATGAAATAGCTTACTGCAGAATTCTTTTTCAGGATCTTTTAAAGTGGATGTGGGAAATGAAAATCAAAAATCTTTTTATAATAAAGATATGGCTTTAATTGTTTATTCAAAAGAATTCATACCTATAAAAATACTTATTAACGAATCCTTCGATTCAATGCACAGATTAAGATTATATTATTGGTTTTTTCTCATCAGACAAATATCAGTAATTAATTCTCTTATACAATGTTCAGTTAGTTTTAAATGGAAAAATATTTTCCCTCTAGCACAACTGATGCCACAAGAAGTAACCTTAATTCGACGTCAAAACTGAGTAGCACTCAAAAACAACTAAGTCCAAATAAAGGCATCCAGATGCATGCATTGGCTCAAGCCCGGAAAAAGCTTGATAACCAAGTTTTATTGCTTCAAAATCGAATTAAACACTTAGAAACAGAGCGCTGTAAGGACCCCCCCTCATTTGTCGAATTTTCTAGTCTTTTTTTATAAGAATTTTTTTTTTCAGGACCTCATTTGTCCCAAAATCTAGTCAAAAACGATTTGTCCAATTTTCTAGTCTTTTTTGCATTTTTTCGAATGCCCTAAATTCTAGTTTTTTACTTTAAAAAAACTAGAAAATGAGACAATTGAGGTCCTGAAAATTTTTTTTCTCTATCAAAAATTTTGACTAGAAAATTGGACAAATGAGGTCCTAAAAACATTTTTTTTTTCCTATAAAAAAAACTAGAAAAATGGACAAATGATAAAAGACTAGAAAATTGGACAAATGAGGGGGGGGGGGGTCCTTAGATCAGAGCGAACAATTGACCTCGCCAAAACTATAACTTACTTACTTTATTAATTAGGCGGCTAGTCGAGGTCCGCTTGTTAACTCGGTTACCAAGGATCCACCAGGGGATTATCCGCTTTTTGGGACGCGTACTTCTTTCAGGTTTCCTCTCTCCTCCTTGCCACTTTGCGGTGGCTCCAGTCTTGAGTGGGCGGACTATGGGTTCCTGGGCCTTGCTTCCTGGTGCAGTGCAGTGACGACCTTGCCTGATATAATTAAAATATGTGCTCGGAAGCTGCGTGGCCGGAGGCCATGCCAGGTGGAGACCCATATTTTAATTATGCCAAAGCTATGACACAAAGGCGCCAAGAAGTTAGAAAAAAATACAATGCCGATAAAGAGCTTCAAATTCAAAAGAAAATCAATTGTGCCAAAGATTTAGATGCTAAAAAACGACTTATATCCCAAGAAAGAGAAAAAAGAAAAGAGAGCTTGAACCAGACCAAACAAAAATTGCTAATAGATAAGAAAAGAGCGAGCTCTGCAGTTAAACAAGCAAAGCTAATTAACGAATCGACAAGAAAAGAGCAAGAAGAGCTTAATAGAAGCTTGGCAAAAAATCAGGCAGAGAAAATAGTTGTTGCCTCTAAAAAGAAAAGAGAAATTCAGGAAGAAAAATCAAAAAAACTTAAGCTTGAGGCAGAATTACGGTATATAGAAAGAATTGAAGAGGAAACTAAGTATCAAGAAACTGCGAAACAGAGAATAAAAGAATTGGAAGCGAGAGAAGAAGAGCTTGCAGGGAGCTTAAAGAAAACTTTATTAAGGAAAGAAAGCGTTTTAAGCCGTCTAGGCAGTTCACAATCTTTGAACTCGACCTTTTATTCCCAGCATTGGCTGCCTCATTCACCATCAAAGTGTTTATGCGTGCACACGCCAAACTCTGGAGATCAAATTTTCGATGATATTTCAATAAACTATATTGAATATGTGCCTTTTGATGTTGTTGATATTACAAATGATTAAAATATGTCTAAAGTAGTTAGATAATTTGAGATAAAATTTTAAAAATAAAGAATTATTTGACGATAAGATATTTGGCATAGATAAATCAAAGGAAATTATGAATAATATTATTATAGAAATTAAAATAAAAGAGAAAGTTTATATAGCAAGTGTTTTATATATTACATACTAATCTAATAAAACTGGCGCCCGGCATATTGGACAGCTCAGATTTATCGTTAGCCATTTTCTAATGCATTCTGAGTGGAAAAAATGTCTAGAATCGCATTCCAACACCACAATTTTCTCCTTATTCATATATTCAAAAGCACAAATCGGACAAACCACATCTCCATGATGCACTTCATAGTCATACTCAACCCAATCAAGTTCTTTTATTATTCGTCTTGAGGTTTGGAAATCTTCACTCGGAGACAAAAAAATTAATAATAAAATTGCTATCGGTAAGCACGCACAAACACTAATAATGATAAGAGTGGGTATCATTAAATACATATAGAAGTTTTCCCTATATGGTCCGATAAGGGCTGTGGGTTTTCTGTGGAATTCTTCTGCTGGTTGAACCATCAGTGAATTGGTCAAACCAACGCACTGAGTTGGCTTGACCAACAGAGGGATTCCACGGAGAACCCACGGCCCTTATCGGACCATATAGCGAAAACTCCGATATAACCTAGCACAATCAGTATAAAAGTTAGCTCAGTTAGTTCAGGTGCCTCATTTTGGCAGTTATTACAAGATCAGAACCATGCATTTCCTGGAATCAATCAAAAAGTATAAATAAGTGCATGAGATTTAAAGGACACCTGCAAGTAATGATTTTCTATAATTTCTTCTCCATCCCTTGCTCTTTTTATATACGGAATTCTACACATTGAAAGAATTAGATAGATAATGTCAAGGATCATGCTGAAATAAACTCATTCAAATAGTGGCTCGTCACAAGAAGTTTCAAAAGATGAAATCACAAAACTAGAAAAGGAAATTTTGGCAGAGGCTATTATGAGTCTGATGAGTAATAAAATATATGAGCAGTACAGAGCTTTCTGGATTTGTATATAGAGGTTCTCTCTAACAGTTTGCTGTGATAAGCTAGAATTCTGTTCTTGGGAAATATTTAGAGGTGATCTTTCATCCATTAATTTAACGGCTATATCAAAATTTCTTATAATAAAATTAAAATAATAGATAGAAATCACAAATATTATTATAGTTTATAATGATAAAATCTGAAATTAATTTACTCGATTTTTACAATCATATCAGTTTTCTTTGTAGATAGATTGAATTGATATAGATTGCCATAGCAAAATATAAAATAAACTGAGTTTTCCAGGTAGACTTTATATGAAATAAGATTTGTGCCAAACACTGAAGAATTCCCAAGAGATTTTCAGCTGTAAATATTATCTTCTTCACTTTCAAAAATATCTCCTGATGTTTGTAAAACATAGCCTCTGCTATTGCCGACACAGATAATTTTGCAGGAATCAGGAGTCAATTGAAGCAGGTCTGTATAGCATTCTGAGAAGGTATCATAAATATATAGCTTGGAATGCTTTATTCCTGATAGTAATATTTTCCCTTTATAAGAATCGCAATTGCTGAAAGTTCCAGGCTCTTGTAGATCAGTTGTGTTTTGCCATCTGTTCTCTTGAAGACTATATATTTGGGATGCGCTGACAGCTTTCCCGTTATATCCTCCAAATACATATACTTTTCCATTAAAATAGACACCTCCTGACGCAAAGAAAGGCTTTCCACTTGATAAGAGCTCAATCTTAAAATCTGAATGAATTATAAAAGCCAAGCCAGACATGGGTAGCCAATTTCCATAACAAAAAATCCTATTATTAGGAAGTTGGCACATAAGAGTAAATCTATTAATAGGTTCTGGCAATGCTATTTTCCTTTCCTCTTTCGATAAATTCTTAATATCAACCAAATAAAATGGTGACATTGACGGAAATTGGACTCCGAGGCGCACTCCCTATGGAGTAGATAGGAAAGATCCTGATGAAGCTGAAAGCAAGGGCTTCGGTCCTTCTTATAGTAGGCCTTCAGGTTTGGGGATGCCTTGCCGAAGAGGGAAGTTTTGTTTCTCCCCGAAGGTTTTCCTGTCCTGCTGGATGGGGCTAGACATGTTTTGCCCTACCACATGGTTTCCCTAATTGGGACCATCGGGGCACTTGATAGACGGTGGCAGGTGGCTCAGGTCGGAAAATCCAAAATGGAATCGGGCGAGAAGTATGGCAACATCAGAATCTCTTTCTAGGGCTGTGGTGGAGCCAAGACGGGCGATGAATAGTGTGTTGCCGCTTATGGCTGTTCTTAATTTTTAATTTTTTAATTTAATTAATATCAACAATAGATAAAACATTTGAGCGGAGCTGGAAATACATTAGCTTAGAATAATCTAAGTTTTTTTTGACTCAACTATTTTCAAAGAGCTTTAAATTTGGCTTTAATTCAGCCTTTCCTCCTTCTTTGCTATCCTCAGTATTTTTCATTTATTTCTTATGAATTTTGCTCTAAAATCCAAAAATTCCCAAAAAGTTCATGGTTCTTCATTTATATTACAAGTATTTTTACTGGTAATTAATTTATTATAATGACAGCTCCTCAACCATCAACAAACAGGTCAAGATTAGCTGAAGAGCTCTTAAGTATCCGCTTTAATCAAGATTTCTCATGCTTTTGTGTAGGAACTGATACAAGCTTTAGAATTTTCAAAACCAGCCCTCTAAAATACTGCTTTCGTAGAGGTGAACTTTAGTTAGACTTTTCGGGAGGTATTGGTATGGTTGAACTTTTAAACCGTTCAAACATTGTAGCTCTTGTAGGAGGAGGTAAATCTCCACGCTACCCCCCAAATAAGGTAATTATATGGGATGATCATCTGATGAGGCCTACTGGTGAACTTACTTTTCGTACAGATGTCAAAAATGTCAAGCTTCGTAAAGACCGCATTATTGCGGTTTTAGCCAATAATCTAGATTAAAATGAATTTGCATGTCTAATATAAAGCATATTGACCATTTTTCAATTTAGATTGAGCCATTAACTGCTTCTAACTATTTAATAAAAAAAAGAAAAAAGCATAAAAATTTATGTTTATAATTTAACGGACCTCAAAATCCGAGATACCATTCCAACTGCACCTAATCCTAAAGGTATCTGCGCTATATCTTCTGTAGATGATAGAATTATTTTAGCTTGCCCTGATAAAGCAAAAGGGAGTGTTTGTGTGCAGTTTTACAGTGAAGAAAAAACTTTATTAATCCGTGCTCATAGGGCTTCAATAATGTGCCTTGAGTTTAATTCTGAAGCAACTATGCTGGCAACTGCATCTGATAGAGGCACAGTTATAAGGATTTTTAAGCCTGATGATGGGAGTCTATTGCAAGAATTAAGAAGGGGCATTGATAGAGCGGAAATTTACTGCTTAAATTTTCATCCTTCATCAGAATGGCTTGCTTGCTCCAGTGATAAAGGGACAATTCATATTTTTTCCACAGACACAACCAAAAGATTGAACCCAAGATCCACATTTTCATTTTTAAAATATATCATGCACCTATGAGTTAAAAATATATTGTAGGTCTTTTTAAGAATTTTTCTATATTTATATTATTGAGTATGTTCTTAAAGGATATTTTGAGTCAGAGAGAAGCTTTGCTGTGTTTCGAGTCAGAGATGCAAAAACTATCTGTGCCTTTGGAGCTGTAAAAAATACACTTGTTGTGCTTAATGCTGATGGGTGCTATTATTTAGCGTCATTCAATCCTGATGAAGGAGGGGAATGCCAGTTGATTAACAGTGAGCAAGTAATAGATCTTGCATAGCTGTGCTAATTATTTAATAAATTTTATACTTAAGTAAATAAATAAATATCAATTTTAGCATTGATATAAAAAGTTTATTTAAAAATAAATCTGTGTAGATGTTCGTATTCCCTTGTATAAGATATATAAAAAAGCATTCTGTTTATAAAAATATTAAAAATTTAAAAATTAAACCAAATTTACTTATATTTGGCATTCATAAAAAAGCGGGATGATGCACAAAAATCTTATAAGAGAAGAACGAAAGGCAGAGTATAATAAAGCCCCTGATTTTGAAACGATACAGAAGCGTCATGAAGAAGCCCAAGTAGAGCTCCGTAGGAAGAAAAGAAGTGACCACATCGCTAAAAGACGAGCTTGATTATTCAACAATAGAACTATGGCTCAAGATGCCTCTGAAGAAACAGACATTGCTTTACTCTCCCTTTATGAACGAGCAAAGCCATTGAAAAAATCCTTATTTTTGGAAAAAGTAAAAAAAAATTTGAGAAAAAATATTTCAATATATAGTGATAATTATTATAATGAAATCTCTAATTTGTTTAATTTAAGCAGCTTACATTCTATAAACATAAATTTTACGAATTAAATTAATTCTTTCTTTTCAATTTTTTAAAGTGTTTTATTAAATTTCAATTCTCTCTTGAGCTAGCAAGATTTTCGCTAACTAGAAGAGGGGAGTTAGAATTCGAAATAAGCCAAATTTCAGGACCCCTACTAAGCCCAGAGCTTGGATTGCTTAATCCTAATATAAACCCTACAGAGCGTTTATTATTACTTATCAGCTTTATAAGAGATTGGGAGAATCTTGACTTATTACAAGCAGGAGTACAAGTATTAAGAAAAATTCTTTCCAGTGAAAAAGGTGCTCCACTTGAAGTTATCTTGGAAACTGGAATCACCAAAAAATTAATACAGTGCATGATGGTCAATAATGGCAGCTCCTTAAAAAATGACGCTGCTTGGTGCATCACAAATCTGGCCTCTGGGAATGGAAAAATAGTAAATCAGCTTATAAATGAAGGCGCAATTGAAGCTTTAACGTGCATCTTATCAACTGAAAAAATAAACCCAGAAACAGTCACTATGGCTGTTTGAGCATTAGGAAACATTGCAGGAGAAAACCTTGAAAGCTGCGATAAAGTCACCCAAAGTGGAGCTGGGCTTCTCATTATGAATATAATGCTTAACTGGCTTAATATTTCCAATGATGACCTCTCAATGATGGTTTGGGCACTTTCAAATTTATTCCGCGGGCAATCAGCGCCCTCTATAAAGCTTGTCCAAGATTTCCTTCTAATTAGCCCACAGCTGCTTGAAAAAGACTCTGAAAAGGTTTTGATAGCAACTTTATGGTGCTTTGCATTTATAGCAGAGTCTCAAAGGATTCAAATGATAATGGATACTGGAATAATTCAGAAAATCGTAAATTTGTGTGGAAGTGATAAACTAGAGATAAGGCACCCAGCTGTAAGAACAATAGGAAATTTAGCTGCAAATAGCGAGACTCTTACACAATCCATAATTAATTATGGAGTTCTCGACAAATTGGAGACACTGATAAACTGCAGAGAAAGGTTCCTTAAAAAAATTGTGCTTTGATCAATTTGCAATATTTGTGGAGGGACCCCTTTACAGGCTGAAGCAGTAGCTAGGCACGATTTTATGAAATCTGTGATATCTTTATTGGATGACGAAGACTTTGAGATTAGAAAAGAAGCAATTTATATACTTTGCAACTTGACTTCTAATGCATCTTGTATACTCATTTTAAAGAATGATGAACAAAGCATTATTGAAAAAATAATAAGCTCATTAAGCTGCAAAGACCCACAAATCTTGATGCTAACACTAAACACATTAGAAAATTTGCTGAGCGCTTCAAAAGAATATCCAGCAAATGATAAAGCAGACAATTCCTTGATGTCAGAATTTATAGATATGGAAGGGCTGGATAAGCTTGAAAATCTTCAACGTCACCTAAACGTTCATGTTTATAATAAAGTGTCACAAATTCTAAAAAACTTTTTCTCTGAGGGAGAAGAATTAAAAGAAAATCAGCAGCAAATAATAAATTACAACTTTTGATAAGCCGAATGTATAATAATTATACCTCATCTTATATTAGTAAGAAAGTTTATTTTTTATTATCTTAATATTGCCATTAATAACATTGTATATTTCAGTATAATCAAAAATTCTGATTTTTTGAGGCATCGTTTTGGACAACTGCCTTCTTTCCAGAAATTTTGAAGCCATTGGTTTTGCATCTTGTTGACTTGATTTGTTTCTTTTTGCCTTTGTTTTAGCTTTTTTTTGGCCCTTAAGTTCTAATTGGCCTCTTATATAGAAGTTTCCTATGTTTGGCGCTGTAAGGCCGATAAATTCTGATCGGGAATTTATCGGTTGGTTGCACCAAATCAATGCCTTGGTCGGACCAAAAAGCGATTTGGTCCGACGAACTTGGAAAGCTCCTGGGAAAATGTCTGCGCTTTCAGCGCTATATAGCGGAAACCTCTATATGTTTATATTGAGCTTTGCTTGCTATGCAAGAACTTGATCTTGGCTTTCAGTTGCTTGATTTATTACGCTTAATCCTTGAATTAAGAGTTCTTGACGGCTCTTTGGATTTTTGCTCATTTTTATACTCGTCAACTTTGATAGTATCAGTACACAAAAAATTCGGATCTTCATCAAAATCATTTTTAAACGAAGATCATCTATAATCAATTAACTTATTTTGTTTTTCCCTTGAATATATAGGAGTCCTATTAGTTGAGGTTAAATCACTTGATAAATGGTCTGAAAAGTCATTCTGGATCCCTTGGTCCATAGTCGAAACAACGCTATCCATATGCCTTTGTGTAAAGGTTGAAGAAGATCTTAATGGTCTTTGTGTCCTAGAAGTTACTACTTGTTGAAACCTAGCGCTTTCATATATTTTTGGCTTGATGATCGGTTTATAATCTCGATATCTGATAAGAGAGTTCCTGAGTAATGAAGAGCATATTTCTTTTTTCTTGACATTCATTTTTCATTAATCAATTCATTATTATTGATTCGATAGAGCTAGCATGAAATTATTTAGATTTCATTTAGCTGAATATCGATTCAGTAAAAGTAAACATTTGAAGTTTCTTGCTAATAATCAAAGCAACTTTAGTCAGTCTTCTCGATTTTTTAAAGAAACCTTTATGTACCCTAAAGAAATACTATTGGACTATTATCGAGATAATAATGCAATTTTGAATTCAATCGCTGACAATGATGATAAGCTTTATTTGATAAAAACACTGGTGAAATGCAGTTTTGATGAAAACTTGGCGCCAATTACAAAGACAAGTTTGAGTTTGAAAGAAAAAATTGAGATTGCAAAACACCCAAAGTTTAAAGATCAATATAAAAACGAAATTATAGCTAATGCAGCATCATTAACAATTGGTGAAAGCGCAGTTGCAGCATGAATTTATGACAATGAACCGCCATTTAGTGATAAATTGTTGAAATTGGAAGGAAATTTTGAGACGTACGAGGAGCTGCTTTATTTTTTAAGAGTATGGCTGCATTGAAACATTGAAAGTAAAGATATGGAAAAGTATGCTTATGCACAATTTCTAGAGCTATATAGAAACCAAGGTCTTGATAATGATATTTTTCTTGAAATATGTGATTTATTAACCCAGTATTGGTCATTTATTGGTGATTTTATATATGTGGCTGCCTTATTCAATCAAAATTTACTTTCTTTTCAGCTAAACCAATTTGAAAAAGCTCTAAAGCTCATGTGCAAATTTCAGTGTTGGCTAACGTACCATGTTCCATATGATAATATAGATTTATATCTAGAAAAAATTCAAATACAAAAAAATTTCTCAGTATTACTTTCTATATGTGAGTCTCTTTTGTATTTAAAAATAAAAATTCCAGAAAAGTTTTTACAATACATATATGAGAATTTCTTCGAACAAAACCTTGAAGAAATCGTGAAATTTTTGAATCTGTGTTTAAAAATTGATGGAAATAAAAACAGTATAAAAAAGATTGTGCAGGTTAGGTTATTAAAGTTAGGTGTTAGCCATATGCAGTTACCAAAATCTCCTGTACGGGAGGTTCATCCGCTTTTCAACTCCAGCCCAGAAGGTCTGGGTACCTTCTGTCTCCTCCTTGCGGCTTCAATCTTGAGTGGACTTATGGATTTCTGCTGCCCTACTACAGGCGATTGGAGTAGCTTGATCCCAAGGATTCTTGGAGTCTATCGGGTATCGAAGTGCCTTGTTCGACAGCTACAGGAAAAAGACTTCTCCCCTGGTTTGGGCCGAAACCCACAGTTTCTCGGTTAAGGCCCATGGGTCCTCAGATCCAAAGAACGTTGCTCGACACCTCAATTTCCAACCACATGAAAGCAGCCAAACCTACCCGGATACACATCTCTTGAGCCTGAACTTGATTCTAGGCTTAGAGTCTGTCCCAGTTTACCGTAGCCGCAAGTCCCGGACTGTTACGCCAAGAGGGCAGGTTGACACGTGCCGCCATTTTAATTTATAGCTTGTGCAGGTAATTTCAGTGGTATGAAAAGAGTCTCCAGATTTTTCATCAATAGTCAAATGTTTTGCTGCTTTTTCTGGGCATGATGTAGACAGCTCTCTGAGGTTAGAGTTTGTAAAATATATCATGAAAAATATAAGTCAAGCCAATAAAAAAGACATATTCGATCTTCTTGATGTTTGCTCGCACTCAAGGAACGATACAAAAGTGTATGATAAAGCAATAGAAAGACTAGAAGTGCTTTTTCCAACATTGAACTGGGATGAAACCTTGGTCATTCTTCAAATATTTGGAAGATTAGTGTCTGAAAATTATCAAATGAAAAGAAGGATAAATATGCTAATTGAGGAGAAAATCATTGAAAATTACGATAAAATCAACTTTTTCAATGTCGTACATATTTTGCATCATTTTGCATTCAAATGGTACAGTAAAGATATTTGCAATATGATTTTAAAGTTTATTGAGATCATGGACAAAGGACTTGAAATGTCCAATACCCCTCCTCCAGAGAGCAGTTTATATTTCAAAGAAAACTCAGTTTATTACATCCCAAACAATGAAATCTTAAATAAACTTACCAGTGGAGCCCTTGCCACAGTCATTGAATCATTTTTTTTTCGATGTGAAAGACCCCCTTACATAAACACAATTATGGAAAACTATCTAAAAGCACTAATTAATAGCAAATGAAGAATTTTAACAGAGAAGCACAAGTTAAAGCTTTTTCAGCTCATATCATTAAAAGAAAATCGTAACGAAAGTATAACGAAAATTATTGTCGAAAAAATATCTCAAGAGCCTATTCATTTGACAAGTCTAAAAGAAGCCAAAATTTATAACAACTCGACCAAAAGTATTAGCACAAAAGAGCATAAAGATGGAAAGACGTTAAAATACTAGGCTTCTTAAATATAAATTATAATGATTATCTCTTATTTCAATTAACAAGACTTCAAAATATCAATTGTTTCAATGACCAACCCTTCCAAAATCATATCTGCTAAATCAAGCTTCGCCTGGGTTTCTTCAAATTCATAATCGACCCAAACCTCGTCTCTTTCAAGGACTTCTTCTGCAAGCATGCTGGCAAGCCTTTCTTCCCTTACTTGCTGCATGTATTCTTCATCTACAATTCCGCTAGACAACACCATATCTCCAGTCGGCATTTTTCCTGCTTGGGTCATGCTTCAGCTTTCAACTTCTTCTTTTACTTCTTGGATTGCTTTGTTAGGGTCCATAGTTTCATTAGATAAATACCTAATAGAATTGCTCCAGGGCATTGGGACTCCTTTGAGGCTATATGGTCTGTATTTTTGCAGTCCTTCATTTATTGCATCAAAAATCATTTTATTGTGAATGTGCTCAGCTTCTGACATTAATTGGATCGTGTTGGGCGACAAGTTCTTTCTCGAGCTTTCTATCTCTTTGGGATGCTCCAAGCTTAAATAGAGTTTTAGACTCAAAATTGGAGGGTAAGTTAAAAATTCATTTTCCACTGGGGTCCCGATTTCAGTTTCTTGCATTTTTGCAAGCATGTCTAAAGGATTCCTTCTGAGTGGCTTCTTTAAGTTCTGGTAGACTTCATCGATGTTTTTAATTGCAGTCTCAAAAACCTCGTCTGCGTATTTTCTGACAGCTCGGTGGTCAGTTTGTATGATTGGCTCAGCAGATAGGCTGCTTGTGATCTCGTTTTTCCCTGATAAGTTCTTCAAATCTAATATTGGCATTAAAGGCAAAGATGACTTAGGAGAAGAACGAGGCAAAATGTCCTCTGACAGCAAACTTTTAAGAATTTCTTCACTTATTGAATTAACTAGCTCAGGAGTCATGGAATCATAAGACTTTGCATCAATTTTTTTAGGCTTCCAATTTAATTCTTCATTACCAAAACTAGGCAGTGGCATGTGGGTTGGCGTTTTTTCTTCTTCACTGTCAAGCTCTTGGAAAGGTGCTGAAGGCCGATCAGGAATGTTATCTGGAGTCCTTGAAGGCACATCAGGAGAGCTTACATTGAGCCTTTCATTGATAAATGAGTCCTCATTTCTTGGTGAATTAAATTCAGGCGACTTACCTTCATCAATATAAATATGTCCTCGTGATGAAGAAGAAACTGGTGGCGACTCTTGGTTAAACTTTTTTTTCTGTATAAAATCTGCTGCAAAGCCTGCAAAGGGCGAAATTTGTTTCATTTCAGCTGAAGAAGCACCTGAGTTATTTTCTTCATTTTTCGGAATATCAAGATGAGGGACACTGATTTGTGGACGCAGCTGATAAAAATTTTTATTTTCTACTTCAATTGAACTTTCTGGCTCTGATAAATGCTGCTCAAGGTCAGAAACAATTTCATTGTGAGACTCTGTACTGGAGTGTGACCCATTGTAGCTTTCAAGATCAATTAAAATATCGGGGTCTGACCTATCTGTTTTTATTTTTTCTGGGGTACTATTATGGAAATCAGGGGATTCTGGCTTATCAGATTCTTCAAAGTGGGGGGAGTTGGAGTCTGGTGTAAAGTCATCTTGGTTTTTTAAATTAGCGAAAAAGTCCCTTTCGAACTTTTTGAATGATTCTTTATTTATCACGTTTTTTATCATCTCGCTGCTTGAGCTTTCTTCTAGCTTTTCAGATTTAACAGACTCAGGGGATTCATAAGTTCTAATGCTTACTTGAGGGCTTTGGTCGCTGGGGTTTGGACTTTGGTTATACGAATCATGGTGATCCTGCTCTATTCCTGCAGGCTCCTCAGTTTCTTCTGGCTCAGCTTCAAATGTAGCTTCTTCTTTTTTCTCTTCACTAATTTGCTTTAATTGGTTTTCATTATGGACTTCATAAGTCTTTGGCCTATCTTCTTCGCTTTCCTCAGAATCAATAGCGCCACTTTTGATATCTTTCATGATCTGCTCAAGCTCTCCAGGCTTTAAGCTATCAGTGTCTAGTCCACGGCCATAATATCCAGGTCGAGGATTCAGTGGATCATTTTTAATAAATCTATCAATTTTTCCTGAGTCAATTCCTACAAAAGTGTTATCTTCTTCAGATTCACTTCGTTGGTCTTCAAAGAATAACTCGTTTTCTGAGTACTGGTTCATTCTTTCTTCTAGCTCATCTTCCAGCTCTTTTCTTCCTGTTTCATCTAAATCTTTTACAAGCACCTCTTGGACGTTTTCTATATTCTCTACCAATAAACTTGCTAAATGTGTATAGCGGCTTTCAATGATCCCAGCCAGCATTCCTTCGAGCTCTTTTCCTTGACCTAACTTCTGTGTGATTTCTTTTAGCTCTTTTAGTTCTTTTTGCTTCAGGAATTCTAAGTTCTGCATTTGTGATTCTTGCCATATAAGCTGCTCTTTAAGGACTTCTCTATACTCTTTTCCTTTTTGCTTTACATCTTCCAGATTTTTCAGCTCATCATTCAGCCTCCCTTCTAGTTCTACGGTATTTAATTTTGATGTCGGCATTTGCAAGATTTCTTCTTCATTTTCTAATGGTTCTTGCTCTTCTTCTGAAGTTACATCATAGTCTTCATCAATTTCTATGGCAAGCTCTTTTTTCCTTTGTTTCGGCTCCTGAGATAGCCTTACTCCCCCCCCCCTCTGTGAGTGAACAAAACCATTAGAAAAATCGCTATTTTTTGCTCAAAAACCCACCCTCCGTGAATGAACAAAAATTGTTTTATAGAAAAATTTTTTTATGGAAAAAAATTTTGATATATAAGTGATAGTTAGCATAATGAAATCTAGTGCTAATTCTGTTTAATTTTAAACAAATTGCTTTTTAAAACATAAATTTTATATAATTAAATTAATATTTGAATTCCAATTTTCGCGAATTAGGATTTTTTTTTAAATTTCGAAAAAAAAATATTTATTATAAAATTTATATATAAATTTTTTTAAAAAAAAAAATTAACCCCCCTCCGTGAGTGAACAAAATTTTTTCGTCCACTCACGGAGGGGGAAGTTAGAATATTTTGGACTTCTTTGTCTTCGTCTGAAAAGTCATTGATGTCTTTCAATAGTCTTCTTTGGACTAGAAATCGCCTTATATGGGACTGTATTTTAACGACCGCTTTATTAATTGTTTCTGGTGATGGCTCTCTGAGGTTGTCTTTGACTTTTCCTATTCGGAGCTTTAAATCAAGCATACGCTTTTTGATATCTTCTTTCTTTAGCTCTACGCTTGATTTTAATTTGTCTGAGTCTTGGAAATCAAAGCTTCCTTCACTGCCACTATGAATGAACTCGAAATTTTTATTAGGAATTTTATTAGACTTGTGACTGCCATTAAGACTATAGCTTTCATTGTCGCTCTTTATTGTGTGTTCTGCTGAGTTTTCATGATCATACATAGAGAAAGTGACGTTATCTGACTGATCTAAGTGCTCGTCTTCTGAGTTTTCTGTTATGTCATACACAAATTGATGAATTTGGTGCTTTTCTGACGTTTTTATTTCTGAGTCACTTTTTGACGTTTCTTCAATATTTTCGTCGTAGCTTTTCTTTGGTGTTCTTTTCTTATGTTTCAGAGCTTTTTTCTTTTTCTTTTGAAATTTGTTTATATTGAATTTGCTATATATATCAAGCTGCTTAAGCTGATTGATACGTTTGACTTCTTCAGCTTGATGGTGGTATTTTTCTATTTCTTTGAATTCTTTTCGAGTTTTCTTTTGAGTTTTGATATATTCTTTTATATGAATATTTGGCTTTCTATCAGGCTTATTGTTCATTTGGATGATCTCTTGACTGACACTAAGACTTCTTGGCTGGTAGCCTAATTCAATTTGTAGCTCTGTCAAAGTATCAAGCCCTATTCTAGCTCTTCCAGCTGATTTTGCTCTTTCTCGTTGCTCTCTAACTTGCTTTCTTTGCTCTGCAATTTCTCTTTGCAGCTTGGTCATGCCAGTTCCCAAAATTTTTTTTTCATTTGCTCCCCAAGCTATTTTTGGTTTAAATTTTTCTTTTCTAAATCTAATTGAATTTTCATATCTTATCTGATAATTCTGATTTTGTATATCTTTTTTCTTTCTCTCCAGCATTTCTTTCATTTCTTTTTCCTCTTTTTCTTTTTTCACCTTCTTGATTTTTTCTTTCTTCAAAGTTTGTTTTACGATTTCTTTGACTTTTGAAGAATTTCTGGGTTTTTCTGATTTTTCTTGAATAATAAAAGAGTTTTCGTTCTTATACTCTTGCTTGATCTGCACAGAAAAGGATTTATTTACGGCTTTGTTTATTTCTGCTTTTTTAGGTGTCTTCTTCGGTGTGCTTGATTTTTTGGGAGATTTTTTAGGATGAGTAAAGTCCTTTAGGTTTTTTGGATTTATTTTTGAAGGATGAATAGGAGGCTTTGGCGGATTTTTTACCGGTTTTTTCTCAGTTTTTAAGTTTGACTTGGGACGTGAAGGAAGATTTGAAATATCTGCTAATTTCCTTTCTGCTGATTTTGCAGTTCTTTTTGCTTTCGTATAGATTTGGACAGGCACAGGAAACCTGGGATTGTTGTCATTATCAGGCCGTGAAATATTATTCTGTGATTGTATTTTCTTTCCTGTTACAGGGGCGGATGGAGCTCTGCCCATACCTCCAGAGCGGTAAGTGGTGCTTACATCTAAAAAGCACATACTTTGACCCAAAAATGACACTGGAGATAACAATTGACTTTGATCTGCTGATAAATTAAGGACCTGAGTCATATTTAAATGAATTAATATTCCCTCCTTTCATACTTACTAAAGAAAAACCCATTTAAAAATAAGCCAAAACATATAAATCTTCTTTAAGAGTCTGCAATTAATAATATAGGCTTTGATTTATCTCTAATGAATATAAATAATTATCAAGGCCAAAATCAATATACAATAATTATTAAATGGAGAGAAAAGACTTATGAAATTAAATGGAAAGAAAAGAACAGTTTAGAACTTATAAAAGCGTGAGTGTTTTTGAATGAAATTTGAAATTTATTGCATCAATCAAGGTTTATGTGGTGATATTCAATGAATTAAGCCTTTTACTACTTGAACTTTGTAAATGAGATATAAAAATGATATTTAATTATCATATGAGCAGTATCATAGAGGTTGCATCTGCTATGAGCTATGCAGAGAAGGCTTACGTGCACGGTGGATTGATTTTAAATGCTTTTGATTGGTTATTATAAAGAATAGTTCCAAGTTATCAAGTCTGAAGCCATAAGTTGTACACTTGAAATTGGGAGAAAATATATAAACTGCATATAAGAAAACATATATAGTATGAAGATAGAGAAAATGTGCGATATGAATATAAAAAACTTATTCTATCAAAATTATCGAATATATATATTCAAGTCTATTAATGGAATGATCGTTGCAAAAGCTATGAAATAGCCTCTTTAATGAGTTCAACATTTAAAAGAAGCACACAAAAAAAAATTTCAGCTATTTCAGTCTGATTTAACGATGTTCAAAAATAAAAAATATACAATTATTGACTATGACTGGTATATCAAAGTTATCTTTTTCATATTTTCTGAAAGAAAATGATTAGTGACTAAAATCTGTCCTTTTAAATTTTATAAGTTCATAACTCCACAATAAAAGTTTTGGAAGGAACTTATAAATAAGATTAGCCTAGTGTTAATCCTCTTGCCTCTGCATACATATCAAACAAAATATCATCAATAATTTTACCTTAAAATTCTATTTCGAGTAATACACTCAACTTTAGTGACGAAAGCATAAAAGATTAGAGAATTCATTACTTAAGCTTATACATGCAAGTAGATTTGCAAAAGACTGGTTATTTAGTGTTAATAAAATACTTTATTTCTTAAAGTTGCGCATGTGAAGTTGATTCTGAAAGAATTTGAAAATGATATTAAGCCCTTACGGGGATTTAATAGTGAATATTAAAGACATCTTAGAAACAGATCAACCTTCAAAAAGGAACCCGAGTCCACCCTTTTTAAGGTTGCCATAATTAGTCCATGGATGATAGGAATTATAAGTAAGTATTGATTTAAAACTCATAATTCTATCAGACTTATATTCATTTCTAACTGGATATTTTACCTGATCTTAAATTCCTTTATTTAATTCGATATAAACCACTTAATAAAATATGCACTTGCAAAGAAAAGTTAAAGCAGCTTCTGATGGCCTGGGTCTGAAAAACAGTAACTCCCCCCCCCCCCCCTCCGTGAGCGAACAAAACCATTAGAAAAATCGCCATTTTTTGACCAAAAACCCACCCTCCGTGAGTGAACAAAAATTTTTTTAATAGAAAAAATTTTAATGGAAAAAAATTTTGATATATAAGTGATAATTAGTATAATGAAATCTAGAGCTAATTCTGTTTAATTTTTAAACAAATTGCATTTTAAAACATAAATTTTGCAAATTAAAATTAATATTTGCTTCCCAATTTTTTGCAAATTAGGATTGTTTTAAATTTCGAAAAAAATATTTTTTATATAAAATTTATATATAAAATTTTTTTTAAAAAAAAAAATTAACCCCCCTCCGTGAGCGGACAAATTTTTTTGTTCGCTCACGGAGGGGGGGGGGGAGTAAGCAAAAGATTTTAAATTTGCCAAATGAATTTCAGAAAAATCAATGCAAAACAATTCTCTACAGCAAAATCTGGCAAGGCGATTATAAACTTAAAGATTCTCCTGCTTCTTTGTGCAATGGATTTATGCTATGGTATATCATTGATGTCGAATATTTTTATCCAAGCTTATATTTAAGCTATGTTCCTGAGTTTCCGTTTATTGAAGGTGCGAGCCTTGAATATACTTCATTAAATCTTAAACCAAAACCAAAAAATAGTGAAAGTCTAAGCTTTATTGATTCATTAATAAATTATTATCAAGTTGAGCATGATAACGTAAAGCAAGATCTCCAGCCTCTACTTCAAGAAATCAGTCAAAAGTGTTCAATAGTTGATAAAACAAATAATTTAGTATTGATCTCAGAAGAAAAAAACTGCGCAGATATAATTAAACTAGATTTAAATTTGATCCAGCAAGATTACATCCAATATTTTGAGGAATCGTTTATGACACTAGCGAATAAAGATAAGGAGTTTCAGATGCTAAGCTTAAGAAAAAGCTTAATCCACGCTTAAGAGTCAGTGAAACCATTGGGATAATGCCTATTTTTCCGAAAATTAAATCCCTTGGAGAACGAACAAAAAACATTTTTGAAAAATATTTTTATATTTTATTTAATAATTATAATAAGATATTCAGATAATTATATTATATTTAGATTACTTGCATTCTTAGACAATTTTTTTTTAAAATTTAGATTTGTATTTTCAAATGCTTGCAATTGAGATTATTTAAAAAAAAAATATAAAGTTTTTTGGAAAATATAAGTCAGGAGAGGAAGTTAGAAAAACAATATCAAGGCTGCTGTGCTCCTTGCCACTTGATCAGAGCATTTTTCTTAGATAGCATTCCTCATTATTTTTGGCCTGATTTTTTTCCTCGTGAGAATTTTAATAGTTTTTTACTAACATTGTCTCAAAAGAAAAGTTACGACCAAAATCAAAGAAGTGCCATATGATGAAAAAATTCCTATTTATGACTAGCAACGAGGCTGCTGGGTTTGCTCTGAGAGTGATAACGATGAATCTGACTTATTGGTTAAGTGCAAAAGCTGTTTTATGGAAGTTCACATAAAATGCTACGGAATTACAGGAAATTTTGATGAGTGGATATGTGATCCTTGTCTAGAAATCCCAAAAGAAAAACGAGGTACATATTCTTGCGCTCTTTGCCCCAGGAAAGGTGGCGCATTGAAAAAAACTCTTCAAGCCAATATCAACTCTAACCCCTACCCTAACTATATACCAAATAAAGCAAAAGATGAAGACTTTATTTGGGTCCACGCATTTTGTGCTATGAGAGTTGAAAAAGTCCACATATCAAATACATCGAAATTAAACGAAATTGATATTTCAAAAATAAACTCAATTTCCTTTTCATCTATATGCGAAACCTGCAAAACTGCAAACGGCGCTTGCGTATTTTGCAGCTTTAAAGGATGCAGCAAAGGATTTCACCCTGAGTGTGGGAAAGATCATTTTTCCACAAAAAGAGGCCTTGGGAAGCATAAGCTTTATTGTGCATTACATAAGCCTTTACAGCTGAGAAAAATGCTTGAAACAAGGCAGAAAAAAATCAATGATGATATTTTCAAATTTTGCAAGGCTATAGAAAAATGGGAACAAAAAGGTAAACAACAAAAAGGAATAAAAAGAAAAAGAGAAAAAAAGATATTAGCAGCCCCATCAAAAATCTTTACAACGGTAGAAGACCAAAATCTGGAATTCAAAATCCAGAAATTTCTGCATAAATTGAATGTTGGGCAGAACAGACCATTTTTCATTCAAATAAATTTGAATGCATCGACGAGAAAATCACGTGTTGATGTAGACAGGCCAGAATATTTCACTATGATACAACCAGAAGTAATTTTAGAAAATTCGATTACTATAGAGAAAAGAACGCCAGAGGAGTGCTTTAAAAGGTATCAGGATACGCTTTACACAAGAATAAAAAATGATATTTTATTGAGAGGGGATCGCTTATCGATTTATTTTGGGCAAAATAAGTTGCCATCACGCTACTTAGCTAAAAAAGTAAAGAATGCAAATGGCAAAGGTGTTAACAAAAGAGGAAAACAAAAAGTTCAAGCTAAAAGTCTTAAAAAAATACTCCCAAAGCCAATAAAAAGCAAAGATAAATATTGCTACTGTAATAAGCCCTTCTATTATCAGCTGCCATGCCTTCCTGAATGGTCACAAGAAGAGTATGAAAAGAAAATAAAAGAAAATGAAATGATTGAATGCACTCAATGCGAAAATTGGTTTCATTTCGGATGTATTGACTATGCTGGAACTTTGGAGCAAGCTCAATGCGAAGAGTGGGTATGTGCTGACTGCTCAATGAAAAGACAAAAAATAACCGAAGTGCCAACAAACGAAGATTAACTTTGCATTCTTTACTTAAAAGTTTAGATGATATAAATGCTAATAATTATTCTGTAATAATTTGGAAATATATTTAATAAATTTTATGCCTTAGTTTAGATATTATCATATAGTTTTATTTTTTAAGCTAATCAACATAAACTAATAGGATTATTAAATTTTATGCCTATTCTTTGTATTTTTCTTCAATTTCTCCTTCAAAATCTCCTTCTTCAATAAAAACATCCTTATCTTCAATCAATTCTTTATCTTCTTTCTTTTCAAGTTCACTGAAATTAATTCCATCATAGCTAGTAAGCCCTTTATCCAGTCTATATTTTTTATTTGCATACTCAGGCTTAAATTCAATTAATCTTTTTCTGTACAAGCTTAATTGAGGATCTTTTTTAATAGCTAGTAGTGCACGATCAGGGAAAACAGTTCTAAAAGTCGATAAATAGTCAAGAGCAAATGAATAAGTTGGAATTCCAATTAAAAATCCTGTACATATAACATCTTTACGGAATAAGCTAGAATCCCCAGAAGAAGTTCGAAATCGTCTGTAATTTGTTACTTTTCGCGCAAGAAGCCAGACAACCACAGTAAATGCTAAATCTAATCGCAACCTGGATCTTATTTCAACTTGAGCAAAAGCACTCTGAACAAATGAAGGTAATTTTTGGTCTGAGTCAGCTTGTCGGCCAGCTATTAACTCATCGGCTGTTATGAGAGGAAGAACATGCTCTTCAAGATCTTTATAAGAAATTGGTCCAAAATAAGGACATATATTAGTTCATAGATCTTCGTACTCTTTTTTAGGTTCCATGTCTTTTCCTAGGGGGTATTTCCTCTTGCAGATATTTGTCGTCTGACATTTTATAAAAGTAATGTTTTTTCTGACCCCCTTCGTGAGCGTTTGAAAAATCCCTATTTTTTTTGGTCAAAAATCCACCTCCGTTTTAATAGAAATTTTTTTTATATATATAAATGATATTATATAATGAAATAATTCTGTTTAATTTATAAGAGCTTGCATTTTAAAACATAAATTTCGCAAATTAAATTAATTTTTGTTCTCAATTTGGAATTTTTTTAAATTTGAAAAAAAAAAATTTAATAATATTTATATATAAAATTAAAAAAAAAAATTAACCCCCTCCCATGAACGAACAAAATGTTTTTATTCGACCACGAAAGAGGGAGTGAGCAAATGTCTGGCGAGGAAATTTTTTCTAACAATTAGTGGTAAGAAAATGTCTGTTGATGAATAAAGTAACGATCAAAAGCATATTACCATTTTTTAGCTTCAGCAGGGCTTTTCCTTTTCCCAAAATAATAAGGAAAACTCATTATAAATCCATCATTATTTTTAGGAATAAAATGCTTAAAAGTAAAGATATATCATTTACTTCTATTTATCTTTAATAAAAATGCTAAATTATTACATTCTAATACAAATAAAATGTAAATCCTGATATATCATATACTTTTTTATTTTGCGAAACCTGCACACCAATATATGCAGAAAATAAAATAATTTTTCTCATATTATATTCTTCGGATCTCTAATAATTCAGCAATATATAGTTTATAAACTAATAAAAGAAATGCACAGTCATAAATATAATTGCTTATAAATGGCTAACTTTGATCAAGTCTTACAAAATCTCAGCTTTTATGATAACAAAAAAGAAAAATCCACTTGAAGTGGGTGACTTTCAGGGTACTGAAACAAAAAAAATCCAACCGACAAAGACAAAGACAAATTTTTTGACAACCTAGCAGCATCTATCAAAACAAAAGGCGCAGCTGGACTTTCCGTCTTTCAATCTGCAGCAAACCGAACCTATAGAATTAAAAACTTTTTCTTATTCTTATTGCTTTCAATTGGGCTATTTATCGGGGCATTTATGTTTTTACCTATGGTTTTACTATTTCCTCAAAAATTCGCTCTGATGTTTTCTTTAGCATCTCTCTGCATGCAAATTGCAATGAGCTACCTTAAGCCAAATTCGATAGCTTACATGAAATGTTTATTCTATGGCAAAGACAATCTGAAAGTATCATTAGCTTATTTTATCTCCTTGCTCTGGACAATATATTCTGCTATTATACTACGTAGCTATATTTGGGTGTGCATTTCTTCAAGTATACAGTTTTTAGCTTTGCTTTGGTTTCTGTTTAGCATGGTTCCTGGAGGGACTTCTGGGTTCATTACTCTACTAAAGTACAGCTTTAAGCTCTGCCCTTGCATGCCAACTGAGTCATTATTACCTTTATAATCATTAGATAATAAAATTAATTTATTTATCATGGAGCTCTCTGTATCCAGGCCAATCTGATGGAGCATGGTTTCCTTCTTCTTTCATGAAATTCAAAAGAGTTTCACATGGCCCATCTTCACAGCCTTTAATTTTTTGAGCCTTGTGGAAACCTTCTATTGCCTTTTCCCACCTCCCAGCAAAATAATTATCAAGTGCTTTTGAAAATTCTCCAAAAAATGATTTTGATATGTTTTCTTTCATCATTTTTAGATCAATATCATCGTTTCATAATAAATGAATAGGGTATTCTCCACTTTTCGCTTGAGATTTAAGTTTATCTCTAACAATTCTCGCTAGAACTCTTGCTTGTTTAGAGTCTGCATCGCTTAATGTAGCTTCTGGAACAGGATGTAGGGCTTCAAGATCTAGATCGCAGGTATAAAGCTCGATTGGCTCCTTGCTGCCTTTTACTGTAACTCTGTCGATTTTTCTCAGTTTTGTTTTGGTCATATTTGAACAAATTCCATATAAAGCGTTACTTATAAGGATTGGGACTCCAAATTGTTTTGTAGCAGCTTCAAGCCGAGATGCCATATTGACATTTGGAGACAAATAAGAAGCATCTATTTTAAATTCACTTCCTATAGCCCCTTCAATAGCCCAACCTTGATGCAGCCCAAACCCCATTTTTACTGAATATCCAGGCATGCGGTGATTTAGTTCAGGGTGATGCCTGTATTTCAAAATTTTTCCATTTTTATTGATTTCTGCGATAATTTTTATAAAACTAATAACTGCCATGTCAGCAATTTCTTTAATAAAAGTATTCCTGCCAAGAACCCTTCTTCCACAATCCAAGGCATTATTTTCCAGAGTATCGTCTGGAAATTTCCAGCACAATAAAAAGGCATCGCCGATATTTTTATTAGCTGTGCCAGAGTATTTATCAACAGTACTGTGGACAATGTGAGCAACGTCATTGACAAATGCCATGACTTCGTTTTGCAGCACTTCTGTTGCATCGGTAAAGTTTCTTATGTCACAAAACCCAAATATACTTTTAAGGGCCAATCCAATTTATTTTTTTCTGAATTTAGTTATGGGTTTTATACCTCAAGCACCCTAATAGATTTATATAGAGGGCCACTTGAGATGGACGGTTGAAGACTCTTCGCATGTATTGTGGAAAGAAAAAGCCAGAGAAAAGCATCTCTGAAATGGTGCCTAATAAACTTTAAATCTAAGTCAAAAATAAATAAAAAAGTCTGATTTCGTAAAAAATAATCTAGTTTGATTACCTCAAGGCATTAATTCTCTTAATTCGTGTACGAAACTGTTTTTTTTTCATAGAAGTAATGATTATGCAGCCCGAAATAAGGCGAATGATAATGAGGGCAAGTTCTGATAGAGTCATGACAGCAGAATTAATGCATGGGCCGAGAACAGCAAATTGTGTGTTTGAGCCCTGGGTGGTTTGTGAAGCAAATTATACACGGCAGAAGTCTCAAATCTTCAAAAATATAACTTTATTTTTCTAAAATTGATCTCTATTCTCTAACTCCTTCACTAAATCCAACATAAAACAGTTAAAGGTATGTTAAATAAAATGCACATTTGACCTTTTTATCTTCAACCATAACTTATCAATCTATCATCGATATGAAATTCGTCAATATTAATAATTTCATCATTTCTTTCAAGAATTTCTAACTCCCCCTCCATGAGAGAACAAAAAAATTTTGCTTGATCATGGAGGGGGGTTAATTTTTTTTTTCAAAATTTAAAAAATTCTAAATTTATAAAAAATGAGAAATAACAATTAATTTAATTTATTAAATTTATGTTTTAAAATACAAGCTATTTAAAATTAAGCAGAATTAGCTATAGATTTCATTATAATAATTATCACTTACTCCTCCCCCATCCTTGATCGAACGATTGACTGTAAAAATTTCTAAAAATTGGGGAAATTAACCCCCATCCTTGATCGAATGTTTTCATATCATGCAAATTTTTTATATATATAAAAATATATTAGTTATCAAAAGCTTGGGAAGATGCACCTAATGAAGTTGTTTCAGAGACTTTGAGATGACAGAAAGCTATGGAATCAACCATCCGAAGTGATTTAGTCATCAGCCTAGGCTTAAAAACTCAATAATCTAAAAACCAGAGATTCTTTAAAACTTTAAAAAAAAACAATTTAATTTAATAACTCCCCCCCCCCCCCTCCGTGAGCGAACAAAAAAATTTTTGTTCGCTCACGGAGGGGGGTTAATTTTTTTTTTTTAAAAAATTTTATATATAAATTTTATAAAAAATATTTTTTTCGAAATTTAAAAAAATCTAAATTTGCAAAAATTGGGAAGCAAATATTAATTTAATTTGCAAAATTTATGTTTTAAAACGCAATTTGTTTAAAATTAAACAGAATTAGCTCTAGATTTCATTATACTAATTATCACTTATATATCAAAATTTTTTTTCCATTAAAATTTTTTCTATTAAAAAAATTTTTGTTCACTCACGGAGGGTGGGTTTTTGGTCAAAAAATAGCGATTTTTCTAATGGTTTTGTTCGCTCACGGAGGGGGGGGGGGGAGTAAGGAGCAAATTAAAATTTATACAGTTTAAAGAGGTAACCAATAAATCAAAATATTAAAAATTGGTATTTTTATGAAATTAATTAAATGTTTTGCTGCAAAACTAATTATTGAATACTCTTAACCCTCTTATTTAAAAGTAAATAAAAATATATATATTTTTTTTTAACCCCATCCTCGATTGAACGATGGAGAGCCGTTCGATAAGGATTTGGGGGGGAGTTAGAAAAATTATTTTTTCATAAAAAATTTTTGTTCGCTCACGGAGGGTGGGCTTTTGGGTAAAAAATCGGGATTTTTACAATGGCTTTGTTCGCTCACGGAGGAGGGAGTAAGTAACGAAGAGCAACATTTATCTTCTTGTGTACGAATCAAGAAAATTAATGTCTTTAGGTAATCAAATTAGATTATTTTTACTGAATCACACTTTTTTGACTTAGATTTAAAGTTTATTAGGTACCATTTCAGAGATGCTTTCTCTGGCTTTTTCTTTCCACGATACACGCGAAGATTCTTCATTTTTCCATCTTAAGTGACCTCTCTATAGAAATATATTAGAGTGGTATGGGGTTAATAAAATTATTAATTTGATTTTTTCCATATAGATGCTAATTAATATTGAGGGATATATGCAAATTGTTCGCTTTCCGTCAATCATAGGATTTACTTCACCCCCACCTTTTTGGATGTTGGTTGCAATAATTTCAGATCCAGCCTCACCGAAGCCTAGTGCAAGAAGCGCACCTATTTTAGTGACAGTTTGCTCGAGAAACGCAGTTTCCATTGGCTCTTGTGCTTTTTTAAGTTTTTCTTTTGATGTTAAAATTTTGAGAACTTCTTTTTTTTCTTCTTTTTGAGCTGCTTGAAGTGGGTTTTTTGCAATATCTTGTATTTTTTTAATCATATTTTCAAGAGGGTTTAATACCATTTTTTGAGCATCGTTTGTAAGCATCATTGTAGCAGCTGATAAAAGAATACATATGAAAACTGTTCGAATAATATTTAGCCCGGCTTCAAGCCTCACAGTTTTTCTTATATCGAATATACTTACTAGGCTGAATAAGTTTTATATATGCTCTTTTTTATAGAGTAAAAATTTTCGTGCTGTCTGCTAGTAAGAAGGCTTTGTTCTAAAAAATAGGAACATATATTTGAAATATTAGGCTAATATTAAATAGTTCTATTTTTAAAGCTGTAAAGCAGAATCTCTGCACATTTCTTGATTTTCTATCAATAATTCTGCAAAATTCAATAAAGACTAAAAACTAGATACTAAAATCATCACATTCATTTATTCTGGTATACTGCATAACTTGCATAATAATAATCAGAGCTTTTATTTTCAAGATATGCATATGTTTTTTCTGTGTCCCTCAAATCATCTTGATCTGTACTTGTTTCTCATGTATTTTTATTTTTTACATAAAGGTATATAAGTGGCGAGTATAATTTTTTGTGTTTTTTAATAAAATTATTTCAAGCTACAATAAACGAATCATCACTATCAATAACTGAGTCTATGACCTCAAGTCCATAAGTGTATGAAGTATTGCTATCAATATATAGAGTAGGGTAAAATATGGGCAGTCCAACCATTACTGCAATAACAAGCACAATGACTCTTTTTGTAGTATTATCATTTAATGTTTTTCCAACATTGCTTTCTTGAGGTATATTGCGCTATAATGAATTTTATGCAAATATTTATAAGCATATTATTGTTTGATTATTTATAAATAAAACTAACTTTTGCTATTTCGGGGCCAAATTAAGCTGTAAATTGTATTTCAATTTCTTCAGGCAAGCTTTCTGTATCAGAAAATACATGATTTGAAGAATCGCCTATAGAATTTTTTCTATCATTTCCCAAGCTCCCATGGTCTTCTAGATTAGAAGTAAATGATTGAGAAACTGAGGCTTCACTGCCTTCATCGATATCTTCAAAAAATTTATTTTGCATCCTAGGCAAGTGTATCGCTTCTTCTCCCCTATACTTTATATTAGTTCTCCTTAAAAGTGGCTTATTTTTTCTCGCAGCTTCTTTTGCAGCTTTAGCAATTTTATATAGCTTGGTAATCCTAATCAGTCTAATAACTCTTATAACCCTTATAACTCTTGCAGCTCTAGCCGCTCCTCTTGATGCTTGTCCAGCGTTGGCTATTTTGGAAGCTTTACTGCTTCCTCCAGACCCGCTATCAACCATTGCATTTCAGACCCAGCCAATATCAATAATTAAAGAAAGCGTAGAAATCAAATCAAGCCAAAAGAAAAAACCTAAAAAATACTCTTCTTTGGCAAGTGAGGATAATATAATCTCCAAAGTGAAGAAAAACAGACAAACTGTTGTTAAGCTATAAAAAGCGTCATCTGCACTTTTTGAGGTGGCACAAACACGAATATCGTCTCCAAATAAAGCGTAGAGAGTTATAACTATCATAAAAGTCTGAGTGGCTCAGTGGTCTAATATTTTGCATATGGTAAATCTTCAATTTAGTTCGTGAAATTCAAGGGCAGGCTCTATTGTTTTTAGATTCGCATCGCTACTTAATTGATTAGACTTGTCGTCTATGTTAGTTTTTCTGTCACTAAGCTTGATCTCGAATTCAGAGCTTATGCTCATATTAAATAATGTAATGGCAGAGCTTTGCATGACTTCTATTTTTTCATATAAATTGTTGAACTGGCTGAAATAAGAAGTTTTAATATTTCAATAAAGGAATTTATTAAATTATTAAGACCAAGATGCAATTTATTTATACCATTCAATAAATATCAAATTAATATTTTTAACTTAACTAAAATTTAATAAAAAATTAGCAAATATACTTTGCCATAGTTCAGTTTTTACGTATTTGCTTCACTCCTGAGCATTTTAAGATAGTTAAAACCTGATTTTACATACGAAAATAAAAGTATAACTTCTTTATGCTATTCACTATATTTTCTCATATTCTAAGATAAATGGATTTTCTTACCACCGAGTCAGGAAAAAAGCTTTCATATATCCTAACTCTAAGTCAGCACAAATCTCCTTATTTGCTTATCATCATACACGGAACTTGTAGCAGCAAGGATTCTTTATTTTTGCCTTATCTAAGCGATAACTCAACATACAATACATTGAGATTTGATTTTCCAGGCAATGGAGACAGTGGAGGCGAGTTTGAATTCGGTGGTTTTGAAAAAGAAGTTTCTATTATTCACAGTGTTGTTCTCTGGGCTAAAAGTCATGGATACAAACCTCTAGCATTAATTGGCCACTCAAAAGCAGGGAATGAAGTTTTAATGTATTCAGCCAAATATGGAGATGTGCCTTTAATCATTTCAATCGCAGGAAGACTTGACATGAATGTGATCCCTGCGTTTATCCAGCCTGTCATGAATTCTATTGAGGCAGAAGGACAGGCAACTATTGAATTGCTTGGAAGAGAATACAATATTACAAAGGCAGGGGTTGATGAAAGAAAGGCGATTAATATGACAAGAATTTTGGCTGCTGTAAGAAATTGGGTCTGTGCTATACACGGCGATATAGACCCTTGAACAAATATTGAAGATGCGGAAGGGATATCGAGACTGCTCGGCAGAAGATGTTTTGAGTTAGATGTTATTCAGGGTGCTGACCATAGTTTTACAAATTGTGAAGCGGAACTATTACAAAATATAGAAAATTTCTTACTGCCTCAATGAGTTAAAAGAATAAATTTTGGCCGCTCTAAGAGGTGCCTAAATACTATCTCAAGATTTTAGCTCATACCCCTATATAGATTTCTTTATCGAACAAATGTAATGGATTGTTGAACGAGAAATACAGATTCTCTCAAAGAGATTAGCTCAATCTCTATACCAGGAAGTGCTAAAAAGTGACATGTCAAAAAATGGTGGCAGTGTGAAAAAAGTTGACAAATAAACGCGCCAATTTTTTAAAATGGCTTTATTATTAAAATAATTTAAAATTTAAGATACCTTCTTAAACTGAAGATAAAATACATAAAACATTATTTTTTATTTAAGCAATTATACTGCCGTAAAAAAGTAACTCAATCAATAATTAATTAAATTTTAAATTTCATTTAAATTTGCTAAAGACCACATAATGAGTCAGTAAGAGCCTCGAAAAGAACAGCAAGTGCTCGAAACAAACTTTGGCTTTTTAGAGCAGTTGATCATAAACAAATTTTATCATTTCTCAAAAAAGCAACCCTGTTGACAACTTTTATATTTAAGCAATTTAAATTTGCTAACGAGTATTTAAAAATATAAGTAAGATATTAATCAATCCCAGTCTAATTGGGTATCTTAAATTTTAAATTAATTTAATAATAAAAGCCATTTTAAAAATTAGCGCGCTTACTTGTTTTTCACACTTGTCACTATTTTTTGACATGGCACTTTTTAACACTTCCTGGTATAGAGATTGAGCACATCTCTTTGAGAGAATCTATATTGCTCGTCAACAATCCATTATATTTTTGTTCAATAAAGAAATGCATATGGCTATATGCAAAGTTTTCAAAAATTATAAACTTTAATTTTAATAGAATTAACTAGAAATGATTGTAATAATTATTACTTATATATCAATAAAAAAAAAAATTTTCAAGTTTCCCTGGAAGTAAGATTTTTTCAATTACTTTGCTGGATCAAGGATGTGATTTAGCAAAAGCCGTACCACTTCTTCAATTAACCCATAAAATTTAGAATTTGCTTATTTCTTTAAAATTTAATTTAACCTATACTAATTTGTATTTATTTTTAAATTTGTAAAACCTTTAGTGTATAAATAAAATGGCATTCGGTTCGAGAGAAATTGGCTCTGCCAATTTTCTCTCCCTCATGGAATTTTATTTATGGGGTTGGGTTTTCTCTCGAGAACTTCTGCGCAAGCAACAGCCGTTTAACTTTTGGGATAACCAAAGGCACGGCTCCTCAGCGCATTCAAGAGGCTCGGAGTTTTATCTCTCACACATCCCCACGGGAGGATGACCCTTAGGCGGAACACGCGCAGGAGCTGAGTCAGGGTGAGTGACGGCAACGCGCCGGGTGAGATGTACGGCGACTTTCTGGCGACAAAGCCTTATAGAAGGCTTGGGTGTGGGCTGACCACATATTCCAAGATGGCTTGGTGACGTCACTGGTCTCGCTTTGACCCTTTTTAATTAAGGGGTGTGTCACTAGACACCTTAAAATACCAGGTTTAATGTAATGTAAAACCTTTAGTAGTGTAATTTTATCGTTTCTATTACAATGCTGACACGAATCACCACAATCTCTACACCCAGCATGGCCACATACAAATACAACCACAATTGGTTTAGTTTTACAGAAATGACAAATAAATCTTTCTTTTTCCTTCAGCCTCTCTCTCAAACTACTTAAAAAATCTTTCAATAAATTATTTTTATCTCTCAAATTTCTTAGCTCTTCTGTATCATATGTATTGTCCACCTCTTGCGATTCTTCATTATGAGTAAAAGGGCAGATTTCTTCTAAGTCGCAATCATGGTTTTTACATTCATATTTTCTAAAAAAATCTTTATGATAGAACAGCTCATATTTATTATGCGCAAACTCGCATTCATTCCCATAAAAGCAGTCCCTTTCGAACTTTTTATTATCAGGATTATATGCATTTCTGCAAGGTATGGCTCTATACTTATTCTATTTCTCCTCATTATAGCTGCTTATTTTATTCTTTCTATATAATAATTATTATTGAACAAAAATGAAGTTATATTTTTTAGGATCCCTTCTTTGGTCATCATAGGTATGATAAAATAAGCATCTGGCTTCGTCATGTTCTTTGAAATCATTGCAAACAAACACTTTAAACGTGTCCCTTTCGAATTCAAAATTAGAAGTTTTTCTTTTTTTGGTTCTTTTATTATCTTGATTTATTTTATATTGTGTATGGTATTTTTGAGACTTAATATTGTCATTATTTTGTTCCTCAACGGTGCTTCCAACTCACATTTTTCTAGGGTTATTTTTAAAATAGTCTGAAGGTTCTCTTAAAGCACCAGGAGCATGGCGTAAGAAGCAGTGTTCTCCATTTTTGGAACAAACTCCATTTTGTAAAGGGTAACTGCATGGAATTGTTTTAAAGACCATAGGATGATAATTAATCTCGTCCTTATTATGCGCATAAACACAAGTTTCTCCGTATTCGCAGTTATCATCAATACACAGCTGAGGTTTGTAGCTTCATGCACCATTAGAAAATCGGAAAGGTCTTCTTCGCCTTTTTTCGCCTTCATGATAAAACAGGCAAGGTGAAGTAATGCATACACTGCCTGGACATTTTGCTACGTGAAAATCAATAAGATAGTCTCTATATAATTTATCCTCAATCTTGAATTCTTCTTCTAATTCTCTTGCATCGAAATAATACATTATTCCCGCTTACTCCCCCCCCTCCGTGAGTGAACAAAACCATTAGAAAAATCCCTATTTTTTGCCCAAAAACCCACCTCCGTGAGTGAATAAAAATTTTTTTAATAGAAAAATTTTTTATGGAAAAAAATTTTGATATATAAATGATAATTATTATAATGAAATCTAGAGCTAATTCTGTTTTTTATTTTAAAACGAATTGCTTTTTAAAACATATAATTTTGCAAATTGAATTAATATTTGCCTTTCAATTTTTGCGAATTAGGATTTTTTTAAATTTCGAAAAATAATATTTTTTATCAAATTTATATATAAATTTTTAAAAAAAAAAATTAACCCCCCTCGTGAGTGAACAAAATGTTTTTGTTCACTCACGGGGGGGGAGTTAGTAATTATTATTCTATTAATTATTTAACCCCTCTTTATTTTCTTTCTGGAATTTTTATTTCTCTCATAATTTCACTGAGATTTTGATGTGTTGGCTTATCAGCAGCTTTTTCAATGTTTTCAAGCCATGGTGGCAGCCCTTTAATGACCTCTTTGAGTTCTTCTTGAGAGCTACTTTCTTGATTGTTGGGCTTATCTATATAAGATAATAATGTGTCTACATCAGTACTCGAGAGTTCATAAATCCTTGAAAATTCAAGAACAATTGATCCGATTTCATTTTTGTCAAGACTATAAGAAAGCATTCTATCTGTTGCCAGTCATTTGACAGGAACTTTGCCCTTGTATCAGACTCTTAAAGCCATAGTTGATAAGACTCATGCTCATGATATGTTTGAAGAAGACGAAATCTGAAAATATTTTAAGGTAGGGCGTAAATATAATTCTTTCTTTGTATCAGACTTTGGTCATAATTTTTACCTCATGTGACATTTTCCTCACTCCCCCCCCCCTCCGTGAGCGAACAAAACCATTAGAAAAATCGCCATTTTTTGACCAAAAACCCACCCTCCGTGAGTGAACAAAAATTTTTTTAATAGAAAAAATTTTAATGGAAAAAAATTTTGATATATAAGTGATAATTAGTATAATGAAATCTAGAGCTAATTCTGTTTAATTTTAAACAAATTGCGTTTTAAAACATAAATTTTGCAAATTAAATTAATATTTGCTTCCCAATTTTTGCAAATTAGGATTTTTTTAAATTTCGAAAAAAAATATTTTTTATAAAATTTATATATAAATTTTTTTTAAAAAAAAAAATTAACCCCCCTCCGTGAGCGAACAAAATTTTTTTGTTCGCTCACGGAGGGGGGGGGGGGAGTCAGCAAAAAAATGTTAAAATTCTATCAAATTTTCATTAGGAAATAATTTAGGCCAAAAATACCTGTGAAATGCCACAATACCAAATGTTTTGATCAAATGATATGGAGCCCATTCTATCGGTAAAGAGAGTGAGTAAGCAAAATGTGATGTTTTTAATTCTTTCTTCAATTTCATTGTTATTTGATAGTAAATTTCTAAAGCTAGTAATTTCCTTGTCAATTGCTGAGTCAATTAAAGATTTCCATAAACTTACCATTTTCCATATTTCGTTGTTTTTCAAGTTTTCTTTAATAAGCTGGCTAGTATTTTTGTTTATAATTGATTCAATAAACTCAATAATCTCTCCAAAAGTGCACTCATCTTTATTTTTCTCACATTCATTAAGCATTAAATTTATCAAACCGCATACTTCTTGTATTCCTGACTCATTTTCAATAGCAAATCCTTTTTCTTTTAAGCGTCTCAGCACAATTGAAAAGCATTTTCTTCCTAGAAAGCTAGATATAATTTCTTTGAAATTGTCAGTTTCTTCAACACTTAAAAGTTTTCCAGTCATACATGATACAAAAATGTCATCAATTTTATTAATTTGGATTTGGCCGATTTCACATAGTTGGGACTCAGAATATGTAGATATTAATGGGAAATCTGAAGCAAAAGCATTGAAAAAAGAACTTTCCCCAACATAAGGTTCATATTTTGGAGCAAATTCTTGAAGCTCATTTTTGGCTTTTTCATTAAAAAATAGCTCTATATCTTTTTGTACATCAATAATTTCTGAATACTTACTCCTCTGGTTCAAGCAAAATGTTAGGAAAAAAAAAATTTTAAAAAAATTAGTTTAAAAATAATAATTAATATATAATTTATAATGATTGTGATGAAATCTCCAGTCTCTTAAAAATTAGAGCTTTAATTTAAAGTATAAATTTTTTTTTTCCCCTTCAAAATTTAACTTTTTAATAAAAACGGTTTTGTAAAATCAAAAATCAACCCATCCCATTAAAAATAAAATTCTTGAAAGGAGAGCTAGCGAAAGTTTCAGTGTCATATTGAATATTTCTAATCCAGGCTGTATTATACACTATGATTTTTTTAATCGAGCTTTTTAGCAAACCTAGCATTGAGGCTTCTTGTGCTTGATAATTATCTAAAATATCTTTCATTTTTTCATAATAATTGCTGTCATTAATTTTATAATCATCAATAGCCGACACATACATTTCAAGAGAATTATAAGCTTCGTTTTTTTTCTTTTTAATTATCTTTTTAGACTCTTTGTCAATTGAATTTTCCTGTCTAGATAGAATTTCATCAAGATTTCTGCAGTTTCCCCAAAAGTTATCTTTTAAAATTTCAATTTTTTTCTGTAAGGATGATCTGGTCTTTACAATTTTTTGGCCATCAGAATATGATTTTTTCATAGAAGTCTCTTGAGCTCTAACTCCCCCCCCCTCCGTGAGTGAACAAAAAAATTTTGTTCACTCACGGAGGGGGGGTTAATTTTTTTTTTTTTTAAAACATTTATATATAAATTTTATAGAAAATTTTTTTTCTTCGAAATTTAAAAAAATCCTAATTTGCAAAATTTATGTTTTAAAACGCAATTTGTTTAAAATTAAACAGAATTAGCTCTAGATTTAATTATACTAATTATCATTTATATATCAATTTTTTTTTCCATTTAAATTTTTTCTATTAAAAAAATTTTTGTTCACTCACGGAGGGTGGGTTTTTGGTCAAAAAATGGCGATTTTTCTAATGGTTTTGTTCACTCACAGAGGGGGAGTAAGCATTTCTTTGATAGGATGAATAATATCTGATAAGATATTTTCAGCTAAAGTGCGCGATTGAATTGCCTTACTTGCACTGAACTTTTTCATTGAAGCAATTGCATCATATAATGTGCCATCTGTAGATGCAATATAAGGATATTTTCCAATCTTCTCTAAACTTTCAGCATAGCTATTTTCAAGGGCTGCCATATCCAGCATGAGCTCTATGAATTGTTTGCAGCCTGTTTGACGATCAATGTAGTGAGAATGAACAATATCAAAAGAGTGAATATATCGCTCAGAAATACTCATATTTATTATTTAAATATCTTATCAAGGCTTAAAAGTTTTCTTCAAATGTTAATTTTAGCTTTTTTAATTATTTTGTTTAATTTGACTACAAAATGCTGTTTTTAGATTATTATTAGTTTCAGAAAAAATTAAATCTCATCTAAAGCTCTTTTTTTTGTCTTTTTACACTTCTCGTGATTGTTTCAATTGTGAGAGGAGAATCATCTCCAATACTAGGTACATATCTTGAAGAGATGCGCTTATTTATGAAATTTTCTGTAGATCTGTTATTTTTGATATCATTTTGTTCATTGTCACTGAAATCACCACATCTTGGAAGAGGAGATTCAGAGTTTTTCTCTGTGTAATGCTTTTTTCTGGTGGGAATATGCTCCACAAAGTATCTCCTTTTAAAACTGATATCGACTGCATTAGGCTTTATTGATTGAATTCCATTTATTTGTCTTAATCTAGGAATTTCTCTAAATTTTGGCTGCTGCTTTGAGCTTGTAATTGGTCTCATTTTAAGTTTTTCATTTAACAAAAATTTGTTTGAAATTTCTTCAATCTTTCTTTGCTTCTTAATTTTTGAGCTTGATCTTGCCATATTTGACAAATTTTTAGGTAATTTATCTTTTGAAGTTCTGCCATCATGATTATTTTCTCTTTTATTTAGCCTCAATCCTGAATAGGAGCCTTTTCTTTTAAATCCCATCAAATTTTTAGCTTTTTCCATCACTTTTAGGATTTTTTGGTTGATTTTGTTCTGCTGCTCTTCATATTCTGGGTTTTCTTCATCTTCACTTTCTGATGTTTCTGAATTATTTTCTTCTTGAATATTTTCATCTTTTATACAATTCATAATTTCCAATAATGATCTTGCAGTAAATTTTTCTATATTTTCATTTGCTTTCTTCCCTCGCTTTTTCCTTTTTAGTCTTTCGTTTTTCTTTGCTTCTTTTTCTTTAATAAATTTGTTACGGATAACAATATATTCTAATAAAGATTCAGAAAATTTTCTCCCTAAAGAAAATAATAGCTCCTCAGAAAAAGGTATTGTGTTTCTCTCAGAGTCTAGAAATCCGTATGAAGAAGTTTCTATTGTATATACAAATGGCAGTTTTAATTCTTTTCATATTACAAGTCTTGCAGCTTTCCTTTTTGATCAGTCATTTTTAAATTTGCATGAAAAGTACCGAAACATTTCTGTCCTCTCACTGAAAAGCTTACTCCCCCTCCTTGAGCGAGAAGCATTAGAAAAATCACTATTTTTTGCCCAAAAACCTATAGAAGTTTCCTATGTTTGGCGCTGTAAGGCCGATAAATTCTGATCGGAATTTATCGGTTGGTTGCACCAAATCAATGCCTTGGTCGGACCAAAAAGCGATTCGGTCCGACGAACTTGGAAAGCTCCCTGGGAAAATGTCTGCGCTTTCAGCGCTATATAGAGGAAACCTCTATACCCTCCGTGAGCAAACAAAAAATTTTTTATGAAAAAAAATTTGATATATAAATGATAATTATTATATAATGAAATCTATAGCTAATTTTGTGTAATTTTAAACAAATTGCGCTTTAAAACATAAATTTTATAAATTAAATTAATATTTGCTTTCCAATTTTTGCGAATTAGGAATTTTTTAAAATTTCGAAAACAAAATTTTTTTTAAAAAAAAAAATAACCTCCTCCATGGGCGAACAAAATTTTTTTGTTCACTCTCATGGAAGGGGGAGTTAGGAAGAACTTTAATGCTAATATATTTATCTGAATGAAGTGGATAGTGAGGACCATAGATAAACATGCCTTTTTTGGTAGAATGGGCATGAAAGTCAAAGTAAAACGATATTTTCTCATTTTTAATCATGTTTTTTAAAGTATGAATCACTGGGTGAAGTCTTGGATCTGGACTTTGAAATCGGCGATTCAAATCTTCTCCTGTAAGCGAGCATCTTGAATTTCCTAATATAACTCCATCAGGATTAAGCATAGGAATTATTTTAAATACAATTTTTTTCCTCAATCTTTCAGCCTCCTCATTGTCGCTTACAATAAATTTAAGAAACCCTTCCATCACTCAGGATCCATGTGTTTCTCCAGGATGTACTCTTGCTGTAAGAAAAGCTGTCTCCTTAGGCTTAATATTTTGCGAAAAATCCGTAATAGTCAAAATTGGAACATCAACTCCACTTAAACTTTTACACAAAATTTCGTTTTTGACTAAATTTGACTTTTCCAAGTCCTTTAAAAATTTGCAGAGCCTTGAATATTTATAAGGGATTGAATAAGCAAAATAAATAGAGTCATTTTCCTTGAATTGATAAAAAAATGATAAAGAATAATATATTCTTCGCGATTGTGGCTGATTTATTTTGCTTTGTGTATAAGTAACTTTATAACCCCCTTTTAGTCATCCTTTATTAGGGTTACGTGCATCAAAAATGCATGGTAGCATTCCTTGACTATACAGGCTGCTCTTTTTTGAAAAATTTACTATGTTGAATTTAATTTCTCTCTCACCTCATTTGTTCTCTACTTTAAAATAGTATCATCAATTATGTCCGTATGAGTTTGAGTCAGTTCTTAAATATAAATCGTATTCATCATCTTTGACCTTAACAACTTTATCTAAGTTTCCGCTTTCAAAACATGAGGAAAAAATCAAATCTTTTATGTCTAGACCTTCTTTCATTCCTTTAAAAGGTTGGGCGTTGTTGGCTGGGCCAAGTTTTTTGATGGAGTTTCATGCATGTCGCAGAACTGGATTTATTGTGAATTTATAAGTTTCTGGGCTTGAGTAGCACTCATGAAGCTCAAGGGAGTCTTGAGGGCGAAATCCATAGAAAATCGCAGTTTGTGTTGAAATTTTGTCTAGGGTAAAACATAAAGGAATTGGACCGTTTTGTAAGATTGAAGTTGGCCGTCATCTAGTTAGAAGTTACCCGAAGAGCATATCAGGTTCAAGGCTATGACCAGATTTAACAAGTGGAATGCAATCAGGCAGTCGATCTTCTTTAGGCTGGAAACTTTCTTTTATTATAGGAGATTTGCTCAGTTGAGGTATTTCTGAAGTGCATTCAGAAACCTCACTTCCATACCCAGAATCATTGCCAAACTGTTTCATTGATATTGTAGGTTTTAATATTGCTAACGAAGTAATATAGTTTAAAATTGAAAAATAATAATATTAATTGAAAAATCAATAATCAGATATACTTGTCTCAAATTATGATTGAAATTAAGCCTTTTTCTTATAATTAATGCATCATACTTACTAATTTGAAAGTCTGGGATTTTATAGGAAATATTGTTAAAATTAGAAGGAAATTAACCTCTGATGGGGTGACAACCATTAATTAAATTAAATTAATTCTTATAATTAAGCGAAAATGGGAGAATTCTATTACATCAACAAAATTATTGAAACATGAAAGTTCAGAATTACTTTAATTGAATATCTTGATACTCAATTTAATTAAATAATAAGATTTTACAATTAAATAATTTTTATAAATTTATTAAGCTATAAAAGATTTTGATGAGTTTATTTATTTCATATGAATAATTATTTTAAGATATTAATTAAGTTCATTTAGCTATATTTTAAAATGAGTGCACTTATTTATTAAGATTGAATTTCAACTCAGCTTATTAGATTAAAAGCTTATAAATTCTTTATAGCTCTCTTTTTTGGAATAAATATTTTAAATCAATTAATATAAATAATTTCCTTTGCAAATCAATCATACTAATACAATGCAGTTTTATTATAAACTAATCAATTAAATATTTATGATGCGTTACAAATATGATTTCTTATAAATAATAATAAATATTTTTTATTTGAGTAAAATACAAAGTTTTCTAATTGATCTAACTATCCATATTTTTTCTTTCAGGCAACTTACACTTGAGTCTCCATTTTATGCTAAAATTTTCCAGTTCTTAATTAACCGCAAACTTAGCTGCCTTTATAATTCAAGGCCATTATTTATCGCTATGCGAATTCTCAAAGAGCTTTTGAATGAAAGCATTGCTTTCAAGTTCAAAGTCAAAATCTTTATGCTATCATTCTATATTTATTAAAATTATCATAATAGCAAAGCTTATTTACATAAAATATTTTGACGTAAAAAACTTGAATTTTTAGGCAGAACGATTTATTAGAATATTTTAAAAGCACTCGAGACATTTAAAATATTTAATTTTATAAGGAATAAATGCTAAATAAATTTAATATCAGTCTACATATACTTAGTTAATATTTAATTTAATGTATTGTTATAGAAATGTACCAGCATAATTTTTAATCTCCTTAAATTTGTTATGCTATTCATTTAATTTTCTACAGTTTATAAGCCATTTTGGCTCAAAAATCCAGCTGCTTTAATTCAAAGTAATTTTCTATATCAAGAATCACAAATATAACTGCCATCTTATATTATATTTCTCCCGATGGATGCGAAATGACGCAGAGATGAAATAGAAATGAAAGGTACACTTGCTGATGTCAAAACCCCAGATTTCCAAAGTAGACCCAACCAAATTCTTCAAAACATTGTCAAAGAGAAAAACGAAACCAGTGATGACTTACAAAAAGCTTTTCTCTACGTCTCCAGCCATCTACCACGCACAATTGAAATGCCTTTCCAAGGCAACTGCTTCCAAGCCAGTAAAAACTCCAAGTTTTTTGTTTTAGGGAGCAACAAAGGGAGATTGGCAGTCACTGATTCCAGAGAGATAGTCAAAGATATTAACATCGAAGTTGGAATAAAATCCCTTGTTCTTTATCATGACGATACCTTTGTGTTTGTCGGGCTTGTTGATAACAGCATCAAAAAATACCAGCTTTCAACGTTCGAGTTGGTAGATGTTTACATTTACATTAAAATGGTGTAGTGAGTCAATACATCCTCCTAGCACCTATAGCCGGGGGTCTTGAATTATGGAAGGGAGAATGGTATCCTAAGACATTTATAAGCTGGTTTTGTTAATCTGGTAGAGGAGCAGTGCTCGGGTGACCAGCCACAACTCACATCAAGATTGGTCTTTTTCATCATAGGAGCTGGAATTTGGATTTGAAAAGGAATTACTAGAACTGTCTATGACACTTCATTCGGTTAATGGACAACTCCCTAGGTGTTGCATCCTAGGCTTTGAGTTTCCATCTGGCTCAAAAGTTCGATTTTCGAATTTACTGGAAGGCAACCTGTGTTGGTGCCCACTTTTGGGAGCAGCTGTATGCCCTTGTCATGATGGCAACTAAGCAGTTAGGTGTTATGGAGATATAATATTTTTCCCATGAATAGAGCTATTTGGCCATGAATTGGCCACGGAGTTGCTTTTTTGGTCTGACCAAGTAATCTTGGTAAGACCAAATTGAATAAAATCTTTAATTTGGTCTGACCAAGATTACTTGGTCGAACCAAAAAAGCAACCCTGTGGCATTCATGACCAAATGGTGCTTTTCATAGGAAAAAATTATAGTTTGTTTACTCCGGAATTGCAAGCACTTCCTAATAAGCAATTAATGCTAATGGTAGATACATACATTGGGCACCAAGAAAAAGTAACGAAACTCCTTTTATCTAGAAATGACTTATTTCTTTTTTCAGCAAGCGCTGATGGGACAATCAGAGAATGGCCAACAAACTCGCCAAAAGAAGCAGTTTCTCGCACTATATATAAACATGACAATGAAATTATTGACTTTGATTTAAGCTACGATGGCGGGCATTTTGCAAGCTCCTCAAAAAATGATGGAGTCCTAAAAGTGTTTTCAGCAGCTCAAAATAAAGATGTTGCAGTGATCTCAAACGAGTACGGAGCAACATTTTCTTGTGTCAAATTTTCACCAAAAAAGACCTATAGCGCTTTCCCGAGGATGGCGCGGAATGGCGCCATCCTCGGGAAAGCCAGGAAGGCATCCACACGGGAACTGGGAGTTCCACGTGTGGATGCCATTTTGACATGTGGAAGTTGGATCCCACATGTCAAAAATGGCATCCACACATGGAACTCCCAGTTCCCGTATGGATGCTTAGTTGACTTTCCCGAGGATGGCGCCATTCCGCGCCATCCTCGGGAAAGCGCTATACCTCGCTGCTGGAGATATGTACTGCAGAATTACCATTTGGAATTTCACAAACTTATCAGAGCCATTGAAGTCTCTTGTAGGAAGTGAAGATAAAATAAGAGACTTGGCATTTACATATGATGAAAGTACACTTGTTTCTGCAAGCAAAGACACTAACATAAGATTGTGGAGTCTTAATACCGCGCATGACGAAATTGTTTTGACTCAGCATTCTGAATCTGTAAAAGGAGTAATCGTTGGAGAAGGAGATCAACATATATTTTCACTTGGAAAAGACTATAAACTGAGAATATGGAAAATTCCTAGGTTCAAGCGTCATAGAAAACTACTAGATCATACCGACACAATATGAAGGCTAAAGTTTTCAAAAAACGGCAACCGCCTTTATAGCAACTCTGGCGACCAAAGAATCATTGTGTGGGAGCATTCCACTGGCGAAAAAATCCAAGAATTGTTCCACTACGCCGGAATGTTTGCAATGGCGTTAACCAAAGATGAAAGTCATCTTATTTCTTGCACAGATGACGGAAAAATCATTTTTTGGAATCTGGAAACATGAAAAAGAGACAAAGAGATCTCAAGCGAAGAAGGCACAATCAGATCCTTAATTGTGTCTAGCGCTTATTTTATTACAGGGGATGATGCTTTTCGTGTAGTTGTTTGGGACTTGAAATCATACAATATTGTCCATATTTTTAGAAGCCATAGATCAGCTGTTTGGTCTTTAACTGATTATGAGCCTGACAACAAACTTTATTCAGGAGATGAAAAAGGCTCGATTATGATTCATGATATGACCTTCAATAAAACTGATCATGAAGAGCTTGAAGGCCACGGCACAAAAGTCCAACGCTTGAAAATTAGCAGAAATGGAGAAATCTTGATTTCAGGATCAAGAGATGGGGTTATAAAGATTTGGAGTGTCAAGATGAACAGTCTCCTCAGAACCATTGAATACCATACCGATGTATTAACTCCCTCATCTTTAAATTGAAAAAATATGGACATTTCGCCTATATTGCCCGATATGGGCCGAAACCTCTCCTGTTGGTTTGGCCAACCTAAGTTAGTCAAACCGACTTGAGAGGAGTGCTCTCAAGCTTCGGCCCATATCGGGCAGTATAGGCGAAATGCCTATATTAGCTTATAGCAATTGGGGGCTTTTAGCCTCAAGTAAGCTGATCTACTGGTCACAGCTAGTTTTTATTTTCCAGCCTAAATAAGTGACTGTTTGTGACCAGTAGACCAGTTTACTGGTGTGAAAACAGGCTGCATTTTTTTATAAAACCAATTTATATCAATATAATAATTTATAAAAATTTATTGATTTAAAGTAATAATTTGTTTAAATAGTAATTTTCTTGCACTCTTCTATTAAAAATGGAAGATCATACTTAATTTTGAATTTTGGAGACATTAAATTGGTAATCAAAGCTATTTATATATAAATTATGTTTTTATTTATAAATAAAGGGAAGAGTAAGGGAAATTTATTGCACAAAGGACCAAAAGTACTTTTTTGTCTGCTCTGAAGATAAGCAGATGTCAATTTTTGATATGAGAGAGTTCAGTTTAATTACATCGATATCCTTCAAGAAAAAGCTGATGACCATGGCTTTTACAGAAGACGAGCTTACTATAGCACTTGCAGAAGAATCTACAATTACCTTGATTGAGAATCCAGTCTATATAGATAGAATTGGGTCTTCTGATGTGAGAGTTTACGGCCCTGGCAGTGATTATATGAACTTTTTAAGCTACTGCTCTCAGATTATGCTCAATCAAAGTCCTGATTATGATCCCCAAATGGATGCCTGAATTATTCAGCCATTTAGACTAAATGCTCTGCATCTATACGCATATTTCAACCTTCCAAAACATTTAAAGCTCGGAATTAAAAATTTGGCACCATTTATTTCAACAAGGTATGGGGAAACCGCACTTTCTCTAGCTCCTATCATTTAAAAACGAGCAAAACCTATAGAATTTTATTAAAATATTGGTTCATAAATAAAAAATCTTATTTTAAATTTATTTTAGAAAATAAATTAATTATATTCAAAATATTTATACTCAAAATGAAAATCTGTAATATGAGTTCCAGGCAATTTTTTTAAAAAAATCTATTATCATTATTAGCGAAGGATTAAGTCTTAAGAAAAATTTTGGGAACTGTATTCAGGCTATTTTCAAAGTGTTTGATAAACGCGCTGAAAAAAATATCCACATTTTCAACTCTTTAGAAAATTCAGTGATTGACTTAAACAGAAAAGGATTTCCAGTCTTAGATCGATTTTATAAAACTATAGTTATAAGGTGAAATGATCAAGCAATGCCCAAATTTTGCAAGCCCAGCAAAAGTTTACCAAAAATAATTCAGTCTGATTTCATTATCCCTAAATGTGAGAATTTTATGAACCTTGCCCAATACACAAAGGACGGAAAAGCAATTATGTTCTTGATTGCTTTGGTCAGAATAAACCTTACTATGGGTTCAAAAGAAAGCTTAGAGTTTTTGGACAGTTTAGAAGAATGCCCTGAAACATCTATTTTCAACACCTATTTTATCCAAACAATTCTAAAGGAAAAATGGAAAAGAATTTGCTGATTTTTATACATTCAAACAGCAATCTATATAGGATACTTAATTTCATTTGCCTGCTATACTAGCATGCACGACAATGAAGGCAAATATTTGGTTCCTCCTTTTGTGTTCAACCAAATTTTGACTGTCTACGAGATCTTCCAAATCTGGGTTGGAGGGATTTATTATTGGAAAACATGGACTAACTATCTTGATATAGCAAGAATCTTTTTATTCGATGCTTATTCGCTTACCGTTTGGACAACCACAATAGACGATATCGAATACTTCGAAGCTGCCGTTATTGCCCTAACATGGTTCCGTGGGATTACTTATTTCAGGGTTTTCGAGCCTACTCGTTACTTGATTAATTTGCTTTACGAAGTTATGTGGGATATGATTCCATTCTTAGTAACGCTGTTCTACTCTACTACAGCGTTTGCAGTCATTTATAGCGCAATGGTTACTGATACTCAAGACCTGACATTTTTCTCATGCATCACGACTGCCTGGAGGATGAATATTGGAGACTTTTCGACTGACACTTATGATTCTTATCTAACTTGGGGCTTCCATTGGTTCTTCACAGTCTTGAATCCTATAATTTTGATAAACTTGTTGATTTCGCTTATGGGAACAACGTTTGGGAGGGTGCAGGAAAATAGAGATATTGCTGACAGTTTGGAGCTGGTCAATATGATTATTGAAGGAGAAACTTTATTATTCTGGAGGAGAAATCTGGGACAAAAAACGTATTTGCAGGTTTGCATGGAAGAAAACAGCCAGGAGGATCAAAATCTAGAAGAGGATGTCAGGAAATTAAAGAAAATCAAGTACAAGCTTGATGATATGGCCAAAGAAGCTGAGAAGAATGACGAAGAAAATATAGCAATGATTGATAGGATCAGCTCTGCGGTAAATGATCTCAAATATAAAATCAACTATGGAAGCGAAGTATAGCTAATCCTTTAAATAATCAATAGATTATGATCTCGCTCATTATTTATGATTATAACAGTATTTATTTGTAATAATTATTAAAAAAAATCTAGATTATTGCTCGGCTGAATAAGTCATATAATGCTCATGCTTGCCCATATGCATTATATATCATAATGAAAAAATTTGAATTTTTTAATACAAATAATGGGTGCTTGCAATTGTGTAGGTGAAAAGAAAGAGCAAGGTGGTGTTGACGTGGAACAAAAAGCTAACTCATCAACTAAAATTCAGCAGCAAGCTGAGACTTCTAATGATGCAGCCCAAGAATTTTCTTTATCTATTAACATCACAGCAAAACCTCCTTCATATCAAATAATCCAAGTTCAGTCAGCAGTTCGAGGATATATCGCAAGAAAAATATTTGCATCCACATCCAAACAGCTTTCAAATGCCGCATTGGACTCTATGAATAATCATGAACTCAACGATGTCCCAGAAAATCTATCAACGGAAGAGGCTCTCCAAGCAAAACTAAGGCTTGGCCCATATGAATTCGACAAAGCTCCTACTCCTGGCACTACTTGGCGCGGGCCGACCAAATTGCCAGATGGAGCTGTATATGAAGGGGAATGAAATTCACGTGGAAAATCCCACGGAAAAGGCATAATGTATAATACTGATGGAGGAATTATTGAAGGCAATTGAAGAAATGGGAAGCCTAATGGCCAAGCACGAAGAATTTTCCCTAACGGAGACGTTTATACTGGCGAATTTTTTGAAGGAAAAATGCACGGAGAAGGAAAATTAGAAAGCAATAGTAAAAGCAGCTTTGAAGGGGGCTGGAAAGAAGACAAACAAAATGGGTTTGGAATAGAATCCTGGCCAGATGGGGCAAGATTTGAAGGCCATTATATAGATGGATTTAAAGAAGGAAAAGGCAAATTTGTGTGGGCTGATGGAAGCAGCTATGAAGGAGATTTTGTAGCTAGCAATATTGAAGGCAAAGGGAAGTATATTTGGAATAATGGAAGAGAGTATGAAGGAGACTGAAAAGACAATAAAATGCATGGGTATGGCACTTTCAGATGGAGTGATGGGAGACTTTATGAAGGAGACTATAATATGGATAAAAAAGAAGGGTTTGGAGTGTTCCATTGGCCTAATGGGAAAAAGTATGAAGGATTTTGGAAAGATGGAAAACAGCATGGTGAGGGCACAATGTTTAATGTGAAAGGAAAACCAAAAAAAGGAGTTTGGAAAAATGGGAAACCAGTAGAAAAAGAATAGTTTTTCATGATTATCTAATAAACCTCAATCACAAGTAGTAATAATAAAAATCAATATGGGGAAATTCTGGGTCTTTGTATTGGTTGCAGGAATTTTTATTGCTGTCATAAACAAACTCTGCATAGAAGATCCTGTATATGAAAGCTGCACTGAAAACTTGCCACAGCTCAACTTAGATATGAAGGTCGGCAATGTTACTACAGAAGATGGCAAATTGGCTTATTCTGGGTACTTGACCTCTCCAACATTGAAATGGGATCCTAGCATTTTTGAGCACAATTGGAGGTTTAAGCAATGGGAATTCTATGGAATTTATGCAGATAACATAACTTTAGCAGTGGCCACAGTAGACTTACTCTTCATTGGCAAGCAAGGAAGGTATTTTGCTTGTTTGTGGGATTAATATTTTTTTTGTTATTTGCAAGTACATTTTAATATGTTAATGCATGCTCATCCTTGGCAGGGGATTTTCATCTCTGCATGATCTTCGTCACTGAGGGATCCTAGTAGACACACACTTAGCCGCCGAAGGCAAGGGATTCACACACACCTTTTTGGTTTCTATGGCTCCTGGAGACTAAGGACCTATCAACTTGGTCAAAAACTCCCAGTTTCTCGCTAAATAGAAGTCACCTCTTAAGCCCTACTCTATGATTTATCATCTACTTGGGCTGTCTCCAATGATGGCCTTGAAGATAAAACTCAATTCTTAGGGATCAGCTCCTAGTGGTTCGGGAAAATCTATCTGATACATAAATGATTACTAACCCCTTTAACACTGAGTCGCTGCCTAATGCTGTTGAAGAAATAGAGTCTAGAGTTCGGATGGTCTGTTGCCACCATTTTTATGTATAAGTACATTTTAATATACTAGTCTACATTTTACTGTAATAACCAACTTTGATTACACACCAAACTATTGAGAAAAAAAATTATTTAATTTCCCAGAGAATAAGATATTCAAATGATTTTATCGTTTACCATGTAAGGAAGTTTAGGGATATGTGAAAAATGTATTCATCACCATTTACGAAAAGGGCAAGGATCCTGTCACAATTGAAGAAATAGTACCTTTTTGGGTGCCTTCTAATATGACTCAGGACTCTTTGAAAGGAACAACTAGATTCAATATACATTTTAATGAATATTAATACTTTATGGCTAAGCTTTACGAAATTATTTTTAAAAAAATAATAGTGCTTGGCTACCAGTATACAGTCTCTTTAAATAGATATACTACAAATTTCTTTATGTTTTTCCATAACAATGGAAAAGATATGAAAACTGTGGTAGCCAACTATAAAAAGACTGAAATTGATATTAACCTGATTTTTGTTAAAGGGAAGCATCAAGAAGGAATGGTATACTTAGGCCCTATGAATGATGATGGTTCAAAATTCTTTTACTCTCATAAGCAATATAATTATTTAGTAGATGGATACCTAACTTACAACGGAAAAAATCACTTGTTCAGCAAGCAGCTTGGAGTCATGGATTGGGGAAGAGGAATTTGGCCTTATCACAGCAGATGGATTTGGGCGTCAGGTCTAGGCGTTCACAAAGGTGTTTATTTAGGCCTCAACATAGGAGAATTGCCAGGTAAAAACCATTACGCAACAGATGATTGTTTATTTGCAAATGAGACAGTCATAAAAATAGGTGTTGTAAATACTCAGCATCCTAAAAATCTCCTAGATCCATGGGTCTTTACCACAGTCAACGATCGGCCTCACCCTAATTATGCATTCATGAACATGACTTTCTATCCAGAAAAGGTCTTTGAGAAGTCTTTTTCAGTTTGGGTCATCAAATCTGACTTAAAGCAGCTATTTGGGACTTATAAAGGGATCGTAAGGACGACTGAATATGAAGTAGAAGTAGTCGTCAGAGGATTCATGGAAGTACATCATGCTAGATGGTAATTAAAAAAAATTAAAAAATAAATTATGTCTGAAATTCACACAAAATCACAGCCAATTGAGCCTATCAGAGGCAATTCTTTACAATTTCTCCCCAAGCCTATTCCGCCAAGAAAGAAACCAACAGATAAGACAAGGATTATTTTTACACAGCACTTGCAGCCATCAAAAGGAGATTTAAATGTGTCGATTGATGAAGATCTCAAAATCGAACTGGATGTCTCACGCTCCAGAAAATCTAGCATAGATTGAGGTTCACCTATAACAGACACCCCAAGAAATAGCAGTTTCAATACAGCATCTTCTCCAGGAAAACCCAAAATAAAAGGGGTTAAATATTTAGTGCCAGCACTTGGAGATTCTCATATGATTAATGATGATGAAGGCGAAGTTGAGCTTGGCATTTTCTGTATAAATTGTCAAGAAATGGTTCCTGAGAGCCTCATAGAAAGTCACTCAGCCAGCTGTGTCAGAATCACAGAAGCAGTTTCAAGAGCTGATACTTTAGGAGACCTTGATAGTCTTAAGCTGAGAATAGAAAAAATGGATGAGTTTTTAGAAAATAAAGACAAAGAAACAATCTATCGACCTTCAGAAAGAAATATTATTGCAGTACTAAAACGGCTATGTAAAAAATTGCTAGACAGTAATATTGCGAATAACAAAGATTCAAGCTCAGAAGTCATGAAATTAATTAAATCTATGCTGGAAAATTTCAAAGGCTCTTTATCTTTACGAATTTACAGTGAAAGGCTTTTGACCATTTCGAAAGAGCAACTTGAAGCTTTAGATAAAATTGAGAAAATTGATATAGAAGCAAAAATGAAAGAAGTTGAACAACTGAAAGCACAAGTAAAAATTTTCAAAGAAAGAGCTGAAACAATACAAAGGACCATTTTCAAAACCAACCCTACAGGATTAAAACTTGATTTTGGGCAGCTTGAAGATGTAAATAGTGATTTCAGCAGCGGGAAAACCTTAAGCTCATGTCAATCATTTAGGTCGCTAGTAAGTGATGAGAGAAAATCAGAAATTGATTTGCCTCCAGATTTTAACGACACAGAAAACCTTGATTTTCCTATAGGAAATTCTCAAGAAGAGCTGCAAAAATATTTTTATTCACAATGTCTAGCCTTAAAACTGAAATATAATTCTAGAGAGCTGGTTAAGCTGATACCCACTTCAAAACTTTATGAAAAAGCGGTTGAAGAAAAAATTCCTGTTGAAGATTGAGTGAATTTTATTGAGGAAGAGCTCAAACATCCTGATAAATGGGTAAAAAAGCAGTCAAAAAGATCAAGAAGATCCCAGCCGACCAATGGAAATAAAAAATTCCAGTCATTCGAAACTATTGCCGAGGAGGATGTATAAGCTGTATTACATTAGAAATAATTGCAAAATAAAATAATTTAAGCACAGCTCTGGGTCTTTTTGTTTCAAACCTATAGCAGTCTTATTTAAAGATAAATTAATCCACATAAAAGCTTAAATAATTGTGGCTTATGGCTCTTTAAGCATTTGTTCCATGACTGGTTTGTAGTATTTTATATATAACTGATCATTCAATTGGAGAAACCTTTGTGTAGGAGATGTCTCAATCGCATATGCAAATGGTCCAAGTAGAAGTATTACCCTGAATAATACTTGGGTGCTAGAAGGATAAGTTGAAATTTTAGATCTCCATGTTGCAGCTGAAAGCAAAACCCCAATCACACCACTAATTGCAAGTCTCATTTGATTACGATATAATTCATCAGCAAATAATTTCGCATCTTCTTCGTTCATGAAATACTTATAATCACGCTGCATCCTTCTCATTACTTGTGGTTGGGTCACTGCTTTCTGTCGGAGCTTTTTCTCATATTCATCTATAGAAGTTTCTTTTCAATAGCGCGATAAGGAGCATTCCTAGGTTTTTACGGATGATCTTAAACATATGAAAACTTGCTATTCTTTATTCATGGGGGGAGAAAAACAGCCTAAATAAAGAATTCTGCCTGATCAATCTCGAGAACTTGAAGAGAGGATGTGTGAAAAATTTACATTTTGGTTCGTCAAATGAATCTGACGAGCCAATTCTGGCCAGTACTTGAAATGAAAAATGGTAGTTGCCAGAATTTTATTAATTTTTTGATGGTGAGTATGATCAGAATTTTAATAAATGGCACAGGATCAGACAACTTATTCCTTTCAAACCGATCTAATAATTCCTTTGGTAATAATTATAACTGCTTTATAAAAGCCAAAGTTTGTGCTAAGCGCTTGTTGCTCTTTACTTACTTACTTAATTATCTGGCGTTTAAGGTGTCTAGTGCCGCAGCCCAAAAGGGCCTATGGCAAAACTGATGACGTAGGCGAGCCATCTTGGCACGGATCAGCCCCGTCCAAGCCTTCTATCAACTCCTGCTTCACCGGCCTTGCTGCACGTCTCACCCGGCGCGTTGCCGTCGCCCTTGTCGCTCGACTCAGCTCCTGCGCGTGTTCCGCCTAAGGGTCATCCTCCTGTGGGGATGTGCTGAGAGGTAAAAGCCCGAAATCTTGAGTGGACTGAGGAGTGGTTCCTCTGGTTATCTCCAGAGTTAAACCGCTATTGCTGTCCAGAAGTCTTCGAGTGAAAACCTAACCCTATAAATAAAATTCCATGAGGAGAGAGAAAATTAGCAGAGCTAATTTCTCTCTATCCGAATGCAATTTTATTTATTTGTTGCTCTTTACGAACTTACTAATGACTCATATGGTTTTCGTTAGAAAATTAAAATGGAGTTAATAATTAAAAACTTGTTGATCGAGTTGTGTTTTTGCGGAAGGATAAATTTCTAAATAAATAATGCCAATTTAATTATGACTAACTGCTTTATAAAAGCCAAAGTTTGTGCTAAGCGCTTGTTGCTCTTTACGAACTTTACTAATGATATCAAAATTTTCTTCTTATAATATTTTTAAATTTCTTTCAAATATTAAAAAATAAAATTTAAAATAATTATATCAATATAAATAAATTTTTTATAAACAATATTTTTAAGATAAAATAATAATTTTTTAAAATTTATTGTATCTTTTATAAAATGGGACTTTAATTTTAACAATATTTTTTAAGTGGGTTGTTTTATCCTGTGTCATTTATTAAAATTCTGATCATACTTGCCATCAGAAAATTAATAAAATTCTGGCAACTATCATTTATAATTTCAAGTACCGGCCAGAATTGGCTCGCCAGATCCATTTGACGAACCAAAAGTGTAAATTTGCAAATAGCCTCTCTTTAAGTTCTCGAGATTGATCAGCCAGAACTCTTTATTATCACTGTATGACTCTCTTACAAAGAAGGAACATCAGATTTCATGGGTCCAAAGACCTTTTAGTCAAACCAGGAAGCACGCCTTATCGCGCTATTGAAGAGAAAGTTCTATAGCTTTTGAAGCTTATCCAAAGATGCCATTCTTTTTATTCTTACTCCTCTTCCCTCTGTGATCGAGAAGTTTTGTTGCTCAGCTGTGTAAATTTTTTTTTGAAATTAGATATATACTTTTTTTTTGAAATTCAAGGTAAAAATGCATAAAATTATGATTCAGAATTCAACCTTTTAAAAATTAAGATGATTAACTAGAGATCTCACTATATTAATCATTATTTATATCTATATAAAATCAATTTCTATTGAAAAATGTTTGGCGCTTAATTTCCCAATAGTTTAGCTCGCTCATAGAGTAAAGGGATAGATAATTACTTTCTAGTTTAAATTAAAGAGATTTAAGACAATCTAGTTCAATCTATCATCGATTATTTTTAATATATAGCCTATAGCTTCTGATTATGGATAAAACGTATTATTAAAAAAATACTTATCTGATATCCTGATTTATTCTATTTATATACCACCAAAAAACATTATTTCTTCTTATTTAATTGCATAATTAAAGTCTCCCAACTTTCATAGCCTAATTATAAAATAAATGTCTTACTCATACCTTTTCAAATACATCATCATTGGAGACACTGGTGTCGGCAAGTCCTGTCTTTTGCTTCAGTTCACCGACAAAAGGTTTCGACACGACCATGATCTTACAATTGGAGTCGAGTTTGGTTCTCGCATGATCCGTGTTGATGATAAAGATATCAAGCTGCAGATCTGGGATACCGCAGGCCAAGAGAGCTTCAGGTCAATCACCAGGTCTTACTATAGAGGGGCAGCTGGAGCTTTATTGGTTTATGATATCACAAGAAGAGACTCCTTTATGCACCTTGGAAATTGACTCCAAGACGCAAGGGAAAATGGAAATAGTGACATGATTATTACTTTGATAGGCAATAAAACTGATTTAGAGTCCCGTCGTACAGTAAGCTTTGAAGAAGGCCAAAGATTTGCACGAGAAAACAACCTGATGTTTTTAGAAACTTCAGCGAAAACAGCAAACAACGTAGAAAGTGCATTTTTGGATACAGCAAATGCTATATATGGAAGAGTCAAAGAAGGGGCAATTGATGTCACAAGCGAAACCTGTGGAGTCAGAATGGGCCCAACAACGCTGTCTTCAATGCAAGTTAAGCCAAAAGAGAAGTCTGGCTGCTGCGGATAGTTGAATTTTAATATGGATAATTATTAATTCGCCGTTATAAATCTCACACCAGAATCATATTTTTTCTCTATGAAAATGAATAAAGCTGAAGAGCTCTATATTATGACCAAGCACTATTCTGCTGCGCATTCAAAGAATTCTCCCAGGCTTATAGTTTTCAATCAGCTCCAGCTAGTAAAATACTTTGTGAGGAAAGAATGTGACTATTTTTTCTATAGATTTCTGTTTTCTCGTTTATCAAGCTTGCTCTTAATTGCTTTCAGACTTAATTTAACTTGATTTTCCTATCCTCTGCAGTCCGTAATGCTTTGCTGAGTGTTTAATGAGCGTGATTGTTCATGTATGAATTTTTCCTTTGATCTTTTAGCTCTTGAGTGCTTATACTTTTTGTAGAGCCATCTAATGCAACTTAGTGTGATTATTGGATATCATCTAGGCCTAGAGTGCATTGTGAGTGTGGTCTTATCTAGGGGAAACCCCTATATCTAATGTTTAGCTTTGGAATGATTCTTGAAGAAAATCCATAAAATCGCTTAATTTCCACTGAAATCGAGGAGTATCAGAGTCTCAACTGCATATCTTTAAGGAAAATCTGAAACAGTTTTATACTTTCCTTACTCTTCCCCCTGCGCAAGCAAATAAAAAAAGTTTATTTGCTCACTAAAGATGATTAATGTTTTATTTTAAAAAATTTATATATAATTTTGAAGTAAAATTTTTTAAAAAACAAATATAAATTTAATTTGTAAATTTACGTTTTAATATGCAGCTGTTATAAACAGAATTAGTTACTCGCCCCCCCTCCGTTAGTGAACAAAACCATTAGAAAAATCGCCATTTTTTGACCAAAAACCCACCCTCCGTGAGTGAACAAAAATTTTTAATAGAAAAATGTTTTATGAAAAAAAGTTTTAATATATGAATGATAATTAGTATAATGAAATATAGAGCTAATTCTGTTTAATTTTAAACGAATTGCTTTTTAAAACATAAATTTTACAAATTAAATTAATATTTGCTTTCCAATTTTTGCGAATTAGGATTTTTTTAAATTTCGAAAAAAAAATATTTTTTATAAAATTTATATATAAATTTGTTTTTAAAAAAAAAAATTAACCCCCCTCCGTGAGTGAACGAAATTTTTTTGTTCACTCACGGAGGGGGGGGAGTTAGGAATTTCATTATAATAATTATCACTTATATATCAAAATATTTTTTATATTAAACAAATTTTCGTTTGCTCACGGAAAGTGGGTTTTTGGGCAAAATAGGGATTTTTCCAATGTTTTGCTCGCTCACGAAGGGAGGATTTAGTAATTTTAATAGAGCTTTATTTTCAAGTGGGGGAGTCTTCAAACTCTAAACATAAACATAGCCTTTATAAATAAAAATTTAAGAGCATATTAAGAAACCCAATCGTAAAATTCATGCGCTTAAACCATGTAATAAATATTGATTAATAGATTAGCCTTCTTCATTATAATCAAGAAAACCAATATGATTATGCTTAAATTGGATTATTTAGCTGATGCTTTTTTCTTTTCAATTATTCCTTTAAGGTGATCTGATATGTCATTTACACATCTCTCCAATTGAGCTGGAGCCATGTCACATCGCTTTTTCTCTTCTTCTGTTTTTATTGCACCTTTCCTTCCGAGGCATCTCTGAACAGCACAGCAAAATGGTTTGCACCATTTCTCTGCTTCGACTCGGATCTTTTCATCATTCCATGTTACCCTTACTGTAGCTTCAGGAATAGGAAGAATTCTATTTAATTGCTTTTCATAATCCATCTTAAAAATTATAATGATATTTCATAACATTTTCTTCATCATTGATTTGCTAATTTAAGCTAAGCAAACAAACCATTTAAAAAATTAGATCCCTTCGTTAAGGGTCAAAAATTATTATTTGTTTGAAATATATTAATATATAATTAATATTTATAGTAATATTATTTCCAGCTAATTTTAAGGTAACTTGATCTTAAAAATAAAGATATAAATTAAATTAAATTTTTGATTTTCAAATTTTTAATATAAAATTATTTTAAAAAAATTAATCTCCACAAGGGGTAAGCAAATATAAATCTTAATAATAAATAATGAATTTTATTGAATTCCCCAGACATTAGAATGGTATTCTTATAAAAATTGGATCATCCTTAAAAAACATTAAGTTTAATAATCATGAATTAAGTGTCTTAAAGGCTGTGGGCCTTGGCAATCCCTATTTCTAAGAGCTAAGCCAAGATTTAGGTTTTCCTTCCATCGAAGGATAGCTTCATTTCCTCTACTTACTCTAGTTCTTCTATCCTATTCAGGATCATCTTCCTATCCCGATTAGGGGATCTTTAAATATTCCGATGGGGGAATTAGTCCAGATTGCCAGCCCGCCGTCCACGCCCACAGCTCCCTAGCCCACCCACCAGCGCTGTAAATCCACATATTCTTGAGGAGGCTTTGCAAGGTGCAATGGTCTTGAGCTTTGAATTCCAGAATCATGCTGAAAATGTCTAAATCCTCCTCCGTGAGCAAACAAAATTTTTTGGTTAGTATATGGGGGAGAATCATTATTAAAAAAGCAATATAAATTCGAGTTATAGTCATATAAATAATTCATAGACTTTTATGCGTTATATAAAAGTTAGCAACTAAATATGCTAATAGCATCCTCTTCTAGAACTTGCCTAGTGTAATAGCGCTTCGGATTTCATTTATTCAAATAAAGCAGGATTCGTTTTTAATTGCATTTCAATAAATTTCAAAGCATCTTATTTTACCATTCTTATCTCTCTTATAATTCTTTTATTCAAAAATATCAAATATTAAGAATAATTTAATTATTATTTTTACTCAATTTCATTCAAGCTATAAAAATGGCACATCTCAGCAGAAATTGATATAAAGTTTTCAACATTCTTACTAAGAAAATCTCTAATTTTCGATAAATACTGCTTAATATACTATATAGAAGTATATTAGGCATCAAGACAGTAATATTATTTTATTATTTCTATATAAAGATGATATTTTCCTTCATCCCAAATTAGCAAGAAATTCACTCAAATCCATTATAAATATACGTAGCTAAGTATAAAAGTATAACGAGATGGACTACAACGAGAATGAATGTTTTGACGATCTAGACATGGACGCTGAAGGAAGATTTTGCGATTCTCCAATGGGAAGCCCTTCATTTCCAGATCTACTCTGTGAAACAGATCCACTATTTGGTTTAGAGCTTCCTTCTGATACTCTAAAATTGGACATGGAAGATGTACCTATTTTTGAACCAGAGTCAGGACAAAGCGATAAAGCGAGCACAGCAGTATCAGAAGGCACTCCTGAGAATTGTGAAAAGACACACACAAAGTCATCAAGTCAGGAATTTGTAAATGAAGAAAAAGAAATGCAAATTTCGCCAATTAAAAGAATTGGAAGTCTTACTCTTGAAGAAAGACATATGAAAGTCCAAAAGTACTTGGACAAACGCCAGAAGAGGACTTGATGTAAGCGAATTAATTATGACTGCAGAAAAAGGGTAGCTGATAAAAGAATCAGGGTTAAAGGAAGGTTTGTTACGAAAGAGCAAGCCAATTTGTTATTAAAAGAGCAAAATCAAGGAAACTGTCAAAAGGAAATTGAAAATAGTCAGCCTTATCAGGCAACACCTAATTAATTTATTTTTAACTATTTAACGGAGAGCTGGCTTCCCTCCCCTCCATGAGCATGTAATAATTTTTTTTAAACAAAATTTGTATGGTTTCAAAAATTAATAAAAAATCCCAATTCACAAAAATTGTCAAGCTAAAATTAATTTAATTTGTAAAATTTATGTTTTAAAAATTCAATCTGTTAAAATTTAACAGATGGACTCGGGATTTCATTATACTAATTTATCAAAATATTTTTTTAAAAAATTTTATTCTAAAAAATATTTTTGTTCACGAAAGGTTGTTTGACCTAAAAAATAGGAATTTTTCCAATAGTTTTGTTCACTCATGAATGCGGGAGTGAATTAAATTAAATTAAAAGTCTTAAAATCTCCAAATTTGATGCCTAAGCACATTTTAGACCAGCGCCAACGTGCTTGTCTGGCAGAAATTCAGCCGCTATTTGGAGCAGTGGTCTTCCCTAGGACAGGGCGAAGTGTAATTACCAAGAGGGTCAACGGGCTTGGGAGACGTCCTAGTCATTACCCACTAAAGGCCATCTTTGGGAGACCTGAAGGAGAAAAGCCCTTGCCAAAAAAACCATCCGATAACTAATACTTGATAATGGAGTAACCACCAGTTGATTCCTAATGCTATCTACCCCACAAGTCCCCTGTCCGATGGGCAAGGGTTGAGTTAAAGGGTTTAAACATTGAGTTGATTAGTTGGAGCATCGTCGTGAATGACATCTTTAATGACCACCACCATATTAATTATGAGGGAGTGAGGATTGAGTATATATCGTTCTATATAATTTTTATAGTAGTTTATTAGTTTGAATTCTGAATTTTTTATTATAAACGGTGTACATATAATCTGAAATGCCGGATTCAGATATAAATAGATAAAATATACAAGAGTTTGCTCCCACTGCTCCGAGTTATCATATGTTTCCAGAGCGTGCTTGATAATTTCTGGATATAGATGATTTCTTAAACACTATATAAATTTTACATTTATAAATCCAATAAATAAACCTCTATAAATCTTTTGTTGCCTTGTTAACTGTGCCTCGGGCAATAAATGGCTTCCTTTCTGCATAGAATATTCCGCAGTCTTTTTTAACAGCAAACCTATTTCTGTATAAAAGGTTTCTTTTAACTCCTCAAGAGGAAGCTCTCTAAGTTCTAATTACCTTATTTCACTAATAATAGTAATACAGTTATTATATAAAACGCTAATACTTCCATATTCAAGTAAAGGATTCTCTTTTTGCGCAGTCGATTCCCACATAAACAATTTTACCATAGTTTCAAAGTGAGTTAATGTTTTTTGGCACATTTCTAGAAACCTTAATTGTGTTGATGATATTATAGCATTGCTTATTTCCTTACTCTTTCTCTTATTGAACAATGATAATTTTTATAAGGATTTAAGTTTAAGTTTAAGTTTAAAATGAAATCTCTTAATATTCAATCTCCTTTTGTGAGGCCCAACTTGATTAACAGCTCTGAACAACGGTAGTTGGACCTTCCTAACCGTCGAACCTTTAATGTTATCAAGTCACTAAAGACTTCTCTGGTCTGTGCCAGACTCAGCACTGACCTCTTCTCTTCACTCTAGACTCTCCAGGGGATCGACCTCCTTCACATAAGCCCGGGTATAGGTCCCTACCTGCGCAGCAGGTACAATGGACCTATCTCTTAACTGCCATTTAATATTGTGTATAAGGATTAAAATTTTTATATCTGAGATGTTTTAAACCAAAAAAATAAAGAAAATTATGGAAAAGCGAAATTTAATTAAATTTATTATTGTTAGCATTCAATTTGAAGCGTGAATTTTAATAATTATTTAAAATTAGTATTGTCACATATTTGTACCAATCTAAAGGCATCTAAATAAGAAACAAATAATAAATGTAATTTTAAAACCCAATGAGGTTAGATATATTCGCGCCAAGTGGTAAAAAAATGTCTCTATTAATTTCTAGCCACAAAGAAGATATTTCTCTTATGTCCGATATAAGATCTAATTGACTGAAATTTCTCGACAAATCTTCGACCGACATCAAAATCAAATCAAAGCAAAACCGTTTAAATAGCAAATCATGGTCTTTAAAATTAATATAAAAAATTTCAGTAAAAGAAGGGAGAAAATCTTTGATAGTATTTAAATAAAATAATATGTAAAGTTTTGGAGTGTTTTGTTTAGATAATTTTTTTGCAAGATATTTCTTTTTGTACCTGATATATGATTCACAAAGCTGATTTTCGTCCAAATTTTTTAGATGTTTAAGGATAAGTAAATAATTAAAGGTCTTGTCCTTATCTAAGGTATCTGTAAGCTGGTCAATGACATCGTCTTCAATTCTATGTTTTAGTTCTAAGATTGTATTTCAGAGACCTGCGAATATGCCACATTTATAGTTATCTTTGAGATTTTCTACGAATTTTAATAGCTCTAAAGCTTCATTGTAATGATGGGCATTTATCAGTGTTTTTAGGAGGGCAGGAACATCAAGTATTTCACTAATGATACCTTGTTGGCTTGAAACCATTCTTAGCTTTTTCTGTTCTTGAAGATTTTCTTCAAGTTTTTGCCAATTGCTTTGTAGCGATTTTTCCAATTCTGTAGTTTGCTCCAAAGCTGAATTTAAGAACGAAGAAATCGTGTTTTCAAGCATTTGTATTTCTTTGCCATCCCCTAAAGCTTCAATGAATTCTTTGCTTTCAGTCAATGCTTGTAGCTTCATTTGTTTATTCAGAGTCTGCAGCTCAAGCAAATTTGCCTCTTGCTCTTTCACAAGCCTAGGAATCGGATAAGAAAGTAATGTGTTGAAGTATTTAAGTGTTGAATGATCTATAGCCGACTTTTTTAAAAAATACGTAGTAAGAGACATCTTTCTAGCTTAGAAATTAATATAATTATCACTATTCTCATCTAGCTTTTACTATAAAACCTTCATAAAGATTTCTTAATTAAAAGCTGTATGATATGCATAATGAATTCATAAACTTAAATATGAAAAACTACTACAGCCGAGGCAAGCGAGAAGAGATGGAAAACAAGCTAAGGCAAGAACAGAAAAAATTTGAAACCATGATGCAGCAAGCAAGAAATAGACAAAAAGAATTAATCAAAGAAACAAACGAAATTAGAAGGTAATTTTAAAGCAGCATTTCTAAAGTTGCTGCAGCACAAATCAGGCTGCAAGAAGTACAGAGGCAAGAAGAAGAGAGACGAAAAAGAAAGGATCACAGAGATGCTTATATTAGCTATCTTAGAGGCAACAACAGAGGCTGCTCTAGAGAAAGAGAAATTTCTGCTTTAGATCTCCAAATTGTTGAGCCTCCTAAAGAAAAAACCAAAATTCCAGCGCCAAATCATAATCAGCCAGTTGAATGCAGGATAAACACCCCAAATACCAAAATTCCTCGTTTTCTTTCAAATTTGAAAGAAGATAAGCCATTATGAAGTAAAGGAGATTTACTTGATAGTCTTGATTTATCAAATACAAATTTAAATAAAAAACCCAAAAAAGAAGAATTTGAAGATTTAAATAAGCCTGAATGAAATCCTACTGAAAAGGAAAACTGGCTTGAACAAAATATAAGGGAAAGTATCAGAGAATGAGCCCCAACAAAAGAAATGAAGATTATTAGTGAAGAAGAGGAAAAACCAGAAAAAATAGAAAACATCAAGCCTACTAAAAGAGTCACCAAAGTACTCTCTGTGAAAAGACAGACAAACCAGAATAATCAGATAAATGCGATAGAGAACCAGGAAAAAGTTACAGAAAAGCCAAAGTCAAAATTTGTGTCAAGAATAAAATCAATTGGGAACAATGATCCAGATACAGAGTTTTTAAATGTTGAATTGGAGTGTGTAAATGAAGCAGAAAATAAAATTGAAGAGTCTTTAGCAAGGCTTGATATAAAAGCTTTAAAAGTAAAGTGCAAAAGTGAAGTGGCAGATCTCAACCAAGAAGTCGAAAAACTAGAAGGGTCAATAGAGAAGCTGAATCTTCAAATGGATAATAAAAAAGAAATAAAAAAAGCAGAAGTGCCTGCACAAGAGCAGCCTGTCCAGAAAGTTGAATTTAAGCCAATTGCTAAGAAAGATAAAAACGAGCCCGCAAAAATGACATATAATTCTAGATATGAACAAATTAACGAAAATGAAGGATCTGATAGCTTGTCAAGATTTGGAATCGATGATACAAGGTCGATATATAGCGCTCATCCATACCCAAGGAAAAGACTTATTGATGAAGATGAGCGCTCTATGGTCAGTGCAATCCCAGGGAAAGCTGAGCCTAGCGAGTATGGCGCTTATTCTGTGTTTGGAGAAGAAACTAAGTCAAATAGATCTAAAAAATATTCAATAGTCCATAGAAAGCAGTCCCAACAAAAACTATTCTCAAAGGATGCAGAAACAGATATAGCAAGTGAACAATCTGAAACAAAAACAGTACAAGGAGACGTTGTAAGAATCAACCCAAATATAGATGTTAGAGCTTTGTTTTTCGATGATTAACCTTAAACTTCTGCTCTCTGTAATGGATAATTCTAAAGCACCATAAAATAGTTTTAATTAATTAAAAATGTTTTAGCTGTTAAATCTGTGTATATTATGATAGTTAAATGGCTTTTATTTATTTTTGTATATTCTTATAGCTCAAAATATAATGCTTAGCTAATTTTTTCCATTATTTTCATTATTTCTATCTCAGAGTTTAAGTTTTTTTGCAAATCTTCAATTCTTTGAGTTTTATCATCTATTTCTAATTTTAATTTTTTAGCTGAAGGTAATTGAATTGAAACTTGAGAATACTAGCTTCCCCTTTAAATTGGAAGAAAAATCCTATTGCAGTTTTAAAGTGAGCTATTTTATTTTACGATTTTTCTTCAAAAAAAATTTTTAGAATTAGAATTAATGCGTGTGAAATGTTTAAATAATATTCTGCTTGCACTTTTATATTAAATTAAGGTTAAAACTAATTTTTAAAAATAAGTATTACCACCTATAAAATTTGCCAATTTAAAAAAAATTCCCAATTTAAAGGAGGGTTAAAGCATTCAAAAAATGGAAATCTTGTTTATACTTTCTTTCAATTTAAAGGATAGGAGTATCTACTAAAAATGATAGCCATTGAATTGGGCTTTATATCCACTATAGTTCACTGTTTTAATTGATTTCTAAAGAGAAAACTATTAGAGGGGATGAATTACAATAAGTCTCTTCTTTTCATTGTTACATTCAAGAATACCATTTATAAAGGGCTGTTGAACACATCTTTAATTGCATTTCATTTCCTTCAAATTCTTCTATAATTGGCTTTATGTTCTCCAAAGCCTTAGGAGTCACTTCAAGACTTAGCAAATCATTCCATAAGTTTCTTCACTGCGCTATTATTTTATATTGGCCTCAGGAAGGCTTTTTGCAGCCAAGAAGAATTGGAATGCCCATCATAACTGTTTCCATAATTTTAGGCGGCTTTTGGTAGGAATATATTTCGAAATGATCATATTTATTTATAGAGAGCAGTGCTTCGTGTGCTGATCTAAGTATTGGCAAATATGTTGAAGTTACATTATTGGTCAACTTGTCGAGATCATGCAAATAAGATACTTCTGCTTCATAAATTTGTATTTTATGAGAAAGGCCTTCAATATTCTGCGTTAAGTCATCACGGAATAAATCAATATTTCCTCTCGCTTCAATAATATCGATTATAACCGAATAAGGATTCATTAATTATCATATATAGAAATTTTTACTCCCTTCAAAATTTTGAAATTAAAAAAATTGAAAAATTGCCAATAGACATATTTATAGATTGAAAGGACTAAAAATCTTTTGCTTATCTATTATAATTTCAATTGGTAATGAGAATAAAATTTAAAGTTAGGCATTCTATTGTTCTGGCATCCCATCGTTAACATAGCTAAACCCTTGATAAGTTGGGCTTGCAGCGCCTAGCCTTGCATCTTTCCCAAGAGAGTCAACTGCTGGCATTCTCTTGAACTCTTCTTCAAAATTGCCTAATCCATGATCTCTATTAACACTTGGCACAAACGGTGGCCTGATCTCTTTCCTCAGCAATGCTCCCCAATTAATCGCCGCAAAAAATGGATGTGCCTTAATAGGTTCACTATCATTTGCTCCACCCCCTAGCCTTTGTGCTGGATCTTTCACAAAGAGCCTTAGCAATAAATCTTTTGCATTGCTCGACAAATAGCCAGGGAAATTAATCTCCTCGTGCAAAATGCTATTAAAAAGTTTTTCTCTATCTCTTGTATAGAATGGTGGCAATCCTGTAACTCCCCCCCCCTCCGTGAGTGAACAAAAAAATTTTGTTTACTCACGGAGGGGGGTTTTTTTTTTTTTGTTAAAAAAAATTTATATATATAAATTTTATAAAAATTTTATTTTTCGAAATTTAAAAAAATCTTAATTTGCAAAATTGGGAAGCAAATATTAATTTAATTTATAAAACTTTATGTTTAAAAACGCAATTTGTTTAAAATTAAACAGAATTAGCTCTAGATTTCATTATACTAATTATCACTTATATATCAATACTTTTTTCCATTAAAAATTTTTCTATTAAAAAAATTTTTGTTCACTCACGGAGGGTGGGTTTTTGGTCAAAAAATGGCGATTTTTCTAATGGTTTTGTTCACTCACGGAGAGGGGGGGGAGTAAGCATTTCATAAATTAAAGCACCTAAGCTCCACCAGTCCACAGCTTTCCCATGGCCTTGCTTACTCTCCTTTTTTAAATATACCTTCAGAACAGGTATGGCTGAAACTCCCCCACCCCTGACGGTTTCAGCTTGAACGAAATTGCTAATTCAAAATGACAAGTCCCTCACTAGGATTGGACAAGTCTAATTCAATTTGTAGATTTCAATAAAGCTGAAACAGCCAAGGGATGGGGTGAGAGGGGGTTTCTCAGGTCGATCTAAACCGTGCTCACGGTATATTTACAATTTTGGGTTTTAAAAAAGATCATTAAAATATTTTGCCCACTAACGAATGTTGGAGAGTTAGCAAGAATTTCAGGGGCAAGGTACTCAGGGGTTCCACAAAAAGACTGGGCTCCTGAGTTATCGACGATATTTTCTTTTGACAGACCAAAGTCTGTTATTTTTGCATAACCTTCAGCATCAATTAAGATATTTTCTGGCTTAAGGCTAAATAATTGTTACTCTCGGTAAACTATGTTTAAGGAATGAAGGTGCTCGATTGCTGAGACCATACAAGCTGCGTAAAACACTGCTCTAGGCTCATCGAAACGTTGTGCTCGGGATAAATGAAAAAAGAGCTCTCCTCCTGGGCAATACTCTAATACAAAATAAAGCTTCTTTGGGCTTTGAAATGCATATTTAAGCTTTACGATATAAGGGTGGTTTACTCTTTCTAAGACATTTCTCTCTGTTCGTGTGTGCTCGACTTGGTTTCTGCGGGCAATATAATCTTTGCGTAGCATCTTCATAGCCAGCATTTCTCCAGTGTTGTTTTTTCTGACAAGAAGGACTTTTCCGTATGATCCTTTACCGATAACACTAAATCTCTCCTCTCTATGATTGAATTTTATGAAAATTGATTTTTATATAAAGCATTTTATAATAGCAGTTATTATGGAATTAATTTTATATTTAAAAAAAGAGGCCAAGTTTTGACTAAGGTTTTTGTTATTTATTAAATGGATTAAGAAGTGTGAAGTCTTCAATTGAAACACTGTGATCAACCATATTTTTTAGTGGCAAAAGAAATACAGTTTGAAAAGTTGATGAGTTATTGGCAGGTGACCGAAAATAAATTTAGTGTAGATGCTTGATTTTTTATTGATTTCTACATAAGTTTGAAGAAAATAAATTGAAAATAATTAGGATGATAAAATAAAATAATAATCTTAAATAATTGTTTCGAGTATTATTTGAGATCCATTTAATAGAACGCATGCTAATATTAGGTTATTTCTAAATCTCAAGCGTTTTTAAATAGATCAATGAAATTATTAATCTTTTAACGCATGCTCTATTTTATCATGATTTTCACTTAGAATAGCCATTTTCCCTAGATACTTAATATCGTTAAATTTAAAATGCAGTTAATAGGCTTACTGTTACCTATTGTATTTGCCGCTGATACTTTAAATCTACTTCAGCGTGAAAACGAGCAACTCCGCAACGCAAACTCCATTCTACACAAGCAGCTAGTACAGCTTGCCCAAGTTTCTGATTCATCAGATCTCATTGAAGCAGATTTTGCTTACAACAAAGCCAAAATCCAAGCAATTTTAGATGGCTACTGGGCTGAAAGTGATGAAGCTGTTAGACTTGCTTTAGCAGAAGAAATAGAAAATTATTTAAAATCTTTAGTAGAAGACTTGAATTTAATGGGTGGATTCAGTGAAGGAATCCAGTCAGCTGATCTTGAAGACCTTATCGTGGCACTTTCAAGCTACATTGAAAGCACAAAAGAAGCTTTAGAACACGAAGAATTCAATAAAGCTTATAGTGACCTTAAACTTGCACTGGATAGAAAAGAAGAAACTCTTAGGAAGTTGCAGTTAGAAAATGCGAAATTGACAGGAAAGTTAGACTCAGTCCAAGCTGAGCTAGAACAGACCTCTCAGCAGTATGAACACGATAAAATAAAGCTAGATGACGTTAAAAATGAGCTAGATGAAGTAAGAAAAGACCAAGAAGCTAGGCTTGAAACTTTGAAACAGACAATGAAAAGTGAGGAACAAGTTTCCAGAACCAAAGAAATCAATGATTTCAAAATAATTCAAGAATCAAACGACAATTTAATAGCTCAGCTTCAAGACCAAAGTGCTGAGCAGTCATTGAAAATTGAGCAGCTAAGTGTTGATAAATCCAATTTAATAGCAAAATTAAGGCTACTCAATAACACTATTGATAGGATGGAAAGCGAGCTGCAAGCGAGATCAGCCCAGCTTAAAGCTGCAGAAGAGAAATTCGAAGAATTCAGAAAACAAGTCGAGTATGACACTAATGATGAAATAAAATCTTTAAGGAACTCTGAGCAAGCTCTTAAAAAAGAGGCTAAAGATCTCCAAGAAAAACAAATAGAGCTTCTTGAAAGCATCACAAACTGCACAAAAGAACTCGACCATTTGCAGCTATTAAAAAGACAAAAAGATAATAAAATTAAAGAGCTAGAACTTGAGCTATCAGAAGCAGAAAACAGGATTGAGCATGCCAAAACTGCAAGGTCTCAAGAAATTGAAGGATACAAGCAAGATTTAGAAAGCTCAGAAGAAAGCTTAAATGATTTACAAAGACAGCTAGACGACGCACTTACAAAAATTGCAGCTCAGAATAGCCAAATTCGGGAGCTTTCTGACAGTTTATCTGAGTCTGAGTACAAAAACAAAAGAAACAGCCCTCCGCCTATAGAAGAACCTAAAGAGCGCAAGGAGCCAAAAGAAAGTTTTTATGAAGCTCCCCAAGATTCTACCTATTATTCCTATTCCTCTACACTCCGAGGATTTTCTTTACCTATTATAAACTAATGTTATTTATTTTCTAGGTCGTCTTTTAACCTGTATATAGGGTGGTGTATGCATCATGTCATAGTCTCGTTCTTCATAAAACTCTTGCTCTTCTTTCAAGGTTTTTTCACACAGTTCGCACATTTTTTCAGCTGCTTCACTAGTTTGGTTTAACAATTGTGTTTTTTGGTCAATGCTCCTTGAAAGATGGTCTCTGGAGGCTTCTAATAAATCCATCAAAATTGATAATTTCTTCTTTTGCTTTTCAGTTATCAGTTCCATTTTCTTTACTTCGCCTTCTAGGTGGTAAAGTGTAGAAATTGACCGCTGGTATTTAAGTCTTGCTTCTTTTTCTTCTCTTGTTTGCAAAAGTGCTTTATCAGCGATTTGCATTAATTTTTGGATTCGGAGATCGGCTTCTTTTAATTGGTTTTCTCGCTCTTCAGTAACATTATCGATTTCTTCTCTTATTTCTTGGTTCCTTTCTTCAATACCCCTTAGCTCTTGTTCACGTTTTTCATATTGTCGCTTGTTCTCTTCATAAAGAGCTTTATATTGCGCTTCAAGGTCAGTTTTTCTTTTAGTTAATTTTTCATTCTTTTCGTTACGCTTAGAAAAATAAGTCTGAAGTTTTTCAAGCTGATAGGACTGCTTTTGGCTGGATAAAAATTACTTTTCTTCAGTAAGCTGCTGGATTTCAAGCTTTTTCTTTGCGATTTGTTTTGCGGCTTCTTCAAAAATTAGCGAACTTTTAACTTTGCTTGCGTTTTGGTTTCAGCCTTGAAGTTCTTGTATAGAATTTACTTTTAATGTCAGGGGAGGATTCGAGGATTCTGCGAACCAGCTCTTTTTTAGGGTTAGTTTTATCCATTTTATAAAAATTTAAATAAATATAGAATGGTATGTATTTTATATAAAATAATCAAAGAATTTCTAATAAAATCAGAATAGTAAAATTAAAAGGTCAAACTTACTATCACAATTTCAGAACTTTTCCTATTGAAAATCAGTTCTTTTGATCGTCTGCTTTCCTTCAATTCTTATCTGAGTTTTCAAAGTCAATAATTTGAAAATTGCCAAAGCGCTCGAAGTAATTCCACAGATGCTGTAAAACACCCCACTCACATTTTGCGTGAAAGGTAATTTCAGCGATTTCATCAGCATAAAGATTCGCAAGAAATTCTTCATAATATCTAGAGCTTGATATCTTCGCTTTGTCCGAATTTTCACCAAGCTTAGCATTTTCTTATACCCATGGTTATCATAATTAATAATTCTCCCAGGGTCACTCTCCAGCTCTTCTATAAGTTCTGTCTCTTTAGCTCGTCTTTTTCTTACAGAGAATAAATTGATTATCAATAATAAAATATATCTTACAAACGACGCCGCATCTTTTGTACTTTCCCATTTCCAGTTTGCATTGGTAATCACTTTGGAGATTACTCCAATTTGTGCAACTCAGACCAAGTTGTCTAGTATATAATAGATCGCCCCAGCTATATGCCTGACTAATTTTAAGATAATAATAGCGTCATAAGGCCCTTTGGTGTTTTTCCCAATGCTTCCTAGTTCTTCAATCCATCTCAATAGCCGAAAAATTTTTCGCCCATTCTTCATAGACTCATTAATTATTTTCGCATTTCTGAGTATTATCGGCTGGTCCAGCACAAATAGGACCTCGGGACCCCCACCCCCACCCCATATACATAGCTTTTTGTAGAATATTTAATAGTTTAAGCCTAAGTGAGAGAGAGATAAATTATAGGGGGTCCCAGGGGATTATTCCAGCCCCTACCCTTACACGGAATAGCTTCGCGCTCCAGTGGCGTTAAGCACTAATCCCAGCTAACGCCCTTTTCTGATGACGTCATCAAAAATGGTGACGTCGACATCTTTCGGGGAGACTCACCCGAACCTGCTTGGACCAAAAAACTTCAGCAAAGACTCTCTTAACCCCTGGTAGTGCTCAGGGTATGAGGGAAACGTCCGATGCCTCCTTCTGGAACTACCTCTGCCATTTACAGGCAATATAATGCTCCTCCAGAAGTACCTGCTTGGTATTGCGCCGTCGGTCTTTCGTCTGTGGGTCGAGGAGAGGCCCCAGTTAGCCCAAGCCTGCTCCCACCCCGGAAACCACACCCCCATCCGACCCCGTGGCCCTTTCGGGGCCACCATTTTGTTAAGTGACCCCGAATTTCGGAACTTCCTGTTTTTCTGTCGGACTGCGGCTTTCGCCATCATGGAAGGCGTAATTTCTTAAGCCTAAGTGAAGGAACTAAAGTTTTATACTCTAAACTATAGCTCATACCCCTTTATAGATCCCTTTATCGAGCAAAGTGTACTTGACTATTGAAAGACCAAAATAGACTCTCTCAAAGAGATGAGCTCAATCTCTATATCAGAAAGTTCTAGAAAGTGGCATGCCAAAAAATAGTGGCAAGTGTGAAAAAAGTTGGTAAGCAAACACGCAAATTTTTAAAATGGCTTTATTAATAAAATAATTTAAAACTTAACATACCCAATTAGACTGGAATTGATTAATAATTAAAAATCTTATTTTTTAAGGCCTTAATTAATGATAATTATAATAATAAATGCTACATATAAATTTTAATAGATTTAAATATTTTTGGTTTATTTGTTTATGTAAAAAGTGCTTGAGATAATTTATAGAAATGAGTTTAAAAATGCAAGTGGGGAACTTCCCGAGTAAACGGTTGTATAGATCTTCAAGTGCTATAACCCCAGTAAGCATATCAATCAAAAAACTCGAGTAGGATCCTGACTTAAGTGATTATAAAGATGGAGTCCATTATGAAATAAATTGTCAAAAGTGAAAATGCAAAGGGGGAACTTCCCGAATAAACGGTTGTATAGATCTCCAAGTGTTATAACTTCAGTAAGCATATCGTGCAAAAACTGCGTAGGATTTTTGATTTAACTCCCTTCTTTTAAATTGGACCAAATATTTGTTCCAATTTAAAAGAAGGGTTAAGAAAATTTTTTATAAAAAAATCAATATAAAATTCTTATAAAAAATTCAATATAAAATTCTTATAAAAAAAATTAAAAAATGTGTCGAATTAGATTAATAAATTTCTAGAAAATTTATCGATCAAAGTGTTAATTTTGTTTAATTAAGTGGCTATTTATACTCTTTTGCTAAAATAAAGAAGAAATATAGTAAATTTTCAATTTTTGTAAAGAATTCGCATAAAAATTTTTATCAAAATTATTTAAATAAAAAATATAATCCCTTGGCTTAATTTCTTATGGCAGTTATACACACTATTTTCATATGAAATTTAAATTATTAATTTGGCGCACTAAAATCTGCGTTTTGAAACGTACATTTGGTTTCTAAATAATAAATTCAAATAACATCATATGCATGATAAGAAATAAATGCAATAAATTATATTTTTTGTTGAAAATTTTTTATAGCAATTAAAGATAATAAATGTATTTAAATAAGATGCTCTTTATGTTCTTTTCTTTAAAAAAGAGCAAGATATAACTAAATTTTTAATTTTAGTTAATAAGAAACATTTAACTTATACCGAAACTTTTTACATAAAAATTATGATTTTTATCTATAAAATTTTTTATTATAAAATTGAATTTTGTTTCAATTTAAGCGATTATAAAGATGGAGTCCAGTATGGAAGAAATTGCACCTGAACTTTTAAATTGAGAATGCAAAGGAGGAACTTCTTGAGTAAACGGTTGTATAGATCTCCAAGTGCTATAACTCCAGTAAGCATATCAATCAAAAAACTCCAGTAGAATTTTGACTTATGTAAATCCAAAGATAATCCATAGTCAAATCTACATGTAGATATTATTTTATTAAATCAATTTAACGAAAGAGATGAATGATTAATTATCTTAAGTCTAATCGTATTTGCTTACCCAACTTTTTCACACTTCCCACTATATTTTTTGGCATGCCACTTTCTAGAACTTTCTGATATAGAGATTGAGCTCATCTCTTTGAGAGAGTCTATTTTGGTCTTTCAATAGTCAAGTACACTTTGCTCGATAAAGGGATCTATAAAGGGGTATGAGCTATAGTTTAGAGTATAAAACTTTAGTTCCTTCACTTAGGCTTAAACTATTAAATATTCTACAAAAAGCTATGTATATGGGGTGGGGGTCCCGAGGTCCTATTTGTGCTTGACCAATCGGCCACTCTCGAATGCGATTTTCTGCAAGATAATCAATCATGCAATTTTTATATAAGTCTGAGAGGTGCTGCACCACACCTAAAATTTTATCTCTGCCTCGAGATGATCTGAGAACATGGGAAACGCAAGTGGAGAAATAGAGGATTAATTGGGAACCTTTTACTGTTGGCTGGGCCATCAGCTCTAGAAAAGATGAGCTTCTTTTGACTTTGGTTCTTTTCATCAAATCTTCAACAAATTTTTATTCATATTCGTTTTGTGAATTTAAATTAGGACAAAACCAATTAGTGGGTAATTAACTAACTCCTCCTTTTCCGTGAGTGAACAAAAAAAATTTTGTTTGCTCACAGGAGGTGGATTAATTTATTTTTAAAAAAAAATTATATTTATAGTAAAATGTAAAAATTAATTTAATTTGTAAAATTTATGTTTTTAAATGCAAATTAAACAGAATTAGCTAAAGATTTCATTATACTAATTAGCACTTATATATCAAAAAAATTTTGTTAACTAATGGAAGGTGGGTTTTTGGGCAAAAATAGTGATTTTTCCAATTGTTTTGCTCGCTCATGGAGGGGGAGAGTAAGCAGCAGATAAATAATAATTTCAACAAAGATGAAAATGTGGAGGAGGGTTCTTGCTGAAGCACAAGGAACTGCTTTACTTGCGTTTCTGATCACTGCAAGTGGTGGGAATCCTTATGCTATTGCTTTGGGGCTATGGATTGATATAGTAGGAATAGGATTTATTGGAGGTGCACATTTCAATCCTATTGTCACACTTAGTGTGATGGCAAAGAAAAAATATTTCAAAGCCTTATCGAAACATGAAATTATGGAATCCACTGCTTATCTGGTAGTACAGTTTCCAGCGGCTATTATAGGTGCAATATCGGGCTTAGCGATTCGCCCTTCAGATTTTATGATAAATATCGGTGAAAATAGCTCAATATTTCAAGGGCTATTTGCAGAAGCTGTTTTTACTGGACAGATGGTGCTGGTGATCCTCATTGTGGGGGAATTAATGGAATCAAAGCTTGTCTCTGCTTTAGCTGTAGCAATCACTGTTTTAGCTGGAATTAACTGAAGTTTAACTTTTAAAGTGATACTCTCTTCCGCAGGAAGTAATATCAGAACCTCCCTTTTAACTCCCATCTGATGACGTAGACAGCTATCTTGTCAAGCAGTTATTACAGAGAACCCATCAAAAGGGCCTGAAAGCCTTCACTGGGCGCGACCTCAGCCCTAACTCGGCTTCAGCACATGCTTCGCTTAAGGTGATGTGCTAGCAGTAAAGCCATATGCCTCCTTTCTTCCTTGGGCCAGTCGAAATACCCTATACGGTAATCATATTAGCATTGTGCATAAAGGCTTACCTAGAAAAACTGAACCTTATAATAATAAAATTTAAACAGTTATAAGAAGAACTTATTCCTTACCCAGCTAGAGAAATAAAAAGATGACGCTAACGGAAGAAGGACATTGAGGGGACTCCCTATAGAGCAGGCAGAACCTGCCCTGATGAAGCTGAAAAGAGTGCCTCTGTTACTTTTGAAGTATCCTTCGGGTTTTGATCCCTTGCAAGATAAAAGTTTGTTTCTCCCCGAAAGGTTTTCCTATCCCTGCCAGATGGCTAGATATCCTTTTGCCTCCACTTATCTTTTTCTAGCGGGCTGATGAGGCATCTGCAAAAGGTGGCTCTAAACTAAGGATCTAATCTTTATATTAGGTGGGTTTACGCCAGATAGGCTAGTGATCTATCCTCTCATGCCTTTAAAATACTTAACTTACATAATCATTTTATTATTATATAGCTGGAATTTTAACAGTAGGAAGTATTTCTGGAGCTTGCTTTAATCCTTTTGTATGCTCTTCAATCGATATCGTTCAGTATATTAGATTCAATGATTCAGCATACATCGACAATCTATGAATTTATTATGCTGGCCCACTTATTGGTGGGATAGTTGCAACAATTGCGGGTTGTGTTTATCTCACCGACTCAAAATTTACTAAAAAGAGAGACGAAGAAACTATCAACTGTGCTACTCAGGAAGGGGAAAATTGCCAATGCGCACTTATAAAAATGGTATAAGCAAGGTTTTTAATTAAAAATTTCGATAATCAAGGAGTTGAATTTATGTATTATGCCATTTTAAGAGAAATAAATTCAATTTGTCGCTAATTTAATTACACAGATGGATAGAGACAATATTGAAAATTTCGAAGTAATTTTAAGAGAAGGGTGAATAGAAAAGCAAAGCCGATTTGTAAAAGAATGAAGGCGCCGCTGGCTTGTTTTGACTCCAAAGTTCCTTTTTACGTTTAAGCAACAGCATGCTTACAGAGACAAGCCAACCGAAACACTCAGGCTGCAAGCCTGTTTGGCTTGTAAATCAGCTGTAGAAGAAACAAAAAAAGATTTCTCTTTTAAAGTGGAAACTAAGGAAAGAATATTTTATTTCTCAGCCTTGGATCGAAATGACAAGGATGGGTGGATTGGAGCTATTGCAAGAGCCATGGTTAGACCTGAAGTTTTGAGAACTTTAAGTGAAGAAAACGCACTTAATGGAGTAAAAGCTTAATACAAAGTTTGTTAGCTGTTCAAAATACTTTTCTTATTATTTTTAAAAAAATACAGCTCCTGATATAATTATTAGAGCTTATAAAATTAAATTGAGATAGAGGGAGAATCAGCTGCAATTTAGGGTAAAGTGCCTGAAAAAAGCAATTTTTATGGTGAAAAACTAAATTAAATTAATTTCTTCCCAGTAGTAAAAAATCATATAAGCATTGATGAATTTCATAATTTGATTGAAATGGAGGCCAGTGAAGTAGATTACAAGCCTCTTGAAAAAAACCCAAAGCACATCCACTGGCTCCTCTCAGCGATTATTTCAATGATTTGTTTAGGAGTTGGCCCTTTTTTATGCGGCCTCTCTTCTTACAATCCTTTATCAGTAATCTCAATGATATCAGTCGGCCAAATTATTCTTGCGGTGGCATTTTACCTAATTTTCCAACACACAATCTCAATTACACAGAAAAAGCTGCAAGAAATTACTGAGGAAGCTTCTTCGTCAAAGAGTTTTGCGCCAGGAGTATACCTTGCAATATGCTCTGGGATTATCCAGGGCATAGGGCAGTGGGCTCTTATTTGGGGCTTTTATTATGATGAAAATGGTAGAGGCATTTTGTCATCAATTATATCAGCTCAAGGCGTTTTAAGTTCAATTCTAGGCTACATATATTTTAAAGAGAGACTATTGCATTGCGAGTGGTTTGGAATGCTAATAAGTCTTGGAGGGATGATAGTAATCTCGGCTCTATGCCAAATGACCGCATATTTTTGATAGTGCAACATTTCCTAGGGAAAAATAGTTGATAGTGAGACATTTAACCGAAAAAAAATTAAATTTCGGCCAAATGCCAATGTATAAAAAAATTTCAACTAATTTCTTCAATGAAATGCGCACTATTAAAAGTGCACGATTATGGGGCCTGCTCCCAGTAATCTCTTTGTCAAGCTCCAGAGATAGCACATTTATCGGAGTAATTCTTTCCATCATTGGATTGATAGCATTTTCAGTCAGAAACGTTTTTACTAGGAAATCACAGATGAAAGGCCTCAGCATTTATAGTGTTATATTTGTTAACTTGATAGCTTTTGGAGTTAGTGGCCTTTTAGTGATTGCAGTTGCTTTACCATTTGGCTATGACCCATTTTCTGAAGGCTGGAAAGTACTTGTATCCTTGACAGGAGGAATACTTATAGGCATGGGCGCTTATTTTATATGCCAAGCTTGTATGACTGGGCCTATAGGCCCTTCAGTTACCATAGCCAATATGTGTGGTATTGTACAGATTTTTCTAGACTTTGTGTTTTTAGATATTGTCCCAGACGAAACAAAACTTATAGGAGCTTGCATAACAATTGGTGGAGCAGTTCTACTTGCCGTTGGGGATTCAGTCATCGAAAAATTCAAAAACAAAAAGAAAAGTTATGAAGACTAAACATAATATTTAATATGGCCTGGTCGGAAAATTCTAGTTTAATAAAAATAGTTTGATATATAGCATATCATTACCTAAGCCAGCTTTTTATAATAAATGACTGTATTGCTGGAATCTTTCTCTAAAATAACTTAAAAGGTTTTCAAGGAGGATTGATAAAAGATATATGGTCAATAAAGAAGAAAAAATAATAGAAACTGTTATTAGGGCAATAAATCCTGGAGGGTCCTGAAACGGATAAAAATTAACACATCGGTCTCGGATTTCTCGGCAGCATGCCATAAAAAGGCCATAATATACAGTTGCGACTAAGCTCCAGGATAAATATAAAGGGCCTAATATATATAGAAAGCATAAAAACAACGCTTGGATTTCTGGAATTATCAAGATCAGTAGTAGCAAGCTAAGGGCAAGAAGTCATATAATGTTATGTGAAATCAGTCATGACTCTAAAATGTCAACTTCGAAGCATACTGTAGCATTTTTAAGTTTTTCCATTTCATATCAGCTAATTGAATAATCATAAACTTGATAGCCATAATACATCATAGCCAATGATAAAATAATTCCTCCACAGATTCTTGCCTGTTTATTAGTTTCCATATTTAAAAATAGATATCATCCAATAAAATTAACCGATCATTTCTTAAGTATTTCTTTTAAAATAATTTATATACTATATAAACATAATTTTTATTCCTTTATAATAATTAATAGCGAAACGGAAATTTTAAAATTTAATTACAAATGGATAAATAAACCTACCCAAAGCTTAAAATTTCTTTGATTTAGATATAATGACCATCAGTTTTTCAATTTTTCTTTTGCTATACTCGATCTGAGCTACTAAATCATCCCTCTCGTCTAGCATTTTCATCAATATTATTGATTTTTTATCTACTTTTTCTTGAGCTTCTTTATATATTTCAAGCAGCTTTTCTTTATTTTTCCCTAATAATTCGAATTTTTCAACATTAAAACTCAAGTTTCCTTTTACGAATTCAAGCTTGGAAAAACTCATATCAGAAAATTCAGCAAAATCTGATAATGAAGCTGGCTTTAGCAATTGTTCATGAAATTCGATACTTTTATTGTGCAAAGGAATCAAATTCATCATTATGTTTTTATCAAATATATCCTCAATTTCTGAAGATCCATCAATTTCTCTCTTATGAATTTTAATCAATGACTTTTCATTGAAAATTCCTAGAAATTCTTTGTTTGTTTGGTCATGAACAGAAATAGGGATTTTTCCAAAAATATCTTTATCTGGAACTAAAAATTCGCTTGAATAATCCTCAAATGGATAATTTTTCCTTATTTTTACTTCATTAAATGCCTCTTTTAATCCTCCTTGCAAAGCCGCCACAAAATTATTAAATACTTGGTATAAAGGCGTTTTTGATTTTCTTTGTAAGCTCAATAGATTTTTCACTTTTATTTTCAGAATTCATGACAAAAGAGATCTTTGAATAATACTCGTGGATTTTTTTTGCTTGATTATAGATCTCTAAATAAAAAATACTCGATGGCTTTCGAACTTATCTTCATCAATTACAGGGTTAAAAGTTTTCTCAATTCTGTATGAATGGCTTTTACTTTTTGTGCTGCTGCCTGAGTTGCTGGAATGAGACGCTGTGGAGTCTTTAGTTTTTTTAGGGCTCTCTAAACACTCATAAATCATTATGAAAAATTATTATCAGTAATTTAACAGCTGCTATTTAAGGAAGCATTTTTGGAATGAAAAAATATGGACTGGGAATCAATTTTGCGATTTTTTCATTTTTTTAAATATTATAGTTAGAAAGCTTGCAGATTAGTTATTTCAACTTTTTGCTTATCTTTGCGCCAAATCAAGATTTTTAAAATATTTTAATTTTTATCTATTTAATTGATTATACTTTCTTTCACATATTTTACTTATGCTTCAAAAATAAAAAAATTATCCTTATTTCAAGAATGCAATATATTTGTAAACAAACTATATTTATCCTGCAGCAAAGTAAATATGGATTTTTCATTTACATGAAAATGTTGCCTAAAAAATAATGAGATTTGCTATGGTCCTGATATCAAGATTAAAGCAAGGCTTTATTTTTTTGCTAATGCTAGCTTTAGTGTGCTATCTAATTCAAATCCAGCCTGCCTTATATGAATACCAAGATTTTTCTCCATCTGAGCCATTAGTCAATATGTTTAAAACTCAGCCATATCTATCTTTTGAATGATATCCTAACTCAGACTATCAAAAACACAAAAATGTATCTTTTTCAATTGACGCTACAGATAATCTCAATAAATATAGAGCTCACGGATTTTGCATTCCTGAAACATGAGGCTACTCAGTAGAAGAAGCAAATACATACTTTCCAAATGTCACCTATCCAAAATGCTCAGTTTTAAATTCAAATACCAAAGGAGAGGTTTTTCTCGACACAGAAGAAAATTTATTAGAGATTATTTGTCCACAAGGTTTTCAAGGGAGATACATTTTAGGAAATGTAACAAATCAAAAATTAGTATACAGGACTGAAGGGAAATGAATCCCAAAAAATTATAAGGGCCCAGTTGAGCTTAATGGGTATGAAGAATACGTAATTGCTTCTTGTAAAAAAGAAGGGCCAATGGATCTTGCACAAATGAGGCCAAGGTACAATAAAACAGCCCACAAATTAGCACAAAATAAATGAATAGAAGCCAAAAACTCAGTCAATCAAGCTCATAGTGAGCCTCTTCATATAGTCCATTTAGTATTAGATAGCTTTAGCCGCAGACATTTCTATAGAAAGCTGCCTAAAACAGTAGCATTGTTAAAAGAAATTTATCAATCAAATCTGTATCATATTGAAGATTTTTTGGTTTATAACATCAGAGGGCCTGGCTCAGTCCAAAACCAAATACAAATTTTAGGAAATCAATGAATAAACCAAAACCAAAAATACGTCCAAAAAGACCTAGTCGGAGAAAATGCCATTTGGAATATCCTATCACAGTTTGGCTATGTTTCTCTCCTCGGAATTGAAAGTTGCAATAATGAATTTGCTCTTTCTTTAGGCAGACAGCCAAATGTCACTCATTCTATTAACGAGTTCTACTGTGGAGCCCAAAACTACTGTCAATATCACACTGAAAAAGAATTTTCTGAACAAAGATGCATAGGAAAGCAAATGTCTCATTACTATACATTTGAGTACGCAAAAGAGTTTAGAGAGCTTTATAAAGACATAAATCAGTGGATTTATTTACATCTTGATGCAGCCCATGAGTACACAGGTCAGCATGCAGCTACATTAGATGATGATTTAGAAGATTTCATCAGAAACGTCACATCTCCTTATACTTTAATCGTGATTGAAGGAGACCATGGTATGCGCTATGGAGAATGATTCACAAAAATCCAGGGTTTTATGGAATATAGACTCCCTGCATTATTTTTTTTAATTCCTCATGAAATTATGGCAGATTATGATTATTCGTATTCCAAGTTAAGCCTGAATTCGGAAAGACTTGTGACTAAGCAAGATGTAAGGTCGACTGTTCTTAGTATCGCCCATGGCTGAATGGGCCGATTTTTCAGCGATGACTTTGACGCAGTCTTCTTATTAAAATGGGAAGTCGACCAATGAAGAACGTGCTGGGATGCGGGGATTTCTAACTGGCTGTGCTCTTGTAATGAATTTTATACATATGATAAGCTTAAATTTGATAGTGAATATGAAGAAAACGAGTTTAAAGAGCTTGCAGAATATTTAGCAGAAGAAAGCGTTTTTACAATGAAAGAAAGGCTTTATGCAAGTGTAAGCAGAAACAGCATTTGTAAAGATTTTTCCTTGGGAGATATAATTTCTGTTCATTATTTGAGAATTTATAAGACGAAATTTATGCTGAAAATCGTTTTTTCGGTGGAAGAAAAACCGACTGTAAAATTTGAAGTTTTGGTATTTGTGGCTTCTGATTTTTTGTATGGAGTTGATGAGAGCAGCTATCCAATACAAGCTGTGTATTTGAAATCTAGAAAAGCGATGTTTAGAATACAATATATTAATAGGCTTGATAAATATGAAGGATGTGAAGACCAAGCAATAAAGATCGGAGCGAATCCTCAATATTGTTTATGCGAATAAAATATTTTTGAAAAATCATTATAAAGAAAACACAAATTTTAGTAAAGCACAAGATATCAATATAATAATAAATTCTAATAACTGAAATTTATGATTGATATATATAGCAAATAAATCTTATTTTTTACGTTATAACACCACAAAAAGTAAAACAAATTATATGCTAATTAATCCTTCGCAAAAGAAACAGTTGGCCACATCTAATAAATTCAGGACTTTAAATTTTGATTTCCTTATCTAAAATAAAGGTAAATATATTTATAAGAATCTTATAAGAGGTTATATTTATATAGAACCCATCCAGCTTATTATATTCCTCCAAACATTGCTCTAAGAATGGCTTCAGAAATTCTCTTGTTCACTCTAGTTGCTTCTTCATGGTTATAAAACCATCCAAGCAATGATTTCCACGAATTCAAAACCCACGCATGAGGGTGATCGCTGGTAATTTCTCCAGTGATATGGCTATAAAGACTATTTGAATGGTGCCAGCAATTGTAATTCATGACGTCATAATTCAAATTGCTTTCTCGGATTAATTTTTCAAGGTCTTTTTCAGTTAAATTAGGCTCAACTTTGGTTCTTTGCCAAGCATGGTACTCATCATCAATGACAGGGCTATATTTTATTTTTCTAATGAGATTTCCTCTGGCTGGATGCCAAATGATATCCCATTTACTTCTAGCACCAGATTGGGTTGTAGTCACTAAATAGCCATGTTTCACACCAAAAAGTGCTCCAGTTATATCCTTCTTGTACTTCCAGTACTGCTCAACTAGGACGATCCCTTCTCCATTGGACTCAGCAAAAGCCAAGATGTGAGCATCTTGTCTTTTAGTGCCTTCAAGGGTTCCTCCCATATTTTTTCTACAAGCTTACATCAAATTTTATTCAAGTTTTATTAGTTTATTTTCTTAAACTCCTATAAAGTATTAAGAATTATTGCCGTAAAATATTAATATTTATTCAATCCTTCTGACTCCCCATTCCATAAACCTCCGAAATCGAGCAAAAAAATTTTTGAATGTGCATTTTATATAAGATTTGATATATAAGTGATAATTGCTATAATTAAGTCTATATAACACCTTCACCGTTACTACTTGCAGTCAAGCAGACTACCTAAAGGTGACAAATCAGCTCCAAGTCTACCAAAATACATCCCTTTGCAAGATTAGTCTGCACAAAGTCGATTTTTCACCTTTAGATGATTTCCAGAGCTCCAAGTTGCCGCGAAGAAGCCTATTTTAAGGAAGAATAGAACGATGCTATAGCAAATTTTGTAAAAATTAAATGAATTTTACTTCCCAATTTTTTTGCGGAGATTTTTTAATTTTCAAAAAAATTAATTAATAGACATTTTTTTGGCACTTCGTGCGAAACTTCGCGGTTGGTACAGCGGTTGCGGGTGCAGCGTAGTGAATTGAGGAGGTGATTGGAGTTGTGAAAAGTGTTGGACAATATGAATTGAAGCAAGTGCTGAAGGTTTTGCTGCATGTGAATTAGTGCTGAGTCAAATTTTAATTGGCTGATTTCGGAGGCTCGAATCGGTGATTCAATTGGAATTTAAAGAAAAGTGATGGATACTGGAAGATCTGCAGTTTGAATTTCATGCATGAATTGATTTTTGAGAATTTTAGAAGTTTTTTTTTGCTGAGAATTTTAGAAGTCTGGTGATTTTCGAAGATTTTTATTTTTTAGTTTTTTAAAATGAGAGAAATGCTGCTCAGGCAGCGATAGATAATTTTAATAATAATAATAATAATAATTTTCAAAAAATTAAACACCTCTCTTACAAGCGAACAAATTTTTGCTTTCTCACATAGAGGGGACTAATCAATCTAATTTTCAATTTGCTTATAAATAAATGTCATTTTTCAATCAAAGACTCACAAATTATATATCTCGAAAAAAATTCCCCACAAGTGTCTATGATTTTGAGAATTCTATGAGGCTTAAGCGTGGGCTAAAACCAGAAGCATTCGTCTCCATACCACAATCTGAGAGTTCTCAGTATGAAGCAAAGACCTTACAAGAAGTGATTGATGAAGGTAAAGCAAATACGAACTGGAGATATATAAAAGCAAGAAAGTCAGAAGGCCCAAGATATATCACTTACTTTTTAATAGTTTGTTTTTTCACATTTTATAAGGTTGTCCGTGTAGTAGAGAACCAGAAGTTTTATAAAAACAATGGTATGAAGTCAGACAATGATTCAGAGATTGGGTCGAGACGATTCCAAGATAAACTAGAATAACTTTATATTGATTTATAATAAGTGTGTCAAGAATTCTAGATAGGCAGAATATATGATGATTAAATCAAAATTGTTAGATTTTTGAGCCATTTCTCAATTTGTATATAAGAGAGATCGGATTTAATGTGCCATAAGTGTTTTCATTTGATCTTTTAAATGCTTATAATACAAGATTAACTATGATTTAACCACTCTTATTGCTTTTTATTATGCAATCCTATCCCCAAACGTTTTAAAATAGTATTGACAATTTGGTTGATAAGGCAAATTCAAATTGGAAAACCTAGTTTTTTTTTATTTTAGGATTGGCTTGCCAACAAAATTGATAATGCAACAGCTAATATGAGCGAAAAAGTTTACGGCAAGAATATAATACAGCGGCTTTGCTATACTTTATACATCGAAGCTTCTTTGCTCGCTGCTTTCCTTTTCTTCTTCATAATGCACACAATTAAAATGGCGAGCCATCCGACCCGTCCTTTCTCCTGTACCCTCAGGGACTACGGGGTTAAGAAGTAAACGGGGCCTGGATATTGTGTCCCAGGGTGGGTTTTTTACCTTGGTCGGGGACACCACGACAAGGTTTTTTGCCCCTCACAAAGACGAGAAGACCAGAGCCGCAAAATCAGGAGTCACACTTCAGGACTAGAAGGAAGTGAGGAAGCTTGTAGTGGAGCTTGTAGTGGAGCTTGGGGACCTGAAGAAGACTCCGGAAGGCTACTTTTCCCCCTCCCCAGAAAGGACGGCGCCGGGTCACTAGACCCTGATCAAAGGAGTACCTGGGTGAGTCTCCCTGTCAGATGGCGACGTCACCATTTTTTTGGTGACGTCGACAGAAAATGGAGTGAGCAACAGAGCCGGTGCATAGGGCGCAAGCCTGAAGCTGGCAGCGCTGGGTAGAGGCTGAAATAAACCTCCGTGACCCGCTAAAACTAATTAATCTAATCTTCATAATGCGCCAAATGAAATCTTGGTGTGCCCAGCACATTTGACGAATTAATCTCTTCATCAAGTCTAAACGATCCTTCATTAACGAACACCATCGTCCGTGGGTATCTTTTTGCTCTATCCGCGCACAATTCATCCCCATTATCCCCATCCCTCGTTAAATGTGACATTTCGTCCACTCTGGGGCAAACCCTATTTTTCCTACACTTATTAAAAATGCTGAAGCAGCTTATCGGCTCCTTTACATCGAGCTGAAAAAGAGTTCTATTCACCTGTATTGCGATATCTTGCCCCACATCTAAATTTAAGACTTCTTTTATTTGTAATAAAGTCCCGAATTTGCTGTTTTGATCTTCGATGTAAAACTGATTATTTATAAGCTTGATTTTCGAGTGATGCCGACTGACTGAAATATCAGCAAGTTTTACGTCACATTCATGCCCTCTTCCAATATCTGCAGATTCCCCGGATTCTAAAGGATAAAAAAAATTGTTTTGCTTAATAAGTTGAAAGTTTTTATTAAAAATTTAAAAATAATTTTTTTCAAAAATTAAAAATTCCAAATGCACAAAAATTAATTTAATTTATGTTTTAAATGAAAGCTTTAAAATTCAACAGGAATTATCTAGCGATTTCACTGTATTAATTATCATTTATATATTCTTAAAAAATTCTTTTTGTTAGTCACAAAGGGTTTTTGGGCAAAAAATAGAGATTTTTTCAATGGTCTTGTCTGGTAGGCTTGATTAAAGAAAATTATGTGAATCCCATTGCTTTGCCGTAGATCTGGCCGAAAGTCTTCAAGGGCAATAAAAGGTTTTGTTGGGTGGCTAAAACCAATTAGTTCGTATTTGTGGTTGTCAATTTGAATTGAAAAGGGAAGCTTGCTTTTGCAGAGCTCACATGAGAAGTCTTTTCAATAGTATGAAACTGCTTTGGATGATTCTCGGGTTGCAATACGGTTTTTTAGTCATTCTTTTAAGCAGTTTACATGGACAAATTTCATGGTTCCTGCACATTTGCAAGGGGCAATGAGAGGGTCTTCGTGAGATGTGGTTTCACTTAGACAGATGCGACATGGTAAAGACTCGGTGTTGGCTTCTTCTGGAAGCTCACTTGTTTCTGAATCTGGGTCGTAGTCTTTAGGAAGTAGTGACAAATCAGCTTGGTTTATGTTTGCTAACTCCCTTTCCTTAATTAAGCAATTCCATTGAAAATTTCCCTAAAAATTAGAAAAATAAGCCTTCATCTTTGATCAAACAATTTCGATATTGTCAAAATTAAACCCAATCCACTTCATCACTTCAATCTAAATACCTATCTTCCTATCTTTGATAATAATGAATCTAAAAAAAATATAGTATATATTTTCTTTAAAACATTCTAATGCGATTTTTAACATATTTGCTTATATATTGCATGCACTATCTTTTATGGATAGCACACATAAAATATTTTATATAGAATTTTTTCTGAGCTTTTTAATGATCTTTGATCGAATGATAGTGATCAGCCAGATCAAGATGAGGAGTAATTGAATTTGCTTTATGTGAAATCGAGCTCTACCAAGCTTTATTCAATCGCCTTGTTTTAAAGCATATCCTTTGACGCCTCCGGCTTTCATGAATTTCACTACTTGCCACATTTTGTCGTTAGAGCTATTAGATATTTGAGAAATTTGGAATGAATCTTTATACTTTCTGGAATAGATTACATCCAATATTGTTAAATCAGTAGCCAGAAAAGAATATTTGTTTTATAGCGCATTCTATTTAAATAAAGGACATATTTTTTGACGTTAAGCAAAGGCTCTGATCCTTCTTTGAAATCGTCCATGTTTGCCATGTCTCAAGAATAGCAGAAATGTGCGGTTCTGTAGACTGATGTAGAATTATCCAATTTCATATATGCCTTTTTAACACTTTTTGACTCATAATCAAATAAACCATGTGTTTCTCTCATCCATGACGTTGCCCTAACTTCTAAACTAAATAAATATTACAACATAGTTGAACTCATATTTATATAATTGGATTCCATTGCTTATTTTTAAAAATTTTGTGGCATTCTTTATTTTTTTCATTTTCAAGCAGCATTAATTTATTACTGCTAAGATAATTTTATATAATATTGCTGAATAAACTTATTAAGAGGTGAATTATCAAAATAACTGATAAATGATATTGAGTTAACCTTGCCAGCAATATTTTTTAAAAATTTAAGATTTAATTTGAAAAAAACAATATTATGATTATATAATCCAAGATTAGCATACTTTTTAGTGTAAATCAATTTATGCTAAATATATAAAAAGCTAAGAAAACTCCTTTTTCTGTCACTCAATAAGTAAGAATATTTGAGAAATACAGCTGCACATAAATTAATACCTTATTTAGATATTAAAAGGTAGAGATAAATCATTATTTATAAATAATGGAAAAGAAAGACGAAAAAGATCCATTGAATTGTTGGGGTGATAGGTTTTGAAAAAGACATTTATATGGGCTTTGATTTTTTAAATGGTTTGTTGTATATCTGGTTGACATGATAGAAGAGAAAATATGAATTCCTGAACTTTTTGTTATTCTAGGGTCATTATACATAACAAGTTTAACTGGAGTCATAGCAGGAGCTTATAAGCACATTGGTCTTTGTTACCATTTTAATGAGGTAGTTTATATTTAGTCAAAAGTTAACGACTTGCCTTACTTACTGAATTCAAATAATCTTTTTCCTGAATATTTTCATTGATTCTTTGTGTTGGCATTTTTTGGCAATCTCAAAAAATCTCCTTTATCTATGACTATTATTTGCGCTAGCTATTCTTTATATGATGCGATTATATCTGCCGTTGATTCATCTCTATGCCCAATATATAATGAGAATTCAAGCGGGTGATCAGGATTGATGATGTATTCTTATTTTCGGAGTATTTTAAGCTGGTGGGCTGTGTATTTATGACTTGCAATCATATTTTTGCCAAAAAGATATCATAGAAAAGCTCAAATTGAGCCTTTTATTAGTGGCGGAATAGCTTGAATTGTGGCTAAAATATTATGACTTGTGCGGGCAAGGAAAATGAGTAATACAATAAGCACTCCTTTTGAATATCCTACACGAATTAGAGCAGCAGCGCTGATTACATTTGGTGCTTCTACAGTTATGATGATGGGAATTCTTTTATTTTCTTATCAAATTTATTATTTTATTGATACTCTAAAAGATTGAAAAAGCTATTTAGAAGGAAGACCATATGACAGTATTTTTGCGGCATTTAACTTATTCTTCACGACCTATATTAATTTTTAATATAAACGATTTTCTACAAAAAATGTTTTTAATGTTTTATAAAAAAATAAAAATGTGTATTTAGAGTGTATTTAAATAATAATGTTTTCACATCGGTATTTTTCTAGTAAGGATCTTTAAAGAAAAATAGTTATTTAAAATATTAAAAAATATAAAAAATTATTTTGAAAAAATAAAGAATTAATAATTATTATTTTAATTTGGGAAAGCTAGAGCATGAATATACTTGGACAACTGGAGATGGTATTGATATTGTAAATGCTTTCATCAAACTTTGTGAACCCCTTTTTCCTTGTGCACTAACCGCTCTAATATTATCTTATTTGTTTGTTCAATACTCAATTGCTGTAATGCTATATAAATATAAAGAGATAATGCTTGCTATTATGGAATTCAGAAATGAATCCCCTCTATTAAAAAGGGTTTGAAGCTTTTCATGTCATAGAGCAATTTTCTTTCCTTGTAAGATATATTTAGCGGAATTCATGGTTAACAATGTATTCTTGCTGTATACATTTGGGGCATTTATATTTCTCGGGCTTTATGTAGTAAGCATCATTTTCATCTTTAATATCCCAGCGTATTTATTATTAGATCGGCCAATAAGTTTTTGGCTTAGCTTTGCCCCAACTATTTGGAGGTAATTTTAATACAGTGTTCTTTATTTCAGATTTTTGGTGACTAAGAAAAATTTTATCAAAAATAAAAGATATATGGCTTTTTGGGATTCATGATACTTTTTAGTAGGATTTTTTGGCGCAATTGTAAAAGGACTCAGTCGCTTCGGAATAGGTATTGGAGTCTCTCTATTTCTGGGTTTCAGGGCTCATGTAAGTATAGTACCAACACCTTTTGACGTTTTCGACTCTCTTTATTGCAGCTTTTATGCATCAATTGCACTGCAATGCTTATCCCTTGGGATAATTCCAGATGATATAGACTCATTAGACTTTTCATTTGGAGATAAGGACATCGGCCCAGCCCGAAGAATTAATTAATTTTTTCATTTATTTAAAAATTTATTCAAAGCAGTTCACTTATAATTGCAATAAGGCAATAATAACTTTTATTTTTCTTAACTAACGGACTTGTATATGCTTAGCAAATATGGAATTCATTAAAGGATCTATTGAGTTCTTCAGTAGCTTTTTTTCGCGCAAAAGGCGTCGCTCGTCGCCAAAAACAGATAACCTTATAAACCTCAAACGAAAAAAAATCGATTTCAGTAGGTACCGTGATGAAGAAATTTCTCCTTATTCAGTCTCAAACCATCTAAAATTCACCCCTCATCCACCCAAAAAGGAAGTTCAAAGCCAAGCAGAATTCAGCGATGCTCAGTCGTTATTCAGAGCATTTGTCAGCCCAAATGATGAAAAATCACCAGAAATTTTGGCTGCCAAACTGCAGATTATGAGACAAGCTGTTGAATACGGCGAAATCGCGCAAGAAAAACATAAGTGTTTCCCTAACAAGCCAAGCCTAAAAGAAAGAAACGTAGATGGAACTGACCACCCCGAGCGCTTTGAGTCCTGTCCGAGCTGAGAAACAAGTGAAGTCGAGCCCAATGGGGATTATTATGAGACATTATCACACAGAAACAATGGAAAATCAACCCTGGGGGAAAGGCTTGACAAAGTTATGAAGTCCATGGAAAAAATCGAGCCTTATCCAAGCTGAGAAAACAGCAAAACTGAATCTCCTGAAGAAAATCCTTTGGAAAGCTTCATCAAAGAAAAAGGATGGGAAATTGAGCCAGATTCATTGAAAGAAGTGGAAAGCATTCTAAATGATGAAAGACATGAAGAAGCCTGAGGAAAGGTAAAAGATGCGACACTTCGATATAAAGATATCAAATTACTAAGACCTCGAACTTGGATAAATGATGAAGTCGTCAATGCTTATCTGAAATTGCTAGAAGTTCCTGAAAATGTCCATATATTTAACAGCTTTTTCTATGAGTATATCTCTGGAATGCATGCAACTAACGATTGGGACGTTAGGAAGCTCAAGAGGATTTTAAAAAAGCAAGGACTGGATAACCTTTTTACAAAAGATTTCTTGATTTTTCCTATAAACCTAGATAAAAACCATTGGGTTGTGGCGCAGGTGAATAACAAAGATAAATGCATAGAATATCATGACAGCTTTGGAGATGGGAGCTTTGAAAAAGTCTGTGAAACAATAGACGAGTGCATTGGAGTCCTCAATCGAGAAGAAGTGAACTGTTACAAATATCAATCAATGATAGTTCCTCAGCAGGATAATTACTATGACTGTGGAGTTTTCATGCTTCAAACGATCCGCTGCCTGGTAGAAAAAAGAGAATTCGATTATTCTCAAGACCAAATTGATTTTATTAGAAAAATTATAGTCCTGGAGCTAAAAAATCAAACGCTTTATATGTAAGCATAAAAATGATTTGTAATCAACTTTCTATTAATTTAACTAAAAAAAATATTTGGTAAAAATAATAAGAATTTTTTATGAAAATCAAAAAAGCTATCTTAAACTTGCTGAACAACGAGCAAAAGCTAGAAGAATTTGTAAGAGGAATGTATTCTGCTATAGATACAAATAATGATGGACATATAGATGTTGATGAGCTTTATGAAGCACTGAAAAGCTTTTCACAGCTAGGAGATGACTTAGAGCCTTTGACAATAGAAAACATAAAATCGGCTATTTCTGAACTGACTGAAAACCCTGATGCAAAAGTTGTTTTTGAAGAGTTTAAAAACTTGGTTTTGGCTGCTCTTCAATTTATATTTCAACGTGAGTCGACTCATAATTAATAGCTTAGATCTGTAATATGACTTTTAAGACTTTAATTTTTTGTTGTTAGCACTTAATATACTTTGATAATCAATCCTATACTTAAAGCTTAAGATTAATCTTTATGAGTAGGAATAAACGAAAAAAAAATATATTTGAATATTTAATATGCTCTAGATATTAGCAGTAATATTATATTTATCCTAGGAGAATATTAAAGTAACCCCTAATCTAAAATTATCAGATTAAAATGCCATTTGATTTCGGGAGATGGACAATTGATGACACTGAAGTGTTTTACATCGGCGAATATTCGTTTGCGTTTGTGAATCTGCGACCTATAAGAAAGCATCATGTGCTGGTATGCCCAATAAGAAAAGTTGAGCGACTTAAAGACTTGGAACTCCATGAGCTCAGTGAGATGATGAAAATTGCAAGCTTAATTTCTCAAAAAATAGCAAATGGGGCATGCAATATTGCTATCCAGGATGGCATAGATGCTGGACAAACAGTAAATCATGTGCACATTCATGTTGTTCCTAGAGAAGGGGAAGGTATTCTTCATATTGATAGACTCTATGGAGATCGAAGCCCTGCACAAATGGCAGCTGAAGCTACAATTCTTAGAAGTATGATGCAGGATTATCATATTGAAGAATGTGCATAATAATTTAATAAGCTATAAGAAATTTGGACTATTTATACCAAGAATGTATATATAAACATAAATTAAGGCTATCACCTGACTATTGGGGCCCAAATTTCTATAAAATAAGCATAAACAGTCAATAATTTAGTGATAATAATTCAATAGGCTATTTATGATTTTTCAGTATAATAATTTATTTTGATCTTGCTCTAACTCAATATCACAAAATACAAAAAGAGGGCCAGGTTTCCTGGAGGTAATAGTAACATTAAAAAAATCAAAGACACTTGTATATCCAGGAAATTTTTCAGCATATTTATCAACATCTCTGGATAACTTTTCAACCACTTCTTCAGTGATTTTATCCTTACCCTTAGCCGGTATCATTTTTTCACACAGATTATCTTGTCTCAAACTTCTCGCAGCTATAATTACACTACTCAGCGCAATATCTGACTGTTTAAACTCCAAATGTTTATAATATATTTGAGAAATCCTGCATATCAGTTCTGCAGTCACCTGTATCACATTAGGAATCTTAAATTCTTCATACAAGCTTTGCAGAAAATCATAGCAGGTGCTCAAATTCACTATAAACCCAAGCTTTTTCAGTATCAGTTTTTCAGTGATCAAGATTTCACTCACAGTGAATTTTTTATGGGCAATTTTTTCTCTTAAAGCTCCCAGTCTTATCCGATGTCTTGTATCAGAAAATTTGGAAGCGATAAACATACAACAGACTCCAATTATATGGAGAAGCTGAGAAGACAAAGCCTGCTGATGGACTTTAAAGAACTTATCCATGATTTTGACTGCGAGAAAAAACACAGCCTTGTGGCACTTAAATGCAGAAGTGACTTCAATCATTCAGTCTATCATTTTGGCTCGGAATTCTGGCAAAATGCTATGGTTGCTTAAAGGATTTGGGGTGTAAGAGAGTGTCTCAGATGATAACAGAGATCTTGAAAGGGCTTGGGAGAGCGGGATAATGTTATTTACTTGGAATTGGGATATTTCAACATTGGGAGATCGGCTTCGGTTTCTAGATGTTCGGATGCTAATACGAGTTGCGGCTTCACATTTTACAGCAGGCAACTTTGTCTTTGAGAGCTGGGCACTGTTAGTTCGTCTATGCAAAGTTATCATTATTAGTGACTTTTCACTTAAGGATACTTAAGATACACCTTAAAATTATATCTAACTCTCTTAAGTTAAGATTTATTAAAGAACTTCAGGGAATTTCTTGCTTTTGATCAGCTCTATCTTCTCATAAACCTGCTTCTTGAACTCATTTTGCTTATCTTCTACTTTCTGCAGATTTGAATTCCCTTGCTTCACGATCTCTCCTATCCTCCTATTCATTCCATCATAACTAGTTTGGTTGTCTTTTATAACTTTATCCAGCCTATTTTGGAGTAATAAAATGTCTTTCAATAATATCTGGCCTTGTTTTTCTAGTGTAGTAGTCGATTTAGAGTCAGAGTCGTCCTCGCTACTGGTACAAAGCTGCAAATGCATAGGAGTTCCTGAATGCCTTCTCCAGAATAAAATAGCTTCATACTCTATAATCATTGCAACCATTGACTGGATATCAGCGACCACCATGTCTTCTTGCACTCTCCCATAAGTTTCTCCCATAATTGCGACCAATAAATTGAACATCATAAGAGGGTTTACAATGGTCGCGACATAAAAGCATGACCACTCAGCACCTGAATAATTGCCATAGTCAAAAGCTCCGAATAAAAGCAAAAACGAATGGATCAAGGCTTCAGAAAACGTCTTTTCCTCTGATAAGCCACTTAATACTTGGAACATCAACGTAAAAGCTAATACAGAAAAGGCAAGCACCACAGCAAAAGGAATCATATCATGCAAAATTTCTGTCAGCATTCTGATCATATAGCGTGTCTGCTTAAAAACTCTGAAAAATCCTATCCCTCTTTGAAAAGAAGCTAATAAAATCAACGCAAGCATGGTAGTTGACAGCTCTCCGCCTACAAAAGGCTCAATAAATGAATATGCAAAGATCAATAAAATTCTTGCCATGTCTAGCCAGTTCCAAAAATCTTGAAGATATTGTTTGATTCCTATAGTGATCTGGAAGCACTCATAAAAGAATAATATAAAGTTCAGCACTATAATAGAAACGAATAAAACTGTATCCTGGCCTGGGGAAGTTTGCATTAGTGAATAGTACCCTAATATGAATAAAAATAATATATAAAAAGCTGCATGGACAAGCATTAAAGGTCTGATTGTTTTCCATTTGGATTTTATAATGGTAGATATGATAGGTGCTGTATAAACGTCTTGGTCTTCGCACGCAATTAGTGTTGTAAGAAACTTTATACCTTCTAAATTGCCTAGTGTCATATTAAATTTGAAAGAGCTTACCCTATAAATTAAAAACTGCTCGTTTTCTTTAGAACTGAGGGTAGTTTTGATGAAGTTTTTACAGTCAATGTGGTAGCTGTTTGAAGAAAATGGGTGGCCTTCTTTGGTTTTAAGCACGCCAAACTGTTCTAAATCTGGCTGCTTTGACCTTTGGAATGCTGCATTATAAAGGGTTGACAAATTTGGGGTTGCTAATTCATTAAGCCTAGGAAGCTCAACTTCAATTCTTGTGAAAATATGCCAATCTACCTTAGTATATTTTGCTATTTTTTTGATGACTAAATCAATAAGTTCTTTATTTTTCGAATCCAAAGCCAAAGTCAAAGGGGTAACTCCAGAAGTGGTACTTAAAAATTTGCAGCGGCCTTTAAAGGCCAAATTTGCATATTTTAGGTTGACTGTATATGCAAATAGATGGAGAATATTGATCCTCCATGGAAGAATTACCCACTCATTGAGATGGGAAGGATATTCACCATCATACTCGTTTTCCATGAATAGCTTGAAATATGAAGTAAATAGCATGGAGTATATTGATGGGCCAAATATATATAGATCATTTGCTTTTGCCTTAACTGGGTTTCTCAGTCTGATAATCTCATTTGTGCTTACCACATAAATTTTCCCATTAATATTATCAAGCAAAATCTGCTTAGGGCGAAGGTTCACTTTTATAGTCCCTATTAAGATTTTATCAGTTGTTGACCAAAACTGTATCTCGTCTTTTTGAGTGCCTACCAATAAATACTCTCCATCTTCAGATATAGAGCATGATAAAAGTTTTGAAACCTTAGGAGCTGGCCTTCTACCAGTTGCAGCTGCTCCTATTCAGCTGCCCTGTCTTTCTTGTCTTTCATGGAAAATTTTATGTCTTCTTTCTTCGTTTTCCTCATTTTCATCATCAGCTTTTAATTCTTCTTCCTCATCTTGTACACAATTAAAAGAAGTGATAAGGGTATTGAAATTAAGGTTCCATATATCTATCATACCGTTTCCACCTACTGAAACTATGTGATTTGTAAAATAATTTGGTTTAAGAGTGTAGATTTGCTGAGCGAACCCTTTTAATACAGCCCTTTCTGACTCCTGAATATTCACAGCTAAGACATGAAGCTCATTTTCTGTGGCATAAATCACTGTTGTGGAGTCTGGAGAAAAGCAAATAGATTTCACAGGCTGTGCTACAGAAAGAGTTTTAATAGGATTATAAGTATTCAAATCATATATAGCGACTTCTCCTTTTTCATAATCACTTGCAGCAGATGCAAACTTTTGTCCATCTTTACTAAAATCTACAGAAACCACTGGCAATGTATGCTCCGATAATGACTGAATTTCTTTCTTTATTTTCAAATCCCACAATTTCACATTAGAAAACTGAAACCCTACTGCCATCAAAGTTCCAGTCCCATTTATAGTCAAACACTTAGGGCTACCTTCAAATTTCCTCAAGTTTTCGCTTACTCCCGTTTCAACATCAGTTTGTTTTACTATAAGATCTTCTCCAACGGTAAAAATAGATTTTCCATCAGATGAAATAATGGCTGCATTTATCTCTTCATGTATGACAATTCTTTCTTTTCTTTGCAGTTCTTCCACAAGCCTAATCCTTCTAATTGTCTTATCGCTTTCTCCAATAAACAAGTATTTTCCATCAGGAGAACAAGCAGCTACTTTTGGAGGTGAAGGAAGCTTAAATTCAGTTTCATACCTAGCTTCTTGTGTGTTATATAAATAAAGCTTCCCTTTAGCACTGCCTGTTATAATATAGCGAGAGTTTTCTATATGGCACATTGCAGTTATCTGAGACTTGTGCTTAGGCAGAAGTGTTTTTTCGCCTGAAACAATGTTCCAGAGCCTGACTATTTTGTCTTCTCCACCAGTCACTAGTACTCCTTTATCAATAATATCCCCGATATTTGATTTTTCAGTATATGGGCAGTAAATCATATAGTTAATTTTGGCTTCTTGGATGATCTCCATATGGAATTCTAGTCCTTCACTGTTCCATATAACGATTTTCATATCTGTTCCAGCTGTAATGAAAACGTTATCATCTTTAGCGAAACAAATTTCTCTTATATATCCTTTGTGATGCCTCAGCTCCTTCTTTAATTTCCTTGTTTCAAGATCATAAACGTAAATAATATCTTCTAAACCTCCAGCCACAATCAAATTCCGCTGAGTGCTTGCAGTGCATATATATTAAAATGGCAACTTGTGGAAGCAGAAGAATACTATAGAAGAGATACAGGCCCTAAACCTAATAGTTTCTCTTATATAAGTATAATTAACGATTAATGCTTGCAGCAAGGGCTTTTATAGCTGCTGAAGGGCCAGAAAGTTGGGCGATTTTTTCTTTTGCGTCGAGATCCCACAAGATAATTGATCTGTCCTCGCCAGCGCTAGCAATTTTGTCAATGCCAACATTTGATAAACAGTTGACTTTCCCTTTGTGGCCTTGGAAGGGAAAGTTTTCCATGCTTTGGGTCTGGTAAACTTGGATCAGGCCATCCGCAGTTCCAACCAGCAGGAATTTGTTATCAGTTGTAAGTAATAAAGAAATGATGTCGAGGTTTAAGTTAAAAGTGTCTACACGCTTATCGAATTCTCTGAGTACCTGTGTTAAGAAGTTATTCAACTGGCCAGTTGGGAAATTCTGAAGCTCAATATAACCAGCAGGATTTGGTTCCATTAATAGAGTATACTTTTTATGATAAAAGCCTTTATTTAATAGGAGATGATTTATAGCCGTGTAATTATACAAAAAAAGATATTATAGAAAAGAATGATTTTATGAAGTAAAGATTGAGGAATTCTTGTGAGGAGAAATAACTTGTGATAATTTTATGGAAAGAGAGATAAGGATGATTAAATATGATTAAATGGAATAAAAAATAAAAACTCCGAGACCGGGAATTGAACCCGGGTCCCCTGCGTGACAGGCAGGGATACTTGACCACTATACTATCTCGGATTGATTTTTACTTATTAAAATTCTTTATATACTAAAGCACAAAACTTAATTGAAAATTTAGAATTATTAATGGCTGTCTATATTTGTCACATCAAATTTAAAAAATTTCTCTTTTTTCACACCTCTTAAAGCACGAATTCTTGCTAAAATCAATTGGAATCAATGTTTTCTTTGATACTACCAACTAATAAACGCAATCTTAGCTTTGTGTCATACAAATTACTTATGAGCTGCATGAAAATTTAGTTAGAATTGATTTAATCTAAGGATAATCAGCTATAACTTGAAATCTGTGCTCCCAAAACCCCTTATTTCTCTATAGAGGCCTACATCCAATTTCCAGTTTGTTTTTCGAAAGGCAGCAAGTCCAATATCTTCCTTGCGCACTCCATTTCCCAGGATGGTAATTGACCTTCCTCAATTCAAGCTCTTGCAGTAGCCCTTCTTCCTCTTTTTCATATTTTTCCTTATCTGCAAGCTCCTTATCAAGCCTCTCAATCTCTTCCCTTATCTTTCTCGTTCTCTCCTTAATAACTTCTGACTGGCTTTCCATCAAAAACCCTTTAAAAGCTTGCAGAATTTCGTCTTCACTGATCTGAGCATCCAAAATTTTATTAAAATTGCATACTTTTTTGCACAATTCTGAACAAACCATCGGCGACAGACAATATCTTTCAAGCTTAAGCAGCTTTTTGCGACAGATAGGGCTTGAGCATATGAAAACTTCATAATCGCACGTTTTTTCGTGCTCCAAAACATCATGAATTGGTCCTTCCAATAAGCAGCCATTGGCGGAATTTATGCATTTCAAGGTAAGTTTCTTATAGTACTGCAGAGCATACTTTGAGGTTGTGCGCGGCTTTATTTGGTTATTACACTGTGGGCACATATCAAGTTTGGATATACAGTCTGCACAAGCTAGGTTTTCACATACAGAGCATTCTAAAGGGTCGACTGATACATGTTTGCAGCTCATACAGATGAAATAGTCGTCAACTTTGCAGGTGAAGCGGTCTATTGTGATTATTGATGTCTCGCTCATTTAATTTAATTTTCCCCATGATATCAAACGAGAATTTTCATAAAGAAAATGGAGCATAAAGATAATTATGTTTGCTCAGCTTTTGGGTATGGAAAATATGGGCAGCTCGGAGCGATTTCTATTACTCCAAGCCAAGTTCCCAATATAATCAACGTTGACGAGCCTATTTTTTCAGCTTCAGCTGGAGAAGGCCATACTGCTGTGCTTACAGAAAACTTTCATTTGTTTACTTTTGGAAGGAATGCGTTTGGACAGCTTGGTCTTGGGCATAATTTGCCTATTTATGTGCCTACTTTGTTACAATCGTTGAGTTCTAAACAAATTGAGGCTGTTTTTTGTGGGGCTGAACATACTTTGGCGATAACTGCAGATGGCGAAGTTTATACATGAGGGTTGAATATAAAAGGACAATTAGGGCTGGGGGACAATTTGAATAGAAATTCTCCGACACTGGTAGAAAATGTTTCTAGCAGGCTGGTACCGAATCAGAGCTGTAGCTTGGAGAGAGGGGAAAGGGCGATTTCTGCAGCTTGTGGAGCATTGCATACACTGATTTTGACTGATAGGAATAAAGTATTGTCGTGTGGGCATGGGAATAATTTTGCATTGGGACATAGCACACAAGAAGATGTAAACCGATTCAGACAAATCAGACATTTAGAAGGGATGGGAAAGGTTGACAAGCTAGAAGCAGGATTAACCAGTTCTGCAGCAATTATCCAAGGAAATTTATATCTCTGAGGAAAAATAAGTGTCCAAACATACCAAGTTCCTTCACAAATATGCTTTGAAGTAACCTCACCCTCAATAAGCAGGGCCAAGTCAAATTCCCCCAGAAGTGGGAATGTTGAAGACGTAGCCCTCGGAGATAATTTTGTATTTTGCATTGTCAAAGGAAACCTATGAGGCTGAGGAGAAGGCGCTGGGCTCAGAAAACAAGAGCCTACCCGCTTACTCCTCCTTATGAGCAAACAATAAAATTTTGATTAATCGGTGGGGGACTAATTTTTTTTAAATTTTAAATGGGAGTGTTTAAATTTTTACAGAATTAGATAGAGATTTCATTATAATATTTTTTATAAAAAATGTTTTCTATTAAAAAATTATTTTTAATGACAGGTGAGTTTTTTATCTAAAAATAGAGATTTTTCCCAATGATTTATTCGCTAACGAAGGGGGAATTAGAAATAAACAAAGCTATCAAATATGTAAGCTGCGGCTTGAAGCATGCAGTTGGCATCACAAACGACTACAACATTTTTGTATGAGGAAACGGAGATTTCGCCCAATGTGGAGAAGTTGGCAGCGCAAACACACCAGCTTATTTGTCAAGTTATACAAGTGCGCTGGCATCTAAAATCGCTTGCGGGAGCTACCATACTGTAGTTTTATCTGAAAGGCCGCCATCTATAGTAAATCAGCACCAATCAAGGTCAAATCTTGAAGCTGAGTGCTCACAGCATCTTGCAGAAATTCAGAGGCTGAAAAAAGAGCTTGAAGAGTATAAGAAGTCGTCAGATAGTGAAGTAATAAGGAGGACTCCGCAGAAAAATGCGTATTTAGAAAAAGATTTGGTGAAAATTGCATCAAATAATAAACATGTGACTCCTTATTTTGAAGTAAGCTATGAGGAATTACAGATTGATCCTGAGCCAATAGGAAGAGGAGGATATGGGACTGTTTATAAAGGGAAATGGAGAGGAAGCACAGTGGCGATTAAAAAGATGAAAATGGAGGCGGGGCATGATCGATATGTCTCTTACAATGAATAATAATTTTTATATAGACTTGTTGGCAGATAGTTAAAGTTAAATACTTAAAATGATTATACTGGCCATAGGTGAATCTAGCTACTCGCACTTTTTGGATTTCGGACCTGAACCACCTGTCCCCTTTTGAGCAGATCCATCGGCTGTGAGACGCCCCAATGCTCCATATGAGAGAAGACCATGTGGTAGGTAAAACCTGTCTAGCCAATCTTGCAATGACAGAAAAACCTTCGGTAGAAACAAAGCTTACCTTTCGGAAAGGCATCCACAACCCTGAAGGTCTACTTCTAAAGGTACAGAGGCCCTATTTTCAGCTTTATCAGGATAGGTCCTAGCTGCTCCATAGGGAGCGAGCCTCGGATTCCACTTTCACCGTTTATTTCTTATTAGCAGATAGGCTATTTATATAAAATAGGATACAAAGAATTCATTCAAGAATGCCAAACAATGGTCTCAGTGAGACATCCAAATATTGTTCTTTTTATGGGAGCCTGCACAATATCTCCTAATTTATGCATTATATTAGAATATTGCGGATATGGCTCATTATGAGACGTCTTAAGAAACCACAGCGAGCCTTTGCCATGATATCTGCGTTGCAAAATTGCTTTGGACACAGCCAAAGGTGTAAACTACCTTCACAAATTTCCTACCCCTATTTTACATCGGGATTTAAAATCTTTGAATATCCTATTAGATGACGCACAAAACGCAAAAATCGCTGATTTTGGCTGGACAAGATTTAAAGCTGATGCCATGACAAATAGAATTGGGACATATCAATGAATGGCTCCCGAGGTTATTTTAGGGCAAGAATACTCAGAAAAAGCTGATGTTTATAGCTTTGGGATTATTCTATGAGAATTAGCTACAAGAAAACCACCATTTAGAGAACTTAATGGAATCCAGGTTTCCCAAGAAGTCGTAAGAAATGATCTAAGGCCACCTGTCCCTAAAAGATGTCCTGAAGCGTTTGTGTCGCTGATGACTAGATGCTGGGAAAAGCAGCCAAATCTGAGGCCAAGTTTCGATGTAATTATAGAAGAGTTGGAAGCATTTTTGAAGTTTTTGGAAAGGTCATCAGTCTAATTGATTACCATTTTCAAAAATACTTTAGATTAATAGAAGAATTTATAGAGAATCTATTTTATAAGATAATAAGCCACAAATTCAAATTAATAGCTTACTCTCCCCATCCTTGATCGAACGGCTCGTCATCGTTCGATCAAGGGATGGGGTAAAAAAAAAAAATTTTTTGGGAAAAAAATTTCATATATAAAAAATGTATTTTTTTTTATATACTTTTAAATAAGAGAGTTAAGAGTGTATAATAATTATTTTTATGACAAAAATTTGAATTAATTTCATAAGAATACCAATTTTTTAATAATTTGATTTTTTGATTACCCCTTTAAACTGTATAAATTGTAATTTGTTCATTATTGAATTAATTTTAAATTTTAAAAAATCTCTATTTTTTTAGATTATTGAGTTTTTAAGCCCAGGCTGATGACTAAAGCACTGGGGATGGTTGATTCCGTAGCTTCATGTCGTCTCAAAGCATCCAATAACAACTTCATAGGCACATCTTCCCAAGCTTTTGATAATTAATATTTTTATATATATAAAAATTTGCATGATATGAAAATCGTTCGATCAAGGATGGGGGTTAATTTCCCCAATTTTTAGGAATTTTTAGAGTGAATCGTTCGATCAAGGATGGGGGAGTTAGAATATAAAGTAATCAAATAAAATTCCATTTATCCCCAAAAGATATAAAAATGAATTCAATCCTTTATAAGGTGTTCGTTTGCCTCTTTTACGGATTGTGCTCATTCGGCCTCAGCTTTATCAACAAATGGATTTTTGCCTTCTACGACTTCAAGTTTCCTTTCATTGTAATGGTTTATCTAGCTACTTTTACTTCAATTTGTTTTTAATGCAGGATTTAGCGTCACATATGGTGCCTTTGTTGATAATGGACCAAAAGCGATATGGAAAGTCCCAAAACTCACCTTAGATGGCTGCAAATCTTGTTTGATTATCAGCTGCACCTTTCTTTCAAACGTCTCATTTGGGGTCATATCATTAACAAAAGTCAGCATCCCTGTCTTTCTTGCTATTAGAAGAATGGTCACAATTTTGATCTATATTGTGGATCTCACATATTTGGGGAAGCCATGGAAAATTTTATGATTTTTTTATAATAAATAGAGAGTAGGCAGTTATTACAAATAGATATTCATTTTAAAAAGATATAGAATTCTTAGGTGTCGTATTAATTACTGTTGGCGGCATTTTATCAGCTGTATTTTTTATTTAGGCAAACGATTTCTACGCTGACTATTTCGGGTACTTTTTGGTTATGATGAATAATGCTGCAACTGTCCTTCACTTTAATTTATGCAAATCACTGTCGCAGAAAAAGCCAGAATTAGATGCTGGGGCTCAGACTTTTTATATGTCGCTATTATCTATTCCTGTTTTGCTATGCTTATGCCTTTTTGCAGAAGATACAAACTCATACGAATTATTTGATAGGGCAAAGCCGTTCTATATTTCCTTATTTATTACAACGGTAATGGGATGCCTTTTGACGTTTTCTCAAGCCCTTTGCATTAATGTTAATTCACCAATCGCTACTTCTGTTACTGGGAATTGCAAAGATATTTTGGCAACAATTGTAGGGTTATTGGTATTTTCACATATATATACATAAAAATGGCAGCCTTTTGGAAGGGAGTTTTGGCATTCAGTATGTGTATTCGACAATAATATTCAATTTTTCGAATTTTCTAGACCCCATTGACTTTGAAGGTGTGAGATTATTGTCAGCGAAGTAGAATTATGGAAGGAAATGAGGATGATCGGATTTCGACTGGGAACTTTTTCTATAATATAACTAATTATAAGGTATTCCAGATGTACTAATCACACCTTGGCTCTTAATAGGATTAGCTGCAAGCTTATCAGGAGCTATTATTTATTCTTATTCGAAGCTGCTAGATGAGTTACAAAAATCATCTAAAGTTAAGTAATTATACTTTTTTTATTAAATAGGCTGATAGCCTTGAATATTGAATTTTAATGATAGGCTTTATAAAGAAGTATATATTTATCTTCAAATGGCACTTCTTATGCTATAATATGGCTCTTAATTTTTTATAATGACAGTTTTAATATTTTCACCTGCAATTTTTATATATGGGTTAATTTAGATAAATTTCTGCAACAATAAAAATATTAATTTCTCTATTGCAAAAACTGAACTTGCTGATGTGAATAATATTTATAGCTGAATTCAGTCATTTTAACAATATTCTAGCTGAATGATATATGATTTTTTAAATGAATTTGACATAATTTTAAAAGCTGATACTATATTTTTAACTACAAAAAAGATGCTTCTTTTATAGTAGAGCATGAATAATATGCAGCATTCATCTTGTTTTATATAAATTACTTAACTTAACCTGCAAACTCAGCAGGCATTTTTACTCCAGTCCCTCCAATCCCGCAATACCCTCCAGGATTTTTCCCTAGGTACTGCTGATGATAATCTTCTGCAAAATAGAATTCCGCCACAGGTCTAATTTCTGTAGTAATTGACCCAAACGAAGCTTTATATAGTTCTCTCTGATACAAATTTCTGCTCGCTATCGCTTTTTCTCTCTGCTCCAAATTAAATACAAAAATCATTGACCTATACTGTGGGCCCACATCTTCACCTTGTTGCATTCCTTGAGTGGGATCGTGGTACTCCCAGAAAATCTTTAACAATCTTTCATAAGAAATTTGTTTCGGGTCATACACAATCCTCACAACTTCTGTATGGCCAGTAAATCCTGTATATACCTCATCATATTTAGGGTTCCTTGTGTACCCAGCTGCATATCCTACTTGGGTAGAATACACACCTAGCTGCTTCCAAAACAGCCTTTCCACACCCCAAAAGCAGCCCATCCCGAACATAGCGATTTCCATTCCTTCTGGAAAAGGCTCAACAAGCGGCGTTTCCAGTACAAAATGCCTATCAATGACTTTTATAGGTGTTTCTCTGCCTATAAAAGCTTCTTCTGGATTAGGGATCCCTGGAGATCTTAGATGCAGTTTGTGGCACTCTTCATCATCTTTACAAGCTGGGCATTCATAAGCCTTCGCAATTTCAATTGTTTCTGCTAAAAGTAGGCTATGGATTTCATTCTTAAGACTATAGCTGCAGAATAAGTTACTCCCTGCATCTGAGTACAAGCTATACACAAAAAGAGCTTTGATAAGAAACAAAACGCCGATTTTCATATTAAATAAGTAATAATTCTTATTGGCGCTGCATTTTTGCAATTATTTATCCTTAAATTTAATCTAGACTAATCCCCATACTTCAAGCTTTAAAATTTCAAAGTCTTCAGTTGAGCTTAGGACACTATTATTGTAGGTTTCTGAGTGCCCACTAGATCCTGACATTAATTCTCTGTCAACGTAAAGGCCAGCTTTTCCACTACATAAAAATTACCCTGAGCCCATTGTAAGGGCATCCAAATCTGAGTGCATGTAATAATCATTGATAAGTGTTGGAAAATAACAAGTGATTTGGTCTGAGTTACGGAAAGTAAATAAAAAGCAGTCACCTGTGCCGTAATATGTATGGTGCATTTGCCAGGTATCGGACACAAATCCTCCGAAAACATGGTGGTTTTGGTCTTGGATTACCATCACACTTGGGCCAGTTGCTTCTACTTGTCGATAGAAAACAGATAAGCTTGACCCGTGGACTATAGGTGAATATAGTAATTCCCAATTTCTCATCTGAAGAATTGTAGGCAAATAAATTGTTATTTGGTTTATCATTCTTTGAGACAGAATCAATGATTGTCTTGACAGAGTCGGAATAAACTCTGGCTCATCTAAATTCTGCTGCTGTGCGCTTTTACTGATTTCTTCGTTGATTTCTACAATTTCTGCTTTAAGTTCTTCATAGTCGTCAGCTGGGTTTATATTGACTTCTTGAGGCGAAGAACTTATGTGCTCTTCCACGATTCTTTTAAATGACTTATTTACGTCGAAATATGGCACATAAGTAGAAGATGCTAACTCATCGCTGACTGCTAAGGACTTTATTTTTTCTTCTATAAGTGCTAAAAGCTGCTCTGCAGTGGATTTTTGCTCTAAATAAGTGAGTCTTGTTGAGTTTACTAAATCAGCAATCTATATAGAAACTACTCTAAAATAAACATTCGCCTTAGGGAGGTTTATTCTTGGTCCTCTTTTTTCTCTTCCAGTCCTACTGAGCAAGAATTGGGTAAAAAATACCCTCCCTTTACTATCTTCTACTGATACACTATTTATTGAAGGCAATTCATAAATTCTGCACTTTATAATATCTCTCATATCCATGCAAGCTTGGAATTGCAACGCAATAGCTCTCTCTTTGCCGCGGGGAGAGATAATTTCGCAGTAATTTTTATTGATGATAAATGGATCAAACATAATAAGTTCATCTGTTACGCTGAGAATTCCTAAAACATCACCATCACGAGTACAATAATAAACCTCTTGTTTATGAACCTTTTTCTGAGCCTCAGCCTGCAGTGGAGTTGCTGGGGACTCTATTTTCTTTTCCTCTTCAGCGGGTTTTTTCTGTCCTTCTTTGACTTTTAAGACCATTCCTGGTAAAACTAAAGAATCCTCAGTTAGTTGGTTAATCCTAACTCCTCTCTTCAAGAGCAATCAAACCATTGGAAAAATCACTTTTTTTGCCCAAAAATAAACCCTCCGTTAGCTAGATAAAAAATTTTTTATGAAAAAACAATTTTGATATATAAGTTAATGAAATCTTTATCTAAATCTGTTTAGCTAGCATTTTAAAAAAAAATTTACAAATTAAATAAATATTTGCTCTTCAATTTTTTCGAATTGGGATTTTTTTAAATTCGAAATAATTTTACGATAAAATGTATATATAAATTTTTTTGAAAAAAAAATTAACCTCCCTCCGAACAAAATTTTATTGCTCGCTCACGGAGGGGGGGGAGTAAGTAGATTGTAAAGTGACATTCCGAACTGAAATGCTATAGTCGCCCAAGAATCGCCTTCTTTAACAACATAATTGTCATATCCCATTTTATTTCATTGCGATGGGTAATAGATTTATCTTTTTATGCATAATTGGAAGGTTCATAATATTCTAATCAAAAAATATGCCTAATAAATGACACTGATTAGTCATCATTGTCCTATTTTATATTAAAAATCAGATAACAATTACCAGAGGGAGGCTTTATTTATTATATAATTAGGTATAAAAAACGAATAAATGATGAAAACAAGTAAAAAATCGAAATTAATGAAAATTATTGCAAAGGGTAGATAATTTATTAGAAATAAGCGGCTTACTCTCCTTTTATTCAAACAAAATATCGGTAAGATTTCTAATTTTTGGGTATTTTTAACCTTTAAATTTGAACAAAATTGTTTTTTATCAATACGAATATTTTACAAATGAAAATCATAATTTTTATAAAATTAAGTTTTGAGCTAAAAAATGAACAAATATAAATTCAACTCAATATTTTTGAATTTTAATTTATTTTTATTAATCGATAAAGTAAGAATAATGCTTAAATAATATTCAACTGCACTTTTCCCATAAAATTATTAAAAAATATAACCTTCCTTTAAATCAGAATAGGATGCTTTTGTTTAGATTTAAAGATGAAGAGTTAGTAATAAAATGGAAGACAGACTAGGTCCAGAATTTGCAAACGCAATGTTTTTGAGCATTTCAGAAGTCAAGACTCTGCTTGAGTATTTCAAAAGAGAAGGCTACATGAGTGCTTCAAATAATCCTCTCTTTGAACAAATATTTGCATATGTCAAAAGATATGATCGTTTCCCGGATATTCAGGTATCTGACCAAGCTAAAAATATGTTGCAGGAGCATCATTTCCAAGATGCTGAGATTGCTATGCTAATGAATCTTTGTCCTCATTCAGCAGAAGAAGCGAGAAGCTTGATCCCTGAGCTGAATAGAATAGAATCAGATGAGGAGCTTAATGCCACTTTAGAAGAGCTTGTGAGACTTAAAAACCTTTAATAACAATTACTTTTACATACAAAAATTATAATCTATACTCGTTTATATCTATTTTATTATAGCATAATTCAAAAAGTATTTTTTCCTTGCTTCCCCTTTTTAAATTAAAAAAGAAACTGTTTCGATTTAAAAGGGTTACTTTTTTTCAAAAATTATCAATACAAATTTTAAAAATTAAATAAAATTTAAATTCAACGCAAAATTTTGGATATAATTATTTAATTCAAAAATTAATTGAAACAGTATGAATAATGTTTTAAATAATATTCTACTTGCACTTCCCATTAAACTAATTTTATAAAAATTCAATTTTTACCTATAAAATTTTCCTATTGATAAAAAACAATTGTGTTTCAAATTTAAAGGATTTAAGTACCCAAAAAATGGAATTCTTACATATATTTTGTAACAATTTAAAGGGGGGGAGCTAACCAAAATCTTAGCACAGAATTTATAAAATCCAATAATATCAATAAGGTATAAAAGTCCCCTTAAATCATTAAAATTCATGAGAATTAATAGATTCATGCTTAAATCTCAATAATTTTCTAACACGCTAATATTTAATATCAAAATGGTATCACTCGACGAAAGGCTTGAACTCTTGTTTATACAAAACCAAATTGAAGAGGTCCACAACGGAATAATTCCTGACTCTCCAATCCTAAGTTTTAATTTTGACAGCTTGTTATCAACTCCTCCGACCTTTTCTAAAGCATCATCAAACTCTTGTTTGTCTTCAAGAAAAAGAACTATAAAGGACCTTAGGTCAAAAAAAATCAGACAGCCAATTTTAGACGAAAATTATGATTACACACTTTTTCAAAATGAAAACGATAAAAAACCATCTAAAATTATCAATGATTTTAGACTTACTGAGCCTGAGGGGCAAGAAGAGTTTTGTAAACCGTTAAAATTTATCAGTGATAGTCCATTAGTCAGCCCTCTTAGAAATCAATCAACAAACAACCTTAAAAGAAAATTTTCTCCGTATAACGGAATCGACATATCTCAAGAAAATTTTAAGAAATTGAAAAGCAATTTTTCTTCATGGCTTAAAAATGAGGAAATCGCTAAATCTTGTATATTGAATTAAGTGTTAAGGTATAATATTCTTTGTGTTATACATTTTTATTTAGTTTTAATGTTTGCAGATTTTTCTTGCAATAAATAATATTGTGTATACAGCAAAAGAATATTTACTCCTCCTCCCTCCATCCCTCTCTCCCTAAGTAAGCGGAACAATTGGAAAAATCCCAATTTTTTGATAAAAGCCCATCTTCATTGAGCGAACACAAATGTTTAGAAAAAAATACTTTGATATATAAGTAGCAATTATTATAATAAATCTCTAGTTAATTCTGTTTAATTTTAAATTTTATAAATTTTTACTTCTCAATTTTTGCGGATTGTGATTTTCGTTTTTAATTTCGAACAAAAAATATTATAACATTTGTATATAAATTTTGAAACAAAAATAACCCTTCCATGAACGAAAAAAATTGTTTTGTTCAAGGGGAGAGTTAGCAATAAAAGCATAATAATATTTTCCAAATTTAGGTCAGAAACAGAAATATTGTTTTCTCTCCAAGGTTAAATATAATTTAGCTTTTGATTTCGCAATTTGAATAAATAAACTGGAATATTTTGAATTAAAATAAGATTTTGACCTTTCTCTTAAAATCTCTTTCGAATTTCTTATAAATGTAAACAATTATAGCATAAGGCCAAACAAGATTCATTCTCGATATTTTTCCAAATTATTGAGTTATGATAATATAAATTCCTGGCCATTTTAGTAAGTAGTAGCTGCTTATCCTCAGCATATTCCTGTACTTTACTTCAATCATTTCTTTTCAGTTTTGATATAGTGAATTCTATTAGATGGCGCGCAATGCGCCATCACTGGGCCATGTCGGGAGAGGGTTCTCCACGAGGAATGGTTCCACGTGTGGAACCCTCTTTTTGGCTCGTGGAAAAAGAGGGTTCCACACGTGGAACCACTCCTCGTGGAGAACCCTCTCCCGACATGGCCCGATGATGGCGCATTGCGCGCCATCTATAGGAAGGCGCTATATATAGTCTGCACTATTATTTCACCTTGACTTAATCTTCTTCTTCTTCTCCTTCTTCGAAACTTGGAAAGTAGACGAATCATCTAACCCCCCCCTCAGTGAGTGAACAAAAAATTTTGTTCACTCACTTAGGAGGGTAAATTTTTTTTTTAGAAAAAATTTATTTTCGAAATTTTAAAAATCAGAAATTGGGAAGCAAATATATATATCAATTTTTTCTATTAAAAAAATTTTTGTTCACTCACGGAGGGTGGGTTTTTGGGCAAAAAAAGGGATTTTTCAATGGTTTTGTTCACTCACGGAAGGGGAGGAGTAAGGTGATTCATCAATCCTAATTTGACAAAAGGATAACTTTTTAACAGAATGTGCCAACTCTCCAAGTTGCGAAGAAGAATATTGAGCAAAGGTCCAAAATAGGAGAGCAGGCGCAATAACTTATTGAAAGCCAAAATAATGTAAATCAAAAGTTCCTTCTCTTCCAGTCGCTATTATTCCTAGCATTTTTTAAAATATTATTAATTTCATGCTCATTTTATTATAGCTTAACCTTAATTACTCTCTATTTGCAAGTGGGACATATCGAATTGTTATCGAAATCCTTGTTTCTCTATATAAAGAGTTCACAACTTTTAAGTCTTCTTTGCAGATTGGGCATTCTTTAATTAGCTCATCTATCGGCACAGTCGGTCCAGTGTAGTTAAGAACCCTTGAAAGCTCTCCAGCTGAAGTTTGTGTATAAAACACACCACAAGAATCTGTAAAAATATAGTCAGAAGGGACATCTTCAATGCTATGCAGCATGTTATAGTATGGATTTCCTGTTCATAAGAGCAGGCTTCTTTGAGGAAGGATGATAGAAAATGCTGGGGATCGAGGCTCCATGTTTCAGAACTGAGAAACTGCGACGCTTCCAAGGCATAGTGTAGCAACTAATGGATAATATGCAGGACCATCAGTATGTGGCATAATTCCTTGTCCAGGCTGGTATTCGTTTATTAGTGCATGATTTGGCTTATAAGGAAAAATTCTTTCATCGAATAAACGTTGTGCAAAAATATCTATAGAAATTTCCCATAGATGGCGCTGTTTGCCCTTGATTTGCCCATGAGGAAAATTTTTTGGTCTGACCAAACCACATGGTACTGGTCGAACCAAAAAAATTTCCTCAGTGGGCAAATCAAGGGCAAACAACGCCATCTATGGGAATTTCTATAAAAATTTAGGGAGAGGTTCTTGATTTTGCAAACCATCTTCTGTTACGTCTCCACCCCAAAGCTGAAGACTTCTTGTTCTTAGCCTTACTCATTTCGATTCAGGCTGATGATAAACCCCATTATTCAGTATTTTTTCTTCTAGTTCTTCAGAAATGTAATCAGGAATCAGCCAAACTTCATCGGTGACTCTATAAGGCTCTAAATTAATTTCTCCTACTACAAAATTGTCAAATTTTTCTGGAGCTGGCTTTATTATTTTTCTAGGAGCATTTAGCTTAGCTTTGATATCTTTCAAGGATAATTTCATTTTATAAGATCTAATTAGTAATCAAAATGAATAGTTATAATTAAAGTCCATCCGGGTATTTTACTTTAAACCATGGGTGCTCTAAAGCTTCCTTTGCAGTTGGCCTGGCGTCTCTGTCAATTTCTAATAATTTTCCAACAAAATCTAAAAACACTTCATCATCAGTTCTCAGCCTTGCTTTTAAGCTTGATTTTTTAGGCACTAGTAAATGAATTTTTGTGACGGATGAAGTTGGGGTAAATGATTCGTCTTTATCCTCTTCAACTACTCTATAAAGAATCCTATCATCTGTAAAGAAATGCTTGATTAATTTGCCAGTTTTAAATACATCTTCTGGGAATGGTCCAATAATCCCCATAACACGAGCTAATAGGCCTTGGACACTATCATTTTGGAATAATACATTTCCTGTAAATAATTCTGCTACAATGCAGCCTAGTGACCAAATATCAATTTTGCTATCATACCTACATCCCAAAATGACCTCTGGCGCTCTATATGAGCGAGATTGGACATAAGAACTCAAATGATCATGTATAAAGCAACTGCTTCCAAAATCAATCACTTTTACCTCACATCTTGAATAAGACTTCATCAAAATGTTTTCTGGCTTTAAATCACAATGTATTAAGTGCAACGAATGGACATATTCAAGCGCTATCAAAATTTGTTGAGTCACTCTTTGGAGCCTGCCTAAGTTAAAGTAGAGCTCAGCTTCATGATCTCTGTTGTATCTCGAAAACTCATATAAATTATCCCTTAAAAGCTCTGTCACAATAAATAAATGTTCTTTATGATAAAAGTAATCAATGACTTTCAAGAAGTTTGTCTTATCAGGATCTGCATTGCAATTGATAAGTCTCAAAATTTTAATTTCATCTAAGCTTTGATCGACATAATCCTTATTATTTTCTATCACTTTTACACATACAAGCTGTTTCGTCAGCATGTCTAAGCATTGCAGCGCCTTGCTGAAAGCTGCAGAACCTAAATATTCAATGACTTGATATCTCCCAGCAATAACACTATCAATAATAACAGGAAAATCTTTGGTTTCTTCAAACCCAGTTCGTTCTCTGTCGTAAATGACTTTTAAATGATAGCAATCATAAGTCACATTTTCATATTCCAAAGGGTACATACTTTCATCTGATGGTGGGAATATTAATTCAGCTGGCAATAGTGAGTTTGGCCCAGCAGGCTTAATTCCACCTTTAGGTGTTCTTGGCTTGAGCAGTTTTTTAGGGCAGGAAGCTCGCTGTGGAAACCCATATTTTTGGGCTAATTGTTTGCTTACATAGACTAAGTCTTCTTCATTGCATTGGTAGAGCTCGAAACCAGGGTCATCATCATTTTCATATTCATCATCAATTATCTTAGAAACTTCTTTACTTTTTGGCTCTTCCCTCACATCAGAAGTTTCAAAAATCTCATCCTGGGAAAGCTGAGATTTTATTTCGCTTGTCTTGCTCTCATGAACTGAATTATTGCTACTTCCTTGTCCAAAACAAGGGAGGTCTTCTTCTGAGGATTCAAGATTTTTGTTGCTTTCAGCTGCAACTGATGATTGATTTTGGCTCTCATTTTCAAAAAATAATTGTTCAGCACATTTTACCATTTTGTGAAAGGCTCGGAGGTTTAGCAAGGAATCAAAGCCTTTTGACATTTCTTGGTATTCACTTACAGCTGGGCTTGAAATTATCCGTGACATGAGGTTTTCCATAACGTCTTCATTTTCTGGAGCAATTCCTGTGTGGGAATTTTGATTTTCTTTATTTTGAAGGGAGGTGAGGATGTGGGATAAAAGTTTTTTGGCAGACTCAGCGTTGTTGAGCTTGGGAGATGATGATTTTAAGGTTTGACGGAGGAGATAAGCTGAACGGTGCAGGCCTTTTGTTTCAAGATAGTCAGAAATTGCGTCGAATATTTCCATATTCTTATGAACCTCTTTTAAATATTTTTTTAATAGGATGATGTTCTAATTAATAAGCTGCATGAAATATTTATTAATTTTTTATATCATAAGAATAGGAAAAGAAGTTATAAATAATAGTCTTTAAAGAAATTAAAAATTGTGCTTTCAAATCAGACTCTATCTACTTTTGATTTTAACCCAGATTCCATGATTTTTTTCTTTGCACTTTAACAATACTTCTTTATCTATCAGCAAACCTCATATTTGTAAATGGAACAAAAAGTTTTTTCTATTCAAGGAATGACATGTACCACTTGCTCAAATACCCTTTTCAAGTAATTTTCACCTTAGTGGTCTCTCAAGACTTCCAGGAATTGAGCACGTTTCTGTGTGTCTTTTAACTGAAAAAGTTCTCCTTAAAGGTCGAAATCTAAATCCCGATAAGATCAAATTAACAATAGAAAATTTAGGCTTCGATGTAACTCCTATTTAGTGCAATGAAATAAAAGAGTGAAATATCTTGGATGGAGAGGTCACTTTTGAATTAATTGGAAGTGAACTTATAAATAAAAGCAAAATTCAAAGTGTATTAAAAAAGAAAAATGGTATACCTATTTGCCAGAAATAGCCCACTAAGGAGAATTTTTTGGCTCGCCATTCTTAAATTTGGTTAGCCAGAAAATATATGGCATGCCAACGAATTAGGCAAACCAGCTTGTCCAGCCAACAAAAAAAATACTCTTTAGTGGGGTATTCTTGATAAATAAGTATATATCAGACGTTGAGTTTTTAGAAAAACCGAATTTAATTAAAGTTTTGTATGTGGCTGATGCGATTAAAGCTAGAGAAATTGCTTATTTTCTTGAAGATGCTACGAATATGAAAATTAGTGTATATAATGAAAACTCAAGAAAAGGGGAACTAATAGAGAAACAACATAAAACAATGAGAATATGGCTGAAAGAATTTTTGGGTAGCTTGATATTTACAATACCGATTTTTATTTTAGGAATTGCAGTTACACAACTTGTAGATAGCGATAATTTGGAAAAAGAAAGGACTGGAGATAATTTTTTAATAAAAAAAAATAAAAATAGAAATAATAATTATTTTTGGAAAAAAACATGGAAATTGGAGATAGTCTTCCTGCTTGTAATTTAGCTATGTGGTTTTTGGCAACTCCTGTACAATTTTGATTTGGGCTTAGATTTTATAAAGGAAGCTACAAATCATTAAAAAGCGGAATCGCAAATATGGATGTTTTAAGTTTAAGATATCTATTTAAGTTCCGTACTTTTTGGCCTCAGCCTTGACTACAGCTCCAAATAACTGTAGGTGGTTCTGCCTAACCGTCAGCCTGCTTCTGTCTCCAAGCCCCTTAGGACCTCTCTAATCTACACATACTCAGTCTAGACACGTTCTCTTAAGCTGAGACTCTTAAGAAGTCATACTTCTCTCACTGACCCCCGATGTCAGACCTGATCCTACCCCTAGCTGGGATTTTTAATTGCCATTGATGTCTTAATTGTATTAGGAACTTCATCAGCATATATATATGGTGCTATAATGAATATGCTTTATATTTTTGATTATCAGTCTGATACTAACATGCATTATATAGAAGCTTCCCATAGTTTTGAGACTTCTTCCCTCTTAATTTCTATTATTTTATTAGGAAAATACCTTGAAAGCCGATCAAAACATAAAACTACAGACGCAATTACAAAACTAGCAAACCTTCAGATATCAAGCGCAGTTTTATTAGAAAATGGAACTGAAAGAGAAGTAGATTTAGCTTTATTAGAAGTAGGAAATATAGTAAAAGTGTACCCAGGATCTTCTATACCAGTAGATGGGATTGTTATTGAAGGGGACGCATGAGTCAACGAAGCCATGATGACTGGTGAAAGCTCACTTGTCAATAAAACTAAAAATTCCAATGTATTCGGAGGTACAATTGTTAACACTGGTGTAATTTTAGTAGAAATAAAAAAGCTTGGCAAAGACTCAGCCTTGGCCCAAATAATTGATTTAGTCGAAAACGCCCAATCCACTAAGCCAGCTATTCAAAAATTTGCTGATAAAATTTCTAGGATTTTTGTTCCTTGTGTAGTATTGTTTGCTATAATTACTTGAATTGTATGGTTTTGTTTAGTTTATGGTGAAAATCATAATGCTATTCATATGATGAATAAAATAAATGAATGTAAGTTTGTTTTTGCCTTTAAATTTGGAATTTCTGTATTGATAATAGCTTGTCCTTGCGCTTTAGGTCTTGCTGTTCCTACAGTTATTATGGTAGCTACAGGTGTGGCAACTCGTTATGGGATATTAATTAAAGATGGAGAGTCATTAGAAAACGCAGCTAAAATCAAAACCATCGTTTTTGATAAAACAGGGACTTTGACTAGTGGCAAACCCAAGGTTAAAGAATTTATTATGCTGTTAGCTGATTACAATGAAGCAAATGTTAGAGAATTAGTCGCTTCAGTTGAAGCTAATAGTGAACATCCTGTAGCTAAAGCAATATGTGAAGGCATTAAAAATGTAAAAAAATGCCAGAATTTTCATAATATTGAAGGAGAAGGAGTCACAGGTATAGTAGATAACAAAGACATTTATGTAGGGAACACAAAATTAATGGAAAGATTTAAAATCCAAGTTGATGGAAAAATCACCAAAATTAAAGAAAATTTCGAAAATAAAGGCCAAACTGTGGTTTTTGCAGCTACAAATAGGCAGATTTTAAGCTTAATCGTGTTAGAAGATCAAGATTTGGTTAGACCTGAAGCTCCAATAGTAGTCAAAGAGCTTAAAACACTTGGCTATGCTGTATGGATGATAACAGGTGACAATGAAAGATGCGCAAAAAGAGTGGCTGAAGCTGTAGGCATTCCTATATGCAATGTCTTAGCTAATTGCTATCCAGCAGACAAAAAATCTAAGGTTGAGGAGCTGCAGTATCAAAATTTATATAAAAAACGAACTAAAAGCGTAATAACTACAACGGATGTGGAAGACTCATCAGCCAAACTGACTAATAAAGCATCCTATGGAGGTGTTTTATTTGTAGGAGATGGAATAAATGACTCTCCTTCTCTTGCTCAAGCTGATATTGGGATCGCTATTGGAGGTACTGACATTGCCATTGATGCTGCCAGTATTGTTCTATTAAAAAATGACTTAAAAGATGTACTGATAGCCCTTGATTTGACTTCAGTCGCGTTGAGGAGGATTAAATACAATTTTTTCTGGACTTTTATCTATAATATCATAGGAATCCCTATGGCAGCTGGTGTAATATATATGAAGACTGGGGTTTATATTGATTCTATTATGGCTGCAGCTACGATGGCTTGTTCATCTATTGCTGTCATTTTTTCTTCACTTTGGCTGAATAGATATAAGCCCCCAAAATTTCGTAATTAGCAAATTAATGATTTATATTAAATAATTGTTTAAAGCTTAAAAGCTTCTTCTAATTTAGTCCTAAAGTTTAAAGCTTACTTTGGTGCACTGGTAGCCTAAGGGCTTGAGATATTTTTGTTCCATACTCAGGATCGCAATTATAAAAATATTCACATTCTTTTTCCAAAATATGCCTTTTTGTGACATTTTTCATGCTTTCATACAAATTCGTAATTAATTCATCTTTTTCGATACCTTTGAAAACTCTCCGATAAAGTATTCCAGGCTGCTCAAAATCACTTGTAGCATATCTTAATCTATGAACCATGGCTTCTCCTTGGACTTTAAATTCTTTCATTTTATACTCGTTATCTTCTTTAGGTGTGTCATTTACTGTGTTTGGCTCATAGCTTACATCTTTTCCACCATTTTTTGTAATCGACATCATCCCATCCCTCATATAATTATGAACTCTTGCCATATGAGGAAAGTTAATAGGAATACTTCCAAAATTTCCTCCAAGTCTATATCTTTGTGCATCAGAATAAGAAAAAATTCTGGCTTGCAGCATTCTATCATTAGAAGCCTCAATTCCAGGGACCATATTAGCAGGGCTAAAAGCTGATTGTTCGACCTCAAAAAAATAATTTGTAGGATTTCTATTAAGAACTACTCTTCCTACCTCAATTAATGGATAATCTGAATGTGGCCATACTTTTGTGTCGTCATAAATATCTCACTTATAATGTAAACCTTCTTCAAAAGGGATAACTTGGACTGAAAATTTTCATATAGCTTCTTTTCCTTGTGAAATGTAATTAAATAAGTCTCTGGTAGCATAGTCAGGGTCTTCTCCCATAATTTTTTCTGCTTCTTTACTAGATAAATTTTTCGTTCCAATTTCAGTGTGAAAATGGAATTTTACAAAAAAATCTTCGCCTTTAGAATTTATAGAGGATTTCCATAAATTGCTATAATTAATAAAAAAAATTTTATTTTATCAAGCTATGGGGAAATATATACTCATTTATAAGTATTTGTACCGTAGCCATTCATGTGGCGATATCCGTCTGGAATTCCTCTTGGTCCAAAAATATAGGTTAAGTGGTGAACTGATTCATGAACTAAGCTTAAGAAATCTCAAAACATGTCGTAGTTTTTACAATTTGTAGAGGGGTCTTTTTTGTGTATGTGTTGCCATTCTGGAAAGTAGACTGGCTTTCTTATACCGAAAATAGGAGAACTATTTCCTACAAAATCCCAGTTTCCTTCTTCTGTGTAAAATTTAATTGAAAATCCTCTTAAATCCCTTTCAGTTTCTGCAGATCCACGTTCTCCACTGCTAGTTGAAAATCTTGCAAAAACTGGGGTCTTTTTGCCTAATTTTTCGAGAAATTTTGCTTTACAATATTTAGTCACATCATTAGTGACCTCAAAAAATCCATAAGCTCCAGCCCCTCTTGCATGGACTGGGCGTTCAGGGATTCTTTCTCTTCCAAAACTAGCCAATTTATCAATTAAATGTGAATCTTCTAATAAAATTGGCCCTTTTCTTCCAGCTGTTTCTGAATTTTGATTGTCATCTACTGGGTGACCCCATCCTGTTGTTAAGATTATAGGTTTTTTGGGCATTTTTAATTATTGAAATGATATTGCATTATTTAAAAATATTTTTACTTACCTTTAATATCTTTCAATTTTTTAAAATTTTTGTGTTTCAAATCAAATTTATAAAGCATCAGCTTCGCCTTATAAGACAAGCTTATAAAAACTGATCCATCATTGAATTTTTTGAATGGAAACATAGAAAATTCATAATTAAAATTTCCAATCTTATTTCATTCATAGTCATTATCTATTTCACTCTCATAAATGAAATTAGAATTCTGAAAAATATATAATCTTGACCCTCCTGAAAATATTCCTTTATATGTATCTAAATCAAGATCTTCTAACTCCTTCCCTCCGTGAGCTAGCAAAATCTTTGGGAAAGCACCTACTTTTCCCCAAAAACCCACCCTCCTTGTGTGCTTCCAAATTTTTTATGAAAAAAAAAATTATGTTACTAACAATTAGTGCAATGAAATCTCTAGCTAATTTAAACAATTGCATTAAAATCATAAATTTTACAAATTAAAATTAATATTTGCTTTCCGATTTTTGCGAATTGGGGATTTTTTTAAATTCCATAAAAAAATGTTTTTTTATAAAGTTTATATATAAATTTTTTAAAGCAAAATTAACCCCCTCCCATGAGTGAACAAAAAATTTTGTTTGCTCACGGATGGCAGAGTAAATAAAGATCTGAATGGCTTTCAATATTTAAATCATATTTAAATATATTTGATACATGGCGGCCACTAATAATTATAGAATTTTTAAAGATTTCCATAGAGCAATGAGTAATTACCACTGAAGTTGAAGGTAACTTAAATCACTTATTTTGAAGTAAATCAAGCTTAAATGCAATAGGTATATTATCAATATAATTAGTTCCCCCAAACATATAGATGCAATTTTCATAATTAGATTAGATTAAAGCCGTTTGCCTAGCAGGGCCGGGATTTGCACCTCTATATGCTCATCGCTCACTGAGGAGCCCCGGCGGGCAACCTTCTTGCTGCCTCAAACAAGGGATTCGCGCAACCAGTCTTGACTTCTATGGTTTCGGAGCCTACACTTTGGTCGAAGCTCCCAGTTTCTCATTGGATAAATGCTACCTCTTAAATCCTACTAGAGGAATTATCTATCGCTCGGGACTGTAGCCGATCTTGTCATTTACAATGGTTGTTCTGGAGGATAAAGCCCAAGTCCTATGGATTAGCTCTCTGGGGCCTGATTAAAACCTAGCCCGATATGCACAAAGGTTTCCGGCCCCTTTCCACCTAAATCCCAACACTGGGCCGTTGCCTGCAGTGTGCTGAGAAAATAGGGTCCAGAGGTCGGGTGGCACATGGTCACTATTTTATGTATATACAATTTTCATAATAAATACATGATGAGTTTCAAAAGTAAGGGGAAGGGGTTAAATTTCTTTTAACAGTAAGAGATTTCAAATCTATTATACAGCAAATCCCATCATGAGCTCTACCATTGTGGCAACAGAACAGTTCAAGATTCGGAAGCTGAACTAGGCATGAATCACTGGTTAACCGTTTTTCAGTGCCTACTGCGATATCGTTTGATTTTTGGGTTTTTGTGTCATAAATAATTATTTTCGAGGTCTTTTCTACGAACGCGTATTTAAACCCTATACATACTTGGAGTCAAAAATAAAATTATTTTTAAAATCGCAAATTTTTTGTGTAATTGCGCCAATTTTTGCAGTGATCTTATTACATAGTGTATTGATTTCATTATTTATTTCACATAAAAATATTATTTCATTGTCGAGTTTTTTGTAATTATTTAGCTTTTCTAACTCTTCTTCTACAATAAGTATTTTATAACTAAATTCTTCTAGCCTGGAAGAGTTTCACTTTAAGGATTCATAGTCTAATAATAAATCTTGGAATTTTTCTTTAAATATTTTGATGTCTGTAAGTTGCTTTTTCAAATTTTCAATTACTTTATCAGTTTTTTCTAAATCTGATCTTCTTCGTTTCATTATATTTTTCAATGAATTATTAATATTTTTTATAAACTTTGTTTAATTAATTAAATAAGGCTAGCAATCCAATTTTTTTTTAAAAAAATTTGATATATAAAACTTGAAAGCATTATCTAATAGTAATTGAATTAGTATAGGATTAGATGAAACAATTTTTATAAATGCTTTTTTTTAAAATCGTTGTAAAATGCATTTAACCCCGGTTTGCGATCCAAAAAATTATAGCTAGTAATTCAAAATTTTTAATTTACGAAATTATTAACTTGCCCAAAAAATAGAAACTTTTAATAACAGCTTGACATTATAAATATTTTTAGAATAAATTATTTAAGTGTTATTGGGAGCAGGCTTAATGATCGTGAATTTTTGATAATGTGCAATTCATCGAAGAAATTTGTTCGAAAATTTTTTAAATAGTATTTGACATGGAGATTGTATTTCATAGACAGGTGCTAATGATTATAATAAAATATGATTTTTTAATTGCATACCTCGACTTAAGCAAGCATAGAAACTTCACATAGTTCGGAAACAAATTTGCATACTTATCCAGAATATTTTTAGTTTGCTAATTCTTGCTCATGCAACACAAATAAAAAATAAAAGGGAGACTTTCTTCTCTCATGCCCATTTGGGTTGTTGGTGAGGGCCGGGCCTGGAATTAGCGAGTGTCTGGTGGTTTTTTTTTCTTGATTGGGAGTTTTTTACCCCAAAACCATGGCAAGGATAGCAGATCCATATGAGAGCTCAATACTTCTTAATTCGAAGGATAATGGGGTTCAGAAGGAGGATTCGAGTCGTACCCTTCTCCCTATGCTAGCCGCGAGTAGTTGCCCAGGAAGAACCTGGGTGCGTCTCCCAAAAAATGGTGAATTCGACAGAAAAGGATGCAAGTGCAACTCGATGCCTAGGGCTAGGAGCCCGAAGTCGGTAAAGGCGGAGAGGGGCTGTAATAAACTCCGGAGACCTATTCTAACTTTTTAATCTTAATCTTCATGCAAATGATATTTATTTTTAAATTCTTGTTTAATTGATGAAATTAGAGCTTTTTCCAATCTAGATTTGATCTTTTCCTTTAAACATATAATTTTAAACTGGCACATTAAATGTTTTATATTAATAAATAATAAATTTTAATAATATTTAAGATCTTTCGTCATTTTAAATGTTTTAGATTTTAAGTCAAATCTATAACCTTTTAGTCCACTTCCAGAAGACATTGTGACAAAAACAGAGCCATTCCTGTACTTTTTGAAAGGTATTTTATAAAATCTGAAGTTGAATTTTCCAATCTTTTGCCAAACATATTCGTTATCAATTTCGCTCTCATGAAGAAATCTATTGCTCTCAAAGATATATGCTCTTGAATTTGCCGAAATAATCCCAACGCTGCCTCATGCTGCTGAAATATATAAATCTATAGTTGAGTAACTTTCAATTTCAAAGTCATATTTAAATATACTTCCTTCGCAGTTTCCAACAAGCAATAAGGATTTTTTAAAAATTTTCTAACTCCCCATCTCCATGAGCGAATAAAACCATTTGAAAAAACTCTTTTTTTAGGAAAAATTCACCCTTCGTGATTGAGATAAGGTCCTGGTGGCCTTATCTCAGAGTGGTTTAAAAAAATCAAATTAAAGTAAAAACATTTTATAAATTTAAATCTTTAAATCTTGGGCAATGATTGAATGCAATGTTTTTCTCCTTCTTCTTACCTTGTTCGGTTGCATTTTTTGAAGCTTTTTGCGATTTTCTCTAGTTCTAGACCCTCAAAAGCAGCTTTTACCATTCTAGGCACAAAATCTGTCTGAATTTTTTATCTTCTTCTCTCAATTTTTAAATCCTCTAAAAATGCTTTAATCTATGATTAACATATTTAGTGCATAGCAGGAATAAAAATATCTAGAGCCAGAAGAAGCAGCTAAAGCTTTCTTTTAGTTGTCCTTTTCTGCGCTGTTAATGGGTTGTTCTTGCTTATTTTTTCTTATCCATTTTCTGAAATAATCAAGATAATGCTTATCTTTGCAAAAATTCAGCAGCTGTTAGTCCAAAATTCATTAAATTCCATCACTAGCTCCTTATTTTTTTCTAAAGTGTATCTCCGTCTCTTGTGGTTGCCTGGGTGATCTCTCTTCTTCTCTTTAAATTTTTCGGAAGTTCTTCCATTTATTATTTATTAATAAAAATGCGCCTTATCTCAGAATGATATATTGCTTTAATATTAACAACCATGAGATAATGCCATCCAGAATTTTACGAATAAAATATGGCATTTTCTTATTAAAATATTATTATTTCTCTTATAGCAGTAGACTACTCTGTGATAAAGCCAGGGGCCTTATCTCAGAGTGATCTACTGTGAGCTAATGATAGTTATTATAATTAAATCTCTGCTAATTCTGTTTAATTTTAAACACCTTGCATTTTAAAACATTTAAATTAATTTTTACGAATTGGGATTTTTGTAAAAAAGTTACTATAGCTCTCCGTGAGCGAATAAAATTTTTTTGTTCGCTCACTGAGGGGGGACTAAGCAATATTGTTGATGATTTTCTAAAATTGAAGGGAATTTAATTCACTTATCGTTAAGTAAATCAAATTTAAGTGCTTTATACTTTGAGGGACAATTTCCAAAAACATAAATATAATTTTTATAATAAACGCATGAAGGATTATATAATAAATGGGCATTCGGTAAATATCTTTTAACTGTAAAAGATTTTAAATCAATAATGTAGCTGCTGTTACATGTCATATCTCTACTATTGAAATGATAAAAGACCTCAGAGCTGGGAAGTTGGGCAAGGCATGATTCACTATGCTTACTCACCCCTCCATGAGCGAATAAAACAATTGTAAAATCACTAATTTTTGCCTAAAAAACCTTTCCGTAGGCAACAAAAATTTTTTATGAAAAAATTTTTTGATGTAAAGTGATAATTATTATAATAAAATTTCTAATTAATTCTGTTTAAATTTTAAGCAGCAGCCTGCTTAAAAAACATAAATTTTGCTATTAAAGTAATTTTTACTTTTTATATTTGAAAAATAATTTTATAAAAATTTAAATATAATTTTTTAAAAAATAATTAACGTAAGGCGAATAAAATTTTTTGTTCACTAATGGAGGGGAGTTAGTATCAATATCAAAATCAATATTTATTTTATTTCATTTTCGAGCTTTGATGTCATACAAGCCAAGATAATAAGTCTTTTTTGTTCCTCTGAAATTAAAATAGTATAAGAACCTTGAATCAAAATCCAATTGCTCATGAAATTCATAAAATTTATTAGAAACTCCATTTATTTCATTTTCCAAGTTAAAACACTGCGCAGCAACATTGCTATCAATTTCACATACATATTTTAATTCATTGCCAAATATCTTTAACTTTTCTAACTCTTCCTCAAGCGAAAGTATGGGATTTTCCCATGAAAAAGCCCTATTTGACCATGAATTGGACACGGGGCTGTTTTTTTTGGCCCGACCAAGTAATCTTGGTCAGACCAAATTGATTAAAAATTTTAATTTGGTAGGCCAAGATTACTTGGTAGAACCAAAAAAGCAGCCCCGTGGCCAATTCATGGCTGAATGGAGCTTTTAATGGGAAAACCACTACTTTTTTATGAAACTCTTCTGATTCATAGTAATTTAAAAATCTTGACGAGTAATCTGACAATAAATGCTCGAGTTTTTCTTTAATTTCTATAAGTTTTTTATTCCTTTCTTCAATTATACTATATGAATTTTCAAGATCTGATCTTTTCCGTTTAGGCATTCTAAATAGTTTATCATATTGCATTTTTTCTGCATAATTGCTTAAAAAAGTCGAACAATCTTCTTAATTTAAAAGTATTTTGACATCCTAAAAGAATGATATTTTTTATAGCCTTTAAAATTTAAACTATTTAATGTGATTCATTAAAGTCAGTACTTTATTTCAAATTAACAAATCAAATCGATAAATAGTTAAATCCCTATCTCTTTAAAATGAAATAAATACTTTTTCATTGTCTAGTATTCAGTTTTTTATAGCTATGAAATCGATCAATGAGTGCTAAAAATGAATATTATGTTGTTAAAATATCATTAAACATATTTATTGGTCTTATATTTTTAATTAACAGAAAAAAAATTATTAGTAAAATAATAAATAAAACATTAATAATACACTAATTAGAATGGCTATTCATAAAATCAGATCTTTCGAGCTTATCTTTGCGATTGTAATAAATTCATAAAAATGAGCATTAAATTTTTATATTAATCTTAAATAAATTTTAATCTTTAATATCTTTCATCATTTTAAATGTTTTGGATTTTAATTCAAATCTATAAACCCGAAGTCCATTTCCAGAAGGCATTGTGATAAGAATAGAAGCATTCACGTACTTTTTGCAAAGAACATCATAAAATCTGAAGTTGAATTTTCCAATCTTTTGCCAAACATATTCGTTATCAATTTCGCTCTCATGAAGAAAGCTACTGCTCTCAAAGATATATGCTCTTGAATTGGCTGAAATAACCCCAACGCCACCTCATGCTGGTGAAAATTCTAAGTCTATAATTGAGTAACTTTCTATTTCAAAGTCATATTTAAATATTTTACCATCGCAGTTTCCAACAAGCAATAAACATTTTTTAAAAATTTCTAACTCCCCTCTCAGTTTACCGAACAAAACCTTTTGAAAACTCCCTAAAAACTCGCTCTTCTTTAGCGAACAAAAATTTGTTTATGCAAAATTTGATATAAGTGATAATTATTATAATTAAAATTCTGCTAATACTGTTTAATTTTAACAGCTTGCATATTAAAACATTTTTAAATTAGTTTTTATTTCTCAATTTTTACAAATTGGATTTTATTAAATTATGGAAAAAAATCAACCCTTTAGGTGAGAAAACAAATTTATTTTTGCTCACAGAGGGGGCGAGTAAGCAATATTGTTGAAGATTTTCTAAAATCGTAGGTAATTTAATTCACTTATCTTTTAGTAAATCAAATTTAAGAGCTCTTTGCTTTAAGTCACGACATCCAAAAACATAAATATAATTTTCATAATAAACACATATCGGGTAACCTAATTCACGTATGTTAGGTAAGTATCTTTTAACTGTGAAAGATTTTAAATCAATAATGCAGCTACTATTAGATATCATATCTTTATTATTGAAATGATAAAAGAGCTCTGATCTGGGTAGCTGAGCTTGGCATGATCTACTATGCCTACCAATATCAAAATCTATATTTATTTTATTTCATTTTCGAGGTTTAATATCATATAAGCCAAGGTAATAGCTCTTTTTTGTTCCTCTGGAATTAAAATAGTATACGAATCTTGAATCAAAATCCAATTGCTCTTGAAATTCATAAAATTTATTAGAAATTTCATTTATTTCATTTTCCAAGTTAAAACACTGCACGGCAACATCGCTATTAACTTCACATACGTATTTTAATTCATTGTCCAATATCTTTAACTTTTCTATCTCTTCCTGGAGCAAAAGCACTTTTTTATGAAACCCTTCTGAGTTATAGCAATTTAAGAATCTTGATGAGTAATCTGTCAATAAGTTTTCGAGTTTTTCTTTAATTTCTATAAGTTTTTTATTCCTCTCTTCAATTATACTATATGAATTTTCAAGATCTGATCTTTTCCGTTTAAGCATTTATTTTTATAAATGTCTTTTATATAGCATTTTTTCTGCATGATTGGTAAATAAAATCAATCAATTTTTTTTAACTGTAAAAGTATTTTAGCCATCTAAAAGAATGAAAGAGTAGCATAAGATACTTAAAATTCGCTTTCATCAAATACTTATTGGTATAATGTATATATCAGTGTATTTATTAAATTTTGCAAAATAGATTTCTATTATCTAATTTTTGAAATTTTAAATTTATTAACATTACTAATGTAATATTTTTTTATTAATTTAAAATATAAATTTTTGATTCATTGAGCTGCTTCATTAAAATAGCCTGCTGCTTTTATATTCAATTTGCCAAATCAAATCGGTAAATAGTTAAATCGCTATCTCATTAAAATGAATGAATAGTTTTCCATATTATCTAGTATTCAGTTTTCTTGTAATTATTAAAATCGATCTATGAGTGCTAAAAATGAATGATATGCTATCGTCGGTCTCTTATCCTTAAAGCATATTATATCTTTAATTAATATAAACAATATTATTAATTGATGAAAGTATAAAATAATAAATAAACCTTATTAATGCACTAATTGAGAATAACTATTCATAAAGTTAGATCTTTAGAACTTATCTTTGTGATTATAATAAATAAAAATGTTTCTGATAGATTATCCACCTTTTACCTAATTTCCTAACTCCCCCCTTCATGAGCGAAATAAAAAGTTTATTCGCTTAATTATTTTTTAATATATAAATCTATAATAATGTTTTTTAGAAATTTAAAAATAATCGAATGTGTAAAATTGAGTAATATTTAATTTTGTTATGTTTATTAAAATCCAAGCAGTTTTAAAATTAAGCAGAATTAGCTAGAGATTTCATTATATAATCATTACTTATAAATCAATTTTTTTTATAAAAGTTTTACGCTCACGAAGGTTTTGGGCAAAATATAGGGATATTTCCAATGGTTGTGTTTCGCTTACGGAGGGAGGGAGTGACACGAGGGGATCCAGTATCTTTTACAAAATAGGGCAAACGCTTATTTGGATTGCACAGAGCTCATAGCTGGATTCGAAGTTTATCTCTGATGAGAGCTCATAAAAATGACTAGCAAAAGTCAGAATGAATTTCTAAATCCTATGAGCAGATCTTAAGAGCGGCATCTGCCAAGCTAGACGCTGGGAGTTTCGCCTCAGATCACATGCCTAATGTCTCCAGCAGAATTAGAATTCAAGATTGATTGTGCTTACCTTGTCATGCAGGAGAGGAGAGCGCCTATTTAGCTATAAATTTTTCCCATGATTTGGCGAAATGGCGCATTTCATGGGAAAACTTATGCCTAGGCCTCCGGTCGCACCATATGATTAATCAAATCTTAGAAAATTTTGGATCTTTATCATAATCCCCAAAATTAAAAATTTCATCATTATAAAAGCAGGAAACTAGATAAATAGTATTTGAGAAATATATAGGTATTACAATAATTTTTATTTAAATTGTTATCGGACACAAAAAAGTGAGTGTTTAACTCCTTGCTAATAATTTCGTATATAGCTGCATAAATTGAGCATGGGATTAAAAAATAAAATTTTAATAATATTTAATATCTTTCATCATTTTAAATGTTTTGGATTTTAATTCAAATCTATAAACCCGAAGTCCACTTCCAGAAGACATTGTGACAAAAACAGAGTCATTCCTGTACTTTTTGAAAGGAACTTCAAAAAATCTGAAATTGAATTTTCCAATCTTTTGCCAAACATATTCGTTATCAATTTCGCTCTCATGAAGAAAGCTACTGCTCTCAAAGATATATGCTCTTGAACTGGCCGAAATAATTCCAACGCCGCCTCATGATGGTATAATTTGTAAGTCTATAATTGAGTAACTTTCAATTTCAAAGTCATATTTAAATATCTTACCTTCGCAGTTTGCAACAAACAATATACATTTTTTAAAAATTTCTAAGCAATATTTTTTATGCTTCACTAAAATTGAAGGTAATTTCATTCACTTATCTTTTAGTAAGTCAAATTTAATTGCTAAATGCTTTGTAGGGCGACTTCCAAAAACATAAATAGAATTTTCATAATAAACGCATGTAGGGTAATTTAATAAATGCACATTAGGTAAATATCTTTTAACTGTAAAAGATTTTAAATCAATAATGTAGCTGCTATTACATGCTATTTCTCTATTATTGAAATGATAGAAGAGCTCAGAGCTGGGAAGTTGGGTGAGGCATGATCCGCTATGCTTTACACCAATTTCAAAATCTATATTTATTTTATTTCATTTTCGAGCTTTGATGTCATACAAGCCAAAATAATAAGTCTTTTTTGTTCCTCTGGAATTAAAATAGTATATCAACCTTGAGTCAAAATCCAATTGCTCGTTAAATTCATAAAATTTATTAGAAATTTCATTTATTTCATTTTCCAAGTTAAAACACTGCGCAGCAACATCGCTATTAACTTCACATACATATTTTAATTCATTGTCAAATATCTTTAACTTTTCTATCTCTTCCTGGAGCAAAAGCACTTTTTTATGAACCTCTTTTGAGTTATAGCAATTTAAAAATCTTGATGAGTAATCTGCCAATAATTTTTCGAGTTTTTCTTTAATTTCTATAAGTTTTTTATTCCTCTCTTCAATTATACTATATGAATTTTCAAGATCTGATCTTTTCCGTTTAAGCATTTTATTTTTATAAATAGCTTATTAATCGCATTTTTCTACATAATTGCAAATAAAATCAAACAATTTTTTTAACTGTAAAAGTATTTTGGGATGCTAAAAGAATGAAGATTTAAAATTCGCTTACATTAAATACTTATTGGTATAAAGTGTACATTAGTGTATTTATTAAATTTTATAGAATAGCTAATAAATTTATTATTTAAATTTTTATTAAAATTATTAGTCTAATATTTTTTATTGACCCTTAAAATATTCACTATTTAATATGATTCATTTTTGCCTCATTAAAGTCACCACTGCTTTTATTTAAAATTTGTCAAATCAAATCAGTAAATAGTTAAATCGCCATCTCTTTAAAATAAATGCAGCTTTTCTCCATATTTCCTAGTATTCAGTTTTCTTATAGTTATTGAAAGTAATTATTATAGGCTATCATCCCTTACTCTTTCCTTAGCGATAACGCTTACAAGCTTGAAGCTGGCTCTTGACGGGGATAGATCACGAAATAATGGCCGCGATGTTTCACTCTAAACTTAATCTAATTATACTTATAGCTGGCTAAAATACTATTATAAGTATAACCAGGCAAGAAATTAGATCTTTCTAGACTGAGGAATCGCTTTTTAACTCCTCGAGTTGGTTTTTAACTAAAGTTGATGAACTAACTTCGGAGTTGGCAAATGTATCAATATTAGGTTTATTGGCAACTCCTCGAGTTGATTTATTAATTTAATTGGAGAACTAGCTCGGGAAGATCCCAGCAATTCTCTAGCCCATGATAATCTAGGCTATAAATATGATTAATATCTTTCTACTTTTTATAATAATTCTAATATGCATTTTTTTTCCAATTCAAATTATTTTATGTGAATTTAATTTTATTGGCAATAATATTTTATTAAAAGCCATACTATTAAATATTAATCGTAAATGTCTAATTTTTTATTGTATAGAATTTGTAAGGTTAAATTGATATATTTTTGAATCGCTAAGATAATAAAATAAACCTTCATAAAACACTATAATTTATTGAATTAATTTCTTAATTGATCTCCAATTTTAGAGAAAATTTCGACATATGAAATCTTTATATTATCACATTTCAGACCAATTATGAATTAATGCAAAAAATTATAATTGAGAAGATGAATCAATAAAATCAAATCTTATTGGCTTCTCTCTACAATCGCAAGCATAAGTTCATTCTGATAAAGGATTATCGCATCAGTAAATTTTATGTAAACTTGCTCTGACTATCAAATAAATTTTATTATTATATTTCATCAATTTTCTTATTCTTCAATGATAAAATTTCTTAAATGGAAAATAATCGGAATATGAATTCAAATTTATATCATATATAATTAATGCAGCATCTTTTTCAGAAGCAAAAATTATCTTTTGATTAAATCCTGTAGATGATACTGAAAATTTAAAAGGTGGAACTGCTATATTAATCCAACAGTCTTTTAAGACTAAATACTTCTTAGCAATTTTTTTTCCTTCAATAAAGTCATATCCAAAAAGAAAAATTGCATCGTCATAAAAGATAGGTATTAAAAAAGCATTCGCGAGATTCCTTTATATGGGCATCAATAATTTTTATATTAAAATTCTCATCTGCTATAAAAGAGTAACAGCTAACTTTCTCAGCAATGTTTTCGAGCATAATTCCATATATTTGATTATTAGGAATCATCTTTAATATTTGAGGTTTTATGCTCTCTGAGCATTTATAGAAGAAATCGATAGATTGAATTGACAAATTAAAGCGATCTATGTTGCAAGGTGTCTGCTCTCAATTTACTTTCCAATAATATTTCGATTCGATTTCATTTTGGTCAACTTTTTTATTTAACACTTGACTTATCTTATATTTATAAATCGCTTTAGTGTTTAATATTATCAATAAAACTCTTTTTAATAAATTAGAATTGCTAACTTCCCTTTTGGATGTTTTTTGTCAAGTAATCAATAAATTGTATACAGCGGAAATTATTATTAAACGAGAATTATGTTAAATTCAAATATATCTATAATTTCAAGCATTGCAACAGAAAGGCGTGGAAGGCCTACGTATCGAAAAGATTATATAGGTTTTTATCATGCAGGCGTGTGGCCTAAGCGTAAAACAATAGGCATGTTTAATTATTATGCAGTATATGATAATTATCAAAGAGATGTCAAAACTTTCACTTTCACTTTCACTTCTCCAAATATCGAGAGATTTGAAATCATTGAAAATGGAGAGTGGAAAAGCATTGGGTCTCCAGAATATGTTTTCGCATATCGGGGTACGGAAAAGATTTAATTAATTTAGCTCCTTCTTCTTAAATTTTTATTCAATCAAAAATTCTAATGTTCAAAAAGTTATTTCATATTTATAAGAATTTTTAATTATGAACCCAAAATAAGGCAATCCTTGTTATTGATATAGTAAAATGCAAACGATATCTTTATTTTTATATCAATTAAAGTTATGATGGTTTTCATACTTCACATTGGCTGGATTCTTAACTTAAATATATATATGACAGTTTTATCTCAAAAATTTTTGATTTATTCTGAATTCACAAAAATATTTATTTTGTAATAGTGCATTATTATATATGTTTTACAGTATTTTTTAACTAAAAATTAAAGATGTGAAGGTATTGAATCTCATAATGAATTTTTTCTTAAAGTAAAGACACATAAACTGGAGAGTATTGCAAAATGGATGAACCTGCAAGAGTCCTTGGTGATTGCGTAGCCAATGCCCGACGCACCTATGTATTGACTAAATTAAGATTAAGAACTTTATTTAGACATTTTTATTTCAAAAAAATCTAAATATGTAGAGTTGGCATGATTCTACAATAATTATTAACAAAAATTTCTTAAGATTATTGAAATAATAATAATAAAATGAGTGAAATGATTGCTGAAGTATTTGCTGAAGTAAAAGCCAAGCTAAATACCTTCAAAAATAATCTTGACCAAAAGAATCAGAACAATATTCAGAAATCAGTCATTTTATATGGACCCACAGGGAGTGGTAAAACTACGCTTTTTCACGCTTTAAATGATGATCAATTGACTATACAGCTTGGAAGCAGAGGTCTTTCATTAAAAGCTGGTGAAAACTCTTTAATCCCTGGAAAAATTGGCCAAAATGTAAACTCGGAAACTTCTGAGCCTAATTTATATTACAATCAATCGTCAAAGATTTTATATGTCGATTGCCCAGGACAAGAAGACACCCATGGCTGGACTCAAGACCTCGCCAATGCATTTTATAACTTTAGCGTATTTAACTCTTGTCGAAATAAAATACTTTTATATGTCATCAGCGAGCATGAGATAGCCACAAAAGCAGTTGTATTCCGAAACTCATTAGGACAATTGCTTAGACTATTTGAAAATAACTTTGAAGAGCTCATTAATAACTCGTACTTGATATTTACTATGAAGCAAAATATTTCAGATTTTGCATTAGCGCTAAGCGATATTAATATTGATCAAACTTGCATGAATTATATAAGATTTTTGATTGATAATAACAGAATTATTTCTTTTCCGCATCCGTCTCAGTTTTATGAGAGACAAGTTGCTAATGGAGATTTGGTTCCTAATATCTATAAAAATGAAATTTTAGATAAAATTGCTGAGTTGCCAGGGATGCGTGAATTGCAAAATTTGAATATTTCAGTTGCAGCTGGAACTCTAATTGCAATTGAAGAGCCTGAAAAGAGCATTAACAGGGAATTTATTGACTATGTAAATGGGCCAATAAGCTCTGCTATTGAAAATAAAGCAAATGAAATTGTGAATAGTGGGAAAAACCAAAGATTAGCTGCTATTAATGTGAGGAACCGATTAATAGCATTTAAAAGCAGCCTAGATGCTCTAAAAAGCTCTCAAGATTACAATACGTTCGTGCAAGCCATTACTTCTTTTGCATCTCAAAATGGAATACATTTAGCAACAGAAAAGCTTCAAGAAAATTTGAATTTTATAAGCCTATTTCGTCAAATAAAGCCTGGAGCTTTTTCTGATCAAAGTTTTTTGCAGCTAGCATCTATAATTGCAGATAGAATTAAATCAAAAATCAATGCAGAACCATCTATAGTTCCAAGTATTCAAACAGAAGAGCGCCAAAGGCCAGGCTTAGAAAGAGAACACTATAACACAACGCATCACTGGCAAGGACCATTCAAACGAACAACAAAGCATCATTTTCAATACTATAGGGTGTATGATACTTATCATAGGCAGGTAATAAAGCATACATTTACCTTAACTAATAATCAAAGAGTTGAATTTGTTGAAGAAGAACAATGGCAAAAAGTTGGGGCTCCAAGAAAAGAGAAAGATCATACGGATTGGTGCTTTGCTTAATAGCCATAGCTAAGTAATTATATTTAAGCTAAGTTAGGTAATAATGCAAGCTTTGAAAAGATAAGTTATTACTGAAAAATTTGGATTTTTTAGTTAAACTATACAGTTTTTAAAATTAAGAGGTGCATCAAAAAACTCAATTTTCTATCTTCTTGTACGCTAATCGATATTATCGGATTTATACGCTATGATATAATTTAATTATTGCTCACTCTAGATCAATTACTTCAAAAACTTAGCAAATTTTATTATTAAAGTATAATTTTCTCTTTATTTAAGTTGAACCATTTTTTTTTATTCAAATCAAATTTATAATAGCTTTCATTCGATAAACCAACAGCTATATATATTGCCCCTTTATTATACGAGCAATTCACTTGAGCAGGATGATTGTTGCTGATTCTTGACATTCCTATTTGATTCCATTTATTTGGGTTTGCGATTTCGCTTTCATAGACAAATCCACCAAATTCTATTAAATACAGTCTGTCCAAATTTATCAGGATTTTTCTTTTTCTTTGTTCAAATTTAAAGTGAATTTTGGTATATTTATCATAATTAATTGAGTACCTTAAAATATTGGCATTGATGCTCCCAGCAATTAAAATCTCTCCATTATACACAATGCAGTGGCAATTTAAGTCAGCATCTGGTATAGATTTTAAGCTGATTCATTTTTGTTTCTCTAAATCAAATCATTCTGCTAATGTTAAGGGGCCATATCTTAATCCTCCAAAGCAGTAAATACGTTTTTCAAAATAGACTGCTGACGAAAAAGCACAAGGAGTTCCTGGAGGCAGCATTTGAATTTTACAATTTTTATCAATAATCAAGGAAATACCTGAACTTGGATCCTTGCCATAGCAGAATAAATCGCCGTTTGGAAGCTGGGCTATGCATGTGCCACGATTTAGCTCTTCAGGGATATCCAGTGGATTCATTCGCTCTGTTTCTGTTTCAGTGTCATAAATATATAAATCAGTTCGAGTTTCTGGTTTTTTTATTAACTCCCCCCCCTCCGTGAGTGAACAAAAAAATTTTGTTCACTCACGGAGGGGGGTTATTTTTTTTTTAAAAAAATTTATATATATAAATTTTATAGAAAATTTTTTTTTTAGAAATTTAAAAAAAATACTAATTCTGAAAAATTGGAAAGCAAATATTAATTTAATTTATAAAATTTATGTTTTAAAAAGCAATTTGTTTAAAATTCAACAGAGTTAGCTCTAGATTTCATTATGCTCATTATCACTTATATATCAAAATTTTTTTTCTATTAAAAACATTTTTGTTCACTGACTGGGTTTTTGGGCAATAAATAGAGATTTTTCTAATGGTTTTGTTCACTCACAGAGGGGGGGATTAAGGAAATTGACGTTTTCTGATGATATGCATTTACATAGTCTTGATAATCCTGAGCACGCAGTGGATCAGAATTTAAAGCTTCTTTTAGCTCGTTTTCATACCGTAAGACTGTTCTTCTGAAATCTTCTTCTGTATTTAATGTTATACCTTGGCTTAAAAGTTGAGAAATTTTAGCTTTTAATTCTTCATTAGGTACTAATCTATTTTCTAAAATTTGGCTAGGCTCAATTTTAGCCTGCGGCCGTAATATAAGATTTGAATCTTTTCAAATTAAATATTCATTGATAATTTTAAGCTGATTCTCAAATTCAACTTTGGTCGTTTTTATTGTTTAATTTTAGCTCTGTATCTTTCTTTCAAGCTTCAAGCTCAATCTTATTCTTTTCTACATCATCTCTTAGACCATTGATAAACTCTTTGGCTTCAGCTAATTGATGATTCTTTTCATCTATTATTTTGCCTTGCTCCTCATATTTTTCTTCTAACTTTTTAAGCTGAGATCTCATAAAATCTGCCTCATTTCTCTTATTAAGCTCTATTTCTTGTTTTCACTCTTCAAATAATTTTATATTTTTTATCAGATCTGTACTTGATTTCTTAAATTCCATTAGATCATTATTCAGTGAATTTATAATTTTATCATACTCCCCAACTTTTTTATCAATTTTAAGCAATAAAGGATCATTCTTCTTTTGGAATCCTATTTCTTGTTTAAGAGCTTCAATTTCTTTGTTGACTTTATCAGCACCTCTCATTAGCTCTGATATTGGTTCTTTTAATTCTTTTGAAAGCTCTGCCGCCGAGTTAATTTTTACATGCTCATCAAATCTATCCAGCATTTCATGAATATGGTTATCAAGAAAATTTTTATCATTTTCCCTTTGGAGCTTTACTTCTTGCTTGTAATTTTCAATTTCCCGCTCAATTTTTTGAAAATCTCCTTTTGATTCTAAAATAGCATCTTTGAATTTCTCTACTTCATTATTGAGCAATAAAGGGACATTCTTTTTTTCGAGTCCTATTTCTTGTTTAAGAGCTTCGATTTCTTTGTTGGCTTTATCAGCGCCTCTCATTATAACTCATGAACCTTTATGGATCGACCTCATTGAAAATGTAGCCGTTCTAATAGACTTCATACCTTGCACATCTTAGACAAATCCCCTCAATATTTAGAAAATATTCTGATTATAATAATAAATCTCTAAATTTAAACAAGTTCAATATAGTTTAAGATAATTGATTTTTAATAATTTTGAAAAAAAGTCTAATAATTAGCATAGGTTCGCCAAGGTATTATTTACAATTAAATTCGCTCTCTCTCTTAATGTTGAAAAAATGGCATTTTTGCGGTAAAATGGCATGGCCCAAAAATGAGATTAAATTGGCAAGTTAAAAATTTTTTGATAAGTTTGAACCATTTTGACAATTTCAAATTTTGCGAATTGGGATTTTTTTTTAAATTTAGAAAGCAAAATTTACTATAAAATCATCTATAAATTTTATAAAAAAAAAATAATCCCCATCTATGAGCGACAAAAATTTTTGTTCGAATGGGGGTTAAGCAATTGTTATATGAGTAGGTAAGAACTTTGCTATATGGAGATTCACTTATAATGACTTTGTAAATTATAGCTCTTATCCTCATAAATAAATTAGTATTATTTTAAGGAATTATTCTTTCGGAAAATTGGACATCGATTGACAAGTTTTTGGTTTTTACTTATCAGCCATTTTGATTTTTTAAGACACCTTATGTATCAAATAATGTATTAAATAGCTATATAAGTTTATTTATAAAAATAAGTTTTTAATTTTTATTAAGCGTAAATTTTTAAAAATGACTAGTTTAATTGTCAAAATGATTCACACAAGTCAATTTTTTTTTGGCTAGCCATTTTACCATGAAAATGCCATTTCAGACATTAAGAGAAGAATTATTTTAATTGTAAATATGCCTTGGTTTTATTTTGCCGAACCTTCATCTCATTATTATTAGAAGTGTTTTTTAAAAATTTATTAAAATCATTATCTAAACTTATATTAAATTAGGTATTTTTTTATTATAATTAGAATATTTCTACAAATAGTGAGGGGTCTTGTCTAAAATTTACAAGACATGAAGTCTATTTAGAGTGGTTAAATTTTCAATGAGGTCGATCCATAAAGGTTGATAAGCCATAGCTCTGATATTGGTCCTTTTAATTCTTTTGAAAGCTCTGCCGTCGAGTTAATTTTCGCATGCTCATCGAATCTATTCAGCATTTCATGAATATGGTTATCAAGAAAATTCTTATCATTTTCCCTTTGGAGCTTTATTTCTTGCTTGTAATTTTCAAGTTCCCGTGCAATTTTTTGAAAATCTCCATCTAATCGTAAAATAGCATCTTTGAATTTCTCTACTTCATTATTAAGCAATAAAGGGCCATTCTTAAGAGCTTCAATTTCTTTGTTGACTTTATCAGCACCTCTCATTAACTCTGATATTGATCCTTTTAATTCTTTTGAAAGCTCTGCCGTTGAGTTAATTTTTACATGCTCATCGAATCGATTAAGCATTTCATGAATATGGTTATCAAGAAAATTTTTATCATTTTCCCTTTGGAGCTTTACTTCTTGCTTGTAATTTTCAATTTCCCGCTCAATTTTTTGAAAATCTCCTTTTGATTCTAAAATAGCATCTTTGAATTTCTCTACTTCATTATTAAGCAATAAAGGGACATTCTTTTTTTGGAGTCCTATTTCTTGTTTAAGAGCTTCGATTTCTTTGTTGGCTTTATCAGCACCCCTCATTAGCTCTGATATTGGTCCTTTTAATTCTTTTGAAAGCTCTGCCGTTGAGTTAATTTGTATACGCTCATCTAATCTATTCAGCATTTCATGAATATGGTTATCAAGAAAATTTTTATCGTTTTCCCTTTGAAGCTTTAATTCTTGCTTGTAATTTTCAAGTTCCCGTGTAATTTTTTGAAAATCTCCTTTTAATTCTAAAATAGCATCCTTGAAATTCTCTGCTTTATTATTCCTTAAATTTTCATTGTTTTTCTCTATGCTAAGGAGTCTATTTTCTAAAGAAATTTCAAGCTTTTCTTGAATTAGAGATTCAATTCTTTCGCCAATTTCTAGATTTGCTTCAAAAAACGATTTTGCATTATTATAAGAATCTGAGCTGCCTGGGATTATTGCTTTAGCTTTTTCAAGAGCCATTTCAGGATTTAAAGATAGAAGATTTATAACTGGGTCTTGCTCCAATTTCGATATTTTTTGTATATGAAGAATCTTTTCGCAACAATTTTTTATTTCTGCTGATTCTAACTCTAGCCTTTCCAAAAGCTCACTAAGATTGCTTTTTGAAGTTCATAGATCTTGGCTAAAAGAAGCTATTAATTTTTTCTTTATTTTGTCCTTTTTAGACATTTCTTTTGAAAAAAACTTGAGAACTGCATCTTTTGTTCCTTCAAATAGTTGCACAAATACAGGTTCAAAGTTATGGCGCACAGGAGAAGACAAGCAATGCTTTCCAAAGTGCAAGTAGCATGAATAGGTATCTGGAGAAGTGCATGGACAAGAAAATTCAACTTCAAGCTCGCAGCCTGGCTCAAAGCATTTCCTAACCTCCATTTTTTAGGATTCTACATTTTCTTATTTAGCAAAAATTAAATAGTAATACTTATTCAAAAATCCATGCTGATTTATCAAATAAATTTTTTTAATAAATTCTAACTTAACTATTTTTCTTTTGTCTGATTTGATCAAACATGATTAACTTTTTACATTGCCCTTAAATCAAATTTTAATAGGTTCATACCTAAACTTAGCATTTAGATTTAAAACTTATCAGGGTTAAATTATTTTGGCTCTAGAGCCTTGATTTTAGATAATAGTGAAGCATTTTTAGGTTTTTATATAGCAATGTTTTGCTTTCTCATTTTGAATATTTCTTATGGTAATTATATCAAGTAAACAAAATCTTTACTTTTAATTTAAATTTTTAAAGTGCTGGCTATTGCTTTTAGTTTGTTATCTATCTCCTTTAATTTTAAATTCTAATTTTCCTCGTTTTTGTAGCCTCTAATTACTAAAATTTTCAATTTTATACTTACTTATGGTAGTCCTATAGTTTTTCTTCACAAATGCTTTCAATATAAATCTGATAAACTCATATATAAAGTAGCATTTTTGCATGTTAAATAATAATTAACTGATGTATTCTTTCAGCAAAGTTATTTAATTAATATTTAAAGTCTCCAACTGCTGCAGAGCTGAAAAATCCTTTGGACCCAACTAGTGGCGTTATCTCCAACATCAAAGTAATATGCGCCAATTTACCCATATCTAAAAATAAACGGTCTCCCACAGCCGAATCAGCTGCCCAAGACTGGCTGCCTTACTTCACCCTTGCCTGACTCTTTTTTATATTGCGTGTTTCTCTAAGGGTCATCTTCCTCTGAAGTGCAGAGTGGAAAATACCAAAACCTCTTGATTGCACTTGAAGCAGTCTTCCAGCCATATGCAATATGAAGTTAAATCACTATCCCTTGCAGAAATTCTCAAGGAAAGCAAAACCCCACAAATAAAATTCCATGTTGGAGAAAATTTACTAACTCCCCCCCCTCCGTGAGTGAACAAAACCATTAGAAAAATCGCTATTTGCCCAAAAACCCACCCTCCGTGAGTGAACAAAAATTGTTTTAATACAAAAATTTTTTATGGAAACAAATTTTGATATATAAATGATAATTAATATAATGAAATCTAGAGCTAATTCTGTTTAATTTTAAACAAATTGCATTTTAAAACATAAATTTTATAAATTAAATTAATATTTGCTTTCAAATTTTTGCAAATTAGGATTTTTTTAAATTTCGAAAAACAAAATTTTTTAGAAAATTTATATATAAATTTTTTTAAAAAAAAAAAAATTAACCCCCCTCCGTGAGTGAACAAAATTTTTTGTTCACTCACGGAGGGGGGGGGGAGTAAAGTTAACTTATTTCTTCCTGAATGCCATTTTATTTATTTCAAGCAAAGTTACAAATTGTTTCCTTTACATGATGCCTATTTCATAACGACTATTTTTTTTGGCCTATTTTTTTTGGGTCAATTTATTTTTAGCCAATTTTAGGTCTTTTTTTTGCCCTTTTTTTTGGACCTATTTTTTATTTTCTGTCAAAAATAATAGACTAAAATTGATTGAAAATCATCTCAAAATAGTCAATATGGAATTATTTAAGTAAAGAATAGCCAAAAAAGAAAATTTAAAAAATAGGCTTAAAAAGGCCCAAAAAATAGGAAAAAAATAGACCAAAAAAAATAGTCGTTATAAAATAGTCTTCGCATGAAGACACGTTACAAATTATTTATACCTTGGAGACTATAACGCTGCTACAAATCTCGTGCTTCTTCAACATCACAAAATAACTCACATTCTTACCGTAGGAGATGGAATGACTCCTTGTAATCCTGAGCAATTTCAATGAAAATCAATAAACATTGCAGACCTCAGCTCTTGTGACATTTCCCAGCACTTTGACGAATGCAACGATTTTATTGACAAAGCAAACCGTGAAAAAGGTAGAGTCTTAGTCCATTGTAGCAATGGAGTTTCTAGGGCTCCAACAATAACAATTGCATATCTAATGTACAAAAAACCCTGTGGATTTACCCAAGCTTTTGAGTTCGTCAAAGCAAAACACCCTGATACAGCACCGAATTCAGGATTTTCAGCGCAATTAAGGCAGTATCAGACGTCTATGAATAAATCATCGAAGCATGATTTAACAACTGGAGATGCGTGCAATTGTAAGCTTTTTTAGGGCATTCAGACTTTTTTCTTAATTAAGACTGCATAAAATGTTAATTCAAATTTCAATAAAATTAATATATAGAAATGCATACTTTTTTTGGATATTTTAGAAGACAATAATTTTTTTTAAAAAAAAATTATTATTAATTTTATATGAGAATACTACAGCATCGATGAATTTTGCCAGCTTTGTCGCCGAAATGAGTAAGCTATGCTAAATTACTATAGAGAAGTTACCTGTAGATCTTCAAGCCAAAACTCGCCTACATATAACGTTCCATCACTTGCTTGCCATCCGGACATGGACTTCTTCTGTGCTGCTCATCAAGGATGGGGCTTGCGTAGCTATCAGAGAGCAGAGACAAAGGTCACCATGTCGTAAATCAACTTCCAGAAAATTTGAAAAACGGAATTTCTGGTAGGTTTTTTGACCAAAATGGAAGCCGGACGAACGAATGGGATGGCGCAAGGGACTTTGCCTGATTATCCAAGTGACAATCTCTGGCCTTGCTAAGCTTTCCTTTTCCAATTTCAGAATCATTATCCGAGGTAAAACCTTGGCCTGCATGTGAACATTTAGCCGACATTGCGCTCCACTAAGCCCATTAAAATTGGCAGGTACACATTTCGAATCTTCCTAAGATTCCCGACTTTCCCAACGAGCCTACCTGCTACAGGTGTAAATCGGGCAGGTTGGCTCGCTACTCCATTTTAACGTATGCAGAAATGAGTATGACCTAATCAATTCTATTCTTGAAGTTCAAAAATCAATAAAAAATCAAAGAGACTCCAAGCTCAAGCTTCCCCCTATTTGGCATGCACTTCTGTATGGATTAACGGATATCGTGAAACTTCTATTAGAAAAAGGCGCAGATCCTAATATTCCTAATGAAATTGGGGAAACACCTCTTCACCATGCAGCTGATAATAATGAATATGAAATCGCTAAATTACTGCTAGAAAATAATGCCAACCCAAATCTTTTTACAAATGAAAATGAAACAGCGTTACACCAAGCGACCTTTCGCGGACAAGTAAAAATCGTCGAACTTTTAATGAGTAAAGGTGCAAACCCTAATATTGTCAATAATTATGGGAAAACTTCTTTGCATACAGCTGCGGAATATGATCAAATTGAATGCGTGAGGATCTTGCTTACATTGTATTTCTGTAAAAATAATTAATTAATTATCAAAAATATAGTTAGTGACACTGACTATATTAATTAAAAAAAATTTTTAATGGAAGATTTAGCTATGGAGCTGACCAATTTATAGTTGACCATGAAGGAAGATTACCTATAGATTTATCAAAGAGCTCAACTGTGAGAAACATCATTGAAGGGTTTATCTCTAAAATCAGTTTTGAAGGTGATTTAGCACTCTTCAGCATCCCTGAAGGCCGGATAAGTGATGAAGATAGAACTAGCACAATCTACAGCTTTCAAGGAACCCCTAGACTTTCACATTACACTCATTTATCTATTGACGACTTTAACGAGTCTCCTTTATCAAATAAATCTAATTACAATACAAAAGAAATGCCGACTAGTGATTACAATAGAATTCGTTCTAAAGAAACTGCATCAAGCTTATATGAAGTTTCTGAAAACCTTGAAGAACATGAAGAAAATTTGTCCATTTTTTCAAATACATTTAAACAATTTTTAGAAAAAATTAAGCTCGAAGAATATTATTATTTTTTTAAATAAATAAATGTCATAGGTATACTTAAGCAATTTAGAAATATTTATAGAAATTTGCTATACCAGGTGTTAATTAAAGCTGGTTTTGATGATTTTGAAAGCTTAGTTAAACAAATGAAAACTCCTTTGCCACTTACCTATGAAATTTTAGCAAGCAGCGGAATCACCAAGCCAGGCCACATTTTTAGATTCCTAATGATGCTTGATGTAGAAGCAGGAATTACTGATAAAACACTATTTGACCCGAAACTTTTATTGCCAAGCTATAGCAGCTCCTTTTCTCTACACTGCGGAGATATGCCGAAAAATAATGAAAAATTAAAAGAATGGCTAATTTCTATAAAGCTAGAAAATCTGGTAAGCATTTTTGAAGAAAGCGGGTTTGATGACATAGAAATGATGATTTTGCAAATGTTTTCAAGGTATCCTGTTAATGATGATATGATAAAAAATCAAATTGGGATTGAGAAAACAGGGCACAGGATTAGAATTTTAGGAAAACTCCATGAAGATGCTAAAGGAATAATAGATAATTTGAATAAGTGTGGAGAAAACCAGCATCAAGTGTGCTCAGGGTGTGAGTTATTGTAATTAATATTAATTTTAATTAATTTTAAAGGTGTTTAAATTCAGATATTTATATAGAAAATATCTATATGTTTAATATTCACAGAGCTTGCTGAATCGATAACTTTATTAACCTTATCATTTGATTTTTATAGGACTGTCTATATATACGTAATTCCCTTTAATAGCCCTATCGGTGGGTGAAATTGCCCGTTAAAATTACAATTTGGTCCGCCCAAAATTATTAGTTTTGGTCTGACCAAATTGAGAACTCAGCAGGCAATTTACTCACTGATAGGGCTATTAAAGGGAATTTTCTATAGATTATATAGGCTTTTTAGGCGCATTTATTGATCTGAAATTTTTATCGTGGGGGCTATCACTATTATGATTTCAAAGCTCCAGCATTGAATCATCTATAAGGGAAATAGCTTTTACTTTTTCATGATTATTTAACCATTTATTTTTAATCAGTTAATTTTAGAAATTTATTTATAGTTTCAGATTAAGAAAGATATTTTTCTGGCAAACTTCCTCTTCTGCCTCGCTGAATGCTCTTAAAAAGCCTTTCATATTCTTCTAAATTCTCATCTTGCGGAGCTCCATCTATCGAAGTTTGGCGTCTGTTAGGATGATGATGAGATATTCAGAATTTTTCGTTTTCTTCAAGCTGCACTAGTAGTTTTTCTTTAATGCTAGGGCAAAACGCTAGCATATTATAAGTTTGATACAAAGGCACCACAATGTTTTTAATAAATCCAATCTGCGTCTTCGCTATCTCAGTCGTCTCCCTTTCACAATACATAGACACTTGTATCCCCATCGCTTTTTCTACATCTCCTTGATCAAAATATTCCTGAATTATCAATGCACATCATTTTACATGTAAATCTCTTTTTTTCGCTGCATGCCCCACATCTGCCACTTTTATAGTCATTTTAAACATATCAAATCTAAAATCAGGATCATTCATATCTTGGCGGTCATTTATTGACAAATATTTTGCCTTAAAATGGCTAACAATTTCAAAATGTTTGGCTAAATCTGTCGATAAAATCATTTCAATGATCATTTTACGGACTAATGACCATCTGTCAGGGTCTATTGATTTTATTAGGTCATAAGCATGCTCTTTTAGGATTTTAAATACAATGGAGGCATGATGCATTTCGAGGACACTGATGTCGTTAAATTGGATAGCGAGGTCGTCCATTGTTACTATAAGGAAACGATTGCTTTTAGCTGGATGACCGACATCGTGGCCTAATGATGTAATAATTCCTGCTAAAAGTTCTAACTTTCCTATAATAATTTTTTTCGAAAATTTATAGGCTTTTTTACTTTTTTTAAAAAAATGAGTAAGCTATTGATTTCTTCAAGAATAAAAGTATTGAAAACTATATAGAGAAATGAGCACATCACGTCAGCTGCGTGACAAGAATTATGATAAGGGTTGTTATTATTGTATCTGCCTTCTAATTCTTTTAAAAAATTTATGAGTGTGTTTTCGCTCATGTTAAAGATATCTTTTATTCCGTATTTAACTATAGCGTAATATCCACAGGTTTGTAAAGGTCTTTCACCAGAGCAGTCACTCACAAAAAATGTGTTAAAATCCCATTCTCTACCAATTTGGCTTAAAACCCCTTGAAGTTCGGCTACACCATATATTGAGTCAATTTTTATAAGAGATCTTTCTCTTGGGGGGAGACTGTAAACTGTTCCGCCTCTTTTTGACACAAAAGTCTGCTCAATATAAATTTTGTCTTGCTCATCTAAACCTTTAATCCCCTGACTAAGATTTGTTTTAATTTTTTATAAAGAATTTTTGAATACTTAAACATCCACTTTAAATAGATTAGAAATCAAAAGTCTTATTTAATTTAATTTATAAATGAAATATAATTAGTTGGAGGTCTCAATATTACGATTATTATTTAAATATTAAATATTATTTATAAAAACAATTATATTAAAATAATTTCTTACTCCAAAATAGGAATTTATTTTATACTATCTCGAGCCATGAGGGAGTTAGTAATATTTTCTATATTTAGATATCCATCTTAAAATGAATAATTTATTTTAAAAATAATCGATTTGAAGTTTTTTGTAATCAAGTTTAAAAGATATAATAAACATTAGTACTTCTCCTTAGTCTTGCCAAAATTGATCTCAAAATTCCTGTCGAAGCAATTGCTTGCTCTTTGGCCTTAGGATCCTTACTCTTCCCCTTTTTAAAAGTAAGCATTTATTTTTTGTTTTTTAAAAATTTATATTAAAACCATATATCAGTATGAGGTAAGAACTTCTGAAAAATTAAATTATGATAAATTTTCGAAATAAAGAAACCTTGAAAATCGAGTCATAATTGCTTTTAAATTATATAAAAATTAAATTTATTAAATTTTAGATTTTATTACAAGCTCTCTAGAATCAGCTACAGAATCTCCTAATAACAATTATTAATTGTATTTAAAAAATATATTAGCTCCTTGCTTCAAAATGAGGAGCTAGATTCACTGATAATCTTTAATGATTCTATTGATGAATTTATAGCGTCTACAATTTCTTCTATCACAGTATCAGCTTGTTTCTTGGCTCCATGGATAATTCCATCAGTTTTTAAATCGTTTTCCGATATAAAACTTTGGCTATCTTTTGCGATTTCAAGATACTGGGTATGGACTTTTTTCGGTTCTTGGAGACTTATAATGAGAAATCCAAAAACAATTAAAATCGAAAAAAACTGGAAAATCGTAAGATTCTTGCTTTGATTTCCTGCAAGATTCAGGAAAAAAGCAAAAATTAGAAGTAATCCACTCGTTATTTCGAAGTTTCTATGATTTTTAATCCTTTTATGAGAAACAACTAAAATAATAGCAATGGCGGAGAGACTAGGCATACAACCTTTACTATCATCTTCGTCCATAATGGTGCTATAAGTATTAGGATCAGATAAAATTATAGCAGTTCCTGCTATTAAATATAATAGACTTGGCAGTGATCATCTATACTTATTAATAAAAGCTCAAAAAAATTTAATTTATTTTTATTTTTTCCATATATTTTTCTTCAAAGAGGATATCAAGCAATCCTGGGCCGAATTTCATTTCAATAATAAATGAGATACAGCAAAGCAAAAAACTTGCTGAAAGTATTGATGTTCCAAATATGAACTCTTTAAGATTGACTTCCCCATCATTATAATTAAGGATTATTGCGATAATACACAGCAAAATAGTTGTCAAATAACACAGATAAAATTTGAAATCAGTCAATTTCAGGCTGTTAGCCATTTCCGATTGGTTCATTGTTATTTCCCGGGCTGGCGATATTTGGGTAATGTCATTGATTATTTGATTTTTAGAAGCCACCAAAAGCCCATTTCCGCTTAGTTCCATAATTTTTAATTTTTTTGTACTTTTGGTAGCAGATAATTATGAAAACGACCCATAAGAGATTTGTAAAAAAATTGAATGAATGATCAGCCCATCAAATTTTGCCTTTGCCTCATTTAGAGCTTGAGAGAAATTTATTAGATTTTTCAATTGAATACAAAGAATACTTAAAAAATTGGGAAAAAATTGTAAAAGCTTTCATGGAAGCTTTGACTATAAGCAATTGTATGAAAATTACTGAGAAACTGAATGAGGAATGCGATAGAATAATTTTTGCAGCTGAACATTTGATTTTTCAGGCTGATTCAGAAAATATTTATAATATGCTAAACGAATTAGAAAGACAATACGCATCCTTTATTTAATAAATATGTCAAAATTCATTATAAAATGAAGAAAAAAAATAAATTTAATTAATAATAGTATAAAGGAATTGAAAATATGATTTTATATTTAGATTCCATGATCCCAATAGAATTTGAAGCAAGAAGTCATATAAATTTAAAAAAAATCGTAGAAAATGTTGAAATTGGCATTGTAAAAGCTTTGGATAATTTGCAAAACGATTTTTATAAAGATTTGCAAAATGCTATGATAGAGATTTCAAATAATGCAGAAAATCATATAGAAAATTTATTAAATTCGCATTATCATGCTTTTCCTGAAGAAATGGTTGATCTTATAAATACTGAGCTAAATTCTTATAACGAACATATTAGAAATTTTATAAAAAATACCTACGGAAGTGTGCCGAATTGTTTGTTTAAAGGTCACCACAACAAAGTTAAAGCAAATTCATTATTAAAATATGAGGAAATATGGGAAAATCAAATGAATAGATTGATTTATGAATTTAAAATTTATATAAATGAAGTACTTGCTCCCCTGATTAGTGAAAATCTGGGGGGGGGGGGTTTTCAAAAAAAATTGTGCCATAAAAAACGTTTTCCAGATTCATATCAAATAATGGTAAAAGTTTCTATTATTTAATTTATAAAATTTATGATTAGAACGCAGCTGCCTAAAATTTAATTTATTTGATTGAGATTTCATTAATCTAATAATTAATTATATATAAAACTTAATTTAAGCTAATAAAAATTAATTTTTTTTATATGCTCATGATGAGCTTTTAATTTCTTTAAAATTTTTGTTTAATGTTTTGCTCGCTAGCAAAGAAGGTAAAATTAGTTTATTTCAAAAAAATGAATTAAAATTATTTGATAGGAAAATTTGTAATGATATTTCAAGGGAAGCTTTGGCAGGAATTATTATTCAAACGTCTTTGGATTCAAATTTCTGTATTGATCAGCTTAATAATATCTTAAACTATTTGAATTTAGATGAAAGTGCAATAGACGAATTATTTAATTTAGATCAGCAAAAGAAAATCCAAGAATATTCTCATCATTTTCGCTTAAGCACAAATGATAAAGGAAGATTTCTTACCATTATTTCGCTGATTTTGGTATTTTCTAACACTCATGATGATATTTTTATCGAAAATTCACAATTAACAAAATTTCACCCCGGAAATCGAGAATGGCTGAGTCAAATAATTTTTCACGCTTTCTCTGGCTACAGAAGTTCTGATAAAGAATACTCAAAATCCTGCAGTTATCTACAACTAATGCTTATAGGTGAGCAGAGAGTTGCTAGAGAACTGCTTAGAATGAATAAACAAATTCTTGACAGCCATTTTATTGATTTATACCCAGAAATCTCCTCATTGGATTTTTCAGACAAAAAAATCGAAAAATTATCAAAAATCACTGAAATGGTCAAAATTGCCTCAAATTTTCTTTCAGAAGAATCCTCTGTAAAGCAATGGATTTCTCATGCAGTAAATGCAGTTGAAAATTTTGCGGTAAAAGATATTTAGTTCAAAGACCAAAATTTGCAAATAAATAGCCTGGCTTTAGAGTGTATTAAATATGAACCATCTTTGCACATAACAATTGTAATATCTGGGTGGCTTTCAGAAGAAGATAATAGTGCGGAGTCTTGACATCACATAATTAATAGGTCGTTTCAAGGCCAAGTTTATGTGCTTAAATGAGATTCAAGCAGCCCTACAAAATTCTTAATCGAAATTCTTAAGATTATCAGTGGGGTGTTAATAACTGATCAGCTTATTTCTACATTATTTCTATTATACAATATTTAGTGAATTTTTCAAAAAATAAAATAATTATTTTATAAACATTTTTATTTGTGTAGGGAATATCAGCAGCTTATAAGCTTTATAAATTAGACCCTTTTAAAGCAAGCCAAAAGCGAGCTGAAGTTGCTGGAAAAGCATTAGCGCATATCATAAAAAGCAATCTTTTTAAAAGAGCTAATATCACTTTAATTGGATTTTCTTTAGGTGTTGGCATAATCCATTCATGCTTAAAAGAATTATCCAATGAAAATCTACAATATATCCATAATGCTATATTAATGGGAGGAGCTGCATCTGCTTCTAGTGAAGAATGAATAAAATGTAAAACAGCAGTATCAGGTAGGCTTATAAATTTGTATAGTAAAAATGACTTGGTTCTCTCAATTCTCTATAGGATATTCTCTTATGTTTAAAAGATTCTAAAATTAGTTTTTTTTTCGAATAAATTTAGGTAAATTATTTTAATTCTAAATTAATCTGATATAGAATATCACGATTAGAAAAAGCAGTTGGGTATGAAAAAATTGAAGTCAATGGTATAGAAAATTATGACATATCATCCTTTGTGGACAGTCATACAAGATACCGAGAAGTCATGGGAAGCCTATTTGAGTTTATATCATATTATAACTAATTTCTATTAATAACTTAACTGTTAATTATAAAGCCTATATTTAAAATATTTGGCTTTTGCAGTCTTCTTGCTTCTTCTGTGGCTCTTCTTTCTTTTCTTCTGGCTTTTTATTTCTCTTCTCATTCCTCTGCGCTCCTGCTGACTTATTTCTATTCCCTCTATAATTTCCTCTATTTCTTTTATAATTTCTCCCTTGGTTATTTTCATTTCTCTTTTTATTTTCTTTCTTTTCTTCTTTATTTTCTTCTTTAGTTTCTTCTACTTTTTGCTCTTCTTTTTTCCCTGGATTTCATGTTAACTTATTCAACGAATATTCTTCATCAAAATCCCTCACCTTTTTTTCCTCTGTGTGGCCTTCTGCAAGCTCAGGTTCTACAACTTTTTTATTTTCTTGAGATTTATGCCTTATTCTTTTCTCAGGCTTTTTTTCTCTATTTTGGGGTTTATTTTGAGATTTTTGCTTGGAGTTGTAGTCTGATATTGCTTTATTTTGAGATTCAGTAGGCCTGTCAGAGCATTCATGCTGCATATGCTCGATCACTTCAGCTTGGTCAAGCCAGTGCTCTTTATTGTAGGAGCACTGGACTTTAGATAAAGCTTTTTTGCTGGATTCGGATTGGTTTTTGGAGCATTTGAGCATGTGCCAGATAATTCTGTTGGGCTTCATGTGATGTGAAGGGTTAAATGGACATGCAACTTCTGGCTGCTGCTGAGTTTCCATAATTTAATTAGGAGAATAGATAGATTTCGATTGAAAAAATGATAGCAAATTGATTGATTGTTTTAGCTAATTAATGCATAGCGATACATGAATAATTATTTTGGATAAATTTGTGCTTTATATGAAGAATTGGGCATTTTGATCCTGGCCTTTAGGAGAAGAAGGACTTTTGGACTAAAAGCAATATTTATATATAAAAAAGTTTTAGCATAAACAAAATAAAAGAAAAATCTTTTTTATTCTATATCAAAAATGCCTATAATTGACAATCTTATTAATAATTTTAGCAAAATTAAACTAACACATAATTAATATCTGTAGCAACTAAACAAGCCAGTCAATAATTTCATTGCTATCCGTACTTGAAATCTCATTAATTTTAATTTTTTTTGTATTTTCTTTCTAATAACGTAAAAAATGGAGTAACCCAACCTCCTAATTCTGTGGCTGGAGAGACCCAGGGACCTTGTGGAAGGGAGTTTTGGCGTTCGCTATGTGTATCTGGTAAGGCTTTACTAGTTTTGTGGAGCAACGTCTGGATTGGCGGACAGCAGGCTCACATTCAGATCAAGTTTTTACCACGGAGGAAGATAGAGTTCGGAGTTTTAAAGAGTAGTCCCAGAAATACCATTTAGGTTTCTCTGGTCTATCGAGAACGTTCCCAAGCGCGATACCGGTGTTGTGTCCTGGACTACGAATTTTCATCTTGGCCGACAGGTTATCAGAAAATTTGTTTTTCGAATTTTCTAGAAGTCAAACCCCGTTGATATATGGCACAGTGACCTAATCTTTACGACTATCAGGGAGTACATCTATGCCCATGTCTGATAGGAGCAAGACTTTGAAGGCCGTGAGACGATTGTCGGCGAAGCAGACGAGTGAAGCATTATGGAATGGAATAAGGATCTTCGGATCCCGACAGGTAGCCTTTCTATATCTAGCCAAGCGAAATCAAAAGGTATTTTCTTTCCATTCTATGTCACCTTTATAAGGGGAAAATTTTCTCTTTTTATTTGCTGTGTTTACATTATTTCCCCTCAGCGGAGTTATTAAAGGGCTGCCGCTAATATATTTTAGCCTACAAGACGACTGATCCAAGTTTATTTGTGGTGAAAGCTCATCTAATTTAAACTGGCAATTTTTTGAATTTGAGATTTTGTTTCTTCATTTGGGCGAATAATGGGTATAATTAAGATTTTCGTCTAAAGTGACATTAGAGATATCCAGCAAGTCAATAGCGCTGGGTTTTCGTTTTCTTAATGAGTATGGTGATGAAGATGATCTCAAAGAGGTGGGTGACTTGAGAATTAGGTCTTTATAGTCTTTCTTAAAAAGAGGTGAGCTTGGAATTATCATGATATCGCTATCATCAGGAAGATTCAGTTTTTCCCTTCTATCAAACTTCTCTTCTCTTGATTCCATTGATTTTCAGAATATTTTTTAATTTTTTTATAATAATATATACATTTCTCTTTGATTTTGTATAATAATTTTTTAAAAATTCCATTTTAAATCTTCAATTCTATATGAAAAATTTAAAGTGCCATGGAAGGTTATATCTAAAATTATGGCATCACAAATGTTCATTGATAGATTCAAAGACAAAGTATCAACGATGAATAAACTAGGCGAATTTGACGTTGATGTTTCGAAAGCTGTAAACAAACCTGCAGGGATACCCCAGAAATCAATCATGCAAATTTCTGCATCCAATATATACTCAACAACAAAAAAAAATATAATGACAGTATTCAGGGTATCCATTTTTAAATAGGAAATAATTATGTTCAAATGAAAAGCTAATCTTTATTTATCTTAAAATTTATAATAAAAAGCAACTACCAAACCTCTGTTTCCCCTACAAACGAATATACTACATTTGCAAGACCAATTAAATTGCAAGGCCCAACTGAGCGTTCATTTTATGCTCCCCCGAGTGAAGCTGCCTCAGAACCCACCATAATCAAAAAGTGGCGTCATTGGAATTTTCTGGGTCTCCCGACCGAAAATTCTCTTCCTCGATTTTTTGATTATGAGGTTTGGCTTTCCCCAGCGAATTTATCCCGGCGATGACAGGACTTCAAGTGCCTGTGGTGCGCAACGCAGGACTCCTGTCCCTTAGGGAATGGAATTTTCTGGAAGGATGCCACCAACCCCAGGCAGTGGAGATTGGGACCTTTAGGGTGCCTGATGGACCCAAGTTGGTTTTCCCGAGAGCCGGAAGGACGGCCGTCGAAATCCGAACGCCGAAACCGATGGGACCATTCAGCTTTGAAGCCAAGTGGTGCACGACATTTTGGGTAGAGCGTGGAAGCCCAGAAGCAGGACGGATACCCGTGCAGGGAATGTGGTATTGGACGTTAAGAGTGCATTAATAATTAAGTAAGTAAGCCTCAGAACCCACCAATTTTCATTTAATGAACCCTAAAAGCAGTTATTATCCAGCTCCAGAAAATATTTCGCATGGCTACTCGGCTCAACAGTCTCCAAGAGTCTCTGAAGTTCATCAAAAACCTAAAAAGGCAGCATCAGCAGCCCCTTTGAGAAAAACCCAAGAAACTTTGTTATCAACAAACAGTAACCAATTAATTTCACATGCAAAAAGGAGAGTTATTGATTTTACTCCTTATACATTGAAAGATTATATGCTAATTTTAATTGATTTTTTATTTTTTTTAAAAAATAATTAAAAAAATATTATTCAATAAAAATATTTAAAAAAATAATAAAAACAGAAAAATATTACGAATTAGGAGGTCTTGGACCTTTTAATATAGGAACTGAAGAATGGGAAAAAAAGAAAGAGCTGCAGGACAGGAAAAAAGAATACGCTAAACAAGTAATGCAAGCTAATTCATCATTGATACCACCAGCTGTATTAAAAAAACCAAAAGAAAAAGACAAAGAAATTAGCACAAGGCAGCGAGCTATAGAATTTGCAAAAAAAATCCAAAAGCCTCCATTGAAGGCTAAGGTGTTTAATGGTGAAATTAAAGAAGAAAAAGAAGAATTTGAAGACAAAACGCTATCCTGGCTAGAAAATTTAGAAAAACAGCATGAGCTATATAAAAGCAAAGCCCAAGAAATCAGGACTAAGATGGAGTAATATATTATTTTCTTTATTTCATTGTAAAAATCTTGCAATCAAATTTTCATCTAAAATCAATAAAGATTGACAAATAAAAATTAATTAAATTATTATAATATAAATGTTGAGGCTTAGGTTTATTTCAAAAGGACTCTTTCGCTCGTTTTCAGGGCTTCCACCTCAGTACAGCATAGAAAAAGTTAGGATAGATCAAAAATTTGCAAGTGCTAAAAATTTGGATTCATTTGTAAGCGATAGACTTGTCCAAATTTTCTTATTTAGGGCTTATATACATATTTAAAATTTCTCACGAGCAAAAGCTAAAAGTTGACCCAGAAACAAAAAATAAGTTAAGAAAATATTAGAAACAGTTTTAAGTAACATTGAAAAGCTTGATTCTCAAGGTATCGTCAATTTTTGTGAACTAGTTACAAACTATGATATATCAACCACAGCAATATTTTGAACAGAAATGAATAAGAAAAAATTGATTGATCGCATAAATGAGCACGTAATAAATCGCTCTTTTGACAGAAAACAAATTCTATTAATCTATGAGATAATGGCGCCTTTTGTCTTTAAAATTAGTGAGCTAGAGAATGAGGTTGATAGAATTGCTGATAGTCAATTAAATTTGGAAGAAATTTCAAAGATTTTAACTGGAGCCGGAAGAACTATCTATTTATCAAATATCAAGCAATTCTTTTCTTGTATGAAGCAAATTATTCAATTAAATAAAGAAGAGCTTAATGTGAGCTATTTAAGCAAAATTTTAAATGTTTTATCTATAATCCATGCACTCGTATAGATTTCTCTTTAGGACTTTTACAATGGACAGCTGAAGTGCTGGAATATTCAATACCAGGGAAATGGACTCGATAACAATTTATAGTAGTTATTAATAGGATGAAATATAAATAATAATTGTTTCTAAGTCAAAAAGAAACATATTTGTTTACGAAACAAGTTGAATTCGTGACTTTATCGGAAGAGGTTGGGTTGATATGTAAGCGGACACTTAAAATGGAACTGGGCAAAGAGTAATGTCAGGGAGAAAGCAGCCGATATGTGAAAGAAGTGCATAAAGACTGTTCCCAGCAGCTTGGGACAGCTAATCTGAACTAATCCTTACTTCCTGAGTCGCAGGATTTTGTTGTGTTCGATCCATTGTCTATTGCCGACTTTGACAAAGCCAAGGTAACTTGGCGAGCCTAATTATAAATGAAAATGGAAATAATCAAAGCTACAATACACACAAAATCTAGCAGTGCACCAGACAGAATTATTGTCTCAATTTAAATTCGAAAGGCATGATTTTGTTAAGACTTGCATAATCAACTGTGTTGAATACGAAGATCCTCCAGCTCAAAATCTCTGAAGTTTGGGAGCAAGCTCTAGATTTAGGTGATTAGTAAATAACTGTAGATTAAGTGATTTTTTTGATAGTATAGATTTCGGTATATTATTATTCATAATAAACGTTAATGATAGGTTACTGTGTGAGAGTTAGAAATGCAAATTTAAAATATTTTAGACAAGATTTTTGATTATAATACACATCAGCTTCTCTTAGTGAGCTTTTTTTGCTGCCTAATCCGTTCAATCCTTATCAAGTAATATGTGTGTTAAACTTTAATGGCAATAAGTATCACCCTTTATATATACCAAAATTGAACATGCAGATTGGAATATGCTATACAAGATTTTCAACGATAATTCACGCATAAACTTTATTCAATAATTACCTTTTGCTGCCTAATCCACTCGAATCTGCTTACAGTAATAGCTGTTAAATGCTAACAGCAATAAGCATCACCCTTTACATATACCAGATTAAAGTATAAATTTGAAAGTATTTTGTACAAGATTTTTAATTATAATACACATATCAGCTTCTCTTAGTGAGTGAGTTCTTTTTGCAGCCTAATCCGCTCGAATCCGCATCAAGTAATAACTGTTAAATGTTAAACTAAAAAATTAAAGTTGAAGAATTAATTAGGAGTTAAAAACCATAACTTTTCAACAGCAAATAGATATCGAATATCCAATGAGTTGTAAAGTGACAATTGACTTTTTAATTTTAAAATGCTGGTATCTCTTCAATGTTGTTCATCTTTTCTTCATGAATTGTAAATTATAAATTCATCTCTCTTCAATTCTCCATAGCAATAGTGAGCTTGCGATTTCGTGCTGAAAGCAGTACGAGCATAAAAAACATTTAAATTTTGTGTGTATTGTAGCTTTGATTATTTCCATTTTCATTTATAATTAGGCTCGCCAAGTTACCTTGGCTTGTCAAAGTCGGCAATAGACAATGGATCGAACACAACAAAATCCTGCGACTCAGGAAGTAAGGATTAGTTCAGATTAGCTGTCCCAAGCTGCTGGGAACAGTCTTTATGCACTTCTTTCACATATCGGCTGCTTTCTCCCTGACATTACTCTTTGCCAGTTCCATTTTAAGTGTCCGCTTACATATCAACCCAACCTCTTCCGATAAAGTCACGAATTCAACTTGTTTCGTAAACAAATATGTTTCTTTTTGACTTAGAAACAATTATTATTTATATTTCATCCTATTAATAACTACTATAAATTGTTATCGAGTCCATTTCCCTGGTATTGAATATTCCAGCACTTCAGCTGTCCATTGTAAAAGTCCTAAAGAGAAATCTATACGAGTGCATGGATTATATTATTAGTGCAAGTCAGGCCTCTAAGGAATATTTATCCACTTTTTTAATGCACATTGAAAATAATTTGCATAGGTGGAAAAAAAATGATTTATTATCAATCATCAAAATCTATAAGAATAACAATCTTGGCTATCAAGATTTGCACATAAACGCATTAAAAAGACTAAATGCATTTCTCTGCAATAGTCAACCTATAGAATTTGTTACTGAATTGGCTTCTCTTTTAAAAAACAGTGAACGTAAGAATTATATTGCTGATGAAATATTTTCAAAGAGTTATCAAATAATTAAGGAAAAATTGTCAAAAGAGTCAATAGACTTCGAAAATTTAAAACAAATACTTGATTTTATAGGCCCGAATATTGATCATCAGACTGCACTGCTATTAGCTGACCAAATAAATAGTAAAAACTTTAGTCATAATGACGCGATGGAAATATTTTCAAAAGCTTCATGATTGTTATGTATTAATAAAGAAGGAAAACTTTTCTCTTTGGCCGATTTAATTCAAAAAAAATTTAGCTATAATCAATTTCAAAAACATCATAGAAAAATTGATATACTTATTAGCATTATCCTTACAAAGAATTATGAGATGCATGGTCTCCAGGAAATAAAAGAATATCTTATAGATGAAATAAAAGAGTCAATTACTTTAAGCATTGACAATTTAAAGAAATTTATTAACACTCTTAAAGATAAAGAATATAGCTCAAAGCTCTACAGAGAATGAAAACCTTTGCAAGCCACAGCTTTTCGCTTATTAGAAAAAACACAAATAAAAAATAATAGCCTACATTTTTCGATGTTTTTCTATGAGTCTAATCCTGAAAAATGAAAAGACTTTGTGATTGAAAATAAAAATATCTTTTAACTTGAAGACATCTGAAAAGCAATAAAATTGTATAAAGGACCTTTTGAAGCAATCTTATTTTTACTACAAATTTATAAAAATAAGCTATCTGTACGATGGATAGGTGCAGCCATGGATAGGATTTTAGAAGTGAAGAATTTCCAAGTTTTAAATGATTTTTGTCGTATCCTAAACAAATTAGACCCTTATTATTTATTATACAATTCTGAAATTTATTCAAGAAATGAAGTCTTTAATTATCTTTTTAAGAATTCTGACTTTAGTTTACTGACAGATTTATTTGCTGGAGCTTTCAAATTGCTAAAGGATCTGCCTATTAATTCTATCTTTAACAATTGAAATATCAAAATACTTAGCTTTGTGTCACAACTTGGCATGCTAGAACCGGAAATGGCTGATTCTGTTATATCTAACTATGCTTTTATGAAGGAAACTGATGGATGATTCATGCTGATTATTTCTTCAAAATGTACTGATTTTAACCTGACTCCCCCTCTTTAAATTGGAGCAAAAAATATAGGTAAAATTTCTATTTTTTTGGGGAGTTAACCCCCTTTTAAATTGGAACAAAATTCAATTTATAATATAAAAATTTTATAGGCAAAAATCATAATTTATATGTAAATATCTTGATATCCAATTTAATATGCAGAATCAAAAATTAAAACACACTCTTTAAAATTTTATATAATTTTTCTATATAATTTTTATATTGATTTTTTTTTTTTTATAAAAAATTTTCTTAACCCCTCTTTAAATTGGAACAAAATTTTTTGTTCTAATTTAAAAGGGAGTGAGAAAAAACATAATTAATAAAATTTTCGACAAGATCAATGAGAAATCGGCTTATTTTTTACTTCCTTTGGCTATCAATAGATACTGATATCATCCAAAAACAGAAGAAATTGATAATTATATTATTGATAAATTGGAAAAAATTGTTCCACTTAATGGAATACGTGGTGTCTGAACTATGGCAGAGGTAATTAGCAATCTTTCCAATTTGAATATTAATGATCATATAGAGTTATATAATGCAATAGCATCCCTATTGCAAAAATCAGTTTCAAAAAATGTTGGAAACTTATTATTTCAAGATTTGGATAAATTGCTAAATTTAGCTCATGATAATATGCCCGTGGGTCTTAATTTTGCTCAAATAATCTGTGAAAGCCAAAGGAACGATAAATTATTTAATAAAGAGCACAAAAGAGAGCAGCTCATAGAAAAAATAAAAACAGTAGGATTATCTAACAAAAAGACAGTTTTAGCAGTTTGCAATAAGCGAGATAACTTTAGAACAGCTTATTTAGCAGAAACTATTTCATTTTTGGCAGAATTAAGATTTGAACACAAAAAAGAGGAATGGGCTATCAAAATGGCTAATGAATTAAAGGATTACGTGGAAGATAAAAAGATTTGCTTTGAAAATGATAAAGAACACATCAGCTGGATATTTGGGCTTGCTGCTTTTAAAGCTAATAAGTCAGCTATCATGAGACATATAGAAAACCGTAAAAATTTTGACTGCGAATTGCCAACTTTTAAGCATTTTCTACTTGAAAATCACTTCAGCATGGACCCAGATTACAAAGAAGTGAGATTCCTCAATCAAGAGATAAACAAATATTGACAGGATTTTGACTATTTAAAGCATTTTGGAATTGATAAGCCACTTATCAAACATATTGAATCATCGCTCAATAAGGAAAATCTTGAAATAGAAATTGGGACATTTTTTGACAAAATTTGGATACCTTTTTACATTCCAAGCAAAAAGATATAGAGGTTGCCCGATGATGGCGCATTGAGCGCCATCATCGGGCAACGCCGAAAAGGGCTCCACACGGGAAATAGATTCCATGTGTGGAGCCCTTTTTGACACGTGGAGACTCCTCACTTCCACGCGCCAAAAAGGGCTCCACACGTGGAACCCATTTCCCGTGTGAAGCCCTTTCTGGTGTTGCCCGATGATGGCGCATTGAGCGCCATAATCGGGCAACCACTATAGCTTTATGGCCAGTGGCAAAATCGGCTCTTTTATATCAATCAAATAATGTAAGAGGAGAATTTTTTATGCACCGAAACCAAATTCTTAGAAAGATAAAAGATTTGAAAATCCTTACTTCCCTCCTCCGTGAGCGAACAAAGCTCGCGGAGGGGATTAATGTTTTTTTTAAATTTAAAAAAATTCTAAATTTGCAAAATTTATGCTGTTTAAAATTAATCAGAAATAGCTGGAGATCTCATTATAATAATTATCATTTTATATATCAAAATTTTTTTGGTGGAAAATTTTTATTGGCTCACAGAGTAGCTTTTGGGCAAAAAATAGCGATTTTTCCAATGGTTTTGCTCGCTCGCGGAGAAGTTAGTGTAGAAGAGGCTTATAAAATTGATCTAAAGCAATTTCTTAATATTTAATATCATCAATATATTAATTAAACTATAAGTCCAAATACTGGACTATTCCTTTCAGCGATTTATTATCATGAGCTAATAAAATATTTTCTCTATGAAGACTGTCTAGTTTTTTAGATAACTCGTAAACTAATCAGTCTCTTTTTGAATCCTCATTGACAATATCAAGCATCATTTTTCGCTCAAATGTAAGTGCTTCTTGAACACTCGCAAGAATATGCTTGCTTACTTTTGACAAGACCTCAGCCGGGTCTGAATTTTTTGAAAAATTACAAACTTCCTTATCAGGTAAATTTGAGTCATTTTCTTCTGATTCTGAATTGAATTCAGGGGTATTTTGAGAAAGGATGCTTATGAAGGTCAGCTTAGGATCAGCGTCTTTCAAACAGAAGTCTTCGTTTGGAAGAGTTGACAGCTGGTCTTCATCACGAGGCTCTCTGGCAGGGCTTTTAAAAAAAGGTGTCCCATTCGAGCTAGTATGGTAGCTAGAATTATAAATCATTTTATAAATTTGTGAGTGTTAAGAAGAAACTTCAAAAAATCAGGAATACTATTTAATGAATAGTGGCCTTTTAAAGTCAGGATACAAATTTTTATCAAATTAAGAGGTAAGAAGCTTTCAATACTATTCTTAGAGAATTGGATTGTAAATTATATGAGAAATTTAAGTATTGGAGTTTTGGATGATGGATTGAAATATATTTACCAAAAAATCAAAGAGAACTTCTAAATAAATGATTTGGTAATCTAAGTATGCTAAATTTATTATAATGGCTTTATGGTTTATTTAAAAATATAATAATATTTCTTCTGGTAGATGATCATTCAAATCTATTAATGAGTGCTCTTTCACAATTTTTATGAATTTTTGGCTGCTTTTGATAATTTTGCTTTTGTCTTTTTGCGTTCTCTACTTATATTTTGGCTGTTGATATCTAAAAATGCACTGTAAAAATTTATAAATTTTAAAGTAAATAAAAAAGCATTCGCTGATAAATAGGAGGATTTTATTATTCATTTAAACCTTTTTATTAAATTATATAGCACTCTCTTTCCACGATTCTAATAGCTATCAAAATTTCCATTTTTATCAAATATATATAATTATATGATAAATAGATATTTATATATGCAAGTTATTTTATTTATTTTCATTATAAAAAGTATATTAATCCTCATCTTAAAAGAGCGGTATTTTTCTTTATAATATTAATTCAGAAATGAGCCTTCATCCAAATGCTATAAGAAATCTCCACAATACTCAGCATTGGCTATTTAAATATTTTTATTGTTTTTTTAATAGTAAATTTTTAAAAAATTTTTTATAAATAATTTTCATCCCCAGCATCTCCCTGATTATCAGCCCATCGTTCAAGTCCTCGATATGAAATCTCTCAACAACCAAAAATACCAAATTGTAATTTCAGATGGCGAATTTTATCAGCAAGCTCTATTTGTAGGCCAATGCAATGATATCATAAAATCAGGAATTATTCATATTTATGACCTTATCAAAATCAACGATTACGTCGTCAACATTCTCAACAACACAAAAATTCTATTCATTACTGAAATTGAGCATGTTTCTTCATATGATAGTCAAATTGCAGACCCAATCAGATATAATGATATCAGAACAAATCCGAAACCTGTGCTTGAAGAAACCCAAGAAATCCCTGAAGCACCAGTCCCAGATCAAAAAATAGCCCAAATCCCCGAAAAATTAATCCCAGAGCAAACAAAAGACTTGTACGCGCCTATAAAATCATTAACCCCATTATCAACCAGCTGGATTATTAAAGCAAGAGTTTCACAAAAAACTGATATAAAGACGTGGCATAATGCAAGAGGAGAAGGAAAAGTTTTTTCTATCACTCTGATTGATTCGTATTTAGATGAAATACAAGCTGTATTTTTTAATGCTGCAGCTGATAAGTTTTATGATGTTTTTAAGGAAGGAAAAGTTTATACATTTAGTGATGGGAATGTTAGGTCTGCGAAAAGGAAATTTCATTCTGTTGAAAATGATTATCAATTAAATTTTGATACAAATGCTGTTATTGCAGAAGTGCCTGATGATGGGAAATTTTATGAAAAAAACAATTAAATAATTTTTTATATAAAAATAATAAAACAATTATTTTAAATATCCATGATGGGAATATTGGGTTTTTGAAATTCAATTTTATACCAATTGACCAATTATCAAAACTTGAAATCGGCACAATTTTAGATGTTTGTGGAATTATCACAGAAATTGGCTCATTATCTGACATCATGTCCAGAAAAGGTGAAAATTTGAAAAAAAGGAGTGTTCGAATTACAGACCATACCTATTTTTCAATAGAAATTACCCTATGAAATGACCTTGCAACTTTGCAAGATTTCGACTCAATTTCAATTGACTCCAAGCCTATTTTAGCAGGAAAATCATTAAGGCTCACAGACTTCAACGGCCTATCACTTACCTGTGAAAAATCAATATCCTCAATATACATAAACCCCAAAGACTATAAAGAACTCGACTTTATTAAGCGTTGGAAAAATTCCTCCACAGAAAATAGGCTACAGCTAACCCCTCTTACCCATCGTACAATATCCAAAACTCAGCAAGAATTCAAAACCCTCAGAGAAATCAAAGAAATTTGGGAAGGATTAATGATATCTTCAGACCAAACTATAAGCTATACCATTATTGGCTATATTTCTTATATAAGATCAGACAATTTTTCATCATTGACTTATCCTTCATGCAAAAATTCATCAAGTTGCAAAAAGAAAGTCTTGATGGAAAGTGATGGACTTTTTAGATGTGAAAAATGCAAAGAATCGTTCCCCAACTGCACTTATAGGTATCTTTTATCGATGGTTTTTAACGATTCTACTGAAAATATATACAAATTTTAATTAAAACGTAAAAAAAAATAATTATTTATATTTTTTGGCTTGTTTAAAACACGAGAATATAAATGTGACCGGGTTTGATGAGGTTGGGAATTCTTTATTTGGGATGACTGCAGGACAGTTATATGAAGTTTCTAAAGAGCAGGAGAAATTTGATGGAGTGATCAGTGGGGTTTTTAGAAAAGAAAGAATTGGGACTTTGAGGGTTAGCAATAATGATTCAGGAAATGGGCCTAGGACAAGATATAGAAACTTCCTTGGAGTGGCGCTGCAAGCGCAGGCCACTCCATGGGGAATTCATGGGTTGGTCGAACCAACGCACAGTTTTGGTTCGACCAACTCCTATGTTGGTTAAACCAACACAGGAATTCCACATGGAGTGGCCTGCACTTGCAGCGCCACTCCAAGAAAAGAAGTATATGTATTAGATTAGATTTAAATGTGTCTTTAAAGTCCCCACTTCGTCGTCTAGAAGTTCCACGGGTTTACCCCGTGGGAGCAGAGGCGCAACCGCTTCAAGCCTGGGCCGAAACCCCCGGTTTCTCAGTAGAGGTAAAAGGTGAAGGGACGTCTTATACCGTCTTCGCTAACTGCCTCCATTTCCAACTTGTCACGCCGCCCTATTTTTACGCCAACCTTGTTCGCACCGATCGTCGATCCGCTCGCTGAGAGCGATTTAACCGGAGAGACCCCCGTTGAGATATCTAGTTTGCTTCCCCTCTTTTCCGGTCATCCCGAGAAAGAACTCAACAGCTTTCGCCATTCGGGGCAAACCACAAAAGCAGCCTAGGCAGGTATGTCACCCTGCCTCATTTAGGGCACCCACTGGGCTGGGCTCTGCTGGCAAAAAGAAGTTGTGAATAACTGCCCAAGGGTTTGGTCGCAAAAACAGCGGCCTTCGCGTTAGGCCTCTCGCCTCGAGGTCCCAAACATTGCTGGGCCAATTCCCGGCTCCAAAAACCATGCCCGGATACACGGATAACTACCCATGAGAGGTGGGTCGGACGTCATCCGCCATTTTATGTATATACAAGATATGTATTGATGAAGCTGGAGCCGATGAACTTTCAAAGAGGATCGATTTTGTTTTTAGATGAAATCAACTATATTATGGGGCAGATTTCTTTATAATTCATATTTATTAATACTTTGTTTTAAATTGTATAAATTGATGCTCAATTTAGCCTTTTTGAATCAGTCAATTATATAATTCTATTTTTATAAACGGAGATCAAAATTTTAATTATTTAAACATCAAAAATTACCTAAATAATTTTTAAATTTATTTTTACCTAAATTCTTCATAAATATGAGGAATTTATCTTGATTTTCGATATAAGTTTGGTGGTGAAGAATAAGCTGGACTTGAATTAAATGACTGAATAAATATATTTTCATTTTTAAAACTTAAAGCTTAATAGTTCACAAATTATTATTAATTTTTTGTTGAAAATAGTCTACTTTAATTAAATCCAAAAAATTAAATTTTTATTTTAAACGGTAATAATTCCTCCCACAAAAACCGCGACATAAATCCAAATTTTTGATTCATTTTCTGCTTCTTTTTCTTCCCTTCCTCCATAAGTTTCTTCTCTTCTTTTTCGTCCATGATTTTTCCAATTGTGATTGTTGTTGTATTTATCATATTTATATTGGCTATAAGTATACCTTTCCCTTCTTGCCAAAAATGGGTCATTATAAGCACATCCATGCGTAGTCGCCCCTCTAAAGCCATAATCTGGCCTAATTCTTTCTTTATAAGCCCATTCATTATGCCTTCGATAATCTTCATGTGAATATGAAGATTTTGCCTCATAAAAATCATTATCCTTATTTTGCTTACTTTGGGATTGCTGATGATTTATTTCTTTGCCTACGCTAAAATTTAAGTCACTTATTTTCTCATAGGCCTCGCCAATTTTTTTGAACTTTTCCGCGTCCCCAGTTGGGGTATCTGGGTGATATTGTTTGGCAAGGCTTAAATAGGCTTGACGGACGTCGGCTTGCTTAGCTCCTATTTCTAGCCCTAGAATCACATAATAGTCTTTGGGAGTACAAATTGAGCTAAATAATCTTAAAGAACGCTTAGAATAATTCATCAGCATTTTAGATTATGAATTTTTGGGATTAGAATATCAAAAAAAATTTTGCTAGGTGAAGACGGTAGGAAAAATTAAGCCATTAAATAGATTATGCATTTGTGAATCTCAGTAAATTTCAATTAATATGAAAAGGTATGAAATTATTATTTTTCAACTTATCAAAAGAATTTTTAACAGATAACGAATATAAGTTGAAGATAGGTCATATTTAGAAGAAATATAATAAATGGAAAATAAATCAAAGTTGAAATGCAGTTTATTTAGATACCAAAGAAAATTGGAAGCAAAGCCCTTAAAAAATTCTAAGTAGTAAAGATTAGAATGAAATGGCAATTATAATGAAAATATATCTTCAAGAATTTCCATAAAATTGATTATTGATAGAAGAAGTTCCATCCCATTTTTGTGTTCACCTGCCATAAAAAATCAAGATAATGCTGAATTAATCATCAATTGTTAATTTAGAGTATAGAAGCATTAAATATGAGCTTGCAAAGTAGCAAACAAATTAATTGTATTTATTTCTCATATCCCAAGTTATATAAAAATTGATTAACTTTGAAGAATCATCTCATCACATTACATTAAGAAAAAATAGATATTAATTTATTAGCAAGATTCCTTTATACTTCTAAATTGCAAAATGTCATATTTCAAACAAATTAGCTTTAAAATATATAAATTTCATCATTTTTTAAGATTTATATTTATATGATTCTCGAATATTAACTGTCATATCATTTTGATGTCCAAATCCCAAAAAAAAAAACTCCTTGAAGAAGTTACACAAATTCATCTACTAAGAAGTTTTGATGTTTTTACATCAAAAAAGTCTCTTCCTAATGTTTAATTAAAAATTCTTCGGACTAACCTCTAAATCCCCAAAAAAAATCCCAATTCTAAATTTATTGCTTTTCCATCCTCTTTTGTCCCTAAATAAGAGAGATAATGCTTTCCTCTTCCCTCATTTACCTTCTCTCATTGTTAATATATATAAAGTCAATGTTAATTTTCACTGACATACTTAATATGTTGCATTAGCAGTTGTAGCCTACAGAAAAAAAAATGCCTCTTAAAAAATCAAATTTAGATCAGTTCAGGCTAAAGATTATTATTAAGTAATGAATGTAATATTGGAATTCTTGTTTGTCCCCAATCTGACTGACGATGTTTATCTACCGGAGGGAGTACAGGCATAGGACCAGCCATAGATCTAGAATTTAGATTCCTTATAGATACTTCTTGATTAATAAACAGTAATTCGAACGGAGTTACAATACTTTTATTCTCTATACTTTTAGCTTGAGGGTTCTTTATAATGGTTCTCTCATGCTTACTTGACTTTGCATCTTTACGATGCAAAAGTTCATGCTCGTTAAGGTTTTGCTTGCAAGCAAAGGTTTTCGAGCACTCTGCACATACAAAATTTCTGATTTTTAGGTGAATTGCATTGATATGCCGTCTTAGGTTGTATTTTGTTCGATAGCTTTTGGTGCAATTGGTATAATAGCACTTGAATTGGTTTTCCATCATGACTCACAGTAATTATTAAATTTTGCATGAATTTTACTATTATTCAAATAGATTATTATTTATTTCTTGTTGAATTAAAGATGAAATAGATTAAAATTTGACACTTAGTTTAACTAAAAAGTATATAAAAAATGTGCCATTACTGATTATTCACTAACTTTATTGTATATAAATCAGTTTTGTTTTCTAGTTTTAAACCTAATAAAACTTTAATTTAGAAAAATATATACAAATTAATTTTAGGAAGAAAAAATTCCTACTGGCTCCTAATTAAAATTTGAAATAAGATTTGAGCAAACAGTAGGAACGCTTATATTCACTACGCTAGAAATATATCAAATTAAGGGTTAAGAACCAAAATATTTCTTATTTGCTTAAGATATAAATTACAAATTTAACTATAAAGCCGATTAAAATGCAATAAGACCTTCATTTATATTTATTGATTAATTAAAGCAAAAATCTCCATTTGCTAATAATCAATCTATCAACACAATTCAGTAGAATATTTTATTTATTGAAATTCTAAAAAACTGATTAAACATTAACTGATGATATTTTTTTATATTTTCAACAAGCGATATTATCCTGATTATCCTACTTATCCATTATTTGATTCTAAAATTATATATTATATGCCCTTCAAAGGGAATTCTATCAACAAAAACAATTTAAAATTTTTTAGACATATAGCATCGACACTAAATAATCTAGTAAACCCAATCGTGCTGTGACTAAAAGTTAAGATAAGAAAAATTATTAATTTTAATTATAATTTAAAATTTCTCTATTATTAAATAAAAAAAGTTAATAATAAAATAACTTCTTGATGATGCATTTTGGATAATTATTATGCAGCCTCTAGAGCATATTTATTATTTTTGTTAGGTAAAAATTGATAGCATGCTTGAGTCAGAATTCAAAGCTAGATTTTTCCTCTTGGAACGGATGGGGCATGGGATTGGAAAGGGTAAGCTCAAAAAGGTCTAGATACACCAGCCAAAATTACTGCTAGCGCGATATCCAGAGTTGCCTCAGACTATTGGGGTTAAGATCGTCTAAAAATTCATTTTTTAAATTTTCATGGCAGAGCATAATATAGAAAGATAGGACCTGGGCAGCAGCATCCTCATCTGGCGTCAAGCTTGAAAATGGCGAGCATCTAAAGTAAAGTTAATTAAGATTAAAATTGAGTTCAATGCATTTTGAAAATAAAAGATTTAGGATATCATTAATCTAATTTTTATAAAAAATGATAAAATATCATTTTTTTATATTATGAAGATTTTAAGCTGGGAAAAAAATATAGTCTTCAATAATTGTTTTCTTGGGGTCTTTTATTAGATATTAATTCAAATTATTTCTATTTATCTCTAATAACTCTTAAAATGTGAAAAATAAGCTTAATTCATCATATTTATTAGTAAACTGTCTCAATACTTTTTGCCAAATATGGAAAATAGTTTCTTTTGATAAAAGACTTACTCCCCATCGATGAGCGACCAAAAATCTTAGTTCGCTCACGTAGGGGTTAATTTTTTGTTGAAAGCACATATATAAATTCTATAGTAAACTTTCATTTCAATATAAGCTGTTAAAAAATTAAACAAAATTTGCAAGAGATTTGATTATAACAATTATCACTTTTATATCAAAATTTTTTTATAGAAAAATTTGAGGTATTGCCAATGGTTTTGCTTTTTACAGAAGGGGGAGTTAGGCCCTTTTTATCACTTGCACCAAAATTGATACTAATAACCGATAATAATTTTTTGAATATAGAGATTGGCTTATAATATAATTTACAGTATTTCTAAATTAATTTTACTATTTAGTGGTAAAAAAGAAGTCTGGATTCTGAATTTTTTTAAAGTATAATCAACTATTGAGTATCCAATTTAGAATAAATTTATTATTAGCTAAGCATTTTAAAGGCAGCCATGAGTCTCGAACTTAGTAGTTTAATCACCTTTCTAAACTAAATTTATAAATATTAATGTTATTAGTCATTGTGTTAATGAATTGTAAAATAGCCAAATAAATATTAGCTTCTCCTTGGCTAGTGATCTTGTACTTAAGGACGATTAATTTTTTGGGAAATTGTACATTTTCAAATGATTTTGCGAACTAGTAAAGGTTTGGGATAAATAAATTATTTACTAACATTTGACTTATTCGGAATCATTAGCAGCTAACTTAATTTTTAAATTATTTTTAGGTATCTTCAAATTCTGAATAATTTTTCATAAATCTCCCCCATCCTTGATCGAACGATTGACTGTAAAAAATTCCTAAAAATTTGGAAAATTAACCCCATCCTTGATCGAACGATTTTCATATCATGCAAATTTTTATATATATAAAAATATATATTTAAAATTTTAAACTCAATAAGGAACAAATTAAAATTATACAGTTTTAAAGGGGTAACCAATAAATTAAATATTAAAAATTGGCATTCTTACGAAATCAATTCAATTTTTTGCTGCAAAAATAATTATTAAATACTCTTAACCCTTTATTTAAAAGTATATAAAGAAACAAAAAAACATATGTTTTTAATTTATATATAAAAATTTTTTTTCTCAAAAATATTTTTTAACCCCCATCCTTGATTGAACGATGGTGAGCCGCTCGATCAAGGATGGGGGAGGAGTAAGCAAATTTTTCATTTATAAATTTGTGACAGAAATCATTAGAATCATCTATTTTTTATCATGCTTTAGTACTTATCAATTATTTGCCTTTAGAAAATAAAATTTATCGAAAATGGTGACAGTGAGATGTAAATTATTATGGAAATTTTATGAATAAAAAAAGAAATTTTGCAAGCTTTTAAATTGTTTTTCACTTCATAAGTAGCTATAATGAGTATTAATAACTATTTAATGCCTTAAGCAAAGCAAAATGGTTTTAAAGGAAAGGCCTAGTCTTTTCACATACTAAATACATTTTCTTCTCAAAATTAAATAATTAATTCAATCTTGTATATTCTTATCCAAAATCATTTATAATTCATGGCTAATTCCAAAGAGTTTAAATTTGAATTATAATTTCACTATATATCACACAAATTTCGAAATGTTTTTTATGAACTTAAAATATTTCTATCATTATCTTAGTTTCCGATTTTCCAATTCAAAGCCCTTCATATTTTTCATTTTTTAATCATTTCTAATTCTTTTTATGCATATCCAAATCCTTCATTTTCAGCCTAATCCTATATTCCCTATCACATTAACCCCACCAAAATTCCATTTTCCTTAATTCTATTATATAATCCAATCTAAATCAGTGTAAATTTAAGCGAAAAAATTATGACAGAAGACCGCTCTCAAAAGAAAACTCAACTCGACAAATTTTTATCAAGCATAAGCGATAACTACAGCAGATACGAAACAGATGCCACCCTAGATAACTCCCAAATCCTCACAAATGATAATACCCTTACAGAAAAATCAGGCTGACTTCTAAAGAAGTCTAATAATATTTTACGAGGCTACCAGCAACGTTATTTTGTATTAAAAGACAAAAGGCTGGTTTACTATAGAAAAGAGTCTGATCCTCAGCCAGCTGGGATTATTAATTTTAATCTCATAACAGTCGACGTGCAGGTCTATGACCCAGAAATGCCTAGAAAAGTGTATATTAAACCTTTAGGCTCAAAAAGGTGTTTTGTGCTTAAATCATATGATTGTAAAGAAATTATTGAATGGGCTCGAGCTTTGTATAGGCATATTACATATTCTGATGGGAAAAAACTAGACATTACGACTGTGAGTATGCAGAGAGAATTTTGGAGATTTGATAGGGTTTCTGAGGAACAGTTTAGGTACCAAGCGTGCACAGGGGATTTGATATTGTTTAAAGGGAAAAGTGTTGCAGCGAAGCTGCAAAGAAGCGTTTTAAGGGGCAGATATGACCATGTAGCTTTATTATAATGCCAGTAATTAAATAGGTAAAAAAATGTTTATTTATAAATAAAAATAAAATTAATCTAATGAATAATACTTTGCTACTCATCTGGGGATATAGCTATATTAGAAGCTACTGAAGACAATGGCGTTTCTATTGTCCACTGGGACGATTTTCTACGATACGGCTGGTATAAGCTTTATAAAAGAATAGCATTCCGTAAGCTTACAATGGACAGATCCGAAGAAACCTTACTGAAACTCGAAAATTTTATAGAACACACCAAAGGAAAAAAATATAAAATTTCATATAAAAAAGTTTTTGGTATTGACCAACATAGACAGCCAGGTGATGAGGATAATTATTTTTGCTCTGAACTGATTGCTTCTGCTTATAAAGCATTAGGAATTTTAAATCAAAATATCGCTTCAAGTCGGTATTGGCCTGGAGATTTTGAAAGTAAAAATTCTATACCTTTAACAGATGCAGAACTCGGTGAAGAAATCATGATTGATTTTGAACTGTAAAATCTGCAAAATAATTCATAGGATTTTTTATAATAAATTAAATTTTATTTAAATATTATGGAAAATAGATAAATTCAGCGAAAAAGGCATATATGCTATATTAGAGAAAATTTTAATTAATTAAAATAAATAATTTTATTATACAAAATAAGAAAAAAGGTATAAAATTAATTGAAGTAAATCAATTTTTGAAATAATTTTTTATTATGGAACGAAAACAATTTAATTTTCCCAGGCCGTTTCGATTTGGGAATGGAGATGAGCTACCTCCGCGGCAACAGTAAAAATAACGTAGGGACGAAATAAGCATCAAGCCTATAAGCCGAGACAAAGAAGAAGAAGAGTTCGAAGATCCTCCTCCGCCAGCCCTTACCCCAGCTTTAAATCCTCGTGAAAAATACAACAGGAACCCTCCAAAGTCTGCTTTTAAGCCTCCTTATCCTCCTTTAGCACCTGCCAATATAGAAGAGCTAGAAAACATTGACAAACTAATGGGAATGGATTTGTAAGACATACATAAATATGGCGATGCGAATCAACCTCCCTCTTAACACCTGTAACCAGGCGGAGTCTGGGAGCCTTGTGGAAGGGAGAGCAGCGTTCGGTATGTGCATCCGACTGGTATTACTTGGTCTGGTGGAGCGCAATGCAGGACTGACAGATCGCAGGCTCACATTCAGGGCAAGGTTTTACCCTGAGGATAATAGAAATTGGAAGTTGGAAAGGGATAGCCCAGCAAGTTCGCTTAGCCAATAGGGCATTTTCCTAGTGCGATGCCCGGAGTTGCGCCCTGGGCTACAAGTTTAATCTGGATAGCATCTACAGAAACTCATTCTTTGAACTTTTGGAAAAGGCAACCTATTTGACGTACTGCACGATCACTCAGCATATTAACCTCCCACTAACAAGTGTAAACCCTTGTTCGGAGGGAGCAACACAAGCTGTACGCTGTACAATCAGATTGGCAAGCAAGGGGGTGGTGCGAAGCAAGGGGTGATCCGAAGCAAGATACGTAAAAAACCATTAGTGGGCTAGCCGAGAGCTTCTCTATAATAATCTAATGAAATGGAATGGACTTGGAAGACCTTTTACTTCAAGACTCAGCACCTAAACCTACTGCCCCGCCCCCTAAGCCTGAAAGCTACGCCCTCCCAGCTACTTTTATTGAGAGGGACGAAAACCAAGAAAGAGAAGCCGCTATAAAAATGCAAGTCTTGGTCGATAAATGTAAAGAATTTAAAGAAAAAATTAAAGAATTAAGGGACAAAAATTTAGAAATGGCTAAAGGAAATTATGAAAAAGGCCAAGAATTGGAACATTTAAAGCTAGAAAAACTTCAGCTGGAAGAAGAATTGAAATCCTTACTCCCCCTCCTCCGTGAGAGAACAAAACCATTAGAAAAATTCCTTTTTTTTGCCCAAAAACCCACCCTCCGTAAGCAATTTTTAATAGAAAATTTTTCATGAAAAAGGATTGATATATAAGTGATAGTTAGGATAATAAAATCTCGAGCTAATTCTGTTTAATTTTAAACAAATTGCGTTTTAAAACATAAATTTTAAATTAAATAAATATTTGCATTCCAATTTTTGTGAAGTGGTATTTTTTAAATTTCAACAAAAAAACATTTACTATGAAATTTATATAGATTTTTTTAAAAAAAATTAACCTCGTCCATGAACGAACAAAATTTATTTGTCCTATGGAGGGGGATTAGGGCTTTTGGATAAAAGAGGATACCAAGGAGGAGGGCTTGCAATTATCAGCAGAAAAGCTTTAGATGACGACGAAAATAAGCGAAAACTTGATATGAAAAGAGAGTTAATGATGGGGATTGCCTTAGTTGAAGGCGATTTTGCAGATTTTTTGGGAAAACAGGAAAGTGAAAAAAATTGCTGTGATAAATTTACAGACCAGATAAAGTCATGCTTTTATAAAGTAGTTGTTTTGAAAGGAGAAATGAAGAGGATTGAAGCCAGGTATGATAAAAGTATAAGCGCGTATTTTTCTTTTTACAAATTTTTGGTTAACTCCAGCATTTTTATTCTAGCAATTTTTATGTATTTGCTGATATCACATATTTTGTATTATAATGGCAATTTTTTAGGAACCTGCGGAGGTGGGCCTTGCTTTTTGTTATATTCCGCATTTCCGACTTCTGAAGACATATCATATTGCCTTTCTTTTATATGTTTAATTGCTGCTACAGTTTGCGCATCTATTTTTAAATGGGTGAGAACTGATTACATTAGAAAAAAGCAAGAAATTTTTGGAGGCAAAGATATTAAGCTAAAAAGATTCGCTGCAATTGTATTTAATAACTGGTCATGGAATATTGACACTGAGACAGACTCATATGACCAATCACAAAATATTAGCAATCAGCTGACAACTGCGCTGAAAGATGAAGCAAAGCTAAAAGAAGCTGCAAATAGGTCAGCTGCCCAAAAAACAGCATTGACTATAAGAAGGATCATAGGAAGCTCGATATATATTTTGATATTAATCGTGGGATGGGTACTCATTATCCTTATTTTAGTGTATGAAAAAGACTTTGTCAACAGCATTGCACCTACTGGTACTTGGTCACTTGTTGTCGGATTTATCCCAAAACTAGGAATTTCTCTTGCTAATGTTAATGCTATAAGCTGAATATTTAAAGTCTCTACTTCCAGATGCGTGCTGGCACAAGCTAATAGGGTGGACTTCCACCTCTGGTACCTCTGAGCCCAGACACAAACCCCTAGTTTCTTGGTAGTCCTATTTGTGTCTGCAGACTTGCCGGGTAAAACCATGTCCAACTTAATCCTTTCGACCTTCTAAGGCCAACTGTACCTACCCTGGCCGGTGTCGTCATTTTATAGGACCCTTTTTAATCAGAGGGACCGCTATGTATGCGAATCTAACTTGCCTCACCTTTTTTTAGGTTATCCATGAGAAAAAACTCAACCACTTCCGTGGTTCGGGGCAATCCTTCAAGAGCAGCTTGAGCAGGGAAATCACCCCTGCCCCATTTCGGGCACAAAATTAACTCCCCAAGGATCAGGTCACAAATCAGCGGATCTGTGCTTGCGCCTATCGCTTATAGGCTCCTGATATTTCTGGGCCGTATCATTCCTCCTGAAAATCAAGCCCTGATATGCATGGTTACCGTCACATGAGAGGGCGGGTCGACATCATCCGCCATTTTATGTATATAGAATTTCTCTTATAAATGCTGCTTTTCCTAATCTAACCATAAAAATCACTACACTAGAAAATTGGGACTCTCCTTCATATATCGTAAAGCTGCAAATTATCAGAATTTATATAGCGAAAATCTTAAACGTCGTCGTATTCGCAGGCTTAAATCTTGCTTTAGCAACAGATGCTGTCCTTTTAGATATCGGCGAACAAATTGAATACGAAACCAATTATAATTGCCGAGAAGACCAAGCTGGTATTAATTTATTACTACTAGTAATATCAGAAGCGGTTATGTCTAAGGTCATTCCTCTTGTGTTTATTTTATTCAATTTTATTTTATCAAAAATCAGAAAAGTCTCCTCATGGAAAAAACAAATTAAAGTGTCTCAGCAGTTAATTAATTGCATTTATTTCCAAGCTTTAGTATGGGTGACATTGCCATATTTTCCATATGTGGCTGTTTTGACGCCTGTGCTGATGTTTATTGATTTCAAATTCCAGCATTGGAAATTAAATAAATTACAAATTATGCTTTTTAAATTAAATGCGAAGAAAATAAAAAAATTAAAAAAAATAAAATATTCAATAAAAAAAGAATAAGCCTTTACAGCAAACTCAAGCAAGTGACTTGGTCATTTTTATTATAAGAGTTTATAATATTACGCTGCTAGGGGCTATAGCTTATATAACCTTTTTCCTTACTGCCGATCTGCCCCACAAGTCTTATAATAATGGATCAGATTTATGTGGGCCTTTTGAAAGCCATGTATCATAATTAAAATATGGCGTCTTCGTCTGGGCATGGCCCTCCCGGCCATGCAGCCTCGACACATATTTTAATTATATCCGGCAAGGTTTTACCAATCTAGAAATGGACAGCAATGCTAGGTAAGCAATTCTGGTAATGTACAGAGCCTAGCCCTCAGTCCAATTTCAAGGTTGGGTTTTACCTCGAGGGAAAGGAGGGTTTGGATTTGGAAAGGGCAAGCCCAGCTAACTCTACAGGTAATACCCAGAGCAATCGGGCAACTGCCTAGCGTGAAACCGGGCGTTACGTCCCGGGATCCAGACTTTTCCTTTTTGCCCAAAGGTTGAACAGAAATTCCATTTTTTTGGAATTTTTGATTGGCCAACCTCGTGACTCATGCAGCAGCCGCAGAAGTCTATAGTCCGCCCACTCAAAACTGGACCCGAAAGGGAAGGAGGAGACGTACGAAGCAGAACCCCACACTTCAGAAGTGCCATGGCGTCAGGCGCTGAAGGAGAAGAAAGACTGTGTCAGAGCTGAAACTCGCCCAGCAAATCATTGTCCCAATTCAATCAAGGCAAAGCTGAAGACGGCGCAAAGCGGATGAACCACCCGTATGGGTAGGTCCTTGGTGACTGCGTAACCAATAAGGCAGACGCCACCCTGTAAGTTTAAGTTTAAGAAAGTCATGTATCAGCAACTACATCTATTATAAATGCAATGACTGATAGAGTGGTACTAAAACAGCTGTGGCTGTATGCGCTTGGATACGCCCCAGTTTTCTGGGGACTTGTGGTGATTGCTATTGCTAAAATATTTTTCTTAAAAAATCACCTCAATGTCATGGTCCAGTATCAAGATGACAGAGAAATGGAGCTTACACATCAAATTATTGATCTGCAGCGGGCAAATGCAACACTAAAGAAGAAAGAAAAATTGAACAAAGAAATGATTAATTAAATTGAAATGATTAATTAAATTAATATAAAAATACCATAATGTGGTGGATTCTTGCTTTATTTGTCACTGTGAGTGGTATTTATGAAGACCAAGTAGGGGAATATGACTGAAGCTTGTCACATATAGGAAAAGTCAGCTATTTTGCACCAGCAAGCTCAGGCCGATATATTGTTGCGACAGAAAGAGGGATAATTGCAGGTCTACGTAGCAATGGCAAAGCTGAATGGCGAAAAATCGTCTCAAAATTGGATAATCCTGTATTAATCACCTCCAGCTCTAATTTTATTGCTACTTTTTCAGATAATCAGGTCAGTGTATTCACACCTCATGATGGGACTCTTCAATGGACTAAAGGGATTCATGATGTTCTAGATATAAAAATAGTGGCTTTATCTATGAAGGAATATTTATGCTTACAAAAATCACAGGAAATTGAAGTTTTAGAGCTTTCGACTGGAGAAAGCAGCAGAGTTTTTAGCTTGGGAAATGTTGTGAAAATTATTGGGGCAAATGATGGAGAAATTGAAGTGCAAGCCAAAGAAGAAATTTTGACTATTTGGACAATTAATATAAAAACTGGAAAAACTGAAAAAGTTAGTGGCAGCTTAAAAGGAAAACAATTTTGCTTAAAAAATGCCTGTGTTTCCCAAGACAAAGATAAAGTAGAAATTTATGAAAAAGGAAAATTTTTCGTAAAGGAGTGGAAAGGGAAAAATATTGAAAAAACTATTAATAATTCCAATTACGCATTAACTGAAGATCATGAGGTCTACGAAATTAAAGAAAATTACAGAAAAATCGTGGCAGCAGGCCCTGGAATATTTTCTGCTGGAGAAGACGAGCTCTTTTGGATCTCCCCAAGCTCCACTGAATTTATCCTAATTATCTACAGCATAAACGAAGGAACCTCAAAACAAGCCAAAGTGATTTACAAAGAAAAACTCCCTCAAATTGAGCATTTCTGGGGATTTCTAACCCAAAAAGGAGAATTCGTCGGATTTTTGACTTTATCAGACTTCAGCTTCACCTGCTTCACAAGCACCGAAATAAAATGGGTCAGAGAAGAAGGCCTTGGCCACCTAAAACACGTATATTTCGCTGAGCTTCCTAACAAAGCTCTTCACCACTCCAATGACTACGTTTCCGCCATAAAGCAAGACAATTCTTGGGTAAAATCTCCATTCAATTTCTTACTCAGACTAAAAATCCAGTTACAGTCCTTCTCCTTATGGCTTGAAGGGAAATCCAAAATTGATGAAGAAAAAGAGCTGATTCAAGACGTCTTTGGTATCAATAAATTAATCCTAGGGGTGAGTGCTTCAAACTATATTTTTGCTTTACAATCACTGTATAAAAACACAGTCTGGAAAAAATCATTTATCGAGTATGGGGAATTTTACCAATTAGTCCAAACTGGCATAGAAGAAATCCTATTGATCTTTAAAGAAAATACAAATATTAAGCTTGTATGGATACTTTCCACATCTGGAGAGACTATTAAGACTGAAACTATTAAGGATTTTGATTTATTAGAAGCTATTATTTTAGACAAAACTGAAAAACCTGGGGTGCTATTGGTCAGCAATTCTTTAAAGGTGAAAAATGTCACAAAAGATGTGAAAGCAGAAAATATTTATTTTTATAAAATAGATCCTAACTCTTCTCAATAAAAAATCTATTCTACTTTAATTTTTACTTTAAAAAAATAATAAATTGAGCAAAATACTATGAACTAATTCTAAAAATTAATTGATTCAGTATTAAAACTGTTTAAATTATATTCTAATTGAACTTTCTCCATTAAATGAGGTCTAAAACTAATTTCATAAAAATTAGTGTTTTCACTTATAATGTTTTTGGGATAAAAAAATATAAATTGTGTACAATACTTTGAATTTTAATTTATTTTTATGAAGAATTAATTCAAAAAATTAATTGATTAGTGTTAAAACTGTTTAAATAGCACTATTTTCATTAAATTATGTCAAAACTAATTTATTAAAATTAGTATTTTCACTGATAAATTTTTTCTTTTAAAAAATAAATTTTGTTCCAATTAAAGGGGTTTAAAGTACCAAAAATAAAAATTTTACCTATATTTTCTTCCAATTTAAAGGTGGGGAGTAAAGAAAACACTATATTTGGATATAAAATTATAGGTGAAAATTCTCACCTTGTCTGGTCTATGGCATTATCTGCCCAAGAAGAAATCAAAGCTTTTGCTACTGAAAAAGAGTCAAAAATCCACCAGCCAGCCATTGCTACCGGCACATCTAGGCTGATCTACAAGCATGATGATGCCAATATGTTCGCCTTAGCTACCATAAAATCATCAGACCTCTACATATACGTCATTAACGGTGTTTCTGGCAGCATCCTCGCAAAACTTCGTCAGGAAGGCGTATCAGGTTCCGTCAATTTAGTTTTGCACGAAAATAAGCTTATCGGCCACTATTGGAATTCTAAATATTCCCGCTATGAAATGATAGCTGGGGAATTCTTTGACAGCCAAGTCGACACCTCAGCCACTCATGTCCTAGCTTCTTATTATGAAGGGACTTTTGAGGACAAATATTCTTCTTTTGACTTGGCAAACCCCATTATTTTTACCCAAACCTATGCATTTCCAGGCGGAATTAAAGATATGAAGGTAACTAGGACTTTGCAAGGCATAACAACCCCTGACTTGGTCATGATTTTAAACACAAACCAGGTTTATACGCTTAATTTGAAATGGCTCAGTGCAAGGAGAAAACAAGAAGAAGATAAGACAGAGGGGATTTTTGACCAGCCAAATTTGCCGATTTATAAGCCAAATTTACCATTGGTGCAGCATAATATTTTGACTTATTATATGAATTTAGATGGCCTGGAGCAGCTAGAAATTACTTGGACTTTATTGGAGTCGACATCACTGGCGGTTGCGTATGGGCTGGACTTCTTTGTGGTGAGGGTGATGCCTGAGAAGTCTTTTGATATTTTGACGAGGGAGTTTAGCAGGTCAACGATTGTTATGACTATTCTGGGGCTGATTTTGTTGAATGTGGTGGTTGAGAGGTATTTTTCTTACAAAACGCAAAGAAATAACTTTAAGCAATAGATAATAGTATAGGTTTTAAAAGATTTCTGCAATAAAAATGGAAAATTGTATGGAGCGCTGAAAGGATGGATACCAAAATTAGATAAAAGTTTTCTGCAAATGTACAAGGCCAGTTAGCTATTCATGTGCTAAACACTTGATCGATGAAGGAGGGGTAAAATTCTTATATCTATTCAATTAAAGCATTTATTAACGAATAATTAGGTGAAGTTAAAAAATAGAGGTAAAACTTCAATTCTAATCCTAATGGATAAACTTATTTTTGATTGAGGATTTAGTTTATGAAGAAATAGACTAGCCCTGATGCTATAAAAAATATATTGCGATATAATAACATTTGCAAATTAATGTTTTGAAAAAATATTATTTATCATCCTCATCCTTTTTATAAGAAATAGCCAAAATTCCATCCTTAATTTCCACGTTTTTCCATTTCCTCTCATACTGCTCGGGTATCTTAAAACTCATAGCGAAATCCCCATACTTCCTTTCTTGCTTGACAATCCTCGATTTGTCAGAATCTTCAATATAAGGTTTCTTCCTACTCCCTTGTACAACAGTAATAACATTTTGTCTCGTCAGTAAAATATCATCACCAGAAAGCCCAGGAACATCCATAAAAATTTTATATTCCCCATCCTCAATAATGTCAATTGACGGCAGAAAACTATCAGGTCTCGACATAATAAACCCACTAGAATCTTGTGACAGCTGAGGCAGCCTCATATTTTCTCCGCTTGCCATATTCCTACACTTAATTATTTTTTTCAAATAATGCTCCCCTTCAATTAAGTCTACTTCTACAGGTGTTTTATAATAAGATGTCAATTTTACTCTAGAAATCGAAAGAACAGTCTCTACCACTGAAATTGGCCTATTCACTGGGACAAAAACAGCTTTCAGCCAATATTTTAATAAAGAAAATACCCAGGGATTATTTTCTTCTCCAAGCTCGCTATCAGCATTTGCCAAACAAACATGCCTTGAAAATTCCGTTTTAAATCAATTAACATCTTTTTCTACTAAATCTCCCGTTTTACTAGAAATTGCAGCTACTCTAGTTTTCAATGAGCTCCCAGACCCATAAATTTGTGTGACTTGTGTTTCCCATATATGATCAATAACTTCTTTATTTTCCACGTCTTTTAAGTTGTGGACTACAATGACTTCTCTGAATGTTTTTGTAGTGGAATTTTGCAAACTTCGAGTAATTTTGTCAAGAAATCTTTGGTCAAGTGATGTAAAATCGTTAACGACACATATAAAATAATCAGACAGCTCAAAAACCATATCAAGAAGAAACAGTTCTGTAGCTTCTTTTTCAGCAACTGAAAACTCATTTATCACTTTAACAGGCGAATAAGACCCTGCTGTATCCAAAAGTATCAGTTTTGTCCCTGAGTCCATATGAACATGCTTAAACGACAGCCCTTTTGTATTGACTTTTTTCCCTGACGGTAAAAATGACTCTGTTAGATTATTTAGCAAAAATGTTTTTCCTTTATCATAAAGCCCTACAACAGCTACAACCGCCCCATCTCAGGCTCCTGGGCCTGCCTTAGTTTCACATTTTTCCAATGCAAAACTTGAATGCAAACTTTGGGCCTTTTCTGGGGAAATTTGCAATAAATCTTCTTCTATTTTAATTTCTTCATTTTTTGGTTGTGAATTTGAAAAATCTTGTGCATCTGCAATTTTTATGGACTGGCTTATAGGCTGGATTAAGATTTTTTGGTCTTCTTTGAGTGTATTCCAGAAATTTTGTGAAAACTCCACTTCCCACCCATTTTTATTAATATCAGTAATTAGTCCAATATCGACAACCCAGTCATACATGTCTAAGGCGCTTGTGTAGCCGGCGACTCTGTCCTTTCTTTTTTTGCTTATCATCGCGTTTCTAGCAACATCATCTTTTAAAGTCTTAATTTGCATTTGAAGTTGGTGAATTTCTAATGATTTTGATCGTTCGCGGTCAATCAAAGATTCTAATAGTTGCTGCTTTTCTTGGTTTCTGATTTTTAGTTCAAGAGAAAAAGCTTCTAAGAGGTCGATTTGATCTTGTTTTTGGACTTGCTTTGAGATAAGATTAGGAAGATTTTTTGTTATTTGATCTTCTTCTTCAGATAAAACATGAAAAAGTTCTGTGATATTTTTTAAGTAAGGGTCTGATGGGCTAGTTTCTATTTGGAGAGATGCAAATGAGCTGACTTCGTCCTCTTCTTTTCATAGTAGGTCTTCTTTTGACATGCTTTTTAAACTTATTTTGGCTTATTCCTCGAAAATTAATTAACCTTAGAAATGTGTGGACAGTTTTGGAATTTAAATATTTAAAAATTGGAGGATTAAACCTACCAAAATTGTTTTGGCTATTAGATTTCAATATGCTTATTATTTTTATAGAATGCATAGACTTTTATTATAAGATTTTTATAAGGCAATAGTATTTAAACTAACTTTAAATTAATTGGAAATTATCTTTGTATAGGTAGCATTTATTTTCTCTTCAATTCATGTTTTATTCCCTTAATTACTAACTCCCCCCCCCCCTCCGTGAGCGAACAAAACCATTAGAAAAATCGCCATTTTTTGACCAAAAACCCACCCTCCGTGAGTGAACAAAAATTTTTTTAATAGAAAAAAATTTTAATGGAAAAAAATTTTGATATATAAGTGATAATTAGTATAATGAAATCTAGAGCTAATTCTGTTTAATTTAAACAAATTGCGTTTTAAAACATAAATTTTGCAAATTAAATTAATATTTGCTTCCCAATTTTTGCAAATTAGGATTTTTTTAAATTTCGAAAAAAATATTTTTTTATAAAATTTATATATAAATTTTTTTTTTAAAAAAAAAAAATTAACCCCCCTCCGTGAGCGAACAAAATTTTTTTGTTCGCTCACGGAGGGGGGGGGGGGGGGAGTAAGGAATTATATGTGAGCCACTATAAATGTTGATAACCATAATCAATAAAGCATATATCTTATTAAAAGACTGCTTAAAAGATAGGAGCTTTACAATCATCCTTCTTACCGGAAAAATAAATCTGAAGGAATGTCTTTTTGGCCAAACATAAGCATTGATTTTTTGCTTACTTTAAGCATATGTTAGGGATTTTTTATTTTTCGAGCTTGCTCCATATTTAATTGCCAGTTAACATCTTTAACTCCTCCTCAGTTAAGATGATTATTTGAGAGAAATCAAATTGATAAAATATAGTAAGATGTATTTGGTGCATAATATTTTCAAGCTCTTTTTGCATCTGAAGAATTGATGGAGACTTCGAGATTGGCTGTGAGCTAGGAGATTTTTTGATGGTTTTAGAAAAAAGTCTCAGCACTCCTTACCAGCATAAAGCCATCAAAAATGCTTATATATTTATTATAGGATAGTGCACCCTAAAAGTAAAGTATATTTCTTCCCTACTTTAGATGGAAACGAAAAAATACGTTCGATTTAAAGGGGTGTTACACTTTTACTATTTTCTCCTTATTGAAAATCAGCATTAATAGTAGGCAATAGATCAATATCAGATTTTTGATATTCAGATATTCATTAAGTCAAAACAAAATTGAAGATAAAATTAACAAATATAATTGAAATTATCAAGTTGTGAAAAGCTTTATAAAAATTATAATATCAAACGCCCAGTAGTCAAACTTAGAATTGATTTAATAGAAATTGCCCGAGGATGGCGCAAAACAGCGCCATCCTCGGGCAATTTCTATATCCAGAAAAAGTTATTGCTCAAAGCGTTTAACCCTTTGATCAAACTAAATGATGCAGAAATGGCTTCAAGAAAATCCGAGGGTAGCTTTTCCAGAAATTGAAATACCTCAGCTGGAGAAAATCCTCTTTTCTTTGAGAAGATATTGAAAAGACTTTAAAGCTGTAATTAATTTTTTATCAAATTTCTTTATTTATTTTATTAATAAAATGACAGAAAACACTTACTCCCCCCCCCTCCGTGAGTGAACAAAAACATTTTGTTCACTCACGGAGGGGGCTAATTTTTTTTTTTAAAAACATTTATATATAAATTTTTTATAATTTTTTTTTCGAAATTTTAAAAAAATCTCACTTCTATAAAAATTGGAAGCAAAAATTAATTTAATTTATAAAATTTATGTTTTAAAACGCAATTTGTTTAAAATTAAACAGAATTAGCTTGAGATTTTATTATAATAATTATCACTTATATATCAAAATTTTTTTCCATAAAAATTTTTGTTTCACTCACGAGGGTGGGTTTTTGGGCAAAAAATAGGGATTTTTCTAATGGTTTTGTTCACTCACGGAGGGGGGGGGGGGAGTTAGTAATTTCTAGCCAGCCTCGAAATTAAAACATCAACTTGGCATCGTGACACAAACGGCCTTTACGATTACCAAGCCAGCATTACTGCAAAGAATCATTTTACTATAAATTACTCAGCAGTTTTGCACAGAGCCAATAATTCCTGTATCTTAAATAGTTCGAGTTGGAATCGAAAACTCAGTGAAGACTCAAATCCAATTTTGTCCATAAAAGCGCGTGGTGGTGAATTTATAATACAGCAGTCAGGTAACGAGCTAAATGAACGACTGTGACTTGTAATAAAATCAATAAGGAATAATGGAGTTAGAGGGTATAAAATATGTGAAGGGGACTGGATTCGCCTAGGAAGGGTCAAATTGCAAGTCAAAAAAATTTGTACTGATACTACTAAAAAAGCGTTAGAAAATGAAAGTGTTATAGTAGCTGATGGAGAAAATCCAAAATTTCAATATTTTGAGCCTTTAAGAGGGGATTCTAACGAAGTTATGGCATGCAGAATATGCTTAAACAATGAAAATTCAACAGAAAACCCTTTAATTTCTCCATGCTACTGTACGGGAACTATGAAGCATATACACATTTCATGCCTACAGGAATGACTTAAAAATAAAGCTGTTGTAATCAGCAAGTTCCAAAAGGTAACTTCTTTCTTTTGGAATGAATTATCATGTGAAATCTGTAAAGCGCCGTTTCCCTTAAGTATTTATATTAAAGGAGTCCGATTTGATTTAAACTTTATTATAATAAATTCTGAAATTTATTTTTTTATTTTTATGAAAAATGACCATAGAGCTTAATTTTTTTAAATTAAAGTTAACAATAAATAATATAATAAAAATAGAAAATCCAGGAAGACCTTATGTTTTATTAGAAGATTATAGTCCTGAAAGACACGAAATACGATGCTTGCGCATTGTGTCTCTAAATAATGGAGAATCTGCAAGCTTAGGCAGAGGTAATAAAATTAGTCTAAAAATTCCTGATGTCTCAGTTAGCAGAAGACACTGTAAATTGAAATTTATTGAAAATAATTTTATATTAGAAGACACCAATAGCAAATTTGGGACGCTTGTCCTTATGAAAAAATCTTTTGTGCTGCAGCCTCATACAGAAGTTACTGTACAAATTGGGAGGACTATTGTGCATTTATTATCAAAAGAGCCCTTTAGCTATAAGTCATGCCTTTGAGCGTTTGGAATTAAAAAGGTCATGCCGATTACTTATTGTTCGTATTTAACACAAGCTGATATACTCTTTTAATATATTTTTCCAATAAAGCTAACTACTAAGATATTATTTTTATTTATTTTGCTATAAGATATTATTGAAGATAACCCAGCGGCTTTTGGGTCTTCTCGAGATAAGACATTACTAGATTTTGAGCCAGATTTAGCAATCTCTCAGCATGAATTCTCTATTGCAAGAGAAGAAGAAAAATCCAGTAGCAATGAAAACATAAATCAATTAATATAAATTTTCAGCTAAAAATTATTAAATTTCAATAGAAATTATATTAAGAATGAAATAGCCACGCTTACAAAAACACACAAAAAGTTTGCAGAGTCATAATAATAAGGATAATTGTAAGTAGCCTGCACGCATTGATCATTATTCTGTAATTGGGGATAATAAAGATACTCCCAAGTAGCACGAGTCGTATCATCCAATTTATTCACAAATTGCAAGCACCCTGATGCACTTCTTCTGACCGTATTACATTTATTAGTCCTTTGCAAACTTTTTACCCAAGTGCTTATATAGCTAAGTCCAGCAGCATCCCCTATAAAAGGCTGACAATAAAACGCACCTTGGCTATTATATCCACAGGTGCAGCTTGATAAATAAATATTGTCCCCATCACTCCCTTCACAATCCATATCTGAGCTGCATTTAGTCGGCATCTGGGCTGTGCTTACTGGGGCTTCTGAACAAACTCCAAGAGACCCATAAAAATCATTTGCTGATTTTTTACAAAATCCTGACTGGCATAAATAAGAAAACCCATTGGTGCAGTCAGTCACAATATCTCCATTAGAAATTGTTGCGTATTGGTTGCAAACCCCGTTAGAGGTACCATAGGTCCAGTTGCAAGTAGCCCAATTGACACAGTCATGGAAATCGCGACATCCCATGTCTCCAATATTTATTTGGGCTACACATTGGTTGTTAGGGCCACATCGCAGGCCTGGATTGCATTGCTCATGGGATGTGCAGGATTCTAATAAGGCAGCCCCAAAGCAATAGTTATTTTTACAGGTCCCGAATTTACAGCTTGAAATGCAAGGTTCGCCTGGGTAAGGTAAATCTGTGTTATTGACAGGGGCTGCAATACAAGTTAGATTGCTGGTTTGGCAATATGGAGCGGAGGAGGAGCAAGGCTGAAGGTAGACTGTATTGTTGACTTGACGCCCGCAGGAGCCAGTAGGGATTGCTATATTGCTTGTGGTTGCACATTGGTAGGATAGGCAAGTGTTTTGTGAAGAAATTGAGTGTGGGGAAGGGTAATTGGCAGAGGTAAAGGGGATTAGGGAGAATAGAAGCAATGAGGGTATCATATTTTGATAATTGCAATTATGGAAAAGGTTGTTGAAAAATTAGCATTTTGTGATAAAGGAAAATAAAGTCATATTTTAGATAGGATACAAATGTGATGCCAGTTAAATTCAGTTAATATAGATGTAATAATTTGCACATATTCTCATTTTCTAATATTTTTAAGCTCAAGTTATTTTTATTAGAATTAATCTTATCTGTTGATTAAAGAAGATTTAAAAAGTTTTTACTATGGCTGAGAAATATATTTTTAAATAGAAAGAGACCTAATCATTAGTAGTTATTTTAATGCAGCTCAAATAATGTTTTGTCACTCAAATTAAACTTGAAGTATCTAGCATCATTAACAAAGTGTGCAATGTTTATTCCTTCTTTATTATATGACAAATAAACTTGATGAAAATAATCATTTATTATTGAGTCTCCAATTCGTCTCCAGACAGTATCATTTGACAATTCGCTTTCATAGATTGATCCATTTTCACAACATTCAATTGTATACAGTCTCTCTGTACTTATAAGAATCTTGTAAGTACTAGCTTGAAAATCATAAGGAATTGTTGCGAAAGTGTTGCTACCGATTGAATATAGCGCTTTCCCGAGGATGGCGCGGAATGGCGCCATCCTCGGGAAAGTCAACTAAGCATCCACACGGGAACTGGGAGTTCCACGTGTGGATGCCATTTTTGACATGTGGGATCCAAACTTCCACATGTCAAAATGGCATCCACACGTGGAACTCCCAGTTCCCGTGTGGATGCCTTCCTTCCTGGCTTTCCCGAGGATGGCGCCATTCCGCGCCATCCTCGGGAAAGCGCTATACCTCAAAAGATTTTTATTGAAATATCCAGAAATCATAATATTCCCGTTAAATATTACACTATTGCATCAGCAATCAGCTTTTGGCAGTGGCTTTAATTTAATTCATCGGTTTTCATTTAAATCTAATCTCTCTGATAGAGTTAAATATCCATTACTTCCTCCTCCTCCAAAGCAATAAACACTGCTATTGAAATAGATAGCTGATGAATGAAAGCAAGGAGTTCCAGATGGCAGCTGCCGAATTCTATAATTCTCATCAATTATCAATGAAACTCCAGAGCCTGGGTATCTACCAAAGCAAAACAAATTACCATTAGGAAGCTGAGCAATACAAGTGCGACAATCTAGTAGCTCAGGAGTCTCCACTCTCCTGACTTCTTTACTATTATTTTCTGTATCATAAATAATCAAATGAGTTCTATTTTTATGGTTTATAATTGTATAAAGAGATGTTTTTTGGCGATAAGCATTAGTATAATCTTGATAAGCTTGCTGAAGAGTTGGGTCATCAGCATAGAAATCGCTGAAATCTGAGCAGGTGCTCCTAAAGTCTTCCTCTAATTCTGGGTCATTTGGTCTATTCAAAATTTCAGATCTCTTCTCTCTTAGCTCTTGAATCTTTTGGGCTTTTTCTGCTTCGTTATTTTTGATAAGATCTTGAGGAATCTTATTTCTTTGAGAATTAAGCAAGTTTTCTTTACTGTCTTCGTAGTCTTTCTTGCTTTTTTTATTCTCATTTATTATGCTCATTAAGTGGGCTATTTCTGCTCGAAGCGACTCAATTTCCTTTCCTTTTGCCTTATTCTTTTTTCTATATTTAGATAACTCCTTTTCAAGCTGCTCATTTCTTTCCCTTTCTTTATTAAATTGAACTTGCCAAATAGCTGCATTCATAGCAGATGTTTGTGGAATTGTAATGCCTAAGCTTAGAGTTTTGTTGACTATAAACTCATGAGCTAAGATATCAACTATTGTTGGCCTCTCTTTGCGCCTCTTTTTTAGGCATCAATCAACAAAACCTCTCAGTTCATTAGAGTATTCGCTTCTTATTGGCTTATGAGGCGCATTTTTTATTTTATTCACATTATCGCCAAAAGGATGCTCAAGGTTGCAGAGATAATACAAAATGCAGCCGACTGCCCAAACATCACTTTCTTTAGTCTGGGGATGTCCACTATGAGTCCTAGGAGACTGGCAACTGGCAACACCCTGAATTGTTTTGGTCAGTAAAGATCGAGAAGTGCCAAAATCAGCTATTTTAATATCTTTATTTTCGTCTAAGAGGATATTTTGTGGATGAAGATCTCGATGAATAAATCCGTTGTTGTGCAAAGACTCGAGCCCAAAGCAGATCTGGATAAAATATTTTCAGATTTCGTCTTCTTCAAATATTTCATGGGCATTAATCTTATCAACTATAGCTTTAAGAAGGTCGCCATTTCGGCAATAATCTATAACCATGTAGAAAGTTTCGTCTTTAACAAAAAAGGAGTCTAAGCGAAGCTTATATGGATTGGTCCATGAAAGTACTTGCAGCTCAGCTCCAATATCCTTCCAGGTTGACCCTGTGCTAGTTACGGCTACAGCTTTTATTGCGTACATTTGTCCATTGCTTCTCTTTATGGCTCTATAGATAGTTCCATAACCTCCAAAATTGAGGTGATCCTTAACTTCAAAAGCGTCTGTTAAGTCTTCAGGAAAAAGCTCCATGTTTATCGATCGAAATTACTATAATATATTTTGAAATACTTTAACATTTTAAATATTACGAAAATTAATAGTTTTAACTATTGATTAATTTCAGAAATATTTATTAAATGCTGATATAAAATTTATTACCATTTATTTTATTCAATTGATTGTTTATTATTAGCACATATATGAAAGGTTTTATTAATTTATTTTATAGCTAAAAATAACTAGTTTCCATAAATCTCAAATTAAGCTGCATTATTTAAATATTTATTTCAAAGCTATTATAGAAATTTTAAAGATTGCAACTTCGAGCTGCATTTCCATCTATGCAAATATCGGAATTTTATTTCACAGCATGCAGAAAACAAAATAATTCTCGTCCTATGCAAAATTTTCCAGCTTCGGAAAATTTTTTTGAGGAAATTAATTTTATTTTCAAATAAAAATCATTTAAGTTTTTTTTGCAATTCAGATTTATCTTGTGATAAAATAGTATTGATTTTAAATCCAATTAAAGATTTGTGAAGTAATTTTGCTGCATAGATTTCGTTATGTTTTAGATCATGCTTAGAGTATTTTTGACACAAATAGTTCAATCAGCTGTGAACCATTTTTACTAATAACTGCTTTGATCTGAAATTATTTGCTTTTTTATGAGAAAGAATTTTTGGAATTAAATATGTCTTTAAAGCTTTAAAGCAGGTTGAGAGTAATTTTAATTTTCGATTTTTTCTGATGGATTCTTCTATTTTTATTGTGTAGCAGGAGTATTTTAAAATTTTAAAAAAACAAGATTTCTTTACTTTATTTTGACGGTGCTTGTCAACCATGTTGATCTGTATGAAACTTACAAGGGGAATTCTGTATCATTCTTTTAATATTGATTTTAAAAGATTTCTTTGTATAAAGGACTGATAGAAATTCAAAGCTTTTTTTTGATTTTTTTGCTTTGCAAAGAATTTATTTGAGAAAATCAAAATAGCTTCAAAAACTTTTCGCTTCTAAATTAAATTTACCAATTCTTTGTGATAATTAGCAGCGCAAAATGCTGAGGCTAATTTAAGACCGTTTTTCTTAGTTGATTTATGAAAAAAACTATAGTTATTTGCAGATTTTTGAACTTTACCACCTAGGTGTGGAATTTTTTTCCGCGTGTGAAAAGAGGATTCCACATGTGAAATTAAAAGGGCTTCACATATGGAATACTCTTTTCACACACGGAAAAGATTCCACACTTAGGTGGTAAAGTTCAAAAATTTGCAAATAGTTCTAATATTCTTCATGACCTTAACAAAACTTTTAATTGAAAAAGTATAGCTTTTTTCTTTTGCTTGTTCAAATTCGCATTCCTTTTTAATTTATTAAAATAAAATGACAATAAATGCCTTTTTCTGCACCCAATAGTGTATTTTTCTATATCAGTTTTAGTTTTTTTAAACACTCTCTTCCAATACTTTCAAAATAAAGTAATTTTTCTTTCGAGAGCATTTCGTTGCATCATTTCTTTTCACATAAAAATTCCCTTTTTCATAATCTGGCTATCATTAAATTCTTCAGCTTTATATCAATTATATTTTTTTAAATCCTTGATGTTTTTGATAGATCTCCAATGAGAAATCGATCTTTTTAAAAATTTTCTAATTCTTTTAATAATAAAATTTTGATACCTAATTTTTTGCAATCTCAGCAATTTTAGACTGTCGAAAGATTTTTGCATTAATTTTTCTTTGTAAAATGCCAAGGTACTCTCTGAAATTCCTTTTTTCTTCTTTCTTTGGTTGACTCATTTCATTCATCCATGTGTTACTTGGGATTTTAGGTATGTTTCTCTTATTGATGAAGACTGCTTTAAGCTAGCTTGACTGCTTTCATTATATTGTTTTTTTCAGATAAAAAATAAAAATAGCTTTCTAGGGGCAAGTTTTTCGTAATCAATTGCTAATTTTACTTTTTTAAGTAGTCACGAATAATAAAACTTATATGCCTTTGGGTATAAAGTTCTTTCTTTCTGTCTATATCAATCTTACTTTCAACTTGTGTAGTTCTTTCATTTTTTGAAAATCTTTTTCATTAAGTTTGGTTCTTTTTTAGTAGCGCGCTTATGGGTCTTTTTCAAAGGTGAAGGCATTTATATGAAATTTTATTTGTAATAAATTTCATGTCGCGATTTCAGAAAACAGCAATAATCATTGCTAATACATATTACTTTTAACAGTGCTTCAGAAATACTTATAATTTCATTAATAAATTCAACAAACAACTATCATTAATTTTTTTCATTTCATTTTTTATCATTATACCTAATAAATGTATATAAAGGAGCATAAGCTTGGGGAAATTCCTCAAGCTTTTTTAGTAGTAATTCTTCTAAAAACCCAAAATAATTATTCTATTAAAAATAAGAGAAAATTTACAATGGTTGATCACCTCACAGCTAAAGAATATAAAATTGCTGTTATAGGGTCAACTGGGGTTGGAAAAAGCTCACTTTGCATGCAATTCACAAGGAATCGTTTTGAAGAAGCTTATGAGCCCACTATCGAGGATTATTATAGGAAGCAAGTCACATTCGAAGGTGAACAAATTATTTTTGATATTATTGATACTGCAGGAGAGGAAGGAAATCTTACAAACTTAAACGGGCTTATTAGACAAGCTGTAGGGTATTTATTAGTTTATGATATTACAAGAAGGCAATCTTACTCAGAAGCAAAAGAGTTCAGGGACAGAGTCTTGTATGTGAAAAATGCAATTTCGGTACCGATGGTACTGGTAGGGAATAAAGCTGATATGGAAGAAAAACGAGAAATTTCATTCGAAGAAGCCACAAAAGACGCAGCTGATTGAAGTTGCAGCTTTTTTGAAGTCAGTGCAAAAACAAAGACTAACCTCGAAAGCGCATTTGCAGAGTGCGCTAAATCTATAAAACGGTCACAAAACAAGCGACAAAGAGATGGAGGACAAAAGTGCTGTTTATTATTGTAAATTAATAATTATGTCTAGTTCATTTTGGTCAGGGTATAAAGGTCTCACATCTTTTGCATCTGGAGCCATCAGCAAAGCCAAAGAACAAATTCGTGACATAACCACAGAAGTCGCAATAGAAAATGAAGAAGAAGACCCCTCTGAGCTGAAATCTCAAGTACTTGATTTAGAAAATCGATGCAATGAGTATAGGAAAATTTTGCAGGAAAGAGACTTAGAGTTCAATGAAAATCAAAAAAAATTGGAATCGTTAATTGAAGAAAATAGGCAGCATAAACAATATATTGAAGAATTAATAGATTAGATTAGATTAGATTAAAATTATAGCGGGTCGTCGGGGTTTATTTCAGCCCCTCTCCGCCAACGGATAGCTTCGCGTTGGCGCTAAGCGCTATCCTCACACCACCTTTTTCCGTGTCGACGTCACAAAAAAATGGTGACGTCAGAGGTCTGTCGGGGAGACACCCCTAAAGATCGGCCGAGCCTTTTCTTGGTCCCAAAGTTCAGCAAAAGACTCCCTTAACCTCTGACAGGGCTCAGAGTATGGGTAAACCGTCTTCTGCCTTCTCCATGGCCTGTCAGAACCCTATTGCAGATTCAAGATTGCTTCCATGGAGTAGTATCGGGACTTTGCGCCGGTAGGGACTTCTGCAGGTAAGGAAAAAAGATCTAAGGTTATCCCTTAGACCAAAAACCCACCCCTGAGAACTATCACCATGTGGCTCATCTTTCCTCGCCCGGATCAACTCTCGGGTTGTCAGGAGTCCACGTCAGATCACGCCATTTTAATAATTCTAGAATTAATAGAAGATAATAAAGAAATAGTGAAATTTAGGATTGTGATAGGAGCTGAAGATAGTGTTGAAGCTTTGGAGCTGCTAAAAGTAAGGGAAAATGAGTTAAATGAGGAAAAGGAATTGAAGAAAAAGATAGAAAATCAACTGGAGGAAGAAAAAAATCTAAGGATTGAAGAAAAGGTTAAATTGATGGAAATATTGGTTTTAAAAGAAAATGACATAAATGAATATAAACAGAGATATGAAGAACAAGGGGTGAAAATAGTGAATTTAGAAAGAAATATACAAGGAATGAGAGATAATGAAATAAAGCTGAAAAAAGAAATAGAAAGCCATAAAGCTAGAAATCTGCTGCTGGATGAAGAGATTAAGAGCTTAAAAGAAACGATGGCAAAGCAAGAAGAAACTTTTGACTCTTTGCAAAGTTCATTTATGTCAGCGAAACGAAATCAGCATCAAATAGCAGAAGAGTGCTATAAAGCTTTAAAGATAAGTGGAGGATACATAGGACTAACAGTTCCCAATATAAAATCTGAAAATATTGGAATTGAAGATGTCGCAGAATTTTTGGCATCCCAAAGCGATTATATGAAAGAAACCATAACAAGGGTAGCTACCAGCTTATCATTAAAGACCAAAGGCGCAACTGACAGAAAAATTAGCTTTAAGCATACCTTAGAAGGAATCAAAGAAGGAGTACTCAGTTTTGTTGATGAGGTCCAGAACAAGCTAAAAGATACCATTGATATTTCCAAAACCACTGAAGATTTATATCATAAAACCTTGAAGGAAAAAATGGATATAGAAGCTAACGTAGAAGAGCTTAAAAAATCAATAGAAGATAAAGAAGAAACCATAAAAACTATAGAAAATGAGCTGAAAAAAGATAAAGCTGATTTTTCGCTTATAGAAGAGTTAAAAACCCATAATATTTCTTTATCGTCAGAAATTCATGATCTTAAGCGAAAAATTGAAGAGCTCGAAAAACAGTTAAGTACAGAAACAGAAATAAATAAAAAATCAAGTGAAGCTTATAAATCACTGGACAGCCATTTTGCATCTTTGATTCAAAAGCAGAAAATATTAAGCGGTGAGCTAGAAGAAAAAGAAAAACAGTTGAAAGCAGCAAATGATAAATGCGACGAATTATGCTTTTCTATACTGAATTATGAGCATTAAAAATTAATATTTTTTTAGAAAAATTTATTTAAAATCATATAATAAAAATGATTGAAGAGAACGAAAAATCAGCTGAAAAAAATATGAGTGAAATTGAAGAACAAAACAAAAAGAAAATAAATGACTTAAAAAACCTTCATATGGCAGAAATCAATGATATAAGTCAAAAACACTCTAAAGCTATTTGTGAAGCACAAATTTCATTAGCTAAAGCTCAAAATGACATAAAGGAATTAAAATCTGCCAAGTCGCAAATTGAAAAATATGAAGAAGCAATCCAAAAGCTGCAAGAACTTCTATCAAGTTTAGAAAACCAAGTAGAAACCTATTCATCTCGCATTGATGATTTAACCCAAGAGCTCGAATCCACCCATTCCAAGCTTTCCCACCTTTCCTCAAAGAAAAAATCCTATAAACAAAAATTATCCTCAATTAGATTAATTATAAAATTTTTTTTCCAAAAAATTAATTCACTTAAATTCAACAAAAATCGTATTAAAAGAAACTGAAATTTATATCCTTGAGCAAAAAGAAGAATTTAAAGCAGAAAAATTTGAATTAGAAAAGCAAATTCAGCATACACAGCAAATGAAATCAGAGGCTGAAGCATTAGTAAATCAAGTACAGAAGCAAATTCAAGCTAGCGATAACTTGATTGACAGAAGACTGATTACAACATTTTTATTAAATTACTTAAATGAACAAAACAGTGAAAAAATCCGAGTCCAGATGCTTAAAGCTTTAGCTGGGATGCTAGAACTTAATGATGAGCAAAAACAGAAAATTGGGCTGGTCCCTGATGATGGGCTTTTAGCACAATTCGCGAATTTTATTAGTAAAGGATAATTGTAAGTAAAATTAAGATTAACAGATACATCTATCTTTCACTTGTCCACATTGAAAACAGAAAGTCGCATTGCAGGCAATGCAATTTACTGAGGCTTGATTCGTCTCATTAGAAACTGCCATTCCGCAAGCAGGGCAAGGCTTGATGTTATTGCTTTTCATCCACTTAATAAACTCTTCATCTTCTTCTGTTTGGTGCGTTTTGCATACACAATGATAGAGATCTAATAAGCATTGTAAACAGTACTCTATATTGCATAGTGGGCATTTATATTTCTTAGCATTCCCAGCATCAAATCAGTATTCGCATCTGTTGTTTAGGCATTTCATGACACCAGGGATCAGTCATTCGCCATGATTAGAGGCTTGCTTTTTAGGCTGTGGGAGAGGCATACTTTTCCTGGGCTGTTTTATTGCAACTTTTTTCTTAGGAGGAGCTGGACCTAAAATAATATTTATCATTCTTTGTGAAATTTTTGCTCTACACATTGGACAGTTTATTTCAGTTTGATTCATATTTTTCGTTTTATTCACAATCTCCATCAAACAAGTTTTGTGGAACTGATGAGAACATTCAAGCTTGGTATCATCATCACTTAAGTCATCCATACAGTATGGGCATTCTTCTGATTTCTTATATATTCCTTTTTCGCTTATTTTATATAAAATCTATAGCATCTATGCATTTTCTTTATTTAATTTATTATATCATGAATGATAAATCGCAAAATTATCACTCACATCTATATCTTTAATGCAGTTTAATAAGTCTTCGAAATCATTGTATTCCAGATGCTCCCAATCTAGTACTCTAGGGGCAAATAAAGACTCTACAATACTATATAAGCTTGATATTTCTAAACCGTCTTTATATTCTAATAAAATCCCAATGACCATATTTATGCATTCTTGTGGGGTTACAAAATCAGCCTTAGGAGAAGGAATTCGATTAGGTGGTATAAGCTTCTGGGGTGATGGAGGCTTTGTGATTGGGTGATCTATAGGGACTTTTATGTCAGCACTACAAACTTTGGGAAAACTATAAATAATTGGTGAAATTTCTTCACTTTTTACTGTTTTTAGAATTTTTTTGTTTTGGATAGTGATATCACCATTTTGAAGACCATATTCAAAAAACTCATAAACTTCCCCTATTGACAGCTTTGGCTTAGTTCTACCATAGAAATGCTTAAATGCAATCGACCATACTAGAATTCCTCTTGATGTGCGGTAATTCTTCATTGTATCTAAAAACGATAAAAATTCATCATATTTTGATTGATGTTGAGAAGAAATGTGACTGCCTTTGAATACTGTTTTGAATCTTATATCATTTTGTGTCTTTGCAGAAATTTGTTGAGTTGACCTATAGTTTTCCGAAGATATCCCATACCCTGGGATCATAAAAATAAAAGTTTCAATAACATTTAAAGATGCTTCAATTTCATATAATCTCATTAGTAGCTCTTGAATCCTAAACAGAAAAGGAAATAACTTTGCATTCTCATAAAATTTAATTGCCATCTCAATCACTTTTATATTTATCACTGGGATTTTGCGTGAAGCTAGAATTAATTCTTGTCCAAATTCATTGCTAAATCTGAAGACTTTTATTAAATTTTGATTTTTTGTGATTTTCAAAAGCTCATTCAGATCATACCTTAAATTTTCGCTGGAAAATTTTTGGATGATTTTACTTTTCATACACAAAGGAAATCCTTCTGAATTATATTCGTCAACAACCCTTATCAGGTCTTTAGGCTTTGCTTTCCGAGTGGATTCTGGGACTATTGCGTGCATTTCATTAAAAACAGGCTTAAACCAGACAATGTTTAGTCTAGTTTCGATTACAAGCTGGCAAAGGTCTTTTAAAATATCTCTTGATAAGGTATTTGCTGCAATAATAATTAGCTCTTTTCCAGTGACCTTTTTTTCCTTAATGTCATCTATTAAGCTTTCTTCCATACTTATCCCTATTGGTTCTATACTTAATCCCTCTCTGTTTTCAGGTGACACATAAATGTTAATTTTCGGGACAATTTGATTCGTAATCATGCTGATTTTCATAGGAATCATTCCAATTTCTTCAATATCTCCGCCTGGCCACTTCAAAAAGCATATGGAATTGTTGAGATTCTTCATTCTATTTGTAAAGCATTTTTCGCATAATGAAATAAGGCTATATGACTTTGCAACCAAGGTTTTGGCACTGCAGTCCTCACAAGCGTCACAGATGTCTTTGCAGTGGCAAACTTTGCAGAGAGGAGTATGGCAGCTGGGGCATTGAGAAATAAAGACAGACTCATTGCAATAAAGACAATTCATTTTTATTATCTTCTATTATTTACACTAAATAGCTTTGATTTATATGATAATCCTATAAAAATAATTTTTTTATAAAGAATGATCATTTAAGAATAATATGCAAAATTATTCATTAAATATTAAAAGTAAGAAAATTCTAGTCCCAGTTATCTCCACATGTTGTGCTTTCGCTCCCAGGTGTGCTTGGACGTGCAGAATTTTTTTGCGTGTCTTTAAAGCTTGCTAAATCAATACAAAAAACATTTTCACTGCTTTCCATTGAAGATTCAGCATTGCAGCCTTTATTGCCATAGTTTAGGTATATCTTGTTGTTATAATTTCCAAACTCGTCATTTATAACCGGAAATCTCCAATCACAAACAAAATTCCCGTCCACATTGAATTTTATTCTATAATCCCCAGTTTTCAAATTATTTTCCATAAAAAACATCGTATAAAACTCATGCAGAATTTTTGAATAAAACATCGGAATTTCATGCTCCCATGGCGGAAGCATAAAATCGCCTGTCATTGTGACTGAATTAGCTGGGCTCCTCCACCTAATCAGCCTTTCTTTTCCTTGTATCCTCATGAACGGCAGATCTTTTCTTATCAAAAACCCTTTCACGTGTTTTTGTATCAAAATTGCAGCACTTTTTCTTACCTTGACAAGTATTGCTACTTTTGCTGTGAAATGAAGCCGAGATGGTAGGATTTTTAATCGGAAATTTTTCTGAATTATGCTCGCTGCTTTATTTCGGATTTTTTGGATTTTTCTGACTATCAATAAAAAGTAAAATTTTTTCCTGGAAATCCATGAACGGAATAAGCATTGAATTTTGGTCGCTGCAGTATGTTTAATTAGGTTGTTTTTGTGGATTATTCGGTTCTGGATTCCCTTGCGTAAGAGATAGGATTTTATGTGCCTTTGTATGATCCTAGCCGAAAGATCTTTTGCTTGTGCAATTTTTTGCTCTTCGAAGTGGCATGAAAGGTTGATTTCTTGGGAAATTCCATATAAAAATGAAGGTGAAGAAATATCTAGAAGACAGCAGAATCCTATTTTGGGGTTGTCTTTGAGAGCTATAATATTGAAAATACTAGAGTTGATTTTCACCCTTTTCATTCAATTATTAACTATAATTGGCTCCTGAATAATAACGACTACTCTTAATTCTAACTTAATGAATTGTCGTAATTTTCTATATAAAAAGGCTGAATTTTATTTGTTTATAATGGCGATAATTTCTGCTAATAATTTTATTATTTATATTATGAATAATTTGTAGGTTAAAATAAAGATAAGGTGGCTTTAAGGACATAGATTAGTATACATTAAGATTTTTATGATCAAAAAATATATAAAAATAATCCGAAAATCTTTTCAAACAATACTGCACCATCCTTAAAAATTCATTGAAAAAGCTCTGAATTTGCATTTTTTAAATGCTTTTTCTATCAATTAATGAGAAAAAATTGCGTTTTAAGATACACGAGCTTTTAAGCTTAATTTCATTAATATGTCCTTAAAATAAATAATCTAATTGAAAATTATTTTTTTTTATTATAATTAAATTTTCATGATAATAAATTATTAGATAAGCAAAATGCAAGCATTTTGCTATCAACCACCCACTGCTTATTTAAGAATCCGAGTTATATCTAATATCCAAAATTAATATAAAAGGTTTGTTTCTTGTTCATCATTGCATTTTATATATTTTCTTTATGATAAATTATTACATTTTCCATCTTATTTTATAGCAGTCAATTATTAAATTTTAGACTCCTAGTTTTAAATCAAAAAAGCTAATAATTCAAGTATTAATTAGAATAAATGAATATCTAAAAAAGACAATATTATGTTCATAATCAGTAATTTCAATAAAATTCACATATAAAATAAACGACACAAATTCCAGTAATCAAAAAAAGAGCCATAAAGGAATAAATATGTCTGAGTGTCGAATTTGTTTAAATTCCTCAAATGATTCAGCCCTCATCTCTCCGTGCATGTGCAGTGGGTCTATTCAGTATGTGCATTCAAGCTGCCTACAGCGCTGGCTTAAAGAAAAATACCCTAACAGATATAAAAACATGCTATCAAGAACTAGGTCATGCAGCACAGGCTTAAAATGCGAGCTCTGCAAGTATGAATTTCAAGGCAAAATCAAATTTTTAGGCTTATCTGGGATATTAAAAAAGCTTAAAGAGACGCAGGCTTTAATTTACATCGTTCTTAACGTGCCCGTAATTTTGTATCTGGTTTATAAGTTTAACCACCTGCTACGTCATCTTTTAAATGTGTCAAAATCACATATAAATTTAATCAGGATTCAGAGCTCAGGATGCAAGAAGTTTCTAATGCTCATCAAGTTCTATATTAGGTTCTTAGTCGGGCTACTCCCTGTAGCAGTTTTCGGAGCTTCTGCTCCTACAATTGCCTATAGCACAATGATCCTTGCAAAAAATTTAATATCAGAATGTCAAGTTTTCGAGATCAAAAGTGTCAGTAGGAAGATGTAAAATTATTAAAACTCATGTAAATTAAGATAGTTTATTAAAAACTACAAAATTTCAAATTATATGTAAATTCTGAAATAATTAGGGATAATTTTGATAAGTTATGACAAAATTAAGAGGATTAAGCAAGAAACTTGAAGGAATTGCTTGCTTTTATAATAGAAATTATTGATATGAAGCAATCGGAATGAATTGCATAAAAAAGACCGGCGATTTTCAATCAAGGAATTCTGAATAGTTGACATTTTGTCTTGTCAGTTGTGGAATAAATGGAAAATTAATTTGATTTTCATAAGAAAACATTATTTATTACATATAAAATCTGCCTTATAATTTCGTTTAGTTCTAATAGTTAAAAATTATTTTATTTCTAAAAACTCCTTATAAAATAATTTTAAATAATTATTTATTATTTTAAAATTTCAGTATAAAGATTTTATGAAGGTATATTTAAAGCAGCAGGAAGAACAATTCTCGTTGTCGGCCATACTATGCCTAACGCACCAGATCCCATCCGAACTCTGAAGTTAAGCGGCATAAGGCGAGGTTAGTACTTGGGTGGGGGACCGCCAGGGAAGCCCTTGTGCTGACAGCTAAACTTTTATTTTCATGTCAAATAAGCTTATTATCATACAATTTTTACAAATATTTTATTATAAGAGAATAGTAACCTAGCTTGGGCTATTTAGATTAATTGAGAAAGCTAATTAATTAGAGTTTTAAGACATCTGTAACATAAATAGTTGGAGTTTCTTCTTTTCTAATGGAAAGGAAAATGCTAATGCTAGTATATAACTCTTTGGCTTCACACGACTCCAGAAATCGAACCATTTCGTGCCTGTGATATTATTCAATTCTTGTCCCTTTACTTAGTAGTTGCTTTAATTAATTTTTAATTTAATTATTTTGTAATAATTTAAATCTTTGAATTAATATTCTTCATCTTCATAACTCACACATTTGATACACTGATGCAAAGACTTCATAAATTCATTCATTACAACCGGATTAAGATCATATATAAGTGCGTTTAAAAGTCCCTAGCTCGGCCAAACGACACATCAAGTAGTGCCAGTCAAAAAATCGAATCATCAAAATTACTATAAAAATTAGCCTGATCAACATCGCAAAAAATCAATGCAAGTGGGGTAATATTTCAGCCGAGAAATTAATTTAATTTCTGACAGCACCATCTAAATCATTCTGTATATGCATCATCATAACTTTTGCAAAATGCCTATACCTTTTAGCAAATAGATAGCAGCACGCACTATATTCGTTTTGTAATTTCTTTATTTATTATTAAATATCCCTATGAGCACATTTTCTTTTACTGTGCAAATTTTTACCATAGGTTTGACAGTGAAATTTTCAGTCATTTTTTTGATGATTTGCGAAAGTGAGCTATACTTTTTTTCAGGTTGAACCCTACTGTGTCGCACTCTGCTGTATTAGGATATTTCAGAAGCGAAGTTGCAATTATCATTGCAATTTCTTTAGCGATCTTCTTTATTTGAGAATCTGATAAATTATTCAAATCCACATCCTCATACTTGGAGATTTCTTTCAAGACAATCTGATGATGAGCGGATTTAAACTCTTCGGGGCTTTCAGGTAATGCCTCTTCGAATTCGAGATAGGAAGGCTTTAATTTTGAAAGCAATTTCTTGAATAAATGCATAATACTTATAAAGGGGCTATAAGTTAGCAAGTCGGCAAAATATGATTTTGAATATAAAAACCTTGACATAAAATGATATATAAATGATATTATTATAATGAAATTATTATAATTTAGTTCAATTTTAAACAGCTTTCATAAATTTTAATAAATGCTTTCCATTGTTTTGCGTATATCTCGTCCAAAAATTTGATATAGATTATTAAAAAACATTCAACACCACTTCATGAGCTATTAAAATGATTTGCTTGCCGTAGAGGCGGAGCTAGGGGCACTAATAAATAAATAATGACTGCTATGACCAGAGAAATTGCTGCAATAGACCTTGCTATCAGCAATAACGATCTCAATCTCATCTATAATGTAGAAATAGCTGACCAAGAAGTTTACAGAAGAGCTGTTATGAACCACACTCAATTACAATATGAAGACAAGATAAATATACTTAGCTTTTATGATCTAAAATTAAAAGAATCTACAACATGAACAGCTACTAAGATTAAAGCTTCCAAAGATATTAGATTAATTGGAATTATTGCTATTGGACTATTATTTTCTTCTGTTGCTCATTACATCGGAGATGATGATACAGCTATAATTATTATTTTCTTCATAATCTACTCCATCTCTGTTCTAATTGCTCACATGAGAATCTTTGGTTAATTAATTGATATATTGAATAATTATATTTCTTAGTAACTTTTAAACTAATATTAACTTAATTATTTTGTAATAATTTAAACCTTCGTTGCAATTTCCATCTCTCTTCCTTTATCTTCATAGCTCACGCATGGCATACACTGATGCAAAGACTTCATAAACGCATTCATTACAACCGGATTAAGCCCATATATAAGCGCGTTTAAAAGTCCCTGACTCGACCCAAACGACACATCAAGCAGTGCCAGTCCAAAACTCGGGTCGTCATAATTACTATACAAATAAATCTGATCAATAGTCGCAAAAAACCAGCAAAAAATCAATGCAAGTGGGTAATATTTTAGCCGAGAAATTAATTTTAATTTCTGTTGTTTGACAGCATCATCTAAATCGTTCTGTACATGCATCATCATAACTTTTACAAAATGCCTAACCTTATAATAGCAAGATGCATTAAAAATAAACCCAAGCCACAAAGGCAAATAAAATTGAAAAAGTTGCCAGACGATCCCATTAGTTCTGTCATCATCTATTACAATCCAGCATTCGCCAAACCGAGCTTTGCCATATGAGTTTGTGGTTAAAGGAAGCAATGTGCCTGGCAAGGGTGCTAAAATTCCAAATAAAATAATTTTCCATTCGTATTTTTGCATATCGATTTGTTGGATTATAGATTTATAGAGGGTAAAGGCAATTATGTTGGTTCATACAATGGTTCCTAAAGGAAAATAAGAGACTATGATGGCTTGAGCCATGCAAGCTGTGTAGCTTTGAGTTGGTCCAATTAAGATACCGATTGCGTACATTGAGTCAAAAATTGAGAGATATACTACAAGTCTGAAAGAAAAAGAGCGGATTTCTTTGTACCCGAGATACATGATAATCACAAATAAAGAGCCGAGTAAGCTAGCACAGCTGCATACTATATCTGCTGCATAAACTCCAGATTGTTGGTCATCTGACAGTTTTCCCATAATTTATGAAAAGGGATTTGAATGTCAGAATACTGATAAAATGAGGAATTTTGATATAAAGAATTTTTCATAATTTTATATGTATTTAATTGTTTTAAATGCAAAGTTGTATATCATAACTGATAATTCCGCATATATTCTAAGCAAAATGGCTTTATTTTCTACTTACAACAGTTGAATAAATGAAATTTACCCTTTTTATCTTTCTCCTCCTACATGTTTATGCTTCTCTCAGAGCTTCCATCGTAAATCCTGAAGCCTACATGAATTTCATTGAATATTGTCAATTTTTACGCTACCCAGTAACCCCTTATTGGGTCACCACCCCAGATGGTTACATTCTTAATCTGTTTCGCATAGGGAAAAAACATTCAAAAACCTTTAACAAAGGGACTCCCATTTTCATGCAGCATGGACTTGTAGACTCCTCTGATGACTGAATTATAAATGACGAAGACCTAGCCCCTGGCTTTATTTTAGTAAATTTAGGGTATGATATCTGGTTCGGAAATACCCGTGGGAACCATCATTCAAGGAACCACACAACGCTAAATCCAAATACAGACCCACTGTTTTGGAATTACACTTGGAATGAGATGGCTGAATATGACATTCCGACTGAAATTAATTTTGTGTTATTCTTTATTATATAAGATTAATAATTAAAAAAATTATTTTTATAAAAAAGATTTTCATAGCAAAATAGCATAAATTTCACTGGCTATCAGAAATTAGTTTACATCGGCCACTCACAAGGGACAACTATCATTATGGCCCATCTAATAGAGCACCCAGAATTTGCATCAAAATTAGCAGTTTCTATTTTACTAGCCCCAATCGCAACAGTTATGCATCAGACTTCAAAAGTCCTTGCTGATGCCAATCACCCTGAATTTTTTGACCTGATGGCAATGTTTGGGATTGACGAAGTTTTTAAAAAAGATTCCCTTATAATGCCGTGGGTTTGCGAATATTTAAATCTCGTCTGCAAAGATGTAGTTGACATGATCGCAGATTCTGATGGAAACGTAGACAACAACGAAAGGCTAGACGTTATTATGGGGCATTATCCCAGCTCAGACTCTTTAAAAAACATCAAAATGTGGAGCCAAATGGCCTTATACAAAGAGCCAAGAATGCAAAAATTCGACTATGAAGATCCTATTAAAAACTACGAAATCTACGGCTCAGCAAAGCCGCCTGTTTATAATTTGACAAGCCTGACCTCAAATTTTGGACTTTTTGGAGGAGAATATGACAGACTTGGCGACCAAGTTGACGTCCAATGGCTTAAGTCACAAATAGTAAACGCCAATATTATGTGGTACAAAGACGACTATCCCCTCGGACATGGCACTTTTATGTGGTTCAAAAATTCTACATGGTTTAACGACGTTATTTCATTAATTAAGAAAGTAGTTTAAATATTAAAAAATAGCGCATTCACATTGACGATTCATAGCGACACTCTACATAAAAATTACCTCAATTGTCATTTTCACGTCAAGCTCTTCTTCGCCTTGGTTAAGCTTTTCAAGACTATTTAAAGTTTACAGTTGCCTTAGGACTTTTTTTTGGATATTTTTTACGATTTCGTTAAATTGACTCATTCTGTATCTGTTAAGTGCCAACTCTGACCGCAGTTCTATAATTGATTTTGAGTTTTTGTGCCCTTCTGCGTTTCGGAGATGCTGCTCAAAGAAAAGTTCTTGGATTTTCATCTGTGAGAGCTGATTTCTCATTTCTTCAAAAATTGTGCCTAATAGTCTGGCGCAGGGCGAGTTTTGGTTTCGTTTAGAAAATTCAGCAATTGCTATAAATTTTCCTGGCCCGCGAGCTTGGATTTCATATTGATCCATCGCATAAGTCCAATCGGCTTCAAGGACGTCAATATTCATTTTGTATTCATTTAGCTCAATTTTTTGGAAAACTGGATTAAAAAGTGAATAAATTATATCCAAATTATAGTTCAATGAAGAATTCAAATTTTGCTTCAAAATTTCTTTTAATTCGTCTTCATAAAATTTCATTAATTCTTGCAGAGCATTATACATGTATTTTTCATGCCTTAAATGGCAGCCTAAAATACGACCTTCTGCTATATCTTTTTGTCCCTTGATGAAAAGCTTGATCATTTGTTCTTCAATTGGGATTTGTTTTATTATATCTTGTTTTGCTTTTTGGTATTCCAGCATAGAGTGAGCTGTGATTTCTTCATATTCTCGTTGGACTATGAAGTCCCAGGTATTCGGGACTGGTGGAATATTCCCATCATTTATGAATTTTACGTAGTTTTCTAATAGTCTCAGTAGGTCTTTGCCTTTTATGCTTCTTCCTTTAACTTTTTTTACATTAGATCTCCTTATGGCTTCCCTTATTTTTATAATTCCTTCTTTAAATTCTTCTTTCAGCTCATTAAAAGGAATTTCATCCATATTCTGCAGCATATTTTCGCTATCAACAGGTCTTGGCAACACATAGCAGTCTCTATTTTCAAAGGTTTGGCCAATTAGCTGCCTTCCCACTTGGATATTTTCTGCACTCCTCCCTTTGATTTGTTCTCTTAGCACTCTTTCTAAATACATTTTCGACGTAATTGGGTTCCCATTCTCGTCTTCTAGAGAAAGCACAAAATCTCTTAATATTCATATGAAATTTGGGGTAAGTTTTTCTGTGTCATCAGATGCTGACTAATTAAAAGTTACTTTTAAATTGAGACACTCAATAAAATACAGAGCAAGTACAAGCTGATTTATGCTGCCTTCGTCAATGACACCTTTTGAGTTATAGATTACTAAGGAGGACAATAATACGGCTAAGGCAAAAATTTTTGCATCATCTTTTGAGGATCTTGAGGTAGACCCAAAGCCTTCAATATCAAGGTAAATAAGGGTTTTATCAGATAGAGGCTCTATGAACATTCATATGCCTTGGGTGAAAGCTCGGACGTCGTTTCCAACGCCAAAAGTGCTTCCTTGGATTCCTAATATAGAATTTAAAGCAAAGGATTTTCCAGTTCTGTAAGGTCCTGTCATAGAAATGACACTTATCGAGGATTTTATGTTAGATAAAGCTTCTGATCCTTCAGATGTTATTTCTAGCTGCCCATTCGGTGAATGAATTACTAAAGGGAGCGATGCTGCAAGTTTTTCCATCTTAAAATTTATTTGAGAAATATATCTGTTATTTGATAAATATTTTCTACTATTCAGAGGGAAAATATCATTTAAGTATATAATTAGGTGTTATATTTTTTATTATAAGTGCATGATGTTTCTCAGTTTTTAGGTAGGCTCAATTCTTTATTTCATTTATGATTCATAATACTTAAAATATGTTTTAGCATATATATGCTATTAATATCAATTTTTCAAAAAAGCAAAATTCTCATAAAGCTCATAAATTAATGTTTTTTACAATAGAAATGGCAATTATCTGATAAATTATTTTACTTACTCCCCCCATCCTTGATCGAACGGCTCGCCATCGTTCGGTCAAGAATGGTGGTAAAAAAGAATTTTTTTGGGAAAAAATTTTATATATAAAAAAAAACCATATATTTTTTTTATATATTTATTAAATAAGAGGGTTAAGAGTATTTAATAATTAATTTTACAGCAAAAAATTGAATTAATTTCATAAAAATATCAATTTTTAATATTTTGATTTTTTGGTTACTCCTTTAAACTGTATAAATTTTAATTTGTTCCTTATTGAATTAAAAATTTTAAATTTTAAAGAATCTCTATTTTTAGATTATTGAGTTTTTAAGCCTAGGTTGATGACTAAATCACTTCGGATGGCTGATTCCGTAGCTTTATGTGGTCTCAAAGCCTCTGAAAACAACTTCATTAGGTACATCTTCCCAAGCTTTTAATAACTAATATATTTTTTTTTATATATAAAAATTTGGATGGTATGAAAATCGTTCGATCAAGGATGGGGTTTTCCCAATTTTTAGGAATTTTTAAGTGAATCGTTAGATCAAGGATGGGGGGATTTAGGACCTTAAAAAACATGGTCAGAATTTTATAAATGTCTGATATCAATGATCAATATGATCCATATTTTCAATGCTACAATGCTGTAAAATCTGACCCACTTTATTACTACTGTGGTGAATATACTACAATAAAAGAAATTTCTCAATCAGGAATTTATTCTGATAATTGCTTATCAGGCATGAAAATTCTTGACTTGGGATGTGGCTCAGGAAGAACCATTGCTCATTTATTTGAAAAAGGGGCCTCTGAAGCTGTCGGTCTAGATTTATCCCCACATATGGTCGAAGATGCAATAAGATTTTTAACTGAAATCGGAATTCCTCAAGACAAATTTTTAATAAAGCAAGCCAATTGTTTTTCATCAGCAGAGCTTTATAACGCCTTACCATTAGAGCAATATAGCGAGCATTTTGATGCGATAACTGCACAATATTTGCATTGCTATGCAGAAAATTTGGATAAGCTTACTGAGTCATTTTTAGTATCCAATAAATGGTTAAAACGAGACGGAGTACTGTGCTTTACAGCCCCAAATCCTAAGATTGCGACAGAATTTGAATATTTCCAAGAATTAGCTGAAACCAGGAACTTTTTTCTTCAATTTAAAAGCCTGACGCACTCAAAAGAACAGATTCCAAAAGAAAAACTTGCTTTTAATAATCTAGAAACTGGCAAAGAATTGTTCAGTGTTTCAACTTTTCTTTACCAAATTAACCACTTTAGAGAGGCACTTAATCGAGGCGGATTTGAACTTATCAGTGCTAAGGGGTTAGAAATGAACCCTAATTCTGGCTTAAATCTTGATGATGACAGGAATATTTTGAGAGTAGGGGAATACTCTGATGGATATTCTTTTAAAGCTAAAAATAATAGTATTTAAGAATTTTATTATCTGTTTTAAATAAATCGAGCAATATATATTAGCATAATAGCAAAAAATAATAAGCGTTCCTTTTAAAAATTCTTATTTAGCTTCATTTGATTTTAACAACTTTTTAATGAGTTTTTTCTTATAGTGCTCAGTGAATGACTTAAACTTATTGTGATAAGTTTTTGCCAAATTTTCTTTAAAACTCCCTAAATCTTCCTTTAACCCTTTCAGTGCTGAAAAATATTTTTCTGTAAGTTCTAATGCTACATTCCTTCAATGCTCTTCGTCAGATTGGATTTTACAGTCTTTGCACAGCTGAGGCTCTTTTTTTACTTTCTTTTTCTTCAACACAGCTTTTTGTGCAGGCTCATTTTTTATCCATTTCATTTCGTTTTCTTCTTTTTTCGCTTTTTCTTCTTGATCAGTCTTTATTTTCTGTAATTTTTCTTTCAGATTTTGATATTTAACCTTTATTTTCCCAATTTCAATATCTTTTTGCTTCTGGATTTTCAATAGATTTTCAATCTCAGCACACTTTAAATTCACTTGTACTTTATGCTGCTCAATTTCTTGCTCAAGAATTTTAATTTGGCTTAAATTGCTGCCGCTTCTATTTTTCTGGATTTCATCAATAAGTTTTTCGAGCCTTTCAATTTCCTCCTGAAATCTTTCTTTTTCTTTGCTGTGGAGCTTTTCTTGCTCTATAAACCTAGCTTTAAGTTCTTTATAATGCTTGTGTCAGTCTTTTTCTGGTTTTTTTGGATTCTTATTTATTTCGGATATTAAAGGGGTTTTTACAGGTGATTCTTTTCTATCGATTTCTTCAAATTTATATACATTTTGAGGGATTTTACTATAATTTGGAATTATTTTGTCTTTCCTCCACTCATTAAGCTCTTTTTCTGCTAATTTTGTTTCTTGGTCAGCCTATTTATGTCCTACTTTCATCAAAATCTCCAGTCTCCTCTCTCTTTCCTCGCGGGAAAAGCCCTGCTTTATTATTTCCATTTAAATCAATTATATTAAGAATCCAATATTTTATTTGCAATTTCCTCAAGAACAAATTTAATTGGGACTTTCTCATTAGTTCCTAATGCTTTTCTTGCCAACTAAATTAAAAATTACCTGAAGAAACATTTTCATTTCATGAACAAATAAAAATAGCTGCTCAATTGCGTCAAACTCTTGGTCGTCATCTTTCAACTGAAATAGCTTCCTAAAATGCCTAGCTTAAGTTAAGTGTTAAAGGTATAACTGGATATACCACTAGCCAGCTTATCTGATGTAACCTAAGGATTAGTTCTTAGGTTAGAGCTACTTTTTGCGGATGCCCCACTAGTCCAGATGAGCAAAGACAAAATCTATCTAACCCATCTGGTAGAGATAGTGAAACAAAACTTTCATTCTTCGGCAGGCCTCCCCAAACCCGAAGGCCTACTTCCAAAAATGACAGAAGAACTATTTTCAGCTTCATCGAGCCCTTCTGCTCCATAGAGAGTGTGTCTTGGAGTCCATTTTCCATTAACGCCACCATTTTTTTCTAAAATGCCCTAACGACTGTGCTTTAATGATCTAATTATTTTTTACTAAATTTTCACAGTCATAAATTTCAGTTCCAAAAGCAACTGCAATGTCTTTTTTAAAATCATTGAAATCTCTGGCTATATTTTTATAAGATTTTAGAGCTTTTATCGTTTCATCAACATCATCGTGCATATTACTCATAGTAAAAGGCTCATTGAAAAGCTCGATATGGATTTTATGATGTTCTAAATTAAATTTTCAAGTAGCTTTTAACTGTATTGAAGTTTGAATAAATTATATTAAATATGCATATTTATTGAGTCTTCTAATGATTTTGATGCTAAATAAGCCCCTTTCAATTTTTCTATTTCTTTAAAAGCTTCAGGTACTCCTTGGACACCTAGTCTATCAAAGATGCCTTGAATCGAATAAGAGTCTCTGCTCATTTGAAAAGAAGCATTAAGGAAACTTAAGTTTTCTGAAGATTTGCTGAAGCCTCGGTTGTCTTGAAGAGAAAGTCTCATACGCGAAATTTCTTGATCTTGCATTATGCGTTGCTGCTCATACATTAATATGATTGCCATAATTTTTATATCTGTGGGCTGCTTTTCATCATAATCTCGATTCATCATTTTAAAGAAAACTTTTTTTTCTTTATCAATTACTGATGAATTTAAAATATCCAAATTCATATAATTTTTTCCAATAATTTATTTCAAAAATAATCTTTTTCAGCTAAAAAATACTTGCTAAGTTCATAAAAATTTGCCATTTTAATATAAAATGCATATCAACTATAGATTTTTCTGCTGATTTTAAATAGAGTTTTGCTTGAAGTTCTCTTATCAATGAATCTTTTCTATGTTGCTCCTTTTTAAACTTCCTCATTTTCTCATCCATCTGCATACAGATTTTTTCTAATTCTTTAACATCATCCGCTAATTTATTATTTGTTTTTTCTGTTTTTAGAGCTTCGATTTTATTTTCAAGGTCATTTTGGCTGTCTTTAAGTTCATTTATTTCAGAAATAGCGTTTTGGTATTCAATTGACCTTTCTTTAAGAAGCTGATTTTGAGAGGTAAATTCATAAAGCAAATCTACTAAAGTATCAGCCATGCTGGAGCTATCAGGGATTAAAAATTCGTCTTTTTCAATGAGGGTTATTGGGTGAAATCCGTACTCATTAAGCATATCGTTTATTTCGTTCCATAAAATTCCGCCTGTGCTTTCAGATTCTTCGGAAGACTCTTCAAATTCTTTTTTCGGGCTAATTTTTTCACAGATTTCACAGATTTTTTTAATTTCTGTTTGAATGTCGTTAGATTGCTTACTCCCCCCCCCCTCCGTGAGCGAACAAAACCATTAGAAAAATCGCCATTTTTTGACCAAAAACCCACCCTCCGTGAGTGAAACAAAATTTTTTTAATAGAAAAATTTTAATGGAAAAAAATTTTGATATATAAGTGATAATTAGTATAATGAAATCTAGAGCTAATTCTGTTTAATTTTAAACAAATTGCGTTTTAAAACATAAATTTTGCAAATTAAATTAATATTTGCTTCCCAATTTTTGCAAATTAGGATTTTTTTTAAATTTCGAAAAAAATTTTTTTTATAAAATTTATATATAAATTTTTTTTAAAAAAAAAAAATTAACCCCCCTCCGTGAGCGAACAAAATTTTTTTGTTCGCTCACGGAGGGGGGGGGGGGAGTTAATAAATTCTTGGACACTGTTAGTAAGATTAGGCTTGGCTTCTTTATGATTATAAAATTTCTCTTGAGAAGAAGTCGTTTTAAGATTCCGAAGGCTTGGACTCCTTTTTGCGATTTCTAACTCTCTCTTGCTGTTAAAAGATACCCTCTCTATAAATTTATAAAAAAACATTTTTTATCTGATTATTTTTTATATAAAATTAAAATAAAACTCTTTGCATACTAAATATAAATTTTATTAACTAATTGCCGAATTTTAATCAATTTTAACTATATAATGAGAAAAAGTCGCTAAGCAAGGGAATAAGGTAGAAAGAGGAGATTTATTTGTTGTTTCTATCTTTGGATTGCCACTATACTCAGATAATAGAGAAGAAGTTGAAGATTGAGGAGATTCCATATAAGTATCTTCAAAACAATTATGAAAAATTATTTGATATATATGGAATAGCGAGGGCAAAGGAATCCTAAAATAAATCTCAAAAAAAATATAGGCTGTTTGGCCTTTTTGGGGATCTACTGGTCGAAACCAGTAGTCTATATTCCCATTTAGAATAGGAGACTGGTAATGAGCATCAGAACAGTTTATTGGCATGCAAAAAGGAGCAATCGCTATAAGATTTATTTACCAGTAGAAACAAATTTTATTATAGACTATATAATCAACGTTATAATCTGTTAAAAAATAATCTTTAAATGTTTAGAGAAATCTATTTTATCATTAATTAAATTCGAAAATTTCCACTTTGAAGCTAAATCCCAAAGAACTGGAGGCTATTTTTCACTCTTCTCGCATCAAATTTAATTTTTGTAGCCATTGATTTTACTTCACTGGAAGTCGGTAAAGGATCAAAATTTTTAACAATTTGTCGTTTATACTTTTTTGGCATTAGGCGGATTAAAGAATCTTTAATATTGCTTAAGTTCTGGCTTTTCTCAACTTCTGAAATATGGCTTTTAGAAATCTTGACTTCGCTGACTTTTCGAAAAAGCTCATGAATTTTGCTGCTTTTTCTTGCAGATCCTCGATGTATATGCTTTACTACATTTATTAGCTACAAATTATTGTGCATTTTATTGATAAATAGTTTAATGGGTGCATACTTTTTTCTCTAGGCTTTTTGATAATGAGACATTTCATCTAGGACGTCGATTTTTTTCCCCTTAAGACATTTGATCAGAATTCGACTGTTTTTCAAAAAACAAATGTCTCACAAGACAAAAAAGTTTCGACCATATTTCCTGACTCCCCCCGCTTTAAATTGGAACAAAATATCGGTAAAATTTCCACTTTTTTGGTAAATTAACCCCCCTTTAAATTGGAAACAAAATTTAATTTTATAATAAAAAATTATATATTTTTTTTTATCTAAAAAGTTTTGATATAAGTTAAATGTTTCTTCTTAACTAAAATTAAAAATTTATTTATATCTTGCTCTTTTTTAAAGAAAAAAGTATAAAGAGCATCTTATTTAATAAAATTGATTATCCTTAATTGGTAAATTTTAAAAAAAAAATTATTTTTTTTTTTAAAAATTTTCAAAAAAATTTTTGTTTTTTTTGATAAAAATGATCTTTTTTATTTGGATAGTTTTGATATAAATTCAATAGGAATTCTTTATAAAATTTTAAAATTTACTTATTTCTTGCTTTATTTTAAAGAATAGAGTATAAATAACATCTTATTTAAAAACAAAATTAGCACTTTGATCGATAAATTTTCCAAAATTTTTTTTTTTTAATTTTTTTTATCAATAAAAATAATAATTTTTGTGTGTAAATAATTTTGATACCAATTAATAGTGGCATATTAACTAATAATGAAAATTTAGTTATATCTTGCTTTGTTTTAAAGGATAAAGAGTAAATAGCGTTTTATTAAACAAATTTATTGATCTAATTCGATAAGTTTTTGAAATTTTTTATATTTTTTATAAAAAATTTTATATTGATATTTTTTTTTAAAAAAAAAATTAACCCCCCTTTAAATTGGAACAAAATTTTTAGTTCCAATTTAAAGGGGGGGGGAGTGAGGAAATGTCTCTTACAAAAAATCCTGATCAAATGGCATGGAGCCTAGTTTATTGATTGTGTCGACAAACTAATCTTGAAATTATATTAATATTGTATAAACAGTTTTGGTATTGAAGGCTTATTGAATTCTTGAGCTTCTTTTCTTGCATTTCAATATGACTCAATGTCTTTTGAAAGGTCAGTTTCATAGTTGCACTTTCTCCTTGATAAAGTGCTCATACTTCTTGGCAAACTCACATGCCGGGTAAAACGATGAATTTCGTCTACATCAGCCAAGCTTTTCCTTGATAAGTTTGGAAGCATTATTTATATTTGGCTAGTAAATTTATTTGGTGTATAGATTAAATTTTAGAATTACTATAAAAAATCAGTTAAAGTTCTATACATTTAGCTGTCTAGTGCAATTATGATAATATGAAATATGATTTTGGATAAATAGGTTATCATTATATATCCAAAACAGATGATTATTAACATAACGTATAAAGGTTTATAAAAATGAGCCACAATTATTAAATAGCAAAATCATTGAAAATCTCATTATTTATAGCTTACTTCTTCTCTCACTAGGACTAAACAAAGACTTATGCAAAATTCCTCTATTCTTCTTGCAAGGCTCAATAACTATAACTGGCAGACTTACATTGATTTTTTCTTTATTAGTAAAATATTTCCAATGGAGGAATGAATTTCTTATGGGAGCTAGCCCTTTTGATTTATTCATCATTCTTCTAGCAAACCATAATTTTTCAATGCCATGGTGAATTCTTATTCTTTTTACAGAACTTTTTAAATCATCATATTTGTAAGATAAAGATGGTTTTGTCGATTTATTGATTGGGGATACAATCTCTGAGACAGTCTTTAGCTTTTTGCGAAGTGGCGAATTTTTGGTTAATTTTGGGGATTTTATTATTAAGTTTGAGCATTTCGATACTGCTGAAGAAGATCTTGAAGCAGATGGAGATATTGAAGCTGAAGGAGATCTTGAAGCTGATGGAGACCTTGAAGCGGATCGAGACCTTGAAGCAGATGGAGATCGCGATATGCTTTTCCGTATGTTTTTATTGGATTTTGATGATTTTGACTCTTTCTTTAGAGGGCTTAGGCCTTTTTTATTTTTGCCATATCCTTTTGATTTTTTTGTTGAAAAATAAGCTAAAACTTGTGATCTCCAAAAGATTCATGCTATGATTTTCTTTTTCTCTAAAATTTTAGAACGGACTGAAAGCAGTTTTTGCATGGCTGAATTTTTGGACATACAATACATAGAGTGTTTTAACTGGCTTATTTTTTTAAAGCTATTTTCTCTAAGACTCCTAATAGTTTGTAATGCAGATACAGTGTAGCTTCATTTTAAAAAATTTTTTTGCTTTTGTTTGACTATATATTTATTAATGATTTTTCATAACAGTTTTTCTCTTAAAATTATTTTTTTCATTGAATCTAATGTGCTTTCCTTGATTTTTTTGAAGATTGACTGGGCTATTAATGAAAGGGTATAAGAAAAGCTTTTACAACTTCTCCATCTTTGGTCAGAATATGGAGAAATACTTTGCTCAGTCCAATTTTCATTTGTGAATGTCATATTTGAAAGTGAGTTTTTTTCTATTGAGCTGCATTCAAGTTTTTTCATTGAAAGCCACCTGCCAAAGTAATTTCTTAATGTTTTTTGGGCATTTTGCTTACATCTTAAATAAACAAATGCAATTGACCTGTGCACATATGAGTTTTTCTGTTTCTTTGAATTTTTAAGCAGTAAGAACGACTCTTTTGCTGCATTTTTTTGGTATTTTGAGACCATCTCGCTAAAAACTTTAGAAAACAGCTTATTTCTTATTTCCCTCCTTAAATTGGAACTATAAATTTGTATCCTATCAAAGGGAGGAGCTAATTTTTGTTTAAAATAAATTATATTAATTTTTCTATAATAAAAATATCAAAATTAAAAAATATAAATTGAACTTTAATTTATTTATATTAAGAATTAATTAAAAAACTAAATCGATTCAATGAGACAACTGTTTAAAAAGCATTCTATTTTCATTTTTTGCATTAAATTAGGTCAAAACTAATTTGTATAAATTTTATTGAAAGCAACATTTTGTTCCAATTTTATAGCCAGAGCTATAAAGGGTGCTTAAATAACCTAAAAAATGGAAATTTTACCTATATTTGTTCCAAATTAAATGGTAGAAGTTAGGAAAACTGAAGGATCTTTTATACTGACTAGTGATCGCTGGCTTGATAATGGCTCACTACAGCAAGTCGAATTTTTAGTGCTTGTCATCGTCATCTGCAAATTTCTGAGTTTTTCACTTATCGTTTGATATTGGATTTTTGTGTTAATAATCAGCCGATTTTCTTTCAAAATTTCAATTTTTCCAATTCCTTTTTTCATTTTATTGCCTTTTAAAATTTCAAAAATCTTTTTCTTCATAGAGTCTTTTCTATGATTAACCACTTGCAAAACTAATCGCTCATATACACTTTTTGCATCAATTTGGTATTCTTTACGGATTTTTGGCTGCTGTTCTACAATTGGGAATCTTTTGAGTTGAGTTTCATGACTCATCGCCATATCTTTTAATTCTTTGAAAATTTGAACACTTAAAATGTCTGGCAAATTAGCCTGCCCTCATATACTGACCAGAAAATTCACTTCGGAAAGTAATTCCCATTGAAGTACGGCGCGGTGACCTAGAGTTTTTGCCTCCAGGTTTTCAGGTTGCGATTGTTAGCTCTCATCCAAAGGGATCAGCACATACCTTCAGGCAATGTAATCGGAGTGGCAAGAGGGTGGAGAGAAGCAAGGGACGTGATAACTTGCCGGAAGCTACTCAATAATAATCAAAGTTAAGTTATTTGAAAATTTGAAAATTTTCGGTTAATGCAAATTTACCTTATAAAGATTAGAAATAATTCTTTTCAATATTTGAATTCAAATTCCATATTGAAAATTGAGGAATCTTATAAAATTGCTAATTTGATAATTTTTAAGGATTGATTAGATCTATTGATTTTGTATAATTGTAAAATTAAAAAGATTATGATAAATTTTATATTTATTTGGTACTTATATTTGCATGGTATTTGTGAATTATGCTTCATTGTTTCTGTCCATATATTTAATTAGTAAGAAGTCTTAAACTAAACTCTTTAGGAAAATAATTTACAAAGGCTTGTTTTCAATTGATACTTCTGTGTACTCTCGAGTAATTTTCACCCCTCTATAAAACTCATTCGGATTTATATTTTCATGATAAGGGCTGAGGATTTTTCTCCTATAAAACTGTGGAATCCCTCTTTTTTTATATATCCAATATACTATATTTTTTCACAGTGACCCTCTAAAATAAGGATTTAGGTGCATTTCGTCCCATAAACCCTTTATTTTTTCATTCGTAGTCATGTTATTCATAACTAAATATAGATGGAACCCAAATAATCCTAATATCAACCACATAGCCAAAAAACAAAAAACAGCAATCACAATTGATGGGGTAGTTTTTGTATCTAAATTTGAATCATCATAAGTATCCACTATATGTGATAAGTTAATAGAAAAACTCACAACAGTCAAAGCAGAAACCGACGATAAAAACCCCATAAAATCCTTATAGTTTCTTTTTCCTACACAATTTCCTATTCAAGGGCAATGATGATCAAACCCCTCAACACATAAATCGCAAATAGAGCAATGAGAACATCTAGGAGGTTTAAATATCAAGCAGGTTTGGCAGAATTTCAGTTTGATAACTGAACCATTATAAGGAACCAGAATTGGTTTTGGGCAGCCAATATATTCATTTAAGGCACTGCTCTGTTGAGAAACATAATAATAAAAGGTTATGTATGGAATTAGCTCTCTCTGAGAATTAGCATGACCAGTTAAGACTTTCTTGACCATTGGCGGGTCTTCTTGAATGCTTGCAAGAAAGATGCTACTGATGCGACCACTTGATAGTTAATAGGATGGGCCTAAGTATGCATAAACCATCCTTCTGAAGATGGAAACACTTTAAAATCTAAACTAGCAGCTCTGTTGAGAAACAAAAGGAACTATTTGTTTTGGGATATAACCAGGATCTGAAGTTGCAGCTTTAATTAGAGTTATCAGCGAAAGAGATGATAGAAATAAAAGAATTACCAAAGGTCCAGCATCATCTTCATTGAGATAGTAGGAGCAAGCATAAATAATTGTAATAACATTCGGCACAATAATAAGTAAAGATGATATTACGCAGCGATATCAGTCAGGGCCTACCATTATTCATCCTTTTAGCAAAAAGTGATTCTTACCTTTCCAATATCTATATGTTCTCATTTAAGTGTATGAAATTTTGGCAGTTTTATTAAGATAGATGAGTTTAAAAAAGAAAAAGATTAGATTCAAAGATTAAGTTCAATAACTAAGTCATGAATTCAAATTTCTTGTAAATGGCTTTATTTATATTTTATATTATCAAAAAAATAAATATTAGATTGAAAGCTCCAATTATTAATGTTACCTCATTATCTGTCAGTAATTGAATTATTTTACTCCCCGTGTTAAATTGGAACAAAAAATCTAAATGTTTAAGTTTGAAAACTGTTTAAATAATATTCTACTTGATTTTTTCCAATAAATTAGGGCAAACCTATCTTATAAAGATTAGCATTATTTCATATATAAAATTTTCCCATGAAAACATTTATTCAAATTAGAGGTGCTAAAGCACAAAAAAAAATGAAATTTTATCAATATTTTGTTGCAATTTAAGGGGGAAAATTATTTACACAACTTTATTAAAACTCTTTTAAATTATATATGTGTTTATTATATCATATAAATAATAAACATCCAAAGTATTATTACTCAAGCATTGTTTGGAGGTAGACCATATCTTCTTCAATTTTTCTTAAATAATCTTTCCCTCCATATATAAATGACTCGAAAGGCACATATAAATCATCAACTCATTTTTGTATCTTTTCTTTCAAAATCTTATTAGCTTTGCATATCTTTATAGCTATTTCTTTTCTTTCTTCTTTTTGAGCTTTACTGATGTGTTTGATCATTTTTTCTCTTAAATGAACTCTCTTCAAAATTCCTATCGTTTTTTTTCTGACTCCATACAGATCTAAACATTTTCCTAATAAACTTTTCACGTAAGCTGGAGCAGCTAGGCTATATTTTGCTTTGAATTTTATGATGTCTTCATTGGTTCCCAGCATTTCAATCAATAGAAGTTCCAAGGTGTACATCCCTTGATGGTGAATAGAGTCCAATTCAATTTCATCATTTGGAATACGATTTATGAGGCGTCTGAGGTCTTCAACCGATAAGCAGTTTTCACCAGGATTTTCATTTAATTTTATATGTAAATTTAATAGAGATTTTTTTCAGTCATCTGTTAAGTTTGAGTCATGCTCATTTAATAGGGACTCTGCTATAACTGGGGTTTCTATTGAGTTTATAGGAGAGGTGCTTTTAGACCTGCGAGCACTATTAACAGTGTTGTTTAAATTTATAGCGATTTTCTTTCGAGATGTATTTAATCTTGATGTTAGGGGGCTTGGGGTATTTTTGGCTTGATGAACTCTAGATGTTTTTATATTTTTTACTGATTGAACTCTTTGCCGAAAAGTAGGGGATCCTATAGAAAAATTACTTAAGAGGAATTAAATCCAGCAGCAATTTTGGTTTTGCTTTGAAAATTTTAATAACGTTATTCCACACTTCAGGCTCTTTTATTTCTCTTAATTCTTCCATTATCAATTCAGGGCTGTCTTTTTTCATTATTTTATCAAGATTCCCTTTCTTATTTCTCGGCGAAATTTTCAATTTTGACCTCGAGGACTTCAAAAACTGTTCATAACGAGATTTTTCGTTAAATTTTTTTTTCTAACTCCCCTTTATTTAGCGAGTAAAACATTTTGCTCTATAAGTTAGTTTGATTTTTTTTTTTATATTTGAAACAAATAATCAAATTTAATTTATTTAAAAATTTAATAGATGAAGCTGGAGATCTTATAATCATTAATATTTATCAATCATTATTAATATAAAAATTTTGTTTAGTAGCCAAGGGTGTTAAGTAAAACTTACAAATAGTTCTTTTAATTTCAATTCAGGAAAATTTTTATATGGTGGTTTCATAGAGGATTTTAAAGTTTGACTGTTAAGATTGTCTGAGATGTCTTGCTTATCAATAATTGTTTTAACGCTGTCATTTCTTGGAATTTCTTTTTTTGATTGACTGAATTTATGCTATATTTAATCTAATTTTCTGATTATAAAAAATAAGTATCATAATAAATATCAAAAACAGGAAATTGGGTTTTCCATGACTTATCTTTATATTGTCATTACTAATCCAGAAGGGGATATAGCATTTATATGTTGGCTTTATACCCAAAGGTGTAATTTCAACAGCACCTTTTCTTTTGTGAGATTTTATAGTAGATCCAGTTGAACTCTTGCATAAATCCTCATCATTAAAATTTTTGCTTAAAATATGTGAAAGATTTAAGTTTTTCGAGTTAGCTATATTCAAATATTTGGGTTTCAACGGAGGTGTTTCTGAAGAGGACAAGAAGCTTTGTGTATTTTCATCCATTTTTAATTAAAAACATTAATTCTATATTTAAGCTGGATTTTCGCAGGCTTTTGCCTCCTCAAGGGTTTCAATTATCATTTTTGTGTCAGATTCTTCTTTTTCTCCCTCTTCAATTTCCATAATTTCAGAATTTAAGTTTTCATGGAATTTTGAGGTAAAGGCATCGCATTGCAACTGAAAATTTGTGACTGAGGTTTGCATTAGCTGCAAGCTCTCTGGGATTTTCTTTATTGAGTCTTCAATTTCTTTGCATTTTGCTTGCTTGGAATCTAAAATTTGTTTGAGTGATTGGAGCTCTTCTGATAGTTTTATTCGCTTAGCATGCTCATCCTTGAGGGCTTTCATAACAATCTCTCTATCTCCTGTTGTATCAATCCCCAATTTATTGAGCTCTTTGGTTTCCAAATCTTTTGCTGCTTGAATTTCTCTAGTGAGTCCCATTTTTTCGAACTCGTAGCTTTTAAGCTGGTCAACTAAAGAGTCTGTATATTCTCTTTGATTATTTAATTGGGTTTTGACTTTTTCCACTGAAAATTTTAGCTGGCGTTCTTTCTTCCTTAAGTCCATGAGATAAATTTTGTTCTTTCTCATCAAAGATTCTCCTTCCTTTGAATAATTTAGTTATATATAAAATGGTTTGCAAATCAACCTCCCTTTTGACACTTGCAGCCAGACCAAAGTAGGCACCTTATGGAAGGGAGAGCAGCATGCGGTGAGTGTGCCCAGCCTGGCTTTACTTGTTATGATGGAGTGCAATATTGTGCTGACCGATTGCAGGCTCACATAAGGCAAGGTTTACCTCAATAGAAGATGGAACTAGAAGTTGGAAAAGGATAACCCAGCAAGGCCAGAGGGAGTTCGCTTTGCCAATTAGGCAATTTCCCTGCACGATACCAGGGTCTGCGTCCTGGGTTACAAGTTCCAGCCTGGCCAATAACCTGACCAGAAAATTCACTTTTTGAATTTTCGAAAATTTATAGCTCATTGACGTAAGGGCATGACCCAGTGTCTTTACCTCAGCAAGCCCTAGTCTGAGGGAGTAACAAATGGCTTCAGACCTTATAATCGGTCTGGCAAGTAAGAGGGCAGAGCTAAGCAAGTGACTTAAACATGGCTGGCTTGGAGCTAGCTAATTTAAGAATTATTTAGTTTAAACGAAGAAAAAATTGCCTCAATGTTTTGCTTTGACTCAGATATACAAGTTTTCCAATCCTGGGCTTCTTGCAAAATGTTGTTTTCCATTAGTATAATTTTACCAGCTATTCTTATATATAAGATAAAAATTGTCACTAATAAGTCTCAAATGCAAATATGTAAAAGAATAGATATATAAAAGAAATGCCTAAATTAACTAGAAATTATTGTCAGAAACCAGAGTTTTCTTAGCAAAAATAAATAATATTAGGTTTTAAAAGAGACTCGCGAAATAACCTTTTGATTTTCAATCAAAGATTAAACCAAATACAAAGAAAATAAAATTTAGTTATAAGCATTTAGATCGTAAAGGTTAAAATTATCTAACATATACAGAGGAATAAAATTGAAGACAAAGTTTAGTGTCATTAGGCAGGATTGGGCACAAGTCCTCACACGCATATAAGGTTACTTATGATCTGGTTTTGTTAAATGGCTTGCAAATATTAGTTATAGGATGGTTGAATATATCAAGGACTCGTGATAAATTAAAATTTTAACATTATATTGTGTGAAATTGTATAAAAATTTAAGAAAATTCTGAGCATTGCTTTTTCTAAACTTCTGAATATAAATTAAAACCAATATTTGAATAATTTGCAGCTATAGCCCAAGCCTGGGCTATAATTTTTATATTTATCTAAAAAGTTCACTTATTAACTTGCAATATAATGTATCTTTATTATAAAAACATAAACCAAAAATTCTTAGCCATACTCCTCACACATTCGCTTGCATTCTTTAAATTTCTCCTAATAAAACATACAAATATGAACGGAGTTCAATAGTAATTCATAAATAGCGACCATCTCGCCAAAATTCTCCTACTTGGGAACTCAAGTGTAGGGAAATCATGCCTCTTGCTTCGCTATACTGAGAATCGTTTTAATGAAGCTTTTTATTCAACTATCGGTGTTGATTTTGTAAACCCTAATTAGAAAGTCAGGACAATTGTAATGCGGAATAAATCAATAAAAATGCAGATATGAGACACAGCTGGCCAGGAAAAGTTTCGATCAATTACGTCACAATATTACAGAGGAGCTCATGGGATTATGATGATTTTTGATCTCACAAACAAAGATTCTTTCAATGATCTCGATGCGTGAATTCAAGAAATTGAAAGATATGGAGGTGAGAAGCTGGCAAAAGTTTTGATTGGAAATAAGTGTGATCTAGAAGATAAACGAACGATCACCTTTGAAGAGGGGAAAGCATATGCTGATAAATTAGGGATGCCTTACTTTGAAACTTCAGCGAAGGATGCTGCAAATATTGATGCAGGGTTTGTGAAGTTGGCTGAGCTGATAATAGCGATGGAGAATCGAATTGATAAGAAAAGGTCAATTGTTGAAAATCCTAAAAAAAGTTCATGCTGCATGTAATGCTGAGATTATTATAAATAGCATTAATTAAATAATGTACTTCAGAGTGATATTTATTTCTATTATTGCATTAACCTGAAATCTTCTTATTAATTTAGTTCTTTGAGTTAAAGTGCAAGTTGATATATTTAATATTATTATGTTGAATAATTCATACTTTAATTACCATAAAAGGAGCTATCATAGCTGATAGTGGATAAAAATGTCAGAAGACTATGCATTTAAAGATTACAACCAATATTCAAGCCCTCAATTAGCTGTGATGATGAGGATGTCAAATGCATTTCATAATGCTCTTAATAATGCTAGAATCCTGACAAACTCGACAATTTTCATTGCCGATTATGGCTCTTCAGAATGCTTGAATTCTCTACTTTTCTTTAAAGATTCTTTTGCTCCTTTTCGAGAAACCTCCCAGCAGCCTATTCTTCTTTTCCACAATGACCTTCCCACAAATAACTGGACGAAATCATTCAAAACAATTTTAGAACACCAAAATTCTTATGTCAACCTCCCTAATATTTACTTCTCCTCTATTGGAAGAAGCTTTTTTAATCAAATTTTGCCCGATAGCTCAGTTCATATCGGGTTTTCTTCACTGGCATTTCACTTTTTGTCTGAAGACCTCTGCGCACCTGATCATGCACTAGCTTCCTCATCAGTTGACCAAGAATTCAAAGAAAGAATTGTAAAATTTGCGCATGAAGATCTCATCAATCTCTTCCTCTTCCTATTAATAAAAAAATTTTTTGGTTAATTTTATACGAGTCTAAATATATTTGTTTATATTTCAGATTGCTTTCTACTGAACCATTCAAGTGCAATTTTTATTAAATTCTAACAATTTTTATGATATTTCAAAGATTATATAATGGGGGTTAGAGCTCAGATATAAAGAATTAGTAGATCATGGAGTGCTGCTTATGCAGTTTGCTGGTGAGAATATGGATATTGGAGTCTATTTGCATGAGGCTAATGAAAAAGCGTATGAAAAAGGGATAATCAATAGAGAAGAAAAAAGAAACTTGTCAACTGGATCTTATGGAAGAACGACAGAAGAAGTTCAGAGAGCCTTAGATATAGAGCGAGAAAAGTTTAAAGTCCTCTACATTAGCAAAGAAAAAATTCCTATGTTCAATGAGAAAAATGAAAAAAACATTGAAGTTTTCTTAGGATTATGTAGAGGTTTTTTAGGATTCAAACTACAAAAATCTGTTAGAAGAACAGATGAAGAAAGAAATCAAATATTAAAATTCTACATAGACGAATTGCTCGATATTTTTGAAAGAAGAGACCATCAATTGTTGACTGATATATACATTATTTCTCTTGAAAAAATTCCAAAAGAAAGATAATCTTAGCCTTAATAATTTCTCAAAAATAAATAGTTTATAATATTCCTTTACGTTATTTCTAAGCTTTAATAGCGCTTCAAGCTAAGATAAAAATGAGGCCAACATAAATCCATTATTGATCTAAATGTAAATTATTATAAGTTCGGATCTCCATACTCTAATTTAGTTAAAAACTTCAATGGTCTTAAATATCATCAATGCTAAATTCTTCATGAATTTGCATACGAGAGATCAAATCAACAGTTGGCTTTATCTCATTCTCTTTACTCCCCCCCCCTCCGTGAGTGAGCAAAAAAATTTTGTTCACTCACGGAGGGGTTAATTTTGTTTTTAAAACAAAATTTATATATAAATTTTATAAAAAATTTTTTTTTTCTAATTTAAAAAAATCCTAATTCGCAAAAATTGGAAGGCAAATATTAATTTAATTTATAAAATTTATGTTTTAAAGAGCAATTCGTTTAAAATTAAATAGAATTAGCTCTAGATTTCATTATACTAATTATCATTTATATATCAAAAATTATTTCCATAAAAAAAAATTTCTATTAAAAAAATTTTTGTTCACTCACGGAGGGTGGGGTTTTTGGGCAAAAAATAGGGATTTTTCTAATGGTTTTGTTCACTCACGGAGGGGGGGGAGTTAGCAATTTCATTAGTCTTCTCTGCTATTGGCTTTGAAGCTTCAGCTTGCTTCTCAAGCTGCTGTTGGATGATTTGCTTCTGGGCTAAAAGTTTGTTATTTTCTTTGGTTTCTTCTTTATTGTTCTCTACCTCTTCCTCTTCATCTTCTTCCTCACTTTCTGCACTTTCTAATCAAGCTAAAAACTCTTTTGCGCAGTTTTTCATTGTGTCTAAGAAATTTTGATTGTAAATTATTGATGATTCATTAAAGACGGCTTGATCGTCACTTCAAGATGTCAAGAATTCTTCATTTAAAACATCGTTTTCGTACAAAGACATCATGATTCTTGATATTCTGCTATGAAAACTTTCATCAGGAATGTAAATTACTGACAAAGACATTATCAGCTCTTCAGGATATGACTCCGCTTGTGTCTTTAATATAAAGATCTTTGCCGGATCTTGCAGTAGTCTAACTAGATTCTGCCCAAAAATCGACTTCAGCGTAATATAAACTCTAAAATCAGGCTCAAAGCTGTTAGCAATGCAAATATTATTGATGTGCTCACATATCTTTTCTGGGCTTTCTTCCAAATGATGTGAAATTCTTTCCAGTGCTTCTAGCACATCTGGGTGCTCCAATGTAATTTTTTCGTCAGATTCTATATCTTTTTTCTTTTTTGATGATTTTTTCTTACCTGATGTTTTCTTATCAGCTGTCGAGGGTGGCTTTTCTTCAGTCCTTGGATGATGTTTAAGTATGAAATTGCTGATTTTGTGGGACATGTCCATAGGCCTCACATTGCCACAGGCTTTGCAGTCTGCGATAAGGATATTTCTCTTGAACCGATAAGAAATTTCTGGTAAATGGCATTTAAAGCATAGTATAAATTTTTCAATGAATTGGTCCAGCAACTTTTGGAGATCTTCTCTGCGGGAAAACACAAATAAAATGATGATTTATCGGCCATCCTTCTCCTATACCCTCAGTCTTTTGGAAAAAGCGCTCAGGTCTGGAACTTTTGTGTGCGGAGTGAGTTTTTTTTCTCCCTTATCGGGACACCACGGCAGGGGTTTTACTCCATACCACAAAAAAGAAAGCCAGAGTCCATAAGACAATTTCACATTTCTGGATGCAAACGGTAATAGGGATCAGAAGAAGGATTTGGGGTAGTGTCCTATCTTCCATCATGCCGACTACTAAGAGCTGTCTAAGGAAGCACTAGGTGCGTCTCCCCAAAAAATGGCGGCATAATTATTTTGGTGATGCAGACAGAAAACGACGTTAGTGCTAACCGATGCTTGGCGAGGACTCAGAAGTCGGTGAAGGAGGAGAGGGGCTGAAATAAATCCCGAAGACCCATTTTAACTTTTAAGTTAATCTAATCTCTGCGGAAAGTGCCTTTCAGAATTGCTTTGTTTTCTGATTGTTTGTATTCAGAGCTTGCACCTAATTCTGCGGCAAAGAACCTGACTCCCCCTCCATCAGTTAGCAAAAAGAATTTTTTTCTCTGACTAGGAGGTTAATTTTTTTTTAAAACATTTATATATAAATTTTATCATAAATTTAAAATTTAATAATATCCCGGCTCGACATAATTTAAAGCAATATTAATTTAATTTGTAAAATGTATGTTTAAAAATGCAAGCTGTTTAAAATTAAATAGAATAGAATTATTTAGAGATTTCACTATAATAATTATCACTTATATATAAATTTTTTTTTTTCATAAAACGTTTTTGTTCGCACAAAGTGGATTTTACCCAAAAAATAGGGATTTTTTCCATTAGTTTGTTACTCATGAAGGAGAGTGAGAGGATATTCAACAGGCACATTTAAGGCCCTGGAAACATCTGAAAGGTTGATAAGCTTTGTTTTGACACCGTTGCCGCGGCTTTCCCCTGTTATTTGAAGAGCTGGCATTTGGTATCTGTAGCTTGGATCTTCAATATAAGAGGGTATATTCAGCATTTTCTACCTTATAATTTATTAAGGTTAAATGTTATAGCCTTTATGGATTTGGGTAAAAGATTGCGCTATATCATAAAACTAACAGTGCGATATTAATACTATGTTCTTTGTAATTTTAGATAAAATTAGATTCACTCCCCTCTCAGTGAGCGATCAAAAAAATTTTACTCGCTCACGTAGTTAATTTTTGTTTAAATTTTTTTTCGAAATTTAAAGAATCCCCTTTTTCACAAAATTAAACTGAAGTGGCTAGAGATTTATAATTATCACTTACATATCAAATATTTATATTAAAAAATTTTTTGTTTGCTCACGGAGGGGGGAGTTGGTGAGTTATTATGATTACTGGTTCAAGCGTAATTAAATGAGCAGCTTGAATAATTATCAAAGTTTCTTCCAAAAATTATTTTCTGCTTATTTAGCTGCTAGGATAACTCAGCCTATAGGCAAAACTAAAATTATTCCATAAATCTTTATATTTTTTTAACATTATAAAATATCATTTCATTTTTAAATAGTCCTGAATACTCTCCTATTATTTCTTATTTTCTGAAATTCTGTCAATTCCTTATATTCAATATAATTCAACAATTTTACCCTATATGTATGGCGAGCTTGCTTAATTTAATTAGAAGCAGCAAATGCAAATATATTATTTAAAATCCATAATCAGCGATTTTAGCTTATTTCTACTCAAAATGATTTAAGTTGCCTTTAAATCATATCCATATTTAACAGCTAATCACTCAATTTCATCTCATGTCTAAACACAGAAAGTTTCCTGAAATCACCAAATCAGATTCTCATCTTTCTCAAGAGTACTTCAAGTTTAAGCCAAAACGCCAAATGGCGCCCCTCCAAAATCAGCCTGCACCAATAATAATTAAGCCAAGCATAAATCATTCCTCTCATCATACAAAACAGTCAAGTTTTCTTAGTGATTCTCCTTACGCCCGTAGTAAGTCTTTAACCAAAATTCGTTCATCATCAGCTATCAAATTAAATGATAAAAGCCCTATAAAGTTACGTTCAATTTCCCCAGAAATGAAAAAGAATGCTTCAAACTCACGAATTCAACTAAAACTAAAAAATAGGAGAGAAATCTCTACAATAACTTTGTCAAAGCAGTCCAATAATTATATAGATTCCATAAAAAAACGCTCCAAGTCACGAACTCCAGCAGGAATCAATTTATCGTTCAGCAATTCATTTACTGCACCTACACAAGATTCCCAAAGAATTTTGAACCAGTCTAATAATGATGCTGAAAACTTGGAAACTAAATTATTGGCGAAGTTAAAAGAAATCACAAAAAATGAGGAAGATTCAATTATGGATAACGATAAATTTAATGTTTATCGCAAAATATTTGTTGAAGTAATTGAAAAGGATAAAACTTATGGGTCTTTACTAGCAAAAATCAAAAATGCGTATGAAGAGTGAATATCAATAGAAAAAACTGACTCTCCCTCCCTCCCTCTATCAAGAAATTTAATTTTTTTTTCGAAATTAAAACAATCCTAATTCACAAAAAAATGAAGAGCAAATATTTATTTAATTTGTAAAATTTATGTTTTAATTAAATAGAATTAGCAAGAGATTTCATTATATTAATTATCACTTATATATCAAAATATTTTTTTCGCTCACGGAGGATGGGTTTTCGAGCAAAAATAGGGATTTTTCCAATCATTTGTCCTTCATGGAGGGGGAGTCAGGAAAATAACTTGAGCTTGAAGCAAGAAGCAAATGATCTTAATGAGAAGATTAAAGAGTTGCTAGAAGATAGAAAACTCATATATAGAAAAATAGAAAAATTGGCAAAAGAAAATATTGAATTAAGCAGATCATTAGAAGAAAGCGAGGCTGGGTATGCAGAATTGCATGATAAATTGCTATTAATTTCTAAAACCAAAATAGATGATATTCCAAAAGATGAAAACTCCTGGAAGTATGTGGTAGCTGAAAATAAAATTTTAGCAGATTTATGCAAGCAAATGAAAGATGAGCTAAAGAAATTTAGATCAAAAGAAAAAAAACTACTGAAACTCATTATAGCATTGAAAAATAGAGGATATGATTAATTATATTGAATATAGGCTCAGTGAAAATACAATAGAAAAATACGTAATGCTTAAATTTAGTACTTATTGAGTAAAAATGGCATATCCTGTAGAGGAAGTCTATGAAACTGAAATCTTAAAAAGAAAAAGTGTGCAAGAAGAAAAACCACACGATAGGGAAAGTGGCGAAACTGATGGAGAGCTGCTTGTATCAGGACCTTCTCGGAAAGTAGAAAAGCCAAGTTTTATACCAATTTTGGAATTGAGTAATATAAAGCATTACATTTCATCATCTGAGAGCTCAGATAATTCTGATGCAGAAAGTGAAAGTGAGTCATAATGTACTATTTGATTATAATCTCAATTTTATTCATAAATTTAATTCTCTTAAACTATGCTTTAGGTAAATGAACTAAAGAATTGAGTTTTAAAAATAGAGCAATTTAAAATTGCTTACTCCCCCCCCCCCTCCGTGAGCGAACAAAAAAAATTTTGTTCGCTCACGGAGGGGGGTTAATTTTTTTTTTTAAAAACAATTTATATATAAATTTTATAAAAAATATTTTTTTCGAAATTTAAAAAAATCCTAATTTGCAAAAATTGGGAAGCAAATATTAATTTAATTTGCAAAATTTATGTTTTAAAACGCAATTTGTTTAAAATTAAACAGAATTAGCTCTAGATTTCATTATACTAATTATCACTTATATATATCAAAATTTTTTTCCATTAAAATTTTTTCTATAAAAAAATTTTTGTTCACTCACGGAGGGTGGGTTTTTTGGTCAAAAAATGGCGATTTTTTTCTAATGGTTTTGTTCGCTCACGGAGGGGGGGGGGGGGAGTTAGAAATATATACTTATAGATAAAATTTAAGTAGATTCAGATTGAAAACAAATAATCAAAAAATCATAAAAAATTATCATCATATCAAATTAAATTTATAATAAAATAAAAGCCCCTCAATATTAAAATGGAACAAGTTGTAGAACAGGCAAAAGAACTTATTGTAAAAAAGGTTAAATTTCTAAAAGATATTCAGTCTTTATTAAAAACTCTCAAAGAAACTACAAAAACAGTTAGCAATATAAAATCTAAATGCCCTTATAACCAATTTTTACTTGATGGCTTTGCTGGCTTAAGACAAGATGCAGTTAGAAAACAAAATAAAAATATGGCTTTTTGTTATAAAAAAGCTATTAAAGCATTGCAGCGCTACCCTCTTCCAATTTTACACCCAAATCAGTGCTTGCAGCTCCAAGGAATTGGAAACTCCTTACTTAAATCAGTCTACACCATTTTCAAGTCAAACCACAAATATTTCAAGTATCTCAAAGAAAAAGAAGAAAAAAAGAAGCCAACAAAAGAGCCAGAAAAAATCCCAGAAAAGCCTGACATCGACACTTTTGGAAGAATTTTATCTATTTTAGATCAAACAATCTTACTAAAAGACTTAGAAAATATCCAATATGAAATAGTTTTACTTGTAGATAACCGAGAAAATAGGGTCGTATCTTTTTTGCCATTTCTAGACCAATTTGGAATTAAGCATGAGGAACGAAAGCTTGGCTTAGGCGACTTTTTGTGGATTGTGAAGCTTATTTACCGAGATAAATCAAAAAAAGTTCATATAGAAGAATATGTTTTGGATTACATAATAGAAAGAAAAACAGCTACTGATTTAACAAGCAGCCAAATTTCTAATCACCTCCGAGACCAAATAAGAAGAATGAAAGCAGAATCCTTTTTAAATATATTTTTACTAATAGAAGGAAAAGCTGATCGTGAAATAATCCTAGAATCTTCTTTGCAACACAATATAAAAGTATTACAAACTTCAACGCAAGAAGAAACTGCAGAAATGATGGCTTTTTTTACTAGAGAAATCTCATTAAATGCCTCACAGCTATCAGTAGAAAATATCAGGGGGAAAAAAGCTTTCGAAAGATTTAATGGAAAGCATATAAATTCTAAGCCTTATGTTTCTGATATATTTCAAACTCAAATGGCTGATTTCCCAGGGATGAATGTGAAGAAGGTCACTCTTTTGCTTTCGCTTTATCCTACTTTTGCAGCCTTTCTAGATGGACTTAAAAATAAAAGATGAATTACAGAGCAAAACCTAAAATGGGCGGGGATTGGAGCTAAAGTTATTAATGATTTATTATCATTTTTGGGGATTGAATAACACAAAGAATGTTAAAATAACATATTTATATTAAATCCGTATATTCGGAAATCTTTAGGCTGCTATGAATTGGATTTGAGAATTAATTAATGGGCTAAAACCATTTGAAGCTATTTTTAATGAAATTAGTGCGCTTAATCCTTATGATTAATTAAAAACTGTCTTTTTAGAATATAATTTGCTAGATGATGAGCCAATTTTTATATAATTATAAGGACTGCGTATAATTAGCTGCAACTTATTTATCCTTCATGGAATACCTTTGCTAGGTGCATCAATAGAATTTAGAATATCCCCTAGATTAATCTTAATTGCAAAATAAATATTTAGCTTACGAAGCCCTTAACTCTTCTCAGCCACTCCATATATAATCTATGCTCCTTATCCAATGAGTAGGTTTCAATAAAGATCGCCATGTCGTCGTTAATACCGAAGCTCTTAAGATAGTCAACAAATGAATTTTGTACTTTTTCATCAAGTGTTGTGAAGTCAGGGCCTCTGTAGATTCCTCTGCTGATAAATGATGACTCTCTGTCAGTGTTCTTTAAGTCTTCACTATAAACTACATTGTTTACGCTGATCTCTGAGTCAATAGAGCTGCACTCGAAGATGAGGCCTCTATCAGTATCAACCTTTTTGACCATGACTTGGAAATCAACATAGGTCCCTGGATGGCCTTCTTGCTCTTCTTGTCCTTCTTGGCCTTCTTGAGGCTCAGGTTCCTCCTGAGGAGCTCTTGCATTGAATGTGACTTCTACTTCGGCATCATCAGTTCTCTTCTTTAAGATTATCTGGGTATCATTTTCAACATCTGCTAGCTCGAATCCACTCTGTGAGAGGAAAGGTCCGACGCTATCATCAATCTTATATTGTTCTTGCTCGTATTCAACTTCTTTTTCAAGTGCCTTGGCGAGGCGCTTGTTAGAAAGAGATGCAAAACATCTAAGAGTGTTGAACATTGGACGGATCAGCATACGTGCTTGTCGAGCCAGCATTTTTATTACTAAATTAAAGGCCTTATGGCAAAATGGAAAAATTATGAAATTAATTTTACAATCAATGAAAATATTTGGGAATATTAATTATGATGAAGATAGATAATTTTTTGGCATTTAAAAATTATTAATAATAAACTGTGAGGCAGGCTTATTAAAAAAATTATGTCGAAATAGGTTATTCAATAAAATAAAATTCAAAAATGTTGAAAGTCAGACGGAATAGGCCTGGTACCAGGTCAGCTGACCTTTGGTCCTGGAATCTTGAAGATTACCCAAACATGCCTGGTCCATTCGCAGTCCAAGAATACATTCAAGAACTAATCCGAGTCTGCCCAGACAATGTGAAGCGAATTTGTGAGCCTCCAACTGATGTAGACATCGGTGTCTGGCAATACGAACACATGAGGCAATTCATCCTTGAACTTAACCTTCTCATTGTCTCTCTCCAAAATTAACTTTAAATTTTATACGGCCATAAGTGGGACTCCCACTAGCCGAACTACCCTGACTCCAGGAAAGGTGGTCTACGCTGGTTGCGTATTCACCAGAGCGCAAATGGTGTAAGGGCCCTAATCAAAATTCCATACTCTTAAATTTTCTGGCGAGACTCGCCTCACCTAAGGATTAGCTTCCTAGGCTGGAGCCACCCAGTTTTGGGTAGCCCGATCATCTCGATAGACGAAGACTATGTGAGAGGAAAACCGGACAGGAAAACCTTCTGGAGAGATACAAAACTCCTCTTCGGTAAGGCTTCCCAAACCTAAGGCCTTCTTCAAAAAGGGGGCAGAGGCTGTGTTTTCAGCTTCTTTAGGATGGGTCCAACCTGCTCCATCGAAGTGCACATCAGAGAACCATTTCCATAAACGCTACCATTTTATTTTCTTCTCTCTCCAAGGAATCTGTACGCCCACAGCATGCCCGAAAATGAAGGCAACCGATGACTGGCTCTACCTTTGCGCATCCCACAAGACTCCTCAAGAATGCACAGCAATCGACTATATGACCCACACACTAGACCACGCTACCTCTCTTATGCAAAATAATAAAAATTTTAACAGCCGAGTTAGCATTCCACCAACTTCAATAAAATATCTCATGAGCATCGTAAGAAGGCTCTACAGACTTTTCACACACACATATTTTCATCACAGAGAGATTTTTTCTGAATTTGAAAAGCAGACTCATTTGTGCTATAGATTTACAGAGTTTGTGCAGAGGTTTGATATGATGCAGTCTAAACTTTTTAGTATTCCGACACATGCTTATATTTTTGAAGACAGCAATAAGGAGTAAATTTTGTAATTTCAGATTTAAATAAGTAAGAGGTTTTTCACAATAATTATGGCAATAGATGGTGTGAAGTGGGTTGATATTTCTTATGCCTATCTGCTGAAAGAAAATCTTCCGCTTATTCAACCATTCAATTAAAAATGAATTTTAGTTATTATTAATAGTAAAGTATTTTTTATATATGATTATATGATGGGGAGTTAGAAAAGTAGGTGAAAATTATAGCACGAAAGCCAGAAAAGCACGCTTACTATTAAAACCATTGATAAAAGGAGTAACATTTGGAAGTACTGAATTATATACAATGTATAGTTTGTTGAGGTTTAGAAGAGCTCGCCAATTCTGCACTTATTTCTTTCTAATGCAGATTGGAGGAGTAATGAAACTTTTAAGACTTGCAGAATAGAAATTATCCTCTGAAAAAATTAAAAGTTTCCTAAAACTAAAAAAAATAAAGCTTCAAATAAAATTTTATGAGTTATTCTTTAACTGGCATTGCTCTATCTTTTTAATGACTTAATTCTAATAATTATACAAAATAATCCTTATTTCCAAAAGATAGAATCTGTAATTACATGCTAAGAAATATGAGAGGGCAGACAAGTTTCTTTGAATCCTTCCAATCCCAATAAAATGGTGAAACACAACAACGTGGTGCCAAATGCTCATTTTCATAAAGACTGGCAAAGCTATGTCAAAACTTGGTTTAATCAACCTGCTCGCAAACAAAGACGTCGCGTTGCAAGAAGCTTAAAATTATCAAAATTTGCTCCAGCTCCACTCAAAACACTCAGACCTCTTGTTCAAGGTCAAACCATAAGATATTGCGCCCAAGCCAAAGAAGGCAGAGGATTTTCGCTTGAAGAGCTCCGCAAAGCTGGCCTAACATCTCAGTTTGCAAGAACAATAGGAATAAAGGTTGACCATAGAAGAAGAAACAAGAGTGCAGAGACTTTGCAAAGGAATATTCAGAGACTAGAACTTTTTAAGTCTAAACTTACTCTTTATCCACTTAAAGCAGGTAAACCAAAGAAAGGACAAGTAAATGACGTAGTTAGCTCTTAAGTTAAGCGTTTATTAAATTCTTGAGTAATTTAGATAAATTTCGTAATTTCTGCTTTGACTGTTTCATAGGTTCCAAAAAACATCATGCCACCGACAGTAATGTAAAGGACACGGATTTTCCATGAACTTCATAATGCCAGAAGACCTTCACTTGTATATATAAGCTTAATTGTTTGCAAGAAAGACTTATATTTGCCATCACCTTTATCAGTTTGGATTCTTACCTTTGCGACATCTATAGGTGTAGTGATAAAAGCTGCAAAACCACCGGCAATTGCGCCGTTTATCAAATGCCGGTATAAACTTAGATCACTACCACCGTAATCAGAGCCTTTCAAATATTCATATATAGTCATTTGAACAGCGTCAAAAGGGATTTCTCTATATATTAAAGATAGCAAGCCTACATAAAGTCCAGCGAGACCTTTAGTTTTAACGATACCTTGTCATGCAGTTTCAACAGATTTATAAGCACCCACTTGTAAGAGACTTTTAACAACTTCGAAAGGATTTCTAACGCATGCTGTGCAAGCACTTCCAAAAGCTGCTGATAGGAAGTGAACCATTGCTGGAGAGTTTGAAAATCCATATAGAGGTTTCCTCTATATAGCGCTGAAAGCGCAGACATTTTCCCAGGAGCTTTCCAAGTTCGTCGGACTAAATCGCTTTTTGGTCCGACCAAGGCATTGATTTGGTGCAACCAACCGATAAATTCCGATCAGAATTTATCGGCCTTACAGCGCCAAACATAGGAAACTTCTATAATTTTCAAGAATCCATTTCATTGAGCAATAGCTGGCCCAGAATGTTGCTGCACATGGAAAAGATGCTGCCATTGCCATAGACAATCCTTTGTAGATTTTTGTGAATTCAAGTTTAGCACTGGCATTTGCCATTAGCCGAGTTTTAATTGCATCTAAAGGGAATAAGGCGAGATCTACTGCACATCCTGCGAATCCGCCTGCAATAAGAGAAACTAAAAAAGTGCTCAGCAAGTCGGCCATGTTTAATTGTAAAAGATTCGACAATTTCTCTGTGCAGTTTCAATATGAAAAATTTGTTTCAGATTTTCATCCTCATTTAAGCCCTCGTCAATTTATAAATTTAAATAATTCTGGCAAATTTGCTATAATAAAATGAGTCCAAAGGCAGCAGCTAAGTGTGCAAAAAAGAGCAGGCCAAAAGTTACTGAAGAAGTCAATTTATATGATGTTGGAGAAGAGCAAAAATCACCTGAAGGCTGAATAAAGCTTGAACTTAAACATACTTTATGGAAGCATGGGAATTTTGATATCGTAATCAGAACTGATACTACAATTGATTGAATAAACCGTCAAATAGTGAGCAGTTGTGGAAGGTGTGACAGAGTAATGCTGTATACTGGGGATCCTACTCAATCTTATAATCTGGTCAAGAATCCGCGACAGACAATAGGAAATCTGCTGCAAACATTTGGCTGTGAAAACAAAGAGACCCCAGAAACTTATTCACTATTTTATGACTTCGAGCCATATCATCCTGATGAGCCAGTTCTTTTGGCATAATTTATCTAAAAATTATTATTTAATCATCTAGATAATACCGATTAAAGTTCATCGAGTAATAAGCTCCCAAATCTAAATAGAGGTTACATTGATAATTGACTCCTCTTTGAGCATATCTTGACAGGATTTTTACCAGCACATTAACGGCAGATTTAAAAGATTCTTGTATGTCATTTAATATCCTATAGCACTCACTTATCTCATCGTCATAACTTTCAAGTTCAGTGTCCAGTCCGCTCATTCTGTGAACCAAATAGTTGAATTTTATGCACAGTCCAAAAATAGCTGAGACTGCATCATTAATTGGTGCAGCTTTTGGTAGCAATAAGCATCGATCAAGGATTTTGGTTAGAAATGAAGCATGAGCTTCTCTCATTTCATCAATTGTTTTTATCTCCTTTCAAATATTTTTGAACTTCCCTATGCACGAATTAATGATATTCTGCATCACATACTCTTCAAAGCAGCATGTAAAGTGTATTACTCCCCCCCCCCCCTCCGTGAGCGAACAAAACCATTAGAAAAATCACCATTTTTTGACCAAAAACCCACCCTCCGTGAGCGAACAAAAATTTTTTTAATAGAAAAAATTTTAATGGAAAAAAAATTTTGATATATAAGTGATAATTAGTATAATGAAATCTAGAGCTAATTCTGTTTAATTTTAAACAAATTGCGTTTTTAAAACATAAATTTTGCAAATTAAATTAATATTTGCTTCCCAATTTTTGCAAATTAGGATTTTTTTAAATTTCGAAAAAAAATATTTTTTATAAAATTTATATATAAATTTTTTTTAAAAAAAAAAAATTAACCCCCCTCCGTGAGTGAACAAAATTTTTTTGTTCTTTTTGGCAAATTAAAAATCGTTTTTGGATCTTTTCGATTTTCGGGTTGTTTTTTATTCGCCATTTTAAATTTTTTGCACAATGGGCTGCACGCTTAATTTGGAGAAGTCTGTGGAACAGCTTATTATAGCATTGCAAAGTATCTGGATCGAAAATGATGTCTAATGTTGGATGCGGAATAAAATTCAGCCTCAGGTGTGTGAAAACTTCTAAAGACGAAGGAGGCTTTTTATCACCTTCAATTTCACAAGAAAATATATTTTGAGCACCTTTTCATTTGATTTCTTTTAAGCATTCTCCGAACATGCTTGTAATTTCATAAGCATTATCAAACGGCTCTTGATTGTCAGCTTTTTTATTCAAAAATTTAACAAATGGGTACATGCATTCACCGTTTTCCATAAGTAAAACACCTCGCAGAACTTCAAGATGTTTATCAAGATCAAAATGCTCTTTTAGCAAATCTAATAGATTTTTAGCTGATTCTTCATATATTAAATGTGCAGTGTCAATGAAGCTTGATTTTATGACATCATGGAACGAAATTCAATGATTTATAGGCCTCAAAGGGAAAATTTCTTTTTCTGAGATAGAAATCTCATAGGATGGAAGATTGCATGTAATTGGGGAAAAAATATGGGGTGGAGGCTGAGATTCGTATATGCTAAAAAGATTCTCTGGGCTTTCGGAGCCAATTTCGTAAAATTGGGAAGACTTAGGCCGCCAAGAAACTGTTTTTATATTGTACTGGGCTACTTTAGGAACTTTTGATAAGCAGTGTGCTGTCTTTTCATATAGATTGTTTGTAACCTTAGATTCCAAATCTTTTAATAGCCCAATATAGGGCTCTAATAGCTTATCTAATAAAATCTCTTCAATTTGCTTAATTATCATCATATTTTTCCCAGCAGTCAATATTTCGACATGTATTTCTTTCAGAAAATCTGGAACACACCTTACATATCTTCCATCAATTTCTTGCATATTTATGTCAAAAGCATTGTTTCAGGCTTCAAAATTTCCCATAACCTTTTTTGATTTTTGGTAAACCATGAATTCTTGGCTGACATTATTTAAAGATCCAGTAGACATCCATATGCAGAAAAATTTTATATATGGTTGGACTGATTTTATGAAGAGGTTTACTACAAGGCACATTCCTTGATGATCTGTGATTTCATGATTTTCTTGTATCAATATATAAAGATATGATAGCAAATAGCTAGCTTTATAAGAAAGAGAAAATTCAGTTTTTGCTTGAGTTTCACCTTGGAGAGAGGGTAAATTCAAAACAGCTTTATAGAAAATAGAAAGAATCAATTTGCATAAGTCTAAGATTGGATACAGCCTATGTTTCAACGAAATTAGTGTGATGGTATTGTAAGGAATCCTACTTATTGATTCCCTGGTGACATCTCCAGCTTGAACTACGAACTCTTCTTTTATTGACACGAGCTCGCTCCTTGTTTGATATAAAAACTCTTTACAGCCATCAGCAAAGTACTGATAAGTCATACAATCATCAGTTTTTAATTTTTCTGAAAAATAGTCAATCCTACTCAGCAAAGTGCCTAGCTCGACAAAAAATTCTAAAAAATTCATCAAGCAAGATGGAGTCAAATGAACAACTTGAATTCTTTTGACAAGTCTAAATCCATTTTGATCGCAGTGAAATAGGCTTGTATTGACTCCAAACAGCATAAGTAATATTTCATCAATTATAAGTCTTTCTGATACAGTTTCATAATTTCAATTCAGCACACAATTTTCTCCAGATTCTTTTTTTTCTCTTTCTACAAGACTTTCATAAAAATCCTTTGAAAGAGAGCAAGGATCAACCCAACTTCTTTCATATGCAACAGGTTCAGGTAAAGGCTCTGACATTTCTTCGTCAAATTCTTCTGGCATAGGAGCATCATAATTAATCAGATAACTTTGGGTCTTGTCTCTATTTTCTTCATTCTCCTTCTCTATTGATTTTTCTTCAGCTTCTACGTCATCAAGTTCATCATTGAGTTCATCATAGCTTTCTTCGCTGCTTTCATTTCCAAACTCGCCCCATCCATCATATAATTGTTTTAACTCCTCTTCATTAAACTCTATATCAGCCTGACCCGTTTTTGAAGCGAACTCATCAAGATGCAATGAAATTGGAGAAATGCTTAATATGTCTGATTCCAAAGGATTTCTTGATAATAAACAAAGGAGGGAAATGATTGAGTACTGCATTTCGCTTGGGTTTTTCCCAAGGTAGCTTGAAATTAGCTTTTCTAGTCTCTCAGCCTTCTCTATTTGTGAATGCACCCTGATTTTTTCAAGAATCCTAAATTAAAAATACCCCTGACAGTGTCTTCTAACTTTATGAGAATCTGTGTCTAAATAAGTGTGTCTTGTAATATTACTTATAATGAAATCATGCGCAATTTTGTAATTATTTGAATTTTCCTAGATAGCTTTTACTGCAACTCCAGTTTCATGGATTATCAGCTCTTTCACGAGTTTTTGAGTCCTTTGATTTTGCCTTTGTTTAAATAGAGACAAACTCATATATTTTTATTAGAAATATTAATTTTCGAATTTATAATAGTCTTCTTCTTTTGCTAAAGGAATTACAGGGAATAACTGTCCGTCTTCTTTTCCTCTGTATAGAGTTGGAAGCGGCCACAGCAAAGGGTTGCTACCAAAAATTTCAATTCAGTTAACTACAGGTCCTAAATTGTGATGATTCGCTGATGCTGTTATATCATCATTGCAAAAAGGATAGATAAAAGGCTTTCCCTTTATATATTCAATTGTCGTCAAGTTTGTAAGCGACATCATGATGTGTGCTGAAAATAATGCTGTTGCCAAAACTGTTGTTAAAAATACAATTGCTGTTTCCAAATATACTAATATTTTCCATACGATTCACAGGTCTGGCTTTTCATATGACGTTATATATCCAAATGATAAATAATCATAGGTATAAGTCCCTACCGAAAGATATCCCACAAATAGCAAAAAAGTTTTGTAGTTATAATAGTCTATGCACCTATTAGTTCAGACACAATGGTGATCCATCTTAGAGACACAGGCAGCACATGCTGAGCAGTGATGGGCACGATCTGGTTTAGTAATTTTGCATTTTTCGCAGTGTCCACCTGAGAAACCAATCTAAATAGATGCTACCAAGGCGCTTTTCACTTTAGGCGACTTAGATGCGCAGGTTGATATATAGGCCCAAGTCCAGAGAAAGAATAAGGTACAATAAAAAACACTAAAAAAATCTGCGTAAAACATAGGATACGATTTAGAATTTTCTCTGGATTCTTGGAGAAATACAAAAAGAACAATTGGGACTGAAGAAAAGGTAGTGACTATTGTAAAAAGCTGAAAGAAAAAATAGCTTTGTGGCTTCTCTTCTGCATCAATTAAGTCCATTTTCTTTGTGATTTAATTATAAATTAGATATGTGCCAAATCTGGTGATTATGCAAGTATTCATGCTATCTGCTCTAAAATCTTAAAATTAGGATTAGCCAGCATTCAAAACACTTATGGTTATCTCAGACAGCTTTTTTGATAGTTATCAATTCTCTTTAAAACATAGTTGATCTCAATGAGAAAAATAATCACATTTAAATATAATTTTAATAATAGCTTCTATACATCTTTGGAGTAAATAAATGTCAAATCATCAACCGTTAAGAGGTAATAGAAGCAAAGTATCTAAAACACCACCTTCATTTTATAATGAAGAAATTTCAATCAACGACATAGAAGAAAGATCTCCAAATAAGTCAACAGCAAAAAAATTGCAGAATCGTCCACAAAGTGCTAAGCCTACTAAATCTAAAAATTTAAAAAGCACAAATCAAAAGGTGAAAAGATCATCTTCGGTAAAAAGGCAGCCCCCAAAAGCACGAACTCCTGCTAAGCCTTATTATGACAGCGATATGGGTATTTTGACTAAGCTTAAGCCTGGAAAAATTGCGATGGATAAAGAAAGATTGTACGAAGAAAACATGGCATTAAAATTGCAACTTAATTTTTCTAGCGAAGAACTTATCAAGTTTAAAACAAAAATAACTCAATTGGAAAAAGAAATATGCAGGAAAAAAGATTATTTTGCAGAGGATCTGAGGAACGTTGATAAATATATTCCCCAAAATCTAAAGCATGTACATCTTGTCTCAAATTTAAGGCAAACTGTAAAAGACCAAAAAAAAGAACTAATCAAAAAAGAAAACGAAATTTTAGCCCTTAAAAAGAGTACAAAATGTACTAAGACCTCAGAGTTAGAAATTGAAATCCAAGCTTATATTGATGAGTGTACAAGACTAGTCCCTCCTTAACTTTGAGTATAATATCGGTAAATCTTTAATTTTTAGGTAAGTTAAGCCTTTAGAATTAATTTTTATAGGTTAGAATGGCAGTTTTTATCTGATCCGATTTAATGGATGCAGTGCAAAGAGAATGGTATTTAAACATTTGCACTCTGAATCAATAAATGCTATCAATCAACTTTTCATAAAATATTAAAAATGTTGAAAATTTTATTAGGAATTTTATAATTATTTCCAAAAAAATCTAACCCTTTTATTTTTTGTTCCAATTTAAAGGGAGAGTAAGGCATCACGGCTCCATATCATTTTCCTAGTGTGGCATTTACTTGGGTATTTTTGATCGAAATTTAAGATATTTATAGATTTTTACTTTTTTCTGACTCCCCCCCTCCGTGCGCTAACAAAATCATTAGAAAAATCCCTATCTTTTGTCCAAAAAAACCCACATAAAAATTGTTATGAAAAAAATTTGATATATAAGTGATAACTATTATAATGAAATCCCTAGCTAATTCTGTTTAACTTTAAGCAGCTTGAATTTTAGTATAATTTTTGCAAATTAAATAAATATTTGCTTTCCAATTTTTACGAATTAGGATTTTTTTTAAATTTTGAAAAAAAAATTTACTATAAAATTTAGATTAAATTTTTTTAAAACAAAATTAGCCCCTTATAGGCGAACAAAAATTTTTTTGTGGATAGCAATTGCCTCATGAAGAAAAATTTAAATAGAAAGCCCGAGGGAAAAAAAAATCATATCAAATGGCTGGCAAGAGGCATCATTTAGAAGAGGTTATAAGAGAGCGAGAAACTTCTCAAGGAACTTCAGAGGATCATCATGCTATATTGAAAAATCTCAAAAAAGAAAACCAAGATTTAAGCCTACTAATGGGCCAAATAAAAACTGAAGCTCTGCATTGGAAAGAGAGAGCAGAAAAGCTAGAAAAGTTAAAGAAAAAAAGTGCTAATAGTAGAGATGAGCCCGAAGCACTTGCTACTGAAAATATCCATTTAAAATCGCAGCTTGAAAGTTCAGTCCAATCATCTGCAAAAAAAGATATAGAGTTTAAATTATCATTAGAGCAAGCACTAAAAGATGCAAACGAGGCTAAAAATAAGCTAAATATTGCTGAACAAATCATTAAAGAACAAAATAAAATTATTGAAAAATTGCAGGCAGAACAAAAAAAGAGCCAAGGCTTGCCAATTATACCGCATAATATATTAGACAACCCAAACAAGCTCTTGGTATCTTTCCATAAAATTTTAACAAAACGGAAAATCGACATTGACACATTGCTTTCTCAATTTGATAAAAATAAAAAAGGTAATTTAGAACTTGATGAAATAGTAAAAGGTTGCAAAGCATATGGAGAAGAAATTAGCAGCGCGCATGTGAAAGAAGCTATTCATGAGTTTACTGATAAACCACTTACAATAATTTCATTACATAAACTAAGGACCCAATATGAAAGATATGTATATAGAGATATTTATCTCTCCTCGAGCGAGGATGAATATAATTATAGCGAAGAAAAAAAGACTGCGATTCAAAGCCCTCCTTTACTTCCTAAAGAAACCCAAATTACTCCTCCAAAAGGAAAGCAAGACTTATCACCGCTTAAAACCACTGAAAAGAAGCCTGCTGAAAATCAAATTCCTACTGTAAAACTATCACAAGTTTCTGATATGATGAAGCATGTATCATATAGAATGCAGCTTCATAGACTTCCAAAACACAAACTTTCGTCAGCTTTATTTGATGAGAAACAAAAAAATGATAAGCCGATCTCATATCAAGAACTTGCTTTATTATTTACCAAAAAACCTTTCAGTATTGAGGAAAAATCCGAATCAATTACATTAGCAAAATTTTTAATAGAACCTGATGGTATAGAAAGTATTCCAGAAAGCCAATACAAGCAACTAAAAAGCACCCCTAAGCAGATTATTGCAAAGTTTATGAAATTTTTAGACGATTGAGAATTATTTACATTAGAAGATCAAGAAGAATTTGATAAGGAAATTGCAATGCTGGTTAGTAGCACTTATGGCCATTTAAATGAATTATGCATTAAATGCGATAAAAATAAAGCTGGCATGATAAAAATAAATGAGTTCAAAAATGCTCTAAAAGAGCTTGGTGCTGAGATCCCAAAAGAAGTTTTTAATTATATGCAGCTGCTCTTTTATTCACATAATAATGAATTAGACTCAGTCCCGTACAAGCAATTTTTAAATGCCTATATTTCTCAAAATGAAGATGGAGAGCATTCAGATTATTCTGATGAAGAGCAAGCCAAAATTGTGCGACAATATCTTGCTATCATAGCCCAAAATTTGAATAAATTAAAAAAAAGCGTCAGGACTGTCTTTATTGCTGACAAAAAAGGCCGAATAACCCCAGATCAGTTTGTGTCAGCGTTGCAATATTTAGAGATGGGCGATATTGAGAAAGAGCATTTAATTTTAATGATTGAAGCTCTTCAGTTTGATGAAGATCAAAAAGATGTCTTTATTAATATTGACGAGCTTGAAGAAATTTTGACACATTATGGAGTTAAAGCTGACGAAATCCCTGATTTGCCATCCAGTGATGATTTACAGTTAGAAGGGCTTTCATCAAATTCTTCCAGAGGGCATGTGAAACAAATTTCATTATTAGATGAGGCTGAGGAAAGCGAGGAAGAAAAGATGGCAAAGGCGGGGAAAAAGGTAGAAAAGCAGAAAGAGAAGGAAGATTTAGAACATTTTATAAAAGGCTCACATCAATATATTGAAGATTTTGAAGATTGCTCAGAAGAAAGCAGTGTAAACATCATCGATAATCGAAGGGCGATTTTGGGAGAAAGAGGGAGGGTCGCTGATTTTTATGAAGATTTCAGGGACTCTGATCGCTCAGCATCAGCTGTAAGTATATAAATATAATATTTAATATAATCTCATAAAACATACTGAGAAAATTTTAAAATAAAAATATTCACTTATCAATCGTTTCTAATCCGAAAATATTGGAATAATGTCTGAAGCTGTAATATTTATAAAATTTGAAGCAAAAATTCTATTTTAAGATATTTTATTGCCACAGAAGATTTAAATCTCAGTAATTTAGCTTGAAGCCATAATTATCAATGTTGCAATTATTCCGAATGTCAAAAGTCCAGCTGTTGTCAAAACGCATACTTGTGTATTTACTCCTAAGAATTTATCGTTTACTTGAGGCAAGCAATTATGAGTTTGGATATTTTGGCCCAAAAGAGGTTGATTTTCTCCTCCGTGACCGGGCAAAGGTGCATAGTAGGGATTTTCTCTTGGCTGAGCAGGTGGCGCCTGGTATGGAGGAGGAGCTTGATAGCGACCTCACGGAACTGGATAAACAGGTTGATTTTGCGGATTACTAGACTGCACTGAGTCTAAATTTTGACTTTGCATTTTTTTGGCAATTTCTTCGTCTTCTGATGCTTGCTTTCTTAATCTTTCATTTTCTTCTTCCTGCAATGCTTTTGCTAGCTCCTCATCTCTATTAACTTCAGTCCCAGATCGCTTTTGCTGCATCCGCCGTCTGTATTCTTCTAATTGATCATTGCTCATACTCTATTTATTCGTTTTAATTATATTTAAAAAATTGTTAAGCAAAATAAAAATACAGTCTTTTACCAATAGATGCCAGATGTTTTGGATATGAAAGAACTGGCTCTTCATGATGCTTTGAAAGAAGAATCTTTGATGAAAATTTCAGCCTCTCTTTCGAGTCTACTTTTATTTGTGTTGTAAAAACTGAAAGTATAAGAAAGCACGAGCAAATTTCAAAGAGCATTGAGATATAGAGTCCTATTATTGTTCAGGTCGGATCCCTTCCTGCATCACTTAACATAAAGGCAACAAATAGAACCAAAATAAAGCACCCAAGGAGAGCAGACAATCATGAAATATTTACAATTTTTGTGAAGACTGCTTTGTCTTCTGGGGTGAGATTTAAGATAAAATGCGTGTAGTTTTTCCTCAAAATTGGTTCTTCTTGCATTAATCTTGTTGTTTTGCAATGCTGCAGGACCTCAGTTCTATTAAGCTGCTCGCTATCAAAGCTATTTCAAGAGGCTCTATTAATTCAATCAGAGCATTCTGCTCAACTCATTGGACACGCAGAGTCAAGGCTAGCTGGCTCATATGATGGGTGTTCCATTGAGGCTGTTCGATGATAGCTTGATGTTTTAATAGTGTTATGAGCATCATTTGTTTTCCTTTGAGTAAAGCCAGTAGATTCTTGCTTTGTAATTTCATAAATGTCTTTCTGCTCAACACTTTCATCGACTGGAGAAGTTTTTTTGATGTATTTTATCATAAGTAATCCGAACCCAGCAAAACCTCCTATGACCATCACAATTCCTATTCCTAATAAAGATGTTCCATAAATTCACCAAATTTCTTGCTTAACTCTATATCCTTTTAATAAGGTGAAAGTAACTGTCAAAGGAAATGCCAAAATCATACTCCAAAGGAAACATTTTCTCAATATCCTATATGGATCTGATTTTTTCGGGTTCAAACCTTGATAAAGTCCTGCTCATACAAGTAGAACGCATAAGTACATTCCAAATAAGAAAGGGAAAACAAATTCATATAAGACTCTGTCTCCGATTCGATTAATATGATTGTTAAATCCCAATGGATCTGAGCACAGCCAAACTCCTCTCAAAATACATACACAACAGATAAACACCAAACTTAAATGCTTAGGGCTTCTAAAAAGTCTTCGTAATAGCCTTGGTAAGCTTATAACTGAGTCAGCGTTCATAACTCTGTATAACTTTAACAACGAAAATCCTAAAAATGTGTAGTAGCAAATTGCATATATAGCAATATAAGCTGGTCAAGCTCTGCCCCATTCAGATGAACCAGTTGTTTCACAATTACTACCGTATCAGCCTGTGTCACATTTGCAAGATGAATCAGAGCAATCTCCGTGAGAGTTGCAGTCAATATAAGAATCACATTTCACCATTTTGAAATATAAATTTGTTTTTAATTATAAGCTATTTCTGATTTAAAGCTGATTGTTCTTTAAATAATTTGATTCAAAATAAATTAATTAATTATTGCGTGATTTAATATCTTTTTAAAAAAAAGACTAATATGGCATTTGCAATTCATTTTGTTGATAATTTCTAAAGTAAAATATTTCTGCTTCCATCCTTGGTATATTTTAAAAAATTAAAGTTAATTTAAATTATTAGATATATATGGCTTTTCATAATCGTTACATTTTTAATCAGACGAAAGAGAAAAATATGAAATATGTGAACAATAATCCAAACTGATTATTCGAAGACTTGAGTTTTTTGCTGAGATATACTTCAACACAACAATAATTTCAACTATTAAAACTCATTTATTAAGTTTACACAAACAGTAGGTGCTTAATTAATCATCCGAATTTCAGTGTTTTGTCGCTGACTTCAGATTATTTGAAACTGCTCATATTATCATTATTATTGCCAAAAAAGCTTAAAAATGCTGAAAAATAATATATACCTAAATCAGGGATCATCATGCTTTCATTAAGCTGTCCTTGTGATGAACTTTCAGATTTTTTGTTTTCTTCTTCAGCTTTCTGAACCACAGTGTAATTGAATAAGTCTTTAGATGCGTAATCATAATAGACGAACCATAGATCGCTTCCAGCTTTGCATTTCTTCGAAAGCTCTATATGTCCATAGTTTTTGAACCATTCTCTATATAGGCTGGTGAATATCTGATGAGAAAAAAGATAATCTTTATATTTCTTCCCATAGGATAAATACTTGTTTACTTTGTCTGGCTTACCTCTGGAGCTTAAATATTCTTGCAAAAATATTTTATCATGTATATTAAGAGTGTGTTCAATTTTTGAATAATTAAACTTCATATAACTTCTGAATGATCGAAGCCAATACTTGTCTTTTTCTTCTGTTTTTTTCTTAATCGGATCAAATGGTCTAAGAGGCCTCCTTCCTCTTTTCTTACTCCCCTCCTCCGCGAGCGAACAAAAAAATCTTGTTCGCTTACGGAGGGGGATTAATTTTTTTTTTTAAAAATTTTTATAGAAAATTTTTTTTTCGAAATTTTAAAAAAATCCCACTTTCGCAAAAATTGGAAACCAAATATTAATTTAATTTGTAAAATTTATTTTTTAAAACGCAATTTTTTTAAAATTAAACAGAATTAGCAAGATATTTCATTATACTAATTAGCACTTATCTATCAAATTTTTTTCCATAAAAATTTTTGTTCGCTCATTCATGGAGGGGGGGGATTTAGGTAATTTTGAAGTATCATGAGGTGACTCATCTGTTAAAGGTGAAAGCTTAGAATCATTTGAAGAGTGTGCATTTGTTAAAGAATTATGCATCTCCCAGTCAGCCCAGATATCCCTTGGATAAGCTGCGCTTGGGATGCTTGGATCTGACCCTGATACCAGGGCAAGAGTGGCGATTTTGTTTTCTTCCGATTCCATGAAACGACGAATTTCAACTATTATAAGGTGACATAATTATGAATAATTTTAACTTACTGAATTGATTCAACATAAATATATAAAAGAAACTTATTGCTTCAAACTATTCGAATCACCCTTATGTGGCTACATTTATCTGGAGAATAATATTAAATATGGAGAGAAAATATAAAAGACATTTGATAAAAAGTTTATCTGGTTTGCTAGAGACTTAAAAGCTAGTGATATAAATTCAAATTGTATGGAGCTCTATTAGTTCAAGAGAACTGCTATCCATTTATGTTACATATTAAAGGCTTCCATTTAACTAATTGCATACGTCATAAGATAACTTGCTAAAATATAATCAACTATTTTTATTTGTTTTATTATAGTTATTTATAATCGATTTATATGCGTTTAAAATATTTTAGAGCTTACTGATGCTTAATTGAATGAAAACTCTTTTGATTTTTTGCTTCGCAAATAACCTTATTTTTAAGTAATAGAAAATGAATGATAGTAAAAGGAAGGTCTTTATTTTCAACTTTTTTAATAGTTATCTATAGCTTGCAAGATACATCTATTTATTGAATATACTTATAAAAACTGGTTAAGCAAAAGAAGTTCAATTAGATCTGATTTTTGGATAATTCAAATATTTAGGTAAAATAAAAATATAAACAATAGGATTGGCTGCATATATATTGCTGACAGATAATAACGACGATTAAAATAAAACCAAATGATATATTCTACTTAACATTATAAGTCTTCAATTAAAACAATCCAACTATTACTAGAAGTAGCAAGTATAAATGCTATACTTGCTTAAAATAATCAGCTTTAAGAAAACTTTTCGACATTTATGTTTAAGAACCCTTATATTTCCCTTGCTTACTCCCCCCCCCCCCTCCGTGAGCGAACAAAAAAAATTTTGTTCACTCACGGAGGGGGGGTTAATTTTTTTTTTTAAAAAAAATTTATATATAAATTTTATAAAAAATATTTTTTTCGAAATTTAAAAAAAAATCCTAATTTGCAAAAATTGGGAAGCAAATACTAATTTAATTTGCAAAATTTATGTTTTAAAACGCAATTTGTTTAAAATTAAACAGAATTAGCTCTAGATTTCATTATACTAATTATCACTTATATAGCAAAATTTTTTTCTATTAAAATTTTTTCTATTAAAAATATTTTTGTTCACTCACGGAGGGTGGGTTTTTGGTCAAAAAATGGCGATTTTTCTAATGGTTTTGTTCGCTCACGGAGGGGGGGGGGGGAGTTAGCAATAAGATTTTTGATTGGGCTGAGTTTTTTAAAATGTTTAGTTTCTCAAAAAATCCAATTGAAAATATATTTAGTGATTTTATTTTAAAATTTCCACTTAAATTAAAAATTGCATAAAAATTCACTTTTCTAATAATTAATTATATATCAAACTTTACACAATTTTATTTTCGCAATAAAAAAGAGTTGATTTTTCCAGAGGGATTTCCCAATATTTGCTAACTAATCGAGAAGGGTGTTAGTTACTTTTTTAAATTTTTCGCCTAAAATTAGTTGCCTTTTCTCCCAATCATATTTTTGAGTTAATTGCTCAATGGCGAAAAATATCTTTAATTTTATATAACTCCACACCCTTTTAAATTGTGTAAAAATCCTGTTCTAATTAAAGAGGGTTAAATTTCTTTTTTAAAATTAAAAAAATATATTGAACCAAATATTTTAGATTTTAATTTTATTCTTTATGAAGAATTAATTTGAAACATTAATTGATTCAGTGTGAAAACTGTTAAAATAATATTCTACTTATATTATTGGTTAAATAAGATCAAAAGTAGTTTTATAAAAAATAGTATTGCGATTGCCCGAGGATGGCGCTATCTTGCGCCATCCTCGGGCAATTACTATATTTTGTTTTACCTATAAAATTTCCTATTATAAAAATTGTGTCCCAATTAAGTGGTTAAGTACCAAATAAGTAAAATTTTTACCTATATTTTGTACCAATATAAAGGGGAGTAAGTATGAATTTAATAGACAAACTTTCCTTTGTAGGAGACTTTTATTTGATGAGCATATAAATTCTACAATAGCCTCGAAATACTTCTAAAAAATTTAATCTACTTTGTTCATTCCGTCATCTATATATTTCTTAAGTTTATTTTTGCTAGAATAAAATTTAGACCTTGAAAACAATTTCACTTTTTATTTGTTATTTTTAAGAATAAACTTTAAATAATGGGGAATAAAACCACATGCAATTTTATTACATCAAAAGTGGATATAGTTAATAATAATCAATGGAGGAGGATAAAAAAAGCTTAATAGATCAAACTCAAACATTTCATCCGTCACATTCTTTTGCTTCCCAAGCTAATTTAAAGTCGTTTGATGAATATCAAAGACTTTATGATGAGAGCATTAATTCTCCTGACACTTTTTGGGGTCGAGCTGCAAATGAGTTGCACTGGTTCGAGCCCTGGCGCAGTGTTCTTGATCAATCTGATAAGCCTAACTTCAAATGGTTCTCAGGAGCAAAAACAAATATTTGCTATAATTGTGTCGACAGAAATTTGGAGACACGAGAAAATAAACTCGCCTTAATTTTTGAAGGAGAACCAGGAGATACCAGAGTGTTTACCTACAGAGTAAATTGGAAAAAAATTATAGAAATTAATATTCATTTTTTACCTTTTTTTAATTTAATAAAATACCTACAGGCAACTTTTCGACGAGACCTGCAAATTTGCCAACACTCTCTTTTCATTAAGTTAAGTTAAGTTAGTTTTGTAAGGCCATACGCGGCTGAGCCACGGACCTCAACACCTCAGCTCGAAAGACAACGCCCGGTCAGGTTCTGATGTGGCCATACTCCTAGGCCCGACGCCATCTTGATTTCTGTTCAGAACCACCTGTCCAAGGGATCAGCTCCTTTGGACAGAGCCACTTCTATCTGAGTGCCCCGATGGTCCCGATGAAGGAAGACCATGTGGTAGGAAAAACCTGTCTAGCCCGTCTGGCAGGGACAGGGAAAACCTTCGGGGGAGAAATAAAACTTCCTTTTCGGCACGGCTTCCCCACAACTGAAGGCCTACTTAGGACAGGAGTGAGACCTATGTCTTCAGCTTCATCAGCAATGGGTCCTACCAGCTCCATAGGAGGTGCGCCTCGGAGTCCAATTTCCGTCAACGTCACCATTTTATTTTCCTCTTTTCATTAGGAATCAGAAAAGGTGATAGAGTAGCAATTTACCTTCCTCTTATACCTGAAGCTGTCATTTCTATGCTCGCCTGTGCAAGAATAGGAGCAATCCATAGTGTAATTTTTGGAGGATTCGCTGCAGATTCTATTAGAGGAAGAATTTTGGACTCGACTTGTAAATTAGTGATCACATCTGATGGAGGATACAGGAGAGGAAAAAATTTGCACATGAAAACTATCATAGACGATGCTGTTACAGGATGCAGCAGTGTTGAAAAAATTTTGGTTATCAGAAGAGACAATACTAGCTCACAAAATGTCAACATGCAGGAAGGAAGAGATGTGTGGTATCATGAAGCGTCTGCAGATAAGCTAACAACCCATGAAAGTGAGCATATGGATGCAGAAGACATGCTATTTTTGCTCTATACAAGTGGAACTACAGGAACACCTAAAGGAATAGTCCATACTACTGCAGGCTATATGGTAGGGACTTATTTAAGCACCAAGTATATTTTTGATATTCATGATAGTGATATTTATTGGTGCACAGCTGATGTAGGTTGGATTACTGGGCACTCGTATGTTGTGTATGGTCCACTACTTAACGGAGCGACCATTTTGATATATGAAGGAGCTCCTGATTATCCTAATAAAGCAAGATATTGGGATTTGATAGAGAAATACAGAGTATCTATTATGTATACAGCACCGACTGCAATCAGAACTTTTATGAAATGGGGTGATGAGTTTCCTAATAGCAAAAACCTGACATCTCTCAGGCTTTTAGGCTCAGTTGGAGAGCCAATTAACCCTGCTGCATGGCTGTGGTATCATAAAGTAATTGGAGGAGAAAGATGCCCAATCGTTGATACTTGGTGGCAGACTGAAACAGGGTCAATTATGATAAGTCCTATTCCAGGCGTTACCATAACTAAGCCAGGAAGTGCGACTTTGCCTTTCTTTGGTGTTGACCCAGCAGTTTTAACTGATGAAGGTAATGAAACTGACTATGGCACGCTAGCAATTCGCAAGCCTTGGCCTGCAATGTTGAGAGGGATCTACCAAAATCCTGGCAGGTATGTGACTGGGTATTGGAGTAACTGGGGAGGTGCTTATTACTATACCAGTGATGGAGCTATTAAAGACCAAAATGGCTATTATTGGATTATTGGAAGGCTTGATGATATTGTCAATGTCGCAGGACATAGAATAAGTACTGCGGAGCTTGAAGGAGCAACAATTACTCATCCATGGGTTGCTGAAAGTGCATTTATTGGAGCTGATCATGATATTAAAGGCCAAGCTTTATTTGGGTTTGTTATTCTGAAAGCTGGATTCCAAGGAAGTGATCAGGTCAGAGCTGAAATCAACGAAATTATTGGCAGAAAGCTAGGAAGATTTGAAATCCCTGAAAGGCTTGTTTTTGTGAATGATTTACCTAAAACAAGGTCAGGGAAAATTATGAGAAGGCTACTCAGAAATATTGCTGAAAGAAAAGAGCTTGGAAATACATCTACTCTAGCTGATCCTGCAGTTATTGATCATATTGCTGACCCCCCTCTTGTGAGCAAACAAAAAATTTTGTTCGCTTACGGAGGGGGTTAATAAAAATTTAAATGCAAATTAATAGCAAATTTTTTTTCGAAACATAAATTAGCCTATTTTCGCAAAAATTAGTTCAACTTCTGTTTTAAAATGAAAGCTGTTTAAAATTGAAACAGAATTAGCTAGAGATTTCTTATAATAATTATCACTTATATATCAATATATTTTTTCATAAAACAATTTTTATATTACAAAATTATTGTTTAATATCGGAGAGCGGGTTTTTACCTAAAACAAGTTATTTTTCCAATGGCTTTGTTCGCTACAGAGGCGGAGTGAGGAATTTAGAAAATTAGATCATTCTACTTAATTAATTCGTAAGAGTTAAATCTTTAATCAATGCTGCTTGTAGCTGGTGAAAATTGTGCCATTGTTCTTACTCCCCCCCCCCTCTGTGAGCGAACAAAACCATTAGAAAAATCGCCATTTTTTGACCAAAAACCCACCCTCCGTGAGTGAACAAAAATTTTTTTAATAGAAAAAATTTTAATGGAAAAAAATTTTGATATATAAGTGATAATTAGTATAATGAAATCTAGAGCTAATTCTGTTTAATTTTAAACAAATTGCGTTTTAAAACATAAATTTTGCAAATTAAATTAATATTTGCTTCCCAATTTTTGCAAATTAGGATTTTTTTAAATTTCGAAAAAAATAATATTTTTTATAAAATTTATATATATAAATTTTTTTTTAAAAAAAAAAATTAACCCCCCTCCGTGAGCGAACAAAATTTTTTTGTTCGCTCACGGAGGGGGGGGGGGAGTTATAATAATAAAATTATGATTTACTTTTTCAAGCTGCTTTATTTTGTTCCTTTAAATAAATTGAAACAAGTTTTCCCTTCAAACTTCTTCAACCACCTCTAAATCTTTGCAATCAAATTTCTGAAATGTCCCATAAAGAATTTATTCGAATATTTTGAAATATTTAAGAATTAAGCAATAATAAGGTTGGTGCCCATTTGGGTCATCCCATTAAATTGGAACGATACAGAGAAGATTAGCATGGCCCCTGCGCAAGGATGACACGCTCAAATCGAGAAGTGTATCCCAAATTTTTTATGAACCTTAACATAATTAAATTATGAGTGGCATCAAAACTTTCAATGAGCCAGTAACAGCAAGAAGATTGACTCGTCTTCGATTTCTCGAACAAGAAAGCGACCATTTGCGAACTATTAAGAGCGATCTTGAGTATTGCTTGATAAATTCAAAGCAAGTCCTCAATGAAGTTTTGTCTACTAACATTTTATCATCTAGGCAGCATCTAGACCGATCAGCTGATACTGAGGTTTCTTCACATGTGTCGTTGGGGCAGTTCGAAGCAACTGTTGCAAAAAATATTGAGCTGTATACACTGCTAGGGAAATATAGACAAGAAAGAAACATAACTTTAGGTAAAGCATTGATATCAGAACAAATATGTGAAGAATCAGTCAGAAAAGAAAACGAATTCATGAATGAAATGGACGATCAAATTAATGATCTGAAATATCTACTAGACAAAAAGGATAATAGAATAAAGACACTTAATACCCAACTAAAAGCTTTACTCCTTCTCATTAGGTGGAGAAAGAAGCAAATTAATTTAAACATATATATTTTAAGAAAGAAAAATTCTATGTTTCAATGTAAAAGTCTCATGATTAAAATCATAAAATGAAAAAAATTCTTGCTCTTAAAAGAGAGGAGTTAGAAGAAAAATTTTCCGAGATTAAAAATGAAAATGCTGTAATCTTGCCCTTGAGCGAAAGTTCTTTAGGCTACCACAGACAAATAGAAAAAATAAAGTTTAACTTATCTCATGTTTCCAAACAAATGCAAAAAGCTGAAATGCAAAGAGAAGAATTAATTGAGAACTCAAAGAAATTAGAAACAATGCTGGAAAAGTATAAGCTACTAATAAAAAATCCATTGGTAAGGATCAGAAGGTCAGGGAACTACAATGCAGAGATGTCGTATGATGCTGGGTTTTATAATAACTCAGACTCATCAAATAGCTCAGAAGAGGTAACTTTTCCAGATAAATTTCAAATTGAAAGCAAGCATAAGCCGGAGCTTCCTAAGCTTGATTTTAGCAAAATCTCTAAAAAGGCTCTAACAGAAGCACAGTCACCTGCAGATCTTTCTCAAAATAAAATTAAATCAAAAATAAAAGATTTAGAAGATGCTTGCAAAGATAAAACGGAATATTTAAGTACATTAAGGCAAAAAGTTCTGGAGCAAAGACAAAAAAACCAAAAAATAATTGATTCTCTCTCCAAAAAACAAGAATTTAAGATACTGTCAAATGCTGAGTCCAACTTCGAAGAAAAGAAAAGTAAGCGAAAAAGGCCAATGAGTGACGCTCTTGACTATATAATTGACCCAGCCAATGAAGAGACTAAGCATGTTAGTGCAAAAGAAGAGCCATATGAAGAGCTTTTCCAAACTGATAACTATGAACAAGAAAAAAGCGATTCTGAAGTTCTTGACAGCTTCAATGGGAGTGAAGTTGAAAAATATGAAGAAGACATCGAAGAACCAGACAGCATTCTTGCTGATTACATGAATGATATTATACGCTAATTTACAACTCATAAAAATTATTATCATAAATATATGAATTCCCTATTCGTGGACAATTTCGTGGCCTTCTTCATCTTCAGGTGGGAATAAATGCCTCTCCGGAGAATGCGTGACTTTTTTCGACCCTCCTCTGATAGGTTTTCGTATTCTGGAATTCCCAGGAGTATAGACATTGAGTGAATACCTTGGCGTTGCTATGATTTCTTCTTTATCGTTTTGAAGATTTTTGATCTGTTGCTGAGCTTGTAGAAGTTTGGATTTCAAGTTATTGGACTGGTCCTCTAATATTTGACATCTTTCATTCAGCCTCTGTATTTTTCTTTCATTTATTTGTTTATCAACTTTAAGCATGGACTTTTGGCTGACAAGCTGCTGGTACATAAGAGTTAATTGATCAAGGTTCCTTTCTAAAGTGTCAGTTTTTTTCTTAAGTGATTTTTCACCTTGAGACATGTTGCTCTCTAGAGTTTTATAGCCAGCTCTTGATTCATCTAATTGGATTTCGAGATTGACTATTCTTTCAATTTTCGATTGGATTTCTCTAGCAATGGATTTTTTTTCTTGTTTTCAGCTTTCTCGCTCTCTCCTAAACAATTCTTCTTTGTGCTCACTTAATTTCCCACCATTTTGGTGGAGAAATTCATCAATTCGCCTTTGATATACAGTGATTTCTTCAGCAAGTCTTATATTTTTGCTTTTTTCCTCTTCAAGTTCATGCCTTAAGCTTGAAATTTCTCTTTCGCCGCTCATTTTAAGGCGGGTTTGCACTTGCTCGATTTCGATTTCTTTCTCCGCTAAATTTTTTTCAAGCTTCAATTTTTCGAAATTAGCAGCATTTAAATCAGCTAACAAGCTTTCATTTGTCACTTTTAAAGTATCGTAATTCTCATATTTTTTTTCTTTTTCTTTCAAAACTTCTTCAATTTCAGTTAGTTGCTGCAATATAGTGTCTGCACCGCTATAGCATGCTTGGCGCTTGTTTTTTTACAGTAACTTGGAGCTCTAACGAGCCACCTAAAGGTGACAAGTCAGCCCAACTTGACAAATCCTTGTAAAAGGATACTTTTGTCAACTTGGAGTTGACCTGCCACCTTTAGGTAGCGTGTTAGAGCTCCAAGTTACTGTAAAAAATGAAGCGTCAATGCACGTTATAGCTGTGCAGACGGTATATAAATCAATAATTTGCTGTTGCGAGTTCCTGCTTTCATTTTGAAGCCTCACAAGCTCAGTTTGTGTAATTGCGAACTCATTTTTGAATTTCATATTGTTTTCAACTTCTTCTGATAGCCTGGCTCGGGTTTCCTCAAGTTCTGCTATAACTTCATCATATGCTGATGATTTTGACTCAATTTCTTCTGTTTCATCGTTATCTTTTTTTTCATCTTCTTCAATTTCACTTTCAACAGGAATTGGTGCCCCTGTCTTTTTAAGGCTTCTTTCTAGCGCTTTGATCTTTTTGTCTTTTGTAATAATAAAATGGCGTCGTCGAGAAAATTCTTCTTTGAAGAATTTTCTTTCCTTTGGCAATTTTATTATTCTAGGTTCAGTTTTCCCAGTTAGACCTTATCCAGCAATATCAGATAAGCAGCGGGGAGGGGTGCACAGCCTCCTGGCCTGATCCTTGGATGTTTGGTGGGCACAGGGTTTTACTGCTTGACCCTCCCAAGAAAGGAGACCACGGTGGCACAACGCGCAGGAGTCAAGTTATGAGCAAGGCAACGCAGCCGTGAAAATTTGGCAGCTAATTGGCCGTCACTTGCTTAGGATTGTTCGCCATACCGATAAAAAGTGTGACGTCGGAAAGGCCTGGTGACGTCACCAATTGGTGTTTGCTGAGGTGAGTCCTTGTGGCTTTGTTAAATCACCCTGAGGAGCTGGAGAAGCATGTTAAACACTCTAAGTAATGTTAATGCTAATGCTAATGATCTTTTTGTCTTTTAAAGCAATTTCTTCTTTTGCTTTTGCCAGCATCAATTTAAGTTCCCCAACAGTATATTCTCGATTTATTTTCGGCTTGTTTTTAATCGCTTTTGCCCTGATGCCGAATCTTAGAGTGCTGATAGTTTCTTCTTCATTGTAAGGAGACGGTGAACAAGTAATAATTAAAGCAGTTTTTGAGTTTCCTCCAAGTGAGTCTTGCAGCACTCTGGTGAGTTTAGAATCTCTATATGGGATATGGGATGATTTTCCATCTGTTAGAGCAGAAATAACTTGCCCAAGTGTCGTTAATGACTTATTGATCGTTTTAGCTTCTTCAAGTCTTTTGCCTTCAGCACCAGTTTTTTCCAGGCTCCATGCCAAATGACAGTGGATTTTTGATAGTGTACATTTCACCGAAATACATTTGGTCGAAAATTTTAAATAGTGTGATTGGTCGAAAATTAACGTTTTTTTGGGTCACTATCGAAAAGTTTCAACCAATTTTCGGCCAAAAATACTTCGGTGAAATGGACACTGTCTAAAAGGCAATTTCATTGGACCTGCACCCATTTTTCCAATCTTTTCACTTCCGGCCAAATCAACTAGATATAATTTTCCTGTTTTCGCTGACAAATCTTGGGAATTTGACTGTGAAACTGTTAATATAAAAATCGAGTGTGACCTAGAGGACCCAGCATTCATATTTGTATACCCAACTTCTCTGTTTTGTGACCCAACTTTCATTAAATCTGACACTTCTAAAGGATCAGCTACATATCTTTCAGTTAAATCTGCTATATAAATCCCTCTTGTCCTATCTTCATGTATTTTCAAATTACTCTTAGATGGGTCCAGTAAATCTTTGATTTTTTCCATATAAATTTCGCAGTAAGCTACCTTGATTTGGAACTCTAAATGCTCATCAGCACTGAGGATTTTATCAAAAACTGTGCTAACCATTCTAGGAATAATTCCCATTAATCCGGGATTCGTAATATCGGGACCTGTCATTGTAAAAGTTTTCCCACTTGAGGTTTGGCCATACGCAAATACTGTCCCATTAAATCCTTGCATAACAGCTTCTACAATAGGTTTAGCCGCGATTTCATAAACTGCACCTTGAGTAGATTCAGGATCGAAAACATGATCATAATTAAACTTAAGAGGTTCTGAGTTTTCTTGTTGAGATTTTACTATAACAGTCTTATTGTCACTGCTGAAATCCACGCAAACACGCATTGAGATCTCTTTTTCTTTTTGGTTGAGGGGACGAAAACGACAAACAACCTTAATGTTACCCGAACCTACATCTTCAGACTCTTCCATTTTATAAGTTCGCTTTTAAATAGCTACTGAAGATGAAGAGAATCGTAGTTTCTTAAATCCAAGGAAGCTTAGGCAATTTTAGATACCTTAAGAATTTATTAAGCTTCTTCGGGACCTGAAATCCTCAAAATCTTACTTCCGTATGCCAAAAAATTTGATAATTAAAAAATTAAGAAATAATTATTCTTTAAATTAATAATTTATAAAAAAAATAAAATATTTAATGCGATTTATTAGCTTCTTTAGCTCTGCTTATCATTATTTTGAATTTAAACAATTAAAATGTCAAAATTGTTAACTAAACTATATAATCAAAAAATGGCGTCATTCGAATTTTCTGGTCTCCCGACCGAAAATTCTCTTCCTCAATTTTTTGATTATGAGGTTTGGCTTTCCTAACTCCCCCCCCAATTAATAGCGGACGAAATCAATTTTTTTTTTCCCTAAAAATGGACCCTTAGGTACCATTTAATAACGGAAATTTTTTTACTATAAAAATTTTAAATTATATAAGATAATCGTTCATTATAAATTTACTAATATACATAAAATGGCGGATGACTTCTGACCGGTCCCTTTGAGACGGTTACCTGTGTATATCCGGGCATGGTTTTTGGAGCAGGAATTGGCCCAGCTATGTCTTGGGACCTCAAGGCGAGAGGTCTAAGCGCAAAGATCGCTGTTTTTATGACCAAGACCCTTGGGCAGTTATTCGTGACTCCTTTTTGCCAGCAGCGCTCAGCCCAGTGGGTGTCCGAAATGAGTCAGGGCGACATACCTGCCTAAGCTGCTTTTGTGATTTGCCCCGAATGGCGAAAGCTGTTGAGTTCTTTCTCGGGATGACCGGAAAAGAGGGGAAGGCAAATTAGACGAGAAATCGGGGGTCTCTCCAATTAAAAGGTGCCCTTCAGTGGGCAGATTTGGCGACGTACGGACAGAGTTGACGCAAGATTCAGGGCGACGAATCAAGTTGGAAATGGAGGTGGTCAGTTGGCCATCACCTCTACCGAGAAGCCGGGGGTTTCGGACCGGGTTTGAAGCGGCCACGCCTTAGCCACCCTGCGGGGTTAATCTCCGTAGAACGTCAAGGCGGTGAAGTAGGGACTTAAAATACATAGCATCTTAATATAACATAACATAACATAATATAACATAATATAACATAACATAACATAACATAACATAAATTTACTAGAACCAATGAAATAAAGATAGGAATATTTGAATAGAATTCATTTAAGCGCAAAGGTATTAAAAAATTATGAGAGCTAATAATATGCATCTGGCTTTCTTTTCTTTAAACCTTGATCTCCCCTTTTCAATTGATGAATGTCTTTTACTAATTCGCCTACACTTGACTTTGATATATTAAACTTATATACTATATCTTCATATGAAAGACCTTCATTTTGATGATCCAGGTAGTATTGTGCAATAACTAGCTTATCACCAGTTGTTAATCTTTTCTCTTTCTGGTTTCTCCATTCAACTCCATTTTATTAGATTTAGTGCTACTCTTTTACTTAAAAATGCATTTTTTTTTCAGACCTTTTATAAAAAATTTAAATAGAAAAATATATATAAATATCAAACTTTTTAAGTTATGACCCATTTAATAGCGGGACGATTTTTTTGTCCGCTATTAATTGGGGGAGAGTAAGCGAATTTATATCCCGGCTATGACATATACATAAAAATGGTGACAACAGACCACCCGACCTCTCGACCCTATTTCTTCAACATCAGCAGGCAACGGCCCAGTGTCGGAGATTTAGGTGGAAAGGGGCCGGTAATCCTTTATGTATAGTCGGCTGGGTTTTCTTCGAGCCCGAGGAGCTAATTCTCGGACTTGGAGTTTTTTCCTCCAGGACAACCATTGGAAAGGGCAAGGTCGGCCAATGTTTGAGGGCAATATGACCCTCAGACCCTGAAGACGGTATTTGCCCAACGAGAAACTGGGAGTTTCGATCCAGGTGGTTGGCCCTTAGACTCCAGAAGCCATGGAAGCCAAGACTGGTTGTGCGAATCCCTTGTTTGAGGCAACAAGGAGGGTGTCCGCCGAGGCTCCTCAGGGGCGATGAGCGTGAAGGGGTGCGAATCCCCGGCCCTGCAAGGCAAACGGCTTAATCTAATCTAATCTAATCCCGGCTATGACAGGGCTTTAAGTTCCTGCGGTGCGCGACGCAGGACTCCTGTCCCTCAGGGAATTCGAATTTTCTGGAAGGATGCCACCAACCCCAGGCGGTGGAGACTGGGACCTTTAGGGTGCCTGACGAACCCAAGTTAGTTTGCCTGAGAGCCGAAAGGACGGCCGTCGAAATCCGAACCTCTAAGCCGATAGGACTATTCAGCCTTGAAGCCAGGTAGAAGTACGACATTTTGGTGGAGAGGAGAAACCCAGAAGCAGGACGGAAGCCCGTGCGGGTGATGTGGTATTGGACGTTAAGAGTGTATAACTAATTAAGTAAGTAAATAAGTAAGTTAACTAAAACTATAAGGAACATTCAAATCAAACTGCGGCGAGCTCATAAGGTACTTGACAGTTTCATCTTTAAATGTAAATAATAAGCTGAACTCATGAGGCGTAATCGCTAATATCGAAGTTTGTGCAGAAGCTGACACAACAGAATATCTTGCAGGAGTCCTATCTCCTGCAAGTACTCTTTGTCCAAAAAAGCTTCCTCTTGGAAGCTGAAACTCTTTCATGCTCATTTTATACCAAATTTTATTTCTTGACTGGCTGTACTGAGCAATCTTGGCAGGATACGTAATTTTTACACGTCCTTGATATACTATAAACATCCCTCTTGGTACAGTATTAGCTGGAAGAACTACTTGGTCTAACCCATATGACTCTTTATTTAAAGTATTAGCTAGCAGTGCTAAGTCAATAGGCGGGATGTGCTCGAATGGGCCTAAGGAGCATAAGAAGTTTAAAATTTTGCTTTCAATATCAATGTTAGCTCGCACTGCTTGCATGTAATCATCTGCAGTGATTTTAATTAAATGGCATGTTTCCCCTGCAAGACATGATGCAGTTCTTTTATCATTAGCAGTATTTATATTGCCTCGCACAATTGCGTACTCTCCTATCACCTCTCCATCATATCTGGAATTAACAATAAAAGGCAGCTCCCCATTTCTATTTGGCTCCTGCTGAACTGCAATCGATCCTCTGAGTACTACATATAAGCATCTTCCTACATCTCCTTCTCGAAAAATCATCTGTCCTTTATTATAAAATTCATATTTCCCAACTCTCAACATTTGTTTTACAATATCCGCTTTATATTGAATAAAAAATTTTAAATGCTTAGTTAAAGCGTACATGGTTTCAATATCTCTTTCATTTCCAGGCTTTTCTAGCTCTTTAACGAGGAATTCTACGCACTGCAGACTTAAGCAGTATGTGTCTGGGATTGGAGAATATATCTGAGTGTAATTGGGAGAGGAGCACAATGTTTTCTGCCTCATTAGTTCAGCTTTTTTGTGAGATGAATTAGTTTGCTTATTTTTGTAAAGCAATCCAGCAGAAAGGAGCACCTCTGAAGTGCTTCTTCTATGGTCAAGTGATTCGAGGAACTTGTAGGTCTCCATTAAATTTGGCTCATGAGTTTGATGGATGCTTTGAATTTCTCCAAAATTGTGAACTGACTGGGAAGGATTATGAGAAGAGTCGTTTTGAAAAGTTTCATTATGATGAGTTGTTGTAAGTCTTACTAGAGGTTTTCCTTTGAAAGACTGGCTTGTCGGAATTTCTGTTTTAAGATAAGTATTTGTGCTTGTATCGTAATGAGTTGACAAACGTGATGACTGGTTCATCAGTTTAGCCAGCTTCAATTGTGGGTGAATTTTAGATGATTTAGAAGACAAAACAGTGGGAAAGGTCGAGCTCGGGGTTATTTCGTTTTCTTTTGGACTTTCTTGGTCAAGTTCTATCACTTTTGAACTGCTTTTCATATGGCTTGTGCTCATGATGTGTTCTCTAAATATATCAGTATCAGGCTTATGTTTTGGAGAGCCCAAAAACGTAGATAGTGGGGTTCTCGTGCTTAGAGGGTACTCTCTCCCTTCTATTCGTTTTAATCTGTTTCTAGAATTTATGCTGGCGACACTAAAAGAATTTTTCATTTTATTAATAATTTATTTTACCCTCCTGCTCCTGCTATTAACTCTTACAATTTCATCCCAGTCCTCAGTAATTTCCACAGTTCTTCCAGTGTATCTGTCAAAGCTAGGCGCTTTCTTTTCAGGCTCAATTGCACTTCTTGCTCTTTCCAGATTCATTTCTGCTTCTGGGTGTGTAGCAATTTCTGGAAGAAGTCGAGGCTCTTCATAGCTTTCTCTCCCTGTGATTTTATCAAAACCTAATACGCCTAATGTTCTAGGTTTTGTAGGATCTTGAATAGTGATGGGTGGAGGAACATAAACTTCCTCTTCGTTATGGGTTATTTCTTCTCTGCCAGTCTGCTTTTCCATATTTACGAGCATAGCTCTTCTTGGCCTTATGGCATCTTCGTTTATTTCTACTGGGGGAACAGTAGCAATCATTTCTTCTTCAAAGGCTTCTTCTTGCTGTCTTCCTACTTGTTTGTCGATATTTACCAGCATAGGGACTTTTCTTCGAATTATGTCATCTTTTACATTTAAATCTAATTTTTCCTCCTCTGACTCCCCACTTCAAATTTGAACAAAATATCTGCTCCAATTTAACCTTACTTACTTAATGAAATTACGGCCATAAGACTTTTCAGTCTGGCCATTTCTGATTAAAAACAATTCTGATCTAAAATTCAACTTCTGATATAATGGCCTAAATCTGATCATAATTAAATCTTTCTGACTAAAAATAAAATTAGATCAATTCTGGTCTAAATAAAAATTCTGGCCTGAGCTTCTTGCGTCTCCAACAACTTCTTCATGTCTTCCACCTCCAGCTTCATCTACCACAGAAACAAATAGCCATTGCTGCAATAAGCTGCACACACTCACGCAGCACAGCTGGTATTCTTGAAGAGACGCCAACTGGATAATTTCTTTTAGTCTGGCACAACGTGCCATTATGCAATTAGAAAATTATGCTCCAATTTAAAGGAATTATTATTATTTTAAAAGTAATTTTAAAAAAAATTATATAAAGTTTTATTTAAATAAAACTTATCGATCAAAGCCAAGCTTCGCTTAAATTAAAGATGGTTAATGTACCCAAAAAAAGAAATTTTACCAATTTTTGTTTTAAATTAAAGGGAGTAATTCATTTTCTTTTATAACCCTTCCTTGATCTTTTGCCATATTCACAAACATTGGAATCTTCTTTTTAATATAATCTTTATTAGGGTTGATCAACAATTCAGTTTTTTCTTCATACTCATCAATTTTCTCATCTCTTCCTTGAGCTTTATCCATATTCACAAGCATAGGAACTTTATGTTTTACTATAGGATCAATTAATAAAATATCGCCTTCTTTCGGCTCATCAATGTCAATTTGTGCAGGCTCTCGGGGCTCAGCTTTTCCGAAATCATAAGCAGGGGCTCTTTCTTGAATAGGCTCATAGTCATACGTGCCTGGAGCTGGATTCGGCAAAATTCCTTTGAGTTTTTGATTAATCCTCATCATGATTTCTCTCTCTTTTTCTTTCATTTTGAAATCCTCATAGGCAATTCCATTAGAAAAATCAGCTTCTTGAGGTTTATCGAATTTATTATCATCAGAAAAATCATAGAATTTCCAACGCTCAGGGAATAAAAGCTTATTTGAAGGATGAGGAGGCTCAATAACTGTAGGCTCATGATACTGAAATGTAGGATGAGAAGGATGCAGCAATGTATCGTCAGGGTATAAAGGAATCCTCAAATCACTTTCAGGAGGCTTATTTTGGGAATTATCTGGGTGGAATGTTAGAACTCCCTTGTCAGCTCTTTGCTCGATTAAAGTGAACTGTGGGTCATATTTCCCTGGGCCAAGCTTTAAAACTGCATCTGGAGGAAGTGGAGGCTTCTTATGCTCAGGATTAATTGTTGGCTCAGGAATTCTTTTTTCGACTAAATCATACTGCACATTCAATGCTTTTCTTCTGTCTTCCTCTGGAGATTTTTCACGTTTTGCTATTGGAATATAGCCACCAATAGGTTCAACTTGGTCTTGGATCGTATAAGTTGTGGGTCCTGGAGTTTTTGCTGGAGGCCTTGGTATTGTTTCAATTTGATGATACTCAACTGCTCCTTTTATATCTGGCTCAATTGCATCATATGAAACTGAGTATCGTCCTGGGCCTACTTTTGTGTTTTCTGGTCTATGTGGAGCTGTGCTTTCTGGTGCAATTATTCCTCCATGAACTTCATGAGGCTTATCAGGGTTCGCAAGCTTTCATAAAATTGCTGCCTTCTCTTCTCTTAAATCTTCTAGCTCATCTTTGAGTTTGAGCTTTTCATTTCTTTCTGTATCTTGAGCAATTTTGAAGCCTGGAATCGATTTTTTTACAGCATTATAGTTTGGGTCAATGGGTAGCTCAGTTTCATTGATAACTTCTTTAGGCTTTTTAGGAGATTTTCCAAAGCTGGAGCCAAGGTGATTTCGTTCGATATAGCTATAATTCACTTGGTATGCGCCAGGGCCTACAAATGATTTTTGAGAGTTTACGCTGGTTGCTTCAGTTGATAATGAATGGGAGTGCGAAGGCTTTTTGAAGTTAACTTCAACAAAATCAGGGTTAGTGTCTCTTCAGTCCTCAATTTTTTCTTCTCATTCAGCCTTCATTTTCATGAAATCGTCGAATTCAGTAGCCATAGTTGATATGCTCGTGCTGAGAAGAGAATTTTCTTCGTTGCTTTTATTATAGGCAAGCCTAGTGGCACTTTTCAATTGTTCATTATAATTAATTGCCTTTGCTTTTTTAGGCACAGGCGAACTTGGAAGTATATTGCTCTATATTGAATTTTATAATAACTACTATATATATAATAATCATTTTATAAAACATCATCAAATTTTTTTAATGTGATTTAAAGCTATATAAATCAGAATTATCTTTATTGCTAGTAGCCTGATTTTCATTTTGTTTTCTTTCAGTTTTTGTATTTAATTTTAAAGGACTTTTCTTATCTTTTATAGTCACAGAAGGTGCTTTTTTCAAAATATAATCATAGTTTGGGTTTAGCATGACTACAGGAGACTGATCATTTCTTTCAATTACTTTGGAAGCTTTCCCTATAACTCCTCCAGTCACTCTTTTTCCTGGCCTCGCTGCATCAAGCATCACATCATAATCATTCTTTTTATTTTCAAAAATCGTTCTTTTGCTCGTTCCAAAAGTTGTGACTCCTTGCTCTTTTTTAATTTCAACGTTCTTTTTCGGTAGAAATTCTTTATTCATTTCTATTTCTTTATCAGCTTCTTCTATTGCTTTTAACAAAGCCTCCATTTAAAAATTTATATTACCTTATATTAAACCCTCTTATTCTTAGGCTTTCTTTCAGCTCAAGACTTGGAAAACGATCAGTTGCCCTTGGAGAAAAGCTTGACAGGCTTGATGATTTTAATTTAAACTGCTCATTATCATAAAATTTTTCCCTGTTTGTATTTTGTAAAATTGCATGCATCACTAAACTTTCTGCTTCACCTGGCAAATATTCAGATAACTCATCTTGCTTTGGAGATCTGAAATGTGGTCGAAGTGTGGCTGTTGGAGATTGAAAAGAAGATTGAATGGCTCTTTTATGAATAATTATTTTTTCAATTTTGTCAAGTCTTTCGCTCATTACTTGGCTATCGCCATTACTAAATGATATATCAGGTGAAAAGGGATCTTTTATTGAACTTCGCTTTAAGTTGGATTCTCTTTCTGTTTTCAAGATATTTAATTCTTCTCCACTATCATCATTTATATGGAACTGTTTAAGAGTTTTTGACAATTCTTCCCTCAGCTCATCTATTTGTGCTTTTCCTGCCTCGAGTACTTGAAGACGAGTTTCTAAGTTCGTTTCTGTTGATTTTAACGAGGAAATAAACTGCTCAAAGTCATTGAATTTGTTGGAGATTTTCTCATCTGAAATAGTGAATCTTTTTTCAAAATTTTCAGCTAAAATGCTAATTTCGTGTCTATTTGACTCGAAATCGATATACATAAATAGCGTGAAGAATCAGTAATCTGCCCCTTCTTAGCGTCTGTAGCCATACGCAAGTCTGGCAACCTCGCTCAATGGAGAGCAGCATGTGATGAGTGTGCTCGGCCAGGTATTTGTTGACTTGGTGGGATAGCAGCATCGTGCTGATAGACCTAGAGCTCAACTTCAGATTAATTTTTTGCTTCGTTGAGAGATGGAACTTGGAAGCTGGAAAGGGATAGCACAGCAAGGCTAGAAGTGGTCGCTTGGCCGATCGGGCATTTCCCCAGCGCTATACATGAGCTGCACCCCTGGGTTATAGTTTCATCTTAGTTGGCAGCCTGACCATCAAACGGGTGCGAAAAGGCATTATGGCTGGTGGGGAGCTAATCGATAATCTAAGTTATGTAAGACTCGAAATCGATTATTTTGGACTCGATATTGCCAAGTCTTGAAAATAGTTCTTTTTGAAGCTTTTGGAAATAAACACTTGTCTTATTGATTTCGCTATTATGGGCAGTTAGTGAATCTTGTAGAGATTTCAATTTTACATTGAACTCTTCTTGCACTAAATTTATCTTTGAAAACTGCTTACTCCCCCCCCCCCTCCGTGAGCGAACAAAAAAATTTTGTTCGCTCACGGAGGGGGGTTATTTTTTTTTTTTAAAAAAAAAATTTATATATAAATTTTATAAAAAATATTTTTTCGAAATTTAAAAAAAATCCTAATTTGCAAAAAATTGGGAAGCAAATATTAATTTAATTTGCAAAATTTATGTTTAAAACGCAATTTGTTTAAAATTAAACAGAATTAGCTCTAGATTTCATTATACTAATTATCACTTATATATCAAAATTTTTTTCCATTAAAATTTTTTCTATTTAAAAAAATTTTTGTTCACTCACGGAGGGTGGGTTTTTTGGTCAAAAAATGGCGATTTTTCTAATGGTTTTGTTCGCTCACGGAGGGGGGGGGGGGAGTTAATAGTTTTATCACATTTTTTATCAGTTTTACTAATTTTTTCAGCTAATTCATTTATAGAAGAGCACTCTACAGTAAGATTCTGAAGTTGATCTTTTGTTGACTTAAATAATTCCCTTATATCTTTCAGCTCATTCTTTGATATTAAGTTCAATCTAAAGGCATTCAATTGATTTTTCACATCGATATCAACCTTATCCACTTTTGCATCCATATCTTTCAAATTTTCTCTGAAATTTTCTACTTCAACTCCTAATTCTTCTAGCAACTTGCATTTATTTTTTTCTTTTTTCTCAATATCATTCCACTTCATTTCACAGTCCTTCATCACATCACTTTTAAACTTTTCAAATTCATCACAGCCTTTCATTTTATCACAAATAGATATATCGCTTATTTTATCAAAATCAATAACTTTTTCTTCCTGCTTTGTCAACCTGATCTCGTGATCTTCAATTCTTTTAAGTGCTTCTTTGAGTCGGTCATTCATTTTTTTCTCAAAACCTTCCAAATTTTGATTAAATTTTTCCAAAATATCTGAATTTTCACATGCAGCTTGTGTAAATTGGCCTCCAAATGTTAAATCTTTCAAATAGTTTTTTTTGTCAAAAGGATTTGGGGTTTCATTGACACTGCTTTCTGAGTAATATAAATTATCTTCTTCGCTGTTGTCATGATTGGTTTTTTCTTGAGATTCCCTAATGTTTTCTTCGATGATCTCGTCACTCAGATGCTCTCTGCTTGGTAGATAACTAAGTCCAGGCTGATAAGATGAGAATTCTGGAGTCCTTATCTCTTCAGTTTTCTCTTTAGGAACTTGCAAATTTATTTTTCTTTGACTCTCATCATTTACAGACTGCGCTCTTTGTGATATATTTTTGGATAGAATTTCTTTTAGCTCATTCAGAGGCTTGCTCCTATTAACCCTGCAAATTTCCTAATTGAAAAATACTTCATATAACTTTTCCATTAAATATTATTTAAAATATCGCTATTTTTAACTAATTATGACTTTGTCTCAATTTCTTTTGATGTATAGACACTCCATTCTCCTCCGTTATACATATAATTGTCCATAGGATAGTCCAGCGGCAGATTTTTGAACGCAACAAAACATTCATAAGGGTTTAGCATTGGCTTTGTGAATTCAGCACCCCAGTCGATTGCAAGCCTCGGACATGCTATTTCAACCCATGCGTCCACTTCTGGGTATTTGTTAATAGAGCTCTGGCTAACATCTGACATCAAAAACACTGTGTATTTCCTCCCAATCCCCTGCAGCAGTTTTTCCAGCTGGCTTAAAATATGAATGCTCCCTTGTCTTCCCAGTGTCCCTAAAACTAACCCAATATGTTTCGCATTCCTTGTAGCTTCAATAGAAGCATTCCTTCTCACCTTCATTTCATTAAGATCGTAATACTCTGCATATATCTTGTTCTGATAAGGATCGTATCTAAAGAACCTTGAGCCTGGGTTTTGGATCATCGCAGCTTCCAAATGAAATCTCCCATCACTTACTGATATAATAATTTGCTCAGGAATTGCAGGAGATGTACATCCAAGAAGCTCCCCTGTTGTCCTTGGTTTGGCCTGAGGAATAATAAAATTTGTATAGCCTCTTTCATCGAGCATTTTTTTAGCGATTGTGACACTTTCCACAAATTGTACGGTGGAGACCAGAGCAATTTTTTCATTTGGGTCAGGGAAATTGTGTATTAAAGTATTGACTAATGTGTCAATGTTTATTGCAATGTCAACAAAAACATATAAAGTTTTCATGCAAGTTTCATTGATTGGGATTAAGCACGAATGCCCATAGTGAACGAGCAAGTCTAAATGCAGCTCATTAGCTGTGAGATCTTCAATGCAGCATGCGCCATAGACTACGTCAGCTAGAATAATCACATCTTCTAAGCCGCCTATGGCTAATAAAATATCTGAAAGAAGGCAGCCGTACATTTGCAAACCTTCAGGAAATTGGAGTCCGACTCTCTTGGCATTTAGTTCCCTGATCCTCCACAGAGTTTTGTGTATTTCAAAGTTATAGTTTTTGGGGACCAATTCCATCCATCTAGCCAGCTCTGGGTTGTTTAAAATATCTTCAGGAATTTGATTTGGTCTGACACCTTTAATCCTTTTCATTTTAATATTAAAGTTAATGCACAATCGCATAAATGGAAGGGCCATGATTTTACCATTTCTAACTATTTTATCCTACTTACTCCCCCCTCCGTGAGTGAGCAAAACCAAAAAAAAGCCTATTTTTTGGGTAAAAGCCAACCCTCCGTGAGAGAACAAAAAAATTTTTTAATATAAAAATATTTTGATATTATAAATGAAATCTCTAATTGCTTAATTTTAAATATTTTGCTTTTAAACAAAAAATTTACAAAATTAAATTAATACTTGCTTTAAAAATTATTTCGAATGGGATTTTTTTAAATTTCTAAAAAACATTTATTATAGAATTTTATATATAAATTTTATAATAAATAATAATCTCTATGAACGAACAAATATTTTCGTTCGATCACGGAAGGCAGAATTTAGCTATCAGCTATTTTAGCCAAGGTCTCTAGAAGCTCCTGTTGTGCCTTAGTCATCTTGACTGAAATTTCCTCAGTTTTTACTCTAAGTTTATCTGCTACATCTCGAGCTCCACTATGGACTTCTTTGTTGGTTTCAACACTTCTCTGTTCAATAATGCTGATTTCATTTCCAATCATCGCTACCTTTTTCGTGAGCTCTTCAAGTTTTTCTTCCCAGAATGCTTGCAGGTCAGTTTCTTCTTCGTCTCCATCAACTTCATTGACAGTGCAAAGCTGGAAATATTCTTTTCTGCCTTTGTCTCTTCTTCAAACTAGAACTGATTCTAGCTCAAGTATAAATAGAGCCATTTCTCTCATATCAGCAACATGAGCACTTTCTTGGACTCTGGCATAGGTGTCACCCATAAGCGCAATTAACATATTCATCATAATAAGTGGGTCGAGCATCACGGCAATCACAAAAACTACCCATTCAAAGAAATGGTAGTTATCAGTGTCAAACTCTCCGTAGTTCATTAAATATGAGTCCCTCCAGGAGTCCCCGAACGTTTTGGCATTTCCAGAAAGCTCACTTAGAACGCAGAAAACTAATGCAAAAGTCAAGATGGAGTACATTAAAACAATTAAGAAAGGAATCATATCGTGGATGATTTCTTGGATCATCCTTATCAAGTAGCGAGTGTCTTTAAAAACTCTAAAATAAGCAATTGCGCGGATCCAAGTCACAAATGTAATCAGCCCTAAGAACACATGCTTGTTATCCGATTCATAGCCTAAAGAGAGGACCAAGTAATATGAAAAAATTCCGAAAATCCTCAAAAGATCCAAAATATTCCAAAGATCCGTAAAATAATCTTTTGTTAAGGCAATCATTTGCAATATTTCATAGACTAAGAAAATAACACTCAAGACCAGCAGCCCGTGCAGAGCTCTGATATCATCTTGCAAAGATGTGGTATAAAGACTGAGAGCGATCATGAATAGCAAGTACAAAGCAACTTGAATAAATAGCAGACTCTGGACTTTTGACCATTTATAGAACAAAATTTCTTTGATCAGAGGTGTTTTAAGAATATCAGATTCAGTGCAGTTGATGATGGACATAAGGAAGTCACAGCTTTCTTTTGATCCTAATGTAAAGTTGATTCTGAACTTTGAAGTTCGGAAATTAAGAAGCTGGTCATCCCCAGATCTCATTTCAGCTCTGCTTTCTGGAGTTACAAAGTCTAATAAATTCAATTCTGGGTTAACAGATGTTTTAGAACTCGTAGGGACAACTAGTGGAATTGCAAATTTCAGCAGCTTTTGATTCGGCTCCACAAACGCGTTTTGGTAAAAATAAGGAAGCAGCTCAGTTGAGAACCTATTCATCCTCAAAATGTCAGTCTCCAGCCTGGTTATAGCATTAGGATCTTCAAGTAGCACCACATCTCTTGTGATTTGGCTTATACAGTCTTTATTCTTTGTGTCCAGTGCAAGAGTCATTGGGCTGCTACCAGTTGATGTCCTTATGAAGCTGCATTGATTTTTCATTGCGACTGCAAGCTGGTCAAGATCATTCTTATAAGTGAAAACATGCAATAAGTTAATGCATTGAGGCATTATAATACACTGATTCATTATTTCTGGATAAACAATTTCAAGCTTTGATGAACTGAAAATCGTGCTTAGAATTTCCCAAAAGGTTATTGAATAAGTCAAAGGCCCCAGAAGGGTCGGATCTGCAGATTCATGTGACGGATTGATCACTTCGAATATCTCGCAGTTTTCTGAAACTGCAATAAAGCTGGCATTATCTGCAGTTATTGTGAATGTAGAAAGGCCAGGCAGAGAAAGAGTGCCAAGGTAGACAAGATCAATAAGCGACCAAATTTGGATGCCGTTATCCGAGCACGTATATAAATATTTATCGTCTTTTGAGACTATTGACGGGCTTTTTATATCGCTTGGAGTTACATTACTCGGAAATCCAATTATAGCCTCACAAGTGAAGTCGCAGAAATTTCAAATTTTTATGAGGTTGTCTGATCCGATAGAAATGAATTGAGAAGCTGTATTCTTCACAACAATAGAGATAATTTCATCGTGTGGCTTCATAATGAGCTTCAATGGGATGTCACTTAAATCGTTTACTTTCCAAATCTGGAGATCATTATCAGCATTTATCACAATGTACTCCGCATCAGCACTGAAAACAGCTCCGTTGATTGAATCACACCCATAAATCAAATGGCATTCGGTCCGAGAGAAATTAGCTTTGCTAATTTTCTCTCCCTCAAGCAATTTAATTTATGGGGCTGGGTTTTACCTTAAGAACTTCTGCACAGCAACAGTGGTTTACCTTTGGGATAGCCAGAGAAACTGCTCCTCAGTGCGATCAAGAGGCTCAGGTCTTTATCCCTCAGCACACCCGAGGAAGGTGACGTTTAGGCGGAACATGCGCAGGAGCTCAGTCGGATAAAGTGTGGAAGCAGCGAAGCCCGTCATAGCTGGAATGCTGTATTTACCTGTGCCCTGGCGAATCAAAGTGGATCGATCCAGAGGTCCATGGGCTCGGCACGTGGACAACTATGGTGGCAACTCTGGAAAACGCTACCCCGTAGTGGTCGTTAAATGTTATAAATAACTTAATATTAAGATTGAATCGCACCCAATATGCATGGTTTTCACACATGTGTTATTTCCCATGCTCCACAAGCTCACGACCCTATTTCCACTTGCAGTCAAAAATAGATCAGCAGCGCAAGTTATGCATTTAATTTCTCCATGGGTAGTGAGGACGAGATCTGCTCTTGACTTATCGAGAGTTTTTATACGGAGTGTGCTATCTTGCTGGGCACATATGAGCAAACTACAATCACTAGAAAAATTTGCAGAGTAGACAGCTTTGTCATAGGTTTGGTATTCATTATCCTTTGTTTCTAAATTAATTATCAATAAATTTCTGTCATCAAAAGTGGCAGCAATTTGCTTTCTGTCTGGAGAAACTGAAATGTTTGTAGCAATTCTTTGTGACTCATGAATCTGTGTGATTTTGTAATCTTCATGGAGATTATGAGAACTATTAAAATGGCGTGATCTGGCGTGGACTCCTGGTGACCCGTAAATTGATCCGGGCCCAGGAAAGGCAAGCCACATGGCGATATCATGTATTGCAATAATTTCTTATCATGCATATGCATATCATTTTGAATTTGGTATGTGAAAACCAAATATGCGTTTCAAAACGCAGATTTTAGTGCGGCAAATTCATAATTTGAAATTTCATATGAAAATGGCGCTTAAAACGTCCATAAGAAATTTTACCAACAGATTATATACTAATTGACCAAGAATAGCCCACTATGGAGCCATTCTTGGTCTGCCAGAAAAAATTTTGACAAAAAGATCCTAATCTGCCATTACCACTGAGTTTTGGTGTTTCCAAATTTTTTGGGCAAGCCAAATGCAATAAAAAAAATTGTTCTTTTGCGATGATGCATTTGGCTTGTCAAAAAAAATTGGAAACACCAAAACTCAGTGGTAATGGCAGATTAGGATCTTTTGTCAAAATTTTTCTGGCAGACCAAGAATGGCTCCATAGTGGGCTATTCTTGGTCAATTAGTATAGTTCTCCGGGGTGGGTTTTTGGCTTAGGGGCTGACCCTAGATCTTTTTTCCTTACCTGCAGATGAACCTACTACCAGCGCAAAGTCCCAATACTACTCCATGGGAGTAATTTTCGAGCCTGCGATAAGGCTGACAGGCTATGGAGGAGGCAAGAGAAGATTCACATATACTCTGAGCCCTGTCAGAGGTTAAGGGAGTCTTTTGCTGAATTTTGGGACCAAGAAAGGTGGCACCGATCAGTAGGGGTGTCTCCGATAGACCTTCGACGTAACCATTTTTTTTGGGGACATCGGAAGCAAAAAGGTGGCGTGAGAATAGCGCTTAGAGCCAATGCGAAGCTATCCGTTGGACGGAGAGGGGCTGAAATAAACCCCGGCTACCCGATATAATTTTAACTAATCTAATCATGGAGATTATATGATAAAAGTTTTCCAGATGTAGTGGCTAATATAAAATGAGTATTTTTCTTTGAAATGCACATTGAGACTACTACTTCGTTTTTCATTGAAAATTTTAAGACTTCTTCTTTGGTGTCTAAAGAAAACACTCTAATTGCAGTGTCATAAATAAATAGGTATTTGGAGTCGTTAGTAACAGTAGCTAGTTTTATTGGCTTGAGCTTATTTGAGACTTTACCAACCATGTAGTCTTTTGTTTTTAGATATTTCCAGATAACTGCCATCCCACTGTCTCCGGCAGAAATAATGAAATTGTCAGGAGTTATTTCTAGGCATCGATGTGGGCCTTTAATTAGACATTCATCAATTTCTTCAAGATTCTGATTCCACACTTTGAGTCTTCTATCTCTTCCTGCTGTTGCAAGTGAAAGCCCATCAGGAAATATTGCTACAGCGATTCCTGAAGTCTTATGGGCAATCACTTTTTTTTCTAAATTTTTCCATTGGATATTTCATTTGCACAAATAGCCACTCCTATGGACACTGGCCATCCATGTCCCACATGGACTAACTGATACAGCTCTGGCATCAGCTTCGTCATTTAGAGTTGCGACAAAAGTATAATTATCATCTTTTGAGAATATTGAAAGTCCATTTGTGCCACCTGTAACCAAGTAGCCATTATTTTCACTGATGCACTTAACACCGCCATCTGGATCAAGCTGCTGTAAAAGTGCATTGGTTTGCAAATCATAGATATAAACGGTTTTCTCAGCTGAAATTGCAAAGAGGACTTTATTGTCACTTGAAATGGCAATATCTCCAATAGGTTTTGGAACTTCTGCAATGAGTTGCCTTCTTCTATCCTCAGTAAAGGCTTTTATTTCGTTCATTTGCTCATTGAAAATCCTAATATCTGCTTCTGCTGTTCCAAAAATACTTTTAGATAGAACTTTGTCCATTTTCTTAACTCCCCCCCCCATCCTTGATCGAACGATTGACTGTAAAAATTCCTAAAAATTGGGAAAATTAACCCCCATCCTTGATCGAACGATTTTCATATCATGCAAATTTTAATATATAAAAATATATTAGTTATCAAAAAGCTGGGAAGATGTACATAATGAAGTTGTTTTGAGAGCTTTGAGACGACAGAAAGCTACGAAATCAACCATCCAAAGTGATTTAGCCATCAACCTAAGCTTAAAAACTCAATAATCTAAAAAATAGAGATTCTTTAAAATTTAAAAAAAATAAATTTTAATTCAATAAGGAACAAATCAAAATTTATAGAGTTTAAAAGGGTAACTAATAAATCAAAATATTAAAAATTGGTATTTTATGATATTAATTCAATTTTTTGCTGTAAAAATAATTATTAAATACTCTTAACCCTCTTATTTAAAAGTAAATAAAAAATATATGTTTTATTTTATATATAAATTTTTCCCCAAAAAAATTTTTTTTAACCCCATCCTTGATCGAACGATGGCGAGTCGTTCGATCAAGGATGGGGGGGGAGTAAGTATAATTCTACCATGCAAGACTGATTATTTACAAAAATGGAATTATTGCTCAATCAGCTATACTGTAGAACTCAAGAAAAAGTAATTATAAACCTATTGATAAATCATTAGAGTTTATTTTAGGTAAATTTTGAATCACTAGAACACTCTAGCAAATAGGTAAGAGTTGATGGGGTAAATTATTTATATATTTCAGTTAAGATATGAGTGCAAAAAGCATAAAGATTAGTTATATTTATTAGAAAAATTTGAGTATTTTGTCATTTAGCACAATTGCAAAGATTAAGACGTATATTTACTTAAAAACCCTTAAAAAATTTGTAATAATGCACTGATAAATAAATTGATATACTTTCTTAGAATAGAGCATGAATCAGATTTACTTTAAAGCCTACCTGCTTAGCATATTATTTTTTGTTCAACATTTTAACCATACTAATGCTATTATTTGATCACACGTAACCCTATTTAATAATAAATCATTTTATGTACTTTTACATATTTCTAGTCATCTTTCTGGTGAACTCTAGCTAGGTTTTATTTGCAAAGTGACTATTGCGACCTTATCAACTGCTTGAGCAAAGACTTAAAATGCCTCAGTAAACGCTATTCAGAACATTCACACTCATACGCCTAGATAAGCCTGAAAAAGTTGTAAATTTTAATACGGAAAGCGCACCAGTCTACAAAACTTCGAAGTGTTATCTTAGTCTTATAGTTCCTGCTTACAACGAAGAGAGAAGAATTGAAGCAATGCTTGTAGAACACATTCAATATTTTGAACGCAAAAAAGTGACTGAAAATTTTAAATATGAAGTCATTGTTGTAGATGATGGAAGCCGAGATCATACGTAATTCACAGTCAGAATTTCTGTTGTACTTGATATCGCCAAAAAACTAAAAGTCCCGATCAAAATTCTTAAATGTGGAGTCAATGGAGGAAAAGGCTCAGCAGTCAGACTTGGCATGCTAATTGCAAGAGGAGATTATTTATTATTTGCTGATGCTGATAACGCAACTAAAATACAAGGTTACGAAAGGGTTGAAAAAGAACTGCTGAAAATTAGCAAAGCAGGACTAGGAATTGCTGTAGGTTCAAGGAATGATTTAAATAAAGACATGCAAATCAAAAGAAGCAAACTAAACTCCCCCCTCCGTGAGTGAAAAAAAAAAAATTTTCACAGGGGGGTTAATTTGTTTTTTAAAAAATTAATATAGAAGTTTCCTATGTTTGGCGCTGTAAGGCCGATAAATTCTGATCGGAATTTATCGATTGGTTGCACCAAATCAATGCCTTGGTCGGACCAAAAAGCGATTTTGGTCGACGAACTTGGAAAGCTCCTGGGAAAATGTCTGCGCTTTCAGCGCTATATAGAGGAAACCTCTATATATGAATTTTATAGAAATTTTTTTTTTTTCGAAATTTTAAAAAATTCTAATTCGCAAAATTGGAAAGCAAATATTAATTTATTTTATAAAATTTATGTTTTAAAAAGCAATTTGTTTAAAATTAAACAGAATTAGCTCGAGATTTCATTATAATAATTATCACTTATATAGCAATTTTTTTTTCATAAAAAATTTTTGTTCACTCACGGAGAGTGAGTTTTTGGGCAAAAAATAGGGATTTTTCCAATGGTTTTGTTCACTCACGGAGGGGGGGAGTAAGGGATTTTTTGAATTGGGGATTTACTACTGGAGTCAGAATTTTATGCTGGACACGTATCAGAGTAAGAATAACATAGGATACACAGTGCGGATTCAAAATGTTTACTAAAAATGCTGCACAATTACTTTTTAGAGCTCAGCACTTAGAAAGATGGGCATTTGACGTAGAATTAATATACTTAGCTGGAAGAAATAGAATCCCTATCGTAGAAGTTCCTGTTGATTGGGAAGAAATGGCTGGAAGTAAACTAAATGTATTGAAAGATTCGATTTTAATGGCAAGAGATATACTACTGGTTAGGATACTTTATTTGCTTGGTATTTGGAAAACTACAGATGTTTCAATGTAAGTTCTATACAGACCTGGAACGCATGTTGTAGGAGATGCTTAAGATAACACCTTAAATAATTATTATTCATCTCTGAAAGAATTAAATACGCAATATTATAAAACTGATATCGAAATACTATTCAATCCACCTAATTCGTTTTCCATCTTTCCATTCTCCTTTCTTTGTCTTTTTGCCAGGAGCTCTAATTTCACCAATTCCATGCTGTTTCCCATTTTTTCAGCCTCCAGTATAAGTTTTCATATTTGGCCAAGTAAAAACCCCTTGTCCTTCCTTTTTGTCGTTTACATAATCTCCTTCATATTTTCTACCATCAGGCCATAAAAATACGCCTTTGCCTGACATCATATTATTAAACCATGTTCCTTCATATACTCTATCATCAGCCCAATTATATTTTCCAAACCCACTTATTTGGTTTTCTACAAAATTCCCATCATACATAGATCCATCTGCCCAAATGAACTTTCCTTTCCCAGTTTTCTTCCCATTTTCAAAATTTCCTGAAAATCTTGCCCCATCTGGCCAATTTTCAATTCCGTAGCCATGCTGTTTTCCATTCTTTCATTCCCCTTCATAAGTGCACTGTGATTCTAACTCCCCTCCTTAAGCGAACAAAACCATTGGAAAACTCCCCATCTGTGAGCAAGCAAAAAACTTTTTTATTTTATGGAAAAGATATTTTTGATACATGAATGATAATTATTATAATGAAATCTATGGCTAATTCTGTTTAATTTCAAACCACTTGCATTTTAAAACATAAATTTTATAAATTAAATTAATATTTCGTTTTAAAATTATTTTTCGAATTGGATTATTTTATTCGAAAAAAAATTTTTTACTATAAATTTATATATAAATTTGAGAAATCGGCGCCTTCATCAGCGAACAAATTTTTTTTTCTTCGCTCACAAAGAAGGAGTAAGGTAAACAGCTTTCCATTACCTTGTATTACATCCTCATAGACATCTCCAATATAATAATCTCCATTTGAAAATACTTGTAAACAACGCCCATGCATTTTGCGATCTTTTCACATTCCTTTGCTGTAGCTTCCATCTGACAAGTATTTTTCTCCTCTTCCACAAGGATTTCCAAATTTATTTCACTCGCCAATATAGACACTATGATCTTGAAGCTTAACAGGCCCTCTCTCAATAACTCCAATTGCTTTATCTGTATAAGCGAATTCGACTAAATTTTTGAGAGTTTCTGCTGCTTTTTGAGAGAGCATGTTTGGGATTTCGTTTAATTCTTCGAAATTAAATTTTACTTCAAGCTCTTCTTCAGCCTCTTTGGTAGCTTTTTTATGAAATAATGATCGAATTAGGTAACCTCTAAAAGCTGCTTGGGATTTGACCACGAAAGGGTTGACAGAAGGAAATGATGGGGGAATTTCGGAAAATAATGCATTCGATTTTTCTTGTTTTTGAGATACGAGAGTGTTATCGATTTCTATTGTGCCAACTTCCTCTTGCTTTTGGTTACAATGACAAACGCCCATAATTAATTGAAAAGATGATATAATTCAAATGTAAAAAAAGAAAAGAATTTGTAGAGCAATTACTGATAGCAATGCAAGAGTTGGTTCTTTGCCTAAATATTGATGAGGTAAAGTTAATACTATTGCTGTATCTTTAAAATTTTTCTCAATCCAAATTATAAATCGCTATATATAATTTGACTAATTTTTGATATAAAAATAATTATGAAAATATCTTAACTTTTATTTTTAATTATTCTGCTATCTCAATTCCATATTTAAAATATTCATGGGAGTGTGTAATTGATGCAAGGCTGAACCCTCAATGAACTTGGAAGAAAAACAAAAATCAACGTACACTCACTACAAATCTCCACCACAAACAACAGCTTCCAGTGAAAAATTATCGAGGAAGATGCTAAATCCTTCATCTGACCCATCGCGCAAGCTGCTTCAGCATTTTTATAATCAAAATAAGCTTGATATTGACCCAGAAATTCTCATCATATACATGGAAATCATTCGAGGAGACCATCAAAGCATAAAAGAAGTTAACTTAAAATTTCGAAATATAGCTCCCAAACAATCGAAATTTTTAAGTTTAATTATCCCTTACTGCACAGAATTACGAAAAATTAACATTTGAAGAACAAATCTAGGCGATGAAGGAATTCATCATTTGACAAAATCTCTCATTTACCTTCAGAATATAATACAGATTTCCCTTGATGAAAATAATATCAGTGAGACAGGATTTTCATATTTTTCAAAAGGTTTGATTAATTTGAAAAAGCTGAAAGTCCTAAGTTTACATCAGAATGAAATTGGCTCTCAAGGCTCGAAGGCATTAGCACTAGCATTTAAAGAGCTTTGAAATTTAGAAGAATTGTATTTAGACTCAACCAAGCTAACCAATGACCAGCTAAATAATTTAACACAAGGAATCTCAGGTATAAGAAGTCTCAAAAAATTAGGATTAGCATATAATCTGCTTGACGGCAAGTGTATACCTCTTCTGAGGGATTTTCTAGAAAAAATGAAGATAAAAGAGCTATTTTTATCAGGAAATCAATTAACTGAAGGAGAAGCTCAAATGTTATCAGAAAGTTTCAGCGATATTAATATCATTGCATAATAAAAATTAGCCACTATGTATTTATTTATAGGAATTAACCTTTTGAATTAAAAAAATACCCTCTTTAAAATTTAACTTTAAAACTCCCAAAATGTGTTGATAAAATAAAAAATATGGTGCGAGCCTACCTTAATTGTCATTCAATCTATTACCTTAACACCATTCTAGTTTCATTTTTCATTTATGTGACAGACCATTACCAAAAGCCTATGTTTATTGTTTGGTTTATATATGCGCTACTTCCTTTCCTTGATGCGATTCTTCCTCTGGACCACATCAATCCAACTCCTGAAGAAGAAAAGGAACTCAAAAGGCAGTGGAAGTGAAAAATCCCTATTTATTCCTTTGTGTTTGCTGAGTGGTATGCTATGTTTTGGGTAATGAATTATATCAACAATCATAGCCTTTCTTGGTCACAACTCGTAGCTCTTATTATAACTCAAGGGCATGTTAGTGCTATCGGATTTTTAATTGCCCATGAGCTTTTCCATAAGCGTGATATGCTTGGTAGAGTAGTGGGCACTTTGGATATGCTCAAAAGCTTGTATATGCATTTTTACTCAGAGCATCTGTATGGGCATCATAAAAATGTCAGTACTCCAAACGATCCTGCAACAGCAAAGCTCAATCAAACCCTATATGAGTTCATTCCTTCAACAATCAAAGGAAGTTTTTTAAACTGCTGGAAAAGGGAATCGAAAGCCTTAAAAAAACGAGGCAAATCCCCTTGGAGTATAGAAAATAAGCTGATTATTTGTGTACTTATAGAAATTTTATTTGTATGCTTTATTTTCGCGTGTTTTAGCTTTAAATCGTTTATGGTATTTTTAATTCAAGCTGCGCTTTCTATATTTCTATTAGAAAGTATCAATTATGCTCGACATTATGGCTTGCAAAGAAAGGAAATCAAGCCTGGGGTGTACGAACCAGTTACTATCAAGCACTCGTGGAATGCTCCACATTTTTTGCAGAATCTATTTCTCTTGAAACTCCAACGACACTCAGACCATCATGCAAACTCATATAAGCCATATCAAACTTTAAGCAGCTATCCTGAGAGTCCATGTCTTCCTTGTGGCTATGCAAGCTGCATTCCTGCTGCTCTAATACCTCCTGCATGGTTTGCAATTGTAAATCCTATTGTTGAAGGCACGAATGAATATGGCAAGCCGACTGCTGAGCAAATGAAGAAGTCAACCGATTCTTTTAACATTTTCTTGGTGCTTCAAGCGAGTGTTTTTACTCTCCTACTAATTTTAATATAAGGAAGCCGATAATTATAAAATGGCATTTCTAAAGTAGACTAGTAATTCTAATTATAAAGCTTGATATGGACATTTTTAAATATTTTTCAAGCTTTTGAGCTTATTGAACATTATATGCAATTCTTTTAATTCTTAAATATCAGCTTAATTTTTTTTAAACTTCAAACTAAATACTAATATTTCTTTTGCAAAAATGTATAATTGCAATGATATAAGACAAGAAGCTTGCGGAATGACCATTGCTATCTGTTAGAGGGAATGAGCTAAAAAACAAAATGGTGAGAGCTTGGATTAAGTATCATCAAATTGCAACATCAATGTCATTTAGTTTTTATTTCTTCATGCTTAACTCCATCTACCGCGATTATGCACAAAATTTTGCTTTATCAAGAGGGTTAAATTGTTTTTAAAACTTTTATATAGTAATTTTTTTTCTTCAAAATAGTATATAGTCAACTAGGTTGACTATATTAAAACAATCATTTAGTTCCTTATTAAAGATGGAGTCTATAAGGGTTGTTTTGAAAGTAAGATCGGTGGTTTATATAAAATTGTAGCTGTCAACAGGATTGAAAAGCCAACTCACGACTCAAATAATACTTGCATCTTGTCAGACCTTTGCAGCAGGTACCCAATTTTGGAAAATATATCCCTTGGTAAATTTTAAACTCCAAATTTGTTTTCAACTTTTATAAAATAACCAATAACATTTAATAGTCTACCAATCAATATGAGCGCTAAGGATAATTATATAACTTAATGAATTCAGAGAATAAGTTTATCAAATTTTTCTCCAAAGATGGTTGAATAATTAAAAAAATGTTGAGGCCTTATTTTATTTACCATTTGATATATTATCTCAATATGACATTACTGTCTTTCTTTTTATCCTCAACAGACCGTTACCAAAAAGTCGATGCTTATTTTCTATTCATGCTTCCTGTTGTGGATCAATTCTTCCTTTGGATCATATAAATCCTAAAGAAAAGAAAAGGAGCCCAAAAAGCAGCGGAAATGGAAGATTCCAATTTATTCATCTGTGCTTATTGAATGATATTCTTTGTTTTGGGTATGAGCTATATAAACTATCAATAACTCATAGCTATTATTATAGCTGAAGGGCATGTTAGTGCGATCAGATTTTAATTTCTCATGAATTCTTCCATAAGTCTGGTGTGCTAGGCAAATTAGTGGGAACTTTAGACATGCTTAAAAGCCTGCATATGCATTTTACTCAGAGTATCTATATGTGTATCATAAAAATGGCGACTCGGGTAATCTTGTAACTTTAAAACTCACAAAACCTTTATGAGTCCATTTCTGCAGTAATTAAAAAAAATTTTTTTACTGCTGGAAAAGGAAATCGAAAGCTTTAATAAAGCAAGGCAAATCCCTTTGGGTATAAAAATAAGCTGATTATTGATTAATTTATTTATTTTTATGCTTTATTTTCGCATGATTTAGCTTTAAATCGTTTATGGTATTTTTAAGTCAAACTTTGCTTTCTGTATTTATATTGAAATTATCAATTATGCTCATCATTATGGATTAAAAAGAAAAGAAATAAAACTTGGAGTATGCAAGCTTGCAACTATCAAGCACTCGTGGAATGCCCATACTTTTTGCAAAGCATATTTCTACTAAAACCTCATAGACATTAAGACCATTATGTAATAGTATTTAAACCATATCAAATTTAAGCAGTTCTGAGAGTCAAAATCTTCATTGTCGCTATATCCAAGCTGCACTCCTACTGCTCTAATGCCTTCTGTATGGTTTTTCGATTACAAATCCTATTTCTGAAGGCACGAAAGAGTAGGATAAGCCGACTTCTGAACAAATGAAGAATCCAACTGATTCTTTTAGCATTTCTTGTGCTTCAAGCGAGTATTTTTACCCTCCTCCTAATTTTAATATAAGTACAAGCCGATAATTATAAAATGGCATTTCCAGCCTGTGAAGTTGGAGCGGAATGGTGCGTTGTAGCTGACTCACTGGCTGGGGTTTCTTTTATAGAGTTCTGCTTGACAGTATTTTATAATCAGACATACCAAGTGTTTCAAAATTATAAGTTCATAAAGAATTATCGAGATAAAACACTTATCATTCTTTACATCCAAGTCCTTCAGACGCTATGCATGTGCGTTCACTATTTAGTTATAATCAGCACCCTAAACGTGTTGTACATGATCATGATTTATTTTCAATTCATTGAAGATACTTTGGTGTTTTATTACTTCTCCTGGGAAGCTGCAAAAGTAGAAAATAGAGGGATTTTATATAAAAGAGCCGGAGTTATACTGCTGGCCGTGAATTTATTATATTTAACAGGATTTGTTATATTTTTTGGTGTGGATAGTATGCGAAATGATGATGTTTTTTTATGTACAGACAACGTTTGAATTTATTTGAGACTTAGTGGCCTTTTATTGACAACTATGTTTTTAATTTTAGGAATTAAGATGACACAGAAGCTGAAAATGCTAAAAAACAGTGATAACCTGTTTTTCGACACTGGGAGAGAAAAAGAACTATGGTAATATTCTCATCAGGGGTTTGATTTTAATCATGCTTGTGGCAAATACTGCGGCTATGTTCCAAAATCTTATGCAAAGATTTTATACTCAAGACAACTGCAACAATTTATTTGAAGGGAACCAAGGTGCTAATATCTTTTTATTTATCCTACTCAGGTTTTTGTCTCAAGATATGTTTATGATTACTTGCCTTTACGTGTTTTGGGCTTCAAGGAGGTTTGGAAGCAATGAAGTGTCTATTGTGATTAATATTTAGGTATCGTTTCCTATGAGCCATCAAGCCTTAACTCCAAAATCCGATGAACCTCAGGTAATGAGCCCTCTGGAATGGGGAATTGATTCCATTTTATCTGCAAGCTAATTTTTGGAGGTTATAATTAAATTATGAAGGCAATAAGCCTTTTAAATTCCTCAGATATAATTTAAATAATGAAATTTATTTAATTCACAATATTGATCTTTGGTTTTTGCATTTCAGAGTTCAGTATTTAAACTCTTTTAGCCTGTAGAAGATATATACTTTAAAGCTGCTTGCATGCTATTCATCCATTTATGCAAACCTTTTCTGGCAATTTATATTAATTTTTTCAAAGCAATCCTGGCTGGCCTATTTCAAATCTTACATTAATAATGCTAACTCCCCCTGTGAGCGAATAAAAAAAATTTTGTTTGATCACGAGGGGATTAATTTTTTTTGCCGAAAATTTATATATAAATTTTATAGAAAAAATTTTGGTCAAAAAATCTCAATTCTCAAAAATTTGAAAGCAATATTAATTTGATTTGAAAAATTTATGTTTTTAAAATGCAATTTATTTAAAATTAAACAGAATTAGCTAGAGGTTTCATTATACTAATTATTATTTATATATCGATTTGTTTTTTTTCATAAAAGATGTTTCAAATAAAGAGTGGGCTTTTGGGCAACAAATATGAATTTTTCCAATGGTTTTGATCGCTCACGGAGGGGTAGTAAGTAGTATTTTGACTCTAATTATTAACGAAATTTCATATGAAAGATAAGTCTTACAGTAAAGTTTTTGATTAACTTTCTAATATATATTTAAAATTAATTTAAATCACTAATTTTCTTATATATTTTACCAGTCAATAATAGAAATGCTATTTCGAATGCTTTTAGCTGAAGCAATTGGAACATTCGTCCTAACCTTCACAGTAGGGGTCTCTACAAGTGAGCCTTTTACTGTTGGAGGTGCTCTCTGGGCAGCAATGGTTGCAACTGCATTTGTATCAGGAGCTCACTTCAACCCTGCAATTACTCTTTCAATAATAACACGCAAGTATATCAACAATACTCTTTCCCAGCCAGAGCTCGTGAAATTTCTCTTATACATGGTTGTGCAGTTTTTCTCAGCTTTTATTGCATCATTATGTGCCTGGGGTATAATCCGATATCCAGTTTATTTTGATATTTCTTCAGATTATAGCGGCTCTCAAGGATTCTTTGCAGAATTAATTTACACAACAATTCTCTGTGCGAATGTTTTGATGATTGGGACTGTGAATGATGCGATCGTGGTTTCTGGAGGCATTATTGCGCTGACATTGACAACGGGAAACTGGGCAATTGGGAGAATCACTGGAGGCTGTTTTAATCCTGCAGTTGGGCTGGGGATTAATTTGGCTTATCTATTACATAAAGATGACCATTTCGGAATTACTTGGCTTTATATTATTGCACCTTACTTACTCCTCCCAACAAGCCTAGTCATCGCTCAATCAAAATAAATTAGATATTAACATGAAAATTTTTTCCATATAAAATTTTATGTATTAGCCACAAAAGATAGAGTATGAAATATTTTAACAAATATATTAGAAATTATAATCGCTTTAAATCAATATTCATTATATCCCTCTGATTCATTTCTATCAAAGATAGGTAATTAGATTTAAAATCGGATAGGGGTGCCAATTTAATGCTTGACTATGACAATATAGGAATTGTTCGGTAAGGATAGGAATTAATTTTTCCATTTTTATTGGCGTTGCTCAGTCAAGAATGTGAGAGTTAGGAGGAATTGTAGGTGGTGTGTTTGCATCAATCTTTTTGAATGAAGTTACAGTCCAAAAGAAGAGTGTGATTGAAAAAAGTCAAGCAGAATAATCTTAATAATCACTAGAGATAGATAGTGATATAGGTTTATTAGAATAGCAACTAAATAGATGAAGTTATTAGATTTATATATAATATAGCTATATAGATATGTAAAATTTCAATCTTAAAAACTATTTGAAGTTTAAAGAAAAACCAAAAAACTCTGTTTTCAATAATTGTCTTGTTTTTCTATAATAATGTGCGGCTTTATCTGTAAGACGAGGACTTAATTCGCGTCACTTATCGAAGCCATATAATTTCTGACTGCTAAACCGAGAGAGGCTAACTTGCAGTTCTCTTCCTTGGCCCAGTCATTTTTATTTATTATCAAACTACTTATTTATATTTTAAACACATAAAATATTTTTTAAAAAGAATGCTTAAGATTATAAACCTTAATTCACTGCAACAGGTGGTAAAAAAGGATAAAATACCGTTTGAGGGTTCTTATCAGGCATATTTATCACCACGATTGGTCTCACTTCTCTATGAGCTCCATCAGCATTTTCAATTAATATAGGCTCTTCTGGCATTCTTTCAGTATTTGAATCAGGTGCTACGTAAACTATTAAGTTTTGTTTATTTTCTTGGTTTTTTGCAGCCTTTTTAGCTTTTCTTCTTTTACTAACACATAAACAGCATACAACTCCTACAGCTCCTAAAGCTATAACTCCTCCAATTGGAAGTCCAATTTTAAGTCCAAGTAGATCGTCAGTGGAATCTCCTTTATTTCCACTATGATGATTTACTGTCGGCACACCTAGCCCAATAGAGGCACTAATACCATTTGCAGGTAGACTAAAAGCGCTATAAAATTGTCTTAAGAAAGAAGTTCCGATGACCCAATTACCAGTCTGAGATTCTTCAAATAAAAGCACACACTCACCAATTGAGGAATTGTATTGCAAATATCCTTCAGGAGGTAGCATGATAAGCTGACCTCCCATAAAAAACGTTATATTTGGATATTCGCTCATATAATCGCAGTAGCAATTGATTTGAGGGCCATCTTGGCAATCGTATTTTCTTTTAAAAAAATCGTAAATGCGATATAAATCATTATGAGGGACAAAAATAAAAGGAGTGCTTAAATCAAATACTGCTTGGCTATAAGTGTTAATAGTTTCACCCATTAAATCTACTTCTTCAAGATTAACTGCCCAATTGTTTTGTCCTTCTACAAGAGATAAGAACTTCATCTCATCCTCTTCTATATAATCTTTATCAATTCCCCCCAAAATTAACTTATTTCCCTTCTGTAAGCAAACAAAACCATTGGAAAATCTTTGCCCAAAAAATTTTTTTATATAAAAAATATTTTGATAATTATTATATGGAAACCTCTAAACTTTGCTTAATTTAAATAGCTTAAATTTTAAAGCATAATTTTACAGATTAAATAAATATTTGTTTTCTATTTTGCAAATTGGTTTTTTTAAATCTCTAAAAAGCATTTACTATAAAATTTATTAAAAAATCAAGAATTAACCTCGAGTAAACAAAACTTTTTGTTTTCTCACAGAAGGGAAGTTAGAATTTGTATCTGCATCCTTACTAAAATACAGAGAAAACATAGGAGCTTCAATTTGGCTTTGATTATACAATGTCTGAATTAAGTTATCGTAGCTATTGTTAAAGCCAAGCCCAAGAACCCCATCCCAGCCTTTTCCTTCATATGTTAAATCTTCTACCACAAGTGCAAAAGTTTGACTATTTGCAGCGAGGTCTGAAATCTCAACAGCATCTGTGCTTAAAAGGGCTTTTGCACCGCTGTATTGTGGCTATATGAAAATTACATCGAGATGGACAAATTCTATTTTAGGAGCAAATGTAGAGGATTCAGTAGGGACAAATACGTCTAAGGGTTTGACGCAAGATTTGCAAATTTCATCAACTATTCAGAGATTCTGAGTTACTATTACTGAAGTTGTTATATCAAGAAGAAGACAAAAAATTTGGCCTGGGGTACCGACTGAGACTTGAACTGTGTAAGCAATCTGACATAAAAGTTACGTTGCTATAGTTAGAAATGACGGCAGATGAGATGTCCTTTCCTGAGCGCAAATGCTTTTCTTCGGTTTGGATAGGGAGATAAAGCTTTGAAAGGACAGAAACGAATAGAAGGGAAATGAGCTTCATTATTTATTTGATTTAATTCACCAATCATATGATTTATGGAATATCTTAATAAAAAGATAATTGAAAAAGTTAATTATCGGAGGTTGAGAGCTGGGATTTTTTCACCAATTAAAATGGATACTCGAGGATTTGAAGAGGAAAAAGAATACAGTTCTTAGATGGTGAAGTTATAGTAATAAGAATTTTTAAACTTTTTGCCATTGCAATTTGATAGCAGGTTTGATTAGATCTTAAAGTTTAATAGCCTATTCCAAGTCACTAGTAAGCTTCTGCTGATAATGCACTGCGGAGCCCCGAAGGATGATTGACATAGTCTTGTCAGATGAGCTTTTTAAATGTGCTTCACTAAATGTACTTCTTCATCGAGTTCAGATCTTTGGAAAACTGCCCTTCGGCTCTTCAAATCAGCAAGAGTCGGGTCCTGCTCAAAAGTTCCAATATCCGCTGATTTGGGTTGATATCATCTTAGAAAGTTTTCATCGAGCTAAAGAATCTTAGATAAGAAATTGTTTACTAATTATTAGATTTTACTCACTCATTGGCGGTAAAGAAGGATAAGCTTGAATTCGAGGACTCTCTTGTTGATTTTGTCTAAGAATTGGGACTGGCTCCAAGTCTGGATAAATACCTGATTCGCTATCTATTATATTTGACTGACTTTGAGCTGAAGTATTTTCGATAGCAATTTTAGGTGGTGGTGGTGGTGGTGGCGGTGTAGGTTGAAGCGTTGGCTTTGACTTCGATTTTCTTGGCTTCGATTCTGGTTTCGGAGGCTCAATTATGTTATAAATTAATCTTTCATTATTTTCCTGAGTTTTTCTTGCTTATCTTCTTTTTTTCAAACGATACAGAATAATGAGTAAAATTACAACAATTAAACATCCTGCCACTCCTATTCCGATATAGAAATACAGACTCCAATCACTCCAAAAATTGCTTGCACTGCTTGATGAGTTTTTCGGCTTAATATCAATGTTTGCCAAGCCAATTGTCGATTGAATACCTATCCCCTGAGTAAAAATTGCTATAAATTGCCTTAAAAATGGGCTCCCCAATACCCATTTAGAATTGTTACTAGGTAAAAGTAGAAGAGTTATTGTATCTGTTTCTTTATTGTATTTTACATAAGCTGTATTTGGAATTTCAAAATATTGATTATCTAAAATAAATTTAATGCTTGGATAATTTTCAATATTTTTATCATTGCATTGCCATACATTAGAATTTATACTGCAGTCATTAAAATAAATGAAGTAATCTGATATCATTGAGAAATCAGCTATGGGTATATAAATATATGGTGTATTTACATCAAAAGTTGCATATATTGAATACAAATAATAGTTTTGAGTGTTTACGATAACTCAGCTTATGCTGGTAGTCCATCCGATTTCATCAGCAAAAATGTCTATGTATTTTACTTGATTTTGCCCAATATATGGCTCTAGATCTGGAGTCCCAAAAATCAACCTTGAATCAGTGTCAATTTCATTACGCTCGATATCATTAAGATATATTAAAAATGAAGGCGAATCTATAATTCTATCATAATACAATTCCTCAATAAAAGTGGATATCCTAAATTATTAAGTCCTAAATCGAGTACTCCCTCGATTATTTGTCCAGGGTAATTTAAGTTTTGCGTAAATAACCAAAAATATTGAACAGATTCACTAGAATCTTCAAATTTGAAATTATCTGTGCTCAATAAAGTTGTAAAAGTGCTGTAGCCATTCTATATAAGGCTTACATCCAAAGTGCCTAGAATTCCTTGGCTAGTGTATGATGTAGATTTATTGATATCATAGGCATTTACAGGCATTCTGCAATTGAAGCAAGTAGAAGATACAATTCAACTCAACTATATTACTCTTACTGAGCTATTACCCGTACTTAGCAGCAATTCGAAATGCTGTGGTGGAGTTCCAATAGATAAGGCAATTGAATAGGCTTCCTAATTTATGATTACATTGTTAGAATTCTTAAGTGGAATTTCTAGGATTCTGCTTGATCCGGTTTTTTTTGTATCAGAATGAAGACCCAATTTGATTTTTGATATGACGGGAATGATAAGCAATAATAGATATCTTAGCATTAATTCCCCAATAGAATTTTAATTATTAAGTATTTAAGCGTATGATTATATGAATTAATTTAAAGTGCTAGAAAATATAGGAAATTTGAGTTTATAGAAAATTTATGACCATAATGGCTATTATAGCCACTTATTTATTTAGCTTATTTAGTTGAATTAAGTTATATTTAAAATTATTTAAATCAAGGATTAATATTAAAAAATACGGATTAGAGAAGAAAATTATTTTATTCTAATAGCGTTGGATGCCTTAAAAAATTAAATAAGGTTTTTTATATAATTAATAATTTAAAAATTGAAAGAAGATCAAATGCATATAATAAAAGATGTAAGCTGCTTCCCATTAATTGTTCCTTAATAATTGGTGAGAAATTTACCATAATTATAATTTTGAAAATCTGATTATTTTGTCCCTTAAGTGCCTTTGAAAATAATTGTAAATTTAAACATTATTATTAGAATATTTTACAATTTAAATAATTGATTGCAAAGAATAAGGTAATAAAACTCTATTACTATTCAATTCTACACTATGGAGGGAACTTCTATGGTTTGTAAACAATGAATAATAAATTGCAATGGGAGCTGGAAAGCTTCCAACACAATTCAAAGTCAACTCAGTCTCTCAAACTCTCCTATGATTTATTTCAAGAGTCATCGCTTCTTGACTGGCAGCATCGTCAAGTTCTATCACGAGGATTTAAGAACATGGGAAACACGTGCTTCATCAACTCAACCCTTCAGTGTCTTCTATACACCCCGCCTCTTCAAAATATTATTCTCTGTTTGGATAAATAAAATATCAAAATTTACCGTAAGTATCATCATTTTTATTTTAAATGTTCTAAATTAAATGAGAAAAATATATCCACAGATGTAAAAAAGTTTTTTGCACGCTTTGCTGCTTCAAGCGCTTATTCAAAAGTTCAACGAGAATTCCTGATGATTTTTTAAAATACCTTCCGAGGTTTTCTCAGAGCTTTAGCTTAGGCAAGCAAGAAGACGCCCACGAGCTACTGCGGTTTTTAGTGGAAAGGATGGAACGGAATGTCGTAAGGCAAATATTTGGAGGTGTTTTAAGGAGTAAAGTTCAGTGCCTCAACTGTCACTTTGAATCTGAAATCTATGAAAACTTTTTGGACATTTCTTTGGATTTGTCAGATTCAGATTTAGAAAGATGTCTTGCCAATTTCTGCAAAAATGAGTTTTTAGATGGCATGAATCTATATTTTTGTGCTCCTTGTGGAGTTCGAACTGTTGCATGTAAGCAATTTATTATATTCTATAATTTATCATTACGTTTTATACTTTATTTAATCAAAACTCAATTTATTTCTATTTTTTGACTCTGATTATGCTATAATTGATAAAAACACTATAATTAGATATAAAATCCCCGCCATTAATTTTAACTCTCCATTTAAAGCGGTTTACAAATGAAGGGAAAAAAGACATGACACATGTCAAATTCCCTGAAAAACTAAACTTTCAACCTTACCTGTTAATGCCAGAGCAATCTTAATCTTGGCTATCTATATCATTTTAACGTCCACTATCAGGCTGCTCGACCACAGCTATCCCCAAAACCGCTTTGGCTAAATTTCGTACCATTCTCTTCGGGTCTGCCAAAGGTGTGACAACCTTGGACTTTTTTCATCAATGAGGACGCCAGTCTTGAAGTTTGGGCATCGACGATTCTTTCAGCTCAGGTACTTACTTGGGTTAGATTGCCACCCTAAAGGTCCCAATTTCCACCGCCTGGCGTAAGTGGTATCTTAAGGAAAATTTCATTCCCTAACTCCCCCCCCCCCCTCCGTGAGCGAACAAAAAAAATTTTGTTCGCTCACGGAGGGGGGTTAATTTTTTTTTTTTAAAAAAAATTTATATATAAATTTTATAAAAAATATTTTTTTCGAAATTTTAAAAAAATCCTAATTTGCAAAAATTGGGAAGCAAATATTAATTTAATTTGCAAAATTTATGTTTTAAAACGCAATTTGTTTAAAATTAAACAGAATTAGCTCTAGATTTCATTATACTAATTATCACTTATATATCAAAATTTTTTTCCATTAAAATTTTTTCTATTAAAAAAATTTTTGTTCACTCACGGAGGGTGGGTTTTTGGTCAAAAAATGGCGATTTTTCTAATGGTTTTGTTCGCTCACGGAGGGGGGGGGGAGTAAGTCAATGAGTCCGATAGGAAAAACATCCCGGATACATAGCTGGGATAATTTAACAAGCGGAAGCCAAACCTTATAATTAAATTATTCAAGAAATGAATTGCGGTCGGAGACCAGAAAATCGAGCAACGCCATATTTTAATTATAATATCAGAGCAATCAATCTACGAGCTTTATGCAGTTTTAGTGCATATGGGATATTCATCAAGGTCAGGGCATTACTATAGCTACATTAAGGGCCCAAATAACGAATGATATATAGCTAACGATTTGTCAGTGCTTAAAGTCAATTTGAATAAGGTTCTTAATGATAGATCAGCTTATATTTTATTTTACAAAAAATCGAAGGTTGAAGATGTTGACTCAGATGGAGCTGATATTTCATTGGGAAAGAAAAAAGGAAGATGCTTGGACTTTAAAGAGGAAAAATTGAGGGAAATCAAGAAAATGAAAATTCGAGGGGATGGGAAAGAAAATCGAAGGGTCAAGGGTTGCGATGGTAATAAGATATAACTTGTATATCTATTTATGTCAATTATTTTTTCAAAATAATATGAATCAATTTTTTATTTTCAACAGAATAAGAAAGCCCTTTAAAAATGATTTTACAATTATTCTTATTCTAAAGATTAATCGGCTCTTATATATTGTATTTTGCATGTGCAACTAAAATATTAATTAAATTATGGGGTATTAAATTTAAGATATGAAATCATTCTAATAACTTCTTCTTTTGCAGGGACATTTAAATTGAACCAGGTATTCTTTTTGATATCATCTATGCTTGGCCTATCTTGTGGGCTATAAGCAAGCATTTTTTCAATTAAACTGATTAAATCTACTGTAAAGTTTTTATTTTCATGTTTTTTCTGATAATATCTCCAAAATAATTTTGAAGTCTCTTCTCCAATTAGGCACCGATAAAATTTATCAGAGACATCAGCATAGTTAAAAGGGGGCGTCCCAGCAAACATGGTAAACAGTATAACTCCAGCTCCAAATACGTCAACTTTTTCAGGATCATATTCCAAATTTAGCCTTATTTCTGGTGGCATATACTTTTCTGTTCCTCGAATTCCCATAGCATCTTTCAGATTTATATAATTCGAGGAGCCAAAATCAATTAATTTCAAATTAAATTCACTGTCCAACAATAAATTTTCCAATTTAAGATCTCCATGATAAACACCAACCCTATGGCAAGCTTCCAAAGCTTCTATTAGCTGCCTAAAATAAAACCTGCACAAATCCATATCTAAGCTTCCACCCTCATTAATTAGCTCATAAAATTCACCATTTATGCAGTACTCCATCAAAATGAACTGGCATCTATAGCTTGTCTTATTTTTTTTCCTATATATCCCAACTTCACAATAATTGATATATTTTATAACATACTTATGAGAAATTCTATTTAAACACTCTATTTCAGTGAAGACATGCTCACGAGTATGCGTATCTTTTTTATCTATTTTAAACATTTTGGCAGCATACAAGATTTTTGAAGCCGGCTCTTGGATTAATTTTACTTTAGAAGTAATTCCTTTCCCTAATGTTTTTAAGACAACATAGCAATCTAGCTTACTAAAAGGAATTTCCTTATTTCTAGATAGCATCTTTTATGAGGATTTAGAAAATAAAAATGCCAATAATCATCACAATCATCAAAACAATAGAAATAAATATGGTCAGGATGATCCTAAAATTAAGTCATATAATATATTACTTATAATGACCGCTTATGAGCAGGCAATCTATCTAATGAATTTTCATATGCAACACTTTCATCTCCTTTCAGAGATACAGCAATTACAGTTCTTCCAGCTTGCAATGCGATGGCAGAATTTGCAAGCAGTGGAAGTGGGTCGTTCACTTGTAATATTTTATTTTTATTTTAAATTAAAATGCTAATTTAGTTAAGAAAATCATTTTCTCCCTAATTTACTTGTAATAAAGTCCCAAATTTGGAATTATTGTCTTCAATAGTGAAATTTCCATTATTGAAATGAATGGTGGCATGGCATCTTGATACTGATATATCAGATATCCTCACTTCACACTCATGGCCTCTTCCCAGCTTGACTGTTGAGTTTTCACTAAAAGTCACTACATATACAGCTTTACTTGCTCCTTTCCCATCATCTGCGCCTTCAATTACAATTCTGGGTAAATCCGATTTCTCGACTTGAAATAGTTCTTTTTCCTTCCCTTGGACATCTAGGCTAAAAGGATAATTTTTCTTGCAAATTTCGCAATCCATTGATTTTCATTGATAGCAGCACGTATTTTCTCCTGACCGCGTAGAAACTCGAGAAAGCAATCATCTCTGCAAACATCGCAAATGAATGAATTTAACTGATCCTGTACAACTGCATGGAGAAATTAGAGGGTTTTCTGAGCCTTCGGACTCGCCAAAACAAATTCGGCATGTCGTTGTTTCATGCTCATTCGGGATTTCGCATTCGTCTTCACTTTCTTGGGTTTGGTCGCTGGACGAGTCGGAGCTGCCTGTGCTGAGCTGTTTTATTCTGTACACTATTCGGCCTAGTTTTATGACATCTCCTTGCTTTAAAAGTACTCCTGAGCCTTCGGAAGTTTTTAGGGATCTAACTATCATCCAAATTGGCTCTGATTGCTCAGAACTTAGGTAGAAAATCCCATTTCTTTGAGAAACAGTGGCTAAGATCTGAGAATGAGGCGCCAGTCGGGATATATCTGTGAAATCGGAAATAAGGTCAACTTCTGTGTCGCATCGAATTATGTTGCAAGGATTTGAAGCCATAAGCTTCTTCTTGTGGCAGCTGCGAGACTCATAGTCGAATAAATTATGTGAGTCACGAGCCCAGGTCATCGTCTTCATTATAATTCTAAGTAGCTGTTACTGTTGCGGGGTCTTCATTTTAATTATTATAAAGAAACCGAGAGTTGTTTTTTTAAATATGCAATAAAAATCTAATCCTAAGAGTGTCAAAAATGACGATCTTCTGATGATGAAAACAAAAAATAGATGATTTGAAAGGATTTTAGAAGAAAAAAGTGATTTTTTAGCTTTATGGGAATGGAGGCATGATAGCTGGGTCTTAGGAGAATTTCGAATTTTGAAACGAAAATCTCTTTTTGGGTTCTAAAATTAATTTTGAATGCTCAAAGTGGTAACATCTGAACTCTAAAGTAAAACTATAAAATTTTACCTTACTCTCCCCCCCCCCCTCCGTGAGCGAACAAAAAAATTTTGTTCGCTCACGGAGGGGGGTTAATTTTTTTTTTTTAAAAAAATTTTATATATAAATTTTATAAAAAATATTTTTTTCGAAATTTAAAAAAAATCCTAATTTGCAAAAATTGGGAAGCAAATATTAATTTAATTTGCAAAATTTATGTTTTAAAACGCAATTTGTTTTAAAATTAAACAGAATTAGCTCTAGATTTCATTATACTAATTATCACTTATATATCAAAATTTTTTTCCATTAAAATTTTTTCTATTAAAAAAATTTTTGTTCACTCACGGAGGGTGGGTTTTTTGGTCAAAAAATGGCGATTTTTCTAATGGTTTTGTTCGCTCACGGAGGGGGGGGGGGGGAGTTAGCTATATTTCAAAAAAAATCAGTAATTACACTAATAGTTTGTGTTCTCAGTAAAAGTGTCTTGATCTCACAATAAAGTCAATTTTTAAGAATGCATAGAGTACATAGAAGAGGACTAATGAGATTTTAGAGTGTAGATGACGCTTAATATAAATAAAAAAACAGATTATTATTTCTTCAAATTCACGGAAATTGTAATAATACTGAATTTTAGACAAAAACCTATGAATTCTAAGGTAAAATTTGTATTTTCGATAGGCATTCTCATATAAATCGAAATTTTAATTGATCTTTATGATAGATGATTTAGCTAGCCTAAAATCATAAGGACAAATAAATTTATAGGCTGCTTAAATAGTAAACTTATATAAGTAAAATAAATTAGATCAATTATAATTTAAGAGAAATTAAACTTAAAGAGTTGGATATGATCCAGCCATGTTAATTCCGCAGACTCCTGCTCCTGAACTGATCCCAATTCTTATGTATCCACTTTCTCCCCATGTTGCGCCCCAAGAATTCTTTACAATCCAATAGGCAGGAGATGCAGTCATATTGTAGCCAACAATTAAAACAGAGTGGCTGAGCTCGGTTCCACAATTTTTTGTGACAACTCCTCCGTTATAATATTGCCATACATAATTATCTGCATCCACATATACTGATACTGGCTGGGTAGCAACTTGATATTGAAGGCTTAGTGGGTTATTTGCTTGGACGATATTAGCTCCTTGGATTTTTACTATTTCTCTATTAACGGCATTTTCATTGCATTTTTCATCTGTCCCTATGTATGGATAAAGCAGAGCTGAGGTAAGCCCCTTGCTTTGTATAAAACTGTATGCATGATCAACTAAGCCTCCTCCACAACCTTTATTTCCATATGAAATCGAGCAATCCACAATTTCTTGCTCTGAAAGAACTACAAGTGGGTTTCCAGAAATTTTCCAAATCCCTTCAACTGCCCCTACTGATGCAAAAGCATAATCACTATTGCATAATCCTTCGATTCCAACTGGTGTTACTGCTCCAACTGATCTCCAATCAATAGAGCTTGCGACATTAAGAGGCTTCTCCTTAACAGTTTCTTGACTATAGGTTTCTGGAAGCTCAATTTTTGAGTGAAGATATTTAGCTTTAAATTCTTGAGTTGTTAGATCTGTAAATTGGTTTATTCCAACTGTCCAGGTTAAACCTAAAGCGTTTTGATTATGAATAAAACCGAGATTATCTCTGAAAATTTTAAATCTTTTAAGATATTCATCTTTATTGTAATTTTTGTTGTATTTTAGAATATAGCTCTTAAATTCCTCTTCTTCCAAATTAAATTGGGATAGGGCTGAAGTTGATATATTTATTTTGGAGTAAAAAGTAAAAAAGACAATCAAACAAATGAAGCCAATTGATGCTCCGAGAATGGTAAGATTTTTGATTTTTGATTGTGGTTTGGTTGCTTTTGAATCGAGAAGATTGTCCATTTTGATTAATATTTTCGCCTGAATTTATAAATCATTTATAAGAAAAATAATAAGAAATTATGGCTATGTCTAATAATTAATTTTCTTCTGACTTTTCCCCTCTTCTGAAATTATAAATAAACAATATGTAATTAAGCATCATAAGATTCTGCTTATATTATTGCATTTTCAAGTCTCTTCTGCATATTTTTGACTAAAAATTAACTCCTTCGGTAAATATGATTAAAAATAATATTTTATTAATGAGATTTGAACTTTTGAATTATATTAACATTATTTTGAGTGTGATATTATTTGGCATTTGGCTTAAGATTAGATCGATCCTAAGCGAATATAAAATTTTGGTTATATTATTGGATTTGAAAACGATATTGAATTTTTCTCTTTTAGTAATGAAACAATAGGAATAATATATATCTAATAATCATGCGTAAGCCACATCTCATTTTTCTTCCTTAACTTATATCAGAGCTGTGTATTTTTTTATATTTAACTTAAGAGTGCTTTTTCTTTCATTTTACACTCAAGATTTTAATATTATATTTCTTTGCTTCTTCATGGAGAGAAAAATCATCAGAGCCCTTTTAGCTTTCGCACTGCTTCTCTGCCTTTCCTCTGCTATAAAAGATATCCAATGCACAAAATACACTTGCAAAACCTCAAGCCAAAACTTTGATCCTCTGACTTGTGCTTATCTTGATAACTCCTCAAATACTTATTATGCCCAAGCCTGTGCAAAAAGTACTGATGACTGCTTTCAAGTTCAAGGATTCAATTATTCATGTGGACCCACATACACATCTGGAATAAGCTTTCCTGGAGAAGAATGCAAATCCGCTAACGATTGTCACAGTTTATACACAGCAGGTTGCAAAGATGGGATTTGTGTTGGCTCTGCTGAAGGTCAAGACTGTAACTCCAGCCGATCATGCGAGCCAAACTTCTATTGCCAACTGACGTTGAATATATGCAAGCCTCTTATTAAAATAGGTGAAACAGGCTGCTTAAATGACTATGAATGTGTAAACAATGCAGCTTGTAATGTGACTGATATAAATAATCCCAGCCTTAATACCTGCTATCCTTGGCACAGTTTTGGAGTTCATGATCCAGTTGGAGGCTGTGAATCTGGAATTAGTGCTTTATGTCCTTATAATTATTGCCAAGAAAATTCTGACACGAACTTTTATTGCACAGATTTATTATCATCGCCTGTAACCCCAGCCTCACAATGTGATATCAATTCCAGCGACAATTGCCAGTCTACCTCTGATCCTTTCTTCACTCCTCCTTTCTCCATCAAAGGCACTTGCAGCTGTGGGCTAAATAGCCAAGGAAACGCTAATTGCCAAATTTTTCCAGGCGATTTGCCTTATCAAGCATACTTAAAGCAGCTTAATAAATGGAATTCCAGTGAGCATATAACTAAATGCAACACTATGAGAAGGTTTCATAAGAATTGCGTGAAAACTTATTGAAGTAAGAAGGAATCTGATGCTTTTAGTTTTTACCAAGTGCAAAATTCTATGTATTCACAAATTCAAGGCAGTGAAAGCTGTGTTCTTGATGCTTTCGCATTGAATTACGTAAGAGCAAAAGATGAATATAATGGAGGAGATGATGATAATGATGATAACAACTCAGGAGCTAAAGAAATATGCATATCAATGCTGATTCTAATAGCAATAAGCTAATTAATAAAATAAGAAAGAAATTTTTATATTCATTGAAATCAAAATTCAGTGTATCAAAATATTCAATGAGTGAAAGCTACGTGCGTGATGCTTTTACATTAAATCATATAAATTCTAAAGATGTGCAACTGAAGAGATAATTATTATAATAATGATGAGAAAAGAGCTCAGGGCTAAAGCAATATATAATTCAATTCGGGGTTATAGCAATTACTATATTAATTCATAAAAATCAGGAAAAGTTGCTATATAACCTCATAAATTTTATTAATTAAATAAAGCTTTAATCAAATAATACTTTATTATTTATTGTGTAGGCCTGTATCGAATTATTTAAGGCTTGAACCTCTAGATGTAGATATATCAAAATCTTCATCCCAGTCCATATAATCCTCATTTGAATTTCTTCTCAATTGATACCGGAACCATGGATGTAAAAGTGCACTATGCACATCTACTCTCTCCTCAGGTTTAGGCTCCATAAGTTTAACTATAAAATTTATGGCTTCCGCTGATACATGTTCCCATACTCTGTCACGGAAACATATAATTCCTTCTCTGTTTTTTCTAACTACTTCTTTTGTGTCTCTCCCGAAAAACGGCATTTTTCCGGATAATAAAATATAGACCACACAGCCTACACTAAAAGTGTCAACCTTTGCTCCATATTGTCTATATGTCTATTTAATTCGCAGTGCACAACTATTCTGCTACACAAATGGATAGGTAGCTAAGCCAATTTTATTTGAGATACCACTCCTCAATTCGCAGATCGGTTGAAATAGTAGCCCCTAAATATAGAATGGCTAATCGATTTGAATCGATCTATCAAATTTTTAACTCGAAAGAACATTTTTCCTTACTACGATTTGATAGCTTTATAAACCATATTTAAACCCTCTTAAAATTTCTGGTGCTACATATCCTGGTGACCCGCACCTTTGCGTCATGCTTTCATTTACTTCATGAGCAAGCCCAAAATCGACTAATTTGAAATTAGAATCATCATTTTTTGAGACCATCATAATATTTTCTAGTTTTATGTCTCTGTGTGCAATGTTATATGTATTCAAATATTCAAGAGTATTTAAAAGATTTTGAGTAAGTTTAGCAACGCTGCTTTCGTTAAGCTTGCTTTTCTCCATGATTCTGGAAAATAAATCTCCACCTTCTAAATAGTCTAAAACCAAGCTCACTTGCGAATCATTCTCATAAACTCTATAGAGTTTGATTATGTTTGGATGATCAAGCTTTCTTAATATCGTTATTTCATTTATAGTTCCTTCCAAATTTTGAGCACTCATAGTTATAAATGATTTATTTATTTATTGATTTTATAGCATATTTTTGAGAATTTTCTATACAATCTGTGAGAAAAACGTGAGCTGATTTTCCTTTGCCGATTCTTTTGATGAAGTTGAAATCGTTTTCAACGTCAGTCATGATGCAAATATTTGAAAAAAATGATAACCAAAGGTCGAGCTTTTCTTGAGTTGAAACAAAAAAATCTCGATAATGTGATGTGTGACCGAGCCTAAAACCAAAGCGCTTAGAGTTGTTAATTTCATCAATGAATGGAATTACGAGTTTCCACTCTATTGGTACTGATTTTTTAATAGGCTTGTGTTTTATAAGTTTCGTTTTTGTCAGTGTGTAAGCTCCGATTTTAATTTTATTCTTACTTTTCTACTTCAATTCATAATATTTAAATTATATGCCAAACTTATTAATTATAGTAGCAACGCAAGATTATTTATTTTAAAAATAATTAATTTCGCATTTTAAAACTATTTATAGGTGGGGCTAGAAACTTCATAGAGTTGATCGGTAAAAACTTCTATATCGTTTGAAGACTCATATGGCATCCAAAACTCATAGTTTAGCTGCTTTATTTCGTCAGTTGATTCAAAAATAGATCGCATTATAATATTTATTAAATTCACTGATAATTTAACACATTTCTGCAAGTAAAAACATGGTAAATTAAAATTGAAACTTTTTCAATTTTTTGTTATAAAAACGTGTTATCATTTCTTTTGAGATAAAAGAAAAAGATAAGCTGCTGAATATTCGAGAATCATAAAAGCATTACGATCCAAGCTTAACCTAATTTTATTAACTAGTAAATTCTTTTTAAATAACCTATCTCTCAGCTTAAAAGATATTTTGTTTGAGTTGTGCATCCTAAATAGAGTGTATGCAAAGCGTTGCAGAAAGTTTTTGTTTTTCTTTTTTTGAAAAAATGTTTTTAAAATTTACTGATCCATCTTGTAATAAAGCTTTGGGGAATTATTAATTTGAGAATAATAAGTTTCAGCAATATCTTTAAAGATTATATCTAAATATATAGAAATTTCCCATAGATGGCGCAGTTTGCCCTTTACCCGCCCACTGTGAAAATTTTTTGGCTCTACCAGTACCATATGGTTTGGTCAAACCAAAATTAGTTAAATTTTATAGGAAAATGCATATAATGATATTTGAAAAATTTGAATTTTTATCGATACTTATATTCAACTTCCAAATAAGTGACATATAAATATCATCATATGTAATTTAAAGTTAAATCTAAATTAAATTAATAACATTAAAGCTCTTCAAATCTTTATTTTTAGTAAATAGTGGCTGCCGAATTTATGATGCAGACACCAAGGAACCCTGGAAGGAGGTTTGATATAATCGATCAATTTTATTCAGATTATGATTAAAAGCCAAGCATATTTTTCAAGACTTCTCTTGTTCTTCCCTAATTGCCGAACGCCAGGGTGATTGCACAATATAGATGAACTGTTCCCTACTGGCCTTGTGGGCTCAAGTGTTTAGTGGGCAGACTATAGATCCCGTCTTACATCTCAATCTTGGTAAGAGTTTGGATCAAGGGGTGACTTTTGAGTCTACTGGGTAACAAAGAACTTCCTTCAGTAGCTTCAATAAAAAGACTTACTCCCCCCCCCCCCCTCCGTGAGCGAACAAAACCATTAGAAAAATCGCCATTTTTTGACCTAAAAACCCACCCTCCGTGAGTGAACAAAAATTTTTTTAATAGAAAAAATTTTAATGGAAAAAAATTTTGATATATAAGTGATAATTAGTATAATGAAATCTAGAGCTAATTCTGTTTAATTTTAAACAAATTGCGTTTTAAAACATAAATTTTGCAAATTAAATTAATATTTGCTTCCCAATTTTTGCAAATTAGGATTTTTTTAAATTTCGAAAAAAAATATATTTTATAAAAATTATATATATAAATTTTTTTAAAAAAAAAAAAATTAACCCCCCTCCGTGAGCGAACAAAATTTTTTTGTTCGCTCACGGGGGGGGGGGGGGAGTTAGCTTATATGGCTAAGACCTATTCAAAAAGAAAATTTGTTAATTAAATGCACTATATTATTTATTGCATTTAAAATTTAAAGCAGCTCAAAAATATTATTGAAAAGGAATTAATTATAAAAAAATAAGAATTATGAGATGATGAAAACAATTAGTTAAAAGCCAAAAAATACAACAATTGAGCATCTTTCTCATAAAATTTCTGAATCTAAATAATAAATCAACTACTTTTTGATCTTATTCAAAGAATAAATTTAAATTATTTTTGCTATCATTTGCTCCTCCTTTCTGAGAAAGAAGGCTTTTTTGTCTTTCTTAAAAGGGGTTTGAATTTTTATTTTAATAAAATTTAATTAAAATTAGTATTCTTTTATGATTATAATATTTGAAAAGTTAAGCAGTATTAATTGTATATATAAAAAGATTTTATATAATTAAATATTAGTAAAATTTTTGCTTCCTTTTAAATGAGAGAGTTAGTAAATAAAAATGGGAATTTATAAAATTTCACTGAATAATTATTTTGCTAAAAAGAGCGTTATGAAGCAGAATTAAAATGCAGTTTACTATCAATACTAAATTCCAAGCACCAAGTTTCTTTTTTCATTCAAACCTTTCATTTCTATATTTCAGCTAATTTCTAATTTAAAAATTTATGTGTATTAAAAATGTTATTTATTTTATCCTTACTTCCCTTTCGTGGCCGACCAAAAAATCTTGCTCGCTTGCGGAGGGGGTTAATTTTATTTTTTAAAAAAATATATTATGCGTTGCATAAATTTCTTATGGGCGTTATATTTTCATATGAAATTTCAAATTATGAATTTGCCGCACTAAAATCTGCGTTTTGAAACACATATTTGGTTTTCACATACCAAATTCAAATTGGTATGCATATGCATGATAAGAAATTATTGCAATAAATAATATATATAAATTTTATAGAAAAATTATTATATTCGAAATTTAAAAGTATCCACTTCGCAAAAAATGAAAAGCAAATATTAATTTAATTTGTAAAATTTATGCTTTAAAATGTAATTTGTTTAAAATTAAACAGAATTATCTCGAGATTTCATGATACTAATATCACTTATATATCAAATTTTTTTCATAAAAAATTTTCTATTAATAAATTTTTGTTAGCTCAAGGAAGGTGGGTTTTTTGGCAAAAAATAGGGGATTTTTAATGGTTTTGTTCGCTCACGGAGAGAAGAGTTAGTGTACAAATGTGTTCTAAAATGCTTAAAAAAGTTTCGAATTAACTTTGGCTTCAACATAAAATTTCTCAAAATTTTGAGTTTTAAACCACGGATGCTTTAAAGCTTCGCTTGCACTTACTCTAAAACTAGGTCTAGGATCCATTATATTTTGCAAGAAATTCACTGCACCAGAAGAAATTGTTTCCCATACTTTTTGGTGAAAATTGATTTTTGCTTCCCTATTGCTAATGATTATTTGTTTAACTTCTCTCCCGTAAAAAGGCATAGATCCTGAGAGCAGGATATAGATAACAGCTCCAGCACTGAATACATCAGCCTTGGTTCCGTATGAAAAACGATTTAAAATTTCCGGAGCTATATATCCAGGAGATCCGCAGATCTGAGTTAAACCTTCTCCTAACTTAGAAGCCAAGCCAAAATCAGCAAGCTTAAAATCATAGTCATTTTCATTTGAGACCATCAGAATATTTTCCAATTTAATGTCTCTATGTACAATGTTTTTTGAGTCTAAATATTCTAATTCTCATTCAATAAGAAACAAATTGTAAATATTTTGTTTAAATAAAGGAAACTCATCACAATATTATTAAATAAAATAAATTGATTTTAAATTAATGCATTTAAATTGTCCATCTATTTAAACCAAATAAATAAAATCTTTTTAAATAATTTCTACACGCTCTTTATTCAGAATTAAAGTTTATAAAGAATTTAGTCGAACTTTTGTGAACTAGTTTAAAATGATTTATTTAATATTAAATGAGAGTAAGACTTCAAACAATTTCTGGCTGAATTTAGCTACTGCTGCTTCAGTAAAATTTTTCTTTTTGATTATTCTTGAATATAAATCGCCTTCTTCAAAGTAATCAAGCACCAAATAAATATGCGAATCACTCTCGTATACACGATGAAGCTTTAATATATTTGGATGATTTAGGCTTCTCATAATCTTTATTTCTTCTATTAGATTGCTCATACTCTGGGCATTGAGAGTAGCTTTTTCGATTGCTTTTATAGCATACTTCTGGCTGTTTTCATTGGAGATCGCTAAGTAGACTTCTGCTGATTTGCCTTTGCCTATTCTTTTAACGATAGAAAAATCGTTTTCTATGCCTGACATAATGCAAGTTGATGATAAACAGTCAAGCCACTTATCCAACTTTTCTTTACAGGAAACATAAAAATCTTGTGAGTGTTCATCAAGGCCAAGTGTAAAGCCATATCTAATATTTTTATCGTTCTCTTCAGTAAAAGGTTGGACAAACTTTCACTCTATGGGAGAAACTTTTTTGTGTTCACTGTTTTTTATGAGCACTGATGTAGTCAATGTATAACTATTTTCTTTAAAAATCTGCTTTTTGGTAACTTCATATAAAGTTTCGGTTAAAATTTCTTCGGTATCGGGCTGGTTGTATGGCATCCAAAATTTGAAATTGCCTTCTAGATTGCTGTCTATAGGAGTAAAAACTGATGACATTTATTTATATATCGTGTGAATTATTTACTGGTAAATATGGGTTAAAATTAAAGAAATGAAAATACTGATCGCCTTTATTTTTTTAGTTTATATTACTTTATTAGGTTAGAGTATGCAATTATTAGTAATTTCTATGGCAAGTCACTTTAGAAAAAACAACAGTTAAAAAACAAGAATAAAAAAAAATTTTTGGTTTTCTTTAAAATTACTCGACTTTATATTCATGTTGTCGGTAATAACTTATGTGCTATAGGAGAGCATAGATTTCTGGTTTATTGGGGAATTTATTTATTGTCAACTCCCTCTTTTCCAAATAGGTCAGTGAATACATTGAAAAAGAATTTCAAAAAAATTTCAGATGAATAACCGAAAGTTTCAAAGAAAATTTTATCGATGAGGATTAAAATCTGCTGAGATATTTTGGATGATAAGTTTAATAATTTTAATTTTATAAAATTAAGTTGCAAAGCACGATTTATCAATTTGCCACTCTACTTAAGATGGGAATTATAATTTTTATAGACTTATACTTGATTTGTTAACTCTGAAAATTTGTTAAGAACTTGATAAATGGCTTGAGATTAAAAGGTTAATTCATGAGTCTATAAACATCGCAAATTATTATTTAGAAGATCAAAATAATAATAAAATCACATAGGAGAATCAGATTATTTATCAGAATATGAAAGCAGAGTTTCTGAATAAATAACGGTATAATTATCATTCTAACCTAAGCTCATTCAATATAATATAAGATGATTTATAATACTAATCTATCATTTACTATAAAACTGTCCACTTGGTAGAAGAAAATATTACTGAATCCTACATAATTACTGATCCAAAACCAAAAGGGAATTTTATGAATAAAATTGAACTAAAATTCCTGACTTCAAGCAAAATATTTTATTATTTGTTATTGAGTTAATTTAATTTCTATTAACAAAAGCATGAATCCCTTGGCTGTGGGTGATAACTAATTTTAGTCTTCACCTCTTTGCAATGCTTTTCCATTACAAGTGTGATCAATTTTTCAAACAAAGTAATAGCTCCTACCAGCCTATCGTCCTCTTTTAATGGATCTCACATTGATGAAGTCTCAAGATAATACATGTTTTTCTTTTTTGCTCAATCAATTGCTTCTTGAATTGAAATTTCCCTTGGAAGATCAGATTTATTTCCAACCAAAATAATTGCACAATAATTCCCACATACCCTCCTTAGATCTCGATATCAATTGTCTAGCTCATTAAAGCTGTTTTTATCTGAAAGATCAAAAAAGACCAAAGCGCCATGGACTCTTTGGAAATGGCTATGTAACGATTACTGCAGGATTATTTGTCGATATTTGTTCTGTCCTGAAGTGTCTCACACTTGAAGACGAATGGTTTGGTTTGTTGGCTTGTGGACCCATATATAAGGGTGATATTCAAAGCCAAGTGTAGGATAATGTGGCCATGAAATTCGACTTCGAAGAAATTTGTGCAAAATGGTCGTCTTGCCTGTATTTCTTGCGCCGATTATCAGAACTAGCATAGAGAATACCTTTAAAGTTTTCATTTATAGTTCCTTTTTCTTCATATGAGCTCATCTATTCTAGATAGATTTAATGTAATTAATAACTATCCATTTCATGTTTCATAATCAATGGAGAATTGAAATTAATAAATCATTTATAGCACGATCCTTAATTGGATTGGGATGACTGACGACTCTCTGGGTCAGATGGGAATTACGAACCAACGTTTGTTGGCAATTTAACTCCTCAGATAGCAAATCTTCTTGTATTGGAGATTTGCCATCAGGGTAGTTGGCTTTGCCGGCAAATATTGGCTTGTCAACTCCCCACTGACGTCTCCCGACGTCAATGATGCCCGATCCAAAGCAGGGACCGGTCTATAATATATAAAAATATCTTTATTTTAATTATAGTAACTTTTGGCATGCCAATATTAAATCGATATGATGCAAAAGATTTTTGAAGAATTAATATGTCGCTATCTTTTATTAATTCAATAAAACTCTAGGTTAAAATTTGTAATTTAAGGAATTGAACTTTACTCAAAAATATTACTAACTCCCCCTCCGTGAATAAACAAAACTATTGGAAATCCCACTATTTTTTATCCTCCTTAAGCGAACAAAAATTTTTTGATATAGAAATGATTATTATTATTATTATAAAGAAATCTCTAGCTAATAATTTTTTTTTAATTTTAAACAAATTATATTTAAAACATCAATTTTACAAATTAATAAGTATTTGCTTTCCAATTTAAGCGAATGGGATTCTTTAGATTTCGATAAATCAAAAATTTATTATAAAATTATATAGTTAGTGACACTGACTATATATAATTTTTTTAAAAACCACTTTCCGTGTGCGAGCAAATTTTTTATTCGCACAGAGGGTGGAGGGAGTAATTAAAATTTAATTTATGTCAAAGTAAATAGCCTAAAACTTGTCAATAGTTTTGGCTAAAAAAAAATTTTGGATTCCTATATAAAGTAAAAAGAAGCTTCGATATTTATAATTGTGATAGAGCAATTTAATTTATATTTGCCAATAAAAAATTTTTAAATTGATCGGATACTGAATCCATTTCTTAATTTTGTAAAATCTAAATGGAAACAAGCCTGGTATCTTCATCTCAAATAATTGATTCTCAAATACTCACAAAGCTCTTACAATTAATTTCTAAAAATCATACTTTATCTAACTCCCCCCCCCCTCCGTGAGCGAACAAAACCATTAGAAAAATCGCCATTTTTTGACCAAAAACCCACCCTCCGTGAGTGAACAAAAATTTTTTTAATAGAAAAAAATTTTAATGGAAAAAAAATTTTGATATATAAGTGATAATTAGTATAATGAAATCTAGAGCTAATTCTGTTTAATTTTAAACAAATTGCGTTTTAAAACATAAATTTTGCAAATTAAATTAATATTTGCTTCCCAATTTTTGCAAATTAGGATTTTTTTTAAATTTCGAAAAAAATATTTTTTATAAAATTTATATATAAATTTTTTTTAAAAAAAAAAAATAACCCCCCTCCGTGAGCGAACAAAATTTTTTTGTTCGCTCACGGAGGGGGGGGGGGAGTAAGCTTCTGAACAAGCATTCCAATAAATCTAAAAAAGTTAGAAGGACTATTCACAGAAAATCATCAAGCTTAGCTGACCTCAACTGTCCAGTTGACACCAAAATTTCAGTTGACATGGATATGACATTCTCAGTTCTAACTGAAACCTGTAAAAACAGGTTTAAACTTGAAGAATTTTCAAATTCCAAAACTTTTCATAACAGATCTCCTAGTCTGTATTCATTAGACCAATACTGGACTATGGATATTATTTTTCACTCACTAATAGACAAATATAAAACAACTTCATGAACTCGGGATAATAAAGGTGAGCCAGAAGCTCACCGAGTAATTGTGAAACAATTGTGATTAGATTGCTATGCATCTGATTCTCATTTTTGGTCTCTCTTAACTGATCCTATTGAAGGATTGATATGGGTAAACAGTGATAATTTTATAAAATGCTTGGAAAATTTGCAAGAGTCATCCAGCTGGAATATTTTTACTCCAAAAATATTTGCTAAAAAAAATAAGAAAAGCTTGAGAGTGCAAAGGCAACTATGTAAGAAATTATTTAGTTTTTTTCTTGCTAATTCAGTCTGAAAATCAAGCTGATTTAAATAAAGAAGCTTTAATTCAAGTATTCGACATGAGTGAAAAATCAGCAAAGCATCACTTGGAGATGCTTGCGAATATGATGCTAAAGAAATGTGGTGAAAATGTCGAAAAAATCAGTTTTCAGAAATTCTTGGATATCATTATCAAAACCACATACAAAAATTAAGTGTAAATTTAATTAAATATAATTTAATCAATAATGATAGTGTAATTTAAATATTTATATTGCAATTTAGTATATGAAATCTTTAAAACATTTATCTTTTATTTATTTTCATTTGTGGAATTAATTAAAACAACCATTTTAGCTTTCCAGATGTCTTATCGGTATGAAAAGTAAATAAATTACAAATTGTAGAGACAGCAGACTAAATTAAGTCATTAATTATTTTTGTATCAGCCTAAAATAAATTCATTAAAATTGAGAATGAAGGGAGACTTCGTTGCCATTTTCAAACTTAAAATTTGACTCTCCTTATTTTTATTTTCTGCTCGAATCTTCACATTAACTATATTTTAATAATAATTTATTTCTCCTGCAAAATCTAATCATTACTGATAAGCCAGTTATGATATATATACAATAATGGACCCATTAGATAAGGTACAATTCACATAGGAAATCCTTGACCACTTTCCTCTTTCTGTATCCCCTAAGTCAAGTTCACAATCTTTTTTTGGCTTTGCCAGATACAGTGTCTACCGTAACTCAGCTGAAACAGCTGATTCTTCACCTTGCAGTGAACCAAAATTTAAAAGCTCATTAGGCGAGTTCTCATCCTCTATTATAAACCTTCACCGCTGTGACTCTCCAAGTGTTTACAGTGAAATAAGCCCAGAACCAGCATCCGCCTGAATAGAAAAAATTATAGACTCCTGTAAGTGTGGGAATGTTGACCTTTTATTAAGCACCATCGAGGAATACCAAAAAGAGAAAGCTTTAAATTTAAATTCAGAAGACGTCGGAGACTTAATTAATTCTCCGCTTATAAATAATTGGTGTGCGATCCACTATGTCTGCCAAGATGGAAAAGCTAATGTCTTAAAAGAATTGTTAAAACTGGGAGCCAATTGCAATATAGAGACTGCAGATGGCTGGACTCCTTTGCAATTATCTTGTGATAATTGCTATTTCCAAGATTAAAATGGAGGTATTCTGGTAAGGGTAGCTCCGTTACTTTGGACGAGTGAAGGGGAACGTAGGCTCTTCTGAACTTTTGCCTATATGAGACATCATCTACCGGCACTGAGAGACGAATGAAGTTCTAATAGTCGTGCAGCTGCCGACTCCTTGCTCAGCGGAGCTCGTATATCATGTAAAAGGCTTGAGAAAAAAGAAGATCACGCTATTTCAGGTTTCTTACTAACTAATACTTATCCAGCTATTTCCCATGTGTAGAGCTTTTATTAAACCACCCAGGGATCCAAATAAATAAACTGACAATTTTAGGATCTGCTTTGCATATTGCATGTGAAAAAGGCTATACAAAAATAGTTACTCCCCCCATCCTTGATCGAACGACCCGCCATCGTTCGATCAAGGTTAAAAAAAAATTTTTGGGAAAAAATTTATATATAAAGTAAAAAATATATATATATATATTTTGTTTATTTACTTTTAAATAAGAGGGTTAAGAGTATTTAATAATTATTTTTACAGCAAAAAATTAAATTAATTTCATAAAAATACCATTTTTAATATTTTGATTTATTAGTCACCCTTTTAAACTGTATAAATTTTAATTTGTTCCTTATTAAACTAAATTTTTTTTTTAAAAATTTTAAAGAATCTCTATTTTATTAGATTATTGAGTTTTTAAGCCTAGGCTGATGACTAAATCAATTCGGATGGTTGATTTCGAAGCTTTCTGTCGTCTAAAATCTCTAAAACAACTTAATTATGTGCATCTTCCCAAACTTTTGATAACTAATATTTTTATGTATATAAAAATTTGCATGATATGAAAATCGTTCGATCAAGGATGGGGGTTAATTTCCCCAATTTTTAGGAATTTTTACAGTCAATCGTTCGATCAAGGATGGGGGGGAGTTAGGTTACTTTTAGAAAATAAAGCATCAATTTCTTTAGAAAATGCACAAGGAAAAAATCCATTAGAGCTTGCTACAAAGCAAAGAATTCTTGAATTAATCCCTCAATACTCAGGCAACGAATTATTGCATAAATATTCTAAAATAAGCTCTGAGGATAAGCCTCCAAGTTTTAGTGGAGAAGTCTACTGAACTAACCCATGGCAAATAAATGATAAACTTATATTTTTATTTCTTGATACTCAAGAAGGAAGTTTGAAACATTACAATCAGCGATCAACTTATATAGACTCTTTGCCTCCAGACATCTCAATACAAATTAAAGATATCCAAGATATCAGACCAGTTTCAAATACTCACAATGATCAAAGATACTACTTTTCTATAGAAACAAGAGAAAAGCCCATCAAATATTACTGTAAATATTCTGATATGGCCAATGTTTGAATAAAACAAATTCAAGAAGCTGTGCAATATTTCCAATTAAAAGGCTTTGATAATGGGTCCAAAGAAGAAAATAAAAACATTTTAAATAGAGCATGCACACATTTTGAGGAAAATGCAGATGAAAACTCAGATATAGAAGAGGATGGACAGTCAGTAGGGTTTAATAGTTTTGATATCATTGAAGAACTTGGAAATGGAAGCTTTGGGCAGGTGTTTAAGGTCAGGAAAAAGAACGATGGAGAAATTTATGCCTTGAAAGTGCTTACTCCTTATGATCGAATAAAACCATTGGAAAAATCCCTATTTTTTGCCCAAAAACCCACCGACAAAAATTTTTATGAAAAATATTTTTATATATAAGTGATAATTATTATAATTAAATATATAGTAATTCTCTTTCATTTTAGACAACTTGCATTTTAAAGTGTAAATTTTACAAATTAAATAATTATTTACTATAAAATTAGTTCGAATTTGAATTTTGAAATTTTGAAAAAACAAAATTTACTATAAAATTTATACAAAAACTCCCTGTGAGCAGCAAAATTTTTTGTTCACTCACGGAGAGGGTAGTTAATAAAAGCTCATTAAAAAGGCATAACCAGCTAAAATATGCTATAGCTGAATGCAAAATATTAAAATCGAGCAAAAATCCATTTATTATTAAGCTGCATTGGGCTTTCCAAACACCAAAAAACCTTTATATGGCGCTTCAGTATTGTGGAAATGGTGATTTAGAGCAATTGATAGAAAATAAAAGATATTTAAATGAAAAAGAGGCACAGTTTTATATAGCTGAAGCCATATTAGCGATTGAATATCTGCATTCAGTTAACATTGTTTATAGAGACTTAAAGCCTCAAAATATTCTTCTTGATGAAGATGGACATATAAGGCTAGCTGATTTTGGCTTACCTCATCCAATTAAATCGGCAAACTATTAGAAAAATCCCTATTATTTAGCACCTTTTGTGAACAAAAATTTTTCAATATAGCACATTTTATAAAAATATTTTTGAAAATAATTGATTAGAATAGAATTAGATTGAACGCGGATTGATTTATTCTCCATTCCCAAAGTAGCGTTCCACGAATGCAGCCCCAATACTTCCTCACACGGGCGGCAGAGGTATGCAGGTAGCTTCCATTAGCAAGAGCCCGAGCCTAACCCTCTGAGCAGAGCATTTTTCTAATCAAACCGCCTATGCGGATCGTCCCTGGGAACCTTATTTCCAGCTCAAGCCTTTATAAATATTACTCAGACCTGGAAGCCTAAGGTCAGTAGCTCTTTAACTGAGCCATTTTAAACTGGAGAGATTTAGACCTTGAGAGTTGTCCAACTCGTATTTCCTTTTTCATCAAGCAGATTAAGCAAGTAATTCACCCTTATCCTATATGGCACCCAACCTGGGCCAGGGTGATGCTGGTAAAACGCGTAGATTCACCACTCGAATCAAGCAACTAATCTGCAGAAATAATACTGGGCTCTCGTTCGAGGCTAACCCAACATTTGGATAGCTCTGTGTACCAAAAGCCCATGCCCGGATATATAAATTTAAAAAATTAACCCTTTTGCGATGAAAGCAAAATTTCTTTGAGAGCCTCTAGGGGGATTTAGCAAAGGAAAATATATCAAAGTGAAACCCTGCCATGACATTTTGTGGGTCTCCAGCATATTTAGCACCAGAACTATTATCAAAGAATGGAGCCTGAAAGCCAGCCGATATCTATTCAATTGGCGTAAACCTCTATGAAATGCTGGTAGGGCATCTTCCATTTAACGAGCAAGATGTCAGTAAAATTTACAAGCAGATTTCATCTGGCAAATTAAGGTTTCCAAAAAACATCTCCTCTGATGCAAAGCATCTTATTCAAAGTTTAATGCATAAAAACCCTGAAAAAAGACCAACAATTTCTCAAGTTAAACAGCATCGCTTTTTCTGCGATATTAACTGGGATTTGCTTAAGATAAAATAACAAAATTTATAATTAAAATAAAATTAATAATTTATAAAATTTAATAAAATTAATGTTTATTGCGAAAGTTAGTAAGAAAAAAATAAATCCACCTTTAGACCCAAGCTTGTTTTCCTATAAATCTGCTCAAGAGATCTGTGATGTAGTTTTTGTTGACTGTGATTACGAGTCTGTTGACGTGTTTAACGAGGATTATGAAAGATAAGTTTTTCATAAGAAATTAATTATTCATTAAACACTAAATTTCCAAGAATAACCTATATGAGTTTCTCTAAATTCTAGCACCTCTGGCACATCTTCAAATGCTTTCGAAATTTCTTCCCATGTCACTGGTATCTGGACATTTCGCTTTCCCACGTCTTTTGACTTGCCTTCTAGCTTAGCAAATCCAAAAGAATTTAAATTATTAAGCATCTCCATAAATTCTTGCCATGGGAGCGCTTCACCACCTCTTCCGCAAATAGCTCGTGAATAGGCTGAATGAAGCTGTGAAGTTGTGATATTTTTATTTGATCCATCATTAGCTTTTTTCGCTGATAAGTCTTCAATTAATCTTTTGCATATAACAACTGCAGATTTTTGAAGTTGAGGCAGATGTTTTAATTCATTGATATTGGAATTTCATTTCGTGGCTGTTTTTATAGTATGTCTTTTTACAATGAATAGAAGCATTCCTAGCAATAAGCCGTTAGTCTATTTATATATGAAAACAGAATAACGGCTGTTAGTAGGTTGCTTGCTTCTATTCATTGCAAAAGATATATTCGTTAGGTCAATTTTTCCATCTCTCATAGCATTTTTGCAAATATCAAGAGCTTGCCTTACATCTCCTAATTTTTCGACTTGCCTGGCACAAAATTCCATAGCACGGCTATAGGCATATCCTTAAGATAGCCCGATATGGGCAAGGGATAGAGGCCAACGTTTCCCACTTGGTCGGCCAACTTGGATTGGCCGAACTAAGTGGAAGGAGGCTCATTCGCCACTTACCACTTGGCTCGACCAACCTGAGTTGGCCGGATCAAATAGGAAATTTTGGCCTGTATCCCTCGCCCATATCGGGCTATCTTAAGGATATGCCTATATCTTTTTCACCAGAAATGTTGTGTGTCATAATATTAAGCAGTTGATCTTTTGAGTAAGGAGGGAAAACAATTATTTCTGGCATGCATGATCGACTATCAAGCTCAGGCATTAAAAGATCAGGCATTCCGACTAGATTTGATATAGAGACTAATAAAATTTTTCCATTAGTTCGCTTTGGGAGCATAAAAAGCTTTATCACTTGCTCTTTGGTTCATCGGTGGATCAAACTTTCAAATTCGTCAATTATCAATAAAATGTGGTGGGAAAGGGATTTAATGACATCAATAAGATTGGATTCTAACAGAGCAGGTTTTGATTTAGGTTTTTTTGGAAATTCGTTAGAAATGTGCTTCCAAAAATCAGTAAAGCTGGCTATTTCCATAGCATTCAAAGAAATTATAAACTTGAAGCGTGATTTTTTTCTTCGTTTTAGTTCCTCAATAATTTTCTCAATTGTGAATGTTTTCCCTGTTCCAGGTTTTCCGCAGATATAAAGATTTAGGGAATTTTTTGGATCTTCATCATCATCCTCCACAAAATCAATAATTTTAATAAAAATTTTGTTGTAAAGATCGTCTCTCCCAAGCAGCTGCTGCTGCGGTAATTCGATTTCTTTAGTTTCGTTGTTCTCTAATTTCATCTTTTTAGAGCTTGATAATTGTCGTTCCGCCATAATATTTTACTAATTAATTATCTAAGCAAAAGAAATTAAGTAAAAATAAAGAAATAATTTTATGATGAAGACTTTAAGTTTTTCTTTATAAATGCTTTGAAGCTTCATTCATTTCGAAGGTTTAAACCATTTCATTAATTTATATTGCAAAATAAATTAATAAATTAGCTAAATCAAGACCTATTACATAGAAATAGTTTGCCATCTGTCTAGATCTCTTATTCGAACGCAGCAGCCTTTCGATGTTTCATCTTCATTCATGCAGCAAGACCAAGCTTCTTTTTCTAAATCTTCATTCATAACCCACGCTCCATCATGAAAATATTCTTTCGTTTTCCTCGTTTTTAGTGTTTTTCCTAGTGCAGGCTTAAAGGTTTCATCATGAATTTCAACCTTCGCAATCTCAGCTTGTCTCTGTTTAATTTTATATTTTTCCACCATCTTAAACACCCCAGCTGCAGTTTTTTCTTTGCTTGATCCAGGACATTCATATAAATACTCTTGCCTTATTTTATTCCTAAGTTCTTCCTCTTGGTTTTTTATATCCCTTAATTTTTCATTCAAAATTGTTTGACCTTCATCAGGCTTCACATATCCTTTAATTTGAAGCAATTTCTTATTTTTTTTGGCTGTTTCTTGCATTGATTCTTGTGTTCTGTGTAAAAGTTACAATTTTTGATTATTTTTATTAGATTCGCGAATATTGAATTCTGTGCTCACATTTCAATTGGTATAGTTATTACGTGTTTCAGTCCCTGACCACATTTTATTGCTTTTTGTTTTATTTGCTTCGGGCTCGTTAAAATCGCGAAGGCCTTGCCTAATTTCGAATTTTTTCTTTTCAAGAGGAATTTGGTCTGAATAATATTTTGTGCGATCCACATAAGTGCTACGGTTTCAGGCTTGCTTTTTGAGGCAAAGAATATCAAGTGCTATGAATTCTTTGATTTCTTCAACAACTTGCTTAGCTTTTGGAGGAACAAGATCTGGGTCGAATGCTTTCATGTCTGGCAGGTAATTAACCGTTCCAGATTTTGCGCTTCCAACGATATTTTTTATTCTTTTTTCGGAAGAGGATTGAAGGCTCCTTGATTGTTGAATAATTGGATGGATATCAGGTAAAGAAGATTGCCTAGTTGGATGACTAGTTGTCATGTAACTGAGAATATGGAATTTAGAAGAAAAGGGAGGAGAAAAATCTATAATAGTTTATGATGAAATAGCTAAGGAGCATTTTGGCTAGTTAGACATTAGCTGTATTGTCAAATTAGTTCGCTAGCTAAAAAGTACTCTTTGTGGCTATTCTTTGTAAATGTGTATAATAGACCACCAAAAATGAATTATAATGAAAATTTCACAGTTGAAAACTATAGAAAAATTAAGAATTTTTCAATAGAAATAATTTTTAACCCATAAAAATATTTTTCTAATGGTTGCTTTACTGAATTTTAGACATAAATATAGGCGAAAACTATACAGGTTTAGCTGGAAAGTTATTTTTTTATGCATCTAAAAGTATGTCTCAAGGTTTATTTTGAGATATATCGTTCCTGTGCTAATTTCTAGATATATTTCTCTGATTTCTGAGCTGCCAGAAGTTAAAAGCCAAAAGCTTTCAATTGAAAAGGGTTTATAAAGCATATATCTTAACTATAAAAATCTATGGATATTATTGGTTTTACTAAAGCATGTATTATTCCAATAAATATTATAACCCAATTTATAAAGTAATTTTTTTACAGCTTATGCTTTTTTAATAGTCTTTCCCTTCATTTTCTAAAGGTTTTCTAACTAATCGTTTTCCTTTTCTCAACACATATGTTCTCAATCCTTGTGGATCAAGCAAATCTTGAGCATCACTATGATTAAAGCACGCTAAAAACTCATCTAATTCAATTTCTTCACAACTCTCTGGGTCTTTGCCTAAAAATTTCCGTAAAACTGATCCTAAAGCTTTTTCTTTACTTACTCTGATTTTTTCTGTATAGCTGGTAATCTCTTTTTCATACATAGGAACTAAATTTGATTCGTGACATAAAATGGGTATAAAATCAATAGCGTTCATAAGCAAAATCTTTATCATTATTTCAACGCTTTCTCTGGTTATAGTTTTTCTGTTTGAAGAATCAAATATTTCAAATAAAAGCTTAGCTTTCTCCTTCGGTTTGCCATCACTTAAACAAATCCCAAGCATTAATAATGCTTTGAAATCATAATTACCGTCATCTAGCTTGAATTTCTCATAGAAATCTTCAATATGTGGACATTCATGGGTGTTTCTTGCTTTTAGCCTCAAGTGGACCATGATTTCTTGCATTTGTCGGCTGTTAATGGTTCCGTTTGAAGCATATTTTCTGAACATTAAATCAATTAGCTTGCAAGTGCAATTGCTATATCCTAACTCGCTCTCCTTAGCGAACAAAAACAATTTGTTCGCTCACGGAGGGGGTTTAATTTTGTTTTTTTAAAAAAATTTATATATATAAATTTTATAGAAAAAATGTTTTATTCAAAATTTAAAAAACCCTAATTCGCAAAAATTGGAAAGAAATATTAAATTTAATTTGTAAAATTTATGTTTTAAAACGAAATTTGTTTAAAATTAACAGAATTAGCTAGAGATTTCATTATAATAATTATCACTTATATATAAAAATTTTTGCTCGCTCACGGAGGGTGGTTTTTGGGCAAAAAATAGGGATTTTTCTAATGGTTTTGTTCGCTCATAGGGGAGTAAGTATCTTTCAACTGAAATGATAGCTATTTCTTCCTCACTTAAATCTTCTCTGCTTGTAGAACAGCCCATTTATAAATAAATCTGTTATTCAATATTTTTATTATCATCGCTTTCTTCAGATTCTTTTAACTGATTTTCTTCTTTTTGTAGCCTTCTACGCCTCTGCCTATCTTTTTGCTTCTTAATCTTTTCAATTTTTATCCCTTTTTTGCTTTCAGCACCATATAATTGGAATTCAATTTTTTCCTCAAGCCTTTTGTAAGCGATTTCTCTATTCTCATAGAGCTGCCTAGAATCGTGAGCTTTTACCATGATTCCTGTAGGGATATGCTTTAAGCACACGCAATTAGTGGATTTATTTACTTTTTGACCTCCAGGTCCTCATCCTCTCGTTAAAGTTTCTTTTACATCTGTAGGGTTAAGTGTGAACTTGCCAAAAGATCTGTATAAAAGTCTTACTCCCCCCCCTCCGTGAGTGAACAAAACCATTAGAAAAATCGCTATTTTTTGCCCAAAAACCCACCCTCCATGAGTGAACAAAAATTTTTTTTAATACAAAAAATTTTTTTTTATGGAAAATAATTTTGATATATAAATGATAATTAGTATAATGAAATCTAGAGCTAATTCTGTTTAATTTTTAAACGAATTGCTTTTTAAAACATAAATTTTATAAATTAAATTAATATTTGCTTTCCAATTTTTGCAAATTAGGATTTTTTTGAATTTCGAAAAAAAAATTTTTTATAAAATTTATATATAAATTTAAAAAAAAAAAAAATTAACCCCCCTCCATGAGTGAACAAAATTTTTTTGTTCACTCATGGAGGGGGGGGAGTTAGCATAATCTTTAAACCTTCTATTAAGTATATTAAATATGCAATTTTGCATATAGTTTATTATGATGACAAATATCAAGGATGAGCCTCTCTTGCTTCGTAAATTCAAAGATATAAACTACTTCACAACTGACGAAGAATTCCAAAGCTTCCCAGAGAACAAGCTTCCATTTCTGAAAAGAATTGTATGCTCATGAAAATGAATAGTTCTCTTTTTTACAATGATCTCACAGCAATTCTTTTTCTTATCAGCCATAAAATCTGCTAACTCCCCCCCCCCTCCGTGAGCGAACAAAAAAATTTTGTTCACTCACGGAGGGGGGTTAAATTTTTTTTTTTAAAAACAATTTATATATAAATTTTATAAAAAATATTTTTTTCGAAATTTAAAAAAAATCCTAATTTGCAAAAATTGGGAAGCAAATACTAATTTAATTTGCAAAATTTATGTTTTAAAACGCAATTTGTTTTAAAATTAAACAGAATTAGCTCTAGATTTCATTATACTAATTATCACTTATATAGCAAAATTTTTTCTATTAAAAATTTTTTCTATTAAAAATATTTTTTGTTCACTCACGGAGGGTGGGTTTTTGGCCAAAAAAATGGCGATTTTTCTAATGGTTTTGTTCGCTCACGGAGGGGGGGGGGAGTAAAGGAAAAAGCTTAGTTTTAGGCTTTTTTCTTCTTATATTGATGACAATTATTATCTGGATCTTAGGCATAAAGTCAAAAACTGCTCCACAGAAAAAGAGCCTTGTTTTCTTACTCCCCCCCCCCCCCTCCGTGAGCGAACAAAACCATTAGAAAAATCACCATTTTTTGACCAAAAACCCACCCTCCGTGAGCGAACAAAAATTTTTTTTAATAGAAAAAATTTTAATGGAAAAAAAATTTTGATATATAACTGATAATTAGTATAATGAAATCTAGAGCTAATTCTGTTTAATTTTAAACAAATTGCGTTTTAAAACATAAATTTTGCAAATTAAATTAATATTTGCTTCCCAATTTTTGCAAATTAGGATTTTTTTAAATTTCGAAAAAAATATTTTTTATAAAATTATATATAAATTTTTTTTTTAAAAAAAAAATTAACCCCCCTCCGTGAGTGAACAAAATTTTTTTGTTCGCTCACGGAGGGGGGGGGGGAGAGTTAGGAATAATTGATGTGACTTATTTATTTATAGTCTTATCAACTGCTGCTAACATTTCACCTATATTTTTGGCAGCCTTATTGCAAATTTCTATTCTTTTTAGGATGTTTTTGATGAAATTTACACAATATCATCCATTTTTACTTACACATTATTTAGCTGGAATAATTATTATTGTTAGCGTTTCGGTGAATTACGGGTATAATGGGAATGATTATTCATATTTGCTATTATTAGGGATTTTGCTACAAACGACAAGTGCTGTGTTCAAAATAAGCTATTTAAGGAAAAATATAGCTGAAGAGATAGCAGTCAATAAAGTCACCTTATTGTCTTCCACGGTATTTGGAGGGGCATTTTTACCGCTTGTTTTAGCAATGCAAGGAATTTCTATTGGAGACCACTTGAATGAAGGTTTTAAATGTATGGTAGGGATTGGTTGTGACTTATTGCCAGTTTTCATTTTTTGTTTAGGGATCAGTGTAGCAGCTCATCATTATATGCTAAATAATGGTATTGAGTTAAATTGTCGTAAGGCAATTATCGGATAAGTATTAGCATGATTATCTAGGGTAGATCCATCTAGCCTAAGGCTTAGCTCCCTAAGCTAGAGCCATCTCTTGTGGACGATTATTTATTCTATATAGATAAAGACTTAGTCAGTGGGAGTAAAAAAACTGTTAGTCTTTCTGCCAAGGACAATAAAAAAATTGTGGAAGGAATAGAACTTTATTCTCGGCAGCCATCCCAATCTCCATAGTCTATTCCAAGCGAGGTAGACTTCATATATTTGCGCATAGAGATAGATTTAAATTCTACACATTAATGCACCTCTTAGTCCATCTTCCGTCGACGTCACTATTTTATGCCTAAAATAATGGAAATAAGTTATTGGTTATGCTGGCATATGCGAGGAAACTCACTAGCCATCACTTCCTTACCAAAAAGGTCGCCCTTCGGATCCGGATTGAAGTACCTGCCCAAGGGATCAACCCCCTGGAGAGAACCACTCCTCTGAAGAGTGCCCTATGAGAGAAGACTATGTGATAGGCAAAAACTATGAAACCCATCTGACAGGGACAAGAAAACCTTGGGGTAGAAGCAAAGTTTCCCTCTTTTGTCAAGGTTTTCCAAGCCTGAAAATCTACTTCAAAAAGGGACCACCCTGCTTTCAGTTTCATCAGGATGGGCCTACCTGCTCCATAAGGAGTGTCTCGATGATCAATTTCTGCCAATATCACCATTTTATTACTAAAATAGTGGAAAGGAATTTAAAGAGGGCCAAAGAGTCGTACATATGATGAGTGGCCTTTTAACACTAGTTGGTTTTTCCTTATCTGGAGTTTTATTTGACGATTTTTCAACTGAACTTGTAGAAGTTTTGACTGGTATTATTGCTGCATTTGGCTGCTCTGTGTATTATTTTTATCCAGAAGTTCCAATTAAATTTAGTTATTCGAATTAGTTTCTAATAAAATTGGGTGCAGGTCAATGACATAGCCTTTTTGATAGTGTTCATTTCACCGAAGTGCTTTTGGTCAAAATTTTTAAATAGTGTACCCATTTGGCCGAAATTAACGGCTTTTTCGGTCAAATGTCTCACTGTCAAAAATGATTAGAACAAATTTTCCCCTATGAGATGTCGCACTATTTTCGAAGTCATTTGACATGGAGCCAATAAAATTGCCATTTTTGTAATGAATTTATCTTGGAGTTGTTGCCTGGGTTTTAACAAAAAGAAGGATGGAGAATCAAGAATCACGCCAAAGACTGATACCGTTTCAAATCGAAATTGAGTTGATTTGGATAATAATGAGAGAAACAAAGAAAAGATTGCAAAACTAAGGAGAAGTATAAGAGAAAGCCTTGAAAAGCAGTTAAATGAGCAAATCCCAAGAAGGCCTTCAAAAGATTTAAATAAAAGCAAAGAAATATTTCCACTTTATACGGAAATGGATGGGAAATATGTAGATGACGGAAAGAAAATTGAAATTTTATTTTTACAATAATGTAAGTATCGTCTATTCATAATAATTTCGAGGTTTTTCGCTAATAATCTCTTATTGTTTATGGATAATGATAGAATTTATTTCAAACGGTCTTCATATCATTTTGCATACACTAGAGTACCCTGCTATTAAAAATAACCGGAGAAAATTATGTGAAAAAATCAATTAATAGCACTATCTGCACTGCATCGATGATTTTTTAATAAATTATTAAAAATCTTGAGTTAACAAGCAATTTGTAACAGAAAATTAAAAGGTTGCAATAGTTGTTTCAATCTAAAGTGCTAAAGATAAATAATAAAGTATAGGAGAGAAAATAAAATATATCGCCATATAGCTGGAGAAATATTATTACTCACAAATAAGTTTGAATATAATTGTTTTATATATGAGATTGCTTACATAGCTTGATTTTAAAGCATTTTAGGATGATTCAAGTGGGATGATAATAAATTTCTTATTTTATTGCCGTGCGAATTCAATTGCTAGTTAATTTGATATTAAATTCTTAAGCTCTCTTTTATAAATTGGATCTTAAGCTTTTTGCTGAACAATATTAGTTTTAAGACTTTTTCTTCTTAGAGCTCGATAGAATTAAGAAAATTTGTGCCAAATTCATTATGGCCTATATTGGATTCGGAAATAGGCAATACATAACAAGAATTCTAGGATTGAATGAAGCCGCAAAATATATTACATTAAGAATTGGGAAGATTGAAATGAGAATGAAATTTTACTTTTTATTTTAGAGGGTTTTTATTGAAGCTTATTGAAGTTTATTGAATTTTGATAGAAAAACAAGAGAAGTGCTGCATTACAGCTTTAATTTTAAGTTAATAGTTAATAATGAATAGTGAAAGCTATAATTATAAAAGAAAAGCAGCTATTGAGAGTGGAAAGATTTTAGCATATTGCCAAAGGAAAGTTAATTCGTGACTGTACTTATATTAATTTCGCTATAGCCAAAACATTTTTTAAAAAAGTAAACAGATTATCAAATTCCTCTATCAAAAAAATTAACAAAAATAATGAAAAATTACTATGCTAGAAATACCAAAAGACCAAGATAATATATATAAAGTAAGAAAGAAGTAATTGTCTTAAGCATGCTTAAAGCAAGCTTACAATGGAGTTGCTTGTTGAAATGTTCAATATGTAAATAAATATTTATAACTAATTTTTTTCTTTATATTCCAGCCTCAAATCTGTAAAATCAAAAAAATTCGCATAAGCCCCAATTTTTAAAGTTTATTATTTTTAAATAAATTAAGCCCTTAATTAATGTTGAATAATGCACATGCTATAAATCTTTATACTTTTATTTATTATAGTTACCATATTCTTTCACAATAACTTTTCTGTTTAACTCAATCATGGCATACATCACTTTATAAAATATAGTGGAACTCGCAATATTCAATATGTAATTACTAATAGCATAGAGCTGAAGCTATTTAATGATAGATGCTATAGGATTTAGTGAGTAGTTGATAATTATTTAAATTGTGAATTTTAATAAATCAATAATTCTGAATAGTTCAGTTAAAATTAATAATTTAGTATTTCTTTTGTTTTTTAATTATTAATTAATATGGAAATCCATAATTATAATATCTCTTGCTTTCAAACTGCATGCTGATAAGAAAAATTAAAAGTTTATTATTTTTTATTGCCGATAGGATAGCAAAATTTATTTTCTTTTATCAAAGATAATAATTGATATGCAGCATAGCAGACAAAATTCATCTTGCAATTATCAAAGATTTATCAAAGCACTTTTTACTTTAATTATGCTTTCAGCGTCCTCAGAAGTTTTAATAGCATACTCAAAGCCTTCAAGTGTTACTGCAAATTTGATTTCAAATATCCGATTAGAAATTTCTGGCATTAATTCAACTGAAATTTCTTTATGTGATTTTTCCCAATTGGAAGAAGAAATTCTAGCTCGGCCAAATCTGCTTGCAATTTTTGATATAACCAATAGCCTAGATTCTGAGTTCAAGATCTCAAAACTCTGCGAAGATAACTTTCTCATACATTTTGTGGTTTCTGACAATTTGGTTTACCATAATAAAAAAACTTTTTCCCTCTCATGCTCAAAACAAATTTTAAGAGAGGCTTTTATTGCTACTTTAGGCTACTTTAACTGAACTGATGGGATTGCTTTAACTACTGTAGAGAAATACTCAGATTCACAGCTTTTGCTCAATGATTACTCTATTGAGCTGTTTTCACTTAGCTCAAATAGCTCAATTCAAAATTTTGTGCAAAGAGACCTAATGAATTTAGGCTCGTCACTTTTTTATTTATTTGCTGACAAAAATACTTCTCTTGAAATCCAGCAAGCATTAATGAATTCAAAAATGCTGGCCAGTGAAACAGGAATTTTGCTTATCGGTGAAAGCAGTTATGGATCCACTGTTGAAGGAGCTCTAGCAGTTGTCGAAAAAGGCAGAGAATTAGTTGATTCTTATGAAAAATACTTATCAGTTGCTTTATCTGAATTAATTTTAATTTTAAACAATATTTCAACCGTAGATGATTTATGAATCTTGCTATCAAAAATGTGTCCAAATCATTATTGCTTCAATCAATTTTCTCTTATAAATATCAGCCAAGGCCAAAGAAAAGTTGTAGGATCCATTGTAGGAAAAAAAATTTCTATAACCTCCCCTATCATATTTCCAGGAAATTTAGAAAAAACTCCAGCATCTCAAAAAAAAATTTTATACATCAGCGCAAACGACGGAATAACTAACCCTGGCTCTGTGTCTGTGCCAGCAATAATACGCCATTTATGGGGCCTTACACTTGCAGTCAAAACTATCAATACCAAGTCTGATATCTTACAAAATTTTCAGCTGAAAGTTAATGATTTTGACTGTGGAGTTAGTATATATAATGCAACGTTTTTTAATAATTGCATAAGCAAAGATAGGAATAAATTGGGATTAGCCCATATTTTTTCTATAGGGACCCCGACTGCTTACGGGGAAATTGCTACACTGGCAAAATTAAACATTACTATACCTTGTGTTGGAGCTATAAACGTTGACCCAGGCCTTTCTAATATGACTCAATATCCATTTTATACACGTGTAAGCTTGCCAAGTAATGTATTATATGCACAGGCTCCTTTAATATTAAAAGTTCTTGGCTGGAGCAGCGTTGCAGTCCTCTATCAAAATGACAGCTTGGGAATTACAGCCTATCATTATATTAGCCAAACCGCTGAAAAGCAAAAAATAAAAATTGTTAATTCTCTAAAAATAATCCCAGCCCTCCTTAATAGGGATCAGCTAAAAAATTATACTAATGTGATACAAGATATCATAGATTCGCATGCTAGGATGGTAATATATGTATTGAATCCTCCTTTAACAGATTATGTTACAGAATTATTCTATGATTTAGGCATAAGAAAAGGGGATATTTTTATTTACTCAGTTATAGAAGTTTCCTATGTTTGGCGCTGTAAGGCCGATAAATTCTGATCGGAATTTATCGGTAGGTTGCACAAATCAATGCCTTGGTCGGACCCAAAAAGCGATTTGGTCCGACGAACTTGGAAAGCCTGGGAAAATGTCTGCGCTTTTAGCGCTATATAGAGGAAACCTCTATATTTCTGCATGGCTCTCTTCGATTGGTAATAAAGATGATTATACATATAAAAGACTAAATATTGCTGTGCCGTTGATGACTGTTATCCAATCGGCATTTGTTGACGAAAAAGGGAGAAAAATTCATGATGAACTATATGCAGTTCATGGAAACAATGAGCCTACTTCTTATAGTTGCTTGTATTATGATGCTACTTATTTGATAGCAGCAGCTTTGGACTGGACCATAAACCAAGGGAATGATTACACCAATCCTTATATTCTTCAGGCATCTATTAGGAATATAAAATTTACAGGGTGCAGTGGAAAAATTTATATACAAAAAGATAGTAATGATGTGCAATTAACAAGTTTAACTATCCAATCAAATTATTATAATGCCTCAACTGATATTTTAACAGCATATAACGTAGGGTATTTTACACCTACAAGCTTGCAAATGCTGGCTATAGAAAGTCCTATTATATATGCCGATGGGACTACAAATAAACCTGCAGACTTCATAACCACAAGAACAAGCTGCCCATTTGATGATAAATTAAGGCGAAGATTTCCTAAAGGCCAAGGACTGGCTTTTGGGATTTGTTTTTTTGTAGTATTAGTAACTGTAATTGCCACTTTTTATATTTGAAAAAAGTGGTGGAATATAAACGTTGAGGAGCTTATAAAAAGCGAAGAAATTTCAGTTGAAGACATGATTGTTGGGGCTACAATTGTTGTAGAATTTTTCCAGCTGCTTTCACAGGGTCCTGATATTCGACCCTTGAATTCTTTTCTTGCAAACATAGGAGATGCACTGTCGTTAGATCTCAAAAACTTTTCGAAGCTTGAAGATGGCGTTTTTTGGTGGTTTGCAGGCTCAATTATTACTTTATGTGTGCTGTGAGCTATTTTTTGCGTTGAAATTATTTTTCATCTAGATGAAAAATTTAATCGCATTTGATTCTTTAGAGAGTTGGGAGTCATAGCTGATTACTCGATGCCAATTTTAGGAAACTTGTGCTTCATTCCATTTATATCGATCCTTTTGGAAATTTTTGTATGTGATCACTCTATTGGAAATAACTGATCGGATAGCTATCTCTCTGTTGATTGCTATCAGTTCTGTTGGCAAGGCAATCATCTTACTTTTGCTATCTTATCTGCGCTCTCATTAGTCTTATATGAGCCTTTGGCTGTATTCTGCAGACCTCTTTGGCAAGAGTTTCAGCATACGTTGCATGTGAAATCATTTCCTTTATATTTGATGATTATATTATTGATGTGTATTTAGATTTCCTATTTTCTAAGCACCATGCGCTCCACAGCGTTAGCTGTGGGTGGACTCTCTCAGGGCAACTTGAGTCTGAGTTGAAACCATCCGATTTTTCGGTCTAGGCATTTCCCCAATCGTCTTCCCAATGTGGATTGCCATAAATCTCCATTTCAAACCCAGTGACAGCTAACCAAATCCTTCTTAGCTTAGACCAGAACCCCCTTAATCGGGAATCATCTAAAACTAAAGACCTTCGCCCTTTAGATTTTTATTGAGCCTGCCTTTCCTTGCTCACCTGGATTAGCTTCAAAAGAAAAATGCATAGGCAGGGCAGGTCACTCATCAGCGGCCATTTTATGCATATTATATATGATGATAAAAACAATTATACAAGTGATGCTCATAGTTCTAAATAAAACTATTAAGAGGTCAAATGATATTGCCCATGGATTTATATTTTCATTTATGATTTTGCTTTATTTAGCATTCGTGTGGAGATTCAAAGCTTATAATTATGGAAGATTCAACTGGTGGCACCAACTGAGTCTTGTAGGAGTTGCATGGGTATCTTGCCTTTCAACAATAAATTTCTTAGTTGAAGGATCGAGTTTTCCATGAGTTGCTCTAATTATAGCTGGATGGGCAATCATAATTCTTACAGGACTACTTGTCCAAAAGAAGAAATATCCAAGCTTGCTATTCAGAAAGAAGGGAAAAGACACTTCATCTTTATTCAAATTCGCATTTACTTTTGGAAAGAAATCTAGAACGCACCATTTAAAAATCGAACCTCAAACACTGGATTTGTTTAAGTCATAATATAAATAAAATTATAATATAAACTGAAATTATATTAAATAAAAGCATTCAATATTCCTATTTATAATTTGACACAAATAAACTAGATTCCACAGCCTGAAGCCAAATGGAGTCCACGAGTACTAACTCCCCCCTCCGTGAGCGAACAAAACCATTGGAAAAATCCTTTTTTTTGCCAAAAAACCCACCCTCCATGTGCAAACAAAATTTTTTTATAAAAAAAATACTGATATATAAATGATAATTAGTATAATGAAATATCTAGCTAATTCTGTTTTAATTTTAAATAGCTTGCATTTTTAAAGCATAAATTTTGCAAATTAAATTAATTTTTGCTTCTCAATTTTGAAAAAAAATTTTATATATTAATGTTTTTAAAAAAAATAGCCCCCCTCTGTGAGCGAACAAAAAAATTTTGTTCGCTCACGGAGGAGGGGAATAAGCATTGTGTTCCGGATTTTGCCTTCCTTATCCTTCGATGAAGCATTAGTATCTTACCAGTTAACATTCGGGCAAAATGCCTTTTACTGCTGGAGAGCTCTGATCCCGAATATGGAGGCAGGTTTGACATATGTCGCTATTTTAATGTATGCCGAAGACAAAAGTATAGCTAGTACCGTACTAGCTAGGGGCTCATACCTAAGTGGGACTCTAGTCGCTGAAGCAGCAGCTATCAAATAACTAAGTTATGCACTTCAAGAGTCCAAGGAAGCATTAAGAAAAGGCCAAAAGATGGGGAGAGCTATCTTTTGTCGAATGCAGACAAACCCAGCGAAGTTCAACTACAGATGAGCAAACCTTCTTCGAAGCCTTGCATTGGATATAACGCTAAATAAGGAGACTCTAATCATTAATCCTAATCCTATTTATAATTTTGTGAGCTTGCATTAAGAATACTTCAATAATTCTATTTAAAAATCGTTAAACTAGATTATGCAAATTTTTCCTTGACTAACTACTTGATTAATTCTCTTTAAAGAGATTTGCGAAATTTGACTCATTGCGATTTTATTTGTTGCAAGCCAAAATAATTCTGTTGGGTTCTAACTTTCTTTAGGATTAATCTAAAAATCATCTTATAGTATCTAAAATGTTAAAAACATAATATTGATTGCAATCCTATGCTAGAAAGACAGTTGGGAAGTATTTTAAAATAAAAAGGAAAATTGATTGCCCAATTATAATTAAAATGAATTTTTCACAAATTCGCAAGTCTATAGATCACATAACTTATAATGCAAATTAGCTATCTTAAATATTTCTCTTTAGTTTTTATAGTATTCTTTAATCATTTTTACTAACTCAAATTCCTCCATAAGCGAACAAAACCATTCGAAAAATCCCCTTTTTTTGGGACAAAAATTTTTTTATATATATAAGCGATATAGTTAGTTGCTTAAATTTGAACATTGCAACCTACATGTGGAATCTTTTCCACGGTGAAAAATTCCACATGTAGGTTGCAATGTTTAAATTTAAGCAACTATAGATAATTATTTTAGTGAAATCTCTAGCTAATTCTATATATTTTAAGCGGCTTGCATTTTAAAAAATAAATTTTATGAATTTTATTTATATTTGATTTCGAACTTCTTAAAATTACTATAAAATTTATATATAAATTTTTTAAAAAAATTAACCCCCTCAGTGGAATAAGTCTTAATTATTAATCAACATGCAGCATGACAATAAAATTAGATTTGGGAGTCATCAATGATATTTCAAAAAAATTTTCTTTTTGAACTTAATTGCAGTTACATTTTCCTCGGAATTTTTAATTGTTGAGTCCAATTTCTCAAAAATCGTTGCGTCCAGCTTGATCGCAGACATAAAATCAGGTATTCTGGCCAGTTCTTCAATTGGAATTATTTCCTATGATTATTCGTTACTAAAAGAAGAAATTTCAACTCGAACAAATCTCCTTGCAGTTTTTGATATAACAGACAATTTAAACTCTCAATTTGAGATCTCAAAGCTATGTGAGGATAATTTCGTTGCACACTTTTTAGCATCAAAAAACTTGGTTTACCATAATAAATGAACTTTCTCACTTTCTAGCTCAAAAGAAAGTTTAAACGAAGCTATTATTGCTACTTTAAGATACTTTAATTGAACTGATGGTGTGGCAGTCAGCAGCGTTGAGAATTATTCAAATTCTCAAATTATACTGAATAATTATTCTAACTCCCCCCCCCCCCCTCCGTGAGTGAACAAAAAAATTTTATTCACTCACGGAGGGGGGTTAATTTTTTTTTTTTTAAAAAATTTATATATAAATTTTCTAAAAAATATATTTTTTTTCGAAAGTTAAAAAAAATTCTAATTCGCGAAAATTGGAAGCAAATATTAATTTAATTTATAAAATTTATGTTTTAAAAAGCAATTCGTTTAAAAATTAAACAGAATTAGCTCTAGATTTCATTATACTAATTATCATTTATATATCTAAATTTTTTTCAATAAAAAATTTTTGTATTAAAAAAAAATTTTTGTTCACTCACGGAGAGTGGGTTTTTGGGCAAAAAATAGCGATTTTTCTAATGGTTTTGTTCAATCACGGAGGGTGGGGAGTAAAAAGATTAAACTATTTTCAGCAGGCTCAGATACTTTTATTCAAGATTTTGTTGGAAAAGAAATTATGAAATTAGGCTCTTCTCTGTTTTATTTGATGACTGATAAAAATACTTCGATTGAAATTCAGCAGGCTTTAGTGTCGTCAAAAATACTGATCAACGAAACAGGAATTGTGTTTGTTGGGGAAAGCAGCTACGGATCAACCTGTAAAGGTGCCTTAGCTATTGTAGAAAAAGGAAAAGAAGCTGTAGACTCTTATGAAAAATATCTATCTGCAGCTATTTCAGATATGATTTTATTTCTAAAAGACGTTTTAAGCTCAGAAGATCTTCCAACTGTGATATATAAAAGGTGTCCCAATTATCATTGTGCCAATGAATTTTCAATTATAAATATTCAAGCAAAAAGAAAAATCATTGGGGTTATTAAAAATGGAAATTTAACTGTTAGTTCTACTATAATTTTTCCAGGTAATTCGACTGTAATTCCAGTATCTCAAAAGAAAATATTGTATATTAGTGCAAATGATGGAACAACTAATCCAGGGGCACCGCCTAATCAATCAATCCTTGTTTATAAAAGAGGCTTAACATTGGGCGTGAAACATATTAATAGCAGCGTTGACATGTTGCAAAATTTCCAGCTCAAGCTAAATGATTTTGACTGTGGAGTAAGTGTATATAATGCGACTTTTTTCTATAATTGCTTAAATAAGGATAAAAATAAGTTGGGGTTAGCACATATTTTTGCAATAGGCACCCCAACTGCTTACGGAGAAATCGCTACATTAGCCAAATTAAATATAATACATAGGATTGAATTTAAAATCTATATTTTTTATGATAAAGTTTCAACCAGTCATTATATTTATTCAATATTATTGAGTTTATTACAATACCTTGTGTTGGAGCTCTTAATGTTGATCCAGGCCTCTCAAATTTTACCAAATATCCATTTTATACACGCGTAAGCTTACCAAGTAGCGTTACATTTGCACAAATTCCATTAATACTAAAAGCCCTAGGCTGAAACAGCGCCGCAATACTATATCAAAATGACAGTTTAGGAATTAACGCAAACACATATATTAGTCAAGCAGCTGAAAAACAAAATCTCATTATAGTAAACGAATTAAAAACAATTCCAGCTCTTCTTAATAGAGAGCAGCTAAGAAATTATACTAATGTTTTTGAAAACATCATTGACACCCACGCAAGAATCGTAATTTTAGTATTGAATCCTCCATTAATAGATTATACTGCAGAATTATTCTATGACTTAGGTATGAGAAAAGGCGACATCATTTTTTTGTCAACTTATCCTTCATGACTTACTACAGTTGCTAACAAAGATGATTACACATATAAAAGAGTAGAAGTGGCAATTCCATTGATAACGGTTTTTCAGTCACTTTTTGTAGGGGAAGTAGGGAAAAAAGTTCATGACGAACTGTATAAAACATATGGAAACACTGAGCCTACATCATTTTCTTGCCAATATTATGATGCTGTATACTTAATAGCGACTGCCTTGGATTGAACTATAGATCAAGGAAAAGACTACACTGATCCTTACGTTCTTGAAGCAGCAATAAGAGATGTGAAATTTACAGGGTGCAGCGGAAAAATTTATATACAAAAAAATAGTAATGATGTGCTTTCAACAAATTTTACAATACAATCAAACTCATATAACGCTACAGCAGAAACAACAAAAGTTTTTAATGTTGGTTTTCTAACACCTACAAGCTCACAAGTTTTAACTATCGCTTCTCCTGTTGTGTATGCTGATGGGAGTACAAATAAACCTACAGATTTTAGAATAACGAGGACTAACTGCCCATTTGATGATAAGCTAAAGCAGACTTTTTCAAAAGGGCGAGCTTTGGTTTTTGGAATATGCTTTTTTATTGCTGTTGTAACAGCAATAATTACTTTTTTAATCTGGAAAAAGTGATGGAATATAAAGGTTGAAGAGCTTATAAAGAGTGAAGAAATTTCAGTTGAAGACATGATTGTTGGAGCCACAATTGTTGTTGAATTTTTTCAGTTGCTTTCCCAAGGTCCTGATATTAGGCCTTTGAACTCTTTTCTTGCAGATATTGGAGATGCTCTCTCCTTGGACCTAACAAGCTTTATTAAGCTTGAAAATGGAGTGTTCTGGATGTTTGTTACAACAATAATTGTTTTATGTGGACTATGATCTATTTTTTGTATAGAAATATTTTTGCAATTGGACGAAAAATTCAATAAAATCTGGATTTTTAGAGTTTTAGGGGTTGCAGCTGACTATTCTATGCCAATTTTAGGTAATTTATGTTTCATTCCGTTTATATCAATCCTATTAGAAATTTTTGTATGTGATCATTCTATTGGGAATAATTTCGCAGACAGTTACCTTTCTATTGATTGCTATCAGTTCTGCTGGCAGGGCGATCATATTACTTATGCAACCTTATCTACACTCTCGTTGGTCTTTTATGAGCCTTTTGCAGTGTTTTGCCGGCCCCTTTGGCAGGAGTTCCAGAGTAACTTACATGTGAAATCAATTCCTCTTTATTTGATGATAAAAACTGTCATTCAAGTGATGCTTATAGTTCTAAATAAAACCCTTAAAAGGTCAAGTGATATTGCCCATGGATTTATATAGCTCCCGAAATATTTTAGATCGTTATTGATGATCAATTTTAATTTTCAAAAATAATTTTGTACTTGCCAGCTTTTTCGAAATGTAAAAACATAAATGAAAAATCTCTCTTTATGATTTTAAGATGTATAATGCCGGTCTCTGGACCATATTTTCTGGTCGGTATTCTGCTGGGGTATAGCGATCTATTATAATGCATAAAGTATATTTACATTTATAATATTGTTTTATTTAGCATTTGTTTGAAGATTCAAAGCTTATAACTATGGAAGATTTAACTGATGGCTTAAACTGAGTCTCATAGGAGTCTCATGGGTATCTTGTTTATCAACAATAATTTTCTTAGTTGAAGAATCGAGTTTTCCATGAGTTTCTCTAATCATAGCTGGATGAGCAATTTTAATTTTAATAGGCTTTGCTGTCCAAAAAAAGAAATATCCAAGTTTATTATTTACTCCCCCCCCCCCCTCTGTGAGCGAACAAAACCATTAGAAAAATCGCCATTTTTTGACCAAAAACCCACCCTCCGTGAGTGAACAAAAAAATTTTTTAATAGAAAAAATTTTAATGGAAAAAATTTTGATATATAAGTGATAATTAGTATAATGAAATCTAGAGCTAATTCTGTTTAATTTTAAACAAATTGCGTTTTAAAACATAAATTTTGCAAATTAAATTAATATTTTGCTTCCCAATTTTTGCAAATTAGGATTTTTTTTAAATTTCGAAAAAAAATATTTTTTATAAAATTATATATATAAATTTTTTTTAAAAAAAAAAAATTAACCCCCCTCCGTGAGCGAACAAAAATTTTTTGTTCGCTCACGGAGGGGGGGGGGGGGAGTTAGAAAAAAAGGTAAAGACACATCAACTTTATTCAAATTCGCGTTTACCTTTGGTAAGCATTCGAAAGTGCCCACTTCAAAAATCGAGCCTCAAAAATTAGACTTAAGTTCTTTCAAATAATCTTTTGTATTGTGTGCAATATTAATTTGCTATTATCTCGCTCATGATTTCAATAAATTTAATAGCAAGGCCATTAGCCTACTGCTCTAATTTGGCATTCATAGAACTTAATATATAATTTAATTAGAAGCATTCCTAATTTTTTGCATCTAGGATATTACGATTTTATAGTATTTAAAGTAGAATTTATATATTGCAAGCGAATATAGGTAATTCTAGATTTGTGAAATAAATTAATTATAATTAAATATGGCTTCTTAACCCGGGCATGGTCTCCGGACCATACAGCTTCGAGATATAATTAATCATATCCGTAAAGTTTTTTGTAAACACAGTTAAGCAATTACGGCTGCAATCGAAGCCTGATCCAAGTCCCTTTTCTTAATTTGATAATACCTTGTGAGAAAGGGAAAGCTTAGAACTGTGATCTTTTGACTCTTTGAGCAACTCCCTAGCTTCCAGCCAAGAGTTCTGAGTTGGGCTCCTTTTCACTGAAAGTCGGCCAGAAATTCCATTTTTTGAAATTTCTGTGCAGGCAATCCCTGCAAGCCCGAAGATCTGGAAGGACAGCTGTCGAAATCGGAACGACCGGAGCATGTGGACCTTGCAGTCTTGATACCGACGTGGAGCATGACAGGGCGGTGCAGGTAGAGTGGTAGTGGGCGTTAAACGAAGGATTTAAATCCTTAAATTAATATAGATGTGTGTGAAATAAATAAAAAAATCTAAATCTACCAAAATAAAAAGCTTTAAAACAGTATTTGCAGCTCTCTAGTATATTTTATGCTTACTCCCCCCTCTGTGAGCGAACAAAACCATTAGAAAAATCCCAGCCTCCATGAGCGAAAAAAAAATTTTGATTATAAGTGATAATTATTATAATGAAATCTCTAGCTAATTCTGTTTAATTTTAAGCAGTTTGCATTTTAAAAACATAAATTTTACAAACTTATTCTTACTTCTCAATTTTTTTCAAATTTGAATTTTTTAAAAAAAAATATAAACCCTTTGAGTGAGAACAAAAATTTTTTGTTCGCTCACGAAGGGGGGAGTCAGATTAAATTTAAAAAGAAAAAGTTCAATTGAAAGTTAATAAATTTACGACCTAAAGAGATAAGACCTTGACATAAAATTATTTATACATGCTTATTATTCTGCATTAGGTTTGATTTTAAATTAATTAATTTTTATTATCTCTTTTAAAAAAAAATTAATAAGAACTGAAAATATAGTTAAATTTATTCCACAAATGCAATTAATTGCATCATCATTACTGAGATTCGAATATTCAATCTGAATTCTCTAATATTCAAATTAGTTTAAAATTCCTTACTTCCCCTTCGTGAGTGAAAAATCCCTATTTTTTGAATAAAAGCCCACCATCCATGAGCAAACAAAAAAATTTTTGATATATAAGATAATTAGTATAATGAAATCTAATGCTAATTCTGTTTTAATTTTAAACAATTTGCATTCTAAAACTTAAATTTAATATTTGCTTTAAAATTATTTCGAATTAGGATTTAAATCTGATAAAAAAATTAGTCCCCCTCCATAATCGAACAAAAATGTTTGTTCAATTGCAAACGGGAAGTGCTACTTATATCTAATTAGCACTTGTTTTTTAATAACTAAAAATTTCGTTTCCCTAAATAATGAGTAATAATTTAAATGCAGCAAATCAGTGAAAAACTATATAATAGTTATCAAAGACCTTTCAAATTATTATGTTTCGCTATTATTGCTCTTTCTTCTTCCTTAGAAGTATTAATAGTGAATTCTGATTTCTCAAAGAGTGTCATTCCAAGCTTGGCCTCAGATATCAAATCAAGAATTTCAGATACCCTTTCAATTGAAATTTCTTATTGTGACTATTCTTCACTTGAAAAAGAAATATCAATCCACCCAAATCTACTTGCAATATTCGACATAACTGGCCGCCTAGGTTCTCAATTTAAGATTTCAAAGCTATGTGAAGACAATTTTCTAATACATTTTATAGTTTCTGACAGCTTACCATATCAGAATAAAAAAACATTTTCCCTGTCTAGCTCAAAAAATAGCTGAAATAAAGCTATAACTGCAACTTTAAGTTTTTTCAATTGAACTAGTGGTGTAGCAGTGGCCAACATTGAGAAATATTCATATTCTCATCTTCTCCTTACTCCCCCCCCCCCCCCTCCGTGAGCGAACAAAACCATTAGAAAAATCGCCATTTTTTGACCAAAAACCCACCCTCCGTGAGTGAACAAAAATTTTTTTAATAGAAAAAATTTTAATGGAAAAAAAATTTTGATATATAAGTGATAATTAGTATAATGAAATCTAGAGCTAATTCTGTTTAATTTTAAACAAATTGCGTTTTAAAACATAAATTTTGCAAATTAAATTAATATTTGCTTCCCAATTTTTGCAAATTAGGATTTTTTTAAATTTCGAAAAAAATATTTTTTATAAATTTATATATAAAATTTGTTTTAAAAAAAAAAATTAACCCCCCTCCGTGAGCGAACAAAAAAAATTTTGTTCGCTCACGGAGGGGGGGGGGAGTTAGCAATTATTACTCTGAGAAAATTAAGCTATTTTCTGTTAGCTCAGAAACTTTTATTGACTCCCCCCCCTTTAAATTGGAAAAAAATATAGGTAAAATTTCCACTTTTAACCCCCCTTTAAATTGGAACAAAATTTAATTTTATATTAATAGATTTTTACATATAAAATTATAATTTTTATGTAAAAGGTTTTAATAGAAGTTAAATGCTTCTTCTTAACTAAAATTAAAAATTTAGTATATCTTGCTCTTGTTTTAAAGAAGAAAATATAAAGAACATCTTATTTAAATAAATTTATTATCCCTAATTGCTAAGAAGTTAAATGTTTCTTCTTGACTAAAATTAAAATTTAGTATATTTTGCTCTTGTTTAAAGAAGAAAATATAAAGAACATCTTATTTAAATAAATTTATTATCCCTAATTGCTAAACTTTAAAAAAATTTAAATTTTTTTTTTAAAAATTTTTCAAAAAAATTTATATTTTTTTTCGATAAAAATGATATTTTTTATTTCAATAATGTTGATGTAAATTCAATGTGGATTCTTTACAAACAATGAAAATTTACTTATTTCTTGCTTTATTTTAAAGAATAGAGTATAAATAGCATCTTATTTAAACAAAAATTAGCATTTTGATCAATAAATTTTCGAAAAATATATTTTTAAATTTTTTTTATTAATAATATATAATAATTTTTGTGTAAATAGTTTTGATATCAAATTAATAGTGGCGTATTAACTAATAATGAAAATTTAGTTATATCTTACGTTTTTTAAAGGATAGAGAGTAATTATCGTTATTTGCAGATTTTTGAACTTTACCACCTAAGTGTGGAATTTTTTCCGCGTGTGAAAAGGTGATTTCACGTGTGGAGCCCTTTTGATTTCACATGTGGAATCCTCTTTTTCACGCGGAAAAATTCCACACTTAGGTGGTAAAGTTCAAAATCTGCAAATAACGATAACATTTTATTTCGATAAATTTTTGAAATTTTTTTTTATAAAAATTTTATATTGATTTTTTTTTTATAAAAAATTTTCTTAACCCCACTTTAAATTGGAACAAAATTTTTTGTTCCAATTAAAAGGGGGGGAGTGAGAACTTTATTAAAAGAGAACTTATGATTCTGGGATCGTCCATGTTTTACTTATTCACAGACCAAAAGCGTTCCCTTGATATTCAACAAGCATTGATATCTGCAAAATTATTGACCAACGGCACTGGAATTTTACTTATAGGCGAAAGTAGCTATGACTCAAAAGTTGAAGGAGCTCTAAGTATTATTGAAAAAGGCAAAGAAAATGTGGATTCCTATGCAAAATACTTATCTGTTGCTATATCAGAAACGATTTTGCTTTTAAAAAATGCTTCAAATATAGATGATGCTTTATTTTTTCTTTCAAAAAAGTGTCTAAACCATTACTGTATTAATGAATTTTCTCTTATAAATATTCAAGAAAGCCAGCGAAAGGTGGTTGGATCTATAAAAAATGGTGATCTTGTTTTGAATTCTTCTATAATGTTCCCAGGAGGCTCTTTTGATGTCCCAACATCTCAAAAAAAAATTATATACATCAGTGCAAATGATGGAACTACTAATCCTGGTGCAGCTCCTTCACAAGCAGCCATTTTTTATAAAAGAGGACTTACATTAGCATTAAAAGAAATAAATAATGGCATTGATATGCTTCAAAATTTTCAAATAAAACTTAATGATTTCGACTGTGGAGCAAATGTTTATAATCCAACTTTCTGCTATAACTGTTTTAATAAAGATAAAGATAGATTGGGATTAGCTCACATTGTGGGCTCTAGTTCTGCGATGGCTTATGGAGAAATTGCTACATTGGAAAAATTAAATATTACTCTTCCTTGTGTGGGAGCTATAAACTTTGATCCAGGTCTCTCTAACTCTACTAAATACCCGCTTTACTCAAGAGTTAGCTTGCCAAGCAGAGTTGCATTTACACATATACCATTAATGCTGAAAGTTATGGGCTGGAATAGCGTTGCATTCTTATATCAGAATGAAAGCACAGGTAACTGAGCGAATTTGTACTTTACTCAAGCATACATTAATATGGCGATGGAAAACCAACCCTTTTTTCTCAACACCTTTAGCCGAAGCCCGGACGAGCGGCGGGGACCTTGTGGAAGGAAATTTGTGCTCGGTGAAGTATATTCATAAGTTTTTACTTGGCGCAGTCGAGATGAACGTTGCAGTAGGCCGACCGCAACTCATTTTGGTACCAGGTTTTTATATCTAAGGGGAAATGAGATTCAAGATTGGAAAGGGAAAGCTCAGCAAAGCTAAGCACTCCACTTGGTCTATCGGGCAACTCCTAGCATGAAGCTGAGCGTTAAGTCCTAAGCTTTGGATTTCCATTTTAGCCGACAGTCCTACCAGAAATTTTGTTTTTCAAATTTTCGGAATGGGTACTCTGCTGGCGTACTGCAAGGTGGCACAACTCATCCAACTACGGGTAGCAAGTGCATATCCTTGTCCAGTAGGAGCAACACTTTGAAGGTCGTGATACGATTGGTGGTGAGGATCCGAGTGAAGTGTTAAGGGGTGAAGGTAGTCCTTAGGGAATTGCGGCGGCTTCTCAATAAGTAATGTTAATGCTAATTTACTTTACTCAAGCAGCTATAAAACAAAATTTAAAAATCGTGAACGAAATAAGAGTCATTCCTCAGCTATTGACTAGAGAGCAGATAAGGAACTATGCACATATTTTCCAAGATATCATTGATTCAAATGTTAGAATGATAGTTTTAGTCTTAAGTTCACCTTTAGTTGATTATGCTGCAGAACTTTTTTATGACTTAGGCATGAGAAGAGGTGACATTATGTTTTTTTCTGTTTTTCCTTCATGAATTTCTACAGTTGCAAATAAAGATGATTATACATATAAAAGGGTAGAAATCGCTATTCCTATGATAACAGCATTTCAAGCACTTTTTGTAGGAGAAAAAGGAAAGAAAGTTCGTGATGAACTATACGAAACATATGGAAATACTGAGCCTAATTCTTATTCTTGCTTATATTATGATGCTGGGTACTTGATTGGCAAAGCTTTAGACTGAAGTATAAATCAAGGAAATGATTATACCGATCCTTATATCCTTCAAAACTCAATAAGGGATGTAAGATTCACTGGATGTAGTGGAAATGTATATATGCAGAAAGGAAGCAATGATGTGCTATTATCAAGTTTTAAAATACAATCAAATTCTTATAACATTACCTCAGGAATTTTAAAAATTTTTTCTATTGGATTCCTCTCACCTACAAGTTTAAATGTTCTGACAATTGTAAATCCGATTGTGTATGCAGATGGAACTAATGATAAACCTACAGACTTTAGAGTAACTAGGACTAACTGTCCATTTGACGATAAATTAAAAAGATTATTTAATAAAGGCAGAGCTTTAGTATTTGGGATTTGCTTCTTTATTGCAGTTTTAACAGCAATCTCAACCTTTTTAATATGGAAGAAGTGATGGGATATTGAAGTGAAAGAGCTTACAAAAAGAGAAGAAATCTCAGTTGTGGATGCTATAGTTGGGATTTCAATTATGGTCGAATTTTTTCAATTAATTTTTATGGGCCCGGATATTCGAACTCTCAGTCCTTTTCTTGCTGACATTTGCAATATGTTAACCTTGGATCTAAAAAGCTTTGCCAAACTTGAGAATGGGGTATTTTGGTGGTTTGCTACTGGAATAATAGTTCTATGTTGGCTTTGGACTATTTTCTGTTTTGAAATCTTTTTCCATTGAGACGAGAAGTTTAGACACATCTGATTCTTTAGAGCCTTACTCCCCCCTTCGTGAGTGAACAAAAAAATCTTGTTCACTCACGGAGGGGGTTATTTTTTTTTAAAAACATTTATATATAAATTTTTTACAAATTTTTATTTTTCGAATTTAAAAAAATCTCACTTCTATAAAATTGGAAAGCAAATATTAATTTAATTTGCAAAATTTGTATTTTAAAACGCAACTTGTTTAAAATTAAACAGAATTGGCTCAAGATTTCATTATAATAATTATCGCTTATATATCAAAAATTTTTTTTCCATAAAAAAATTTTCCTATTAAAAATAGGGATTTTTTAATGGTTTTGCTCAATCAAAGAGGGGGGAGTTAGGGGTTTTAGCTGATCATTCTATGCCAGTATTAGGAAATTTATGTTTTATCCCATTTATATCTTAACTTAACTTAATTATTCGGTATTTAAGGTGTCTAGTGCCGCAGTCCCAAAATGGAACTTTTAGCTAACTAGTGACGCCACGGAGCCATCTTGGATTCGCGGTGGTCAGCCCAACCGGCCAAGCCTTCTATCGACGTTTCGTCCCTAGCCTCCGCACATCTCACCCGGCGCGTTGCCGTCACTCTGCCTTGACTCAGCTCCTGCGCGTGCTTCGCCTAAAAGTCTTCTTCCCGTGGAGAAGTGCTGAGGGGTAAAATTCCGAAATCTTGAACGCACTGAGGAGCTGTTCCTTTGGTTATCCCCAAAGTTAAACAGCTATTGCTGTGCAGAAGTTCTCGAGAGAAAACCCAACCCCATAAATAAAATTCCATGAGGGAGAGAAAATTAGCAGAGCTAATTTCTCTCGAACCGAATGCCATTTTATTTATTATCCCATTTATATCAAATTTTATTAGAAGTTTTTATATGTGACCACTCCATTGGAAATAATTTTACAGACAGCTACCTCTCTATTGATTGTTATCAGTTTTGCTGAAAAGGAAATCATATGATTTATGCTATCTTATCAGCAATTTCATTAATTTGCTACGAGCCTTTCGCAATTTTTTGCAGACCTCTTTGGCAAGAGTTTCAATCAGCATTGCACGTAAAATCATATCCTCTGTATTTGATGGTAAAAACAGTTGTCCAGGTTGTTTTAATTGTTTTAAATAAAACTCTTAAGAGGTCAAGTGGCGTTACTCATGGATTTGTGTTTACTTTTTTTATTGGCCTCTACGCGGTATTTTTTTTGAAATTCAGGGCCTATAATTACGGAAGGTACAACTTATGGCTCCAATTGAGCCTTATTGGAATTGCTTGGATATCTTGTTTGGCAACGATAAATATGCTAATAAAGCGCCATAGTTTTCCATGGATTTCATTGATTTTAGGTGGATGGTGTATTCTAATTTTCATAAGGATCCCCCTCATTTGTCCAATTTTCTAGTCTTTTATCATTTGTCCATTTTTCTAGTTTTTTTTTATAGGAAAAAAAAATTTTTAGGATCTCATTTGTCAAATTTTCTAGTCAAAATTTTGATAGAAAAAAAAACATTTTAAGGGCCTCGATTTTCTCATTTTCTAGTTTTTTTGCAGTAAAAAGCTAAAATTTAGGACATTCGAAAATCCAAAAATTACTAGAAAATGGGACAAATGAGTCCTGAAAATTATTTTTTTAGAAAAAAAACTAGAAAATTGGACAAATGAGGGGGGGGAATCCTTAGGATTTATAATTCAAAAGAAGAAGTACCCAAATTTATTATATAGAAAGAAAGGGAAAGATACCTCAACTTTATTTAAGTTTGCCTTTACCTTTTGAAAGCAGTCACGAATGCATCGTTCAAAAATTGAACTTCAAAAGCCATAATGTTTGTAAAGTGCTCGTGCCTTAGCTGGCGAGTCTGAAAAATCACTTAAAGATGACATGCCAAATCCCAGTAGACAAAAGCTGATTTTTCTTCAGTATTTGTCAACTTGGAGTTGGCTTGCTACTTTCGGTGGCTTGCAAGATTTGCCAATTGCAACAAAAGAGCTAGTGCGAGAACACTCTATAGAGTGCAAGTGTTATATTATGTATATCATAAATAACTCATAATTATTTGATTTCCATATATTAAGACACCTCGACTTTATTTAAATTTGCAGCTAGTTGCGTTCGGCAAGCAATTTCAGACTCTCCATTTAAAATCGAGCCTAAAAGCTAGATTTTTAAAATAGTAAGCTTATTTAGAACTTACTAGCAATAATTATAATAAATAGTGTTTAAAAGATCAGCGTCAAGAGATGCTAGGATTTCAGTGCCCTGCTTTTAATATTATAAATATTATGAGCCAAAAAATATCGCAATCTAAGATCTTATTATGTTTAAATACTTCTTAAATAATTAATACATATATAAATTTGAATTTATTCGCCAAGTACATAAAGTAAACAGTTGCTAGAAAATATCATTAGTTTGAAAAGCATATTAACTAATTTAATATCGAAATCCATATTATAATCAGTTTATATTTTATTAAGAAATTCAAATTAAAGAAAATAGCTTTAATTGCTCCTTGATAATTTAATCAAAGAAAGTGCTTTATTAAAATACTGCTAATTTTTTTAGACTTTATAATTAAAAAGTTTTACTTAAATAGTTTTCAATGAGGTTTTGGATAAATTATTTACTGGCATGGGAGTCATTTTATTTGAGCTCAAAGGATTTTTAAAATTACTTTTTTTGACTTTTATAACAGTTTCAACCTCCTCAGAAGTTTTAATTGTTTATTCTCATGCATCAAAGAGCGCCGCTGCAAGCTTATTCGCCGATGTGATAACAAGTGTTTCCAATATCTCCTTAATTGAAATATTTTCTTGTGATTTTAACTTTCTTGATGAAGAGATTTCAAAACATCCCAACCTAATTGCTATTTTTGACATCACAGATAACTTAACTTCTCAATTTAAGATATCAAAGCTTTGCAAAGACAAGCTTCTTATACATTTTCTAGTTTCTGAGAGCATGCCTTACAAAAATAACTGAACTTTTATGCTTTCTGCCCCAAAAACAAATCTATGTGAGGCTTTTATTACAACATTAAAATACTTTAATTGAACTACTGGTGTCGCATTTAGCAGTGTTAAAAATTATCCAATTTATCAAGCCAATCTTCATAATTATTCTGAAAAAATAGACTTATTTTCTGCGAGCTCAGGAGCCTTTGTTACAAATTTTATTCAAAAAGAAGTCTTGAGGCTAGGCTCATCACTATTTTATTTGTTTGCAGACAATAATAGCTCTATTGAAATACAAAAAAATTTAAAATCTTCGAAAATGCTTACTAATGGAACTGGAATTCTACTAATCAGCGAAAGTAGTTATGGATCAACCATAGAAGGAGCATTAGCTATTGTCGAAAAAGGCAAAGAAACTGCAGAATCTTATGAGAAATACCTATATCTTACTATTTTAGACATGATTTCTCTTTTAAGCAATGCTTCAAGTTATGATGACTCTTTAATTATGTTATTGGAAAAGTGCCCAAATCACTATTGTGTTAATGGATTCTCCCTTGTAAATATACATGAAAACCAAAGAAAATTTGTTGGATCTATAACCAATGGGATATTAATGTTGAATTCCTCAATCGTTTTCCCAGGGAATTCTGTTGAAATTCCAATATCTCAAAAAAAATATTTATATGTCAGTGCCAATGATGGGACAACCAACCCTGATGCTGCCCCTTCTGAATTCGTGATACTTTATAATAGAGGGTTTGCATCAGCTTTAAAAGATATGAACACTGGTAATGATATTTTACAAAATTTTCAGCTGAAATTGAATGATTTTGATTGTGGAGCAGCTGTATATAACGCTGCTTTTAATTATAATTGCATTAATAAAGATAAAGATAAACTAGGTTTGGCGCGCATTATGGCTTCGAGCTCTCTATTAGCTTATGGAGAAATTGCCACGCTAGCAAAATTAAATATCACTCTACCTTGCATTGGGGCTTTAAATGTCGATTCAGGCCTTTCAAACTCTACCAAATATCCATTTTATTCAAGAGTGAGTGTACCGAGCACTGTCTTATTTTCACAAGTTCCATTAATATTAAAAGTCATGGGCTGAAGAAATATCGCGATTTTATATCAGAATGATAGCTTAGGCACCACAGCAAATTATTATATCAATCAAGCGAATGAAAAACAAAATTTAAATATCATCAATAAATTAAAAATAATCCCTCCACTTTTGACCAGAGGCCAATTATCGTTATTTGCAGATTTTTGAACTTTGCCACCTAGATTTGGAATCTTTTCCGCGTGTGAAAAGATGATTCCAAATGTGAAATCAAAAGGGTTCCGCAGGTGAAATTACCTTTTCACACGCGGAAAAGATTCCACATCTAGGTGGTAAAGTTCAAAAATCTGTAAATAACGATAAAAAATTATTCGCATGTATTTCAAGATATTATTGATACAAATGCAAGAATGATTGTTTTAATATTAAATCCTCCTTTAATTGATTATGCTGCAGAGCTATTTTATGATTTGGGAATGAGAAAGGGGGATATGATTTTTTATTCTCCTAATGTAGGGTGGCTGTCTTCTGTGGCGAATAAAGATGATTATACATATAAAAGAATAGAAGTTGCTATTCCGTTATTAGCTGTATATCAATCATTTTTTGTAGGTGAAAAAGGAAAAAGTGTTCATGATGATTTATATAAATCATATGGTAATTTAGAGCCTAGCTCATTCTCTTGTTTGTTTTATGATTCATTATATTTAGTTGGGGCAGCTTTGGATTGGACTATAAATCAAGGAAAAGATTACACCGACCCTACAAGCCTTCAATCAGCCATAAGAAGTGTAAAATTCGCTGGATGCAGCGGAACTATTTATATGCAAAAAAATAGTAATGATGTACAATTAACTAGTTTTACAATCCAATCTAACTTTTATAATTCTACAACATCTGCATTAAAAATATATGACGTTGGGCTTTTAGCACCTACAAGCTTAAAAGTTTTGACCATTGAAACTCCTTTCATATATGCAGATGGAACTAGTAATAAGCCTACAGATTTTAGGATAACAAGGACTAATTGTCCATTTGATGATAAACTAAAGCAAACATTTGCTAAAGGCCGAGCTTTGGTTTTTGGAATTTGCTTTTTTATTGCTGTTGTGACAACGATTGTGACTTTTGTTGTTTGGAAAAAGTGATGGAACTTGAAGGTAGAGGAGCTTACAAAAAGTGAAGAGCTTTCAATAGCAGATATGATTGTTGGGATTACAATTGTGGTAGAGTTTTTCCAATTACTTTCACAGGGTCCTGATATCAGACCGTTAAATTCAATGTTGGATGATATTGGAGATGCAGTATCCTTACTCCCCCCCCTCTGTGAATGAACAAAAAAATTTTGTTCACTCACGGAGGGGGGTTAATTTTTTTTTTAAAAAATTTATATATAAATTTTATAGAAAATATTTTTTTCGAAATTTAAAAAAATCCTAATTTGCAAAAATTGGGAATCAAATATTAATTTAATTTATAAAATTTATGTTTTAAAACGCAATTTGTTTAAAATGAAACAGAATTAGCTCTAGATTTCATTATACTAATTATCACTTATATATCAAATTTTTTTTCCATAAAAAATTTTTCTATTAAAAAAAATTTTGTTCACTCACGGAGGGTGGGTTTTTGGTCAAAAAATAGCAATTTTTCTAATGGTTTTGTTCACTTACGGAGGTGGGTGGGAGTTAGATGTTAAGGGGCTTTTAAAGTTTGAAAATAATATTTTTTGGTGGTTTTATACAGCAATCATTATTTTATGTGGGCTTTGGTGTATTTTTTGTATAGAAATTTTCTGACACCTAATCTTCACTTAAGAGTGATCGAAATCATTGGGAAATAAGAACTTTTGTGAAAATCAATACTTTCTAAGAGGGATAAAAATATTTTTATTTAAATAAATTTTTTGTCTAAAAATATTTTTATATATAATTACTAATTATATAATGAGATTCCTAGCTAATTCTATTAAATAGAAAACTTATATCTTAAATATTATTTACTCTCCCCTTTTTAATTGGACCAAAAACTGTTCCAATTTAAGGGGGAATTAATATTAAAAATTTTTAAAAACAATCAAAAATATATAAAATGAACATAATATATTTGAAATTTAATTCATTTTATGAAAATTAATTAAAAAAATAATCCATTCAGTATAAAAACTGTTTAAAACACAATTCTATTTACTTTTTTCCATTAAATTAGATCATAAAATTAGTATTTTTACTTAAAATATTTTCCTATTGAAAAAAATAATTTTTTACTCCCAAAAAATGAAAATTTACTGATATTTTGTTCCAATTTAAAAGGGGAGATTTATTAAATTAAATTATTCTTTTCAAATATATGCAAAATGAATTAACTCTCCAAGCTTGGTGCTTATAAAGCTGTGAGTTAGATGAAACGTTCAATAATATTTGATTTTTTAGAGCTCTAGGAATTTTAGCTGATTATTCCATGCCAATTTTGGGAAATTTATGCTTCATCCCATTTATATCAATCCTTCTGGAAGTTTTTGTGTGTGATAATTCTATTGGAAATGATTTTAAAGACAGCTACCTTTCTATTGATTGCTATCAATTCTGTTGACAAGGAAGCCATATTCCTTATGCTATTTTATCAACTGTTTCATTAATATGCTATCATCCTTTTGCAGTATATTGCAGGCCTCTTTGGCAAGAATTTCAGCATGAATTGCATGTAAAATCATTCCCTCTGTATTTAATGGTAAAAACAGTCGTCCAAGTGGTCTTAATAGTTATGAATAAAACAATTAAAAGATCGAATGATATAGCGCATGGATTTTTATTTACTTTTTTAGTTATTTTTTATATACTCATTTTATTGAAATTTAAAGCTTATAACTATGAGAGGTTTAACTGATGGCACAATTTGACCCTTGCTGGTGTTACTTGGGTATCTTTTCTATCAACAATGAATTTCCTTATTAATGGAAAGAGCTTTCCATGAATTTCCCTTATTTTAGGGGGATGAGGAGTTTTAGCATTAATAGGATTGCTTGTCCAGAAGAAAAAATATCCAAGTTTATTATTTCGAAAGAAAGGAAAAGATACCTCAAACTTATTTAAATTTGCATTTTCGTTTGGAAAGAAGTCGAAAGATCACCATTCAAAAATAATACCTCAAAAACTTGATTTGCTTAGTTCTAAATAAATAAATATTAGTCTTTTATATAATGAATTTTAAAATTAGCAATAAGCTGCTACACTACTGGATTTATTTTTTAGCAGGTTATACAGTTTATCTAAAATTGTGAAAATATTGTGCCTTAAGTTTATTGCACTTCTAATTCATTCATAATTTTTTAATAATATATTTAGATTTTTTAAAGTAGAAAAAAGCTTAAATAGAAAATTTTATTATAGATAGCATTAATTTCTTTTAAATCAGATTTTTACCTAACTGATATAGAAAAATTTTTAAATCCAATTATAAATTTATATTTACTAAAAAAAAAACTTTATATTTTGAGACTTTTAGGCAACTTTCAGGGTTTTAATTGAGCTTCTGACGTCCATCATAAAGTACTTTTAAATATGTAAATACCTGATCTTTTTTAAAATAAAATTAAATATAACTCAAATCAATTGATTAGAAAGCTGCAAAACAATTTTAAGTTTTTTAAATTTAAGAAAACAAATAATGAAACGAAATGGTTTTTGTCAAGTAGTTTTGCAGTGTCTTTTTTGTTTTAATTGAGCTTTCTTGATCTTTAGAAGTGCTGATTGTGCATTCTAGCTCCTCAAATATATCTATTTCAAGTTTAATTAATGATATCAATGCAAAAATCACTGGGGATCATTCAATTGAAATTATTACTTGTGACTATTCCTTAATCAATCAAGAAATTTTTAGCCACCCGAATTTGCATGCAATTTTTGATATAACAAATCAGTTAAGGGCTCAATTCAAGATCTCGGAGCTGTGCGAGGAGCATCTTCTTATAAATTTTCAGGTTTCTGACCACTTACTTTATAATCAAAAATGAACTTTTTCCCTTTCCAGTTCTCAGGAAAATTTAGATGACGCTTTTATTGCAACTTTAAGTTATTTAACTGAACTGCTGGTTTAGCGGTAAGCAGTATTGAAAATTATTCAAGTTGAAAAAATTGCTTAATAAATTACTCAGAAAAAATATCATTATTTTCTGTTACATCAGATACTTTAATTGAAGATTTAGTTCAAAGAGAATTTTTGAAACTCGGCTCTTCATTATTTTATATATTCTCTGACAAAAATACTTCTATTAAAATCTAGCAAGCACTAGCCTCATCAAAGATGCTTACAAATGGAACAGGAATTTTGCTGATTGGCGAAAGCAGTTATAAATCAAGCACCAATGGAGTTCTTGCTATTGTAGAAAAGGGAAAAGAAATGGCTGACTCGTATGAAAAATATTTATCTGTATCTATTTCAGAAATGATAGGCTTTCTAAGCAATAATTCAAGCTCAATTGATTCTTTAGTTTGGCTTTTAAAACAATGCCCAAAAAATTATTGTAGTAACGAGTTTTCTTTGATTAATATTCAACAAAGGCAAAGGATGTTAGTTGGGTCGATAAAAAATCAACATTTGACTTTGAGCTCTGCATTAATTTTTCCAGGAAATTCTACTAATATTCCAGTCTCTCACCCCATTCGAGAATGATAAATTGAAGTTATATTTTTTTTTCATAATTATAAATACTGTTTAAGATAGTGCAATTTGCATTAGTTTGAAAAGAAACCTTCAAATTAATTATTTAATTCATAATTAAATAAGGGTCTTTTCCAGTTGATATAAAAATAGGTAAAAATTTAACTTTCGTGAGGCTAATCTTTTATAGTCAAAAATTATTGATTTTATTTCTTTCTAGAAGTTAAAGAAAAATTATTGAAATTAGTGCAAACGATGGAACCACAAATCCCGGCTCTGACCCTTCACCAGGTATGCTAATTTATAAGAGAGGATTGACATTAGCAATGAACGATATAAACGGCGGTACTGATATTTTGCAAAATTTTCAATTAAAGCTCAATGATTTTGACTGCGGCGTACTTGCATATAATGCAACTTTTAACTATAATTGCCTTAAAAAAGGTAAAGACACGCTAGGATTAGCTCATATATTTTCTCCTGGCTCTGAGTTGCTTATGGAGAAATTTCTAATCTGGCAAAATTAAACAAACAATTCCTTGTATTGGGTACCTCAACCTTGATCCAGGACTTTCAAACTCAACAAAATACCCCTTATACACAAGAGTGAGCTTGCCCAGTAATCTTCTGTATTATCAAGATCCACTACTACTCAAAGTTATGGGTTGGGGTAATTTTGCAATCATATATGAAAATAACAGCTTAGGATATTGAGGAAATTATTATCTTACTACTCCCCTCCGTGAGCAAACAAAAAATCCCATTCGCTCACCCGTTAATTTTTTTGTTTTTAAAAAATATATATATAAATTTTATAGAAAATTTTTTTTTTAAACATCCTTATTCGCAAAAATAAAAATTTTTCTACTAACTTTCACTCACGGAGGGGGTTTAATTATTTTTTAAAAAATTTATTATAGAAATTTTGTTTTTCTTCAAAATTTAAAAAAATCCTAATTCGCAAAAATTGGAAAGCAAATATTAATTATTTATAAAATTTATGTTTTTAAAAAGCAATTTGTTTAAAATTAAACAGAATTAGCTCTAGATTTCGTCACTCACGGAGGGAGGGGGAGTAAAAATTTTTGTTCACCCACGAGTGTGGGTTTTTTTGGTCAAAAAATAGGGATTTTTCTAAAGGTTTTGTTGGCTCACGGAGGGAGGGGAGTTAGTGAAGCTGCTGCAACACAGAAATTATATATTGTTAATAAATTAAGAATAATACCACAGCTACTTACGAGAAATCAGATAAAAAATTATTCAAATGTTTTCCAAGAAATTATTGATACCAATGTAAGACTCGTAGCTTTATTGCTGAGCTCTCCATTATTATATTATGCTATTGAATTGTTTTATGATTTAGGGATGAGAAAAGGTGATGTCATTTTATCTCTTCAAATGCTGCTTGGGTTTCTGAAGTTGCCAATAAAGATGACTATACATATAAAAGAGTAGAAATTGCAGTTCCTTTGCTAGCTGTGATTCAATCAGTATTTATAGGAGATAAAGGAAAGGAAGTTTATAATAAGCTATATGAAACATATGGAAACGTTAACCCAGTTTCATATTCTTGCTTTTATTATGACGCTGCGTATTTAATTGCCACTTCATTAGACTGAGTAATTAATGAAGGAAAAGACTATACAAATTCTAGTATTCTCCAGGCAGCTATTAGAGATGTAATATTTACAGGATGCAGCGGAAAAATACATATCCAAAAAGATAGTAATGATGTACAACTGACAAGCTTCACAATTCAGTCGAATTCTTATAACTCTACAACCGGAGTTTTGCATGTTTTTGATGTGGGATATTTTACACCAACAAGCTCACAATTATTAACAATTAAAACTCCTTTTATGTATCCTGATGGGAAAATTAATAAACCGACAGATTTCAGGATTACAAGAACCAATTGCCCATTTGACAATAAGCTTAAGCAGACATTTCCTAAAGGTCGTGCTCTTTCTTTTGGGATTTGTTTTTTTATTGCTGCTGCCACAGGCATTATAACATTTTTTATTTGGAAAAAATGATGAAAAATTGAAGTAGAAGAACTTAAAATAAAAGAAGAAATTTCAATATCTGACACAATTGTTGGACTTACAATTTTGATAGAGTTCTTTCAATTGATTTCACAGGGTCCTGATATTCGGCCATTAAACTCACTTCTTGCTGATGCTGGAGATGCAGTATCCTTAGATCTGCAGACTTTTGTAAAGCTTGAAAATGGGACTTTTTGGTGGTTTGCTACAGCAATTATTATTTTGTGCTGACTGTGGGCTTTGTTTTGCATTGAAATCTTCTTTCAGTTAGATGAAAAATTTAATCATATTTGGTTTTTTAGAAACTTGGGAAATTTAGCTGATTTTTCTATGCCAATTTTAGGGAATTTGTGTTTTATTCCCTTTATATTCATTCTATTAGAAATTTTTATATGTGATAATTCAATTGGAAATGACTGATTAGATAGTTACCTAACTATTGATTGCTATCAATTCTGTTGACAAGGAGATCATATAGAAAAAGCCCGAGGATCGGCTCCACACGGGAATGATTTTCCACGTGTGGAGCCGTTTTTCCACACGTGAGAATCCTGACTTCCACGTGTGAAAAAATCGTTCCGCACGTGGGAAATCGTTCCCGTGTGGAGCCGATTTTCCGTATTGCCAGAGAATGGCGCAAGTAGCGCCATTCTCTGGCAATTATTATATCATCTACGCGACTTTATCTGCACTCTCATTGATTTGCTATGAACCTTTCGCAGTGTTCTGCAGGCCTCTTTGGCAAGAGTTTCAGCATGAATTGCATGTAAAGTCATTTCCTCTCTATTTAATGATAAAAGCAGTGGTCCAAGTAGTTATAATAGTCTTAAATAAAACATTGAAAAGGTCAAGCAATATTGCTCATGGATTTTTGTTTACATTTTTGATGATGCTTTATATAGGATGCTTTTATAAGTTCAAAGCTTACAAGTATGGGAGATTCAACCTATGACACCAGCTAAGTCTTGTTGGAGTTGCTTGAGTTTCGTTGCTATCTACCATAAATTTCTTAATTTTAGGCTCCTCATTTCCTTGAATATCATTTATTATAGGTGGCTGGACAATAACAATCTTGATTGGATTTCTTATCCAAAGGAAAAAATACCCAAGTTTATTATATCGAAAAAAAGGGAGGGAAACATCAACTCTATTCAAATTTGCTTTTTCATTTAGCGCCAAATCTCTTGCCAGCCGCTCAAAAATTGGATTTCGTAAAAAAATAAATACTGTTAGATTTTCTTTCTTTAAATCTTATATATTATTGTAAATCCCTGATGATGGCATTCAATAATTCATCATCGGGCAATCTGTAATATCATTTTTAAAAAATAAAAATAAACTGTTATTTAGATCTATTTATTTAACTCATATTCTAAAAGTAAATTTTGTAGTCTAAATCTTAGCGGCATTGAACGATAACACTTTAATTATTTATGCTAGAGCGATCCTATTAATGATTTTAAAGACACTCAAAAGAAGATGCTGCAGTTTCTCTTCATGATTTTCTACCATTTGACTGATGGATTGCTCAGCCAACCAAGAACTAATTATACTTATCTTCTCTCAAGGGCTTTTATATGGCACAGAATAATTAATAATCGGCTTTTAAGAAAATTATAAACTCCTTGCTTCTTTACTATTTTAAAATTTTCGAAAAAAGACTACAAAATGAAAATATTTGATATGCATGCTAATGCTGCTATTTTTAGTTAAAATAGTGCTCTCAAGCTCCTCTTAGTTTTTAATTAGACTAGATTAAAAGTTAGAATGGGTTTCGGAGTTTCATTCAGCCCCTCTCCACCTTCGCTGACTTCAGGATTCCAAAAACGGTGGCGTCGGCACACACTTAGGCACTTCCTTGGCTAAACTCCTAGAGTCGGCACCATCTACCTGGAGATGGGACTAGGATGCGAACCCAAATCCTCCCTCAGATCTCCACTACACTTCGCATTTAGAGATCGGATAAGTCGCCATTTTATTTGTGCTAGTTGTGAACTCTTAGTTAAGACTGTTGAAAAGCTTCCTGTGATACCTCTCACTCCCCCTCCGTGAGCGAACGAAAAAATATTGATCGCTCATGGAGGGGTTAATTTTTTTTCGAAATTTTTAAAAATATCCTAATAAGCAAAAATTGGAAAGCAAATAATAATTTAATTTATAAAATTTATGTTTTAAAGCTCAATTTGCTTAAAATTAAACAGAATTAGATGTAGATTTCATTATACTAATTATCATTTATATATCAATTTTTTTAATATTATGTATTGCAATAATTTCTTATCATGCATATGCATGCCAATTTGAATTTGGTATGTGAAAACCAAATATGCGTTTCAAAACGCAGATTTTAGTGCGGCAAAATTCATAATTTGAAATTTCATATAAAAATTGCGCGTATAACGTCTATAAGAAAATTTATGCAACGCATAATAAAAAAATTTTTGTTCAGTCACAGAGGGTCAAAAAATAGGGATTTTTCTAAAGTTTTTTTCGCTCATGGAGGGGGGAGATAGGGTATTTTCTACATACCTGCTTTGTTATAAACTTAATAAGATAAGATAAGATTTCGCATGGTCCTAATGCTTGGCCTCTAAACCTTCTTCTTTTATGATGCTGGAGATTCAGAATCTTAAGACTTGGATACATTTTAAAGCTTGAAAATAGTGATTTGCTACAATTATTATTATTTTATGCTAGCTATGGGTAGTTTTTTGAATTGAATTATTTTTTCATTTAGCTGAAAAAGTCAGTCATATTGATTCTTCAATGTAATAAGAATTTAAATAATATCTTCTATACCAATTTTAGGAATTTATGCTTTACTAAGTAATATCAATCCTATAAGATGTTTTTATATAAGATTATTTAATTAGAAATGGCTAATCAGATAGCTATCTCGCCATCAATTGCTATCAGTTCTGTTGCACTCTAAAAAGATCGAGCCATGCTGCTCATGGATTCGTATTATTCTTGTTATGATGCTTGATATAGGATTATTTTATAAATTTAAATTCCATAAATATGGAAGATTTAACTGATGAAACCAATTAAGCCTTGTGAGAGTCGTTTGAGTTTCTTTTCTGTCAACAATAAATTCCTAACTGAAGGCTCAAATATTCCAAAATTTTACTTATTTTCGGTAGCCGGGTATCTCTAGTTTGATCGGATTAGTAATCCAAAATAAGAGATATCCAAGCTTCCCTCCAGGAAGAAAAATCAAAACTATTCAAATTTGCGTTTCAATTTGGAAAGAAGTCTCAACCCCGCTACTCGAAAATATAACCCCAAAAACTAGATCTCTTCAAAAAAACTTAAATTCCTTCTCTTTCTTAATTATTAATTATTAATTTATTTTTAAGCTATATCTCTATAATCATCATAAAAAATTTAAAAACTTAGCTGATAATCGAGATCTATTTGAGCAGCAATTCTGCTTGAAATAAATGTAATTTATTTATATTTCAAATTTTATCATAAAAAATAGTAAATTGTTTTAATTTCAAATCTACTAAGTCTGTGGAATCTCATTATTATATTTATTGGAAAATGTCCAGATAAAATAATATTAAGTAGCGCAAAAAAGATTTAAAATTTGCATAGGGCAGAAATATTTCTCGGCTAAATTTATAATCTTTCCTATATTTTATTCCTCAGCTATCAAATTGTTTTTTATTTTAACCTTACCCCTTGATTAACAATAAAAATCATCAGAATTGTATAGCACCTAACTCCTTATTGATTTTTGGAGAAATATACCCTTGAAGAAAATTCCTTTTGGCATTTTAAATATTCTGAAAAGTCCAATTTTAAACTGATGGATATAAGAGGAAATTTTTAAATTTAATTTTACTTTTTAGATTCTCTTAGAATTTTTATATTAACTTTTATTTTAAAAGTTATTGTCTTTAGAGATCTATAAAGGGGAACGCGCTATGTATATTGTGCCTTGTTTATCGAAAAAAAATTAAATAAAAATTTTTCTAAATAATAATTAATATTTTGTAAAAATGAATTACCCAACAAATTAAATTAAGTCTCAAACAATTTACACCTTTTAAAATAAATTAAATTTATTTTTATTTCAAATATTACAATTTGAATTGCTATAATCCATACAATTTTTTTTATATATAATAATAAAAAATTAATCCGCTTTTATTATAGAAAAATTTAATTGGAGAGTTAATATTTTAGATGAAGAATATTAGCAAAAGCACATTCAGTAGCTACCATGGACTATTCAAACTTTTATATTTGGCATTGGTTGCGCTTTCAGCTAGTTCAGAAGTGTTAATAGTGTATTCAAATTCCTCAAAGAGTATAGTGTCAAGCATAATCGAGGAAATGGAAGCAAACATTTCTTCACTTGAAATTTTTTCTTGTGATTTTTCCTTGCTCAAAGAAGAGATTGCACTTCACACAAATTTATTAGCAATTTTTGATATAACAAGTAACCTGGATTCCCAATTTTCGATTTCCAAATTATGCCAAGACAATTCTCTTATACATTTTTTGGTTTCTGACGACCTGCTTTATCATAATAAATGGACTTTTTCACTTTCTAGTTCAAAAAATAGCCTAAATCAAGCTTTTACTACAGCTTTAAATTACTTTAATTGAAACGCAGGTACTGCTTTTAGTAACATTGAAAACTATCCTACCTCTAAAACTATATTAAGTAGCTACTCGGAAAATATCATACTGTTTCCTGTGGGTTCAGATACCTCAATTAAAGATTTGATTTCAAGAGAAATTATGAAATTCGGCTCATCGCTATTTTATTTGTTTACAGAAAAAAACAAGTCTATTGAAATCCAGGAAACACTATCCTCTTCAAAAATGCTAATAAATGGCACAGGAATTCTACTGATCGGTGAAAGCAGTTATGAGTCAAGCATTAATGGAGCATTAGCTATTGTTGAAAAAGGTAGAGAAGCAGTGAGCTCAAATGAAAGCTATTTATCTGTTGCGATCTTAGAATTAATTAATCTTCTAAAGAACTCTTCAAACATCAATAATTGCTTACTTTTGTTATCCAAGACATGCCCAGACCATTACTGCGCTCATGATTTTTCGCTTACTCTCAATCCTTGATCGAACGCCCCCGTCGTTCGATCAAAGATGGGGATTTAAAAAATTTTGGAAACAAATTATATATATTGTTTTTATTGTTTATGCGTACTTTTTAAATAAGAGGGTTAAGATAGTAAATATTAAATTATTAAAAATGAAAAATTGTGTTATTTAAAAATTTTAGTTACCCCTTCCGCTCTATCATATATTTCTGCTTCATATGAATTATTTTTTTTATTTATAATAATTCTAAACTTTTTATATTATTAAGCTTTTGAGGCCAGGCTGATGGCTAAAGCACTTGTTATGATTAATTCTGTGCAGATTATTACGAAAAGCACGTAAATTACTCTTAATTTGCTAATGCAAACTATTAATTTTCATAAATTATAAGAAATATTAACTAATCAATTGATTTATTGTAAATAAAAATTTGTATATATGAAAATCGTTCGATCAAAAATGGGGTTAATTTCCCAAATTTTAGGAATTCTTCAATGGAATCGCTCGATCAAGGATGAGGGGGAGTTATTAATATTCAAAATAATCAAAGAAAGCTTGTAGGAACTATAAAAAAAGAAAATCTAGTATTGAACTCTGTCATAGAATTCCCTGGAGACTCATTTGATGTCCCTACTTCTCAAAAGAAAGTGCTATATATTAGCGCAAATGACGGGACAACAAATCCTGGGATGGCTCCAACCCAAGCGGTTGAGCTTTATAAAAGAGGACTCACATTAGCAATGAAAGATATGAATGATGGGATTAATACCTTGCAAAATTTCCAGCTTAAACTCAACGATTTTGACTGTGGTGCAAGCGCTTATAATGCAGATTTCAATTATAACTGCATATACAAAGACAAAAACAAACTAGGATTGGCTCGAATTATGTCTTTAGCTTCTGTAATTGCTTATGGAGAAATGGCTACATTAGCGAAATTAAATAATACAATCCCTTGTGTTGGGTATCTAAATATTGATCCAGGTCTTTCGAACTCAACAAAATACCCTTTTTATACCAGAATCATTTTTCCGAGTGATGCCTTGTACTCACAAGGTCCATTACTCTTCAAAGTTATGGGATGGGCCAATCTCGCAGTTTTATACGAAAATAGCAGCTTAGGAATCTGAGGAAATTATTATTTCAGCTTAGCAGCTGAAAAACAGAACTTAAAAATTGTAAACAATTTAAGAGTAATTCCGCCAAACCTTACAAGGGATCAAATAAGAAGTTACACTAATGTAGTAAAAGAAATTGTTGATTCAAATGTTAGGATGGTTGTTTTGATTTTAAGTCCTCCTTTAATAGACTATGCTGCTGAGTTATTTTATGATTTAGGAATGAGAAAAGGGGATGTCGTTTTTTTCTCTCCAAATACTGGCTGGCTTTCTTCTGTTGCGGCTAAAGATGATTATACATACAAAAGAATAGAAATTGGGATTCCTGTTTTAACACTATTTCAATCTGTTTTTGTGGGGGAAAAAGGGAAAAAAGTGTATGATAATTTATATGAAATATATGGAAATACAGAGCCAGCTTCATATTCTTGTCTTTATTATGATTCTGCATATTTAATTGGGGCTGCTTTGGATTGGACTATTAGCCAAGGAAAAGATTATACTGATCCGTATAAACTCCAATCTGCCATCCGAAGTGTAAAATTTGCTGGATGCAGCGGAACAGTTTATATTCAAAAAAACAGCAATAACGTTCAAATATCAAGCTTCACAATCCAGTCAAACTCTTATACTTATTTACCAAGAATTGCCCACTTTGGAGCATTTTTTTGGTTTGCCGGACAATATCTGGCTTGCAAAATTCGTTGGCATGCCATATTTTCTGGCTAATTTAAGAATGGCGGACCCAAAAAATTCTCCTCAGTGGGCTATTCTTGGCAAGCAGGTATATAATGCCACAACAGGAATTGTTAGAGTTTTTGATGTGGGATATTTTACACCTACAAGCACACAATTATTAAAAATTAAAACTCCTTTTGTATATCCAGATGGGACTACTAATAAACCAACAGATTTTAGGATTACAAGAACTGACTGTCCATTTGACGATAAATTAAGGCGAACATTTGGTAAAGGTCGGGCACTAGCATTTGGGATTTGTTTTTTTGTTACTGCGGTCACAGGAATTATAACTTTTATTATTTGGAAAGAATGATGGAATAAAGAAATCAAGGAGCTCACAACAAAGGAAGAACTTTCAGTGCCAGACATGATTGCTGGGGCTACAATTGTGGTGGAATTTTTCCAATTGCTTTCTCAAGGCCCTGATATTCGACCGCTAAATTCTTTTCTTGCAAATATTGGAGATGCAGTATCTTTGGATCTGAATAGTTTTATTAAGCTTGAAAATGGCGTTTTTTGGTGGATTTCAACTACAATTATTGTGCTATGCTTTTTATGAACAATATTTTGTATTGAAATATTTTTAAGATTGGATGAAAAATTTAGCCATGTTTGGTTTTTTAAAACGCTAGGGGTCATAGCTGATCAGTCAACGCCAATTTTAGGGAATTTGTGTTTTATTCAATTTATATCAATTTTATTAGATATTTTTGTATGTGACCATTCTATTGGAAATGATTTTACAGACAGCTATCTTTCTATTGACTGCTATCAATTTTGTTAGCAAGGTAGTCATATTACCTATGCTGTTTTATCAGCAATTTCACTGCTATGCTATGAACCTTTTGCTGTATTCTGTAGACCTCTATGGCAAGAGTTTCAGCCAGCATTACATGTGAAATCATTTCATTTATATTTAATGGTAAAAACAGTTCTTGAAGTGACTTTAATAGTCATGAGCAAAACTCTGAAAATGTCAAGTGACGTTGCTCATGGATTTATATTTACTTTTTTGATTTTGCTGTATATGGCATTTTTCTTCAAATTTAAAGCTTATAACTATCAAAGATTCAACTGGTGGCATCAATTGAGCCTTATTGGAGTTGCTTGGGTATCTTGCTTGTCAACTATAAACTTCCTTGTTAGCGGATCAAGTTTTCCATGGGTTTCTTTAATTATAGCTGGATGGGCAATAATCGTTTCTATAGGTCTCGCTATTCAAAGGAAAAAATATCCAAGCTTATTATATAGAAAAAAAGGAAAAGACACCTCTACATTATTCAAATTTGCATTTACTTTTGGAAAGAAATCTCAGGCAATTGGTTCAAAAATCGAACCTCAAAAGCTTGATCTTTTTAAATAATATTTTAAAAAATTAAAATTTCGTATAGAATTTGCATATTATTGCTTGAAATTTTGCTTATTTAGATGAAAGTTTTATCTATGGGAATTTTATTTATATCTATTCTATAGAATTCTGTGTGCGACCATTCTAAAGGAAATAATTTCCGCTTCATTCATTTGCTACTTTCAATTTATTGCTAAACAGCCATACAGTCTTAGTTGTTTTATATGTAATATCAATTATTTTTGTAATTTTATTCTTTAGAGTGAAATTCAGCATTACAGCATGAGAAAAATCTGTTTTAAATTGTATTTTGTTGGGGTATAATATGAATTCAAAATCGCTAGAATACCGATCCATTTCATAATAGGATTTCCTAGAATATTTTTTAAATCAAAATATAATTTTAAAATTAGTTTTTATCCAGTTATAACTCCATTTAAATTATAAACATTTAGTTCACTAATAGCATTTGTTTAAAACATTCTCAAATTTAAGATTAAGTATTGCCTTCGTATTTATTACATCAAATTCTTAATTATTTTTGATAGTTGCCTTCATATAGTTTATTAATGTTTTTTACCAAAATCTGGCGTAGTAGTTTTCAATTATTTTTCAAAATTTTGTTGACTGCTATTGTGCTCTCAACATGCTCAGAAGTTTTGATTGTTTTCTCGAGTTTCTCGAAAAACATCATTCCAAGTTTGAAAACAGAAATCAAATCAAGAAATTTAGACATCTCTTTAGTTGAAGTTGTTTATTGTGATTTTTCAGCTCTTGAAGAAACAATCTCACAAAGAACTAATTTGATTGCAATTTTTGATATAACAGACAACTTAAACATAGAATTTGAGATCTCAAAGATATGCATGGACAATTTACTTATACATTTTTTAGCTTCTGACAGCCTTCCTTACAAAAATAAATTAACTTTTTCACTTTCTAGTTCAAAAGAAAATTTACATAGGGCTATCATCTCAACTCTACGCTTCTTTAATTGAACTATTGGAATCGCAGTTAGTAGCGTTGAGGAGTTCGCCAATACCCAAATTATGCTAAATAATTATTCAGAAAAAATTCAACTATTTCAGTAAGTTCAAAAACATTTATTCAAGAGCTTATCAGTCGAGGATTTATGGGAATGGGATCCTCTTTTTATTATTTATTTGGAGACAAAAATATTTCAATTGGCATTCAGCAAGCACTGGCCAGTTCGAAAATACTTGTCAATGGAACTGGAATTTTGCTTGTTGGAAAAAGTAGCTATGAATCGGCAACTGAAGGAGCACTTGCTATTGTTGAAAAAGACAGAGAAACAATTATTTCTAATGAAAAATACTTGTTTGAAGCTATTTCTCGAATGATCTATCTTTTAAGCAATGCTTCAAATGTAGGTGAATCTTTAATTTTGCTATCAAAAAAATGCAAAAATCACTATTGCGTGAATGATTTTTCCCTACTCAATATACAAAATTCGCAAAGAAAAATTGTTGGGTCTATAGTTGATGGGAATGCAGTTTTAAATAATTTTTCAATGATTTTCCCAGGGAATTCTGTTGATGTGCCCAAGTCTCAAAAAAAAATTTTATATTTTAGTGCTAACGATGGAACCACCAACCCAGGTTCTCCCTCAATGGAAATAGTAACTTTTTATAAAAGAGGTTTTACATTAGCATTACAAGATATGAATAATGGAATCGATATACTACAAAATTTCCAGCTAAAGCTCAATGATTTTGACTGTGGAGCATCGGTCTATAATGAAAAATTTTGTTATAACTGCATTAATAAAGATAAAAATCGATTAGGGCTGGCACATATAGTCTCTGTTACTTCCTCAATGGCTTATGGACAAATTGCAACAATGGCAAAATTAAATATAACAATTCCTCTTATTGGAGTTATCAGCCTTGATCCAGGGCTTTCAAATTCAACTAAGTATCCATATTTTACAAGAGTAATCTTGCCAAGTAACTATGCTTTTAAGCAAATACCATTGCTATTAAAAGTTATGGGCTGGGAAAGTATTGCAATAATTTATCAAAATGATACTGGATCAATCACAAGTAACTACTATTTAAGCCAAGCAGCTGAAGAACAGAACATACACATTGTTAACAAATTAAAAATAATTCCATTTTCTTTGACCAGAGATTCTATAAGAAATTATACAAATGTATTTCAAGAGATCATTGATACAAATGTAAGATTTGTTGTCTTATTATTGAATTCTGCAGGACTAGATTACACAGCGGAATTATTTTATGACTTAGGAATGAGAAAAGGTGATATCATTTTTTTAAATTACATGACAATTTTCATAAAATTCAAAGCTTATAACTACGGAAGATTCAACTTATGACATAAATTAAGTCTAATTGGAGTCGCATGAGTTTCTTGTTTATGCACTATAAATTTCCTTATTGAAGGATCTGGCATTCCATGGGTTGCCTTAATTTTAGGTGGATGGACATCATTTATCTTGATAGGATTGATTGTCCAAAGGAAAAAATACCCAAGTTTATTATTTAGAAAAGAAAAAGACACTTCAAATTTATTTAAATTCGCATTTACTTTTGGAAAGAGTTCAAAAGCTCATCATTCAAAAATTGAGCCACAAAAATTAGACCTCTTTAATAAAGGTTCTAAATAATTAATACTTACTCCCCCCCCCCTTCGTGAGTAAAACAAAAAAATTTTGTTCACTCACGGAGGGGGGGTTAATATTTTTTTTTTTTAAATTTATATATAAATTTTATAAAAAATATTTTTTTTCGAAATTTAAAAAAATCCTAATTCGCAAAAATTGGAAAGCAAATATTAATTTAATTTATAAAATTTATGTTTTTAAAAAGCAATTCGTTCAAAATTAATAGAATTAGCTCTAGATTTCATTATACTAATTATCATTTATATATTAAAATTTTTTTCCATAAAAAATTTTTCTATTAAAAAAATTTTTGTTCACTCACAGGGTGGGTTTTTGGTCAAAAAATAGCGATTTTTCTAATGGTTTTGTTCACTCACGGAGGGGGGGGGAGTTACAAACTTAATACATTTTTTTTATGGTACTGGATGTAAGTTCAAATCAGTCTAGCTATTTAAAGCATCAAATAGCTCGATATCGGACGATTTTTATTATAATCATCAAAGAAGGTCTATATAAAAATATCAGCAATGAGAGTTGAAAAAATCGCCCAATTAGTGCAGCTGCTAACTATTTAAGTTAGATGTGGATTTTAAGATGGTATGTAATCATTTTTGAGATATATTGACATTTTTTAAGAAAATTGGAGTGAGATTTAAATTATTATTTGCTGTTTGCTTTTAAAATGCAGGATATTAGTAAAGTTATAGTTATTTGGGACTGATTACTTCTTTTACGAGTTAAAGATTTTAAATTCGTTTTTAGAATAAATCAATTAGGTCTTTAAACTTCTTTTCTTGCCCAGAGTTGACCTTAGACCGCAGGTGCTCAGGCTCTATATAAAAAGAATTGTTTAAATCATCATTTGATTACATGAGAGTTCATATGTCTTCTTCATAACTAGAATTGCAATAATATTTTTATTTAATTATTAATTTATCTTTAAGAGATCTATTTCAAATAAGCTAAAACAAAATCATTTTTGTTTTTAATTAAAACCCTGTAAATAAAGGATGAATTCAAAGAAAGAAGTTTCATTTCTTTAAAGATTATAAATTTAGCTATGTTTATAAATATTTAAGAACTTTTCATATTATTATTTTATTAGCAGCAAATATTTTACATAATGATAATTTGACCCAATTTTTTTATAAAGGGCAGAATACCATAAAATTATGGCACTGACTAATAAGAAACAGTCGAACGAAACTCTGACTTTTTCCAGATTTTTATTCTTTTTCTCTATATTTTTGCTTTCGAAATCAACAGAAGTGTTGATTATCTATTCGAACTATACAAAAATCTCTATTTCAGACTTTATTTTTGAAATACAACAGAGCACTTCAGCTCTATCAGCAATTGAAATTACAGCTTGTGACTTTTTGGTTGCAGAAGAAGAGATTTCTAACCGACCAAACTTAGTTGCAGTTTTTGACATTTCAAATGACTTAAGCTTCCAATTCCGAATTGCAAAGTTGTGCGAAAATAATCTCATTGTGCATTTTCTATATACTGATAGTTTACCTTATGAAAATAAGTGAACTTTTTCATTGTCAAGCTCAAAACTAAGTTTAAATAGAGCCCTTATTATCACATTGGCTTATTTTAATTGAACTGATGGAATTGCTGTAACAGACATACAAAAATTTTCAAATTTGCAAGACCTTTTCCGCAGCTATTTTAAGGATATTGAAGTATTTTCTGTTAGTTCTGATACTTTTATTAAAGATTTTATAGGGATTGAAATGAAAAAATTAGGTTCATCTCTATTTTACTTATTCATTAATAAAGATATTTCTCTACAAATTCAACAATATTTAGTTGATTCAAAGCAGCTTGGTGATGGAACAGGAATTTTGCTTATTAAAGAAAGTAGCTATGGATCAAATATTGATGGGACCTTAGGCCTTGTAGAAAAAGGAAAAGAGTTTGTGGAGTCAGAGGACAGTTATTTATCCTTAACAATTTTAGAGATGATAACTTCTTTAAACAATGCCTCAGATACATATATTTTAAATTTTTTAGAAGAAAAATGCCCAAATCATTATTGCATTAATGAATTTTCGGTTATAAACATTCAAGAAAAGCAAAGAAAAATCGTTGGATCTATTGTAGAAGGAAATTTTAAATTGCTTTCTTCTATAGTATTTCCGGGAAATTCTAAAAAAATCCCGATTTCGCAGAAAAAAGTGTTATATTTCAGCGCAAGTGATGGCACAACCGATCCTGGTGGAGTCCCATATGCTTCGGTCGCTGTTTTTGCTAGAGGATTAACTTTAGCTGTAAAAGACATAAATAGTGGTCAAAATATTTTAGAAAATTTCCAATTAAAGCTTAACCATTTTGACTGCGGTGCAAGTGTCTATAATGCAGCATTCGCTTTAAATTGCTTTGAAAAAGACAAAGACAAGGTAGGTTTAGCTCATATCACAGCTCCTATGACAGCTACAGCCTTTGGAGCTATGATATCATTAAAGAAATTAAATATTACTGTTCCTTATATCGGAGCTGTTAATAGTGGTCCTGAACTTTCCAATACAACAGCTTACCCCTATTATTCCCGAATAAGTTTACCAAGCTCTTGGGCATACACTCAAATCCCAATAATACTAAAAGTTATGGGCTGGGAAAGCATTGCAATTTTATACCAAAATGATATATCAGGCTCAGCAGCCTTTTATTATCTTAACCAAACTTGTGCAAAACAAAACATTAAAATCGTGAATGAGCACAGAGGAATTCCTCCACTTCTAGACAGAGAAGGACTTAAGAATTATACAAATGTGATAAAAGAAGTGGTTGATTCCAATGTAAGATTTGTTACATTGGTATTTAACCCTCCTGAAGTAAACTATATTGCCGAAATTTTTTATGATTTGGGGATGAGGCGAGGCGATGTACTTTTTTATTCTACCTATCCTGGGTGGTTGACGACTGTGGCTACACAAGATGAGTTTTTATATAAAAGAGTAGAAATTGCGATTCCTATGGTAATTATTTTTCAGTCACTTTTTGTTGGGGAAATTGGGAAGAAAGTGCATGATGATCTTTATAAAGCATATGGAAATACAGAGCCTGCAACTTATGCATGCCTTTATTATGATGCTGGAATGCTGATAGAGAATGAGATATAAATTAAAATATGGCGTCGCTCGAATTTTCTGGCCTCTCGGCCGAAAATTCATCTCTTGAAATATTTTAATTAACTTAACTTAACTTATTAACCATCACGTTTAACGTCTCCTACGGGGTTGCTCTTCCAGGACTACCACCACACTCTCGTCGCTCGGGGCCCACTAGTTGCTGGGACAGCTAGTTTTGATCTCCGACGCACGCCTCCTGCGCGATGTTCCGGCTTCGACGGCTCATGATTGAGCTACTTTCTCTGTAACGAGGGTTATCTGCTGGGAAATTCCAAAAAATAGTATTTCTGGCCGACTTTCGGCAAAAGAGGAAAACTTGTAGCCCGGGGCGAAACTCCCGGCTTCTCGCTAGAGATTTGCCCAAATGGCCTAACTCCCCCCCCCACCTCCGTGAGCGAACAAAAAAATTTTGTTCGCTCACGGAGGGGGGTTAATTTTTTTTTTTAAAAAAAATTTATATATAAATTTTATAAAAAATATTTTTTTCGAAATTTAAAAAAAATCCTAATTTGCAAAAACTGGGAAGCAAATATTAATTTAATTTGCAAAATTTATGTTTTAAAACGCAACTTGTTTAAAATTAAACAGAATTAGCTCTAGATTTCATTATACTAATTATCACTTATATATCAAAATTTTTTTCCATTAAAATTTTTTCTATTAAAAAAATTTTTGTTCACTCACGGAGTGTGGGTTTTTGGTCAAAAAATGGCGATTTTTCTAATGGTTTTGTTCGCTCACGGAGGGGGGGGGGAGTAAGGATTACCTGCAGGCGCTGCTGGGCTTCTCCTTTCCAACTCCAAGCCTCCTCTTCCCTCGAGGTAAAATCCTAACCCGAGAACGGACTGGGATCAGGCTCTGTACACTGCCAGAATTGCTTACCTGATATTGCTGTCCATCTCTAGCTAGGCAAAACCCTGCCGGATATAATTAAATAGGGCTCGAAACTGTCTGGCCGAGAGGCCAGACCCAAGTTGAGACGCCATATTTAATTATGCATATTTTAATTAAGAGAATTTGTTTCCCTAGTGAAATTATCCCAATTATGTCAGAGAAGTAAGAGCCGGTGGCTTTTTCCTTCCGGGACTCCTGACCTAAGGGAATCAAATTTTCCAGAAATTACTACCTACCCCAGGTGGTGGAGACTGGGACCTTTAGGGTGCCTGACGAACCCAAGTAGGTTCCTGAGCTAAAAGAAGAGTTCTCGAAGCCAAAACCTCAAGACCCGCGTCATCACTATGTAACGAAGTCAAGGTAACCACACTATGGCGGGCCAGGGGAAGAGGGCGCGAATTCGCCCCAGAGCTCTGCTCGAGGATGCAGTGATAGCGAGCAACCTAGTAGTGGATATTAAACGGATAATAAATCTAATTGAATCGATTTGATAGGGAATGCAATTGATTGGACGATTAATCATGGCACTGATTATACCGATCCTGATGTTTTGAATGCAGCTGTAAGGGATGTAAGGTTTACTGGATGCACTGGGAGTATGAGTATTCAAAAAGGAAGCAATGATAGACAGTTCAGTAGTTTTACAATACAGTCGAATTCTTATAACTTCACGTCTGGAGCATTAAAAACGTTTATCGTAGGGTACTTCACACCTACAGGATCTACAATTTTGAAAATCGAAACACCATTTGTGTATGCAGATGGAACTACAAATAAGCCTAGCGATTTTAGAATCACAAGGACTAATTGCCCATTTGACGATAAATTAAAGCGAACATTTGGTAAAGGCCGAGCTTTGGTATTTGGGATCTGTTTCTTTATTGCTGCTTTAACTGTTATAGTAACATTTTTTATTTGGAAAAAATGATGGAATATGCTATATTAAACAGAGAAAAATAAATCTTTTTCAATAGATATTATATTAAATTAAAAACAATTGGCCGGCACTATCTTAAGCTTAGTTGAATGCAGCATAGAAAAGTTGATCCACTTACCAAGGCCGAAGAAATCTCGCTTGAAGATTTTATTGTTGGAGTCACTATAGGGGTCGAATTTTTCCAATTTATTTCACAGGGCCCTGATATTCGGCCTTTAAACGCTTTTCTTGCAGATATCGGCGATGCTGTATCCTTAGATTTGGAAAGTTTTGCAAAATTGGAAAACGGAGTTTTTTGGTGGATTGCTACAATAATAATTATTTTATGCGGAGTGTGGACTATTTTTTGTTTAGAAATTTTCTTTCAATTGGATGAAAAATTATGTCGTGCTATATTATATGCAACAAAAAAAAAATTTTTAAAAGCATAAGTCCACATTTATTTAAGGTTAATGTAAACCATATATGGTTCTTTAGAGCTTTATCATTTCTTGCTGACAACTCTATGCCAATTTTAGGGAATTTATGCTTCATCCCATTTATATCCATTCTTTTAGAAATTTTTTTATGTGACCATTCTATTGGAAATCACTTCACAGATAGCTACTTAAATAAAGATTGTTATCAGTTCTGCTGAAAGGGGGATCATATTATTTATGTTGTCTTATCAGCATTTTCTTTATTCTTTTATGAACCTTTAGCAGTCTTTTGCCGACCTCTTTGGCAGGAGTTGCAGTCAAATTTGCATGTAAAATCAATGCCATTATACTTGATGGTAAAAACTGTGATACAGGTGATGCTGGTTGTGATGAATAAAACACTGAAAAGGTCAAGTGATATTGCCCATGGATTTGTATTTACAGTTTTAATACTAATGTATGCAGGATTTGTATGAAGATTTAAAGCTTTTAACTATGCAAGATTCAACTGATGGCAGCAATTAAGCCTTATTGGTGTTGCTTGGGTATCATTTTTGTCAACAATAAATTTCCTTGCAGGAGGGACTACATTTCCATGGATTTCATTGATTTTAGGTGGATGGGTAATCGTGGTGCTCATAGGACTAGCTGTTCAAAAGAAAAAGTATCCGAGTTTGTTGTTCAGGAAGAAAGGAAAAGACACTTCAACTTTATTCAAATTTGCATTTACCTTTGGTAGACAATCCAAAATGCACCAGTCAAAAATCGAACCTCACAAGCTTGATCTTTTTGGATCTAAGTAAAGGTTTATTATAGATAAGCAGTATACAATTGGATGTATTTACTATAAATTTTTACAATTTAATCATAAATTCTTTTAAAGCTATATCAAATTCATTTAGAAATTAAAACTTAACAAAATGTAAAATTAAAAATATGATAAACTGAATTAAAATTTAATTAGCTAAATTTACCATTAAAAATATATAATTATGACTCGGAATTCTCATTATTAGCTACAGGATTGAATAAATTAATAATCTAGAAATAAACTGTTATCATTTAGGGTTTAGTATTGAGTTACCTTTCATTGAGCGGTAAGATATCCACCAGTAGCTTGGTTGAGTTGTCTATTGACACTTGATAAAAGCTCTATGGCTTAGCCTAATGATAAGAACAGAGTTGGAGATGCTCGTTATGTCATCATCTGAAGTTAAAGCATGGATTTATGTATCTGCAAATCTTCTTGTTAGAAAAAAGCTAAAATTTATAACGGATTATGTAAGATCCATGAATAAAAAGAATTTGTTTCTAAATAAATCTATCAATAAATAATGTTCTTAGACAATGCATATTTATCCTTCTGTAATTATATTTTAAACATGATAGGATTTCATTGCAATCCAAAATAAATTTATATGCGCTTTTCGATTATATCATGTTTTAAAGGCCATCCTTTTAACTTCAAAATAATAAAATCTCTCTCTTTGATCAGGATCGACTTATCAGCTCATTGAAACTACTTAAGAACTTGCAGTCTTAAATCATAACTTTGGACTAAATTCCTTATTTTACTATAAAATTAGATTTAAAAAAAAATTTATAAATTTATCAAAATATTTCATAGTCGGAATTTTTGGCTTATTTTCAAATAATTTAATTATAGCGTAGGGACACTTTTAGATTCCTTATAAATGTACTTCTCCAGCAACTCTAAGGGCTGACTCATCACCTTCAAGAGGTGAGTGCAGCTCCAAGTTGACAAATCTAGAGAAAAGGATTTGGTTCTGTCAACTTTGAGTTGGTCGTCACTCGAAGGTGGCTAAGCCTCCAAGTTGGTTATAAAGTACAAACGTAAAGGCACGCTAAAATTGTGATCACGCCATACTATATAATTTTATTCTATTCTTCAATAAATCTCTGCTGTAGTTAATTTCCTCTTTTAAAATCAAACACAAAATAAAAAAGTTACTTTCTGTCAACTATTTCAATATTATTTAATCAAATTTATAGTGTTTTACTTACTCTTAAACTTAAGTTGATAAACTTTTAATAAATAATTTCTAAAAAAAATTAATAACCTTATAATAGCTAAAAGTCTATAATATTTTTTAATTAGTATTCTTTTATGTTTTATTAACTAAGATTTAGAAGAAAATCCTTTGCACTATAAAAAATTAAAACTAACGCTATTAATGAATAAACTCTCATCAATTTAACAATGAGAAAAATTTAGCAATGTAGCGTATTTATGTTTAATGTAATGGTATTATTATGTGCTTTCTTTTTTATAAAACCAAATGGCAGGCATTTATTCAAAATACTCAAACTCGTTCCATATGAATTTTCTGAAACTTATTTTTTGTGCTTTACCACTTTTCGTGAATTCTTTTGGCATACTTCTTGTCTATGATTACGAAGATACTGCTAGCCTTTCAAGCTTGACAGAACAAATAAAAACAAAAATCCCCTTATCAGATCAAGTTGACATTTCTACTTGCCAATATCAAGAATTTGAGCTTTGCATAACTTTTCACCCAAGTCTACAAGTAATTTTCGACATTTCTGACAATTTTCAAGCTCAATATGAACTAGATATTTTTTGCAAAGAAAACTCTATTGTCCATATTGTAAAAAATAGCAAAATAATATATCATAGCGAATGGACCTTTTCAATATCCAGCTCTTGAGAAGATACAAAAAGCTCATTTATTTCTTTGCTCCATTATTTTAATTGGACTGAGGGTGTTTATTTTAAAGACCCTGAAGACACTGATATAACTGAAGAATTAAAAAAAAAATCGATATTAATAAATTCCCTCAGTGTCGAGTGCTTATCACCAATAGAGGATTTTTTAGCAATTGAAGTAATGAGTTTGGGAAAAATGATTTATTTTGTTTTTACAAATTCACATGTTTCAGGAGAAATTCAGGAATCTTTAGCCAATGCAAAGCTTCTAGGAATTGGAACTGCTATAATATTTGTAAAAGAAAGCTCTTATGGAGCTTCAATTGATGGGGCACTGATAATGACTGAAAATGGCCAGGAAAATTCAGAGTCAGATGATGACTATTTAAGTACAGCTTTCGCAAATTTATTATCCTTAATAACACCTAACACAACAGATTCTTTCCAATTTAGAAATACTTTATTGCAAAAATGCCCAAGCGATTTTTGTGCCACAGAATTTTCTCTTATAAATATTCATGGAGGGCATAAGCATTTAGTTGGAAGCATAAAAAAAAATGAAATCATTATTACATCCACAATTGTTTTTCCAGGAAATTCAACGATAATCCCTGTTTCTAAGAAAAAAGTAATAAATTTAAGTATCAGTGATGGCTCTACTAACCCAAATTCTTCTCCAGCAACATCTAACCCTGCAAATGTAAGAGGTGCCCATTTAGCTATTGAAATGGTAAATGAAGGAAACGATATTCTTTCAAATTTTGAGGTCTCCATGTTCAGCTATGATTGTGGAGTCACTGTTTATAATGCCAATTTCTCTATAAAATGCTATAGTTCAAATATTGATAAAATAGGCTACGGCCATGTGGCCGCATACGGTTCTAATGTCGCTGTAGGGGATTTTCAAACTTTTAAAGCTTTGAATATCACTGTCCCATGTGTTGGCGCTGGCCCATCAGATGCTGCACTATCAAGCACAGCTAATTTTCCTTATTATGCCAGGGTAAATCTAGCTAGCTCATATTTATACAACCAGATTCCTCTTTATTTAAAAGCTTCAGGATGGAAAAAAATTGCTGTTATCTACCAAAATGATGCGAATTTTGGTAAATCAGCTTATTATTATATTAACCAATCAGCTACAAACCAAGGCCTAGAAATTGTAAATGACCCTAATTTGAGGGCAATCCCAATGGGGTTAAACAGAACCCAGCTTAAAAATTACACCAATGTAATTCAAGCTGTTATAAATTCAGGTGCTAGGCTTGTGATAGCTGCTTTTGCACCACCATTTGCGGTGTATATTACTGAGATGTTTTATGATTTGGGAATGAGAAAAGGAGACATAATATTTTTTGCTGTTTACAGTGGGTTTGTAACAGATATTGCTGCAAAAGATGACTATACTTATAAAAGACTAGAAGTAGCAGTCCCTATGCTAAGGATTTACCAAGAACTTTGAGTAGGAGAAAAAGGCACTCAAGTGTATAACCGATTAGTGGAAAAATATAAAGAAGCCATCGCATATAATTGCCCATATTATGACACCTCCTACTTAATTGCATACAGTATAAATTGGATGATTACTAAGGGGGATGACTATACTGACCCTGCGAAGCTACAAAAATCGATTAGATCTGTAAAATTTCTAGGATGTACTGGTAATGTTTATATCCAACCAGGAAGTAATGACAGAATTGTAAACGGCTTAATAATCGACTCTAACTCTTATAATAATGATACAGGCATTTCTGTCTATACCACAGCTTTACTAAAACCCTTTGGCCCTACAATCTTGACTATCAAGCAGCCTCTGATCTATGCTGACGGCACCACAAATAAACCTTCTGACCTGAGAATAACCATTACAGACTGCCCATTTCCCAACAAAGAAATAAGGACCTTTGTGAAAGGAAGAGCCATGGTCTTTGCTATATCTTTTACAATTGCAGGCATCATGTGCATTTCTACATTCTTGATTTGGAAAAGATGGTGAAATATAAAAGTAGAAGAATTAAAGACTAAGGCAGAAATTTCTATACAGGACTTTTTGGTAGGGGCTACAATTGCCATAGAATTTTTTCAGCTTATCAGCATGGGACCTGATATTAGACCTATGAGCACTTTTATAGCTGATATAGGAGATATGCTTTCTCTTGATTTAGGAAGCTTTTTTAAGTTGCAGAATGGGGTTTTCTGGTGAGTTTTGGATGGGGTTTTGGCAGCAACGCTTGTGTGGGTTATTCTTTGTATTGTAATTTTATTTCAGCTTGATGAAAAATACTCGAGGATTTGGATTTTTAGGAAGCTTGGCTGACTTGGTGATAATTTGATGCCGATCCTTGGAAATCTTTGCTTTATTCCTTTTATGTCTATTCTTTTAGATGTATTTGTGTGTGACGAATCAATCGGAGACTCTTTTAGTGATAGTTTTCTAAATAAAGATTGCTATCAGTTTTGCTGGACTGGGGATCATATAATATACTCAGTTTTATCATTTTTGGCTATTCTCTCATATGAACCTCTAGCTGTATATTGCAGGCCTCTTTGGCAAGAGTTGCAAAACAACTTGCATGTAATTTCAATCCCCTTATTTTTGATGGTGAAGACAGTTGTTCAAATACTTTTAATAGTGCTTAACAAAACATTAAAAAGGGCTGATGAGGTAGTCCATGGTTTTTTATTTGTTGGGCTGCTTATTCTATCTATAGCCTTTATTTTGAAATTTAAAGCTTATAATTACCCACGGTTTACGTTTTGGCAAATATTAAGCTTGGCCGGAGTAGCTTGAATAGCTTTACTAGGCACAATTTTTTTTATTTCTCGTGATAATAATTTTCCTTGGATCGCGTTAATTATTGGTGGGCTGCTTTTTATTTTAATTTATGGGCTAATTAGGCAGAGGAAAGGATATCCAAGTTTACTATTTCGAAAGAAAACACGAGATACGAGCACACTTTTTAGGTTTGCTTTTACCTTTGGAAAGCAGACTAAAATTGGATCAAAAGTTTTACCTTTTTCGGGCAACAAATCATCATCTTTGCGTGATTAGAATAATTATAATTATATTATTTGGATTATTAAGTTAAATGTATTGCCTTTTGTAAATTATCATAGATATCATGCGCTCACGATGAAGGGAAGCCTAAATAGCAATCAGGCAATTTTTGAACAAAGCATGCTATAAAACTTAGTATCTTGATTCTGACTTGTTTACTTTTTCATCAGTTTAATTTTGTGCAATCTTTAAAAAATTTATAAAAAACATGAATTACTTTAGATTATTTACTCTATTATATGTCATAACTATGCCTAAATAATTTTTAAAATATAAATTTTTATAGAAAGATTATTTATAAAAATTTCTGCTTTACTATCTTAATAATAAAATAAGCAAAAATGATATTAAATTTCCTACTCTTCCTAATTCAAAAATCTCTCAGCTTATGTGAAACTTCCCACTACTTCACTGAGTGCGATACCAATAATACAAGATCAGCAATATTTTACCAAGAAGATTGCAATTCTACTGCATTGTCCCCAATTCACAATCTTCCATGCAATAAAGTATGCGAAGCAGGGTATAAACTTGACATCATTAATCAAACTTTAGCATGCTCCCCATGTCCAGCTGGTTCTTATAGCACTGGAGGTGGAATCCGGTATGGCGAGGACGGATCTGATTGGAATTCATCTTATAGATATTTGAAAAGGAATTGTTGGGTACTAATGGGACTCGACTGAGTCAAAGGTGATAGATGCTCAAGCTGGCATACCGAAAATGGAATTCTAGTCTCTGGCAAGCCAGATGTAGCCAATTTTTTTGAAGACGAGCTTGTTTTATCTGCCCGACTTGTTACAAATGGAGTTCTCACTTATAAATACAGAAAAATCACCCAAAAAGCCAATGGATTTATAAACGGGGACTGGTTTGTCTACCTAAACGGTGAGCAAATACAATCAAATAGCCATTTAGGCGAAAACAGCTGGGTTGTTAAAAATTTTACAATTCCTGCAGGATCTCATGAAATTGCATTCGCTTATCAAGCGTTTTTTCAGCATTTAACTGATGATTTTCATGCAGAAATTTCGTTTATTGAGCTTACAGGCCTCGAATATGCTTCAACTTCATGTGAGAAATGCTTAAAAGGGTCAAGCTCAGAAGGATCGTCAGCTTGTAATATTTGTGACTTTAACACTTACTGAAATGGGGCTTCCTGTGAAGATTGTCCTCCTGATAAATATTCTTTAAAAGGTTCAGTGGGTATTAATTCTTGTTTACTCTCTCTAACCCTTCATGAGCAAGTAAAATTTTTACAAAATCTTGGAAATTGTTTTTTCAAACTTAAAAAAATCACAGTCACAAAAATTTGAAAGAAAAATAATTTAATATAAAGTTTATGCAATAATTTAAAATTAAACATTTTATTATAATAATTATCATCTATATATAAAAAATTTATAAATCAAAATTTTAATTTAAAAAAAATATAATTGCTGACTCATAGATAATGATTTTTCCTTAAAATATGAATTGTAATGGTTCTGCTAATTCACAGAGCAACTGGAGTTAGAAAGGCAGCCTTGTGGGTTTGAAGATATAACCAGCAATTACACAGAATGCGAAAATGGGAAGAGGACCAAAAAATATTATTGGAAACAGCCAATCCTCTGCAATTATATGGCAGCAAGCCTACCGAGTGAAATAGATGGATTGTTATGTGAAGATTGTCCAATTGGGTACCATCAGCAAGCTATTTCTAATAATTCAAATATTACGAAATGCTATCCTTGTAAATTAGGATTTTATATGACCCAAAATCTGACTTGTGAAGAATGTGGAATAGGAGAAATTTCTAATAGCATTTTATTGATAGAGCGATGGGAAACCCTCCCAGATGGTTTTAAAACTAAATGCATAAACTCAGCTGGAGAGGGATGCCTTACCAGTTCTGGATGAATTGCAAATGAAACTTATATCACGACGGGCACTTCTCTTGACAATTTATCAGAAGTTTCATTATCTAAGTTTATTAATATTACGAACTTGACTGGGAAAATTGAATTCTTTTATGTTAGTCTTGACATGCAAGGGTTATTTAATTTTTATATTAATGGGATTTTGAAATCTTCAAATCAAGTTAGCGGGAGATATAAAGAATCCTATGATTTATTACCTGGGGGAAATGAACTTGAGTGGAGATATAGAACTAGCAAAGATGGTGGAGAAATAAGGATTTATGATATGACGATTGAAGGAAGTGATGAAGGAGCTTCTGTGGAGTGCAGCAAATGCCCAGATGGCTTTATAAGTGTGAGCAATATACATAAAAATGGTGACGACAGACCACCCGACCTCTCGACCCTATTTCTTCAACATCCGCAGGCAACGGCCCAGTATTGGAGATTTAGGTGGAAAGGGGCCGGTAATCCTTTATGTATAGTCGGGCTGGATTTTTCTTCGAGCCCGAGGAGCTAATTCTCGGACTTGGAGTTTTTCCTCCAGGACAACCATTGGAAAGGGCAAGGTCGGCCAATGTCTGAAGGGCAATATGACCCTCAGACCCTGAAGACGGTTTTGCCTAACGAGAAACTGGGAGTTTCGACCCAGGTGGTTGGCCCTTAGACTCCAGAAGCCATGGAAGTCAAGACTGGTCGAGCGAATCCCTTGTTTGATGCAACAAGGAGGGTGTCCGCCGGGGCTCCTCAGGAGCGATGAGCGTATAGGGTGCAAATCCTGGCCCTGCAAGGCCAACGGCTTAACTTTAATTTAATAAGTGTGAGCAGCCACACGTCGTGCATTGCATGTCCAGCTGGATTTTCTTCAAATTCTGATAATTCTGAATGCATGAAATGTGACAGAGACTATTATAGCTACTCTTCTGGTCAAGCATGCCAAAAATGCCCTGCAAATAGTTATTCAAATACTAATAACACTGCATGTCTAGGAAATGACTATTTAATTCTCCCTACAAAATCATTTTATCTAAGAAATCTGACAGGGATTTCAAATATTGAGCAAACATATACTGATGGTCTTTGCAGCCGTGACAGTTTAAAGCTGTACTGTTACCAGACTTTTTATGGCCCAATCCCTGGAAATCAATCAGAGCTTTACATTTCAGTTTTAAATCCCTCAGTTTTGTCTCTCCCTGACTATGAATATTACTACCAGACTTCATTAGGCTATGCATTTACATTAGTTACTCTAGATTCCCCACAAACAAAAAATAATAGCGTAAATACTTGTTATAAAGAAAATACAGCAATTTTTAATGCAGGGAGAAATATCGAAAATATCACTGAAACAGCTTATGGGTTTGACGTTCAATATAGCCAAGGGGATATTTGTAACGAAAATGGGGATAGGTTTAGTGTTTTTATAGAGTTTGTGTGTAATAAAAGGGAAGGAGGAGGCTGGCCAATGTTAGTTAGTAGAGGAGAATGCAGTTGGAATTTTAGATGGAAATCGAGATGGGGATGCAAAATTTGTAGTGAAGAAGAGATGATTGTGGTAAAAACTATGTGCATGAACGGAAAAAGGATGATTGAAAAAATGGAAGGGAAAAATTGCATAATTCCTTCAGATTATCAGGTTGAGACGTCGGGAGAAGACTGCTCTTTATCTAAAGAAATTTTGTATACGCTTCCAGTGCTTATTGGTCTAGGCACTATAATACTGCTGCTAATGGCTATAGGGCTGCTTACTTATTACTGCTATAGGTTTAAATCTAGATATCAAAGACTAATAGATGCTAGGGAGCTTTAATTATTAACAAACTTTAAGTAAAACTTTATTTAAAATTGCCCAAGATTAGTCTATATTTATTAGATAGTAATGCTGAAAAATTATTTTCCAGAAATTAATTTTTAAAATTTCACTTACTCCCTAACAAAAAAACTTGCTTGTTCACGTAGTGGTTTTTTTTTTTAAAACAATTTATAGAAAAAATATTTTTTTCAAAATTTAAAAAAATCCCACTTCGAAAAAATTGGAAAGCAAATATTAATTTAATTTGCAAAATTTATGTTGTAAAACGCATTTTGTTTAAAACGAAACAGAATTAGCTAGAGATTTAATTATAATAATTATCACTTATATATCAAAATTATTTTCCATAAAAAATTTTTGTTCGCTCACGGAGATTTTTTTTGGGCAAAAATAGGAATTTTTCTAATGGTTTTGTTCGATCACGAAGGGGGAGCTAATATAAATATTAATTTAAACCATTTTTAACTGTCGATAAATTAAAAGTCTGTCAATGCTAAGTCTAGAAACTGAAAGAAGGCTCGCACGCCTCTTTTTCCAAATCGCAGAAACTGAACGCTCAATTGAAAGAAGTCGCCAGAACCTTTGTCGAGATTATGATTTCGACCCATACTCTGCATTTCGTCTTCTTGACCAAACGGCAGTTGGAGGATTATCATCATACGACCTTCGCAATTTCCTATCAAGATCCCGTGTTTTTGTAACAATTGAAGAATTAGACCTGCTTGTAGCCCAATACGACTCTAACTTAGACGGCCGTTTATCTTTAGAAGATTTCTATTCTTTCATCTTGTCTTCTGAAGATGTCTCATTAAGAACCATTGCTAAAGAAAGATCACGATACCCATTATCCTCAATTGCAGAGCACAAGCTTGCAAGACATATTGAGCTAGAAGCCAGCTATCAAGGGCAGTTGGAAAACCTTAAAAAGCATCTCCATTCCAGATACGATTTTTCGCTGTCAAATGCATTTAGAGCTGTTGATAGCGACAGGCTTGACTTTATTTCTCCTTATGAGATAAGAAACTTTTTAAGAAGAAATGGATATGCAGTCCAGGATTCTGATTTGGATGGAATAATCAGAAGAATTGATACGGACAGCGATGGACGACTTAGCTATGAAGAATTTGCTCAAGCGTTTAACATTTCAGATTTTTCAAGAAGGTCAATTATAATTGAAAATAAAAGCACAAGAACTCCTTCGCCTAAGAAATATGAAACTTCGAGAAACAGGTCACCATTAAGAAGATCACCAAGCCCAACTAGATCACATTTCAGCCCTGCGAAATCTTCATATTCGCCTGAAAAATCATTTAGATCTACTGGCTTGAAAAGCCCTAGAAGAAGTGTAGAAAATTCACCTGAGCGGAATTCATATTTCACCCCTACCAAGTCTTCATCATTTTATAAGACAAGCTCAAGTGTTAGAAAAAGCCTTTTTGAGTCTCCAGTCTCTGAAGTCGCAATGCGGGAAATCGTTGATACTTTTAGAAGCCAAATTGATATAGCCCGAGACCTTGAGCAAGCAAAACTTACCCTTGCGAGAAGTGCTGATTTTGCCTTGCTAGACTTTTTCAGAGCTTTTGATTTGGATGATAAAGGCTACATAGCTTCTCGTGATGTAGAAGGGTTATTAACTGACTTAGGAGTTTTCTACAACTCTGATGAAGTTTACTTGCTGCTAAGACATTACAGTTCCCTTCAAGACTCCAAAATCAGATATGCTGACTTTGAAAACATGTGGCTGCCTAAAGACAGGTATTATGCCCAAGCCCTCAAAGACAGAAGAAGCCAAATCTACCCTCCAAGAGACAGATTAAGTGTATTTTCCAGCATCACGATAGAAAAAATCAGTTCAACTATTAAATTGCATTTACAGTGTGAAAGAATTGCAGAAGACTTAAGAAGTAGGCTCAGTGCCAAAAGGTCAATCAATTTATTTGAAGTCTTCCAAGCTATTGATTGCGACAATGACGGATATATCAGACTTGAAGAATTCGAAGGGGTTTTAAGAGATTTTGGAGTCTACACAGACTTGAAAGACTTGGAAAGCTTGGTGGAGAGATATGACAAGAACTTTGACGGAAAAGTGAGCTATTCTGAGTTCGTGCAGGAGATCACCCCTAAGCTTTTCTAGCAATTTTATTTTCAATTAATTAGAGTTTGCATATTTTGATTTTTGATAAATTCTTAGTCTTTATAAAATAAATATGAACGGAAGACACAAGACTGAAGTCGTGATCTTTGTGATCCTAGTATTCATCGCTTTCATCGCCAGAACTGATTACTGGGTTTCCTGGACCTTACTTTCTATTTTCTGGGGTGTTTTGTGCTTATTTGACTGGCTGTTCACAAATGAAAAAGACTTCATGTTTGAGCCCAACTTCAAAAACTGGCAGAGAATCACAGAGCCAAGATATTAGCTAATAAGTAGATAATTAGTCACCTCTAAGGATAACCCTAAGATCAAAAAATGGTAAAAATTCATGCAGCAAGAAAGCTTTACCTCTTTTAAAGACGATGTTAATCAGAAAGCCAATAAGGCAATCCAGAACTTCTTAGGCTCCAGAGAATATTCACAAGATGAAGTGCAGGCCTGGACAGCTCAGCTTTCAGAAGAAATCGTCAAAATGCTCAAAGATCAAAACAGCAACTTCAAGTATTGTGTTTCGTGTGTCATTTTGCAGAAAGGAGACGCTGGAATGCATATGAGCTCCACTTGCTTCTGGGACAGCGCGCTTGATGGAAGTGTAGCGATTAAATGGGAAAATCCTTCAATGTATTGCATTGTCAATATCTATGGCATCGCCTTCTAGATTTAACTAACACTTAGACAGACTTATTTTTGAGATAGATTTTAAACAGAAAATAATCAATTTTACAACAAATTATGGAGCTTATTGAAATGCCAAAACCTTTTCTTCTAAGTTTTCAAGCTCTTTTAAAAGGTCTGGGGAGAGACTTGAAATCATTTTTAGAGAAAATTCTTTGCCTTGTCTGTCTTTATAAGTGACGGTTTCTTTGGGGTCTCCTTTAGGCTTGCTGTAGCCGCCTTTTTTTGAGTTTTCTCGCTTGAGAGAGGGTGGAGGCGTTTTTGACCTTTTGTATACCTGCGGCTTAAATGTGCAGCCTTCAAGCTCATTTTTTTCTTTTTCGACTTGGACTTGTCTTATCTTTTCTTCTTTTGCCATAATCAGCTTGATTCCTTTATCATATAAAGAATTGTCAATTTTTTTCACTTTAACAGAAATAGACGACGCTGTGTTTTCTGACTCGTCCAATTTTTGTGTTTTTTCTAGTGGCTTCACATAATTTCTTACTAAGAATTCTTCAAACTCTTTCGGTTTTAAAACCCGACTTGGCTTTGGCTGTTCTGGCTCTTCCTCCACAATTGCTGCTTGAGGTTTATTTTTTCTATTAGCAGCTAATTCAATTGACGTAGGATTTAGTGTAGGTTTAAAAGGGTAGCTTTGAGCAAAAACTACTTCTGCTGCTTTTTGTTTTCTATCAATTAGTGACAGTCCTTCATAATACAAATGTGCGTTGACATCTTCAGGTCTTGGCTTATTAAACTGATTTACAACTGGCTTAAACGTCGGAATTTCTTCTACGTTTTTCTGCCTCATTTCTTCAAGTTTTTGATGTTTTTCAATTTCCAGCCTCATTAATCTATCCTCAACCTTTTCTTTCCAAATAGGAAACATTGCTCTAGACACTGAATTTATTTCAGGTGAATGAGTATACACATCAGGGTCTTGGTTTCTCGTGTCAAAATAATGCTTAACCCTTTCTTCTCAGTCTGTTAAAGGACTTTGATATCCTGGAGGTGTTGGAACTCTTCGAATTTGGCTGCGGTCTTCTAAATACTGCTGAGAGCGGTTAATATCAAGCTTTTTATTTTTCTCTGAAAGCCACTTGTTCATGATTTCTGGAAATTCATTAGGGTCTCTATCTCCTGCTAATTCTCGACTTTTCTGATTAATATCTGGGAAGTCTCTGATTTCGTCAAGTTCACGCCTGATTCGGTCCTCAAGAGCTACCTCAGAGACCTCTCTCTTTTTTTGAAGCAACAACATGCCACGATCATACAGACTGTTATCTGCAGTCCTCATATTTAAATAAGAAATTTTTTATCCTACAATAAATTATCTTTTTTCTTTAAATTTTCTTTTCCATTCTAAAATCTTGTCTTTATTCTGCACCTCAGCAGCCTTAGCAGCTTGTTCTATTGACTGTGTGGCGTATAAGCAGGCGAGTGCTTTTTTGATGGTTTCTCTTGAGAATTCTCCGTCAGAGTTTACAGAATCTTCGTCACTTAGAGGGATGTTGGCTTCGACTTTTTCTTTCCATTTTCATAGCTTGGGCTGAGGGATTCCTGTGAGTTCTGAAAGCGTTTGTTTTGGAAGGTCAGAGTCTTTGATGAGTTCATAAAATTCGATTTTTGCTTTTGGGGATTTTATTATTGAGTAGATAGGGATTTCTTCAGTTAAATTTACGAATTCTCCTCGGGAGAGGTTCAGCTTGATACAGATATTCTGTGGAGAAGCTCCAGCTGCTAATAAAGAAAAGACTTGGGCCTTTAGATCGATTTTTCCTCTTATTTCATTACTGGTGAGCTGCCCCCAATTCCCAATAGAGTGGACTAAATGTGAGGAAATTTGAAAAAGCTTGGAAATTATTGTTGGATCTATACCTTTGCTGTAGAGTTTTTTTATTTCTTCTTTTATGTTTTCAAGGAGAGGGGTGTATTTTCTTTTCAATTCAGCCCTGATGTCGATGGGTTTTTCTTTTTTTGGCCTTTTTGTAGGGATTTCTCTTGATTTGTTTATCATGCTTGAACAGTTGATGATTTTGTAATCTGATTTTGGCACATTTGGTAATTTTAGTTTAATTTCTGGCTTGATCTCAGGAAGAGGTTCAGATATGGGAACATGAGCATGAAGCGGTTTAATAAACTCAAAAGGTTTCACTTTTGGAGCTTCGATATTGCTAGATGTTTTAACGAAGACCAACTGGCCGTTTATTATTTTCGCCTCTTTTTTCTCTTCTGAATCAGGAATATTATTAGAGGGTGGAGTTTGCATGATAGGGTTAGATGTCTCGAAATTATTTTTATTTCCGTTTTGGCTTGGAACTTTCACTTTTGGGGTTTCTTTAAACCCAACCTTTTTTATTGGATTAAGTTGAATTGCTTGAGGAATCTCTATTTTATGTTTTGCTACAAGATTACTTGTAGGAGTAGGCTGAATTGCTTGGGAAGTCGGAATCTCTATTTTATGCTTGGCTCCAAGATTATTTATGTGATTAGGCTGAATTCCTTGGGGAGCTTGAGTCTCTATTTTTGGCTTCGCTCCAAAATTACTTATGGGGATGGGCTGAATAGCTTGGGGAATCGGAATTTCTATTTTATGTTTCGTTCCAAGATTATTTGTGGAATTTAGTTGAATGGCTTGAGTAGCTGGGATCTCTATTTTACGTTTCTTCGTGCCAACTGATTCATTTTGATAATTATTATACATATTTTCGGCCTCATCAATAAGACCCTCAAATATCTTTGTAATTTCGTCTTGGACAGTGTTTTGCATTTCTGCAATAGTTTTGAAAAATTCCGCCAGCAAAGTGCTAGTGTCTGTCATTTAAAAAATATTTGACAGGGTTGGGGGGATTAATTGTTTTGTTTAAATAATTTTGAGCAACGTTGGCGGTAGAAGAAAGAATTTTTTATAATGCTTATTAGTAAATTTATATTACTCGATAAATCCCAAATGAAAAGAAGAATCTCAGAATTAAGCTCTTTTTTAGTTTTTCTATATTATTATATTAGAATTAAAAATCTTTATTAAAAACCATATATATTATAATTCCTCAGCATCTTCAGAAAATGTTTCCTTCCACCCAGACACCAAATACTCACTCAGCCCCAGCGCTTGCGCTATAGGCTTAACTTGACCTACTCTCTCTGCCAATTTTACAATATTCAATTTTATCTTTGGATCAATCCCATCCGTGCTATTACTAATTTCAGCCTTGATTACCTCCAACTTCTTTTCTATAGCTCATGATCTCTTTTAGATTACTAAAGAAAGTTCTCAAAGGATAAATGGATTTAAAAAAATAATTTTTAAACGTACCAAAAGTAAAATTGGCAAATCGCCAAATTGTTTTGGCTTGCCAAGAAAAATGGCATAATTAAAAATTATTTTTCCTTTGAGAGATATATTTTAAAGAATCTAAATGGGGACCTGCACTATATATCTGCTGACAACACTTCTTTAACTCCTGCATTGTCGTTTTTAATTTTTTTTTGCTTTTTCTTAATATACTCTTCTATAAGCTCTTCGCCGATATTTTTAAAATTTTTCATTTTTTCCTTTTTACAGAGGTATCCTAGTTTGGAAGAAGGGATATAGCCATGATCAAAGCAATTTCGGTCTTTTCTTCAGTCATAATATCATTGCTTTAAGTTGTGCCATGATATATTGCATAATCGTATCAAAATATGCCTTCCGCCATGCTCATTGTAGATATCGCAAACTTCTTTTTTAATGTGGTCTGGGACTTCATCATTTCTTAGCATACGCCCTTTGCGGGGGCGAAGTTCATCTTTAATACGTTTGAGCCTTGCATAAATTTCCAATACTCTTTGTGAAGGTTCTTCTTCTTTTGACATTTTACTATATTAAGCCCCCAATTTTCGAAAAAATGAATTTTTAATATATGGGTTTTCATCTTTAAGCTATTTATCCTTACTCCCCTTCTGTGAGGTAACAAAACTATTGGAAAAATCCCTATTTTTTGCCCAAAAGCCCACCTCAGTGAGCGGACAAAAATTTTTTTATGATAATAAAATTATTTATAATTAAACTAGTGTGTAATTATTTTAATGATAATCATAACTAGTCCTTTCCAAACTAATCCTACAATTTGATCCTCTTGCTAGATAATATTTTTATTAAACTCACTATAAAGATTCAGAGTTTCAAGGTGGAGCAAGATCCAATTAATCTATACCTATGCATCAGCTATATATGAGCAAGTCGGCTTATTATAGCCAATTTTTGTCTTGAAGAGTTAAATTTTAAATTTCATGCTTTCATTTCCCAAAATTAGGAAAAAAGTAAAAGAACTGCCCCAGTTATAATAAGTAGCATTGCTGTCTATATTAAAACAATTTTTTCTTTAATAGGATCATCAGCAATAATCTTGGAATTTCTGTTTAATGTAATCAGATACGCAGCAAGGATTTATCACACAAAAATTATAATAGCATATAACTCTTTTTGAGTATTTTTAAGAACCCAATTTCAGTTCCCATCTATTTTAATAATTTGCTGAAGATTTATTATTTCCAACACGATCTTTTTGCAAAAATGCCAAAAAATCTAGTTTTTGAATTATCCTAATTCTAAAAAGAAAATTTGTCTTATTTAAATTTTTCATCTAAAAATCTACCTTCTTCATGCTGTTTTTTTAGCCATCTATTGAAGCTTTCATCACTTAGTTCTTCAGGGACTGCTCTTTTCTTTCATGATTCCTCTTGAATGTCATATACTCCATTAATCATATAAAGTAGTGTCCCAGGCAAAAAGATTAGATATAAAAAGATCCATTTACCTGTTTCCTTTGTATTTACTCGAGTTGAAGCAGGTAGAGAGTACCACTTTCTAAAAAATTTGTCCAATAATTTCATTTATATCCTTAAAAGCATTCTATCAATTATTCAGTATTATTTAGAACTACATATGAAGATTTAAGCTATTTAAATATATTTTCCATACTCCTTTTTTAATGAATATCACAGCATTAGCGATAGTCTATACTTAATCCAGTCAATGTTTTCAGCTTCCACTTTTACAAGTTTGTGGTTTACTTCTTGAGAACTTGCAGCAAGAAATGAATTTTCATGCTCAAGGAATGGGAATAATACACAACCTCCATATTTAAGGTCTTTATATTCAGTTATATTTCCTGCTGAAACATCAAACAAATAAGTTTTGCTGCTTTCTCCTCTGATATTATCAGTTTTTCTGATCCTTCCACCAATAATTATTAAAAAATCATCAAAAATTGGTATCACTCCTAATCTACAAGAAGGAGCTGGCAAAGAAAGCTGAAGAAGCACCCATTGGGTCCCATCATATCTTTCACATGATGCCATAAATCCAAATTTTCCAGATCCTCCAATAGCAAAAATATATCTTTTTGTGCTGCAAATCCCAAAATCAGCCCTTGCGAAATTCAAATCTGCCACATTATTGCTTCTTACGTTTTTTGAATTTCTCTGAAATTGATCCATATCAAATACTACGCATGAGGAAGATGGTATTTGGTTGATGAATCCTCCAATTAAATAGAGATTTTCTTGGAAAATGCAAGATCTTGGAGATATTCGGTTTACTTCGTTATAATAAAATCTATTTGATTTTAATTCTGATGGAGTAATTTTTAAAAAATTATAACTATTTATAATAAATAAAAGCATTCCTAATGGTTTCTGATGAATCGAGAATACGCCAACTAGTGGGAACGTTTGTATTCTCTATAAGTAAGTATGAATCCCTTCGAGCTTTCGCCTCCCAAAATAAAATATTCTAATTTTTCATTTTCTTGGCAAAGTGCAATTGCAGATGTATGGCTAACTTTAATATGACGATTATTGGTCTTGAGCGCTAAATTTATACTTGGATCATAAGTGTAGAAATTTGGAAAATCAGGAATATATAATAATTGACTTTGCATATTATTACTTAAGCTGATAAATGGCCTTTGAAGTAAAGTATGATTATTTACCATTCATATTAATAAATAATTAAATTTTAGTTTGATAATTTTTACTTTTTTTAAAGAACATCGGATTTGCAGATTGTTTTTTAGTTAAATGAATCTTTCGTCATATTTTTTTAATTTACGTTTTTTAAGGACAATTTATTAAATAAAATTAATTAGCCAGTTAAATTTTCACATATGCAAGCCCTTATTTCCCTCTTTAATTCTGTTACAATTTAAAAGTGGGATTAATTTTTATCTTCAAAATAAAATTTTTCTCTATAAAAAAATTTAAATTGAGCATAATGTTTTATAATTTTAATCTATTTAATAAAGAATTAATTCAAAAATTTAATCGATTCAGTGTGTGAAAACCGTTTAAAATATTATTCAACTTGAATTCTCCATTAAATTAGGCCAAAATTAATTTTATAAAAATTAGTATCTTTGCCTATATACAATTTTCCTATTGAAAAAATTTTATTCCAATTTTAAAGGGGACTTCAATTTAAAGGAAGTTAAAACACTCAAAAAATAGAAATTTAGCCTATATTTTGTTCCAATTCAGAGGGAAGAGTTAGAGCAAGTAACATTTAAATATTTTCTTTTTTTCTATGGTTATGCTTTTAAGACTCCGTTATCTATCCAGTTAATAAAATTAAGCCTAACATGAACAGCAGTCCGCTTCCTCCTGTCATTGAAATAACTGAAAATTCAGACAAAACAAGCGAAAGCGAAAATGAGAATATTGACTCCAATGAGTTCTACAAGTCTCAAGACGAAGTTGAAATTGAAATTATGCCTGAAATCAAATTTTCGTTAGATAGCTTTTCAGAAGAAAAAGCAAACAATAGTGCTGTCCGTATCATGGAACTTGAGCAAGCACTTCAAACTGAAAATTGGAGATTTCAGCAGGAAATTTTTAATATGAACCAGGAATATCATAGCACAATCAGTCATATGTCAATGGAGCTTGATATTTATTTTATTTTATATTGATTGAGCAACATCTTAACCATTTAAAAAATCAATCATGCTTTTTATAAATTTATAATAAAATAACAATTCAATTAATCTGAGCACACCAAACAAAAACCAAAATTTATCGAAAGCAAATAGAAGAGATGAAAAAAGAGCTAGAAATCACCAAAAAGAACCTCATAGAAGAGCAGCAAATCAGAAAAACTCTTGAAGAAAAAATTCTCGCAATCACAGTGAATTCTGAAGAAAAAGAGTCTTCCCTTCTTGCTCTATTAGAGCAACGAGATCAAGACAATTTCCAGCAGCGAACTGAGAATGAAAAACTACAGAAAAGGATTGAAGAGCTAAACGATGAATTGTCCAACAGGAAACTTATGAAGCAAGAAAGCCACTCAACTATAGGAATGAGCATAACTGACTCAATGGACGCTGATTTTCTGAAAACTAATGAATCAGACTCTTCTAAAGAAATTAGCAAAAAGTTTGCTGACCCTATTGATATTGCATTAAAAGAACAATTGGCCAAACTAAATTTGCATGGACATTTTAGGAAGCAGCAAAGCAATGTGTATTGCTATGGAAATAAAAAAGTGTATATCATCTTAAAGAATGGAAAACTGCTGTGCAGATGTGGGATTGGATTTCAAGCATTTGATGATTTCATTAAAAATGCAAATTTCAAAGCAAATTCGAGTCCTCCCAAGGTTGTTCATAGAAGAAGCAATACTGCTTCAGGAGACTTGCATAAAATTCACCCAGAATTTGAGCCTGGAAATGGGTATTCTCCAGATAGCTCAAAAATGCATTTAAAAAATAGGGTTGGAACACCTTTATTGGGGAGCAGCAATAGCTCAAAGTCTTTGAGAAAGTAAATAAAAGATAGTGATAATTTATTGAACTTTTTAAAAAATAAATAATTTATATAATAACTATTTTGACTTTAATAAATCTAATGACTGTGGTACAATTTTCGAGCGAAGGATTTTGGAATTCCTACCAAAGGTAAATGCAAATTTGAATAAAATTGAAGTGTCTTTTCCCTTTTTTCTATATAATAAACTTGGGTATTTTTTTCTTTGTACAATGAGTCCAATACAAATTATTAGTACCCATCCTCCCAAAATTATGGCAGCCCATGGAAAATTGGAGGATCCAATAAGAAAATTCATTATACATAAGATATCGACCCAAGCAACACCAATAAGGCTTAATTGCTGTCACCAGTTGAATCTTCCATAGTTGTAGGCTTTGAATTTCCAAATTATTCCAATGTATATTAATATTGCAAACGTAAAAGCAAAACCATGGGCAACGTCACTGGCTCTTTTAAGTGTTTTATTGAGCACTATTAAAATTACTTGGATTACTGTTTTCACCATTAAGTACATAGGGACAGCTTTTACATGTAAATTATTTTGAAATTCTTGCCAAAGAGGCCTACAAAACACTGCAAAAGGCTCATAACATGCTAATGCAAATGAAGAAAAAATGACATAAATAATATGGTCGCCTTGCCAGCAAAATTGGTAGCAGTCTTTTGTGAGGTAGCTATCAGTGAAATTGTTCCCTATAGAGTGATCGCATACAAAAACTTCTAAAAGGATAGATATAAATGGGATGAAGCATAAATTCCCTAAAACTGGCATTGAGTTGTCAGCTAGGAATCCTAGAGCTCTAAAAGCCCACATATCATAGAACTTTTCATCCAATTGAAAGAAAATTTCCAAACAAAAAACTACCCAAAGTGCACATAAAACTATCACTACAATTGCAATTCACCAGAAAACGCCATTTTCAAGCTTGACAAAGCTTTCAAGATCTAAAGACAATGCATCCCCAATATCTGCTATAAATGAATTTAAAGGGCGGATATCAGGCCCCATTGACAGCAGCTGAAAAAACTCTACAGCAATTGTAATGCCCACAATTAAATCTGCGACTGAAATTTCTTCACTTGTCACAAGTGGCTCAACTTTTCTGTTCCATCATTTTTTCCAGATTATAAAAGTGATAACTGCTGTTATAGCTGCTATAAAAAAGCAAATCCCAAAAACTAATGCCCTACCTTTATAAAAAGTCTGCTTTAATTTATCATCAAATGGGCAATTTGTCCTTGTGACCCTAAAATCTGTAGGTTTATTAGTTGTTCCATCTGCATATATCATTGGAGTACTTATAGTTAAAATTTTAGAACCACTGGGTGTTAGATATCCTACTGCATAAACAGAGAGTCCTGTTGTTTCATTATAAGAGTTTGATTGAATTGTGAGGCTGCTGAAAAGCCTGTCATTACCTTCGTTTTGTATATACATACTGCCAGTGCACCCTACAAATTTAACTGTCCTTATTGCTGATTGGACTGTGTAAGGATCAGTATAATCATTTCCGCGATTGATAGTCCAATCCAAAGATGCAGCAATTAAATAAACTGCGTCATAATAAAGGCAGGCATATGAAGTTGGCTCTGTTTTATATATTGAATAAAGGTCATCATGAACCTGTTTGCCTTTTTTCCCAACGTATAATGATTGAAACGCAATCATCGATGGGACTCCGACTTCAACTCTTTTATAGCTCACACATTCCTATTTATCGGCTTATAGCCCTTTTCAGGATATAAATCCTCAATAAATGCATAACCGTAAAATATGGTTAGAAAACCCAAAAGCAATTTTATTTTAATCTAGTTGGCGATTTTTTTGGAAAGCACAATCTAGGCCGAATTCAAAATTTGGATTTAATGAATCAATAACGGTCAAGAGCTATATATGTATAATCATCTTTTGCGGCGACTGAAGTAATAAAAATAGGATTAGCTGAAAAAAGAAACACATCTCCTTTTCTTAACCCTAAGTCATAAAATACTTCTGCAGAATACTCTCCTAATGGAGATGCTAATCCTAATACAACCAATCTTACATTTAAATCTATAATTTCTTGATATGCATTAACATTATCATTACTTATTGAGAAACCCCCGCCGTAATTCCCGAAGGACTATCTTCACCCCTTAACGCATCACTCTGTTGCTCATCGCCAATCGTATCGTGATCTTCAAAGTGTTGTTCCTATCGGACGAGGATATACACTCGCTAACCGTAGTTGGATCAGTTGCGTCACCTTGCAGTACGTCAACAGAGTTGCCCATTCCGAAAATTAAAAAAACAAATGTTCTGGTAGGACTTTCGGCTAAATGGAAATCCAAAGCCTGGAGCGTAACGTCCAGTTTTCACGCTAGGGAGCTGTCCGATGGACCGAGTGGAGTGCTTGGCTTTGCTGAGCTTCCCCTTTTCAACTTTGAATCCCATTTCCCCTGAGGTTAAAAACCTGGTACCAAATGAGCTGCGGTCAGCCTAATCCTACGCTGCGCTCAACTGCGCCAAGTAAAAGCCTAGCCGGATATACTTCACCGAGTGCCAATTTCCCTTCCAAGTCCCCGCCTACAGGTGCTGAGAAAAAGGGCTGGCTCACCATGACCATTTTAATGTATATAATTTCTTGATATACACTATACCAATTTTTAATAGTCTCTCTTGTCAAAACAGCAGGAATTACCTGCAATTTGTTAACAATTTTCAAATTTTGTTTTTCAGCAGCTAACCTTACATAATATTCTACAGCAATCCCTATGCTGTCATTTTGGTATATAAGAGCTATGCTTGACCAGCCCATCACTTTGAATATCAGCGGAATTTGTGTATAGGCAAATGAGCTCGGCAAACTTATCCTTGAAAAAAAGGGGAAATTTGATTTATTAGAAAAAGCCACTTCACTACTTGCAGCTCCAACAAGAGGCATAGTAATATTTAGCTTCTGGAATGTGCTCATTTCGACACGGACTACAGGTGTAGTTGTAGCTACTATGTGAGCTAAGCCGAATTTGTCTTTATCTTTTGTGAAACAGCTTAAAGAATAGTTTGCGTTTGGGACAGAAGCTCCGCAATCAAAGTGGTTGACATTTAGCTGGAAGTTTTGTAATATATCTTGAGCGTTATTTATGTCGTTAACTGAAAGAGTAAGTCCTCTTGTGTTTGTTAATACTGATAGGTTGGGGGACGCGCCATAATTGTAGGCTCCGTCACTTGCGCTGAAGGTTAGAACTTTTTTCTGACTCCACCCCCTTAAAATGGAACAAATTATCGGTAAAATTTCCACTTTTTTGGTAAATTAACCCCCCTTTAAATTGGAACAAAATTTAATTTTATAATAAAAAATTATATATAATTTTTATCTAAAAAGTTTTGATATAAGTTAAATGTTTCTTCTTAACTAAAATTAAAAATTTATTTATATCTTGCTCTTTTTTAAAGAAAAAAGTATAAAGAGCATCTTATTTAAATAAATTTATTATCCTTAATTGGCAAAATTTAAAAAAAAATTAATTTGTTTTTTTTTAAAAATTTTCAAAAAATTTTGGTTTTTTTTGATAAAAATGATATTTTTTATTTGGATAGTTTTGATATAAATTCAATAGGAATTCTTTATAAAATTTCAAAATTTACTTATTTCTTGCTTTATTTTAAAGAATAGAGTATAAATAATATCTTATTTAAACAAAATTAGCACTTTGATCGATAAATTTATTTTTAATTTTTTTTTATCAATAAAAATAATAATTTTTGTGTAAATAATTTTGATACCAATTAATAGTGGCTATTAGCTAATAATGAAAATTTAGTTATATTTTTGCTTTGTTTTAAAGGATAAAGAGTAAATAGCGCTTTATTAAACAAATTTATTGATCTAATTCGATAAGTTTTGAAAATTTTTTTTTTTTAATTTTTTTATAAAAAATTTTATACTGATATTTTTTTTTAAAAAAAAAAATTAACCCCCTTTAAATTGGAACAAAAATTTTTAGTTCCAATTTTAAAAGGAGGGGGGGAGTGAGAGATCGGGATATTAGAAGAGTCCCCTGGGAATATAACAGAGGATATTAATGATAGGCGTTTTTCTGTTATTGCTCCAATAATTTTTTTCTCATTGTTTTGAATATTTATAAGAGAAAATTCAGTACTACAGTAATGACTTGGGCACTTTTGGGTTAAAACTTTTAAAGATTCGTCTGAGTTCGAAAAATTTGTTAATGTAAAAATCATGTCTGAGATTGCAGCAGACCAGTATTTTTCATTTGAGTCTACTAACTCTCTACCTTTGTCAACCAATCCTAATGCTCCTTCAAGATTTGAGCCATAACTGCTCTCTCCGATAAGCAGAATTCCTGTTCCCTTGGTCAAAATTTTAGACTCAACTAAATTTTTTTGAACTTCAATAGATATTTTTTTATTAGTAAAAACATAAAAAAGAGACGACCCATGCCTCACAATCTCTCTTTGCACGAACCCTTGAATATAAGTATCTGAATTAATTGAAATTATCTCTATACTTTGGGAATAATTCCACAGAGATTGCTTTGAATTTAAATACTTTTCGGCATTACTGATTGCAATACCATCAGTTCAATTAAAAAATGTCAAAGTAGTTACTAAAGCATCGGTTAAGCTTTCTTTAGAGCTTGACAGAGAAAAAGACCAGCTGCTTTGGAAAAGCAGGCTATTAGAAACCACAAAATGGACTATAAAATTTTGCTCACAGATAACTGCAATTTCGAACTCGGTATTAAGACTGCAGGTAATATCAAAAATTGCAAGCAAATTCGGATGCATGGAAATTTCTTCTTTGAGAAAAGAGAAATCACATGCCATAATTTCAACTGGGGTTTGATTTAATATGTTGGTCTGAATATCTGAGATTAAACTTGGGATAATCTCTCTAGTGAAATCTGAGTAGACAATTAAAACTTCTGATGAGAGATATTGAGGAGCAAAGCTTAAAATCAAAGAGAAGTTGAATAGTTTTATAAGGATATTCGCAAGAACCACAAATTTGTATTCCATTTATTATTATTCTTAATTATAAATTAACAAAAAATCTTTTTTAGTCACCACATTGGAACATGGCCAAGCACTTGTGAAAGAGTAACTTTTTGTCTAATTGAGTATTTTCTTATAAATGGGAGCACTTTAAAACTATAAGAATATTTTAAGAATTGCCATAGAGTATTGGGGATATCGAAAATATACTTTGAATTGGTAGAAACAAACTATGTCTTTATAATGGATTATTATCATTATAAGCTATAAGTTAAAATTATGAAAATTACTTTCCATAATATAAATTTTATTCTTAGAATATGACATTTTTATAAATACAAGATTATTGAAAACAATTAAATAATGCAATTATGATTAATTCTTGTTATTTTCATTATATATTATGGAATCTTTAAATAACATTTTGACAGGTAAATATTGAAAAATAATGTCACTTTGTCGTGAATTTGAATACCAGTCAGGAGAAAACTCAAATCCATTGGCATTGATTTCATCAAAAGAACCTTCCCGAAACTGAAATTCTCTTAGAATTTTATTGCTCTCAAATTCATGAAAAATTCGTGTGTCCAATATTCTTACCAAAGAATGATTAATTCTAACATAGCACCTTAGCAGAGCATAGAAGCAATCTTGCATTGCTCGAACTCTCATATAAAAGGTTGAGACCCCTATTTCTTCTAAAGAATCCTCATAAAATTTTAACTCTGAACTTCATAATATTGGATTATCTTGTCCAAGTCGATGCAAAGGAAGGTTGTCATTAGAAATTTGAAAAATCACATTTTCAGGTAGATCTTTTCTCGGATAAACTGGCCTTAAGCTTCCCTTATAAGGCGTTGAAAAAGTTCAGTCTGTTCTTGTTCCATTTGTATTAAGATTCAAACTTGGATTTTTAATTGGTCGAGGAACAATATTAATGTGGTCATGCAATAAATTACCCTCTCTATATAGTTTTTCATTTCTTAGTTCAGGCTCACAAAGCTGCAATGCTGCTTCTGAAGATATAAAATAATTGAATCCAAGATCAGTGTTTTTAAAAGAAACAAAGCTGTTTCCATAAAATGTTTGGGGAATTTTTATACCAGTTTGACGATTGAGTGTAAGGGTTTCGTCTGAGCGGAGTAAGCGACCCCTTTCTACTTCAATGCTCCATTGGCCTGCTCTATATCTTTCCATTTATCATTCACTATTTATCTTTTATACCAAACTAATTTTTTGTTTATTAAAGTGCAAAGTTTATTCTTGAGTTTGAAGTACCATTGATTATTAAATTTAATAAATAAACCATTTATCGAGAAATTGCTATAAACAAATTATTATAAAATTATAAATAAAATTGCAGCACGTATAAAATGCTAAAAAGATTAAAAAATGGTTTAAATTAATTATGGTAGGCTAAGCTTAAATCTTTCCATTGTAAACTTAATTTCAGCTATAGAAGATCTTGAAATGCTCTAATTTATAATCTGAAATAATTTTTAGATTCTTTTCAAAAATTGCCTATAATTCCTTAAACAGATAATTAGATAAATTAATTCCCATTAAATTTAATTTTTTATCTGTAAAAATAAATTCCTTGTAAGTAGCTTTGATGACCATTTTATTGTAGCCAGAATATTAAATTTACAGATTTTAAATAAGGAGTGCATATGCAATATTATTTATAAAAAGTTATCGCTTTAATTTTATAATTATTTTAATAATTTGTTCTCATTTAAATTTTATATCCTAAATTAAGTAAGCCCTTTTAAATTTGGACTGGTTTTTTTGTTTTTATTTGAAGGCTGGAGTAAATAATGTTTTCTGACACTAATAAAATTCATTAAATTCTATTTATGATCAAACAAAATTATTTATTTATCTAAAACCCAGTTTATAAAACTCCAGAATTTTTCTTTGCTGGCTTCTCCAAAATTGATCAAAGATATCCTGTAATTATATTTCGAGAAAGGATCAGGGCATTGCATATTCGCACTTACTCCTTTGCCTATAGCAAATGAGAAAATCTTATAAAATTATTTTAATAAAATTAAAGGTGTTATAGTCTCCAACATTTTCTAAATCAAAAAAAAAATTATTTAAATATATATACTTTATAAAATATATTTACTCCCCCCCCCCCCTCCGTGAGCGAACAAAACCATTAGAAAAATCGCCATTTTTTGACCAAAAACCCACCCTCCGTGAGTGAACAAAAATTTTTTTAATAGAAAAAATTTTAATGGAAAAAAATTTTGATATATAAGTGATAATTAGTATAATGAAATCTAGAGCTAATTCTGTTTAATTTTAAACAAATTGCGTTTTAAAACATAAATTTTGCAAATTAAATTAATATTTGCTTCCCAATTTTTGCAAATTAGGATTTTTTTTTAAATTTCGAAAAAAATATTTTTTATAAAATTTATATATAAATTTTTTTTTAAAAAAAAAAATTAACCCCCCTCCGTGAGCGAACAAAATTTTTTTGTTCGCTCACGGAGGGGGGGGGGGGAGTTAGTATAATTTAAATTGAGTTAGAGACTAATTTATTCAGTGTTTCCTCATTCAAAATTTAAATTCTTTATCTACCCTTTTAAACTTCTTGCCTTATTCATATTCCACAATCGATTTTCAAATATGTTAACATTTAATTCCAAAATGCGTCAATCTCGCCAAGAATTTTCTCGACAAAAACTCGAAGTCTACGGCACAGCTCCTTTGCCCCGTTTCGGCCATACAATGACTCCAGTCAGCAAGACAAAAATCATACTCTTTGGTGGGGCCACTGGTGACACAGGCAAATACTCAATTACAGGGGACACTTACTGCTTTGATATTGTATCGAACACTTGGTCAAGGCTTGACAGGGTCTCTGGAATTTCTCCGTCTCCCCGTGCAGCTCATTCTGCAAGCTCAGTCGAAGCATATCAGATGGTTATCTACGGAGGTGCCACAGGAGGTGGCTCCTTAGCTTCAGATGACCTTTATCTTCTAGACATGAGATCTGGAGAAGATCAAGCTTCATGGATGATCGTCCCAGTGGTAGGCACAACCCCAGGCAGACGCTACGGGCACACTTTGGTGTTCCAAAAACCTAATTTGCTCGTCTTTGCAGGAAACACCGGGAATGAGACTGTTAACGATGTGTGAAGCCTAAACGTCGAAAAAGCGCCTTTTACATGGATAAAGCTAAATATTCAAGGAGAAACCCCAAAAGTAAGAGTTTATCACTCAGCTTGCTTGTGTTTGACAGGGTCAGCTACAGGAATGATGGTAATTTATGGAGGAAGATGCAATGATCAAGCTGCATTGAATGATACATGGGGTTTGAGAAGACATAGAGATGGTAGGTGGGACTGGGTAAGAGCTCCATATAAGCCGAATGGAGAGCAGCCAGTGCCTCGATATCAGCATGCGTCCCTCTTTATTGGATCTACCATGATGGTGCTTGGAGGCAGGACAAATCAGGTAGGTGAAGTAGTTCCACTTGAAGCCTATGACACAGAAAATAGCGAATGGTTCAAATTCAACTCAATCCAAAGATTTCGACATGCCTGCTGGAGCTTAGATTCCGACGTGTACGTTCATGGTGGGTTTGAGCACGAAACACCTAATATCCCAACCGATACCATTTTCAAAATTGATACTATAAGGCTTTTTGGAAAAAATGAGCAGCTTATTCCTCGTACTTCAGACCCCACCCCAAAAGCCCAAATAACTAACCTAGACCAGCAGCGTCCTATTAATAGAGTCCCAAGGAACAACAACAAAACCCCAGAAATCCGTCTTGCAAGCCAAGTCCTTGTATACATGAACGAACAAAGTGACGAACCATCTTCTCAGATTAAACGTGTCCCTCTAGAAAGGCTTCAAGAAGAAGGCAAAAGAATCGGCGTCAAAGCACTTCCTCCAGGGATTTCTAAAAGTACTCAAGAAATTGAAAGCAACAATGAGCAGATCTTAGACCAATTATTCAAATCCCGAGAATGGAGCAGCATCACAGAAACTCGCTTTGCTTTGAGAAAAGAAATTGTCTTGAGCCTAATCCAAGACTGTGAAAACATTCTAAAAAATGAGCCAAATGTGATCAGAATTAGAGCACCTGTAAAAATATTCGGAAATCTGCATGGACAATACATCGACCTTTTAAGGTTTTTTGAGATGTGGGGCGAACCAAGTGATAAAAATAATGAAGGAGATATCGAAAGCTTTGACTACATATTTTTAGGTGACTATGTAGACAGAGGCAATCGATCCTTAGAAACCATCTGTTTATTGATGTCCTTAAAACTCAAGCATCCAGACCAAATTTTCTTGTTAAGAGGACATCATGAAGATATTAGCGTAAACTCGCTTTATGGGTTTGCTGACGAGTGTCGCCAGCGCTTAAATGAAGATACCAATGACCCGAACTCAGTTTACCAAAAAATCAATAAAATGTTTACATTTTTACCTCTCGCATGTGTAATTGAGGACCGAATCTTGTGTGTTCATGGCGGAGTTGGCCATGGAATTCGCTCTTTGGACGAGCTTGATGCAATTCCTAACTCCCCTCCCTCCTTGAGAGACAAAAAAATCTTGTTCGCTCACGGAGGGAGGTTAATTGTTTTTTTTTTAAAAAATCCCACTTCTCGAAAATTGGAAGGCGCATATTAATTTAATTTATAAAATTTATGTTTTACAATGCAATTTGTTTAAAATTAAACAGAATTAGCTCGAGATTTCATGATACTAGTTATGCACTATCTAAAAGTGCATATCACTTATATATCTAAATTTTTTCCCATAAAAAATTTTTGTTTGCTCACGGAGGGTGTGTTTTCGTGCAAAAAATAGGGATTTTTCTAATGATTTTTTTCGCTCACGGAGGGGGGAGTAAGCCAATCGAAGTAGCTCAGAACGCAACTTTACAAGACCAGCAAATTTTGATGGATGTTTTGTGGTCAGACCCATGTGAAAAAGAAAATGAAATGGGTTTCAAGGCTAACACTGCAAGAGACTCAACAGGTAGCAGAAATATTGTGAAATTTGGAGCTGATAGACTACAGAGATTTTTAACTGATAATAGGCTATCAATGGTAATCAGATCCCATGAGTGTGTTATGGAAGGATATGATAGAAATTCTCAAGGTGATTTAATAACTGTTTTTTCTGCAACTGATTATTGTGGAAAATATAAAAATGCAGCTGCGATTTTAGTGGTGAAGAGGAGTATGGAAATTGTTCCAAGATTAATATATCCACTGAATAACTCCAATGAAAGCTGGATAGATAATGAAGAAAGTTTAAGAAGAAGGCCAGCAACTCCTCCAAGGTGGAAATCAAGCAAGCTTAAATAAGTTATTAGATATTATATAAATATTAATATGCTTTCAATTATAATTTCTCCAATGATTAACGGATCGGCATTTTATATATCAAAAGAGAGATAGCATGATATAAGTTTATCTGATTAATATTTATGCTAACATAAAGTTTACTTATTGAAACTTAAATGGATATATAAATCTCTATATTTAACCTGCTTTAAAGGCATTCATCCTTCAAATTATTTTTTATTTATAGAGTCTCGTAAAATATCTCTAACTAGGGTTAATTATTTTAAAGATTATATAGAGATTTGAATGAGCCCTTTTTTCTAATTTTATAATAGTTTAGAGTGGAAATTTTATAAATCTCAAAAAAGAATGCTTATCTGGAAATATATATGGCATTGAAGTATAATATTAATAATTTCACAAAAAAATATTTTATAATAAAGATAATGGGCATTTAATTGAATATATGTTAAAATAGAAAAAAAAGCTATCATTATATTTCAATCATAAGTTTTTGATGCAAATCAAACTTATAATATCTCTTATTCGAGCTATTTGCGATATAAACTCCTCCTTTGTTATATACACAATAAGCCTGAGAAGGAAATTTGAACTCAATTATTGAACTCGCAATCTGTTTCCAAGTATATTCATCTCCCAATCCACTCTCATAGATCTTCCCATTCCCACACTCAATCAAATATAGTCTTTCTGCATTTATCAGAATCTTTCTTTTCCGCTCTGCAAATTCATAAGGAATTGTATTGAAAGAGTCATTTTCAATTGAATACAGCAAAAGATTACTATCTCTATATCTAGAAATCAAAAAAATTTGTTTAAATATAACCAAATGACAGCCATCATCAGCTCTTGGCATCGGAGTTAATTTAATTCAACAATTTTGGTCCAAATCAAATCTTTCTGACAATTTTAAAGCTTTTTTCCCGTTGGATCCTCCAAAACAATAGACAGATCTGTTGAAATAGATTGCTGATGAGAGTGAGACAGGCTGCCCAGAAGGCAACGCTTGAACTTGGAAATCGCTAGAAATTTTTAAGGTTATTCCAGAAAGCTGGCTATTGCCAAAACAGAATAACTCACCATCTGGAAGTTGAGCTATACATGTGTTATAATCTAAAAGCTCTGGAGTTTCTAGTATTTTTGATTCTTCTATATGGGTTTCAGTGTCATAAATGAACAAATTAGTTTTATTGTTAGCATCGTTTATATGATAAAGGGATGCCATCTGATGGTAAGGATTCATAGATTCTTGAAAAGTTTGGTTTAAAGCTGTATCATAGCTTTGGCTTCTATACAGCGCACAAGTATTTCTGAAATTTTTCTCTATTTTTTGGCTATTAGGACTGCATAAAATTTCAGATTTTTTAATGTTTAATTCTTCAGGATTCTGGCTCAAGGAATAGCTTTGATTTAGGCTAATTTCATTTATTTTATTTCAAGCTCTTCTACAGCTGAATTAAATTCAGAAATAAGAACAACAACTTGATTTTGAGTTTTTAGCTGAATCTTTTCTATTCAATTTTCAAATTCCGTTTTATTTTTTTCATTCTCTTCAGCTAGCTTAGATATCAATTGATTTACCTCTTCTAGCTTTTCCTTGATTATTTTATCATGCTCTTCAAGTTTGTTTTCAATAATCAAGAGCTTTTGACCAAGAAATCTTTCAACTTTTTCTTTGATGGAGTTTTCAATAATCCTTTCAATTTCTTCACTCAATCCACAAAACAGCTTAATGCTGCTGTGTGAACTTGAGTTTATTGGAACCATTGTTTTCAAACTCTCAACGGCAACATCAGGCTGCAAAGTCAATAGCTTCAAAAGAGGATCCTGCTCTTGTATGGGAATAATTTTAGTCTGGGAAATCTTTTCGAAACAGCTACTTATTACTGCTGACTCAGAATCCAGCTTTTTTACGTATTCTTCAAGACTATTTTCTGAACTGCAAAGATGCTGACTAAAAGATGATAAGATCTTATGCTTTAATTTATCTTTTTTGGACTTTTCTTTTGCAAGAAATCCAAGAACTGCATCTTTAGTTCCTTCGCAAGACTCCAGAAAAATAGATTCAAAGTTATGGGCTCTATTTGGCAATTTGCAATGTTTACCAAAATGGAATTCACAAGAGTAGGTTGCAGGGGATGAGCATTTGCATACATAATGAACTTCATTAGTGCAGCTTTGTTCGAAACATTGTTTGGCATCCATCTCCATGGCAGGCTTTGAAGATTAATTATTAAATCAGCCCTTTATTAAAAATTATCCTGAAAAAATTAATTAAAATTTATTATAAATCCACCGTTTTTGTTGCGAATTTCTAATCTTGTTTCATGGAATAAAAGGTTTCAATATATTTCTTCTATTAAAAAATCATTGAAAATTAATTAGAGAAGAAATCATTCTGAAGTGGTTAAGAGTTTATTCCTACATTTCCTCATCTATATTATTTAGAATATGGTAGGAAGATTTATTTAGCTCTATAGATGCTATATTTTATTGGCAGAGAATTGGTAGGAAATCTAACGTAAACTTCAAAACTTTCTAAATTAAAAATTGCAGTGGTCTATATTTTTTATTAAAATATTCCAAAGAAATTAGATATATTAAATCTATGTATCAAAATTTCAATTATTTTTGAGATTAAAGCCTCTTGGAAAAACGAAAGTATATTACATTTCAAAAGATTTGAAAATATCTTTTAAGTTCTTTTAGAAAATAAAGAAAGCAAATTCAATGACTTCCCAATCGATGCCACATCATTTTAGCTATTTTTCTTGTTTTAAATAATGCAGAAAAATTTTGAAGTACCAATGAGTTGAATTTTTTTTGATATTTGTTATGCTTTCTCAACCAATTTCCAAAAATTTCAAAAATTTAATGGATCATGGATTAATTTTTGGTCGAATTTATTTATTAAGATAATCAAGATCAACTTATTTCTATGTTTCCAATTATTTTTTCTTTTTATATTTTTGCTTCTGTTTATTTTCTTCAACATTATTTTCAGTAGTTTTTTGTCCTCCTTTTTCATTGATAATTTTCTTTGAATTTTGCTTAAAGCTTTCTTTATTTTCCTCATCTTGCTCCTCTTTTTTCCCTATATCGCTTTGTTTGTGCTCATTATGTTTGCCTTTATCTTTGTTTCAGTGCTGCTGCTTCTGATTTCCTTTATTCCCCTTATATACAATAGGTACTCTTTGTTCTGGCTCATTCTGGCTTGTTTGTGCTTGGCTTGTAGAAATTTCCTTTTTTTCCTCCTCTTGTTCATTATGCTTGGTCAAACCTGGCTGGCTCTATCAGGCTCTATGGCTCTATCTGGCAGTAAGGCTCTACCTGGCAGTCTGGCAGTCCGGCTCTATTGGCTCTATCGGCTCTACCAGGCTCTACTGGGTCTACTGGAAGTCTGGCAGTATGGCACTACTGGCTCTACTGGGTCTATATGGCAGTCTAACTCTACCGGCTCTACTGGCTCTACCTGGGCCTATATGGCAGTCTGACTCTACCGGCTCTACTGGCTCTACTGGATCTATATGGCAGTCTGGCAGTCTGGCTCTACCTGGCAGTAAGGCTCTACTCATTAAATTCCAATCATGCTTTATAATTTAGATATCTTTTATAGGCCATTTGCTCAGATAAAAATAAGGTGCAGCCAGCTAGGACTCTTCACTAATTGCAAATACTATTATGTTAAAATAAAAAATCAGTTCTGCTATAATTTTTTTATAACTATAGATAAATCATAAAACAATTCTAATATAAAATTTCACTCTTATGACTGAATCTTATTATCTTATTCGATAGACGGGCTCATACCCTTAATTTTAACGCAATCATCAAAGATCCCTTGGGGGATTCACCCGCTTTGCGACCTTCCTTCCGTCCAGTCTCCTCCTTGCCTCTTGTAAAAGGCTCCAGTGTAGAGTGGGCAGGCTACGGGTTTGTGCAGCCTCCTGAGGCTATGGAATATGAGGTTGGCATTCTGAAATCCCAAAAAATGGAATTTCTGGTAGACTGTCGGCAAAAGGGTTAAATCCAGGTCCTGGGACGTAACGCCCAGTTTCACGCTAGGCAGTTGCCCGAGTGGTCTAGGAATTATCTGTAAATCTTGCTGGGCTTGCCCTTTCCAAATCTGAACCCTCCTTTACTTCAAGGTAAGAACCAGTCTCGAAGTTGGACTTGGGCTAGTCTTTGGCTCCTCTGCAGAATTGGTTACCTAGCATTGCCGTCCATGGATTTGTGCGGCCTCCTGAGGCTGAGAGAATACGAAAATTGGCATTCCGAAATCCCAAAAAATGGAATTTCTGGTAGCCTTTCGGCAAAAGGGTGAAGTCCAGATCTTGGGACGTAACGCCCAGTTTCACGCTAGGCAATTGCCCGATTGGTCTAGGTATTACCTGTAGACCTTGCTGGGTTGCTCTTTCCAAATCTAAGCCCTCCTTTCCTTCGAGTAAAAACCAGTCTCGAAGTTGGACTTGGGCTAGTCTCTGCCTCCTGCAGAATTGATTACCATAGCATTACTGTCCTTTTCAAGGCTAGAAAAACCTTGCCGGATATAATTAAAATATGAGTCGAGGATATATGGCTGTGAGGCCATATCTAGACGAAGACGCCATATTTTAATTATGATTTCACTGTTTTCAGTCTATTGCTTATAAATATCTTTAAAATTTTGATTTAAAATGATGGTGTAGTAAATAATATTTTGTTTTTGGTAGAGCCTTACTGCCAGGTAGAGCCAGTAGACCCAGATAGTCCCAGACTGCCGGACTGCCAGGTAGAGCCAGTTGACCCAGATAGATCCGGACTGCCAGACTGCCAGGCTGCCAGGCAGAACCATAGAGCCATAGAGCCGGACTGCCAGGTAGAGCCAGTAGACCCAGATAGATCCGGACTGCCAGACTGCCAGGCTGCCAGGTAGAGCCATAGAGCCATACTGCCAGGTAGAGCCGGTAGAGCTAGTAGAGCCTGACTGCCAGAGTGCCAGGCTGCCAGGTAGACCCAGACTTCCAGACTGCCAGGTAGAGCCATAGAGACAGACTGCCAGGTAGAGCCGGTAGAGCCAGTAGAGCCGAACTGCCAGACTGCCATATAGAGCCAGTAGAGCCTTACTGCCTGATAGAGCCAGTAGAGCCAGATAGAGCCAGCCAGGTTTGACCATATGCTTGCCTTTATCTTTATTTCAGTGTTGCTTTTGATTTCCTTTATTCCCCTTATAAACAATAGGCACCCTTTGTTCTGGCTCATTCTGAGCTTGATTTGTTGCTTCTTTGTTTTCTTCTCTTCCCTTCTTATTCCCCCAATCATTTTTCTTTCAAACAATAGGCACTCTCTGTTCCCTTTCTAAAGCCTTCTCAGCTGGCAACCCTGTTCCGCTATTTATCGGTCCTCTTAAATTTGGATCAACTTTTTTAACTTTTGGCTTTATCTCTCTGGGTTCAGGAAATTCAAGAGCTTCATCTTCTTCTCTTTTCTTGGTTTCCACTTTTTTCATAACTATTGGAATTCTTTGTCCTCCTACTTTCTGCTGCTCAATTATCTCATCAGGTGACGGCTTCATGAAAGCTTCAATAATTTGTTGTTCCTTAGGTCTTAACAATTCATCAAGAAGATTCGTAAGGATAGTTTGTCTCTTTTGAAAGGCGCTAGGAGTAGGTTGATTAACTTGTTCGAAAAATACACTCATAATTTAAGTTTTAAAGAAAATATAATGGTTTAGATTGGTATATTCGGGAAAATATTTACTGGAAAATTATAAAAACGATATATGAAGAAGACGAAATGAGCCTTTATCTGGTGATAAAGGCAGAAATTTTAGATAAATCTCAATAAGCGAAGAATACTTAAATTATTGGTCAACTGCAGGACCAGTCTTTTGTTCTATAGGTCTTCCATATTGATCAAGAAGACCAGCAAGTATCATTTGTCTTTTTTGTAGGGCACGAGGGCCCAGACCCCACCTGCGAGGGTAAGTTTCTCTGTCCATAATCACTCTTTTAATTTTAGCGACACATCCATGGTCGCAGTCAGCCATGACAGCTGTGGTCATTTCCGCGATTCCAATAGCCACTGCTTCTCCTTTTGTAGTCATGATCACTACTTCTTTTCCGACCTCAATGCCGTCCTCATATCTCAGAACTCCAGGAATCATGAGTTTTGCACCATAACAAACAGCATTGACACTGCTATCTTTTATCACGATTCTTGGAAAAGTAATTAAGAGGTATTCTAATGGCAGGACAACTCTTCTGAGATAAGTCTCATCACCTGTGTGCTCATAAACCCATTGGGCGTCCAGGACATCGTGCATTGTGACCATGTTTTCGTCTTCGTGCATGTTGCCTGACCTTACCCTTCTGAGTTCTTGCATGTGACCTCCAACTCCAAGTAATAGTCCTAAGTGGACACACATGGTTCTAACGTATGTTCCGGCTTCGCAGCTGATCCAAAAGACAGCCAAATCTTTTTCCTCGTTGACATCAAGAAGTTTTGCTTCATAAATTGTCCTAATTCTAAGCTCTCTTTTGACTGCTGCAATGAGTGGAGGCTTTTGGAAGCAAGGCCCTGTTAATTGAGCTAAGGCTTTGGCAATGCTTTTCTCGCTTTCTACTGGCTGGTGGAAGCGAACAACGGCCACGTACTCTTTCCCAGAGGATTGCTGGCTTTTTACAAGTCTTGTGGTCCTGTTGATGCAAACGATGAGACATCCTGTGACCTTGGGATCAAGTGTCCCACTGTGCCCAGTTTTTTCGACTTTGAGGATCTTTTTGACCCAGGCAACAACTTCGTGAGAGGAGGGGTTTGATGGCTTGTCCAAATTGATGAACCCGTACTTGAGATACTCTGGAAGAGGTCTCGAAAGAGGGGAGTGGCCAGCTGGAATTGGGGTGTAATGATGAGTTCTCACGTGAAGCTTGTCGATGTTCTAATTGGCAAGTACCTTTAGCAAAAGAGGCCAGCGAGATGTATCTGGGGTAGGAGCTGATTGATCCTTTGGTTCCAAGAAATCACTCATAATGGACTATAATTTAAACATGGAAGGGACTTAAGAGCTCACTTAAAGTTTGGATTGCAGGTGCAGTTTGGATCAAGTTTGATTAGATATTATAAAAATTATAATCATAGATACAGGGATGAGTTTAAAAAGCTATTATTGAATTATTTTGATAAAATTGGCTATTCTTTACTGCCAATTCTTTTTTTGGTTATTATTTGTGGATTAATTAGGCTTGGCAGCATAATGAATATTTTTCATTAATTAAACTTTTCCTATTAATCTATAAAGAGAGACATTAACTATTCAACTGCTCTTTACAATAAGATAACTAATCCTTTAAGTACAATTTTTAATCATACAGTAGCTTTGACTATCTCTAGCAAGTAATAACTGTTTTTTGGCATGCAAATGATAAGAGCTTAAATTTTAAAATAATAATGCCTATTAACTTGCAATAAAAGTATATAAGATAGATAAAGTAGATAGAACTTTTAATATGGAAGATAAACGAAATGCTAGCTTACCTCAATCAAGTGGTGATTCGGCCGAAAGAATCCCGGAAGTCTATCCACCAATAAGCAGAAAGCAAAGTATATTTAAAAAACACCCCTCTAACTACTCCACCCAGCAAGAGCCAACCTCCCCTAATGTTAAAAACAAAAAGAAATCAAAATGTCGCCGAGGCAATTCTATAGTCCCAATTAACGAAAGTGAAAAAAATGACGAGGAAGAAAACTTAATCCAAGAACCCGATTTAAGGCGCTTTCAAACCGAAAGAGGCAATCCTAATGAAAATCGCTACACAAGTATAGCTCGCAGCCGAACCACTAGTGACCATCATGGTCAGGCACAAAGAATCATCAAAGTTGCACGTTGTCCTCAGTGCAACCGACTTTCCTACTTTGAAAACGATGTCTGTTGCTATTGCAAACATCAAGGAAGCGATGGTCCAAAAGTTAAATCGTTTCTATTTATATCAGCATTTTGCTGCTGCTTACTATCAGAATAAGCACTATTTAAATTATTTAGTTTTGTAATATTCTATTAAATTTATACGTTTAACGCCCTTTACGGGGTTGCCCATCCCAGAGCTTCCCGCTGCCTTCTTCCACGTAGAGCCCGCAAGCCTCTGGGTCGACTTGCCTTGATCACACAATACGCTTTCGGGGCAGTGTTGCCGACTAAGGCGGCTCATGCCTGAGCTATTCTGCTTGAGGACGTGAGTTGTCTGCTGGGAAAATCCAAAAAATGGATTTTCTGGCCGACTCTCGGCAAAAAGGGAAAACACAGAGCCCGAGGCGTAACTCTCGGTTTCAGCTAGTGAAGTGCCCGATTGGTCCTGAGGACATTGCTGGGCCACCCCTTTCCAACTACTGTGCTCCCTTCCCCACGAGGTAAAATCATGCCTGAAATAGGACTTGGGACAGGCTCTGCACACTGCCAGAATTGCTTACCTGTCGTTGCTGTCCGTCTCTGGTATGGCAAAACCTTGCCGGATATAATTAAATAGAGCTCGAAACGTCTGGCCGGGAGGCCAGACCCAAGTTGAGACGCCATATTTAATTATATTTAGTTTTGTAATAAATAATATCACTTTTTAAATTTAAAGAATTTAGGAGAGTTCTAGAAAATATGTGTATTTGCAATAATTTATCTTGAAATTTATAATTAAAAAAGGGGGAACTAAATTTCTTATAATTTATATGGAAAACGAGACATTGATAGGAAGAGTTGTGAAATACACCGATGAAAAACTGAATCACAAATTCGCAGAGGTGATTGAGACTGAGGATGAAATTGTTAAATGCAAAGAACTTTTGAGGCCTGAGGACACAAAAGCTGGAAGACATTTGTATTGTGGAGATCGAGAGCTTTACCGTGGAAGTCTTGTTTTTGAGATGAATAAGGCTGATATAAAAGACTCTTACCCAATTGTATCATTGCAGGAGTATCCTACATCAAAAGGATTTCTGGTACGCCAATCTTATAGTGCAAGCACAAAATCATTTACTCCAGCAAAGCTACCAATAGTTTGCCTGTGCCAGCAGCCTCTTAACCCTGATATAAAATTTGCAATATGTCAGAAATGCAATCAAGTCTTTCATGATGCCTGCCTTACAGATGTTTCTTCTTGTCCAGACTGCTCTTTACCCTTTAAAAGGCAGCGCATTGAAATCCTTGACTTAGACTCTCCTAAAAAGCTGCAAAAAACTTCCACAAAAGCTCGGGTCGTCAATAACGAAAATTTGCCTTTAGATATAGACAAATATAAAAACCTTGACGAAAACAGCAGAGAAAGGCTGCAAGATAATGTAATGAAAGTCCACAATAACTATATATCTCTCCAATCAAGTTTATCATATGAAGAAAAAGCAAGGCAGCAACTTATCTGCAAAATAATAAGCAGCCTTTATCTTGCAATAGAAGAAAACAGAGACTTGAAGATTTCTAGATCTTCTAAAGATTTAGAAAAAAAAGCTATGGAAATTGAAGCTGCAATTTATTATTCAGCAGGAAGCAAAACAAGCTCAGCAGCTTATAAAGGAAAAGTCAGGTCGTTGATATTTAATCTATGTGATGAAAAAAACCCTGATTTTAGGTTTGGGATTTTGAAAGGAGAAATCAGCGCTAAGGAGATTTCCAATATGCAGTCAAAAGATATGGCGTCTTCTGCGATTAAAAATTTTAGACAGGAAAGGCAAAAAAAATATACTGAAGAAAACTTGGTCTTGCCTCAAATTGAAGCAAAATTGATGGTAAAAACTCATAAAGGAGAAGCGGTTTTTACAATGGAAGAAGGCATAACTGATGAAACAAGCACTGACATTTTAGATGTGCTGAGCAAAAAGAATGCAAAAAGAATAGAAGAGAATGGGATTGAAGGAACTGATGAGGATGATCCGTTTAATCCGGATAATTATGGTAATCAGTCTAAAGAGGAAACAAAAAATGATGAAGGGGTTAGTCCACAAATTTATGAGCTTGTAAAAGATTGGATGCCAAAAACATTGTCAAGCAAGCTTAAAGAAACGCTAGGACATTATCTTGAGCGAGAGCAGTCAAGTAGGGTTTTATCCAGAATTAAATTTCTTTCTCAGATAAGCAAATCAAAATAATATTTAATAAATAAACTATCATGATATTTGAAGAGTGGTATATACACAATTTAAATTTAAATTATTCATTGATATTGCTTATATGAATTATTTTTTAGCAATCTAGCATTGATTTTTGTAAGTTAATCAATAATTAATTTATCGATTTTGCAACAGATTATATCATTGGACTTTAAACAATTCGTAACTAGTTTTTAGACTGAAATAAATACACTATTTTTTATAATTCTGCTTGGAGTATTGAAAATCATTTTTAATTACAATATTTCTTCCTTATATCTTGTGTGAATTGATCTTGAATATGCCATAGGCCATGAACCTCTCCGCTTTAATTCTTGACGCACTGAAATAGGCTTTTGAATAGAGCTTTCAATCACTAAATAATAAATACCTTGCCTAGATACAAGCCGATATAAAGGCAAAAACAATCCTAAGATATAAATAGAAATTGTTATAGTAAGCACAAAAAGTCATTTATCTCATAAGGAAATCGACAAATTTTCTCCAACCCAGTCTAAGTCAAATGCACAGGTCAGGTATCCAAGCACAAATCCGATAGAGAGGAGAATCGGTCCCCACATTTATGCTAAATTATAAAAATAAATTTTAATTGTCAAAGACTTTGAGAAAAAAGATTTTTATCTAAAAAATACTTACATAATTGAAGGCATAAAGATTTAGTCATGTAAAAATCAAAAGAGCAAAAATAGAATATTTTATAAATAATTATAAGTCCAAAACCTTATGGAGCTAGAATAAATGATATGTAAAAAATAATGATAAAAATTCAATGAAATATTTTGACTTATAGCTCAAAATTTGATGAGTGATTTGGCAGAAAACCAAAAGAGCAGTTTATTTTTAAAATCAAAATTGCCATGTTTCTTTGAAAATAAATTCTTTATTAAAATAAGTCAGTAAGCACATATTTTTTTTAAATTTTAAAATAAGCAATCATTTGAGAAACTTTATCAAAAAATATAAAATAAATCTATGTGTTATAGCTTATGAGCTCTTTTAATTAATAACTCCTTCATCATTTGTGAGTGGGGCAAAATTTTATTAGTCGTTCACACAAAGAGGTTACATTGAAATTTTATCAAAGTTCAAAAATACAAATTTAAATTTATTTTTAGAATAAAATTAATAAAATTTGAAAGAGATTTTATTATATATCTTTCTTTATATATGCACAAAATGTTTTGCTTTACCTCTAGATCCCAAAAAATAGGACTTTTTCAAATATATTTTCCCCCCGCTCAGAGTGGGTAAGGGTAAATGGCTTGAAGCTAAATCTGTCGTCTCACCACTAATTTTACTGACGAATTAGCATTTAATTTACATTAACTCGAATTTCTCTTACTCCCCCCCTTTAAATTGGAACAAATTATAGGTAAAATTTCCAATTTTTTGGTACATTAACCCCCCTTTAAATTGGAAAAAAAATTTAATTTTTATAATAAAAAATTATATATAATTTTTATATAAAAATTTTTGATATAAGTTAAATGTTTCTTCTTAACTAAAATTAAAAATTTAGTTTATAGCTTGCTCTTGTTTAAAGAAGAGAGTATAAAGATCATCTTATTTAAATAAATTTATTATCCTTAATTGCTAAATTTTAAAAAAAAAAATTTAAAAAAATTTGTAATTATTTTAATAAAAATGATATTTTTTATTTAAATAGTTTTGATATAAATTCAATCCGAATTCTTTATAAAATTTAAAAACTTACTTATTTCTTGCTTTATTTTAAAGAATAGAGTATAAATAACATCTTATTTAAACAAAATTAGCACTTTGATCGATAAATTTTCGAAAATTTTTTTTCTAATTTTTTTTAATCAATAAAAATAATAATTTTTGTGTAAATAATTTTGATACCGATTAATAGTGATGTATTAACTAATAATGAAAATTTAGTTATATCTTGCTTTGTTTTAAAGGATAAAGAGTAAATAGTTAATCTAATTCAATAAATTTTTGAAATTTTTTTTTTTAAATTATTTTTTTTTTTATAAAACATTTTATATTGATTTTGTTCCAATTTAAAGGGGGGGAGCTATAAATTTTGTTTTGATATCCAAAAATACTGTCTAGGCTCAGCTCCGCTTATAAAATATTGATCCTCTGTAATTAAAAGTTTTTTTTTATGACCCACCAACGAACTAAATTGCAAAATAAACTTATCTTTGCTAATTTTAACGAAAATAATTATAGGCAGCTTTTTGTAATAACAAAAAATTGGATTTCTAGCAATTAAATTTAATAATTTCTATTGAAATTATTTAGTTCAGTTTTAAAATTACTAATCAATTATTTATCTTTATTGTAATTACTTGGCTTTGTAGGCATTTCGCCATTAAAAATTATTTCTGTGAGAGATGAAAATATGCTTTTTGAGCATATATTTGTTGTACAAGATCATACCGCACTGGCTGCATCTAACCTTTTTAACATCTTTGTGGACTTGATTTAGGTGAAAAGTGACTGCAAACTTGTCCTTAAAATGCTTATTACATTCAGGGCAAGCTTCAGCTTTTCCCTCAATGCTGTGTATCTTTCCCATGTGTTGCTTGAGTCCTTTGTAGTTTTTAAAGTACTTACAACAGGCCTCGCACTGAAGTCTTTTATCGTTGCTTTCTTTTTTGTCATCTAATTTTTTTTTCATACAAGTTTACTTCGATCGATTAATTAATATTAGTCTCGTTCAGGGTCCACTAATGCATGACCCATGCAGGCTTCCGTCTCTGTTTCCGAGTTTTCCAGCCTGCCATTGCGTCGTGCACAGGTGGCTTCCCTGAATGGTCCATAGGCTTCTAATTAGATTTTCTGATGACTATTGGTAAAAAAGAGAATCTTGTCGCCCAGGATGAAACTCGCAGTATCACATTGGATTAATACCCGAATGGCCTCTAGGAACCTAAAGGCTTTGCTGACTGCTCCTTTCTAACTTTCAAGCCACCTTTTCCCACAAGGTAAAATCCAACTCTAAATTCAGACTCTACATGTTACTGGAAACGACATATTTAAATATTATTTCATACAAGTTTGCAATTCTTTGAAAGTTTCAAAGAAGTTGTTTGGTAAAAATTCTGTTGTTGAATTATCTTCTCCTTGGTTGAGTAGGGGTAGTTGAGGCATTTTCGTATGAAAAGGCCATATCATCATGCTTGATTTTGGGTTTGAGTTACTTGATTCCATATAATTATTTTTTTGGTATTGAGGAGACCTATTATAAGCATTCAGTAATTACATAAAAGATGGAATAGTTTGAATTAAAATATGGCAGGAATTAACTCATGGAACAGACTTTATTTTGATTAAACTAGCTGCCATTTTTGAAATTATAAATATTAATCAAATGGTTTCTAAGAATAGGAAGAAGAGCCGGAATTTACTGTAAAGTTCTTTTTATAGAGGGAAATTAAATTCTGTGGAATTATTTTTATTATTTTTTATCTAAAAATTTAGCAAATTAAATTAATTAATTTTATAAAATTCAGGACAAAGAGCATCATTAAGTGTTCTAAGAATTTGATTAGGATAAATTTATTACTTCATTTTTCAAGTTAGAGACTTAATAATAAAAGGATTCAAATGATGGCAACAGAAAGAGAAAGCGCCTAAATGCAAGCGAAAAGATAACTATTGCTAGAAGTTACATCGATTAATTAAATATAAGAACATGGGAATTATAAAGGATTTTTAATCAATGCAGTCAGCTGAAGCTTAATTATATCATATGCATTCATTCTCTCTTAGAAAATATTATCAAAAAGACCAGATATGAATTTAGAAAAATCGAGATCAATCCAGTAAAATCCAAAAAAAAATTATAGAGTGCATGATTTTATGTTTCACACAAATAAAATGATCACGAGCAATATTTTATGGATTGATCATGCTTTTCTAATTCTTGCCAAGACTAAAATTAAACAAGAGGAAAAAAGGATAATTATAGGTATTTATGCTTCTATAGGTTTTTCCACTATTCCAGACTATAAAGAAATAAAGGCGATTGTAGAAAATTAAGAAAAAATTGTGTTCTCTTGAGGCCAATGGCATTATCAAAGCCATAATTGATGCGGATGCGGTCTATCAGTTTATCTATAAGTAAAATTTTACTAACTCATCCTCTGTGAGAGGACAAAAAAATTTTGTTAACGTTTTTTAAAAATTTTATGAATATAAAAAAAGCCCAATTTGCGAAAATTGGAAAGCTAAAATTAATTTAAGTTCTAAGTTTTATTTTTAGAAAAATAAGCTGTCTAAAATTCAACAGAATTAGTTCGAAATTTTATTATATTATTATCATTTATATCAAAAAATTTTTTTTTCGCTCACTGAGGTTGGTTTTTACTTAAAATAGCGATGTTTCTAATGGTTTTGTTCGCTCACAGAGGGAGGGGAGAGTAAGCATTGCTACCAATTCGATCTTCTCTCTGTCAGCAAATATGATTAGAATATAGCAATGATGCTAGCATTAAGAGCTTAAGTATTATTAGACAAATATCAAGAATTAGATAAAGAGCTAGCCTAGTATGAATAATGCAAAAACTAAAATACAGTAGCAGTAGTTTTAAAGAGTCTAATATAAATGTTATTGCCAAATGTTTGAATAAAATAGTCAGAACTGATACAAATTTTATGCTTTAGCAAATATTAGCTAAAATGAGAAAACATCTTTCCTGAAAAAAAAATTAATAAAAGGCAAAAGACCAAATTCACTGCATACCTTTACCATCAAACTTAGCAAGCTTAAATAACTAATTCCACTTGATCTTATTCTGGATTCCTTTCTGCTAGATTTATGATTATTTTGATTTTAGATTTTAAGGTCAATCTGCATTTTAAAATAACTTTCGATAATTATCAAAGAATGGACTTAATTTGCAAGATCAAGCTTTAATCTCACTTCTGCAAATATAAATATCATAAATATTGTATACTTGCTGGCAGATAATAACCTTAAGCATGATTGCTATTTGACAGATTGGATATAATGACTATTTTGAAGATTTATTAATAGGATCAGAAATTAATGACAAATTTCATTATATTTGCCAGTTTTCAAATTATAATTCATTTAATTTAAATTGAATAATAATAAATCTATTCACTAACAGGCTCCTCATTTAATATTGGTGGTTTTTTATAGCTATCTATCATTTGAGGCATTTAATTAGATTTATTTAAAGCTGAATCTCAGTTTTTACCTTAATCTCCATAGAAATTAAATATTTTTCAAGAATATATTATATATTGCAATAATTTCTTATCATGCATATGCATGTCAATTTGAATTTGGTATGTGAAAACCAAATATGCGTTTCAAAACGCAGATTTTAGTGCGGCAAATTCATAATTTGAAATTTCATATGAAAATGGCGCGTATAACGTCCATAAGAAATTTATGCAACACATAATAGCTGAAATAAGGAAAAATAAATTCAAGTTATCCTTCTATTTCTATATTACTTTTTATCCATGATTTCATTGTAAAAAATTTAGGGGGTGTTACATTGCAGCGCTATTTATTATTGACAATTAGATTTTTACAATTAAAAATTAATATATTTGTTATAAAGGATCTAAAACGCTTTTGGGAACAATTGTGATGATTAAAAGTTATGGGTTAAGAATTTAATAACATTTTACGCTCTTTTGCCATTTTTGACGACCAAGTTAAATGTATGCTGGTATTTGTGACCTTTGAAATCTGATAAGGAAGACTTATTGCTAAGGTCACTAAGCTCCATTCACATAATGCTTCAACAACTTCGTTGACAAGGAAGTTTGAATAAATTGTATAACTCCTCATTTTATAGTGAGTAAAGAAATAGGAAATTCTTGGTTAAAATTAATCTCCTTTGTGAGCGAGAAAAAAAAATTATATAAAATTAATGATTATTAAACGCTAATTTATTTTTTTTAAAAACGTGCATTTATACATAAGTCCATAAAAATAGGTTTTTCTCTTTAAATATTTGCAAATTGAAACTCTTAAAAACCTCAGTGAGCTATCAAAAATTCTTATACACTTTTAAATGGTAGGAATAAGCAAAATGTCATTCAAAAGCTGTAATTGCGAAAAGAATGTGGCATATTAGAACCGATCTTCTACACCTTCTTAACCACGTTTTTTCATTTAAATCAAGCTGAATATTCTCGAAACCAAAAAGTGCTGCGTACATTCAGAGACTTAAGAATAAATATCCTGTCACAGTAATGAAAGGATGGGCTGTGTCCAGAGGTAAGAAATAAAGCCCATTAATTTCGTCTATGATTCCTGTAGCAAGAATCGCACAGCATCCACAGATTCCAAAAATATTCATTTTCCATGAAATATAAGTGGTAATAGAATTAGCTAGCTTTGATGTGACAGACATAAATAGAAGAGGGAGCAAAGATACATATACTAATTGACCAAGAATAGCCCACTAAGGAGCCATTCTTGGTCTGCCAGAAAAAATTTTGACAAAAGATCCTAATCTGCCATTTACCACTGAGTTTTGGTGTTTCCAAATTTTTTGGGCAAGCCAAATGCAATAAAAAAAATTGTTCTTTTGCGATGATGCATTTGGCTTGTCAAAAACATTTGGCAACATCAAAACTCAGTGGTAATGACAGAAAAGATCCTAATCTGCCATTACCACTGAGTTTTGGTGTTTCCAAATTTTTTTGGCAAGCCAAATGCATCATCGCAAAAGAACAATTTTTTTTATTGCATTTGGCTTGCCCAAAAAAATTTGGAAACACCAAAACTCAGTGGTAATGGCAGATTAGGATCTTTTTGTCAAAATTTTTTCTGGCAGACCAAGAATGGCTCCATAGTGGGCTATTCTTGGTCAATTAGTATAGAATGTGATACCAAAAACAATTCATCTGTCATGGTTTCTGAAGGATAGCAAATAAGAGATGGTTGGGTAATATCTTGAGCAGCGAAAACTAAACATACATCCAAATAATATGCTTGAAAAAATGATGCAAAATGTAATGCTCCCTGATATTGTTCACTCCTCCTTTCTCAAATAAGCAATACAGCGAAAATTCTAATTTTCCAAAGAAAAAATTTTATATATAAAATTTTTGAGTATAATAAATTATTTCTTTAATTAATTTAAATCGCCTATTTCCTCCGAATGTTGAGGATTGAAAATTTAAAAAAAGTCTTTAACAAAAAAATTTACATTAAATTTGTCAGAAAAAAAAATTCTTGCTCGCTTTTCAAAGAAGAAGTCAGAAAATTGATTCTTTTACATTGATTATTTTCTTTTCCTTCCCTAGTATTGAGAATGATGAAGAGCTCATACAAAAATAATTTATATCCCATTTTTAAGTGATGAATATCTGTTCTCTTTAAAAAGATTCTCCATAAGGGATATAAAATAATTGTAAAATCTAAAAAGATTCCAACAAAAATTTAAAATCAATTATTTATAAATTTTATTACCTTACCTTACCTTAATTACTTAATTTAACTCGACCTCTAGTTGGGCCCCTAGATGCACAATGCCTCAAGGGCATATTTTTTCTCCGCCTTGTCGCTACTCGCGTACTCGAGTCGGGCCTCGCTGTACGGCTCGCTCCTTCTAATCCCCGTGAAGCCATTTAGGAATCCAGAAGTACGGGAAACACTAACTGCTTGGCGCGTTGCCTCGCTCTGTCCGACTTTCCTCCAGCGCCTGTTTCGGCCTAAGGGTCCTGCCTTTTATATCAGCAGGGGAAAGAGGTAAAAACGCTGTATAAGGCTGGCGAGATAAAAAGTCCTCGCCATTTTACACCACCTTGTACAGAATTCCACGTGTAAAAACCTAACTTATAATTTTATTACAATTATAAGTTTAAGATATTTCTTTTCCGAGTAAATAAATTTTAATTTTTCTCTGGCATTTAAATGGGATATAAAACTTGAAGCTCGTGAAATCTATTGAGTAAACTCATTAATACGCAACAGGTAATATTTTAAAAATTGACTATAAAAAATCATTTTGCCTTTGAGAATCAAAATAATAAATCTTAAGCTGGCTCCCCCTTTTAAATAGGAATGAAATATAATTTTTTTATAAAAAATTAATTATATCAAATTTTTTTAAAAAAATAACCCTCTTTAAATTGGAACAGGAATTTTTTCAATTTAAAAGGAGGAGTGAGAAGAGATCTCTGTAGCTTAAAATGCCTCAAAATAAATCTATATAGATAATTATTATTCAATTTCTCAAAAATTAAAATGACTGAACCTAGTCGTCTCAAAGTTGAAGTAAACGACCCTCAAATAAAGCAAACCTTCTCAGGCCATCGTGGCCCTATCACAGGACTTGCGATAAATCCAAACTCAAATGAAATAGCATCATCTTCCGAAGACTCATGTGTCAAAATCTGGAGTTTCAAACAAGACAAGCGTCCTTACCTTTTTATGGGCCACTTAGGTTCAGTTACTGAGCTCTGCTACTCTCCAAATGGCGATACAATCGCTTCATCCTCCAAAGATGAAACAGTGAAGCTCTGGACCAATACCTTTGAAGGAAGATCCGTAGGTTGGCGGGCGCATAATGGCGGAGTGACAACGATTTCTTTTTCTTCTGATGGCAGCTACCTGCTAACAGGTTCAGAAGATAAAACTCTTAAAGTGTGGTCAGTCTCTGAAAGAAAGTTCGAGTTTTCCCTTATCAAGCCAATAATTAATATAGTGGTGACGACAAAATATGTCCTTGAGGAGCACCACTTTGGAGCGAAAGTCGCTTTATGATCTATGCCAAGGCTCAGGCCCTTTAATCCTAACCCTTAGCTTGGATTGAGCGGCCATATGGGGTGGGTAAGTTTTGGGAGTCAGCTGGTGGCAACTCAAGGCAAGGTATCAGTTATCCAATGGTTTTTGAGCAATGGATTTTTTTCCTGTCAATGTAGGAGTGCCGTAATTTTCCTTGGTTTTACCTCCCCTCAAGATGGGCGAGAGGAGGCATCCAGCAAGCCACACCTTCATGCCACCTGAATCACGTGGAGGAAGACTTTAAGTCTTTTAAAGTTAAGTTATCAGGCCATCGAGATTGAATAAAAAGTGCAAGATTTAGTTCTGATACCAGAATGATCATTTCTGGAAGCGATGATAGCGAAGTCAAACTTTGGGATACAAGCAGGCAAGAATTAACAAGTACGCTATTTGGGGTTGAAGGAGCAGCTAATGCAGTCAGATTCCACCCTGATGGGGCATGTGCAGCTGCTAGCAGCACTGATGCAAATATCAGGATTTGGGATATCAGGTCACAGAGACTTATTCAGCTTTATGATGGACATAGTAGCAGTGTGACTTCAATAGCTTTTCACCCAAGCGGCAACTATTTATTGTCCTCTTCATTAGACTCCACTTTAAAAATCTGGGATTTAAGACAAGGGCATATCATATATACACTCCATGGGCATGAAGGAGGGTCTACAGCTGTAGCCTTTTCAAAAGATGGAGGACAGTTTGTATCAGGAGGAATTGATGGCAGAATAATTGCATGGAAAACAAATATCATGGCGTCGACACCTGAAACGTCATCACAGGCTAATTCTAAAACAAAATCGCTTAATGCAACAAATAAATTGAGGAAAAGCCAAAGCTTGACTGAGACTATTAAGTCAGAAAAAACTGAAGAAGCTAAACTATCAGAAGATTTGGCTGAGCCACTTAATAAGATTGTGAGTCAACTTAATGTTATAACGAAAGCTATTGTAAGTCTTGACCAAAGAGTTAACAAATTTGAAGACCATATTAAGAGGATTTCTGATAGAGTCGGAGTTGTTAGCAATGTAGAGCCAAGTGCGCCTTTAGAAGAGATTTAAAATTTATAATTTATTTATTGGTATAATCATAAAACTCAGAAAAATTATAGTAGCTTAGATAGGTTATAATAGACTGTTCCGATAATAGATTTAAAAGTAAAAATGTCGTTCTGCCGTTTTGTAAACAGTAATAAAAAATAAAGCTATTTTTAAATGAAATTTATTAGCTGTTCTGATATTAAATTTAAATAAAATTTTAAAATATTAATTTATCTAATAATCTTAATTGAATTGCAATGCTGAAACTTGTTTTAAGTACGCATATCTACACTGACATAGGCTAATCCCATTTCAATCACAAATTTGTACTGATAGAATAAACTATTAAACTTCAGTTAATAATTTTAAATTATATATCTACATTATTTGAAATTTTGTATGCTGATAAAATGGCGATTTTTTAAGAAAAATCCGAATAAATATAATAAATGGCAGGACAGATTTTAGGGAAAGTGCTAGTTGCTTACTTTGTCAATTGGGCAATTTATGAAAGGCATTTTGAAGTCTTTAACATTGATTTATCAATGGTGACCCATTTAAACTATGCATTTGCACAGGTTGACTATAACGGAGTAGTTTCGCTAACTGACCCTTGGGCTGATGAGCAGCGACGATATCTGGATCGAGGAGACTCGTGGAATGACCCACCCGGCAAGCTTTATGGAAGCCTTGGACAACTTTACAAGCTAAAGGTAACGAATAGGCATCTAAAAACTGGAATTTCTATCGGAGGGTGGACTTTAAGTGGCCCATTCAGCGCTGTATGTGCTGACCCAGCTAAGAGGAGAAATTTTATCCAAACCTCTTTAACCATCTTAATGGACTATGGATTTGACTATATTGATATAGACTGGGAATACCCTGTTTCAGGAGGATTAGACAGCAACACTCGCTCCACAAATGACATCAACAATTTTATTTCTCTTCTTAAAGAGTTCAACCAAGCCTTTGATAGGGTCCAGTCCACCTTAGGATTCAGACCTTTTATCACACTTGCGGCTCCAGCTGCCAAACAAAACTACCAGCATTGGAATTTCGTAGAGATGTCGAAATATGTAGAATTTTTCAATATTATGACTTATGATTTTGCTGGATCATGGTCTCCATATGCTTGGCATATGTCTAATTTGTATAGAAGCACAAATGGGTTTTCAGTAAATGAAACTATTACAGATTTAATGAGTTCGATGAATTTGTCCCCAGATAAAATATGTATGGGAATCCCTCTCTATGGAAGAGGGTACAGCAATTGTAATGGCCTTGGGAGCTCATTTAATGGACTTCCGACACAAGGACTTTATGAAGCTGGAATTTATGATTATAAAGTGATCCCACCAGATAACTTTGTAGTATACTTTGATGACTCTGCTAAAGCTCCTTATTCATATTCTTCAAGTCAGAGAGTTCTTATCACTCATGATAACCCTCTGTCAGTTGGCTACAAGCTTCAGTACCTTCATGACAAATCTTTAAGGGGAGTTATGTTTTGGGAGACTTCTGGTGACAGGCCTCAATCCTCTGTTGAGTCATTAATTAGAATCAGTTATGATCAAATCAAGAGCAGCATTGACTCAACATTAAACCACGTCGTTTATCCTACATCTAAATTCACAAATATACTACACGAATAGTTAAATTAATGACGTTGCCTTCCTAGAACATTACTGATTGCTTTATTTTTATTATAATTCATCCTAAATCCCATCCTTAAATTGGAAAAAAAAAATCCTGATCCAATATAAAGGGATTTTTTATATTTAATTTTTTTTCTATTATGTTCTTATAATATAAATAAAAATCTATAAAATTTTTAGAATAAATTGAGTGCAATATTTTGATTTAAATTATTTCATCAAGAAATAATTCAAAATTTTCATATTAAAAAAAATATTCAAATTTAAAGAGATTTAAAGAACCCAAAAAAAATAGAAAATTTGCCGATAGTTGTTCCAATGAAAGGGGGAGGAGTAAGTCGTGTTCTGTTTATTTCAGTATGCTCGCTTAGATTGACGATATTTTTCAGCTCAGAAACAATGTCGTCTTCTTTTTCGTCTTCTTCAGCGATGACGTTTTGCTCGCTTAAATTTGACGCTATTTCTTCAGGTATTTTTTCTTGATTTGTTATGGTGTCAGATCTATTTCTGCCAGATTCTTCTTGAATTGTCTCATTATTTACCTCTCGATTAGTCATATCTCTCGTCATAGATCTCATAGTTCTTAAGGCGAAATTGACGGTTTTTAATTTATCAACAGCTCTTTTGATCGATTTCTTTTCTGGGGCTTCATCAATCCACTTCCCAGACATGAGCTCATCAAGGATCCCTAGGTTTTCTAAAGCTGTTGGCTCTTTTCTGACGTTTACTCCTAATATGCTGGACTGATTACTCGTTTCTTCAGGAAAAAACTTTGTATATTGATTATATCTTGGGCTATCTTTATAGATAGAATGCAGAACGTTTGAGTTGTGCCTTGAATGGCTTTTTAGCATTTGTTCAATTCCTGCTTTTGGAGTAGATTGCTTATTCATTTCAGTCATCATTGAAGATATGCTTGTTTCTGATCTTTGAGTCCCATTTTGAGTTATTTTAGGTCGAGGCGGTTTTTTATTAAAAGAAGGAATCTCAATATATACTGGAGACGCCGACTCTTCTAAAGCTGTTATGGTCCTCTTAAGGTTGGCTTCAGACTCATTGCCTCTTCCTTCAAGATTTAGTAAGGAAGGAGTGGTCCCTGATCGCTTTTCAAATCTATCTTGTGAGGATTTTTTTTCTTCACAAAGATGTATAACTTATCACTTTATTTATAATTAATACCCATTATTTTGATACTAAATATCATAAATCTCCATTTTCCATTTGTTAATAAGCAATTAATCTACTATTTCATATAACTTCCTTTAAAATTTGTTTAAGCTTAAGAGTCCAACTATCATGATATTTAAAAGAATGCTTCAAAACTAGCGAAAGAGACCTTTCAATATACTGCCTTATTATATGCTTTTTATCCTTCTCATTTTTATTCAGCCATATCGTAAACCCTCTCAGCCTCTTCAAATTGCTAATAAGCCGCTTTCCGAGATTTTCTAAAATTCATACATCTTTTGCATACTTTAGTTCACTTTCTATATAAGCTGCAATTAATGTAGGCATTTCCCTTTCTGCATCTTGGCAATACGAAGAATATATAATTCTTCAAATCCTTAACAAAGAAAGAAGAAAATAATGGTGACGTTGATGGAAGATGGACTCTGAGGTGCACTCCCTATAGAGAAGGCAGGACCCGTCAAGATGAAGCTGAAAATAGTGCCCCTGTCACTTTTTAATGTAGGCCTTCGGTTTGGGATGCAGAAGTGAGAAGTTTTTGTTTCTCCCCCGAAGGTTTTCCCTGTGCTTGCCAGATGGACTAAAGAGGTTATGCCTCCCTCATAGTCTTTGCTTATTGGATCTACAAGAGACAGCTCTAATCTAGGGAGCTAATCTTAGGTTAGGTAGTTATACGCCAGATTGGCAGACTAGTGGTCTGTCCGCTTATAACCTCATAACACTTAACTTACCAAAGAATCTTGGATTATTCCTTCCAAAGGAGAAGAGCTATTCGAGATTATTTTTTCGTTTTCTGAAATCGGCTCAGAGTAATTCATATAGTTGACAGCTTCAAAAGTCTTATCAGAAGATTCCTTATCATAAATTTCAAACCAGTTAGTTTCCATTAATCAAATTTAACGAAGCACATTTATTATATAAGAATCATTTTTTATTGATATGGCACTAATAATAAGATTTATAAAAATGTTTTGCCGCATAAGGCGATTTCCAGTGAGGAAACTGAGGCTTTGAGATTACTGATTTCTGGTCCAGGGTAATGTTCTTTTTTGAATAAGTAGGACCTTGAATTTTGGGGATCTGCTTAAGTTTTTTGTTGTCAATTGGAGGCAAATAGATGGATTCTTTAGACTTGCTGCCTGCTGCACTATCTGCCGATGGAGATTCAGACCTTGCAGGCACCGCAAAAAGCCTGACTGTTTTTTCTTGCTGCCGAAGCTCATTGAAATAAGGATGCTTTAGAGCTTCATGAGCAGAAATCCTTTCTTCCCAATTGTAAACTAAAAGCTTCTGGATCAAATCAACTGCTTGAGGATTCGCGTTCGGGATAAGCCGAGAAAATCCGGTTCCATCGACTTTTGAAAAATTTATTTCCATATGAGTCGCTTTCTTCTTAAAATCGTCTAGGATAGCTTGGCTTGGGGTTCCCATAATTTTATGTATCAGTCTGACTTGGTCCAGCTCATTCTTCCCAGGAAACAGTGGCGTCAAAGCAATGACTTCGAAAAAAATGCAGCCTGCACCCCAATTGTCCATCGCAAAATTATAAAAACCATCTGTAAGCAAGCACTCAGGAGGTCTATACCATCTTGTCGAAATATATTCTGTATAAGGCTGGCGAGTGTTTATCCCTCTGCAAGAGCCAAAATCAGCTAGCTTCAAAATGTCGTCTGCAAGCAAAACGTTTTCAGGCTTGATGTCCCTATGAAAAATGTCTGTGTGGTGCATATGTTCGAGCGCTATTAGCAGCTGGTACATATAAGACTTTATCTTGGCTTCAGGAATAGGATGTTTTCTCCCTTTATATCATTCATAAAGATTTAAATCCATCAGTTCAAACACCAATGCGAGTCTTCCTGTGGGCTCGTCACTGAATAGCTGTTACTATATCACTTCAATTAGCTTTACTATGTGGGGATGAGGCGATAGACGCCTCAAAGCTTGGATTTCTCGTAAATTATTAACCTGCTCGATAGATGTAAAATGGGTTTTCATGCATTTTATCGCAACAAACTTGCCTGTTTTTATGCTTTGTGCTTTGAGGACCTCGCTGAAGGTTCCTTCTCCTTTCTTCGAAATAAGTCTGTATTCTATGTAACAGTTACTATGCATCCTTTAATGTATTTTATTATTTTGTTGATGTTATTTTTTGATTTGTCTGTGAATTTTAATAAATAAAATGATAATTAATGCATAAGATGGAAATTGGGTTCATTGAGGAAAAAATTAAGAGATAAACTAATTTTAAACGAAGAATATTTAGAGATTTTTTAAACTGATTCAGAATTATATTCTAGAATAAAAATGCAAATATTTATTTAAATAATTTGATGATTTTGCTTAATTATTAAGAATTAAACGATTTCAAAATTTATATGAATTCAGGCTGACTTTTGAAGATATTGAAAATTATTATTTTTCTAATTAAATATGAGAGAAAGTTAAAATCCTGTTATATTAATAAGCTTCAATTAAAGAAGGATCATATTCACTTTATTAAAAAATTTAATTTTTAAAGCAAAATATAACTTTCTATGCCATGAAGATGTATATTTATAAAAATCTTAGGTTTTAAGGTAAATTAGTTACTGCTTAATTCTATTTAAATTATGGCAAAAGTTTAGTTTCATATCATTTGATCAGGACTTTTGTTAGTGAGGCTTTTCCTCAGAAAATTGGTCAAATTTTTTTCCTCGTGAGACATTTCTTTAGAATAAGCTTCAAATTTTGATCAAATGCCTTATTTCGACCAAATGCTCCCGGGTAAGTCCATCTGAAAAACTATGCACCCAAAGTTCACTTGTCTCGCAGTTTCAGTGTTTTGCACAAAGGTGAAAACGTAAGCGAAGTTCAAAAATCTCAAATTCTTTTAAACAGATGAAGACTTTTTCGACTTGGCTCTGCAGTTCTCTCTGCAATTTCAGTTTTTCCAGCCGGAACAGATTACGAAATGAGGTTTTCTGAAAGCAGAAATGCCACAAACTGCCACCTTGATCCTGACCACAGTGTATCTCCCAGAATAATAGTGATGATACTTTGCATAGTTTCAGTCCTCTTATTAATTCCTTATCGCATTTATTACATTAAATGACGGCAGCACATGCCTTCTACCTATCGAGAACTCCCAAGCCTGGGAAAAGTGAGCTTATCAAAGATTTCAAAAATGAGAAAAAAAGCCACATGAAGAGATTACCTAGGAGGAGACACAATTTTCGCTTTTTGTGTTAACGTTATTTTCCCTTATCCATGGCTGGATGCAACTTTTACGATTCACCAGCAAATTTTGTATAAAGAAGTTTATATTTGTTATTTCTGGGCTGAGCTATTCTATGCATGCATGTTTTTCAGGTGGGCATTTCTAATTTTTGTGGTTTTTAATTATGGGAGTTATCAGAATCCTATTGCTATGAGATATTGTGAAAAATATGATGTCCCTCTTAATCCTCATTTTTCGCTGAAGTGCTATGTGAATCAGCATCCAATGGCAATGCTATTTATTTTCTTGCTATTTCCTGGAACTTTGATATTTGCGTCAACGATGAGGGTTTTTGAAAGACCTGTGAGAAATCCTATAACTGATTTTGATTACCCAGGAAATGCTGTTTGAAATGTGGTTGTTACTATTTTTACAATAGGGTATGGAGACTTTTTCCCAATTACGAATTTGGGAAGAATTACAATAGCTTTAAGTGCGTTTTTAGGGAGTATCATTTTATCTTTTTTATTTGTCACGCTCACAAAGGTGTTCACGCTTACGAAAAATGAAGAAAAAACATTAAAAGGAATTTTGGTAAGTGACTCTGCTGCAGCAACTATAAGGCGTGCCTTAACTTATACTAAAACCAGGTTCAGCAACCCAGAAGAAAGGGTGAATGCGTGGGATTCGGTGCAATCTCAAACACGTTCATTTAATAGAGTAAGAGAAGAGTTTGGATGTGAAGAGGACGAAAATGAGGCCAAAATTTGTGAGCTTTCTAATAGAGTGTCAAGGGTGGAAACAGATCTTACACAAATTAAAAACTCCCTCACAGCACTCGCAAATAAAATTGATAACATGAATAACAGTTAATTTATTTTATCCAATTAAAGCGTGACTTCTTGATTTAAAAGTTTTTCAAACTCACATAAAATATCGTCTGAATGGTTCTTCATCCCTTTAAACTCATCAGGAACGTGGGAAAACTTTGTGACTGAAGGCAGTAGTCATCTTTTCCTCTTTGATGTCTTCATTTTTGAAACGAGTAGTTTTTTCTCTTTGGGGGATTTTTCATATTTTTCTTTCTGCTCCATTATCTTGTGGTATTCAATATTTATCTCGTTAATAACAGCTTGCATAGACTGTTCTGCTAATAAAATCTTTGATTTTCTTGACTGCTTTTCAGCTTTTTTAATGCATTCATTAGTCGCTGTATTTATTTTTTCAATCAGTCCATCCCTTGCTTTATTTAACTCATTTATATGATCTTCCAGACATTTTTCGACCTCCTGCATGCATTTTTGTAGCTCAGATTTATTTTTTTCCACGTCTTCTATTTTCTTTACTCCTCTTCTCTGTGAGCAAACAAAAAAAATTTTTTGTCATAAGGGGGTTAATTTTTTAAAAAAATATATACATATAAATTTAAAAAATCCCAATTTGGAAAAATTTAAAATAAAAATTAATTTAATTTGTAGAATTTATGTTTTAAAATGCAAGCTATTAAAAATTCAAAAGAATTAGCTGGAATTTTATTCTATCATTTATGATTTATATATCAAAATATTTTTCATACAAAACTTTTTATATTAAATAAATTTTTTGTTCGCTTACGGAGGGTGATTTTTTACCCAGAAATTGGAATTTTTCTAATGATTTTGTTCGCTCATATATATTAAAATGGCGACTGGAGAACCAGCGCTTTTCCTCAACACCTGTAGCCGGGCATCCGGGGACCTTGTGGAAGGGGAAAAGGCACTCGGAGTGTGTATCCGGCTGGGTTTTACCTTGGCTCAATGGAGCGCAACTTCGAATTTGGTCGACCGCAGCTCATTTTGACACCAAGGGTTTTACCTCGGGGAAAAAGGGTCTTCCAAGTTGGAAAGGGGAAGCTCAGCAGCACCAGGAGGTATCTCCTGATCAATCGGGCAACTCCCTAGCGTGATACCAGGCGTTGCGTCCTGGGCTTGGATTTCCTTTTTAGCCGACAGCCCTACCAGAAAATTTTGTTATTCAAATTTTCGGAATGGGTAACCTCGTATCTCACAGCCTCAAGCAAGGCCGCAGAATTCCTAAATCTGCTCACTCAACACTGAAGCAAGGTGGTAGCTTGCAAGGAGAGAGACGACCACAGAATAGGCTAGCTGTAAAATCAGAGTCCTGTAGGCGGAAGTCGCAAAGCGTAGGAACCTTCGGGTCTGGGTGACTGCGTTAACAAGTAACAGCTTAGCAGCTGATAATCTCGTAATTAAGATTAAGATTAAGATTTTGTTCGCTCACGGAGGGGAGATTTAGAAGAAACTCTTGTTCAATAATAAATTTATTACTAATTTTTTCAATGATTCGATCAGCTTTTGAGCTATTCAATGGTATACATTTATGGTTAATGTGCTCATCAGCACAATTCCAACACAGAAGCTTATTGTCCTTTTTGCAATAGCACCCATATTCAAGCCCATGTGTAATACACATTGTTGATTTTAATTGAGTTTCGTTGATTTGCAATATTGCATAGTTTATAGGAATAATAATAAAATGGCTCAGTGCGGAATTAGTTCTCTCCGAGAACTATTCCTTCCTTCACTTTTATTATTATAGGGTTCAGTTTTCCACGTGGGCATTTATCCACAACACCAATATGGAAATACCGCATAGGGTATTTCTTTGGTCCAGGATACTACAAGCACCTGGTTTTGCTGCTTGACACACCCGAGGAGGGGTGACCCTTAGGCGGAACACGCGCAGGAGTCAAGTTCGGGCGAGGCCAACGCGGCCAGTACGGACCTTCTGGCCTGACAAAGGGAAGTCTTCTGGAATGCCTACATATAGGGAGGATTGCTGCTGACGTCACTAGTTGGGATTTAAAAGGGTGGGCTATGCATGCCTAAATCACCCTGCGGAAGAGGGAAGACACTTTAAAAACCTAAGTAAGTAAGTAAATAAGCATAGTTTGTAGGAAGATTTTTGATGCTTTCTGGATCTAGAGATTTGCATATTGAGCATATCGAGCCTAGGTCTGACTTCAATTTTTCTAAGCACTGGCTCTCCACCTCAATAAATAATCATAATTAAAATTTTATATCAATTTGTTTTCAAATTAAAAACCGATTTACAAAATGTGAAAGTTAAAAATTTATGTTTTAGAATGCAAGTTGTTTATTAAAATTTAATAGATTTAGTTAAAGATTCCATTATAATAGATATTAATTATATTTTAATATAAAAAATTTTGCCAGTTTAAGCAGAGTCTACCAATAATTTTGCTCACTAAGGAAGGGGAAGTGAGAGCATGCTGTGTGACCACATTTGGTCATTTTTGGGATAACAAGGTCAGAGTCATATGGCATTAGACATATGGGGCATTCTGCTGTTACTGTATTCATTATCGCGATAGGTGAAGTTTGAATTGGTAAAGTACCTCCCATTAAAATTTTATTTTGAATTTAAATTCATAATATCTTTATCAACATGTTTCGAATTTTTATTAGTAAAAATTGAAATTTATATTGAATTCGTGATTATGCTCCTGTCTTCTAGCTCATGCTTAAAAATTAATGATTTTCAAATTTATGGTATAAGAAATAACTAAATAGCAGCGCCATTTTCTAATAGAAGAAAAAATTCATCAAAATCAATCCTGCATTGATTTCCCCTTATAGTGAAGTCTACTCTTACACGTCCCACATATTTTATGGAGTACCCCTAGCTGTTAGATTGAGAATGGGACTAAAAAGGTTCTTCAAAAAGACATATCTAAAATTTTTATTAGCTTTCATAATTAATATTAAAATTTTTTTATAGGAACTAATTTGTCAAATTTTCCAATAGAATTGTTCACAAATATAAATGAGTTAGAATTAATTATAAAAAATTTTAATGAAGAAAGGAAGATTTCATTCATTAATGGAAATAATATAAATGTAGTCAGATACTCTTGATAAAATCATCAATCACTTTAAAAGTCTATCATCATTAGCAGCTCTCTAATAAGTGGGTATTCATCCACCATTTTATTATTATAAAAGCCTTAATATCAAAATGTCGAATGAAAAACCATAAGATTTTACATTATTTCTTACCGGAACTCTATCTGCCAAAATAAAATCTTTGTGTAGGTCAAAATAATCAGGCCTACAAACCAATTTTATATTGTGTGTGAGTACATTACATAATTATCTCAAAGCCCAAAAAGGAATTTCTCAATTCTGAAAATGTTGTATTTTTTAAAATTCTTACCTAAATTTTTAAGAAACATCTTATAATTAAGAATATTTTGATCGATAAAAATCAGCTGGCATTCTAACTTTATGAGGCTCCTGGTGATAGCTCCACTCTGGTCTCTTTGCTTTTGAGTTAAGCGATTTTCCTTCGAAATCTCCACCATAAACAGTACGCCAATGACTTGTCATATGTGGATTTGGCTCTGTTTTTTCTTCTTGGCCTGACTGGACAATGAACTTTCCAGTTTTATCGAATACAGGCTTTCTTGGCCTTATTAAGTAGTCAACAGGAGTGACAGTATCGCTCATTCTGCTCCCATAGACCGAATGCCACCTGTCATAGTTGCTAACTCCCCCCCCCTCCGTGAGTAACAAAACCATTAGAAAAATCGCTATTTTTTGCTCAAAAACCCACCTCCGTGAGTGAACAAAATTTTTTTAATAGAACAAATTTTTTATGGAAAAAATTTTGATATATAAGTGATAATTATTATAATGAAATCTCGAGCAATTCTGTTTAATTTTTAACAAATTGCTTTTTAAAACATAAATTTTATAAATTAAATTAATATTTGCTTTCCAATTTTTGCGAATTAGGATTTTTTTAAATTTCGAAAAAAAATATTTTCTATAAAATTTATATATATAAATTTTTTTTAAAAACAAAATTAACCCCCCTCCGTGAGTTAAACAAAATTTTTTTGTTCACTCACGGAGGGGGGGAGTAAGATATCCTTCTTCTTCCTTTACCCCAGAGACTTTATCATAATATTGCCTTTCCAGCGAGTTCTGGCCTGGCTTGAGAGTCGTTATAGGCTTTTGTCCATAGCTTTGGAAGCCTGCATAATGGGTCGCTCTAGAAATCATATAACTGTTGATTTAAATTATTATTCAATTTTTCATAGACTTACTTAAAGTTGGGATTTTGCTGATAATACATATAAGCTCCTTGTTGGCCGTTTAGATATGGGTTGGCCTGGTAGGATCGTGGGTTCTGTGGAATTTGATATGAATTTTGTGGATAATAAGGATTAAACCCTTGATAAGGCATCCCATAAAAAGGAGCGTGTGAAGGATCTTCACATATATGTTGATGCATTGAAGGATCAACAAAAGGGCTCTGTTGCACCCCTTGAAAGCTCATCATCATTGGGCCGAACATGTGCCCTCCTCCATAGTAGATCATATCTCGATTTATATCCTGATGTGAAGGCTGAGGAACTATAATCCCTTCCTGCTCAGGTGGCTTCACCTGGTCACAGGCATATAAATAAGGCTGCGGGTAAGGGCCATTTGGCTTTTCTATCATATGCTGAGTTATTGGCCCATAGTGTTGTTGCAATCCTTTGGATTCTTCTTGCATATGTATTGAATGATTTTTTGCATAGCTCATTTTTGATTGAGGGGGAGGTCGTGCTTGGTCTTCGTACATAGGCTCTCCACAATGGACGTTTGTTTCTTGACCTGGGGACTGAAGAGATATATCTTGAGGGTGACGGGTCATTAGTTGTTGTGTAGCTGATTTTTGAGTGCCAACTTCCATTGGCTGCTGAATGTCTTTAATAGATATTTTGATCTTTATCTGTCCAGCTCCCACCTGATCTCGTACGATGTCAACCCACCGCTCACCTTCTTTAGCGTCAATTCTTGAGCTCCCAATAAGAATGTCTCCGTCAGGATGAGTGGTATAGACTTTCATCAGAATTTTTGGGTCCCTGCCTTTTAAAGAACAGATTTTATTTCAAAAAGGGAATTTGCCTCCATCTTCGCAAATTTCTGTTTTGTCTTCTGAATTGCCTAGCCGATAAAAAACATAAGTATTATTGATGGCCACACCTCTCATTATTCCAAGCTTTCCGCAAGCTGTTTCTATTTCAATCTCCCTCATTTTATTAATTACAAGATATGCCTTATTTTATAGATTGAATTTTTTATTATTTGATTTTATTAATATGGGTAGCATTGTAAATTAGAATATTAAAATATAAAAGCAGAATAAAAAGATGTTTTGTGGGTAGTTAATTTATCTAAACTCCCCCCTCCGTGAGCGAACAAAAAAATCTTGGTCGCTCATGGAGGGGGTTAATTTTTTTTTTAAAAAAATTTATAGATAAATTTTATAGAAATTTTTTTTTTTTTGAAATTTAAAAAAAATCCTATTTCCGCAAAAATTGGAAAGCAAATATTAATTTAATTTGTAAAATTTATGTTTTAAAACACAATTTGTCTAAAATTAAATAGAATTAGCTCGAGATTTCATGATAATAATTATCACTTACATATCAAAAATTTTTTCCCATAAAAAATTTTTGTTCGCTCACAGAAGAGGGCTTTTGAGCAAAAAATAGCGATTTTTCTAATGGTTTTGTTCGCTCACTGAGGGAGGAGTAAGCGCTTTGTAGACAGATATCAAGCCTTTTAAAATAATATCAGGGTAATTCTATTTTAATGGCCTATTTTTCATGCTTTGCCTTGTTCTTCTTGATAGTATTAAATGAAACTATATATTTCGTGATAGAGTGTTGAAAGAAATTTTAGACTAATTATGGCTTTTAATTTATTAGTGCTCATTTACACAGACTTAAAGAGTATAAAGATTTCAATCTAGCTAACAGTGCCCAAGATTCTTTACTATTGTTTAAAAAATCAAGTATTCTCTATTTTGGCTTAATTTTTTAAGCTTTAATAATGCAAATTTATTTTTTAAAACTCAAAATGATATTATAATCATGATAAAAAGTATCCAAATGTTTAATGAATAGCCACTATAAATAAATCTCCAAATGTTCAATAAATTATCATTATAAATAGATCTCCAAATATTAAATAAATTACTTTGATTTTTACTTCTTGCAATAAACTCTATGCAAAAGAAATCTGCATATATAGTCTCCTTCGCTCTTACCATTTAAGAATTCACTATCAGAAGTAAGGCAACCTATTTTTTAATTGTCATATCCCTAACCTATTTAAAGAAAAAAAAATATAATTTGCGGAAGGTGGACTGAGATGCTTTCCCTATGGTGCAAGTTGGATCCATCCTATAGTGTTGAATTCGATCGTTTTTGTCGCTTTCAGTAGCCCTTTGAATTTGGTGATGCCTACCAAAGAGGGAAGTTTTGATTTTCTTTGGAGGTTTTCTTGCTACTGCTTAGGTTAGACAGTCGTTCTTCCACGTAATCTTTCCTTACCGGGAGTACCGGAAACTTTTCAAAGGATTTCTCTGAGCTGAGAAGCTGATCCTTGGAGCAGGGGTTCTAATGAGAAATTCAAAAGGGCTGGCTCCATTTTCCTTATTCAAATTCCGATCCTTGTGGTAGCTTGACAGACAAAGCGATAGTTAGTGGTTATCTCTGCTAATGGCCAATACTTAATCTTAACCTATTTAGCTATCTCGTTTATTTTCTCGAAATACATTCTGAACCCTTTTGGTTTTCTTGTTCTGCATTTTCATTGTTTCTAAATTAATAATAAACTCAGAGCTCCCCATTTTGATATCCACAGGCTCCTTTGTCTTCTCCGCTTCCTCTAGTTTCTGCACAATTTCCCTTGAAAAAGGTTTTTTTTTGCCTCTATCATCATAAGTTCACGCCGAAAACTCTCTTCTGCTTTCAGGTCTCCTCATCATTGGAGGAGGCTGCCTGATTATTGGTCTCCAAAACTTCCCAGATATGGGAGATTGCGCGAATTGCATAAGATTCACGTTGTAGAGTTTTCCCATGATTTCCAGGATTAGTGCCGGCTGTTGGTTTTGGAATGCATCTTCAATCTTCTGGTTGGAATCTGGGTCATAAGGAGAATAAGATTTTCCATTAAACCAAAACCACTGAAATGCGGATTTAGGCACTGATTGCTGCTGAATCAGAGAAATTAGCATGTGCTTGGCCTGCTGCTGGGCCTGAACAGGAGTTTCTCTTCCAGTTATAATGAATCTGCCCTGTTGATAATCTATGTGAATGGAATACTGGGAGGCCAACCATGAAATTTGGCCTGAAGCTTGGAGTGTTTTGGCAATTTCTTCAGTGCAATACACGTTGTAAACTCGATCCCCAGATTCCATTTATAAGTCAAAGAGAATTTGGTGATCTCACTTAAAAATATTAAAAAATAGGGAGCTCACTGCTTCTCAGTGAGGGAAGAAAACATTGGAAAAAATTATTTTTGGGAGAAACCACCAGCGAAAAAAATTTTTATAAAAAATATTTATATGTAAGTGATCATTAATATAATGAAATCTCTAGCTAATTCTCTGTTGAATTTTAAACAGTTGCATTTCAAACATAAAATTTTAAAAATTAAATTAATTTTTGCTTTCCAATTTTAGGATTTTTTTTTATTTTAGAAAAAAAATTACTATAAATTCATTTATTATAAATTTTAAAAAATTTAATATTTTTTTCTCTCATAGAGGGGAGCTAGGAGAAATAGCATCTTAAAATGATATAGGAAGGACAAAATTAATTCAATTAGAAAGAAGAATAGTATTTAATTACTTATACTACAACTACAATAATTTTATAAAGTTTTATGAAAATGTGTATTACAAAATTATAATGATATCTTTCATGACTCGTTTAATTATTCAGATCTTAATGTGCCTTGGAAAGAACAAGGACTGTTGCGTAATTATTCAAAACTTCAACTGTGAGTTTCTCGGTTGGATAAAATTCGCCGTCAATGGAATAAATTCCACGATTGTTTTCAGGGGTAAGTGTCCATTTGCTAGCTTTTAAATAGTTCAGCTGTGGCAAATCCACATGCCTTCCTGAGTCTTCTCGAAGCAGGACTTGCAGTAATCCTCTTCTTCCTGCATTTCCTCTCACAAATAAAATATCATTCATGCCATCTTCTATGCTGGCCTTTGGTGCGAAATTTAACCCTGTACCAATAAAAGGGGTATTGCAAACCACAAAGTAGATAAATTGGCCTGTCTCATCATGTTCACCCTCCTCATCTTCCCACGTCACAGTTGCATTGAACCTTCTTACTCTCCATTTTTTTAGTATACAATTTATGCAGCTATAATTTAAGATATTGCTTATAATTTTTTCACTTTTTAATTGCAGTTTTTATAATTGCAATTTCCTGTGGATGGCGCTGTTTTGGCCTTCGACCAGTACCATATGGTTTGGTCAAACCAAAAAATTTTCCTAATGGGAAAATCAAGGCCAAAATAGCGCCATCCATGGGGAAAACACTATAAAAATATGTTTTTATTTGCTTTAATTTTTAAATGGAAAATTCTCTGAAATATCTGGTGCTCCTGTTAAATGAAAGCTAGAGTAGGGCTAAAAGTCTCCAAAATCCATAAAGATCAAACCTAAAAGGCCCACAGCATCTGCACACTTCGCTTTCAATGTCCACATCTCCTATATACGCTCACGCTAGCGAAAGAAAGCTATAAATCAATTTCCCTGACTCAGTCCTCATCAATGATATATCAAGCGGGTGCATGTTTCCTTTAGCCGCAATAAAACAACAATTTTCAGCAGTTACTTCTTCACCTGATTTATCACACAAAATCTGTGCCAAAGCATTTGAAGATCCTCCAGGAATCATCGAGACAGGGCACATTCTTGCTTGATCTCCATCATCTCTTGAGCATAATGCATTAATTACTTCATGTATTAGCCCGTCTCCACTAACAACAATAATGGCATCATAATCAGAAATTTGCATTTGTTTTACTGCTTCAGTTGCATGATTTCTATACTGTGTTCTCAGGACATCTAATTCACAAGCAGCGAGCATATATTCTACTCTTCTTCATACTCTACTAGCAGTCCCTCTTCCTGAGTGAGTTAAGTTAAATAGCTTATATTTGGGTATTTGGTGCAGATCGACCTAACATAGAATTAGCCATGCATCTCAACCCAAATAGACAAAGAATGTGCAGAAAGCCTACAGAAAAACCTTGTGGGAAAAAAGACTTCGCAAAACCTAATCCAAGTGATACTGGCACAAATTTTCTAGATTCAGATTGGCTCTACATAATCCACCTTGGAGCCAATCTTCTGTCAACGTCGCCATTTTATTTCTACCTAAGTGAGGGTTTATTAAAATTTTCAGTTTTCTTCTATATATAGGATCATCAGGGTTTGGCATTGTTTGGTAATAAGCCATATGCTGAATAATTTTGACCCATTGTTTTGTGTCTTCGCTAGCAAAAGAGTACCTTTTAAAAGTTCTGACTTGGTTTCTTTTGGGGTAGACCATCAATTCAAACATATCCAGAGATTTCACCTTTTTCTCAACAGCCCCTAAGACGTCTGTCCACTTATAGGTTTCTACTATATTTTTGGATAAAGTCGTCAATTCGATGCATTCACAAAGAATTTGGATGTGATATCGTTCCTTGCCTTGTGAAACTTCACCGTGGTAAAGGCAGTCTGTAGATGCGATCAAGCTTTCGATCAACTCTTCGTTATTTTCCTCTACCATTCTATTATTTTAAAACAGCTTATTATGATGAAGCCTTAGGAGTATAGTTATATTTTCTCCGTAACAGATTCAGTTGAACAGTTACATTAGTAATGTGGCATGTCATTACTCCCTCTCCTTGACTAGATTGGAGATTCCTGTTGACCACTTTATTAGTGAATAAAAAAGTTTTTTGTGTAAAATATTTTGATATATAATTAATGTTTGTGAGGCTTTCTGGTCGGGTGGAGGGACGCTTATTTTGGATTTCCGAGTCAGCCTGAAATATGGTGTGGCATCGAAATGCTCGGTGACGTCTCTTATTGGAGTTAAAAGGGTAGGTCGCAGCTTTCACACCTGCTCAAGATGGTGACACATTAAACAGTAAGTAATCTAAGACTACGATATATAATTAATTATTATAGCAATGAAGCCTCCAATTGATTATATTAAATTTAGGCTGCTTAAAGCTTTGAAAAATAAATTAATTTCAAATATTTAAAAATTTGATTCTTTTGAAAGTAGAAAAAATTATTTAATAGACAAATATTTATATAATAGATTAAAAAATTGACCCTCTTCATCAATGAGAAAAATCTTACCGTTAATGGGGACAGTTAGAAGATAATTTCTAGGATTAACCATCCAAGCGAAACGAGAAAACATCGTGGAATAGATGACGAGAGCGATTGTCATGTTTCTTGATATAACTATTTATAATGAATAGAAATATTCTTACTCACCCCTCAGTGAGTGAGTTAATTTTTTTTTTAAAAAAAATATATGTAAATTTTATAAAAAATTTTTTTTTTTTCGGAATTTAAAAAAATCCTAATTCGTAAAAATTGGAAAGCAAATATTAATTTAATTTATAAAATTTATGTTTTAAAAAGCAATTCGTTTAAAATTAAACAGAATCAGCTCTAGATTTCATTATACTAATTATCACTTATTTTTTCAAAATGTTTTTCCATAAAAAAAATTTTTCTATTAAAACAAATTTTTGTTCACTCACGGAGGGTGGGCTTTTCCGCAAAATGGCGATTTTTCTAATGGTTTTGTTCACTCACGGAGGGGGGAGTTAGTGTTAGTATATGCTTATAGAGTTAATACAATAATGGCTAATCTATTTTCATTTGCTATATAGATAAAATGGCTGAAGACGAAAAACCTGCTCCACCAAAAGTCCTTATATGCCAGGGATGGTTTTAAGTTGTAGTCATGACCCGCTATAATCAGTAGCCTTATACGATAGATGCGATACTGGAAATCGCTTTACTCCTTGGGTATTTAATTGCATCTCGCTTTTCCAACAGAGATAAACCCAGCGAGTGCTCGATATGAGGCAGAAGGGCGAAATACCTACCTAAACTGCTTCTGAATATCGAAAACTGCTGAGTTCATCTAGGATGACCGAAAAAGAGGGAGGTAAGTTAGATAATGAAAAAATATAATAAATGCCCAATGATGGCGTTCAGTGAAAATTGGCTATACTAGTTGCTATTCTGGCATTTAAAAGAGCAGTGAAGGTGTTTAGCTTGGGCTACGCCTTGAGTTGGAAATGGAAGCGGCCAGTAAAGTCAGCTTTTTAACCCATAATCTTCAAATTTATCGAGAAATTGAGTTCAGACAGGCTTAAAAAGGATGCGCTCTGCTACCTCTCTGGTAAACTGCCATGTGTAATCAAATGAGTGGGATTTAAAGCCTTAATAATCCTAACTATACTGTTTCCATTTGCTGCAAAACGCTATATCTTTTCAGGAGGCTTCTCCATGTCAAGGAGACCCGCGATAATAAATCCCCAGTTAAAGACAGGACCCCAGAAATGCGTTGTTTTAGGACCCATTGGATGGTTCCAAAATTTTCGAGCCACTTCCATTTTATTTATGAGAGTTATTTTATTAACTTGTACAACTTTTATTTGTTGCCAAATAACATGGGAATTCTCCAGCTCTCTTTTAATAACATTTTTGCAATATTTATATTAATATCTGTTCTAAAAATATAAGGAATTAGACTAGCCATCTGATTATCTGAATCGCTATATACTGATAATTTTGTAAATATTGTAAATATTTGGTGAAATTAAAATTATTTATATTCACTGTGATCCGAAAGAATTCCCCTTAAATTTGTGATAAATAGATACACCATTAATATCACCGGCTTGAGTTAATTTTCTTATAGAAAATTTTAACAGATTATTAAAAAAGAAATTTAGATAACATAGCTATTAATAATTTTGAATTAACTTCCCTCACCTAAGAGATTTTTTTGTGATTTTTATATATAAATTTAAAATTAAAAATCTTTTCGAAACTAAAAAATACAAAAACTAGAAAGTAATATTCAAATTAATTTGTAAATTTATGTTTTAGGATATAAGCTGCCAAATTCAATAAGGATTAATTAGAGATTTCATTATAATAATTACCATTTATCTCTAAAATATTTGTTATGAATAATTTTTATTTTCAAAAATTTTGGCTAGTTTTTTATTTCACCATTTATCCAATTTTTTGTGGGGAAGTAAATAAAATGTCATTAGATTTATTAAAAGATTTGACAAGCTTTAGCATAGCACCCACAAGTTTTCTTGCTTTTTGGCTTTGGAGAAGAAAACGATTGAATTTCAGTATTTTCTTTTGTTTGTCCTCCATCAGAGTGCACAGACCGATTATCAAGCTTTATTTCAATTTTTTCATTTTGAAAGCTTAGATTTATTGACTCTGCGCTTATATTTTTTTCAGATTCACTTCTATTGATCCCACGTTCTGGGTCTTTCCAAAATATTGGCAAAGAAATCGAAGGTGTCGGGGGAAGTGCTGGCTCATCGTCTGGTACATCATAGAAGCTGATTTCCTTTTGAGGATGATATTCATGATATGTGGTCCTACCACTTAAATGGGCACTCTGAGGTTCCTCAGGAATTGTAAAAGGTCCTGGGGGCAATGTGGGAGGCCAAAATACTGTAGCATTTGGCAGTTTCCCACCATATTTTTCTTCTAATTGGTTTGGAGCAATATGCTCCTTCAATTCAGGAGGGTTAGATTTTTTATTGATTCTTATTTTCTTCACAGTATGAGATTCAATAAAACCCTTAACAATGTTCCATACAAATGTAAGAGAAGAAGGCGCGTTAACCACATTAAGATTAAGTTAAGTCGTTCGCACTTGCAGGGCCGGGGATTTGCATTCCTTCACGCTCTTCGCCTATGGTGGGCCTCGGCGGACACCTTTCCTTGTTGCCTCAAGCAAGGGATTCGCACATACCAGATCTTGACTTCTCCCAGTTTCTCGTCAGACAAATGCCACCTGTTGAGTCCTGTTCTAGGGAGTTAGCCTCCACTCGGGACTATCGCCAGTCTTATCCTTTCCAATGGTTGTTCTGGAGGTAAAAAACCCAAGTCCCACGGATTAGCTCCGTAGGGCTCGAGTAAAACCTAGCCCGACATACACAAAGGGTTTCCGACAATTTCCACCTAAATCCCTAACACTGGGCCGTTGAGGTGTTGAGGAAATAGGGTCGAGAGGTCGGTTGGCACGTCGTCGCCATTTTTATGTATATGCATTAACCACATAATTGACGATCATTCTGCATCGAAAATTATCTTGAAGGACCTTTATGATTCTTCTTAATTCACTTATCGGCAGATTTTTTAGTGGCTGGTTACACAAGTCAGTAATAATGATCCAATTTTCAATTTGTCCAGGAATCGTCAACTTTTGGATAGCAAACTCAAGATTGAAGCAAAGCAGCGCAGTAAATTCGTCAATAGAATATTTTTTCATATCAAATTTACTAGCATTTATCACGATTATTGGGCGGTACCTGTGATCCCGTCCATGTATATAAATTGCTCCAGAATTCAAAAGGCGAGAGCATTTTGGATAAAGTGACCGAAAACTGTCAGTTAAATTTATTGCTCGTCACTCAATGGAATTTTTCAAAGATCTTATTGACTTTTTAATATCAAACTTGCAGCCAAGCAGTATTCTGAGAAGTTCTTCATCTCTGAAAAATTCAGGAATCTCAGAAAATGATGATTTTATTTCTTGTTTAAATTTTGCTAACATTTCGTTTTCATATGAGGTATATTGCGTCTTGTAGAAAATAAATCTTACAAGGCTTTTGCCTTCACCTGTGTATACATAACTTCCTTGAGGCCAGTAATAATAAGCCTCTTCTGGAATTAACTTTTCTTCAGAGGAGAAACTATAATTTTCCATAATAAAATTACTACTCACACATATTCGTTTTTACGGCTCTATGTCAAATGGCAGTGTATTTTATAGTGTATATTTCACCAAAGTGCATTTGGTCGAAAATTGTGTGGCATTTGTTCGAAATTTAACGGTTTTTTTCGGTCAAATGTTTCAAAAAATTTTCGACTAAAATACTTCGATGAAAGCACACTATCAAAAGTGCACAATCATTGGGCCTGCACCCCCGTTTTTACACTAGAGGTTACAAATTAGAAAAAAAATATTGAAAATTTTGAGTAATTATTGCGAATATAGAACTTAAAAGATTTTGTGCCAATGTTTGCAAAATTATGGATAAAATTTAAATTTTAGTTTATTATAGGAAAATAAGTTAAATTATGAAAATTTTTGAAGGAATAATCCAGGTGTTTTGGAATGAGACGATTTATTATATTTCATAAGATTTAATATAGCTCTCAAACGTATGAGAAGTGTAACTGTGCCGATTTCTTTGCATTGTATAAAAGCCATTTACATTAAAATTAATATATTGATAATTATTTATATAACAATTAAAATTAATTATTATATAAAAATAGTTAATTTTAAATAAAAACAAGCATCTAACTCCCCCCCCCGTGAGTGAACAAAAAAAATTTTGTTCACTCACGGAGGGGGGTTAATTTTTTTTTTTTTAAAAAAATTTATATATAAATTTTATAAAATTTTTTTTTCTTTCAAAATTTAAAAAACTTCCTAATTCGCAAAAAATGGAAAGCAAATATTAATTTAATTTATAAAATTTATGTTTTAAAAACGCAATTTGTTTAAAATTAAACAGAATTAGCTCTAGATTTCATTATACTAATTATCATTTATATATCAAAATTTTTTTTCCATAAAAAATTTTTCTATTAAAAAATTTATTTTCACTCACGGAGGGTGGGTTTTTTGGCAAAAAATGGCGATTTTTCTAATGGTTTTTGTTCACTCACGGAGGGGGGGAGTAAGGCATTTGATTTAAATATATAATTAATTTTTAATTAAATTTATTCTATTATTTTAATTCAAAATTATAGGTAATATTACATCAATAAGTCTACTATTCAGTTAATTCTACCCCAATTAACGAGTGTCATATTCATTAGCTAATAGTTTTCTTGCTAATATAATTATGGAAGCCTTAAATGACAGCAGCAAAATGACTGTCTATTTAGGTTTTCCAAAATCATCTCCTACACTTACAATCAAGCAAATGCCTGACGGAAAAATTGGAGGAAATCCCCTATTCTTATTATCCGAGCCTCTCGCCCCTGAATGCTGCGGAATCCCATCCAAGTTTATATGCCAAATCTCTGCTCCAGGCGATGATGATTCTTCTTATTATCGCTACTTATACGTTTTTCAATGTTTAACCTGCAAGCTCCCCTCAGCATTCCGAGCACAGCTTCCTAAAGAAAATCCGCTTATTCAAGAAGAGCAAAATGAGTCAAATGAACCTTTGGATTCTGGGTGGGATACAGTCCCTGACAGCTCTGATCTCCTAAATATGATGGACAACCTCGAAGACACCAAAGTTTCTAAAAAAGACCTCACGTTTGAAATCTTCCAAGAAGACGAAAAAGCTACAGAAGTAATCAATAAGCTCTATAGGGCAGACCTGCAAAACAAAGAAATGGTCAAAGACATCTACGAGTTCATGGAAGCGCCTTTTGATGAAGAAGAGGAAGAAGATATCCCTTTTGAAGAGGAAGAAGGTGAAGACCCTGAAGAAGATAAGGACGCAAACGACCTAATGAAACTTATAGCGAAAAATCAAAAAGACAGCAAAGACATAAGCTTTGATGTACTGAAATGGTGCAGGGATTTAGACCCAACCCAATGCATTAGGTATGGAAAAAGAATTCTGCCTTTGTGGTACTCAGATAAAGGAAGGCCAGCAGAAAGAATTGAGAACTGCACTTGTGGAGAAGCAAGGATTTTTGAGTTCCAAGTGCTTCCTCAAATTTTGAACTATATTAAAGAAGACGAGCTTGATTTTGGGACAATTTTAGTCTACACGTGTCCGAATTCCTGCCAAATTGAGGGATATGCCCGAGAAGTTGCTTTACTCCAAGCTTCAATTTAATAGTTTAATTTACACAATTTATGTATATAATAATTTAAATATGATTTTCAAGTTCTTGCTGAAACCGCACAGATTTTGTGTGATTAGGGCTTGAGCCTGGGGTGTTCCAGTCCCAGGTTTCACCGAATTCTTTGATACTTTTTAAAATGCTGTGTTTCTTTAGATTTTCAATATACCATCTTGTATTTTTATCTTTTTCTAATTGTTCTTTTAGGTTTTGCTCGTCATGCTCTCTTATAAGCTTTAAATCGAGCTTTACATGACTTTTCAGCTTAAAGCTGCGGTCTTTGCTAATCCCGATTTTGTGTTCAATTTCTTCTAATGCAAAAATTTTATTAAAATGGAGACTATCTTCCATATCACAGAGCTGACCTTAGCCTGGGGCATGCAGGACAGTTTTTTTTTTTCAGAAGGCCTAAGATGGGTTTTGCTCCTGACTGGAAGGGCTTTTTTTCTTGAAACATCATAACAAAGCACAGCACAACAGCAGCTCAAACTTCTGGAGAGGCAATATTCTGCCAGTTGAAAGCAGTAATACTAAAAGTTGGTAACTGGGCAATCCCTCATATTACGTGTATTATTTTTTGCGATATCTAAAGAAAAGAGCATGCATGCATGCAAACAAGGGCTTAGGGTGCTTTGAGCCGAATTCAGCAAGGTGAAGGAATCAGAATACTCTGAAAACCCAATTTAATTTAATCTAATATAGTCTAATGCTAGAAATCTTGCAGGCAATTTTCGCCTCTCAGAAGGTGCGCTGCTTTTGGACCTTGACGAAGGCTTACTTTTTGCTTTTGTTTGTGTTCCTGATGGATTTGGAGATAAATCTCACACTTTTGGGGTGTCTGCAGGAGTTAAACTGGAAACTTTATGATGACTTGGTGTGTGTTCTCTTTAACTTAAATTGAAGCCATTAATTCTCCTATATAACTTTAATCATCGCAAAAAAAGTATTTTTTTATTATCCGAAATGCCCAAAATTCAATCAAAAAAATATATAATCTTTCGATATTTTTGCTACTTCATACTTTATGATTCAAATTTATCGGCGGAAGCAAAACAGAATTATCTTCATCTTCTAATTTTGCCTCTGCTCTTGCTTCAAAATGTCTTAGCTCAACAGCGACTTTTGGGCGAATATATTTTGCCTTTTTCATATGGTTGATTTTTGGGGAGCTCGAAGAATCTGGCTGTTTTTTATGATGGATTGTTTTCGATGAATTTCTTTCAGGTTTGCCTTTTTTTTCTTCAATTTCTATCAGTTTTAGCTTTACTTTTGAAGGCAACGATGGATTCGAAATCTCAGTTAAATTTGTATCGGTATAGCTACCTGAGTTTTTGTGAACCGAAATAATATTTTCAGTAGAAATAACTAAATCAGGCCGCTTTAGCTTTATTTTTTTTCCTCTTTCAACTGAGCTGTTCTCGCTTCTCAGTCCTTTGTGTTTATGCTTAAGAAAAGTCTTTATCGGCCTTTCAGGGTCTTGGTATCTATCAAATTTTATTTTTCTTGAAGATGTGGATTGTGGAAAATCTTTGCCTAGAGGTTCAAAAACGTAAATAGCGTAGTTATTCTTACGGCTTGGGCAATTCTCTGGGATATTTACTTCTCCAGATTCCATGCTTTATTTTAATGTTTGGAAAAATGCATTATTTAATACCTTTTTTTAATCGGGGCGAAAGACTTGTTTTCTTTAGAAACTGGTTTACCCTGTTTCGAGCTTTGCTGGCAATATCAATTGCTTGCCGAGTAAAAGGAATGTCAGCTATCTTAGGTCGAGCCACATCTTTAAATAAAATATTTTTTTGTTTTGTTATAACAGGCAGCGCTTTTTCCTTTATTTCTCTTTTGGTCGGAATAACAGGGGTTTCGCTTAAAATAGGTTGTAGTTCTTCATCTTTAGAAAAATAGGTCACTCTTCTCTGTTCAACAGGAGAAACCCTTAAAGATCTGTTAAAATAGCTTCTAGAGTCAGGAGTCATAGCATAAGGCATTGGACTTGTAGAAGAAAATCTTTCATTTGTCCCATAATTCCCCAGCTGTGAATAGCATAAATCTAGGTTATAATATGAAGCAAGGCTCTCGTCAACAATATCTGGACTTATAGGAGACTCGTTTCTTATTGTAGACGGCGTTTTGATAGTATTTCTTGCATTTTTCTGAGAGTCTGTGCGATGCATTTGCTTTAATTCTGAAATGTGTGAAGGTTTCGCATCAGCTATATGGTCAATGGATACAATCTGGATAGAGTTTGCAGCTGTGGAAGGAATAGAGCTTATAACTCTTTTGTGAAGTTTGCTGGAATCTAGCAGGAAACGAGTAGGAATGAACTTTAAGTGTCGAGGAGATTGTGATATTGCTATAACAGCTCTGCCTCGGTTTGTAGGAGTCTTGAACTTTGAAGATATAGTTTGCATGTAAGGGAGCAGTATCTCTTTGGCTTGCCTTAGTTTTGTTTTTTTATTATGTTCTCGCAATGATGAGTCATTCTTATTATTCATCTAATTAATATCATAAACAATATATACCCTTTATGAATGGCTTGCTTGGATAAAACCATTGGAAAAAATCCTATTTTTTTGCCCAAAAACTACCCTACACGAGGAAATTTTTTTTTTGTTGAAAAAATATTTTGCACATAAGTAATAATTATTTATAAAGAAATCCTTAACTAATTTTGTTTAATTTTAAACAACTTGTATTTAAAAACATAAATTTTACAAATCAAATTAATATTTGCTTTCCAATTATTTTAATGGAATTTTTTTAAATTTCGGGAAAAAAATAACCCCTCGCACATTGTCTCTACCCTAGCCTCAAAATTTAACTAACCTATTATATAATTTATTGCTTCAGTGATTTGAAGATAATTTGCTATATAAATAAATGGAACGCTTCTCACTCCAGACTAAGAATTCAATAAAAGAAGACAATAATGACGAGCCAGAAGAATACTACATAATTCCAAGATCATCTTATTTGAATAACGCTGATAAATACGACAACTCCCGCTACAAGCCCAGTATATCTGAAAATTTTCTTGAGTCTCCGAGCAAAAGCGTCTCTTCAAATCATTATCTCGAAAAAAGATTCCGTCCTTATCTCCGTGCAAGCCGTCATGTAACAGCTGTAAGAAACCATTTTGACCTCCAGTCTAATTCTTTTTTTGATCGGGCAAAAGAAGACCAAAAATCGTTTTTACAAAAATCGCCTTCAAAAGATTGCAATTTCCATGTGGTCAAGCACAGATGCCAACCCCCCCACCCCCACCCCCCCCATGCATGGATCCCACCCCACCCCCTAGTATATATGGATCCCACCCCCACCCCCTATGTTAATAGATCCCACCCCCCACCCCCACCCCCATATACATAACTTTATGCAGAATATTTAATGGTTTAAGCCCAAGTGAAGGAACCAAAGTTTTATACTCTAAACTATAGCTCATACCCCTTTATATATTCCTTTATCGAGCAAATTGTACTTGATTATTGAAAGACCAAAACAGACTCTCTCAAAGAGATGAGCTCAATCTCTATATCAGAAAGTTCTAAAAAGTGGCATGACAAAAAATAGTGGCAAGTGTGAAAAAAGTTGACTTAAGATAATTAATTATTCATTTCTTTCGTTAAATTGATTTAATAAAATAATATCTACATGTAGATTTGACTATGGATTATCTTTGGATTTACATAAGTCAAAATTCTACTGGAGTTTGTGATTGATATGCTTACTGGAGTTATAGCACTTGAAGATCTATTCAACCGTTTACTCAAGAAGTTCCTCCTTTGCATTCTCAATTTAAAAGTTCAGGTGCAATTTCTTCCATACTGGACTCCATCTTTATAATCGCTTAAATTGATACAAAATTCAGTTTTATAATAAACAATTTTATAGATAAAAATCATAATTTTTATGTAAAAGTTTCGGTATAAGTTAAATGTTTCTTATTAACTAAAATTAAAAATTTAGTTATATCTTGTCTTTTTTAAAGAAAAGAACATAAAGAGCATCTTATTTAAATACATTTATTATCTTTAATTGCTATATTTTTAAAAAATTTAATTTTTTTTTAGAAATTTTTCAACAAAATATAATTTATTGCATTTATTTCTTATCATGCATATGATGTCATTTGAATTTATTATGTGGAAACCCAAATATACGTTTCAAAACGCAGATTTTAGTCGCCAAATTAATAATTTAAATTTCATATGAAAATAGTGCGTATAACTGCCATAAGAAATTAAGCCAAGGGATTATATTTTTTATTTAAAATTTTGATAAAAATTTAATGCAAATTCTTTACAAAAATTGAAAATTTACTTTATTTCTTGCTTTATTTTAGCAAAAGAGTATAAATAGCCACTTAATTAAACAAAATTAATACTTTGATCGATAAATTTTCTAGAAAGTTATTAATCTAATTCGACACATTTTTTAATTTTATTTTATAAGAAATTTTATATTGAATTTTTTATAAAAAATTTTCTTAACCCTTCTTTTAAATTGGAACAAATATTTGGTTCCAATTTAAAGGGAGGGAGTTAAATCAAAATCCTACTGGAGTTTTTGCACGATATGCTTACTGGAGTTATAACACTTGGAGATCTATACAACCGTTTACTCGGGAAGTTCCCCCTTTGCATTTTCACTTTTGACAATTTATTTCATAATGGACTCCACCTTTATAATCACTTAAGTCAGGATCCTACTAGAGTTTTTGATTGATATGCTTACTGGAGTTATAGCACTTGAAGATCTATACAACTGTTTACTCGGGAAGTTCCCTATTTGCATTTTTAAACTCATCTCTATAAATTTATCTCAAGCACTTTTTACATGAACAAATAATCAAAAATATTAAATCTATTAAAAATTTATATGTAGTATTTATTATTATAATTCTCATTAATTAATAAGGCCTAAAAAATAAGATTTTTAGTTATTAATCAATTCCAGTCTAATTTGGTATGCTAAGTGTAAATTATTTTATTAAGAAAGCCAAATTTGCGTGTTTGCTTACCAACTTTTTTCACACTTGCCACTATTTTTTTTTCATGCCACTTTTTAGAACTTTCTGATATAGAGATTGAGCTCATCTCTTTGAGAGAGTCTGTTTTGGTCTTTCAATAATCAAGTACAATTGCTCGATAAAGGAATATATAAAGGGGTATGAGCTATAGTTTAGAGTATAAAACTTTAGTTCCTTCACTTGGGCTTAAACCATTAAATATTCTGCATAAAGTTATGTATATGGGGTGGGGGTGGGGGGTGGGGGTGGGGGTGGAGGTGGGGGTGGGGGTGGGGGTGGGGGTGTGGGGTGGGGGTGGGGGTGGGGGTGGGGGTGGGGGTGGGGGTGGGGGTGGGGGTGGGGGTGGGGGTGGGGGTGGGGGTGGGGGTGGGGGTGGGGGTGGGGGTGGGGTGGGGGTGGGGGTGGGGGTGGGGGGGGGGGTGGGGGTCCCGAGGTCCTATTTGTGCTGGACCAAATATCTATGATTTTTTATATAAAAATTTCAATAAAGGGTTAATAATAAAAAAGTCAAATGATGGCAACATAAAGAGAAAGCGCCTAAATTCATGCGAAAAAATAACTATTGCTAACTCCTCCCCTCCGTGAGCGAACAAAACCATTAGAAAAGTCCCTCACTCTTCGTGAGCAAACAAAAATTTTTTAATAGAAAAATTTTGTATGGAAAAAAAAATGAGTGTTTTGTTCGTTATTAAATGGCGGGGGGAGCTACCTGCATTTTTTGGAAAATTTTTGACCTTTATATGATTTAAAACATGAGGTATGTGCTTGAAGGTTCATTGAAAATATGCTTCCTCGTTAGCAAACTGTATCCGATTTTTTTTCATCCCTATGACTTTTAATTTTTTATGCTGTGAGCAATTAATACGTTTTATTTGCCTTTAATACAGTTTACATTATATAGGGGGGTGGGGGGGTGGCATCTATTAATGGAATGGGAGTGTGGGGGTGGGATCCATAGATGCAAGGGGGGTGGGGGTGTGATCCATACATACAATCTGAGGGGGTGGGGGTGTGATGTATACATCCAAACTGGGGGGGTTGGGGTGGGGGGGTTGGCATCTGTGCTTGACCATCCATGTGTCAAGACTGCCTGAAATCCCAGTTACCAAAGAGCTGGAAATTAAGTGCAAAATTGTGCACTCTTTTAGGAATCTGTATTCCGCAAATAGAAAAATTAGAGACAGCCCTAATAAGGATGCTGGAAAAAGCCACAGAATTTCTAATAGTATTAGTTATATTAAAGGAGCTCCTTATAAATACTGCAATGGGAACTGTGGAAACTCGTGTTTTTGTCAGGATCGGTCATTTGTGCATGTAAGGCATAATAGTGGAGGTCTAAAGATGGTGGAAAAAAATGATGCAAAAGGAGTCCATCAACTGAGAGAAATGTATCTTGATCCTGTGAAATTTTCAAGGAATAGTTTATCGTTAATTAACAAAGTGAAATAATAGAAATTTCTTTAATAAATTATAATAATACATGATTTATTTTCTTTTAAAACTTTTTCTTATATGGTATCCTCTCCAATTTGCTTGGATAAATATAATAGCACTTCGTATGATTTCATACAGGTCTTTAATTTGTCTGGATTTTATAAAATTTTGGATTTTAATAGCAGAGTTTTTTATTTTTTGGAATTTTTTGCGAGCTACATACATTCTGTATAAAGCTTGAAGTTTTTTAGCGCTCTGGTCTGGATTTGGTAATAAAGGACTGTTATGATTTTCGTTATCATTTTTTGCTGTTAATTCGGTGTTTTCATTAGATGGTACTAAAGATTTATCATTTTCTGATTGGTTTCTATTTTCTGGAATATTGCTATGCTGGCTATCAGTTTCAGGTTTTATCAATTTATTTTGTTTTTTTAAGAACTTCTCACTGTGATTAATGTTTTTCTCTATTTCATTCTTATCTTTTGCTAAACTTATCATTGATTTTGCATCTGGCATTATTTTCCTTTCTTCAGCAATCTGCCTCTGGCTACAAGTGCTAGCAGTTTTTTCTTCAAATAGTTTATCTTCCTCCAATATTTTCTGTTTCAGAAGCGCTAATTCTTTAATTGCAGCTTCAGCTTTTATTTCAGACATTCTTCTTTTCTTTAGTTTAGACTCTTTTTTCTGTTTATACTCTCTCCAGCATTTTTGAATAACTGCTGCACATTTATTCCTATGAAGCAAATTGTCATGAATAGCTTGGCTATGGATTCCTCTTATTGGTTTCCTCTGGAAAATGGTTTTTATAGGAGAGATATTTCTGCGGTCAACTTTTGTTTTATATAGCTCGTCATATTTCCCTTCTATTGATTTTAGCTGTTTTTCTAGAGACATTACTTTTTCTTCCAAATTAAAGCTGGAGTCTTCATTTCGGCTTGGCTGTCTTAAATGGGTTTTTCTAAAGCTTAATGGGGGCTTTGCATTATTTTGCAATAAACCAGTAGAAACTGGAGAACTAGCTTCTCTATGTTTTCGTCTATTTATATATGCTGATTCTTCACTAACATTTCTGTTTACTTCTGGAATTGATGGTCCTAAGTTATAGGAAACTGGTTTAAATTTTGCAATTGACTCATCGATATCGTAATTGGTCATAAACCTTGCTCGAGACGATCGGAAATTGGAGCTAGACCTTGGCGGCATTTTTTCTCTGCTTTTTATTTCTCTCGAAGGAGATCTTGATGGCTTCTGCATTGATGGAAACGACTTTTCAGAACGCTGTGAACGCCGAGAAATGTTAGAAAATGATCTCTTATGAGAATATTTGGTACCATCCATCGTGTTTACTCGTTCAAATTTGTATATTTTGTGGCCGTCAGGAGAACTCTCAATCATTCCTTGCAAAGCTGAGAAGTTTTTGTATAAAGCTATAGATATAGGGTGATCCTGACCCATTGATTTCTGGGATTTAGTTAAGCCATTTCTAAAGCAGTCCAAAGCTTCTTGATGAAGACCAAGAATTTCATATTCAACTCCAGCGTTATGATAAGCAATTGCTAATGTGGCGGAAACGTTCTTGGTTTTTTCTGTTTTTTCTGCTTCAAGAAGCAGCTCTATAGCTTTGCATGCGTTTTTTATTGCTTGTTTATGCTGCTGGAGGCTTGATCTGATGGCACAAATATTAAATCACCTCCTCCATGAACGAGTAAATATTGAAAAGTTCTCTTCTGTGAGCGACCAGAAGAAGATTTTTATAAAAATCTACTTCGATATAAGTGATAAATCTTATAATGTAATGTCTAGCTAATTCTATTAAATTTTTAAATACCTTACATCTTAAAAACACAAAATTTATAAATTAAATTAATTTTTACTTCCAATTGGGATTTTTTAAAGTAAAATTTTCATATAAATAATATTAAAATAATTCTCTGAGCAAGCTAAATGTTTTGCTCGCTCAAAAAGAGGGAGTAAGATGGGTTCCTGCTAAATTGGAATTATCTATAGATGAATGCGATTCTAGATCTAATGCTTTCTGCAAGTATTGGAGTGCAAGATTAAGTTTTCCAGTCTTTTTGTAAAAGCAGCCAAGATTATTATAAGTGATTGCTTCAAGCTTTGCCTTGGCCATTGACGTTTGAGGACAATTTAATATGTCCTGGGCTCTTCTCAGCATATGAAGGGCTGCTTTATAGTTGTTTTGTCTTAAATGTTCCATTGAGAGTTTGTTACAGCTTAGAACGATATCTTGTAGCTGCTGAGAAAAATTCTCTTTGTAGTCATCGTGCTGCATAATGATTTCATTACAAAAAATAAGCCCAAAAGCATCAATTATGGTTTTTACTTTCTACATTAAAATGGCGACGGCGATCCAGCCCTTTTTCTCAACACCTGTAGCCTGCGTTCGCAGGGGACCTTGTGGAAGGGGAGAAGGCGCTCGTAATGTGCATCCGGCTAGGTTTTACCTTGACACAGTGGAGCGCAACGTCTGATTAGGCCGACCGCAGCTCATTCTGACACCTAGGGGTTTGCCTCAGGGGAGATGGATTCCAGGGTTGGAAAGGGGAAGCTCAGCAGCATCAGGAAGGTACCTCCTGATCAATCGGGCAACTCCCTAGCGTGAAACTGGGCGTTACGTCCCAGGCTTTGGATTTCCATCTTGGCCGACAGTCCTACCAGAAAATTTTTTTTTCAAATTTTCGGAATGGGCAACCTCTGTTGGCGTACTGCTAAGTGGCGTAACTCATCCAACTATGGGTAGCGAGTGCATATCCTCGTCCAGTAGGAGCAACACCTTGAAGGTCGTGATCGATTGGTGGTGAGCAACCGGGTGAAGCGTGAAGGGTGGAGGTAGGGCAGGGGAAACCCGCGCCAATACGACGAGCCTCTCATAATACTAATTAATGTTAATGGTTTTTACTTTCTTACTAAATTCAATTATTAGTTTTTATTTCAAAATTAATTAATTATCAATATAAATCTCAAATTCAAAAATAAATCAAGATATTCCTAGTAATTTCAAGCGTCAATACATAATTTAATGTAATTTTATTTTTTGTAACTATTCATATTAAATTTATTGCTATTTAAATAAGCCCGATCTTGCCGATCTTGGAGTGAGACTGATATTTCTGAAGTATCCTGGCATATCTTATAATGTGTAGTTTTACTTTTAGTGACAATACTAAGAGGTTCCAGAGACTTCAGACTCTTGGGGAAGGTGCATACGGGAAGGTCTATAAAGTTCGAGACACAATCAGCAACTCAGTTGTAGCATTGAAAAAGTCTTTAATCAGGATGGAAGATGAAGGGATCCCAACTAGTGCAATGAGAGAAATATGTCTGTTAAGACAGATGTGCCACCCTGGAATTGTTTCACTTTTAGACGTTATCATGACTGAAAAAAGTCTATACCTTGTTTTTGAACTTTTAGACCAAGACTTAAGAAAGTATCTTGACTCTTTAGACCTACGTATATCAGAGCTACAGGCAAAGAAATTTTTACTGCAGATCTTAAAAGCAGTGCATTACTGCCATTCTAACCGTATAATTCACCGAGACCTTAAACCCCAAAATTTGCTCCTCGACAATAATTTAAATATAAAGATAGCAGATTTTGGGCTATCTAGAGTGTTCCAGATTCCTTTAAGGCCTTATACAACCTCTGTGCAGACCCTCTGATACAGAGCTCCAGAAATACTTTTGGGATCTAAATTCTATACAACTGCTATTGACATTTGGTCAGTTGGCTGTGTTTTCGCAGAAATCATATCTGGGGTCCCTCTATTCCCAGGGTCAAGATATCCAGACCAACTCTTTGCAATTTTCAGAATAATGGGAACTCCAACTGAAGAAACTTGGGCAGGAGTTTCTAGTCTTCCTGATTTTTCACAGGATTTCCCAAAATGGACAACAATCCCAATGAGAGATTTATTCCCAAATATTTCATCAGACGGACAAGATTTGTTATCAAAAATGCTAACAATGGACCCAAAAAAGAGGATTTCAGCCTATGACTGCTTAAAACACGTAATTTCTATTTAGCCATATTTTCAAGATATTAATGCTAACGCACTTTAATTTATTAATAAATTTGCTTACTCCCCCCCCCCCCTCCGTGAGCGAACAAAACCATTAGAAAAATCGCCATTTTTTTGACCAAAAACCCACCCTCCGTGAGTGAACAAAAATTTTTTTAATAGAAAAAATTTTTAATGGAAAAAAATTTTGATATATAAGTGATAATTAGTATAATGAAATCTAGAGCTAATTCTGTTTTAATTTTAAACAAATTGCGTTTTTAAAACATAAATTTTGCAAATTAAATTAATATTTGCTTCCCAATTTTTGCAAATTAGGATTTTTTTAAATTTCGAAAAAAAATATTTTTTCTAAAATTTTATATATAAATTTTTTTTAAAAAAAAAAAATTAACCCCCCTCCGTGAGCGAACAAAATTTTTTTGTTCGCTCACGGGGGGGGGGGGGGAGTTAACTAATAATTTCGTTTAAAATTGCTAGTTCTTCTTCAGTCAACTCTGAGTATATTTTTGAATAAATTGCTGGACATCTCTGTGAGAAAGTCAACAGAACATTTTTAAGGTATTCATTTATTCCAAAGGTTTCAAATGGAGAGTCATAAAGATCTTCAGGAGTTCCATCAAATGGATCATCTTCCTCATCATCTTCTATATCTTTCACAGTCTTCAGCTTCTCCAACAACTTTTGATACTCAGCGTCAAATTTATTATGGTCCACTGCAATAGTTTGGCCAATGCCTTCTTCTTCTCCTTCATTCCCTTCTTCGCCTTCTTCCAAGTTTTTCCACAATTTTAATGCTTTTTTAACCACAACTGGCATTCCTTCAGCAACTACTTGAGGCAGATGTTCACAAGAAGAGATCAATGATGCTAAGCCTAAAATGGCGTAGCTTCTAGGTAAATAGTCATTGTATTGATCAAGGTTTTCAAAGCTAAATCTAAATACATCAGTTAGTATATTAAGTTCTAATATAGCTTGAAGTGCGACCAGGGTATTATTCCATAGGGCAATACATATAACTTCTGAAGCATAAACCTTTACTTTTTTCTTTACCTGAAGCTTGTATAAGTTTGAAACTTGTTTTATTATTTCAGGGATATACTGGTCTAAGGAGCCCTTAAGATTTTCTAAGAGAGCAATAAGTATTTTACAACCAGTCATCAAATCTGGGTCTTCTGGGGCTTCACCTTTTAAGAGATCAAGACCCATTGTAAGAATCACAGCTAAGTTTTCATGTGTAAGCTGAGGATACTTAGAAATGAAGTTTGCAATAGGAGAAAAAACCTCTAAAGTGTGCTCTAGAGCATATGCCTTTATATTTCCTTCTCCTAATAAAGAAGCTCTCAATAGTCTCACAAATGGAAATAGATGTGGCAGAGCATCTTTAGGTGCATAATAAATCAAGCTTGTCAATAAATGAACAGCTTCTTCAAAGAACTCACATCCTTTTTCATTCAAACAGTACTCAAAAACTGGTACCAGAAGAACAGAAATATTTAATAAGTCCTGAGGCCTCTCTTCAAAAGAGTCAACAATTTTTGCAATTGTGTTTAAAATTGATACAGCCGCCATAGCACTTTCTCCTTCATCTTGGCCGCCTTCATTAGTTGACATTCTAAAGAAAGTGGCAATTAAATGCTGTGTAAATTCAAGGGCATAAGGAATTATTTCAGTAGAAAACCTTCCTACAATGTCTTCCAAAGCATCAACTACGTCTTCACTATCAATTTCGCCCATAAGTTTTAAATAAACCTGAAGGATTTCTTTGATTTCACTTGATACTTTTTCTTTAGAAATATCCCATAGTAATAGCCGAGGTAAAGCTGTAGCTGCTTCTGTTCTGACTGGGAGATCAGGGTCTAGCATCATTTGGCAAATTTTTTGTAGAGCCAAACTTTGATGCTCTCTATTTGTAAATGGAAATGATGCGAATTGTGCATACATCCAGCAGGCGCGGGCTCTTAAAAAGCCAACTGAGTTATCAAATTCTGGTAATACATAGACGCTTAAAATATTTTGAATATTTTGAGCTAAATCAATATTTTCTTTGAGAATTTGGTAAATTGAGCCTAAGGCAAGCAAAATTGCCTCCTTGTGTAAAAGCTGAGGAGATGACTGAAGTTCTGCGCTGACGTATTCAAGAAACATAGATAAATACCCTTTTTCACAGATGACGACTAGTAGATCAATTGCTGAACTTTTGGCTGAGTAATAAGCTCTTCCAAGATCACTTTCTTTCCTTACAAATTCAATTGGATTTTCTTGCCAGAGTTCTTCATCTGATCGGGTTCTATATACAACAGGAATGATAATGTCAGTTATTAAAGCAGGGATGACTAATTTTCCATTAGGTGTTGTAGCTGTTTTCATTTGTTCTGCAACATTTTCGAATTTTATTCCTTGAGATACGTATTTTAATAAGTAATTTGTGACGATATCTGGGATGTAGCAAGATGCTCTTTTGTAGAGTAATGGCAAAATTACGGCAAATAACTGGATAGCCCATTGATGCTGAAAGTGTTGGCCGATGATTTGGTTATGGTCTTTTAGATAAGCAAGGTTAAAATATCTGTTGAAAAACCGATGCACTATTTGTGCTGCCCATTTTTTGCATGACCAACGTGGATTGACATCTCTTAATGCTCCTACGTTATTAAGCAAAACCAATTGAAAAACCTTTTTGAGCGAGCAAAATTTTTATAAAATATATAATGATTATAATAAAATCTCTTGCTAGTTTTATAGCTTAATTCTAAAATAAAATTTTCAAATTACCTCGTGAGCAAGCAATATATTTTTCTCATTCAAGCAGGAAGTTAGCTTAGCGTCTTCTGGACTTTGTGATGGAGTTTCCAGTTCGCCTAATGGCAGTTCTAATATAATCTTAAATTTTTGAAGCCAAGAATCCAGCTGCATCGTTGAGGTCTGGCTTTGTGGAAGCTCAATATAGAAGCAAGCCCAGAATATTTGAAGTATTAAAGATATCCTTATTTATAATGAATGAAAACATTCCTACTAGTTAGCCGTTTTCTTATTTTCTCTATTAATATAAGATAATAGCAACCAGTAGGGATGCTTATATCCTCTATAAGTAGGTATATATACTTATACGCGTCTTCACTTGTCTCGCTAGCTCCCCCTCCAAGATAGAGACATTTTACGAAAATGTCTCTATTGGAAGGTGGGTTTTTTAAAAAAAATCTATAAGAAAATTGTTATATATATATATTTTTTTTAAAAATTATATAACATAAATTTAAATAAAATTCAAGAATATTGCTTTCAAATTATATATTTAATCAAGGGAAAGGTTAATGAAAATTCAATTTTAGCTCTAAATGCCATCAATACCTCATCTTCTAATTCTAATTTTGATGGAATATTTTTCAATATAAAAAATTTATATAACTCCCCCCCCCCCCTCCGTGAGCGAACAAAAAAAATTTTGTTCGCTCACGGAGGGGGGTTAATTTTTTTTTTTTAAAAAAAATTTATATATAAATTTTTATAAAAAAATTTTTTTTCGAAATTTAAAAAAATCCTAATTTGCAAAAATTGGGAAGCAAATATTAATTTAATTTGCAAAATTTATGTTTTAAAAACGCAATTTGTTTAAAATTAAACAGAATTAGCTCTAGATTTCATTATACTAATTATCACTTATATATCAAAATTTTTTTCCATTAAATTTTTTTCTATTAAAAAAATTTTTTGTTCACTCACGGAGGGTGGGTTTTTGGTCAAAAAATGGCGATTTTTCTAATGGTTTTGTTCGCTCACGGAGGGGGGGGGGGGAGTAAGAAAATTTTCAAAAATGTCTCTAGGTGGTTTACCCAAAAAATAGAAATTTTCCCTATTTTTCCGAGTAAAAAATGTCTCTATCTTGGGGGGGAGTAAGGAATGTCCCTAACAGAGCATCTAATTTCCCAAAAATTCTATCAATTAGTATTTTAAGATTTTTCCTTTTTTCGTCCATCGCAAACTCATAAACTTTGGCAATTTGATGGATCATGGACAACGCAGCATACATATGATCGATATCTGAGCCCAATGCCACATCTATTTGTTCAAGGATTTCGTCCCATGGGAAATCTGCTTTAGCTATATTGTTAGCGATTTCCTCAAACTGAGATCGGATCCTTTCAGGAATGGAAAATCTGAGACATTCAATGATATTTGTCCTCAAAAAGGCTTTATCATTTGAAGGTAGCTCGAAGTCTCTTTTCGAGTCTTTCCACACTTTTGTAAGGTTTTTTAGATAGATCACAGCAAGCTGCTTTATCTCAATGGGATGTTCCTCCAGTGAAATCTTCATCAGTGTAGGGATAGAGCCAATCAAAATATGACGTCATTTGAATTTTCTGTTTGAGAGAACAGTTACCAATTTGTATTTTAAGATGTGGCTCCACTAAGCGAATCTATCTTGGCAATAAAATAGCGATGCCTAGCGCTTAACAGCTATCCCAAGGGGAAATATGGAATTTTCTAGAAGTATGCCTCCAACCCAAGGGTAAAGACTAGATTTTTAGAGTTTCTGATAAACGCAAGCTAATTTTGCCTGGGATTGGAAGGATAGGAGTCAAATCTGGATGCCGAATTGATTGAGATATTTAGATCAAAGTCAACAGAGCTCGATACTGATGGGTGAGATCATCGAAGGAAAGACCCAGCGTAGGACAATCGATATGGTACCAGACGTTAAGTGAGATGATTTATTAATTTAAAGCAAGCATGGATAAAGCCTGAAGATGTCTTAAAAGAGGCAAGCAAATTTTCTGCTTGTTTTCTGGCCTCATTGTCTTGCTGCAAGCTTACTCTGAAGGCTTCAATGATTATTGATTCCTCCATTCCCCTTATTTATTTACTATTAAATGACCATAAACTTGCAGTAACAAGCTTAATTTTGCTTCACTATAAATACATGCCGATAGAAGAATCATTGCCAAGCATTAGTAGTTTAGGGGTAGAATGTGACGTTGCCATCGTTACGACCCGGGTTCGAATCCCGGCTGATGCATTTTTGCGATTTTATATTTTATTTAAAAGAAATTATTTTAAATGATAAGAATTGGTTCTTTATTTCCTTTTTGTGAATAAGGCTTAATGTAATCTGAAAGCAATGCAAATGTTCCTTCTGGTAAAACGCCTTTGGCCCATCCATAAATCGTGATCTGGAATGAACAAACTAGCACTGTAAACATATTGGGAACAATAATAAAATTATTATTTATTAATATTCCATACGCAAGCCACACAAATCCATTCAGCACGCAGGCAACAATTATTTTAATATCAATATATCGGTGATTTTTTTCAACTAAAGCAGGGATTACCTGCTCTAGAGGCGCTATCATCCCTATAAAGCTAATAATATCTGCAAAAAGTCCAAGAGTTTCCACATTAATGAAATTAAGCAAAAGCAAAGAAAACCCAAATAAGGCTGAGGTGTATTTAAGCATGAAAACAAAAGCATTTTTATTGATCATGTGGTATCACACTATTCATATAATCCCAATACAAAACGCGAACATAGAAGGAATAAAGGCAAGCCAAATTTTACCTTTAAAACCGTAAAGAGCCCATGCGAGCTGAGTTATGTTAGCTAAAAGGAGATATAAGTGAGAAATTTCTTCAAGATTGTGTGACTTCGAAGCACTGTGCAGAGATGAGAAAGGCGCTAAATTAACGGCGATTGTGAGAGCAGTCCCGATTCCTGTCAAAATAATTTCCATTATTATTAAAGTTTAAAGCAGCTTGTTAATTTTTGAGAAATTCTTTATAAGAATTCTAATAGTGTCAGAATTTTAAATTAAAATGAAATTATAAAAGCTCAATGGCATCTTCATTTAATATTTATTTTAAACATGAAACAAGATAAAAGCCATGCCAATCAGCTTTTAAGCGCAAAAGGTGCTTTTTCTTCTCTCTCAAGCAGCGCTATTCCAAGAAATAACGAATCAAAGCTAAATATTATTACTCACTCCCCCCCTTTAAATTGGAACAAAAAATTTTGTTCCAATTTAAAGGGGGCTAAGAAAATTTTTTTTATAAAAAAAAAATCAATATAAAATTTTTTATAAAAAAAAAAATTATTTAAATTTAAAATGCTATTACTCTTATCCTTACAAAACAAAGCAAGATATAGCTAAATTTTCATTATTAGTTAATACGCCACTATTAATTGGTATCAAAAATATTTTACACAAAAAATTATTATTTTTATTGATAAAAAAAAATTTAAAAAAAAATTTTTAGAAAATTTATCTCTCAAAGTGTTAATTTTGTTTAAATAAGTTGTTATTTATACTCTATTCTTTAAAATAAAGTAAGAAATAATTAAATTTTCAATTTTTGTAAAAAATTCGCATTGAATTTATATCAAAATTATTTAAATAACAAATATTATTTTTTCCTCTAAAAATTAAAAAAAAAAAATTAAACTTTGTTAAAAAATTTAGCAACTAAGGATAATAAATTTATTTAATAAGATGCTCTTTATACTCTATTCTTTAAACAAGAGCAAGATATAACTAAATTTTTTAATTTTAGTTAGAAGAAGTATTTGACTCACATCAAAATTTTTTACATAAAAATTATGATTTTTTTCTCTACAATTTTTTATTATAAAATTAAATTTTTTCCGATTTAAGGGGGGTTAATTTGCCAAAAAAGTGGAAATTTTACCTACATTTTGTTCCAATTTAAAGGGGGGACTCAGCACCTCCGTTCAAGTTCATCAAAAGCTAATTCTCGTTCTCCATCTCGAAGCGCTACTAAAACAAGTAGCCCAGTCCCTAAAAAACCTTTAAAATCAGACTCAACCTCCTCCCCAAAAATTTTGTCAAAAACACAAAGCATTAACTCTAAACCTTCTACTGAAAAGAAACCCGTCCTTTCAGACTCATTTTCCTCAACTCACACCAAAAAAGTTAAAACAAATGAAAATCGCAGGAGCGAAATTTCGCCGAACCAAAGAAGCTTATCATCACAAGCGACAAAAGAAAAAATAAAAATCGTAAACTAAAATTAGGAAACAGATTTTAAACAAGCTGAGCAAGGATATAAAAATGAAATCAAAAAGCTAAAGGCTGAGCTTGAGAAAGCAAAAAAGACTATAGAGCAGCTACGAAATAATTCACGAAATCTTTTGACTGAAAAAGAAAAGCTTCTGCTTGATATGGATAAGGAGTTTAACGCTTCAGAACAGCTTAAAAATCAGTGTAAACAGCTTGTAACTGTTTTAGTAGAAGTTGTAGGAGTTTTCGCAGGGAATCGAGCTGACTGGATTTATGAAGGGGATATGAGGGATATGGAAAAATCTTGTATTTTGGATAGGATATAGCCTGATCCCTGCTTTGGATTGGGCTTGTCAATTGTCTCCGACGTCAGATGGGAATTTGACAAACCAAAATTTTTGGCAATTCTGCTCCCCAGATGAAAGTCTCTTGTTATTGGAGATTACTTTGCAAAAAATTTTGGTTTCTCAGCTCCCCATCTGGCATCGGGTGACATCAGAAAAGCCAGATCCAAAGTAGAGATCAGGTGATAAGGAAAATCTTAACCAACAAATTAGAAGTCCTAGATAAGTCAGGGCTAGATCTAGCTGAAGAAATAGTCCAGGTAAAGGCCTGAACGTCCAGCCTAGACGATCGAATTGTACAAAGCACAGCAAAAATGTTCGAATACGCCCAGTCCGACTCAGAAGAAGACCAAGGCAGTGAAGATAGTCTAAAGCTATCCTTACCTAAAGAAGAAGAGCTCAACCAAGATTTACTTCCTAACAAAATTGACTTCGAAAACAATTTCCATGCCCCAAAAAGCGATTTCGAAAGCGGTTTTCATGCCCCAAAAAGCGATTTCGAAAGCGGTTTGCATCCTCTTAACCCCCTGCGTGACATTATTAAATCTTCTTTTGAAGAAAAACCCCTAATAGGAATCGCTCTTTACGATTTTGAAGGTGAGCTTGACGAAGACCTACAGTTCCAAAAAGGAGACATAATTGAAATCCTAGAACAAAATGAAACTGGCTGGTGGATCGGGAGAAATGACTCTAGGACTGGAAGTTTTCCATACAATTTTGTACAACTTAATTTATCCTAATTTGTTGGCTTAAATTAGTTTTATTTGAATTTTCTTGACAGATTGTTGGATTCTTGCTCTAAAGCAGTAAGAAGTTTGTCGGTATTTGTGAGAAGTTTGGTGTAAGCGTTTTCACTTTCACGGATAGTCTCGTTGAATCGCTGAAGGGTGGCTTCTTTTTCATCTAACTGAGATTTGGATCTTAAAAATTCATTACGCAGTCTTGCAAGTTCGGCTTCTATTTGTGCGTTTCTGGCTCTTTCTTCGAGAACAACGCTGTTTAGAGTGTCTCTTTCTCTTCGCATTGAATCCAGCTTGTTTTTTAGACGAGTGAGCGGGTCGCTATCCATCTTGGCTAAATTAACTATGTACTTAGCTAGGTTAGGGAGGTAGAATTTTCAATAAAAATTAAAAAAATTATAAAAATTGATGAGAAAATTATTTAATACTAAAATGCTATGGATTTCTTTTAATCAGGAGATATAATATATCTTGAAAATGGTGTAAATAAAATATGTTTTTAATTAGTATTTATAATAGCAAAGGGATGTTAGATAAATATGATTTTCATAATCTATTTTTATTTTAAAAGAAGACTAGGCGATTAAAAATGGGGTGTAACTCAAGTCGTGCAGAAAATCCGCAAAAAACAGAGCAAAAAATAGAAGATCTGGTATCTCATAACTCTAATTTGGCTAATTATGCAAAAGTTAATTCTGTGCATACACCAAAAGGTTCTAAATCTTTTGCAGTTCAACAAAATAACCAAAAGGCAATTCATTCGCCCTCATTCACATCAATAGCAGAGCAAGTTAGCCGCAAACAATCTATACTTAGCTCACAATCTGAAAGTGAGACAGACACTCCTGGAAAGCTATCAAAGCTAAACAGCTTACTCTCCAATTGTTATTTATAAATTTTTTACGATAGCAATTTTATAAAAAATTTAATGGAGAAAATGGCAAATTACTTACTCACCCCCCTTCTGTGAGTGAACAAAACCATTAGAAAAATCGCCATTTTTTGCCAAAAAAACCCACTCCGTGAGTGAACAAAATTTTTTAATAGAAAAAATATTTTATGGAAAAAAAATTTGATATATAAGTAATAATTAGTATAATGAAATCTAGAGCTAATTCTGTTTAATTTTAAACAAATTGCATTTTAAAACATAAATTTTATAAATTAAATTAATATTGCTTTCCAATTTTTGCGAATTAGGATTTTTTTTAATTTCGAACAAAAAATTGTTTTTATAAAATTTATATTTAAAAACAAAAATTAACCCCCCTTCTGAGTGAACAAATTTTTTTGTTCACTCACGGAGGGGGGGGGGTTAAAGAATTTATACACCTTAAAACGGTGGCACGTGTCAACCTGACCTCTTGGCCCAACAGTCTAGACCTCATGGTCACAGCAAATTGGGAGGACTCCGAGTCAAGAATCAAGTGCAGGCTAAAGAGATGTGTATCCGGGTAGGTTTTAGCTGCTTTCCTGTGGTTGAAAATCGAGGCGTCCAGCAATGTCCTTTTGGATCCGAGGAGTCATGGGCATTCCTCGAACGAGAAATTGGGGGTATCGGCCCAGGCCACAGGGGAGTAGTCTTTTTCCTGTATCAGTAGAAGGAAGGCACTTTGGCTCCGACAGACTTAAAGGAGTAGATCTTTGAATCAAGCTCCTCAATCGTCTATAGCATAGCCACAGAAATCCATAAGCTGCCCAATTAAAACAGAAGCTGCAAGAAAAGAAAGTAGCGCCCGCTATTTGGGGTAGATCCTCTGGGAAGCTGAAAAGCGGATGAACCTCCTGTATGGGAGCTCTTTGGTGACTGCCTCACCAATATGGCTAGCACCTGACTTTTAATAGCCTAACCTAACCTACTTAAAGAATTTAATAAAGATATTCTAAAGCAATGGTTAAGGCATTAATTTATTTTATTTTAAAATTCAAAGTGGAAAAATATAAATTACAATTAATAAATTGAAAGTTGATATATAATTGCTATCACTATTTAAATTTTTAGTAGCATGCTTGCTAAATAATCAGTGAAGATAGAGCATTTTCGAAAGAAAACCCAAGAAGCGAAAAGTTATCTCCAAAAATTTTTAAAAAGAGCTGCATACCTTGAAGGTATAATGGAAAAAATTTCAAAATCTCCCAAAGGCGCTTTCAATTCTAGTGTTTTTGAAGCCCCTCTTGCAGAAAATACCCCAGAAGAGAAGCAAACCACAAGCAGCGATGATTTGGTTTTGATTCTAGAAGACCTAACTGAAATTAATTCAGCAGTTAATATTTTGAGTCAAAAGTTCACAACAATAAATACTGGAATAAGTAAGCTGCTGATAAAAGATGATAATAGGCATAGTGAAAAGGAAGCCCAAAAAGAAGAAATTGATCAAGAAATAAAAAAATGTGAAAGTGTGACTGATACAAAAGAAGATTATTTGCATAACTCCCCTCCATCCTTGACCAAAATATTTATATTGAAAATTTCCCAAAAAATGAAAATTAACCCTATGGTTCTTCTTATGGCGCTCATTCAATCAAGCATAGGAAGGAGTAAGGAAAATGCTGAAAATAATGAAAATAATGAAACAGAGGAAAAAGAAAACTTAAAAGTCGTAAATGAAGAGCCGATTATAGTCAGTAGTATTCTTTCAGATCTCATTGCAAGTCCTCCAGATGTTCAGATTGTATGTCAAGAAGTAAATGTGATAAATGAAGATGCAGTAGAAAAAAACGAATTAAATGAAGAAATCGTTCACGAACAAGGCAGACCATCAGAGAATATATCGATTGACTCTGCACCAGAAATGATAAATAAATCAAGGGTTATCGCTACCAAGCTCTTCAATGTTACCACAAAGCAGCCTGGCAAATCTAAGATTGGCGCAAGACCAAAACTTGAAGTTGACTCTCTTGCCCCTTCTAAACCTCATATTCAGCCAATTATAACTCCAAAACGAAACTCTGACATCGGTTCAAAATTGCCTCAATTCTTTTCTCCCTCTAGCAAACCTTTTGATGAGCCTAAAAAGTTCCAAATCGCCAAAGCCTATCCTCAGATTTCTCAAGTTAGAATAAGATCAAGTCAGGACTCACTCAACCTCAACGCATTTGATGCCCTGAAAAAGCAAGTTGAAGCAGAAATTGACCCACAGAAACCCAAGTCTCGGATCCAAAAGATGAGTTTTGGAAATAACCACCCAAGATCCCTCTCAACAAGGTCAAATAATTAATTATGGCATAATATAATAATAAGGCCAAATAATTTTTAAAAATCATTACCTTCTCATAAAAATATTTTTAACGTCATTTTAATTATTTAAATATGAAGCATTTACTACAAATCAAGGAACAGAATTGGAATGCAATTGGTGAAAAATCACGAATAAAAGAGCTTGAAGAAGAGCTCAGACAAGTCCATGAAGCTTTAGACCGAGCTCAGCAGGAAAAAGAAGAAGATACAGAAACTGAGCTGAAAGACACAAAAGCAAAACTCAGAGTAATTACAACGAAATTTGCAAATGTAAGGAAAGAACGGGACTCATTGAAGAAAGAGAACCGTTCTCTGCAAAACGAAATTTTGGAGCTGCAGTCTAACATGAGACAAATGGTCCCTGGATATCACAATATATCCGCTTCATTCCCAATGCTTAATGAGATAACTGATATATGCTCGAAGTTTTATAAATGTGACTGCCAAGATATGTTTTTTGAAACACTTGGACCTGAGTTGTCAATGGAAGGTGTTGTGTATTTTTTTAGGACTGCTTTTTCGAGAATAAATGACTTGGTAAAAGCATATTTTGCACCAGCTGAGGACTCGCTGAGACGTGTAATTGGGATTGAGACACTTGAAGGACCAATTATGAATGTATTGAGGAAAAGCTACCAAGTTACTTGGAAGCAAATTTATCAGCAATGCGTGTCAGCAATTTCTATACAGAAAATTGTTGAGGATATTAATAGAGTGCTTAGACTTGGTGACAACTCTAAGTCGGCTAATGCACAGATCTATGGGTTTATACAGAATCTAAGTGAACTGCTGTTTACTTTTTATATAAATGATCCGGCAATCAATGTACTTAAAATGGGTAGTTGCGATCCGCCTTATTCGTGGTGGGTGTACTTATTTATATCTTGGCGCAAGATGCTGCCCAAGGATTAGGTTAGCTCGAAGCGAGAGGACAGCACTATTTCCGCTGATTAGTTGCTTGGCCTGGGCAGCAATTTTTGCTCGGAAGAGGCGGTCTGGCTAAAATTCGCTTCAGGGTTGAAAATGGTGTTGCCGGAAAAATCCGTATAGCTCTGATCAAAAGAGCACGCACTGCAGAGAAACTTGGCTTTCAGTCCCGGCTTCGAAAGTCTTGCATTTGGCCATCCCACAGTCATCGCTGTGGTGCGCATGGTGCTCTAGAAGAAGAGCTTAAAATATACTGCCTCTAATCTAATTTAGATGATCCGCCAGTCAAATGTGGATGGGAGCAAGTTGGCCAAGAGGTCGAATTCAGCTCTTTGCTTCATGATGCACTCGATGGATTTATCAGACCTGGAGACAAGTGTATTGTAGTCATACCTCCTGCTTTTAAAGCTACTGGAGAGATACTTGTGAGATCTGGTGTTCTTCATGTAGATTATGAGATGAACATTTAATTTATATATAAGTTTCAGTTTTTATTAAATTGGATTTGAATGGAAAATAGAGCATAAACCTTCAAAATTTTTTGAGATTGTATATTTATAGCATATTTAAAGAAAATTTTAGCAGATTAAGTAAGTTGAGTTTGCTAGAATCTGTATTATACAAAATATAACTAAATTTAGTTGCAAATATAGGATTAAATATAGAATGAAATACTAAACTCCATAAATTGACTTGGATATAAATTGATAAATAATGCCAGCTTACATATCTAATTCAATTGTATTTGAATAAAAATTTTAAAGGCTAAAATATTACATTAGACTTCATTGCATTAAAGCTGGCTAAAATTTTCTCCAGCTTGTAAAACTGGGAAAATAAATAAAGTAGTTTTTATTGAATTTTGCTATTTATAATACTCTTTTTAAAGAAATTTCAGGTGATTATTTAAAATCTTACTTGATGAGTTTTTGAAAAAGGTTTAGGCAGTTTCTAATGTTTAACTCTTTTAGTATCAAAAATTAATCAAAAATAATTAAAAAACGGCCAAGATCGCTTTAAAATTCTTGCCAGGAGATCAATTTTTTAACTCAGCTAATCTTAAAACTTAGTCTAATTAATCTCTATCAATTCCAAAAAATAATAATATATACAGTCTTAAGAGAACTATGGTCGACACTTTAAGACAAAGACTTTTATCACTCGCTACAATGGTTTTAGTTCTATATGTCATATTTTCAACTATCACCTCTCCTCCTCCAAGATCCAAACCTCAGTCCTCAGAAAATCAAGTTACCTCTAATAATTATAGTAGAATATTTATGGACTTTTTTATCAGCTATCAAAATTATATCGGGACATGATCCTCTAAGAGTACCAGGTGATTAACCCAACGCTCAGGTAAAGTATATTTCGCTGTAAAATACACAAAACCATTCCTCTTCAGATTTTTGATTTTTGACGGAGTTTACGAGACTGATGCTTCATATGCTTTATTTACAGATATAGGAATAGATGATTCTGCTATGCTTGCAAGCTGAGAAGGAGAGCTTAAATTTGTAGAGAAGCATGACAGAGACCCTAGAGACTGCGCTTCAGTTTTGAAATTAGATTATAACCGAGAAAATAAGAAGATAGAAGGGAAAATAAGTTCACACAACTGCTATTTTGAAATAAATTTCTCATTAAACGAATATACTTATGAGATGGAGAGAAATCCGAAAATTTATTATTCTATTTTCTCATCGCTACTATCAATTGTATTGATTTTAGCTTTTGTAAGGCATATATATATCTGCAATCATAATATGCAGATAGCTCAGAGGACTTCAATTTTAACTATTGGTATGAATGGAGCGATTGACTGTTTTTTATCTCTATGAAATCTTGATGCTGGATTTAAAACGTGGCCTGGCTTCGACTATATGCTTTTTGCAGCATTTTGAACTGCTGGGCTATTTGTTTTTGTAGATATGAAACTTGCAGTGTTGGTATGGAAAGCTCAGCACCCAGAAATTTTTGGAGAGCTTGCTAGACTTGCGCAAAGGGTGCTAAAGAATGCAAATTGATTAGCAAAGGAATTATTTTTTTATGCAAAGATTTCTAAAACAAGCAAAAACGTCAAAAAGCGTCAGAAACTGTCAAATATTTGCTAACCATTTCAAAAACTACAGATGGAAAAAAAACTATTTAAATTTAATATGAGTAGAGCTCTATAACGCATTCTCTTACATTATAGCATATATAGATTCATGGCAAAGAGCTTTTATACATTGAAGATTTGAAAGAAAATAGCAAAGTCTCTTTAAAGTAATCCTCTCATAGAAAAATTAAAAATTTTGCTTCTATTAGTGCTAGGCAAAATATGCACAAAATTTGAGTTGATGAGACTATATAAAAACGAATATTTATCATAGATAATCAGTGATAACTAATATTGAACAAGCATAAAGACTAATATACGTAATTTTATAAATAAGCCTTAACTTGCTATGTAATTTTATGATTGCAGTTTAGGTATTTATGGGATTTTCCCGTGGATGGAACTATTTTGGCCTTAATTTTCCCACTGGGAAAATTTTTTGGTTTGACCCTATGCTTATTCGCATAACGCAAATGAAAGCAAAAATTTTTTAATTTTTTATGAAAAGATTTTTTAAAAGACTTTGTAATTTTCTTTCAAATCTTCAATTTATAAAACTTTTTTTAATGGAAGAGTTGCTATATGGTAGCTCCTTTTCTCCTTTCATTGAAGGAAAATATTAAAACCTATAGTCATAACATAAGTGTTGAAAGCTATAGAGAAGCCCAAAAATCAGAAAAATGTGAAGAATTAATAGAAAAAGAAAATTAATTAATCCAGAAAACGAAAAGTAGATCTATCCAAAACAGATTTGGCCAAACTAAATTTGCGAGAAATCTAAAAGAAACCAGAAGAAGAAAAATTTCAGCATCAAGAAAACATAAAATAACAATTATGCAAATGAAGATGAAGATGTCGAATGAAAAAATATGCATCAATAAATGGAAGTCAAGAAAAGAAAAGACAACTTAAAAAGATTTTAATTAGGGCACCCCTGCAATAATGAGCGATAAGCAATAAAATAACTCACTCACTCAACGTATAAAAGCTCTTTTCTCTTGAATCTGTATATGCTATAATACAAGAAAATCCGTTATAGAGCTCTACTTGACTTTTTTGCATTTTTTGATAAATGCTAAACTTAGTTTTTTTTTATATGGCTAGCGATTTTAGCAAACATTTGACACATTTTGACATTTTCTGACTCTTTTTCCAAAAAAATAATTCCTTTGCTAATCATTTTGCCTTTTTTGGCACCATTTAGAGCTAATTTAACAAGTTCTCCGAAATTTTTGATTTCGGAATATCTATTGCAAGAAGATTTTCCACGAACTTCCAAAAGCGGTATTTTTTATTAGTTTTATTTGCAAATATTGTGCTGATTTCTTCTCATAACTTGTATTATATTACGATCCCTGCGATGCATTTTATATTTCTGCCTCAAATTATTAAAAATGCATTTAATGGATACAAAGAGACAATAAGCCCTTGGATATGCACAGTCGTTTTGCTAGCTAGACTGGCGTTTGTGAGCTATTTGTTTTTATGTCCTAAAAATTTTGCATCGTACGCTCCTGACTCAGTGGTTGCGGTTTTGACAATTGCTGTATGTTTGTTGCAAATTGGGGTTATATGGCTGCAGAAGAGCATGCCAAGCTTTATCTTGCCAGAAAGATTTCGGCCACAAATTTATAATTTTGAGCATTATGAATTAAATAATATTTGGCAAAGGCTATTTATTAATAATAGCAATTTAGTTTTCTTAAATAAGGATAATTATTTTGAAGATGTAAAGCCTGGAATGGCTGAGGAATTAGATTGCACAATATGTATGAGCACAATTTCTACTGAATCTGACGATAATGGTACAGCAGAGTATGTAAGACGTATGCGAGCTCCTTGTGGGCATCGTTTTCATGAAGAGTGCTTGATCAGATGGATGAGCGTAAAAATGGAATGCCCTACATGTAGGTCAACACTTCCTGAAATAAATACTTAATGATCTTCCTGAATTAATAAATTTTCTTTATATTTAATACAATTCAAATAGCTATTTACAGATTAATTATATTATCAATATTTAATCCTAATAAAATAAAATAATTTTCTTATAATAAGTTAATCATCAAGCTGGCAAAGTAGTGCAACTCCTCTTCGAATCCAATGCACAGGCTCCAAAGTAGTCGGAAGCTCCAAAAACAGCACAAAGTTTGTAGAGTGCCCAGTTGTGCTTAATTCTCCTGCTCTTAGCGACGTCTTGTACAGCGGAGACTGGTATACAAGTGTTTTAACTTCTACATCCAATGTAATCGGCTCTAGCCATATTACTGGCATTTCTGTGAACAAGGCTCCTGGGTCGCTTTCATCAAGTCTTTCTCTTCTCCAGTCCCACTTAGCCCCTTGTAAGAAAAGTCCATGTATATTAACCCCATTTTCCGGCATTTCTTTGACTTCATGATGGGTTTTGCCTAAAATTTCTGTTTTGAACCTTAAAGTATCAATTGGGGTCTGTGTCTTTCTTGCGTACATTTGTAAAGCTGATGTCATAAAGCCTTGTGGGAAAAAGAAAGCTGAAAGCCAATATGATGGTCTTGGGCCATTAGTGAGCCAGTCATGAATGAACTCTACACGCTGAATTAGATCTCTAACCCATGACCCAAGCGGTTTCAGAGATGGATAAGCTTGATCAGTCCACAAATCAGGGACTCTTTGGTTTAAAAAGCTGTTATACATCCTTTCCAGGTCTTGGCCCATGACTACATCTCCTCTGATAGCTTTTTGCAATTGTACAAGTGTATGCCTCATGACTCTCAGTAGTTTATTAAATCGGTAAATTTCTTGCCCTACAAATACACCTAATGAGTTTATAGCTCCTTGGTCATTCTTAGCAAAGGTGTCTGGGTGTTGGTCTTTTTCTGCATCCATTGGCATAGGGCATTTCTCTTCAATTTCAGCAGCAATTTCATTAACAATATCATCTGAGCTTTTTCCAGTTCCTGCACTTGAGAGTTTGGGATGTATAAGTGTGATGGTTTCCCTGAATTCCTTAACAGTTTTTCTATTAAATGTGATATTTGCATTAGAGTGCAAGCCAAAAATCTCAGGGTCTTCTTCAAGAGGAAGTCCTCTTATGTATTCTTTAAATTCATCTAATGTCTCAGCAGTTGGCAGCCTAAAGGTCCCAGACGATGAAAAAGTATAGGCTGGGTTCATTACATCAGGAGTGAAATAAACGTCGAGCAATGCTTTAATTAGCCTCACATCTTTGTCATCAGTAACTCTTCCACCATAATTTACTTCAGCGACTAGCACTTTTAGCGTTCCATATGGCACAAGTGCTTGCTCATTTAGATACATAAACAGCTGAGCATTGCTTGTTACGAAATCTGAGGTCATCCATTCATAAGGAATATTCCAGCCTATAGCGCCGAATTTTCGCCTTTCTAAAATAACTGCATGGAAAAAGGCTAAAGCAAAAAGCAGTCTTTTGTATTCATAGGATTTTGAACAGCCTTCAAAGTTTTCGACTTTTACATCTTGATAGGTCCTACCGAGGTTGGCGCGAAGTCCTTTTGGTGGCTCATTAGTTAATTTGATGCCACTTTGTAGCACAGGTACAGGGAATTTAGTGCTTGGCATAGAAGTAAGCCAAAGCCTATACTCAGGATGTAGGTCACCTTCTACTTGTTGCTCTTGGATTCTTTCAAGCTCAGGCATCCACGAAGCCGCCAAGTGACAGTTTTGCAAACAGACCCAGTCTCCATTTCTTCTTCCATTATCTATAAGTTTTTCAGCTGATTTCCCTTGTCCTTGACCTAAGGAAAGCATTCTAAATCTCCCATCCATTTCATTATCAGCCGCAAGTTTCAGCAAATCGCTTATAGGATCAGCTCCAGGGCTTAAAATAAAGATAATAGGTGTTGTACAGTTAGAGTCCTCAAAAGCACCTTTAAGGTCAAAAGGTGGTGATTCAATGAAAAATTGGCCAAGCTCTTGTGATACATAAACTTTGATTCCTTGGACAAGCTTTTCATCTTTAATGATGCTGCCAATTAATAATTTTTGGAATAGGGAAAGAGAAGCTTCATATGGGGATGGCAATTTTTCTTTAAATGGGTTATCACTTAATACTGCTAATTTTAGATTTTAAAGTGCGTTCTTCCTTCAGCAGGATGATTTAGGCAGGCATAAGCCCACTCTTTTAACTCACACCTTGGACCACCGAATACCCTATACGATAATTCCATATCGGCATAGTAAATAAAGATCCACCTGGAAAGTTTGACCCTATAATAATAAATATAGTAGAGGAGGAAGGGCTCTCGAGACAGCCATTTCCGTACATAGCCATTTTATTATTGTGGCTTATCGCTTACAAATAGCGGTTTCCATTTCTCAGGCGAGGTTTCAAATGACTTAATAATCCCAATAAAGTTTTCATGGACATTTTCAAGCCCTTTGATAGCAGCCCATGTGTTTTTATCAATATTTAGACCTCCTGCTTCTAATGGTTCTCCTTCAGTATCTTCAATTCCTCTCAAGAAGTAAGCGAACTCTTCCTGCCTAATTTTTCCGGCCTTAAGTGAAATCCTGACAGTATTCAAGAACGAATAAAGCAGTTTTTCCTTCTCAAAAAGTCCTCTACATATATTCAAATAGAAAGCTCTTGTAATATCATCTACAAGTATATTGAGTCTAACACTAACAATATCACTCTTCTGTGATTTCACAAGCCTCATATTAAACAATTTGCTAAAGAAGTCTAAAGAATACTGATACATAGGGTCAACTAGTCCCATATCTGCGATCACAAAGTAAAGAATTGACCCACGCTCAGCTACAACTCTATATTCTTCTCTTGCAGCGTCAATGCTTTTAGCAGTTTCTTCAGACTCAGCCATTCTGACATGGATAACTTCACTAGTCTTTTTGCTTGCAGCTAAAGTTTCTATAAGGACTTCGTCGTCCAAAATATCGCCACTTGCCTTGGAAATCATTGTCAAGATTTTGTCTTCTAACTCCTGAAGCATATCTTTGTCACTGGAAATTTGGACAATCAGCTTGTTTTTAAGCTCTTCTAGGTCTGGTTTTTCTGCCTTAACGACATCAACTAATAGCTGGTCTTCTAGCCCTTGCAGAGTGACTGTAAAGTTAATGACAGTCACTTTGATGCAGATTTCTGGCAAATAGTGAGGGTTGGACAGCTTAGAAGTCATATAAAATCTGAAGTCAGGAGAATAAGGGACGTCTTGGTCGCCAAGCCTTAAGACCATTTGGCCGCCTTTTTTGACTACTTGTTTCTGCAAGACAGGGTCAATACTTGGGTCAAGCTTTTCTTCGACACTTTCAAGGAGAATAGGATTGCCAAATCTGATGCCATTTTCCAAAGTTTTCAAGAAGTTTGACTCAGAGAATTTTATGACTTTTAAGGTTTCTCTGTCCATTGATTTTATCCAATGGTTTGCTTGACCTTGAGGGTCAATAATAAGCGGCCACCTTCTGCTCCTGGTAACAATAATTGCATTGTCTAAAGAAAGTTTATCAGCTGGCAGACCTGCTAAGGTTCATTCTCTTACTTCTACAGGATCAGCTAGGACTCTATCAAGCGAAAAGTTAGAAGCCACAGGGACTCTTTGGGTCTGAGAAGTCCTGATCCACTTTTCAAGCAGCCTTTGTCTGTAATTCAATGTAAATGGTCCCAAATACGCTACAAAGCCAGCAGACAGCATAATATTTCCTATCAGATTTTTCAAGTCTGCCTCAAGTAGCTTTGCAGACTCACTCCACCTTTGGCTTTCACTGCTAAGCCCTGATACAAGTTTTTCAGCTCTAATAAGTCTTGCTTCAGTCAGCTGGCTTTTCATCCTTAATTCTTCTCCTTTCTTAATACTATTCGCAAAGTTATTTTCTAAATCTTGGACTTCTTTTTGGACTGTCCTTAGCGCTGACTGTTTTTGGAAAAGCTCATCTTGGGCTTTCTTTAAGTTTGACTCAGCCTGTGCCAGTCTTTGTCTCTTTGGTTCCACATTTTTAGCGATTTTTGCATATTTATCTAGCGCACAAACCCATTCACATAAAGAAGCAGCAGCAATTGATTTGGACTCCACAAATTGTCGGTTGAACTCTTGATCATCTATATAAATAGACAGTTTTCTCAGAGTTTGTGCAGAAATATTGTCTTTCGGGAAGTTGACGCAGTTGTTTAAAAAGTTGATATCATTGAGCAGCTTTTTGGCAGAATCCCAGCTTTGTTTTTCTCCGAATAGTAAACAGACGGCATTCATGACTTTTTCTATAGCTGGATGGGGCTTGATGTAGCTTTTTACTTCGACGATATCTTTTTTCTCAAGTTTTTCTAATGCAGAGTTTGCAGCTCTTAGCACAGGCAAGGCTTCGTCAAGGTCTTTTTGGCACTCATCTTTGATTTCTGAGACTTCTTTCATAGTCGCTGCACACTCAGCTTCATCTTTTGAGCAGGATTCTTCTTTTATTTTAGCATCAGCTTGCTTTACTTGTAGCTCGACCTGTAATTTTTCGTTTTCTATTGATCTTTCCTTTAAGACTTCTTTTAATTCTCCTTGCTGGATCTGCAGCTCAGCCACCATTTGGTTGGTTTCTTTAAGTCTTTTGAGCCCAGTCACATATTTATTGATTTTTTCTGGAACTTTTTTCTGTTGAAGAGTGAGCATGTCTAGGTATAATTTGATGAGCTCTAAATATGAGGTAGGGGTTGTATAGTTTTTCCTTCTTAATTCCATTTCAAAGTTGCGTGACTCACGAGTTACTGTTTGGTGGATATCCACACAGATCTTGCAGAGCTGATCTTTGAGGTCTTTTATACCTAAGTGTTCATTTTCTTTGAAAAATCGTTCTGCGACTGAAGTCAAGGCGTCAACTGGCCATGGGTCATACCAATCAATTGTACAGCAGTTTATAATTGATGGGAACTGTCTGCATCGCACCCTAAACTGCTCTCCGACTGGGCTGAAAGCTAAAATTATATGCAAATTGTCTCGACAAAGCTGCACATAATGCTGCATAATGATGTCTGGGAGATCAGCTTTGCCTGCTTCTTTGGCTTTAGGCCTGACCAAGTCCATTATTTCTTGCAGCTCTCCAGGGTCATAAAGATTAGGGACTTCTCCTGTGTTTAGAATATTATTGATATCTTCTAAGAAGGACTCTTTCACAATTTGTGTGTCGCTAAAAATGAAAGCTATCTGGTCGTCTTCTCCGCCTGCTGATTTCAAAAGGACTTTTAAGTCGTCATGGAACTGGGCTGTTCCATAAATACGGGTAATTTCAATAGAAAACGGCTTATAGCCTGCCATAGAAGAAGCTAGCCTTGCCAAAGACTGTCTGCCACTTCCACCTACACCGACTAGTAGAGCATTTCCTCTAGGCTGTTTCAAAATTCTGCTGATTCTTGTCAAATGGTTAATTGCGTCTTTAAAGAAAACCAAGTTCATCCTATTAGAAAACTCAGCATTATATCTTTCTAAATCAAAATCAAGCTTTTGCAGCAGCTGCTCGTTGTTATCAATTTGCTTATATTCTTTAGATGGGCCACTCATTATGTCACCAAAAATGATATCTGCCCACTCTTTTCTGGGAATTTCGCTGTTTAAGTGAATTTTCATTTTACGTTCAAGTTCGTCGTTAAACCAATTTCTGTCTTTTTCATCGACCAGCCTATCTCGAAAAACTCTGCAGCTCTCATGAAGCCAAAGCAGGACTAAAGTATTGAGGTCTCTTAATTCCCCAAATTCATAAGAGAACAAACTGTTGGGAAAATCCCTATTTTTCGGCCAAAAACCCACCCTCAATGAGTGAACAAAAAATATTTGATATATAAGTGATAGCCAGTATAATGAAATCTCAAGCTAATTCTGTTGAATATTAAATGGTTTTTGTATGTTTAAAATATAAATTTTACAAATTAAATTAATTTTTGTTTTCCATTTTTTGCGAATTTTTTAAATTTCGATAAAAAATTACTATAAACTTTATATATATAAATTTCTAAAAAAAAATTCAACCCCTTGCTTCAGCGAATTGCTCGCTCAAGGAAGAGGGAATTAGGTTTTCGTAGCGGATCATAAGTATACCTTGGATAACCTTGCTGAGATCTCTTAAGTTAAATGTATAATGGCTCTTGCTTGGAGTAGGTAATAAGTCATTGCAGATTTTAAGGTAATTTTCGACACTGGCTTTTACGATTGGGTCTGCATAGTCTGATAAATTTTCATCAGGGTTTTCATCTAAAAATCCACGAAGAATTGATGCAAAAATGGTTTCCATAGACTGTTGAGACAGCTGGGTCTGCCATACCATATTAAAATGCCTGAAAAATCGAGGAGTAACAGCATTTCTGCCACCTCCTGGGGGTGCACAGCTTGCTACAAAGATAACGTCTTCTACGTTCTTGAAGAAGAATTTTTTAAGATCATAATACCCTCCTTCTATTATTTGCCTTAAAAGCTCAACTGGAGGCTGTGAGCCATATCTGTCAAGTGCTGGCATATTGACATCATCCACAAACATGATCATTTTTTTGCCAATTGGAGGCCTTCTAAGCTTTTTCTTTGGCTTCGTCAGCTTGTCTTCAAAAATATCATTAAGATTATGGGTAGAAGTCTGTGCTGAGCAGTTAATTACAGTTGACACAAACCATTCATTTTCTGTAGAGTTCAGATAATCCTTTATAATGACTGTTTTTCCAACCCCTGTATTTCCAGTGAATAAAATATGGCATTGATTTTTGGCAAGAACTTCAAGTAAAAATCTGTCCCTTACAGTATCCACAGTGGGTACTAAAATTGAGAAAAATGGCTGATTTACGTTATAGTTAAATGAAGGAACCCTTGCTTCCCATAGCACAAACTCCACCATATCATCATCAATGCAGTAATCATACACAGTGCTTTGGTATGGGAAATTCCTATAAAGCCTTTCCATTTCAAATCTCATTTTTTTATCAAACAGCATCCTGCTTTGATCGTTCAAGTTTGCACCAAGAGTCCAAGTCACTGCAAAAATCATATACAAGTTAGTAAGAGTTTCTGCGTCATCTGGGCGTTTTTTTGCTATTAATTCTTGCTTTAATAAAGCGCTTATCAGCTTTAAACAAGATGAGACCAAATTGGCGTTCATTGAAGGAACTTCTTCTTTGCAGTCACTTCTTACGAATGGCAGCAGGCTTTCTATGAGTTTTCTGGTATTTTGGATAACGTGGTCTGCAAGAGTAGGAAGCTGAGTTTTGAAGCCAATTGCCCAGGACTCTATTAGAGGCTGCCAGCCTAGATGAACAGGATCAATATAAACCATACCACATCTGCTAACAGTAGCAGGTGAAGCTTGAGCTAGATCTTGTACCTCAAAAAGCATAGTAATGGTATCAGGAAGTTTAATTCTTTCTCCACTCACAAGACAAAGCATTTTGTTGTCGTCAAGCACAGTATTCATACTTTCGATCCAAAGAGAGTCTACAGGCCCGTCAAACACAATCCATTTCTTGGCTGGTGTGCCATCAGCCTTCGCAGCCCTTACAAGAATAGGGACAATTCCGTCAGTAAAATCTCCAGTCAAATTTGTTTGACCATATAGTTCTCCCATACTGATAGATTTAGGATTTAAAGGATAGTAAAAGATTTTCTGATGTGAAGGGTCTTTTTTAAGGCTTTCGTCTTCTTCTTCCTCTTTAAATAGCTGCGTCAAAGCTCTTGCTAAGGTTTTATAAATAGTGGTTTTGCCTGTAGAAGCGGGGCCTACAATCATATTTCCATGTCTTACAAGCATAGTTTCGAATAGCTGGATTACTTTGAGCACAAAACTGTCAGGCTGCATATACCCTTGTTTGGTAAGCTGTTCTCTTATAGCTCTTTCTAAAGACCCATAGTCTACATAAGGGACTTTTACTTGTGGAAACAGATCTGCAATGATCCCTCTGAATAGTGGCAAATCTTGCTCCAAGAACTTTGGGACGTTAGAGTCTCTCATAGCTCTAATAAGTACGACATCTTCTGACAAATCAGGGTTTTTCCTTCTCAGCTGTCCAGCCATGACTAGGACACTTTTAACTGCTCTCATACCAAAATCATAATGGTCTTGTTTTGACAGCTGCTCTGAGGCTAGCTTATAGAGCTGAACCATTTTTCTTGCTAACTCCCCCCCCCTCCGTGAGTGAACAAAAAAAATTTTGTTCACTCACGGAGGGGGGTTAATTTGTTTTTTTTAAAAAAATTTATATATAAATTTTATAAAAATTATTTTTTTTTTCGAAATTTTAAAAAAATCCTAATTCGCAAAAATTGGAAAGCAAATATTAATTTAATCTATAAAATTTATGTTTTAAAAGGCAATTCGTTTAAAATTAAACAGAATTAGCTCTAGATTTCTTTATACTAGTTATCATTTATATATCAATTTTTTTTTCCATAAAAAATTTTTCTATTAAAAAGATTTTTGTTCACTCGCGGAGGGTGGGTTTTTTGGGCAAAAAATAGCGATTTTTCTAATGGTTTTGTTCACTCACGGAGGGGGGGAGTAAGTTTCTGGCGTTTTCAAAACCTTCAGAGAAAAGGATAATTTCTGCAATCATTGCATAGTCAGGAATCATCATAGCCACTGGCCTGAAAAGGGCTTTTAAGTTGTCAGGGAGCTCTGTTCTGCCAGCATACCCAGGATTCATAGTGATAAAAACCCCAAACCTGCGGTCAAGCTTAAGCAGCCTTCCAAAGAACTCGAATTCGTCTTGGTTATTTCTGACGGCGTGCTGAATCGTGAGAATTTGTTGGGCAATGACAGAAAGCACTTCTATGTCAATTCTGTTAAATTCATCAAAACAAGACCAAGCGCCAGCTTGGGCTAAACCAGAGAAAAATCTAGCCATAATGTTGACGTCAAGACCATCAGAGCAGTTGAAGACGACACATTGGATTGCTAAAGCTTTGCCAAGATCTTTTGTAGTCTCTGTTTTACCAGTCCCTGCAGGGCCTTGTGGAGCTCCTCCATAGAACAAATGTAAAGCGCCTGTCAAGGTTAAGTAGCATTTATCAGTAAGAGGAGTAATCACAAGTCTTGGGCCATTTCCTAAATATTCATAAGCATAAGTAAATCTGGCATTAGTCTGCCTAACAATGCAGTTATCAACGTCAGCTTCCCAATAATATCTCAGTTGTTTGCTCCATTCGAAATCCCACACACTTTTGACTTTATTTGAAATTAAATTCCCAATGACATCTCTGCCGTGCACATCCAGGACAATAAGTGCGCCCATCAGGGTTCTTTCTAGATATTGAAGGTCATCTCTTACAATTGTGACTGAGTCATTGATTTGGAGTCTGCAAAACTCGTAGAACTCTTTGATGGCGTTAGGGTTCCTTTCGTGCTCAACGTTATCAATAGCTTGAGTGGCAAAAAAAGTCCACATTATTTGATCAACCACCAAAAGGCTTTGGGCTGGCAAATTGCAGTCAAAGAACCATTGTTTTCTGTGAAGGGCATCGTGAGGATAAATTTGGAAAGCTTTTTTGGTAAGGTCATATAAAGTCAGCCTCATCATGGCTTCAATATTGGTTAGCCAATGCTCTACATTGCCTTCAGGGATGACTGGGCTTGAGAACTGGCATTGTTCATTTTCTCCACTAATCATGCCGACTACGCTTAAGCTTTCTTTTTCTTCTTTGAAAACAATTTTGTCCATATTGTCAAAGCATTTTCTTAAGTGGTCTTGGACTTTTCGTGGGTTTCTAGTTTGACTTAAAATTTCAAGCAGCTCTTCATCAGCTAAGAAATAGAACCTGGGGAAAGCGAGTCTTTTGCTTTCTAAATACTCATCGAGCGATTTTTTGATTTCTTCTAACACTTTATTGTTTTTTAAGAATTTCTCTAAAAGTCCTTCAGCTAAACAAGCTTCAATGACACTAGGATTTTTGTTAGTTCTCATCATAAGGTCTCTCCAAAATCTGTCGACGCCTTGGAACTTTGTGGTTTCTCTAGGAAGCTGCTTTTGAATGTCAGGAGCACTAAAAATGTTTTCTAAATACATTCATTGTTTTTGGCAAGCAAGCCACTCGTCAATGACATCTTGGACAGTTCGCAGCTTTTTGTCCCATTCCTCTATACTTGACCTGATTTCAGTTGCGTGTCGGTTGCCTAGCATAGTTTGGACAGAAACTTGGTGGTCTTCAAGCTGAGTTAAAATATCTTCTACCTGAGTGATATAGAACTTGTCTTTCTGTTCTCTATAGTTGTTAAGCGTAAAAAGAGTTTGCTCCCATTTATCCTTGATTTCTTTTAATGTCGTTTCTAAGCTGAACTCTCCTGCTGCAGTCGAAGATATTTCTTCTACCTTATCTCTGATATCTAAAACTCCCCACTCCAGCAGTTCTGACAAGCAAAAAGGTCTTCCCTCTACATATTGTACATCTGCAGGCAAGGCGTCAAAAATCTTGGTCCAATGTCTAGCTTTAAGAGCTTCAATGCTAAGCTCTTCTATTATCGGGACCATATTTGCTACTTTTTTGACTTTTCCATAAAGGTCTTCCAGTACTAAATCTTTGGCTTCTTTATTGGTCATCATAAGGTTTCCTTTCAAGCCTCCTACTTCTTTGTCAAATTTCGTGACAGTCCTTCTGATATCACTTTCTAAGCTTAAAAAGTCATCGTGCATTAGTTTTGAATTGAACTCGTTCCAGTCTTTTCTCATAGTCCAGAGTTTTTGTTTGGTTTGGAACTTGTTCTGTACCTCTTCAAGTTCTTTAATTTTGGTAGATCCTGTCTGAAACACGTCTTGATAATGCTTGAATTTTTCTGCATTGGCTTCACATTTCTTTAATTTTTGCTCAATTTTTTTGAGCTCAAGTAAAGCTTCTGCAGGCGTCGCGTCTACCACAATAATAGCTCCTTCATCTAGCCGTTTAGAAAGCTCTTCAGTCAGCATCACTTTCATTTTTTCAATTCTATTCACAAGTTTTTTCTCCATATCAGGCCTTTTTTGGTCTACAAATTCATTTCCTGCTTTAATCGCGACTTGGGCGTTTTTGCTTTTTCTGTCGACTTCTGCAATTTGTTGGGAGGTGTGGACGACTTCGGGGCCTTTTTCTCTTTTTAAGATTTTTTCGATTTCGTCGAGCTCATATTTGGAAGCTTCAATGTTTTTGATGATGACTTCGCTTTGGCGGAGGTATTCAAAGTAAGAGACAAATTGAGAGAGATTGGATGGGGTATCTTTTAAGCGGTCTTGGATGTCACCAAGAGTAGAAATTGATGAGGACGCTTTGTCGATAGCCATACTATTTAAGTAACTTTTTAAGTCTTCTTGAGCTTTAGTTAGAGAAGAATTTAAGTGCTGCTTGACTTTTTTCCCTTCTATTTGCAGAATTCCTTTATAGCTGGTATTTGGGACATAATTGACGACATCTTTATTGGTCCACTCTTTAAGTTTATTTAATTCATCTTTAATTGCTTGAACAGTGTGCCCTTCTGACTTATAAATATCAAAATTCCAAGTCTCCACATAATCGTTTACATGTCGGGCCTTCTCAAAGGTGTTGTCCACATAAATTTTGGACTCTTCAAAATCAGCTTGGATTTTTGCCATTATCAGATTTACATTTTCCAAAAAAATTTCTGAATTTTTTATTATTTCTTCTGCCTGTGGGAAATGAGTGATGTGCTCTGATGCCACAATTTCGTCGAAATGATAGATTAGTCGTGTGATTCCGTTGATGTCGCTTATCATGTTTTCCACAATGCTTTCAAAAATTTCTTTGAATTCGTCTTTATTTGGGATAAAAATCATGCAGTCTTTGCCATAGCTGACTGTTGTGATGAAGATCTTGTTTTTTCTTTCTATTAAGGTGTCGAAGAACTTTTTGACCCTGTCTTGAATTAAGGTGACTAAGGTTTCTATTGTCATGTAGTCAATAAGTCTTATAAAATACCCTAGCATTCCTCGGTGTTCTTCAGCTAAGTTCAGCTTATGCCTTCTTTCTTGTTCTTCTAATTTTTGCTGGACCATTGATTTTTTCTTATTTCTCTGCCCTAGCTTTGCTGGGTCCATATCTTCAAGATCAGGCAAAATTGCGCTATCTCTGACAGCTTGACAGACAGTTTCGCACTCAGTGATCAATTTTTCAACTGTGGTCTCGAACTCTTTTTTCACTTCTGTTCTTTCGTCTCTTTGGTGGTCTGCATATGCCCCGATTTCTAGCGGTTTTGTGTCTTTAAACTCCAAAAGATGAGTATTCGTCATATTGTAAAGAAGCTCATTAACTTTAGGAAAACTTTCTACAAATACAGGCTTTGCGAAGAACATCCAGTGCTTTAGGTGGTTTCTCGTGGCGCGGTAGTGCCGATATCTTACGTTCCCTCTCCACAAAAGAAATATTTTCCCAATCAGATAGTGCTTGAAAAATTTCATGCTTGTTAAGAGGTTGAACATTTTATGCATTTTTTGATAGTTTTACCATTAAATTTCTTGCAAATTCCTTTATTTTTACATAAAGCAAGACTTAGTAAGGACTATAGGGATTAAAATGAATCAAAATTGTATACTTTGATGCATTCAATCTGCAAGTGAATAAAACGTAGTTGCTGAGCCATCACTGTTTTTAGGCATCACATGGACAACACCTTGAGCTGAAATGGTAAAATATTCAGCATGGATTTCTTTTTCAGGGACCACCAACAAGTCATAAGGTCTAAAAGTTTTACTTATTTCTGAAGCTCGGTTGCAGTAGAGAAATTTAACTGGTGTTGTGTTGCCATTTTTCGCGAAAAACGAAATTGCATCTTCTCCTGTCCTGATTTTTTTAAGCTCTTTAAAAATATTCTCCTTCAGAATAAAAAAAAAAAAAATTATTTCTTATACTAAAATATAGCTAATTTACCTTAAAAATAATATAACTTTCTCTATCTACAAATAGAGTTTCTTGTGCTCCTGAGGTCAGAGAAGTTCTGGACTTTTTTGACTTGTTGAACAGTTTCTGCAGGGACTGGACATTGAATTCTTCTTCTTGGCCTTGCAAGTCTTCTTCTTCGCTTTCTTGGGAGGCCTCAGCTTGGATTGGTGGAAGCTTGGTCGATGTCAGCTGGGCTCCAGTAGGACGATTGCGAGTTTGTGCGAATGGAAGATCCCATTCTTCAAGTTCTTTTTTCAAGTCGATCTTGTATAAGGATTTGAATTGGCTTTTGGAATATGAATTTCCATAAATAAAATGGCATTCGGTTCGAGCGAAATTAGCTCCGCTAATTTTCTCTTCCTCAAGCAATTTTATTGATGGGGCTAGGTTTTCTTCTGAGAACTTCTGTACAGCAATAACTATTTAACTCTGGCAGATAAGCTGAGGCACTGCTCCAAGTGCATCAAGAGGCTCGAAGTTTTGCCTCTCAGCACACCCGAGGAAGGTGACCCTTAGGCGGAACACGCGCAGGAGCTGAGTCGTGGAAGGCAAGGTAACGCAGCCGGAACGCTGTATTTTCCCGTACCCTGGCGCAACAAAGTGGATCGATCCAGAGGTCCATGGGCCCGACACATGGACAAATATGGTGAAAGCTCTGGAAACTGCTACCCCGTAGTGGACGTTAAACGTTATAGATCATAATGTAATGGAATATGAATTTCCACCGCTCAAGCTGAGCACTGCTGTGGACGCAAGCTCGCTTTCTCTTCCTGCAAGTCTTGCTAATTTGCTGCGCGGCTGTTTCTCAGAGAATTGAACTAACCGATCATCCATAGTTTATTATTATTACCATTAAGAAACTTCTCTTTCATTGGCATTAGAAAGATTGGAATTTTATAAAAATAAGTGCTTCAGTTACTTCATACAATTTTTTGGAATTTTTCGGAATAAAATAATCTTTAACTGACCTATTGAAAATTCTAAAAATCGGAAAATTAGCCCATCCTTGAATGAGCAATTATCTATAGTCAAATGTGAAACACATTTTCCTGCCACGTCTCAAATCTAACTAATTGTCTTTGATAGCAATTAATATTAGAGATTATACCATATAATCGCTTTTACGCAATTCAAATGGGATTTATAGCATGTTGTGCCAGATATAAATAAAATGTGCTCATGGATGTATTGCCAGAAGGCAATGCCTGGGCCGAGACGCCATTTAATTTATATTATATATATATATGTAACGGTGTTGATCAAGTATGGTGGAGTAAGCTTATTTTTACTAAAAAACACAAATAATTTTATTAATTTTAATAACTTACTTATATATTCCAAGAAATCATAAGGTAATAGAAACATATAAAATTGTTAAATAATTATCTAAATTTTAAAAACTAATTATGATGTTTGAAAATAAGGCAAAACACAGGCAAGGCCAAATATTAAAAAATCTCCGGGCTGTATCTCTCCACAACAAATTTCACGAATATTCCCACTTTTTGGCAGAAAGACACTCAATGAATGATATTTCAGCTGATAGTGAAGTAATTCAGATATGTGCTAATAATCTCCCAATAAAATCCAGAGCTAAATCCAAGGGAGTTTTACACAAGTATTCAATTCGATTTAACATAAAATACCAAGCAAAAAAGCTGTCTCTCTTAGAGAATATCAATGAATCTGTGCAAAGCCGTTGCTTATCTAATATTGACTTTCCTAATTCAAGAGGATCAAACTCTCTTTCCATGGATTCAAAATGCATGACTCCATCTAAAATATCGTCAAAACCAATGGCATGCTTAATTCTACCTGAAATTTCTGGCAAGCGTGCTAATATTTATCATTTTAAAAATAATCACTCTGAAGGAGGTGATCCTGAAAAGCCTATAACACCCGTAATGCAGAGTAGGTTAATAGAAAACAGAAAAAGAGCTATATCAAAGCCTCCAGAAAATAAAGAATTAGACTCCTCAGGTGAGTTTACCGATATTGAATCCACATTAGTAGAAAAATCAGCGAAAAATAAAACTTTATTGCTCCGATCCATTTATGACAAAAGACCAGCCACTATTTTTTTTGATTACCCAAAATGCTGCTGTGCAAAAGAAAAATCAAAAGGGAGAGTATTTTATATGAGTGATAAGAAGCTTGCCAAGCAGTATTTAACTTTTAGAATCAGCGAAAGCTTTTTATATGACTGTATTATAAATACACTGACGTCTGCTGGATTTTCTGAGACTGAAGATGAGGATTTTAATATAAATATTGGCGCATCTATTGATACTGATTTTATGAGGGATCTGGCACCTTTTCAGAAAAATAATCATTTTCCAGGGAGCTCTCATTTGGGGAGAAAAGATATGATGTGGAAACATTTTTGCAGGATGCAGAAAAGATTTGAGGAAGCTTATTGTTTTTGTCCTGAAACGTATATTCTTCCTGATGACTGTAGAAAATTGAATAAGGATAGAGAGGAAAACCCGAAGGACCTTTGGATTTTAAAACCTGCGAATTCTGCTTGTGGAAAAGGGATAAAAATATTGACGAAAGATACAGAAATAAAGAAAAAGCAAGGAGTTATTATATCGAAGTATATAAAAGAGCCACATTTGATTAATGGGTTTAAGTATGATTTAAGAGTTTATGTATGTGTAACTTGCTTTGATCCTCTTACTTTCCCTCTCCGTGAGTGAACAAAAAAAATTTTGCTAGGTTATGGTAGGGGTTAATTGTTTTGTTAAAAATTTTTGGAAATTTAAAAAATCCAAATTCTTAAGCAAGAAAATTTGTTTTTTAAAATGTAAACTGTTTAAATCCAATAGAATTAACTCGAGATTACATTATAATAATTATCACTTATATATTAATTTTTTTCAAAAAATTTTTGTTCACCACAAAGGGTGGTTTTGGTCAAAAAATCGGAATTTTATCAATGGTTTTGTTCGCTCACAGAGGGTGAGTTAATACCCTCTTAGATTGAACATCATTTTATAGCAATAATAATTAAGTATTGTTAATTAAACTTTTATTTTCTATATTTTTATTTAAATTTTTAAAGATAATTGAGATTAAATTCAAAATATTGCTACAATTCAATTTTTTACCAGCTGTTTTATAAAAAATAATTAATTGTAAGAGTTAGAATATATTTATACGAAGAAGGCTTGGTCAGATTTGCAACAGTCCCTTATTCCACCAAAAGAAAAAGCTTGAAAAATAAATGCTCTCAGCTTACAAACTACAGCATCAACAAAGATTCCCCCACATTCATCAACAACGTTGATCCTTCAAAAGACGGATACGGAAGTAAGTGATCATTTAAAGCATTAAGAGAATACTATGAGTCTCGCGGAATCCCCTCAGGTCGGATTTTTCAACAAATTAAAGACATAATCATCAAAACTTTTATATCAGTCGAATCACATGTCGTCGGCAAGCTTAACAGATCATGCAGCAGACGTGATGCCTGCTTTGAAATTTACGGTTTTGATATTTTGCTTGACTCGAGCTACAAAGCCTGACTTCTCGAAGTCAATATTTACCCTTCTTTATCCTGCAGTTCTCCACTTGATACGAAAATAAAATATATGCTTATCTGCGACACTTACAATTTAATTGGAATTACTCCATTTAAAAGGCCGCTTGAGCCTCCTCCACCTATAGTCGAAATCCGAGCCAAAAAATCCTTAGAAGTCTCGTCACTCGACAAATGCAACAATCTGGCTGAGTATCCTCTAACCCTTGAAGATGCCCTCATTATTGTTGAAGGCGAAGAAGAGCTCTACAGGCGAGGCAAATACGAAAGAATTTTCCCATTAAAAGAAAACGTGGACTATTATTTAGAATTTTACGACATCCCAAGATACAACACACTATTAACCAGCAGATATTTGAAATATGGCGCATTAAAAGACATTAAAAAATTCTTCAGAAAGGCAAAAAACCCTATAAACGTATAAGCTTGTCACTGTATTTTTAAATAAAAATCATTAATTCATAAAGTTATTGGTTACTATTATTTGGGAAATGGCTGCTGAGGATTCATGTAGGGATTCATCATCATGCCAGTCATGAATTGGTTATAAGCCATCATCGCAGCCATAGGGTTATTCATTGGATTCATTGGGTTCATTGTATTCATGCCTGCCATAGGGTTCATTCCTGTGTTCGGCACAGAAGGTCTGTTTGTAACTAATTGATTCAGTGGCACATTAGGTATATTTGGGTTGTTAATTGTAATAGGCTTATTAGCTTCTTGTATTTTTCTAGCGACAGCAGGCGAATATCCGTCTCCTAAATGCAAGTTGTCGAGGTCAATAAAGGTCTCAAAATCAGGCTTCTGCTGAGGAGCTGTTTGAGGAACTGGCTGAGACTGCTCTGGCTTTGGTTGGCTAAAGCCAAATGGGTCGCCTTCAGGCTGGTCTGATTCAAATGGGTTGCTGGACATTGAATAAGGGTTTCCTAATGGGTTTTGCCCTGATGAAGATTGTAAAGGCTTCGCAAACAAGTCGTCAGGAAGTGAACTGGGGACTGAAGGAGTGTCAAAAAGGTCAAGAGGCTTAGTAGGAGGCTCCACTTTTGGCTCTGGCTTAGGTTCTGGCTGCTTTGGTGGGGATGCAGCAGGCTTTGGAGGAGACTTCGTAGATCTTGGCTGTGGATCTGGTGATTGCCTTCTTTGTGAAGGGAATTTAGGATAATCACGGTACTCGTCCCTTCTTTCTAATCTTTGATTTTCTTCCCATTCAGTTTTAAACTGGTCAACTCGTGAAGGTCTGTATTCATCTTGCTCGCCAGCTCTTCCCCATTTCGAAGAAGCTTTAAATGGATCTTCACTGTATTCATTCCTAGGAGCCCCGTATGATGGTCCATTTAATTCAATTCTAGACTTATATGGCTCATCATAAGTTCCGCGTGAAAAAGGCTCCTCTCTAGGTGCTCTGTCAACATATCCTCCTGAGAAGTCTGATTTTGATCGATTTCTCATGAGTGCGGCTTCAAATGAAATATTGTCACATCGAAGATCAAATACATTATCTTCGATTTCATATAGCAAAAGGCTATGGCTCCCAATTCGGAGAGGATAGCTGCCATATGAAGATGAAGATCTTTTCGCTTCAATTTTTATGTCACCATTCAAGAGAATTTTTCTTTTCCCTGACATTTTGCTTACAAATAGGTCAATCACTTGTTCTTTCCCATCAAGCTCGAATTTCCACATGAACCTTTTTTTGGAGCTTTTGATGTGTTTCCCAACATTCAACGTGTCAAACAGGAGAGGGTTAAAACTTTTAGCCATTTATATTGACCAGTTTTTTATAAGTTCTCTCATAAGTTGATCGAAGTTTTGATTTTAAATGGAAATTGGGTTAATATTTGATATGTTAGAAATACTAGCTATTGGCTAGATCAATAGAAAACGAATCTAAATAAATAATCACAAAAAGACGTTTTAATAGGGAATATTTTAACTATCCCCATGAGCACACAAGGGATATATTTGTTTTTAAAAAATTATATAGAAATTTTATAGTAAATTTATTTTTTCAAAATTTAAAAATCCCAATTCTCACAAGTTGGAAAGCAAATGCTTATCTAATTTGTAAAATATATATTTAAAAATGCAATTTGTTCAAAATTAAACAGAATTAGCAAAAGATTTAATTATACTAATTATCACTAATATATCAAAATTTTTTGTTCGCTCATAGAAGTTTTTTTTGGGCTAAAAATAGGGCTTTTTCCAATTGTTTTGTTCGCTCACGGAGGGGAGAAAGTAATAAAAATTTTAAACAGTCTTATTAGATTACATAATTAAAGCAATTTATGTGAAATTATTCAAATGGCATTTTGGAAAAAAATAGTAAAATTTTGTAATTCTTCTATAAAAATTCGTTCTTTAAACTGTATTCAATAATAACTAGATTTAGAGAAAATTTGAAAATCGCGATTTATGCGTTACAAGATTTATCTTTAAGTTGGCCATTTGAAATGCTTACTTTCTTCTTCCTCTAAAAAGCAAAATATTTCACTTGATCACAAGTGTATTTTTCCAAAAATTAAGATTCAATTCAAGATTTAATTGCTGAAATAGCTCGGTTAATCCTTCTAGCGTAATTTCTATCACTAATTAGCTAAAGTTCTTACACCCTCTAGAAGGTATTGAGAAAGTAAAATTGATGACCATAGCCAGCAGAGATTGATACAAAGGTGCAAAGCTGCTTTATATATTCAATCAAAAGTTAGAAAGTCTAAATAGATCCATCTTTACAGGAATATGCGGAGCATGTCTAGAAAAAAGAAATATGCAAAATACTTTGAAATGAATAATAAAACTAGTGAGCCAACAAATATAGAGCCAGCAAACGTTTAATTAGTCTAAATTATTATTATTTTAAGCGTATTATTTGATTTTTTTCTATTGATATACTTCAAAATGTGTACTTCCAAAAAGCTTTGCTTGGACCAATTAAATTAAATTATAAGTATCAAGTGATCTGTCTTGGCTCCACTTAAGAGTCTTTAGTCCTTATATTTATGAGTTAAAATAGCAAGTTGTCGTAAATTGCAAAATTTCGCAGCTCTTTAACTTCCTCTAATTCGAAAATAAAAAGAGACTTTTTTAGATTAGATATTCAGCCACTCTAATTTCAAAAATGGGTCTTGTTCTCCTATATCTGAAATAGTTCCTCATTTTTAATAGCTGAAAACGCTTCCAATTTATTGGCAAACGTTAAGGATTCGATTTCTTCGATAATAAATGAGAACAGTGAGAGCTTAAAAGGGCCTGAAAACGTAAGCAAGCCAATAAAAATAAGCCTAGAAAACGAGAGAAGATTGCTTAATTCTCAAATAAGCACTGTTTTTAGTGATCTCAACAACAAACTCAAGGAAACAGAAAGCGCTTTAAACGTTATAGACAACTTAAGAAATAAAACAGCTGAAATTTTGAGTAGACCAAACAATCCAGAATTAGAGATAGATTTCAGAACAACTCGTTCAGCAATTCAGACGAATTCTAGTTTTTATAATCCATCACTAATGCAAGCTTACCAAGATTATATTAATGCTCATCAGCAAAAGACATCTCTTTATAATGTTGCAAAAGATTGAAACAGAAAAGGCAATTTAATTATATATAGCACTGAAACTGAAACCCAAGAAGAAGCTAAAATCTTGCAGACTCCAGAACCACTAGACGCAACAACTTGTATAACTCAACTTCCAAATGGCAAGCTATTCTGTTATGGTAATCTTAAACATTATGGGATTACAGTGCTGATTGATGTGAATGGTGAATTCGAAGTGCTGCCATCTGGAAAAGAAAAATCGCAGTTTTTTTTTATAATTTATTACTCTCTCTTGTTATAAATATTAACTTTAAATTTAAATTCTGATTAATTCAATTTAGCACTTGTTAAAAGAAATCAGTAAGAAATAGCACCCATCTGGAACTCCTTGCACGTTCTCATCATGTATGCTGGTTTTAAAGAATGATAATTGCATACGGATAATCTTTTCAAGCTGCATATTGATGGAATAAATGATATGGTATTTCCCAAAATTCAGTTCATCTTCTAAGTATTGCTATTTTAAGAAGAAATTTACAGCGGGAGAATGCATAAAAGATCTAATTATTTATATAACCCATTCCATCTTTTCTCAAGTCCAACAGAAATTTATAATCCATCTTCCACTTTCATCTCCAAAAGCTAAACTCTGTCAGAGAATGCAATAAAACATCAAGTGACCTATATTTATTTCAACAACAGCGTCTATTGCTTTGGAGGATACTATTATAATCATTTAACTCTATCTAGTAGATTTGATTTGAATTGAAATCGATGAATTCAATTAGCTCTAATGCCAAAAGGCGATTATTATTGCAATAGTATAATATTTAATGGGAATATTTTGGTTTCTGGATTTCTAAATACAAATCTTTTGTTATACTCAATTGATATTGAATCTTTCTCAACAATTCCTTATGAGTTTGAAACGTATAAAAGAAAGATCCTAATAAATGCAGAGAGACTATATTTGATTGAATGCAACATGGGATCAATCTATGAAAGCGAAATTGGAAGTTGCTTGAATTGGAGACGAATAGGAAATTCAATAATCGATCATGATCCTCATCAAGTGTATTGTTCATACAATAAAGGATTTATATGGATCTCAACAACTTCTGAAAAATCGTGAGGAATATATTATTATTTTAATTTAGACCAAAAACAAATTATAGCTCATACCCCTTTATAGATTTCTTTATCGGGCAAAATGTACTTGACTCTTGAGAGAGCAAAACAGACTCTCTCAAAAAGACACAATCTCTATATCAGGAAGTGCTAAAAAGTGCCATGCAAAAAAATGGTGATAAGTGTGAAAAAAGCTGACAAGTAAACGCGCCAATTTTTAAAATGGTTTTATTATTAAATTAATTTAAAACTTAAGATACCCAATTAGATGGATTGATTAATAACTAAAAATCTTATTTCAAAAGGTCTTATGAATTAATCATAATTATAATAATAAATACATAAATAATAAATGCTACATATAAATTATAATAGATTTAATATTTATGATTATTTGTTTTGTTTATAGGAAAATTGATATTAAATAATACCTCGAAAAAAATTCAAAAGTGTGACTCCCCTGTTAACCAATCAAAGGTCTCCAAGAGTTATTGCTTCAGTTGAGACATCTCTCTCAATAATTTTTGGACTTATGCTTGATTCAAGATGGTGTCCAGTATGGAGAAACTGACTTGAAATAGTACTAGAGAAAAATTCAAAACTGCGACTCCCCCCGTTAGCCAATCAATAAGATACAATTGTTTTCTCTTGGTAGAAAAGCAGCATTTCATTGCGACTCTATTTTTCAAAGGTTTTCAAACAGATTATAATCCATATCCTTTAATTACTTTTTTAATAAGCAAAATTCATAAATATGTCTGCTCATAGATTACAAAAATCATTTCCTTCTCACCCTCTAATTTCTCAAAATATTCAAATTTCTCTAAAATCAAGCGAATTAAGAGAAGAGAAAGGAAACTCAAGAACTCCTTCACCAAGTTTTAAAATGCCAACTGACCGTTCTATCAAACGATCTGATGCGGATAAAATTTATAATTCAGCAGTTATTAAAGCAATGATGCACTCAACAGAGCTAAATTTGATGAATATAAATAGTCACAAAAGATATAATCCAAAAGTATTTAATTTATTAATTTATAAAAATCTTAGATATCTTCCTTAATACTGCTTTATCAAGTCCTGCTATCACAGAAAATTTATATAATAATGGCATAAAACTTCTGGACAACAAACCCAGTCTCCAAACAAAAAAACTGAAAATTTAGTTAGAAAATGAACTCAAAATAGCTCATGAGGGAACACAAATTCATCCCCCTTAAAGCACAGCAGATCGACTCATCCAAAAAATTTTTTAGTCCTTCCATCTGAAGAGCTAACTCAAAGGAAATCAAAATCTCCGTTAAAATCAATGAGAGCATCATTTGAGAGATCAACTAAAAGATCTTCTAGCAGAGAGCGAAGCCCTTATTCAGTCAGAATGCACATAGACACGAAGAAAATATCAAAGCAAAGATCTCAAAAATCCCCCAGTCGATCTCCTTCTCCTCATTTGCAAGATTCAGTCCCAAAACTTCATATAAGATATTTAACACAAAAGGTTTTGACTAAGCTAATTCTATTAAATTTTTAACCGCTTTTATTAAAAAAGCATACTTTAATTGCATTTTTCAATTTTAACCTTAGCTTTTTTAAATATCGAAAAAAAATTATTAGAAAATTTTAAAAAATCAAAATACCCATTTGGATGAGCTAAAAATAAGGTTCCCCGTGCAGGTGGCGAATAAGCAAAAATTATTTAGAATCTTTATCTCCTAATGCCAAAGAAAATAGCTTATTATTTGAAAAATATCTATTCCACAGCCACAAAAATGCTGTAAATTCAATTGCTTCAGATGAAGAATATATATATAGTGGGTCTTCTGATTACAATATTTGTATATGGCATAAGCCAGTCATATCTAATTCAAGAGTCCATAAAGCGCCTATTTTTTCATGTCCTTATCAGTCACTAAGGGCACACTCAAGGAGTATTTTAGGGATATGTTTATTAGAGAGAAATACGTTATCTTCTTGTAGCGCCGATTCAAATATTAGAATTTGACGAATTTTTCCTGAGATTTCTTTGAAATCAAAAATCAACGTACACACAGGCCCAGTTTATTCAATTATTTCTCCGAGATCCAATATGATTGTTTCATCAGGGGAAGACCATAATATTTCTATCGCAGATTCAGAAACTTCTAGACAAATTTTCGAATATAATGAGCATGAAAAGCCTGTAAAAACTTTGCTACTTAATAACTCACAAACTTTTTGCAGTGGAGGAGTAGATGGGTTATATTGAATTTGGTTGAATTTAATGGGAATTATTATAAATAATTATATAAAAATTAATAATATAAACAATCAAATGAGTTATAATTAAGCTCTGGGATTTAAGACTTGCAAAGTCAATTTCTACTATTGAAGGGCATAATGAAGCTATAAATGCTTTATGCAAGTGGGAAGATGGGTCAATTATTAGTGGCTCAAGCGATGGGATTATTAGATATTGAGACATGAAAAATTGGAAAAATTGAAAAGAAATAGACAATGGAAGTGAGGTTACTGGCTTAGTTTATGCTAAAGGGAAACTTATAAGTGGAGGAAAGAATATAACTTCTTGAGGTCAAGTCAATGAAAAAGTGGGAGAAAACGTGAAATGCTTGCAATACTGGGAAAATAGTGATATGCTGCTAAGTGGGAATAGAGAAGGAAACATAGCAGGATGGAAATTTATGGTTTAGAGCTGGCTGTTAATTTTAAATTCAATTTTTGTCTTTTAAATAGCCTAAGAACTTGCACAAAAAACAATAGAATTTTAAAAATAATATTTTTTCAAGCTTATTAGTAATTATTATTAATTAATGCTTAATCTATTATTTCTTACAATTTAGCCTATAAAATTGGCAAAAAAATAACCCATTACTTCATTTATTTTCTGGGGGATCCACCTTTAAGCGGTACAAATATAAATATAAAAATATGAAAGCCAAAAAAGCAGCAGCCAAGCCCTCTGTGACTTCTGAACCAAAGGACGACAAAAAGAAGGTAAAGAAAAGAGGTGAGACTTTTTCTCTCTACATCTACAGAGTGCTCAAGCAGGTGCATCCAGACATCGGCATTTCCAAGAAATCCATGAACATCATGAACTCTTTCATCAACGATATCTTCGAAAAAGTCTGTGTAGAGTCAAGCAAGCTGGTTCGCTATGGGAACAAAAGAACATTATCCAGCAGAGAGGTCCAAACAAGTGTCAGATTAATCCTTCCAGGCGAGCTTGCCAAACACGCTGTTAGTGAAGGAACCAAAGCGGTCACCAAATTTACAAGTTAAATGGAATAATAACTAATTGGTTTGTGTATGTCAAGTTAATTATTAGTCTAGCACTTTCCAAAGCTCATTAACAGTCCGGAAATTAATAAGATCTTCTCCAGGAGATGGCTTTATTGAAAACTCAACTGACTCATTATTTTTTAAAATTCTGCCTGATATGGTGTCTTCTTTATCAAAATCCCATCTAAGCTGAGTGATGTTGCAGTAAAGACTGATTTCTTTAGTCATATGGTCAATTTTTTCAAGCTCACCCTCGAGGATCTTTTGCAATTCTTCAGCATGCTGCTTGTCGTATGACTGGATTTTTTCTTTTTGGGCTTCATTTCGTAAATATGCAGCATTTATTTCAGCTTGAGTGTTGTTATATTCGTACTCAAGAGCTTGGATTTTTTCTTCCATTTGTTTTCTTTCTGCTTCTTTTTGTTCTAACGCAAGCTGCAGATGTTTTAATTTCTGTGAGTCTTGCTGCTTATTTATCGTTAGGAATTGGTCTATCTGAGCTGTATCTTCATTAAGCTTATCTAGGTACTCTTGAATTGTGTTTGGAAGGTCCCTGATGACTTCATCGCATGCTTTTAAAGATCTTTCGAGATCAGCATCCATTTTACCGCGCAATTAACTTAAAAGTTCTTAATTAGCTTATTTTCTCTAAAATTATACTTGAGTACCATATTCTTACATCAGGGTCTCCTTCTAATAACTGATTTCCAATTTCATTTAGAAATTCTTCAAAAATCTCAGTCTTTTCTTCTGGAGATCTTGCTATGCTTTTTAAAAAGGCTGCTTGAGTTAGTGGCCTGAAAAAGTTTTTAATTGAATTTGCATATCCTTCCTGATCTCCATCAGCTAAAAATTTTTCATAAAATGGGGATATAAAAGATTTAGTTTCATAAGAAACCAATTTATATTGGCTGCTGACTTTTGAAAAAATTCTATCCCATTCTGTCTTAGTTCTATAATGATTTGGCCTTTTAAAACTTTTATATTCTTCTTCTGTTATAACTCTTTTTGCAAATAAAGAGTTATGAGCTTTTGATAAAAGCTCGGCATGCATCATTTTACCTTCATCTGGCATACAGTGAATTAAAAATACGCATCGTCCTCCTGGGACAAGTTCTTCATATCTTAATCTTAAGATCTCAAGCATGTCAGCTTCTCCTTGCTCTGAAGCTTGAGCTCTGATTTCAGGAATTTCTGAGAGACATGCTTCTATGCTGTCAGGAGAAACAACTTGTTTTGATAGATATTGGAATGATGAGGTAGAAAATGCGATATGGAGGGTTTCATTTGGGACGACTCTTTCAAAAAATGATTTTGCAACTGATGAACTGTAGGTATCTGGATATTTTAAATATCCGTCGTTTGAGTATAGAACTGATGCAAGCTTATTTCAATTATTTGAGGGAAGGTCATTGTGAATAATGTGAATTGGAGTTTGAATTGTTGCACGAATTGTTTGGATAGCTGAAGAAAATATTTTAGCTGAATTTAAGCCTTCTGAGCTTCCATAGTCACATGCAACTATAGTAGAGTTTGTTAAAGTAGCTGCATGTCTAAATACAGAGATAAGATCTTCAATTGTGCTACTAGCTGCTTTTAGTTGTCAATCAGAACTTTTATTATAGTCGACTAATGCTTGCATTTATTTTATTAATAAAATTAACGGTAATTAGCTTATATAATTTCTTATAAAATATTAAAAAATACTCATCTCATTTAATCAGCAAGCATCTGAATATCGATTAACAATGATATTCAAAATTTTATATTTAAATAAAATAAGATTACATATATGCTGCATCAGATCTAATTAATAAAAATTTCGGATTTGTTGAGATTTGACAAAAAATATTCAAGCTCCAAGCTTTTCGATAAAGTGCATATAGAAAACTGTGATTCAAATTGCAGTGACATTAAATAATTATATTCTTTTGACCACTTTGTGAGTAAAATCGAATTTTTCGAAAATAAAATCTTCAAAGATTCTTCTCCTTTCTGTGAATAATATTCCAGAGTGTAGAGCTTTCCTTTAATTCTGATCTTATACATCAAAAAATCGCCAGTTTTGATATCATTGAAAGCCTGATTCAAATATTTTTCATCTAAAAAGTTGGAAGATAGTTCTTTAAATTTAAAGCAATGGTCTGCAGATGAATCTTCTATTCAAATAAAAGACTTATTTTTACGTGAAAAACATATTTTTGACCTTAATATTCTTGCAATTTTATGTGGATGCTCGAGAAAGATTGATGATTTGTCTGTAATTAGAGATTTATCTATATCAATACTAAATAATGTCCCAATTATTTGTATTTTTAAAATTAATAAGGTTTCTCTTATAAGTACAGTATTTAAATTTGAAGCGTCCCCTTTCAGTGATAATACAAATGAAAGAAAAGTAATTGAGCACTCTGGATCATAGACCAAAGAGTATTGGTGTGAGTCTATTTTAATTCATAAATGAGGAATAATTTGGTCCTTTGCAATATTTGATTTTCTTGATACCAATAAATTTTTATTCAAATATAAGCTTAAAATTTGACCTGAAGGAATTTTCATAGAAATTAAATAATCATGACTGTTTTTATTTAGCTGGATATTGATGATACAGCTTAATAAAGAAACTAAAGCAATTCCTGCAAAAATTTGATGTGATACCTTTCTATCTACAAACTTAAAACTCTTACTTTTGATAATATTGATCTTTTCTTTTTTATTTAGAAGAATCATAGAATTATCTGGACTATGCAGCATATCAAGAGCATTTTCTATATTTTCCTTCAATAAAAGCTTTGCGTTATTACTTGATTTTGTTTCTTCAAAAAGGAATTTAATCATGGCACAATTTTCTGCTAATGTTCTAAACTTGCTGCTTAGAGCAGTTTTAGCTGAGAAATTGGATTCATAAGTTGCGATATCCCTCATAAGCTCAATTTTATCACTTTTAGCTTTTTTAATGTTGTACTTAAGCTGGTCTGCAACAGTATCCTCTTTAATAAGTTTTAGTTCTTTTTGGAACGATTCTGCAGCCTTATCTCCTTTTAATTCAGAAGCTGGTCTCATAAAAAAGCGTTTTCTTTGGGTATCAGGAAAAAGCTGAAAAGATTTGGGTCGATTTTCATAAGGAGAAATCAAATGTCCGGATTTAGGCCTTTTCTTCGGAGAACTATAGTAGACTTGTTTTAAAGCTTCAATGCCTTTATTATCATTTTCTATTGTAGATTCATTATTTTCTGAAACTCTCCTAGACACAAGTCTCTTGAATTTTTTTAGTGAAAAATTTACTTTTACAACAGTCGGCATTGATGAAGGATTAGACATAATTTTCTAATAATAAATATTCTTAATTCTTACAGTAAATTATAGCTTATTAGTTTATTTTTATGATTATACCAATTAAGTATTAAAGTATAAGACTTCTGTCAATATTTATCATTAAAATAAATCCGATTTTTATTCAGTGTAACTCAATAAATGGCAATTTCTTTATCAATAAAAATTATAATTGAATCATTTGCTATAAATAATTATGCAAAGCTTATTTATTAGAAAGTGCGAGAGTGAAGAATTCTTTTGCCTTCCTCTTCATATTGTTGTTTTTTGATCCACATGTTTTTAAATGCTGCTAATGAAGAAAGAATTGAACCTCCAAGCCAGCAAGTTAATTTTCGCTCAGGTGGGACTGTAATCTTAATTTTCATTTCTTTTGGACTTAGTCTTCGAAGATCACTCATTAGCCTTTCACCAAACCCAGGCATCATTGTTGTTCCGCCTGCTAAATAAATCGACGAATATAGTGTTTTTCTGAGATCTATGTCAGCTTTTTGTATTGAATTTATTAAGCATTCTTGAACTCCCGCATACTCTAACCCTACTTTATCAGGCGAAAAAAGAATTTCAGCCGCCCGATATTTTTCTGCTCCTAAATTGATAGGTCTTCCATCAGGTAATAAATAAGTACTTGGATTTTTATTAGAATCATCCAAAAATTTGTCTTCACTGCTATAAATTGTAGCAACATAACAATTTTTTTCTTTTATTTGCTTTACTAGTTCAAATTCTGAAGAAGTATTAAAAATGTACCCAGATCTTCTTAAAAGCAGCTGCAAGTGTTCAGTGACATCGCGCCCTGCTAAATCAATACGAGTTGTTGCATGAGATAGCGAAAATCCATCATAAACAGGCACTACATGAGTAACCCCATCTCCACAATCCAAAACGACTCCAGTGGTCGCTGCACTTGCATATAAGCTTAAAACAGCTTGAGCAGCTATAAAAATACCAGGGACACTAAAAGTTTCAAAGAAAATTTCAGCTGCCCTTTCTCTATTTTGATAAGGATTTAAAGGAGCTTCTGTCAACAAAACTGGGTGATCTTGGGGCATTGTGCCTAATTGATTATAGATATAGCGCCAAATATTTTCCATATCTGTCCAATTTTCAACAATTCCATGCTCTAATGGGTATTTCAGCTTTAAAAGGCCTCGGGATTGCTCTGCTTCGGAGCCTACGAAATATTCAGGCTCATGCATGGAACCTGGCAACACTTTTTTATATTTTGGGCGACCTACATATGAAGGAAACACTAATGAAGGACGTTCTTCTCCTGCGAGACCAGCTTTTATTAAGCCAGAACCATTGTCTATAACTAAAGCTTGCTTAAAAATCACGTCATAAAAGGGTTCCACCATTTATATAAAATCTTAATATTTTATTAGAATTTTGCAGTTATTATGTGTTTTTCATTTGGATTTATTTTGAAATAAATAAATTTTTTTAAAAGGCTAGTTAACGATAATTTTAGTGGTCTTGAGGCAGCATATTTGGGATACCTTTCTCAATTGGATAAGTTCTATTGCAATTTGGGCATAACAGCTCACCAGTTTGTATTTCTACGTTAAACAAGATATCGAAAATTCTCTGAATTAGCTCTGAGTTCTGATGGTCAGCTTCAGTAATATTATCTGGCAGCTCATGGCCTAATCTAAGTGCAGCATTTACAAAAGCCAGCCAATCTAGCTTTCCAAGCATTCTAATCGTTAAATCGTGGTTGAATTGGGTTGTGCCTGGTGTGATTTCACCAGGATTAAGAGTTAAAGCTTGGTTTCTCCCTGAACACTCCTCAGAATTACACATAAGCAGGTTCAATGTCACTAGCCTCATTTTTATTATGGCTTACTGAGAATTTATTAAAAGCTAATAATCCAATCCTGAATCTTATTTATTCTTCACGTTCGGTTTGAGAAAGCTTGCCTACTGTGCAAAGAATTTGGTGGCGACCAACCCAGTCATTAGATTAGATTAGTAATTGTCGTTCGTCATCACAGCAATGGGCTGAGGATTTGTACCCCTGCATGCTTATCATCCAATGGATCCTGGCTGACACCCTTCCCTCTGCTATAGGAGAGTCTTACTCAACTGACTTGGACTTTCTGGCTCTGAAATTAGTAGATCTAATTCCCAGGCACACAATTATCAGTATTGATCTTAGCACTACCATCTCTTAGGCCTACTTGGGATATTGCGCCTCTTTATCGTCTTTCGCTGGCCAGACTCTTTCCAAGAATCACCGATGTAAAAATCCGTTTCCCAGAAAAATAATTGCTAACTCCCCCCCCCTCCGTGAGTGAACAAAAAAATTTTGTTCACTCACGGAGGGTTAATTTTTTTTTTTAAAAAAAAATTTATATATATAAATTTTATAAAAATTTTTTTTTCGAAATTCAAAAAAATCCTAATTCGCAAAAATTGGAAAGCAAATATTAATTTAATTTATAAAATTTATGTTTTAAAAGGCAATTCGTTTAAAATTAAACAGAATTAGCTCTAGATTTCATTATAATAATTATCATTTATATATCAAAAATTTTTTTCCATAAAAAAATTTTTCTATTAAAAAAATTTTTGTTCACTCACGGAGGGTGGGTTTTTGGGCAAAAAATAGCGATTTTTTTAACTCTCCCCCCCCTCCGTGAGTGAACAAAACCATTTGAAAAATCGGCATTTTTTGCCCAAAAACCCACCCTCCGTGAGTGAACAAAAATGTTTTTAATAGAAAAATTTTTTATGGAAAAAAATTTTTGATATATAAGTGATAATTAGCATATGAAATCTAGAGCTAATTCTGTTTAATTTTAAACAAATTGCGTTTTAAAACACATAAAATTTTATATAATTAAATTAATATTTGCTTTCCAATTTTTGCGAATTAGGATTTTTTTGAATTTCGAAAAAAAAATTTTATAAAATTTATATATAAATGTTTTTAAAAAAAAAAAAAATTAACCCCCCTCCGAGAGTGAACAAAATTTTTTTGTTCACTCACGGAGGGGGGGGAGTAATGGTTTTGTTCACTCTCGGAGGGGGGGGAGTAAGGATGCCGAACCTGTTTTTCAGCTTGGCTATATAATCTGGAATTTCCTTGCAGGTGTTGAGAAAATTGCTCCAAGAGGTAGAATGTTTATCTCCACCTTATTAATGTATATGCCTACCCGTCATAATAATACCTCATCAATGCTACTTTTCCAAGATCTTTCTGGAATTGGAAAACATTAGTCATATCAGCGTCTTCCATGACTTGGTCGTTATTTGACAAATACCATCCAAGGTCATGATCCCATCTTGTTGGGCAGTCCACGTATTTATACATTTGCCTATATTGCCACAAATCAGTATCATTCAAAGGTCTTGCGTGGCTGATGTTTTCAATAAGGTTGTCCATCTCAGCCACAAATGATAGGTGCATTAATTTTTTTTAATTTTATAAAAGATTTTAATTAAAAATTTATAACAATTTTTTATACTAAATGATAGGTGCATGCTCCATTCCAATAGACGTAGCTTTTGAGTGATTTGAGCTCCTCAGTTTCTTCAACAGCTTGATTTGCGAGAACTGAGGAATCATAGTCTTCCTTATTGATGGCTTCTACTTTTTCTCTTAGCTTAGATACAATTCCAGGGGTAACCAGGTGACTCCACTCATCCCAATTGATTTCGAAGTTATTTTTGCTTTGAAGCTCGTCTTTTGGAACACTTGATCCGTAATAATCGCACACAGCTCCTAAAGCTGAGACTGAAGATGCATCATCTGAAGTTTTCACTTTGTCGTTGAGCATTTTCATCCAGGCTTTGTAACGTAGTGGAGCTCCAGAGTTAGTTCTTCTCAGTGCTGCTCTTAATGCCATTTATTTATGTAAAGATTAGAGAATGAACTAGAATTTTAAAAAGTTTTATAGATATAAATTATAAATTTCTGTATAAATTACATTTGGGGAAGGAGAGTTTTTACGAGTAATCGAATCCTATCTCTTTTTGTGTTGGTTTCTATAGAAAGAGATGCACTTTTTCTTTTAAGAGCTTTTTCGTTTATTTGAAAAGATTCATTTTGGCTCTGAAAAGGCATATACACTCCATGCAGATTGATTTATGTTTTTTAGCGAGCAATCTCTATATCTTCTTTTGTCTAGAATTTTTATCATATTGAATAAATAACAATTATTTTATTTTTAAAAAACAATTAAAAATAATTTGGGAGTTTATTTATTTTCTTTTATTTTTCTAAAATTGATAGTTTCAGATTTATCAAAACTATCTTGCATATACGAAAGCAAGCTTGTGTCTGCTCGTCGATTTTTTTCTAAATTTCTTTCTTTATCTCTTTTCTGAGTCGTTTCATTCATAAAAGAGCTTGAAATCAATCTTGTTGGTCTATCATCAGGAACAAATGCAGTTCTTTCATGAAGATCTTCAGGAAATAGTTTTAAATCGATATCCTTGAATTTCTCACTTTCAACTTTATGACAATGCTCTGTAAATCTTGTCAAGGCCTCTGTGGTTATTTTTTCAAATTTAACGGGCTGAGACGGGTTGTGGAATTTATGGTGTGTTTTTCTATTAGGATGGTCTCCCAGCTCTGAGAATGTCTCATTTAGATAGCTTTGGACGGCTTCTAGATTTGTTTGTGGACGATGGATTAAAGGTAGATTTGGGGAGACACTTTTTAAATAAATTTTATTTTCTTGTTTTCTTTCTCTTGGAGACACACATTTTAATTCTTCAGTTTTGCCTTTAATAATGCCGAGAGGATTTTGTTCATATTCAAATTGAAGCTTAGATTTTGGCTGCTTTATTGCAATTAATGCTTTCCCTTTCATTTATATAATTTAGTATAATGCTTCTATTTATATTTTGGCATGTGGAAACTTAATCCTTTAAGAACTTCACATGTCAAAATGGACTTAGCACACTAGTACTGCTACAATGATTATATTTCTTTATTTATAATTAAGATAAAAAGCATCTCAAATGATAGATTTATAAAGAAATGGGAAATGTGCAAAAAATATAAACAGCGTGTTATATGGAGACAAATCTACTTATAAAAGCAACTTAATAAGATTATCACATAGAAAAACTCGAAGGAAGAGTTTTCCTTACTCATTTAAGGTCAAATAAAGCTCAAGTAAAAATAAAACTCAGCTTTCATTAAAACACAAAGTTTTTATATCAAATTGAATGCTATGAAATTTTGTTTTCATCAAAAACCAAAAATATCGTCCAAGAAGTCTAAGTCAAAAATCTAAAAATAATACTCATGATATGAGCTTATCAATAGAATATTCACTGGACTAGATGGAATCCAAATCCCATCAAATTTCCAAGATAAAATTCAATTTATTGATTATAAGAATTTAAATAAGTTATTATTGAAATACATATATTTTGATTAGTAAAATTACTTAATAATTTATAGGCGAAAATTTTGGAATTGTTGTTGATATTTTGGTTGAAATTTTATAATTGCCATTTATGATATAATAATTATTTTGTGATGATACTTGCGGGTGAAAATGAACAATGATTATTGCAAGATCTGACTATATATTTTATTATGATGAAAAGTACACGTCAGGCTTATTAGTGCTGATAGTTTCAATGCTGAATATATATTTATTAATCCAATTAATTCGCTACTTTATAAAATAGATATCTGAGAGAATACAAAAATCGCCTCTGCTCGCTTATGACCTTGAATAAGTTGCTGAGAACAAGAATTGATATGCCATAAATGGTTCTTTTAATTAAAAATTCATTGATTTCAAAATAAATATCTTTTAAATAATTAGCTGTATTCAGGCAAAAAACCTTAATATTTCTTGGAAGCAAGTTATCATTCTTATTGGAACTTAGAATCTATTTGGAAATCAGAAGAATACCTAAACACCACACAATATTGATGGAGAAAAGCTAAGAATTTTTTTTATAATTAAAGAAGACGCTGCAAGATTAGGGATTTTTCACTAGCTCTAAGGAGAGAAGTAGGTAAAGTTGCTTTGCTTAAATTTTATTATAGTTTGATATACTTCTAAATTTGATTCATCTCAACAAATATTCATGATATAAATATTATCTAATTTATGCTTTTTTGTAACAATTACTATTTACTGAAAAAAGAATATTAAGACATTAATGGCATAAATTAGATAATGAAATATTTGGCAGCTTACGCTCTAGCTTGGCTTGGTGGAACTTCACACCCAACAGTTGAGAAACTCCAAGAAATCATTGAAGCTGCAGGATCTGATTTCGATAAGGCTAAAGCTTCCAAGTTGGTCGAAGATCTTAAAGACAAATCATTAGAAGAAGTTGTGGCTCAAGGCACAGCAAAACTTGGGTCTGTTTCTTTATCAGCAGGTGGAGCCGCTGCAACCACAACAACTACAGATGCTGGAAAGGCTAAAGAAGAGCCTAAGAAGGAAGAAGAAAAGGAAGAAAAAGAGGAAGACATTGAAGGAGCTATGGACTTATTTGGAGGTGACGAGTGGTAATAGTTTTAAGCAATTCTTTCCAATATTAGACTTTACTGTGTTATTTAGGAGCTAATCTTAATTTCTGCGAATTTCATGGAGTGAACAGTTTTTTCTAGGCGAATTTTTAGGTTATTATAAAATTTTTAATTAAATGTGCTCTGTTGCTTATTAAAATTTATTATTTTTTATTTAATATAGCATAATATAATTCTAACTGAGGTGAAAAATTCAATAATTTGAGTACACTATCAAAAATACTAATTAATTAATGCAAAATTAAAACTAACAAAATGGGCAGTTAGATTCCAAAAATACTCCACAGCTCAGGCACTTTTCCAAATGAACTTTTGTGTGTGTCTTATCCAGATAATCCTGCGCGACATCAATTTCTCTGTTTAAATCATAAATTGCTTTCTCCATGCATTTTTGCTGGGTATCAAGCTGGTTGGCGTTCTGCAGAATTTCTCTATTAAGGATTTTCATAGAAGTAATATACTCAGTCAGATACTCAATTTCATACTCTAAGCAGCTATTGATATTTCTTTGGACTTCTTCATTAGCATTTTCAAGCAAAGATACTTCATAGTTTAAATCGTCCAATACCCGCTTTGCTTGCTCTTCTTCTCTTTCTAAAATATCAATTTCTTTTTCGGTTGTCAAGCAGTTTAGCTCGACTTCAGATTTGCATTTAAGGATTGCTTCAAGATCTTTAGCATCCCGCCTTTCAATGTCATTCATTTTTAATATTACAAATCATGATATTTAAGAAAATAGTATAAGTATAAACGAAATATTATTATAAATAAAATCAATTTACTAATTCCATCAACTGTATGCTAGAGAGCAAAAAGCATTGCTTGCAAACGGAGGAAGAGGTTAATTTTTTATTATATAAAAGATTTAATTTTAAATTTTGATTAGTAAATAATTGAATGAAAATCTAATTAATTGATAATATTTATTCTATAGAACGTAAGCTGTTTAAAATTTAATAAATAGCTGGGTTTTTTATCATAATCATTACTCATTATTTATCAAATTATTTTTGTAAAAATATTGAATCAAATTTTCTAATGGTTTTTGCTCTCTAACCAAATAGATGTGAGTAATATATAAAAGCTTGCTAATTTATTTGCAATATTGAAATCAGATTTTCAATATAATTTTCTAACTCCACCTCTGTGAGCTTGCAAAAATATTTGCTCATTGAGATGGTTTATTTTTTTTATAAGTTTAATATTAAAATTATTTTTCCAAATTCACAAAAAAAAATTATCAATAAATTGAGGATAGTTAATTTATAAAATTTATGGCTTATAGTGCAAACTTTTTAAAATTTAATTGAATTAGTTTGAGATTTCCTTATAATAATCACTTATATATAAATATGCTTATAAAAATCTTTGCTCGTCTATAGAGGGTCAAAAAATAGAATTTCTCAAATGGTTTTGCTCGCTCACAAAAGGAGGGACTAAACAAAACTTTCTTATTTTAATAAAGATAATGTTTAAAAACCATTTATATCGCTTCTCGTTCGTGGTAATAATTTAATGGGGAAGAAACAATCAAAGGATCAGTCCATGGAGGCTCCTCCTGAACCAGACAATCGCGTTGTCCTTACAAGAGGATTCGGTCCCAAATACCAAGAAGCAGCTGCTAAGTGGCATGAACTGCGAACAAAACCATTAGAGCAACAAATGCCTCGCCCAATCCATAGTTCTGGCTACTGGAGAGATCTCCCACAAATGCAGAGTTGGTTTGCATGGATTAAGTAGAGTTAATAATCCCACTGGAATAATTTTGGTTTTTTCTAATTTTGAATATTTTTTGTCATAGTTTTTTCCCCTCCGGGTTATGATACTAAAATCATTAAAGCAATTTTTCTTGATTTTTAATTTAAAGGCCAATTAAAAAGACCGAAATTTACCTCAGCAGGATAAATTCAGCTTGACCCATTTGTATGGGGTATGATATGGTTTCAAGTGTTCCGCAAGCTTCCATTCACAAATCCAATGGTTAGAGTGATGTTCTTTGTAATAGGTTTAGACTGTTGGAGAGCAAGACAAGACTACTGGACCATTCTGATGCTAAAAATAAAAACCCTATTTGGTATGCCTTGCCACAAAGTCATAAAAATATTTTTTTAAAAAATAATTATTTTTATATTAAAAATACTTATTGCAATTTTAGTATTTTCCATATAAAATTAGCCTATTTTTCAATCGTAATAGTTACTTTATATTAAATCAAATAATATAATTACACCAATACGTTTTTTGTTCTTCCCAATTCTGAGCCAGGACGACTTAAATGAGATCAGACAATTCGATTTGATGTATCATTACTTGTTTAAGAGAAGACCTGCAAGAATGCCAAACTACACTGACGAATGGGAAGATTGGTATGAAATGAATAAGCCAGCTTATAGAGTTCCAGTCCCACACGAATACTCATTAGACAGCTGGATGAGATTCTTCGCCTTGAACCGCAAGAAGTACGGTCTCAGAGACACTCAATGGCATGGTGAATGGGAGCAAGAAATGTGCTTGAATATGGATTTGCACGCTCCTCATGCCGATCACTGGTTAGAAGTTCATTAAGTAATCCAGTTAACCAATCTAAGTGTTTAATTAGTAAAATGAATGATGAAAATTCAAATTCTGCCCTAGATCAGCTGATAAAGCTGCGGCAACAAGCTGAAAAAGTTTTGAAAATCAAAGAAAGTAAACTCCCTGAGCTGCAGATTGAGGAAAAAGATAGAGATATTGCAAACTTAAAAGCTGCGTTAAAAGCTGCACAAAAAAAGCTGCAGACACAAGAAGAACAGCACGTAAGGATGATAAATGCATTGAGGAATGAAATTGAAAGCAAAGATAACGATTTAGAAAAATTGAATAAAGGTTTTGCAGTTTTAGATGCAGAAAAGCAGAGGATGCAGAGAGACTTGTATCAGGCACAAAAGTCGATATCTGATTTAATTGCAGAAAAACAAGAGACTATAAGAAGCCATTTGCAGGAATTGGCTGATTTAAAACTGAAGCATGAACAGGAGTTATATATTTTTAGGAAAATGAAAAGGTAATTTAAATATAAGATAAATAATCTATTTAAGGGTATATTCTATCAAATATGCAGGAGCAGCTTTTGATAAGTCTTCAAGGCAATAAATATTTCCGTTTATTCTACGCAAGCTCCCAGAAGAAATGAGGGCAATAACAATTTGTCGGGTCCCTTTTGTAGGGATTTTATATTTTTGGGAATATAGATCATCTGCACATCTCAGGCTGGAAGAAAATATCATTGAGTCTTGGTCATTCATATATGTAATAAATCCTTGAGGATTTTTGTAAAGTTTTTCTAATTTGGTGGGTGTGCCTGGGTGAAACATTAACGTTGTCTTTGTGTATTCTATGCTGATTCGTCATAATTAAATGCTATTTATTTATATTAAATATTTTACTAATAATCAAATAAAATCAGTATAATCCTCTGCAAGACAAATTAAAATCAATTTCTTCTTTCAGCTGCTTTTGTAAAGAAAAGGTAAAAATTTTTGTCGCATTTTTTACCTCACAATTTTCTTTTAAAAACAGCTGACAAATTAAATAATATTCTCCTCCTTTTTGGGATAGCTCATGGATTATTGGAATTGAGGCTTCTGATGTAAGAATAGGCCTTGGAGGAGTTTGTGCATATAATAGCAGCTTATTGAAGTCTGCATTTGGGTCTAATTTCATGCTAGGGAATTTTAGTCCTCTATCCGCTGCAAATGTGGTGCCAAGATTCTGCTCGTTTTCAGTCAAAAAGCTTTCTCTACTTTCTCTCCCTGAAGATATTGACGGAAGATCATCAAGCTGCTTCAGCTCACTATCAATACTAGACACACTTTTATCTGGCTCAAAAAAGCTTTGTTTTTTATATTTTTCTAGCAATGTAGACACATATTCATGAGGAGGCGAAGTCGCTTGGTCAATATACCTTGGCAAATTTGTGTTGATTTTTATTTTTCTATTAACATTTTCACTTCCTTTAAATGTCTCTAAATCAGTCTGCAATTTAACTGATTTTTTCTTTGAAGAATGATGGCGGTGGTGATGGTGCTTACAACAGTGGGATTTTCTTCTTTTATTTTCATAATTCGGGATATCTTCTAATATTTTTCTTTCGCTTGATTCAGTCCTTCCTTTCCTTTGCTTTGTATCTTCATGTGAAATTCTTAGATCTTCATTCATTTTCAAAGGGTGTTTAGGTGGCAGATTTTTTTCTCTATATCGATGTGAGTCAGATTTCATGTTTTCCATCATAGTATTATAAATCCTATCAAGATCTTTTGACATTGCTGAAGAGTCAGTTTCATAAGTTGGCTGAAACAGATTTCCAGGCCTAATGAGTTCTCTTGTTTCTTCTTCTAGTTTCAATAGTTTTTCTTGAATTTCAATATCCTCTTCATCTTTTTGTGGCTTGTAGTCCTGGTTTATAACCATAACAGTATCTGATTTATTTTGCGTAATATCTGAAATATCAGTTTCTAATTGCTGAGAAAAAGTATGTGACAAATTTTTCTTAGGTGTAATATTTTCAAATAATTTTCTGTCTAAAGGTGACTGCTCATACTGGAAGTTTCCTTCAGAAATCATACTTTTATCAGTTAAATTTGGGAATGGGCTCATATTGGTACCGCTGAAACTTCTTAAATGGTCAGGCTGAAGAGGTAAAAACGCTGAAGACCCTACTCTTGAAGCATTTTCTGCTGGAAATGGAGAGTTAAGATTAGACGTCAACATATGTTTTTGGTTCTCCGGAGAGCTCGTAAATTTTAAGTTTGACCCTTTAAATCCTTCATTATGAATAGATTCACTATAAGGTGACATATTGCTAGCCAAAGAGTTTCTGGGTGTTCTTTTCTCAAACATCGCAAAGTCAGCTGACCCCTGGGCTGAGTGTGTTAGGGAACTTCTCATTGACGGAAAATGAGGATTTCTCGCTCTAGCATCCCAGGACCCTCCAGGTGATGGAGAAAGTGTCAAATTGTCTTGAGAAGCTATCGACGATTTAATAGAGTGCTGTCCTTTAATAAAAGACGTAGGAGTTACTTCAAACGAAATTTCTTGCTCATCAATTGCTCGTTTTTTTTCTTCTGTAGTTACTGCAACTCCATTAATTTCTTGTAACGTGTTTAAAAATGAACAAATAAACATTAGCCGATGCTGAGGCTTAAAAGGACAACCTTTTAAATCTATAATAACCAGTTTTGAGCACTGCTTTAGATGGGTCAAAGCAAGAACTGGGTCATCAAGTTCATTGTAGCTTGCATTTAATAGCTGAAGCTCAGTAGAAGAGGAAATAAAGCTTAAGTTTGGGACTTTATTGTGAGAAATGTCGAGCGTAATGAGGGAAGAAAGCTTTGGAATTTCTGTTAAACAGTTGTGAGAGATGTAGAGCTCAGTAAGAGTTTCAGGTAAAAATTGAATATCGGTTAAAGAGTTGTGGGAGAGATCGAGGATTTGGAGGTTTTGAAGGGCTGGGAATTTTGAGATGTGGTTGTATTTGAGAGAAAGGACAGACAAGTTTTTTAATGTGCCCCACTCTTCAGTTAACTCAATAAAGTCATTTCCATCTGCATATATTTCTTTAACCTCTACCAAATTTGAAACTCCATATATACATCCCAAGCTATTTTCCCTCACCGACAGCACATTCAGCATCGGCATAACTTCGGTAAACTCCAAAACTTTCAGCTTATTCGCATCCAAGCACAAAGTCCCAAGCTTTTTCATGCCAAACCCAAAGGAAATTTCAGTAAAATCATTTGAAGAATTCCACAATTCTTCTAGATTTCTCAATTCCTTCAGCATATTCACAAGACTTTCATCCCTTAAATGGTTATGTGACAAATCCAGCTTCGTTAATTCTTCTAAATTTCTAATTTGGCTTATTTGGTCGTCTCCTACATAATTATTCGCTATGTTCAGCTCAGAAAGTTCTATACAGTTTGAGATCCCATCTAATGAAATCAGTCTGTTATCAGAGAGGTCTAGCACTTTTAAATGAGGAACAAGCTCATGAAGAGTCCCTACAAAGGCAATCCGATTGTGGTTTAAAAATAAATATTTCAATGAATTTGGCAGTTTGTTTAGCGCTGTTAAATTATTATTTTCTGCACGAAGCTCTTGGAGGTGCAGCTGGGCTTGTAAGTCAGGCAGCATTGAGAGGCCTTGGTTAGAAATATCAAGAATTGTGCCCTTTTCAAAAGAGTCCGCTTTTTGCATTTAAATTTAATTGAAGTTTGGTAGTAGATGAAAACATATAGAAATTTTGGGGAATTAGGACAATAATTGTATGGATTTATTAGTATTCTTTAAAAAGAAGAGGAATTATATTTTTAATTATGGAAATAACTGCAAATTTCATTGAAGAAGTGTCTACGTCAAGCACCCCTAATGTGCTGCTTATACCGCAAATTAAAGCTGATATAAAGAAATCGATTGGAAATGTTGATAATCGTGACTGCCAAAATGAGCTGAATATTCTGTCAAGTTTTTATATCCAGTTAATTGAATTTGGGAAAAATCGCTTATTTTTGGGATTTGAAAGAATAGTTCCTCTGCTTCAGATTGGGCATTCACTTATAGCAGCAAGCTGCTATCAACAAATTTTAGGGAATTTTCCGACAGTTGAAGAACTTTTTACTCTTTTGACGAAGCAAATAGTGGAATCAAGATATAATTTGGATGAGCTTTTTTACATCCACTGTTAACAGAAATTCGAATTTAGAGAGTCAAAGATATATCCAATATGGAGTCGAATTTCTGTTAATAGTGGATAAAGCTCTCTATCCATACTCCAAGCCAAAAAAGGCAAATAATTGAATTTTTTACAGAAACATTTTTTAAACATTTCAGACTTTATACCCATGTGTTTGGAAACAAACAAAAATCAGAAACTTTATATAATCCTTTATTTCTTATAGTCATCATTCTATCTAAATCTCTTACTATTATCCATAAAAATCACTATTTATTATCTATTTAAAAAATTTTAAAAATTTTATAAAAGAATACATAAATGTATCGATTGATTCTCCATTACCAAGCCTCCCTCTCAGTATGGCTGTACAAAGACTTAAGCACAACGAAGTAAAACAAGACGACAATTTCTCTCTAGACTCCATATCAAGAAGTGCAAGTGTCCAAAAATCAGGACGAATCAGCAGACCTTCCTCCAGAAAAGGCAGTTTCTCAAGCCCAAAAAACCTTCACAAAGAAGAAGAAGATTTAAACGAAGCCGTCTCTCCTTTCCCATCTGAGTCCACTGACCCTCTCCAAACTAAACTTGATTTAACTGTCAGAAAATACCAAGACTCTATGCAAGAAGAGTTCGAGAAACACCAACAAATAATTGATACCCACTATGAAGAAGTTAAGAAAAAAATAGGAAAATAATTAAGTTAACATGCAGTTATGTCTCAAATAGATGAATTTTGTCATCTATCAGCCAAAAATCGTGATCTTCAGACCGCTCTGGGGAATTGTAATTTGGCTTTAAAATTTTTTTCCTGGAAATTATAGGCTTTTTGATAAACCTTGAATTATCTCTTAAAAAGGAATCCATCATGTGTCCATAATAGTTATAGCTGCCAGGGTAGTTTTTTGTCTGCTTATGGGATGGTGGGCTTTTTGATAAAAATTTTATTTTCTTACTCTTTTTGCGGACGTGAGTAGGACTTGTCCCATAATTTGGGCCAAATTTATAATGTTTTTCTGTGTTTGAAAGTCTTGCTAAATAGTTGTCAATTGAATAGTCAGGGATATTAACTTCATCAAGGGACCTATTATGGTAGTTATATAAAAACCCAGCCAAATGTTTGCATGACTCCGAGTACCTCGGGGCTAAATATTTCTGCAGTTCCATCTTGGTCATATCTTTATAAATTCCATAAAACTGCCTTCCCCAAGAGTCGTCATGCAAATTATACCCCCTGATAAAAAAGAGTAGCTTAGCTTGTAGAAGCTCTATTAATTTTTCTGTTAATTTCGCATAATGCATTTCTTGTGCTCTTGTAGAGAATCCACTATAAACTGACATTATTTTAATTTATTATCTTTTAATATGAGATAGCTTCAAAATTTTGGCACTGTCTGAGGTAATTGATGAGGATCTTGCTATATCGCTTATACGTCCTAATAGATCGCTATGGCCAACAGCATACTGACCCAAATATATATGATATACATAAAAATGGAAACCAAACCGTAACTGGTCTCTTGACGCAATTTTCTCAACCTTATGGCGAGAAACCAGATGAGATTTAGGTTTGATATGGGCTTGTGTATATCTAGGCAGGTTTTGCCTTAGTTTCTGTGGTTGGAAAGAGTTAGCCTGGCAATATCCTTCGGGACACATAGGTGAAACTCACCGCAATACCAGGGATTGCAGCCTGGGCCTAAGGATTAAGTATTGTAATTGCCCGAGGATGGCGCAAGATAGCGCCATCCTCGGGCAATTACTATAGCTGCTGAGGGCAGGCACCCAGCACTCGTTAGACTCCGGATTTTTCCTGGATCAAAGCTACTCATCAAATCGCCCGATGCAGGGTCACAGAAGTTCAGCCTTCAAGGCGATGAGGAGACGTTCTCAGTGAGCAATACTCCAGGGATCCCATGGTATCAAGGGCTGGAGAAGTATCAATGTGAGGTCGATGCTTTTCTTGCCTGCGGAGCTGTCTCAACCGATCAAGTGTCCAACAGGGAACATCGCAAAGCGGACAACCCTTGTATTAACACATCTAGTGGGGGCTGGGTACATAGTGCCCAAGACCAAAATTAAATAATAAATTCAATTATGGAGAAATGACGAGGAATTCTCCAGCAAACCGACTCATAGAAGGTTGGAGAACTGAAGAATCAATTGACCTTGATGCAATTGAGCATTAAGAGCAATTTCCTGCTGTCAATCTTCCAGACAATGGAAAGCATATGTCCGATATTGATATTTTTGACCAGCTTCCATATATGAAGAAATTGTAGTTAAATCAAACCATTTTTATGAAGAAAATGCTCAGAATAGAAAGAAAAAGGTTGAATGAAGAGCTCTAAGTGTGCTTGAACTTAGAGAATATATAGGCTTGATCATCATTATGGGAATTGATCAGAAACCATAATTCAGAATGCATTGGCAGACACATATTATTGGAGCAGCAATCTAATCAAAAATACGATGAGCGTTGATAGGTTCATGCCATCAATAAAAATATCTTCAAATTGAAGAAAAGGATAAAAACGATAAACTTTCAAGGATTAAATACTTGTCAAATTTAATTCGAGAGTGCTCACTACAATTTTATATACCAAGAAAAGATCTGCCTATTGATGAATCAATGATCGCATTTAAAGGAAGGCATTCGTTAAAACAATATTTGCTAATGAAACCTACAAAAATCTCATTGAAGCATTCCGATAGAAAGGTAGACTATCTTGATTTTCGATTGTCAATTGCACCTAACGCAATTCGAAAATAAGCAAAGGCAAAACGCTGAAGATAAGGAAATTGATCGTGCACCCTACCAGAAGCATGAAATTAATTTGTATGGAAAAAAATCAAGGTGTACACTATGCTCATCGCGCTTTAAAGATTCAAACACCATCTATATGTGCTCTGTTTGCAAAATGCCATTGCATAAAGCTTGCTTTAGCCCTTATCATAGCCCTAATAATTAAAGAATCTATTTAATAATTTAATGAATCAATGAATTTGAGAAAATAATGCATAAACTTGTTGTTTTTAGACTTTAGATAAGAGTGTAAGGAAATCCTTTGGATCTTGATAAAAATTTCCCCCCTGAAAGGGTTAAGGGTCCTTAGGGACTGCGTAACCAATACATCGAGTGCCCATCTGCTAATTTAATTTTAAGACAAAAAATATTACCCAAGCACTTGCCTTATTAGATTCGGCGTCTCTTTGCCATTTTATTTTTGATTGCACATCAAAAAATTGACACGCAAAATTTATTTTAAAAAATGCCAATAATGGCCTATTAAAATGCAAGAGCTATATCAGGAGACTTGCTTCTTGACTTGCTTCGTGTTAATCAACCTCAATTAATAAATACCTGATAATTGGATATCTTTAGTGTGGATTGGAGGAAGTTCAGTAGATCCTTGACGGTTTTCAAGCTTTAAGGGCGAGCTGAGAGGCGAAAGGCTTCTCTCTATTGTTTTGCTGAGGGTGAATTTTGGTGTTTCTTGCTTTGTTAACTCGGTGTAATTGCGAATGTTAGGCCTAAATTTAAGGGGAGCTTCTAAAGTTTCTATTAGTTCGACACAGCTAGATGTAAATTTTGGAGGGTAATGTTTGCGCTCTTCAAGTTTGGCCATGCAGATTAAAGTATTTTTGCATTTTGTCGGCCATAAATAAAATGGCATTCGGTTTGAGTGAAATTAGCTCCACTAATTTTCTCTCCCTCAATCAATTTTATTTATGGGGTTAGGTGTTCTTCTGAGAACTTCTGTACAGCAATAGCAGTTTAACTCTGGTAGATAAGCCGAGGCACTGCTCCAAGTACATCAAGAGGCTCGAAGTTTTACCTCTCAGCACACCCGAGGAATGAACCTTAGGCGGAGCACGCGCAGGAGCTAAGTTAAGGAGAGCGAGTAACGCAGCCCGTCGAAGCCAGCACGCTTATGGACCCATGTCCTGGTGCAATAAAATGGATCGATCCAGAGGTTCATCGGCCCGACACGTGAATAAAAATGGTGGCAGCTCTGGAAGCGGCTACCCCGTAGTGGACGTTAAACGTTATAAATAATTAATTAAGTAAGCATTTTGTCGACCATTCTGGCTCAATGGATTCTCCTTTGTAAGATGAACTGATAAAATATTGTAGGTCGCCTATTAGACTTTCTGTTAGCTTGTTGTATTTAGTTTCTTGATTGCGAGTACTGAAACCTCCATATACTGCCATTTGTAAATTTTATAAATTTAAAGAGTCAATAGCATATTAGGGTACAAATTATAATTAAACATTATTCATATACTAAATATAGATGAATTTTTAAGGAAAATAATAAAAATTAATGGAAAATCTGCGTTACTAGGATTTTAAGATACTGATTAGCACAGCATAAATTTAATCTCCAGAAAATGAAATATCTGGAATATCCATATTCTTCGCCACTTTTTTGACATCTAACGAATACTTACTAATCAATGGCAAGCTTGATACTGATTTCGTTGGCAATGACTTAACCCTCATTAGCTCATTTTCTTTATCTTCTTCATCAATCATGTCATTTAATATATCTTCAATATCATGTATTACTTCTGTATTTGCTCGAATCTGTTTAGATAACCCATCAATTTTTTCTTCTAATTTTTTTTGCACCTTTTCAATGTTTTCCTCTTCATTTTCCCTGACCTCTTCAAATTTGTCCATTTCTTTTTCAATCATCACTTTAAATTCTTTTGCAGTCATTTTTTTGATATTTCCGTCTTTATTAGCTTTCATCAGAACTTTCATTTCGGCTATAGAGTGTTTTGTTTTTTTGTCTTTTTCTTTAGCCATTTCTTCCATTTCAAACCAAATGGAAGGGAAACTGTCTCTTAATTTTTCGATGACTGTTTTCATCATTACAAGCAAATTGCATTCAATAGCGGCAATTACTGTATGGACTCTTTTGGTTTTTTGGAATATTTCTATATCTCCGAAATAATGGCCTTTTGTTAAAACACGGAATACTGTGTTTTCGTCCCCAAACACGAAGTTTATCCTGCCTCGGACTATAAAGAAAATGTCGTTAGATGGCTCTCCTTCGCAGTAGACAGTTTCAGAAACTGATGCAAATAAAGGCTGAAGAAAAGGGATGATGGAATAAATAAATCTTTGGTCTCTGTTTTGAAAAAATGAAAAAAGGGTATATGCACCGTTATGCATATTTGTTGCAACTTCGTATTTAAGCTGCTTTGGAAGCTCGTCCATGAGTGATTCTTTTTCTTCAACTGTGAATGCTAGCTCACCCTGTTTAATAACAATTTTTTTTTAATAGCAATCAGACTCAATATATCTTATCATATTTTTAAATTTCTAATAATCATAATGTTTTAAAAGATTATAAGGGAATTACTCCCGCCTTCTAAGAGGTAGTCCTAATTTTCATTATAAATAGAGAATCCAGAACTACTTTTAGTATTTAAATTTTTTAAAATGTAGATAAAACATTATAGGGTTTGATCTTGACTATGAAGAGGATAAGCGTTCTGTTTTAATTCTGATGCTTTTCTGCATTTTTCGCTTTATATTTTTGTTTAGTGACGTTTCGTTTGAAAATTCATCAACGAGGGCTAATTTTTGATCCATTTGGTTCTTTTTTATATCAATTTGAGAAAACATTGATGACAAGGAGCTGATGTTAAAAGATACGAAATAGAGAGCAGCTATCATTCAGAACATTGCCAGGACTTTTTCAGTGTTTGTTCTTGCAGAAATATCTCCGTATCCAATAGTAGTTAAAGTAGTTAGTGCCCAGTAAAGAGAAGTTACATAAAGAGTAGATGTATCGCTATCTATATAGCCGCATCGAACAACCCACGTGTCATAATGATAATGGGCTAGTCTTGAAGTGAGGTGCCAAAAACATGCCATTGCATGAATTCATACCAATATCCTTGATATTGTGCTTAAAAATCGTGTTCCACTATGGTTTATATTCAAATAAGATTGAATTCTACTTACTTCTTCCTAACTTCCTCCCTCAAAGATATCGGTGATCTTATTATTAAGAAAGCTTTCTTTGTGAGTCTGGCCAAAACGATTTTTAATATATAAGCGATGATTATGATAATAATCTCAAGTTAGTTTTTCAGACAGCAAGCATTTAAAACAAAATTTATGAGTTAATTTAAACTTTGACTTTTGAAAATTAAATTTTTGATATGCCAAAATAAACTCTATAGCATGAAAAATTTTGTTTTAAAAAATAATCTCTTTTTATCTCATAACTGCTAAATTTTCTTTTTAAGTTTTTTTGCATTTTAATCAATTTAATAAATTATATTTTATAATGCACATGCTTAATTTATAATGCGTAATTAATAATTGATGTGAAATGATAAAAAAATAAATTTTTCTAAAATTTTCTCGCTTTAGAGCAAGGAGTTAAAATTGAATTTGGATTGCTTATTTTAAATGTGTTCAGCAGTCTTGAAAGCCTGAACAGGTTTGGCAAAGAATTTAATCTTAAGATCCTGACAAATCTATTGTACCCAAGTTGGTATCCATGAGAATTTCCATTAAATACAGGAATAAGTCCCATAGGGATGCAAGCAACTACATCAAGAATCAGCCAGCCCTTCAAATAATTTTTGAAAATAGCCTTTCTCTCAGTCACTAAAATTCCATCCACATCGTAAAACGCTGTATTAAGAGTTCATACAATATCAATTATAAAACAAATATTAACAAGTACATCAAAAATAAACCATCCGTCAAATTCATGCGGATCAAGAAAAGAGACCACATATGGGCCAACAATTGCTATTTAGTTTACTTATAGAGAGTTATTCTGCAGACCTATAAGTCACTACTCACCTCCCCACAGCGTTCCACCGCTTGCTTGTCACTCCGGGATGGCCATTCGCTACGAATAAGGGCTTACACTCGTTATCCAAGAGTTAAGGCTCTGAATCGCCATGTTGTAGAGTTCTTGACATAGATGGAGCCCAGTGCTTAGGACCCAACGCCTGGTATCGTGCCAGGAATTTCGTCCGACTGGCAAATCACAACTCCAATGAGCCATCTTTGCACAGGGTAAGACCTTGATCTGTATGAGGGCATGGGTCAGCTAGTTCGATATTACAATCCACTAAATCAAGTAAAACCCGGCCAAAATGCATGCTCTCCCTTCCAAAAGGTCCCGCTTTATTAATAAATCTCCTGGCTATTGATGTTAAGCGCTAAGGTTGGCTCGCCAAACCATTTTTTTGTATACCCACAATTGCAGTATACAAAATTAATAAGCCAATAAAAAAACCATACCAAATTTTTATGCAATTATCTGGATGATAAATTCCATATGGTAGGTCTTCCCGAATACTTTGGGTAACACTCATATTTAACTTTGCTTTCTTTTTAAAGTATCCTTCTATATCTTGGTTGGTCAGTGTAGACGATTGATCCATCCCAGGCTTAAGCCTTGGCCCTGCCAGAAAGTTTTTTAGCCTGATGCTCATTATTACCTTGCTTTTTGCTCTTTTTCATACTTCTCTATATTTTGAATCTTTCGCTGAGTAAGGGGCAATTATATATTCACTTGGCTCAGTTGAAATTGTTTTTAAATAAGTCTGAGGACTTTTAGGGTTAAATTCAAATTCATTTGGAGGAGTTTGACTAGGAGAGTCAAGTATTTCTGGCAAAATCCTTTTGCTGTCACGTTCTTTTAAAAGTTTTAAAAGGCTCTATATGAAACTTACCATTTCTCAAATTTTATTTAGAAGACTTATAAATCTTTTTTTATGTCAAAAGAGAAAATGTATTTCCTATTTAGTCTAGAGCTCTCCCTATAAAACGATCAAGAGAATCAAAAAAGCTGCTATCTTTTATAGAAGAGGAAGAAGAAGGTGAAGAATCTAAATGTCCTAAGCGGCATTTTGGAAAAAATCCAGAAGTCGAAACAAATTTTATTTCTGATCAAGAACGAGAAATCATGGAAAAAAGACAAAGGGAAGCCTTAGCTGCACAATATGAAGAAGAACAGAAAAAAATTCTGGACGAGCTTATAGAGCTTTCTTTTTCTTTCTGGGATGGGACGAACAATAAATACAGCTTGAAAACCAAAAAGGAGACCTCTATAAGCCACTTCTTAGAGATTGCTGTAGAAATCCTTAAAAAAGATTTCCCAGAAATAAGGCAGCTGCATTCGTCAGCTTTTATATATGTGAAAGAAGATATCATTATTCCGTATGATTATACATTTTATGACCTTATTATAAATGATGCAAAAGGAAGGAACGGAAGCTTGTTTACTTTGACAAAAAAACAGGATTTCGATAAAGACGAAGGCTATGTCGCAAAAATACTTGAAAGAAAATGGTATGAAAAAAACAAGCATATATTCCCTGCAAATAGGTGGGAAATATATGACCCACTTAAAAATAACTAGTATTTATGAAAAATTAATTATCTTTTTCTTTCCCAAAACCATTTGTAGACTTGTCCATCTTCGTCGACTAATTTTCGCTTTCCTTTTTTCATTAATTCCTTCTTTTTTTCTATCTTGTGGAGTTTGTCCTTTAGAATTTCTTCTTCTTCCAAAATTGTGTTGAATTTATTATACCCTTCTTCATTATCATTATTTATTTCTGGGATTTCCATTGATTCTAGCTGTTCTTTAGTTAATCTATTCCCTTTACGGTCTAATAAAGCTGAATCTGTATTAAAATACTCAGCTGGCTGCAATGCTTTTGCTTCTTCTGAAGTTTTGACAAAAATCATATGTGTATTTGGCTTTTCTGCGTCTACCAAATGCAGCTGACTTTTTAATTGTTCATGTGTGCTCTGCTTGGCTTGGACTTTCATATTCATCAAGTTGCTGTCCTGAGTTTTTTGTTTTTTTAGGAGTTCAGGCTCGTCTTCTTCTTCGTCCTGCAAATGTTTTCCATTGTGGAAGCCACTTTTGATCATTTTAAAGTAAAATTCATCAGGGTTTCTGAAATATGCTTTGTCACGGAGTATGTTTAATTTGTCTTCTTTTTCGTGGTAGTCCTTTGCTCTGAGTTTGTAATCTTGATGCTTTTCAAGCATTCCTAAATGTTTTCTTCTGGAAGGCTGAGATCTTTCTCTGTATTTTCTTTTAGGGATCGCATTCTTCCAGGTTGACATTTAATGATTTTACTATTAATTTTGGCTTATTATTGATAATAAGCTAAAATAAGCTTTGATTATTTAATAGCTGGATCAATTGTTATATAAAATAAGGATAATTGCCTAGAATCCTGCGTTTAGCTATATTAAATGAGTATAATAAATATCTATTAAAAATCATAAATATCTCTTTTTGGCTTCTTTAAGGTCTCACTTGCATCTGGGATTAATTTTTTGGTTTCTTCATACTGAGGTGCTGCTCTGGCTGACCCTCTTCTTTCACTTCTCACTGACACAAATGACGCTTTCTGCTCTTCTAAACCTCCTGTTGCGATCCTCTGAAAATATCCTGCATTACTTGCAAAAGAAGGACTGACCCCTTTTCTTTCTTTTTCAGCCCTAACTAATTTTTTATTATAGTTATTTTCAATAAATTCTCCTTTATATAATCCTACTAATAAAATTATTCATTTTCCTTATAAAAATATACATTTTTTAATCAGCGCTTGTCCTTCTTTAAGTTTCTCTTTATCATATTTATCCCCAAAACTGAATTGTGACATTCCAAGACTTGCCATTATTTTTGTATGAATATTAAAGAAATTCATTAAACAGAACACTAAAAGTAATAAAGGCACATACATTGCAAATCCTGACCCGAAAATTGGGATTAAATTGATGTTTTTCATAACTTTATTGAACTGGGTATCTGTAACTTTAATAAGAAGCAAAAAATTATAGCTGAGAGGAGCTACAAGCCTAGCCATAAACGTAGCACATCATAATAAATTTGGAGGATCTGTAAGCCTTGGAGCATATAAGCCAAATTTCCCTCCTAATTTTAGCTTAAAAAGTGCGAGATAAGTGGATACAATAATATATAAAAGGATAAAAAAGCATAAAATCTGTGTCGCTTCATCGCCATATTCGTGCTCAAATAATATAGGAAATGCAGCAACTGGGGTGTCAATAAACAAAGTTGACTCGCCAACTATGATCCAAATGCTTGCGAAATATAGTAATAATGCGATTACTCTGGCTAAAATAGGGTTAATTCAGCAAAATCACAGCCATTCTGACACTTCAATGCTCCTGCCTAATTTTCCAGCTCTTTTTGACCAAAATGCGCTTTCTATTTTTTTTTCTGGGTTTTTCTTGTTGTTTACAATATCTTGTATGTGAAATGCTTCTTTCAGCAATTCTTCCCAACGACTCTTATTATTGACTTACCATTTGGTTCTAATATAGTTGGAGATCAATTTTTTGAGGTCTAAATTGATTTTAATCAGCTTTTTCTCGTTGACGACTTCTTTTGAGTCAACTCGGTACCCGCTGATAGCTCTGTTGTGCTGCAGTGATTCTTCAGGGCATATACTGAGCATTATTTCGTATCATTCTCTAAGTTTGGTCTCTTTCACTATTTGTTTATCTAGGCTCATTATCATGCCAACATGTTGATCAAGCTGATATTTGGCTTCTATGAGAGCTTCGTCCATAAAAAATGCTTTCATTGCGACATAGTCTAATGCATGCTCGAGGTTTCCATAATTTCATCAGCTTCTAGGGATAGCTACTAAGCCATATCCTAATAAAGTGATAATTAGAATTAATCCCCAACAGTTGCTGATGATAATCAAAAATGCTGTTATGTCGGTTCTATGTTATGATTACAAGGTAAGACCATGAGCAATATATGCATAGAGAAGCAAAGCCCCACCGACTGCTGCTAAGATTACGTGGTATCTGATATAAACAAACAGAGCCTTTTGCAATTTAGATAATACAGTGAATTCACCAGCTTGATGATATACTGATTAATTCTAGCTATATAAGGGCCAAAAACAGTTCTAGAGGGGATTTATTTAATAATAACCAGTATAATTCATAAGTATTGGCATAAAGAACCAGCATAAACAAAATACAGTCCAATAAATAACTTTTCAGCACATATAGAGAAAATGCTCATCTCCTTCTGCTCCAAGGGCTAAGGACACATCAAATGGGATAAGAGTTACGATGATAAATGATGTGAACCAGCCAATACCTACAAAAAGCTTAACATGAATCGGTGTTTGCTTTGTTGGATAGTGATAAATCAAATATACTGTTAGGAAAGTAACCAGAGCAAGAACCAAAATTGTAAACCAAGTTATCATTTTGTTTTTATTAGTATAAAATCTGAATAAACTCTTTATAATTACTAAATAATCACAGTGAAAATGCAAAGATATATTAATAGCAAGAGATTTTAAATAAAATTCTCTTACACATTCCAATTATTTTCCCTGAATTTTTTTAATTATTTTGAGGTATTAATTTATGCGAATTATTAATTAAAAAAATATATTTCTCTTTATAAAAGTATTTTAAGAAAAAATAATATAGATTTGTTCATTATTACAGTGGATTAGGGATTTTTTGAATATATTTATTATTTTTTCTTATTTTATTAATTCAACAATGCAAATTTTATTAATAAAAAGATATTTTCTATCACTATATTCATCAATTTATTTCTTGATACAATCACACAAGATTATTTAATTAATGTTCAAGACATTATTTATTTAATTAAGTCTGAACAGGAGTTTTAATTGTAGTTTCCACAAGTCTATAAGCATAAAGGTCATTAAACGGCATCTGATGTCTATTCCATCTATACCTTAAAATTGCGTAACGATAAATGGGGTCACAAAGCTAGAAGGGTTCTCCCAACTGTGCCAGAGGATGTATATTGCCAATCAAGAATAATACCCAGCGCAATACTAGGAGTTGCGTTCTGGGCTTCGGAATTCTATTTGGATATTCAATGATAGATAACCTTATTGTGAAGTGGTGTGATGACTCAAGTCTGTACTCACCCGACAGAAGCAATCTTCGCGATGTGCAACACACCAACTGGCAAGCAATTAGAAAAGCACTAGGAAGAAAAAAGGCATTTGACCTTAGAGTTAACTTTTTCAATAAGTACAAGTTAACAATAACGATGTCTATCCCCTCCAAACACATACATGAAATTATTAACCACAACTGCCGAATGGCCATCTCTCGGATGTGGAGGTTTTCCTCTAATTCTTCCTTCAAGAGGACTTGGAGGGCCATCATACAAGCTATTTTTCTTTTTCAGAAAAGACAGCCCTTCTCCAACAGGAGAAGCATCTGGCGACTTCGATATATGAAGAGACGGCGTTTTTGCAGGTGAAGTTGGCTCAGGAACCGTCTTATGCTTGTGGTTATGATTAATTGATTTCCTTTTCTTATACTCCTCCAGCTGTTCAGGAGTTACCGGATCTTTAATTTGGAACTCAAACTGAAACATTGTCCACGTATTGGTCAAAAAATCAAACGAAAACATGTCATTTGTCTCCTTGGTGATATCCCGCATTCCTCCAAAAATTACCATATCATCTTTAAATACAATAGCAGAATGTCCAGATCTCCCAGTTGGGATTTGTCCATGTCCTATAATCTTTTCTCAATGATAAGTCCTCAAGTCAAGCTTCCACAGGTCGCAGAGTTTTTCGCCTTCATCGTCTGAGCCGCCAAATATATATAAACAGTGGTTATACACAACAGAAGAATGGTTAGACCTAGGCGATGGTTCTTCGTCAGTCTGCGCCCTTTTCCATTTCTGGGTTGATTTATTTCTACTAATAATTATTTAGATTTAATATGTGATTACCCTCTTCAGCAGGATGAGAAACCAGCCCTTTAGAACTCCTAAGTGATGACATCAGCAGCCATCTTGTCTAGCAAGACCAAAGGGCCAGCAATCTTCACAGGCTATATTGTGAATCCTTTGCGTGTTCTACATCAGGGTCACCCTCTTCGGTTGTTCCAGGCAGTAAAAAACTGTGTGTCTCTTTTCTTCCTTGAGCCAACGAACTACCCTAGGCAGTAATTCCATATTAGCATTGTGGATAAAGATCGACATGGAAAACTGAACCCTATAATAATATATCGCCAAGGAAGAATGGTTCTCACAGATAACCAATTCCGATTGCCGCCATTTTATTATTATGGGTTGATAAATTCAGTATATAAACAGTATTAGACCTGACCCCTTCTGCAAAACCTCCAAATACGACCATTGAGGAAGCGACATCTTCGTATAGACAAGCAGTATGAGAGTCTAGAGAAGGTGGGAGATCAGGCCTTTCAGGAGGGATAACCGTAAGGCTCCGAGAATTTAAATCAATTACACTTGTGGTGTTAAATTCTCGGTCACCATTGCTGCCTCCGAATACGTACATTTTATCGTCTTTAACTATAGCTGAGTGTCTGCACAATGGACCTAATCCTGGAATTTCTATTTCTTCCCAGGGCTCTGCGTCGAAATAAGCTTCTCGTAAGTTTAAGGACCAAAGGCCTGATTGTGGGCCTTCTCGTAAGTCTTGTCCACCATATATGAGGATTTTTTCGTTCCATGATGCAGCGGAGTGGTAACTTCTGCGTGATGGGTGCCTGCCGAGAAATCTGATTTCTTCCCAGTGATTGAGGGAGCTTTCACTGTCATCAAGAGGGCTTGTATCAATATGAAGCTCAAATGGGTTGTTAGGGACCTTTAAAAGATGATCCATGAATTTTTTAAAACTGATTAAAAAATAGAAGTAAAGCTGAACAAATCAGCTTTGACAAAATAAAATGGAAATCAACTAACTTAAATCTTGGTGGCAAATAATGCGTTAATTATTGATTATATATGCTTTAGTTAAATATTGAGGAAGGAAAACTGGAGAATTCAATTTTCTTCATATTTGTGTATAAAAATGCAATTTTCCCTTTTCGTGAGCAAAACATTTAAAAATCCTACTTTTTTGGAAAAAAATAATATACAGAAAACTAGCCATTAAATATACCTGACATAGAATAATTTCATGTTATGCCTAAATAGACATAATTACACAATTAAAACATAATTTTATTAGATTTTATAATTTTCAGCCCAAATCCTATTAATTAGACTAATACGAAGTTAATTATCTTATCTTAATTACTTTCCATAAAGTATTTTGCAAATTTCTGCGGAGTTCTTCCGCTTCGACGCAAATGCATATAGATTCGAAAGCTTTGCTTGTTTAATTGAGCTATTAATTGTGCATGAAGTAGAAATATCTGAAGGGATAAATCTACAAGGTGTTTTAGGTCTTTTCGGTGATTGATCTTCATCTTGTGAGATCCTTATGTCTGCTTGATAAAAATCAAATGTTTCATTAGAATGAGAAGTTTTGATTGGAGTGAAATCTTCAGTGCTTCTATATGAGTTTTTTCTTATTGGTGTTGTGAATTTTTCTTCGTCTTCATTTATGCTAAACCTTTTTACGATGATAGAAATATTTCTAACTACTCTGTTTACTATATGAAAATAAGATAACAGTAATCAGTAGGAATGCTTCTATTATTTTAAAAGGTATAAAATTAGATTGATTTCTATTATATTTTATATTTAGGATATACTGGTATATATTTTAGAATTTAATTAAATGCAGTTTATCAATCTGCTGAATTTCATAGTTTTGGAAAGATCAGTTTTTATATTTTCTTTACCGTTTTCTTTGGCTTCAGGGATTCCTTTAGGAATTTCTTTTAATTCATCAAGGATTTTATCAAGTTCATTGGATTCTTGTAAAGGATTTTCCTTATGATTTTCTTTTCTTTCCTCAATTATTTCTAGTTTACTTGTTTCTTTTTCTGTCCCACTCCCTTCTTCATCTGAATCTATTGGCTTTCTTAAGCTTTTTGGCATACTTTGGTGCTTTCTTTTTGCTGTTAATAGCCTGTTAGCCTGGCCCGCATCTCCAGCTTCTGCCTTATACATATCCCCTTTTGTATATGTCAAATGTCTTATTGACTGGACAGACCGTCTTATACTATAAGCATACTCTAATAAAAAATATTGCTGAGGTCCTAATATACTCCCTGGTCTGCATATTCTGCACCACGCAATAAAATCTTCAGGCATTGCCTTAAATATTTTAATTGCATAGCACCCAATAAGTGTCCCAGTTCTCCCAAGCCCTGCTTTGCAATGAACAGCTACTGCTCCTGGCCTTAAAGCTATATCAATAAATCTATTGACAATCTCTGCATTAGGCACACTCCCATCTTTAAAATAAAGATCATAATGCTTGATGCCTTTTTCTAAAAATTTTGTGTTATCATATTTTCTTTTATTCAGTTTTATTACATTTTTTATGCCAAGCTTGCAAAAAATTTCTGCATAATCTTCAGACATAAGTGTTTTGTTTCCTTTGGTATCAAATTGTGTTTTTGCAGGCGATTCGGAGGCTAAAAATTGGTTATGGATGATCCAGTTTAAGTCTCCATACTGGACTTTTTCATAAAACTCATATTCATCTAAATTGAAAGTAGAATAATCGAATCATTTTTTCTTTATGGCGAACTCAATTCCTTTTAAACAGTGAAGAAGGGTGCATTCATATGTGCACTCATCATCACTTGCATCCCTAAATGGCTTCAGCTCAAGGGTCCTTAGATGCTCATAAGCTTCAGATGAAGTTCTATTCAAGATGATAATTTGAAATGCACCTACCAGATAAGCGCCGTTTGCAAGCTTATTGGGAGCTGAAGATACATAAATATAGATTTTTTTGCCTTCCTTAGCAGGGTCGTGGATTTCTTTATCAAGAGCACTGCAAAATCTGTAGGTTTGTCCGAGGCTGAGAGGACCAAAATCATGATTATAAGGATGATAGGTCAAAGTGTTCGCTAACCGAAATGTACAAGTGTCAGCCGTCTCTTTTGGGATTGTTTTCCCATATACAAAGAAAAGCTTATCTGCCTATAAAATACTTTCAATAATTGAAACTTCATTGGATTGCTTCATTAACTGGATTTCGTTAATAATTTATTTCATGCTAATTACCTAAAGCAATTTTTTTTAATTTAAATTAAAGGTGAGTAATTATCCATTTTTGGCTTATTATATCTGAATTTATTTTTATATCGTAATCTAGCCATATTTTCTATTTATCTAATATATTCTGCCTTATTGTGCATAATGAGCTCATCTTGCACAAAGTAAAAACTATCTGACTTAGTCTCCCAGGGGTTTTCAATCATTTGTTGAAGTAGCTCTTCAGGTATTTCAGGAATTTCATAAATAACTTCTCAGGAGTTTCTTGTATTTGGGATACAAAAATCTATATTGAAATCAAAACTTTTCAACAAATTATTTCTAAAATAATGCCGCTCTATCATACGAAAATTTCTTACTTCTTTTGGCCCAACTGTAAAGTCAATTGTGCTGCCAAGGGCTCTCAGCTTTAAAAAATCAGGTCCGAGGTGATATTTTACAGTTCTAAACTGGTCGCCATCTATTGCTGCTTCAGTTGATACAGTTTCGCCTTCGCTTTGGACTTCAAAAAGGACCATGCCAGATTCTAGGTCTCTGACTCGGAAATAGACAAATTCAATTCCATAAGTGTTCGCTGACAGGGGGCATAGAAAAGTAGAAGTGGCTTCAGTCAGCTGTGAAACATAATCAGGGGTTATTTCCATTTTATATTATAAATAATTGATTTTTTTGACTGGCTTATTAAAATTGTAAAGGGATAATAATATCATCCCACTCTTTTACTGTGACGCCATCTTCAAGGAAATTTCCTTTTGTGATCATTTTTCCGTCTTCGTAGGTTTCGTTTCATTCTTGGACATAAATTTTGCCGTCTTTCTTTTGTTCTTTTCTGCAGTATTTTTTAGACGGTTCTTCTTTTCATTCTTCAAGCCACTCGTCATCTTTTCTGCCCCATTTTCTGCACTCTTTAAGGCCTGGGGTTTCTTTTCAGTATTCTTCCCAAGAGCCCCAGGCAGAGCTGTTTCCTTTTTTGCGGGCCCATTTCAAGCCGGATTCTTCGTGCCAAGTTTCTTCCCAAGAGGAATTTGAGTCTTGCCCAATGTTGTGGACATAAAATTTGCCTGGAGACTGCTTGACTATGCTGCTCCACGTTTCTTTGCCGCTGTGGCCTTGTTTTTGGGTCATCATTTCGCCTGTGCTTACATCTTCAGTGAACTCGTCTTTGTATTTATAATCATCGCCGTATCCTTCTGTAGTTATACTTTCATTTTTTTGCACATTTTGGGTAAAAGTTGACCCACTCCTGGAGTCGCTGGCCTAGTGTCCATATCTTGCAGAATTCGGGGAGAATTTTGAAAGCTTAATTGGGTTTTTACTGGCCCCTAAGTTGTGCAGCCGCAAATCCAAGGTGACTTCACAAAATAAAGGATGCTAGGAGGCTTTGTGTAAGCTAAGGAGGTGAATGAGGGCCTAGAGAATCATTCCTAGCTGATCATCCCTCTGAAGTAGGACTTGAGGCCTCTAGATCTTGGATTCAAAAGGAGTAGACATCTCCTATAGAGATGGCGACATCACCAATTTGTGATAACGTCACCAGAAAAGAAGACTGAAAATTTCCAAGCTTTTTGACAAGACTCTTAAGAAATTTTTTAATTGGGAATGGCCTGAAAAAAAGCCCGTAAATAATCTTTCTCTTATCTATTTTCTGTAGTTATTGTTTTATGTCCAAAGCCGTCATCATATGTAATTTTTATTTTCTTTGAAGAGCCTATGCTTATTAAGGTATAAATGAAATGATTTTTAAGATTTGTAAGTATTTTTCTATAGAAATAAGCTCTGACTATTAGTATTGCAGAGTGGCATTTGTGTTAAATTGATATATTTCTTCCCATTCTTCATGTGCTTCTGAAACCCCTTCAACTGTTGATTTTGTGCCCCATTTCTTGGGTCCATCAGACCACCACTTATTATTGAATTTTCTTTCATTTTCGATTGACCACTCTTCATTCCAGCTAAAATCCCCCTTCTTTCCTTCTGTCTTACCCCATTTTCTCTCGTTTTCCTCATTCCAAGCCGTAACTTCTCTAAACTCAGCAGTTTCCTCCCATTTTTCGCCCCATACTCTATTATTTTCTTTGCCTTCTTTTTCTCCCCATTTTTTATCTCTAGTAATTCAGTACTTTTCCAAAAATTTGCTATTAGGCCTTGTATGCCAAATTTCTTTCCATTCAGAATCATCATTTTTTCCCCATTTGTGCCCATAATCATTATTATCCTCTACATGGAACATTTCGTAGCTTTTTTCATTAGAAAGGAAATTCCATTTTTCTGTAGTCATTCCTGAATTTTCTGGCTGTATTATCTCTCCCCATTCGCGATCAGGGCTTTTCCAGATTTTTATGACTAATTTATTGATTCATAGCTCGACAAACCAGGTCTTGCTGTTATCATCAAGCCCAATTTTTTGGCCATAGCCAGTCCCTACCAATTCTAGAATTTTGGTGTTGTCAATATAATAAAGCGACTCGCTTCTGGACGGAGATTGATAAGAATAAGGTGATTAAAATATGGCGTATCAGCCTAGGCATGGCCTAGATTTGAGTTTATATTTTTAATTATATCCAGCAAATTTTTTACCAATTTAGAAATGGATATTAATGATAGGTAAGCAATTTCATGTCGTTTCGGAGCCTAGCCCAAGTACTACTTTCAGAGTTGGACTTTACTGCGAAAGAAAGGGATGGAAAGGGAAGGGGAAACCCAGCAAAGTCTGCAGGCAATGCCCGAACAATCGGGGAAAATCCTTAGAGTATAACCTGGAATTATGCCGTGAGCTACCAATTTTTCCTTTTTGCTTGATGTGGCCAGAAATTCCATTTTTTGCGATTTTTTTTGCAGACAACCTTCGTTCACCAAAGCAGTTTTTTAGTCCGTACACTCGACACTGGCGCCTCAAGGCAAGGAGTTCACCCAAGAGGAAGACCGAAGACTTCGATGCCCCTTGGTCTAGGGGCCAAATAGGAGCAAGATGGTATCGATCCTTTTCTCATCCCAATCCAAACCAGCTTAACCGACTGAACCCTATTTTATCCTTGATGACTGCTTTACCAATAGGCAGAAGCCACATTCAATGAGATTAAAATTAAGAGAAGAATAAGGCTCAGATTTAGTTGAAAATATGCGGAAGATAGGTCTCTTTGAAAGCTCATCAAAGCTATACTCAGATTTTAATTGTAAAAGTCGAGCCAGTGAGTTTCCATCCATATTAAATAATGATGGATAGATATTTATTAATGACGAAAGCAAATAAAAGAATATTGATTTTTAAGGGTTATTTAGGTACTCTAAAATTTTTGAAAATTACTTAATTGGTATATTCTTTATAGTTGATTTTTTTGACTAATAAATAATAGGACTTACTGCAAAAAACACAGTAAAAACTAAACTCGCTTTAAAAAAATTTTAATTATCAAGCTCAATCTTAAATCCTTTTACTTTGGGTGGTCTAAATTTAATTAAGAACTAAGCATGATTAAAAAAAGAAAATTTGTGAATATTATATAAATTTTGAATAAAATTTGTATGATAGCTAGAGGGTGTTAAATTCATAAATAAAAGCATGCTCTTTTATTTTATAATAAAATCAAGAATTTAAGGATTTTCCTTATATACATTAAATCTATATGTGCTTGACATAATTTTCGTCGATAAACCTACTCTGTGCTCTCCTTGCTAACTTATGCCAGTCTAGCCTTTCTCATCCATTTTCCAAAGCTTTGATAAATTTTTTCCTACCTTCTTGTGTGCTTTGATAAGGTTTAATTGCAGACAATATTTCCATAATATTTCTACAATCCATAATTTTTGCCTTCAGTCTTGCCAAAATTTCAAGTATAAGTTTATATCTAGCTGAATACTTTATTTAAGGCTCTTTCATGCCTATATTATATTCCTGAATCTACATAAAAATTATCATTCAAAATATTTTTCATTTAAAATTTTAAAAAATACAGCCAAATCACTATATAAATAAAACTCCACCCATATTTAAAAAATTTATTCAAAATCCAGCCTGTCTGCTCAATAGGTATCAAGTTCATAAACAGCACAAAGCATCAATCAGAAATAATCATATGCATGCTAACCCCATTCTCCGACAAATGCTCATATAAGCTTGGCATAGATTCCTTCAGTAAATGTTCAATAACTCTACAGTGCTTTTCCAGTCCCGGCAAATCTTGTGAAAAATTATCAACTAGCTTGTATTGCTCAATTAATGCAACAAAAAATCAAAAAGCTTGGACTTCGGAGGTATGCCAAAGAAGAACCGCTACTATAAAATTCATCCCTTGAACGTAGCCAAGATTAGGGTTATATTTTGCAAATGCCAATAGGACTCTTCTTAAGACTGGTCTTCCTATTCCATGGCTAAAATAATCAACGTCTGGGAATGTCCTTTGTACATCCAAATCAATTTGTTGCCGTGAATGATTAAAATTCGGCCCCTCAAGCTGAATTTGATTTATTACTTTATATAAAGCATCTCCATTTGCTGGCATGCTATGAAACTGCTTTCATTTTAGCGAATTTATACATTCTCCATGCTTAGTCTTTTCTTTCAAAAAATTCTCAAATGTCCGGAGAAATAAATTTCCATGATTACACAGACATTGTGGTGAGTGGTGAATATAAAGTGGGCTTATGGACGTTTTTTCTTCAAGGTCTTTAGAACGGGAATGTTCTCTTCTGAATTTTAGTTTCATTTTATATCAGATTAATAGAAATAGCCATAACTTTTCTTGAATTTGAGCATACTGCCAGCTTAATTTATTGCTGGAAATGGCTAATGATTATTAACTCCCCCCCTCCGTGAGCGAACAAAAAAATTTTGTTCGCTCACGGAGGGGGGTTAATTTTTTTTTTTAAAAAAAATTTATATATAAATTTTATAAAAAATATTTTTTTCGAAATTTAAAAAAATCCTAATTTGCAAAAATTGGGAAGCAAATATTAATTTAATTTGCAAAATTTATGTTTTAAAACGCAATTTGTTTAAAATTAAACAGAATTAGCTCTAGATTTCATTATACTAATTATCACTTATATATCAAAATTTTTTTCCATTAAAATTTTTTCTATTAAAAAAATTTTTGTTCACTCACGGAGGGTGGGTTTTTGGTCAAAAAATGGCGATTTTTCTAATGGTTTTGTTCGCTCACGGAGGGGGGGGGGGGAGTAAGGAAAAAATTTACAAATGCTGAATAACTGTTATTATCATTATTCAACTTTTCTTGTGGATAGCTCGATTCCTGAGGTTTCGTTATTTATGTAAGTTTCATTTGTTTCTATTATGCTTTGTGTGTTAATATCTTTTAAATGAGAAATTTTAACGATTGCGAATTCTGAGTGAGACATCTGATAATGCATGTACTCCATCGTTGCTTTTTGCCTTGGGGCAAAAAGCAAGGGAGATTTTTTTGGACAAATCGCGGTATTGAAATTTTGAAATTTTGATTTAGAAAAAGGGCTGATTCCGAAGCTTTTTCAGGCCTTTTTTATATGCTCGTAAGTAGTTTGATTAGTAATTACCAAAAATAAGTGATAAAATAGCAGCCCAGTTAGAAAATGAATAAACTGTTTAATTCTTACAACGATTGAGCTTAATATATAAAGAGTAGACACTACAATGCCCATTAAATATTCAACGCTTTGCAGCTCATGAGGATTTACAAAATATTTCACGATAAATATAATGCAAATTACTAAGCCAAACCAGCTAGAAATAGTAGTAAAAAATATATAGCACACAAAATAATGATAATTTCTTTTGCCTATACAATTTCCAAGCCAAGGACAGTGATGGTCGAATTTCTCTACACATAAATTGCACTCTGGACAGTGAGTCGCTCTTGGAGGCCTTGCAATAAAACATGATTTACAATTTTTTAGCAAAATCATCCGGCCGTTATTTATAATGCTAAATCCTTTGCTATCAAGAGCTGCAATTTTGCTAGGCTCAAGCTGCATCGAAAAGGATAAAGTAGGCGCATATTTCGGACCAAATGCAAAAGGTGGGATTTGTTTTGGGATGTAGCCAGGATTAGTTAGGGATGTTAAAATCAAAAAGACGGTACTAATAATGATTATTGAGCCAAAAATGATAGAAAAGAAATACTTTTCATCTAAATTCTTCAACGGAAAAATTATCACGATAATTCCAGATGTCACATGAATAAGTAGTGTTATGAGAGGACGATGCCAATCCGAGCTGCTTAACGTTTACCCTACCATTATTCTTCCATCGCAATAAAATTTATGTGTCCCAGGTCATAGAAAATAAGCTTTTCCCATAATTATTATAGGGATGCTAAGAAATATTTGTATTTTTGAGAAATCTATACGTTCAATAAAATAATTGCGAGAGAAGTAACGAAGTTGAATATCTAATAATATAAAATTTCTCATCTACAACTCAATTTGCTGACTCAAAAAACTCTACTATTTAATTAGTAGAATAATTAAATCTAATTTAATGAGAATAATTAGTATTATATAATAATTCCCTTTTCAAGTAATCATATACATAAAATGGCCGGAGACGAGCGACCCGTCCTTCCGTGGCGGGTGTCCTTATGTATACCGGACATGGTTTTTTGGATGCGGAGAGCTACTCAAGGGAAGAGTTAGCCTCGAGGCGAGAGGCCTAGCTCAATTTCCGCTGATTTTGGGACTCAACCCGGGCAGCAGTTTTTCGCATTCTTTTTGCCAGTAGCGCCGAGGCCCCAGACTCGGTGTCCGAAAGAGGCAGGGTGAGTTACCTGCCTAGGCTACTTGGTGGCTTAGCCCCGAATCCCGCAAGGGGTTGAGTTCTTTCTTGGAGATGATCCGGGAAAGAGAGGGTGGCGAAGCTAGACTTGGGGATCTCAAGGGCACAAGTCTCTCCAGTTAAAAGGGTCCTCTCACGAGGGCGATCTGGCCAACCGGAGGCAAAGACTGGCGTAATTCGGGGCGGAAGGCTGAGTTGGAAATGGTGGTGCTCGGCGACAGTCGGCTGACGACTTAATAGGGCAACCACACTACCGAGAAACCAGGGTTTCGGCCCTGGCTCAGAGAACCAGTGATGGAAGTCCATCCTTTTCGCTCGTGCCAGCACGGCTCCTCAAGGAGCGCGGAGGAATGCCACGCATGGAAGTAAGGACTATAAATACGCATCTTAAACCTAACCTAACCTAACCCTTTTCAAGTAATCAATTTTTATTTGTTGTTGGTAAGGATAATTATATTTTAAATTTAATAGAATTTGGCAAAAATAAATTCACTAAATTCCGTTTTAAATGCAGTTGACAAAAATCAGCAGAATTGACCTTATTTTTATTCAAAATAATTATTAACCATATATAAAAAAGTAAAAGTTTAATGAGGTTTCACTGAATCTGAGGATATTAGGAATAAAAAAGCAGAATCTCTGAATCTAATACACTCAAATGGTTATTTTACTTACTATATTTCAGATGAAAGAAGTCCATATGCAAACCCTTTCAAAATGCCCATGCATAGAATATTTAAAAAATGATAAATTAATCTCTCATCAACAATTTATTATAATTTTAAACTTCAAAAAGCCTCAAAAGAGCTCATTAATTTGACTAATATATTTGCTTTTAATTTTTGCATATCAGCGTCACTTGTGTCCTTTGGTAAAACATAGAAACTGCAGGGAAAACATTTGTCGGAACATTTGTATATGCAACTCCATAGTCTTTTCCATTCCTTAAAAAACTTATCGACCCGTTATCTCCAATATATTCCAGCCTTACTCCCACTACATCTCCATTTCCAGCCGTTTCTCCATAATCTTCAATTCCTGAATCCGGCCTAAACTTCTTTCCTCCACTACACCTAAACCCCCAAAACATTCCCAGATCAGGTGGATGCCCTGATAAAGGTATATTTCCATCAGCAACACCAATGAAAATGTCATCGTCGTCAACTAACAAGTCAACTTTTATTTCCCAATAATAAGAGCCACTAGTCAATGTTATATTTGCTAAAGCTGTTTCGAATTCGTCTTCTGTTTTCTTTAAAGCGGTTAAGCCATTGTTAGAAATTTCAATATTACTTGCTTTTTTGTTTTCATTTCAAAAAATGTTTTGCCTTAGCAATGCAACGAATTTGGCGTTTCTTTTGAGTTTTAAAGAGTAGGGGGTATCAGACCCTAAAATTTCACGTATTGAGCCCATAGGATGTATAAGTTTGATATAGGTTCCAGCCGAAATTGATAGCTGCTTTTTTAATTGCGTAAAAAGCAAGAAAAAATCATGTGAAATATTCCAATCAAACGTTAATATTTTTCTGTCTTTAGAGAAGAGCTTAACTTGTATTGGGATGCTATAACTTATAGAACTAGATTCAATATATCCTGTCCCACCCCACGTAAACTTTACAATTGCCTTGCTGTAGTTTTTTTCTAGCAGGTCGCCATAGCCTCAAGGTGTATATACTTTGGATTCTCCTGGAGGATGATCTCTGTCATGTTTCCTCATCATAATTTTATTAGGTATCTATGCATAATAGTCTGAGATTTATAAATGAGAGAAAAACTTAGACCTCCATCTATAGAGCTTTCAGATATGAGGGACTCTCAAGGCGCCGAACTTCACTATGCAAACATTGAGCACGTCCCTCTTCTACAAAGGGTGGGTCAACCAAAAAAACAAAGTATTTACTCTAGTTAGGTAACTTCTGCTGTCGTAAGTCTCCTCCAGAAAATCGCCGAATCCAGCTTTCAGGACAAACAACAAGATCTTTCCCTTCCAACGCTGTAAAGAACACAAAATACAATATCTTCACATTTCTGCCTTTATTTTTATTTTATCAGTTCAAGCAGCCTCTAAGTCTTTTCTTTTTAGTCATTTCTTTAAGCCAATTTTATCCTCCTCTCCAAGTAGGATTTTTGATTACTTATATTGCTCCCTTAGGACTTGTGCTAGCTATCACATTGGGTAAAGAAAGCTATGACGACATTATTAGATGAAAACGAGATAGAGACGTCAACAAACAAAAATACACACGAATTACAAGCTCAAGTGAAGTTCTCATTGCTAGTGAAAATATCAAGGTTGGCCATGTCATAAAAATCCACGCCCACGAGAGGATCCCAGCTGATATGATTTTGCTTCACACCCAGGACAAGAATGGTACAGTTTTTATAAAAACAGACCAGCTTGATGGAGAAACTGACTGAAAGCTGAGGAAAGCAGTCAACGCGACCCAAAGCGTAAGAAATGAAGCTGACGTATTAGCAGTAAAAGGGACACTTACAGTCGAGCCGCCAAGAAAAGAAATTTATGAATTTCAAGGGAAGCTAGAACTGCCTGATGGCGAAATTGGCTTAATGCTAGACAATACCTTATGGGCGACTACCACATTGGCAGCTGGCAGCTGTATTGGGATTGTGATTTATACAGGCAAAGAAACCAGAAGTGTAATGAACAGCAGAGAGCCTTCAAATAAGCTCGGCAGGACTGACGAAGAGCTTAACAAGCTTGCTGTATATTTGCTTTTCCTAATGACCTTTTTAGCTGTTTTTATGCTGTGCTTGTCAGGTTTTAACTCCTATTCCCACATCATCGGTTTCCGCTATATTTTGCTATTATCTACCATTATCCCTATTTCTTTAAAAGTTAACCTGGATTTTGCCAAAATTTATTATTGTCTTGGGATATCTCGAGACCCATTAGTCGGCAACGCAAAACCAAGAAATTCGACTATCCCTGAAGAGCTTGGCAGGATCCATTTCTTATTGACTGACAAAACCGGGACTTTAACCTGTAACGAAATGACTCTAAAAAAGTTAGCATTAGAGCACGCTGCTTTTGAGCTGGACGATAAAGAAAGTAAAGCTTCTCTTCTGAATGAACTGAATTTCAGCTTTGAAAATATTAAAAGAAAAGCCCCAGAAAGCAAAAAGGCAAGAAGAAGGGAGCTGCATTTAGTGATAAGAGATATGATAACTGCTCTTTCGCTATGTCACAATGTAACTCCAGTAGAAGAAGAAGGCAAACAGATATACCAAGCCAGCTCTCCTGATGAAGTCGCACTTGTTGAATTTACAAAAACAATAGGTGTAGAGCTAGTGCAGCGAACTCAAGAGAAAATTGTGCTAAATACACCTCGAGGAATAGAGGAGTACCAAATTCTTGACATTTTCCCGTTTACGTCTGATACCAAAAGAATGGGAATAATCCTCAGAAGTGAAGCGAACGGCCAAATCACTTTTTACTTAAAAGGCGCTGAAGAAGCTTTATTACCAAAAATCAGCTCACAGTCATCTCAAGAAAAAATGAAAGAAGACTGCGAAATTTTGGCTCAGGAAGGACTGAGAACTTTGGTAATAACCCAAAGAGCAGTTCCAGAAAAAGAATATGAAGTTTTTAGAAGAGAAATTGAAAAAGCAAGGGCGTCTATGATAAGCAGAGAAAAAATGATGAGAAAAGTGGTAGAGTCTATAGAAATTGGGATGGAGTATTTAGGGGTAACTGGTGTCGAAGATAAGCTGCAGAATAGAGTTGACAGGTGTATAGCAAAATTAACGAACGCAGGAATTAGGATCTGGATGTTGACTGGGGATAAGGTCGAGACTGCTAAATGCATTGCAATTTCTACAGGGCTGAAAAATAAAAACCAAAAATTCAAAGAATTAGCGAATATGAGAGACCTGATTTTGATAGAAAATGAGCTTAATGATTTAAAACTGACAGGGAATAACTCAATTGTACTGATTATTGATGGTGTTACGCTGTCATTAGTTATGGAGATGAACCCTGAGCTGTTTATTTTGGCTGCTACAAGGGTTGGAGGGGTTATTTGCTGCAGGGTAAGTCCTACCCAAAAAACTCAAATTGTTGAAAATATACAAAAATATACAGAAAACAGAGTCTGCTCTATTGGAGATGGAGGAAATGATGTAGGGATGATCCAAGCTGCTCATGTAGGCATAGGTATTGAAGGAAAAGAAGGAAAACAAGCATCACTTGCAGCTGATTTTTCTATCAATGAATTTAAGTACCTCGCGCCTCTGATTTTGTGGCATGGAAGACTCAGCTATATGAGGACAGCCAGGCTGGCCAATTTTATTTTTCATAGAGGCTTGATTATTGCAGTAATCCAAGCCTATTTCATTCTGGTGTTTTATTATATAGCAATTCCTATATATAATGGCTATTTAATGCTGGGATATGCGACCATTTTTACCTGTCTGCCTGTTTTTTCACTTGTACTTGATAAAGATGTGAATTATAAAACAATTAGAAAATTTCCTATTCTTTATCAAACTCTTCAGTTGGGGAGAGATCTTAATGAGACCAGATTTCTACTGTGGATTTGGAAGAGTCTTTATCAAGGCTCAGTTATTATTTTGATGGCTCTTTCGTTGTTCCCTGAAGATAATTTTGTCAATCTAGTCGCAATTATCCTATTTATATTAATTTAATTTTTTTTTTTTTAATAAATTTTTTTTTTTTTTAAAATTAATTTCTTATAGCATACATTTTCTGCCTTAATTTTAACAGAGCTTTTAAACGTAGCAACAGAAATTGATACTTGGAATAAATGAATTGTGGTATCAGAGCTCAGCACACTTGTCGTGTATTTAATATGTATTTGCCTATTAAAAAATTATTTCAATCTTGAGCTTATTATAAGAGCTGACTTCTTTTGGAAAATTTTGGCAATTACAGCTGTGTCCTGGGTCCCATTGCATATTATTAAGATTGTATTTGAAAAAATCAACCCACCTACAAGTAAAAAAGTTAAACAAAGTAAGTAAGGAAATTAATAAAAATAGAGTTAATTAAAATGCAAAGAGACTTGATACACAGTGATTTGGGCCGCCAATAGAGTTTATTGTGCAGCTCTTATAGAGCCTTTGAATCATGAATAATTCATATTCAAGCATGCTTGGGACGAGGGTTTCCTCACATTCTAGCTTGATTGAGCTTTCTAAAATGCCATCTTTTTTTATGATAATTTATTATATATAATACTGTTTTGGCTTTTTATTTGACGATAAAAGCATAAAAAATTATTTTAGCATCTAAAAATAGCGGCTTTATTTAAAAATATTTGATATAACTTTTTCTTATAGTCCCAAGCCCACTTATAAATTTGACACTCACTAAGTTGAGTAATTTTTGCAAGTTCTACAACTTTTTCTTTGGACCAAATAGGGTTAATCTTGTATTCTTCTTTAAGAATTTTGACTTGGTGTTCTGACTTTCTGTTTCTTTTTCTCTTCAATTTGAGGAATTTGTGAGAAGGAGACTCAATTGTTGAAGCAGAATTAGAATGATCGCTTGCATCACTGAGGTACTCATATTTGCAATCAACAAATTTTTCTTTTGTTGATTTGTCTCTTGGTAGTGGGATGGCAATTTCTCTTAAATTTTGGAAGCGGGTCTTCATTTGATACGTAAAGTGCGAAAAATTATTAGTAACCTGCGACCACCAAATTGAAATGAAATGCTATGAAAATGGAGGGAAAACTTTTATTGTTTTAGAATATCTTTATTTAATCCTATAAAGCAGAGCATCGTGGTAATAGAATAAACTTGGTTTTGATAGAGCAAAAACACTGTGTTTCCATTTTTATCTTTAAAGATATTTTAGTCAAGATTTAGGTTGCGAAAAAAGAAAGTTCGGCAATTATTGAAACTGCTGAAGAGCAATAGTAGGATTTTATTGTCAAGATTAAAAATTATATTAAAATCCTTATAGTCGACAATTTATATCCAAAATATCCTTTAAAAATTATTGAGGTTAATCTTTTTCTTTTTTCAGCAAATTAATGCCATATGATACTGTGGAAAATAATTAGATTTACCAAAGTAGCTAAAATTGTTTAGATATAGAAGTTAAAGTGATTTTTAATTATTTTTTAATTATTAAAATGCAAACTTTTTCATAATATGAACTCAACTGAAAGAGATAAAATATTAAAATGGTTTACTAGGTAAATTGCTGATATTTAAGTTTTTTCTATAAATGCTGACTCTCTCTGTGCCTGGGCAAAACTTTTTACTCGCTTAATAGAGGGTTAATATTTTTAAAGATTTTAACAAAAAATAGGGATTTTTCAATAATTTTACCACAAGGTGTAATACTTTAACCTAATAAATTTGATAAGAAGTTTAAAGCTTGTTTTGATTAAAACAATTATCATTTAAAAACAAATTTTAAAGCTACTTAATATTAGGAGATTTTTATATAATTAAAGTAGCAGGTCTAGTAATTAAATAATAAGGATCGATTTATTATAAAAAATTAATTATATCAGCAAATTTTGTTGATTAAAATCTTGAAAAAGCTTAATTTCTCCTTATTTACAATCAAAATACAAAATAAGACAATGAATTATAATAAAATGGTTATGTCGCATGTTACAGTGTTCTCTAAAGAATGGCGGGTCATCTGCTGCTAAATAATTAAAAAAATACAAATGCAAGCACAAACTAAACTTACAATCCATCACAAGCGTCACACATCACTTGCGTCACAATCCTTTTTAAAAGAGTACCAATTATCCCAATTACCGATCCTTTTTAACCCTAAAATTATCGAAGAAAACTCCTCTTCAAACTCTACGACAAGTGGAGCCTCTTCACCCCATCTCCGACTCGAATGTGAAGAAACCTTAGAAGGTCTCAATTTTCCTATACAAAATATATCTCTTTGTGAGAATATTATAATTTAAGCCACTTATTTAAAATATAAATAGCAATAATATTCTTTTTATGCATTAATTATAAGCTAATTTAAATGTCCAATAGTAGTTTTTAGCTGATTTGGTATATAAGTACTTCTTCATTCATAGATGACATTAATGGAATTCCATCATTTGACTGTGGAGATATAGAAGACTCGAATTTTCATCCTTATATAGCTTTTCCATCTTATTAGATCATTATTGGCATCTATTTTAATTAATGGGATGGCAGTCGCTTATTCAAATTAATTTTTTAGGTTTTGAGATGCCTAATTAGACCAAAAATACAAGAAAAATGTCCTGAGCCATTTTTTCGCCTGTCTTGGCAGTAGTGGTCTATTACAGTAGATATACTATACATTATGAAAACCACAAAATATTGACTATATGCTCGATATGCTAGAAAAAGAACAAAAATATTTACCGAACCCTTATTGTTTTGAAGCTGCACAACCATATATAAACCCGAACATGAGAGCACTTTTGCTTGACTGGATGATGGAGGTTTCTCATGAATTTATGCTAAAACGAGAGACTTTTCATATGGCCTTATCGTTTGTTGATAGAGTGCTGTCGAAATGTCAAAAAATAAAAAAAGAAGAATTTCAGCTTGTAGGAGCTGTTTGTCTGGATATTGCTTCAAAAATTGAAGAAATTTATCCGCCAAAATTAAGTGATTGGGCAAGTTCTTGCAATAATGGGTATACTTAAAATAAATTAATTTGGCTGAATAATAATAAATTAATACCAATTTTTATGTAAAAATATTTTACAATTCAAGAGTGTTTCCTTGAATAATAAATTATAGTATATTCTATTAAAGCTCTCAAAATAACTGAGAAGTTTATCCTGCAACAATTAAGCTGGCTGACATTTCCAGCCACAAGTTACAATTGAATAAACTGGCTAATGACTCAATGGGATGATTTCATAGATTTTCATTTTTCTTGTGTTACCTTCAACTCCTCCAAAGATTTTGACGACCTGCCCCCTCACCAGAAAAAAATCCAGAAAAAGCTATATGAAAAAAGATTTATCGTATTTAAGCACAAAAACAGGCCAGCATATAAAAGGCTCAGAGATACTTTACAAGTTCTAGACACGGCTTCTTTAGACTCAGAAATCATGAAATTTCCTCCACGGGTCCAAGCTAGTAGCTTACTTTATCTAATGATAAGCAAGTTTTTCTATGAAACTAATTACAACCTACTTTATTATGACGGCCCAGGCTCAGATCTGCAATCTGAAGACTCTTTTGACGTGGAAGAATTTTCAAGCGACTCTCATATTGAAAGCGCTTCTATTGTCCAAGACCTTTATGCTGGATTTATTTCCTCTGCCTTAAATATACAGAATATTGAAGAAATTTACCACTCAATGATTTTTTTCCACCCTTATATAGAAATTGAGACTTCTTATGATTTCCCAATTGCAGCAAAAATTCAAGGGAAAGAAAAAATCGAGAGCCATTATGAAGAATTCTTGAGTTTTCAGACTTATAATGCGGATGCGGTAAAAATTGTAACACAAAAGCTGAAAGCTGGACTATAGGCAAAATTTTGTGGGATATTTAATAATTAATTGTGATAATTTTGATAAAAATTTAGCATGGAAGAGGAAAATAAGGGTATCAGTCAAATCGGGCCAAAACCGTCAAGATGGGCACCTACAAGCGGCCCAAGGCCGCTTCCTTCTCAATATGAAAAACTAGACTATCAACTCCCTGCATCTTACTCAAACCCTTCTTTTGCAATTGATAGTAATTTCTAAGTAGACTCTTTAATGAGCAATTTATTCGAAGATCTTTCCATGACCACAAATACAGGCCCTCCCAGCTATGATGTACCTTATATTTAGTCATTTTTGCTTCCAATCCCCAATGACTGTGTTGGCCTCATAATCGGTAAACAAGGCGACATGATAAAAACCTTGCGCGTCACATCTAACGCCAGCGTGATCCAAGTAGCCAAAGACTGTGCTCCAGGCTGCAGCTATAGGAACGTTTTTATTGAAGGCTCATTAGAAAGTTACTGTTTAGCTAAAAAAATGATATATGAAATTATTGATGAAGTAATTTTTATCTAGAATAACAAAGCAAAAAGACTGCCGACGTTTAATTTATCACATACATTGTCCTCAGAACCTTATATAGAAGTAGTAATCCCTGATCCTTATATAAATTTAGTACTAGGAAATGATTTGTCAATTTTGAAAAAAATTTTGGCTGAGTCTGGGGCACAAGTTTTAGTACCGACTAAATGTGCCCCTGGGACTAATAATAGATATATCACGATAACTGGTCCCCCGGAGTGTATTAGGACTGCGAAAAGGATGATTTATGATATTTTAGAGCCTGTAATTGTAAATTAGGCATATAGAAAACATGCAATTGCGAATGGAATTTATACATTCCAGCATGAACAAGTTGACCCAGAATACCCTTATTGTAGCTATTTTGCATTAATTCTTAAAGCACAGACAATTACTATGAGCGCTTGTGAAGCTACTTGTGACTCTGCAACAGCCGCACTTAAAGGTCTCCGTATGATGGCTCACGATACATATGGGCAATATTAATTTTATGCTAAAATGGATTTAGTTAGATATTCTTGATAATTTAAATACTAAAATCTATAAAAATAGTTAATTAATAATGAATTTTATAGTAAAATGTATAATTATCTATTGAGATTTGGATGCTGAAGATACCTTGTTTTTAATCCATTGGTTAATCATAAGCACTTCTCTATTTCTTGCATAAATAAGTGACTGAGGGTCTTGAGGTGATGGGCCTCTTAAATCAGTAGCTGTAGAAACTCCATTAATTGGTAGCACCAATGAGTCGAAATTAGTCAAATCTGAAAAGCAGCTAGTCTTAAATGGATCTAATGAGCCATAACTGAAGATAAAGTTTGAGTCTTAACTTAATTTATATCGAGTATACTTGACAGCCATGTCGGCTTTTCACGTTCCTTGCTTCGCTCCACTCTCTTGCTTGCCACTGCGGTTACACAGTATGAAGGTATCTGCTTCCTCCAGACGAAGGCTTGCACTTGCAGCCCAGAGGTAAAGTGTCATTGATCAGCGGGGTTGCTCTTTCCGAAGATTCAAAAAGTGAATCTTTTGGTCAAGCTATTGGCCAGACTGAAACTTGTAGCCCAGGACGCAAATCCTGGTTTTGTGTTGGGAAATTGCTCGATTGGCCTAGAAATGCCCTCTGGCCTCACGCTGTGCCTGGCTTCCATAAGATCCCCAGACTCCCATCTGGCTACAGGTGCTAAGAGGGCCGATTGATTCGCCACAGCATTTTTAGTGCTGATAAAGTTTGAGTCAAATTCCAAGGTAGCATTAGCATTCATGGTCATGCCAAAGTTAATCATATTCCACTCTGGCCTTGGATAAACCCCAAATAGCTGGTTGCATGACTGCGCATATGACGTATAATTCCATGCGCGGAGTGGGAAAATATCATTTGGAGGTCCATATTGTCCTTCAGGCCACACCATTTCAGTGCAGATTTGGTAGAACCAAGGCAAGCCATGGTTTGGAGTGTTTTCAATATCATGGCAAGCCAGTCTTCCAGTGTAGTTGTAAAACATATTGGCGACCTCATACATGCCTTGTAGAGTTGTCCAGATGTTAATAGGTGCTTGGTTGTATTTAGAAATAATTCCACAGGTGACATTAACTGCCCATGGTGGGAGTGGTCCATACATGTTTGAGATATATGGGTAGTTGTACTCTGCAATTAGTTTAAACGCAGCTGTGAGGTAGTCTTGGAGCTGGAAAATCTGCAATGGTTCCGCAATAGGCTGACAGGTTTTGAAAACGTTGGAAATTGTGTCCCATTGAACTGGCCTCTCAAGCAGGCTTTGCAAGATGTTGAAGCCGAAATTGATGTTGCTGGCACAGCTCGCGTTGACAGCTGCGTAGTCGTTGGAGGCTGCTCTAGCGTAGCCTGAGCCATTGAGATCAAAAGGAGCGAGGAAAGGAGCTGAGCTTGCAATTGCACCGTCAACTATATGAGGAAACTTAATTCTGAAGAAAGCTGCCATCATACCTCCATAAACTCCTCCAATTGCGATGACTGGGGTTGATGAGGATGGTCTTACTTGCTGAACTATTTTTTTTAAAATAAATAAAACAATATTTTTTAATTATAATTTCTATTTTTCATAAAAATTATATAGATTTTTAATTTTTTTAAAACCTAATTAGTATGATTTATCATATATCTGCCCAATCCAATAAAGCCTGGGTAGTAGTTAGATATAAGAGGTTATAGTTTTTATTACCTGGCTGTGAAACCCCGTAGAATCTATGCTCTATAAAGATCACAGAAGCATTATAGTTAGGCTGCAAGAATTGAGTAACCCAACCTGCATTATTATAAGCTTGGTCTATTGGGTTGTTGTCTCCTGTGTACACAAATAATGGACCTGCAGGGTCGCCTTGAGAAAAAATCGCTTTAATTGTAATAAAACCAGGGTCACCATTGATGTGGTCTAATGGCTCACTCCCCCCCCTTTAAATTGGAACAAAATATCGGTAAAATTTCCACTTTTTGTGGTAAATTAACCCCCCTTTAAATTGGAACAAAATTTAATTTTATAATAAAAAATTATATATAATTTTTATCTAAAAAAGTTTTGATATAAGTTAAATGTTTCTTCTTAACTAAAATTAAAATTTATTTATATCTTGCTCTTTTTTAAAGAAAAAAGTATAAAGAGCATCTTATTTAAATAAATTTATTATCCTTAATTGCTAAATTTTTAAAAAAAATTAATTTTTGTTTTTTAAAAATTTTCAAAAACAATTTTTGGTAAAAATGATATTTTTTATTTGGATAGTTTTGATATAAAATTCAATAGGAATTCTTTATAAAATTTCAAAATTTACTTATTTCTTGCTTTATTTTAAAGAATAGAGTATAAATAACATCTTATTTAAACAAAATTAGCACTTTTATCGATAAATTTTCCAAAATTTTTTTTTTTTTATTTTTTTTATCAATAAAAATTTTTGTGTAAATAATTTTGATACCAATTAATAGTGGCGTATTAACTAATAATGAAAATTTAGTTATATCTTGCTTTGTTTTAAAGGATAAAGAGTAAATAGCGTTTTATTAAACAAATTTATTGATCTAATTCGATAAGTTTTTTGAAATTCTTTTTTAAAAAAAAAAATTAACCCCCCTTTAAATTGGAACAAAATTTTTAGTTCCAATTTAAAGGGGGGGGGAGTCAGAGAAATACATGGTGTTGTAGGTGTAGGCAGCAGATGTGGCACAAGACAGGAGCCCTGCGACAATGAAAAGAGATGTCAAAGCCATTTTATTCCACAACAATCAGGATTTTTGTATTTTCGCTTTAGAGTAGGGGAAATAATTAAAATATGATAATAAACTAAAAATTGTGTATATCAAGAGAAAAAGGTTTTGGGAGATATAAAGAAATTATAAACATTTAAAATGAGATATAGTAGGTCATGTTAATAGATTGAATAGAAATTATATTACTCCACTCTTTAAGAATGAACAAAGCCATTGGAGAATGCCAATTTTTTAGGAAATTAACCTCCTCTAAGAATGATTTATATGAATATTTTTCATAAATATTTATTTATAATTAATGATTTTTATAATGAGATTTCAGCTAATTCTATATTCATTTTCCACTTCAAAATAAAATCTTATTTTTCTTTTTGAATACTTTGCTGAAAAAAATTTAGATAAGCAAAATTATCTTGCAAGCCCTAAAATTGGGCGCAGAGTTAGGGTGCATCATTGTTAATCTGAATTATATTCTGCAGATGAAAATTGAAAATCTTTATATTGATGATTTGCTTATGCATGAAAGTTATATTTACTTTGATAGAATTTTGGTTTCGTTTAGAATCCAAAAATTTTTAGACATTTCACCAGAGCTACTTTTATATCAAAATCTGAGTATCTAACTAATCAAAGAACAAATTATAGTTACCAATTAGAATACAATTGTAGCGGGTGTTAGCATTAGATTGAGATTACTCTAACTAAATTGATAACTTAGATAAGATCATTTATCATAACATATAATTCACTATCTAAAAAGTTTTAAATTATTGAGTTTCAAAATTTTTGATGCAGAATTTTTAATTAAACCTATCTTCATTATTGATTTTGTATCATTTAGAACTTAATCATTCCGAAGCTAACTCCCCCCCCTTTAAACTGAAACAAAATATAGGTAAAATTCCTACTTTTTTGGGAAATTACCCCCCCTTTAAATTGAAACAAAATTTTATTATAATAGAAAATTTTATAGGTAAAAATCATTATTTTATATGTAAATACGTTAATACCCTATTTAATATGCTTCAAACATATAAGATTTAGAAATTAAACTCTATTTTGTCCAATTGTTATGGGGAGAGTTAGAAGAATACCATTTCAGCAAGTTTGCACTTTGAGATTGAGAAATTTATGAATTAATTTTTCATGAAATTAAAATTAAAAATCAAACACTTTCCATTTTTAAAACTATTAAACGCAAATTTTTATAAGTTTAACGTGAAAATTCAAAACTTTTTAAAATAGTATTCTTAAATTTTAAAGAGCGATTTTTAAGAAAATAGAACTTGCTAACTTACCGACTAGGCATTGTCATAAAATTATAATGTTATTAAATATAATTTACTCAATTTAATGTCTCTTTAAAATTTATATAATTTATTTTCTATAAAATTTTATCTCTGAAAAAATTTTATATATATAAATTTTTTTATAAAAAAATTTTCTTAACCCCCCTTTGAATTGAAACAAAATTTTTTGTTTCAATTTAAAGGGGGGGGGGGGAGTAAGTAATATTATTTTAATTTAATTTATGTATTTATTGTGATTTTCCATGCCTTACTTATTAAACATGAATTATTGGCTAAATTAATTTTAAAAATCAATCAAATTATGTTTTAAGATTATACACATAATTTTCTTTATTGAGGAATCACAAAATTGTTTACCTGTTTTTTAAATTCGCTGCTATTTATAGAGTTTTTCTTATTAGACAGTTTTCTCATTCCATACCCTTGGATCAGCTCTATGACCTCTGTATGGCCCAATTCTTGAGCAATTAATAGAGGAGTTTTTCCGTCCTACTTATCTAATACCCTATTTTCAGTAATTTCTGGTATAAAATTTAGCAATATTTCTGTTGTTTTTTTATCTCCTTTGTATGCTGAAATATGCAGAGGAGTTTCATAATTCTTAATAAGGTTTTACGCTATCAATTGAAGATGGATCGCATCCATGATGAATCATTTCATTGACTAGATTAAAATGACCATACCAGCTAGCTAGATGAAGAAATGTCCAGTCGCTCTGCTTTATATTTACCTGCCTTAAATGATATTTTTGCCAATTTGGGAATTCTTTTAATAGTTTAATAGCTTCAGGGTTTCCTATTATAATAGCTGTAGTTATATCAGCTAACTATATTTAACAAACTTTTTTATTTCTCTTTCTTGTTGATATAGCTGATCCCATTTATTTTATTATCATCATTTTTAATTAATTATTTGATATGCAAATCTGACAAGGTTTATAAATAATGGCTTTTACAATTGCTTTTAGACAATTTAAAAATATTGGGTATCGATTTGCTTAGAAATAGATTGAAGAGATCATGATTGTTAACTCCCTCCCCCTCCGTGAGTGAACAAAACCATTAGAAAAATCCCTATTTTTTGCCCAAAAAACCCACCCTCCGTGAGTGAACAAAAATTTTTTTAATACAAAAAATTTTTTATGGAAAAAAATTTTGATATATAAATGATAATTAGTATAATGAAATCTAGAACTAATTCTGTTTAATTTTAAACGAATTGCTTTTTAAAACATAAATTTTTATAAATTAAATTAATTTTTGCTTTCCAATTTTTGCGAATTAGGATTTTTTTAAATTTCGAAAAAAAAATCTTTTTTATAAAATTTGTATATAAATTTTTTTAAAAACAAAAAAAATTAATCCCCCTCCGTGAGTGAACAAAATTTTTTGTTCACTCACGGAGGGGGGGAGTAAGAGAATTACTGACATTTTATTAATAGTTGGGAGATTCAATTAAGAATACTTCTGGGATTTAGATTACAATATTTTATTATTAATGCAGAAAAAAAATTTAATCCAAACAGATTATAGCATCATATAAATAATAGCATGGTTACCCTTCTATTTAATATACTAATTAAAATAAGATCCTAGTATTTATATATCGCTGTCAATTTTTTCATTAAAATGAATTATTTTCAAGCATCTCTAGAAACTATAACTATCCATACTTATTGAATTATAAATTTTATGCCTTAATTTATGAATATTTAAAATCAAAATAAGGAAGCTTAAATCACTATTTTTCTATAACTCCCCTCTATAAGTTTGCAAAACCATTGGAAAATCCATGTTCTTTGGGAGAAAAAATTTACGCAAGATAAAAATTTTTTAATATTAAATTTGTTTAGAAATCTGAGTGATAATTATTATGACGGCATCTCTAGCTAATTCTATTAAAATTTAAATAAACATAAAGTATGCTAATTTTAACTATTCAATATTTTAAAAATTGAGATTTTATCGAATGAATAATTAACTCCCTAGCAAAATTTTGTTGCTTGTTAATCAGTAGGTAGTAAGTACATTAAAACGTCATCAATTGAAATATATATACTATTGAATTAATTTTAGTGCATAAAACTTTTCATGAAAGGATAAATCTAATAAAAAAAATGGTAATAATGAATTTTCCACAGTATAAATATGATAGATTCTTTTTATGAGGGCAAGAATGTTTTTCTGACAGGCTGCACTGGTTTTGTTGGAAAAGTCCTCTTACTCAACTAAATTATAATCAGACTTTTGTTTGCTAGTACTTTATATTTTCTAAATAATTTTAATAAAAGGTAATACAAGAAATTATTTTTGCATTCAAAAAATTGCAATTAAAAAATTAAAAATATTTAAAAGCAATCCAGTCAAGATATTTTTCGAAAGCATTAATTTTTGTTCATTATTAGCAATCCTAAAGCTCTTTTTGGGGTAATTAGAAAAAATCTTATACTCTCTTCCTCGTATAAACAAGGTTTATGTCCTAATTCGAACAAAAAAAGGCAGTTCAACTGAAGAAAGATTCAAGAAAGAAATCTTCGACTCCCTCTGTTTTGACCGACTTAGAGCTAGAGAGCCTAACTTTGACGAGTTCATGAAAGAAAAACTAGTCCCAATCGCAGGAGATATGCTAAAAGACGGCCTAGATCTATCCCCAGAAGATTTTCAGGAGCTTACCCAAAATGTTAATATCATCATCAATTCTGCGGCTTCTGTTGACTTCAACCAGAGACTTGATATGGCTTTACAAATAAATACCTTTGGCAGTTTACGTGTCCTCGCCCTCGGCAAGGCTTGCAGGAATCTAATATCTTACGTCCAGGTCTCGACTGCCTATGTAAACTGTGACAAAAGAGGCTGGGTCGATGAAAAGTTTTACCCTCTCCAAACCAATCCTAGGGCTCTTTTAGCAGAATTAGTGGCGATTCCTATAGAAGAAATTGAAAGAAGGACTCCAGGAATTATTGGAAGTTATCCAAATACTTATACCTATTTAATGCTGCAAAAAATAAAAAACTATCTATAATCTATTTTAAATAGGGAGTACTATTTAAGTAAAATTAGTACCTTGAATCAGTAAATTTTATAAAAATTTTTTTTATGAAGCATTTAATATAATCCGTTGGGTTTTTTTTGAGCACCAGTAAACCTGCTAACTGGTCGCAACGAGCCCAATAAACTTTTTTTTTAAAAAAATTAACCTCTTTAAAATTGAAGCAGCTTTTATTCCAATTTAAAGTGGGAGTTATACTTTTTACAAAGAACTTGGCTGAGCAGCTTATTGCGCTGGAAAGAGAAAATTTGCCGATTTGTGTGGTGAGGCCTTCTATTATTGGCGCGAGTTGGAAAGAGCCAGTTCCTGGGTGGATTGATTCTGTGTCAGCAGCTGCAACTTTTTATTTAGCTGGAGGATTAGGATTATTGAGAGTTACTGTCGGGAAAAAAAATTATGTGGGTGATCAAATCCCTGTGGATATTGTAATTAATTCTATTATTGCTGCGTCTGTATTTTTGTGCAAGCCTGGACAAATTTATGCAATGCACGCAGGGTCAAGTGCCAGAAATCCTATTACTTGGATTTCTGTAACAAATATTGTGCAAGCATACTGACGCAAGAATCCTTCAGAAAAAGCTTTTGGGATTTGCAATTTCAGATTTGTGGAAAATCCAAAGGTGTATGAAATGGTGAGATTTTTCCAGAGAAAATTACCAATTTGGGCATTTACTAGCTCCTGCCTTAGAGCAATATAAAAATTAATCACATAAGGCGAGGAATCGATTTTTATATAGATTATTTTACTTAATGCTTATTATTTTTTTAAAATTTAAAATAAATATTATAAAAAAAATTAGCTATAATATTGCTGGATTTGGGAGGAATAAGTATGCACAGATAACAAAAAGTCCTGGACTCTTAAAACAAGCAGGCAGATTCAACAAGTTTTTAAGCCGAGAAAAGCTAATTTCAGACTCATTTTCTTATTTCACTTGTAACGAGTGGGTTTTTTCTACACAACATTCAGTAGATATGATGAAAATAATGACTGAAGAAGAAAGACAGACTTTTGACTTAGACATTGCCAAAATGGACTGAAGGCTCTATTTATCTAATTTCACCTACGGCCTTCAAAGATTTATCTTAAAAGAATACGTCGACACCCCAGTAAGCGAGCACTCCCGAGATCTCGTTTTAGACTACAGAGGCAGCAAGTATTTTTCGGACGTCAACTGGTCTTTATCTCACGGTGAAATCTTCAAAATCACCAGTTTCAAAGAAATGAAAGGCCTAATATTGAATTCCCAAAGAGTCCAAAGCGTCATAAAAGAGCTCAACGCCAAAGATCTCAAAGACAAAATTGACCATAGCTACAGAGCTAAATCAATAATCAACAAAATGCTATGTGACATGAGAATGCCAATGGTCAGATTTTTCGGCTGGGCTTTGCGTAAAATCTGGAGAAGACTCTATGAAAAAATCGTGGTTGACCAAAATTCGTTAAATATGCTAAAAGAGTATAGGTCTGATTCTGATGGTCCGTTAGTCTTGATACCTTCCCATAGAAGTTATCTTGATTTCTTAATAGTCTCTTATGTTCTTTTTTCTTATGATATTCGTGTCCCTTATATAGCAGCTGCAGAAGAATTCAAAAATATTAGAATTATTAATCATCTGTTAAAGATGACAGGAGCATTTTTTATTAGGAGAAAAGTGCAAGGAGACCCTTTATATGCAGCCATTCTTACTGAGTATATGCATAACTTGTTAAAAGAGCAACAAATTGTGGAATTCTTTATTGAGGGGACCAGAAGCAGGACAGGCAAAACTCTTCATCCAAAATTCGGGCTGCTATCAATTTGCACTGAAGCATTTTTTGATAAAAAAGTACCGAACGTTAATTTTGTGCCAGTCACAATTAATTATGAAAGAGTGCTGGAAGGGGAAACTTTTCCATTTGAGCTGCTAGGAGAAGAAAAAGTAAAAGAATCATTATCAAGAATAATGAAATCATCAAAAATTATTATAGTAATTTCTAAAGAATAATTATCTATAAAATTCATAGGGAGAATTTTCTATAAAAAGATATAACACAAACCTAGGAAAAATTTTCTTTGAAATTGGAAAACCAATCTCTCTTAAAGACTATATCAAAACAGTTGATCTTGACCCTTACAATAACAAAGACCACAGAGATATCATTAACCGAAATTTAGGCTATGATATCGTCTATCAAATCCAAGATTTAATTATGGTCATGCCCACCTCCATTGTAGCTTCAGTAATGCTGATGCATAGAAGAAAAGTTCTTGAAGACGAGCTTATCGCTAAATCTGAATGAATCAGAGACGAAATCAAAGCAAGAGGCTACAAAGTAGGCATGAATGACGGAAGTGGCCAAGGCGCTGTTAGAAATGCAGTTCACCACTTAAGCCAAGCTTTAACCCACAAAAAAGATTTATTTGAGCCAAGCGTGATGATGAAAACTGACTATAAAAATATTTTACTGATGTCTTATTATAGAAATGCGCTATACCACATTTTCTCAATGGAGTCTGTATGTGCATGTGCCCTTTTCAGCTTTGGCCAAAAGCTTGCATGGGAAGAAGGCATTAACCAGACGAGGGTTATGGAAGAAATCAGGTTTTTATCGTCAATTTTGGCTTCGGAATTTATTTCAAGAGAAAATTCTACAAAAGAAACAGCATTTTTAGCGACCTTAGAAAATATGAAAAAAAGAGGGTTTATTGAAGAAATCGGCGATAAATTTAGAATTAAAAAAACAGGGGAACTTGGCATTACATTCTTATGCTCACTGTTATGGCCAATTATAGACAGCTATTGGGTTACTTTGATGTTTACGTTAGCTTTATACACCAGAAAGAACTTGACCCCTGAAAAGGTGATTCAAAGCATCCAATGGTTTGCAGAAAATATGTATGAGGAAAGGATGCTTGGGTTTTATGAAGCTTGCTCATTAGAAAACATGAAAAATGCAGTAAAATCATATGAGATGATGGGGGTCATACAAAAAACAGAAAGAAATGGAGCGACTGTGATTGAGCTGACTGAAAAATATGCTGATGAAGCGAGTGTCCAAGAGCTTGTAGATCATGTAGGGAATTTCAGGAAAGCTACACTTACAGGGATTGTGACGCCGAAAGAAGAACTTAGAAGACTTTTAATTTCAGAGTTCCCAGAAATGCCAAAACTTTAGATTAAGTAATTATCGTATTTAAAATATTGTTCTGACCCTTTATATTTTTAATTTTTAATGATAATAGTAATAATTTATTATAGTTTAAATTAATTTAAGCGGACTATTTAAATAAAGATACCTATTATGGCAGGATTTAATATATCTAATGAAATTGATCTAGCTGCTAAAGAAGTTCGCCGGTCTATTGATACCGAGAATAGGAAATATTCATCAAGGAAGCATAAATGCAGGATATTTTTATATGTTTTGTTAGGAATTATGGTATTTTCATATGTAAAATTTATGCAGATTCTTGGGATAATTATTGTGCTGAATAAAGATAGTTCTGATTGTAAAAATCCGATAAGAGCCTGGCTCATTATAAGCGCTATTATATTGACTATTGGGCTTTCAGGTGTAATAATCATTGAAATTGTCAAAGAAAAAAGAATTATAGAGATAAAGATAATTTATCAAGGATTTTATTGGATAATTCTATTTTTGCTATTTATATGGATGGCTATTGGCAGTGCTTGACTTTTTAATGACTCAGCTTGTAAAAATGGTAGAGGCTATATAGATTTCTATTCTGGATGGGCTCTGACCCTTTCACTATTGGTCATAGAGTATTTTATGTTTTTCTTATTTTCGTGCTATTCTATCTGCACATTAATTTAAGCTTGCTTCTATTATCTTATTAATTATACAGAATATAGCTAAATGTATCTATTTATAAAAATTTTTAATTAATTAAATTTAAAAGTGGTTTTTATATTATTGAAATCTCATCTAAGCTATCTTCTATTGCTTTATTCCTTTTTCTCACATGCCAGTATATCTTGAGTCATATCTAAGTTTAAAAAAGCAAATGCAAATAAAGGGAAATTCAAAAGGGTCGCTTCAAGCCTACTTTTCTTTGTCAGCCAAATAAGTAAAAATTGAAATCCTGCGAAAAATGCTTTTAATACCGATTTATCATTTTGTTAATATTCTCTTATTATCCATTTCTAATTATCTGAAAATACATTTGCTTTGCAAATCGGGCAATTATTGTGACGCTCCAGCCACAAATCTATGCATTCAGTATGATATTGGTGAAAACAAGGGAGACTTTTTATGCCAACACCTATCTGAAAATCTTCCATACAGATTGTACATGATGTGCTCTCGCCTGAGCCTTTGAACTGTGAAACTGGCAAACTTTCTCTTTGATTGTTTACTAAATTTGCTCCTTGATTGTTTACTGGAATTTGCCTTGGCCTAGCTCCTGGGCCACTAGATGGACGCTGTAAGCCAATTCTATGATAAGGAAGATTAACACGCCCTGGAGGCTGCTCAAGTGGGGCTATTAAAGGATGCTGGCGTGGCTGATTTCTTGGCTGTACATTCAATATTGGGTCATTTCTTCTCAGCTCTAAATTCGGCCTTTGTACAGGTGCTTCGCTATCAACAATTCTTATTGGCAAGTTATTAATAATCCCAACGCCTTGGCGTATCCTGTCTTTTATTGCCCCAAATAGATTGATTACCGGATGCTGGCTGTCCTCCTGGCTTGCATTATTACTGTATTTTCCTTACGCTATTTCATCAATTGGAAGCATAATGTCTTTATATCCTTGGTTTCCAGATCCCTGGATTTCTCCTCTTTCAAGGCTATGTGCATATAAATGGTCTTGGAGCTCTGTGCTGGATATTTGGCGTCTGCATATGCTGCATTGCTCATTGTCTTCTCTTCTGTTTAAAATTTGATTTAACGCTGGGCATTCATTTTGATGATTTATTGTAGACTCTGCAGAGAGCATCTGATGGCAAAAGTCACATTGGTAATTTTGGGGCCGGCTGCAGCCGTGGCTAAGTAATTGGCTTTCTAGCATTGAAAATCCACTAAATAGTGATCACCATAAATCACAAATCACTATAGTCTTTTCATATATTAAAATGGCGTGGAGAGCAAACACCATCTTAGCTCCTGCAGCTGATCCAATATTGGTAGGGTAGGGACCTCGGAGAAGCGATGATGGTGTTAGAATTGTAGCCCGGCCGGCTTACTAGGCTTGTTGAAGCATTATGTCAGGCTACCAGACTGCATGCTTTACTCCAGATCAAGTTTTTTTTGCTTTAGAGGGATAGAGCCGAGAGCTGGAAAGAGATATCCAGCAGAGTCAGCGGTATGTTTTCTGACCATTCGCTATTTTTGCAGAGTTAAACAAGAGATATACCTGGGCTTCGGATTTCCATTTGGCAGAGAGTCGACTTATCCAACTACTGGGTAGCGGGTGCAGGCCTCAGCAATCTTGTTAACTCGTACTGGCAAGCAGGCAAAGGCAGCGTAACAGTTACGAGAATTCCTTCAGGAATCACAATAACTTTTCTATAAGTTTAATTAAGATCAACTATCGTCTCTTCATAATTTTCCATAATTCAATTTATTAGACAATAAAATATGAGAGGAAGACCTCCAGTAGCTCCAACCCAACATTTTGATCTCCCAGAAGAAGACGAAGAAGCCCAAGACACCGTTACTCCAATAGGCCACGCCCACGCTCATTTGCGTCGCAATATGGACTGCACTCCTCTTGATTGGAGACAATACTTTGACGAATTGATCTGGTTTGGGCCAATTCCTATCTATAAAGCAGGCACTTCAGGCCCAGTCTTCTTAGCTTTACACGGTGCTGGGCTTTGTTCATTTGGCTATGCCTGTGCAGCAAAACTGCTTAAAAGTGACTGTCGCTTTTTTGCGTTTGATTTTAGAGCTCATGGACACAACCAGTTATCAGAAAGTGAATACCAGCTAGACGTAGATACCTTAATAAATGAAACTTTATCAGTTATGGACTATATCCGCAGCATCACAGACAATCATCAAATTATCCTTGTAGGACACAGCATGGGCGGGGCTATAGCTTCAAAAGCTGCATTAGAAGACCATAAGCGAGGAAAAGGCGTAATGGGACTAATTGTCCTTGACGTAGTAGAAGGCTCAGCAATAGACGCATTGCCTCATATGGACAATATTATTAGTCAACGCCCAAGGACTTTTCAGTCACTTGAACAAGCTATTCAATGGGCTGTGAACTCAAATACAGTCAAAAATATAGAAAGCGCAAGGATTTCAATGCCTGCACAGGTGGTTGAGGAAAATGGAATTTGGAGGTGGAGGACTGATTTGGCTATGACCAGGCAGTATTGGGAAGGATGGTTCCGAGGAATGAATAATGCGTTCTTAGGAGTTGTCGGGCCTAAGCAGCTGATGATTGCAGGAAGTGACAGAACAGATCGCCAAATGATGATCGCCCAAATGCAAGGGAAGTTTAAACATACTGTCTTGTTTGGCGTTGGACATACAGTCCATGAAGACGCACCTGAACAATTTGCAGAACAAGTTCGAATTTTTATAAATACTTTTAAAATTAATTTCACTATTAATTTTCCTTATTTTTTACTATAAATTCCACAATAAAATCAATATAAAACGATATATCAACTTTTAAACTCAAATAATTCAATTTAGTAATTATAAATGGAACCAAAGAAAGGACTTCCAACCCAAGCTGAGAAAAACCGGGAACGGCTCAAAAACGCAAGAGACTATCAAATAATGGGAAAAGCCCAACAGATCGACGCAATGGCCCCAGAAGAGATTTTGAATGAATTGAAAAACAAAAAATTGCCGGTGTTCGGAACTAACAAAGAAAGGGTTGAGAGGCTAAAAAAAGCCCTTGGGATTCCTATACAAGACAGTGGGTCCAAAAATTCCAATAATGTCTTGAATAATATTGAACAAATTCAGAAAAAAAGAGAAGAAAGAAGAAGGAAGATGGAAGAAGAAAAACTGAATAAAGAAGAAAGAAAAGCAGAAAACGAAGCCTTGGGGAAGCTAATTGATGTGGATTTTCAAAGGATGGTTGACCAATTTAGGCTGCAAGTCCCACCCCAGCAGCCACATGTGCCTTCTTCTGAGTTGAAAATCTGTGTATGTGTGAGGAAAAGGCCGATTTTTCAGAAGGAAGAAAAAAATGGAGAAATTGACGCTTTGAGCTGTGCGAATCCTGTTATCATGATCCATGAGCCGAAGCTGAGAGTTGATGGAATTACTAAATATTTAGAAAACCATACTTTTCAATTTGATAATACTTATGGAGAAACCGAAGACACCAAAACAGTCTACGACTCCTCCATAAGACCTCTCTGCCCTTTTATCTTGCAAGGCGGCACTGTAACCTGCTTCGCATATGGCCAAACTGGCTCAGGCAAAACCTACACAATGCGAGGACTCCAAGAAATGGTAATTTGTGACCTTGATAAACTAGGTAGAGGACAGATTTCCTTTAACATAAGTTTTTTCGAAATTTACGGTGGCAAATGTTTTGATCTTCTAAATGACAGGTCTAAACTTACAATTCTGGAAGATGGTAATGGAAATATCCAAGTACAAGGCTTAGTTGAGCACCCAGTTCCTAATAAAGATGAAGTATTGCAGCTAATAGAGTATGGAAACTCAGTAAGGACGACACACGCCACGACTTCTAATGAAGATTCATCAAGATCTCACGCTATTTGTCAAATTTTACTGAAAAATGGACAAAGAGAACTAGGTAGATTAAGATTGGTCGATTTAGCAGGAAGTGAAAGAGCGCAGGACTGCATCAGCAATAATAGGCAGAGGAGAATAGAAGGAGCAGAAATAAATAAAAGCCTTTTAGCATTGAAAGAGTGTATAAGAGCACTGAGAGGAGGACCTGGAGCACATGTACCTTATAGAGGCTCAAAGCTGACTCTGGTGCTTAGAGATTCTTTTGAAGGAGGCTCTGATGAAAAAAAAGTTATTATGATCACTTGTGTGTGTCCTGGACATTCAAGCTCTGATCATACTATCAACTCACTTAGATATGCAGATAGGCTAAAAGAACAAGTAGTAGCAAGCCAAGTGAATCAGTTTCAGCCTAAACCTGAGCCAGCAAAGCCACAGCCTAAAAAGAACCCTCAGCCAGCTTCACAAGTCCAGCCAACTCCACCTAAAATTAGGCTAAAAAATCTAATATTATTTTTTGCTTTTGTTTTTAAAAATTTAAAAATAAAAATTAATTTACCTAAAAAAAGAGACGAAAAACCTGAAGTAGCCGACAAATTCAGGAAAAGCTTCAGAGACATGGAATACATACAAAAGCAAGAAGAAGACAAAATGAGCTTAGAAATGCTTAACCTCCACGAAAAAGTGGAAACTATTTTAGAAGAAGAAGAGGAGCTCTTAGAAACCCACGTCCACGCCATAAAAGAAGACGCACAAATTTTAACTGAAGAAGGAGAATTAATTTCAATGGCCCAAGGGGATGCTGATTATGATATTGACACATATGTCCAACGAATGGAAATTCTGGTGAAGCATAAATTGACAGTATATCAGAACTTGTATCAAAAATTGGCTGCATTTAAGGCACATTTAAATGAAGAGGAAGAGTTTTCAAACCATATGACGCAAAACCTTAAGAAAAAGTTTTAATTCCTAAATAAAAATAAGCCAAATTATAATAAATGCCTTAAAAATATGAATAAAATTGTATAATAAATATTTATTATAAATAAGATAAATATGAAGCTTATACTAGTCACCTTATTTTTTGCAGCCCTAGGGGTACAGTTTGATGTCAAAACAGAGGGTATATCAGTTATCAAGTCTGGAGAAGTCCTAAAAGAATGAAATCCAGATTATAATTCAGGCTCTGCATGCCATCCTGTCCCACAAGTGCATGAAGGTGAAGGAATGAATTATCGTGATTTCACATTTATAAACACAGAAAATACCTCCCTCAGAATAAATAATCTAAAAGTCGATGCTGATAATCAGTCTATTCTAATTCCGGATTTCACAGGTTTGGATAATGAAAATTTTGGCCCTAGAGAGTCGAAAACAGTAAAATTGAATTATTATTGCACTGGAGAGCCGGGTTGGAGTGTTGTACACATATCGTTTACTATTTCGAGTGATACTGATAAAAATTATGAAATGAAATTTGTTAAAATTTGTGATAGCAGCAATATTTCAAATTTCGACTGGTCAATGATGATTTTATTGATTATTGCGATCATTGTGGTCGGATTTTCTGCATGGTCAGCTAAAATTGTAAGAGTGCTCCCGAATATGCCAGAAGACGCAAATGAGCTGCAAACAATTCATGCTGTATTATTTATTGCGTGTGGGTCAATATACATGAGCAGGCTAAAAGAGTGAAATTGCAATAGATTTTTCAATGAGATTTGTGTGATAGTGAAAAAATATTAAGATGATAAGACAATTTTTAGATAACAGAGCTATTTAGTTCTATATTGACCTATTAGCTTGAAATTGGCCTGACAGACTTCCAAGTTGCTGAGAATGAGAAAATATTAAGATTTACCAAAACCGTGCAAAATCTATATTTTTAATAGTGCTCTTCCTATTCAAATCGTACCTAGAAAATATTTTAACTGCTATTATCTGTGCCGCCTCAATCGGAGCAATCACATTTGTCTTAGATTTTCTTTTTGAGTCCTGGCGCTGGGAATCTGCCTGAACTTTCCCTTATATCGGCGAAGTAAAACAAAAAACTTTGGCATTGGTATCAGTTTCTACAACAATTATCCTCTTCTATTTATTTACCAGAAACTGAATTCTTAACAATATCATAGGAATTTGTTATACCTTTATGGTGATAAAATCAGTCAAAATTTCAAATTTTAAGATTGGAGCTTTATTGCTAGGCCTAGCCTTTTTTTATGATATTTTTTGGGTTTTTTTATCAGAAAAAGTGTTCGGTGCTAATGTAATGGTGACTGTAGCCACAGGCTTGGACCTCCCATTAAAAATCCAGTGCCCTCATATACAGCCTTTGCCTATACAAAAAACATGTGGAATGATAGGATTAGGAGATCTAGCGTTACCAGGGTTACTTATAGCATACGCTTCTAGACTGGATCATATTTATCAGTCAAATTATTTGAGGACAATGATGGTTTGCTATGCAATTGCGCTTTTTATGTGTACTTTTGTATTGGCTGTTTTTCATGCTGCACAGCCTGCTTTGTTATATATTTCGCCGATGCTTATTTTTGGGATGCTGATTCAGGCAGTTATGAGAAAAGAACTGCCTAAGGTGTGGGAAGGGCGAAGACCAACAACAAATTTACTGCATACAGAAGTTGCTTTACAAGAATTTAGGGCATAGATATTAATATCTCTAATATTTTAATAGGATTAAATTATTAAATAAATTAAATTTTTGCTTCTCCCTCAATAAATAAGCCATTGCCTCCCAATTTCACTTAAAATTTAAATCTGAATTAATCTAATGCTTACTAATAAATATGAAGCCCACTATAAGAACTCAAAGAGTTGAGCGCTGCCAAGTCGCAGAACTTATGGCTCCCCCCAAGCGACTTACAGATGTCGACTATAAACGCAAAAACTACCAAAACCTCAAAAAATCCCAAGAAGAGAACAAAAAGAAAAAGGAAGAAGAAGAAACCCGCCCTCAAAAAGAGCCTTTCAAGCTCAGCAGGTTTAAAAATGTGGAAAGCATAGTCTATAAAAACCCTGAAGAAGTAAAAAAGCCAAGAAAAGCTTCAGCGCCTGTTGGTGGGCCACAAGTAGTTGTATATGACCCTGAAGATGAAGGCGTAACCAGGAATGATGGTGAAAAAGACTATGTAAAAGACAATTATAAAGCAGCTATAGTAGATAATACAAAAAATTGGGGGAATTACAGTACTTTTATAAGAAAAATTATGATTTATTCTCAGCTATAGTCCAAGCTCCTATTAAGCCTGTAGAAAAGCAGGAAGAAAACGCAAAAGCACTGAATCCAAATTATGGAAAAGTCCCACAATATTTGGAAGATTATAAAGCGCAAAGAGAAGCCGATAGAGAAACCAAAAGAAGGCAAGAAGAAGACGCAAAATGCCCGCCTGGGATGAGACTTATGCCAGAAGAAGAAAGGCTAGAAACGCTTGAAATTCTTCAAAAAGGGAAAGATGATGTATGGATGCTTATAAATAAACTTCCTATCGCATCAAATACGCAGTCTGTAATAAGAAGGCGTGAAGAGTATGAAAAAAAGCTGCAGGAGCTTGAAAATGCAATAAAAACGTTTTCAAGACCAAAAGTTTATGTAGCGCTCTAACTTATCAATTCTTATACCTGTTTAACAAGAATAGCCCACGAAGGAGCATTTTTGGTTCGCCATTTAATTTGGGTAGACAGAAAATATGCAACGAATTTGGCAAACCAGCTATTGTCCGGCCAGCTAAACAAGGCTCCTTAGTGTGCTATTCTTTGTAAATAAGTATATATTTATGCACTAATAAATACTTGAAGTTCACTTGTATTTTCCAAATCTCTTTCTTTGAATTTTTGATAAGGAATATAGCTGACTTCTAGTATTTTCCCATCAAAAGTTAAGCTGTTTAAAAAACCTCTGACTGATTTAGCTTCCTGAATAGTTGGGAACTCTAAATATACATTTCCAATAGACCTTCCTGACCTTGGTATATAAATTTCCATCACTTGTCCTAGCTGTTCTATTTCTTGTTTTATTTCACATACAAGGTTTTCATAATCTTCATCACTAATAAGGTCTTCTCTTGGCGCCATTCCATGTACACACAATATTTGGCTTGACAAATTGACTTTCATTGGTTTTAAAGGACCTTGCTTATTCACATCAGTAATATTTGCGAATGCAGAAATTGTAGGCAGCGTATATCCACCCATCAAAGTGTTTCTGTCAGTAACTGAAGCGGGCTGGAGACCCATATAAGTCTTACTCCCCCCCTTTAAATGGAACAAAATATAGGTAAAATTTCCACTTTTTTGGTAAATTAACCCCCCTTTAAATTGGAACAAATTTAATTTTATAATAAAAAATTATATATAGGGCTATTCAAAGGAAAGCCCTATATAATTTTTATCTAAAAAGTTTTGATATAAATTCAACAGGAATTCTTTATAAAATTTCAAAATTTACTTATTTCTTACTTTATTTTAAAGAATAGAGTATAAATAACATCTTATTTAAACAAAATTAGCACTTTTATCGATAAATTTTCTAAAATTTTTGATTTTTAATTTTTTTTATCAATAAAAATAATAATTTTGTGTAAATAATTTTGATACCAATTAATAGTGGCGTATTAACTAATAATGAAAATTTAGTTATATCTTGCTTTGTTTTAAAGGATAAAGAGTAAATAGTATTATATTGAACAAATTCATTGATCTAATTCGATAAGTTTTTGAAATTTTTTTTTTTATAAAAAAATTTTATATTGATATTTTTTTAACAAAAAAATTTAACCCCCCTTTAAATTTGAACAAAATTTTTAGTTCCAATTTAAAGGGGGGAAGTTAGGTCTGCCTACCTTAAGATTTTGTCCTAAAATAGGGTATAGTTTTTTTACCTTATTTTTGCCTAGAAAATTTAGCATAAATTATTAATAGGCAAAATAAGGGGAAAAGCTTATAGTTGTTCAGAGAAAATGCAAGGTTTGCCTCTTCTATGCTGCGAAATTCAACAAATGCATAATGCCCGTCTTGGCTTATTCAAGCACTGAGAACTGGACTGCCTGGGTATGCGTTGAGTTTTTTGTTTATTAAAGCTGTGTTGAGAAGGTCGACTAGCTGGCTTTGAGTGATACCGGCTGGGAGATTTCCAACATAGAGTTTTCGGTCGACTTTTGAAGTTTGGGCATTTTTGACTGTTTCTAAACTTTTAAGGATATCTTTTTCGTCATCTATTGGGTCATAGTCGGTGAAGCGGGATTTTCGTTGCCTTCTTGGACTTCTTGACCTAGGTCTATTATATGACATTTATAAAAAGCAGATTCTGAAGCAATTTATCATAATTTGAGCGTTTATTATTAGAAAATGAAAACTTACAGTACAAGCCATTAGTTTTAAAATTTTTAATCAGCATACACAAAATACCAATAATAATATTAATTAAATACCATCTTACTTAATTTTTGATAGTAAATTATTTCCAATTATATCAGATGGCGCCAGTGCTTAGAGCATTGACTAAAAACCACAATTTAAAAATAAAAATTTCATAAGGTGTATTAGTAAGATAATATTGCTATTAAAAAAGGTTTTGCTTCTAAAAGAATTTAAAATCACCCATTTATATCCATATACATAATAATTTTATCCGTGTATCGATGCAATCTTACCTTATACCTCCTCAATTTCAAGAGGCTGAATCTGGCTTCAGCTCTGAAATGATGATAAAGGCTCTGGAGAACAACAATAAATACCTCATGACGATGTGTCTCTATTCCAAAAGTCTCACTGACGGAATGGCTACTCTGCTGTCTGATTTCGAAAGGCTAAAATCTCATTGTTATAATTGAAAAGACCCCTCAAGTCGAGCTCCTACTAAAGAGGATCTTCTCCGGCAGTTTACTTCTCTTAGAAATTTCCAATTTTCACTGAAGCTGGCTTCAAGCATAACGATCCCCGTTTGCAAGAAAAAAACCTTTGGGCTGAACGTGTATTTAAAGGTGCATACAAATGAAGAATTAGATGAATCATTTAAAATCAATTTAGAAGCTGTACTTTACCTTGCGGAAAATCCGCCAGTAAAGCTTACGACAAGCAAGGCAGGCAAGCCACCTCTTGTCGGGAATACTAGCCTACCTTCTGAAAAAGGCTGATTTTAATTGGTTATTTTTAAAATAAATTTCAGGATTTTTTACTATATTATGCCCTATCTCCAATTGGAGTAAGACAACTCTTTCTTGGAATCAGAAGAAAAATTGCTACGCTGCAAGTTTTAAGCTGAAAGCAAACGAAGTGTCGTCGCACTATAGGAACGGATGGTTCTTCTTAGTCATTATGCCTGAAGCAAATTCAGGATTTGATATAAAGCCGTTGGTGATTGAAAATTTCAATGTTAAAGCAAAACAAGTTTCTTGCGTTCAGTTTAACGAAAAACCAGATAATGAATAATTAATGTTAGTACAAGAATTATCATTTTATTAAAATCATGGAAAATATTTTGAGTGAGCTGCATTCCGTGTCCGAAATCGCAAAATTATTTTACTTTAAAAGAAATTAAGATTGATGGTATGAAGAAATTAAAACTGCGTCTTGCAGGATTATAGAAATATTTAAATGTGTTGAATGTAGTCTTAGTACTTTTAAATAATATTTTAAGTATTAATATAATTTAAGTATATTAAATATGATAGTGGTAAGATAAATTAAGATAAATTATCTTAATGATTGATTTTACAGTTATGAAGTTATATGCTGCCGAATAACCAGTTTTGCTATCTACCTACTTCGCCTTTTACGAGCGAGATTTTTTTCTAATAAGGAAGAAAATTTATTTTTTATTAATAAATTCAATATTAGAATAAAAAGATAATATGATCATTTGCTTAAATTTCTGATAGGCTCCTATGAGCCAAAGATGGATTTCACGCGTGAAAATCCAGAAATTCCATGTGGAAACCCGTTTTTGGCTCTGGGAGCTGATCAGAAATAACGCCAAAAGACTATATTTTATAATTCATTTTTAAAATGTCTATATTTTGGATAGCTTTAATATAATTTGCTTTAGATCTAATGAAAATTTCTTTTGATCTAGTGAAAGAAGTTAATTCCCAAAATCTGGGGTATTGCTCATAACAAAAGTGAGAGATATAAAATCAAAGTAAATTAATATAACTATTTCAAAACCAATTTTAACATGTAAGTTTACATAGTGCACTAAAGCTTAATTTAAAAACAAAAAACTGAAAATTTTCTATTGGCTTTAACTAGCACCCTAAGCTTAATAAAAAATTTATAATATCATTAACGACTATAATAGTTATTAAATCATAATTTATTCTAGGGATATAAGCTTAAGATTCTAAAGCAAAAGAAGTATAAAAGTCTTTAATGGTTTTGGCTTTTTATTTGCAATTAAGCCATCAAAGCATTTCCCTTGATATCCTTTTATTATATGCTTAACTGAAGAGAATTAATTTCATTTTCCTTTTCTCCTTCAACATGCATTTTATAAAGAAATAAAGTGCATGAAAAAAGGAAATAGAAGTGAGCGACGTTTAGTTACACGCACAAAAAGATCAAAAACACCAACAACTATTGAAGGAAATGACAGCTTTAATGCAACTTATTTGAAATCACCTAGCCCTATTACACACAGACGCAAAAGTACAAGCGAATTTGACTTGCAAAAAATTCTTGCTATTATACCATATAGCTTACTCCCTCGCTCTCTGAGTGATAATTTAAAAATCTGCTTTTTGGGAAATTAATTTACATAAAGCTTTTAATATAATTATGTTTAAGTGAATATTTTTGATATTAATTTATAATTATTATAGCGAAATTCTAATTAATTCTATTAAATTTTAAACAGCTTGCATTTGATAGCATAAATTTATACTTTTAAGTAATTGAAAATTGGGGTCTTTAATCAGGAAAAAATTTTTAATAAAAATTAAACCCTGAGCAAAAATATATTGATTATGGTGAGGTCATAAATAAAATGGCTTTCGCTCAAGCGAAGTTAGCTCCGCTAACTTTCTCCCACTCAAGCAATTTTATTTATAGGGTTGGGTTTTCACCTCAAGAACTTCTGCACAGCAATAGCGGTTTAACTTTGGGGATAACCAAAGGAACTGCTCCTCAGTGCGCTCAAGATCTGGAGTTTTTACCCCTCAGCACATCCCAAGGGAGATGGACCCTCAGGCGGAACACGCTCAGGAGCTGAGTCGAAACAAAGCCGTGGCGGCAGCGAAGCCCGTTGAAGCGGAACGCCTTATTTACCCGTGCCTTGGCGACCAAAAGGGACCGATCCAGCGATTTCTGGGCCCGACACGTGGGATAAATATGGTGGCAGCTCTGGAGTTTGGCTACCCCGTAGTGGACGTTAAGCGTTATAGATAATATTAAGATTATGGTGAGATCGAATTAGGAAAAATTCAGAAGCCTGCTACATATAGAAAAGAACTGGCTAAAATATATGAACTTGAAAATCAAGATAGTCAAACGTCTTCTAAAACATTTGAACAATATATAAATACAAAGGTTTTAGACGCCCAAAGGCAGTTAAATCAGCTTTTAGAAAATAAAGAAAGTCCAAGTCAAAAGCAAAACTCTTTTTATCCTATTCAATATTTTAGAAAAACAATAAATAGATTTTCACCTGGAATTGTGAGAATATATCCTAACTCTTTTTATATTTAAGAATAAACTATATTTATTTTATAATTTTGTGCTTAAATAAAATTTTATTAATTAGGATGGAGTAAGGAATCATCAATTACACCTACATCAACTAGTACTCGCTTGATACAAAATGATAGGTTTTGTAAAACACCTACACCTCCATCCCAGCCAAAACAGCATTTAAATACATCATCTCCAAGCTTAAAAAGAATACAACCACAAAAATACAACTTACTGCCCTCCCTGAGCAAGCAAAACAATTTTTCTTGCTCATATATGCTTAAGTTTTTTATTTAAAATTTTTTTATTATAGGCAAGGGCAAGGTAATGCAGCCAGTCTTGAGAAGCTGGCTCTGCTAGTGGTGGATTTCTTTTGGTATGGACACGAGTGCTGCATAGATAATTTTGCTTTCTGAGCCGTATCACTAGTTGGGTACAAAAGGGCATTTTAGCTCTGCAGCAGTCAGACTTTAAATACTAATCTAATCGTAATCATTTATTCACTAATGAAAGATTTATTTTTTCCAAAATTCAGGATTTTTCCAATTGTCTTGGTTACTCACAGGTGGAAAGAGTTAGAAGCAAGCTTTTCTGTAAAAAATCACAATAGACTAAAAAAATCCCCCAATCCAGACAAAATTACTAACAATACACATTTTTTGGCTGTTGAAAAATACAATGGAGACTATGTCAATGGCAAAAGGCACGGAAACGGAGAAATAATATATAGCAACGGAGATAAATATAAGGGAAAATGAATTAATGATAAAAAAGAAGGCTATGGAAAATACCTATATAAAGATATAGGTATAACTTATAAAGGAGACTGGCATATGAATAATAGGCATGGGAATGGAAAAATGAAATTTTCTAATGGAGATGTTCTACAAGGGTCATGGTCTAATGGATATTTAAATGACGGCTACGTAATAATTTTATATGGAAATGGTGATAAATATCAAGGAGAAATCGTAAATGGGATGAGACATGGAGAAGGCACCATAAAATACCAACAAGGCTATTTTTATAGAGGGCCTTGAAAAGAAGACCACCGATCTGGTATCGGCTTAATTACCTATAAAACTGAATTTTTCTTTGAAGGCCTCTTTATCAACGACTCTACCGAAGGCAAAGGAGTTTTAGTAAAAAAAGACATATTTGGCTTCAATAAAAATAAAAACACTGACGCTCCTGACAGTCCTAGCAACATTTTTAGAAGCAGCTCAAACTATTCGTATAACAGAAAATCTGAATTAGGCCACATTGACGAATTCAAGCTTTTTAAACTCCTTTCTCTTGATATGTGGGATACAATTTTTGTGACTCTTACATCTGAACAATTAGATAGCCGCATAAATTTCCCACACCCTACAATAGAATCAGGGATTTTCCGGGCTGGAAAACTTTTTGGGTAAAAATTAATTTAGTGCTGGAATGCTAAAATTCGGAATTTATGGAAAATATGAAGGAAATTTTAAAGATGGGGCAAGGTCAGGATGAGGAAAAATGGTGTATAATGACCCTGATAAAGTCTGCAGCTGGTTTCATGACAATGAAGGGACTTATTATGGAGAGTGAAAAGACAATTTTAAGCATGGGTTTGGGGTTTTTGAGTGGCCAGACAGGACTAAATATGAAGGCAGATTTTCAAGAAATATGAGGAATTTTGTGACTGGAAAAATGTATTTTAATAATGGCGAAATTTATGAAGGAGGCTGAGTAAATGATAAAATGGAAGGAAAAGGGACTTATTGGAAAGGCGGAATTATATTTAAAGGGCAGTTTATTAAAGGGCTACCTGCTGATGTAGGCTCACTAGAGTTTGCTGATGGCAGAAAATATGATGGGAATATTGATAATTGGCTGCCTAATGGAAATGGAGCTATGAGGTGGCCGAATGGAGATTTATATGAAGGAAGCTTTAAGGACGGAAATCCTGATGGAAACGGAAAAATGGTGTTTAGCAATGGAGATTTGTATGTAGGAGAATGAGATAGAGGACAAAGAACTGGCAATGGAATTATGAATTATTCAACAACTGGAGAAATCTATGATGGCGAATGGGTATGCAATTATAGAGTTGGGCTAGGAATTCTGAAGTCTCTTAAAGGAGATATTATATTTTGGGGGAAATGAAAACAAGACCAGCCAGGAAATAAAGGCAAAATGAAGCGTACTAGAAGTGGAAAAATAATGCTAGAATATATTTAAATTATTTACAAATTCTCTTTGTCATCTCTTGCGATCTTTCTTTTTTCTTTAAAATCGACAATATTTTCAATACTTTCTTTAGATACCCCTAACTCCCCCTCCTCTCCGTGAGTGAACAAAAAAATTTTGTTCACTCACGGAGGGGGTTAATTTTTTTTTTTTTAAAAAAATTTATATATAAATTTTATAAAAAATATTTTTTTCGAAATTTAAAAAAATCCTAATTCGCAAAAATTGGAAAGCAATATTAATTTAATTTATAAAATTTATGTTTTAAAAAGCAATTCGTCTAAAATTAAACAGAATTAGCTCTAGATTTCATTATACTAATCATCATTAATATATCAAAATTTTTTTCCATAAAAAAATTTTTCTATAAAAAAAAATTTTTGTTCACTCACGGAGGGTGGGTTTTTGGGCAAAAAATAGCGATTTTTCTAATGATTTTGTTCACTCACGGAGGGGGGAGGAGTAAGATTTCTGGGTGCATCCATGGATCTTCTTTAATTTGGGAACAATGAGGTCTTTTATTGGTCTTGGGTTGAAGATTTTTCCATGCATTTTTTTGGGTAATTTTCTCTTGAGACTGGAAAAATTAATGTTTTTCAAAGCAAATATCTGGCGTGATAAAATCTTGTACAATGTCAAGAAAATTTAATTAATTATTTATATGTATAATAATAAAGTCCTTTTATTGAAATCTTTTTGCATCATCCTTTTAATAAGCAGTCTTGCTGGTGGTGTAACGTGACGAGGAATCTCAAAATATCCTTCGATTATTTTTTTGTAGACTTCTCTATCTGTTTGACCTTTAAATGGATAAGTTCCTGTGAGAAGAACATAGAGTAAAACTCCTAATGCCCAAATATCAGCTGCCCATCCCAGATATTCTCTTTTTGAGACGATTTCTGGAGCCATATATGAAGGAGTTCCACAGAAAATTTTTATTAGTTTGTCGTTAGGGACTAAGGTTGAAAAGCCAAAGTCAATGATTTTTACATTTAAATGGTCATCAAGCAAGATATTCTCCAGCTTGATGTCTCTATGTGTGATACACATATTATGGCAATATTCTATCGCAGAAATTACCTGACTGAAAATTCTCCTCGCTTCGCTTTCAGGGAGAATCCTATTAGGTCTTCTTTTAATATAGCTGTGCAGCGAGTATCCATTCACATATTCCATCGCAATATGTATATGCTTCGTTGTATCAATAGCCTCATGAAAATTTACTATATTCTGATGATCTAATTTTTTTGGACTCTCTCAAAAAATTATTAGAATTTAGGATTTTTGTAGATAAATGTCTATTAAAATTTTTAGAAAATTAATGAAGAACAGAAATCCAGCCTATTTTTTCATAATTTTTATTTCACGAGTAAGATTTCGTTTCTTTTGAGGGTCAAGCAACTTTGATTTTTCATATGTTTTTATTGCATATTTTTTCCTAGTTGGACGGAATATAGCTTCTTTTACTACGGCTGAAGCTCCTGAACCAAGAGTGCAGCCAAAGGAATAGGAATCTATTGATCCTCTGTATAATAAAGAATCTTTGGATGTGTCAATTGTAAAACTTCTTGTTATTGTATGGACTATTGGAGTTCTTGCTCTAAGTGTGCAGTTTATATCGAATTTTGGCTCGATTTTTGTAAAAATGTTTTTATTTTGGGTTAGGATCCCAGTCCCGCTTAAAGGGATATTTGGGGTTTTGTTAAAGTTTTCGAGTGGAGTAATGATAAAATTATCAGAAAATATGTTTCTTGTAGAAGGGATTGCACTAAAATGCCTCTGTCTTTTTTGAAAATCTAACGGATTTTTTTGATTTATCATTTTTAAATAATAAATATATACCATTAATAGTATTTAGATAATTAGCCTTATCCCTTCTTCTCTTTTTTTATTTTATAAGAGACATACCTTGCATACATCATTAAGCTACTTTTTTAATTAACTTTATGAAATCCCGGATTTAAGATTCCATAATGATTTATCCTATTATTGCATTTCTAATACATTTTAGTAACAAAAATAAATTAACCTTTAAAAGCAGCCTTATTTAAATCTCAAAATAATTAATGTCAAAACTTTTATCCAGACTAGGCACGAAAAAGCAAGTATACTCCTATGATATCACAATACACAGCCTTCAGCTTGCTTTAAGTCTGCCAGTCAGAATCAACATAATTTGAAAAAGAAGTAATTCTTAGCAAGGAAAAAAACGAATTGAAACTCGCTATAAACATCCCCTCTCCCCATCTGCAGGAAGTGTCGAAATTAACGAAACTTTAACAATGATAAATACTCTTTATCAAGAAAAAAGTGGGAAATTCAATAGAAAAAAAGCTATTTTGACGGTGCAAGCGATAATTGATGAAAGAGGAGCAAAAAAGATAGGAAGTCTGACGTTAAATATTTCTGAATATCAAGCTCATCAGCTGAATATGCAGTATTTTTCGCTTGAGTCTTGCCCTGATAAGACTGCCAAAATTTGTATTTCTATTAGAGCACAGCCGCTTGGGGAAGCTGTGGCTACAGATACAGTTAGTGAAGCTTCTGGGGTGTCAGGGATAAGCATGGGGACTGAAGGAGACTATAAAGGGCCTTTATTTTTAGATCAAGATGCTTTAATTGATCAAGAAGAAGCACTTGCTCCAAAAATTATACAGGGAAGTCAAAATAAGCCGCCGATACTTAAACCTCCTCCAATGAAGATGCCTGAAAGCAACTTTACAATGAAAAAATCTAACGAAAATGATGAGGAATCTAAAAGATTATGCCTATTGGAATGATCTAAAGCACTAATATAGACTAGCATCAAAAGAATTGATTGCCATCTATTCCAAATTATTTCCAAAAAATTAAAAATAAACCTGATAACCTATTTTTATTAATATTATGATATTTAAACATCTATTAGGTATACTTGATATCAGAGCTAAAATCTCTATTTTAGAAAAAGAAAATACCCAGCTTAGAAGTGAAAAAGAAGACTTAAAAGTCCAACTCGGAGTCGCATTAGAAAAATCAAATAAAGAAAGAGAAAATAATTTTGAACTAATAAAAAAGCTTGATGGAGAGTTGCAAGAAACTAAGAAAAAATGAGAAAAATCAAGCAAAAAAATATCAAAAAGAGAAGAAAAAATTTCAAAATTAAAATTGGTTAACGAAAGGCTACTAGAAGATTTAAAAGAAACAGAGAAAACTGTAAACGAAGGAACATTGGATAAGGAAAGACTCAGAAATGATAATTGGAAATTAAGAGAAAGCTTAAGAGAAACAATTGATAAATCAAATAAGCTTCAAAAGCAGCTAGAGGTAGCTAATGATGAAAATATTATACTAAAAGCAAACCTTGAGAATATTCAGCAGCAAAATATAAATTTACAGACAAATTTCGAAAACTTCCGAAAAATTTCTGCAGAAAACGGTGACTCTTCAATTGGAGCAGTGCCAGCTTCATATAAAAGAAATTCTGAAAACTACACAAAAACTTTAAAAATGCAGCTTGAAACAGCTAACCGTGAAAGAGAAGAAGCTTTATCCCAACAAACAGAGCTTACACTCCAAATCCAAAGATATAAAACCGAAAAAATGAAAATTGAAGAAAAATATACAGTCTCTCATTATTTTCTTATTAATAAAAATTATTTTATTTAATAAATTAAATTACTGAGCTCAATAAAGTACAGAATACAAAGACGAACTCGAAAAAATTGAAAAAGAAATTGAAAAACTTAGAGAAGAAAATTACGAATTAAAACAAAAAAATGACCAAGAGTCGCTAGACAGAAAAATAAATGAAAGAAAAACACTTATCCAAAATGAAGACACTGATCTTAAGCTGAGAAGACTCACACAAAATTTCCAAGAAATTAAAAATAAAAAAGAAGAGCTAGAGCAGACTGTTGCAGACTATGAAGTAAAATTAAACCAAAGAAATACTGAATACCAAAGTGGGTATTTAGATTTGCAATATATAAAAGAACAATTAGAAAATAAAGAAAAAGACATTAAAAGGCTGAAAAATGAACTGAGAGAAAAAGAAAAAGAAATTGGGGAGATTTATTCGTCAAAAGAAATACTAGATAATGAAAACTGTGTGCTAAGAGAACAGATAAAAAAACTAACAGAAACAGAATTTTCAGACCCAGCCACTTTTATAATGCAAGAACAAATCCATGAGCTGGAAAATAGAGTGACTACACAAGAATTCGCATTTAATCAAGAAAAAGCTTATCTTAAAGAACAAATTGATATACTAGAAAAACAATTAGAAATTATGGAAGAAGCCAAACAAAAAGACTCAAAAAATTTTGAAGACCAAATTGGAAAAATCTTAGTCCAAAATAGGCTGTTAAAACAGCAAATAGAAGACTCAAAAATTAATTCTTTATCAGAAGAAAAAGCAAAAAATTTCACAATGGTCAAACTTATAGAAGAAAATTATTCCCAAAATATCCAAATGTACCAGCTTGAAAACAATGACTTAAAAGCTAGACTAAAAAAGCTAGAAGAAGACTACAAAATAATAGAAAAAAAATATTTAGACTTAAAGTTCAGTATAGCTAACTCTGAAATGGCAAAAGAAAATCTTGAAAAAAAGTATAAAGAAGCCCAAGAACAGATGAGGGACTATTCAGCACAATTTACCGCAATGGAAGTCGAACTTTATAAAGTCAATGAGCGCTTTGGAGAAACTTTAAATATGAATAACGAGCTGGAAGGAAAAATCCACAAATTAAAGCAAAAATTGAAGGCAGTCAAAAATTAATAGTGTAAATTAATTATATATGCCTCATTAGACAAATTATTTTTATTCCCCACAGATTAATACCTTTTTCCTAAGAAAAATCAATAAAATATTTTTTTTAATTTTTTGAAAAATATATATAATTATGATCGGAAATTTCGAGCAAGCTTTTGAACAAATGTACCAAACCTTTAATCAATCATTCAAACCAGGGACTTTTTGGAATATTCAAGGCAAACTTCTCAAAAAGTACATAGATGAGCTGCTGGAAAATCCTAATGATCATAATCGCATAGATCTCAACAGCAAAGCTTTTAATGAATTTGGCATGGGGATGGAGGCCGTTTTAATATCAATAGGCTTTGCAAAAGAAGCCGAAAATTTGGTATATCAAGGAAGTATTGATGAATTATCTCAAAATAAAGATCGAATTATGAAAATCATTGATGAAAAAAAATATTTCAGCTTCGCTGAAATTAGTGAAATAATTGGTAAAGGAGAGCAGCCTCCAGGAATTAAACAAATAGATGACAGAGCTGTAGAAGAGCCTCCTTCTGTATCAACGCTTGAGAGGCCACAAAAACCTTGGGAAAGAGAAGAAAACTCTTACAGCCATAAAAAAATATTCATTTAGAAACGCTTATTGACTTAAAAGTTTCAGATTTGTTTAAATAGTATTCTAATTACACTCGCATTTAAAATAGGCCAAGCAATAGTATTAAATATTAAATTAAATTGTTTAAACTGGCCATAAGTTGATACCCATTACCCCGGCTCAAAGCTAGCAACCTCCATATACCTCAGAATTCGAATGAGGAAAATGGAAGGCCGCCATCCTGAATTTCCGACCTGAACCACTTGTCCAGGGGATGGACTCTTATGGTCAGAGCTACCATTTATAGAGTACCCCGTTGGTCCTGATAGAGAAGGACCAAGCGGTAGGCAAAACTTGTCTAGCCCATCTGACACGGACAGGAAAACCTTTAGGAGAAACAAGCACCCTGCTTCAGCAGGCTTTCCATTGAGATGATCTACTTCGCTCACAAGAAGCATCTTTCGCCGTCTATCGCGCCTGCTCACCGCTCCATCAAGAGTCCAATTTCTGTTAGCATCACCATTTTTTCTTGTGTTTACATATGAATTATTATTTTCATAGTAAAAAATAAAAAATTATTTAAATTAAAGGGGGCTTAATTTATCTAAAAATTGAAAATTTATCAATATTTTTTTCTATTAAGGGTTGAGTTAAATATTTAAATCCCCAAACATAATAAACTTAATAATCTAGAAATGGAGTGCCCCACTTGCTTTGAAATCTACAACGATGATGCAAAAAAGCCTCACAACCTTGAATGTGGCCATACTTTTTGTGAAGAATGCTTATCACGATTATTACAATCATCAAGAATCCAATGCCCTGCATGTAGAAAATCATTTAACAACATAGTCCCGAAGCTGCTCCCTGTAAACTTTATAGCTGCCGATTTAGCTAGAAAATACCATGAAGATAGAAAGAAACTTGTCATGTGCGAAAAACACCCATTTGACCCTATTAAATTTTATTGTAATACATGTGAGGAATGCATTTGCATTGAGTGCATTATTAACCATAGTGGGCACAAGTTTGTCAAACAAGAAGAAAGCATTAAAGTCATGAAGTCAAGAATTGAAAAAGTTGGGGGCAGAATTGAAAATTGTATAGAAAAAACGAATAAGGCGAAAAAAGAAATATCTGACTCTTTTGATGCTTTTAAATTCATTTTGCTGGTGATTTATTTTTTTTATTGTACAATTATTTTCAATTTTATTTATTTTAATATTTATTCATAATAGTGACTTTTTAAATAAAATAAATTTTTATGCAATTTAAAAGAGTAAAGAAGAAGCTTCTTTAAATCAACGAAAAGAAGCTGACAAACTTAAAATTGAAACTGATTTTAATACCATGATAGAAATGCTGATAAATCGTAGAGATCAGCTGTTAAATACCTATGAGAATATGATAGGAATCGAAGTAAGCAGGCTAAAAGAAGAGCAAGGGAAACTTGATATCCAAGAGCATGAGATTCTAAGTGTCAAACAAATTCTCCAAAAAAAATCTGAAGAGCTTCAGTTTCTTACGAGAATTTCCATCTTGCAAGATGGAAATCCATTTTGGCTCGGCGACAGCAAAAAAAAATCCCAGAATTCGGCCGTGTAAAAAAAAATAAAACGGCCGGAAGGCCAAGGGGTCGCAGATGGCAATTCTCCGGGGTGGGGTGCAGGCTTGGGCTGACTGGGCTTCCCCTCGACCCACAGACAAGATACCGACGGCGCAACATCAATCAAGCACTTCTGGAGGAGCATTATGGTGCCTGCGAATGGCACAGGTGGTTCCAGAAGAAGACAATGGACGATCCTCTCATACCCTGAGCACCACCAGGGGTTAAGAGAGTCCTTGCCGAAATTTTTGATCCAGCAGGGTCGGGTGAGTCTCCCCGACAGACTGAGGACGTCACCATTTTTGATGGCTCCGAAGAAAAGGGCGTTAGGTGGCTTTAGTGCTTAGTGCCACATGAAGCACGAAGCTGAAGTCCGACTGGCTAGGGGCTGAAATAATCCCCGCTTAACCTCTCTAACTAATCTCTCTCTCTCTCAGTTTCTTACTGACTCAAGCCTAATTGGTGGAAAATATGCAGAAGAAATAAACTTAATCAGAGAAAAAGTTACAAATTTAGAGTCCACTACATGTGAAACTATAAATTTGCTAACAATGTGCCCGACAGTCGAAATTAACATAACTCTGTATTTAGATTATATCCAAAATATTGGGAATGTTATATGAGACCCTAGAAGAAACTATGAAATAACAGAGCCGTTGATCTGTTACTTTGGAGACAAAAATAAAGTTATGACTTATGATATTAATTCGAATGCCTGAGACCTAAAAACTTATTATGGACCATATGAGTTCAATTATTATGCAGCTGCAGTCGCTCTTCCTGATGGCAGTGCTCTTATAACAGGTGGTGGAAGCTCCAATTCTGTATACCATTACAAAAATAAAACAATTTATTTAAAGCAGCCAATGATACAGATAAGAAAAGAACACTCAGCTGTCTGTATAAATAATTATGGAATTTTTAAAAAAAAATAAAAAAATTTGCAATTTAATTGGGAAAAAAATAAATAATTATGTATATGCCCTTGGAGGCTATGATGGGATGGCTAATACATTTCTTAAACAAACTGAAAGATATTGCATACAAACTGACACTTGAGAAGAATGCGCCAACATGAACGTCCCCAGATGTGCTTTTAGCGCTACGGTTGCAAATAACCGTTATATCTACATATTTGGAGGTTACGATGGGACACAAAGATTAGGGAGTATCGAAAAATATAACCCAGAGATTAATATGTGGCTTGAAGTCCGGGCAACTTTGCAATTTCCGCTGTCTAATTGTGCATGCTTTTCTCCAGAGAGAAATAAAGTGGTTGTCCTAGGTGGAGGGTTTTCTTCAGGATTTTCATTATAGAGCCTTAATGCTATTGATTGCCTTGAAGCAGGCTTCTTCGTGGCAACTTGGAGCAGGGTAATAACCTAAAGGTGGCAAGTCAACTCCAAGTTTACAAATCCTTGAAAAAGATGCGCTTTTGCCAGCTTGGAATTGACTTGTCACCTTTAGGTGACTCGTCAGAGGTCCAAGTTGCATTAAAAAGCCTGCTTCAAGACAAGCAATAGCGGTGAAGAAGATATATCTGTAGAAAAACTTGACATAGAAACAGAAACATGAATTTCTTTACCTATGATGACTGAAGGAAGAGACCTAAGAAATAAGGTGACATATTTTAATGGCAATGCCTATTGTGTAGGGAGAAATAAAATACCTCCTATGGAGCTGGTATCACCCAATTCTGATGAAGCTGAAATATAGGGCCTCATTCCCTGTCTTAAGTAGGCCTTCAGAGGTGGGAAAGCCGTGCCGAAAAGGAAGTTTTATTTCTCCCCCGAAGGTTTTCCTCTCCCTGCCAGATGGGCTAGACAGGTTTTTGCCTACCACATGGTCTTCCCTCACCGGGATCATCGGGGCACTCTCCAAGAAGTGGCTCTGCCCTGAGGAGCTGATCCACTGGACAGGCAGTTCAGAACAGAAATCAAGATGGCGTCTGGCCTGGGAGCATGGTTGCATCAGAACCCAACCGGAAACCATCTTTCGAGCTGAGGTGTTGTGGCCCGCTGTTTCGTCCACGTATGGCCATTTAAAACTAACTAACTAATTATTGTGTAGGAGGTTATGCAATTTATTTTAATTTTTTTTAATTTTTAATTATTTTTTATTTTCCAATTAAAAAAATTAATAGGTTATAGCTTTAAAGCAGAAATGATTAATTTGGCTAGAGAAATGTGAATTCAGCTGCCTAATTATCTGGTAAGTGATAATTTGGATTCATGGTCTTCAGCGTTGACTTATAAATTAGTAGAAAAAAGAGAAAGCGAGGCTGTGTCAAGAGCTTCTTCTATGAAAATATAAGTTAATATTTATTATAAAACAGATTTACGAACTGAAATTATTTAAAGTATTGTTCAAGCATCATTATCATTGCCTATATAGTCAGCACAATGGCTGCAAGCATTTTCTTTAGCTTTTTCTGAAATGGTGTTGAAATTTGCTTCTCCTTTAATAAAGTCATTTTTTGAAGGCATAAAGCCTTTAGCAAGGGCAATTCTAAGCCTCAAAATCGCCCCAGGCCAGTTGCAAACTGCAGCTCCAATACAATTGTCTCCTTTAAAGTAATAAGTGATTTTCCCAACTTTAAATAAGTCTGGGTCATTTTTAGTCTCAGTAAAGCTCCAGTCTTTCCCTGCTCCAAAGCCTACAAACTGTACATTAAGCCACTGATTACTCCAAAAGAAAGGCAAATCGTCGTATTCATGTCTCTTCCCAGCCATATTTGAAGCAGCTCTCATTCCTTGGGTTTGGGCAACCTGCCAATGTTCAATTCTTTCGTAAGAATTTGTTAATTCGCTATGGAATGAAGCAATATCTCCACAAGCATAAATATTAGGGTCACTGGTTTGGAGAAGCTCATTGACTCTTACTGATTTGTCTTTAGGGTTTAATAAGGATGGAGGGATATAGTCTGTTACTATCTGAGCGCCAGTTGCAACAAGCACTAGATCTGCTTTGATTTCTTCTTCCCCAGTCTGAGTTGGGATTGTTACACTTTTGACTTTTCCATTCTCTTGGTTTATTGATTTTGCAGACACTCCTACAATTACACGATTTCCTTTACTCCCCCCCCTCCGTGGGTGAACAAAGCCATTAGAAAAATCGCCATTTTTTGCCCAAAAACTCACTCTCTGTGAGTAAAAAAAAATTTGATATATAAGTGATAATTATTATAATGAAATCTCGAATTAAATTTGTTTAATTTAAAACAAATTGCGTTTTTAAAACATAAATTTTATAAATTAAATTAATATTTACTTTCTAATTTTTATAGAAGTGAGATTTTTTTAAATTTCGAAAAAAAAAATTATAAAAAATTTATATATAAATTTTTTTAAAAAAAAAAAATTAACCCCTCTCCGTGAGTGAACAAAATTATTTTGTTCACTCAGGAAGGGGGAGTTAGAAATTTGGGTCTGGATCAATAAATTCGCAATATCATGAGCAAAAATCCTTTCCAAAGGCTTTGGATCGAATTCCACAATGGTGATATTAGCATCTGGGAGTTTTCTTCTTAAAGAAGTTGCAGCTTCAAGGCCAAGGAAAGAGCCGCCTATAATTACAATATCTTTAGCGGTTGGCAAGCTTTCTTTGATTTTCTTATGGTCTTCAGCGTTTCTGATAGTCACCACATTCTTTATGTTTGCCACAGCATCTTGGACTTGTGGGGGAACTCTTGCTACAGACCCAGAGGCTAATAGAAGTTTATCATATGGAATTTGTTCGCCATTTTCCAAAACCACTTGTTTTTGATCTGGGACAATCATTTTTACTTCAGCTTGTTTTCGGAATTCTATGCCAAATTCATCATAAAAGTCTTGTTTTCTCAGCAAAATATCGTCAACACTGGCATCAAAATTTTTGGAGAGCAAAACTCTATCATAAGCCAAATGGTTTTCTTTGCTTAAAATCGTGATTTTTCCTGTAAAACCTTCAATTCTTAAAGTTTCAGCTGCCATATGTCCTGCAGTGCCTCCACCTACAATAACAAAATGGGTTTCATTGTTCGGGTCTCGTTTCACCATTCTGCGGTTGTTGATATATTGAGCGACATTGTCTTTTTTATCATTAGGAACTTCAATGACAACTTCTTTATTGACGACTCCGACCTTGTATTTGGGTATTGATTTGATCCCAGGCGATGTTGTCATTTCTCCATTCCTCACATCAAACTCGGCAGCATGCCAAGGACACATAACATTATACCCATTCATAAAACCCATATGAAGCGGTGCTCCATAATGTGAGCATTTTCCTCCAACTGCATACAGCCCTGAGTTAACCTCAGCAAGCAGAATGACATTGTCCGGATTTGGCCCAACCTGTACAGCTCTCATCATTCCATCTGTAACCTCACTTTCTTTGCAAGCCACAATCCTTTGAGGCTTATTTGATTCAGAAAAATTTCTAACACGGGTAGCCCAGATTTTTGAAACAAAATTATGTCTTGTGATGGCTCGACAGAATTTAGAACTGACTCTCCCCCCCCCCCTCCGTGAGCGAACAAAACCATTAGAAAAATCGCCATTTTTTGACCAAAAACCCACCCTCCGTGAGTGAACAAAAATTTTTTTAATAGAAAAAATTTTAATGGAAAAAAATTTTGATATATAAGTGATAATTAGTATAATGAAATCTAGAGCTAATTCTGTTTAATTTTAAACAAATTGCGTTTTAAAACATAAATTTTGCAAATTAAATTAATATTTGCTTCCCAATTTTTGCAAATTAGGATTTTTTTAAATTTCGAAAAAAATATTTTTTATAAAATTTATATATAAATTTTTTTTTAAAAAAAAAAAATTAACCCCCCTCCGTGAGCGAACAAAATTTTTTTGTTCGCTCACGGAGGGGGGGGGGGAGTGAGCATAATAAACCAATAATTAATATGGCCTTGCCACATTTCAGCAAGATAGCTATTGGAATTTAAATTAGTCGTTTCTAATAATAAGTTATGATGGATGTGAAATACAAAATTGAAATAAAGGGGATAGATGAGGACGAAAATATAATATCGACGGAAAAAATACGAGGGGAATCACCTTCTGTTGTAGATATTGAAGCTGAAGAACAAGAAGAAAAATCTCAGAAATCAGAAAAATCTCAGGATTCAAAATCTCAGAAATCAGAAAAATCTGAAGGCTCAAAATCCCAAAAATCAGAAAAATCCCAAAAATCAAATAAATTATCATCTCATGCTAGTAAACCACCTGATATTGAGCTTAACAATTCTCAAGACCTGGGCGAGGCAGCTCAAGGCCCAGAAAACCCTGAACAACCTTCTAACCTTGAAGAAAACTCAAAACAAGATGAGCCAAAGCCCCAGAGAAAAATCTATAACGCCTGCAACCTAAACAACTCCAATATCTATGAAGAAGATAAATCCAGGCTGGAAGAAGCTATTAAGGCTATAGAAAGCACAAAAGACACCGTTATGGAGGTTCTAAATCTATTCAGAGAAGAAGATAGCAAACTTTATAATAAACTAATCAGCAAAGGTGTTAAAGGCAAACACTTAAAGTTTTTGCTGTCAGAACTATATCTGAGGGTAAATAGTTTCCCTGAAAGTGCATTGATTTTTTTATTGAATTCATATGACGAAGCTGGCTTGGCGAGACTGTTTTTGTCATTTTACTTACTATGATTATTATAATGTTTCTCTAGCTAAAAGATTTTGAATTCTTAAACAATAAATTTAATTTATTTTTTAAAAAAAAATTATATAATTTTTATAAAATAATAAAAAAATCAACCCTTGGTTTTGCAAAATTTTTTGCTCGCTCACAGAGTTAGAATTTGATGCAAGTAATGATCGAAAAATGCAGGAGGACGAGCTGGAGCAGTGCATTGAGTTTTTAGGGCTGAAGGATTATATAGGAAAAGAAAAAATGATAGCTGCTTTGAAGATTATTGGTATAGACGCATCGAATAAACTTAGTTTTTTACAAGAAGGATCTGCTGCACAAAAAATCTTAAACGACGAAACTCGTAGCCATCTATTTCAGATTTTAAAAGTCAAAAAAGAAAAACCTGCTGAAGATGCCCCACAAAGTATTATGAACATTGGTAAAGCTCTGTTGTTTCTTGGAAACAATACTTCTGACGATTATGTTGATTTTCCCAAATTCTTGCCTTATCTTATAGCTTGTTTCTTAGAAGTGGAAATCAAGTCATTTTTCAAAAAACAGAACATGTTCCGTATCCATCTAGGATTTCCTTATAAAGTCCTTGACAATGGAAAAGTCAAATTTGACCCGAATGGGCAAGTAGGTGGCTTATATCGTACATTTATTAGTTACCTAAGAGGAGAAGCAGATATAAACAAAGAAGTCCTTACTTACAGAATTGTCTCTAAAGCCCTTATTGCTTATAGATCAGAAGGATACTGTGAGTCGATTACCCTCGAAGGGCTCGAAAGAATTCTAAAAAAAGTTAGAAACATGATGGATGTTGATTTAATTTCAGGACTTGAAAAGAAAAAATTTACCATGAAGCAAATTCTTCCTTTTCTCGCTGCACAGTTTGCCACTGAAAGCACATGAAATACAGTACAAGTCAAAAACACCATTGAAAAATATGACCATTTAGTTCATTGGGAAGGTGGTGGGAATATCTGCAAAATAAAAAAATCAAAAATCCATAAGCTTCTAGCAAAAGAAATAAGCCCTGATTCAAAAGTCCCAATTGATGTTTTGACTCTAGCGCTAAACAAAGTGCTTAAAAAATTAATTCCAACCCTTAATTCTTCGGCTTCTTATCATATAGTAAAACAGCTTTCAAAAATTGATGGAATCTATGACAAACCATCCAAACTTTTCTCAATGAAAAATATTTTTGAAGATGAAGACATATATGCCAGACTTCATGACTATACAATGAACACCAAATTAGACGTGTTTTTAGTAAACGTGCAGCACAAAGATGAGCTAAATTTATATAAATTATCAAGAAATTTAGACAAAGCTGAAGAAAAATTCCAGCTAATTTGCGATGGAAAATATAGGTTTGGAGCGGAATTAATAAATGCTATTCTGGATAAAGGCTTAAATAAAGTAGAAGAAGACAGTGAAAAACAGAAGGACGTACAGAGGAGATTTATGGTAGAAAAAGCATTGAGATTTTTATTTGACAGGCCTGACGATTACAAATCCCAAAAAACTGAAGAAAAAGAGGTGACAAAAGATTTGGAGAAAAATAAAAAAATAAGCAAAATTCATGAAGAAGATTCGTCAAAAAATAAAGCAAAAGAGCTGCAAAATGCCAATGAAAGACAAATGAAGCTGCAAGCGCAGTCTAATAAAATTGATAGACTTATCAGTGAGGTCGAAAACATAAAGCTGGCTAGAGCTTTAAATACAAGAGAAAGCAGCGCATTTCCGAATTCTAAAGAAGTCAACCCTTTAGTCCTGCTAAATATGATTGATGGTGCCAACTCTGACAGTAAAGATCTAAAAAAGCTTAAAGAATATTTAAAAGAAAACGAAGACCAACTCACTTATCAAGACGTAGCCAAATTTTTGACTATTGAAAGACTGAAAAAGACTAAATCAAAAAATGCCCAAAAACATAATCTTATTATAAATTCACAAAGCCGCTACCTTATAAACCAAAATAATATTGACGAATATTACGACAATTATGAAGACTTATCAGAAACAGAAGAAATTACCTCAGAAATCACTACAAAAGAAGAATCAAAAACTGAAGAAGACGAAGAATCAGACTCTAAAGATGAGTCAGTCGTAGAAGAAAAAAAAGAAAAAAAAGTCCGAAATATTCGTGATAATGATTTTAAAATCAAATATGTAATGGGAAGTCTATATGACGAAGAAAAAGTGAAAAATATGAAACTTAAACCTTCTCCAAAAGATGCAGAATTTAAACTGAAACCTACCCCATTATTTGAAAAATTAAGAGAACAGAACAGAAGTGTGTTCTCTTCTGACCCTGGCCAGCCCAAAAAAGAAAGCAAAATTGAAAAATCCCGAGGCTGCGAGTGCATATTATTTTAAAAATATTAATTTTAGCTATTTTTAATAGTGACAAAAATGGAACCTTCAACTAGAAATAATCCGCCAGGGCCTCCAAGAAACCCTTATGCAATTTCTCACGTAGGAGGCCCTTCTATAGTAAATAAAAGACAAGTAAATGTAATAGGCGCCACTTTTTTAATTGATGCCAGATATGAAGTTATAGGGACTGTGGGCAGTGGCGCTTATGGGGTTGTGGTATCTGCAAGAGATACTCTTACAGGCCAGCGCGTCGCAATAAAAAAAATCGAAAAAGCCTTTGAGCATTCTACGTTTACAAAAAGGACATTGAGAGAACTAAAAATACTGAGACTATTGGAGCATGATAATATTATGAGAATTGTGTCTATTCAGCTACCGCTTTCTAGAGAAGAATTTGACGAAATTTATGTAATAAGTGAACTTATGGAAACTGATTTAAGCTCTATTATTAAGTCTCCTCAGGTATTTTCTGATGAGCATTGCCAGTTCTTCTTATATCAAATCCTGATGGGCTTAAAATATATGCATAGTGCAGGAATAATCCATAGAGACTTAAAACCCAGAAACTTGCTGGTGAACTCAAACTGCGATTTAAAAATATGTGACTTTGGGCTTGCGAGGCCTATTATAAGTGATTTAAAAGTATCAGGAGCTCAAATGACTGATTATGTAGCTACCAGATGGTATAGAGCACCTGAGGTCCTTTTAGCGTACAAAAAATATTCATCAGCTATGGATATGTGGTCAGTTGGATGTTTATTTGGAGAATTATTATTAAGAAAACCTATTTTGCCAGGCAATGATTCTAATCATCAATTAGACTTAATATTCAATCTGATAGGAACACCTACTGATGAAGATATAGAATCCATCCCAAATCCTTTGTCAAAAGAAAAAGTTTCCAGATTAGCTAAAAAACCAGGAAAAAATTTCCAAACAATTTTTAGGGACGCGAATCCTGATGCTTTAGATTTACTAACTCCTCTCTGTTAGTGGAATAAAGCCATTGGAAAAATCTCTATTTTTTGGGGAAAATCCACTCTCCTTTGTGAGAGAACAAAAAATTTTTATGAAAAATTATTTTTATATATAAGTAATAATTATAATGAAATCTCGAGCTAATTTCAATTTTTTACATAAAATTTTACTAACTCCCCCCCCCCCCTCCGTGAGCGAACAAAACCATTAGAAAAATCGCCATTTTTTGACCAAAAACCCACCCTCCGTGAGTGAACAAAAATTTTTTTAATAGAAAAAATTTTAATGGAAAAAAATTTTGATATATAAGTGATAATTAGTATAATGAAATCTAGAGCTAATTCTGTTTAATTTTAAACAAATTGCGTTTTTAAAACATAAATTTTGCAAATTAAATTAATATTTGCTTCCCAATTTTTGCAAATTAGGATTTTTTTTAAATTTCGAAAAAAAATATTTTTTTATAAAATTTATATATAAATGTTTTTTAAAAAAAAAATTAACCCCCCTCCGTGAGCGAACAAAATTTTTTTTGTTCGCTCACGGAGGGGAGGGGGGGAGTAATCGAATTAATATTTGCTTACTCCCCCCCCCATCCTTGATCGAACGATTGACTGTAAAAAATTCCTAAAAATTGGGAAAATTAATCCCCATCCTTGATCGAACGATTTTGATATCATGCAAAATTTTATATATATATAAAAATATATTATTTATCAAAAGCTTGGGAAGATGTACATAATGAAGTTGTTTTCAGAGACTTTGAGACGACAGAAAGCTTCGGAATCAACCATTCGAAGTGATTTAGTCATCAATCAGGGCTTAAAAACTCAATAATCTAATAAAATAGAGATTCTTTAAAATTTTTAAAAAAAAATTTTAATTTATAAGAAACAAATTAAAATTTATACAGTTTAAAGGGGTAACTAATAATTAAAATATAAAAAATTGGTATTTTTATGAGATTAATTCAATTTTTTGCTGTAAAAATAATTATTAAATACTCTTAACACTCTTATTTAAAAGTAAATAAAAAAATATATATATATATATATATTTTATTTTATATATAAGATTTTTTTCCCAAAAAAATTTTTTTTAACCCCCATCCTTGATCGAACGATGGCGAGTCGTTCGATCAAGGATGGGGGGGGAGTTAAAATTATTCGAATGGGGGATTTTTTTAATTTTTAAAAAAAAATTATTACTACAAATTTATATATAGAAAATTTCCCATAGATGTCGCTGTTTGCCCTTGATTTGCCCATTGGGGGAATTGTTTGGTTCGACCAGTACCATATGGTTTGGTCAAACCAAAAAATATTCCTCATGGGCAAATCAAGGGCAAACAGTGCCATCTATGGGAAATTTCTATATACAATTTTTGAAAAAAAATTAACCCCCCTTTGTGAACTAAAAAATTTTTTGTGCGCTCAAGGAGGGGGGATTAAGAAAAATGCTTATTTTTAACCCCGAAAAGCGAATCACAGTCCAAGCTGCCTTAGAGCATCCATATTTAGCCACTTTTCACTGTGAAGAAGACGAGCCAACTACAACTCCTGTATCTATGTTTGATTTTGAGTTTGAAAAGCAGCCACTAATGATGAGGCAGCTTAAAGACTTAATTTACGAAGAAATTTTGCTATATCATTTCCCTCAAAAAAAGGAAGAGTATGAAAAACTTAAAGCAGAGTACGACAATCAGCAGCGCCAAGCCGGGAAAAGCATGCCACAAGAGTTTGAAGAAGAGGAAGAGGAAGAAGAGCTTAATTAATGTTATATAAATAATAAATATCGAATTATTCGATTTTTCTATAGTAAAATTGCTGAAATTTAAATAAATAGTTAAGATCATAAATATTGGTTAATTAGAAGCTGATCTTAGAACTGCATAAATTTGGTCTGGAGATAGCTGAGTTTCCACCTCTACAATCTTACTTCTTGATTTTTGTGTGCCTGGCTTGACTGAGACTTGCCTCTTTTTTACTCCTATTACTTGTGATAAATATTCACATAATTCTGTGTTGGCTTCTCCTTCTCTAGGAGGAGCTGCGACGCAGACACCTATATATTGGTCGTTTATGTCAGTGATGGTGCTTTGTCTTGCATTTGGTTTTGCTTGGACAGAGAGAAAAATAGAGTTTCCTCGCCTTGTAATACTGCCTGGAACGTTTGACTCCATCCTTAAAGTCTGAAAAACATATATGGAGGATCTAAATATGTGATTTTTTACCAATGTAAACATTAAATTTGTTTATAATAGAAAAAATATAAGGTATTGGCATTATTAAGCCAAAAAAATAATATATTAAATTATAATATATAAAAATAGGAGTTTTTATTTTAGACTTTATAAAGCAAAATCACTTTTGAATGGAGAGTTCTGGAAACTTATGTTAGAAGGCAAGTGAAGGAGGATTTTAAAATTGCAATAACTCTATTTTTAAATAAAGAAAAGCTGTTTTTATTTTTAAATATTCTAAATGCTTTCTATCTTTTTAAAAATTATTTTATGTTTTGTTTAAGAAATAATTTAAGAGAAATTCTCTAAGAAATTATATATTTATGCAGCAAAGACTATTGATTAGTGCAGCAGTTAAAACGTTCGAAGATTGAGTATCTTAATTTTGAATTTTTTAATAATATGATCAGATATTACTGATTTTCTCCATTTTTAAATTCATGATTACAAACAGATTACAAAGATCGGAACTATCCATTATAAAACATGTCAAAAGTCTTATTTCTGGTTGCCTTAGGAGTCTTCGTAGTTTCTGTACAAGCAGGTATTATCAAAGGTTATGGTGCAAACAAAGTCTCAGACTTTAAGAGTTCATACGAGCACGATGATAGGCAAAGATACAATGACGTAAAATGCGATGATAGATATGGCTACATGTCATTTTCTCTGACTTTTTGTTATTTCGTCGTATATTTTAGACAATTTTCCTTAAAAAATACCATCAAATTTCCCAAGCTCTGAAAAAAATTCGACAATTGTCCTGAGCAAGCAAAAATTGTAAAGCAAAAAAATGCACCTGATAGAGATGAACATCATGAATATGATGAGCATAATGAATGCGATGAAAGAGACGATCATAGATATGACCATGATGATAGAAACCATGGGTACAGCAATTACAGAGATGAATGTGGAGATGAAAGAAGACACGACCACGATGAAAACAGATACGACCACGATGAAAAGCTTTTTAACTACAGAGTTGAGAAAGATGAGCATTATTGCCATTAAGCAGGATCGTAAGTAACATTTTTGAAAAATAAATCTTTTTTTGGATAAAAATGGTAAGTTGAGAATGCTTATAATCTCTTAGATTTATTGTTACTAATTATAAGCTGAATTGTTGAGAAGCTTGTCTATTATAAGGCCTTTACTCCCTCGTTTTGCTTTACTGTTGCTTGACAGCAGCATGCAGCCTTAGTCTGTGTTGCTCATTTTTAAATAAGGTCTATGCCTGTGCCCTATGCACACATAACATAGGTTGCCTTTATGGGAATTCAAAATGGTCAGGTGTTGGCTAAAAATGGAGCTCAAATCCAAAACGCAATTTCTGGTATTTTCTCTAGGCAAATCTACCAATTGGCCAGGTGTTCTAGGCGCTTCTAGGAGAACCCTTTCCAACTTTGAGAGAAATCTGCCTCAAGATTAGACTCATAGCTGCCCATTTTAGAATTGCCTCACCCTGCCATGACCCCTAGTTGGATATAGAGGTTTCCTCTATATAGCGCTAAAAGCGCAGACATTTTCCCAGGAGCTTTCCAAGTTCGTCGGACCAAATCGCTTTTTGGTCCGACCAAGGCATTGATTTGGTGCAACCTACCGATAAATTCCGATCAGAATTTATCGGCCTTACAGCGCCAAACATAGGAAACTTCTATACAAATATTAGACGCCGCGCTCCTTCCTTAAGATCCTAGCCCCTAGCGACAACAGCTACAGAAATTAGAGTGTTTCAATTTGCCAATCGATTTATTTATATCTCTTATTTTCCATATTGCTAATAAGATCTCTATTTTTCATAATATCCCTATCATTTAAAATATTTATTGTTCTTTATTTTATAATTTTATCAGATTTTTAACTTTCAATCCAACAATTGAATTATTTCTCGAAATTTTAAAACAAAATTCATTAATATACATAAATTCTAGCATATAGCCCAAGCTCTTTTTAATTTAAAAAGCAGCACAAAATGTTACTATAAATCTTAAATATATTTTATTTCAATATATATAAACTAACAATTTAAAATTTTGATATTTATATATAAATAAACTCTATTAAAAACAATATTAATCCAGCAGAATATAATTTAAATAATTTTTAAAAATGATATCAATATTACTTATAGGACTTGATAACGCAGGAAAATCTACATTGATATCTCATGCCAAGTCACTTCCTGCTAATGGGATGTTTGAAATCACTCCTACAATGGGATTTGCAATTGAAGAAATTGCCATGCCAAGCGGCAATAAAGGAATTATTTATGACTGTAGCGGGGCGGCAAGATATCGAAATATGTGGGATCACTTTATAGGAGAAATCCAAGGAGTTATATACGTTATTGACAGTGCAGACAGAGCGCGATTGAGCATTGTAAAGAAAAACATTGAAGAATTTTTTAAGCATCCTTTACTTAAGAAAAAACCTATTGTATTTTTGGCAAATAAACAGGATTCTCCAGATGCTTTAAGAAAAGAAGACATTAAAAGAATTCTTAGAATAGAAAAAAAATCTCTTTCCAATCCTTTTTCTGTAAAAGAAGCAATTTCTGCTACTGGGATGGGATTAAACAACTCTTTAAGCTTCATTGAAAACAACTTACAAACCAAATTCGAGTACCACTTAAAGCCTCTATAATTAATATTATTTTTCTAGATAAATAAACTTCAGAATATACCATTACTCTATTATTTACTGATAGAATTATTCTATTGTGAAATCAAGCACTCTATGAAAAATCCCAAAAAATCTTCAAAAAAGTCATCCAAATCCAAAATCATTAAAAATCTGTCTTCCCCTGATATTTTGCATTGCCCGATCCCAGTTAAACCAAGCACGTATTTTACTTCAAACCAAAAAATAAATAGCAAGCAGATTCTTGACTATGACGCTTATAAATTAATGAGAGACGCGTTTAAATTAAGCCACAAAGGCGCCGTTATGCTGCGCAGGTGTGTTATTTATTCTGATATTTCGACCGAAATAAGACGGCTACCGCTTTTAACTCTTTTGACAGAAACTGCTGAAGAAATGGTGATGAATGACTTAGAAATTGCAGTGTGGAGTATCTACTTAAAAAGATTTGTATGGGACGACATAAATCAGCCTTTTAAAGCAATGCTTTATATATAGCCTAAGCCTCCTTTTGGCTCAGGTTATATTGATGTCTCCCGATATCGGAGGAGAGTTGGTTTTACCAGAAATGTTAGCAAAATCTGAGCCAAAAGGAGGATCGGGATATAACTGCTTTAGCAGTAAAATCCTATATGAATCTTTCAGTTCAGCCGTTTAAAGCTTATTTAGTTACCAAAATTCCCAATTTTTCTAATATATACAATTGTTGGGCTGGAAACAGAAAAAATGCTTTATCTATTTTTCCGCAAGAGCTGAATAGGGTGTATAAATCTTTGTCAAAGCCTGTGATTTCGCAAGATGATTTAAAACTGATTGACTATAATTATTATGTTGATGATATTTTGGAGCTTGCCCCTTCAGTCCCTCATAAGCCGCATAATGTTCTAGCTAAAGAAAAAGCTTTAGAGACTATAAAAGAAGTTCCTGAAAACTTTTTTATTAATATGGAGGCTTATAAAGAAATTGAGCCAACTGGAATTTTATTAGGAAAAAAAGACTCGATTTTTTCTCCAAATTTGAACTGTGAAACACCTACGCTAGCAACTTCATGAAGCTATATGTCAGCTGGCAGCAAAAGTGGTCAAGAAACTGCTTGCTTCGACAATTCAGATTCCGATGTAAAAAATCAAGGTAAGCATGATACTTGCTATGGAGAGCTCCCAGCTTTTAATCCCCAGCAATCTTTATTTTCATCATATTGGAATGCTGGGAAACTTCAAGAGGACGAAAAACATCATGATGAGGAAATTCCTATGTTTGCTAGCCAAAAATCACTATTTTCATCATTTTGGAATACTCAACCTACAAAATAATAAATTTTTAACAAAAATTATTAATTAGACTCTATTTCAGCAGATTCTTGATCTTTTGTAACAATTTGGTAAGCTTTAAGAGCAGCCTGCTGCTTTGCAAGTCATCTAGTTTTTGAATAGTGTGAGACTATTGGAATTTCATCAATATAAACCGTTGCTAAGCATCCTAAGTCTGTATCACTTTCTTCAATCCTAATTTTTTTCCTTGCTCTTTGCCCATATACAGACAATCTCGACCTAATATTTGGTCCACATTTTTCATTATTTCTAACAAGATGAATCATTGGCAATTTCAAAATTGAGCCAAAAACCTGACTTACCACTCTTAAAGATCCTGAGTCAATTAAAATAGCCCCAGCCAGAGCTTCAAAAATGTCGTTAACTCCCCCCCATTTAATAACGAACAAAGCCATCATTTTTTCCTAAAAATTTTCCTTAGGCTCCATTTAATAAGGAACAAAATTTACTATAAAATGTATATAAGCTAATTCAGTCTTTACAGTTTACTAATTTTAAGTAGTTAGAGTAAGATAAGGACAAGCATAACCGAGCAAAGAATAATAAATAAGAGCTAATAAGTTAATAGTGGCTTAATCTTAAGCTGCTGCTTTACTCCCCCTACGTGAGTGAGCAAAAAAATCTCGTTCACTCACAGAGGGAGTTAATTTTTTTTTGTAAAAATTTATATATATAAATTTTATAGAAAATTTTTTTTACGAAATTTAAAAAAATCCTAATTCGCAGAAGTTTTGGAAAGCAAATATTAATTGAATTTGTAAAATTTGTCTTTTAAAACGCAATTTTGTTTAAAATTAAACAAAATTAGCGAGAGATTTCATTATAATAATTATCGCTTATATATCAAAATTTTTTCCATAAAAATTTTTGTTCGCTCACAGCGGGCGAGTAATTTTTCTAGTGGTTTTGTTCGCTCACGGAGGGGGGGAGTTAGCAATAGTTATCTTTTCGCCTGCATTTAGGCGCTTTCTCTTTCTGTTGCCATCATTTGACTCCTTTTATTATTAACCCTTTAATTGAAATTTTTATGTAAAAAAAAAATCATAGATATTTAAATATAAATTTTATTTTTTTCCAAGGAGACCCCATTTAATAACGAACAAAAAAAGTGTTCGTTATTAAATGGGGGAGTAAGACATTTTGGAGGATCGTCATCATAAGCCCCAAAATTGCATATATCCTCATCCCATGTCACTGTATCCAGAAACTTATCAACAATTTCTGCTTGACATAAATCACACTTCAAAAACCTATAAAGCCCCAATGAAATTGCCAGCTTTGAAAGCACATTATTATTAGCAATAATATGCTTAAAAGTCGTCAATTCTTCAGCATTAAAATTCCCCATCAGAAAAGTATTAGAAACCACTATTAAATCCAGCAAAGAGTCACCTAGAAATTCAAGTCTTTCATAATTTGTTTTATTTTCTTGTGAAGCATGAGTAAATGCTTCAAAAAGTAAAGACTTGTCTTTAAATTTGTACCCAATGATGTCTTCTACCATTTCTGGGGTCTCAAAAAGATCTCCACAAGGATGTTTTTCTGACATAGGAGGTATTATGTCACCAAAACTCGGATTTTCACATAAAATGTCAGAGCTTATCATATCAATATCAAGCACTGTGAGTTTTTCATTATCAAAATACTGAAGGGTATAAGCCCAATTCTGCTCTTCTTCTGGTAGCACGTCAAGCTGGTATACAAATTTTGCTGAATTTAGCATGCCTTCTCCCATAAAAAAGGCGCCAATCAATGATTCAACCATGTCAGCGAGCTGCCCATCTGAAATTCTTTGTAGGACTTGGTCTGTTTCGTCTTTCCCATTTTGCCCTTCATAGTATGGAGGTCTGAGCTTTATATATTTAAGCTCCCTTGTCCTCAAATAATTTTTGAAATCGTGGCGCTTAGCTATTTTACTGAGGTAATCATTTTTTATTTTTTCTGTGCGTCTTCAGGTCAAATAATGTTCACGGTCTTTTTCGTATTTGGAGAAAAAGTGAAGGGATGCTATAACTTTTAATATTACATCTCCTAAATTTTCAAGGGCGTCGTAGTTGCTATCATTGTCTAGTGAAGGGGCTGTCAGGCCATTTCTTAAGTAGGTAAACGAGCCTGTGTAGTTGTAAAGTTTAGCGAACTGAATAATATAAGAAACACTTTCAAGAGAGCTCAACATGACTAGAAGATGTGTAGCTTCTTCATATTGGACACTATTTAAGTAAAATATTTGCATTTCATCTTCAGAAAGAATTTGATAATTATTAGGAGACTTTGTGGTCGATGTAACAACTCTAAGCATTCTTCTTACAGGCTTAGCGTTTTTGGCAATGATAAATGGCTTGTAGTTATCATTATTTCTCTTCTTATCAATCATAGCTTTTACCAAAATCCTTCTATCAGTAACAGTATTATTTTCATTATTTACTACAACAGCTTGGTCAAAAATTTCATTTAAAATTTTTTCAGTCTCCTCATCAGGCATAATTGTTTTGACATACTGTAAAAAATGCCTTTTCTTGACACTCTGGTACATGTAATTTGGCCTATCATTTATAGAGATTTCTCTAATAGTTTTTAACTCTTCATCATACAGCGCATTTTTTACTCTATCTCAGTCAATTCTTTTCTTTTTTACAGGAACTACCAAGTAATTCGCATTGGAAAGGTTTCCATTTTTGACTTGAAGCACTTGAAAAAGATCACACCACATAACATGCTGGAACTCTCTCAAAGAGTTTAACTCGCTGCTCCACAGCTTTCGTTTCTTTACAAACTGAATAAAGTCAGGACATGGCTTAAATTCTATTGGGAATAATATCCCAAACTGTGAAATTTCAAAAAATTTATAAAAATACACTTCATACTTACTCCCCCCCCCCCCCCCTCCGTGAGCGAACAAAAAAATTTTGTTCGCTCACGGAGGGGGGTTAATTTTTTTTTTTAAAAAAAATTTATATATAAATTTTATAAAAAATATTTTTTTCGAAATTTAAAAAAATCCTAATTTGCAAAAATTGGGAAGCAAATATTAATTTAATTTGCAAAATTTATGTTTTTAAAACGCAATTTTGTTTAAAATTAAACAGAATTAGCTCTAGATTTCATTATACTAATTATCACTTATATATCAAAATTTTTTTCCATTAAAATTTTTTCTATTAAAAAAATTTTTGTTCACTCACGGAGGGTGGGTTTTTGGTCAAAAAATGGCGATTTTTCTAATGGTTTTGTTCGCTCACGGAGGGGGGGGGGGGGGAGTTAGCACTTTTTAAAAGAAAAGGCTGGGATAAAATATCTGCATAGCTCCTTATATTATAAGTCTCAAATGATTCAGTCTTCAGCTTTTTCGTTGGATCTGCATCAATTTCCATGTCCATTTTGGTGTGTTGTTTATTATAATCATGGAAAATTTAGACGAGTTAGACAATCTAGCTGAAAAATATTAAAATTTATAGTGAATTTTCCTTAAAAAAAATTATAGAAAAAAAAGGAAAAATACATATAAATTTGTATATAAATCTGAAGGAAATTTTGTAGAGGCTTTAAATGTTGTAGAAGAAGGCTTAAATATTAGAAAAACCAGGTTTGGGGATGACAGTCTCGAAGTAAGGAAAAGCTATATCAAATTGTGTGAACTTTGCAACATTCTTGCAGCTTATTATCTCCAAAGAGATAATGCTGATTTAGCTTTTGATTTATTGAAAAGAGCTGAACTTTTGTGTGAAATGGACGAGCATACGAAGGCTGTAACGTATAATAACCTAGCCTGCTACTACAGGAAAACTGGAAAAGCAAGAGTAGCTTTAACGTATTTAGGTAAAGCTTTAGTAATTGATAATGATCAGCCAAACACTCATTTAAACTTGTGCGCGTCTCTTTCACAGATTGATAGGCATGAAAAAGCATTAGGCCATGCAATGCAGGCTATTGTATTCTTTTTTATTTTTAATTATAGATTATAATTTGCTTACTCCCCGCCTCAGTGAGTGAACAAAATCATTGGAAAATCCCCACCCAACTTGACTGAACAAAAAAAATTCTATATATAAATGATATTATTTATAATTAAATCTCAGTCTAATAATGTTTTATTTTAAACAGCTTGCATTTTTTAAATATAAATTTTACCAAATAAAATTAATATTTGCTTTAATATTTTTGCAAAATGGATTTTTTAAATTTCGAAAAAGAAAAAATTTATATATAAATCTTTAAAAAAAATTAAATCCCCTCATGTGCAAACACAAAATATTTTTGCTCGCTCATGGAGGGGGAAGTTATAAGAAAAAGAAAATAAATATGGATTATAAGATACTTTTACAAGATCTTTTTATTTCCTCTCTACAAGCCAATACAGGCTTTGAAGAGCATGCCCATGAGCTTGCTATTGCGTACCACAATATGGCAGTAGAGCTTGAATACCTAAAAAGAACTAACGAAGCTTTAAGAATGTACCAAAAAGCTGTAGAATTTGCCCAGAAATATTTGCCTGAGGATCACCCAATCAATGTAAACGCCCAAAGAATGCTATATAATGCTGCAAAAGATGAAGAAGAACATAGAGAAAAATTGTTGAACCGACGAGAATGTACATCAAAAAACAACTTTTATAGTATACTATTATGCCTAAAATAGCCCATAGATCTCCATTAGTCAGCCCAGGGCTATTTTTAATTATTTTTGTATAAAAAGTTGGACAGAAAAGAGTCAAGAAGAGAAATTGATGAAGACAAAAATGCAGAAATGAAAAGAAAAGCATCGTCAACTGACCCAGGAGTAAGGTTTGGGCGGGACTATGAAAGAGGAAATGAAGGCCGAAAACCTAATTTAATTGAAATATAAGTATAATCTTCAGGAAAAATTAAAATGGAATCTGATTTGATAACTTCACAGACGTTTATAGACCTCGGGATTTCTAAAAAATTCATTTTAGACGCTCTTGAATATTTTAATTTTCAATATTCCACCCAAGTCCAAGCCCAAGCTATTCCTAAAGCTTTATCAGGCGAAAATTTAATTGTCCAAGGCAGAAGTGGGACAGGGAAAACTTTAGCATTTACTTCAATTTCTTTAGAAGCCATAAACCCTTCTGAAAATAAGCCTCAAGCCTTAATAATAACCCCAACCAGAGAGTTAGCGAACCAAATTTTTGATTTTCTCAATGAAATGACCTTTACGTCTGACACTCCAATATATTCATTAATGTGCTGTGGAGGCTATTCAAGAGGAGACACTATAAAATCTCTTAATCAAGGCATTCACATCGTGGTGGGAACATTAGGGAGAATAAAAGACATGATCACTTATAATTATCTTTCTGTCGAATTTCTAAAAATTCTTATCATGGACGAAGCTGATAAAATTATATCAAGCTGCAGCTGACTTTTTCAAAAAATCCCTAAAAATACCCAAATTTTGGCATTTTCAGCGACTTATTCTGAACAGTCTTTATCTCAGCTTAAAAAATATATTGAAAATCCTCAAATTATAAAATGTCAAGAAAATGATACAAAGTCAAAAGAACTGAAAGAATTTTATGCAGAAAGTGACGCGACTATGCAGGCAAAAGTAACTAAAGTTTTGCATATTTTAAATACAGTGCCTTTTCATCAAGCTATTATTTTTTATAATAATAAAGGATCAGGAAATGATATGGCAGCTAGATTAAGAGGGTCAGGGTTTCCTTGTTTATTTATATCAGGGGATATGCCTCAAAATCAAAGGATTGAGGTTATGAGGTCATTGAGGTTTTTAGGGATCAGGGTTATGCTAAGCACAGATTTGGTATTTTTTATATAGACTAGTAGAGGAATTGATGTACTTAATGTAAATTTGGTCATAAATTATGACATCCCAGACAGATCTGACATATATATCCACAGAATAGGCCGCGCCGGCAGGTTTGGGACGCCTGGAATTGCAGTTACCCTGGTATCAGGGCAGTCTGATATAGAAAAACTGCAAAAATTCGCAAACCCAGAAAATTTCGATTTTTTTACAAAGGTAAGAAAAATATATAGGAAAATTTTATACCAATTGAGCTATTAGAAGACGAAAAAGAAGCCTTCAAAAAAATCACTAGCGATGGGAAAGAATGGGTAGATGTTCCTATTGAAGCATCAATTGATAATAAATTTACAATTCCAATTGATATAGAAGAAGATGAGTGGGTAGATGTGACAGCTGAAGAATCAATTGAAAAAAGGTTCACAATTCCTATCACTCTAGAAGATTTATCAAATTTATCATGCAGCTTGTGCGCTGAACTTGGGTTTTCCACACATTGCCACTGCAATACATGCAAGGAAAATTATAAAATTTTTATTAAATAGAAAAATTAATAGAATTTATTTTTAATTTATAGAAAATTAGATAATAGAGCATATATTTATATTACTAAATATTTAAAGCCAGAATAAAACATAATATAAGCTATTTTCTTGTAAGCTTATTATTTCTTGAGTATTTTTTAGTCTTCAGCCCCATAGCTATGCTTATAATAGCATTCAAGGTATTGTCTTCTTGCATTTTTAATGATTTCTCTATTTCTTGATTCTCTGGTTGCTTCATATTGACTGTAAAGTTCTCTACAAGCTTCTATCGGTTCGGAATCTCTTGATAGAGACCCAATAATATATGCTCCTCCCCCTAGAAGTATTAATTTTCCGCCTATAAATGTTTTTATTTTTATTTATTTTTATAATAGTAATCTATACATATTTTTTTAATAGATAATTATAAAATTTTTTATATGAGGATTAAGGCAGCGAAACCTGAAGCAAATTTAGTAGCCATTTTATTATAAACATTTTAAAAGCTCACAAGCATGAAATCGCAGATTTAAATTAAAAGCATTTGCTGATCAAATAATTATGTATTATAATGGTCTTTTTGTCAGTACTTCATTTCCTGTTTCTGTTATCAAAATTGTGTGTTCCATTTGTGCTGAAGGTCCCATAGTCAGGTCTACGATTGTCCATTTGTCTTCCCATTGGCCAAGTTCATAATTTGCGTTCATCATTACTATTGGCTCAATTGTAAATGTCATTCCTGGCCTCATAATTGTCTCGACTACGTTTTTATTGAACAATACAGGTGGAGGAATATGCATGTGTCTTCCAATCCCATGTCCGCAAAACTCTTCACATATAGCAAATCCTCTGTCATTTACATATTTTTCGATGACTTCTCCGACCTTATTTATAGGAGTTCCTGGTTTACAAATTTTGGGTGAAATTATTTTTTTTTTTTTTTTTTTAATTTAAAAAAAGCATTTAAAAATATATTTAATTAAAAATTTTGATGGCTTCAGCCACAGATTCCCTTGTTGTATTTACCAATCTAATTATTTCTTCTGGATGAGAATTTCCTATCATAGCCATATCACTATTATCTCCATAAACTCCATCAATTCACGTCACTACATCAAAATTGATAATGTCCCCATCAGCGAAAGGCCTTACATTAGGAATTCCATGGCATACAATTTCATTAGGACTTATACATAAACTTTTAGGGAACCCCATATAATAAACAGCAGCTGGATAAGCGCCTTGGGAAATGATATAGTCATGGACCACCTTGTCGATGTCTTCTCCAGTAACCCCAGGTTTAGCATAATCTAAAGCTACTTGTAAAGCTCCTGCAGCAATTCTGGCGGCAAGTCTCATTTTTTCGATGGTCTCAGAGTTGTGAATTTGCAGTTCATGGCTGTCATTTGTTGAGACAAATTTTGTTTGGCCTTTAGATTCAAAATAAAAAGGCTTTGGGATATTGGCGGGGATAGGGTGGTGAGGCAGGACTTGGTACTCGCCCATTAAGATAGGTTTTTGGAAGAACTTAGGCTTGTTAATAAAAGACCATGGGAATTTCATTTTTATTCCTATATTCTCATACACAGAATAATCCTGCTTTTTCTAATAAAAAAAAATAAATTTTTTTTATTACTTTCTGTGTTTTTTAGAATAAAATATGAGGAAATCCTGTGATCACACAATTGTTAATAATGACTCTAAATAAATTAATAATTACTCACACGCAAACTTATAATCGAAGCTGGAAAGTGCAACCCCAAAAGCTTGTAGCGGTGAAAAAGGCCATTGGAAGTCCATGTTAAAGTTTTGGTCCCCAACCCTTCCAAATTGCATATAAACTTTATTTTCGTCTCTGTCATCAATAAGCTGGAAATTTTTTACTGATGCTCTATAGTATTTTCCCTTATATTATCTACAAAAACATAGGCTTTTTTTCTTACCAGACAATTAAATGTAAAATTAGTTATCAACTCTTCCATTGAAATTTAACACAAATGCTTGGACATCTACTTATCAATTACGTTCATTCCATTTTGGAGGCTTATTAAAGAAGCAAAACATCCCTGAGGTGTTTCCTGCGTTATATTGTTTAAGCATGCCGTCATCTTTCTGCTATAAAAATTACATTCATAGGTTTCCACACATAGTGATCCCCAGCGTTATTTACAGCTGGTATTAAAACTCTCATTTTTCTAGGTCCTTTGGAACCAAGAATATTTGATTGCTAAATATCATTTACATATAAAACAATTCCTAGTTCTTCTCTAGCGTTCATAGGGTTTGCTCCTTTATGTTTAGGATTAATGCCAGTGTCAAACAGGTGGAATTCAGTTCCAATGAAATTTGAGCGGACTTTTCCTATATCATTTTATTATTAATTTGTACTACAAAAATCAGTTATATTTTTTTATATAAAAATAACCAATTTTTATATAAAAAGTATAAATATGATGGAGATTTTACTGAAAATTCTTTTTGGTTGCTGGTTATCATATAATTTGAAGTTCGGTTTCCTCCTCTTTTTTTGCCTGCAAGCAAAAAGGTCATCCCATCTGATATATGCAAATAATATTTCGGGTATAGTCTTCCAAAGCCTGCTTTTTCTCGTCTGATATTGCATTGGAGCATTATTCCTCGAGGGATTGGATTTGTCAGGAATTTTTTCATATCAGTCATTTCTTGGGCAAGATTAAGATTAAGATTAAGGGGCTTAAAGTCTTCCAGATTTGATGCCTCCGCACGCTTTCGACAGCCGACACCTGCTTGCCAGGGTGCCCATCAGCACCTGTGGAACGTCTGTCTTCTCTCGGAACTGGGCTTGCACAGTCTACCCTGAGTATCGACGGGTTAGAAAGACTCCTCTGTGCTCCACGTCATTAGGCCGCTTTGGAGGCAAAGGTTAGCCCAATGCCTCCTGTCGGTCACCCTGAGGTCAGGTGACGGCCAGGTAAAAAGACTACGGCCCTCCGGAACCGGTAGGGAAAGAACCCGTAGCCAAAAACCATCCGGATAATTAACACTTCGGACTGGAATGGCCACCAGCTGACTCCCAAGGTTTACCCACCCCATACGGCCGCTCTAGGCAAGCTAAGGGTTAGAATTAAAGGGCCTGAACCTTGGTTTAGGCTATAAAGCCATTTTGGCGCCCAGAGTGGTGCGACCTCCGTCAGGACATATTTCGTCGCCACCACCATATTAATTATTCTTGGGCAAGGACTTCACGGACATTTATGTTTGGCTGTCGAGGGATTTGTTGTTGGCGGGCTGAGTCAGGTCTGTTAAGAGGGTGAGTAGGCGCTGGAGGCTCTTGTCGTTCATCTTGACGCTTGCCTTCTGGCTGACGATTGCCATCTGGGGTTGGTTTTTCTATTTGAGCAGGGCGCTGTTCTTCTCTTTGAGGCGGTTTGTCGTCTATTGACTGCCGTTGTCTATTTGGCTCATTTGTAGGTGTCCTTTCATTTTGGTAGCGATCAGGCTGGGTTTCTTGAACTGGCTGTTTAGGTGCCTGAGGAATAGCTTGCTCAGAAATGCTAACAGGCTTTGCTGCATCAAAAGGGACATATTTTGGCTCAGCTGGGACAAACTTTTCAGTTGCGGTTGTAGCCCGAGTATCAGGCTGAGTAAATTGACCGTCATTTGGCCTCTCATATGGCGCTGGAGGCGGATTTTTGGACTCTTCTAGCTGTTTGTGGATTCCTTGTAGCGTTTTACTTGGTGTATGTCTTGACCCTTCATCAAGTTTTACTTCTTCAAGCTCATCGTCAGCTTTAAACACAGTCCTATCAGCCTTTATAGGTGCCGGCAAATTATCAGTTTGTTTAGCTTTTATAGGGCCAGGCTCATATGCGAAATTTTTAGGTGCAGTAAATCCTCTTAAGTCTCGATTGGCGTTTATAATTTCTAATATAAAATTATCATAAAACTGCAAAAAACTGTCTCTAATTTTATTAAAAAATAAAAAAACCTGTAAAATTCAGCTTGCCTATTCTTTGCCAATAAAAATAAATCTTTTTCATTAAAAATTTGGTTTGAATATAAATAAGATCCTATCCCACTTTGCTGCTCTAGCCCTTGGGCAACCATAGAGCTTACACCAGGCATAAACATATTGCTTGATTGCACTTGAGTAGTTCCAGACGATCCGCGGCTTATTAATTTGTTTCGTTGCATTTCTAGCATTTTCGCTCGCATTTGGGCATTGCTGCTGCCTGGTCTTGCTGAGCTTGTATCAGGACGTGGTTCTTGTCGTTCAGGCTCTTCGTAGTTGACAAAGCCAATTTTCTCGCTATTTTCTTTTTTTACAGGCTGGAAAGTTTGTTTTGGTCCTCCCATCCCATCAATGACGTAGCCGCTCGTAACAAATTCGCTTGGCTGGGGTGGATAATAGGTAGGTGGGGGTGGGTTGGTGTAAAAGTGGCTTTGCTCGACTGGCTGAAGGTTTTGATACCTAATCTATATTCTGATTAATAACTATTATAACAGAAAAATTATGATTTATTTATCAATTTTTTTTTATTGATTAGAATGAGTTAGGCTTTTCTTCATATTCAAAATCTCTATCGATTTGAGCAGGCATAAACGAATCAGCAGGCTGTTGATAATAAGGAGGAGTTCCTGGCTCTTCTGGATCTGAAAAGCTATCTGAATCTTCTAACTCCCCCCCAAAAAATTTTGTTCACTCATGGAATGGGTTAATTTTTTATATAAATTTTTTTTTCAAAAAAACTCACTTCTATAAAAATTGGAAAGCAAATATTAATTTAATTTATAAAATTTATTTTTTAAAACGCAATTTGTTTAAAATTAAACAGAATTAGCTCGAGATTTCATTACACTAATTATCACTTATATACCAAATTTTTTCCATAAAACGTTATTAAAAAAATTTTGTTCACACACGGAGGGTGGGTTTTTGAGCAAAAAATAGGGATTTTCCAATGGTTTTGTTCACTCACAGAGGGGGGGAGTAAGTATTCACGCTGAAACATTTTTTATAAATTAATGAAAGAAATTTAAAGTAAAATGAATAATTTAATATATACTCCTAATAAAGTTTGCTTAGATATCCTATATTTTTTATTTTATCTATAAATAAATAGAATTTTAAATTTACTATATTTAAAAATATATTAAATATGAATATATTTTATCGATTCTGTTACAAAAAGCATGTCTCAAATATGGTTAATTAATATATATTGTCATCTTTTTCGTCAAACTTTATCATCACCTTTACATTATTTCTTGAATTTCTAGCTGGCCTATACTGGATAGCTGGTATCTGTGGACCTTCAATAGTAAAACTTTCCCCCTCTTGATTTTCACCTGAAATAATTTTTAATGTCCCTGCTTCAATGTCTAAAACAACACACAGCTTTGAAATGCCTTTGCCAAGCCCATAAGAATACAAACACCCTACAATATTTTTATGCTTACTCCCAATTCTAAGAGAATATAAAGCATTGAGAAAGTCATACCCCTCTTCATGAGGTAATTTTTTTTTAAATATAATATAAAATATTTGGCATATAAATAACGATTAATAATTCTCTTAATTTATATAGCTACATTTTTAAAGCATAAATTTTATTTTTATATTTCATTTTAGTCACATTGAATGATAAAACTTTAACTCCTACAGTCAGAAAATATTTTCCCCCTACTAAAGGGTGGAAGTTAGGCGAAGACACTCCAATTTTTAATTGTCCAGATTTTTCGTCTGTAGAAAAAATTGCATTAGAAATTACCTTGATTTTCCATATGTGCTTTCCAAAATAATAAGGGTACTGGGCAAGAATAATCCCAGCCCTTTCGAACTGGACTCATTTTTCATCTCCACGTTTATTGATTATTGCAAGATTTTTACAGATATTTTCATCAATGTCTTGCAAGTCAAAGGTGGAAACTGAGGTAATTTCGCTTCATGGGCTTTGTTTAGTATCTTCTTCTGATATAGCAGCTACTCGAAACCTATAGGTGGTTTTTGGGAGAAGATCAGTTATAATACAAGTGTGGGCTTCTCCTTTATATACCTGTCGAAATTGTTCAACGCCACGGACTTTGCTTCCAACGCCATATTCTAATGAATAAATGCTTTTTCCTGAAGTATAAGTCCAGGAAAGCTTGATTTCTGAAGAAGTTTGCTGTTTCAATATAAATTTCCTAGGCTCTGACGGGTCGGAATTAGTAAGATCTGTATTTGTGTTATTTCCTACATATGAAAAAGGATTTGGGCTAGAAATATTGCTTCTTCTGTAGTTTGAAATAGAATTTAGCGGAGACTGAGTATTATTTAATGAAGGTTGTGGAGATGGGAAGCTGGAATATCGGTCCTGAGCAGGAGAATTATTTATTTCAAAAAAATTCCCTGAATTTATTCCTTTTAAAATCGCTGATATATCAATGCTTTGAAACTGGGCATCTACACTGCTCATATGAGATTCAGAGACTGACAAAGAATGGTCAATCATTTTACTTAAATATTTAAGGCTTTCAAGCATAGCACTTTTTGGGAGCTCGACTGCAGTTTCTATTAATTTTACTGCAGCGTTGATGCTTAATAATTTTCCATTAATTTCTTCTCGATTGAAATTAAGCTGCTGGATTTTTTTTTCGTTAAAATTATTGATTTCGTCTATGCATTCTTCTTCTTTTAGCTCAATTGCGCGTTTAGCTATTTTAAAAGCTTCTTTTATTTTATTTATCGCTTCATTTTTAGCGTATTCTATGTCAGGCTCTAAAACTTCAATATCATTTAGTTCAAAAATAAGTTTTTTTCGGAGTTTTTCTAATTTATTTTGTTTGCTTTTAATTTCATGCAAAGTCTCTGAAAAAGCGTCTTCAATTTTTAATATTGGGTGGCTACTATGCATAGATAAGCAGTATTTGCATATTGATTTTCAATCTTCTGTACAAAAATAAGCCAAATTTTCCCTTACTCCCCCCCATCCTTGATCGAACGATTTTCATATTATGCAAATTTTTATATATATAAAACTATATTAGTTATCAGAAGCTTGGGAAGATGTACATAATGAAGTTGTTTTCAGAGACTTTGAGACGACAAAACGCTACGGAATCAACCATTCGAAGTGATTTAGTCATCAACCTAGGCTTAAAACCTCAATAATCTAATAAAATAGAGATTTCTTTAAAATTTTTTTTAAAAAAAAAATTTTTTTAATTCAATAAGGAACAAATTAAAATTTATAAAGTTTAAAGGGGTAATTCATAAATCAAAATATTAAAAATTGGTAGTTTTATGAAATTAATTCAGATTTTTGCTGTAAAAATAATTATTAAATACTCTTAACCCTCTTATTTAAAAGTAAATAAAAAAATATATATATATATATTTTTTATTTTATATATAAAATTTTTTTTTCCCAAAAAAATTTTTTTTAACCCCATCCTTGATCGAACGATAGCGAGCCGTTCGATCAAGGATGGGGGGGGAGTTACACTCTTTTTTATTTTTTTTAAAAAAAAATAAATTTCCTAGCAAAAATTAAAATAATTTTTTTAAAGAAGTTATGGAATTCGCAGTAATTAAAATTCGTGATTTTTGATAGCTTAATAGGTGCTTGCGAATGTGATTTATATGCTCCTAAAGAATGAATATAGCTATAGCACTCACTGCACAGTAATATTTTGCATGTTTCACAGCTAGTTTTTGCAGGTCTTGTAGTGCATCTTTCACAATTCAAAGGATCTGAAGTTTCCTCCAAAGCAAGCAAAATTCAGTTATGTGTGGTTTCGGACTGTGATATGCTGATATTACATAATGGGCATGAATTTCCAATATGACTAAAACACACCGAACTGTAGCAGCATGGCAAAATTGTGGGGTATATCTGTATTTGATTACAAACTGAACATTTTATTTCCTGTTCCATTTATTAAATTAACACAAAGCAAATATAATTATTTTAATTCTTGCTTCTTTTTATTCTTGAGATTAGTGTCTTGCATTTTTTACAATGGTAAAGAATTTCTTGGAATTCCCCGCTCCCATAGCAAGTTCTGCAGCATAATTTTTGCCAGCTAAATAAAAATTACAATGATATTGATGGAAATTTGAACTTGACTGTAGTATTATCATTGAAATATTTTATATAATAATTTTTTTGTATTAAGACGATTTTTTAAGTGGCAGGCCTCAAAATATTAATTTTAAGACCCCAAAAATGGCTTGAAAAGGGTAAGCATTTGAGAAAAACATGCATAGAGAATAGAAACTTCGCACTCACATTTAGGGCAAAATCCTTTAGAAGTTACATAATTCATCGGATCGCCATGAGCTGCACAAGTTTCTTGCAGATTGGGCTTGTCCCGCTGTGAATCAGGCTCATTTTCGTGGGTGCTTAGAGTAGGCTTTGTGTTAGCTGAGTCTTTTATTTTTTCTGATATTTTTGAGACGGTTTTATGTGTGATATAGCTTTTAGTTTCTGTGATTAATGATTGCTTACTCCCCACTTTAAATTGGAGCAAAAACACTATTCCAATTTAAAGTGGCTTAATTTTATTTGAAAAAAATTATAAATTTTATAGAAATAATATTTTTAATTTTAAATTTGGGTAAAAATAAAATTTTATCGATATTCTGTTCCAATATATAGGGCAGGAGTTAATAGAGTTTTTTGTGGAATCTTGGGCAAAGGATTTCAAAGGCTCTTGGCATTTTTCAGCGTCTTCGAAATCGGAATCACTGCTCAGGATTTCGCCTGAGTCATAGGTGAAATTTAAATCTAAACTTCCTACTCCATGATCCCAAAAATCCAGAGATGTTTCAAGCCTTGGTAACCCATCAGCAGGAACTTTGTTTAATGCTGACACAAACGGCTGGGTTTTATTGAGATCGTTGATGATCATTGTCGGTTGCCTTGTATGAGAACTCTCTGAGTTCGCGCTTTCGCTGGACTCCAAGTATGTATCTACTTCTTTCTGAATAGCTACTTCTTTTTGGTCTTTTTCTTTTATTTTATCCTTATTTCGATAAGATCTTTTTGGCTCCAAATGCAGAATTGCATTTCTTGCATATGCCAGATTTTTCATTTTGGATTAAAAATTATTAACCTTAGCATCAGTATTTAATAATTGAAATTCTTATAAATTTTATATTATCCATACAAGATTTTAAATTTAGTTTATTTTTCTATTATAGGATAATGCAAAGATGAATATATAATAGAATGTTGCAAGATTACTAACTCCCCATCCCATTTAGTTTGTAATAAAAAATTCTGTCCCAATTTAAAAAGGGTTTATTTTTTGTGAAAAAATTAATATAATAAAAATTTTTTTTTATAAAGAATTTTCATTCAAAAAATTAATCTATTCAAAATTCCAACTGTGTATATAGCAAACTACACTACTTGAGATCCCTCATTGAATAAGGAAAAAGCTATTTATATAAAAATCAATATTTTTATTATAAATTTTACATTAAAAAATTTAAATTTTGTTATAATTTAAGGAGTTTGTTTACTAAAAAATGGCAATTTTACAGCTGTTTTGTTGCAATTTTAAAGGGGGAGTAAATGGCTATATATAATCCAATAATTTATTCGAAAATTTCCTTAATTATGGTGCATTGGGAGTTTTTGGGCACATCTGTGCGGCTCTTAGTGGACGCTCGGCTTCGTATTTTCAGATTCTGACATATTGTCTATTAGGGACATATACTGGTTCTTAAAAAGGCCTAGGGTATCATATAATGAAGTGCTGGAAACAAGATTGCATAAAAGAATCCATATATTTGTGTCAATGCTCTGAACAAGGAATTTACTCATGCGAAACTCATTATATTGACCATCTGCAACTTAACATCCAACAAAGACATCTGCCTCAGCCTCTAAAATTCAAGCCAAGCCAAAATGCAAAGCAAGCTCTTTGCTCTTATCTTAAAAGTAGGAACGCAGAGTTAAATACCCTTCAATCAGAAGCAATTAGTAAAATATCCCAAAAAATAAAGAAACTCAACACTCAATTAAAAATAGCAATTGATGAAATTACAAGAGTAAAAAAAGAAAATCAAGCATTGATAGCCAGAATTGTCCAGGCTGAACAAATATCTCTGCACGATGACTTGGCAAAGATTTTAGCTTTAGACCCTGATGAAGCCATTGAAATTATTCAAGATAATATTTGTAGAATTGATATTCGAAAAATTCCTAAATATATTGAATGCAATTTAGATACTTTTGATTATTCAATTAGTGGAAATGAAATCGATATTTTTCGTGATAATTCAAAAATGTTATTAAGAGTAAGTCTGGAAGATCTTACAATTAAAGAAGCTGAAATAGCAATGAACCAAAATACCAATACTCATTTATCAATTTGTAAAATCTCAAATAGTAATCTTATTTGTATTGGAGGTTACAATCCTTATACTTCAACAGCATTTATGATATATCCTGATAATAGCATTAAATATCTTGCTAATTTATCACAGCCATGCGGATTCTCAAGTGCTATTTATTATAAGAATGAAGTATATGCATTTGGTGGTTACAATAATAGTGGATACGTAATGACTCCTGAGAAATATAACATCTCAGAAAATATATGAAAGCCTCTCCCTAAAATTAGTGTAGGCGCAAATTGTTGCACCGGCTTTGTTTATAAAAATAAGATTTTCTTTGCAGGAATTCAACATTCAAAAGTTTATATTTACGATATTCAACAAAATTCATACTCAGTAATTCCAATCGGGTTAAATCCAAGTAAGGGCAAGGTTTTAATTTTAAACAGAAATATTTTTTATGTGATTGAGTCTGGCTCACATATCTATGAAGTTGGTCTTAATGACCTAAATTGGAAAGCTGTTGGAAGCTGTGAACCATTGAATAATTATCCGGTATCTCATTTTGTTGAATTTAAAAATTGTATTTACTTTCTGAATGAAGGATCATATATAGCTCCTGCATTTTAATAGGTCATTATCGACCATCCATTTTAATTTTCAAGCTAAATTTGGCTTGCAAAATTTTTGAAAAGTGCAAACGAAATGCAAATCTCCTTTATGGTTTTGAGATGCCTAATCAGACTTCGACTGCATAGAGAAAGTCCTGGCCATTTTTATAGCCTGTATGCTGCTTGACCATAGTGATCTATTATGGTGCATAAACTATATTTATAGATTTGATTTAGATTCGAAATCAGTCCTAAAATTGAAGAAAATATAATTTAAGGAAATAGAATTTTAATAATTAATTTCTTATTAATTTGCTGCCTTTTTATAAAAGAAATAGCTAAAACGTGAAATATTTATAGATTTCTAATAGTTTTTAAAGAAAAATATATCGGTTAAAATGTTTAATCTAATCCACAATAATTATACTGCTAATACAATCTGACCGAAATAGGTTTACTTCCTATTTCTCAAATTTATAAAATTAAATAAGCTATTTCAAAAATGTCAAGAAAATTAAAATTACTAGCACCGCTAGGCTTTATTTGATGCTATGAATTTTTTATTAAGCAATACAATATCATCTTTCAATCCTGGGTACTTTTTAGCATGCTTTTTCATTATTTCAACTAGCCCTCTCACATATTCTTCACTGGCCGAAAAAGTGTCCATTCTATCCATTTCTCTACTAAACGTCGACAAATTTCTATTTTTCCCTTTTTCAACAATCACATTTTTTGCTTTTCTTTTAGCCAAATTTCTGGTCTCACTTAAATTTGAAAATTTTGTTGCCCCAAGATCCCGCATTGTGCTTTTTTTCACTTGATCTCTATTTAAATCTTTTGAAATCTCTAAACATGATGTTGTCCTTAAAGATTTACTTTTAGACCTGTGGCCTGGCAATAGGATTTTTCTTTTTAAATTATCGATCCTGTTTTCTAGCTGTTCTCATTCATTTTCAGTGTTTTCTCTATTTGTTTCATAATCGGTTCTATCATATGAAGTTTTTTCAAAAGGTTCAATTAATTCTGAGAGCTGCTTGACCTTTGGATGTTTGTAAGTATAGGAATAATTTAAGCTGGGAGAAGGATCAATATCTTGATATGCCATTTAAAATAAATAAAAATAAGAATAATACTATTTATTTATTATAAGAAATAGATTATAAAGATGTGTATTTTAGTTATAGTTGGCATATACATTCATAGAAAGCTCTTCCATTGGTTTAGAAATGTGAGGCTCAGGGATTGCTTTTTCTGTTGGCCTAAAAGATTCAAAGATTTCTGGTTCAAGCGGCTCAGGCTGGAGATTTAGTGGTCTTTCACCATATAGGTAAGAATTATCTCTTAAGTAAGGGATTCTGTCATCTTCTTTGTAGAATTGGCTTGAAGCATTTATCATGATTAACGAATTTTATCCTGTTTTCGGCTGAATACTGAATTTCAGGCCGTTTTGATGTTATAGAATTATTAAATGTTTAGATTATTTATAAAGGCATAAATTTAAAAAGAATTCGTTCTTTCATAAGTCCTAAAAATTAATGTAATTAGCATATAAACAATTTTTATTTAGACTAAGATTTCAGCATTTCTTTTGCAATAATTTTGATAAATTTATATTGAGGAATACATTACATTACATTACATTACATTAGAATTTATATCGCTTAACGTCCACTACGGGGTTACAACTCCAGGTTTATCACTCGCCTTTCGTCGCATCGGGCCCACCAGTCTGCTGGAGACAAACTTGCTTCGATCACCAAGGTGCTTCTAGGGCAAATGTCCACGTCTTCGACGGCTCATGGATGAGCTACTTGCTTGTACATGGGTTGCTTTTCCGAAAAACCCAAAAAATGGATTTTTTCTGGTCGGCTATCGGCAAAAAGGAAAAATGCAAAGCCTGGGACGTAACGCCCAGTTTCACGCTAGGGAGTCGCCCGAATGGTCCAGAGGACTTTGCTGGGCTTCCCCTTTCCAACCTTGCACCCTCCTTCCCCACGAGGAAAAATCCACCCCTGAGAATAGACTAGGGCTAGGCTCTGAAAGCTACCAGAATTGCTTACCTAGCATTGCCGTCCATCTCTGAAATGGTAAAACCTTGCCGGATATAATTAAAATATGAGTCGAGGCTGCATGGCCGGGAGGCCATGCCCAGACGAAGACGCCATATATTTTAATTATTATATTGAGGAATAAGAAAATATTATTGGACTTTATCTATAAGTTATCATAGAAAATCCATTATTATAATTTTCATAAACAATTTTGCTTTGTTAAAACTTTTAATCAATTGTATGCACTATTTTTATATATGAATTCACCCTTCTTGTAAGCCAAGCAAGCTATATCTTGCACACTACACGCCTTCATATTATCTTTTAGTCAAAAATAAAAAGTTACCAATTCAATATTCATATCTATTAAAGTAAATCCTATGATTTTAACTCATATTCCTCTAGCACTAATATCTATTTCCTTATCAGCTCACCACTATTATCTCTTCGTTAAAAATTATTCCCATACTTAATTGCCAATCTATCAGAAAACGTCTCACCCTCCATCTTTTAATTCCATCCAACGCAATAAACAGATAGGTACGATAATCTCATAACAGGATAATTAATATGGTCAAACTGGCAATTCTGATGATTTTAGCTTTAACTGCCCTTGCATTCAGACCTAATTTCAAAAGCTCGTTTATAGAGGGAGAGCAGGCAAGCTGTGATAAGAAGCAGGAAGAGCAGCCATGCGAAGAAGCAAAACCAGAAGAGCAGCCATGCGAAGAAGCAAAGCCAGAAGAACAAAAATGCCAAGAAGAGCAGCAGGTTAAAATTGTATATGAAAAAGGAGATAAAGGAGAAGTAGGAGAACAAGGATGCCAAGGACCACAAGGCCCACCAGGCCCACAAGGACCTGCAGGGTGTAAAGGAGAAAAAGGAGATAAAGGAGAAAAAGGAGACAAAGGAGACCAAGGAGAACAAGGCTGCAAAGGAGAAAAAGGAGAAGTAGGGGAAGCTGGACCTTGTGGAATCCAAGGGTGTAAAGGAGAAAAAGGAGATTGCGGAGATAGAGGACCAGCAGGGGTCATTATTCGATGCCAAGAAATCGATGAAGTTGTAGAGCAGTGCAAATGTCAAGAAAAAGACGATAAGGCTGCATCAAAATGGTAAGCCAAAGGTAAAATCATAACATATTCTTACTGATATCGCGTTTTATTTATTAATAATAATAAATTTATAGCCACATATAAATTTAATAATATTTCCAAAAATTGATTTTTCTCTAAAAATGGCACTTATACAAATAAGCCAATTTTTACGAATTTTTTGAAATATAAAATAATAATTCTTCTATTTTGCAATAATTTTTAATTTATTTAAGATTTTATATGTGATTTATTTCCAATTTAAAATGATAAATAATACTATTTTTCTACCTATCAGATACTTAAAAAATTATAGGCATATCCTGTAAATAGCCCGATATCAGCTAGGGATAGAGGCCAAACTTCCCACACTTGGCTCGGCCAAAATGGGCTGGCCCAACCAAGTGGAAAATGGCAAATAAGCCTCCTTCCACTTGGTTCGACAATCCATTTTGGCCGAACCAAGTGGGAAGTTTTGGTCTCTATCCCTAGCCCACTTCGGGCTATTTGCAGGATATGCCTATATTTAATACCGATTGCCTATTCTTCACAAAATATACTGTGATACTTATCATTTTTTTACTATTTGCAAGCTTATTAACCTCAATAAAATAATGGTTATATAAATTTAAATGGTACGAGTTGCAATTCTGATAGCGCTCTCTGTAGCTGTTTTAGCTGTTAAACCTGGCTTATTGCAACAGGAAGATATTCTTCATGCTGGAAGTGGATGCTGCCCAACTGTGGAAACAAAAACTGTAGATTTCGATGATTGTGTTGTAACCAGACAGGGATGCCAAGGACCACAAGGATGCCAAGGACCACCAGGATGTCCAGGACCTCAAGGACCTAAAGGGCCTCAAGGATGTCCAGGACCAAAAGGACCTAAAGGACCAAAAGGAGACACAGGAGACTGCGGCCCAGAAGGATGCCAAGGACCAGAAGGATGCCAAGGACCAAAAGGACCACAAGGCTGTCCAGGCCCACAAGGTCCTCCTGGAGAAAAAGGTTGCCAAGGTCCAAGAGGATGCAGCGTTAAAATTATTGAGTACGATGACGACGAATGTGGATGCGAAGAAGCTATAGTGCACCAGTAACAGATAAAACTAAATAATTATTTTTAAAAAAATGTTCCTATCAGTTAAAAAAATGTAAAAAGGGATGGAGAAAATCAAACATAAATAAAATATAATAAAAGTTTAAGAAAATTATGCATGGCCACAGCCTAGTGAAGAGAATAAGACTAATAATTTAAGCTGCTTTATTTTTAAATATTTCTAATTTTACCATAAATGCTTATTTTTACTCATATTTTCAATACAGTTATAAAAAACAAGCCGGGTGCAAGTCAAATGACTTTGCCTTTTTGATAGTGTCCATTTTACCCGAAAAAATTTTTTGCCCGAAAATTGATCGAAAATTTTTGATAATAAGACATTTGACCGAACAAAAACCGTTAATTTTCGGCCAAATGTCCGCGCTATCAAAAATTTTCGACCAAATGGATTTCGATGAAATGTAGACAGTCAAAAATCCACGGTCATTTGACATGGAGCCAACAAGCCATCTTTTGTCCATAAAAAAATATTTAAAATAAAATACTTTCTGGTAGGGTTGTTTTACCATTTTTTTCACCATTTGCAAGCATATAACCACCAATGAAAAATCTAATATAATCAAATGGCCAAGCTAACAATTCTGATTGCTCTCTTCGTTACTGCATTAGCTGCTAAACCGAGCTTAATCCAAGGAGAAATCTTAACTTCTGACTGGTCTGGGTGTGGATGCGAATGTGATGAAATTTATGATCAACCAGTTAATATTAGAGGAACCGTTAAATTAGTTCAAGGTGCACAAGGATGCCAAGGACCTGCTGGCCCATGCGGACCTCAAGGCCCTCAAGGTCCACCTGGCCCACAAGGAGATGAAGGATGTGCAGGACCTCAAGGAGACCAAGGAGATGAAGGATGCCAAGGACCACAAGGACCATGCGGACCTCAAGGCCCACCAGGACCTAAAGGAGAAACTGGATGCCCAGGAATTCAAGGTCCAAAAGGATGCAAAGGCCCAACAGGAGATAGAGGATGCCCAGGAGTTGTTGTTAATGCATGCAAATACTGTGAATGCGATGAGCACGCTGAGTAAGCGAACCATCAATAATTAACTAATCTATTTTAAGTAAACCTATTTTTATGATATAAATACTATTTAAATTCTGATTGGTTTTTTATTATTAAAATCAATAAAAATTATTTTTTCTTATGGATAATAATTTTTATATATATTAAAAAAGTTAAATCAGAATAATAAGAATAAACTACATTTTATATATAAATCTTAATTGCTCCCTTCTTCATACCTATCTCTATCACAAAACTCTGGGTACTTGCATCTACAAGGCCCTATTCTAATCTTCCTAAAAGTAAGTGAAATCCTCCTTTTCCTATGTACCAAATTCCCATTCACAATATCATGCCTTCTCTGTTGTATTGAGTGTTTCCACACATATCTTGCCTCATCAGTCATTGCAAGCATTGATCTTGGCGGTATAAACTGATTAAATTCCCTCCCATCTGTATTCCGAAAGCACATACTTATAGGCCCAAGTATACTGATACAGGCTAAAATTTCTTCAAATGGAGAATGACTGTCTATATGTGGAGGAATACTGTCGCCTGGCTGATAGTCATTTACTGTAAGCTGGTCATAGGAAATTCCAAATTTCAGCTGCAAATCAGTTAAAAGAGGATTTATTCAGGCTGGGAAGCCAGAAGACGGGGTTTCTGGGTTGATGGAGTTAGCTCCATATATAAAATCGAACCCAAAATGCTGGACTCTTCTATTAGCAAGAGGATTCCAAGGCAATTTGTCGAGCTCTTCTACTAAAAGCTGCTCATATTCAGCAGAAATAAAGTCTTTTTCTATGATTAAGCCTGGGACTGGGACATTTTCATAGCATATAGAGTCCTTCCCAAGCTGCAAATTGTGCTGGATTGGGGTGTATAAGACTGTGAAAGGATGCGGTTTTGGGGAAAATGGTAAAATTGGGTAAGAATTGTTGATGGTTTCGTATGCTATGGCTGCAGATTCTAAAGACTCATAACACGCATAGCCGTAATTAATCCCAGAAAGGATAATTAAAGAAGACAGCGGCCCATACTGTAAAAGATGAGATCTAAGCACATGATAATCATCCTCAGAGCCTTCCGAATAATGCAAAATGAATAATCCACAATTTGGCCTTTCCTCTCAAAGTTCGATTTTTTCGTCTCTTTTTATAAGCTCAATCCCTTTGATTTTTTTCTTTTTCAAGCCTTTCAGATACACCTTCATCCGCTTATCCTCACTCATTGTAAATTAATATGAAATTATTACTAATCTGCCTCTTTATCAGTACCCAAATTTTTGGGTTTTATAGTGTATCTGTTACACCATTAGCATTAACATTAACTAATATTATAGAGAGGCCCGTCGTAATATCTAGGGTTTCCCCCGCTCTACCTTCACCCTTGTTGCTTCACTCAGCTGCTCATCGCCAAATCGGTCACGACTTTCAAAGTGCTGCTCCTTCCGGTCGAGTATCTGCACTTGTAGTTGGATGAGCTACGCCACCCAGCAGTACGTCAACAGAGGCTGCCCATTCGAAAATTTGAAAAACAAATTTTCTGGTAGGACTGTCGGCTAAGATGGAAATCCAAAGCCTGGACGTAACGCCCAGTTTCACGCTAGGGAGTTGCCCGACTGATCAGGAGGTACCTTCCTGATGCTGCTGAGCATCCCCTTTCCAACCTTGGAAGCCATTCCCCTGAGGCAAAACCCTTGGTGTCAGAAAGAGCTGCGGTCGGCCTAATCCGACGTTGCGCTCCACTGTGCCAAGGTAAAACCTAGCTGGATACACGTTCCGAGCGCCTTTCTCCCTTACACAAGGTCCCCCGCGAACGCAGGCTACAGGTGTAGAGAAAAAAGGTCCGGATCGCCGTCGCCATTTTAATGTATGTATCTGTTACACACCAAGCTCAAGAGCAATTAACGCTAAAAACAATTATCAAGTACAATTATTATTAACAAGCTCTTTGTCAAATGTCCCTTCAGGATTTACATGTGTAATGGTATTGCCTAGTGCTTTTTCTATTGTGGATTCGGTAGGATCTAACCCTTCTTCATGCATTTTACAAGATATGCTTGGGGTAAACGCAAATACTTATTTAACAACTGCTTATAGCTCTTCTAACCCTCAGCCTGGACAATGTGGGGTTTCTGCGACAAATACTTATACATTTATAACTCCATCTCAGCAGTCTTCAGGACTTAAATTTACAATTGGGCAGATAAAAAATCCATTAGCATCTTTAACTCAGACTAATACTGGATCTATCCAATTTACAGGCTACAATCCAGGAAGTTCAACAGCAAGCTATTCAATTACTTATTCATTTTCAAATTATTATTTTACAGCTGGAAGCTTGACTTTGTCATCATTTTCCCAATCAGTCTCAACAGTTGGGTCATGGGCGAATTTTATATTTGTATTTACAGCTAATGACAGTATTCCAAAAAATGGGAAAATTCAATTTATAATATATTCATTTTTTTTCATAATAAGAAAGTGAATTATGCTTTAGAGACATAAAATTTCATCATATATCGGCTTATAAATATCATCAGTACTATACTTTTTCATCTGATTTTGGGCTTGCTGATGTATCAAGCACAGTAGTAAGCGGATATGTAAACTCAAATTCTGCGACTACATTGACTCCAGCTATATCAGGAATGGTTTTAAGTGCATCTGGGCTGTTTACTTCTGCTTTAACAGTGACAGCTGGAGTTACTAAATTTACTATAGAAATTGACCAAGTAAGAAATTTACGATATGTCGGGACTGCTTCTATTGTAATTGCTACAACGACCAGTAGTGCTGAAATTATAGACAAAGTGACGACCTATCAAGGCCCCACAGACCCTTGTACGCTTCCTTTGAATCTGCTATATCCGTCTGTGTCTACTGTGCTCTTGTCAACTACTATAGTATTGTTTTTTACTGATTCTATTTATGATGATACTCTGGATAATTCTTTTTCTATTGAAGTAGACTTTCCTTCAACTTTTACGGTACCAAGCTCAATAGAATGTAACCCACTGATCGGGATTAGCGATACTTCGATGAGCTGCTCACTTCACCTCTCAATGAATGACCAAAGATATTTTTGCTCGCTCGTGTATGGTTATTTTTTATCTAAATACATTGTTTCTATAAAAATTTATATTAATTTATTTTTCGAAGTTATTAGTAAGCATGGAATTTAAAGCTTTATTTAAAAATTTATATTTTAGGACGCATGATGTTAAAAATTCAACAGAATCTAGATATATCTTTATAATTATCATAAACAAAAAATATTTTTACATTATAAAATTTGCTAGTTCACAGTTTTTTCTCCAAAAAATGTTTTCAATGATTTTTCTCTTTTATGAAAGGGGGAAATCAGTTAATTCTAACAGTGTTTCAACAACGTCAACAATTACTGCTTTTCAGACTACTGTAGGATTTAATTTAAAGTTTCCTGTTAATCCTCCGAACACGAAAACTACTGATTATTTCCAAATATCGACATATTCTATTTAATATAAACTTCTATATTTGGCACTTTTTACAGAAAATTAATTGCTTATGCAAATCAGTATACAGAAGCACAGGAGAGCTTATATGCCAAAACACTCAATTTTCTACATACACAGCTACTGTTAATGCTATCACTGTTTCTACTAGTTCTAGAGGTAGCAATCTAGTCGGCGAGCCCTGCATCTACACCCTTACCTTTAAAACTTCTACCCAAATCCCATCAGGTGGGAAAATAAAAATAGTCCTCCCAATGGACCAAGTAGTCGAAAACACAGGGATTGTCTGCTATCCTCTTGTAAACTCGGTCAAATCCTCCACAAATCAATGCACAAAATCATCTTAGTCTTAATTAGCAGGTCACCATATTGGTTACGCAGTCACCAAGGTCCTTTCATTAGGCTCATCGGTTTTGTAGCAGCCTCTATCAACTACCTTTTGGTTGTTAGGCAAATTATTGCTCGTCCTTCAGCCCCTTGGATAGCTAAAACATACGCCTTTTCCTTTAACCTCATCACTAGCATTGAGTTGGAAGACTATAGACTTCTGCAGCCTTACTTTGGGTTATTGAGAAGTAGCTTGATCTAACAAGGAAACTATTTGCCGAAGTGCCTTGACAAGAAAAAGACTCAGCTCCTAAGTTCCAGGCTCTAACCTCTGGTTTCATGGTATAGAATTACTAAGGTCCCAATAAAGAAGCTTACATTTCCCATTTCCAACCACAGGAGCGAACCAAACTTACCTGAAATGCAAAAAATAGGTTTTTGACTAGTTTGTCGTCAAATCTGCCTTAACCATTGAGAAAATTGTGCAAGAGGTCGGAAACACCTATTTCACCATTTTATATATATGCAAATATCATCAACCTCCTCCACCTATGTCCTCACCTTAACAGAATGATGCTCAGCGTACGATTCCTCCTGCAATTCCTGTTGCAGTGCTTCTACTACTCTAATAGTTTACATCCAAGGCGTCCAAAACCCTTTTTTCTACAACCCAAGCGTATCCTCCAGTGTCGAAATTTATACAGCGAATTCTGATTTTTCTGGATATATAGACCAAATTACATCAGGAGTCCAATTTACGCCAAGCTTAATAGCGAGGACAATTACAGACGCAGCTGTTATAAGGACTACTGACACTGTAGGGCTTTATAGCACTTTTCAGCTTACTTATACACCTACAGTAAATTATGTAGCAAATGCGGTCATTGTGCTTAGTTTTCCTAGTGATGTGGTATATTTTGCAGATGACAGTGTAGCTCCTCAGTGCTCAAATACAGGGACGGCATATGGGAACACTAATACACCTAGCTGCACTTATACGAAAAACGGGGATGGGTCATACGCGACGATTAGTATCAGTGGGATGTGCCCTTCTGGCTGCACTTCAGGGCAAAAATTAGCTATTTCTATGGGACATTTGCAGAACCCTAATACTGTGGCACCTTTAAATACTGGGTATAGCGCCAGTGTATATACCAGCAGCAGCTATATAATAGAGCACGGTACTGCTGATTCATCAGGGGTAAATTCCTTAATTACTAATGCAATTACAAGCATCACTGCCACGAGGTCTACCAATAACATTAAATCAAGCTATACCATGACAATTTCTTTTGTACACTCTACTTATTTATCGACGACAGGAAAAATTGATATTTCGCTTCCTATAAGCATGGTGACTATAAAATCTAGCTTAGCCGTCTATAGAAAAAGTGACAGCTCTTCAGTCTCTTTTACGTCGACAACCGATTCATCCACTAGCAGTGTGACTCATATTACTATTACTAATTATTGCAATACAGCTTGTGCTAAAGCAGGGACTATACAGATTTTATTAGGAGGCATTAAAAATTTGAATTATGTACAGACGATAACTGGGACAATGAGCATTACGACCTCAGATAATAGCTATAATAGTGACACTGGGACAGTTAGTGACGTTTCTACTATATTAAGCCCACTGGTACCGGGGAGTTTGAGTAATATTGAAATACATCCTATGGATCCGACGGTTTCTGTAAGTACAACTTATAGGATTATTTTTACGACTGGAAGCGATGTGCCAAGCTGGTCAAGCACAGGTAGCAACCCTACACCCCCCACCCCCCCACCCCCACCCCCCTAAAAAATGGCACCCCCACCCCCCCTTTCACAGATGGCACCCCCACCCCCCAACCCCCCCCTAAAAGTGGTACCCCCACCCCCCCCTTTTTTAATGGTACCCTCCACCCCCCCACCCCCCTAAAAAATGGCACCCCCAACCCCTTTTCACAGATGGCACCCCCCACCCCCATCCCCCTTAATATAGCATAAAATATATGACAAATGCCAATTTAGAGCAGACGTAATAAATAAATTATTATTTTAAATATTCAAAATTACTGATTTATACAATATCCACATAGCGTAGCACAATCGATTAAGAGTAGATGGAATGGGGTGAGAATTTCCTATAACTAGTAAGCTCACCAAATCTGAAAAAATTTGTTAGCAAGTTAATAATGATCTTTGGTATTAATTAGCAATATATCCTGCATATATTTATGAACTTTGTGGAGCACTGGCTAAAAGTCAAATTAGAGATCCAAAAGTAAAACTGACAATAGCAAATGCTATTTTTATTACCACTATGAATCCTGTTACCAATTCAGTCCTGCAATCTTTGTACAATGGTAATCAGATTAGCAAAAATTTATGAATCCATAAATTTAATGCAAGTTATTCTATTGTGCTAATTTAATAATTAATGCCATTATCTATATCTTTGGCATTATATTTATAAATATAAAAAACAAATTTAATATATTTTCTAATTAATTGCTAATTAATTTAAATTTATTAATTAATCATAAATATAAAGTAATTTGTGGACTTAATTTAAAAATATAGTGTTTTAATTGGGTTATGTTTAATTTATTCTGCTTATTTCCTATCAAATACTTCTATAGGATAAACCCGAGAGGAGGGGGTGGGCGTGCCATCTGTCAAAGGGGGGGTGGGGTACCATTTTTAGGGGGGGGTGGGGGTGTCTGGTTGCGACCTATGCTTGACCAGCCAAGCTTAGCTTATTTTACAGTCACTTTTCCGACCGGAATTTCTTTATCGATAAGCTCATGTACTGCTTATATAAATTTAGACAGCAACTTGTCCTGTAGTGCTTTAGGTAACAAATTGACTTTGTCGTCAGGAGTCCCTAGTTCTTTAACGGGGCCAGTCATGATAGGTTTCCTTATGAGTACCATTACAAATGGACCATCTGCAACCTCTTATGGGACCTTTACAATATCTAGCTGAGATCCTGCAGGATTTGTAATCGACACCGACTCTACCGCTACTGTCACCTTTTACTCTGCTTTATCTTCTTCAAGCTGCTCTTCAAACTGCAACCATTGTTCAGGGACCTCCAGCAACTGTGATAGCTGTGCCAACCCTTCGTCCACCCCAATAATCCAAGGCTACACCTGTGTATCTTCTTGCCCTTCTGGCTATTATTTAGTATCCAGCTCAGATCTTACCTGTATTAAATGCTATTTTACATGTGCGACTTGTAAAGGTCCACAGTCCTCTGACTGTTTGTCCTGCGCTTCTACATATTTTATGTCAGATTCTAGCTGTATTGATTCTTGCCCATCAGGGACTACAAATAATAATGGAGTTTGCACTAATAATAGTCCTTGTACTTCTCCCTGCTTGACTTGTAGTACTTCTTTGACATATTGTTTGACTTGTGACCAGAGCTCGTCATATCCTGTGTTGGATTCTAGGACAGGGACTTGTGTAGAAGAAGAGACGGCTACTAGTGATTATTGTAGTGCGGGATATTATGAAGATAGCAATAAGATTTGCCAAATTTGTAATATCAATTGTTTAGACTGCTATTCAGCTGCTAGTTATTGTAGCTCATGTCCTAGCATTTATGGGAATAAATATTTAAATTTGCTTACCTATGTGTGTGTTGCGACTTGTCCTGCGCTTATAACAGTGCCTGATTCAAGTGATTTTAAATGTTATCCATGTGACAGCTCTTGTGCGACTTGTAATGGGAAAAATGCTAACAATTGTTTGACTTGTCCGAGTACAGGGACAATTTATTTTACGAGTGACAATAAATGCTTGTCAAGCTGCACCCCTCAATATAACTTTTATAATACGACATCAGCCAGATATGAGTGTATAAGCACCTGCCCAACTAACCACTATTATATAACTGCAGATCTAACAAGCTGTTTGCCTTGTGACAGCACATGTTTAACTTGTAGTGGGCCCGCTAATAATAATTGTTCAAGCTGCGATATGACTGGTACTTATCCTTATAAAACTCCTGATAACTATTGTGTGACTACTTGTCCTTCTAATTTATATAAAAATACCCTTGGAACAGAAATGTTATGTGTCACAGACTGTGGGCCTACTTATTTAAATTTCCAGGACTCACAAGGAGTATTGGTATGCATAAGCTCCTGCCCTGTAAATCATTATTATGTGAATAGCGGATACTGTAAGCCATGTGACAGCACGTGTTTAACCTGCAGCGGATCAGCTAACAATAACTGCCTTTCCTGCAATACAACCAGCACTTATCCTTACTATACAGCTGATAACCAATGTGTGACTGACTGTCCTTCCACTCTCTATAAAAACACCCTCAATTCACAAATGTTATGTGTAACCAACTGTGGGCCGACTTATTTAAATTTCGATTTATCTGTCTCCTCCAAAATCTGTATCTCTTCTTGCCCTACTGACCATTACTATATAGATTCCACTAATTATTACTGCAGACCTTGTGACCAAACCTGTTTAACCTGTTCTGGATCAGCCAATAATAACTGTCTCACCTGCAATACCACCAGCTCCTACCCCTATTTTACTGTAGACAGCCAATGTGTCACTGACTGTCCTTCAAATCTCTATAAAAATACAATAGGGACAAATATGCTATGTGTCAGTAACTGTGGGCCGACTTATTTAAATTTTGACGTCTCTGCGACCGCAAAAGAATGCATTGTCACTTGTCCAAGCCCTCACTACTATGTGGATTCTACTAATTATTATTGTAGACCATGTGATTCTACATGTCTGACGTGCAACAACACAGATGCTAATAGCTGCTTAAGCTGCAATACCTCAAGTAGCTATCCTTATTATACAGCAAATAACCAATGCGTGACTGCCTGCCCATCTACTTTATATAAGTATACTTTTAACTCAAAAATGCTATGTGTAACAGACTGTGGGCCAACTTATTTGAATTTTGACGTCTCAGCGACTGCAAAAGAGTGTATTGATACTTGTCCGACGACACATTATTATGTTGATAGTGCAAATTACTATTGTCGGGCATGTGATAGCACGTGTTTGACTTGCAATGGATCTTTAAGCTCAAATTGTACAAGCTGCGATACAGTTGGGACTTATCCTTTTCTAACCCCTTATAATGAATGCTTAAGTGACTGTCCTTCTACACTCTATAAATATACCTTTAACTCTCAAATGCTATGTGTCCTTAACTGTGGGCCTACATATTTAAATTTTGACGCTTCAGCTACCTCAAAAACATGTATTAGTACTTGTCCATCAACTCATTATTATGGGTCCGTGTATATCATCAAGAAAAATTTGTCGAAAATTTTTTAAATTGTGTACGATTGGTCAAAATCTAACGTTTTTTGGTCTCACTATAAAAAAATTTCCCTAGGAAATGCTGTATCAAAATTATACGATCATTTAACATGATGCCCATTATTATATAGACAGTACTAATTACTACTGTAGACCATGCAATGAGACCTGCTTGACTTGTAGCGGATCTAGTGACAGTAGTTGTTTATCATGTGACACCAGTAGTACATACCCATATTTTACTGCTTATAACCAATGTGTGTCTGACTGTCCATCCACTTTATATAAATACGAATTTTCTTCAAAAATGCTATGTGTGCTAAATTGTGGCCCAGACTATTTAAACTATGACAGTTCTCCCACATCAAAAAAATGTGTAAGCCAATGCCCTTCTACATCGTATTTAGACTCTGCAAATTACTATTGTAGACCATGTGATAAAACATGTTTAACCTGTAGCGGAGGGGCAAATAATAACTGTTCAACCTGTGACACAGCTGGCCAATACCCATATTTTACGTCAGATAACCAATGTGTAACTGACTGCCCTTCAAACCTATATAAATACGAATTTAATGCTAAATGGCTCTGCGTCACAGACTGTGGGCCGACTTATTTAAATTTCGACATATCCGCTACTTCAAAAAAATGCATAAGTACTTGTCCGACACAGCATTATTTTGTGGATACTCCAAATAACTATTGTAGACCATGCGATGATACTTGTTTAGCATGCAATGGGACTGCTAGTAGCAATTGTTTAAGCTGCAATCAGACTAGTAATTATCCCTATTTTACTGCTGATGATTACTGTGTGACTGACTGTCCTTCAAATTTTTATAAGTATGAATTTAATTCACAAATGCTATGTGTGACAAACTGTGGGCCAAGTTATTATAATTATGATAGCTCAGCTACAACAAAAGTGTGCTTAAGTAAATGCCCTGATGGTACATATTTGGATGCTGCAAATTATTACTGTCGGCCATGTGACAGCTCTTGTGCGACTTGTAATGGGAAAAATGCTAACAATTGTTTGACTTGTCCGAGTGCAGGGACAATTTATTTTACGAGTGACAATAAATGCTTGTCAAGCTGCACCCCTCAATATAACTTTTATAATACGACATCAGTCAGATATGAGTGTATAAGCACCTGCCCAAATAAGCACTATTATATAACTGCAGATCTAACAAGCTGTTTGCCTTGTGACAGCACATGTTTAACTTGTAATGGATCCGCTAATAATAATTGTTTAAGTTGCGATATGACTGGCACTTATCCATATAAAACTCCTGATAACTATTGTGTGAGTAGTTGTCCTTCTAATTTATATAAAAATACCCTTGGAACAGAAATGTTATGTGTCACTGACTGTGGGCCTACTTATTTAAATTTCCAGGACTCACAAGGAGTATTGCAGTGCGTCAGCTCCTGCCCTGTAAATCATTATTATGTGAATAGTGGATACTGTAAGCCATGTGACAGCACATGTTTAACCTGCAATGGGAGTACTAATAATAACTGTTTAAGCTGCAACATGACTAGTACCTACCCTTATAAAACCCCAGACAGCCAATGTGTGACTGACTGTCCTTCTACTTTATATAAAAATACCCTTGGGACAGAAATGCTATGTGTTACCAATTGTGGGCCGACTTATTTAAACTATGACAGTTCTGCTACTACAAAAGTCTGCATAACTACATGTCCAGCTGGGACTTATAAAGACTCTCCTAATTATTATTGTAGGCCATGTGATATTACTTGCTTAACTTGTAATGGGTCCACTGCTAATGACTGTTTAAGCTGCCCTACAACAGGCCCTATATATTTTAATAGCCAAAACCAATGTGTTTCTAATTGTACACCTGAGTATAATTTCTATAATACAACATCAGCAAGATATGAGTGTATAAGTGACTGTCCTATTGATCATTATTATATCGACACAGATTTGTCTAGTTGTTTGCCTTGTCATAGCTCATAATTAAAATATGAGTTGAGGATGTATGGCCGTGAGGCCATACCTAGACGAAGACGCCATATTTAATTATATCCGGCAAGGTTTTTCTAGCCTTGAAATGGAGAGCAATGCTATGGTAGTCAATTCTGCAGGTAGCAGAGCCTAGCCCAAGTCCGACTTCGAGACTGGTTTTTACCTCGAAGGAAAGGAGGGTTCAGATTTGGAAAGGGCAAGCCCAGCAAGGTCTATAATTAACCTAAACCAATCGGGCAACTGCCTAGCGTGAAACTGGGCGTTACGTCCCAGGATCTGGACTTCACCCTTTTGTCGACAGGCTACCAGAAATTCGATTTTTTTGGAATTTTCGGAATGCCAACTTCGTAATCTCTCAGCCTCAGGAGATCGCACAAGCCCGTAGACTGCCCACTCAACACTGGAGTCTTTTACAAGAGACAAGGAGGAGGCCCGACGAAAGGAGGTCGCAAAGCGGTTGAATCCCACAAGGGATCCTCGGTGATTGCGTTAAAATTAAGGGACGCGAGCCCGTCTACATAATGTAATGTAATGCCTTGTCATAGCTCATGTTTAACTTGTACTGGAGCTGCTTATAATAATTGCTCAAGTTGCAGTAAAAGTGGCAGTTATCCTTATAGAACCCCTGATAATCAATGTGTGGGTACCTGCCCGTCACCTTTATATAAAAATTCTTTGGGGACAGAAAAGTTATGTGTTGCTGATTGCAATCCTACTTATTTGAATTTTGAGGACTCCCATGGACAAAAAGAATGTATCAGCACTTGTCCGACTTCCCATTATTATGTTGATACTGGCTTTTGTAGAGCCTGTGATGGGACATGTTTAACGTGTAATGGGACAGCTTATGATAACTGCTTAAGCTGTGATACAGCTGGGTCATATCCTTTTAAGACCCCAGATAATCAATGTGTGGCTATACATAAATACTATAATAGCCCAGTTTTCTCTTTTTATTAAGAGGTTTTAGCTATTTAAAATAATTGAGTATAACTGCCCTTCAACTTTGTATCAAAATACTTTTAATTCAAAAAAGCTATGTGTCGCTGACTGTAGGCCAACTTATATAAATTTCGAAGATTCATATGGTTTTAAAGAATGCATCAGTGCTTGTCCAAGTGAATATTACTATCTGAGTAACGGCTTCTGCAAGCCCTGCTATAAAACCTGCTTAACTTGCAGCGGCTCCTCTTACACTAACTGTTTAACTTGCAATGTCTCTGAATCTTACCCTTACTTTACCCCCACAAATGAATGTGTTTCTAAGTGTCCGTCTTCCTTATACGCTAACTCCTTAGACCCTGTTTGACTTTGTACAACTGACTGTCGGCCTATCTATATAAATTTTGAAACCTCCCCCAAAGTATGCTCAACCTCTTGTCCTGAGACTCATTATTATACAGACAATGGCTATTGTGAATCCTGCAATGAAACTTGTTTATCATGTAGCGGATCCAATGACACTCAATGTACATCCTGCAATTTAACTAGTGAATACCTCTATTTTACAGCATTTAACCAATGTGTAGCTGACTGTCCTTCGACGTTATTTAAATATGAATTTAATTCAGAAATGAAATGTGTAGTCAACTGTGGTCCTGAGTATATAAATTATAACAGTTCTCTTACGTCAAAAAAGTGCATTAGTTCTTGTCCTTCTGGATATCATGTAGATTTAGCTACTTATTATTGTGTGTCCTCTGAGGTTACACATGAAATGGTATATGCTGTGTATGGCCTAATTGGAGAATGCTTTATAGGGATTTCGCTTATATTTGCAGCAAGACTGAAAAAGCCTGATGTTTATTCTACCAAAGCAAATATTTTATCAATATTAAGTATTGTTGAAGCTACTGAAAAAATTTCGCTTTTTGTTTACCTTTGGATAGAAAATGGGCCACAGGCCGGACTTTTTGTGTCAGTTAGTTCTGCATTTATAGGAGGGTCAATTGCGGTAAGCATGATGTTTTTGACGCTACATTTTGACCCATTGGTAGAAAGCAGCGCTACGTTGACTGATTTATCAAAATCTAATAAAATTTCGTTTTTCCTTGTTAGGAACTTAACAATGCCATTTGGGATACATTTTATTAGGATTTTATATAGTGGATTTTTTGGATTTTCTGTTACAACGGTACCAAAATCGATTGGAAGTGTAAATGCGTTTAGGTATCCTTTGGAAAAATTAAGCATGATAAATTTTATGATCATTAGTGTGCCGAGACTTATAGAGTATGTAGGAATTTTGGCACTTTACAGCATACAGACAAATTCATGGCAGATTGCATTATTTGGGGCTTGCTTAAATTTGTATATTTCAGTATATTTTATAGTGGATTGGTGGAGGAGTCCTTGGAGAAGCTAATTTATCGTAAGATATTTAATTTCATAATAATTCATATAGATCAACAAATTTATGCACTGTGATACATTTTCTGCTTATAAGCAATATTAAAATTAAAAATATCAGAAGATGTTTATTCTCTACTGAGGCAGTCAGGAACCCTATCCTCAAGTCAATCTCTTTTGAAGGAAATAAACAAATTTTTTGATATTGAAGAATGTCAGTTCAGATAGTCTAAATGATATTATAGCTTAAATTGACTAGGAGACCTTTGGTACTTATTATAGTAGCTTCTCTTGAAGCCAAGTTTGCTATAAGTTCAAATTTATGGAGAAAATAATTTTAAAATTAATCTTTTCGAATTTTTCATCAAAAGAAAAAACTAGCCTAAGTCTTCAATAAAAGAAATCTGGTATGCACTTATTTAATAATATAGCTTTCATAATGAAAATGCTAATAAAATATAATGCAAAACAGAGAATTTGAACATCTATTAGAAGAAGCTTATGGCTCTGCATGAAGGCATTATTTGGATCAAGAGTCATGGGAGCATTTATACTACAATGATGTTCTAAGTGTCTCTCAGAAGCCTCATGCGACAGGAGTCAATGTAATAATAGCAGAACTTTTGATAAAAAGGTCATCATCAGAAATTCAAGAATACTTATATAATATGGAAAATTGAAAAGAATGGCATAAACAGTATAAAAAGTCCAAAGTCCTAGAAGAACTCCACCATAGTAGTAAAATTCTTTATTTTTGTACAAGACATATCAGCTATCTTCGTGGCAGAGAACTAATTCTTGCCTCGAAAAAATTCGCTGTAAAAGACCATAAATTTGTTATTTTCACTAGTGTAAACTATGAAAATGCTCCTGGAATTTTTTATAAGGTAAGAGGGTGGTGCTATTTCTTTTTTTTTATTATCAAGCAGCTCAATTCAGTCGCGTCTACAGTTACTTTTTTATGCCAATATGACCCAAGAGGTGTCAGAATAAATTCTTTTTCTGAAAAAATCACCAAAAAATTTGTTGAAAATTTATTGGAGCTGAAAAAAGTGCTGGAAAAAGACCATTCGCCCATATCATTAAGTTTCTAGTTGTGAAGACACAAGCCAACATTACATTACATTAGAATTTATATCGCTTAACGTCCACTACGGGGTTACAACTCCAGGTTTATCACTCGCCTTTCGTCGCATCGGGCCCACCAGTCTGCTGGAGACAAACTCGCTTTGATCACCAGGGTGCTTCCAGGGCAAATGTCCACGTCTTCGACGGCTCATGGATGAGCTACTTGCTTGTTACATGGGTTGCTTTTCCGAAAAACCCAAAAAATGGATTTTTCTGGTCGGCTATCGGCAAAAAGGAAAAATGCAAAGCCTGGGACGTAACGCCCAGTTTCACGCTAGGGAGTTGCCCGAATGGTCCAGAGGACTTTGCTGGGCTTCCCCTTTCCAACCTTGCACCCTCCTTCCCCACGAGGAAAAATCCACCCCTGAGAATAGACTTGGGCTAGGCTCTGAAAGCTACCAGAATTGCTTACCTAGCATTGCTGTCCATCTCTGAAATGGTAAAACCTTGCCGGATATAATTAAAATATGAGTCGAGGCTGCATGGCCGGGAGGCCATGCCCAGACGAAGACGCCATATTTTAATTATGAAGACACAAGCCAACACATTTAATTTAATTATAAATGGCTTTGGGATGATAAGAATAACGATAAAAACACATTTTCTATTGACTGGCTTGTGGAAGTTGTAATAGACAGCGTTTTAAAGCCTATATATTTTAATCAGCACTGGGTAATTTATATAATATGCAATAAAAGCTCCTTTTATTATTGATATTGTTAGATTCTAGCATTCGCAATTATTTTTATAATGAGATATGCTGAATTAAATTAATTTAACATTAACAGCCCAATTCTGTACTTATTTACTATAAAATTTAGTCTTTATTTTAACTATTCCAAATCTAATCACCCCAAAATTTATATTTGTTTATACTCTTATTTGCCCTCACATGCTTGTCCTATGCCAAGCCTCAGCTAAAATTCAACGCAACCGGCCAATTCAAAATAATGCAGCTCACCGACACTCATTACGACTACTTTAACCAAGACATCCCTCAAACCCTCAACATGGTGACAAATTTCCTGCAATGGGAAAAGCCAGATTTCGTCGCATTTACAGGCGACCTTATCACAGGCTACCTCTGGAACGGCACTGCAGACTGGTTTTACGACCGTTGGAGCCCTCACGCCGCTCTATTAACCAAATTTGGTGTCCCATGGGGCTATGCTTTAGGAAATCATGACGGTGAAGCAGACCTAGACCGTCGCCAATGTGTAGAACTTGACATGACAGCTCCTTTTTCCCTCTCCAAAACAGGCCCAGCCTATATGGGAAACTCTACATTTTATGTCCAAGTCTATGATAAATTTGGCAAAAAACCTTTATGGAATTTATGGTTTTTTGACACCGGCTCACAGGTCTGTTATGGAATCCCAGGCTGGGGCTGTTTAACCCATGAAGCTGTCCAATGGTATATAAGCAACGAAAAAGGCCTCCCTGGGCTTGCATTTATGCATATCCCTCTTGACGAATATTTGCAGATGTACAATTTACAAGCTACAGCTGGATTTTATGAAGAAATTATGGCCTGCAGCAGCTTAAATACAGGCTTGTTTTCAGCTTTTAAGGCTAAAGGTATGGTAAAAGGTGTCGGCTGTGGGCATAATCATGAGATTGATTTAGAAGGGTATTTTGCAGGGCTTTATTTAGCCTTTGGCAGGAAATCAGGGTATGGCAGTTATGGTCCTGCTCCTGATATGCAAAGAGGCGTCAGGATGTGGGTGATTAATGAGGACTCAAGCTTTTATACTTATATAAGGCAAGAAGATGGGTCGATTATGCAAAGGACTATAAATGACTTATCAAACCATACAGCAATACAAGACTATTGCATGTGGGCGCAGTACAATCTTCCAAACTACCACATCTTATAAGCGATAATTTTTAATAAATCCTCTAATAAATGCTAGGCAGAATTCTAAAAATCCCTATAAGATGGGGATACACCTATCATCAGGGCAAAATTGCTGCTTTTGAAGGTAGAGACACTGAATGGTCTAGAAAAGATTTAAAAGAAGCCTCAGAGATCCATCAAGAAGTCCAGCAGGACCGCACACTGCAAAAACTCATGCATGCGTGGAAGCACCCTCTAAAGCTTAAGCAGGAATATAAAGCTAGAAGAGTTGAAAGGGAAAGTAAGATTCCTCCAATGCCTGAACAGGAGTCTAAGCTGGTTGTACACTCTCAAGTGCCCATAACTTCGGTAGCCACACCTCGAGATGACCAGATTTTCGCTGTAGTTAGACTTGCAGGGCTGCAGTACAAAGTGACCAAAAATGATTTAATTATTGCTGAAAAATTACCGTATGAGGTAGGACAACAATTCACGTTGGACTCTGTAATGCTTGTTGGAACTCCTAGCTACACATTGATTGGAAGGCCACTTGTAGAAAAAGCTCAAGTTTATATGACTGTCGAGGAACAAACTTTAAGCGAAAAACTCATTGTTTTCAAGAAAATCAGGAGGAAACATTATAAGAAGCAAAAAGGGCACAGGCAGGAATTAACGATTTTGAGGGTTGAAAAAATCGAGCATGAAGTTGAAGATAAGCAAGCTTCTCTTTTTATTCCAGTTAGCTAAATATTTGAGAATAAAAGTATTAGATAAGAAAATTATAATAAAAATATAGGAAAATAATAGAAATTTAATTATAAGAGATAAATAAATAAAGCTTCCCCTTAAATTTATTATTAAATCTACGTATTTTTCACATACTTTATAACTTTCTTCTTAATAATGAGCTCGTTACAAAGATCGATCCATAAAACACACAAAAAAGAAAGGCCAGAATTCCTAAAAACCTATAAGGCATACTCTGCCTCGTTTAAAGAATTGGAAGAAAAACATAAAGAAAAGAAAAGAAAATCTGAAAAGAAAGTGAAATGCCAATTGATGATTGTAGATGAAAACGGTAACAAACGTCCAACAACTATATCTGAGCTAGCATCATTTGAAGAAGATTATCCTGATACACTCTGTTGTAATATTTAAAAAAAAATTATTTATTCTGATTGTAAAAAAATTATTTTTTTAATTTTTAAGATAGTGTATATCTAGATATTGAAGAGACCCTGAAGCTTCGTCAGAGTTAGATACTTATGATCAAGATGTATTAGATGGCTTAAAGCCTTGGGAAAAGCCAGGAAGAAAGCTTTTAAATGCACTTTGGAGGCATAAGCATGCTTGGATTTTCTACGAGCCTGTTGACTGTGTTAAGCTGAGAATCCCAGACTACTACGATGTAATCAAGCATCCTATGGACTTCGGGACAATCAAGAAAAAACTCAACAATAATGTATCTCTTTATATATAAATAATATTATTTTTGCCAAAAAAGCATTTAATTTTTTTATTATAATAATTAAGTATATATGAATCAGGTGAGGAGTTAATTGCAGACCTCGACTTGGTATTCGAAAACTGCCGGATTTACAACCAGCCTGATTCAGATGTCTTTTTAATGTGCACTCAAGTTGAAAACGTGTATAAGCATCAATTGAAGATTTTAGGGTTGGATAAGCTTTATCTTAAATAAATCAGCTTGATTAAAATAACTATTCTTTTTTATATAGACTTAATTTATTTTTATTTTTAAATTAAATAATTATATCTTGAATTAAAAAGTATATATTTTATTAATAAATTTCCATTAAAAATTATTGTCTTTGCTTTCTTCGTTTTCTGTTGACTTTGTTTCTTCGATCTTTTTTTTACGTTCTTGCATTTTTAAGAATTGATCAACAGCAGATTTTACAGTAAAACAAGGGATTAGTTGGTCTTTTGCTAGGTGTTGTCCTGTTAATGGGCAAGTGTCATGTTTTTCAAGCCACATTTCTATATGTTTCTTTTGGTAGCAATGCCCGTAAGGAGTCATGACGGGGTCTGTCATCAGTTCATTAGAAATTGGGCATAAAAGCGCGTCCATGTCATCTTCACCCTCTACAGCTAGATGCTCATCTAATGGAGCAACAGTTTTATTCTAGTTTCCAATGAATTTAGCATCTTTTTATAAAGAAAAATTGCCCACATAAACTACTTAAAAAACAATATTTTCTTCTGTGACTTGTGGATTTACTAATAATTTAGCCAAATCCTCAAGATCTTTCTGATTTTTTTTGCGCTTATTGTTTTTTCTTCAATGAATATTATACTTTAAAGCTTCTTTAACCCCAAAGCAAGAATCTCGAAATCTTTCTTGTCTGTTTTTTATTGAGTCATTTCAGTTAGTCACTGCATTTTGAAAATCCTGTTTACCTTTATCAATAGCCTCCCTAGCCTGATTCGAAATTCTATCAAGTCATCTTCCAAATTTACTTTTTGGCTTATGATTCCAAATGCTCATCTATACTAATTTATATTATCAGTTCATATTAGCTGCATTTTCTAGCTCCCCTTTAAATTGGAACAAAAAGTCCTGCTCCAAATTAAAGGGGGTTATTTTTTTTTTTAAAAATCATTTTTCTCCCATAAAAAAAAATTTAAAAATCTTAAAATATAAATTGAGCACAATGTTTTGAATTTTAATTTAATTTTTTAGAGAAATAATTTAAAAAATTAATCGGTTCAGTGTGAAAGCTGTTTAATTAGAATTCTACTGCACTTTTTCCATTAAAAATTAATCGATTTGAAAACTGTTTAAATAGCATTCTACTGCATTTTGCCTATTAAATTAGGTCAAAGTAATTTGAAGTAGGAGAAAAATATTTATTATCTTAATTTTTAAATTTATATTATCATATATCATTATTTTTCAGTTTTTTTTACAAATCTCAATACCAGTAAGCCAAGTCCTGCAAATGGCAAACACAGATTTATTAACAAGTACCCAGAAACCCCTAAAGCTATAAATACAGGGGTCAAGACAATGCATTTCAAAAATATCAGAGAATTTACTATTTGTTTATATCTCTTATAAACCTCCATTCTTTTAATCAGACTATTAAATACTAGGATTCCCCACAAGCAGCCTCCTATAAGTATCGTTAAAACTGTTATAACAGGAGATAGCAGTAATAATATTGGGTAATACAGAGCTTTAAAATATTGTATATGCTCAGCAAATTGGCTTGTTTCGTTTAATCCTCAGTCTTCAAAAAAATAAATAACTAGTAATCCCAGCTGAAAAGGGAATAAAATCCACATAGCGATCAATAGAAAAATAAATGTTCATGAAGAATTATATTATGGGTAAAAAATTAAGACTACCATACACACAATTTTAAGCTATTTTCGCATACCAAAAGGGATTTGACTGTCCTATTTTTCCTCTGAGACTATAAAATAGCTTCCACCTATCATACATTGAAAAGTCTTATGGTCTGCATTAATCAATTTTCCGCATTTTATGCAAAATCTTGTTCCACATGTGCACGTCACACTTGGGCAGCCTGATGATTTTTCCACATAATTCCTGCAATTAGGGCAAGGCTTTATTCCTCTTTTTTTAGTATACTTATGTAAAACATTATCCACCTTGCAAGATTGGCCTTGGTGCCATTCATTGTGGCATTTTCCGCAGAATTTTGACCCACAGGTGTTGCAGGTTAAATGGGAATTTTCTTCAGTTATAAGATCATAGCCTTGGCAGTTTGGCTTGGGGCACCATCGAAGATTAGGTTGCTTTTGCAAATAGTTTTTATTTCGGAAAGAATAGAACTTTTCTAAGGATACTGGGTCTAGAAATAGATCTGCTAGGCCTGGCTGGTCGTGGACTTCACATGTATAGTCTGGGCAACTGAGAGGATAAAGCTTTCCTTCTTGGACTTTGGAGCATATATAATTTTGTAGGCATGAATTGCAAAACTCATGCTTACAATTTGGCATCTTTGTAGACTCAGCCATTGGCTTTATTTCGTAACAGATTAAGCATTGGCTAGAGTTTGTTATTAGAATTTCAGGAATTTCATCAATAATATCAGAATGGTTGGGCTCCATTTTATAAGTTATGTTGTTAGTTTAGCTTAAATTACTTATTTATAAAATTAAGTGTTGATTTTCCAAGTTGCATCATTTATTTGAAAAATATTATAAATAGCTATTTCATTCATATTATTCTTAAATAAAATTTACAAAAATCATTCCACATAAAAAGAAATTTAATTAAGCACTCAATTTTTCCTCTTCACTTACGTTTTTCTTGTTAATAAGTTCTCCCCACACAGCCTTTTTGGTTTCGAAATCTCTTTTCCTCATCCCAACTGGTATTAAATTTCTAATTTGTTCAGTCACTTGTATAATTTTACTTTCCATGAATCCAACAATTTCTCTTCTCAGCTGTGCCTCAACATTTTCAATAGCTTTTATCATATAAGTTAGCTCAATTTTGCTATCATCAGCCCTTTGTACAACTTCTTCAACCTGTTTATCTTGGCTTGCAGAAAAATCAAACCCTTCAGAATTTATTGTAACCAAAAGCCTTGTATTGATTTTAAACACTGTTTTGTGGTGTCCTTCATAAACCACTTCAATCACATGGGCGATATCCCATTCTCCTTCGTCTGTTTGTTTTTTTATTAAAAAGCAGACTTCATAGCTCCTATCTGATGTCTCTTTTGTAAAAGCTGATGAAATCCCTTCACTATAGTAGCACATTTGATATTCTTCTAATACAGTGTTTGCTCTTATTTCTATGTCTCTTAAGGATTTTGATAAATTGCAAGCTTTATCAAGCTCAGGGACATAAGTATTACTATACGGAGACCTATAAGAAAGCCCAAATTGATTAAATTCGCAGCCTAAGAACGGCTTCAGCGTTTCAGGACATGTAAGAATTTTCAATGGGAGCAAAATTCGCTTGTCAAGTTCTTCTATTTGTTCAGCTGAAAAAAATGACTGAAAATCTGTCTGTATCTCAGGAGAAATTTTGACTCGTTTTATAAGATCATACGCAGAGGCAAGCTTGTCAACCATAGAGCCTAACTTAATTAAATATGTATTATATAAATTATCTAATCAATAAAGGTTAGGAATATCAATTATGGCTTAGTCAAATTGTTGGAATCAGACGCTAACAAGTGCTGAGAGTTTTCGCCAGTTTTTAAAGCCATTTTAAATTTCAAGCCACTTGTATCTTTTGTGCTGCCAATCCCAGTGGAATGGTACTCAGCACTTATTTGTTTTCTGATAGGAGTAGGAATTTTCATGCCAGAGGCTGGGGATGTCATGTCGCTTGGTGAAAAACTACCTGTGAACTCTTTTTCGTTGGTGTTTATTTGTAAATTTTTATTTGATGGGATTTTTTTTACGGAGTCAGGCTTGTAGCCAGGCGAGCAGCCTTCAATCATCTCGTTTTCGTTAAATAGAAAAGCGCCGCCTTGACTGCAGTTTTCAGCATTGATAAGGTCTTCTAGCTGCACATGGCGAGTGTTTTTTCAGGATTCATTTAAAATTCGTTGTAAGCTATTATCGTTTAGTCCTTTACTTTGGGCACGAGAGCTGCTTTGGTTTTCTGGGGATAGCATGGTGTGGGCTAAGTCTTGATCGATGTTAAAAATTAAGCCACTTTTAGGGGAAATTTTTTTTGGTTTTTATTAGAGAGAATTATACATTTTTATGAATTTATTTATTAAATGTAAATTTACTATAAAATTTTTTTAAAAAAAAAATATAATTACCTTTTAGGGGTTGTACATGAAAATTCATTGCTTGCCTCCCCAGCTGTATGAAAAATCATTACTCTTCTATTTGAACTTGATACATGCTTTGGGGTTGGAGGTTTTCCGCTTGGATTTTTATTATTTTTTGATCTAGAACTCAGCAGCTTTTTTTTACTTTCAAGCTCAATAATTTGGTAAAGTAGCTCAAGCTTTTCAGGGTGCTGGGTATCCTTTAATAAATCTGAAATTTTGGTTAATATACTTTGGGATTTTTGATTAAATAAATTCGCCTTTTTTAATACATCAATCGCGTATTTAATATCTTCTGGGCTGACTTCATATCTACTGTCTTCACTTCCATTCCAATTGCTAGAATTTCTCATTGAAACTTCTACTGAATTTTCAGCATTTTCTTGCTTTTTTGCAATTTCTTCAATAATTTGATCGAAAATGCTTTCTTCAGATGCGTTTTGAGAATGCAGCGGAGGAAGGATCTTTTTTTTTTGAAATTTTGGTCTTGATGAGCTGGATCGATGTGAAAAATCGCCTTTATTTTCTCCAATTGAAAAAGCACTCCTATTAGAAATAATGTCTTCGTCGCCTCGGTTAGAAGATATTGACCTAGCTGAGCTCTTTGTAGGCGACCGCTTGGAAACTATTTTTAAGTTTAGGTTCGGGACTGGATGATTTTCTTGATTTATCGTAAAATCAAGCTCTTTTTCTAATTTCTGGATTTTTTGTTTGATTTTCTTTCGAAGCTCTTTTTTTCTATTAATATTAAAATAAATTATTATTTTACAATAAATTTCTTTACTTTTTTTTAAAAAATTATTTCAAACCCTTTCTATTGTTATCAAATTCAGTCCACCTTTCCAAATCGTCAATATTTTTCATTCACATTTTGTGAACCTTTTGTAGCGTGCTGCTTAATTCATTTTCTGAATTCAAAAGGCTGATTTCTTTCGTTCTCACCTGCTCATTTAGAGTACGGACTCGTCTAAACTGACTTTTCAATATTTTTTGCCGCTTAGATGCAAAGCTGTAATTATAATGGTGGTGAACAATTGTTTTATTCATTTCTCTACAAAATCCTTCCCAATTTTCTTGCAAAATATCGAATTTTTCATAAATTTCTTTCAGGATCACTGAAGCTGGAGACTGGCTAAGTTCGCTGATTAAGTCGCTTAATTCTGAGCTAAAATCAAGATTTTGACTGTTTAAGAGTTCCAGCTTGTCAATAACTGCAGTAGTTAAATGCTTGTTGGCAGAATTTTCCATATCAATATATGTTACTATTACATTTAATTTTAGCAGATCCATATTTAACTAAATTGTGCTCGCTTATAAATCAGCCTTTGATAGATTTTTGGTGGAGGGGAAGTTTTTGCTTCCATAAGACCATTGAAAACTAAGATTTCTTTTACTACCTACCCCCTCCGATAGCGAACAAAAAGAATTTGTCCGCTCACGGAGACGAGGTAATTTTTTTTTAAAAAAAATTATATATAATAATTTCTTTTAAATTACCAATAAGGGTTTAAGGATGGAGAGCTCCTATCTCGAGTTGGTATGGCCAACTCAGGCTGATCAAACCAATTGGAGAGCTTGCAAGTGAGCCTTTTGTGATTCAATTGCCGACCTTAGCTTAATAGACCAACTGCAGAGAAGAGCTTTATATCCTTAAACATTTATCGTGCAATTTAAAGACAATTCCTATAAATTTTATAATAATTTTCTTTAAAATTAAAAAAATACCAACTAAAAAAATTATGAAGTAAAAATTTATTTATTTGCAAAATTTATGTTTTAAAATGCAATCGGCTTAAAATTCAACAGGAAATTTTATTTAATAATTTTCACTTGTGCAACGAAACATTTTTTTTCTCAAAAATTATTTATATTAAAAAAAATTGTTCACATCGGAGGGGGAGTTAGGAAAAAGACCATTAAGCTAGCTAAAGGACTTTGTGAGAAAAATTGAGGGTTAATCATATTTTGGTGGCCTGAAATGAGGATTTCAATGCTGTCTAAATTTTCATTTGAAAAATTGAATCGTGAGATCAAGTCTGAGATTGCTTGCTTGTGAGTAGATTTAGCCCGAAGGATCTGAAACAGAACTTTGCATATTTCCCAAGCTTCTTCTGGGTTTTCTGGTAAGGTTTGTCCTAAAAACTGGAAAAAGACTCGGAATATTCAAATTATATCATTTTCAGGTATTATATCAAGATAAAATTTTTCATCCGGCAGCGTTGTAATTACATTTAATACACTTTTTACGCCAATTGACGGGGCATATTCAATTTGTGAATTTAGATCCTCAATTTTATGAGCTGATAGCAGTTCATCTATTTTCGAGTTTAATTCATGAAGTGAATAAGTCATAAGCAATGGATTAATGCCTTTTTCGTTTGAAACTGGTTTTTCTTTCTGAATTTCTTCAATTTCAGGCTCTTTTTCTATTATTTTTTCTTCCTCTATTTTATTCCCACTGTCTTCTTCACTTGTAGCTTGCTTGACATTTTCGATCTCTTCATTTAGATTTTTTTCGCTTTTTGTCTTTGGCAGCATTTTCTTACTTTTTTCCTTTTTCTTCTCCTCTGCCAATTTTTCCTTTAATGCTTCTACTTTTTTTGCATTTTCTATTTTTTTCTTAGCTTCTTCTTCCTCAAATTTTACTCGATATTCGTTGAATTTTTTAATTTTTTCTTCTTCTGCCTTTTTTTTCCTTTCAATTTCTTCTTGTTTTTTCCTTTCTTTTTCAATTTCTAGCCTTCTCTTAATTTCTTCTTTTTTCTTTGTGTCTTCAAGTCTTTTTTTAATCTCATCTTCTTTCATCTTGGCTATCATCATTTTTTTCTTTTCTTCGTCTTCTCCTTTCTTTTTTTTAATATCTTCAACTCTTTTTTTCTTGCTTTCTATCGTTTTCTTTACAACTTCTTCATAAATTTCTAATTTTTCTGGACTTATGAGTGGGGTTTTTATTGGCGTATTAAAAGAATTAACATTGGTGCATGTGTTTTCATTGTTTGGGTCTATCGTTATCTGGCTGAAAGATATAGGCAGGCTTTCTAATTTCGATATTAGGCTTTCTAATAATTGCCTTTGTGTTTGTATTATCCTATAAAGGACTTGTAGCTTGGTATCAACTATTTCATCAATTAATTTTTGAACTTGACCCAAATCCATTATAACTTAAATTTTATTAACTCCATACCTAATTTTATTCAAAACATCCAAATTATTTAAAATATTTATTTTATAAAATTAATACTTTTAGGATTAAAATTCTAATCGAATAGTTTGATAAATCATTATTATAATTATTAATTATATATTTCTCTACAAAACAAAATTTTTATTAACTAGCGAAAAAAGAATTTTTCTAAAGGTTTTTTCTCGTTAACCAAATGGAGTAAGCGATTTATTTATGTTTGCTTTGATAAACTCAGATTATTCAAGGCTAGCACAATTCTGTCATTATAAAGAGTAATTTTCTTATAGCAATTGTATAAACATGTTTCTTCTGGTGGCACCAATTTCTTACTAGCCATAGATCTTACACATTCTTTAAAGCAGCTAGCTACAATTTCGTTATAATGCTTCATTTCTTGGTACATAAGCATCTTTTGCATGTCCTCCTCTGAGTAGCTTTGCATCTTTATAATTTACACATAAAAATGATGTTTAGGAATATTTTACGATTTTTAAGCTAATTAAAATAAATAAAAGCATTTCTATTTTCATATTTTCCTATAATAAATAAGCAAAGGCTATTATTTGCATGCCTTATTAATTTTAATTAGGAATATCATAAAAACACTCCAAAAAGCCAGCACTTGTATGATGACCCAGCGCCAAAGGTTTTTCAATTAATTTGCCAACTTTTTGGACAAGAAAGAAGGCCTCCTGCACACATTTTAGCATTTGAAGCTTTGGAACATATGAATAGTGATTATATGAAGCAAAGTAATAATAAATTAGCGTTTCCATCAATGACATCTGAATATAGCATACACAAAAATATCACTTTAATGCATTTTTCGATGATTGTGCAGAGATTTGAATATGAAGAAACAAGAGAATCAATCAATGAGGCAGCGAAATTTTATTTATTGTGTGAAAAATATATATTTGAAAGATATTTGGATTTAGTTGAAAATTTATACTTTTTTAAATATTTAAAAAATAATTTAAAAAATAATAAAAAGCAATAATTTTTTATTAAAAATAAATATATATAGCTTTTATGATATAATTGACGTCCCAGTCGCTGAATTTGAAGCAGAACTAGTTGAAATGCTCGTAAAAGATTTCGAGTCAATTGACAGAAGCATTGCATGCTATGGCTACAAAAAACCTTTTATTGTTTTAGAAGAAATTCCTGGCTATAATATTCAAGGAGTTATCATAAAGTAGCAATTATTTAGCGAAATCTTTGAAAATCGCATCAAAAAAAATGATTCACAAGTAAGCAAGCTTTATGAATATTTTGAGGAGCACGTAAGAAATAAATAGAAAAAATACCTAGAGTCGTTAACCTATCATCAGTTTATTAATGAAAAAATAAATTGGGGTTTATTTAAAGATTAATTTACTTATAATTATCACTTTATTGAAAAAATAGTGAGCAATTTTAATATGGAAAATAGGAGACTGCTCAGAAGTTATCCAGAAAATCTTTATATACCTTAAAAAATCTATTCAGAAATTCCAGATATAAATCATTATTAGCATAAGGCAATAAAAATGGTATAAAAATTCACAAACTAATGGCCCTGAAGCTAAAAACTACGAAATTTCTTCAATTCTTGGTACCACTTTTGAACTAGATCGCCGATATGTAATACTTAATGTAATCGGCTCTGGTGCATATGGAACTGTAGTGTCTGCTACAGATTCACAGAACGGCCAAAATGCTGCTGTAAAAAGAATGGAAAAATCATTCGAAAATGTATTAATGGCTAAACGGGCCTTAAGAGAACTGATAACGTTGAGAATTCTAAATCATGAAAATATTATTAGAATAAAAACAATCCAGCTCCCTTTTTCACGAAATGATGTGGAAGAGATTTACATTGTTAGCGAACTAATGGAAGCTGATTTAAGTACAGTATACCCTATGGCAGATTATAGATTAATCTAGAAAAACGATTATAGATGATAAATTTTGCCAAATTGCTATTTATAGTTATTATTTTAATTTATAAATACAGAAAAACAATTCCAATCCATAATTCGTGGTAAGCTATAATAAAATCAAGACAAACACTAACAGATGACCAATGCCAATTTTTTTATATTGTAGAAATTTAAATATAAAAGCCTGTATATTAATGTGATAATAAACATCATTATAATTATATGTAGAATATATCAATTATTAAGAGGCTTAAAATACATGCACAGTGCTAATATTCTTCATCGAGATTTAAAACCAAGGAATATATTAGTCAATCGGAACTGTGATCTAAAAATATGCGATTTTGGCTTGGCTAGATTTGTAAATAATAATAGAAATGCTTTGAATTTAAGGACTATGAGTGATTATGTGGCAACAAGATGGTATAGAGCTCCAGAATTGTTATTATCAACCCATACATATACAGCAGCTATGGATGTATGATCAGTCGGATGCATTTTTGGAGAATTATTATTAAGAAAGCCTATTTTTCCAGGAAGTGATGCCACTAATCAGCTTGAGCTTATTATAAATGCCTTAGGCTCCCCTTCTCCAGAAGAAATTGAATCTATTCCTCACATAGAATCCCGAGAAACCTTAAAGCGCATGCACAAGCGCACCAAAAAACCTTTAACCATGATAATTCCTAACGCAAATCCTCAGGCCTTAGACTTGCTTGAAAAACTATTAGCTTTTTCTCCATCAAAACGCATATCAATTTCTGAAGCCTTATCTCATCCTTATTTATCCTCATTTCATTGCCCAGAAGATGAGCCAATTTGCACAGAAGATTTCCGATATGAGTTTCGCTTTGAAGATGAAAATTTAGACATAGAAGACCTCAAAGATTTATTGTATGAAGAAATCCTGCTCTATCATTTTCCTGGAAAAGTCGAGGAATATAATAAAGCCAAGGCAGAATTTCTGTTAAAAATTAATTAAAATAATTATTTTTTGTAAAAATAAAATTTCCAGAAAATTAGTATTTCTAAAATTTGTGAGTATTAAATATTCCTTTATCGCTATCAAAACTGATATAAAATGGAGCCAGATATCATTAAATCAGAATTTTCACTGCCTCAATGCGCCTTTATCGACATTCAAATTACGTTTGGGAATTCCCTTCTGACAGAAACGGAGCTTGTCAAAAACATAACAGATCCTCACCTTCTGTTTAACTGTGCTGGTGAAATGCTATTAGCTCCACTGATAAGCCATTTAAAAATGCTTGGATACCCAATAGACTCTGCAATGGTTTGGTATTATTCCCCTACCGCAAACGTAAAAGTTTACTGTGGGAACGACCCATTGCCTTTCACAATAGCAATACCATTATTCGAGATAAAAGAAAATAGATTGATCATTGTCTGTCAGGAACCTATAAGAAATAAATTCGGGACCGTTATATCCTTAGGGTCAAACCCAAGCCAAAAATCAAGGCCTGAGGAAGAGACTGCTTCTAATGATAAATCGTCCAGAAGGACGAAAGAAAGGAAAATTGGGTATATCATCGAAAAAGTCAGCAAGTGGCGAAAACTGTATAATGGCTCATCTGGGGCAGCTCCTACAGATGATCAAAGCAAAATGACGCTGGAAGAAGCTGCAAATAAAGTAGCGATTTCAAAAAAATCGCTAGACGATTATTTATTACAGCTAAGGTTTGGAAGAAAGTTTGGATTCAATTTTCAGGAGCATAAAGATGATAAAGTTGGGGTTTTAAGGGCTTATGTATTCCTTATAAATGAGAATAAATAATTTAAATTTTTTTAGGAGAAAAATTAATTTTTTTTATTATTAAAAAATATAAAAAAATTCAAAAGCCTGCATCCTTATGCGAAAAAAATTGAGAATGGGGAAGAAGTGCCGCCAGATGTGATACAAAAGTTGCAGGAACCAGGGACACCTGCGTGTAAGCATAATAGATGTTGTGCGCCAACTTATGCTTTGCCGTTTAAAAATAAAGAAAGCCAACAAAATAAGACACCTATGTATCCAAATTATCAAAACTTTTAGGATAATAAATATATTCTATATTTGACTAGTTTTAAAAGTTTTTTTGTGATATTTAATTATATTTTTTTAATTTTTCAAAGATTTTTAATGTTTGCAATGCCCTTATCTTATTTTCTCTTGTATTTTTTAATATTTTTCTTACTCCCCACCTCCGTGAGCGCAAAAAAAATCTTGTTCGTTCTCGGATAGGGTTTAATTTTTTTTATATAAATTTTAAGTTTCTTTGATCCCATTTTGCAAAAATTGGAAAGCAAATATAATTTAATTTTTAAAATTCTCCTTTAAAACGCAATTCGTTTAAAATTAAACAGAATTAGTTAGAGATTTCGTTATAATAATTATCACCACTTATATATATAAAATTTTTTTTTCCATAAAAAATTTTTATTCGCTCATGGAGGGTGGGTTTTTGGGCAAAATATAGGGATTTTTCTAATGATTGTGTTCGCTCACAGAGGGGGGATTTACTAAACACAAAAAATTTCTAAAAGATTTATCGATAAAAGATTTTAGCTTATGAACCAGATTCCAGACCCGTGGTTTTGGGGAGAATTGCTGTATCTTCATCTTCTTCTAGTTCTTTGAGGCTTTCAGAAATTCCCAGGACCTCAAATGGAATAACACTTCCCGGTCTTTTTATTAGAAAACTTCTAGTCACTAAAGGTGTCAATGAAGGGACTAATCTTAATCCACTTTGTCTATTTAAATTTATCATTGGCACTTTGCTGATCGCCATGGCTCTTGAGAATTGTTTTGCGTAGGCAAATAGCCTCATATTTTATTATAATTATAGAGAATAAAAAGATTTGTATTTCTTGGCGAACAAGGTAAAAGCAATACAAGTTTAAATTAATACTTTATTATTAATTTGAACAATTACTATCTGTGATATCAAGTGCTAATCAGCAAAAAATTTTGTATTTTTTTATTCTGCTGGCCATAGAAAGCAATATTTCTGAAGGATAATTTTTTTTTATATCTTTTTTGAGTTTTGCTAGTTTTTCGATGACTGGCTGCTTAATTTCTTCTAATTGCTTAAAGCAAGGCCTTAAGCATCGATGCCCTTTAGAAGCTGGCTTTTCTGCATGCTCAGAAAGATGATCTTTACAAAATAAGACTGTTCCTTGACATTCACACTTTCCATGGAGCTTATTTGTACAACCTTCTTTGAAGCACCTGCCACTAAACATTTTTATAATTGCTTAATAGATTAAAACTTTTAGCTTCAAAGACAATTAATTTAATATGTAGTCAACCTCTTTCTCTATATATTGATTTTACTTTCTATGTTTTAATTAGTTATGCTTAAAGTTTTCAATCGAATTAAGATCAAGCAATGACGATCAGCTCGAGGTAGCTAGCAAAATTTAATTTAATTCAAATTAAAATATTTTATAGTAATACAGAAAATAAAAATTATGCCAAAAACTCTTATACTTACTGCAGCTCAATAATCTGTCTTAGATTCATAAATAAATAATAATATTTATCCACATGATTTTCCCTTTAAAACTTTCTTCACCTTTAATTTTAGGTATATTTGGGAAATTATAAAGACTTGTGTACAATACTAAAAAATCATAATTTATTGATTTTCCATCCAAAAGGTTAACTTGTCATGACTCATCCTCATTTTGCCTTATTGAAGTTACATTTGCATTGCGTGAAGCAAAGGGAGTAAATTGAATTTTTTAATTATGTCTTCGCTAATTCAGTGTTGTAAATAATCAAGCTTAGGGAGCATTGGGGCATTTTTAATTGGATCGTCTTGTAGATAATATGACCTAAAAGCAAATTGAAGCCCAGCTTCATCGTAATTTTCTGATCAAACTTCACCTGGAGTTGACTGTATTTCTAGTATTTCGATTTCATAGCCTTGAGTTTTTAGTCTTTTCGCAGTCACAAGGCCTGCTAGGCCTCCTCCAATGATACCTATTTTTTAGGAATTTTTGAGATAAAGTGATAATTTGGGTTAGATTCGTAAGGAAGCTTAGGGAGTTCTTGATACGGAGGACCGACTGGATTAGGAATAGAAAATTCTCAATTTAAGACAGAAAAAGCAGAGCCTGCTGAAATTCCTAAAAAAAACCAGCCTTTTTCATAATACTTATTAGTTATATAAAGAGGCTTAAGATATTATATGAAATACGAGTGAAAATTCTCAATATAAAGAGAAATAATTTTTCATAATACTTTTAATTATATAAAGAAGCTTAGATATATTAGATTATCAATTGAAGCTTTTCTGCCTAAGTTAATATATCGATCTTCATAATCCTTTTTTACTCTTTTTCTCTTTTTTCCATTATTTTCTTTAGATTTTTCAATTGCGTCTTCGAAGTTTTTCAGCTTTATCGATTTTTGATGGACTGCTTCTATAACTTTACTTACATTGAATCTTTTCTCATAAACTTCTTTCGGATCTTTTGTTTGATTATAGTAATAATAATAATAATATCCAGAGGCGTATGTGCATTCGTCATTGTTATACTTTAGTCTTTTCTTATGAAACCGCCGTACCTATAATTTTTCTGAATATTGTGCTTTATTTCTCAATATGTTTCAGAATATTGATTTGCATTTTTTTTTCTTATTTCTGAACTGGCTGAAAGGAGCTTTCAATTTCTTGAACTGCTTTGAAGGACAATAAAGGTATTTAGGATGAATTTCAGGAGTTAGGCACCAGCTCATAATAAAATGATATTTAAATAGTTTATTTATTAAAATTTCCATATTTCTGTTCTGTTCTGTTCTAACGTCTAATTGTTTCATTAATCTTATGAGTGTGTCTCAAATCAAATCTCACCGATATTAACTGCGATTTACTTGTCAAATAATAAAATCCCATGCAATTTATTTTGTCTTAAAATAAATATGCTTTACAATTTTGTGTTAAAAATCCTTAATCGGCTTAAAAATTTATGTATAAATTGCATATAAAATTTATTATGCTGCTCATTGCAGGGATATTGTTGGAAAGTCTCTTTTAAAATTCTAACAAGTTTTATATATCTATTTGCAATGATAGAGGAAACTGCTTCTCTATTTTCATATAGAAAATAGGGAAAGAAGCAGAATTCTTTATTGCAATTGGTATTGCACTTCAGAATATATAAAGAAGCCTAAATGTTCTAAATTATTAATTGAAAATTTCCTTAATTGATCAATACATTCCTCCTCATATTCTTTTTTGCTCACTTATTTTCAATTCACTGTATATTCTTTTCTATAGCCTATAAAGCTTTTAAGTTTTTTGATTTGCTGATCATGCCATTTCAAAATTTCATAAATTCCAATTTTTCTTGATATAACTCATTTATAAAGTAATCACGCAGACAGCCCACTTGAATATTTGATGCAAAACTTTGTAATCCTTTAGCGCTATTTTGGATGGCTACACACGTCGAACACTTTCCCATGTGTGAAAACTAAATCTCGCATGTGGAACCCATTCAAGTGTGAAAATTCTGCATGCGATATATGGTTTTTTTTGCGTTAGAAAAAAATCCCGATGTTGAAGCCTATCCTATAAATAATAGCTTATAGCTAGGATATAAAAAATTTTATATTTTTGATTACTCCTCTTCTGAGAGGCTAGACATTAGCTATTGTTGAGCTAATATATAGAGAAACTAAGCTTGACAATAGTTTATATTTTATACGCTTAATGCTGAAACATTTCAAGTACTTCACTTTCCCATTGCATTTGATGGTCTCATAAAATTATATTTCCAATTTCTTATTATGTAAGTCTCTGCTGAAAAGTAAAAACCATTTCAGGGGTATTCTGTAAATATCTTATTATGCTCTTCGAGTGCAAGTTTAACGCCATTTTAATTAATATTTCTTGTGGACTATTGATATGGCTCATCTTTTTCTCTTTAAAGGGGTCAAATATACATCCTTTGCAGTTATTTTCAAATTTATAAATGGATAAATTATAGAATGAATTGGTTAAATATGGGTATGCTTTAATTAATGCAAACGGATTATAATACTGAGGGCTGTTAATTTTTAAAATAAATGCTAATCCTTCAAATGTTTCTGCATATTTTATTTAAGTAATAATCTAACTCGATCTCATTTAATTTAGGAAGCAAATTTAATTAAATTGTGGATAAGGGCTCTTTCGAACTAAAGGCTATATGTAGTTATTATTAGGCTATAATTGTTTTCTTTCGCTTTTATTCTTAATTCTCTATAGTTTTTATTTATCAAAAGACACTTTTCGACTGTTAAGCTGGAATCGGTTGCCTTCGCATTAAGACACTTGAGAGGTAGAAATTTCTCCTATAATCCCTTGCATAAATTTCATTTTGCTTATTTATAGTAAATTGATTTTAAAATGTCAAAAAAATTTTAGCATACCATAGACTAAGTTTTATATGTAATACATGTCAAAATTTTTTTGACATTTTTAAAATCAACTTACCATAAATAAGCAAAATAAAATATTACCAATACATTATATCTTTTAGAGCCTTTCTTTTTCTTCCTGCTGCATGCCAATATCGTCTCTTGGGCAAATATCTGCTCTCCAGTGGGCATGCTCGGTACAAAGCCAACTTGTGCTTGATGCAGTACATCCTTCCAACAAACCTCCCTTAGGATTCTTTTCGTCAAAATCTTATCTAATATTTTGTAGGTAGAGTTTAGCAGGGTGATGGGCATAAAGTCTTGTGGATAGATCCAGGCTTCTTCTGTAAGAACACTACAAGTGCTGAGTTCATTTCCTTTGGTAGCCTTCTTTCTCTCCATACCTGCTGTACTAGCTTAAATAAAACCTTTTCAACCAGTTCTCCCCCGTTCTTGATAAGTTCAACCAGCAATTGCCAGGGCCCACAGTCTTCCTGCTCCCTAATTGCTTAATGGTCTCATTAACTTCTTCTCTTGTTGGGACCGTTAGGTGATTGGCTAGATCCGGTTGCTGCAATTCAGTATCTTGATACTGATACTTCCATCACTCCAAAATATTACTCTCCCCGCTGCTCATGACTTAACCGGTCCAACCCTCTTTGCTCTTTCGATTCTCCTTACCAGTTCCCACTCATCCTATGCTCCAAATATTGCTCACTCTATTTCCCTCTTCACGCATGCGCTCTGTCTGTCTTGCTTTAGCTCGCTTTTGAATTCTTTCATTGCATCCCTTGTTTCCTCATTTCTCTAGGCATTTCGGTTTGTCAAATGTGTTTATGGCTCTAAAGGCCTTCCATTTGTGCCTTCTTGCTTTTCTTATTACCAGCAGTGAGCCTTTCCCTAGTCCGGATCCTTCCATTGCGCCGTTTCGCCCAAAGCTCCTTCAGCAGCTTTTAGTAGCCCTCTGACCATAGCACTATACAATGATTCTGAACTGTGATCCTCTGCCAATAAACATCCTATTTCCCTGCCAAGCACTTTCTGGTACACACTTAAGTACACCTTGCTTTGGAGTCTGTCTATATTGAGTCACTTCTACGTTGAGCCGTTTTTTTGATGAAGGGGGTAAGAATTTTAATCACAAGAGGCAAGTGATCGCTTTTGATTGGTTTTTAGAGGTAAGTGTTAAAATTCGTGATAATTTCGGTAGAGTCTCAATCAACAGCACAATAATCTAGACAAAAGGCATTTCCAGTTGAGCGCATATGGGTGGGTTTATTAAATCCTAATAATTTTAGTTGCCCCATTCCTTGCAAAACCCAGTCATTCTTTTTCCGTTGCCATTGGTCGCTTCTGAGTATCAGCCCAAACATGAGCGTTAAAATCTCCCAGTATCAGTGTTTTCTTTCCAGTAACCCTGGACTTGATGGGACCATCAGTTTTATTGCTTCATGGTTCACAGCTATCTTTCCCCTTTTTTATAGTCGTCTCAAGCATCATCTTCAGCAAATGTCACTATTGCATCCCCAGAAGGCAGCCTTAAACTTTTCAAGACGTCTTAGCCTTCAGAGCTAAGATCTCTACTTTTTAAATTAAAATCCATAAAAATATTTTATAATATATATATCATCTTTTTTAATAAGAAGCGATGATGAATTATCCGATAAGAGATATGAGACTGAGCAATATCACTTATTACGCTTTCTAATTTTTATATCTACAATTGGTGCACTAAAGGATGCTTGATAAGTATTAAGTTTGGTTTCTGTGAAAAGTGTTTGAATAATATTCTGCTTGAGCTTTCCAAAGGATCAGGATTTATTTCTATCAAAGTGATTTGATTTAAATAAAAATCGATTTAGTTATAATAATTTTAAATTAATTCAAAGCAGATATGCTTCTTACTGACGAAAAAGGGTCATACTCTACTGAATTGCTTAAACCCTCTTTGAAAATTATTCCAATTTTTGTGTTATCAGAAAGTATCATCCTGCTCTCTATTTTTTTGCAGTCTCCTTGAACCTCTTTACAGCTTCGATTTAGCTCATTTTCATTATCAGGAACAATATTATTTTTTTCTCTTGGATAAAAAATTTTCCATATTTTCATAATAATGCGGTCAATGATTGCAAATTGTAAGAAAAATTTAGCCAAAATGTAAGTAATAAATAAAGCGTTGACAAATATCAAGAGAACAAGTAAAATATATGTGACAACAATGCCTAGATCAGCAGTTAAAAAGCAAAGGCCGGTCAGTATCGTTATTAATGAGGCTAATCTGGAGAAAGTTTCTGCTTTATTGAAAAATACTTCACTGAAAGGTTCATTCCTGGAATGAAGATGGAGAAATAGTACAAAGAAAAGAGCTGCTGAAAGAGCTTGAATATTGGCTGAAATATTTGATAAAAATGCGGAGCAGCCTATTAAAATCACTTTATAGAATAAAATCATGAATTCCCAATAATAGTGCTTTGGTTCATATCCATTACAAAGAAACCCATATCGTTTTTTCATCCACATTTCTCCTAAATAATTTCTATTTTTTATCAAATTCATAAGGCAAAATAAAGGAATTGTAACAACTCATATAATTATCGTCGGTAAAGCCAGTAAAAGCGCATAAAAAGCGTGATCACGATCCCAGCACCTTATTCCCAAATCGACATTAAGCCAATATTCTCCAGGGTTAATTTCTTTGCAGCTAAAAACATTGAACATATTATCAATAATGCTTGGATGTATTAAAAACAGCAAAACTACAGCTGTAGATATAAAGTCATCTCACATTTCTTTTATAGGCTTCTTCTTGATCTTATAAACTAAAATTCAAAACATTAAGCAGCCCAAACCTGCCAAAAAAGGAGTCAGACTTGTGATTAAAATTTTTATATAATAAATGACGCTTTTAGAGATAAAAATATTGAAAAAAATATTTTAATAAAAAAAATATAAAAAAATTATTTTTTGTCCTGCTTTTAGAGTATGATGACTGCAAAAAGCAATCAAACGAAAACATCTGCCCTCCAATATAGTCCAGAGATGTCTGGATGTAGAAGAATTGGACTACTTCAAATGGTCAATTTAAATTATATGTTGCCGTAATAATTATAATCTGCAAGTAATTCCAAAATATTTTTATATAAATTGATGAGAAAGAGTTTGGCTTGTATCAAGAATTTCTAGTTGTTTTTAAAATAACTATTGTGATAAAAATCAATAAGGTAGAAATTCCAATTCATCGAAAAATATTGCTGGTATAGTCAGGGCAAACTTGGCACTCATTTCTATATATTATTTATTTACGCTGAGTTTGATAGGAAATAATTTTTAAATATTTGATTTTTAACTAAAATATCAGTTTAAAAATTTTAAATGCTTGAATTTAATTAATCAAATATTTCATAATCGTGAGTAACCATATTCACACGAATGGCACATGTTATTTTCGTAGCCTTTATCACACTTCCCAGTTAATGATAAATTAGAAATATCAGGAGAGCCCAAGCAAGCTGGCTGATAAGGACATTTTCAAAATTTATCTGTAAAGTTATTATAGTTTTTCCCTTGAATTGCCTACCGTGATTTTCAAGCTTTTCTTTTTGGTAAATTCAAAAAAAAAGTCAATATCTCTTCAATACCCCGATTTTGGAACTATTGAGAAATTTCCATAACAAATTGCATTTTTTGGACAATCCGAACACTTAGATTTCTTTAAATCTATATTATAATATCCTTTTGGACAGATTTCACAGACTAGACCAACTGTGGCCTCTCCAATATCGCATAAACGCAAATTGACCTCAATAGAGAAGCTCTTTGACATTTGCAAAATTTCGCTTGTTGTGTTCATTTTCTGTGTATTTATTGCTGAAGAAACTATATCAATATCAACAGAAGAGCCTGGCTTCGCAGAAATGATATAATCATCGAAATAATAAATCCCATTTTTCGCATATACAATAGTAGTACCTGATATTACTGTGTCAGCTCTTATTGCTTGCATCTGTGCTTGGCTTGCAGTATCTGTAGAAATTATTTGATAAAGATCGTCAACTAAAGCAAAAACTAATGAAGGATTATTTGTTTGGCCTGATGCGACATTGTCCAGCACTAAAATGCTTCTGTCTTTTGACATAGTTTTGCTTTGCAGGCTCCTGGTATCATTATTTAATCCAAAAGCGTAAAATATTTTTTTAAAAAAATTGTATTTATTATTAAAATTAATTATAAAAAAGAGTTAGAAAAATCATCATTGTAGGAAAAGAAGCTATATCTGGCCCGTATATTGCAGAATTATTTTCAAAATGATTATTGTCAAAAAATGGCTTTGAGTTATCCCAGCTTATAGCTCCACCATTGTAGCTGGCTATATTATTAATAAAAGAGTTTGACGAAATATCAAAATAGCAGATAGAGTTTGAACTTTGGCAGCTTACTTTTATTGCTCCTCCAATCCCATCTTCAATATCGTGGCTCTTTGGAATTAATGTTTCAGCTTTGTTTTCATAGAAAACTGATGACAAAATATGCAGATTTATGTTATTTGTCCAAATTGCTCCACCATTACTAGCGGTATTTAATTGAAAATTAGAAGATGAAATAGTAATTTGAGATGATTCTGGGTGGTCTGCTTCATTTGTAATATAGATTGCTCCTCCATATACACCTAAATTGCTAATAAATCAAGAGTCCAAAATTGAAATAATGTTGCATTGGGTGCAGTAAATAGATCCACCGTTTACTCCTTGCCCATTAATAAATTTTGAGTTTAATATATGAAGTTCCTCAATTTGGCTTGAATATATAGCAGTATTTGTATGATCTTTAAATAGAGTATTTTCTATAGTAATAGAGCTCGAATATGAGTCTATAGATGAGCTAGAATTCATGAATTTTGATTCCTTAATAAAAAGACTGCTGCCTTCATAAAGGTAAATCGATCCGCCTGTATCACTGGAAAAAAGATCAGAAAATGCCGATGAATAAATTTCTATTTTACTAGACGTCGCGTGTATTGCAATACCTGAGCTATTAGAAAATCCCTTAGAAAAGGCAGAGTTAGTAATGTTCACATAACTTGTGCTCATATAAATAAAGCATCCTTGATTTCCTTTTTGATTTGAAAAAGTTGTGTCAGCTATAATAACATCAGAATCATCAATATACAGGCTGGGATTTTTTCCAAGAGCAGTATTTCTGAGAATTTTAGACGAAGATATAGTAATTTGAGATGATAAAATAAAAAATAATCCTTCATTATATGCATAATTTTCAGATATTTCTGTATTATTTATTGATGAGCTGGCTAACGAACTAGCCATAAATATTGCTGATCCTTTGTTTTTGCACGAATTCTTACTAATAATAGAGTCAGAAATATAAAACTGAGCATCTGAATCAGCATATATAACACCTCCTGAAGAGCCAGCATAATTTGTGCTAAAAAGGCATGAAAAACATATAAATTGGGACTTTAGGCTAATAGAAGCAGCTCCACCATTAATATTGCTGCTGCAGTTTACATAAGTTGTATTTTCTGAAAAAAATTTTGCTGAATTCTTAAGATTCAATGCCCCACCTGAGTTAGGAGAAATATTATGCTGAATTTTTGAATTTTTTATGAATACATAGTCATAGTCAAGGAAAAAAATTGAGCCAACATTGAATTCAAATAAAGAATCATAAGATTCTAAAGTAGAGTTTATATTGGTATTATCCATAGAAATTGTTGTATTTCCTGAATTAAGCCGAAAAATACAAGAATTTAAAAATATTTTTGAAGCATTTTCTTCGGTGTTTTCGCCTATTGCTATATTTAATCCAGAACTATAAATTCCTTTATTTTTAACAAAATTGCAATGCTCAAAAATCAATATCCCATATAGGTAAGAAACCGAAACAGTGCCTGAAAAGCTTGCTATATTCTCTTGAAAATAGCAGTCAATAATAGAAGAATTAGAAGTAAGCTCTACATTGCTGTCTATATAAATGCAAGAGCCATCTCAAGCTTGATTTTTAAAAAAATCTGTGCTATCTATTTGGAATATCAATAGTAAATCTAATGGAGTTGTTTTTTCAATATAAATTGCTCCCCCACTAAAAGAGCAGGAATTATTTTTAAAAGTTGTGTTTGAAATAAAAAATATAGATGTGTCTATTGTATCTTGCTGCATTGAAACAGTAACTGCACCACCATTTGATCCTGGTGAGCTATTAGAGTCGAAATCAGATGAAAAAATACTAAGATTTTGCCCTCCAAAATACAATGTACCAGCATTGCTAGAAAAAGTGCAATTATGCAATAGCAAGCTCGAAAAGCTGCTTATAGCTCCTGGGCTTCCATATTGATAATTTACATTAAAATAGAACTCAGAGTTTATAATTTTATAAATCATATTTCCTTGAAACGCTAAAGCAATACCTCTACTACCGACACCTTTGTTTTGATTAAAATAGCTCGATTTTACTATACTATTGACTGTATTGGAAATATTAATGCAAGGAGAAGAATACTTGCAGTAATTATTTTCGATATTTATTCGCTCTATGTTTAAATTGATAGAGTCAGATACAATTGATAGAGACTCGCAATTAATATCAGTAGGATTAGTGATGTTGAGTTTAGGATAAGCTAAGGGATTTTGTATATAAAATTTCATTAATATCGAGTTTATGTTCATGGGTTCGGATAAAGATAAGCCATTTGAGTTCATATTCAATTTCTCTCATTGAATATTAGCCATTCTTGAAATTTCAATTATTCCAGCTTTCCCTGAATAATTATTTGTGAAAAATGAATTTTGAAATTTCACTCATTTAGCTAAATATTTTCCTTCTTCAATGCTTCCGTCTAGCAAAATTGCATTAAATTTTCTATCGACTAGATACATTTCATTTAAATAATTGCTCTCAATATGCATCAAAGAGCCGCTTTCAATTCCATTAAAGGTAAATGATGAATTCTCAATCAGAAAATTCTGATTATTATCCTCATATAAAGCATAAATAACTCCACCAGTTCTACCATAATTTGACGTAAAATTTGAGTTAGAAATACGGACATGACTAATTTTCGAATAAATTATAACCCCATTATCATCAATTTCAATAGGAAAATTATAAAACTCCTGCTGAATATATACTATCCCAAAATCGCATAGATTATACAAAAATGTGCAAGAGTCAATTCAAATAGCTTGAAATAAATGTAAAAAAATCAATGAGGCAAGATTTAAATCAAGCACAGCCTGCTTAAAGACTGCATTATACTGAAATTTCACATTTCTAAAAACAATTGTATTAATGCCAGTTCCATTAAAAAATCCTTTAACATTAATAGCATCATACAGTTCATAGCCATTATTAAGTCTGCTTACAACCCCATTTTCATAATGAAAATTCCCATACCCAGTCCCGTCCATCCGGATAACCCAGGATTCATATTCATTGCGAACCTTTATATTATCAAAAGTAACATTATATAAGGTCACATTTGAATCATTTTTTATGTTCAAAAGATACCGAAACTCAGTCCTGAAATTAATAAAGCTAACATTCTTTAGCAATAAATTGCTGTATCTAAGCTGTAAGAATATACTCTGGGCATCATTTTCGCATCAGCTAGCTAAAAAATCATTTATAGTTTCTCCTCTATCGCTATAGTAAGCATTTGACTTAATAACCACAAAAGGACAATAATCGCAATAGTTATCATTATTACACTCTGCAATCGTATTTTTTCAATCAAAAATCAGATTATTCATCTCGATACTTATAGCATTTTCAAAATAAAACCCAAAGCCTCAATGACTATTATCATTTCAATCATCTATTACTCTTTTTATCGTTATTTTTTCATTGTTCAATGTCGTAAATTTAACACTTTTTCCTGCAAATGCAATTGTTTCAAGTACATCTGTATTTGTAGAAATTAATGATATTTTATATGATGTTAAGTTATACCCGTCACAATCTAATAAATAAACAACTGAGTGCTTATAATTGATATTATAAAGAGCATACGTAAGAGACTGAAAAGGGAAAAAATAGGTCCCATCTCCACTTTCTGGATTGGAGCTTGCATTTGGGCAAATAAAATATATGTGAGGATTTTTAGAGGAAGAGGTATCATTTAAAGGCAGCTCAATGAGAGATCCATCTGGTAAAGTAGAAGGGCTCCAAGACAATTGTCCTCTGCCCCAGCAGTCTCCATCTATCAAAATGTACTTCTGATAAAAATCATTAGGACAAGTTAAGCATGAATTAGAATCTCCATAAGCGCGATAACAACTGTAAATTCAACTCCCTAAATATCCGTTTCCATAGTTGCATTCGAGATAATTGCATTCTTCTTTTAAGCTGTAAAGGTCAAAATCTAGTGCTTTTTCCAATGTGCAGCTATAATTAGAGGCTTTATATAGACTAGGGCTGCTTATAGATCGATTTATGGGTTGTCCAAAGATTAAGAAATGAAGAAATATTGCCAAGTTGCTGGATCAAGCAGCTTGTAGTCTGGAGCTAAAGGCACAAACAGGTTATAACAATCTTCAAGATGAGTAACATATGAAAAATTGTTCCGGATAATTTGTTGATAAGAAGAAAAAATTGCTGAATTCCCCTCGGTCAGCATGCACGTTTACAGGAAAAAAAAAATTCTATTTGGTTGTCTTCAAATATAATGTTTTAAAAATTTTAAAATTTTTCTATGCAAAATAAAATGCTTTGGTGAAAATACTTTCGAAGAGAAAAATATTTAAATTATCATGGAGAAAGAGTAAAGAAGTATTTTTGCATTGGTTATTTGGGAATTGAGCAAGATTATCATAGTTGCAATTTGCCACCATGCATTCTGGCTTACATTTTCCATAATCCTCTATAGAGCAACCATTAGCGCATTGGCAGTCTTTATAATCATATAAGCAATCTTCGTTATTGCATTCTGGTTCGCATAATCCATTTCCAAGCATTATCGGGAAACACCCTTCAGCACATGCTCCACAATCATGATTATCTAGGTCACATTCTCAATTATTACAGGCTTCATCGCAATTCCCATTTCCTAGCATATTATTTAAACAACCAGGAGCGCAAGTGCAATCTCCTCAGTCAAAACCACAATTTTGAGTATTGCAAGAGTCATCACATATACCATTTCCAAGGTTTTCTGGATCACAGCCATCTGAATTAATGCACGTCTTATAACAATCAGAGTTTTCTTTGATATTTTGTCCATCAAATATAAGCAAAGTGTCAAAGTTGCAGGATGGAGTCATGCATTCGGGATCACATTTGTGATTGCCTTTCTAAATTAAAATTACTCTTATATAGAATTTCCCCGCTTTTGGTTCCTTAGAGTGGGCGTTTCATTCTCAAAGTTAAGTTGGATTTGCAAATCTCTTTAATTTTGCAAGATTATAAACTTTTGCTACTTTTAAACTAAGGAGAGATTTCACTTTCAAATCAGAGAGATGGATGACCTCTAGAAGAAGCTAAAATGAAAAAGGGGTTATATCTGGGCATTTTGTTAGACTGCATATAAGGTCTATGCCTTTAACAATTCATAGAGTTAAAAAGATCACTATGAAATTCATTTATTTATATCTATGTTTGTACTTATTCTCTGAGAATTTAAGAATTAGCATTCTCATAGTAAATAATTCTACCAAAAAATAGTTATTAATTGTATTTTATTTTCATAACAAAGTTATAAATTTATCATAAAAGCTATTTTCTGTTGAGAAATATTAATTTTGCCTAATAAATCTGCTCTATAGCCCTTTAATCCTCCTTTATGTTAAAACGCATTAATTAGCTGAGAAGATATTCGATATTCTTCAAGTGGACACAAATTAAAATTAATTAATTTGATCATAATAAAAAATTAATGTGTGTTGCACCTCTCAAGCTAATGACCAGTAAATTAGCTTTAAAACATAAAGATTAATCTTGCCTAAGGTTTAAGATTTAGATTCTACTCGATTATAAGCGAGCTCCCCACTAGCAGGACTACCTTAACCCCAGGAAATACTGGGTGCATAGGCCGAACCAAAATTCATTCCTTGGCGAGACTCACCTAACCTAAAGATCAGCTCCCTAAGTTAGAGCCACTCTCTGTAGAGTGCCCCAATAGTCCAGACAGATGAAGATTATGAGATGGAAACCCACCTCATCCACCTAACAAGGAAAGGAAAACCTTCGGGGGAGAAACAAAGCTTTACCTGTTTGCAAGGCATCCCCAAGCCTTTAGGCCTACTTCATAGAGGGAAGAGGCCCTGTTTTCAGCTTCATCGAGTCCTACCTTCTCTATAGAGAGTGAACCTCTAATGCAATTTCCGTCAATGTCACCATTTATTTCTAATCTTGTCCAAAGTATTTAATTATCTTATAATTGTTCAAATTTAAATTTCCATTAAGCTTTTAAAATTTTCTTATGATTAAAATGAGCTCAAAAAGGGTTAAATTATCGAATATTGTTTGATTATGGAAAGATATAAATTATTTATAAGATACAATGGTTTTAATAGATTAGCCAGCTAAATAAAGGCATTTTTTTAAAAAGAATAAAGTCAAAAAATATTTTGTTTAAATCTGTCTTTCCCAGCTTTATCTGACTCACAAAATTTAAGGCTCTACTAAAGCTTCTATCTCTAATAGTTATTACATTACATTATTATCTATCACGTTTTACGTCCACTACGGGGTAGCCGTTTCCAGAGCTTTCATCATATTTGTCCACGTATCGGGCCATGGACCTTTGAATCAATCCACTTTGTTGCGCTAGGACACGGGCAAATACAGTGTTCCGGCTTCGACGGGCTGCGTTGCCTTGTCTTCCTTGGCTCAGCTCCTGCGCCTTCTCCGCCTAAAGGTCACCTCCTCGGGTGTGCTGAGAGGTAAAACTTCGAGTCTCTTGATATACTTGAAGCATGCCTCGGCTTATCTGCCAGAGTTAAACTGCCGCTGTACAGAAATTCTCAAAGAAAGCCTAATCCCATAAATAAAATTGCTTGAGGGAAAAGATAATGAGCAGCTAATTTCACTCGAACCTAATGCCATTTTATTTATCTATCTCTGCAATCAAAATGAGATAATACTTCGCAAATTTTTTCTCTTTGCTGATAGCATTCAGCTGAATTACATTCGATAGTAGGGAGGACTATTTAGTGGCAATTTTTGTAACTCCCCCATCGTGAGTGGACAAAAAAATTTTGTTCACTTACGAGTGGGGTTAATTTTTTTTGTTGAAATTTTTAAAAAACCTAATTTGCAAAAATTGGGAAGCAAATATTAATTTAATTTATAAAAATTTATGTTTTAAAAAATGCAATTTGTTAAAAATTAAACAGAATTAGCTCGAGATTTCATTATACTAATTATCACTTATATATCAATTTTTTTTTCCATAAAAAATTTTTTCTATTAAAATAAATTTTTGTTCACTCACGGAAGGTGGGTTTTTGGGGCAAAAAATAGCGATTTTTCCAATGGTTTTGTTCACTCATGGAAGAGGTGGAGTAGGGATTTTCTCCTAATTCTTGAGAGATAGTTGAAAAACTAGTTGAAGCTCTGGCTATTTTTATCGAGATATCCGCTTAGTGTAATGTTATGCTAATTCTCTTTAACTTTTATTACAAGTTTTAATTTGAATGAAAATTTACTGATCAACCCTAAAAAACTTACTCATCCCTTCTGAGCAAGCAAAACCATTGGTAAAATCCCTATTTTTGCCCAAAAACCTAAAATATAAATTTATTTACTCCCCCCCCCTCCGTGAGTGAACAAAACCATTAGAAAAAATCGCTATTTTTTGCCCAAAAACCCACCCTCCATGAGTGAACAAAAATTTTTTATGGAAAAAAAATTTTGATATATAAATGATAATTAATATAATGAAATCTAGAGCTAATTCTGTTTAATTTTAAATGAATTGAATTTTAAAACATAAATTTTATAAATTAAATTAATATTTGCTTTCAAATTTTTGCAAATTAGGATTTTTTTAAATTTCAAAAAAAAAATTTTGTAGAAAATTTATATATAAATTTTTTTTAAAAAAAAAAAATTAAACCCCCCTCCGTGAGTGAACAAAATTTTTTTTGTTCACTCACGGAGGGGGGGGGAGTTAGTACTATATTTTATTATTTATATAAAATGAAAGAATTTAATCACCATAGCGAAGGATAAAAATAAATTAAAGGCGCGCATCTTATTCTGGTTGAGTTGAAAAAAAACTACGATATGACTTTTATCCTCATTTTTTTTCAAGTCAAAAAGTAATGGTAAGTGAAAAGTAAAAATCTTCATTTTGAAACAAAGATAAAAAAATTTAGCCCTCACAAAAATTTTTTCATTGACATACGGAGGGGGTGCGGAAGTAAGCAATTTTAAAATGATTTGTAAATAATAGAAAAAGCACTATGATAAAGATTTATTGTGAATGCAAAGCCTAAATAAAATTATTGATAATTTTTATATGGACCTCAAAAGACAAAGCCATATGAACTTGCTTAATTCTGCAATAGATTCCACTGAGTGCGAGTCAAACCAAGCTCAAAGTCAAAATCCTATTAATCAACTTCTAACTCTTCAAGAATTAAAAATTAAAAAATCTGCGATTTTAAAAAAGACAAATAATGACCCAGAAACAGAGCGGGAGTTCAGGAGAATTGTCTCGATGTATTTGAATCAAAATTCTGGTTATGATCCAACACTAAGGCGAGCTTATCAGGAATATCTCAATGCTTACCATCAACTTGTATCTCTTTATGTTATTCAGGATTATTCACATGTTTGCACTTATTTTTATGTTTACGACACCGAATATGAAGATTTGATTAGCTTAAAAGCGTGACTACAGACGTTATTTCAGCTTATAACCGCATTACCACCCGTTTCAGACTCAAGTGAACCTAGTCATCTGACCAAAAACCAGGCCCTTTTCTTGTCAACTTTACCAAAAAATGGTGGCTTCTGAAATCTCCTGAGGAGACTTACTTGACTATGCTGGGGTCTAGCCCTACGATAAAGGATTTTCTTAGTCCTAGAAGCTCTAGGTTAAAGAAATGCTCAATATCTCCTTCATAATTTCCTTGCCTTTTGCAGGCATATGGTTGCTTTTCAGGCTTATGACGCCTTCGGTTTATCATCTGGAACAAAAAGCCTGCTTGGGGTTCTGGCTAGGCAAAACCTCATCCTGGACTTCTTAAATCAATGAAACTCACTTATCCGAGTCTAGGATAAACTCACCAGACACTCCAGCCCTTCGCCACTCGCCATCCTTTAAAAGTCCGAGTATGAAGAAGAAAAAGAAAAAGTCTTAACGATTTATGATAAATTAAACTGTTGAGCCTGCATTGCTAAACTTCCAAATGGTGAGCTATTCTGTTTTGGACAAGATAACCCATTTTGTGGGCTTGCTGTGATAGTTAATAGTGATTTTATAGCTCGAGATCTGCCGCCTGGCACACCCTGCTTTAATTCATCAGCAATATATTCCAACGGAAGTGTTTATTGCTTTGGAGGACAAGACGATAACTTTCAGTTTATGACTCTTTCAGAGCGATTTGATTTAGAAAAAAACATATGATTAAAACTAGCCCAACTACCAGAAGCTTGTGTAAATTGCACTAGTGTAGCATTTAACGGAAATATTTTGATTTCTGGTGCTATCAATGTAAATATTTTTGTTTATTCAATTGAGATTGACTCTTTTTCAATAATCCCTTATGACTTTTCGAACAATAAAAAAAAGATATTGATAAATGCAGGAGAGAGATTGTTTTTGATTGAATGCGAAAAAGGGGCAATGTATGAAAGCGAAGTTTGAGACCATTATATTTGGAAGAGGATTGGGGATTCAATGATTAGCCTTAATCCGTATCAAGTTTCTTGCTCCTATAATAAAGGAGGAATCTATATATCAACACAGTATTATGATATGTGGGATTATTATATGTTTGATTTAGATCGAAAATCTTTAATCAAACTACATAATTTGAGTTGGGTTGATGATTATGGCACAACAAATAGCTTTAATACTTAAACGTTTATGCTTATCATAATTGCTTACAAACTCTAAAATATTTATGGCCAAAGTCATTGCATTAGTTTTTAAGAATTTTCTTATAAGCATTACTGATAATTCATTATTATGACATTTTATCGCTTGAGTTAATTATAACTGCATCCTACTGTGTTAAGTGCTCCTTCTTGCATTATTTCATTATAGAAAATTATTATCTTATGATTTATCTCCACTTTGATATATTCATGAATTTTAAATAGATTTATCATAAATCAGGCTGAAGTTTGATTATCAATCTAGAATTAGCATGATACAGAATTGCTCCGTTTATGATTAAGTCTTCTAATCTTTTGTTTATATTCTGCAGTGTTTTCAAATGAGAATGTCAAAGAAGTGCAATGCCAACAATGAGCGTGTATAAAATACAAGTCTAGTATTTTTACGGTTTTAGTTATTTCGTAGCAAATATTATTTTCTATTTAATTATCAGAAGTTATGACCTAGTTTTAACATTAAGAAATGATGCAAAATCTTAAAAATCATAAAATGTGCTTACTATATCTTAAATCAATTGCAAATGGAACATAGGAGTCATTTCATCTTCTGACCATAAATCCTGAGTATAGCAGTAGTTTTCTGTTGAATATTCCTCTTCTCAAAAAAATCTGCAGCTTCTATATGAGGTTGATAGTGATGGAAGAATACTTGATGCGGAGAATGGACTCTCTGACTCTATATTTTGGTTCGGCCAAGGTTATTTATTGGTCAGTCAGCACAATATTTTCAACTCACTATAATATCGCTGATTAATAATTCATGCTAGCAATTATCCTTTACTACTAAACTGCAGCTGTAGAAGATCAATCGTGCATATATTTCATTTCCAGACTTTAAGTTCGTGCACTAATAAGATAAAATGCAATTATATTCTTTAGCAGAGCACCGAATTATTAAAAAGAAGTTTAAATATAAAAATCATCAAATTAATTCTGACAATATAAAGGCTACGCCAGTGTGCAATTGCAACTCTTCTTCGCTATAATAATATATTGAGCCTAATGGTTGTGAAAGCATTTAAATGGTCTTCTCATAATTCTACAATAAGAGATAAAGAGTAAAGCAATTTTTCTTCAGCTCATGAGTGCTTATAGCTCTAATTCTGTTGCATGACTTAAAATTTATATACAAAACTGGTTTGGCCAAAAATGGATAATCGCTGTTCGGGCTATCAGACTAGATCCACCTAGCATAAGAATTAATTCCATAGTTAGAGATACCTCTTTACCTTTTGCTGATACCAATAGACAAAAAAAAACTTGTCTAGCCCATCTTGAAGAGGAAACTTAGGGAAGAAATAAGACTTCCGTCTTCAGTAGGCATTCCAAAACCCGAATACCTATTAAAGTGGCTTAGAACTATATTTAGTTTCATCGGAATATGTACTACCTGCTCAATAGGATTGCATATCGGCTTCCATCTTCTGGCAACTTCATTAATATATTTTTGATTCTTACGTTATTCAATGATAGCTAAATTAAAGAATTGCGGCAATGCAAAAATGTGAAGGTGATAAAAATATTTAAAATTAGCATGTCTTTATTAATAGCATTTTTAAAAATATTCTTTATTAGCCGCCTCTTTAAAGCATTTTATAGCTTCTTCTCTTCTGCCTAGCCTCTTAAAAGCAAATCCTTTGTTCTTATAATAATCTGCACAGTTTGGATCAATTCTAATTGCATTATCAAAATATTCTATAGCTTCTTCATATTTCATTTCATTATATAATATGCATCCTATGCCATTGCATGCCTCATGACTGTCTGGAAGAATTTGAATAGCTTCTTTGTATAGCTGCATAGCTTTTTCTATTTCTATTTGTGACAAATGAATGTGATTATGCCCGCGGGTTGTATTATAATATGGGTCTTTTGAATTGAATTCAAGAAGGCTGCACGCCCTCATTGCTTCTTTATATCTCATTCCATTGCAGAAAGTGTCTCCTTTGTCGCTAAATGCAATATCGCAACTTTCATCAATTTCATACTTTTTCAAAGTGAGCTGCTCAGCAGAGACTAAAATACGCAATTCTTCATTAAAATTCTTAATTGTTGTATTAATTTCGTTGCTAATTTCATAGAAAAACTCTGCATTATCTGATTTTTGTACAAATATTTTTGCTGCTTCCATAACAGCTTCATAGGAGATTACAGCTGAATTCTCTAATTTTTTTACTTTGCTAACCTCTTCAAAATAGTTCTTAATTTTTGCTGCATCAGAGTCTAGTTCTTTTAGAAGACTACCAAAGGCATTTTCTAGACTTCAAAGACTTTTACTAAATAAGGCAATTATTTTGGCTTTTAATTTGTCAACTTTGAATTTTTCTTCTGCAAGAAATCCAAGTAGTGCTTCTGTCGTTTCTGCAAAGGGTTGGAAAATGAGTGAAATATAAGGATGAGGCTTATTAATAGATTTACGAAGCTTTTCTAAGTGCTTTTTGCAAGAATAAACCTCAGGAGAAGTGCATCGACATAAAAAGTTAACTTCACGCTTACATCTTGGAATAAAACATCTCATGATGCTTATTATGCAAATTTTAGTTTCTATATAAAAATTTCTTAGTATTACATTAGAGTATAATAAATAGCAATGCAATCAAATTGGAACCCAACGAACTCCAAAATAGCTCGACTGATGACTGCTTTTATCTCATGCGCCAGTTTATGATAAAATTAAGCAATTTCAGTTCCCACTATTGATATTTTATTGCAAGCAAAAAAATTAAGGCATAATTATGTAAATATGCAATAGCATTAAGCATATGACATGATCTCGTAGCAAAAATTCAAATAACCCATATTGCAGTAAAATGTTTACACGAGATGGAATGCCAGTTGCCCTAATTTTTGCAGTTCTTCTGGCTTTATCTTTAATTGAATTAAAGATGGTACTAATGAACTAGCCAAACAATTACTGAGCTAATTGCTACTGAAAAATTAAAGGATTTTCAATCGCTCCTCTATCATCTCTTATATATTTTTACATTTAATCATAAATCTCTCTGGATTTTGGTCTTCAACCTAACCTTTTAAGCAGTATTCTCTGTAATAATCAAGTGAACCAAGGAAGATGGATCGCCTCAACTGTCTATTGACTCTAGTCTGTACATTTGCAGACAGACAAATCCTAAGAGAAAACATCAGAGCTTTCGATCTATTTCATCTCTAATTCTAAGCTTCTCAAGAGATAAATAGCCAGATCTATCTTTAAGAAGCTGCAATATATGGTTAGGAAACTTTTAGCAGCTTTCTATTTTATATTTTAGTAAAGCCATTTATTTTAAAATTGCCATGTTTGCTCAATAAAATAAGATGCGGCTTTATATTTTCATGATCGTATGGTTTATCTTCCAAAGCAAAAAATCCTTGCAAGAGTCACTCAAAGATAGATTTTAATTTTTTTGATTATACAATTTTTTTCTCTTCTTAAGCTCTCCTTATTATATCAGTCATTAAGCTCGCCTTATACAATTGAATAATATAATGTATTGGTAATATTTTATTTTGCTTATTTATGGTAAATTGATTCCAAAATGTCAAAAAAATTTCGACATGCCATTATACATAAAACTGAGTCTATGGTATGTTAAAATTTTTTTGGCATTTTAAAATCAATTTACCATAAATAAGCAAAATGAAATTTATGCAAGGGATTATAAGAGATAAGAAGAAAAGCTAATAATATTCATTGTATTGTCATTCTAAATCATAATGTATCACTGTAGGCATATTATAAAAATATATTTAAGATAAAAATCATATGGTAATGATTTCCTCGAAAGAAAATGCGATAGGCATGTTATGTTTTATATTTTAGCTTCTTCGAAAAATGAAATAATTTTTCATACTCTTTATTTTTAAATGTCCTTACCAGCACATCTTTATTTTTATAATTTCCTTTTTTAAATATACTTGATAGTCATTTTCTTCTATTTTTCATGGTCAGCATTCCTTTTTGGGTTTGACTTATTTTTAATTATAATTTAATTGATCTATACAATAAATTCGAAATATTTTATTTCTAAAGATTTTGGACTTTGTTTTTTCTGTTTCAATATGGCTTGAATCTACTTTCTTTAAGTTCTGAACACTCGGCTTGTAAAACTTCCTGCTTATCCTCTATTATATTCCCTTACTTAATCAAAATCATTATTATGATGATACTACTTAAAGCATCTTAAACAAATAAATATCATTTTTATCAAACCCTTGGCTATTCTCGAGCTCTGGTGCATAATATCAATCCTCCCAATATGTTTTACTTTTATTATTTGCATCAGAAGGAATACTTACCAGATTCATTCCTAAGTTGTAGAATCCTATGATTTTCAGATTATGCTTGCTGGTGACTAATATATTATGAGGTCTTATGTAAAAATGAGGAATATTAAGTTGCTCCAAATAATGAAAGGCTCCCAAAAGATCTTTAACGATTTTGAAAAAATAATTGTGAGTATATTTTTCTTTGTGTTTTGAATGAAGCATTATGTCTTCTATGAGAGTTATTTTAAAATTTTCTGTCAGAATAGCATAGACATTTTGAATTTGATTGTCGATTTGCCATTTATCAATAAATCATCCATAATATTTTAAATAGCATGGGTGCTTCTCTGAGAGATATTTTGTTAGCTTTTTTTCTTTATCAAAAATTCCTATGAGTTCAGGTGATGAAAACAAAAAGTATTTTATGCAAACTTTTGTAGAATTATTTAAAAGGCCTCTGCGGATGTAAACTTCTAAGTTTTTCCCTATATATTTAAAAGGTAAATAAACAATTTGGCTAATGCTTGTGGGATCTAAAGGCATGTCTTGATCAATTTTATAAGCATATTCAATTTTTCTAGGCTCTAAACCTCTCTTTAATGCTCTTTTTTGGCTGCCTTCGACTAAGCTGAGTATTTCTAATAAAGTTTGCTTTTCTTTCGTTATATCAATATTGGCACTTTTAATGTTTTCAATTACATTCATTATACCTAAAAGCTCATTTATATTTTCTTTATAGTCCTTATAAAATTCTGGTCTATCAACTCTCCTATCATTTTCTACTTGCTTTGTTGAGAATTTTAGTGCTAGTTTTATTAAATCATTGGATAAATCAAATTTATTTGGTTATAGAGAAATTAGCTTCTCTAATTTTCTATCACTCATAAAAATTTTTTAATTGCAGCTTTGCTTTCCTTAGATAACTTATGCACAGCAGCAGCGTTTAACTTCTTGTCCCATAAAGCTAGAGATTGCTCCTAGTGCAGCAAAGAGGCTCATGGTTATCTACTATGCACATCCAGAAAGGTGACTCTTCGGCCGAGCACGCGTAGAAGCAGATCTGACAAAAGCAATGGCAAACTCGTCGGTGAGACATGCAGTCGAACTGGTGGCTCATCACATTATAATGCTTACTCATATGATGCGCCTTTTAAATAATATGATTTCCCATAAAGTCACTAGTTGGTAGACCAAATCCCTTTTTTTGGGAGAGGCACTATGCATTAAATACCTCATTAAATTTGTAACTTGCATCAAATCATTGACATCAATCTGATCAGCAATTTCTGATCGCATCAAGAATTCTAATATGCTTCTTGGGTTATTTTTAATGCCTTCTTTACACAAAAAATAAACCCGACTTTCTATCAATTTTATAAGCAAGAAAGCTTTTTCCTTTCCAATTTCAGCTTTGACTTTAGTTATTATTTCTAATCATTTTGAAATATTTTCTAATGAAATCGAGCTTTCAATCCCTTTCTCTATTTTCTCATATAAATTTCTCATCATTTCTGGAAATTCAGAATTAAAGTTGTCCTTAAGATAGCAGTGAATTGCGCTCCTAACAAAGTTATAGTCTTCAGGAGTAAAAGGTTCAGATTCCAGTACTAGAATTATCCTTCAAACTTCATATAATAGTTTTGTCAAGCACAGTAGATTTTTATTATCTCTAAAAGCATTACTTGCACATTCCCACCATTCTTTAAGTTTTCCTAAATCTCAGCCTTTAAAATCGGGGAGAACATATTGTGCATCAATTTGATATTTCTCTATCTCTTTTAATAAGCACTGAACGATATATTGGAATGCTTGCATCTTCATATTTATTGTATTTTATAAATAAAGACTCGTAATAAAATATATTTTTGCTTTGGACAAATATTGCGAATATTATGATGCGATTTTTATTTTTCTGGATTTAAAAGTAATTAGATTAATACCCGCAAGTTTATATAAACTGATAGATTTTAGCATTCTAGGATAAATAAATCAACAAAAATTTTATTAGCCTACCTTGTCTGAAATATTGCTAAATCTATAAGCTTAAATATTCAAATTAAAAACAATCTTTAATAATCGTAATCCTAACTAGATTTAGCAAGCAGTAAATTAAAATATGAAAACACTCACTGCTTCAACAATTATAGTTATTACTACCGAAAAACTAAAGGATTTTCAATCGTTCCTCCATCATCTCTTATATATTTTTGCATTTTATCATAAATCTCCCTGAATTTTGGTCTCCAAACCGACCTTTTAAGCAGCATTTTCTGGAGTAATCGAGCTACCCAAGTAGGATAAATCTTCTGCAAGGTTGGAAAATCTCTGTCATTATCTCAACTGCTTATCGCCTCTAGTTTGTACATTTGCAGAAACACCAGTCCTAAAGAGAAAACATCAGAGCTTTCTATGTCATACGAGATTTTTTCTTCTCTACTTCTAAGCTTTTCAGGAGATAAATAGCCAGAGCTATCTTGAAGAAGCTGCAATGTAGGGCTAGGAAACATGCAGAAGCTTTCTATTTTATATTTTGGGGTTAAAAATCCACTTATTTTAATATGATTATGTTTGTTCAATAAAATAAGATGCGGTTTTATATTGTCATGGTCATATTGTTTATCTTTCAAAGCAATAAATCCTTGTAAAAGTCACTCGAAGATAGGTTTTAATTCTTCTTGGTTGTAGTAATTTTTTTCTTCTGCTTGAGCTCTCGTAGTTATATTAGTCATTAAGCTGGCCTTATAACAATAAATTTAAGTTTCTTGAGCCCTAGCTGTTATGTCGGTCATTAAACTTCTTTCACACAGCTCTGTAATAAGAGATAGAGAGCAAAGTAATTTGGTTTGATTATAATGTCAATAGCATCCATAATATTTTATAAATACTGGGTTGTCATCAAGTTTTTCCAATATTTCAGCTTCTTCAAGAAATGGGAACAACTGTTCTGGCTTATTGCTTTTAAAAGTGCGAATAAGTACAAATTCATTTTCATATACTCCTTTTTTAAATATCATCATTGTGCCATTTTCTAATGTTTTAGAAGACCACTGACTTTTTGGGTTTGGCTTTAAACCACTTGGCTCTATTCTTTTTCGTCTTTCGAGGATTTTGTTTATTTGCTCTAGGTTGGCCCGATGACTTTTTAAATTTTCCTCTTGGTCTTCTTTACTTTCTTCTTTTGGTGATAGAAGCTCCAAACTTTCACAAAAAGTCGCTCTTTTATTTTTATTTATATTTAGCATCCTTCTCAATAGTTCTGATACCAGTTTTGGCTTAAAGGTTGAGACATAATCATCAATCTCTCCATGAAATTCAGGAGTGTTTAACTCAGCTATCTTGTATAAAGAATACATTTGCAAAAATACAAGCCCCAAAGAAAAAGCCCCAGCTTTCATTACAGAAGAGATCTCATTTATATTAAATTCTTTATTATTGTAAAGCTCTGGTGCTAAGTATGAGTCTCTCAACATCTCTTGGCTACCTTCCACTGCTGATTCAGAAATGCTTACAAGATTAATTCCTTGGAAATTGAATCCAAAAATTTTCAACTTATTGCTTTTGGTTATAAATATATTTTGAGGCCTTATGTCATAATGTGGGATATTTGATTTTTCTAAATAGTCAAATGCGTGCAAAAGATCTTTGGCAGCATCCAGAAATCAACGCTGATTATACTTGGCTTGAAATTTTGAACAACTCATTATATTTTCAATTAAAGTTGAATTAAAATATCCAGTAACCAAAGCATATACATTAAAATATTGGTCGTTTATTGATCATATACAATTAAACCACCCATGATATTTTAAAAAGCATTTATGTTTTCCTGATAGATGCTTTATTAACTTCTTTTCTCTATTGAATATCTGATAATGCTCATTTGAGCTGACATAAAAATAAAAGATGCAAACCTTTTTTGAATCATCTAAAATGCCTTGATGCATAAATATTTCTAAGTAGCTTTTTATATATTTGAAAGGTAAAAATATCTCTTCTCTAATCCTTGCTCGGTCTATAGGCAAATCTTGGTCATTTTCAACTTTAAAGCTTGTTTTTATTTCTTTAAATTCTGGGCTTATTGATGTAGCTTTTTTTTCAAGATATCTTAGCATTCTCCATAATGTTTTCCTTGCTTTAGATATATCATATTTAATATTTTTGTTTGCTTGAATTATTTCTATTGTTTGCAAAAGCTCTCCTATACTTCTTTTTAGATTTTCAACAAATTCTGATTTGCAAGAGTATCATTCGTTTTGAACTTGCTCAAGACAAGTCTTCATTGAAAATTCTACCAAATCATTGATGTCAACTATATCTACAATTTTTAATTGCGCTAAAGCTAGCAAAGTGCTTCTTGGATTGCTCTTTGCTCTTTCTCTGTATATAGAATCCAATCGACTTTTAACTAATTGCTTAAAATATTCAGCTTTTTCATTGCCTATTTTTTTTTGGAACTGATCTGCTTTTGTTCATCATTCTATCATAATTTCTGCTGATCCCGAGCTCTGAATCGCTTGCTCTATTTTTGGATGAAATTCAATAATGATTAAATTTTTAAAATCTGCACGAAATTGCCTTGATAGTTGATCAATAGCGTCTAAAGCTAACTCAAAGATTTTTGGTGTCAAGAGTTCTCTATCGATAATTAGATCTATTTTTGATACTGTATAAAAGTCTCTTGCTAAGCCCAGTAATTTTTTATTTTCTCAAAAAATATCTTCAGCCTTTATCAATCATTTTTCAAGCTCTTGGAGGCTTCAGGTGTCAATTGCTGGAAGAATAGAATTAGTATCAATTCTATCCTTTTCCATCTCTTCCACTATTTTGCTAACTCCCCCCCTCCGTGAGTGAACAAAACCATTAGAAAAATCCCTATTTTTTGCCCAAAAACCCACCCTCCGTGAGTGAACAAAAATTTTTTTAATACAAAAATTTTTTGTGGAAAAAACTTTTGATATATAAATGATAATTACTATAATGAAATATAGAGCTAATTCTGTTTAATTTTTGAACGAATTGCTTTTTAAAACATAAATTTTATAATTTAAATTAATATTTGCTTTCCAATACTTGCGAATTAGGATTTTTTTAAATTTCGAAAAAAATATTTTTTATAAAATTTATATATAAATTTTTTTAAAACAAAAACATTAACCCCCCTCCGTGAGTGAACAAAATTTTTTTGTTCACTCACGGAGGGGAGGGGGAGTAAATATTTGCTCAAGCACGGATCCCATAATAATTGAATTCTATAAATATTTTATTTTTATTAAATTTTACTCTGATTTTGGATTAGTGATAGGCTAGAGAAGATAATTCAACTTATTATGCTCTATGCACTATTTTAGCTCTATAGGCTGATTTCAGCATATAATATGTGACTTCTATTTTTTTGTAATAGAAGAAAATAGGCCGGACCAATTCATCTGAAAAAAGCTGTTTGGCAATCAACCAAAAATTTCGCAGTATCAGAGAACGATCAGTCAGTATTGATTTCAAAAATCACATATACTATTCTGAAACCAAGAGTTCTTAGATGAAGCAGATGAAATACTTGATGATGAAAAAGTGACTGATGGAAAGAATCCGGTATGAAGATCAGGAAGATGAAGAATGAATTAGAAAAATAGACTCATATATAGTAATAAAAACTGTGATATTCTAATAAAGATAAAATATTAATGATAATGCCGCATATTAATAGAATCAAAGAAAATATTCTATGAATTCTTAATTCTATAAAATTTAATTGAAAATTACAGAAAATTTCTTTTGACATACTAAAATGTTTCTACTCACGAAGGGGATTCAGAAATAAAATTTATTTTCCATGATTATTTACAATTGAGCACCGTAATATTTGATAATTTATCAACTATTAATCCTCTCAGCGAAAATTTAATTCTTAGTCAAGCCTTATTTCCTCCAAAATTTCTCTTTTCGACGTCGAATCTTTCTCAACAGCATCCCCAAATTCACTTTTATCCAGAGAAATCACATTAATTTGTGGCTCTTTAAGCTTATAAATTCCTCCCTTTACGAAATGCAAACTTTTTCTCCCAATATCATCTACGTTTACAGCGGATGATAGCATAAATCTAAAAAGCATTGCAATATTAGGAGGTGGCGGCCTTATTAATAGCGCAGGGAATTTTTTAGCATGCAAAAAAACCCCACAACTAATTATAATACCCCATCCGATTACTTTTACTATCATAAATCCAATGTCTCATCCATCTACTATAAATGAAAGACTTGTTTGCAGCATTGATCAAGATACACAACAGAGGGCTATAACGTGCCACATGCTCATTCGTTCATAATTAAATGGCGGTTTTTTGATTAGATAGACGGTAAACAGGATTAATGAACACAAATATACTTACTTAGTCACTTAGGTATTCAAAGTGCTATCTCTCTTCAGCAGGATGATTTAGGCATGTATAAGCCCATCCTTTTTAACTCCCAACTGGGGACATCAGCAGCCACCTTGCCTAGCAATCATTCCAGAATACGCACCCGCCAGATCAGAAGGTCCGCAGTGGTCGCGCTGATCTCGCCCACACTCGACTCTTCACGTGTTCGTCTAAGGGTCACCCTTTTCAGGTGTGTCAAGCAGAAAAAATCATATGTCTCCTAATACCCTTGGACCAAATAAATACCTATGCGGGTATTCAACCCTATAATAAGAAAAGCGAAGGGAGGAATAGCTCTTGAAGAGAACTAATTCCGAACGTAGCCATTTTATTATTATGAGCATAAATATACAAAACCTTGACTGATAGGATCATGAAGGGAAGCTACTTTGTTTAGTGTGACAAAAAGGACTTGTGCTGCGCTCTTGACAATTAAATACTCTGGCTGAGGTCGGAGATTTTGATTGCGCTCGTCTTGAAGATTAGTTCAAAGTGGCCGATATATAACAGATACTGGAACGCATAGCATTAGTGCGAAGGTACAAACTATACCATATGCTAGATGGGTGCCTTTTCAGCAGAACTCGTTACAGTTGATGTCCATATAGCTTTGGCTAAGGTCATCACCGATTGATTTTGAGCACTTACTCGTCCCTCCAAAATTTTTGTGGCTCTCATTGAGCAGGAAATTTTTAATTTTTAGATTTTCATTTTAGAAATTTAAATTTGAAAATTGAAGCAAGCATGCAATTTGATTTATGAAATCTATAATTTCAAATTCAGATTTAAGAAATTATCCATTGATAGCTACTACTCATATTTCAAAGTATTATACATTTTTCTGGCTTTTCTAAAAATTCGGTTTTTGATCCCCCACCGAGAGAGTTAGAAACAGTAATCAAAGTATTTATAATCGGCATGAAAAGCATATTTCCTAATAAAGGCATTAAATAGTCTTTTAATTCATAAAGCCATCTAACTTTTTTCTGTACAATATTGTTTTATAATTTTTTACCATAATATTATGAGCTGAATACAGTTTTAGAATAAGATAAATTAAGGAAAAAAATATGTTGAATCAGCGTCTCATTATTTGACACTGCAATCACACACATAAGAAGCCAAAAGCAAGCTATCCCTAATACAACATTAAGAACCAGCCAATATACTTTACTTTTAATATCAAAAAAATTAGCGATATCAGCATTGCACATGCTGCTTAAATACTCCGTAACAGGATCATATTCAAATTTCGGGCCTATATCAATATACTGAAAAGTCTCCACAATCAGTGTCATCATAATTACAGTATCTGTAAACTGTATCTCTTTTGCCTCCGTTAACTTCGGGTAAGGCATAATTAAATTATGCTTTCTTATATACAAAACAATTAAAACTGATACTAGAGATAATAAAGAACAAATTGTTGTAAAAACAGCAATCCCTTTAACAGAAGTGCTTGAGCTGGATTCATCAAATGGACATTCTGAGTCTATTTTTAAAGAATCTACAGGAAGAGTGTATGAAGGACCAGGCCAAATGATTTTCTGGGTGAGTTGGATAGGAACACTTGAAGTTGGAATATAATACCCTGGGACGCTTTCATCATAAACTCCTGTGATGTTTGTCGCATAAAAATTATTAATGCTTAAAATCATAAAACTTCTATCATTTGATGTCGAATCAATTGCAATAGTCCCAGAAACCCCAGTAAATCTTTGAAGCCTTATATTTTTCATTAGAACTGCATAGTCCTCATAGTCATCTCCTTTATTAATTGTAAAATCAAGCCCGTAAGCTGCAAGCAAAGTCTGATCAACATGTGTGGCTTTAAAATTTGGAGAATTTCCCCAGTATGCAGCCATGGCGTCTTTAATTTTCATACCGAAATCGCCTATATACTCAACGGTACTGACACTTATAGACCCACATAGTAATTCTAATAATTTTGGGAGATATTTAGATTCATAATTCTGTATTATAGCTTGCCCACCAGTTTTTGAAGGCAAAACTATAACAATATTCCCCTTTCTTAGTCCTACATCATAGAGACCTTCTATTGACTCATAATTTGAATTTGCTGTCTGAAATGAAATAAATATCCTTACAGCCGTATCTCTAATTTCTTGGAAAACATATTTATAGTCATCAAATTGGCTTCTTTCATAGTTTCCTGGGAGCATACGTTTTTCTTCATTATTTGCTATTCTTATGCCTGCTTTTTGTGCCTCGCTTTCAAATGTCTGATACATTGCGATATTCGAGCTTAAATTTGCGTAAAGGACATTTACATTTTTTCATCCGAAAATTTGACAAAGCTTCATGATGATAACAGCATTATAATTTCCACTTGGGGAAACTCTCACGAATTCTGGATAAGCAGTTTTATTGGAAAGTAATGGACTTGTTGGGCCTGGAGCTATATGTGCTATAGAGATATTTCATTCTCTAAACAGAGAAATTAGACCTATTGCACTAGCTGCATAATCCGAGGTAAGAAAGGCTATGCCTAATTTTTCTTTTAAAGGGGAATAGCATTTCGCGTCAAGATCATGCAAAAAAACCATCGTTCCACAGCTATTCTCGACGAATTTTATATTGAAATTTTCAAGGATAAGAGAGCTGTTATTTATTCAGTCCCGGGCATAAAAATTCCCTTGGACTTGGACAGGCTGATAAGCATTAAAGGTCCCATCAAGCTCATTGCCTGAAGTAGTCAAGGACATATAAAGCGACACTTTATTAGCTGTTGGCTTAGAAGTTGTGCCTCCTGGGTATAGTGGATCAGTAGAAACAGTAATCGTGCTATTTTTAGCTGAGCCGACTATAATTTTGGACGAATTCACTATATTTACTAACGAAAAACTTGGAGATTTCCCATGGTTTAACCAATATGATTTCATAAATTGCTTTATGGAATCATTAGTCAAGCATGGTTGCCTATTGCTTGATAGAGAAGCAATGTATCCTAAAAACGAGCTTGTAAAGGATTTAATTGAGAGTGCTTCATATTCTTCGTAAGATTTAACATTCTCAAGGCCTTCCTCAACTAAATATAAAAGCCCATTTTGGATCCCTCCTCATATTCCTTTACTCCATATTAAAACTCCAGATCCAGTCTTTAATATTTTTTTATTTATCAATGAGTGAATAATAAGATCAATGTAGTCTCCGTCACAAAATATCATAAAAGTTTGTAGACCATGCGGCTTGAACAGTCTACCAGCAATGTCGTTCATTATATCGCTGCTGAATATACATAAAATGGCGTATGGAGACCGACCCGTTCTCCCAGTGACGGTAACCCATATATATTCGGGCATTTTTTTTATAGGAATTGGATGGCCCTGCAACAACATAGATCCCAGTAGCGATGGGCATAAGCACAGACCCGCGGGTTGTGGCCAGATCCATGGGCATTTCCTGCAACTCCTTTTTTCCAGCAGGACCCAAGTCAGTGGGCGCCCGAGATGGAGCAGGGCGGCATACCTGCTCAAGCTGCTACTGTGGTCTGTCTCGAATCGCGGAAGCGGTTGAGTTTTCCTAGGGATGGCCTCGGGAAAGGGGAGGCACACTCCAGCAATCATACGACGGTCTCTCCAGTTGAAAGAGCCCCGTAATGTGGCGATCTGGTTAGGAGTACGAGGCAGGAGTGACGTAATATGGACAAAGCGACTGAGTTGGAAATGATGGTGATCGGCGACGGTCTGCGGACCCAATAGGGCAGCCACTATCGAGAAATCAGGGGTTTCGGCCTAGACTCAGAGTTAATAGAGATGGAAGTCTATCCAATTTGCTTGAACCGCCACGCAGCCTGACGGCTGCATAGATATCACTCTTGGAAGTAGGGACTTAAAATGCCATTCATAATCTAATCTAATATCGTTGTTGAAAGAATCTGTGATCAGAATTTCTAACTTTGCCTTGCTGCCAGCAATTTCAGAAAATTTGTCAGCAAACCTTATGGAGTCTTTGGTGTTGCTAGCTATGACTGCAATTTCATTTCAACCTAAATAATTTAAAAATTGCTGTGTTACAATTAATTGACTTTGTCAAGGTACATGTAAATAATATTGAAAAGCACCACTTGGCATCAAGTTTGAGTCCAAAAACAAATTTATAATTTCTTGTTCTTCTGTTATGGATAATAGGCGGTGGCTTAAAGTAAAATCGAAAGTAGCATCAATTACAACTGGAATATCTCCTTTGAAGTATAATAAAAAATTGGTTTGGTAGTTTGCTGGAATAAAAATTATTTCAAAAATACTGGAATTACCTATCATTTGAACTAAATTGGCTTGAAAGTATGAGATAAGGGATTCCGGAGTCTTTTCTCCAAAAATGACGAGGAGCTCGATAGATGCTAGGGCAGAAATTGTTAAAAGCAGGATATAAAGTGCCATTTAATCGCTTAATAAATAACTGATTACTGAATTTAAAAACAATTTCTAAGCTTTTCTATTACCTCTTCATAAAATCAAATTTTGAATGAAAATCGTGATTATTTTCATGAAGCCAAAAAGGAATGGAGGAACTCAGAATTTTTAATAATTTTTTGCATAAATATAATAGCAATCAATATTTATAAATTCATTATTATGCCTTGGAATTTTATAAAAAATAAAATAAATATAAAGTTGATTATAGTAATTGCCCGAGGATGGCGCTATCTTGCGCCATCCTCGGGCAATTCAAAAATGGCCCCACACTGGGAATTGAACCCACGTGTGGGGCCATTTTTGGTATGTGGAGAACATCGACTTCCACGCACCAAAAATGGCCCCACACGTGGGTTCAATTCCCAGTGTGGGGCCATTTTTTAAATTGCCCGAGGATGGCGCAAGATAGCGCCATCCTCGGGCAATTGCAATATAATTACTTAAAAAAAAGTTAAGCATAAAGTTCTCCTTATAATTAGCCCTTTAACTTGATCTCTAGCCTTTCAGCTATTCATTGAATAAATTTAATTTTGTTTGGTTTAATTTTAATTACTTTTTATTTGTGTAAATGGAGAAGAATAAGTCTGGTATGCGAAATTAAGAAGAAGCTGCTTTGGCTTACAGCCAAGGATTGTGCAGTATCATGAAACGACTAGATGATGTTGACTCTGATAATTTATTTTGGGATGAAGATTTCTGGGATGAAGTCGACGAAATTCTTGGGGATGATGGATTCTCTGATGAAGGAGATACGGAGGAAGAGCTGGATAACGAAGAGGATGAAGAAGTTGGAGACGACTATGAAGCCTATTGTGAAAAAAAGTACTCTGGCTGGCGCAGCAAGAAGGAGAGCTACTAGGTGGGAGTGAGCTGATCCTGGCCATAGGATCAGCGAAATTATTAGGCCAAGAAATACAAGAAATAAAAGCCAAGGAAACCAAAGAAAGCAAGAAAATCACAGAAAACGATGGAATAAGGAAATAAAGCAGGATGAACAAGCTAAAAGAGCAAAAAAGGCAAAAAAAGCAAAAAAGACAAAGAAGGCAAAAAAAGGCAAAAGAAGCAAAGGCGGCAAGAATAGCAAAAGTAACAAAAGTAGCAAAGGTAATAAAAGTGGCAAAAGTGGCAAAGGGAGCAAAAGAGGCAAGAAAGGCAAAAAGGGCAAAAGAGGAAAAAAAGACAAAAAAAGGAAAAAGAGATGGGTGCAAATTCAGTTGTCAAAGGGGAAAAGACGAAAAGTGGTGTAAAATCCTGGAAAAAAAAGGAAAAAACCCAAGTAGTTAGGTATAAATCGCTGATTATTAGTGAAAAAACCCATAAGGGTTTGCTGTGGGCTCTGCCTGCTGAATAATTAAGTAAGTAAGATTTAATTTTAATTGAATATAATGATTTTAGGAAAATAAAATTTTTTAAATTATTTATTACGAATTTTATGACTTAACAAATAATAAAGTGCCTATTTCTATATTTCAATATAAATGGAAAAGATTCCAAAGCCAATTTTATCAATTATATTTAGCATGATGCCTTCTTTTGATCAAGTCGCAAAAATCGCGACTGTGTGTCGAAAATGAAAAGCAATTGTAGAAGTTATGGATCATTCTGCCTCATTTCAGCGTTCAGATGACCCTAGGTGCTGATCGGATAAGAATAGCATTTTTATAATGGCAATTTTGCTTGAAAAATTTACATCGCCATACCCCAAAATACAATGAAAATTGTTGTATCTTGACCTTAAAAGCTTAATAATTAAAAAGAAAGATTTGTCATCGCTTCTTTTGGCTCAGCCAAGGCTTTTGAAACTCGACCTCACAAACACTACAATAAATTTATCCAATCTATGAGATCGTTTATATAAAGCAAAATGTGAGGCAGAAGAAAAAGATCCATTGAGGACTATAGAGTTTTCACTTGAAGAGCTCAGAATTACCAATAACCAAAGAGAACCTGGCCACTATACATTAATAAAGCTATTCCCAAATCTAAAACGGCTATATGCAGGAAATACCCAAACCAATATTTTTGATTTTAAGAAGCTTATAAAAAATTTACCTAAGCTTGAAATTTTAGACATTTCTCATTGCCCAGATTGCCAATCTCAAGGGGACGATTACTGCCAAAAAGTTATTAAAAAATATTTGAAAGGCTCGCATTTAAAAACAATTTTCTATTCTTACTCCGACATTGAAGAAGCCGGTGAGTCTAATAAACTTAATTTTGAAGAAATCAATGGTGTGAAGCTTATAAATAAAAGCATTTGTGAAATATTAGGAGAAATTAATGATGAAAATCATTTAACGAAATTAAAAGAATGGCTTGATTTAGGAGGAGACGTTAATTTATGCAATGAAATTGACAATGATAACGAAGTTTTTACCTCATGGAGGTATCCTCATATTGAATTTCTTAAAATAGCAGATGAAAATATGGCAATAAAAGTGTTCAAAATGCTTTTATTGTTTGGAATTGATTTATCTGTAAGTTATTTTGTTGAAAAATCAGTCGATAAAAATTCTCAAAATAATTCTTCCAATTCTGACAGTTCATCATCTGATGAAGATTCAGATGAAGCTTCTGATGCTACTGAAAGTGAAACTAATCCATTGCTGTTTTCTGGAATGAACAACAATATTGAACTGTTTCGATTTTTTGTCAGAAATTCATTTCCTTTGATTAATGAAAAAAATATCCTAAAAATGCCACTTACGATTTCTCAGGAATTATTTAAATTATACCTCAATCATGAAATTCCTGGGTTTTTTACCAAAAATTTGATGATTGAAGGCTTAAACAGCTATTTAGCAGTTAATAGAAACATAGGAACGGTTTGGGCTATTAATGAGGCAACAAATAAAGAGCAGGATAAAGGATTAATAGAAAGGCTAGAGACTGTAAATAATATGTTAATAGATCTGTCCTCAGGAATATCTAATAGCAATGATGCTAATAAGCTGGTCTTTGGCAATTTCCATATAAATCGTCAAGACGAATGTGGAAGGACGTTCTTAATGCTGGCAGCAGCATTTGGAAACGAAGAAATTGTAGATATGCTATATAAAAATGGTGCAGATGTAAATATTAAAGATGAAATGGGGTATACAGCTCTTCATTATGCCGCTGAAAGGGGATATAAAAAGACTGTTGAAAAACTGCTATCATATGGGGTAGTAGCATCAACTCCTGCAGAATCAGGGACTTCAGCAATAGCTTTAGCGAAGATTAACTTTCATAACGAAATTGTCAGTGTTCTAATTAAATCAGAAAAAAAGAATTTTGAGGCTCTTAATGGGAAATTAGCATGGAGTAAGGGAAAAAGACGTGTTTTTAAGGACTTGCCAAGTAAATAAAATAGTTTCTTAAAAGACTAGCTTTTTATAAGTATTCTGCATCAGTTAAAATCCCAAATTTTGTAATGAGAAGAAAATCGAAAAACTTTTTAAATTAGTTTTAATTCATCTTTTTTTCATTTATTGCTGTATTTGTATTACTTACTCCCCCCTCCGTGAGTGAACAAAAAAATTTTGTTCACTCACGGAGGGTTAATTTTTTTTTTTTTTAAAAAAATTTATATATAAATTTTCTAAAAAATATTTTTTTTCGAAATTTAAAAAAATCCTAATTCGCAAAAATTGGAAAGCAAATATTAATTTAATTTATAAAATTTATGTTTTTAAAAAAGCAATTCGTTTAAAATTAAACAGAATTAGCTCTAGATTTCATTATATACTAATTATCATTTATATATCAAATTTTTTTTCCATAAAAAATTTTTGTATTAAAAAAATTTTTGTTCACTCACGGAGGGTGGGTTTTTGGGCAAAAAATAGGGATTTTTCTAATGGTTTTGTTCACTCACGGAGGGGGGGAGTTAGGATTGTATAAGTTATGGGTTACTTTATCACTTTAAAACAATAAATGGCAATCTTACCAATAAATTATAGCGTATTTTTAAATTCTAATCTTTGGACTTTAAGATTTATAGAATGTATCAATAAAAATCACAAAGATGCTGTAATATTTATTAAAAATTATGGTTAACTATCTTCACATAATATTTTTACATTCAAGCAATATTTTTAAATATACATGAAGTAAAAGTATGTTTATGCCTTTATAAACAATATTTCAATAATTACATAATTATCATTAGTATAAAGAAATTATCCAAATTTGATATTTTTAGCCTTATCTGCGAATTTTCCTAATCTTTGGAAATAATAATTTTCATTTTCAAGAAATAGTTGATATTCAATATCTTCGAATTTTGCCAAAACTGGATTCGAGTTCTTTTTTGCTTCTTTTATCCTTTTATTCTGCAGCATTGTAAGATAGATAAAATAGTTCGCTCTATCCCTTACTTTTTCACACACTTCTTGAGAGAAATCAAGATTTAATATGTCTTCAACACTTTTTATGCCTATGTCTTTGAAGTCTTTTAATTTCCAAAATAAAATTTTATCCCTCTTTATAACAAACAAAAGACCTTTTAGAACTGAAAAATAGACTTTTTTATAAAGAAAGGTCTTTGTATATAAAAATTGATAAAATATTTAATAGAGTTAATATATGCACTTTTTCCATATCAGGAAGTGGTGGGCGTGTAATTTTGAATTCTGAGAGTTCTGTTATATTATATTTTTTTAGTAAAGCTTTTTTCAAAGATTTCATCGTATAGTTGTTAGGATTGTCTAGCTCAGTGATAGGGGAATTATCTGTAATTCCGAACTTTCTTAATAAGTCCGGCCAGCTTGGATCGACTTCTGCATTGATAATAGTATTTTTATCAGGATTATCCTCATCAAGAAACCCAAATCTTCACAAAAAATCAACGCTACTTAAATTTCCAAAATTCCTTGTCAGCTCCTCCCCAGCTTTTATATCCCTTTCTGCTATCAGTGAATAAGACCCTAATTCCCTATAAATTTCGCAATTTGGCTTATAAGCATGATTCATATGATCCATTAATGGAATTACGCAGAGCCCATCATTTGTATTTATTGCTCTTTTATAGCTTTCTATTAAAGACCATTGATGCTCAGGCTCAGAAACCCCAGCGACATATCCTTTAGAGTTTTTATAAATAGTCTCATAAGTTTCTATTAGCATTGATTTTTCTAAGCTATTTGCATTGGACAATCCCCACGAATTTGTTCTTCCTCCTTGATATAGCTCTGAGGATTTTTTATAGTCAGTTGGCCAGGAATCTAAATAATCGTGCAAAATGTGCCCGAGATTTCGGGAGATATAAGAAATTTGGAATCCTATGTTAAGCCTTTGGTGGAGATCAGGTTTGTGTGGATGTATTTCTTGAAGGTACTGAAAAACATCTGATATTAATTGACTTTTCATTTGAGGAATGTGGAGCAGTTTAAAACCTGGGATATAGTGTTTGATTTCTAAAATTGTGGATCGAAATGGGATATCTGTATCTGCTATAAGGCCTATGGCTTCTTGTTGTGATTTCACTCTGATAGGGAAATAAATTGAGGGCTCAATAGGCTGCCAAGCTCGAATTAGACCAGCAGGTGCAGTCTTGAATAAATGTTCCATATTAATAAAATTGTGATATTAAATATATATTTATTTAACAAATTTCAAGCAAATTGCAGATATAAATTAATAAAAAGCTATTGCTAAAATAACTTCTTTAAAATCTCTTTTTATTATATGAACATTCGTTAATATTTATTCCTATTTATCAATAAATCTCCACAATTTGGACATTTTTTTCTGTCAGCTGATAGCAGCCATGCATCTAAGCACGATAAATGAAATCCATGACCGCACTTCGTAACCCTTATAGAATCTCCGTTGCCAATTTTTGGTTATATTTTTTCTATTGTGACATTTCCTCGTCAAAACACATCACAAAGTATTCAAATTTTTCACTAGGAAAAAAATTCGACCTTTGAAATATCATCAAGCAAAACAAAGCCTGGAATCTCCTATTTGAAATTCAAGTAAACAAATCGTGCACAATGGCTCTCCTTTAATTTCCTGTTTTGTCGGAAAATAATCACTTCCAATTTGAGTATTTATTTCATATTTAGTTAGTGTCAGATTAGTAGTTTCTAGCTGCGGCACTTCAGTTACTCCAATGGATTCATTTCTTTCTCTATTCAGTCTTATCCTTATATTATTTATTCATCTTGAGTTTCTCTTCCAGCATATATAGAAGCAAAAGGTTCTACATTTTATTTACAATGCTATTACAATCCCTGCTAATACACATAAGGCAATTATTGCAGTTTTCGTAGTATCAGAAAGCTCAGAGCTGCTTGAAGATGCAGATTTGCAGTCTCCGTTATCATAACTGCAAATTTCATTATTGCAATTATCATCACAATTTCCATTTCCGAGTAAGTGTGACGCACAAGGGCATGACTGCGATTTTGAAAGTTCAGAGATAAAAAGAATAATTACGGTCCAAGACATAATAATTATTGATTCTTTCACATTATAATGCAAACTGAAACTGAGAAGAATGAATAAAGAAACCGAAACTTTAAATGAATTTGATAATCTATTGAAGTTAAAGATGAATTGATTGCTTGATTTTTATCTAAATTTTAAAGATAAAAGCAATTCTTGTGATTTTTGCAATTAATTTGGTTTAAAAACGTTCCATTTTTACTGGAAAATTTTTATCATTATATAGCGCTTAAATAAAATGGCTTGCATTTTAAGAAATGTCAAAATTAAAAATTGAATCGATTATAGTCTTGCTTAAGTAATTATCAACTTTCTTGATTTAAAATTTTGTAAAAATTATTCCTGCTATTTTCTTAACTTCCTGTGCATAATCGATTTGAAAATACTTATATTGAGAAATTAGACCCCAGATAAGAAAGTAAAATAAAAAACTATTTGGTTAAAACTATATTTAATACATTTTTATTATTATAATATAATTTTAGGCAGCTGCATTCTAATCCTAAAAATTTATATTATTTTAATTAAATTTTTTATTTAACTTAATTTTTAATTAAATATTGTAATTGCCCGAGGATGGCGCAAGATAGCGCCATCCTCGGGCAATTACTATATTTATTTTTACCCCATTCCATTTTATTGCCATTTTATTATTAATCACTTTAAAATTGAATTGTATTTATAATTTATCCTTAATTATTACTCGTCTATATGAATATTTTCAAGAGCTGGTGAAATATGTATCTCCTCATAGCTATAGCCCGAGTTCGATCTTTGGCTTAGGCTCCCTATCTTCCCAACTGGATTAAGATTAGGATTATTGAAACAAGTGCTAGCAAAATTGATGAAGCAGCCACCAAAGATCTCTACAGGAAGCTCTTACGCTTTGCGATAAACTGCCCATAGATCTTGGCGCAGACGAAGATTAATCTCCTCCTTGCTTTGAGGTTTCAGTCTTGAGTGTGGCATTACAACGGGCAATTGGAATTAGCTTGACTACATGGATTAACTTCTTGAAGTCTATCGTGCGCCAGATTTTCCTTTCTTTGCAAACTACAGGGAAAAAACTATTCCCCTACGATCCGGGCTGAACCTCCAGCTTTCCCGTAGAGGATGCCCAAGGATTGCTGAACACCCATTTCCGGCCACAGGAAAGCAGTCAAAATCTACCTGGATATACATTTGCTGAGGCTGCACTTTCTTCTCGGCGTGAAGTCTGAGCCAGTCACTGTGGCCTTAAGGTCTGAACTTTTATGCCAAGAGGCCAGGTTGACCATGCCGCCATTTTTATTTATCCTTTCCCACTGGAAAAAATATTTTTTTCTCTACCAAGCTATGCTAATCAGGCCAAATGCCCTAGCAGATAACCCGCATCAAGCGGCTCTGTCATTTTGGGAGTTAACTGAAAATAATACAATCTTGTTGAACCAACTTCCCTTTTTTCCCATATGAAAAGATCAAAAGTCCAAACCAAAATCAAGTTTAGATTATATCATTGCTTATTTCATGAAGCCATTGTGATCTTCTGATAATCCCATCAACCTTTTCTTGACAAAAAATTAGCTCCTCTTGATGTTTCGACTTATAAATATTTGCTAGGCAGTCAAATGACTCCTTATAAGATCTGAAATTTATTTCAAAATCACCCTCAATCAACCCCTCAAACGAAATGTCCATAAAATGAATCGCCCCTATACTAAATGTAGGAATAGCTAAAGCAAATTGCGAATTAGTTAAATGCTCATGGTGAGCGACCTTCAGTGCGTTCAGGATGCTTATTGCAGTTATTTCTTTCCAATTTTTATTAAAAATCGGGATATTTGAGTTTTTGTGAAATCTTTCTAGAAATATCTTTGCTATTATAAGCTCTTCTGTTTTTAAGCTAATTAAACTATGCAAATTACTAACTCCCCCCCTTCGTGAGTGAACAAAATTTTGTTCACTCACGGAGGGGGGGTTAATTTTTTTTTTTTCTCGAAATTTAAAAAAATCCTAATTCGCGAAAATTGGAAAGCAAATATTAATTTAATTAATAAAATTTAAGTTTTAAAAAGCAATTCGTTTAAAATTAAACAGAATTAGCTTTAGATTTAATATACTAATTATCACTTATATATCAAATTTTTTTCCATAAAAAATTTTTGTTCACTCACAGAGGGTGGGTTTTTGGGCAAAAATAGGGATTTTTCTAATGGTTTTGTTCACTCACGGAGGGGGGGGAGTAAGAAAGTTTTGGATATCGACAGCAGGAGTTGCATCGTCAGCTTTACAAGCTGTGTAGCTGGCATTAATTATATCATTGAAGAAATATTCGTTGTGCTCTATCTCATTGCTTTTTATTTCGAGGTTTAGTTTGATGTTGTGATGAATCCATCGAGCTAGTGAGAAAATCATTTCATTTGGGCCTGGATATATTCTGGCTGTATTTCTGATCATTATTTATTATCGGTAATTAAAAAAAAATTTTATGTAAAAACTTATGATATAACAGAAATTACTGACTCCCTTCTTTTAAAATTTTTACATTAAAATGGCGACACGTGCCGACCTGTCCTCTTGGAGCAACAGTCCAGACCTTATGGCCACTGCGAAATGGGATGGACTCCGAGCTGGAATCAAGTGCAGACTCAAAAGATGTGTATCCGGGTAGGTTTTGGCTGCTTTCATGTACAACGTTCTTTAGATTGACCCATGGCATTTCTCTATCGATAAACTGGGGATTTCGGCCATACTGCAAGGGAGTAGTCTTTTTCCTGTAGCTATCGAAGGAAGGCACTTTGGCACCAGAAATGCTCCAAAGGAGCTAATCCTTGGAATCAAGCTACTTCAATTGCCCGTGGCAAGGCCGCAGAAATCCATAAGCACTAAAGACTGAAGCCGCAAGGCAAGGAGGAGACAGAAGGTACCGGAAGAGTCACAGACCTCTGGGCTGGAGTCGAAAAGCGGTAGACCTCCCATATGGGAGATCTTTTTCGACTGCGTCACCAATATGGCTAGCAGCTGACTTCTAATAATTCTAATCCCTTCTTTTAAAATAGAGTAAAAATTATATTTAGAAATTCAAAAAAATGCTATTTACCCCCCCCCCCCCTCCGTGAGCGAACAAAACCATTAGAAAAATCGCCATTTTTTGACCAAAAACCCACCCTCCGTGAGTGAACAAAAATTTTTTTAATAGAAAAAATTTTAATGGAAAAAAATTTTGATATATAAGTGATAATTAGTATAATGAAAATCTAGAGCTAATTCTGTTTAATTTTAAACAAATTGCGTTTTAAAACATAAATTTTGCAAATTAAATTAATATTTGCTTCCCAAATTTTTGCAAATTAGGATTTTTTTTAAAATTTCGAAAAAAATATTTTTTATAAAATTTATATATAAATTTTTTTTAAAAAAAAAAATTAACCCCCTCCGTGAGCGAAACAAAAATTTTTTGTTCGCTCACGGAGGGGGGGGGGGAGTTAGAAAAAATTAAAACTTTAATATAAATATTTTATATAATTTTTTTAAAAAAATATAAATAGAGCCGATGTTTTGTTTCTAATTAAAGGAGAGTGAGAATTAATTTTATTCAAGAAAATTGATAATTTTTTAATAAAAATGATCAATATTAGATCAGCATCGAGAAAAGAAAATTATTAATAGCAAACCCACCTAAATATCGGCAATTGAAAAGAGTAATTTTTATATTTTTAATATCAATTTATTAAGAATTACTTATTAATTTGGATTTCTAATTAATTTCAAAATAACACCAACTTAGGACTGATATACATTATGCTTACATAAACAAATAAGCTTATAACCTCTGAGAAGCCCTAGCTAATCAAAAGCCTAAAAGGTTTATTATCTTTGCTATCTAAACTAATATTACTATTCCAAATTTATCTTTAATGAATCCAAAGCCTCCATAAATAATTTATCATCATAAATAAAGATATTAAATGTAATCGATTATTTCCCCAAATAGGTTATTCGACAGCCTCATCATAAATGGAACATGATACCTTGCATAAGCCAGCCCAACCCTATAATAATAGCAATAAGTTAATTTCAACTTTAACTTCTCATCTTCCTTTAAGCTCTCAAACACTGCTTCTTTTATCTTCGGCATCAGCTTATAATCCAAACAAATTTGAATTAATTCTGAACTGTTTTTCAAATTCGCTTCCAAAATCAGCGGCTTTAAGTTTTTATTTCCTTCCAGTGCTGAATTTTCGTCTAAATTTGCCCCTTTTTCAATAACTAGTCTTGCAGCAGCTGCATTTCCAGCTTGAAATAGCCTGTTAACTGCTACGTAGCTCTTATAGACTGGATCTATATCTATGATCCAATTTGCGAGCTCTTGATTCTTTTCTATAGCAGAAGCTAATAGAAAAGTGTCGTTTTCTCTTTGTATATCCGATTTTATGAATTTTTCGTAAAGAATTTTGCATGTCTCTACATTATTTCTGGCCATAGACTGCTGAATAAAGAAAATAAAGGCATTTGCATAAGAAGTCAAAAGAAATCCAAAATAGTCCATCTCGAGGAGATGAGAAAGAATTTTTGGCTTGTTAAAAATGACAATTCTTCTGATAATCATAAGTTTGAGATTAAGATCGTCTTCATTTTTGAATTCGTAAAGGGCTGGGTTATCAGCTTGAATAGCGACAGCAATTTCTTCAGGCAGAATCTGGTTTGGTTCTGACATTTTCTTTATTATCTATATTATTTATTAATTTCTGAAATATGCTGTTGCTATAATCGAAGTTTATTTGGTAAATTTATCTAAAATCGCCTTTCCTGGAATAAAGCTTGTGACAAAGTCACACCCAAGCTCCCACATCTTGTTTTTGCTTTCAATTTTCGCAATTTTTATCGCGGTCTCACACATAATTCTTTCGATTTCTATATTAGTTTTTGATTTAGCTTGCTCTATTTTTATAGAAATCTCCTGTTTATAATTTTCTATAATTTTATCTGTTTCATGTGCACTTAGAGCTATTTCTTTGGAAATTCTCTCAGAAAATTCCTCTATTTCTCTATTTGAATTTATCATAATCATTTTTATCTCATAATCTAGCCTATTTTGTGCGTCTTTGATTAATGATTCAGATTTATTGATTTCTAATTGTAAATTATGGCGAAGTTCTTCCATTTCTTTTTCTCCTTCTAGTTTAAATCTTTCTAAATCTCTATCTAGGAAAGCTTGATGAACTTTTAGTTGAATATCATTTTGAAAAATTTGCAGTTCTTCATTCATTTCTATTTGATGATTTTTGAGATTAAATTCATTCCTGATAGCCTGAACTTCGATCATGGTATCCGACTTTATTTTATCAAGGTATAAAATTAAGGAATTTTGGTCTATTTGGCACTTTATTACTGATTCTTGAGTTATTCTATTAATTGCAGTATTGGAGTCTTCAATTCTGATGAAGACCTTTGGAGGATGAAGAGGCTTGTTCTTTCGAATCGGAACTGGATCAATTTTAATATAAATAGACCCTGTCTCTTGGCTTTGGAATTGGGGGACTTCTTCTATTATCTGTTGGACGTAATTAATTCTCTGTTGATTGTTAGAATATAGATGGGATTGACTAGGGTTCATAGTCGATTTCTACAAATATTAATAAAGGTTTCAAATAAGAAATTTTATGAAGCCGCTACTAGATATTACAAATTTTGATGACTACATATCTGCGTTTAGCTAATAGAGTTATCAATATAATACATATGCAAAGCCATCTATTAGCATTTTTAAATTATTTTTCAGCTAAGATAATTACCTAATAGGCTGTTACAGTTTTATATAATATAGCTTGGGCCATTATAATACATAGACTGGCTAAACAAATATAAGCTCTCTAAATTCTTCACATGAGCAATATTTGCTTTTTTATGGTTCTCTTCCATGTTTTCTTGATATATAATTTTTAAATATCAATATATCGTATTTTTAATTTTATGTGTTATTATAGCCAAAACTAAACTAATTATATTAATGTTTATGATTTCCTAAATATTTGCGTTCTTTTTTGAAAAAAATTAGCCTTTTTATATAGTAAGAAATTTTACTTCATAGATGGGATCAATCTTATTATTAGAAAATTGTGATTTACACCTATTTCAGATTAATTATTAATTTTTTTACTTATGAGCAACTATAACTAAAGCTTCAAACATCAAAAGTTCTTCTCTTTCACTAATTTCTGATACCAATTCTCTCAGCCTTGCAAGAATCCTACTATCAGTTTCTTCATTTTGGCTTTTCATTATCAGCTCTTTAGGAAAATGCGAAAAAAAATTCAAGCTTTCTTCAACCCCTACAGGTCCTTGTGGGGCTGCAGTATAATAACTATAAGTTTTGCTAAATCCAGCATCTCTGACCATCTGTTTAAGCGCATCTTGATCATTTAAATAAAAAGGCGACCTTTTAGCAGGATACATATCTTCTCCAGCTATTTCTGAATTTGCTTTGTCTAATAGTCCTACAGATGTGCAATTTTCTCGTCGTCCCCACACTGAAAATACAGCAATTCCGCCTAGTGCTAAAATCCTATAAGCTTCTCTTAACATTGTATTAGCATCAGGAACCAGCATTAATGATAAATTAGCTATTTCGGATTATTATGATTTTTATCATTAGGATTTTTAGTTAATTATTGGAAAAATTCATAAATAATGGGTATATGTATCTGTCGAAGAAATTATCCTCATATGGCAATGCATCATTTGAAGCTTGAATAAAATGGGTTCGAGGAAGATGCCTTTCTAAAGCTTTTTCTATCATTAAGTCGCTTAAATCATTTGCCCATACTTCGGCTTCTGGAGGGAGATAGCTAAGGAGGATAGAAATTCCTTTTCCTGATCCACATGCAGCTTCAGCAATTTTGTGAGCATTTTTGAGGTTGAGGACTGGGAGAAGGGAATGATATATCCTAAAGCCTCAATTAGCGAGAGCTGAATATCTATATATTTAACAAATTCTACGCAATTTAAATATAAAATTGTAGAATTAGCAAATTCACATAAAATAAAAAATTAAATTTTTCATATGTAATCAGAGAGCTATCCGATCATTAATTAATGGGCTGATTATTCCATAAGTCAGAGGCTATCCTATAACTTCTAAAAGAGACGCTGAAGTTTAAATAGAGCTTGTTAATGTTTCAGCTGTGCTTATATACCAATCCACTGTAGAGTTCCAAACAGATCTTAATTGCTCATTTGAAGGTGCTGTCATTTATTATTAAATAGCTTGGCTAAGAAAGCATAAAATTTACGTTCACACCATTTACTGAATTTTCATGTAAAATGAAAACTTAAGAGTTTCTCTGCTATTCACTATATATTCATTAATTTATAAATAAACAACATTTTAGCCTATTTCTTTTTTTCAATTTTATTTCTAGCATTGGTGGTATATTCATGAAATTCTGCATAAAGCCAAACCCCCTACCAGAAAATAAATCAAAAGGATTTTATAATAAAATAATAATGGACGCTGAATACAAAAGTGATCAAGAAAAGTATGCTCAAAAAATGTTTAATAATGAAATCAATTTATCTGATCTTGATTCATATATAAATAAAATGGCGTCTTGGCCCAGGCAATACAATCTGGAGCACATTTTATTATATCCTACAAGGTTTCGCCAATCCAGAAATGGACAGCAATCCTAGGGAAGCAATTCTGGTAATGTATAGAGCCTAGTCCTAGTTAGCTTTCAGTATTGAATTTACCTCTAGGGAAAAGGTGGGTTCAGAGTTGGCCTAGCAAAGTCTACAGACAATGCCTAGATCATTCGAGCATCTTCCCAGCCTGAAACTGAGAGTTGCGCCCCAGGTTTTGAGCTTATCCTTTTTAGTAATCACAAGAAATTGTATTTTTTGCTGTCAACCTTGGCCTAGCCCAAGCAGGATGCCGCAGAAGTTCATAGTCTTCCCACTCAACACTGGAGCCAACAAGGCAAGGAGGAGACGGAGACACAGAACTCTATTTCGCATGCCCCATAGCGCCAGGCGGTTAAGAAGAGAAGAGGCCATACTCAAGCCGATACTCGTCTTATTAGTTATCTAACTCAAAGAAGTTCTTTCTATCGACGCTACAAAGAGGTTAAATCCCTGCAGCACCTTTGCTGACTGCTTTACAACAGTTAACAGCCAAACCTTCAATTAAGTTTAAGTTTAAGATCTTGATTCCTATATAGAAAGCCTAGTTAATGCTAAATTAAACGAAAAAATAGGCTCATTAATAGCAGAAAACAAAGAATTAAAAGAAAAAGTTTCACTTTTAGAAATTAGCTGTAGTACCCAGGCACAGATAAATAGAGAATTGCAAGAAAAATTAGATAATTTTGTAGCTGCTAGTGTAAAAGCTGATTTGCCATCTGCGCTTAAAGAGATCAATGAAAAATTGATGAAACTATCAAGCGAAAGCAAAGCATACTTTGAAAGCAATAGTTCTGTAGTCTACCACAATTGGATTGAATTGGATGGAAGAATTAATGTTATAGCTGAAGATATGGAAAAGCTCATGCAAAATTAACTTTAAACATTTACTTGCCATAAATTTTAAAAGTTATATTAATGAGGATAGGAAAAGCTTCTATTTTTTTGGTAGTAAAATTTATGCAAAAATATTCAGTTATGGAATCGAGAACTAGCAGATTCAAAAAATTTCACTGGTTCAATAAAAATTCACTTAAAATAATTAAGATCTGTTGCGAAATCAAACTCTAACTCTTCATAGGAGCTTGCTCTACGAGGTAAAGCATGGCTACCAGTGGCTAATAGAAGTTTTTACCGTTTATTTAGAACATTATTGTATAAATAAAATTTTTTAAGTTAAAAATAGATAAAATAAACTAGTTATTTATCTCATTGGGCTATAAAACTTCTATGGAGCTAAAACAATTGATATTTTTTTTAAAAATGTATGGCATCATCCGATCTGATCAAGTTAAAAAACTATCTCAATGCGTTATAGAGTAAATTGCATGAACGGAAAATCTTAAAGGTTGCAGGAGACCTTAATAAAAAAATCTAGAGCAACGCTTGATGATTTAAAAACGCGTATACAAAGCCTAGAAGAAAATATCACTTCATAAAAGAAAAAATAAATCCACACTAATTAATATAATAAATTTATGTATCCAAATTCAATGTAAGCTTTATTAATGGCTTTTTCTTATTTTAAACGCTATTTTGATTGCCTAATATATATAAAAATCATACTATCTTTTCAATTAAAACTTGGCATGCACAAAGCATATAAGGAAAACATTTGAAGACATTATAATTTATCCTAAGTTTACATTAGATATCATGCTCATTATAAATCACCTGATCAACTAAAAAGAAGTTATTCGCGGCCTTTCTTCCCACAATTTTTTCCAATTCGTTCCAAATCTACATATCTTTTACAATATCATCAGGCGTTTTCAGTTGTCTCTGTCTCTTCAAATATTCATAAATTTTTTCGAAATTTTCTTTTCCCAGTACATCAATAGCTTTGCTTCTATAATTATTTTTTGAAGTATTCATGCCAATATTTTTTGTTACCCCTTCACTTGTGTCTTCTTCGAAATCTTCATAAGGCTGATCACTATCATAGCTATCTTCACTGCAGCTCTCAAAATCGTCCTCATACTCATATTCGTTTTCCTCTTCTACTTCTTCTTTTATTTCAGGACAAGAAATTTTTATAGCAATTTTTAATGAATTTTTAAATTTTTACTGGTATTTTATTTTTTTTTAAAAATAATTAAAAAAGGATAAATCTTGAGAAAAATTATCAGGGTCAAATAGTACAATTGTGTCTAGGGAATATGTGAAAATTTCTGTGTCCTCAGGGATATCGCAAGTTTCTTCATGCACCGTGTAGTAGTTTGTGTCGTTATTAATCATATCTAAAGGGTTGTAATCTGAAAGTCTCATTGTAGGGCGATCTGTTGTATAGTCTGTAGAAGGAGTATTGGTAACCGAAGCAGAAATCTCAAATTCGACGAGTGGGGTATTCGAAACCTCATAAGGGTCAAAAGAATCACTAGGCTCAAATAAGCTTTTTCTTTGCAATTTTCTAATAGTTGAATCTCTATGTGACTCTCTTGCAGCTTCAGATAAAATTTTAGCCCTTTGGTCGGCTTCTTCCCTCTTTTTTCTCCTTAACCTTTCGCTAGGAGTTTCCGGCCTATCATTAGATAACGGCGAATCCGGGGCTTTTTTATTGTTACTTGTATCAGCAATCACCTTATTATACTGCTGCAAATAGCTTGAAAAAATAGGCAGGTTTAGCACAGAAGCTACACTAGACCGAGCATTCATGTCTTTTACCAGCATCATTTTTATTGCATCACCTATTTCTTTATTATAATCCCCGCTTATAGGATCTGGAGACTCCCTTAAAATTTTCATGATTAATCCTAACAGATTATTTGCCAAAAAAGGATGCTTTAGCGTACACATTTCGTATAATAAGCATCCAAGGGCCCAAATATCGCTTTTATTTGTATATGGCCTGTTTTCGCATACCTCTGGGCTCATATAGTAAGGTGTCCCGACAACAGTGCTTGCGTGGTCATTTGTATTTTCTAGGACTTTCGAGATCCCAAAGTCACCTAATTTTATTCACCCGTCCTTTGTTAAATACACATTTGATGATTTTATGTCCCTGTGGAGGATTTTTTTCTTATGTAAATACTGTAAAGCACAAGAAAGCTGTACGAATCATTGGCAGATTTGGGATTCTGTAAAAAAGGACCGAGATTCTTTTTGTTTTTTAATCCTTTGGGATAAATCGCCGCCTTGGCAATATTCCATGATAATGATAAGTTCGTTATTTTCTATAAAAGACTCAATGTAATGCACAATGTTAGGATGGTCGAGATTTTTTAAGACTTGAGCTTCTTGATAGGCTGCTTGGATTTCTTTTTCGCTTAAAGAGGCTAAAATAATTTTTTTCCCAATAAATGTTTCGTTTGTGGCTTTTTTAACTACAATTTGAGCGATTCCTAACTTTATACGATGAAAAAAACAGATTTTTTATTGGAATAATTCTTATTTAATTTAGATTTGATTGATTTTATGCAAAATATTTTATTTTAAAATAGCATGATTTTTAATGCAAAATTTATGCAAATTTGTTGTAATACATTATGGAGTAAATAATTGATACCGAAATTGCCACGTCCTATTATTTCTTTTGCTTGATACTTGGAATCGAATGACATTTATTAAAAGAATTAAATATTCATTGAGAAACAGCTAATTGTAGGTTATTAACTTATAGAAAATTATATTAATGCTAATTTAGGAGAGATAATATATAGGTTATGTAGAAGAAACAATTAGGATAGTTCTAATATTTTATTGTCAAAAAGTGGAGCCTCTATCTATTATCAGTTATATTGTAAAATATAATTTTTAAAATTATAAGCAATCTTTTCCCATTGGCAACATATAATTTTATTTTTATTTAAAAATCTAGATACTAATTTTTATCAATACAATAATAAGAATACAAAAGTTTTATATTATATTACTCTTTTAATATCTAAATTTTATGAAAAATCAGAAAACATGCTTACTCTAAAATCAAATTTAATTCAATAATTTACTCTAATTAAATTAAAAATAATTTCTTTAATAATTATAAAAGAGAGAATAACCTTATATCATAATTTTCTTTATATTGATTATTTACTTTAAAATGTTTAAGAACAAGCCAGCGCCAAGACTTGTAATTCACAAAAACATAATTGAAATGATAAAAGCCAAATCCAAAGAAAGAGAACAAGAAATGAGGTCAAAAGGACTTGGCAACCAAGCAGATCAACTTAGGCCTACTTCTGCATTTATTTGTGAAATTTGCAAAAAACTGAAGCTTCCTAAACCTCCACATGTAATTTTAGAGCAATCATCTCAATTCTGCGCTTGCAATTCCTCGCTACGTATGGTTTACAGTCCTTTTCACTCAAATATAGCTAAAAAAAAGCTTACCTTTCACCCTTAGTTAGGAGCGAATAATTAGAAAAATCTCTCTTTTGGGAAAATTAGCACCTTTCCTTATAAAATAAATTTTTTTAATATTCATTTTTTTCACAAAAAAATAATCCGATATATATTAGATTAGATTAGGCAAATTATTTTAAGTTCCCACTTCCAGTATCACCATATAATCCCTAGCGATCGCTGTGGGGTAGTCGTCAAAAGACTAAAAAGCCAAGATAGTATCCCTTTTGATCTGGTCATATGGATTTTTCAGGTAGGCCATTTCCAGCTTCAAAGTTACCATTAGCAAACTCTGCTTAGCTCTGGCCAGATCAGCCTGCACGGACACTTTTAGACCGGAGAGACTAGCCTTTAGAATCTTGTCGAACCTGTCTTCCCCTTTTCCCCGGATCAGCTCCGAAAGAAAAACTCAACACGTTTGCGCTTGTTCGGGACAGGCCACAAATCAACCAAGGTAGGCAAGTCGCTCTGCCTCTATGAGCATCCATTCTGGGCCTGGGCATTACTAGCAAAAAGATGCAAGAAACTGATGCTCGGCGAAGCTAGTGCTGGGCCTCTCGCTTCAAGGCTAATCCAGTCTTGGGCAACTCGCTGCAACAAAAATCACGCCTGGATGCACATAAGGACACTCTCACGGAGAGGACGGGTCTCTTGTCGCTATTCATTTTATATATATCCGATATAATTGCCTTAAGCTAAATTTATTGTCCACATCTTTTAAAAACATAATTTTTTTAATTTAAATAAGATTGCAAATTGTATTTTTAAAATTCGAAATAGAAAATTAAAAAAATAAACTTACTAATTGTCTAGTGAGGAAGAAATTAGTTGCTCGCTAACCATTGGGGAGAGAAATTAGCTTAACCAGCAGTTTTAACCCTTCAATATTAAGATCAAGAAGCAAGCCCATAAACTTAAAAAATCATTCTGAAAAAAACCTTGTGGCTACAGGTGTTAGAATTACTACTGAGCAAAGAAAGCGGAGTATTTCAGTGCCAGATAGTAACAGATTTGAATTTACCACCCCTATCCCTGACCTTACATACTATGAAACAATTGAGCGTGAATATAAATACCTAATATTTAAAGGAAATAATTCCTCACTTATACAAAGCATACTTAAGCTTCGTCCAAATTGATCAGAAGCGGAAAACGGGAGACAAAGCCTGCAATTTATATGACATCCTACATCGGTAAAGGCTAGATTTGATAGACTTATGCCTTATCTGCCAATTCAAGTGATTAATCACTTTGAATTTCATGCGCAGCTTAGTAATAAATTACTGCTATACAATAATATGGTGAATTATTGCAGGCTGAAATCTATTGACATCACGAAGCTGATGCCAATTATATTGAAATGCCTTTAGTGGGCGACAAGGAAACAGATTAAAATTTCTATTGGGAAAATAAAGGGAAAATACTATACTTTTCCTTTGAATGTTGGATCCAAAGATTTCACAGCACAAATGAGCAAATTTATCGGTTTTTTTAAAACTTGCTCCTCTAGTGATAGTAAAAACTTTTGGCTTTTAAAACCTTCTGGTTTTAACAGAGGAAGAGGGATTCATATATTTAATGAAATTTCAACATTAAGAAGCCTTTTAGCTGACACGCAATTTTCTTCACAGAACCCATCAAAGACTACAGGCCTAATCAAAAAATCTCCATTCAGTACAAAATTTGTACTCCAAAAATATATAAAATTTTCCATAAATTTCCTCTCAAAATTTTCAGCTAAAATACCTAAAAATTCCACATGCCAATTATAGAAAAAGATATATAGAAAATCCATTACTAATTGATGGCAGAAAATTTGATATCAGGGTATGAGTATTAATTACCCACGAATATGACTGTTTTTTCTTTTCCCAAGGCTATTTGCGAACATCTTCAGAATCCTTCACTTTAGACGAAGACAAGTTGACTAGTGAATACATACATCTTACCAACAACGCCATACAAAAAGACGGTAGCGGATATGGGAAATTCGAGGCAGGAAACCAACTTCCTTTTTCATTTTTACAAAAATATTTAAATAAGCAATTTCCTAGCATAACCAGCCCATTAGAAAGACTTGTAACATCTATGAAAGAGCTAGTTGCACATAGCTTAAAATCAGTCAAAGGAAAATTAAATCCTAACAACCGTCAATTCTGCTTCGAAATTTTTGGCTATGATTTTATAATAGATTCTACTATGAAGCCATGACTTATAGAATGCAATACAAATCCTTGCTTAGAGCTCTCTTCTCCTTTACTCCAGCAATTAATACCAAGAATGGTAAATGATGCGTTTAAGCTTACGCTTGACGTGATTTTCCCTATTAAAAGCTCATATTCTCTAAATATTCCTACTATTGTACATTTGCAAGAGCATAACCAATGGGAATTTTTAGTGTCCTTAAAGAAAAGCAGCTGTAATGATTAATTATTTTTTACTTAAAATTTTCCCAGCTTTACTTATAGACAATAACCCATATTCCAAACAATATTTCTGAGCCATCGGACTGTTTGGGTTTTCTTGGTACAAACTTTCATAAAATGCCCTCATAGGGTCGTCTAAAGAAGGCTCAGGGTACTTTTGCCCAGGCTTTCGCTGGCCATCTTCACCTAAAAATTTTTTTTCTCGCTTAGAGCTTGTTTTCTTTGCTGGCTTTTTTTGCATAAGTTTCATTTCTGCAGCATTTACACACAAGCTACTAATTTTAGAGGTTATTGTATCTTTTGGAGGAGGCTTAAAGTATTTTGCGAGATTTTTTTTTTTAGAAATTTTTGTGTACGTGATTTGAGCTTTGGGTTCCTCAACTTCTTCTTTGCCCATTATGAATTATTGGATAAGAATAAAGAGGGGATTATTTATTAAAAAATAACATAATTAAACTGGAATATTTTGTGGGAAAATCCTATGCATTTCTTGATCAGAAAAATCGCCCCGACCTTCTACTGGGTAAAATAAGCTCCAGACGTCTGGCAACGCTGTTGGGTTGTGTGTAAAAACTTGCTGGTAAAGTAGCCTTGGACTATCAAAAGTTGGTCCTTCTGACAAAAAGATCGGCATTTCCCAGTTTAAAATTGCATAGCACATTAGCCCAAAGCTGTATAAAGATACCGCAGAAAAAGCCATATTTAAAAACCCATACACATAATGGTATCTATAAATAATAAATGCAGTGATTATAAAGCAGGTAATTCTTGGATAAAAAGCAGCTGATTTTTTGGTCCGAATCATTATAAGCGAAAAAAATTCAATTAAGCTGAAAAGGTTATAAAATCTTTCGTCAAGACCTAAAGGATATATATTTTTATATAATAAATAAATAATTTATTATAGGAGTTTTAAGTTTTATAAAAAATTAGCAAAATTTGTATAAATTTTCTAAAACGCCGTATGTCCAGAGGATAGAGGCACCGATGTACATCATATAAAACACAAAAAGCATTAAGAGAAATGCCATTATGAGCCTGAAGCTGCTTTTATTAGCATGAGATAGTGCATAAGCTGGCTCTCCAATTCATGGAAAGGCAAAATATGCAATATATCGGCAGTTAGGATTTATAAACCTAAAACAAGGACAGCTTAGCAAGGCTAATAAAAAAGCGGATGACCCTACAATTGCGAATCTACATATAAGTCCTGTCACCAACGATATTATAGCAAACCAGTAAAAAGCTCTGAAAACGTCCCAAATTCTTCCTAAGTTTCCTATATGTTTTTTCTCACTTACATATTCTTTAGTCCATATCCAATAATTCCCATTTCCCAAATTCTTCATCATCCCTCCATAGTCGCTAAAAACACTAATAATTTGGTTCATTATATAGCCTAGGACTGCTTTTCGCTCAGCTTAGGCTGGTTGGTTTGGCTATAATCGTATCCAATTCTTCCAGAACTGTAAAATAAATCCTCACCTAAGCTAAAAGAACCCCTAAGTTATAATCGTATCCCTCTCATTCATCATCCCAGCAATATTTCATAGCCCAGTCAATATAAGATCTTCCCTTTCTATAGTAATATTGTGTACTTGAAACCCTTTCCTTTCTCTTACTTCTTTATTTAAAAAAATTGACTGTCTTTGCGTAGAAAATTCATATGAGTAGCTGCTGATGTTTATGAGGAAAATGTCTTCAGGGAATATGGTTTGGGTTATGTTTGTGCTGCAGTGGGAGGATATAGGAAGGCTTAAGTTAAATTCTGGAGAAGTATAGCTGGGACAGTCTGAGAGCAGCTGATGGGAGATTGCTTTAGCTAGAATAGTTCCATCATTTACATAAAGAGAGTGAAATGTAATGAGACAGACCAGTTCTAGTGTTCCAATTAATCAGCAAAAAGCCATGAGCATCCTGAATGAATAGTGAATACTCCTTTGTTTTAAAAGCACGTCATAAATTCTGAATAGAGAACGTTCATATTCCATTTTGTTAATTAATATTAAAGTTTGTAATAAGACTTCTTAAATTAATAATTATTCAATGGAATTTGTTAAAGCATGCTTCTTTATCATTTTGTATATAAAATACTGGTGCTATTGATGCTGATAAATAAAAATTATGAAATAAATGATATATAGAGCTTTCCTTTGGATTATCCAGTGCAAAAAAATTGAAATCTAATTATGAGGAAATTACGAAGCAAGCACAATATTTTTAATCATATAGAGAGCCCATAAGAATCTGCTATGCAATTCATTATGATTTAAACTATGGAAAAACTACTGTTTTATCTTTAAATGAGAATATTTCTTCAGTGTTAGTATTATTTGCAAATAATCATAAATGTTGTAGCTGTAATAAAGCAAAATATATTTACTGCTAATGCAGTATAATACGACTCTATACAATGATATTTATAATTTTTCCTCAGCAGCATTAATTTTTATTAACTTTTAGCACATTTTTCGCATCTTTTTCTAGATGCTCCCTTTGAAAATCATTTTCCAGGTTTTTGCGGGATTCCATTATTTCTCATTTCACAAATGATATCCTCGATAACCTCTCCACCACAAATCTAGCTTAAATTTTCCTATCTTGTTTAATTTTCGTCTCATCCACTTTACAAATTTCACTCCTGCACCCACCAATTCCCTCCAACTCTCACATCTCCAATATTTAAATCTTCATAATAAAAAATGTATAAAAATCTAACCCAATCCTCACTATCAGAAGACTCCAACGACTCAGAGATTTCTACCTCCAGCAAACAAAGCACCTCCTCAAAGCGTTTTCTTGACGGCCTCAACAATGGCCGAGCCGCTCTTCACGAATTTTCAGATTTAAAAAAACAGTTAAAAAGCGACTCTTCCTCACATTTATTATTCCTTTACAACACAGCTGACCCTCATCAGATTTATTATGAAAATATAAAAAATCACTATAAACGCAGAACTGAGGAAAATGATTTTGAAAGTGTCGGGGAAGAAGGGACTGCCCAGATAATTCATAGCCCAGTGGTGAAGAGAGGAAAGTCTGTAGACTGTGGAAATAATAATGAAAATAATTCTAGCCACGTCCCAGAAACATTGCAGAAATATAGGAAAAGAATAGAAGGCCAGAATAAGAATATGGGCAAAATCATGAATTTTAAAAATAAATTTGAGGAATTGGAAGAATTGAAAATTCTGAGGGAAAAAAATACCAAAATTATGGACGAAAAGAATAAAATCGAAATTGAGCTAGTGAAAGTGTCGAAATTGGCAAAAGAATTTGAGATGAGATGCAGGGAAAAAGAAATTGAGATCGGAAGCTTAAGGAAGAGCTTGGAGCTGTATGATCAAAATTCAATAAAAGTGAATTTAGAATTGAAACTGGCTAAGGAAAGCTTAATTGGGTATACAAAAGAAATTAATGCACTGCATAAAGAAGTTTTGGAGGTGAAAGCCAAGCTTGAATGTGTAGAAATAGAAAAATTTAATTTGAGGCAAGATTTAGATAATGCAAATGAAGAAAATAGAAGCTTGAAAGAAACAATCAAAAATATCGAAAATGCGAGTTTAGCAAAAAACGAACAAAAAGCAATTAAAAATTTATCAAATATAATTCTCTCAAAAGAAAGAAATGATAATCGAGTCAAAGCGCTGGTTCCAGACAATAAAGATCTCGAATCTAAGCTAAAAGTAGCTGAAGCTGATCGTGACCAGTTTAAAATTCGCTATTACACTACATTAGAAACTTTAAAAGCTACTGATGAGTGAATTCTTGGGATAATAGAATTAATTCATTATGGGAACTCGAGAACTGCAATAGAGGAGTTCTTAAGGACCCAAACAGACTTTGAAGAACAAATAAAATCCACAAACCAAGAACTCCTGGGCTTCAATGAACCCTCTTCAGACAGATCCTACAGCTCCCCTCTGAGCAAAACAAGCCTCCAAAGCCCAGTCCTTTCATATGATCAAGAACTAAAATCCCTCACACTCCAACTTTTGCATGAAAAAGAAGCCAAAAAAGAGCTTGAAGACACACTAAAAATTTTTCAAGAAAACTCAGAAAAGTCACAAATTTCTAATATTTTGGCTTACCTGCAGTGCCAAGCTTCTGTAATAGAAGAATGCTTACAAAGTGAGGAATGTGATGAAATTCCCAGCCTTTATAAATAAATTTAAAAATTGCTATCCTATTAAGATAATTAATTTCCTATTTCTCCTATTTACTTATTAGTGATAAAAAATGAGTGAAGACGTCTCAGCTTTCTTGGCTAGCAAAAAAGAGGAAGACCCAGCAGAAGAAGTCGAAAATCCAGAAGAAGAAGTCAAAGGAGACTGGAAAGCTGTTGACCTTCCTGAAGTCGAAGTCGTCACCGGCGAAGAGAACACAGACCTTATCTTCAAAACCCGTGGCAAGCTTTACAGATGGGCTGAAGAGCAATGGAAAGAGCGAGGAACAGGCGACGTCAAGCTTATTCGTAACAAAGAAACCAAAAGAGTAAGTCTTGTAATGAGACAAGATAACACCAAAAAAGTAGTCGCAAACTTCATATTAGAAGAAGAGCCTCTTTGCAACTTGGTACCGCACGCTGGAAGTGATAAAGCCTGGCTGTGGATTGCCCACGACTTCAGTGAAGGCGAGCGCCAGAGAACAAAATTCGCGATGAGACTGGGGACACCAGAAAAATCCCAGGAGTTTAAGAAAGCTTTTGACGATGCCAGACATTTCAACCATTGTGTTAGAAGTGGATTAGAGTGTGCTGAAGCACCAGTTATCGTGGAAGAAGCTACTAATTAAACAGGTTACTTATTAGATAATTTGATGCGTTTACCATTTTTCCACTCCCCTTCGTACACGAAGCCATTGTTATCGACAAAAATCCCATGCCCGTGCTGCTTCCCATTTTTCCAGTTCCCTTTATACTTTTTCCCGCTGGGCCATTTAAACTGCCCTTGTCCTTCTTTTTTATCGTTTACGTAGTCTCCTATATAAACTCGTCCATCAGGCCATATAAATTTGCCATATCCGTGCATTTTATTATTTTTCCATTCCCCATTAAAAACCCTACCATCTTCCCACTTATAAATACCTTTTCCTTCTATACAGTTATTCACAAAATCACCTCTATATACTGTGTTTTCACTCCAATGGAACTCTCCGAAGCCGTTTTTTAAGCCATCTTTATAGTATCCACGATAGTATGAGCCATCATTTCATCGTTCTTCGCCAAAGCCGTCTTGTTTGTCTTCTTTTCAATCTCCGTCATAGGTTGTCCCATCAAAATGTATGTATTTTCCTTTTCCATTGGCTTTATCATTGATTCAGTCACCTTCGTACACGTCTCCGTCTGAATGTATGAGCCTTCCATAGCCATTTGCCTTATTATGCTTCCAATGTCCTGTATATTTTGAGCCATCTTTCCAGACCAAAATCCCTAAGCCAGACCTTTCTTTATTTTCGTCAAAATCTCCTATATAAGTCCACCCTTCTTCATCATTCCTTAAAGATTTGAAATCTCTGAGGTCGTCTTCAGTCAAAAGTTTAAATGGTTCTATACTGTTTTCCTATAAATTTTTTTAATAAATAAATAAATAATTATTTCTTCAAAATTTAGGTGATTTTGGTATAATCTAGTCTCAACCATTTGGACTTTTGGATTTGAACTGATAATTGCTTGAAGTTTATTAGAGTTTTCATCATAGGACTGGTTGATTTCTCCAAGGATTTTTTCTTGTTTTTCTTCGTTTTCTGAGACTTCGCTTACGATTTCGATATCTTCGTTAAATGCAAGCTGAGATTTTTCACCGATGCAAGTACAGCTATTTCCCATTTTTTTAAAATATTTTAAATATTTTTTAATCGCTAAATTGAGTAAGTGCGGAGGCTGGCAATGGCTTGTGACAGCTTGCACAAGGAATAAGCTCTATGTCGCAGTCTGAGAAAAAGCTGGATGAGGTGTCCTGAGGTTTCCCTTTAACTGCAGAGTCAGGCCTGGCGCTTCTCATGCTTTGGATCCATCTTGACTGTGATTCTTGGAATCTTGCGACGTCTCGGTCTACTAGTTCTTTTTCTACTTTTTTTTCGTAATTTTCCTGGCGTCTTTTGGACTGTTTTTCAAAAATTTGCTGTTCTAAAGACCTTTTAAGCTCTTCTCTCTGCCTGTATGCCCGGGAGCATAAATCTTGCCTGGCAAGGTTTCTTTCACTTTCAATGGTCTCTAACTGAATTCTTTCAAATTCTTTATTTTTCTTATCTTCCTCGATTTTTTGAAGCCTTTTTTCGTTGACTTGTCTGAGGAGTTCTTCTCGATATTTTTGTTTAGAGATCATGGCCTGTTCAAGCAGATTTTGGTTTGGATTAGGGATATCGTTTTCTGAGCCTAAATTGCGATTTCTTCTGGATTTATGCTATTTTCTATAAATATAATGATAATAAATTATATATAAAATAGCAGATATTCAATGCATTTATCATAAATTTATATTCAAGTTCTTCAGAAATTTCATTTGCTTGTTCTCGCATTGATTTTTTGTATTCTTCTATTCTACTTTTTTCTTCATCTTCTATTCTTTTCAGTCAATCAAGCTGTTGCTGCTCAAACTTAACTTTGGCTTCTCGTTCTTCTTGGTCTCTTTTTCTTTTCAGCTCAGCTAATCTCCGATTAATGCAATAATCACATAGTAGCGGTTTTTCACATTTTCCTATAGCTGGATGTGAAGAGTTGCCTGACCCTCCCTCTATGACATTAAAATTATATTTTAATATTTAGTTATTATCAGCAAATTTTATTAAAATTTATATTTTTCTAACATTTTTTATAATTTTTTGTCAACTTATTGCAGATTTATTTACAATATTTTATAAAAAAATTAGCCTATTGCACGCAAAAAATCTTAAGGGAGAGTGAGAAGTTATTATATTGAGACTCTTCCATTTTAATATGAAGAAATAATTAAAATGCTTATTTTTGGCTTTTTAAGCTTTCAAGAATAGCTAGATTCAGCATCTGGTCTTCAATATCTACATCTTCAAATTGAGATTCCCTTGGATTTGTCCTCGGAGGATTATAAGGATTACTACGTGGGTAAGGCATATCTGGCTGCCTCGGAGGATTAGAAAAATAAGAATAATCCTGTTCCCTCTCAAATTGTGCTGAATATTCGTCATACATTTGAGGATCTGGTCTTTCTTCTCTATTTTCTGCAAGCTGGCGGGCTACTTCTAAGTCTTGCTGCTCAGCAAGTTCTTTAGCGATTCTTTCGTCTTCTTCCCAGCCTGGCCTTCTAGCTTCTCCTGGAGACATTTCTGCAGCAAATTGCCTATTTAAATTTTCAGCGACTTCTCTGTCTAATTTTTCTGCAAGCTCCTTTGCAAGTCTTTCGTCTTCTGATATGTCTGGGACAGGAGGCTTAGGAACATTTGGGATGTATTTAGGGACATATCTGTTTTCTGTAGGCGGTATTTGCGCTTTTGGTGGGGAAAATCTGCTTTGTTTTGGTGGTTCTGGCTTATAAATTGGGTCTTTTCTGCGCTGGCCTTCATTAGGATGAGGCATTTTTCGATAATTAAATTTATTCCTAGGCTCTTGCCTCGCATTACTGAAATCTCCTTTTTTCTGCTCAGCAGCTTCCCATATATCTTTAACTCTTTCCTCTTCTGTATCCCTCTGTATCCATTCATTTTCTTCTTGCCTTTGTCTCAATCTTCCCATCTCATCTTGGTCTTCATTATGACGAGGCATTTTTCTATAATCAAGCTTATTTCTAGGCTCTTGGCTCTTATTGCTAAACCCCCCTTTTTTCTGCTCAGCTGCCTCCCATACATCTTTAATTCTATCCTCTTCTTCTTTTTCTTTCTGTATCCTTTCACTTTCCTCCTGGATTTTTCTCAATCTTTCCATCCCTTCTTCTTTTTGTAAATCTTGCCTATTCTTCATGCTCAGCCTGAAATGAAATGTGATGCTGATGGAAGATGCACTTCGAGATAGACTCTCTATGCGCAGGTCAGACTCATCCTGATGAAGCTGAAACAGCTCTGTCACTTTTGAGGAAACCTTCAGATTTGAGGAAGCCTTGCCGAAGAGTGTAATTTTCTTTCTACGCTGACCCTGCCAGATGGGCTAGGCAGATTTTTACTTGCCACATGGTTTTCCTTATTGGTGCTCTCGAGTCTTTGGCTGAGCCCTAGGGAGCTAATCCTTTGGGCAGGCTTTTACAAGTCAGAAACCCAAAAGGACAGCCTTCCATTTCCCTAATTTACATTCTGAAGTATATTGAGACTCGCTTTTTGAAGCCAGACAAGGCCTAGCTAGTGGTTGGCTGCGCTTATGGCCTATACATTAGCTTAGCTCATTCTCAGACCTCTTTCAAGATCCTGCCCTCTCCCAATGCCTTGCCCGTCTTCTTTTTGCTGTTTCCTCATCCTCAGTCCTCTCTCATACTCTTGGATTCTCCCAATACCTTCAAAATTAGCTTTTTTTTCTTCTTCTATTTTCTTTTTAGCCATTTCCACTTCTTTCTGTTTTTCTTGTTCTTCCCTTATCATCTGCCTAGCCAGGTCTTCACGCTGCCTTGATTTGATTTGTCGCTCGATTTCGTCTTCTTTTTCCTTACTCCCCCCCCCCCCCTCCGTGAGCGAACAAAAAAAATTTTGTTCGCTCACGGAGGGGGGTTAATTTTTTTTTTTTAAAAAAAAAATTTATATATAAATTTTATAAAAAATATTTTTTTCGAAATTTAAAAAATCCTAATTTGCAAAAATTGGGAAGCAAATATTAATTTAATTTGCAAAATTTATGTTTTAAAACGCAATTTGTTTAAAATTAAACAGAATTAGCTCTAGATTTCATTATACTAATTATCACTTATATATCAAAAATTTTTTTCCATTAAAATTTTTTCTATTAAAAAAATTTTTGTTCACTCACGGAGGGTGGGTTTTTGGTCAAAAAATGGCGATTTTTCTAATGGTTTTGTTCGCTCACGGAGGGGGGGGGGGGAGTTATTAAAATTTTCCTGGTATTTTGGCTGTGGTTTATTGCAGTTTCCAGCTTCTATATGCTTTTTTAGGTCCTTAATAGGAATGTATTTATTGCATTTTCTGCAGATTTCAGTCCTGTTGCCACAAGTCTGGGTATGGGAATTGAAAAGGTCGAGAGGATAGGTAGCTTCACAGTATGGGCAGAGTTTTGGGGCTTTAGGACATATGTGGCTATCAAATTGGTTGGCTTCTATTTGGGCTTGGCAATTAGGGCATGGTTTTAGAGCGTGATTTAGATTATCGTGCTCCTCTTTTTCTGATCTTGAGATAGGGGCATTGCACTTTTCGCATCGGATTGTGTTTCGTTCACAATGAACTTTATGAATCATCAGTGACTGCTTTGGAATTTCTTTTTCGCTGCATAAATCTTACCAAATATCACAGAGCTCTACTTCCATATTTGAATTCTTTATAGAAAGAAATTGGACTGCTACAATTTAATAAGTTTAAATATCTTATTAGTTCCTAGTAATAGCTGTTTTCTTCTGATTTTTAATGATATACCTGTTTGCCAAGAATAGCCCACTAAGGAGCATTTTTTGGTTCAACGAATTTGGCAAGCCAGTTATTGTCCCAGCCAACCAAAAAGTGCTCCTTAGTGGGCTATTCTTGGTGAATAAGTATAATAACTTTTCATCACAAATTGCTAATAATCCAAAAATATGAGAAAAGCCCTTGATCCTTATCATATTCTCAAAAGCTACCCTTACTTTTTCCAAAATTTAACTGAAGAAGAATCACAAATATTTGAGTTCATCATAATGAATGAAAAAATTTCTGCAGAAAAATACGGGACTTTAATTAAGCCATTCAAAAAGTCTGTAGGCCCTTATGATCTTGAAGCCCAGACAGGGTATTCAGATGGCCTTCAAAATGCTTATTTTAATATAGAAAATTTTGTTATTGGAGATGAAAACTATAGAGTGTTGTCTATTGAGTTCTTAGGAGATCATAAAGATGAGCCTTATTGCTTTGGACCGCCGAGGTTTAGACCAAGAGACTTTATAGGGAATAACAGCTTTTATGAAAGGCTTGAAAGATCTTTATTTTGCTGGAGATGGGTGGATAAGGACGATAGCAGTTTTAGAGCAGTTACAATTGAAGATGTCCCTGACACTGTTAGTGGGTTAAATTATCCTATAAGATCTCTTATAAAGCCTCAAGATTTAATCGGGACTCCTGAATTTTATGAGCAAATCAATGAAAATGATATATTCAATTATAGACAAATATATAGATCACGCTACGAAGATAGCTACAGGGTTGTTACCATTGAAAATGAATAAAACCTAGTAATTAAGCATAATCTTTTATTGTAAAATTGTCACTTAAGCATTATGAATAATCCTCAAATCCATCTTAAATTGAATGAATTCAGATAAAGAGCTTGAAACAATTCTCCAGGAAGCCAAAGCAAACTACCAAAAACGAATTTCTTCAGTAAGAAATTCTTTAAAATCAGTCTATGACGATACTCATGCTGATGCGCTTTTTGATACTTTAAAAGCAAATGCATTAACTGAAAGATCAATCCCTCCACGCCCATCTTCAAGGGCTTCTGAAAGGTCACCTCATTTATCGTTAACTAATAGATCCAGAGATATCAGCCCTTTAATTAGCAAGTCGAATTCTGAAGAAATTTTTCAGCTGCAGAGCTTGCTTGAAAAAGAGCGAAGATCTCGATATGAAGATCAAAAGAAAATATACTGTTTTATAATAAATATGTTGGCATTAGCGCTAGGGTAGATTACCCTTATGTATTTATCGTAAAAAGTATATAAAGAATTTCATTGAATTTAAACAAGCAAAATTTTTATAAGAAATTAATATTAGCAGATAATATAGTTTTTGGCAATTTAATTAAATATAATATAAAACTTTTGAAAGAAGAAATAGATGATATGAAAAATTCTATGAAAACTCTGCAAGGGCATTTAGGAAAAGTAAGCGAAGAATACGAAAATTCATTAAGAAATAAGTCAGATGAAGCTAAAGAATTCCTAAAGCAAAGCCAAATCGAAATCGCGAAGCTAAAAAGCGCTTTAGAGGTCACTGAAAATGACGGTCTGCAGAATTTCCAAGAAATTGATTATTTTAGAAAAAAATCAATAGAAAACCAAAAATTAATTCAGGACTTGCAAGACCAATTGAAATTTTCACAGAAAAATGCGACAGATTTAGAAGCAAGGTCAGAGAAATGGAAAATGAGCTATCAAGAATCCGAAAGAGCGAATTCCGAGCTAAGGGACAAGCTTAGAGACGCATCATTCAATATCTATAATCTTACAGATGAAAATATGAACCTTAAAGACAAATTGAAAGAAAAAGATAAAGCCATCAGTAGCTTAAAGCTTCAAATGGAATATTCAGCCCAAAATGAAATAGAAAATGTCAAAAAAGAAGCCGAATATTGGCAGAATTTATGCAATGATCGCCAAATCACTATAGAAGAGCTAAAAAATCTCCAGGAAGAGCTAGAAAATAAGCTTAATGAAGTAGAAAGGAAAAATGAGCAAGAAAAACAGCAGCTGATAAAGCAATTAAAAGAAATAAATCTCAGCAACTTAGAAACTGAAGAAAAAATTATGAGTGAAAATTTCGAAAAAATTAATGAATTGAAGGAGCAATATGATAAAGATATAGAAAAGCTTAAAAAAGAATACGAAAAAGAACTGGAAATAAAAATGAATGACGTACAAAGTGAAATTGATATGCTGAGAGAAAGGGAAGAATATGCCAAAAGCATTTATGAAAATAAAATTAAAAATCTTGAAGATGATATTGAAAATAATTTTATCAGCCGAGGACTGCTGGACCAGATAATTGGAGAAAAGCTGTCAGACCAAAGGGAGTTTTATGAAAAAAGGATGGACGATAGAGAAAAAGAGCTGGAAATTGACCAGGAAAAAATAATTGGAAAAATAAAAGCATCACATAAAAACGAACTAGAAAATATTTTGAAAAAAATGGATGAAATCGAAATAGAAAATGAAGAACTCAATGAACAAATTTTAAAGGTAAAATTCGAGCTGAAAAGCGAAAAAGCAAAAAATTCCCAGCTTGAAGTAAAAATGTCACAAACCCAAAATGATATCGAAACTTTACAGGAAACTAAGGTGCACTTTTTTAAACAAATGGAAGACGTCAATGTTGATATGTTTAAGCTTACAAAAGAGGTGGAAAATTTAAAGATCGAGAAAAAAAGATATGAAAATTTATATGAAGTCGAAGTTTCTAACTCATTATAAATCCCAATTATTTTATATTTTTATTTTTTTAAATTTTGAAAAAAAATAATTCCAAAGGAATAAGCAAGAAGAAATAAGCCAAAAATTGCAGGAACAATCTGAGGAATTATATAAAAGAATTGACTCTGAAAGAGCTCAAAGAAGAGCTGCAGAAAAAGAACTCTTAAACGCAGAAGAAAACGCCAAAGCTTTGAAAATTGAAATATTAAAACTCAATGAAGTCAAAAGTATTTTAGAATCTGAAAATGAAAGCCTCCGGCTAAAATCAAATAAGCGAGAAGACGATTTTAAACGGGAAAAAGCTACCAATGATACCAAAATAAAAGAACTTGCAATGGCTCTTGAAATAAATAAAGGCTCTATTCTTGAATATGAAAAACAAATTATCAGCTTAAATAATGAATTAAAATACTATAAAAGCTCAGAAATAAAAATCAACGAAAATATCAAAATATATCAAGCTGAATTAGAAGCGTCTCTGCTTAAAATACGATCCCAAGACGATGAAATAAATTCATGAAAATACAAAAATAATTTACTCACTGACTCCATAGAAAAGCTCAAAGGAAAACTCGAAAATACCCAAGACCGATTTCGAGACTGCATAAAAATTCAGCGCGATCGCTATAAAAATCAACTAAACATTCTCAGTCAATGGGTCTATGACCAACTATTAAATTTCAAAAAATACATGCAAGCGGCCTTATCAGAGATTTCTAATATAACAGCACTAGAAACTTCTAAAAGGCTGAAGCTTTTCAGAGAGGAATTTTCTAATAAAGAGCTTAAGTTTAAACAAGTCTACCAAGAAATGAACAACAATAAGCGGGAATTTGTTAATAAAATAAAAGATCTGTGTGAAGAAAATTCAAAATTAAAAATCGCTTTATCAGACCAAGACCGTGACTTGAAAATGAAGGACGCTAAAATTAAGCTTTATGAAGAAAATTTTGAAGAAATTGGGATAACGGCGGAAAAAGAGCAAAATAACATGAGGGCGCTATTGCTGAAAAGGGAAAATGAGCTAAAAGAAATTATTCAGTCTAAGGCTGAGTTAAAAGGAACGATTGAAATCCAGCAGAATAAAATAGAAAAATTAAAAAATGCTTTGAAGGCTCAAGCTAGTCATATAATTGAATTAGAAAGTTCTATACAAAAAGATTATGATAAGACAGCTGAAGAAATTTATACATTGAAAGGGATTTTTAAAGAAGAGTTTGAGCATATGAAGCTGATGCTGACAATGGAAAATCAGAAAAAAGATACAAATTTGCAGCAGGCTTTAATCGATGCTGAAGAATATAAATTAAATTAATTAAGAGTCTTACCATTTTCCAGATTTGATACCTCCAGATGCCTTCGATCAACGCCAACCTGCTTGCCGGGCGGAAATTCAGCCGCTATTTGGAACAGTGATCTCCTTTAGGAGCAGGGTTTGCACTGTGATCCCCAAGAGTCTGGACAGGTTAGGAAGACACCCTTCGGCACATCATTAGGTGGTTGGAGGTAAAGGTTAGCTCAATGCCTCCTTCCGGTGATACCTAGTAAAAAAGATTCACTGCCCTCCGAAGCCGGCAGGGACCATCCGAATAATTAATACCTATACTGGAATGGCCGCCAGCTGATTTCCAAGGTTTGCCCATATATATGGCCGCTCTAGGCAAGCTAAGGGTTAGGATTAAAGGGTCTAAACCTTAGTTTAGGCCATAGAGCCATTTTGGCTCCCAAACTGGTGTGTCATCGGCAAGGAAATATTTCTCCACCATATTAATTATGAAGAATGTAAAGGGAGGCTTGCTAAACTTGAGTCAGAGACTTTGGATCAGGATTTATATTGCAATGAATTAAATTTTAAAGAAATTTTTTTTTTAGAAATCATAAGCTAAAATAATTTATTGTAGAATTTATGACTTTTTGGTATAAAATCAAATGATCAAATAGAAAGCCTTCAAAACAGGCTAAGCCAAGTATTAAATGAGCTTAGAAATGAAAAGAAGTCATTAGAGCCAAGTAGGAGTTAATGTAAGCTAATATTTAATTTATTAATTTGTTGAATAAATAATTTTCCTGTAGAAAATAACTGATGAGCTTGCTTATTTGGATATTCTTCCTCAAAATTTATTTTACTTATGCTGATAGTGATGGTCCCTGGTCTTTGCTTGGATTTTCAGGCTACTCAGGAGAAATCGTGATGAACAACCTAACAGGCTCATCTCTTTTTTATTGGCTTTTTCAAGCATATAAAGGCAATATTCTCACAGATAAATTACCTATAATTCTATGACTTCAAGGAGGACCAGGCTGTTCTGGGGAAACTGGCATGCTTTTTGAAAACATCGGCGCATTTAATATAGACAATTCCGCTAACCCATTTATAAACCCTTACACCTGGGCCACTGATTTTCACGTGATTGCTGTCGATTATCCCTTTGGAGCTGGATTTTCATTCGCAAACGCTGCTTATGATATGAAAAATACCACGATCCAAGCCTCCGCTTACCTTTACAACTTTTTAGTAAAATTAAGCAATAAATACCCAACCTGGCTTAACCGAGATCTCTATATATTTGGGAGCAGCTATGCTGGGCATTGGGTCCCTGGAATTGCTTATACAATTTTAATGAATAATCTTTCCCCAAATTCCCCTACAAAATTCCAATTAAAAGGAATCGGTATTGGAGACCCTTGAATTGAAGCTTTGACACAAACCCAGTACTACTCAGACTATGCTTATCAACACAGTCTTATAGACAATGAAGAAATAAACATAATAGAGCAGCTGCAAGCACAAATTGTCAATGAATTAAACAGTGGGAATTTATTGCAAGCCAATTCTGATAGGGAAAGCATTTTGTCTGATATTTCAAGCTATGCAGGAGGGATTGACCCATTAAATGTAAGGTACTTTGGGAATCATTATAATTTGGGAAATATTAGTAATTGGCTTAATTCAGCCTCTACAAAAACACTGCTGCATGCACCTGCGAATATTATATGAAGTGACTGTAATGGGACTGCCGGGGCTGGGTTTATTGAAGATAAAATGACTTCAATGGCGAGCTATTTTCCTTTTATTTTGGATAATATAAAAGTTGTTATATGGAGTGGACAAGACGATTTGAGGGTAAACTCGATGGGGACTCAAGCTTTGTTAGCAAAAATGAACTGAAGCTATATTAATAACTTTTTGGCTGCTAATAAGATTGTGTGGGCTGTTAATGGACAAGTAGCAGGGTATGTGACTACTTATAATTCCTTAACGTTCATATCTATGCTAAAAGCTGGCCATTTAGCTTCTCACGATCAACCACTCAACGCAAAAGATATGGCATATAGATTTATCAATAATGCAGGATGGCAATAATTTATTAATTAAAAAAGTTACTTACTTCCAACCTTCATTATTAATAAATCTATAAACTAAATCCTGCGCACATTGAGGCTGATCATGAGGCATCAAATGCCCAGCTCTCAGCACTAGCACAAAGCTTAAATTATTATAAGCCCTCACATACCCAGCAATTTTTCCATTGACACTTCATGTTTGCCTGTGGGCGTTCACAAATTGATGCGTATATTGCCAGTTAAGCTGAGAAAGGAAATCTTGAGTCCCAAGGGAGTTCACAATATAATCGTCTTGGGAATTCCATACAATTACTTTAATATTTTGGACTATATATGATAAATAAGGCTTCATAGAAGTCATCATGTCTTGTCCCCAGGAATAGCCTATTTCTGGGTTGCAGCTCTGCCAAAAAATATCTAAAGGTGCATTTAGCATCAATTTTGTGGAGTTTAAATTCATCCAATTAGGAAGCTGGCCTAGGTCATAGCTGTCATAATAATATCTTATATTATAAATATCAGCGCCCCCTGCATAATTAGAAATCGCTCCGAGTAAATTCATTTGGTCGTTATTTGCGGTCACCAGCTCCCCAGCATTTAAATCACTAATAATTTGTGCTTGCATTTGCTGGATAATCCCCATTTCTTCTAAGTCTAATAAGCCTGTGCTGAAGCCATATTCGTCATAATGCTGAGTTTGTGTGCCGCCATCCATAAAAGGGTCGCCAATTCCGATACCTTTTAAGGAAAACACAAATTGGGCGTTTGGAGAAAGGTTGTTCATGAGGATTGTATAAGCAATTCCAGGGACCCAATGCCCAGCGTAGCTGTCACCAAAAATATAGAGGTCTCGGTTGAACCAGGTTGGGTATTTGTTATTTAGCTTTATGAGAAGGTTGTAGAGGTAGGCTGAGGCTTGGATTGTAGAGTTTTTCATATCATAAACAGCGTTCGCGAAGGAAAAGCCACTTCCGTAGGGGTAGTCGACCATAATAACGTGAAATTCGTTAGTCCAAGAATAAGGATTAGGGGTAGGCTGTGTTTGATTGTTTATGTTGAAAGGTCCGACATTTTCAAAAAGCAGACCAGTTGAGCCTGAGCAGCCTTGACCTCCTTGTAGTCATAGTATGATTGGAGCTTTGTCTGTTAAAATATTGCCTTTGGTTGCTTGGAAAAGTCAATAAAAAAGAGAGGATCCTGTTACATAATTCATATATATTTTACTATAAATTTAATTTTTATTGAAATTTTAATTAAATATTGCATATTGAGGGAAAATTGGATAACCACTTCTCCTGCATACCCAGTGTAGCCTAAAATTGACCATGGGCCATCTGTATCGCCAAGGAGATCTAAGCACAAGCAAGCTTCTAGTAAAAGCATGCCCAAGAGAAGTTTTGCTGCCATTATTAATAAAATAGCTTAATGCCCTAATATCCTTATATTGAAAAATTATTTCTACTGAATTTATTAAAAAAACATTTTTAAACCCTTAAGGTTATAAAGTGAATTTAAAAGCTAATTAAACCCTTGATTATTAATAAACCGAATGACCAAATCTTTAGCATTCTGCGGCTGATCATGAGAAAATAGATGCCCTGCCTTCAGGGTCAATACAAAGCTTAAGTTATTATAAGAAATAGCGTAGCCTGCCACTTCTTTATTTACTTTCCATATATGTTTCCTCGCACTTGTAAAGCCTTTAATATTCTGCCAGTTCAGCTTGGCAAGGAGCGCCTGAGTTCCAATATTTGTTACATCAAAATCGTCTTGGCCGTTTCATATAAGAACTCTTATGTTGTCTAAAATATAAGGCAAATAATTTGCCATTGAACTCATAATGTCAACGGTCCATGCATTCCCAATAGTTCCATTGCAGCTTACCCAAGTGACATTTAAAGGCGCATGAAGCATACTTTTAGTAGAAGCCAAATTCATCCAGGCTGGCACTTGGCCCATGTTATAGTTATCATAAAAATACCGAACATTGAAAGGGTCAGCGTTTCCAGAATATTTAGGATAAGGGAAATTTTTATTAATTAATTTTTTCCTATTTTTTACGAAAAAAAATGGAGATGTTTTTAAATATTTAGCAAAAAGTTCATATTCAAGATATAGATCTGCGTTATTAGCTTTATTATAATCTGATGCGTTGAGCGCTACAATGATTTCTTGCTGGTAGCTTTCTATTATTCCTTTTTCTTCTAAATCAATTAATCCAGACGAATAAGCGTATTCTGCATAATATTGGGTTTGCGTATAAGCTTCAATCCAAGGATCACCTATTGCAATACCTTTTAGACTGAAAACTTTTTGAGCGTTAGGCGATTTATTGTTCATTAAGATTGTATAGGCAATTCCAGGGATAAAATGCCCAGAATAGCTTTCTCCAAAAATATATATATAATTTTAATAGAAAATAATCATTTATTTTTTTCTAATTTAATTCTTATTTTTATAGAAAAATTGTATGTAATAGCAAATTCTATATGATAATCAGGGGATAAGGGATACATCACGATTAAACCAAGTTGGGTACTTTATGCTTAGCTTGACCAAAAAGTTATATAGATATGCAACTGATGCCATAGTCGTGTTTTTCATGTCACTAGGAGAATTTGCAATAGAATATCCAGCTCCAATAGGAAAATCTACCATAATCACATGATAATTACTGATTCACGTATAAGGGTTTATAGCAGGCTGGGTGTTATTGTTTATACCAAATGGCCCAATATTTTCAAAAACCATTCCAGTTGAACCTGAGCAGCCTTGGCCACCTTGCAGCCATAAAATTATTGGTAGTTTATCTGACTCTCCCCAATAACCCCAATAATAACAAAATCGCAAATAGCAAATTTTATATGAGTAGATATAAGTTAAACCATTAAACTGGCCATAATCCATGAAGCACGCTAGCCTTTGCCTCGTCTCGGCTACAAAATAGTCTCCTCCTCGCCCCACGAGACAAAGAGGAAAAGGAAGGCTGCTATCTTGAATTTCTAACCTGAACCACCTATCCAAGGTATCAGCTCGCTAGGAAAGAGCCACCGCCTGTAGAGTGCCCCGATAGCCCTGGCAAGGGAAAACCATATGGCAGGCAAAATCTGTCTCCCATCTAGCAGGGCAGGAAAAACTTTGGGAGAAACAAAACTTCCCTCTTCGGCAAGGCATCCCCAAACCTGAAGGCCCACTTCAAAAGGGACACAGGCATTGCTTTCAGCTTCATCAGGATGGGTCCTATCTGCTCCATAGGTAAATGTGTCTCGGAGTCAAATTTCTGTCAACATCACCATTTTTATTTTTCATGAGTAGATAGTAATTTATTTATTATATGGGGCAAATGCCTTAAAATTGAGTATTTGATTTTTGGACATTTTCCCCTAAATAAATAATTTCAAGAAACTCATATAAAATTTACTCATTTTAAAACCTCTAAAATAAGCAAAATTTCGTTATATTAGCCGGGGAGTGAGGTAATGTTCCCTTGAGTGGCTTGGAAAAGCCAATAAAACAGTGAAGAACCTGTTAAATTATTAATAACTATCTCTCCAGCATATCCAGTAAATCCAAGCAGAGATCATGTGCCATCAGTATCTCCTAAATTTTCATAACCAAAACAGAGCTGAATTAAAGCTGTAACTAAAATGAATAGTTTTCCCATTATAAAATCAACAAAATAGATTAAGCACATATATGATAAAATTTTAAAATACCTAGGCTAAGCCAGTCCTTATGACTTATAATGATTATTATACATGAATGACCGTTTGCCTTGATAATTTTAATAGAATTTTTCCAATTTAGTGCTCTATAGAGCTATAGAATTAATTATTTTAAATTATTGCCACCCTTCGTTATTGATAAACCGATACACCATATCTTTTGCAATATGGGGCTGATCATGTGACATTAAATGTCCAGCTTTCAAAACCAGCACAAAGCTTAAATTATTATAATTAGTCACATATCCTGCTACTTCTCCATTTACTTTTCATATTATTTTATAAGCATTGAAAAACTCTTGAATATATGGCCAATTGAGTTTCGCAAGCAAAGCTTGTGTTCCCATTGAATTAACTAATAGGTCATCTTGACCATTATAAATCAGCACTTTTACATTGTCAAGAATTAATGGAAAATAACTAGCCATAGATGTCATAGTATCTTCAGTTCAAGCATTTCCCAAAGCTCCATTACAGTCCTGCCATACAATATCCATCGGCGCATGCAGCATATTTTTTGTTGAAGCTAAATTCATCCATTCAGGGATTTTTCCTAAATCATAACAATTATTATAGCATCTTAAATTCATAACATTTACGTTTCCAGCATAATTTACAATATTTCCTAGAATATTGTCATGAAGGGTACTAGCTTGGTCGTAGTTTTCTGAGGTTAATTGGGCTACTAGCTCATTTTCGAGGGTTTGAATGATTTTTAATTCTTCTTGATCTATCAGACCTGACTGATAAGCATAGTCGGAATAGTATTGGTCTTGGGTGTATGCTTCTATTCAAGGGTCTCCTATACCAATTCCTTTTAATTGGAATGCTGCCTGGGGACTTGGTGAGCGATTATTCATTAAAATTGTATAAGCTATCCCAGGAATCCAGTGCCCAGCATAGCTGTCTCCAAAAATATATAGATCTCTATTAAACCAAGTCGGGTATTTTTTGCTTAGCTTGACCAAGAAGTTATATAAATAAGCAGAAGCTTGGATTGTCGTGTTTTTCATATCATAAGCAGCATTTGCAAAGGAAAACCCAGCACCTAAGGGATAGTCAACTGAAATTACGTGAAAACTGCTAATTCAAGTGTCAGGGTTTATAATAGGCTGGGTATTGCTATTAATCAAAAAAGGACCTACTTTCTCATTTAGCATTCCACTTTCTCCAGAACACCCTGGGCCTCCTTGCAGTCATAAAATAATTGGCAATTTGTCTGTAAAAATGTTTCCGTTTGCTGATTGAAATAGCCAATAAAATAGTGATGAGCCTGTAAGATTATTTATGACAATTTCTCCAGCATAGCCTGTAAAGCCTAATATCGATCATGAGGCATCAGTATCGCTGAGATTTGCTGAAGATAGGCAACCTTGAATAAAAATCAACAATAAAATTTTCATTTTTACTAGGCTTAATAAAGAAATATGTCTATTTAATTTCTGTTGAAAATACTTTAATAATTCAGGATTTAATTTTTTTGGTAATTATTTTAAAATATCATAGAAAAATTTGGTTTTACATCAAACTAACAAATTATTATAAATGGCACAAAGAATAATTCTATATGACGGAGTCTGCAATTTATGCAATTCTTTTGTGGATTTTGCGCAAAATCGAAGTCCCAGGAATTTTTTTACTTTTATTCCTTATCAAGAATCCCAAGACCTGCTATTCCGTTTAAAATTATTGCTTCAGCTCCTCACATAGTAGAGTCTATTTTTTCATTTAAAATCTTAGGCTAAAAAATGCCATATTAATTTTGCCTGGCCAGGACTGAAATTAATATATAAAAAGTATTATATTACAATACCCACAAATACCTAGAGACATGAGTTCAATGGCTTATATAGAAAATGATACTATTTACCTTTATTCAGACTCCACACTAAAGGTCTGTTCTTATCTGAGCTATCCAGCTTATTTTCTTTCATGGTCCAGAGTTCTCCCAAAATGCATCAGAGACCCTGCCTATCGGTTTGTCGGGCGAAATCGCTATAAATGGTTTGGAACCTGCCAATGCTCAAAATCCGATTAATTTCTAATACGAAATCAATAATTCAGCTGGTTTTAGAATATTTCTATTATAAAAATATTTTATTAAAAATTAATAGAGATCTTGTCTCTTACTCCCCCCCCCTTTAAATTGAAACAAAATATAGGTAAAATTCCTACTTTTTTGGGAAATTCCCCCCTTTAAATTGAAACAAAATTTTATTATAATAGAAAATTTTATAGGTAAAAATCATTATTTTATATGTAAATACGTTAATACTCTATTTAATATGCTTCAAACATATAAGATTTAGAAATTAAACTCTATTTTGTCCAATTGTTATGGGGAGAGTTAGAAGAATACCATTTCAGCAAGTTTACACTTTGAGATTGAGAAATTTATGAATTAATTTTTCATGAAATTATAAAATTTTATCTCTGAAAAAATTTTTATATATAAATTTTTTTATAAAAAAATTTTCTTAACCCCCTTTAAATTGAAACAAAATTTTTTGTTTCAATTTAAAAGGGGGGGGGGGAGGGAGTTAAAGAATTTTTGAGTCGTTGTTCTGAGCTGGATTATTTAAACTTTTGCTGCGAACTGAGCTTCTTGATTCAGCATGCGAGTTCCTTGACTCTATGCCTCTTGGGGAATTATTTTGGTTTTTTGAGTCAATAGATCCAGCTGGTGACATCCCATAAAATTTAGCAATATTTTTCTTATACATGCTATCTAATGGACTTTTCGTAGATTTGCCTGGCTTTCCTATATCTTTTCTGGATAAATTAAATTGATAAGTAGCTGCTGATTCATTAAGCTTGGAAATATCTAGCTTAGGGGAAGTTTTCGTATTATTGGCTTTGGCTGCTGCATATTCAAACTCAGGGTCTATCGTTTTTTTATCATTTTCTCCATCCTCAGACCTTTGTGATGGCTGAGAAACCCCATAGAATTTTTCATTATTTTTTTGAAAATTTTGAGCTTCTGCGTCAATTTCAGTAAATTTTGTTTTGCCTCTATTGATCGTTCCTGGATTTGCCGCATTCATAAAAATATTCTTTTTAAGGCCCAAAAGACTATTACTTTTATATAAAAATATTAGTTATTAATTTATTTAAAAACGGTATAGTCCCTCCTTTTATATTTGGAGGATTTGTAAAGAATTTTTCTGCATTTTTCGAAAATCCTAAATTTAGGTCATCTTCAGCATAAAATTTCTGCGCATTTGCTTTAAAATCTGAGTCCTGTGACAATCTTGTAGGAGGTAGCGAGCTTTGCCTAGAAACCTGCCCATCTCTCCCAGGGGTTTCTGAGTATCCCCAGAATTTAGAATGATCCAAATTATGCTTTATCGGCTGGTTATTTTGTACTTGTCCATCCTCAGTTGCCCATTTATAGGTAGGATTCAGCGGATGCGTATTTCTCATTGTGGTAATTCCTTTTTTCAGAGACCCAGCTTGTGCTCCCTCAATATCATTGGTATTTGTAGTATTCCTATATTCATTTCTGTCTTTTTTCCCTATCATACCTACCCCAACAGTCCCTGGGGTGGCTCCTGCAATATCTTGAGTATTTAAATGTCTCTGATGAGGGCTTGCACTTTTATTTATTAACACCCTAGGCTTGCTTCCTTCTACCTCTCCTATTGTGACTAATTTTCCTTCATAGTCTCTAACTGAATACTGAGGCATCAAAGGGTTTGTGTTTCTGCCGTATTCAATGACTTCTCCTTTGTTAATATCTTTTGGGTCCATAAAATTTGGTTTTCTTATATTTTTTTCTGGTTTTGGCCTTGCGCCGTCAATATCAGTGACATTCATGGTGTTCCTGATTTTCCATTTAAAACGAGTTTCTTGCTTTGTCCCATCTATATCAGTGGCACCTATAGAATCTCTTATAAACCTAGGTGGGGTGATTGGTTTTGTTTCGTAGCTTGGAAGATTGTAGACTGGCATCAAAGGGTTACTGCCTATCCTATTTGTCACAAATTCAGCCTTATTAGGGTATGCTTTATAGATATCTCTGGTATTGAGATTAAAATTTGGCTTGTCTAAAGCTTGATGAAGCTTAGAAGGCTGAGCTTTTTCAATGTCGTTGACATTATAAGAATGGTCTGGCTTATTGATATAGCGTGAGCACACTATTGTCTCCCCTATTAGCTTTACAAATTTTATAACAAATTTTCCAATTCAATAGCGTGCTAATGCTATATATTGGTAGCCTTTAAGATTTGGCCTAGCTCCTTCAATATCATCTGTAATTAGAGAAGTCATGCTATTGTTGCCTCAGTGTTTTTTCTTACTAGGTGCATCATCTGGGGTAATAGTAGAAAAAAAATATTTATTTTTTTTATAAATTAAATAAAATTTTAATGAAAAAAAATAGTAGAAAGATACATTAAGTCCTCTAATTATCGCTTACTTCTGGCAGGAAAAGGCTGATAACTGCCTGTTGAAAACATATTTTTTAAAGTTATTAGTCAAATCTAGTTGCATCTCTTTCGTATTTTTGTAGGATCCTCAGCTCTTCATTGGAATATTCTCTGTCTTTGAGAGGGCATGCACCGTTGCCTTGACGATAATTTTCTGTATGACAAATAACACACACTTTATGATCTTGGCACCTGATTTCTGCATACGCCATTTGCTTTCTTGGGGTTTTGCAGATTTGGCAGATAAGTACAAGTTAAATTAGGCAGTGCCTAGTAGCACTCCCAGTGTGGGACTTAGCCTGAAACTAGTTAAGTCACGGAACATCCTGCCAATTAAATGGCGCACCATATGGACATGACTTACAAAGCAAAACCTAGCTGGCCCGACTTCGCGTCTTACTTGGTGCATTTCTTGCCTTTGCCTGACTAAGCTCCTGCATGTGCTCCATCTAAAAGTCGCCTCCCTCAGGTGTACTGACTCCTCCCCTTCAGTGAGTGAACAAAACCATTAAATAAATCGCTATTTTTTGCCCAAAAACCCACCCTCCGTGAGTGAACAAAAATTGTTTTAATACAAAAAATTTTTATTGAAAAAAAATTAGATATATAAATGATAATTAGTATAATGAAATCTAGAGCTAATTCTGTTTAATTTTTAAACAAATTCTTTTTTAAAACATAAATTTTATAAATTAAATTAATATTTGCTTTCCAATTTTTGCGAATTAGGATTTTTTTTAATTTCGAAAAAAAAATTTTTTATAAAATTTATATATAATTAAAAAAAAAAATTAACCCCCCTCCGTGAGTAAACAAAAATTTTTGTTCACTCACGGAGGGGGGAGTGAGTAAAAAACCTTGATCCTCTTCATTGCTTGGTACAGATCCTCTCGCCCTATTAAACCACTGTGCTCTGTGGAGAAGTTTTCAGGAAAAACCAAACCCTATAATAAAAATTCCATGAGGAAGAGAAAATTAGCAAAATTTCTCTCGAACTCATTTTATATATGCAGATTCGGCAGACAGTAATTGTGGGCTGATTAGCCACTTTATTCGGCCGATCTCATATGTGGACTTTGGTGCTTTGCCTTACTTTTGTTATGGTTGCTATATCTGCTTCACTCATTTCTACATTACAGAAACACTTAATTTTATCAACTCCAGTATTTTTTTGAAAAATTATATGGTCTCTTAAGCAAGGCACACAGTGTCGGTTCCCACAAGCTGGTGTTAAAAATTCGTTGTCTGTATGATTGCAGCCTGATTTTTTTTCTCCACCTCCTGTTATAATATTTATCCTTTCTTCTAGTTTAAATAAAGCTTCACTTTGAAGTTCTTCAAATTCAATAGAAATTTTTTCTAAAGAAGCTTTTAGCTCTAAAGTGATATAAATGGTGCTTTACTAAATAAAGATAAATTTAATATAAAAAATAAAATTCATTATAAAACAGTATATTTGGGATCTGGCTTAGCGAGTACATTTCTCTCACAATGTCTCAGACTTTGTTCAAATGGCTTAAGTCTTTTGGAGTTGTTTGGGTTGATATGTTAACTTTTACGCTTTGTTTAAAAATATCATCAGTTTGGACTGACTGGTCTCTTTTTTCTATTTTTGAGGTATTTGAGGATAAAATGACTGGTCTTGGAGGCTTGTAATTATTTTTTATTTTTTCGAATTGAATTTTTGGAAGGTGCACAAAAGGACTTCTGAAGTTAAAATTTTCATCTCTTGGGGAGCTGTCAAGCTGAGCTGCGTCTTTGTGATATAAAACGCCTCATTGGACAGCTTTACTATTATAAAACAAATAAGAAACTGGGGCTGGCATCATGGATTTATTTAAAACAAATTCATGATTGGTCATAGCCATTATATAGATTCCTATATTCACTGCTTCAGAAAACTTGTGTAGAAATGGCATCACCTCATTGATAGATAAATTGGTTCTCCTATTGAAAACGTCTGTTTCTGGGCATAAATAAGCAAAAATACATTTAATAGCCATGCTTAAGCTTTTTGCTGAGGTTTGTCTGTTTTCAGTCATGTAAACATTGAGGGTATCATATCCGTCAAATCTATCATTTGATGAAAGAAAAGATATGCATTTTTATAGTAAATTATTTATTTTTTTATTAAAAACTTATTAAAAGGAAAATGTAGAGAAAAAGTATATTAGATTTTCATAAATAAAAAATTCGTTTTCAAAGCCGGATTCTTTGGCTTTGTTTTGGATTTTTTGGTTGAGGAATTTTAGGTTTTTTCAAGAGGTTTTTGCTACTGGGCTGTTGTTAAGTCTGACTAAACTTTCAAGAGTGGAGATCCCAAAGGATAAATAAAAGGTTTGGTTTGGAGGCGATACTAAAGAGAGGTGTGAGAATTCTGAGTAATTGGGAGGCAGATTCTTTGTGGCAGCTTTTGGGAACTTTTTATAGTTTTCCATAGAAATTAAGGCTAATTTATTCTGCTGTAAAAATGCGAATATTAAATAAGTCAAATGCTATTAATAAACCTAGATAATTAGTTTTAGGAAATTTTTATGTTTGGCTCTTTCTATTTATTTCTGAGCAGATATTGGGGAAATGTAATAGAAGATTCAATTAGAATAAATTAATGAATATATTTTATTATGACTAATGAGTCCAATATGCATTATTGACAAAGAATTATTTCCCAATCTTTATAAGCTATTTTTTAGTTAATATTTATTTTCTTAAATACCTAATAAATACTTTAAATTGAGCATAATAAAATTATTAATTTTTATCTTAATAGATAATGCTGATATTTTTCGAAAATCGTTATAATGCTTTTTATTGAATCAGTGCAAGTATTTTAATTACGGCTGTATATGAATATTTCTTATAAAATTAATTTTTAAATAATTGTTTTTAGATTTAGCATATTTATAAAATATAGCCGTTTCCCGGCTATAGATCGGGCTTAGCTCGATCGTTGCCGGGAAACTCGGGGGGTTGTCCACGTCACCTTTAGGTGACGAGTCAACTCCCCGAGTTGGCAAATCACCATATAGCGGCTATTTGCCAACTCGGGGAGTTGACTCACCTCAAGGTGACGTGCACAACCCCCCGTTTTCCTGCAAAGATCGGGCTAAGTCCGATCTATAGCTGGGAACGGGCTATATATGATAGATTAAGCATAATAACTAACTATATTTTACTTTTGGCATAAGATTAAAAATTGCCATTTCTTATGATGTTTAATAATAATAATAATAATAATAATAATTATTTCTTCATGAAATTGAAAAAGCTTTAATTGCTTCGGAATAAAAAAAACCCACTAGATTTCTTAAAAACCCTATAAATGGCTTGCATGTTTTCTTCCAGAGAATATCGATAGCAACTAACGCAGGAAATTCACTAATTGAAACTTCATTTCTACCATTGGAGAAAATTTTAGCAATAAATATGTTAGGAAAGATGGGATTTTCTGCTTGAAATTTCTTTTCCCTTTATATTTAAATAACTCTCTCTCTGAAAACAATAAAATTAATTGCTAATTAATCGTTCTTATCCTTTTTATCATAATTATCCACTTTTTATAAATTTCCCAATCCAATCTCTATTTATCTCTCCAAGTATATCCCGTTTTAGGCGTATAAATGGAAGCGAGCCTTGAAGCAGCAGCGACTAGAGCTATCGAAGCCTGCCAAACCGAGCTTTTAGACTTAATCAACAACCCTCAGCGCCGATGGGAAAGTCTCGACACCAAAAAAGGCATTGTTCGTTCTCGTCTCGAAACAGGGGACGGAATCAACATTGTCAGGTCTTCAGGAACCATCAATCGTCCAGCCCAACAAGTAGTAGACGCTCTCTGGGACTATTCAAGAAAGCGTGAATGGGACAAACAATGCATGGCCAGCACCTTGGTCCAAGATTTTCCATCAGGCGTCAGAGTCCTTTACAATGCTTTCAAGTCCCCTTGGCCTGTCGCTGACAGAGACTTCTGCTTTGCTATGAAAATCATCAGAATGGGAAACCACACCTTGATCCCAGCCATCAACGTAGTGACACCTCAGTGCCCAGCAAAGGACGGGTTTGAAAGAGGAGAAATGAGGGCTTCTGGGTTTTATGTGGAAAGCTTGAGTGACGCTAACACTTGCAGACTTACCTATGTCGTAAACGTTGATCCAAAAGGATTGATTCCGAATATGGTCACTAATAAAGTCCAAGAAGAGCAGTCTATGAACGTCCACAAGCTTAGGAAATTCTTGGGAGACAGAGAAAAGCGTAGATAAGATATTAAAAAATATTTAAAAGAACTGAAACTTCTTAATATAAATAATTAAAGAAAGATTTATAAAAATAAGCGTAATTTATATGATAATATTTTAATTTTTTTCTAACTCCCCCCCTCCATGAGTGAACAAAACCATTAGAAAAATCGCTATTTTTTTGCCCAAAAACCCACCCTCCGTGAGTGAACAAAAATTTTTTTAATACAAAAAATTTTATTGAAAAAAATTTAGATATATAAACGATAATTAGTATAATGAAATCTAGAGCTAATTCTGTTAAATTTTAAACGAATTGCTTTTTAAAACATAAATTTTATAAATTAAATTAATATTTGCTTTCCAATTTTTGCGAATTAGGATTTTTTTTAAATTTCGAAAAAAAAATATTTTTATAAAATTTATATATATATTAAAAAAAAAAAATTAACCCCCCTCCGTGAGTAAACAAAATTTTTTTGTTCACTCACGGAGGGGGGGACTAAGAATTATGCAAGACCTTATAATTTTTCGCCTGGGTTTTAGCAGACATGATATATATCCCCTACAGAAGTCGTCATGCCTTAGATTTTATTAATAAAAATGAACATCAAAGCAGCAGGTAGTGCAGGAGCAGGCCTTTCCCTTTTAGGTGCTGTTGGTGTCTTTCTTTACAACTCTCTCTTCACTGTAGACCCAGGTCACCGTGCCATTATGTACAACCGTATCTCAGGCATAAACTCCAATAAAATTTACATTGAAGGCACCCATTTCAAGATTGTTTTTTTTGACCGTCCGATAATCTATGATGTTCGTACCCATCCACGCATCATCAGTTCTTTGACTGGAACCAAAGATCTTCAGATGGCTAATGTCTCGCTCAGAGTTTTATCAAGGCCAAATGTTGAAGCTTTGCCTGCTGTCTATAGAACTCTTGGGAAAGATTATGACGAAAGAGTCCTTCCAAGTATTGTCAATGAAATCTTATGCCTAATTAAAGACACTAATTACTTATTTTTTTTTATAAATAATCCAAAAAATATGTCAGTTAAAATGGTATAAAATCTGTTGTGGCTCAGTTCAATGCGACTCAATTGCTAACTCAAAGAGAACAAGTATCAAGAATGATCAGACAAAACCTTATAAGCCGTGCTAATGACTTCAATATCATTGTCGATGATGTATCAATTACACATTTAACCTTCGGGAAAGAATTCACTGAAGCTATTGAAGCTAAACAAGTAGCTGCTCAACAGGCAGAAATGGCGAAATATGTGGTCTTACAGGCTGAGCAAGAAAAATTGGGCATGATCATCAAGGCTGAAGGAGAAGCAAAAAGCGCACAGCTTATTGGGTCTGCAATTGTGGCAAATCCTGCTTATATTAGGCTTAAGAAGATTGAGACTGCTCAAGAGATCGCAAATATACTTTCACAGTCAAGAAATAGAGTGCTGTTAAGCTCAGACTGCCTTTTAATGAATCTTAAAGATCTTTTGGACTAAATTAGTTGCCCGAATTAGACTTTTAATTATAGAGTTTTATCATATAGTTGTTTTTATATAACTCGATCACGATAAATCTTAGTCTTCCAATCTTCCTGATGAAAAAAGGGCTGATTTGGCTAATATATGCTGGCAGTCCAACTCCTCAAATGGCTGAAATTCTGTAGAAAGTGGTTCCGTCACTTCGAGAGTTGGCTTGACAAACTCCTCTTTTTCTTATCGGAAAGATAGAATCGATAGCCAAAATTTTGCTCGGGCTATAATTAAATAAGAGCTCAAAATTATGAGAAAATTTGGTCTTATAGTTTTTGATGATGACTTTTTGTAAAATTTTTGAGCTCTTCCTTCTTTTCTAACAATTATTTTGAATTTATAGCTTGCCAATATTTTTGCAATTTCTTTTGAAATTTTCAAAAAATATGGATAATTGCATATACAACTGAATTATAACCTAAAACTCTATTAACTTACTCTCCTGTCCTCGATCAAACGATTCCATTGCAATTTCCTAAAGCTTGAAAATTAACCCTCATCCTTGATTGAACAACTCCATATAGTCAAGCAGAAACTATCGCACCTCAAACCAAACTATCTATCTTTATAAAAATAAATCTTATATATTTCCTGCATCATCACTTCTACAAAATTCTTATTCATTTTCCAGTATATTTTCATATATTGCATACCCTATCTCTTATAGCAGCGCATAAAATATTTTTATATAAGAAATTCTATAGGTTAAATGAACAATAGTAATCGGTTCGATCAAGGATAGGGCGGTTTAGCCTTTTACTACGAATTTTCTAATTTCGTCAACATTCATTGACTGCTCTTCTTGCACCTTATTGACAGCAAAATTTGGTATTGATCCTCTAGGATCAACATTTACAACATACGTCAATGTGCAAGAATTATCATCTAAAGGATGTATTAAGAACCCTGAGCTCTTCATTTCACCTCTCACGTGTGAGCTTTTCTCAGGACACAAAGGAGTCACTACATTTGCGCTTGACATCAAAATGTCAGAGCCTAAAATGACTTTTCTTGAAGCATAAACAAAGTCTCTATCAGTGACAGGCCATGGAGACTTAAAGCTGTTGTACATAATCCTGATTCCTGAAGGAAATTCTTGGATAAGTCTTACTTCTGTGCAGCCTTTATCCCATTCCCTCTTTCTTGTATAATCTCATAGGGCATCGCACACTATTTGTGCAGATCTTGGGATTGTGCCTGAAGATTTGACGATATTGATGCCAGACTCGGTGTAAATTTTATGACGAGTGAGGTTGTTTTTGGCTTTTAGGGTTTCCCATTGTCTTTGAGGGTTGTTTATTAAGTCTAAAAGTTCGGCTTCTGCTCTCTCAAGACCTGTTGTAGAAATGGCTTCAATTTCTGATTCCATTTATTATGTGACATCATAGGAAATGGGATTTTTATGGGTTTTTTAAGCTACTACTTTGAGAATGCTCCTTCTGTTTTGATTCTCTTTAAATCGCTTATTATTCTGAGAAAAATATATTTAAATAAGATTTTTTTAATTAGGTATCCAGAAATTTTAAATAGGAAAAGTAAGGAAATATTTATTTTTTATTGAAAATTTCCCAATTTTTTTTTTACTCCTCTGTTTGATTGAATCTTAATCTTCATCTTAAATTATTTATAACGTTTTACTTCCACTACGGGGTAGCCTTTTCCAGAGCTGCCACCATATTTGTCGACGTCTCGGGCCATGGGCCTCTGGATCGATCCACTTCGATTCATCAAGGCACGGGCAAATACAGCGTTCCCGACTTCGACGGGCTTCGCTGCTGCCAAACTTTATTCGAAATCAGCTCCTGCGTGTGCTCTGCCTAAGGGTCACCTTCCTCAGGTGCGCTAAGGGGTAAAGACCTGAGCCTCTTGAGTGCACTCTGGAGCAGTTCGTTATCCCCAGAGTTAAATTGCTGTTGTTGTGCAGAAGTTCTAGAGGTAAAAACCATCCCCATAAATAAAATTGCACTAGGAAGAGAAAATTAACGGAGCTAATTTGCTCGAACCGAATGCCGCTTTATTTATCCTGTTTGATTGAATCACATTTCTTCGCTCTAGCTAAGATGAAGCTTAAAAAAATTATAATTAAAATAGTATATATATTTAATTTTCTTACTCCCCCCCTTTAAATTGGAACTAAAAATTTTGTTCCAATTTAAAGGGGGGTTAATGTTTTTTTTTAAAAAAAACATATCAATATAAAATTTTTTAGAAAAAAATATAAAAATTTAAAAAAAAAAAAATTTCAAAAACTTATCGAGTTAGATTAATAAATTTGTTTAATAAAATGCTATTTACTATTTATCCTTTAAAACAAAGCAAGAGATATAACTAAATTTTCATTATTAGTTAATACGCGACTATTAATTGGCATCAAAATTATTTACACAAAAATTCTTATTTTTATTGATAAAAAAAAATTAAAAAAAAAAAATTTTTAGAAAATTTATCATCAAAGTGCTAATTTTGGTTAAATAAGATTCATTTATACTCTATTCTTTAAAATAAAGCAAGAAATAAGTAAATTTTAAATTTTATAAAGAATTCCTATTGAATTTATATCAAAGCTATCCGAATAAAAAATATCATTTTTATCAAAAAAAATAATGAAAAATTTTTAAAAAAACAATTAATTTTTTTTTAAAAATTTAGCAATTAAGGATAATAAATTTATTTAAATAAGATGCTCTTTATACTTTTTTCTTTAAACAAGAGCAAGATATAACTAAATTTTTAATTTTAGTTAAGTAGAAACATTTAACTTATATCAAAACTTTTTAGATAAAAATTATATATAATTTTTTATTATAAAAATTAAATTTTGTTCCAATTTAAAGGGGGGTTAATTTACCAAAACAGAGGAAATTTTACCTATATTTTGTTCCAATTTAAACGGGGGGGGAGTTAAATAAAAATTATAAATATAAAAAATTTGGGGAAAAAATTATAATTAAATTGTTTTAATAGGATAGAAAGAATTAATAATTTTCCAATATTTCAAGAAATATTTCTTAGGCTTCTTATTCATTAAGAATTTTCCAAATCTTCTGATTATCTTTCTTTTGAAAATTAATTAGCTAATTTCCTTACGTCCTTTGCCATCCATATTTTGATGGCTTCAGTAAATTATCTTTCCACACAATGGATTCATAATAAAAAATGAAGAGAGTTTCCGTTGTAGAGAGAGCACTGGAGGATATTGGCTGGGGCAAATATCACAACTTTTTATTCCTCAACTGCTGTTGCGGCTGGCTTACAGCTCTTATGTGGCAATCTGCTGTTGCAAATGTTATGGCTGAATATCCAGACCTAAGTCTGTTTGAGTATACAATGCTGGGGATTTCTGTAAGTGCTGGGTCAGCAGCTGGGGCTGTGTTGTTTTCTAGTTTAAGTGATAGGTATGGCCGAGGCTATATCTTTAAAAAAATCATATATTTTTTTCTATAAATAATCTAAAAATAAATTTCTTATTAATTTGTCTATTTTTAAGGAAAAAAGCATAATTCTTACTTCAATTAGTGCTCTCGCGCTGATTTTATCCGCGAACTACGTGATGGTTTTTATTTCCGTCTTTTTTGTTGGGCTGGGTACTGGAGGTGACGTTGTGTGCCCACCTCCTGTAATGATAGAAAGTACCCCACCTAGCAGAAGGGGCATAATAGCTGTCATGAATATAGGATATTGTATAGGACCTTTACTTGCCCAAATTTCATCACTTTTGCTGTCATTATACTGGGACACCTCAATAATGGCCAGATGGAGAATTTTAGCAATTTGTATATTTGTACTTACAGTTGGTTTTATGATAATGCGACAATATATATACGAAAGTCCAATTTTCCTATTCGGAAATGACAATGAAGAATTTCTAAAAGTCATAGGAAGGATCGCAAAAGAAAACGAAAGATTTAGCTTCGAAACAAGAGCGCCTTTGCTTGTAAATAAACAGGCAACTTCTGATGAAAATCGTGTGAAAACGCATTTACCGTTTATCGAAATTTTCAGAGGCAGAAACTTAAAGCCTACGATATTGTTGACCTCGTCAATTAGTCTTTTTAATTTTTCTTTTAATGGGATCATGCTATTTTTGCCAGCGTTTTTACAAGTCGACAGCATGGGGTTAAGATATACCATAATTGGTATACAGCAGTTTGCAGGAATTATTGGACTTTTCGTGGCAATGAAGACTGTTGATAGCAAAATAGGTAGAAGATATACGATGGGCGGAGGCTATTTAATAGGAGGAATCTTACTGCTTATGTTTTTGTTTTCAACTGAACTGAATTTTGTATGATATATTTAGATTATTATTTTGGCAGTGGCGTATTATTTTTTCCAAATGATGGGAGTTGCTGGGAAAAACCTGATTGGGGCTGAAAGCTTTGGGCCTCAGATTAGAGGGAAAGCCCTTGGATTTATTTATTTGGTAGCAAGAATTGCTGCTGTGCTCTCCCCTGTCGTTTCAGGGTTTTTGCTGGACATTTCTGATGGTAATAAATTGTTACCACTGGCTTCATTTGCTATTGGACTAATGCTAAGTGGAGTTACTGCATCGTTTCTTGATGAAACGAGGCCGAATTTAGTGAAGAAATAATATCATTAAATTTAACTTAATAATTATTAAAAATAAATTTTTTGTTAAAATATATTGAATTTTAAAAATATATAAAAGCATTAAAATTTCTAATATCTAGTTATTTATCCCCAAGCCTGGCTCTCAGCTTATGAATAAAGACCCCACGCTTCCCTGCAATCTTATTTGAAAGTGCTAGTGGAATGCTTCCTTTCAAGTCAACACTGACATAATAAGTTAATCTTGAAACATTATCTTCAACTTTTTCTAAGTGAAAGCCTGTCAAATCAACATCTGCTCGCACCATGCCACGCTTTTCTGGGATACTTTCAACAGGTACACTTGTCGACGAAATCAGTAAGTCTTCCCCTATAAAGGATCTTTTTTGCACAAAAATGAAATCTCTATTGCTAATTGGCCAGGGGCACTTAAAAATTTGATAAAGAACTCTATAGTCTTGGTCAAAAGTTTCCACAAGAGAGCTTTCAAGGCAGATATCGTCCCATTCAGTCTTATGCTGGTAATCCCAGAGCTCATCGTGAACTCTTTGGAATGATTGATTTATCAATCCAGTAGCTTTAATTAACTGCAAGCCTGCATCTGTTAAAATTCCTTTGGTTTCAACTCCTTTGTCTACTCCAAGGTCTCGCCATTCTCGACTTGCAGTCATGAGATCTAGAACCCTTGGCTGCAGAATTTTCACAGCTTGGTTGCAAGCTCTTAATAAAGCTGATCCACCTTCCATTAAATATAAGCAGACTAACTTCCCGATCCAAAGCTAAAAATTTTTTTTAAGCTAATATTTAAAAGAAAAATTTTTATTTAATTGATAATTGTATGTTTTAAAAATTCATATGCAAACGTCTTTTGGATAATTCTGGCTTTATTATCTTATTTAATAGATTTTATTATATTAATTATTAATTATATATTAAAATATATAATGAAAATGCATTATTTCGATAGGGTTTAGTAATAATTTTTAATTAAGTGCGCAGATCTCGTCAATATAAAGTAAATGGAGCGCGTGAATATTAAAACGACTATCATATATATAATAGGGAACTTAATATCAGAAGTTGGGACTATTTTGTATTATTCTTAAGTCATAACGCTGAGCACCCTACTTATGGAGGTTCACACTATGCTCTTGGTTATCTATTCAGCCAAAACCATTGCAGTGCAATCTATAGCGCAATCTTCATATTATGTAAAGAAAAAAATTATAATTTTTTCATTTTATAGGTTAGTTATAAGTAGCTCTTGATAACTTATTTCAGAACTTCATAATTATAAAATCTAAGATCTATGCATAAAAGCTATTCTGGATGGGAAATTAAGCCTCAATCCTCCCTTTAAATTGAAACAAAACAATCTATTCCAATTTAAGTGGGCTAAATTTAAAAAAAAAAATATAAATTGAGCACAAACATCGAATTTTAATTTATGCTTATGAAGAATTAAATATAATAAATTTATCGATTCAGCGTAAAAAACTAATTCTGCTTGAGTTTTTTCAATTAAATTAGGTCAAAAATAATTTAATAAAAATTTGTATTTTCATCATTGATTTTTTTTAAATAAATATATATCGAGCACAATGCTTTCTTTTTTATAAAGAATTAAATAACTTAATCGATTAGTGTAAAAACTGTATAAATAAATTCTGCTTGCATTTGATCTATTAAAAATAAAAAATTAATTCCCTCCATGAGCGAACAAAGCTTTTTTGTTCGCTCACGGAGGGTGGGAGCTAAATAAAATCCTTTAAAATCCAAACTTTTTTTAAAATATTTTTTTAAAGTCATGCCCAATTAATATCAAACCAAAAAAGCGTTGACATTAAGTGAGAAAAAGAGAAAGAACAGTCAAAAGTCTTCTCAATCTTTCAAAAGCACTTTATAACCAGATTCACTTCCTTAATCTGCAAAAATTCGCGATAAGCTTTCTATCCATACTACTAATCTATATAAATATCCAAAATCTTTATTTCATCTTTTTATAAATAATCCTAATAAATTTATCTTAACGCTTAACCCAAGGATAAGACTTTCTTGCCTTATAATGACTCGTCTTCTTCTGCTCCACATTTCTAATATCTTGCTTCAGCAGTCCAAACTTCCTCAAAAATGGTTTTAACGCAGGATATTGTTTTCCAACAGCATGTGCAATTGCCAACATTGCTGCATCACTTTTTCCCATAATTCCGCCACCTCTAACAAATACCTTTGCATCAAGTTCACACATAGTGTCAGTCACTTTAAAAGGTCTTACAAGCCTATCTCTGCTGACCATATCATAAAAGTACTCAGTCATATTCATTCCATTTACAGTAATTCTGCCAGTCCCTGGAACTACATAGCAATGTGCAAAAGCTTTTTTCCTTTTCCCGGTAGCATAAGATCTGCCTTTACTATCTGCTATAGGATCATTATCCCTTATATCTTCTTTAGGCCTAAAAACTTCAGCGATCATATATTCCCATGGCAGCACTGCTTTAACTCTTGCAGGCCTATATTTTTCACCGCCTACTTGATTCAGTCCTACAAATAATTCTCCCCAATAGGTAATTTGATTGTCCAAAAAGTGGTCAAAAAATCCATCAGTCTTTACCATAGCGTGGATTCTTGCAGCCACTTTATTTTTCGGTTTCGGCTCGAAATTTATTTTTGCCATTGATTCATGTCCTAGATCTGACCATTCTACTGCTAACTTTGGATCTAATCTTGGGTTCATTTCTCCATAATAAGCTTGTGGGATAACAGAGTCTTCAATTTTATCTGTGAATCCCCAGTCAAAATCTTCTTGGGTGTGGTCTTTGTGCATATATCGAGGGACAAAGTGCTCGTTGCCTTCATAATTGTCTCTCTGCAGCTGGTATTCCAGGTCTGGGTGATTCAAGGAAATTTTTTCTTCTGATGTCTGCATAAGCTGCTTAAAAGAAGGGACTCTTGGCTTGACTTCGCTTTCTTGAAGCTTATAGTCTTTGGCTTGGATCCTCCCTTTGACGTCAAATAGCTTAAATGGGGATTTTTGGCCATCAAATTTTTCTCTGAAGACATCAATGTGGGTTCTAGAATATGTGTGGCGCTGGAGCTTTAGCTTGAGCTGGCGGAACTCTGCTCTGAGCCATTGAGGGATTAAATGGGTTCCTGGGTGGTAGATGATAGCAGTGTGTTCCCAATCACTATCATCTGGACTATTTGCGATCGGTTCAGGTGTCATACCAGTTTCTTCGAAGATCTTTTCGTTTCTTAATAGTTGTTTTCTTCTGTTGGCAGCTTCTTTTTTATCCTCAATATCAGACCAATCTTCTGAGAAATACCCAATAGGCTCTGGGTGCTGTTTGCTTTCTGGAAAATCTTCATATTCGATTCCATGATATGGAGACTTTCCTTTGTTTGATTCCTTAAATATCTTGGTGTGGATTCTGCCTTTTTCTGAATTGATATCTGCTTTTGGAATAGTTGAGTACAGACTTTTTAAATCATTGAACCCTAATTTGCTGAGGGCTGACCTAACATTGGCGCCTCCAGTGTCTTGCTGATGCTCTTTTGCGTCTATTAAATCATTAGTCCAGCCGAAAGATTTCATGCTGTCTTCTATATCTTTTCTATGCACTTCAGGGCTTGAAATCCGATCAATTTGAGATACATTATGGAAATTCCATTCTTTTTCTTTAATTCCTAAGTATGTTTTAACGCTGTTCTTGAATTTGTCATTTTTAAGTGTGTTCCACATACGCCTGTTGCCTTGAACTAAGAGCTGTTTGGCATTTCTAAAGTTTTGAAACTTCGTCATGTCGTTATGAGGGTAAATTACAGTGTTCTTTGTAAAGTTTCGATATTCGCTGAAATTTCGTGACAAACCCATATGCTTATGTCTAAGCATTGCCATTTATTAAAGCTTAAAAATTATTTATCATGCAATATACGATAGCCAGGCCAATCTTTTGGTGCATTATAATCGTATTCTTTCATAAATTCAAGTATCACTTCAGTAGGGCCATCCTTGCCATTTTTATGAGCCAGAGCTTTTGCGAACCCAATTTGAGCTTCCAGCCAATTTCCTTTTAAGTAGTCTTCAAGGGCTAACGAAAATAAATGCTGGAAATTCTTGGAAATTGTTTTTTTCATATTCCTAAGATCTTTATCGTCCAAAAATAGCCTATGCGCCCTATAGTTTTTATTCTTTATAGCGTCATTAAGCTTTTCCCTCTTTAGATATGCATACGCTCTTGCCTGTTTTAAGTCAGCAAACTCATCGTCAGCCTCAGTAGACAATTCAAGTCCTGCTAAGTCTAGGTCTACTGTATAAAGCTCAATTGGGACTTTACTGCCTTTGACTGTCACTTTGTCAATTTTTCTGAAATTTTTCCTGGCTTGGTGAGAACAAATTTTATATAAAGCGTCGCTTATTATGCTGGATTTTATGAATAAGAGTTATTAATTATTAATATATGGGAAATATTTTATTTAAATAAATAAAGATAAAATATGGACACCAAATTGCCTGGTTGCAGCTTCTAATCTGGATGCCATATTCACATTTGGCGACAAATAAGAAGCATCAATTTTAAACTCACTGCCAATGGCTCCTTCAATTGCCCATCCTTGATGAAGACCGAATCCCATTTTTATAGAGAATCCTGGCAGTTTAGCAATTAATTCAGGATGATTTTGATATGCAAGGGTTTTTGGACTTTTATTTATGGCTGCAATTGTTTTTAAATATTTTTTTTTAAAATTAATTTAACTATTCTGCCCAATCGCCACCCCTGCTTTTTATAAAATTTGACTTTTTTTTATCAGATACCTAAATTTTGTTATAATAAATGAGAATAAGCAATTACAGATAAATCAGCCAAATCATTGGTATGGTGATTGTCAATCAGCCTCACTTCCCCAGTCAAAAAATCTTCTAAGACCGACTCTCTTCCAAATTTTCAAACAATTAAAAATGCTTCACCTATATTTTTATTGGCTGACCCAGAATAATAATTCACTGTGGAATGTACTATTTTGGCAATTTCATTGACAAAAATCATGACATCTTTCTGTAAGACCTCAGTTACGTCAGAAAACTGACGAATGTCACAAAAGCCAAAGATGCAGAACCGTTTTTTACCTGGAATTAATGGATCGACCTCTCCACCACTTCTATTTACATTTTTTGCGATAACTTCGGAGCCTGCTTCTCCGAAGCCTAAAGCAAGTAAAGCGCCGATTTTAACAAGAGTTTCTTCTAAAACTTTGGTTTCCAGAGGAGCATTTTTGTCTTTTTTTTGTTTAAGCAAGGCACTTTGAGTTACTCTCTATGAATTTTGGAAATTTTTATTAATAAATAATATATATACATAAAATGGCGGACGGCGACCGACCCACCCTCTCAGTGGTGGTTTACCCATGTATATCCGGGCATAGTTTTTGGAGCCAGGAGTTAGCCCAACAATGTCTGGGACCTCGAAGCGAGAGGCCTAAGCGCAAAAGCCGCTGCTTTTGTGACCAGACCCATGGGCAGTTACTCGTGACTTCTTTTTGCCAGCAGCGCTCAGCCCAGTGAGTGCCCGAAATGAGGCAGGGCGACTTACCTGCCTAAGCTGCTTTGTGCCTCGCCCCGAATGGCGAAAGCTGTTGAGTTCTTTCTCGGGATGACCGGAAAAGAGGGGAAGGCGAGTTAGACAACTAAACGGGGGTCTCTCCAGTTGAAAAGGTGCCCTTCAATGGGCAGATCTGGCGGACGACGCGGCAGTGTTGGCGTAAACTTAGGCGACGATCCAAGTTGGAAATGGAGGCGGTCAGCAAAGCCGGTATGAGACGGCCCTTGACAATGCCTCTACCGAGAAACCGGGGGTTTCGGCCCGGGCTTGGTAAACGCTCTGCCACCATACGGAAACCGTAGAATGCTTCCTCGGACGTAATGGGGACCTTAAATACCTAGCGTTAATCTAATCTAATCTAATTAATAAATAATAAATTAATATTAAAATAATAGTTAAAAAAAATTCATTTATAATAAAAAAAAATAATGAGAAAGGTTAGTGCCATATTTCTGGTGACTTCTTCGATTTCCTGCTCTTGTGCAGCTTTTACAGGGTTTTCCGAAATTTTCGAAACCTTATAAATCATTGACTCTAGTGGCCCTATAATCAAATCCTGCGTATCTTTAGAAAATAAAAGCGAAAACAGCGTCAGCACAAAACAAACAAATAAAGTGAGCCCAATATCTAAAGCTGACTGTTTTTTCGTTTTTCATCTCAAATCAAACATAGAAGCTGCATTATAGGTGGTATTTAAATAGTCTTTTGTGGTCGCATAGACCCCTAGTTCATCTGGTCTTAAATCACTTGGATTTGTGTCTGAGCTTCAGTCATAGTACAGATCGACATGCACATAAATAATTGGTGTGTCAATATCTTTATGCTCTTTTATGAAATAATCTCCAGCTCTATTAAGAGCTGCTTGGTCTGGAATTTCTTCCAACATGGCATTTAGTCCATAACTATAGGAAACATTTGTATCATAATATAGTGTGCTATCAAATAATGGTAAAAATATCACCATTACTAATGATATTGAAATTACTCTTTTTGTAGTCAAATCTGACAGTTTTTTACCCACCCTGCTCTCTTTTGGGACATCAAGTGCCTTGTCTTTTAGGGTGGATTTTAGGGCTAATGAAGATTTTCTTGTGCTTCTTCGCTTAGTAGAGTTATTAAAATGGATATAGAGCTAGGTACTCGATTGCCTACGAGTCGACCTGATGAAGGTGGAGATGGACTAGGAATTCTTTCTATGATACATAGACTAAAGATTGAGGAGAGATACTCTACTTTTGGTAAGCAGTTTTAGTCTTTTATAGGGATTAGGCAGGCTAAGAAGGAGATTCGGGGATATTAAGCAATATATTAGCCCTTTCTGACAGTATACAGTCCTTGCGCGCTGGCCAAAAATCAAGACCTGACAGATAAGTCTCCTCGAAGACTGTTTGATGCTATCATTTTTGACCGTTAAGACTTATGCTTAATGTCACCAACCCATGAAGCTGAAATAATTCTATGACCCCTATAATTTTAGTCTAATCTAATCTCGCTTAGAGCTGGTAGCACCATCTGACATAGAAAAATTCTGAGACATAGAATTTAGCTCTGATTCTTCGTTTATGCCAAGATCTGATTCAATTATACCTATATTATAAGAATGCTTCCCAATTATTATTAATTTTAAATATTTATTTTTAAAGCTTAATTCTGTATACTTCTACTTCTCCAATTGGATCTTCATTTCCTCGATACGCAACTCTAGCCCTTTTTAGCAGAATTTCATCCTTTTTTAACAGTTTTTCTTTAGCTGCCTGCGACAATTTATACAGCTTTGTAATTCTAACCAGCCTAATAACCCTAACAAGCCTCACAATTCTTGCTGCTCTTGTACCAGCCCTTGAAGCTCTACTTGCTTTAGTAAAATGACTTGATTTGCTTGACGCTTTATTTGTTGAATCTTGCCCTGTCATTTCGTCCCATGCCCAGCCAATATCAGTGATTAAAGATATGGTCGAAATAACGTCAAGCCAAAAGAAAAAAGACAGTCAATACCCTTCTTTTACAAAAGACGCTACAATAATTTCTATTGAAAAAAAACCCATACAAATGATAGTCAAAATGTAAAAAACCTCGTCTGTATCTTTTGATGTGAGAATGGTCCGAAAACTGTCGCCGAATAATGCATAGATTGTTAAAACCATCATAAAAACAGTTGTACACCAATGATCTAAAATAAATAAAGCTTTCTTTTTTAGGGCTATAACTTTAGATTGTTGCTCAGGCGGCTTATCTTCTTCTGGATTTATTGTAGGATTAATTGTAGGCTGCACTCCATCTTCATATGAATTCAGGGCTTTAAAATCGAGACTTGTACGTCGAGTTGAATCTATTGATACCATTTTTGCATATATTTTTAAGGTTTTAAAGGTTTTCACTCAGAATTAGAGAAAAGCTGGGCGTGATAATAAAAAGAGATATTAAGATCTTTTAATAGATAAAAATGCAACTGCCAATGGAAGATTTTTTAAATAAAATATTCTCATCAAAAAAGTAAAGCATTTTTTAATTATTTAATAAAATAATGATAATTTAGAAGGGAATGGGATAGGAATTTAGAATAATAAATTTATTATGGCTAAAAAAATAAATCATAAGGGTCGAATTAAATGTTCGAAAAATAAAATTTATTTGGAATCAGACTTGCGTTTTGTATAAAATTTGAATAATCATACAGATTCAAATTTTTATTCATTTTTGGTAATTTTTGTAATGCAAAAATTATTATGCCTTTTTTAATATGTTCACTCCCCTGCTAATGAATAAAGGTTTTTTGTGGTCATAAATCATTTTTGACTAAATTTTAATTAATTTTAATCCCCCCCTTTAAATTGGAACAAAATATAGGTAAAATTTCCCTTTAAATTGGGACATTTTTTTAATAGGAAAATTTTAAAGGTGCTAATTTATATATAAAATTATTTTTGACCTAAATTAATAGTGCAAATAAAATATTATCCAAACAATTTTCACGCTGTATCGGTTAATATTTTAGATTAATTCTTCATAAAATAAATTAAAATTAATTAGTATAGTCTCAATTTTTAAAATAACTCCTTTTTAAATTTGAAAGGATTTTTTGTTCCAATTTAAAAGGGGGAGTTAGATTTAAAATTTTTTAATGGCAGTCTTAAAGAAGATCACAATTTTTCTAATTATTAAATTTATATATTATATTTAGAACTGTCTAAAATAGAGCATAATTTTGATATAAATTTTATAAAAAATAACTATTTTATTTGTAATTAATTGCCAAAAATTAATTTTTTTAAAATGCATTTATTTGCTGGGGAGTCAGTAATATCATAATAAAATTTCAAAATGGAACTAAATTTATGCAGAATTTGTCAACAGTTTTATGGAAGCCAGGAAGGACTCTGCTCAAAATGCTATCAAGTAGAAAAACTAAAACAGTCAGCTAGTGAAACTTTGCCGTCACTGGTGGATTCATTGTCAGTGATCTCTGAAGAATCCAAAAATTCGCATTCACAGTCAAATCCTGAAATCTGTTATTATTGCCACAAAAGGACTGGACCTTTATCATTCAAATGCCGATGCGATAACTTTTTCTGCTCAAGGCACCGGCTTCCTGAAGAGCATTTATGTTCTTTTGACCATAAGACTCAAGGTATCAGAAAGCTCTCTGAAGAAAATCCACTCATAAAAGCTGAAAAATTTACTCGACTATAAAGATCTATTAAATAAGGCTTGAAGCTATATAAATATTTATATGTAAATAAGCTTTTTTGCTAATCTGGAGAATATTTTCTTAAATTGAAAATCTAATAGCCTTGTTGCTATGGATTTTAAAGCTAATAAGGAAATATGTGATAAGAAAATATTTAAGGTCAAAAATTAGTTGCATTATAAGTATAAATAATTTGTTAGCTTTAAATAAAATTAATTATTATTTGTCCAGCATTTTTAAAAATGATTTTTTATAATTAATTTGCTTTAGCATTAATATTGATCCCAGAATATTTAACAGTGGCAAGAGGCTAAAAGTTAATATTTAATAAATAATTTTAGATAAATATAGCCTATAGCATTGATGTTCTCCACTATATTTGCTATTAATGCAGTTCTCAATGTCAGTATATTTTCCAAAGTCTAATTTTCACGATAATTGACCCTCTTCTTTATATTAATATGGAAGCTCCCTATGTTATTGTGGTTCAAGGTCCACGAAACTCAGGGAAAACCACCGTCATAAAATCGCTTGTAAGGCACTACACACGTCAAAAACTCACCGATGTTCGCGGTCCAATAACTCTCAGAGCAAATCGGTCATTACGTTTATGTTTCTATGAATGCCCTACCGAGATGTCAGCTATGATTGACCTTGCCAAAATCGCTGACCTTGCCTTGATTGTTATTGACGCCAGCGTTGGCTTTGAGCTCGAAACATTCGAGTTTATCTCGATTTTACAAAACCATGGGATGCCCTGTGTAATGGGGATTCTCACACATCTTGACCAGTTTAAAGAAGCCAGCACGCTCCGAAAAATAAAAAAAGTCATGAAAAAGCGGTTCTGGGCTGAAGTTTATAATGGAGCCAAGCTGTTTTATTTGTCAGGGCTGAAAAATGACCTGTATACGGACAGAGAAATACACAATTTCACTAGGTTTATTTCGGTGCTGAAATGGAAAGAAATGACTTGGAGACAGGAACATTCGTATATTTTGGCTGATAGATTTGAAATGAAGAGGGATACAGGGGAATCGGCGTTTTATGGGTATATAAGAGGATGCCCTAGTAATGAAAATAATTTTTTTATATTGTGAGTCAATAAATCCTATAGAAAAACAGAAAAAAGTTATATATAAAAATAGGGCATTGCAAGTAAAGAGTAAAATAATGCTAACCCCCTCCCTCTTCATGAGTGAACAAAACAGATTTGTTCGATCATAGAAAATGTTAGTTCTATTTTTTAAAAAAATCCCACTTCTAAATAATTTTGAAAATATAAATTTATTTGTAAAATATTGTTTTAAAGTGCAGGCTTTTTAAATTCAACAGAATTAGTAAGAGATTTCATTATAATAATTATCACTTATATATCAAAATATTTTTTCATAAAAAATTTCTAATTTAAAATGATTCTTTGCTCGACAGAGGGGAGAGTAAGGTGCTATTAATAAAATAGAGTTTATCCCTGGATATGGAGAATTCGAAATGACCAATATTTCAGAAATCCAAGACCCTGTGCCTCAAATAGAAGCTCAAAAAAAGAAAAAAACACATAGAACCCTTAAACAAAAAGAGAGAGCTTTATATGCTCCATCTTCCAATATTGGAATGCTTAAATATGACAATAACACTGGCTATATAAACTTGCCAGACCAATATGTCATGTTTACAAAGCATCAAGGCGAAAATATTGAAGAATTCACCCCAGGGCAAAAAATGGTCAGAGAGCTGCAAGAAGCCGACAGGACTCTTGAAGACAAGCTAGCCCAAAGAGAAGATTTAGCACTCGTTGACGATATACAAGTAAGAGCAGAATCAAGCGAAAGCGAAATTGAAGAAGAAAACCACTTAAAAGAGCTTGCAGAAGAAATTAAGACAAAATTGCCCAAAAAAGAAGTCCAGGAGTATACAATTAATGATACAGTCGTCACTGATTTGACCACTTTGGTGTATGGAAAGAAAAGTCAGGGTGCTAAAAAAGTGATGGAAAAGGACACCCTAGATAGCTTTAAAGAAAGATATAAGCCAAGATTTGACAGCTTGGATAACTATATTAAAGCGGTTAAAAATAGATTTATGGCTGGGAGTGATTATAAAGAAGAAATAGAAAAAGAAGCTGAGGATGATATGAGAAAAAAAAAATTATTTTTATTTAAAATTTTTAAAACAATATTTTTTTTATTTTATAAATATTCTGATATGGATGGCGAAGATATTGAAAAAGAAATCGAAGACGCCCCAAAAAGTGAAAAAAATGGTATTCCGAAAGGGACTTATGTGAAAATTGAAATCAAAGGTATGAGTGAAGAACTTTTCGAAAAAATTGTGCCTGAATGCCCAATTTTACTATGTGGGCTAAAACCTCTTGAAAATTCTTTAGGCTACGTCCGAGCCAGATTTAAAAAGCACCGCTGGGCTAAAAAAATTTTGAAAAATAATGACCCATTAGTAATATCAATGGGCTGGAGAAGATTTCAGACTATACCTATATTTTGTACAGAAGATTCTGGCACAGACAGGCTTAGAATGGTAAAATACACTCCAAAATTCGGGTTTTGCATGATGGTTTTTTATGGACCTTTATCCGCAGTAAATACCCCTATCATGGCAATCCAAGATCTAGAAGGCAAAGACTTCAGGATTTCAGGCTCAGGGATTATTTTAGAGTTAAACAGTCAATTTTCAATCATGAAAAAGCTTAAATTGATAGGCGAGCCTTATAAAGTGTTTAAAAATACCGCCTTTGTCAAAGGAATGTTTAATTCACAGCTAGAAGTCACCCGATTTGAAGGCGCAAAAATAAAAACTGTCTCAGGGATCAGAGGAATGATTAAAAAATCTTCAAGAGATGGAATTGGGCCTCCAGGGACATATAGAGCTACTTTTGAAGACAAAATTTTGATGAGCGATATCATATTTTTAAGGACTTATTATGAAATAAAGCCTGAAAAGTTTTATAATCCAATTATTATACTATAAAATAATACTTAAGGTATTTTTTCATATCAAAATTTTATTATAAAATTCATTAAAAATAAATATAATTACGCAAAACAAAGACTACTCAAAACCACAAGCCAAATTAGAACAGAAAGAGGCATTGTGGCACCAGATAATGAAGATTCCCATTATAACCCTGTCATAAGAGAAAAAAAAGAATTCACTCCTTTCAAGGTTCCTAAGAAACTAGAAGAAGAGCTTCCATTTAAATCCAAACAAAAATTAACACAGCCAAAACAAAGAGATGAAACAGACGTCAAAATTATGCTGAATGACAGAGAAAAGAAAATCGCATTTTTCTTGCAAAGGCTTGGAACAGTCAAAAATATGAGGGTCAAGCATGAAAAAGAGAAAAAAGAAAAATATGATGAAGAAATTGCCAAAAAACAGAAAAAAGAAGACGACGCGAAGAGAGAAGCACTTTCCAGGAAGATTAAAGAAAGGAAAATGAAGAAAAATTTTCATAAATAAATAGAAATTTATATGGAATAAATCAATTTTTAAATAAATAATTTTGCTTATAATTAAGCTTCATTAAAATTTGTTGCGACCTCACGCGCTCTTTCTCTTGCATAAGTCAGTTCACTTTCCCTTTCTTCTGCAGTCATAGTATTTACTTTAGTAATGATTAATAAAGGCAGGATTTTCCCACCCATAAATTCTATAGGGTGTGTAAATACTTTTAAGACCGTTTCAAGCTCTTCTTTTGGATTATTTCCAGCTGTACATGATACTAGTCTGTCCTTCATTATATTCAGCTAATACAATTAAACCCATTATACTATTCTCTATTTAATTTGGCTATAATATAATAATGTTTAAACAGAGAGCTGACATATATAGAATAATATTTTTTTCCCATTTAAAACAGGGTCAGGCCACCCAAACCCTATAGGGAAATTCCTCTGCATCCACCCTGTCAAAATTGCAGGTGTCGTTTGCCACCAAACAGGAAATTGGAACACAATGATATTTGCTGCTCGAATTTTGTCCATTTCGATCTCGATTTCTCTGTCATAAGTATGATCTTCAAGAGCCTTCAAAGAGGCTTTGTCAATACTAAAAGCATCTTCTGTAAATGTTGGATAGTCGTGTCTATCAAGGCAAGGCTTATACCCCATTTTGTATAAGTCACTTTCAATCACCTCCCATCCTGCATCGATAAATCCGAGTTTCAATGATTCTTTGACAGCATAGTTAAGACTTGTTTCGCTTGGATGAGCATAGACTATTAGAGCTTTCATATTTAATTATGGTGAAAATAAAACTAAAAATTTCTGTAATATTAATTAGAGACTTGTCGTATATTATGCTAAATTGATTGTTAAGTCTTCATTTTTTATTAATTAATGATTTTTCTCTACTATAAGATTGCCATGCTTATCTTTTTAATTATGATGATAAATTTCCGGCAACGCCTTTAGCAATATTATAAGCATCTGCTATGAATTGCTTTCTTTCAGCTTCTGTAAGAGTATTATTTGGAGATACAGCTATTATAGGAAGAATTTCAGCTCCCATATAAGCAAATGAGGAAAGCTGACTTCTTATTCTGATATCTATATCTGCTGCCGAATAATTCCCAGCTGTGCATGAAATTAAAATTTTTTTATTCCGGAGCACTGGGTCTGGGTAACTTCATGCCATTTTATTGGAGAATTTTCCTCGTGCGGCGTTTCCTTGATTAATTTTGGTGGGATTTTTTCCCTCGTGAGGAATTTGATAGAATTTTAACAGGTTATTTCCGAGCAATTATCTCATGAACAAATAGTTAGGAAACGTCACACCAGGAAAAATAACTGGCAACGAGTCTGGGTAGCCAAATCCATAGCCAAAAACTCTTTGAATCCATCCTATTAAAATTGCTGGACAATTAGACCACCATATAGGGAATTGGAAAACAATTACACTTGATTCAGTGATTTTCTGTCTTTCAATGTTAATGTCTTCTGCATGAGAATTGTCTTCAGAAGCTTTTATAGCAGCTTCATCTGGGCGAAATGTTTCTTTATCCCAGCTTGGGTAATCGTAGCGGTCCAGATGTGATTTAAAATTCATGCGATATAGGTCACTTTCTATTATTTCACAGCCACTGTCTGTAAAGCCAAGCTTTATAGACTCTTTTAAAGCGTAATTAAAGCTGCTTGTATCTGGATGGGCAAAGACTATTAAAACCTTCATTTATCAATTATAATTTATAGATATGCAAGATTAATTACTCAAATTATAGTGATTTATGAATTTGCTACTCAATTCTAATAAATTATTTAAAAAACCCCTGAAAATTGTTAATATAAAAAATAAACATATAAATTTTTTCAATTGAAAAGGTTAGTGATATATTTCTTCAAAAAACTAAAATCTCTTATATTATTTTTAAATATAAAATATACAATAATTGCTAGCATATGCCTAATAAATTTATTTATAAATATACTCTATAATTATTCCCAGTATTTCTTCTTAAATAGTATACTTTCATTCAAAACAAACTAATTTTCACACAAATTATAATAAAGAATTTAGCCTTTAAGTTTTCCAACGATATGAAGGATAACCACCACAGCAATATATGATAGAGATAGCAGCAGAACTGTACTAGGACCAATTTGTAAGCCAGGCGCATCTTCTGTGTACAATTTTAGTTCCCCAGCATTCCCGTCACCTCTTCCAGTCGATTTCGATTCTAATTATATTTTACTGGTATTTGCGCCTCTTTTTCTCATGGCTGCTTGGACAGCGCTTGCGGTTTGGCCACTTGAGCTTTCTGAATGAGTTCCTTTAGCCATGTTTCCACGTATATTGTTATAAATGTAATATTTCGTAAAAATTAATTTCACTTTTGATATTTTTAATGAAAAATTTAAATAATCATTGAAAAACCCTTATAGTCTGATTTATTAGCAGGCATTTTTGGTATTATTAAATAAGCGAACTAAAGGCTGTAAAATCCATAAGAAAATTAATTAATTTTAAAATAATAAAATATTTTTTACGAGACTAATGCTTAATATCTAGGCATCTTTAAATTCTGGGTCTCTTTTATTAATAAATGACTTCATCCCTTCTTCTCTATCATAAAACGCAAAAGTGGACTGAAACATCCTTCTCTCAAATTCTAATCCTTCTTGTAATGTACTTTCATATGCTTGATTTATACACTCTTTAGCCATCATTGCCATCGGCTGTGAGTTTGCAGCAATTTTTGCTGCGATTTTTATAGCAATATCAACTACGTCATGATCAGGCACAATTCTTGAGACTAAGCCACTCTGCCAGGCTTCTCTTGCAGAAATCAGTTCCCCAGTAAGCAGCATTTCCATAGCTTTTGCTTTTCCTACAGCTCTTGTTAATCTCTGTGTCCCTCCAGCTCCTGAAAAAGTCCCAAGCTTTATTTCAGGGTGCCCGAATTTTGAATTTTCCCCTGCAATTATTATGTCACACATCATAGCGATTTCGCAGCCTCCGCCTAGTGCAAAACCATTTACAGCGGCTATAAGAGGTTTTCTAGTCTTTGCAATTTCGTCTCATTCTGATGAAAAATTTGTTGAGAAATTTCCTTGAAAAGTTCTTGGTTCCATTTCTTTGACGTCAGCACCAGCTGCAAAAACCTTGTGAAGCCCTGTAAGTACGATTGCATTGGTTTCTGGGTTTCTGTCGCATTTTTTAAGCTGGGTTACGATTTCGTGGATTAGTCTGTCACATAGAGCATTTGATGCTTTTGGACGATTCATAGTGATTATAGATACTTTTTCTTCTTTTTTTACATCAATAAACTGGTATTTCGTATTGAAGTTTCTTCAAGCGCTCTTTGCTTTTATAAATCTTGAGAGAGAAAACATTTCTCTGAAAAATATGGAATAAAACTCTTCATTATAGAAAAATATTGCGGATATATTAACTTTATCTTATTTTTAATTATATTATTTTAGTAAAATATTGCTAATAAATATAATATAAGACATGATATCTGGGATGATGAAAAGAATTTCCAAAGAAATAAATGACGAAAAAAAATTTTCTAAGGAAGAAATCAGCTTCTGACAAAATGATGAAAATAATTATGCTCATTTAATAGGAGCTATTTCTGGAGTAAAAAATTCACCTTATGAGGATGGAATATTTTATTTAGAAATCTTAATTTCTGAAATGTATCCTTTCAAGCCACCAAACATTAAATTTATAACAAAAATTTATCATCCTTGAGTAAACGTTAATGGATGAATATGTTTAGACATGCTTAGAGATCAATGATCTCCTGCTTATACAATTCGAAAAGCTTTAGTTGAAATTCAAAATTTGATGACAAGCTCCGATATAAGAGATCCATTAAATACTGAGATTTTCCACCTATATAAAACAGATAGACCAAAATATGAAAGCACAACTAGAGAATGAACTAAGGCTTATGCAATGTAGCAATTAAAATAATAGCTAGATTGTTTCTTGTTCTTTAAAGTAATGTGATATATTGATAATATAGAAATATAAACCAACAAATAGAATTATGAAAAATAAGTTTGCAATAAAACTTTTAATTTTGAGCTATTATGCAAAATAAGCGCAGCTAGGGAATTAATTAAGGCTTATACAGAATAGCATCTTCAGTAGGTTTCATATAGAAAAGCTTAATTAATTAAAGATTGATTATGAAAGATCACGGTATTATAATAATTTTATTATTTTTTATATTTATATGCATATTTCAAGCCTTTAGCATCATTTTTAACTATTTTTAATTAAATTCATTAAAAATGGGCAAGAGCATATTAATGTTTTCTACCTTTATTGATTCATTCATTTATTACTCTTTCTAAGAACATTAATAGTAATGGAAAATGATTTGATCTTCAATAGATACTTAAGGAAGGCTATAAAAAAGAAGGGAATATCTACTTTATTTATTTTTAAAGTTGAATTATAGTTATTTAATTTTAAATTATAATAAAATACAATATCAATAGAATGGTATCTAAGATAAAAACTAAACTCAAATTAATAAAAAATGCGCTAAATGAAATCACAGAAATAGCTACAAGAAAAACTGATAATCGAGATTTTAATATTATTCCAGCATTAAAAGAAAGCATATATAAAATCCAGCGCCAACTTACAGAAAATTTAGAAAAGATTAAGGTGGAGATGAAATTTTGTTAAAAATATATCAAAGTACTATTAATGATTAAAAACAGTGATCAATTTTTTCTGAAAAAATAGTTTTTAGCGAAATCTGGAAATAGAGCAATTGATTTGATTGCTAAGTATTTGCTTCAGGAAGCTTTTGATATTATGGCAGCTGAATCTAAAAGTACAATTGAAAATATATACTTGCCATATCATAAAGAGATAGATAAAAATTGAAATTTGCCTTTAAGAAAAAGAAAATCTGTTAATGGCTATCCAGATTGCTTTGATAATAAGTATTTAAATACTATGAAATATATTAGAGATTGAGATGGAAATTTATATAGATGGGTGAGTTATAACACAGAAACAAAAGATTATAAGGTATCTTGATGGATCCGTGATAAGTTTCTGTCTTGTCTTGCTTTCTCAGCGAGGATCCCAAACGGATTTTTCTGGCTTAATAGCTTAAACAGTGATTCATGCCTCTGATATAAATCTTTATACAAAGAAAATCAATGCTCTGTTGATTTTGAATTTATTTCTTCTCAAAATTTCCCTATTGATGGTACTGGGACTTATTACAAAAATTTTGTATATAGTTTTGCAACTGATGAGTCAGAAACAACCCAATTTAATAAAAAATATAGCTTAAATAAGCATAAATGACACTCCTTATCTTCTCCTCCAAATAAAGACTGAAAAATAAAATATTCCTCTTCTTGTGTTCCATTTAAGAATTTATTTTATTTTGCAATAATAATCATGAAATATTATTGCAATATGACATTGATTTAGACTGTTACTCAGAAATTCAGCTTAAATTAAAGGCTGCACATTTAATAACGATAAATTCGAGAGTTTATGCTTTTAATTGTGATTTAATGAGCGAGTGCGAATTTGAAAATCAATATGCTTGGCATAAAATTAGAGAAAATTTAAATATTAATATTGGATGATCAATTTGGACTTACCATAAAAATTCAATTTTTTTTGCAACTCTTTGGCAATGGGAAATAGGGTACTATAAATTTAATAGTTATAAAAAATGCGTAAATTGTGAATTAATATAATTTTCATATAGCCATAATATCCAAATTAATTTGATGCTCTAAGTAAAAGGTGGATTATGGTATTTTGGAAATTCAGAGGTATGTGAAGATTTATTAATTAATTATAACTGGGATTAAATATACAAGGGAAAGTATTGAAGAGAATGAAAATGATAGTGAAGAAATGAAAAATAAAAAAGAAGACAGCGAATATGAAAGTGAAGGAGATTTATATGATGAAGAGGAAAGTATCCGGGGAAATGAAGATAAAGTGGAAGAAGGGGAAATTAAGGAAGAAATTGAGCAAAATGTTGATTATGATGAAATATATTGGGTTTAAAGTATCTAGAAGCTAATGCCGTGATATAATAACTTATTGGTTATTTAATTGGTTTCTTTATTTTATATCTTAAGAAGAAAATCAAAACTCAAATAATAAATTATAATGCTTCTTAGCTGCTAATTAATTATAATTTTTCTTATTGATATTACCTGCGTACATGTTTAAGCAATTAAACAGTTATAATCATTATTATGAATTCATATATGTATAAAACCGCTTTTATTTGTGTCTAGACAATAATTTTATAGATAAATTACAGCATTCTTATATGAATACTTATTTATGTGCTACAATATTATTCAAAATCAAACTGATCCTAATTATTTTTAAATCTCTTTCCAATATCTTTTTATATTATTTCAGAAAAATAGATTTAACCAAAGTATTAAGAAAGAAATTAGCGTGATCTTCACTATTATAGCATAATTTACTTCTGACTCTTAAATTAATCATAAAAGCTGGGATGTATGATGAAAGTCAAAATTAAATTCTTTCAATATTTAAGAAATTTTGGTCTTAAACTAAAATTTAATAAAATAAATATTTTCTAGCATGATGATGCCAGGGTCCTTATACAGGATTCATAAAGAGACTAAAACAATCGAAAATTCACATTTATATAGCATGTGGCCAATTGATGATAAAAATATGTATGATTTTATAGGAACTATAATAGGACCTCAAGGAACTTCTTATGAAGGTGGAATATTCTTTTTAAAAATTCAATTTTCAGATCGTTATCCTTTCGTTCCTCCAAATATTAGATTTTTAACTCCAATATTTAATCCATGTATAGATACTAATGGAAATATAACTCTAGAAATACTAAGAGATATGTGAACTCCTGCAATGACAGTGGAAAAACTTTTGCTGACAATAATGAGCACATTGAATAGTTTTGATATAGAATATTCACCTCCTAATGAAAGTATTTTGGAAATATATAAAAATAATCCAACACAATATGAGACGATGGCTAGAGAGTGGACAAAGAAATATGCAATAGATTAAGCCTCAAAAATTAATTTAAATTCATCACATCCGCCCAATAATGACTATAAATATAAATTTACAAGGGATTTAGCTTCAAATATAAATTTCTGATTAATTTTCCGGTTATGGAAAATCTCTAATATAAAAAGCAGACTTTTAAGAAAAATTAAAAAAATAACCAATTAATATCATATCTAAATTAACTTCTATTTATTATATCAAGCGCAGAAGCTTTTATAAGTTCATTGGCTCTTTTTTCAGTTCTTTTTTTAGTTTCTTCTTTGATTTCTGGAGCTTCAATAATCATATTTTGGATTTCACCTTCCTCTTCTTCTATTTCCATCTTATCGCTTTCTATTTCAATCACATCTTGTGCAGCATTACAAGGAATTAGCACTCTTTCCACTTCCTCAAGCATATTACATTCCACACATCTGTCTTTTCTAAGTGAATCTATAAATTTACCCCAAAATTCGTTTCTTTTTAAACAGTCAGCTTTCCCCACAATCCACAGCCCAAACTTCGCTCTTGTTATAGCCACATTCATTCTTCTATAATCAGCCAAAAATCCTACAGAGTCTCCTGATCTGACTGATGAAAACAGAATTAAATCTTTTTCTCTTCCTTGAAACCCATCCACAGTATTAATTTCTATATCTTTTCTCCACAACCCTTGATATTTTTTATAAAGAATTTCTCTTATAAGTTTTACCTGCCTTCTATAAGGCGTAACTATTCCAATATTTAGCCTTGACTGATGCCAATTTGAAAATTTCTCATATATTTGCACAATAAAGTCAGCTTCTGGTTTATTAAATAAGCTTGTTTCTTCTTGTGACTTAGACTCATTACTGGTTTTTAAATCAAAAAACATCACGTCAATATGAGGCATCCAATTAGGCCGCGGCCTTGTAAGCACTTCTGGGGCATTCTGAAGTCGAGATTCATAAAAAAATTCTGAAGAAAACCAACAAATTTCTGGGGTCATTCTGTATTGGATTTCGAGCATAATTACTTCTGTGCCGCCTTCCATAAGTCTTTCAAATAGAGATCTGTTATATAGAACTTTCGGAGAATGCTTATTAAAGGTAGTGCTAGGCAGCTGTCTTGGGTCTCCAACTAAAACTACATGTTTAGCTCCATACTGCAAGGGAATTAAAGTGCTTAATTCTACACTTTGGCAAGCCTCATCAATTAGCACACAAGTGAACTTGTTCTTAAGTCCTTGCATTTCTTTGCTCCCTGCAGTACTTAAAGTACAAAAAATGATGTCAGCTTTTTCTAATAAATCCATTTCATATTCTTTTTTTCTTTCTTTAAATTTTGCTTTAATACCTTTTTCTCTAAATAAATTATTTTGGACTTCTCGCCTTTTTTCTTCAAGCTGCACTAAAACTGATTTATCACCTTTTGTTTTCGCTTTAACTAATGCTGCGTCTACTTTATTTAATTCATTTTTCCATTGGTCTATATTTACTTGTGGAGCAGTTAGTCCTTGCTTTTTGAATTTTTCTGATAGTAAATATTCCACAGTAATTTTTTTTACTTCTTTAGGAGTTTCTCTGGTATCGTTAGGATTTTTTTGTCTGAGCTCTAAATGCTGAAGATTTACGTGGCCAAGCCTAACGAATAATAAATCGTGTCTTTTTTTGCCATCATCCCCAAATAGTCCTTGTTTTACAGTTCTGCAGGCAAGCTCATCAATTGCAGCATTACTAGGGGCGCAAACGAGAAGGCGAGGCCTTTCATTATTAGGAGCCCTTATGAGTAAGAATGATGACATTATGCCAAGTAAAGTATGAGTTTTTCCAGTCCCAGGAGGGCCTTGCAGAAGAGTGATTCCTGTATTCTGTGAGCACACTTTTTGTATTGCTTCACTTTGGGAGGAGTTGTAGCGATCCTCTATCATTTTTATATACCCATTTGTCAAATCTGGCGCAAATCATATCCCTTTCATGCTCGGGTTCATAATAAATTCCCCAATATCCAAAAATTCAGCTAATTTTATCATTTTGAACTCCCTCATTAAAGAGGTGAGCGATTCTGCATAAATTACGATAAAAATTTCAGGTCTTTCTAATTTTTGTGCAAAATCGTTTTTTACTTTTAGCAGCCAGCTGCAGCCTCTGTTTTCCCTTTCACATACTCCTAAGTAATACTCTGGCACTTTTTCTGAATTTCATTCAGAAAACCTCGGTGGTATGTCAACTTTTGTAGAGCAAGGAATTATGATTACTAAATCGTCTTGTTTGATTGATTTATAAAATGAGACATTTCCTGATTTCTCGTCTCCAGGGACAACAATTGCATATTCTTGTTGTAGGCTATGCAACCTTAGCTCTATAATATACTTATTTAATTGATTTTATAATAGCTTAATCTTCTCTAAAACCAATTTTTATTATAAGAATAAAGCCAGCCTCCCAATTATGTCTATGCAAATAGGTATAGATTGTGAAGACATATCATTCTGATTTAACGCACAAAAAATATCAGCCCTCAGCTCATCAAAAAACGCCGGCAAAAAAAATTCCCTGTAATATTTCCCATTTTTAAATCCAATTGGTATTGCTTTTCTCGCTAAAGGTGGAGGATCTGGATTCGTCAAGTCTAAACTCAGCACAAAATTATAAAATTCACTTATAACTAGCCGATTGTGATATCTAGCAGTTCTAGCCTGAGCTTCTTGTTCTTCTGGGGTCATATTTTGCGATTTTTGAAGGTATTTCATCGCATTGTTAAAATCCTTCTCTTTTTGGCTCAGTCTTGCATTTTCAGCATCTTCAGCTTCTTTTGCTTGCTCTTGGATTTTTCTTTCAGTTTCCTCCTTTACGAAATCATTCACCTTAAACGCAACCTTTTTATCCTGTTTAGAAATTTTACGTGGTTCTGGCGCATCTGTTTTTTCTCGCTTTTTAGGGATTTCTGGGAGAGTTTTTTGGCTTTCAAGCTGCTTATTTCACTGGAGCAATTTGTTGAGAGAAATGTCTTCGTCGTCTTTTTTGGCTTTTTGCAAAATATTAAAGTCAGGGAGAATTCGTTTAGCGGGCTCTGAAGCATGAGATTTTACGGTAAGGACTAATTCTCGAGATTTTTGAGGAGGTTTTGCATTTAGTCATGGTTTTTTTGAGTCTGAGTCGTAAGAGTCATCAAGAGAAATGCTTTCTTGGCCTTTGTATGTTTCTTTAAGTTTATCAGATATAATTTTATCTGAGCCCATAGCTTTTTTAACGATATCAGGCGCATTGTCTAGGTTGAGCACAGGGTCCTTTTTTAAATATGACTTTACCATATCAGGCCTTGGTTTTTTGCTCTTACTGAGATTTTCTGAGCTCCTTTTCATATTTTGCATTTCACCAAGATACTTATTTATGGGGTCTTAGAATATTAAAACTTATTTGATTATTTTTGTTTGAATCCTGGCCCAATCTTTACTGATAAATAAATTAACATTCAAATGGCAGATTTTATACTATTTTATATCAAAAAATATTTTTAAAAATTATTTTATTTTTTTTTTAAATTATACTAAAAATCATACAATTTTGGGGCTAATTATAACACAGCTGCTTTCTTTATCAATTTATTCTCTATTAGCACCGTTTTATCCATCAGAGGCAAGGCACAAAGGAATACATGGAGGTATGATTGGCCTAGTTTTTAGCTGTTACCCAATTGCAGCTTCAATTTCATCACCTTTAATAGGGAAATATTTAGGGTACTTAGGACGTAAAAGAATGCTTTTTGTGGGCTGCTGCTGCAATACATTGGCTATGATAGGCTTTGGCTGCATTCCATATATGAATAAGCACGGATTTTTAAGTATTAGCATATTATCTAGACTATTACAAGGTTTTGGTGCTGGATGTATAGGAACTTCTTCATTTGCTATTGTAGCTGCAAGGTACCCAGATAAGATGGAAACAATGATGGGCTTTATGCAAACTGCAAGCGCTGTAGGATTTATGTTAGGCCCTTTGTTTGGGTCTGTATTATATTCGATAGATGGTTTTAGTTTTTTATTTTTTACTTATGGATTGATATTTCTATTCTTTTTACCTTTTTTCTGTGTAATGATACAAAAGGATGAAAAATATTTCAAGCCTGACAATATAGTAATTTTAATTGATTTTAAAAAAAAATTAATATGATTTTTTTTTAAAACATTATAACGGATTTTAATATTTTTTAGCATAATATTAAAGCCATGGACTTTATAAAAGTATATCCTGCAGTTTTAGACTTGATTTTGGTAGTTTTAGCAGCAGCCTGTCTAAGCTTTCTAAACCCAACTCTTGCAGACCATTTAGAGACTTATAATATTCACATTGTTGTAGCTGGGATAATTTTTACTTTGCCGACTCTGAGCTACATTGTTGTAGTTATTGCAATTAAATATATTCATATTGAGAGAAAAGCTATTATGGCTTTAGGATTATTTACAATTGGACTTGCATGTATAGAAATCGGGCCTTGGAAATATTCAGGACTTCCGCATAATTTAGGGATTGTGATTGTAGCTTCAATTACTTTTGGGATTGGATACGCATCTTCCATTATTCCATCCCTTCCAGATATGATTGATAGTTCTCAGACCTTGCTATCTCAGTATGAGCATCAACAAGTCTCTGATTTTATTTTTTATTTAATAAGCTTTGTTGGAGTCGAATAGCACATTTTCGTATTTTTGGTAAAAAATATAAAAAGCTTACTCCCCCCCCCCCCTCCGTGAGCGAACAAAAAAATTTTGTTCGCTCACGGAGGGGGGTTAATTTTTTTTTTTTAAAAAAAAAATTTATATATAAATTTTATAAAAAATATTTTTTTCGAAATTTAAAAAAATCCTAATTTGCAAAATTGGGAAGCAAATATTAATTTAATTTGCAAAATTTATGTTTTAAAACGCAATTTGTTTAAAATTAAACAGAATTAGCTCTAGATTTCATTATACTAATTATCACTTATATATCAAAATTTTTTTCCATTAAAATTTTTTCTATTAAAAAATTTTTGTTCACTCACGGAGGGTGGGTGGGTTTTTGGTCAAAAAATGGCGATTTTTCTAATGGTTTTGTTCGCTCACGGAGGGGGGGGGGGGGGGGAGTTAGGAAATTCGTGAGTTTAATTTTAAAGGAAAAAGGCTATATCTGGGATCCTTAATTTTGGGTTCTTTGCTGGAGAAATGATAGGGCCGCCACTTGCAGGGGTTTTAAGCGATAATATAGGCTTTGAGAATTCAGAAGCGGCAATATCGCTGGTGTTGTTTTTGTATATTGGAATTTTTGTATATTTTACGAAATCTTTCAAATGCAAAGTATACGAAGAAAGTGTCAGCCCAATTATGAAAAATAAAGTAGATGTTCCATATGACACTGTAGCATTGGAAGATATTTCTGTAAATCCTTAAAAATTATTTATATGAATTTGATTAATATATAATTTTATTCCATTATACAAATTCTTTTTCTCAGACTTAATATAACTAACTTCCAATGAATTTATAATGTAATGTAAAATAAATTCAACATATTTTATATCTGATTCACTTAAATTATTTTATTTGCTTTAAGCAAATGAATTTCTTCATTAATCTTCATTTTTTAGTTTTACTGACTCTTTGTGTATTATTTTATAATTATTGCTATTAGTATTCTTTGATATTAAAACGAAGATTACTAGCTCAATATTTTTTATTTTAATTTTCTGTAGAAATTTATATTCCAATATAAATAGCTCATCTAATTTAATTTAGAATGTTTCTGTGTCCTTTTTAAAGTACCTGTGAAATTAAGTCGAACACACCTTCTAGAACTATTTTTTAAAAACTATGTGATTGATAATTTTTACTCTTTAATTGACTATTTGTGTGAAATTTGTTATTTTATAAAGATTTTTAAGCTATATCTAAATATAGTTAAAATAAATATGATGATAATACAATTCTTTTCTATAAAATACAAATTTATTAAATTGAATTTAAGTATAATATATAACATATTAAGAGTATAAAGCCAAAGATATAAAAAATATTGACAAAAAAATCAAAATTTTAGCAATCAATGATATTGCAATGAAATAAATCAACCTTAAGTACATAGTTAATAAATTAAGTAATCACAATGGAAAATAGGATCTGATATAAGAATTCATCCTAGTCTATAATCATTTAAGACTATCATATGGATATACATAAAATGGCGTATGGCGACCGACCCCACCCTCTCAGTGGTGGTTACCCATGTATATCCGGGCATGGTTTTTGGAGCCAGGAATTAGCCCAACAACGTCTGGGACCTCGAAGCGAGAGGCCTAAGCGCGAGAGCCGCTGTTTTTGCGACCAGACCCATGGGCAGTTATTCGTGACTTCTTTTGCCAGCAGCGCTCAGCCCAGTGAGTGCCCGAAATGAGGCAGGGTGAATTACCTGCCTAAGCTGCTTTAGTGGCTCGCCCCCCGAATGGCGAAAAGCTGTTGAGTTCTTTCTCGGGATGACCGGAAAAGAGGGGAGGCGAGTTAGACACCAAAACGGGGGTCTCTCCAGTTGAAAAGGTGCCCTTCAATGGGCAGATCTGGCGGACGACGAAGCGGAGTTGGCGTAAACTTAGGCGACGATCCAAGTTGGAAATGGAGGTGGTCAGCAAAGCCGGTATGAGACGGCCCTTGACAATACCTCTACCGAGAAACCGGGGGTTTCGGCCCGGGCTTGGTGAACGCTCTGCCACCACACGGGAAACCGTGGCATGCGACCTCGGACGTAGTAGGGACCTTAAATACCCAGCGTAATCTTAATCTTAATCTTAAAGACTATCATATGCTTTCAATTCAATTATTCAAAATTAAATTACTTTTGCGATAAAATGATGGGTGATGAGATGCTTAAAAAAAGATTATTACTGATACCAATAGCTTTATTCTTGTTCTGCTTATTTTTGATGTTTTTTTCCTTTATAGACACCGATTGAGCGAAAATTCAAGCAGGAGAAGATATTTATGAAATCGGCCTTTTTAGTTGTTCGAATTGCCAAAATCAATATAAAAGCTGAGATTGAAAATGCTTTTCTGATTTTGCTTGCATTTCCCCACAAAATTTAAGAAACTGTTTGGACTTTACAGCAGCTACAAAAGCTTCAAGAGTATATATATGCCTCGAATTTTTTGCTCTGATTTCAGGATTATTATTAATTGACAAACTCGTGATTGCTTATTATAATAAACAATGGTGCCATTTCTTTTAATTTTAAAAAAAAAATTATTTAATTTCATAAATAATTTTTTTTAAAAAATTAATTTTTCAATAAAAATAATTTTTAAAATCTAATGCAAAATAAACACCATGTATCAATTAGCGTTTATTTGCTGAGCTCTCTAATGAGTATATCACATTTAATCAGCTACTTAAGCTGGCTTTATCTTATAAATCAAGAGGTCATTTCCAGTAGATCAGTCGTTACGGAAAGTGGTCCAAGAGTATACTCAAAAGAAGGATCCTCAAAATCAATGCTTGCCTGTGTTCTATCTTTTATTGCGATAATTATTTTACATTTGGTGATGAAATCTTATGAAGGAAAAGACTTATACTATAATTACTAATAATTTTATTTTTTTTAAAAAAATAAATCAATATTTTTGCCAAATATTTATTTATTTATATTTTGTATAATTATTTTCGATGACACAATTTCTCTTGACACCCTTATAAAAAGGTTCACAATGAGACGTTGAATGTTTAGATGTGGCTTATTATTTACATCAGCTTTTTCCTTAATTTCTTTTATCCTTTATAACGGAAGATGGGTTCTTCGGTTCACCAGAAACTCTTATTGGCAAGGTGGTTTGTTAGCATGCCAAGACTGCAATGAAGATATCAAAAATTTGCATTGAAATTGCTTACAGTCACTAAACTGTGCCAGCGATTTTACTAAAGGAAGCTGCGAGTTATATTCAGACCTTGCACTAGCTTCAAAAGGTTTTATACTTTTTCCTATAAATAGCCTTAATTACCACCAAGCTATTTTTTTTTTGCCTAAATATCGTAAAAATTTTATATTATATTTGAAGCAATTGCTTTTATTTTTTTTATTTTCTTTTTACAAGCTTACATTAAGATTCTGGCAGGGAAACACTATGGTTTTCCTATCATGAACTATTTGTACGCTATCGGCGTCTCATTTTTTAATTTTTTAGCAACAATTGCTTGGTTTTATTTAAGCAGGGCAAGTCTTACTTTAGATTGTCAAAGGGAGCCTCTTGAAAATGAGCGTCCGCCAGCGTGTTCGACAGTAGGACCATTTGGTTTGATGTTTTCAAACGTCTTTTTGATTCCGATGTCATTTATGTTTTGTTATGCGTATTATCACAGAGAAATTAGAATAGATTTAATTGCGCATCAAAATAAGGATCTGGATTCAGAACAAAGTGAAGTGAGTTTTGACCAGTCTAATTTAGAAAATTAATTTATTATGAATAGGGCGACTTAGAATGAGCTTTTTTAAGGTTTTATTTGAATTTTTTAATTATTTAGGAATCTTGTGATTATTGTTAGAATCCTAGTCAATCTTAGAGTTAAAAATTGACGTACTTACACCCCAAGATGACCATAGCAGCTTATGTTTATTTTTTTCAGAAATTCCTTCATTTTCTTTACTTTTTTCCTCTTGACTATTGTCATCATTCCATATTTTAATCGTCTGATCTCGACTTGCTGACAATATAAATCTTCCACACGGCGAATAGCATATAGAACTTACTGCATCTTTATGCCCAACAAGCTGATTTAAAATTGTTTGACTTTCTATATCCCATACAATAATGCTTTGATCTCAACTCCCAGACACAAAATACTTTCCGCATGGCGAAAACGCAAGAGCTGAAATATTTCCTGTATGCCCTTGGAAATGCTTTATTGCTTTTCCAGTCTCTAGAGAATAAATTTCAATAATTTTTTCGTTTCCGCCAGAAGCTAAAAATTTGTCACAAGGTGAAAATGCGGTCACTAAAATAGAGGCCTTGGATGTATATAGTTTTTTTACCCTTTTTAGAGTTTTTGATGACAATATAGCAATATAATCTGCATTTAAAGCTATAGCTAAATATTTTCTTGTGCTTGAAGTAGAAATTGAAATAATAGCTTCAGTGGAGTTTTCTGACTCCCCTCCCCCCCTTTAAATTGGAACAAAATATAGGTAAAATTTCCACTTTTTTGGTAAATTAACCCCCCTTTAAATTGGAACAAAATTTAATTTTATAATACAAAATTTTATATATATAAATCATAATTTTTATGTAAAAAGTTTTGATATAATTTAAATGTTTCTTCTTAACTAAAATTAAAAATTTAGTTATATCCTGCCTTGTTTTAAAAGAATAGAGTATAAAGAACATCTTATTTAAATAAATTTATTATCCTTAATTGTAAATTTTTAAAAAAATTTAATTTTTTTTTTATAAAAATGATATTTTTTATTTAAATAGCTTTGATATAAATTCAATACGAATTCTTTGCAAAAATTCAAAATTTACTTATCTCTTGCTTTATTTTAAAGAATAGAGTATAAATAATATCTTATTTAAACAAAATTAGCACTTTGATTAATAAATTTTCCAAAATTTTTTTTTTAATTTTTTTTTATCAATAAAAATAATAATTTTTGTGTAAATAGTTTTGATACCAATTAATAGTGGCGTATTAATTAATAATAAAATTTTAGTTATATCTTGCTTTGTTTTAAAGGATAAAGAGTAAATAGCGTTTTATTAAACAAATTTATTATTCTGATTCGATAAATTTTTGAAATTTTTTGTTTTTTTAAATTTTATATAAAAATTTTTATAATGATTGTTTTTAAAAAAATTTTCTTAACCCCCCTTTAAATTGGAACAAAATTTTTAGTTCCAATTTAAAGGGGTGGGGGGAGTGAGGAGAACTGAATTTTGGAGTCTGAGAAAAAATCTTTATGATAAACAAATGATCAATCCCTCGTTAAACAAGAAATCACATGCTTTCCACTAGGAGAAAATGCGGCAAAAATAACACCTAATCTTTCTTGATGCGATTTTATAAGCTGGCCAGATTTTAAGTCTCATAGCTTCACAGCGCTATCGAGCCCTCCTGAAACTAAATAGTTATTGCAACGAGATATGGCAATATTATTCACAGAACAGGTATGGCTTTTTAATTTCTTTATAATTTTAAATGTTTTTGCACATCATACAAAAATTGCCCCGCTGCTGTCACAGGTAATAAAAAAATTCCCACATAGTGATCAAGCTACTGCATTAATAGAGCTTATGATTTCTTTATCTCTTGGCTGAAACGAATGCAAACTTCAGATTTTTATTGTTTTGTCCCAGCTTCCAGAAGCAAGAAATTTCCCACATGGAGAAAACGCTATGCTGCTAACTATTTCACTATGATTTTGTAATATTCTTTTTTGATTGCTTTGTCAATAGGCCTTAAATATTTATTGCCTAATTTATTATTAAAAATGTTTAAATTTAATATAATAATTTATTAAAACAGTATAAATGAGTTTTGAGTTTTGAATCAAGATCATAAACATATATCCCACTTAAGCTGCAACAAGCCATTTTATTTTCGCATGAAAGAGCTACTGCGTTTACTATATTTGGATAATCTCCAAATGATGTTGCTTCGGATTCTTCCAAAAGATTCCAAATTTTGACACCTTTATCTCCACAAGTCGCAATAAACTTTTTATGTGTTATATAGGATAATGATCGAACTCCATATAAATTTGAAAATTTTTTGATTTTTGTAAGATTTTCTAATTCCCAAGTGCAGACTCAGCTATTTTCATTCCCAGCAATCAGATATCTACCACAATTGGTAAATAAAAGTTTCTTAATCACATCTTCATTGCAAATTTTTATAGTTTTAGTCTTCTTAATGCTAATATTTAATATTTTTATATCTCTCCTCTCATGCCCATATGCTAAATAGTTTCCACATGGTGAAAAAGCGACTGCACCAATTATTATATAGGGATTTGTCAATAATAAAAGCTCGTTACAAGTTTCAATGTCCCATAATCTTACTGTTCGGTCCGCTCCTGCAGATGCAAGAATATCTCCATTTGGCGAATAAGCTACACATTTAATAGTTTGCTGGTGGCCTCTAAATATTTTGAGTTCTTGTAAAGTTTTAAGGCACCAGAGCTTTATAGTAGTATCAGCGCTTGCAGATGCCAAATACTGCCCACAAGGAGAATAGCATATCGAGGTCACCCAATTTTTATGGCCTTTTATTGTAATTTCGCCAAAACTAGCAGAGCTTAATTTGCAATTTTTTAAATTTGAGCAATAAATATTTGAGTAAGAAAAATTTACATTGGTAAGGTCGCTGCCTTTGAAATTTGTATTAATTCAGTTTCCGCATGATAAATCGGCGTCTGGTATTTTTATATTTTTTAAATTTTTATTGGTAAATGAAAATTCAGCTAAATTTAACAGTGAAATCGCATTGCTGGCTGCTATTGAAATTTCTTCTGAGTCTTTGGAATAAATTATAAATTTGTAAAGTTTTTCTTTTAATTCGTCTGATAGAGAGCCTTTTATTGATGAAAAAGTTTGAATATTTTTGGAAAATTTTATTTTATTGAAAAATGATATTTTCAGAGAATTTGTATCAGATAAAAACGATATTTCTAATAAAATTTTTCCTGATAGTAGTTTATCTAAATTTATTGAGCAATTTTTTCAGAATATTTTATAGGTAGTAATTTTTTCATCATACATTAAAATGGCGTGGTGCAACCTCTTACTCCCAGGGGAGTAAATAATAATGTAGCCAGGGTGAATAGGACCTTTTGGAAAGGAGTACAACATTTGGAAATGAGCATCTGGACAGGTTTTTATTGTTTGGTGGAGCGCAATGTCATATCTAGCCAACCATATGCTTACACCCAGCCAAGGTTTTAGTCTGTGCGGAGATGGAGCTCAAAGTTGAAAATGGACATAATGAGGTTCCCTTTCGTCAATCAGGAGCATTTCCCAGCGCGATATTGGACATTGCGTCTTGAGCTTTGAGTTTCTATCTTGGTCCACAGAGGACCAGATAATTCGATTTTCTAATTTTCAGCAGGCTGAACTCGTCAATAACGGCATGGCAACCCATTGCCCCTGACTCACGGATAGCGAGTTCAAGCCTTCATCCGTTGGGAGCAGCATAGTGATAGTTGTAGGCAAGCAGTTGAGCGTTACAGAGTTTATATGGGCTTTGTAGGCCTACAGGGAGCTTCTCTTATAATCTTAGTTTAAATTAGTCATTTTTGTTTGATCTTTTAAGCTGAAACGCTTTGATAAGAGCTTAGATTGAGGTTCTAAAATAAAAAATGCATTCTTCTTATCCTGAGTTTGATTTTCACGAGAATTATTATCAGAATGCAAGCCTCCTTCACAAGAGCTATAAATATTTTTATTTCTATCAAAAGTTTGATCAAGCGAACTAATTTCTGTCAGCAATTGTTGCCAAAACTCAATTTGGCGATCAATTCCCAACAAATTCAAATTCAAGCAATCAATTTCTTCAATTCCCCAATAATATCTTCCTATTGCATAATTAAAAATAATTCCCTTATTCGATCCCATTTTTATTGTTAGTTGCTTAACAATAAATAATTCAGCGACACCTTCCACTTGATTATTAAAAAGAACATATCTTTAAATCCATATTACTGGAGAAATAAATGAAGACTCTTTTATTAGCAGTTCTCATAGGAAGCGTCCTTTCCATGATGACAATCCCACTCCACCCTGTCCACGAAACTCCTGAAGAAAAAGCAAAATTTATTAAATCCCTTAAATATTTCCGAAGTGGAGCTGGCCCTACAGGAATTCCTTTAACTTTTAACTACGAATATTATGGCTTGGTACAAATTGGAACTCCTCCACAAAATTTCCAAGTTGTTTTTGATACAGGCTCTGGAAATTTGTGGGTGCCAAGCAGCAGCTGTTACTCAGTTTCTTGTACACTCCATAACACCTATATTATTTTTGATTAATTTTCGCTATTTTTTTTATTTTCAGCTAAAAATTGATATCGTTATTTGCAGATTTTTGAACTTTACCACCTAAGTGTGGAATTTTTCCGCGTGTGAAAAGAGGATTCCACATGTGAAATCAAAAGGGCTCCACATGTGAAAAGCACCTTTTCACACGCGGAAAAAATTCCACACTTAGGTGGTAAAGTTCAAAAATCTGCAAATAACGATAATATTTATTTGATATTTTAAAGCCTACGATTTAATAGAAAATAGTATACAATCATTCCAAGTCGTCAACTTATGTGGCTGATGGAAAAAAAATTTACATTGGATATGCGGCTGCTTCTGTGGCAGGATTTTTATCTAAAGATACGGTCACTTGGGCTGGAATAAAGATTCCTAACATAACTTTTGGAGAAATGACTAGCTTTGGTGGGACTTATTGGACTACTAAAAGGTTTGATGGTGTGTTAAAGGAATAAAGTATTCAAGATTTGATGCTTCCGCATGTTTGAGACCACTAGAACCTGCTTGCAGGAGGAATTTAGTTGCCTAAACCCTATCTCAACAGCGGCCTACTCCCGGAACCTGAGGCTTGTACCGATATCCCTGAGTCTCAACTAGCTAGAAAGACTCCTCTTGCTTTACGCCATTGCGTCCTATGGTGGTAAAGGTCAGCTGATATCTCTTGTTGATCACCTAGAGGAAGCCAGGAAAATGAACCACAACCCTCCAGAATAGGCATAAAAGAGTTTATGGCCCAAAAACGATCCGGATAGCTAATACTTAGACTTGAATCGCCATCAGTTGAGTCTCAAGACTTACCCACCCCATACTGCCGCTCTAGGCTAGCAAATGGTTAGGATTAAACCGCCAGAGCCTATAAAGCGACTTTAGCGCCCAAATTGGCTGTTCGTCAAATACATATTTTGTCGTCACCACTATAATTATAATGGGGTGTTAGGAATGGGGTGGATTGCAGCAGAAAAAATACCTCCTGTTTATATGACGATGTATAGTTTGGGGCTGATTAACGCATATAATTTTGCTATTTATTTAGTCCCTGGAACTGGCGTTGGGAGTGCAATTATATACTTTTCCTTACTTTTGCCTATGAATCTGATAAAATCTTCCCTTTTATACAAGTTATAGGTTTTATTTTTCTATTCCTATGCCAAATCATTCTCTTTCAGTTTACCTTAGGCGGCTACAACACAAGTTATTCAAAAAATGACTGGAATTACATCCCATTGCTGAATACCGAAAACTGGCAAATCCCAATCGATCAAATTACCATTGGTGGCCAAAAAGTTCCAATTAATGGTATGAAAGCATGGATTGACTCAGGAACTCCTCACCTTGTAGGGGATAACCCAATTATCGCGCAATTCAACAAAATGATGCCAACGGTCTTTGCAAACTGCTCAAATCTTGCCTCACTTCCTACTGTTGTCATAACGATGCATGGGGTTGATTATCCATTAAATTCATCAAATTACGTTTATACAGTAGTTAATGATGGGATAACTACATGTGAAACAGGCTGGATTGGAAACTCAGGACTTGACAATTTTATTGTGCTGGGTGATTTATTTATCCAAGTTTATTATACTTTATTTGATATGGGAAATAAGCAAATTGGGTTCGCAACAAGGATATAACCATATTTAGCTAATTATATTAGGCTAATTTTGCTTACTCCTCCTCCTCCTCCTCCTCCTCTGTGAGCGAATAAAATAACTTTATTCGGTCACCTGAGTCGGGTTAATTTTTTTTATATATAAATTTTATAGTCATTTTTTTTTCAAAATTTATTGTAAAATTAACCAGAATTAGCTAGAGATTTCATTATACTAATTATCACTTATATATCAAAATTGTTTTTTTCATAAAAACTTTTGTTCTTTCACGGAGGGTGAGTTTTTGATCAAAAAATAGGGATTTTTCCAATGGTTTTGTTCGGGAAGTTAACTCCCCCCCCCCCTCCGTGAGCGAACAAAACCATTAGAAAAATCGCCATTTTTTGACCAAAAACCCACCCTCCGTGAGTGAACAAAAAATTTTTTTTAATAGAAAAAATTTTAATGGAAAAAAATTTTGATATATAAGTGATAATTAGTATAATGAAATCTAGAGCTAATTCTGTTTAATTTTAAACAAATTGCGTTTTTAAAACATAAATTTTGCAAATTAAATTAATATTTGCTTCCCAATTTTTGCAAATTAGGGATTTTTTTAAATTTCGAAAAAAATATTTTTTATAAAATTTATATATAAATTTTTTTTAAAAAAAAAAATTAACCCCCCTCCGTGAGCGAACAAAATTTTTTTGTTCGCTCACGGAGGGGGGGGGGGAGTAAGGATAATAAAAATTTAAGAAATTTCAAAATAAAATTATTTCACCTTATAAAATGAAAGGATATTTAATTCTCCTTTATATTCAAATTGCTTTTGGAGCATTTACGATACCTCTCTACCCGATCCATAAAACTCCAGAAGAAAAAGCTTCATTTTATAAGTCCCTCAAAACCTTCAAAGCTGGAGCAGGCCCTACCAATGTTCCATTAACCTATAATTATGAGTATTACGGCTTAGTCCAAATTGGTACTCCTCCTCAGAACTTTCAGGTGGTTTTTGATACAGGCTCTTCCAATTTATGGGTTCCTAGCAGCAGCTGCTATTCAGTTTCCTGCTCCCTTCACCATACATATAACCATTCCAAATCATCAACTTACATCCCAAATGGCAAAAAAATTGGAATTGGCTACGAAGCCGGCTCTGTGACTGGATTTTTATCTAAAGATACAGTCACTTGGGGAGGAATTCAGATCCCGGGCATTACTTTTGCAGAAATGACGAGTTTTCCAGGGACTTATTGGAGCTCAAAAGCATTTGATGGGATTATGGGGATGGCTTGGGTGGCTGAGTCTGAAGACAAAATTACCCCTGTTTATCAGTCTATACTTAATTTGCTGAATATTTAAATATTCAATATCTTATATAAACAAGTATATTTTAGCCACATAAGTATATGTATAGCTTAGGGCTTATCAATGCAGACAGTTTTGCTATGTATTTAGTCCCAGGAAATGGAATTGGAAGTGCTTTAACGTTAGGAGGCTACAATACAAGCTGCAGCAAAAATGACTGAAATTGGATTCCATTACTTAATGAAGGGTTCTGGGAAATAAAAATTGACTCAATTACTGTGAATGGGAAAGCTATACAAGTGACTGGGATGAAAGCTGTCATTGACTCAGGGACGCCTCATCTTGTAGGGGATAGCACAATTGTTAACCAAATTAATGCAATAATTCCAACTGTGGCGTCTGATTGCTCTAATATTGGGAGTCTTCCAAATGTTGTAATTACTTTGAATGGTGTGAATTATACTTTAACAGGACAAGATTATGTGGTGCAGTTGAATTCAGAAGGATTGACGTCATGTGAAACTGGCTGGACTCCTGAAAATTTCCCATCTTCTCTTAGAAATGTTTTGATTTTGGGCGACTTATTTATGCATGTCTATTATAGAAATTGCCCGAGGATGGCGCTATATTGCGCCATCCTCGGGCAATTGGAGACACGGCTCCACACGGGAATTGTGTTCCACGTGTGGAGCCATTTTTCCACGTGGGAAAATGTGGATTCCACACGTGGAAAAATGTGGATTCCACACGTGGAAAAATGGCTCCACACGTGGAATACGGTTCCCGTGTGGAGCCAATTTTCGCTTGCCCTAGGATGGCGCCATATAGCGCCATCCTAGGGCAAATCCTATATACACAGTTTGATTATGGAGGTTCACGAATTGGGTTTGCGACTGCAATCTAAAAATAAAAATATAATTTTTATATCAGTGTTGTGGTAAAATAATAATAAATGAATTATATCAAATTAACAATAAGGAACACAAACAGTGTCTTGCAATAATATTTTATTTTAATTATGATGCTTGAAAAAGTTTTTTATAATGCCCATCTTCAATATTCATCAACAAATTATGACTCCCCATTTCTATAATAGTCCCCATCTCTAATAAAATTATTAGATCATAATTTTGTATAGTTTTCAATTTGTGTGCAATTGCTACAATAGTGAATTTTTCTTTTTGTAAATTTTCTTGAAGGTTTGATTCAGTGACACTATCAAGTGCGCTTGTTGCTTCGTCTAAAATTAAAATTTTTGGTTTTCTTAATAATGCTCTTGCGATAGCAATTCTTTGTTTTTCACCTCCGCTAAGTTTATTTCCTCTTAAACCTACATCTGAGTCAATGCTATATTTATTTACTATATTAATAGCTTGCGATTTAAAAATAGCCTCATTTATTTCATTTAAAGTTGCGTTTTCTTTTGCAATTTTCATGTTGTATAGGATTGATCCTTTGAATAAAATAGGTTCTTGGCCGACCCAACAGATGCAGTCTCTTAGATATGCTATATTATAATCTTTTATTGGCCTATCATCAATTTCAATACTCCCAGAAACAGGATCATAAAATCTCATAATCAGCTGAGCTATCGTTGATTTTCCAGACCCAGTCGTCCCAGTAATTCCTACTCTTTTCCCTACTTTTATTTCAAAATTAACATTATTCAAGACCACATTATTCCTATTTTCATATTTAAAGCATACATTTCTGAATATAATATTCCCAAAAATCGGTAAAAAAATCCCTGCCTCCGACTCAGCATTAATTTCTGGCTTATAATCAATAATTCTGAACATATGTTTCGCACTTTCAATGCCTCCACTAATATCAGGTGCTAATGCGCCTACTATCATTAATCCCCATGAAGAAAACATATCTCATTTCCATTAATAAAAGCATCTTTCTGTATAAATGTCATTAGTAAACTATTTATTGTAATAAATATAATACAAAAAAACACAGTAAACATATCTTTAATTTCTAATTTTCCTTCCTTTATTCTATATGTCCCAAACCAGCCTACAATTCCTCATAAAAAATACATAGCCATATACCTAACACTAAACATGACTCCATTACAATATGACGATTTCAGCACTCTTTTGTTTTCAGCCTCAGTAGCTGATATATATTCTCTATAAAAATATTCTTGTCTATTGAAGGAGTGGACTGTTTTTATATTTGTCAGAGCATCAGAAGCGATTTCTGTAGTATTTTTTAAATCACTGTGACTTATACCTTTTAGCTGCATAAATTCACCTTTGCCGCCTGTTATCATGACAATAGGAAGTAAGACAAGAACGAGGATAGATAAAGGTATATCATGCATACTGGCTATAATAATTCCTCCAAGTATAGCGGTTAATACTAAAGATTGGAGCCCTAATATGGGACCACCAATACTAGAAATTTTTTCACAGTCTGATGCAAGCCTATATGATAATGTTGAAGGGTTGCTTGATGGCTTATCAAAATATTTTTGATCGTAATTGAGAAGTGATTTAAGTCCTTGGTAGCGTAAATCATAAGTATAAAGTGCAGTGACTCTGGAAAGAGCAGCACATAGGATTGTTAATGAAAAAATAATGATGGAGGCTTCTATAAATAAATAGTACATATTAGTTTTTGTGGAATCTGTCATATCAGAACCTGTTTTTTCAATCAAAATAAAGACATTATCGGAAAATATATACCCAAAAATAGGAAATAAAATTCCTGTAATTATTGCACATAAAGATGCTAATATAAGTCAATATCAGTATTTCTTAGCGAACCATAAAATTCTTGCAAATGTTTTTGACGTTTTTTCTTGCTGTATTATACCTTCTTCAAGTTTTAATTCTAAATTTTTATTTTCTTTGATTTTTAAACTTTTATATGAGCTTTCTTTTTCAATATTTTTCTGGACAGCTTGAAGCCTGGCATAGATTCCATTTTCCTCTATCAAAGATTCGTGGCTCCCTGATTCCACAATTTTCCCATGGTTCAATACAATGATTTTTTCAGCGTTTTTGATGGTGCTCAGCCTTTGTGCCACTATAATTGTTGTCCTTCCTTTCATAATCTTATCAAAAGTTTTTTGAATTTTCTTTTCAGTATTTACATCTAAAGCGCTTGTGGCCTCATCTAATAACAAAATTTTTGGTTTTTTAATCATGGCCCTTGCTATTGCAATTCTTTGTTTTTGGCCTCCAGATATTTGGGATCCTTTGATCCCTACATAAGTTTCATATGCGTTTTCAAGATTTTCTATAAAATGGTTAGCTTCAGCTTCAGCAGCAGCATCATAAATTTCTGAGTCTGACGATGATAATTTGCCAATTCTTATATTTTCCTTTATAGTTGTATTGAATAAAATAGGCTCTTGGCTTACCAATCCAATGCTTTCTCTTAGGCTCGATAAATCGAATTCCTTTATGTTTATCCCATCAATTAATACAAACCCAATTTTACAATAATAAAAACCTTCAATTAGCTGGATTATAGTGCTTTTCCCAGACCCAGTTTCCCCAACAATTGCTAAAGACTCGCCTGTTTGTACCTTAAATGATACCCCTTCTAGTACTTTATTAGAAGAATAGCTGAAATGGACATTTTTAAACTCAATTTCTCCTTTTAAATCGTCAGTCCTTCTATAACCATCATATTTTTTTGTTTTCACTATTATTTTCATCACTCTTCCAGCAGCGATTTTTCCATTTTGAATAAATTGCAATAGCGGCACTGCAGTTCCCAAATAAAAAGCTGACATTGAAGTCGCAAAAAAAATCATGACCACATGTTTAGCCTGACATTTTTCTCCATCAGATCAATTATCTACCTCATTTTCAAAAAATAAAGACCCAAAATAAAAAATCGTCCCTGAAAAAGTAAATAAAATTAAAAAAAAAATTGACCAGCCAAGACCATGGAGAGTCCCCATAACTGTCGTAAAATTTTTTAAAGGCTCCAGTTCTTTTTGGTATGATTTAGCAAGAAAATCTTGAGAGTTACAGGAGGAGACAGTTTTTACCCCTTCAAGGCTTTCTTCAGCTATTCCTCCTGCTGTTTTATATTTTTCTTGGGCTATTACTGTGCTTTGGTATGATGCTTTGTCAATGCTGTAGGCTGTTATGATCTGGATAGGGAGCATGATGAGGGCGATTAATGTTAATTGTAGATTGATAAAAAATGCGACCATTCAGGTAGCGATAAAAAGGACAATTGAAGAAAGCAAAAGCATGACTTTCTCACCTGAAGCCTGCTCTATTGTGTTACAGTCTAGGTCAATAGAGCTGCCAAATTCAGCTGGGTTGTGCTTGTCGAATCATTTTATTGGCTTATTTATTATATAGAGATTTAGCTAAATTAAGATAGAATTTTTTACTTAAAAAGATTAGGGAATGTTTAAATAGAGGAGTATAGCTTTGAAATACACATTTTTCCATTTTAATCCTGTATTATTTCCAAGCCTTATAAATGAAACAACTGCAACTCAGCCAGCAATTACTGTGATTGGTCCTAGAATAAATTGAACAACTGCAATTGATGTTCCTTCCTCATATAGCTCATCAAAATTGTCTCTATTTTTGTACATTGCATCTATAAGGTCTCCAATTTTTATAACCAAAAATAAAGGCAGGACAGAAAATATAACTGTAAATATTAGCCCTAGTCATAAAAGAATATAATCTGATCATAGTGAAAATCTATAGAGATCTATAAAAGACATTTCTAGGATGGCTGTATTTTTCTCTTTGATTTTTAAAGGAACTTTGTCGTCCTCTCCATCATTTTCTTCATTGAAAAGTAACTCTTTTTTCATTTATAAATATCTTATAAGCTAATAGAAAATATGCATATAAATAAAGATTAAACAAATATTGAACTATTAATTAGATTACTAGTAATGTATAAATTTTAACAGCTATATTGCAAATTAATTCTTTCTTTCTTTAACGGACATTATAACGGAATTAATCCTCCATTTTTAATTTGATAATATTGATAATTGCCTTACTAACCCTGATAAACAATATAGCTTCTCGATCATGCAGCCTTGAGCACATATTTAAATATATACAACAAGGTTTTGCCAACCCACAAATGGTTAGCTTTCTTTTTTTCCGTATCTCACGAGTTTTCTTGCTTCAAAGCAGATTTTTTCGAAAATGTCGTTGACGAATGAGTTCATGATGCTCATTGATCTCTTGGAGATTCCAATATTTGGGTGGATTTGTTTTAAGACTCTGTATATGTGGAGTGCGAAGGTCTCTGATCTTCTTTCCTTTCTTCTTGTCTATACTTTGGAGGCTGATTCTGCTTTCTTACTATCTTTAATCATTTTATGATCAAAAATGGTTAGCTAGTAAACAATTTCAATAGCGTGCTTACCCTAGCCTTAGTATGGTTTCAGAGTGGATTTTAATCCTAAGGATCCAGGCAACTGTCCATTAAAGGCCAGTAGTCATGCCATGGGCTTAAAGCTTCCCTTTATACAAAAATTACATTTTTATAGGAAAGTGGCTTACTCATGATTCTTGGAATCACAACATCGACCCAAGCATATCATGGTGATCAAAAAAGGTTGGCACTCAGCACGTGCAAAGATGGTGAAAGCTCGAGGAAGGCAACCTTGTATTGGATTCTAAGTGTTTAAAGTTTTAAGGATAATAACCTTTAACTTAGTCTGAATTATATACAGAAATGCTACAATAGACTAGGACCAGTTTCAGCAATTTCATTTAATCAATCAATTTAATTATTTATGAGAAATGCCAATTTCAACATTTATTCAATTTAATATTTTGAGCTTGAGCAATATTAAGTTGCGAAATGAATTCTAATTATCAAAATATTTCGTAAAAAGAATTTCTGTAGTGCCGAGAAATTTCTTCGAAAAAATCATCACTAACAGACGTTTTACAGCAAGTAAATGTGCTTTGGATCAACAGCTTTAATTGCATATTTTATAGGAGGATGTAGCAGAGAAGTACAAATCTTAAAAAAAAATGGATGACTAAGCCAAACCCCTTACTGTGCAAAGGAAATGCACACTTTTATTTTCAACAATCGGAATTTCTTACTATATTGGAATATAGAGAAATTAAAGAGATAGGCTGCCAATTACTAATACCAGAAAATCTTTTGGATTTATAATCTTTTATTTTATTAAGGCCAACAAATTAACATTAAATTGAAGCAAATATCCTATTTACTTATAAACCTGATTATCAAATTTGCTATGTGATGAAAATTTATGCAATTGAGGATAAAGAAAATTTCTGAACCTAAAGAATTACGGATTCTGGGAACCAGAGTAAAAAACAAAAAAATTAGATCTGTTTTTTCCTTAAAATGTAAGGAAATGTGCACTTTTAGGATCAACTATAGTGATTGCTTATTTCCTAGAAGTGTTTAGTAAAGAAATCATTTTATGCTAGCAATATTATTTTAACACCAGAAGATCAGAAGTATCAATAGAATAATTATTGATTATTTAATTTAGTACCAAATAATTTCATTTTTATTATTTTTATTCTGATATAAGAAAATGCCTTACATAAATTTAATAATAAAAAATATGGGATTAATAGAGTGAATTGACACATCTCTTACATCGTATGGGTTTTTGCCAATAAATCAGCAATCTCAAGATAAAATAAGTTCTGAAAGCAATGATAAGAGACTTCAAGAGATTTCAGACAAGATCAGAAGTGCTATGACTCCTGTAATACATAAAACAATAGATGGGCTTAATTATTTAAAAGAGAATGGGCCCAATACTATTGCTAAAGCAGCTGTAAAACTTGATCCTGTTTATGAAAGCGTTAAGAAAAACTCTAAAGAAATATTATCGAATGAAAAATATCAGCAAGCAATTGAAGTATACAATGATATAAAAGAGAGAAGAAGAAAGTATATTGAGGGAACTCCTTATGAAACTAGAAAAAACATTGTCTTATCCTTCTTGGAATAAAGCTTTTTTTACAAAAAAAACTTGTAATACTTTGTGATAAGATTTTTAAAAAATAAATGGATATTGTTTTTAGCTGAAAAGTTAGGCTTTTCAGCAGCAACTTTTCTGTTTTCTCCTGTGCTGATGAACAGTTTAAAAAAATCCTTATTTGTTGCTGCAGTCGGAAACTTAGCTTTTACTCCAGAAGAATTTGAAAGTTTAAAGAAAACTATTAAAGTTATTAATTAGCATTTCGCAAAATGGTGGATTCTTAATATGTCTGAATAATTTTTATTATGTATAACTTTTATTTATAAATTATAGCTAATTTGGTCTAACAAATACTATTTTGATATCTGCTTTACTGCAGATCTATATTAATATAAAGTCAATTTAAATCATTTCCTTATATTCTTAATGCTTAATAAAGCGCAGAAATTATATAACTAAAAAACTAATTCCTTTATTTAAACTCAACTTATATAGTATCAGCTAAAAGAGAACTTTTATGTAATTATTAAGAATGCTCAGCTAAAAACTTTCTCACTTTTTCTGCCTTGTTATTTGCTCCTACTTGCTCAAGTAAGGGTAAAGCTTCTTCCATCAGTTGTATAGCTCCCATCAGATTAAACCCTTCCACCAATAAAAACGCCTTCAAATACAGCGCTTTTGCTCTCTGAAACTGCTTCTGCTTTTTTCTCTGGTTAAATTTCAGCAGCAACAAATAATCTTCAATTGCACAAAGCCCATCATCAATATGCACATGATGTTTAACCGCCAATTTTGCTATTTTATATAAAAAATCAGGCTCCGAGCATACCAAAAATGCATCATTTGACAGCTGCTGAGCCTGCACAGGCAATTTTTTGCTTTTTTTATCCTCCAGTCCTTTAAACTTATATTCAACATTATTTTTCGATAAATACGACTCAAAATAGTCCTCAGATAAAATATTGGCCTGGGTATTTCTATAATTTGTATAGCTATAAGACTTAGATGACTCTATTGCTTTATTACAAGCTGCTTCTAGCTCATCTAAATTTTTTGCCCTTTTAAGGGTCTTTGTATATGGGATTTCTGCAAATGGAAGAGGTGGGAAAACCTTGGCTAAGCATTTTAATAAGATAATCGCATCAGCAGGGGTCGCTGTTATAGACAAAACGTCAGCGTACAGAATATGCATTTTCATTCATACAGATACAGGGAATTTCACGACTTTGCAGCGTGAAATCATCGCTTTGCCAATTTTTTTGAGAAGTTTGGAATTATTTTGGATTTTTAAGTATTTGAAGACTTCGTCATAAGCTTTTAAATATAAAGTATCAGAGCTAGAGACTTCGTCAAGCAGCTCAATGGCCTCTTCCTCTTCTCCTTTCATTCATAATAGCCTTGCATCATAGCATTCTCCTATTTCTTTACTGAAAACTTTTACTTGATCACACAAATTTTTACAGTTAGCTAGCTCTTCTTCAGTCATATTTGCCTTAAAACTGTTTTTAAGGGTATCAATAAGCTCAATTTTAGGCCTGATGTCTTCATATAGCTGCTTAATTTCATTTAATTTTGGAACTTCAGTGCTTGGCAGCAATTTTCTTGCTTTTTTGATCGCTTTTGAGGCTTCATATATCTGCTTGTCCTCTACCAGGACTTTGGCAAGCCAATAATAAATCTTCCCAAACCTCGTCTTATTGCAAAGCCTCAAGCTTTCTTCAAGCGCTGCAATTGCTGACCCTCTATAGCTTGGGTCTGCAGATTTTGCACAGATTCTGCCATAATGATACAAAAACACTGTATATGTCGGATGCTCATTGAATTTTTGCATTAAAAGTTCTAGACAATTTGGGAGTTTTCCGTTCTGAGCGTATGATTTTGCGTAGATTATGCAGAAAAGGATATAGTACTGATGGTTTTCATAGTCTGTGATCCTTAAAAATGCTTCAGCTGCCAAATCTTCTGATTTGAGATATTCATGCTGCTTGTAGTAATAATGTTCCCATAGCACAATATAAGCTTCTGGGATATCAGGGTTTGATTTAATTAATTCTTGCAAGATGTCTAGGCCTTTTTCTTCTTGGTCTTGTTTTAGAAACAGTGTGCTTCATGCTAAATAGCCATAATAAGTATCAATTTCTTTTATATTACTTGCGTAGTATTGGGGAACTTCTATTTCTGAGCCACATTCAAGCTGTTTTGATAGAGAAATTTCCATTAGCCCCCACAGTATTTCTATTTGTTTTTTATTCTCCCTAAGCACAGTAACCATTGCTTCTTTTAAATTTAATAGGTCATGTCTATTTCCTGCAAGTTTTCATTGCACAAATTGGTACCAGGTTAAAAAAAGGACGTCTTTTGGCTTGTTTCGTAAAGCCACTCTTAGGTGTTTTATTGATTCTTCATATTTTTCTTCATATGCCAAAACCCTTCCTAGTCCAAAATTTGCTTCATTGGACTGTGGGAGTTTTTGCAACATTTCTTCAAAAACTTGTTTACATGTTGATAAATTAATGAATATTGAAAAGGAGGATACTAATCAGAGTAAACACTTTTTTAAAAATAATTATAATAATAGGTTTGGTAAATTTGTAGTAAAAATAATGAGAAATGGGATAATTCATAGTCAGGGATTAAATCATGCAAAGATTTATTTTTCACAATATAGCACATGAAGCATGAGCCATTGTCAATGTGAAGTTTTCGAGTTGATGGCTTTAATAATGATTCACCAGGACTCATATTTTGTTGTTGCCCTGTGTATTTTCTTCTGTTTCTAACTTCTTCTTGGACCATTTCTTCAACTTTTTCTGGAGAATACTGAGTCATTGTTTGAGGATCATTTTCTTCATGCCCCAGCTTTTCTTTGATTATCCTGTTTCTCTTACTCGCTCATAATATTTTTATGCAGCATTAATAATTTTTTAAAATCATTTTTTCAAGAATATTAAATATTTTTTTGCAAATTATTGAGCTTTAAAAATAATCTTAATTAATAGCGCATTTTAAAAAAATTCTTATATATATTAAAAAAAAAAATTCCACATAAAATATTTATATAATTAATAAATCCACAAAAAGCTTGCTTTTGATAAAGAAAATTAGAAACTTTTATTTTTGAGAGCACAGATTCTGAAAACTCGTCTTTAATTATGCTGACTTCATCAACTTCTGGAATTGTAAGATTTAAATCTTGATTTGCCTTCTGCCTATTAGTAAAGCCAGTATTAGATGAATCTTGTGTGCTCATCAAAAATCAAAGAAATTATAAAAATGAAATTAAAAATCCACAATTTTCCTTATCTTAATCTTAATTATCTATAACGCTTTAAGTCCACTATGGGTAGCCAACTCCAGAGCTGCCACCATATTTATTCACGTGTCGGGTCCATGGACCGCTGGATAGACCTACTTTAATCACCAGGGCACGGGTAAGTACAGCGTTCCGGCTTCGCTGCCGCTACGGCTTTATTCCGACTCAACTCCTGCGCGTGTTCCGCCTGAGGGTCCACCTCCTCGGGTGTGCTGAGGGGTAAAGACCTGAGCTCTTGATCGCACTGAGGAGCAGTTCTTTGGTTATCTCCAAAGTTAAGCCGCTATTGCTGTGCAGAAGTTCTCGAGGTAAAAAACCCAACCCCATAAATAAAATTGCTTGAGTGAGAGAAAATTAGCGGAGCTAATTTCGCTTGAAGCGAAGCCATTTTATTTATACAATTTTCCTTATCAAAATTAATTTATTGCCCTGACCTTCTTAGCCTAATGATTTCTTGCTTTATCAAATCAAGCTGATCCATGCTTCTTTTATATTTATTTTGGAGCTCCCCTATAATCGTCTGTAAAGCCTGAGCTTCTTTTTCTAAATTTTCTGAAATTTCTTTGTTTTCTTCAATTCTGCTTTTGGTTTCTTGAGCTTTGAGGCCTTCAAGCTGCAGAACCAAGTGATAGTCTTGCACTTTTCCTTCAGCAAATTCTTTAAACCCTGTATATGCTTCATCTGTGAGCTGTTGCCATTTTGACTGCAGTTTCCCTCCTTTTATAAAAGGTTTATGCTATTTTTCTATGAATTGCTTTAGTTTTCAGGCATTTTTTATATTTTTTTTAATTATTTCTATTAGCAATACCTATAAATTCCTGATTTTGCGATTCCAAAGCCTTCAGCTCAGTTTTTTTACTTTCCAATAAATTCCTTAAATCAGTAAACTCATGATTTATTGCTGGATCTGCTAAAATTGGCTTTCTCATGGCCTTGATTGTGTGTAGTTGCAAACTGAAATTTTCTTGTTTTGCATTAATTAAACTTTTCAGCTTTTCGATTTCTTGGTTTTTAAGCTGCAGCCTGATGCTCATTGCTTCATTGGATTTTTTATGTTTTTCTATTTCTGAGATGACTGTGAGATATCGCTCATCAGACTGAGCCATTTCCATATTATCAATTTAGAATAAAAAATAGAAGACTAATTTTAAGTATTTGAAAATCCTTTATTTAAGGAAAAATTAAATTCTAAGCACATATAAATATTTAATATAGCCTAAATTAAGATTATTCATCTAAGCTTTCAACATCTTCATCCTGTGGCATCTCCACCTCTACGTCTGGCTCTTTATAAGGAGCTTTAGGATCAATTCCAATATCTTGTGCAATCATCCATTGAACTTTTTGATAGAAATCTCTTGGGTCAGAAACGAAAAATCCTGACTGAATCAGCGAAATATCATACATCATAGCTGCTAGGTCTCTCAGCTCCATATCATTTGGTAAAAGCTAAATAGTCCTTACATTTGCCCATTCGTTCATTTTTTTGACCATTGGGTGTGCTGGGTTAAGTTCCCAAATTTTTTTCATTGGCTCATAACTATATAAAAACTTACGCTGACTGGTCTTTTTTGCCAAAAGCTTGGTGCTTGCTGATTCTTTCCATGTTCGCTGACTGCCCAGAGTCTCCAGTCGTCACAATGCTTGGCTCATCATCTAGCTTGCTGCTGATAGTGACAGTGTTTACTTTGTTCGGGATTAGTCCTCTAAGCCAATCTGTAAGTACATAGTAATATTTTTTAAGCTTTTTTTCTTTTTTCCTAGCGTCTTCTTCATTTTCTTCAGGAAGGCTCCATTCGTCAATTCCTACGTTTTGTAAATGCATTTTTTCGTATTCGTGTAATGAATTTACAGCATATTCGTCAATAGGGTCATCTAAAATTAAAACTTCATAGCCACGCTTTTTAAGTTTCTGGATAAGTGGTGACTGGTCAAGCTTAACTTTGTCATCTCCTGCAATGAAAAAGATGTCTTCTTGTCCTTCCTTCATTCTGCCGATATAATCATCAAGGCTTGTCAGTTCATTAAGATTATAAGTGCTGTAGAACCTTAAAAGCTTGGAAAGTCTGGCTTTATTTTTGCCGTCTTCCATAAGGCCAAGTTTTATATGTTTTCCGAATTCTTTGAAAAATTCTATTTTACAGTGGAAATTTTCCTTATAATTTATTTTTTTTGTTGCATCCGGTGTCTAATTTTAAAAGGCTATAAGCAAAATGGCCAACAAATTATATATATTCATTGAAGCCATCTTCGTCTGCTCCTTCATCAGCCATTTCTTGAAGTTCTTGCAAGATTTTTCTGGTTATTTTAGTATTAAGAAGTTTCAATATTTTAGTATGCTGGATATTTTCTCTGGCCACATTTAGCGGCAAATCATCAGAATCGACGACTCCTCTGATAAAGCTTAGGTATCTTGGGACTAATTCTTGGAAATCTTCAGTAATCATAACTCTTTTCACATAGAGCTTGATTGGCGCTGCCTGCGAATAATAATTTCTAAATAAATCTGAGCTAGAAGTCTTAGGAATATATAGCAAAGCTCTGAATTCTACCTCTCCTTCTGCTGTAAAATGAATCCAGCTCATTGGGTCTTTAGAATCTTTAGTTAAGCTTTTATAAAAACTGGAGTATTCTTCGTCAGAAACGTCTTCTCTCAGCCAAATCGGCTTGTTTTCGTTGACTCTTTCCCATTGCCAGACTTTTTCTCTGACGATTTTTGATTTTTCTTCATCTTGGGAGTCTTCGTCTTCGACTTCTTTAGAGACGTCTTTTTTTACTCTTAAATAAATAGGGTATTGGACGAACTCAGAGTATTTTCTGACTGTTTTTCTTAAAATTTCTTCGTCGACGAAGTCAAGAGCGTCTTGTTTTAGCTTGATGGTGACTCTGGTTCCTCTTCCAAGGGTGTTCCCACGAGGGTCTTCGATTACGCTAAAGGTGTTTCCTGCCCTGGACATCCAGATGTGCTGGGAATCGTCGTTATGCTTGCTTGTCACAATAATTTGTTCAGCAACTAAGAAATTGCTATAAAAACCGACGCCGAATTGACCGATTAGGTTTATATCAGTGCCTGCTGAGAGAGCTTCGACGAATTGGGTGGTGCCAGACTTGGCGATGGTTCCGAGATGCTTGATGAGGTCGTCTTTGGTCATCCCGATGCCTGTGTCAGTGACACTTACAGTTCTGGCTTCTTTATCGTATTCTATGAAAAGTTCAAGGTCTTTTTTATCTCCAAGAACTGTGTCATCAGTAATTGCGAGATATCTTATCTTGTCTAATGCATCTGAGCCATTTGAAATAGTTTCTCTGAGGAAAATATCTTTATGGGTGTATAGAGGATAATTAGGATTATTAAAGTCAGGCGTTAGCTATATTGGTGACGTAGTCACCAAAGACTTCTTGTACGGAGGCTCTACCACTTTTCGACTCCAGCCTAGAGGTCTATCCCTCATACGAGTACCTTCTGTCTCCTCCTTGAGGCTTTAGTCTTGAGTGGGCAGCTATGGGTGTATAGAGAGTGGATGAAAATGTCCATGACTCTAGAAACATCTGCTTGGAATTCATGTTTTTCTGCATCAGTCTCATCAAATCCTTCTATATCCAAATCAGAAGCTTCTGATGACTCAGCTGGAGGAAGGGGCACTTCTTCATCAAGGGTTTCTTGCGATTGTGTAGGTTCTTCAGTTGCTTCTTGGGCAAAGCAAGATAGAGCTAAAAATAGCAAGAAGTATCTAACCATTTTTTATACACGTGTTAAATTTGCAATATTTAATACAAATATTCTAAGATCTATATTAAAATTCCTGAGCGTTTTAGCTGAGAATTTTTCACATTCTTTTGAATTATCTTTTTTATTTATTATACATTTAAATTGTATATCAATTATCAATAAAACTAAGAATTCATTACTTTCGCTATAGCTAAACAAGAGATTAAAATATAAAAAATATATGTAATTCTCATTTAAAGATACTTATTCCCCCTCCGTGAGCGAACAAGAAAATCTTGGCGAGAGGCTAATTTGTTTTTTAGAAAAATTTTTTTTTTCGAAATTTTAAAAAAATCCTAATTCGCAAAAATTGGAAAGCAAATATTAATTTGATTTGCAAAATTTATGTTTTTAAAACGCGATTTGTTTAAAATTAAACAGAATTAGCTCTAAATTTCATTATACTAATTATCACTTATATGTCAAAAATTTTTCATAAAAAAATTTCTGTTCGCTTACAGAGGGTGAGTTTTTGGGCAAGAAATAGGGATTTTTCTAATGGTTTTGCTCGCTCACAGAGGGGGGTTAATAAAACCGTGACAGTTATATTGCAAGAGTTATAAATGGCTTCACAAAGACAATCACAGCAAATCCCACAAGAAAGCCCTCCACGCAAGCCAGATCCAGCATTACAATCCCTCCCTATCCGTGCCTACTTAGATCAATCAGTTGTTCCTATACTTTTACAAGGACTAGCAGAGCTCGCCAAAGAGCGTCCATCAAACCCAGTTGAATGGCTTGGGCATTATTTGTTAAAGAATTCCGAAAGAAGTTAAACTAATCCTCAATTATTATTTTCCTTCTAATCTCTATCATATATAATTTTACAACCCCTTTTATATCACTAATGTATATTTCATTCCCACAATTATATTCTTTTTCTAATCAATATCTGATATTCATATAGAAAAATCATAATTAATTTGAAATTAATTTGGTTAATTTTGATTTTTGCGTCACCGTCAAGTTTTCCCATATTTCTGGAAGCCCTGGATAATAAGAAGACTGTAGCATCGCTATAAAAGTCTTTACTTTAGGTACTGTATGCTGGTCAATTAATTTTGTTTCTAATACATCTGCAAACAATACAATAATTTTCCCAAGCCTCTCATGTGAGCTTCCAACTGTTAATTGTGTGTTACTTATAGCGATATCTACCAATAAATCATGCATAATCCTAGCTTCAGTTTTATCGTGCTTTAATGGCAATAAATCGACCCAGCTTGGTACAAGTGGGTTTAGGTCTACACACATAGGCTGATATCTGATTATTTTTCCTACTGCAGATATAGCGTTATCTCTGGCGTGCTCATAGGTTTTTTTAGATCTGCCTAGTGGCAATGCAATGGCTTTATTTAAAGAATCAAGAATTTGCTGAGCCATCCCTTGGAATGCCTGTGAATTACTATGAGTCGCTAACATCCCTAAGCCATACACAGCTGCTTGTCTTACACTGTCATTTTTATCACAAGAATATCTAAGCAGCGCTTCTGCTAGTGCACTCCATTTACTGACAGCCAAATCTTGCCCCACAAATTCTACAATATCGTCTATTACAAAAATTGCAAATTTATGGTCTTCATCAGTCGACCCTGGAGCTAAAAATTTGCTCAATACATTTGCATATAAAAATTCCACGATATTTAAAGACTGTGTTCTATGAGTTTTAAAAAGTACACCAAGTACTTCAGAAACTGCAGACTGAAGGGAGTCTTCTTCATGCTTATTTGGCTCTTCGACGCCTTCTTCATTGTCGCTGTCTTCAGCTTGTAAAAATTGGTGCCTTGATCTTCTCTGAAGGCTATCTTCTAATAGTTTTAATACTCTTTCACCCACGTTATTGACCTCTTCAGCAGAAAGATAAACAGTTTTGGGGGTTTCTATAAGCATTTTGATAGCTTCAAGCTGGGCTACTAAGGTTTCTATTTCGAATTCTTGGCTTGCTGCAATCCAAAGAGCACTTAAAAACCTTCTAGCTAAAGGAACGACAAAGGAAAGGGAATTGGGATGGCCTGACTCTTTGAGGGAGACTATGAGGGAGGCACAGATGCTGGCAGCGGCTGAACGGATGCTTTCGTTAACTGGGTATCCAACTAATGGTAAAATTATGGTAGCTGTACGGTCTACATGTGGAGAATAAGCACCTTTGAGGACGTCAATGATGGTGAGCAGGGTTTGTAAAGCGACTTCTTTGTCTTCAATGTCAGATGTAGTCACGCTGAGCTTTTTCTTGGTATCTGACTTCATTAACTCCCCTCTGTGAGTGAACAAAAATATATTTTACGCTTAATTATTTTTTCGAAATTTATTCTCAAAATTTGTAAAATTATGTTTGAAAATGCTACACACTTAAAATTTAACAGAATTAGCTAAGATTTCATTATATTAAAAACGACTTATATACCAAAATATTTTTTCATAAAAATTTTGTTTGCTCATGGAGGGTGGGTTTTACCCAAAAAATAGGGATTTTTCCAGTGGTTTTCTTTGCTCACAGAGAAAGGGAAGTAAGGACTCTATATCAATTTGAAGTTCAGGCTCAGTGCTGATGGAAACTTCTGCTTGGAGATTTGCAGCTTTGAGGAGGCCAGGAATGACATCACCAAGATAAGGAGCGAAATCTGATTTTAAGGTAGCACTGATTCTTTGCCAAGCACTGAGGAGATAAGCTTTAAGAGGATCGTTTTCCTCAAGCTGATGGTCTTGAATGTCTTTTAAGAGAGCTATTACTTGAGAAGCATTTCGAGAAAAAACATTTCTCCCGACAGCATTGCACATAAGGGTTAAACATTCTATCGCTTTTCCTCTTACTTCTTATGAGCTTTATTTTTTAAAAAGAATTTATTGATAAATAAGCATAAAATAAATAAAAATTTTCATAAAAAAAGCTAGTAATTTATAAATCGAACTTTTATAATTTCTAATTATCTCAAAAAGATATGGCGCCATCTGTGGATAATATACCGCAAACTCTTCTTTACAAGCTTCAGCTAATGACGCAAGCGCAGATAGGGCAATTTCTATAATAAATGAACAATTTTGTGAAGAAATCCTATCAATTAATTTCGGGATAATCAGAGGCGTATATTGGTTCGCTATAGTATGTCCTGCGTTTTCCATAAATTTGTTTAAAGCGGCGCATGCACATGCTGCCACTCTTGGAACAGAATCAGTTGTCCCTTCTAATAAAAGCGGCACAATAATAGCATGATGGCCTCTTTGGAACTCTTCTTCATAGTCTTCACTTAGTTTTTGTATACAATGATAGGCAGCCCATCTAATTTTTGAGTGAAATTCCTGCCCCACGCTACTTTGTAGTATAGGGATAAGTGTCGCTATTCTGGAGTCGTCATCTATATATTGGGCTACTTCGGCAACTGTCATTAGTCCTGCATATCTGATTCTCCAGTCTTTATTAGAGCTGTTTAAAGACTGCTGGATTAGAGTTAGTACATAAGGCATTAATTGGGTATCCCCGACACCTTCAAGAAGTCTGCTGAGAAGTTTGCGGCCGCGTTTAGCATAATCGATATCAATGCTGCCTTCTTCGTCTTCTTGTTCTTGGTATCCTTCAGGTGGGACAAATCATGATTCTTCAATTTCTGAGTCTATTGTAAGCATAACTTTAAAAATCATATACAAATTAATAGTAATTTGGACTATAACCTTATTATAGTAAATATGACTAGTTTTGAATGACTAAAATGGGATATTACAAACAGCTTCTGCAAAAGCTTTGGCATTTTCCATTTCTATTGAAAGCCTTTCTGCTATACACACCAAAAACTCAATAGCTAAATACTTAAGTCCTGAGTTTTCTATATTTAGCTGGCATATATTTGTAACGAAATTATAAGCAAGCTGCAGCTGTGGCTTAAAAAACTTCGGCTCAGATTCCGTAAGATCTCTTAGTGCAATCAGCGCTTCTTCTCCACTAACCTCATTTTTTTCGATTATCCACGCAATAGCCTTAAATATCGGACTTAAAAGCTCTCCAAAATACATAGCATCAGGTGTATCAATAATCCCTATCATATTGCAACAAGCCTGTACACAAGACAATTTTACATCAGCATCATTGTTTTCCATTTGCCTTCTAAAAACCTGAAATAAGCTTTCTTTATGCTTCAACATTTCTTCATGAAAAAAGGGAAATAGCTCGTTTAAAGTATGAAATCCTGACGAAATTGTTCTATTATTATTTCCCATCACACATTCAAATAGAAAAGGCACTAATTGGTCCCATGACCCTTGTTCATCACTTGTGAAAATAGCGACTGCAAGCTCTGATATAACGTCTCCAAGCCTTTTGCATAACGCTAGCATGTTTTCTTTTTTCATAATTTCGAGCAATTCTGATTTACAAATTTCTTGGGATTCAGGGGTCAGTCTTTTCCAAATTTGGATCCTTGATGGTGATAAATTGGAAAACATCTGTCTCAGTATAACAGCCCCAAGCATTTTGACCATCCCATCTTGGCTTTGTCTAAACATTCTTAAAATACAAATCACAAACTCATTGGGATGTTCAACTCTGAGCGTCTGCAATTGATTTTCTGCTCTTTTTCTAATAGCATTATCAGAAGATAAAATCGAGGTCAAAATTCCTATGACACCTTGAACCTGCTGTTCAGTCACTATGTCCATTTTATGGTTATAAAATGCAAAGTGTCAGCGATGGGAGGATCCATTTGTATAAACCAGGCACTTTGGAGAGAAATGAAGACAGAAATTCAATTGTACTGCAAGCTTTGGAGACTGGGGATGGAGAATTGCTAGATTGGTGCATTGAAAATATGCAGGCGCCGCTAGATGTGCCTGATAGCTTGATAGCTCATTTGATTTATTTTTTGGCTGGAAGATTTTGGGTGCACTCAGACCCAAAAGCTTTAGGATGGATAAGAAGCACAATTGTGAATAATAAAGAAAAAATCAAAGGAAACCAAGAAATAAGGCTGGTGCTAGATGAAGTCAATGGGAAATTAAAAGCAAAAGCTGCAGGAATAGAAGAGGTTGGAAAGCTGAAAAATAAGCTCGACAGAATTTTTACACAAAATAAGGCTGCTCAAGATTTTGCTATTATTGAACAGCCACAAATAATAATCAATGAAGAAAACGATATGGATGTGGAAGATTAGTTATTAATTTTACATAAAACTATAGAGATTAAAATGCGATTATTGACATATTTATAGAAATAAAATGCACTCTTTAATAAATAGAAAGCGCTTTAGGCAAGCTGATGGTTCGCTAATTCAAGGAATTCCAAGTGAAGTGGAAACGTTTATAAAAGCCTTCCCAAACGAATTTTACCAGATAAAAGAAATTCCAGATGATCAAGATATAAAAAAGCAATACATTATTGCAGCTCTTTTTGAATGCTTTTTCTTTTATAGGCTAGATGAATTTTCTTGTTTTGAGAAGTGCATAATAAATTTCAATGTAGAAACTAATTATCCTATAGAACTTATAAGACGCTTTAAAATAGAAAGAATGCAATTTCTTGATAAGGAATTTGGCACAGAGATGTTTAAAAATTACTCAGTTTGATTAGTTAATTTTATTTGTAAATTCAATCAGATAGAGGGGGAAGATTTTGATCATAGAATGCTTAAAAATTTGACTCAATCACTCCCATTTAGAGCTGTTTTAGTTCGAAATGGCTCTAAAATATTTTACACAAATCCTTCAAGCATGGTTACTTTGATCATTTATATTAATTTGCAATGAATAAAAGCTAGTCGATGGCTACCCATTATTTTATTATGGCCAAAAACAAATGTTAGCAGGCATAATATTTCCTTTTGCTGTATATGGTATACCTTTGCAATGGTGCATTTTATATTTTTTACCCAAAAATTACCTTTAATTGGGATTCGATATATAAATTTATCCCTGAAAAAAATTCTCTTCAAACGGGTAAAATTAAGTTTAGCTGTTTTTGCTTAGTGAATCTTCCTGCACATCTAGATGGATTTAACCAATGACTAGAGATAACAAAAATGATGGAAATATGCCCAAAATGTGCATCAAAAAATACATCAATTGACAGAGAAATAATCAAGAAATTTAAAAAAGATTGTTTTTTTAATAAATGCTTCTATTGTAGGCAGAGCACAGATCTGATAAGCTTCGAAAATATAGACTATTCTTTTTGCCGATCTTGCATAGTCACTTATAGAAATTCAATTCTTAAAGATATAGGTTCAATTGCTAATCAGGAGAGATTTGATCCAATAAAAGCAATAAACACTTTGAGTGAAGAAATAAGAGAAATAGAAAAAAATTATTTTACATGCTATAACTGCAGATGCCTTAATATCAACAAAAATGATCCAGTACGTCGCTGCTTTACTTTTAGCCCTAATATATCTATCTGTAGGATTTGCATAAAAAACATGATCGATTCACAGCAATCTGAATTTAAGTATCAGAATTTGAAGGACCTATCCGAATTCCCCAATTATATAAATGTCATTAAAGCTGATAGAGAATTTTTAGAATTGTTTTGTGTGCGTTGCAATGAAGAATTAGCAAGCAAAAAACATATTGAAATTTTAAACCACGAAACTTGCATTCAAAGATATTGCCAAAAATGTCTAAGCCAAATAGATGTTGAGGAATGCTGCTGGTGTGGGAATCTGCTGATCAATACTTCTAATAATATTCTTTATGATATGTGCATAAGTTGCAATAAAAACCTTCCAAAATCAGTCATAAGCGAAGGTATATGCAAAATTTGTAAAACAGATTCTGAAATGGACATGGAAACAGAAAAAGAGTCCAGAGCAATGATCGACATAAAGAAATATTTGAAGACCCCTCTTAATTGAAAGAAAGTTAATAATGGTATAATAGAAATATCTCCAGAATTTAGAGATGATCGCAATATATATGTCGGAAATTGCCTTATTTTTAAACTTCAACTTGATAGAGGCTACATCTCTTCTGTATGAGTGATTCCAGTCATTTACCATCCAAATTTCAATAATGATGGAAAATTATCATCTGAGCTTGTTCTGCAAAAATTAAGAACAAAAAGCATTTCTGACGATTTACGTTCTCTTTTCAAAATTCTATATCACCCTAATGAGTCATTTATAGAAAATGAAAAAGCATTTAAACTGTGGAAAAATAACCAAAAGGGCTATAATTTGATGGCAAAAATATATCTCAACACAAGTGGGCTTGAAAATTCATAATACTAGCTCTTCATTTATTAAAAATATTATTAATAAAAATATTGAAAATAATGGTTGATTAGAATTAATATTAGATTTAAAATATTAGTAGGATAATCAATAATTTATTTCTCTGCTTGACTAAAGCCTCAAACTTTTTTTCTATATATTTTATTAATAATACTAAATATTCCATATTCACCTTTCCCTTCTTAATTCTAATACAATCAATATTCTTAAATTAGTAAATTAAAAATTTCATTACCCGAAAGCTTTTAAAGATAAATCTGAATAAAACTTGACATCGACATCGTCATCTCTGCTCATTGTCTTCAAAATAGCTTTTATCCGATCTTTTGTCGATGCATCAGTAACTAGAGGGAAAACTTCTTTGATAAGCCTAGCAATGTTAAGCCTTATATTAGGCACTGCATCTGATGACAGAGAAACTATCATTGGGACCACAATCGCTAAAATTTTCTCTTCAGACATTTTTGACAAAAACGCTTTTACCATGGAAATCATTGTCATTCGTCTCAGATAACTTTCACTTGCTTGGAATTCAGCTATTTCTTCACTGATTTTAGCTTCTGCCCATGTAGAGCCATATAGCTCAGAAAGTTCTTTGTAGCCTTTTATGATCGACTCTCTGACAGAGAACACAGAATCGTTCAGCAATTTTTTCATGATTGAGTCTAAATGCATGCTGAAAAATTCTAGGCCAAGCTGTCGGCCTAGTATAGGAATAGTATCAGCTGCTCTTATTCTAATTCTTCACTGTTTATCTTCACTTAGTTCTTGGAGAGCTGGTATTATATGTTTTCCAATAATTTCAAAACCTACGACTGACCCTAAGCTTTCTAAGTCAGAAAACAAACACATTCGTAAATCTGGAGAAGGGTCCTTAGACAAGTCATTCAGGATTTTTACTATGTGCATTTCGGTATTCGCTTTGCCGATTATTGGGGAAACTTTATTTATATTGGACGCCAAAGCAATTTTTACTGAGTCTACGTCAGCTGTTAAAGGTGACAAAATTTGCAAAATAATTATCATTTGGTCAATTGGCAAAAGTTTTCCAAACTCAGCCAATCTTGTGCAGGCCATTGTTCTTACTTCAGTTTCTGGGTCCTGCAAGAATTTAATGTAATAAGGGCATAATAAATTAGTCCTGTGCTCATTTGATAAACACTCTCCAAGCTCAGCTATTTTATCACATAGCATGTACCTGATTTTCCAGCTTTTATCCTCTAAGATTACTCTTAGCATCGGAATTATGCTGGCATTTACAATATTTTCAGGGTAAAATTTACAAAACTCAATAAGATTTTCAACAGTTAGCAGCCTCACTGTATCTTCTTTATCATTCGTTATTAGCCTCAGACACTCAATCAGCACATTTTCATGCGAAATACACACATTTGGTAGGAACTTCAAATTTTCTGCAGCCGACTTCCTCACCTGTGGCTGGTTATTTTCTAAAATTCCTTTAAAAATCTCAAGGACTGCTGTTTTTCCTTCATTTGACATGCTTCCTATACACACCGAAATAGCCATAGCAGCTCCACTTTTGGACGTAAAATAGTCGCCATCGTTCATTCTTTTAATCATATCAAGCAGTGCTGGCTCTAATAAAGGCATATCTAGCTGATTAAAAATTGTTTTAAAACTTTGAACGGCCGATGCACGCACTGAGGAGTCTTCTACTTGGCAAAGCAGCTCTAAAGGGTCAAACAGGACGTGTGCGAAATATTTTCCACCTACACAGTCAATCATAGTAGGCAAAATTTCTGAGAGTGACAGCAAAACTTGTTCTTCATCATCTATTAGTTCAGATAAATAAGGATAGAGATTAAGATTTTAAATGGCAATAAGTGGGCTAGCCAGATTATCTTGACTGCAGGAAAGGTGGCCTGTGCTGAGTACACCAGAATGCAATTTGTGTAAGGCCTAACCAAAATTTGCCCTCTTGAATTTTCTGGTGAGACTCTCTAGTCTAGAGCCACCCTCTGTAGGTGCTCTGATAGTCCTGATAGACGAAGGCTAGGTGAGAGGCAAAACTTGTCTAGAGATAGGGAAAACCTCCGGGGAGAAGCAAAACTTCCCTCTTTGGCAAGGCATTCCCAAACCTGAAGGCCTACTTTAAAAAGGGACAAAGACGCTGCTTCAGCTTCATCAGGATGGATCTTACCTGCTCCACATTGAGTGCGTCTCGGAGACAATTTCTGTCAACTTCACCATTTTATTTCTTTCAGATAAATAAGATTAAGATTAAAGGGCTTAAAGACTTCAAGGTTTATGCCTTTCACGCGTGCGACCGCCGGAGCCTGCTTGCGAGAGGCGTCCAGTTGCCTGGACCCTGTCTTATAGCGGCCTATTCCCAGACCTGGAGCTTGTACTGATATCCCTGAGTCTTGGCAGTTTAGAAAGATTCCGCTTGCTTCACATCTTGCGGGTGCAATGGAAAGGCTAGCTCGATACCTCCTGTCGCTTCATGATGAAGGTGACACCCATGAAAAAAGAACAACGGCCTTCCAGAAAGAACCCGAGGCCCAAAAACCATCGGATAACTAATAGCTTGACTGTATAGGACACCAGCTGACTCCAAAGGTTCCCATCCCATACGGCTGCTCAAGGCAAGCTAAGGGTTAAAATTAAAGGGCCCGGACCTTTAGGCTGTAAAGCCATTTTGGCGGCCAAAGTGATGCGCATCATGGCCATATTTTTCACCACCGCCATATTAATTATTCCAGATAAATAAGGAATCAGCTCAGTTCTAGTTCGTTCATAGCCTAAAGCAGTTGCAATTGTGCGGAGATTTTTGATGGAGTTTATCCTTCGTGAAATTTCGTCACTTCTAAGCTCATCTATGAGAACAGCGATAGGGTATAAAGAACTTTCTTCAGAATTTGACATAAATTTATTTTAACTAAAAATAAACCAAAATTAAAAAAAAAAATATAAAAAAAATACAGAAAAATTTAGGAAAAAAATAAAGAAAATAAATAAAACCATTATGAAAAGAAGGTATTTAATGATTGAAAAAAGAAGCCTCCATCCGGGTTTGAACCGGAGACCTTTTGCTTACTAAGCAAATGCTCTGCCGACTGAGCTATAGAGGCAGTGATCAAACTATGCAAGAATAATATTTATACAAAAAAACTTTTGTATCAGAGTGTTTATAAATTAAAGAAAATATGATTTTTATATAAATTAGCCGCACTATTCAAAATGGATTCTGTTTTTCGTACTCCTCAAGTCCACGTTATTGGCGAAATCATAGGTGCAAGTGGCTTTGCTTCAACTAAAGTATATGCAAGAGTAACCACAATATAGTGGCGTATGAATGTTGGTCATGATTGAAGGCTCCTATCAGGAATTGATAATGGTGAAACTTTCTATGACTGTACCGAAGTAATTGCCAATTAGCACGTCGAAGATATCTCTGTATTTGAGCATCCTTTAGATTTACATTATGCTTGTAAAACGATTTCTGGCTGGCCAAAATTTGACGTAGAAGTATGAACAGTTGATACACATGGCCGACATTCTATTGCAGGCTATGGCTGTCTTACACTCCCAATGTCCCCTGGACAATATGAACTCGACGTCCTCTTGTGACGACCAGAAGGCGGAATATATGAAAAACTCACAAGTTTCTTTTTATCTGCAAACCCTGAGCTTGTACACAAAAACATGGTAATCTCAGGCAACGACAGGTTTGGCCTGCAGACAATATCAACTGGAAAAGTGATGCTGAGGGTAGGAGTCATTGTAAAAGATTTTAATTTGCATGGAGTTTTAATGTAATGCATAATTAATATGAGAAGAGTTGTAGTGACTGGGATTGGAATGGTCACTCCTTTAGGAAACTCAGCAACTTCTACTTTTCAAGCACTTTGCAATGGTGAATGCGGGATTAGTAGGATTAATAATGATCAATTTCGAGCTCTTCCTGTACAAATAGGCGGAATACCTAAATTTCAGCCTGAATCTTGGCTTTCAAAATTATCAATAAAATCTCTTTGCAATACATATGCCTTGGCAGCGTGCACAGAAGCGTTAGAACAAGCTAATTATAAGAAAATAAACAAAAATGATATAGGAATAGTCATGGATTCCTGCTCAAGTGACATAGTGTCAGCTAATAAAAAGCTGAAAAACAGTGAAAATTCTCAAGAAAGCGAATTAGGGCCATCATTGTTTATGGACTCCAGATCTCGAATTTTGGCTGAATATTTTGACATTTTTGGGTACAATAATACTGTAGTTACACCATTAGGAGCTTTAGCGTCAGTAGGACATGGTTTTAATACTATACAGGACGGAAATTCTAAAGCTGTTTTAGTAATAGGATCCCAGCACTGTGTAGAGCCTATTCATATACAAGCTTTAGACAATCTTGGCTTATTAAATAGAGATGACAACGGAACTCCTAATAACTCAATGAGGCCATATGATATAAATGCTAAAGGAATTGTCCTAGGTGAAGGCGCTGCAGCATTAGTATTAGAAGATTATGAGCATGCTAAAAATAGAAGCGCAGAAATAATTGCAGAAATATTAAGCTTTGCAAGGACAAATGATGCAAAATATATATTAAAAGCTGATGAAGAAGGGAATATGATGGACAAAGCGATCAGTTTAAGCTTAGAAAGAGCTAATGTAGATGAAAAAGATATTAGTTTAGTGATTGGAGAAGGGTCAGGACTGCATGAAAAAGATAGGGTGGAAATACAAGCCTTAGAGAAATTGCTGAATTATCCATCAGTGACTACGTATAGAGCTGGATTAGGAAATATGATGGCAGCTTCAGGGCCAGTCCAAGCAGCACTTGGAGCTATTTCTATAAAAGAAGGCAAAGTATTTCCGATACACAATTTTAGCGCTTCTTTTAGGATTAAGGGAAGCATACCTGATATAGATTTTGTTAAAAAATGCAGCAGTTTGGCACTTGAAAATGTATTGCTGACAGGAATTAGTATTGGTGGGAATAACTACGCTATGGTTTTGAGTAAAGCCAATAGGAATTAATTTAGGCTCGATTTAAATTTTAAAAGGTCTAGTTATAAAAAATAAGATTTTAAGACAAGCAAATTAATAATTACACATTAGCACTTGCAAACTTCTCAGTTTTTATAATCTTTAAATCTGCAAACTGCCGATCTTGGGTCAATTTAATATACCCTTTATTAGCAATAATCAGCAACTCATAAAAGCCTCCAGCAACTACTTTTCTTTCTTTGTTTTTTGCTAACTCCTCCTTGAGTTAGTGAGAAGAATATTTTTTATATAATTTTTTGGTGCAAGTTATATGTTTAATATATAATTAAATGATTAAGACAATGAAAAAACAGTCAAATATATTAATATTTTAAAACAACAATTAAATTAGATTTTTTAATTTCAAATATTTAAAAATTAAAATATAAGAAAAAAATGTTTTTCTTCGAATTATGTATAAAATTTTTCAAGCAAAAAATTAATCCACTTGATTAAAAAGCTAGATTTTTTGCACAGTAACCAAGAGGAAGAGTAAGCTGTTATACCCAATCATATTATTTTTTTTCATATTTTGCTTTAAAAGTGCCAGCATTTTGGCTGATCTTTGACTTCAATCTTCTCTTGTATCTACTACAGGCGGAGATGGCGGAATTACAGGCTCAAATTCTTCAATTGGCTCATTTATAGGGAAATTTTCGTCTAAAGGCTCAATAGGTGATGACGGGTTAAACTGATTCGCATCAAAGTCATCAGGTTCATATAAAATAGGCTGCTCTTCTTGCTTTTTCACTGGAAACTTCCCAGTTCCATCATAAAATTCTTTAAGCTCAGCTGGAAGATCAGGAATTATTGCTCTTTGAAATAAGCTGATAGCATCTAGCCTATACTCTTTTACTGTAAACATACTATGCATTTTCAATATCTCCCCTTCACTTGTATATAAATTGTCATATTCTTGTGTCATTATTGTCTCTTTATCATCAATCCAATGCTTTTTCATGCTCCTGTGTTTTTCTATTTTTTCTGTTTTTTTTCTTTTTTTTATTGCTATTTTAGGAGTTGCCAAGCTAATTTTGTCAGCATTCTCTTCCGTCCTTTCTAGCACTGGCTGCGGCATTTGAAAATCATTCATCTCTACATCGATATCAGGCCCTACCATACTTGTGTCAAGCTGCATTCCATCATCAAATTTCATACTAGAAGCTACGTCAAATAGAAAATTATCAGTGATATCCAATTCCCCAACACTTTTCATACCAGTCGAATATCTTGAGTATCTTGGCGTATATTCAATTTCTTTTAATGTAATTTCATCTTTTGAAGCTCGATTTCTAGCAATTTCAACGCTGGATCTGGCACTTTGAAGTAAAGAAGAAGACGATAAAGAGTTTTCAAAGTATGTTAAAGGCTTGGGCTTTTTATTAGACATAGTTATGTCAGTTGAGGTAGCTTTTGTGTTAGCGTTTTTAGATTTTTCCTTACCTGTGGTGACGTCGTCGATTAAGGATTCGACTTCTGAGAGGATTAGGAGAGCTTTACGGTAAAAAAGTTTGATTATTCCGATGAGAAGGTACCCAGAGACTCGAAGACGAATTTGAGTTTGAGGAGATTTTATTACGTCTATGGATTCTGTGATGTTGTGGTTTTTTATGATATTCTTAGTAAGCTTTTTTTCCCAGTGAGCAGCTAGTCAGACTTGGGCTAAAGCTGCATTGTCACTGATTACGAGTTGTGTATTCATTATGGCGGGCTAAATAAGTATGCTAAAAATGGTTATATAAAATGCTTACTTACAAAGTCATAATTGGATTTTTTCTTATATGTCTCTCTGGGTACTTCTATTATGACTTCACCAGCATCCGAACACCTTTCTCTAACAAGCGAAATCCTTGAACCCACCAATATTCTTCTAACAAAGATGTAAATATCAGTGACTATGACTGTCCAAGCTGCTCCTGGAATCTCTATACCCCTAACCCTTCTTTTACTAAATTTGAGTCTATCTATGAGTTCAACGACGAAGCTATTCCTCCTGAAACCCCTCCAATCCTATGTATCCCTGACAGTTTTGGCTATACCCATGAAGAAGCTGGCCGAATTTTCCCAAAAATTGATTTTCCTGACTGTGTTGAGAAACTCCCTCATAAGTACCCATTTCTTGATTTAGACGTAGAAAAGAATATCCTTACTATGAATTGCAGTAAAGTTTCAAAATATCCTGGAAGATATGTCCTTGGGATGAGCCAAGAGGATGAAGAGCTAGGTGTTAAAGAATATACAATACCATTTGAGGAGTATCCAGGAAAGCCAGTTAAGCTAAAAAATAAAGAAGAATGGGCATATGCTACTTGTTATGAGGACAGAGACGAGTATTTAGAAGAAGCTGCTTATCATCATAGGCCAAAACCTGAAATTTTAGAAAGGCCTGCCCAAGAAAGCCCAATTGTGTTTATAAGTTTGACGCTTGATTCTGTATCAAGAAGAAATTTCTATAGAAAACTGCCAAAAACAATTGAATTTCTCCAGTCTCTTGAAGATGATTATAAAATTTTTGACTTTAAAATCCACAATGTAATGGGTGAATACTCAGCCAATAATTTAGCACCTCAGTTTTTCGGCGACATTGAATATAAAACACATAAAGACAAAGTGTATAAAGACATTTTCTGGGAAAAAAGCATATGGAAATACGCCAAAATGGCTGGGTTTGTAACTTTATTTATAGAAGACGGCTGCACCAATGATCTCGCCAGGTACTTCGGAAGATCTATCAAAGTTGACCACATTGGGACCTATTTTTGGTGTGGCGCCAAAAGATTTAATAACTACGAAAATAACATGGAATCACAGCGCTGTATTGGCCGAAAAAATTCCCATGTTTATATATAGAAATTGCCCGAGGATGGCGCTATTTTGCGCCATCCTCGGGCAATTCAAAAAATGGCCCCACACGGGAATTGAACCCACGTGTGGGCCATTTTTGGTACGTGGAAGCCAATATTCTCCACATACCAAAAATGGCCCCACACGTGGGTTCAATTCCCGTGTGGGGCCTGTTTTTTGAATTGCCCGAGGATGGCTCAAAATAGCGCCATCTCGGGCAATTTCTATATATGACTATATTTCAGAATTTTCTAAAAATTACAGACAGCAGAGTCAATGGGTTTTTACCCATATAAATACTGCTCATGAAAACTCAGGCAAAATTATATCGACACTTGATATAGATACCAGGGATTTTTTAAAGGCATATCTTACCCAACAAAAAGGTGTAAAAATTGTTTTATTTATTAATGGAGACCATGGAATGAGATATGGGGAATGGTTTAAAAAAATTGATGGGTCTCATGAGCATAGGCTGCCTTTATGTATGTTTATTGCGTCGAAATCACTATTAGATATGATTCCTAATAGTTATGATATTTTGACTCATAATTCCAATAGGTTGACCACAAAGCTAGATTTGTATACAACCCAGCTGCATATTTTTTCATTACTTAGCCAGAATATTACAAAAGATTCAGAAGAGTATAAACGTAATTTGTAACTAGGGGTATAAACAAATGACTACTGAGAGATTCCAGCCTATTAGTTATTTTCTTGAAAAAGCACCGAATAATAGAACTTGTGAGTCTATTGGAGTCCCTGCATTTTGGTGCTCATGCTTAAAATTTACAGAAATTACAAACAGCACCTACCCAAATTTCGTCAGAAAGCTTGCTGATGAAGTTATTTACCAAATTAACGAAGAAACAAATTCCCCACGACAAGCACCTTATGACCATATTTGCCAAAAAGTTACCTTAAAAGAGATAAAAAAACTATGGGTGTTAAGCATTTCTGAGGATTTTTATAAGTTCCATATTATGACTCATGAGTCTGAAAAGGCTCTTTATGAAGCTGTGGTTCTTGTCACTACTGCTCCTTTAAGGGCAAGAAGCATGCTGGATGCTTTTACAATTAATCCTTATTTTGAGACAGGTAAAAAAAGGATATGGATTGCTTATATTAGAAGAGTTGACTCCTATGCAGGAATATGTGAGACTATTACAAAAGCAAGGAAAATTTCTTCTGACTCCCCCCCTTCGTGAGTGAACAAAAAAATTTTGTTCACTTACGGAGGGGGGTTAATTTGTTTTTTTTTTTAAAAAATTATATATAAGTTTTTATAAAAAATATTTTTTTTCGAAATTTAAAAAAATCCTAATTCGCAAAAAATGGAAAGCAAATATTAATTTAATTTATAAAATTTATGTTTTAAAAAGCAATTCGTTTGAAATTAAACAGAATTAGCTCTATATTTCATTATACTAATTATCATTTATATATCAAAATTTTTTTCCATAAAAAATTTTTCTATTAAAAAAATTTTCGTTCACTCATGGAGGGTGGGTTTTTTGGGCAAAAAATAGCGATTTTTCTAATGGTTTTGTTCACTCACGGAGGGGGGGAGTGAGTTATGTATATGTAAAAATACAGACGAAATTGTGAAAAATGAGCCAAACCTTTCTCCTTTAATTAAGTAGCATAAATTACTATTAATTTATTTCTTTGTCGCGCGAGGTGCACTCGCAGGTCGCATTAATGATTTTTTCTGCTCCAGCTCTTCAATCATGCTTAAAATCCCTCCTCCATCATTTTCTTCTCTTTTAAATGTATATCCAATAAAATGGTTATCTCTCATATGCTTTTTTCTCTTTGGCGGAATTACAGGATAAAATGGTTCAGTTTCCTCAATATTATCAAAATTACTTGTATCAATTTCATGCTTTATTTCAGGGATTATAGGAGCTCTGGTGTTTCTTATAGCTCTCCCTCCGCGAACGAACAAAAAAATTTTGTTTGCATACGGAGGGTAATTTTTTTAAAATTTATCTATAAATTTATATGCTAATTTTTTTCGAAATTTCCAATTGAGAAAAATTGAAAAGCAAAATTAATTTAATTTGTAAAGTTTAAGTTTTTAAACGACAACTGTTTTAAGCTATATTCGTTTTATTAACTATCACTTATATATCAAAATATAAAAATTGTGTTCGCTCACGGAGGGTAGGTTTTTAACCCAAAAATAGGAAATTTCAATGGTTTATTTTGCTCACGAGAGGATTAAGTATTTATAATGATTGAAAACCTCTTTAGATACAATTTACGATAAAATACTTGAAGATGCAGGAATTCCCTTTTAATATAAATAGGCATATATTATCTCAATCAATTCCTTCAAAAAAAGGATGGCTTTTTATCTCTTCTATGCCGTTTTTTCCTAATCTTTTATCTGCAGGAGCAATCAACCTCCTAAGAAGGTCAATCGCATTTTCTGAAAGCCTTGATTCTCTCGGGATTCTGAAGTGCTTTTGCCATGCCACAATTTTATAGCAAGTTTCGGCTGGCTTATCTGAGAAAAAAGGAGGGTAACCAACAAGCATTTCAAATAAAATTACACCAATTGACCATCAGTCGACAGTTTCGCAGTATCCTTGCTTGCTGAAAACTTCTGGAGCTATATAATCAGGTGTCCCTACAGTAGAAAAGGCAAGATTCCTGTTCCTTCGCACCTCTGCGCGCTTTTCAAGGGTTTGTCTATAATTTTCTTCATCTTCTAGCTTTAATAGAGTTTCATTATTTTTATTTACATTCATATCAAAATGCTTGGAAAGGCCAAAATCTGTCAGTTTTATATGTCCGTTCGCATCCATAAGCAAATTGTCTGGTTTTAGATCTCTGTGTATATATATTTTGCAGGTTTAAATGATAAATTATTTTAATTCAAATAAAATTATTTGTATATAAAATAGGATTATTCACTGTTAGATATTTATTTTAATAGAGAATAGTTTAATTTGTGTGTAGAATCGACAGCTAAAATAGCTTCTGCAATATAAAATCTTGCTTCAGCCTCTGTTAAAACATCTTTTCTTACAAGCAAAGTCATTAAATCTCCTCCAGGCAGATACTCCATAACTAAATACAGATATTTCTCATCTTGAAATGAAAATTTTAAACCTACAACCCATGGATTATCTGCGTTAGCTAATACATCTCTTTCAGCCTTTATTTTGCTATATTATTATTGAGAAGCACTCCATCGGCCATGCTGATTTTCAAGTCCTTTGCTTGCTAGTCTAATTGAACAGCCTGAAGGTATATTTTGCTCCTCCGGACGAGTACTTGTGCCCGCTACTAAAGGTAAAGAAGCTGAGTCATCGACCGTAAGTTAACGAGGTTGCCCCTTTCCGTTAATTTAAAATGCTAATTTTCTGGCCAGACTGAATTTGCAGCTCAGGACACAACTCCTGGCATTGCATTGGAAAATAGCCTGATTGACCAAGCGAGCACCCTTAAAGTTTGCTGGACTATCCCTTTCCAAATTCCATCGTCCCTTGACGGAAAACCTTCCCTGAATGTGAGCCTGATGTCAGTCAATCCGACATTGCTTCACCAGGCCAAGTAATACCTGGCCGATACTTTGACCACACACTGCACTCCCTTCCACACTCGCCAGACTCCGCCTGACTGTATGTGTTAAGAGAGCAGGTTGGCTCGCCACGCCATTTTTAAAATGTCTTTTCAGCCTTTACATGTCGCATTTGGTTTTTAAAAATCATTTCAGTTTTATCTATATAATATGCCATGAATGCCTCCTTTTTTTATATATAAATCAAATATTGTACTTACTCAAGCCACGCATAACTTTTTCATTGCTAAAATTTCACCAGTCGCTTTTCTTCGAACTAATCTTACCTGTCCAAATGCTCCTTTTCCAATTAACTTAATAGGTTCAAAGTCATAAATATTGATCCTCTGTCGGCTTCTCCTTAAGTTTTCAGCTTCTCTATGGAATATCTCTTGCTTGATATTTTGCTGCTCAGCATGGGTCAGCTTCATTTCTCTCATTTTATTATGCAATTCATTTCATTCGATTTTTTTCCGCTCTTCTATTTGTCGGAGCCTTAGGTATTTTCTTTCAATGAAATCTTTGGCTGCTTGAGCTTTTTCACGGGTATTTGAAGAAATTTGGTCATCTGGCTGCTTGCTTTGAGAAGGAGGCTTTTGACTTGCCATGATATTTAAAAATAATTGTGAATTCTTGTTATTCTGTTTTTTTTACTTTCACCAACTTGAGCGAGCAAAATCATTAAAAAATTTGGTATCAATTAAACATTATTTTAATAATAAAAATTTTTATAAAAAAATGATATTTATTAAAATGGAATTTATAAAAATTTATATAAATTATATTTCTAATTATTGGAATTTAGAAAAAAAAATTTGCCACACAGAAATGTGGGGAAATTAGTAAAATTCCAGCTTTAATATGGCTTTCACAACAACTATATGATAATTTAATTAAATTCTTATTTTATAAATCTAACACCAAATAAGAATAAAAATTGATTGAAAATGAAACTCTTAATAAATATAAAATTATTTTATTGAGAGGCCATAAGCACTTTGATCTCTCTTTATTATAATTTATCTAATTTTAATATTTTCAACAAGTGCTTACCTGACAACAGCTACATATTTTCTTATATTTCCTAAGTCCCTCCATCATATAATCGCTAGCATTAATAAACATTCATATAAAATGGGACAGAACTTAACCCTGCAGGATTACCTCACTGACTTCATTGAGCCACCCTACACCCACAAACTCCCTCCCACTCATATCCCTTGTTATCCCCTATCTCCTTTAATCTCTTATTTTCCCTCACCTTTACATTTCTTTACCCAAAAGGCCTAAAAAAAGAAATGAAAAGCATTGGAAAAATGCTCAACTAAACTTTAAATTCCATAGGTTAAAGCTAAAAACGATGGCGCACAAATAATTATTGAATATGGAGCTCAAAGCCGAAATAACCAAACCAAGAAAACAAATCCAACAAAAGGCGGCATCGGCTGAGGATTTCGCGCAGTTCGTCAAGGATATCGTGAAAGCTGAGGTCAAAGAGGTACTGAAAAGCCTTGTCACTGAGGAGGGCATACAGGTAGGGAAGAAACATATCGAGAAATCTAGGAATAAGTAATTCATATGCAGAATAATAAAAAAGATTATGGATGGAGACAAAGGCAGGCTCCAAACTGATCCTTCGACAGTAGAGAAGATCAAAGTTTTCGTCAAGCGTTATCTTATACATCAATTCATCAGACACCAGTAGGGATGTAAGCAATTAACTATGCTTTTGTGGGTGAATTGAGATTATTCTGTAGAATTTATGAGGTGTTAAGGTAAATAGAAATTATTAATTTAAGAATTTGGGCTTATTCGCTATGAAATTTAGATTTTGATAGTGAGGATTATAATTATAAATTAATATAAAGGTTTTATATAAAAACATTAAAATTTATTTTATATGGTATAATATTTGATTTTTCTTTTAAAGAGTAAAGCGATTCTTTAAATGGTCCGCTGGGCCCAGAGATTCCATAAGACGCTAAGCTTTGTTGTAATCCTCTATCAGTTTCTCGAATAGCATTCTTTCTGCCAATTGGGCTTGAGCTGGCCAATCAATATGAATTATTTGAGCCGGAATTATTAATTTTTCTTTCTGAATTTTTAAGCAATGAGCTTGCAAAGCTATTCTTTTATATAAAAATAAAGCTAAATACTTAGCAGTCACTAATATTTTATTGTCAATTTAATAGAGAATATTAAATTTTGGGCTTGGCATATCAAATTCTATTGTCTGAGTGCTCGAGTCACTGAATTTCAAAGCATCAGTTATCGTAGATTTATCATCCTGTGATAAAGAATGCCTACTATACACACTGATATCAACTCCAGTGCTATAACTAACAAAACTCGGAAACTCTGAAGGGGTGCAGGCCCTTGTTTCCATTCTTGAAAAACTTCGATTGGCTTTATTTTCTATTACTCATGGGTACCTTGATTTTCTATCTCTTTCTTTTTCAACAATTTTTCTTCACCTTAAATCTGAAGCATCATAAAAAGAATAGACCGCCATCTCAATTATTTTTATTTAAAAACAACTATTTTATTACTAGTCATCAATTGTTATGTATTATTTCTTATTTGTATATTTCTCAAATGCGTCTACTGTTTGAGGAATTGAATTGATTTTTAAAGCTTCTTCATCAGTTAGTTCTACACCTAATATATCTTCTAAAGCTACAATAGCTTCTACAGTATCTAATGAGTCAAGCCCTATATCTTTAAAAGTAGCATCTTGATTTAATTTTGCCGGGTCTACAGTGTCAAATTTTTTCAAAACTTCGAAAATTTTTTCTCTAAGCCCTGCACTTTCTGCTGTCACGAAATGCCTTCCTGCTACAGCTCTAACCAATCGCCACATTTATATACTTAAAAATGCTTGGTAGACTTGCAAAGAGCTCTTTAAGAAGCTTTACTACCCATCACGCCTGGACGCCTTCAAGGTACTCCTTCCCCTCAGCCCATGCTTTTGAAGTGACTCCTGAAACAACAGAGCTATTCGTAAGAAGAGTCATTAAATGTATAAGAGAACGCCTGGTGACTTACGACCCCGAAAGATGGAGAGGAGTTGAGATCACTTATAATTCTCACTGGAACCATGGCGGATATGTTGACATTCCTACCTGTATTCAGGTTCATGAAGCGTTAGAAAAGGAGTTTAAGGTGGAAATATTGGATCAAAGAATTTTGGTTACTGATGTAAGCACTGCATGTGCTCTCGTTGCAGGAATTGAACACCTTAGATAATCTTTTAAGCAAGTTCATTGAATTTGAATTTAAATTATATACTAAGTATAATGAATAAAGCACGATTTATATTAAAATAGGCATGCTTCTATTCATTATAATTAGTATATATAATTTATGGGATTTTGAACAGATTGCAGCTAGATATTTTACTACTTTTTACATAAGTGGCTAGCCAATCGTATTAATATAATAAATATGCTTAGACGCCTAGCAACGAGGACCTTTAAGTCATGGCATCAATATCACGCAGAAAGCCTCGGCCTCACTATGGCCGAATACCAAAAAATGCGAGAGCAGAAAAAGGACGGCGGCTTTGAAAAGTGGAAAAGAGAGGTCTCAACAGGCAACAAAATTAGCTTTTTATTAGACCATTGCAACGACGAAGAAAGAGCCCGCTACATTAAAGAATTCTCCACAGCAGAGCTTGCTACCTATCTCAAGAATCACGTGGGCAATCTAACTGACGAACAATTGGCTAAACTTGTTGATTCTAAGGTCTCTTATCATAGCTTATCAATATTAAATCCAATCTTTAGCTACGGTGCAAATTTAAGGACAGCGAAAAAGCTTTCAACAGTCAAAGATGATAGACTGGCAAGCGAAGTTGTGGTCGAAGAAGTTCTTCAAGATAAGCTTAAAGAGCTTGAATGGAGACAAATTGATAAGAACATTGTGGACGACGTTTGTGTCACTAAGTCTCAAGTAGTGGAAGAAGCGCACCAATAAGATAATGAGAATTATCTGAATTTAATATTTACTATTAGATGTAATAGAATGGAAGAAGTCTTTCTAGCCCTGATAAGTCCTGCATGAATTGAGACTCGAGATGCTCCCATTTTTCTGTTTGAATTGTAGATAAAGAAGAAGCTTGGGTTTTGGAGAGCTTGTCACCGTGGATACGTAAAAAACAAGCCAAAATGCTTTGGAGGAAATCGTAGTCTGGAGAGGATTTTAAGGCTTCGAGGAGATAGGAGGTAAATAGAGGGACTTCTTCGTCAGATAGGGTGAGGATGTTAAGTTCGATTTTGCCAGGGGATAAGGTTTTGAGGTAGTTTGTGACGGATTCAGAAGAGTGCTGAAGATGGGGGGTAAGGTCTGACTCGTCGAATTTGATTTTTTTCCTTGGTTTGTCGTCTTCTTGTGTAGGGACTTGGGCTTTGACAATGTTAAGAGAGTCTGGTAAGAAAAATGGCACTTTTTCAGGCTTTTTTGGAGGCTTGATTGGCTTGTTTCTTTCTTTAATGTCGTCCAGGTTGTAAAGGGCTTGAATTCTGTGGTATGGGATATCTGATGTTTTTATTGAAGAATGATCAGGAACTTCTGGGAGTTTGTCAAATTGTGTTATAGAGTCTGCAGGCAGCTCATTTGGCTGTGTAACGAGCTGCTGCACGTCGATGAATTTTGAAGAATAAATATTTTTCCCTTTGCTTGCTTCAAAACCTTTGATTTTTCTCGGCTTTTTGGGAGATTTCTCTATGATTATAGTCTGGAAATAAGCCTTGTTCATCCACAAATAGACACCTAAGCAGCCCTCGTGGGCTGTTGCTAACTCCCCCCCCCCCTCCGTGAGCGAACAAAAAAATTTTGTTCGCTCACGGAGGGGGGTTAATTTTTTTGTTTTAAAAAAAAATTTATATATAAATTTTATAAAAAATATTTTTTTCGAAATTTAAAAAAATCCTAATTTGCAAAAATTGGGAAGCAAATATTAATTTAATTTGCAAAATTTATGTTTTAAAACGCAATTTGTTTAAAATTAAACAGAATTCCCCTGATGGCGCAAATGCTAGGCTGACAGGGGCGGAGTCAAACTGAAGCCACTCAATTAGCCTACTGCTTGGGATGTCCCAGACCTTAATAGTTTTTTCTTCACAAGCTGCAAGCCATCTTGAATCATAGCTGAAGCTTAAATCCTTTACCCCTGATGCTGCGAATTCTCTTGTAATTTTCCCACTGCGTATATCATAAAGGACTATTAAATTTTCCATAACAACTGCTAGCATATTACTAAATCTATCCAGCTCTATTAATAAAGCCTGTCCTGCTAATTGAACTCTTTTAAGAAGCTTCCCAGACAGAAAATCCCAGAACACAAGCTCAGAACTGGAGGAAGAAATCATAATTCTATTAAGGGCATCAATACAAACTCCAACCAACTGTGAAGAGTGCTCACCTTTGAATTCAAATTGATGCAAGCCAGACTGCATATTAAATTTCTCCAATTTTCCGCTTGCAAACCCAGCTTAACCTTAACCTTAACTTTGCATTTAGAGGTCATTATACAATTTATAGCAGAGCCAAAGCTCACTGCGCTAGGCATCAACGCCGTTATTACCCACCGTTAACGATGGCAAAGCGATTTACTTCTCAACTCACTCCATTGTCTTGATCAAAAGACTCGCCTTCAATATGTTTACACCCAATTAGCTTGTATCTCATCATTTGGATTCCGATGAGATGACTTTTCCATCTTGTCTTAGACGATTCTCCTCTCTACCAACTTTGAATCATCGCATACTCTGGTAGTCTACACTAATTAGTCTTCGTCTACACGCCTTGATGTCGCCAGCCATCATATCCTAGGAGTCCAAGGCCATTGACCCAGTGAAAGGGCTTAACATGAGGAAGACCTCGTTGAGAAGCAAAAACTTCGCCGTAGGAGAAAAATTAGCTTAATTAAAAATAGCTCACGGTCGCTCGAGCTAACTTCATCTTTGGCTTATATTTTTTGCAAACCCAGCTACTCCATAATTTCCGCACGGGCTTACACATGTGGCAGTTACCTCAGAGTCCTGCTTTACCTCAATTGGCTTTTGTCCAAGTACCTTATTTTCATAGCTCCATAGCAATGGCTCTTTTTGGTTTTTATGACAAGTCAGGATATTGCACCAGTCTTTTTCCCTGGTTTCTGAAAAATCGAAACTTTTGTAGTTTTTAATAGAAAACTGGATATGGGATTTTTTGATAGCTTTGTGGATGTGTTTGACTGAGAGGTCAGTGCTTTGGTGCTCGTTAAGGATTGATAAGTCTCTTAAAGAGTTGTTGGAGCAGGCTAAAATGTGCTGAGGGTTGTAAAATCGAATGTGGTGGGGTGATGAGTTGAAGCCGGAGCGCTGCTTTAAAAGGCGAGGCTCTGGGTCTGAAAATTCAAAGACCCATTGTTTTAAGGAATTGTCAGGACCTGATGAGGTTATTAATAAAGGCTCGCCAGGAGGAAAGAAAACTTTGTCAACTTTGAAGCCAGGATGGGCTGAAATTGTGGCTTGGAGCCTTTGTTCAGGTAAGTCCCAAATGTGGACTTGTCCTTGGGAGTTTCCAGTTGCAAGCTTTTCTTTGCCTGGATGGGTGCAAAAACTTATGCTTGTGACTGCTCCATTTTGGGTGAGCTCAAACAGGACGTTGTCATGCAAAATATCGGCAAAAATAATTTTTCCATTTTCCAAGCCTACTGCAATTATGCTTATTAAAAATAAAAAAAATATTTAAAACTGATATACCTAGATCTTGTACTGCATATAATAAGAGATTAGCTTCTAATAATTAAAGATTAGGCTATTTTATTAAATATACATCTAAAGCTGGGCTGTGTTCTAAACTTGTAATTTCTGAGTCAATATGGTTGGTGATTTTTGGAAAATTGTATATAGTTGACTGGGTTTTTACGTTTATTAATAAAAGCTGCTTACCTTTTAGTGCAAGGATGATTTTGTTTAAATAGGTAGGAGGGTGTAAAATAATTAATCCTTCATGCACTAAAGCCATTTTTCCAAGGGATTCTGCAGACTCCGCATTTCAAATTATCCTATTCTTTATAAAAACAATAATATTTTTTTCCTATTTTTACTTAAAATAATTCAATAAAGTACAGCATAATAATTCCGCTGAAAAATTTAATGCCAATAAGTAATCGCCGAATACAAAAATTTCTGAAATCGCAGATTTTGATCCAGAGAAAACCTTTTCTTGTTTGACTTTATGCCAAGCTGAAATGGTATTTCCAGCTGCCACAAGTATCAAGTCTTTATACGAAGCTACGCTGTTTACTGTGTGTTCGAACTGAGGACCTAGATACCTTATCTTTAGAGATCCTGCATAATAAGTAATATATGATTTCGCAACAGGAAGAGATATGAGTGGCTCAGGATCATCTTTATGCCATACAAATCCCATGTCTCCACATGTTAAGCCAAGAGTTCTGTGGACTTCAAAGATGGCCTCACTCATTACTTTTATTATAATCTAATCATCATAAAATGAAGCATAATAAACTTATTTAAATTTTATTTAATATAAAATTATTCAATAAATTTTTCAGAAAATGAAGACAATTTCAAAGCCCGAATTATTAATAATTTAATTTATAGTCACCTCAGGTATATTATAGAGCTTTGTAATTTCATTAAACTTTACCTCAAAAATTTGGTATAAACAATAAAATGGAAAGAAAGCCACAACTTAAGAAATCTTCAGTTCTATGCACATCTGGCGAGTATAAACAGCTAATTAGAGAAACCCCTAAGACTGACTATTCAACTACCGCTACCCCAATTCCGTCTCCTTGCCCATCACCAGTTTCTTCTTTCTATTCAGTTTCCTCTTTTATCAATTCTTTCACATCTGACTCTTCTCATCTTTCTGCAACTTCAAAAAATGAACTCCTCCAAGACCTCGAAAAAAAAGTCGTGAAACTCTATGAAGTTGTCAACAAAAAATCCGAAAAAGTTAATAAAGAACTCCACGCATTGTCTGAAAGAAGCCAAATGATCCAAAGATTCAAAAAAGGGATTAGCGGTAAAAGGCCAGAATGGATAGAAAACAAAATACGAGTAAAAATGTATAGAGAGGTTGAAGAAAGAGAAGCAGAACTGGAAGCTGAAAGCAGAGAAGTAGAACAGTGGGAAATGAGAATAAAAGAGAAGGAAAAAGAGTTGGAGAAAGAAAGCAGCAATTTAAATGAGAATATTCTGGCAGTAAGAGAGCTGGAAAATAGAAGTGAGCTTGCAAAAAAAATTGAAGGGAATGAGAAGGGATTAAAGAAGCTTGAATTTGAATATTCTGAGCTAACAGAAAAATCAAAGAGGCTAAGAAGGGATTTTATTATATATAATGAACAGCTCCAAGCGATTTATGCTAAGCTTGATATACCTGAAAGTTTAAGTTTAAGTTTATTGAATTACTCTAGCATTTTAAATGCCTATAAAGTCCCCTTGCTTGAGGTTCAGCTAAATTAGCAGCTCTGAACAATGGTATGTGAACCGGCCTAACCGTCTAACCGTTAAAGTAAATAAGCCAGTTAAGACTTCTCTAGTCAGTCCCAGACACAGCAGTGACCCTTCTCTTCAAAGCCGAAGCTCTCAAGAAGTTGACTTCTCTCACTGAGCTCGGTATATAGGTCCAATCCTGTTTGAGCATGAGCTAGGACCTTTCCCTAACTGACATTTTTAATATTGTGTACCTGAAAGTAAAATTAAGCAGAGACAAGTGTTAATTTCAAACACACAAGAAAAAATCAGAGAAAATGAATTAGTCAGAGAAAGAGTAAAAAATGCAGAAGAAAACTATAAGGAAATTAATGAGAAAAATAAAATTACACAGAAATGTTTGTTGTCATTAGAAGAAAAATATTCCAATAAGGAAAAAAGTAATCACAACAAAATAAAAACTCTTGTAAAGCTAAAAAAGAATATTGAATTTACACAGTCTGAGCTTAATTCTTATAACTCACAAATCTCTGAAAGTCAAAGAGAAATTTTAATTAAAAAGGAAAAGATAGACGAAGCTGAAGAGATTTTTGAGCAAAAACATAAAGAAATTGTTACTGAAGAAAATAGGCTGTTTATAATAGAGAAAGCATTGAATGAAAAGCTGAAATTGTTTGAAGAAGAAAATAATAAATTTAGTAGTCCTGTCCATAAAAGGAAGATGAGATCTCTTACGCTTAAGGTTTCTGAAATAAAAAATAAGGAATCTAGGCTGCTAGAGATTGAAACCAATAGGAATCCATAATGAGGTATAGCGCTTTCCCGAGGATGGCGCGGAATGGCGCCATCCTCGGGAAAGCCAGGAAGGCATCCACACGGGAACTGGGAGTTCCACGTGGGGATGCCATTTTGACATGTGGAAGTTTGGATCCCACATGTCAAAAATGGCATCCACACGTGGAACTCCCAGTTCCCGTGTGGATGCTTAGTTGACTTTCCCGAGATGGCGCCATTCCGCGCCATCCTCGGGAAAGCGCTATATTTTTTATATAATTAATAATAATAAAAAGTTTTGTTATGATTGAAATGCTATTATTGATAATTATAGTTTTATTTGAAAAAACATTTGATAATAAATTGCAATGCTGATAAATTTTTTAAAAAAATATTTTTATTAATAATATTTCTAACCCCTTCGTAGTGAGCAAAAAAAATTTGCCAGGAGTTAAAAATTTATAGTTGATTTTTTTCAAAAAATTTTAAGTTTTATTATGTAAATCTTTAAAAATAAGATATTTCATTATAATAATTACGACTTTTATATAAAAATTTTTAGATTTGTTAGCTCAAAAAATATAGTCTCTTGTGCTTATTTAGGAGGGATTTTTCCAATGGTTTTGCTCACTCAAGGGTAAGTATTTTATTTTTAAATTTAACTATAAAATTAAATAATTGTATTAAAAATTAGAAAAAGAAATATCATAACAGCTATTATTATCCAAAATTGTAAATAAAAATTACATTCAATAATATAACTGAAAATAGAAGTAATATAGCATACCCCAGCAGAGAATAATATACAGGGGGTGACAAATCGAAGGAAGGAGGCTGGATCTCAGTAGATCGTAAGACAAGCTTACTCTCGTACGTACAATCCCTCGTTCCATGTAAGTGGTCTGCAAAAGATTTGTCCCAGTCACTATTTGGTACATTGAGAAGCCGTCTTCAGCATTTCGCCTGGACAAGGATCTCAGTTGGGAGTGGGATTATGGTTTCCATAGGTGACTGGCGGACGTCGCGTTCCAGCATTGATTCTGACTTAGAGGCGTTCAGCCATAATCAAACAGATGGTAGCATCGCGACACTTCCTTGTCAGGAAATCGCATGAACCAGTGATCTGACCCAACGGTTCCTCTCGTACTGAGTTGGATTACTGTAGCGACATCAGTTCATCAGTAGGGTAAAACTAACCTGTCTCACGACGGTCTAAACCCAGCTCACGTTCCCTATTAGCGGGTGAACAATCCGACACTTGGTGAATTCTGCTTCACAATGATAGGAAGAGCCGACATCGAAGAATCAAAAAGCAACGTCGCTATGAACGCTTGGCTGTAAATTATTTATTATTTTTCTATATATAATTTATATTCTATATTTTTTTTTCTGATATAACTAGAAACCGCTTGGCTGCCACAAGCCAGTTATCCCTGTGGTAATTTTTCTGACACCTCTGGTTTAAGACTTTTAAAAAGCAAAGGATCGATAGGCCACGCTTTCGCGGTTTGTATTCGTACTGAGAATCAAAATCAAGCAAGCTTTTCCCCTTTTGGTCTACAAGAGATTTCTGTTCTCTTTGAGCTTGCCATAGGACACCTGTGTTACTGTTTAACAGATGTGCCGCCCCAGCCGAACTCCCTACCTGGCTCTGTCTCTCGCTTAGCAAGCAAAGCTAGAACCACGAATGGTCGCTACCTCACGAGGTAAGTAAAATGACATCAAGAGTAGTGGTTTTTCAAGGTCGCAGGGCTCCCACTTGTCTACACCTCCTACGCCATTTCACAAAGCCAGACTAGAGTCAAACTCAACAGGGTCTTCTTTCCCCGCTGATTCTGCCAAGCCCGTTCCCTTGGCTGTGGGTTCGCTAGATAGTAGATAGGGACAGTAGGAATCTCGTTAATCCATTCATGCACGTCACTAATTAGATGACGAGGCATTTGGCTACCTTAAGAGAGGGACAAAAATAAAGCATTTTTATAGTAAATTTACTAACTCCCCCCCCCCCCCTCCGTGAGCGAAACAAAACCATTAGAAAAATCGCCATTTTTTGACCAAAAACCCACCCTCCGTGAGTGAACAAAAATTTTTTTAATAGAAAAAATTTTAATGGAAAAAAATTTTGATATATAAGTGATAATTAGTATAATGAAATCTAGAGCTAATTCTGTTTAATTTTAAACAAATTGCGTTTTTTAAAACATAAATTTTGCAAATTAAATTAATATTTGCTTCCCAATTTTTGCAAATTAGGATTTTTTTTAAATTTCGAAAAAAATTTTTTTTATAAAATTTATATATAAATTTTTTTTAAAAAAAAAAAATTAACCCCCCTCCGTGAGCGAACAAAATTTTTTTGTTCGCTCACGGAGGGGGGGGGGGGGAGTAAGAAATATTTATGGAATTTTTTTTTTAACCCAAAGAGAGTCATAGTTACTCCCGCCGTTTACCCGCGCTTGATTGAATTTCTTCACGTTGACATTCAGAGCACTGGGCAGAAATCACATTGTGTCAACACCTTTTGAGGCCTTCACAATGCTTTGTTTTAATTAAACAGTCGGATTCCCCTCGCTGCTCCAGTTCTGAGTTAGCCATTCGCTGTCCTGGGTTACTCCTGGCTCAACAGTCGCTAACGCTGGTCAGGTCGCCCCTTCCTGCGAAGCTATGAAGAGGTCAAAAGGCCCAAGACCTGGCCCTCAGAGCCAATCTTTTTCCCAAAGTTACAGATCTAATTTGCCGAATTCCCTTATCTACATTGTTCTACGTACTAGAGGCTGCTAACCTTGGAGACCTGATGCGGTTATGGGTACGGCCAGGCGAGCGATAAGATTTCCCTCAAATTTTCAAGGGCCGAAGGAGGTGCACCGGACAGCACAAAGGGTGTGCTGCTCTTCCAAACCGATAGCCCTCTCTCGTCGCAAAGACCTCCAGGGCAGCGATTTGTTAAGAAGAAAAGAGAACTCTCCCCAGGACCTCGCCCCGACGTCTTTGAGTTCAGTTGTGTTGCCACTCAATACCCACCGCCTGCTTGTAGAATTTTAACTACATTCCCTTTCGGCCTGGACGATGTCGTCGCGGGATTACCCCTGGCCTCAGGACCGAGTCACTCATGACCAATTGCTGTTCTCATGAAACCCTTCTCCACTTCAGTCTTCAAAGTTCTCATTTGAATAGTTGCTACTACCACCAAGATCTGCACTAGAGGTAGCTCCAACCCTGTCCACACAGAGCCTTCTGCGCTGCCTCCACGCCCTCCTACCTGTCCAACTGTCATCAAGCTGGACAGCAGGGTATCGGCTGGCTGCTTAGCGACATCCATTTTCAGGGCTAGTTCATTCGGTAGGTGAGTTGTTACACACTCCTTAGCGGGTTCCGACTTCCATGGCCACCGTCCTACTGTCTAAATGAACTAACACCTTTTCATCTCATTAGCTGCCAATTGGTCGCCTCAACCCTGCCTTAGGTTGAACCCTCGTCGCCAGTTCTGCTTACCAAAAATGGCCCACATGGAACACGCATTCGGCACAGAGTTCAATGAAGCAACTCTGCGTTCTTACCAATTTAAAGTTTGAGAATAGGTGAAAGTTGTTATTGGGAATTATAATATATATAATTTAATAGGAATTATTTAGATTTTTCTTATATTTATCGTTTATCCAATACAACTCCCGAACCTCTAATCATTCGCTTTACCCGATAAAACTGCACTGTTCCAGCTATCCTGAGGGAAATTTCGGAGGGAACCAGCTACTAGATGGTTCGATTAGTCTTTCGCCCCTATACTCAGGTTAGAAGAACGATTTGCACGTCAGAATCTCTACAAGCCTCCACCAGAGTTTCCCCTGGCTTCGCCTTTCCCAAGCATAGTTCACCATCTTTCGGGTCCCAACATATGTGCTGAGCTCGCTGACGCGGCCCTTGCTGCTAGTTTGGCAAGGCTCACTTTCGTTGCGCAGTGTGGTTTATGCTATATTTAATTGATTTTTAAGCCTATATTGATTTTTTAAAACTATAAATATTAAAAAAAGAGTCTATTATTATATAAAATTGGGATATATTCAATTTAAGCCAGCTTAAACCCTACTACTTGCACGCATGTTAGACTCCTTGGTCCGTGTTTCAAGACGGGTCAGTGGACACCGCGACTCCGCCTGAATCCATTGTGCTGGCTCTGTGGGCTAACAGCCTTCAGGCACAGCACGAGGACGCAGACGGAGTTGTGCTGTCAGCTGCTCCAACGACGTGTCGTTAGTTGTACTGCCAGCGCTGCAGAGCCCACTGCTTCCTCCTCAGCGATTTCAAGTATTTTAACCCTTTTTTCAAAGTTCTTTTCATCTTTCCTTCACAGTACTTGTTCGCTATCGGTCTCTTGTGAGTATTTAGCCTTAGAAGAAGTCTACCTCCCACTTTGGGCAGCAATCCCAAGCTACCCGACTCGTGGAACACGACCTCTCACTTGGAACAAGTGGCACGGGACTATCACCATGGGGTATATTTTTACTATAGAATATTCTGGTATTTATAATAAATTTAGTTTTTTTCCTTGTAAAACTAATAGTTTTCTAAATAAAAAACACAAAAAAATAAATTTTTCCAGTGAAAAATAGAGAGCCAATCACCCTCTCTACGGTCCAGCGTTCCAACTGAGTTACACCTGCTCCGCTGTGTAAGGTCTATGTCTCAACTGTACAACTCGCCGAAGCGATTTCCAGTCTGGGCTGATGCCGGTTCACTCGCCGTTACTAGGGCAATCCTTGTTATGCTTTTTTGCCTTGAGTGGCGCGGTACGGGGCGCCACTTCGGCAAGCTCCTTCTTCCAGTT